AGGAGGTGACTTAAAGATCTGGGTTTTTATTGGCCGGTAGGCCAAATACAGCAATCTTATTGGCTATTCAAAAAAAAACACTTCCAATTTTTGGTTTAGTCCATTTTTTGGTTTTTTTTTAAAGCTTCCAGATACAAATCTTTCAAGAAAAAAAATATTGCCATCGAATCTGGCCTAGAAAAAAACTTCCGAAAGAAGTGAGCGAACTTGTCAAATTTAAAGAAACGGGCGGTTGAAAGCGGCGCCGGGTAATTTCGCCTTTGAAGGCGGCGGGTAGAACTGATCTAGGGAGCACAGCTGGAATTGCGCTCAGAAGGCGCCCTTATCAGATTCCAGGAAGCGTCATTTTTATGGCGACCAGAAAGATGCCAGCGCCGATTCTGCTGATTCTAGCGCTGATTTTATGTCACTGCAGGATACTAAATCTCTAAAAGGGATCAATAAAACGATGCTGCTTTTCTCACGCCCCACGACTTTCATTCTCTTTATACAGGCTCCATTCTACAGGAGTCATAAACTATTTTCAGCAACACAATATTTTCAATGAAGCTTTTCGCTGAAAGAAGAGCTAAATAAAAGCGAAATAATGTATATTTATGTTATTCTGGTGGCTCCCTTTTCTTTGTTACCAGTTGGCAGTGTTGATCCAACAAGCTAATGTCGATTGAGATACATTCGACATTAGTATTTGGCTGAAGATGAGGCCTGGCTTATTTTGGTAGTCTGTTTTTACAAATTACGCCGTTTGGGAATTTATTTTTTACGTGTCGCACCAACAAGAATATAATTTTCTTTTCCCTGTTTTGGAGTATATTTTGGACATTGGCTTGGCGGCACACCGCGTTGCAGCCGACAAAAACGTGTACCCGACTCTAAAATCGAAAATCGAAAGGAAGAGCTTTAGAAATAAATAAATTTTCATCGCTATTAATCAAAATAAAAAAATGGGAGTGTAGATGATTGTGATTTTGTGCAGAGTTGCAAATTTTCTGAACTGAGTGAGCTGAGCTGGCTGAGTGAGCTAAGCAGTCGCTCAGCTCAGTGATTTTGGGAAATGATCTGATCTGCTCAGCTCATCTTAGCTCAGACAATTTTCACTCAGCTCAGCTCAGCTCAATTATTTTCGAACATGATCTGTTTTGCTCAGCTCAGCTCAGACAATTATCACTTAGCTCAGCTCAGCTCAATGATTTGAATACAATTTTACTACCAAAACATAGTAAAAATAGCTCAGCCCAGCTCAATCAGCTCAGCTCAGCTCAGCTCAACTACCTTAAACAAAAGGTCTGCTCAGCTCAGCTCCGCTCAATGACCTCTGAAAAAGGCCAGCTTAGCTCAGCTCATCTCAGAAACCTCCGAAATAGGACAGCTCAGCTCAGCTCAAAGAAATTTTTACTCAGCTCAGCTCAGCTTAGCAAAATAAATCAAAATTTTCAACTCTGATTTTGTGGATCGCGCGTTCAAGCAGCGTATTAATATTAAATTAAATAAAAAGGAGATCATGTCTATTCCGCTCCAAATGCTCCAATACTGTAGCTAATTTGTTAGAAAAAAATAATTAAAAGAAAGTGCGGCTCCCCATAGATTTGGCTCTATATGAAGTCCATAGAATCTAACTCTTGTAAAGCGAAATTCAAAATAGACTCGCGGCGGCTGGTTAAAAGACCCCCCAAAGTGGAAGTCGCAATTGAAATTTTCTCAGATCGATTTCACAAAAATAACATTATTGCTCAAATCAGGGCATAAAAGAAATCGAACAATTTCCGCAAAGCCCATTTATGGCCCTTGGAAATCGACCTCATTAGCCTTGTTTGCCATTTTTTGTACTCTTGGGCCGAATCAATATTATGAGGCTTCTGATCGCCTTTTGTACGGAATGGGGCTAAATCTAATTACCCCACAACTTTCATAAAAAATTAAAAGAATGTCAAGAAGACCAAGTCCCGCTTTTGAACCCTTTTTTTGAAGCGAGAAAATTTAACGCTTTTTTATGCATTAGGGGCTTCAATCTGAGTTTGGCAGTCTATGTAAAAACCTGAGTCAGGTTCTGATGAGTTTAAATGAAAAGCCGCGTAGCGGCTTTATTTTAAAAACGAAGCCGCAAGGCGGCTTCGCCAATATTTCAAAGTTGAAATGATTATGAGCGGCTTCGTTTAAAAGGCCGCTACGCGGCTTTCCATTCAAGCTCTTCAGAAACTGACTCAGGCTTTCTACGCAGGTTGCCGTGCTCAGATTTGCGCTGTCAAAAATGAAGCGTGATTTAAAAGTTAAAGTGTTAGAAATGTCGAATTGTATAAACCGCGCTTGAAAATACAAGGCGGACATTTGTAGAAGTTAGGATAAACAGGCTGTGATCTCCGGTGCTCGCTCTGAGCGTGGCCACTTCACACTTTCGACATTCCGCGCGAATAGTTACACTCTGCCTTCTTTGATCATTTTTACGACTCTTTGGCCAGTTCCAAATTTCCGCGCCACTTGTACAGCTCTCACCAGAGAGAGTAGAATCAAAATCAAGTCTTGAGTGGTACTAAAATTTCGCGCTTTCTAGTGCGTTTGATATTTATCTGATGAAGCGAGCCTTTATCGCTTTCCCAGGCGACGATCTTCTTCTTCTTTTTTCCTTGCAACTTGAAATTGATGCTGTATGATGCAAGGTGCACCTATGCGCTGGAAAATTGGGATTTCGTGGAATCGGAATCAAGAATTACAGATCAAATGGGACTTTCATTTATTCAATATCCCGCCTCTAAATCCTCCTCTTTCTAAGAGCGATCCTTGATTTATCAGCCTGTGACAGGGTTGCAAATTTTGTGAGCTAGCTGAGCTGAGCTAGCTGAGCTACAACTTTGAGGTGACGGTCAGCTCAGCTCAATTTTTCTGAAGAAAGCTAGCTCAGCTCAGCTCAGCTCAATGGTTTTTCGAAAAGTGCCAGCTCAGCTCAGCTAGCTCAATTTTAACCTCAGCTCAGCTAGCTCAGCTCAGAAAAAAATTTCAAAAATTTGCAACTCTGGCCTGTGATAGCTTGAAAAACATGTATTGACTAGAATACTTCCTGGCAAAGCCCGGAAAAAGTCCGGAATGCGCGCGCACGAAAAAATACAAGAAAAATGTTCGAAAAAAAAGAAAGGTTGAAGATTTTGCATATTTTGGAGTGTTTCGAGCAAACACTCTCAGTGTCGCGTGTGTCTGAATAAATGACCTGGTCATCGCGTTCAGCGTGTGCCTAGATTTGGGTCAGCAAGCGCTTCTGTACATAATGGGATACAATTGCGATCACCTGCCGCGCCAAAAATGTTGATACTGATACGTGTGGGCTCGGCGGGAAACTACTAATCAGATTTTCAGCCCCAGGCGTGCCCAGAGCAAATATACCCAATTGGGCACGCACTAAACAAAATCCCTTATACAAATCAGCTCAGCGGGACTCGGCCTGGCCTCCTTTGCAATTTTGATTTCGAGGATTAGCCACATTTGATTTTCGTTGTTCCAAATTTAGCCCGGTACTAGCACTATCTACAGCCCGGTTTATGATTTTTCATGGCCGGAAGAGCTGATCAGCGGTGGTCAAATCATAGCTAATCGGTGGACCTTGGCCTGGGATTATCCCACAGTAAAAGCTATAAATATTTTCGCGCTAGTTTTTATTTTGACGGAGGCGCGCACCATCGATCAGATTTAATATTTTAAGTGGGCGGCTATGCATTCTAATCTATCACCATTTTTATGTTGCTCTTTCTTTTCTTTTTTTCAATCAGGCAGCTGAGCGAGAGTTTTGTGTGCTCGCTCTTTGATGAGCGCAGGAAAATATTCTGGGCTCAAGGCCAAGGCGCCTCTAGAACCAAAAGAATTCACTCTCAGCCTTGATCTTTGCGAGCCACCCTTTCATGATTAACGGGTGCTGAGCGATTTGAACTCGCTCCTGCCCAGCCCAGATTTTGATTTTTTGAAAATCCACCCATCAAAAATGCTTCAAATCAAAAACGCTCCATATTCGAGAGTCTCCTTCTTATCGAGCTGAATATTTTGATTCCCGGTTGATATTGAGCCAGCCGATCTTGGAAGGAATCAAGGCCGGAAAATCGGCCAGCAATGTTTATGTTTATAAAACAATATTGATAAGCGTGTTTTTTGGGTTGAAATTTCCATGTTTTAGGGCAAGAACAAGTATGCCAAAAGTATTGTTCGTATTCCAACGAAATTTGCCACGATTAGGAATGTCCACAATTCAATCGCTGGCGACTTCGAATCCAAATCTTCGTATTTTTGAGAGTTTGAAAATGAACTCAAGGGTTTGAACTTGTTTCTGCCAAAAAACAGTCAAAATCGCAACCTTTCAGAATTTTTCAAAGCTCTATTTCATTAAATTAACATCAATAAGTTAGAAGCGATCCATTTTTTATCAATACTTTATTAAAAATAACGAATTCAAACTTGATTTTAGCACCTTCATGGATGGTCTTATTACGCGGCTTATCAGTAACAGGTTGATTTGAAGTGTTTTCTTTATAAATTGTTTTCATTTGCGCGGCGATAAAATTATTCGCGCCCGCCCGAAAGGTTTATTTACTGATTCGAACATTCAGTTATATTTAGCTAGTTTTATATAAGAGCGGAGCTAAATATATATCATCCCTTTTTTCCATTGCAGATTTGATTAGCGAATGAGCTATGTTGTTGTTGTTGCAAGTTAACCCCCCTGCTGAGTTAAGCGTTTATATAACCGGTGGCGCGCGAGTGCACGTATATGGCTTTTCTGAGTTTGTATTCGCCCGTTGAGAGCCTTAGCTCGTCCAGGCGGAGCGCTGATTAAAGCACGCGCGCCCCCGCGCTCTACTGCCACCGCCAAATGTGACGAGCCACCGCGGTCGAATACAAATCTCCAAGTCCACCGGATACCTTTACACAAAACACAGCACCAAAAAAATAAGTGCAAAAAGAAAATTCTTCCAACAGTTTTTTGAAAGAAGCAACTTTTGCGAAAAGAAAAAAAAAGAGCCGCCATGACTCTAGCAATGGAGCAGGCCACAGTACAAACAGCCGCTACAGTTAACACACACAATACAGAGATTGCTGACAGTATAACCTGCGGAGTCTGCGACGAGAAATTCTACCACGTGAGCAACTTCCTCAAACACAAATCCTCTTGCCAGGGAGAATCAGAAAAGCCAGAATCAGGTAAGTCAAGGAAGAGAGATTTCCCAGTAGAATAGAAATTAAGCCCCACTACAACAGTCTTATACAGTCACATTTGTATAATTTTAATCAGACAAATTTGTATCGTCCAAATTAAAAGCACAGGGAAACGTATTTCTATTTTGAATAAAAATATTTTTTTAAAACACTTCCCAACTCAATTATTTAAAAAATAACAACAGCCTTTTCCCATCAAAAATTTTTCTAAAAGGAGGATTTTCAGAGTCGCCAACAAAATCGGAGTCTTCGAGCTCGAGTTCCGAATCTCCCGGCGCCTATCTCTGCCAAGCGTGCCCGAACCTCGTCTACCCTTCCTCAGATCTGCTTCGTCTGCATCTTCTCGGTAAGTACAGTAAGAGTCCAGCAAGCGCCAGTCGATACAGTCAGTCCAGAGCGATGTAGAATCGATCTACATCGTCTAATGAGATTAATTGGTAGTTTTGACAACATGAATTGAATATTCAAATCGACTCAGGCTGCACAAAAATATACCAAGGGTATCTTTGAATATAATTTTAATTTAAAATGGAATTAAGACTCTCACCGAGTGTATCTGCCAGCGGGCGTCGACCTTTCATCAATGTTGCAAGAAACGAAAGCGTTTCAGGTTCATCCCGACACGGCTAAGAAAATCGCCACCCTCTGCCAGAGGTAAGTCCAGATAAGGGGCTTCAGTCTACTAGACAAACGGAAAGAAAAATGCATAAAATTCGGACTCATAAAACGTTGGAAACTTTTGCTTGCTGCCCAAGAGAGCATATCATTTATCAGCATAGAAACTAACTACATAGCGTTGGGTATACCCTTAATTATAACGGAAGGCAAGATTCGATTTGCGTATGTGTCATGTATATCTTGCCAAGGAAAATTGAATTCATTAACCCGCAGTGTATTTTCGAAACATTTTGGGCGCCGCTGTTTGCTTTTCGAAAACAATTTCAAAACAGCGCTTATTTTACATTTTTCCATATACAGAGAAATGGTACGAGCAAAAAAGCGCGAGTAGTTTTTTTCTTATTTCGCGAGAGGGCGATTATGCAAACTGGATTTCCCACTCGCGAATATCGCAGCACAACTTGATAAATTATTTCCACATTCAGTTTCGACTGGATGATGCATTAAGGAGCCCCCTAACGATCACTTTCAAAGGAGGAAATGTAATTATCTGAATAGGTTCACATCGTCAATTTTCTTATTTCATTTTTTTTTTCTTTTCGTCAAAAATTATGGTGGGGGTGCTCCTTAGCGTATTTTGGTACAAGGCTTCGTTTATTTTTCATTTCGCAAATGCAAATTCGAAATCGAAAGAGAAAAAGTAATTATTAATGTCTTTTGGCCGCATAAGTAAATTACACTTCTGCGGACATATTTTGCGGTCGCCTTTTATTGTATGCTAATATACAATATAAATACTCAGATCGCCAAAACTATTTTCTGTGGTCTCGCAGAATTTACGCGCCAAGCAGCAATAACACGCCATGCAAAACACTATATCTAAGAAATATAATTATTATCTTTGTTTCGCGACTTCCTAATCACTCTGTGCGCGAGTGTTTTCCTACCGGGGGAAATATATTTCCGATTTCTCAAATAACAGAAATCTAAAATAAACGTTTAGCTCCAAGAAAAACACCTTTGACGAGACTGGCTCAGATGGCAACTCCGAAATCTCCGAAAGCCCCGACTCCGGCAACGACTCAGAACACAAGAAGGTAAGCCCGTGTTACTTTGAGCGATTTATACCCACAGTAACTCTCTTACCCGGTCCAAGTACTACACAAGCAACATTGATTCCGCGGTTTTAGTTTTCTTGGTTGCGGTCTGCGGTCGCTACAACCAGGGCGGGGTCGCTTAAAAAAAGACACCAATCAAAAAAAGCTGTTATTTGTTACTTTTGTTAATGTTTACTTAATTCTGTATTCAGGACCTCTCTGGCCAAGACCTGTCAGTCTCTCCTGGCGGGGGCAAGTCGTCTACCGAAGGCACTGATAGCGGCAACCACGAGCTCCGATCACCAGAAGTCTCAGCCGATGTGATCAAGCCCTCGCTTCCCAACATGCCTCAGATCCCCAGCCAGTTGACGCGAAACTTCCTCGAGAACTTGGTCGCCAGCCGTCTTCGGGCCAATCTGGAGCAGCAGCAGAAAATCAACAACGAGAACAACAAACCTAGCGGACTTCCACTGCCGAACCCCTTCGCTCAGGCGACGAATCCGCTCAATGGCGCTCCTCTGGTGCCCTTCCGCCTTCCATTCGCCGGTCTTCCACAAGCTGCTTCGGCTGCCGCGCTCAACTTCAACGCCTCGCCATTCAACCAACAGGCACAAGCTCAGCCTCAGCAGCCACTAAGTGTGATCGGACAGACCCGCCCTGCTGATTCCAACACTCTCTACCAGCCCGCCGTCAAGAGACGACGACGCGGATACGGATCTGAGGTAAGACCAGCGCACCCTTAACTTGTAGGACATCCGGTATTCGATATTATAGACTTTGGGTTGTAAACATGAAAGAATGATTTGACATTTTTGCGACTATTCACCATAAAGTCATTCATTTAAGACTTATCTATCTCTATAGCAGCGACTTTTATTAACTTCATCATCGAAATTGAACTGATGTCATAAACGATTATCTAACTAAACATTCAGGTCGGTACTGAAAATTTGCGAATCGAACGAGACGGCGATGGATACATGTGCCCACTCTGCAACTACAAGTCTCGAGTCCGATCCAACCTTACCATTCATCTTCGAACTCACACTGGTTACAAGCCATACAAGGTAAGATCTCCTAAACTTTTCCATTTGATGTGCGAATTCTCTAAAAGAAAATAATCTTTTGAAAAGTTTTAAAACCTCAACCTAATTATTCAATTCTAGTGCCCATATTGCCCATACTCGTCCTCCCAGTCTGGCCCGCTGAAGATCCACATCCGTGGACACACCGGCGAGAAGCCCTACCGATGCGAATACTGCTCCTACGCTTCAACCTGCAGAGGAAACCTCAAGGTCCATCAAGAACGACACCACAAGGAAGAGATTCTCAAGCACGGCGTCAACGCTGGTATCCGCGGGCCCGGTCAAGAAAACACTTCGCCCAAGATGATTCCCGATGGACCTCTTGCCGTTAACACTTCTGTCTCAGCTGGCGAAGAAACCAAGACGAGCGCACCAGCTAGCCCCGAGATGACCAACCAGAGCAAACCGTCCGCTCCTACCTCACTTCCAAACTTCATGCCGACTTCCATCCCAAGCTCCACTCCGATGATGCCGAACCCTCTGTCGCAGTTCGCCGGTTTCCCACCTGCCAGCTCTGCCGCATCCTTCATGTCCCCATTCAATCCCTCTGGCCTTCTCAACATCTTGAGCCAACAACGAGCTGCCGGAGGACACCACTTCCCACTCAACCTTCCCACCCCACCAGCCGCTGGCGAGAGCGAAGGGGCCCAAGTATCTGAAATCGAAGAAGACGTTCCCGTCGAGGAGGAAATGCCCGTCAACGTCGAGCCCACCGCCGCCCCCGTCGCCGCCGACGTCAAAGTGGAGCTCTAGTCTGACAAGCCATGTTCTCCAAAAAATCACCAACAGCTCTGATATTCGAAAAGAAATAACTCTGCACTGAAATACTTTCCTTCCTACAACGTCGTTCTAGATATTTATTTCTATCCTTTTGGTATGCCCTCTTCCTTATGAGTATTCAATTCCGAGTATGACCCTACTACTATTACGCTCTGAACACTTTGCCACAATGCCTACAGGATCGCCCTGTACAGCTTATTTTTGTATATACTGTGTCGTTAAATAAACAAAAAATATTTTAAAGCCTTGCTTTGTTTTTTTATAAAGCTCACGTTTTTATATTATTGGCATTATGAATATTCCTCTTGTAAATAAAGATAACGCTCGTGTCTAAAAGCTGATAAGAGAAAGAGCAATATATAACATTTTGCATCTTCGCTACCTCATCACACAAATTGAAAAAAAATGATTTTGATTGATGCAAAAAGCAGAGAAATAGAATTGTACTCGAGAGAGGAACACATGATTGAACTGTCCATCATTCTCATAATTGCGTTTTTCGTGATGCTCTGGGTGACTATTTTGCTCGTCTGGGTCTTTGTCAACTATAAGCCTTTCAAAACAGAATCTGTACAAAATGAAGACCGTCCGAATGGGCGAAAGAAATCAACCTTCTCGGAATCAATCACTGGATCAAGAGAGAATATCATCTAACAAGCGTTTCACTAAAAATTGTTAATAAAACTGATTGTTGGTTATATTTGGTTGTCATCCTTGATTTCAAAATGGAATAAGTTTTCAAAAATACCAATGCGACCTATCTTTCTTTACTTTCTATGTGTATTTTTGTCTATGTCTCGTCTGCCCTAGTCGTCTTGGATTGCTTTTTTTAAGTTTTTCCTGCATAAAATGAGCGAAATAGACTTCTTCGTTTAAAAAAGTCTACGGAAATGATCAATTATTATAACATATATTATGTCAGAAGAGGATCTATTCAATAGATACGAAGGTGAGTAGCAGTTTAAATTCCTACTAAAACAAAAAGGGCTGAATGAATCAGTACGAACGGCGAAAAGGAGTAGTTTGAGGGCGCATAGAACTAGTAAGGAGTAAATGAAAAGTGACGCTACTGTCCGTCCCTACAACGTAAAAGACAAGGAGTGAAAGCAAACAGAAGGAGGAAAATAAGCGTAAACAGGTATTAAAGAAATTGTTATCGTTGGTATCGTGTTTGTTTTAAATAAATAGATAAGAGTTTGTTTGATGATAGAGAGAAGGAGAAAGCACAATAAAGCTCTGGTAAGTAGTTAAAAGACATGAGTTACAGTGGATTGAGGGGTTTCACTCCCCAATTCTTGATCATCAAATTCATATTTTCCCGAAAACCTGGGGGCAGAAAAACCCCTCAATCTACTGTAATACTTGAACGAAATGGGACTAATTCTGGCAGTTCCTAGAGTGGCTGCCAGCTAACTGTTTTTTTTCAATTTTGATTTTAAATATCGGAAGAGCACGTGACACATAAATACGACGTACATTTACGCAGCGTACGAGAACTTTCTTGTCACATGCGGGGACGCCAAGGATTTTCTTTTCTGCAAGTCTGACGTCAAGAAACCATTCTCACTCCTTCCGGAGGCTGTTGCTGAATATTTTTGTCAATTTTTCAAGTTTTCAAAGACGCGTTTTTGGATTTTTATTTATTCTATTTTTATGAATTCAAAGCAGTTAACGAACTGGACAGTATAATTTATTGAGCAAGTATGTTCAGAGTATTCTAGTGCGAGGCAGAAACGATGCTCACCTCAGTGACGTTCTCGCGCTCGTCGTCAAACATTTGCGCGACGACTTTGACCAGCGCGCCGGGAGTGTACTCCCATTGTTTTTCCTCTTTTGGCACCGCCAAGTTCAGTTCGTCCATTTTACCACTCAAGAAGTCCAGGTCCGGGTCCAGTTCGTCGTCAGAAGCGTCAGAGTCAGTGTCGAAGTCGATCGTCGGATACGCGTCCTCGTCAACCATGCAAAAGTCAAGATCATCCTCAGAGAAGCATTTCAGCATTCGGGATTTAACTGATTTCAGGTTGAAAATAATGAAAACAATATTTTACTCACATGATGTTGGGGTGTAGTCGAATTCGTCAGTGATGGAAATAATGTTGTCCTTAGCCTTGTTGTTCTTGTTGTTTTCGCTGCTCGACCAAGTTCCCTTGAAGATAGTCATGCAGAGCAGAACGACCATTACTGCCGCAGAGGTCTGCGTAGTCGCCGATTTGGCGTTCTTGCCTTGGAACTGCTGGTTCACCACGTTTCGCAATTCGCGGACCTAGGAATCAGTCATTTAATTTCAAGCAAAATAAGCGTACCTGGCTCATCAAGGACTTGTTCTGCGCTCGTTCCTTTTCGAGTTCTCGCTCCAATCGCGACGATTTGCTTTCATAGTGCTTTGCCTTCTCCTCCAAATCGGTCATGTGTTCCTTTTTCCGGCGGCGGCTTTCTTGCGCCGACTTCTTGTTCTTAATTTTTCGCTTTGCTTTCTTGATGTTTTTCTCGTTCGCCTCCCAGTTGTTCTGTTCGAGGACTGCGTTGATTTCTGCCTGAGACATTTCGCCGTCGATGGTGAAATCCTCCTCTTGGATTTGAACACTTTCGGGTGCCTTTTCAATCTTGACGATTTTTGGCGAGTCGCATTTTTCGATTCTTGCCTTTTTCTTTGGCGTTGGTTTCTACAAGGATATGTTACAAATGCGACAAATAGTATGATCAATTTCTTAATTTATTCTTTACCACAAAGGATTGACATTAAAAGGTTAGATAACATTTGAAACAGATGAAAATGTAGGTTCATTTTATAGTATTAATCATTGGAGACCTCCTCATGGGCATTACTCATTTTCATAACGCTTACCCTTACTATAGAATCATTTCATTATTTTTATAATCAATCTAAATTTTGCGGGGCTTATATTCGCAAAACAGTCCAAAAGAGGGCGCAGGATGATCGACACCCTCAGTGGGAGAGAATTCTTATTTGGTTCGATCCTACCGATAATCATCTTCACAGAAATTTATGTTTAGTTTGTAGGGTTTTAATTAATAATGTTATTCGTCTTATGATTGATACATAAATAGATAAACTGTACCTTTTCGCGAATCGAGATGCGTCTTTTTTCACAATTTCTCGTTTCAACTTCGCTCGCCGTCTTGATCACAATTTGCGTTGGTGTTGGTTTGTACTCAACAAGTGCATCGGATGTTTGACATGCCAGCTCGTTGTAGGTGATACTTGGCTGGGGCGAGTTTGTCGAAATCGTAGAGGTGGCCGACGATGGCGAGGATTGCGGAGAGCAGCCATGGCCTGAGTCGATTTCGTACTGAGATTAATTTGAAACGAGGTAAAGGTAATTGGTCTTACTTTGATAGACGATAGTGAGCTCGCCTGGTCAAAAACTGCTGGGTCGAAATCGTTGATTATTGAATCCTAATCGGCTTGATTTAAAAAAAAAAACAAGGAATTTTTAAACTTACGAAATCGATATCGGTCTGAAACGGCGGAAGGAAGTCATCTTCGTAACAGTTGCCAATCACTGGATCGGCCGAGCCCTCGTCCATGTGGCGCTTGTGTCGTTTCTCTGTTCTGTTGGAAAGAATAAAAACGCGCTAGTTCCCGCAGTGGGTGGTGGTGGGTTTGTTTCGGGCACACAAAACCGGGCGAGGTACCGAGAGCCAATCCCCCGAAACGTCTAAATATCAAACGGACAAAACAAGCACTAAGTCGCAACTAGGCGGAATTAATCACACCATGGATTGAAGAATGAAATTTTGTGAGTTTGAAGCACAGGCTCAATTATTACAGAAAAAGAAGGAAAGAAAAAATGGGAAACTCTTCGATTTACACCAGAAATCATAGAAAAGGGCAGAATCATTCAATCGGAAATTTCGCAGGCCATAAATTAATTAACGTTTGTGCAGAGATTCTCTTTGTTGATATCAACAAAATGACAGTGGAAAATTATTTAAGCTAATGCTTCGAATGCAATAGCAATCATGACGCTACCCGCATCGGGTACTTTTGCAGAGTCTCTTTCTTTGCAATAGGAGGCTCTTCCGGCCCTAGCTACCATATCCTTTGTCGCCTCTGCTCCTGCCCTCGCTGCTTTTGCCGCTTTATTCAGATCGGCAGAAGACTGCAGCTCTCGAAGAGCAGGACAAAGAGCATCGAGCATGGTTCGGTCCTGTTCAGCCGCTCGACCGATTTGCATTATTTGTGTACATCCGGACGAAAGGGCAGCGATTACAACTGGCGCCGTAAATTGCTCTTCCGAAATCTTTATCGTAGTAGCGAACGCGGTGAACAGCAAACTGAGAAGGCTTCCGGACGAACCGCCCATATCGTTTTCAAGCGCAGAGGCGATTCTGTAGAAAAACGCGGAAGGATCACAATCAAGCCCATCAATTGCTTTTAATACAGCTTCGGCACCAAGAGCAACGGTCGATCCACAATCGCCATCGCCCGCAGCAGCGTCCAACTCGTTCAGAAGGTCTTTGGAAGCAATCAACGAGGCACAAACTTTCTGGACAATCGCGCGAACTCCAGAAACACCCCAGTTGACAGTCTTTGGGCAGTCAAAAGTTTCTTTTGTTTCTTGAGTGTCTATCTCTCCACCAGGAGTTGTCAGGGCTGGCCAAGCTGGGAAGGAACAAGGGGCGGTGATAAATTCACGGATCTCGGTGTTCATTTTTAAGAGACTGAAATTAGCGCCCGCCATGTCCAACGATGTCATTATGTGACCAGAGCCCACAAGGGAAACTAAAGGAGAGCTTTAGCTACAGAAAAAAATAGAATTTAAAAGAACTCTTTATTTCTTCAAAAGAACTACATCGAATACATTATTAAAAATTACGACAAATAGACAAGCTAAATTAATCAATCGATTTTATTACCTTTTGCGTTCTGCGCTTCAATTTCTTCGACAATAGCCGTGATCAAATTCAGCTGCTCGATCTCTGTAAGTCCGCCGAGATTGTTGATCAAAAGAAGCAAATCGTCGCTGGGCGAAAGCTTGATTCTCCGTTGAACAGGCTTCAAAAGTTCTTGGACGAGAGCACGCGTAGAAGTGATTTTGTATTTCCTGATTCCCGGCTCGCCATGGACGCCAAGCCCGAGTTCTACCTCTCCCGGATTCAACTGAAAAAAGAAAATAACGCGCTAGCTTGGAGTAGTGTTCAAGTGCGCACTAGTACAGACTCCGTGCCACCCGAAATGGATTAATATTAATTCACTACTGCTATATGGAAGCTTGAGGCATTATCTACCTATTCAGCTACAAATTGGGATCTTTCCAAACAGGACTTATACACAATCAACTTATAAATCTAGCTAGTCATCCGGGAGTAACAGCTAATTTTAAAAGAAGCTAATTTTTGAACTTTATTTTTAACTTACATTAATCCCCGACTCGCCACTAGGAAGCGAACATCCCGTGGCAGCAAAGCCAATCGTTCCCAGCCTGCTCTCTTCAGTCACTTCCTCGAAAAGCTTGCCCATGTATTCGAGATCTTTGCCTGCCTCAGCTGCAGCACCGAGAGTTTTTATCGCGGCGATACCGCCGAGCAGTCCTCTTCTTCCCACAGCCTATTTAATCAAGCATGAAAATTGTGAGAATAGCGTTTAATTAGCTACCTTGTCTTCTGACTCGAGCGCGCAATCGTCAGCGACGAAGTGAATAGAAACTCGAATACCCTCGGCTCTTGCTCGTTCCGCAGCGAGGCCAAAGTTAATTCTGTCCCCAGTGTAGTTGAATACTACGAGCATGACACCTCCAGGACCGGCTACTTTGCGCAAAGCAGCGAGAACAGCTCCTGCGGGAGGCGAGGCGAAAACAGAACCGGCTACAGCTGCGGTCAAACCACCTTTACGAGGATTTACGGATTAGTTGAGACGATATCGTTTTATGGGGAATTCTATGGACCATAGACTATGGTCTTTCTAAAAGACCATCATCGATGTTTTGTACTCGTTCATAAATATCCTTTCCTTGACCGACAAGACCAGCAGCAAAGGGCTCATGTCCCGATCCTCCACCAGAAACAATAGCAACCTTCCCCTCCTCTGCATTCCAGTCTCTGCGATAGACGACTCGCTAAAAAAGTCATTTGAACTTTTTGAAAATTTTGCAACTGCCGGAGCTTGCTACAAGCTTTTTACGAGCTTGAAATCATTATTGTTGCGATTGATCGCCCTTCCCCAAGGGGGAATTGTTTAATCACAGCTTTTTTGCCTTGTTTTATATATTTATCGGGGACCAAAACAAACCTCTTTGCACCGCTTCGGGAAGCGATGACCTTTAAGATTGGCTATATAAATGGAGATATGTCTGGTAGGCGAATAACAAGTTACAATATCATTTATTTTTGAATACAAGGTTCAGTAGTACAAGATACAAAGAAAAAGTGAAGAAAATGTTTCATTTTACAGATTTCATTATGAACAATTTTCAACCCAGTATTAGAAACACTGTAAGCTATAGTTTCATTTTAAGTTATTGATGCTATCATCTAAACTTTGACCATCTTTATTCATACAACTGTCCAAAAGAGGGCGCAAGATGAGAAAGATTCCTAGTGGGAGAGCATCATCATTTGGTTCGTTTTTAGTCACTGATAATCATCTACTGTGGCGTCCGCTAGTACCCATTTTAGAACTCGTTCCCAAAAGAAAAAAAGACTTTACCCAACTCACCTCATGCAGCAAAAGGCCGAGCTTATCTGTGGTTCGGACAAGGCCCGTCAAAGCGCATCTAACTGGGTCGTCATCCGTTATCAAATGACCACTGCGCGACATATCTAAAGGAAATCTTGTTTTTCGAATGAAAAAAATAAGGGTTGATTTGTTTTTTTTACGGAACAAAGAAAAAGAATGGTTGTTTATTTATAGAAGGTAAGTCAAAATATAATCGCTGGTGTTTATCCTTTCTTTCTGTATTTTCTGATGGTTTCTTCGACGAACTGGTCTTTGGCCGATTTGAAAGTGCCAGTTTGAAAGCTTTTCTTCGCATTCCCGCGCCCGAAGCCAAGAGGCGTTTTCACCTTCACCTCGGGCACGTGATCGAAGTAATTCTCGGTGACTTTGCCTTCACTCCGGAACTTGCGCGAGCCAAAAGACTTTCCTTTCGTATTTCGAACGCTTTCTGTAACAGTCCCAGATCGTTTGATTTTTAATAGTTCTTCGTATGCTTCTTTTATTTCGATATATTTGTCATTTTTTGCCTGAACATTCAAGTTTTCGCTTGTATTAAATTTACGAGCTACGAAGACTGGCAATTCTAAGACCACACTAGAACTTTACCTTGTTCCCTTGCGCCAAGTCCGGATGATAAATGCGGGACTTAGAGTAAAAGGCCTTTTTCAACTCTTCAGCGGAGGCATCTTGTCCGACTCCCAGCAGCTCTCTGTAATATGGAACCCCTTTGAAAGACTGTAGTGGCGTCAGGCGCACAGTACGAGTCGTTAGCTTCAGGGCCTGCCGAACATTTAGCATATACATCTAATCAATCAATTTTTAGATCATTTTCTTTTTAAAATTTACAGTTTATTAAATATTATGATAAGGAATTTCAGAACAGGAGTTATCAGTTTAATGAAGAAGTGGAAGATGTTTTGAACAGAAGAAACAGAAGACGAAGGAATTCTAAGGCGTTATTGTGATTGATAAAGGAAAAGAATGGCTACAGTAACTTACACAGGAAAAAGGCAAAAGAACTACGATTCATTATTGGGAGAGAGCAAGGCCTGATCCCACGGGGTTTTTCGATGACGCTGGTAAAAGAGCATCGCGGATAATAACAAAATCCCGAACAGGATGAATGAAAGAGTGAGACCCAAAAGTAAGCTGGTAGAAGACTCTCGGAGACGAACAATTCCCGAATGTTCTTCTATCATATCGTCAGAGTGAAGTAGAGTCCAGGATTCTCCATTTGAAGAAAGAACTGAAAACCCACCAGCGCTGAAAATTATTATCATCTTCTTGCATAATTTCTCTTCAAAAAACAGAGACTTGATAGCTGAACCATGAGAATTCTTAGTCACGCAATGTTCTATTTGAATAACCACTCTATTTCAGTTCACTTTATTTGTGAACTCAAGTTCAACTGAAATGAACCAAGTTCTCTTATTGACCCATTTTTAATATTGATAATGCTTTACTTACGATTGAGTGAAGGATGATCCATTTAAAACAGTATTCGGATTAACTCTGAAGTATTTTTCGGGCATAGACAGGGGCGCATTTGGAAATAGTTCTTCTAGGACTTCTTCGCTAATTTCTTCACAAATACCGTGAACAGCAGCTTGAAGACCAGTTCCAGAACAATCCCCTTTCGATTGGTAAACAAGCGCGTCAACAGGAATCGCATTTGCCCCGTTTTGAAAATCTTTGAGGAAGCAAGTAGACTTTAGTCCCGTTAGTACTTTGTGAGATGTAGATGGATTTGAATAAGAAACTGTATAAGCGCTCTCTTCGGTTAAACAAGTCGTGCTCGATTTGAGTCCGTGAAGGTCAGTTTTCCTATCGCCTTTGCCGCTATTTGGTGGGTTGTTGTCGCTTCCCGTCCAGTGAAGATTGATTAGGCCGGATTTGGGCACGCTGAGCACATTCGGGTGAATAGACTGGTACATGTTCGGATACACCTCGAGCGAGTTTCCACGCTTGCCCGAGATAGTCAAGTCAACTATTTCATTACCCACGGATGGTTTTTCAACGGTGAAAGAATGCGTCCTGTCTTGGAAAGTTCGACCGTACTGGCCAGTATTGATGTTCAACTGATTTTTCACAAGCGGCAAGTCTTTGAAAATCTGCACTTGGGGATTCGCTCGGAGCTCGTAGCCTCGTTCGCCGCCATTTAGGCCATAGAGAGGGCCCATTCGCAGTTTTGAAGAAGACGAATCTTGAGTCGTTGGATAGTCGCCAGTGGAAATATTGTATCGGACGCGGATAGTACAGGGCGTATTCGTCGGAAAGTCATCAGGAATGCGCCACTGGAACTTGGAAAGTGTTCCTGGACCATTGTCGCCATGGAAATTATCGCGGCTAGGCGTTGGCGAGCCGCAGAAAGGCCTTTGATCGTTTTTCTCTGCCTCCCATTTTACTGGAACTGCGGAGAACTGATCGCAGCCTTCTTTGGTCAGCGGCAATTTCGGCCCATTTTCGCCAAGTGTTTCCAGATCCTTCTGATTGCGGACTTTACAATAGCCGGAATAATCATCAAGCGAGGCAAGGAGCTTGCTGCAATCTTGATAGTCGGTTAAAATGGCGATATCTTTCCAGGGGGAGCGACCCCAGTAAGGATAGTAATCGCGTTCTTCTGGACATTCAAGGCCGTAGCGGTTTCCGTTGTTGTTTTGCCTCGTGTACTGAGATTAAAACTTGAAGACTTTGAAATTAGACTTGGTTTACCTTGGCTGATGAGCCTTTGAGTTTTTGGGTGCTGGTGAAAAGGCCTTTGTTCCTTTCGCGAGCCTTGCAATAGGCGTAGTTGGCGTGACTCTCGTGCATTCCATGTTCTGGTTGTGGATCGCCTTCCAGAGGAATGGTACCAGGGTTTTTGCCATCGCGAAGTTCTCTCGAGCACATGTATTGGATAACTTATTAGGGCTTTCTTAAACTATCCTTGTTTCGGAAATAAAATTGATCAGAAAAAAACTTGTAAAATAAAACGAAACATCAATGGGATTGTCCCTTTGAGTAACTATTTAAAACCATTCCTGTATCGCAGTGAGCATTTCCAGAGTTGCAGGAGTGTTGCTGAGTGTAAGATATGTCCAGTGTCTGGCCTCTATATAAGACCAGTTCCTGAAGTCCTTTATTTACTCCTCCACGGTTGTTATTCTGCGAGTCGAACAAGCGATTGGCATTTTTCCTCGCTCTTCCATCTCCATTGAGTCTGTTGTTTGATCCTCGAGGATGCGTTACATAGATATCTGCACTAACTACAGAGAGCGCTGATACGTATAGAATCCATTTTTCCTCCCATTTCATTCTGAATAAGCCTTTGATTTAGTAGTTTGTAGTTTTAGTTCTCGACTAAAAAGCGCAAAAACAAAGAAACAGCTTCGTCTGAAGTCTTGGCAGTCGGCAAATTGCGAAGGTAGGTGATGAATTGCTGACGAACGCGCCCCAGTTGAACGGGTGTCTTCGCTTCTTCTAGCGTCACACTTTCTCCGATACAAGTCTAAACGTTTTGGTAAGTCCATGACCAGCATCAAAACGGGGCACCTTTACTGTAACGCCGCAACCTCCAGCGTCTTTCTGTGCACTTAGAATTTGCTTGATGATTTCTTTGACCTTCTTATCCGTCTCTTGAAGGAAATCTGTGCTCTTCAGTGGCGGATTTGTCGTCGCTCGATTACTTTTCAACCCTAGAGGAAAAAGCTCAATAACTGCTCATTTCTCAGCGCCTTACCTTTGCCTGAAGCGGCCCCTAGAAGCGTCTCCTTCTCAATTTCCTCCTCGTCTAAAAGTGGGATAAGAGGCGACTCCCATCTTCTATTTTTGTCTGGTTCTTCCCATCTCATAATCAGCTCATCTAATTGTTGCTTCGTGTAACTTTCGCTTTCCCTAGCCTCATTTCTTTCTCGACAAAGCTGATGATTCCCAACTGGCACTACTGTACAGCAAGTGGTACTGGCAGCGCGGGCGATGCACCAGAGCTCGTAGCGGAAACCCTTGATGTAATTTGGACTGTCGACAATTGTGATCGTGCTTTTTGAAATGTACTTTTCTACTTGATTGCGAATTCTTCCTCGTGCTTCTTTTTCTGCTCCGAAATCGCCATAGTCTTTTCTAGCGTTTTTAATGTTAATTCTTTCTATAAAAAGTCCTGCAAATCATAAAATACAAAACAAGTATTCTTAAAAACGCATTCCTGAATATTTCACCCCAGCCAATTCATCATTGACGGTAGTAATCGCGGACCAGCCGCGTTTTTCTAGCTCCGGCTTCAAAATTTCTCTAATTTCTTCCGTTCTTTTCGTTTTTCCAGAACAAGGCAGTCCACAAACGATGATTAGCGGCATTCTTTCGTCCTTTTCTTTCTTCCCTTTTACGAAAATTCTTCTCTTTTACGCTTTTCTTCTGGCGCTGCTGCCTTCAGTGGGAAAATTCAATGATGACTCATTCTGACACTCAACGACCAGCGACAATGAAAAAAAGCGAGCAAACTCCGGCCAGCGCGGACAGAGAAAAAACTAAATGATAAAATGAAACTCAAAGTTGGTTCGTTAACTGCAGATATGTTAGAATGCAATTTGATGTACTTTTGGAAGAAAGAGGAACGACAATGAAGAAATAATGATCAAATACGACATTCATTCGAACAAGAAGATATTTTGCATGAAGAACTGACGAAACCTATTTCCTCATTAGCTTTACGAATTATTCTTCTGTATTCCCATTTTTTTAGCAAAATACAAACCTACGCGTAGTCTCTACCGGAGGCATCAGCCCGGTATCATCAAAAAACGCGAGAAAACTAAAACTGCCGGATTTATCCAACCCTTTATTTTTATCACCAGAGAAGATATATTTTCATAAATAATAACAAACAGTTTACTGTAACCTTAGAACAATTATTTCTCACTTATCGCGAGCTCAAAATGATTCAATCTAAGGTTGAATATTTTCAGATGTTAATAAAATTCGACGCGAAATCGGCCAGGGTGAAGGGTTTATCCTTTCACCCAAAGAGGCCGTGGATTCTCTGCTCGCTCCACAATGGGTCGATTCAACTTTACGATTACCGAATGCTCACTAGAATCGAACAATTCGAGGAGCACGACGGACCAGTTCGAGGAATTGCCTTTCACAGTCAGCAGCCCCTCTTTGTTTCTGGAGGAGACGATTACAAAATCAAGGTTATTCATCTACTAATTCATTAATTAGCCAATATCAATTAGTGAAAGACATGTTTTAGCCTCTTACTAGTAGTAAAATTATCATTTGTAGCGATTTTAATCCTTGACAGGCTATTTTTTGAAGCAAGAGAAACTAACCTCCACGTTGGCCGTTGTGACGTCAATAAAAGAATCAACGGCGCGTAGGCTACGTGGCCTTAGGAGGGAGCGCTAAATTCTAAACGATCCCTTTTAGGTCTGGAACTACAAGCTCAAAAGATGTCTCTTCACCTTGCTGGGTCACTTGGACTACATCCGAACAGTTTCCTTCCACTCCGAGTTGCCCTGGATTCTTTCGTGCTCGGACGATCAGACAATCCGAATCTGGAATTGGCAGAGTCGCTCTTGCGTCTCCGTCTTGACCGGACACAACCACTACGTTATGTCTGCCCAGTTCCATCCAACAGAAGATCTCGTCGTCTCCGCCTCGCTCGATCAGACCGTTCGAATCTGGGACATTTCCAACTTGAAAACGAAGAACAGCTCCGGCGCACCTGGCATGTCCGGTCCAAGTGGTCCAGGAGGATCCAACAGTGGCAACTCTCCTCAATCGCTTGACCTCTTCTCCACCAGTGGTGCTCAGGTTAAATCGGTGCTTGAAGGCCACGACCGAGGAGTCAACTGGGCCTCTTTCCATCCTTCCATGCCATTGATCGTCTCTGCTGCTGATGATCGACAGGTCAAACTGTGGCGATACAACGAGACGAAAGCATGGGAGCTCGACACTTGCCGTGGTCACTACAACAATGTCTCCTGCTGCTTGTTCCATCCTCGTCAGGAGCTCATCCTCTCCTCATCCGAAGATAAGTCGATTCGAGTCTGGGACGTGCAGAAGCGAACCGGTCTCCATACCTTCCGTCGCGACCACGATCGATTCTGGATCATGTCTGCCCATCCAACTCTCAACCTCTTTGCAGCTGGCCACGATCAAGGTCTCATCATCTTCAAGCTTGAGCGTGAGCGCCCAGCTTACGCCAGCAACGGCAATTTGGTCTACTACGTCAAGGACAAGTTCTTGCGACAGTTGGATCTCACCACTTCCAAGGATACGCCACTCATGATGCTCCGAGCTACCACTCAGAAGGCACCAGTCTATTCCATGAGCTACAATGCGGCAGAGAACGCAGTCTTGCTCTGTACCCGATCTTCCAACGTGGAAAACTCCACTTACGACCTGTACCAGGTTCCCAAGTCTTCGGACTCTTCGAACCCTGATCAGCCAGAAGGCAAACGATCATCTGGATTGACAGCCGTTTGGGTGGCCCGAAACCGATTCGCTGTGATCGACAGAACTCATTCGATCCAGATCAAGAATCTCAAGAACGAAGTCACAAAGAAAATCCAGTTGAATGGAGTGGACGAAATCTTCCAGGCCGGCCCAGGACACTTGCTTCTTCGGGATTCGGAAGGAATCACGCTCTACGATGTCCAACAGAAGCGAAACCTCGCTCAGGCTAAGATCGGCAAGGTCAAATACGTCATCTGGTCGCCAGACAACTCCCAAGTCGCTCTTTTGGCCAAGAACCAGATCCTCATCTGCAATAAAAAGCTCGAAACACTCGCCAAAATCACCGAAAACCGCGTCAAATCCGCCGCCTGGGACGAAAACGGCATTCTCATTTACACCACCGCTCATCACATCAAATATGCCCTTCCCAATGGTGACCACGGAATTATCCGAACTCTGTACGTCCCGATCTACATCACCAAGGTCCAGGGTAGCAAGGTATTCTGCTTGGATCGAGAAGCACGCCCTAGAATCCTCAACATCGACCCTACCGAGTACAAGTTCAAACTCGCCCTTGTTCAACGTAAATACGACGAGGTCCTCCAAATGGTTCGTGGTGCCAAGCTCGTCGGCCAGTCTATCATCGCTTATCTCAAAGAGAAGGGATACCCAGAAGTCGCCCTTCACTTTGTCAAAGATGACAAGACCCGGTTCGCACTTGCTCTCGATTGCGGCAACATCGAAGTTGCTCTGGAAGCGGCTCGAAGCCTTGACGATAAGTCCTGTTGGGAGCGTCTTTCTGAAGCTGCCCTCCAGCAAGGAAACGTTGAAGTTGTTGAGCTCTGCTACCAGCGAACTAACAATCTCAACAAGCTTTCATTCTTGTATCTTCTCAACGGCAATCACGACAAGCTGAAGAAGATGATGAAGATCTCTGCTGTCAAAGGAGACGTGTCTGGTCACTTCCAGACTTCCCTCTACCTCGGCGATGTTGAAGAACGAATCAACATTCTCAAGGGTTGCGGACAGAAGTCGCTCGCTTACCTCACCGCCGCTACTCACGGTCTTTCCGAACAAGCTGAAGAAATTAAGGAAGGCGTCCAAGGTGAACTTCCGACTCCACTTGAAGATGCTGCGCTCCTTGTTCCACCACCATGCAAGACCAAGGACAACGGAAACTGGCCGCTGCTGACCGTCTCCAAGGGCTTCTTCGAAGGTGCAATCAAGAACAAGGGCGCTGGCATTGCTGACGATGTCAACGATGATGATGACGATGGCAGCGTCGGCTGGGGCAATGATAGTCTTAACTCTGAAGCGAGTGACGACGAAATCGAAGCCAAATCCGAGGATGGCTCTGGTTGGGGCGGCGATTCCGATGACGACCTCGACATTCCAGACGATATCGATATTGGACCAGATCCAGTCGGCGACGGCAGTTACGTTCCACCAACCAAGGGTACCAGCCAGGCAATCCACTGGGCCAACAACTCCCAGCTTGCTGGAGATCACGTTGCTGCTGGGTAAGTAGATTTAATTATTTATTTTTGTTTACAAAATCCCAGCTCCTTCGAGTCTGCATGTCGACTTCTTCACGATCAGCTGGCAATGGTTGATTTCACTGAGATGAAGCCTGTCTTTATGCAGTGCTACGCCGGTGCTCGATCCTCTTTCGTCGGTCTTCCATCTCTCGTCCCTATGACTGGCTTCCCTCATCGCAACTGGCGAGATGCTGGACCAAAGAATGGACTTCCAAACATTTCCATCAAGCTCGAAACTTTGACTGACCGACTCCAGGAAGCTTACACTGTAAGATTGCTTCAGTTCATTCTCAATTTAACTTTGCTAATTTTAGCTGACGACCAAGGGTAAGTTCCAGGATGCCGTTGATACCATGCGTCGAGTGATGCTCCTTGTTCCCTTGACCGTTGTCGACACCAAGAACAAAATCGCCGAGGCCCAAGAGCTCATCCGAATCTGCCGTGAATACATCATCGCTCTCTCAATGGAAATTGAACGAAAGACCCTGCCAAAGGTTTGTTCTCGATAAAGCAACATCTAGTCCTAACATTTAATTCCAGAGCGAGGCCAAGCGCTCTTGCGAAATGGCTGCTTACATGACGCACTGTCAACTGCAGCCCAAACACTTGATCCTCTCCCTCAACACAGCGATGACCCTTGCTTACAAGATCAAAAACTTCAAGTCTGCCCACGCTTTTGCCAAGCGGTTAATCGAGATGGGACCCAAGCCCGAAGTCGCGCAAAAAGCTAGAAAGGTAAACCAACATCTAAGTAACACTCAGTAACTCTTGAATATTCAGGTTCTCGCTGCTTGCGAAAAGAATCTTTCCGACGAGGTCGCTCTCGATTATGATCAGCATAATCCCTTCGACCTTTGCGCTGCATCATACACGCCAATCTACAGGTAAACCCAGTCACTCAATTATCAGATACTAAACATACTTTTCAGAGGAAAGGCTGTGGTCAAGGACCCTCTCTCCGGAGCTTCATACCTTCCAGAATACAACGGACAAGTGTGTCGCGTCACCAAAGCCACGAAAATCGGCGCCGATGTTGTCGGTCTCCGCATTAGCCCTATTCAGTTCCGTTAAATCACTATCTTAACTCCACTTGATAAAAACGCAAGTTTATGTTCAGCAACTTTCAATATTTTAGTATCATTCTAAGTGCAATCTGTATTTAAAAATAAACCAAACTTCATTTCCCCAATAACAAAAAATCCCAACTAGAAAGTATCCGTACTTTCTACTTATTCGTGCATTACAGCATTTTTGCAGCAGTTGTTTGTATATTTATTGCATTTACATTTGTACAGGAATTTGGCCTCGCCTGTTTCAGGACTCGCTTGATAGCATTACTTTGTTGAATAGTTCGAGCACTTCGCCTTGCATCTTTTGGATTTTAGCTAAAACGAAAGATTTAATCGAATAATTTAAAATTAGCAAGAAAACTGGGAATTCCGAATAGCATCGACTTTCTAGAAACGTTCTTCTTTTCTTATGAGAACCATAAGTATGTGAAAGTTATGATATTTAAACAATATTGGTCGAATGATCTGAATATCCATTTTTCGTCAATGTTTGCGGTTATCTTGGCTATGATTAAACTTAATGATCCGGAAAGCGATGGATCATCGGAGAACCTTGTATACGCCGGCATACGGGGAGTAAATCTCCATCTGAGCCAACTTACGACTACCCAGGTCGATGACCAGATCACCGATCAAGCCCGCCTATTTTTACGGAAGCATATGCTTATAAGTATGCTTCATTGAGTTATGACTGTCACTCGGAAAACATCGCGGCCCGATCTACTTTAGTTTAAACTCACACTGTTGTTCATTGAGTTGTGAGTTGATTTGTTCGAGCGCATTCTCCATGTCGGTATTTTGATTTTTCAACTTCGCATTCATATTCGAGATATTTCCCTCCGCGTTGTGAAGATTAATTAGCTAAACAATCAAATTGGTAACTTCCAACTTTCACTTACGTTTTCTTCAATTTTCTTGTTGGAGAGTTTGAATTCCTCACTCAGCGCGTCGAACTGCAAGTTCCAGTCCGACTTTTCGTTGGTTAGTTGTTCTCTTTCTCGGGTGCATCAATCATTCCCCAAAAAAAGGGATGAAATAAAAGTAGACTGATAAAGCACCTTTCCTAGTTTTGGCAACGTCAATCTGTAGGTTCTTTAATCGATGGTTCACGCCCCTATCAGAACCTCAATTTGCTTTTATTAATTGACTACTTGTATAATCGTCTTACCAGAACCAAGAACAGCGTTTTTCGCCTTCAGCAACTGTTTCGACTGGTCAGATAGGTTTTCGAGCATTTTCGCATGATCTACGATTATTTACTAGCGGTTTTAAATCACGTGTTTTTGGACATACCGTTGTACCATTTTTTCATGACGACCATTGTGTTGATAACGCCCTTTCCAGCATCCGTCAGATTTCTGAACGACAGCTCGCCATCAATTTTATTCCCAAAGAGCAGATACTCCATCTCTTGTACCGATAGAGTTTGTTGAGTGACGAGTTCTTGCGCTTGACCAACGTCAGCACTAGAAGAGCGTTATATTCCCGCCTGGGATGGTCTTATTCTTCACCTGACTTTGTTAACGCGCTGGGAGAAAGAGTCCCAGCGCTCTTCGTTGTTTGAAAATTGCACCACTAAAATAATCATTCCAGAGATAATATTTCGTTTGAAAATTACCAGTGACTAGAACTAGCGAGAGAGTAATTGCGAGGCAGATTATGTTCGTAAGGAGCGATGCGTTTTTCTTCATCAAGTCAAAGGGCGTTCGTTTGAACAACACTGACTCGACATCTGTATCTATTGTACCTTAATCACTCTCTTGATAAATTAGTTACAATCACACTGGGTACCTTGTTTGTGGAGCGAAAAGCGCGAGCGTGACTGAAGTAGTGGCGAAGTTCCATGTGCTCCTCCACCAGCACCGCCGCTCTGGTTCAATGCACGAGGGAGCGAGTTAGTTTTCATCAAGCTTGATTTCTCTCTTCTTTCATTTGGGTGAAAACTTGCAATTAATATTATGATTGCTAAGAATAACATAAAAAGATTTAAATTCCTTTCGGCAGAATTCATCCCTTTTTCCTAATTTCATGATTATTGAGCGAGTAGTTTCTATGTAGCTGTGGCCTGATTGCTGGATAGGGCGTAATTTCATCGATGTTCTCTACAATCACACAATCTGCTTGATTCGCCCCGTCGTAAGTAGTGCTCGAGTCGGCTGTATGCGACGACATCGTCCTGCTTCGTTGCTTGCGTTTTCTCAACAGGCTCTTCTTGTTGCTCTCATTGCTCTCGCAGGTCTCATAGGCGCAGTTTTTGGCACAGAGCTCTCTGAAGCGCGTTCGCTTTATTTTTTATTTGCCCTTGCTATAATAACTTTGGCTTCTCTTTACTGTACTTACGTTGAACAGTAAAGCGAAGAGTCCTCTGAGTTGATTTGAAGGTGTCGAAATTAAAATTAAATTAAAAGACGTTTTGTTTACCTATCTGACTAGATAGAGATGAGCCAGCGCAGTCCAATCCCTCCAGATCGCAAAGATTCAACTTCAAAAATATTTTTCGTGAAACGAGCTCTCTCACAACGAGATTGTTAGCTTAGCTACTGAACTTATCTGATCATATAAAAGAGCATCGTTTATTCTATTTAGGACATCATTTATAATTGAATTTGACATTGTTTTGAGGGAGTTTGAAGCGGTTAAAGAGTTTGGAGAAAGTGTGCAGTTGAATTTTTGACATCGATTAGTTGATATAAAAATAAAATAATGCCAGCAGGCATTGCCCAAATCTTAAGATCTTAGTGCCAAGGAAAAGCTCAGATCCTGGACTTTCTCAAACTGTCATAAGTACTCATTACTACGATAAAAAAGGGATGATTTTATCAATGAGAATTAAGGCAATTATTGAAGCATACCTCCTGAAGTTCGCTAAGACTTTCAGAATAAACATCGGCGACGTAAAAACATCCGATCTTCTTTCTCACTCTTGGCTTCTTTGGCCGCGCTAGAATGCTAGAATATTGCACGGTTGAAATTTTTACTTTGAGAGGATCTATTTCCAAGAGAACGAATAAGACGTAGACTTCCTCGACCGCGCGATTTCCTCCTTGATCCCGAAAAGCTGCTTCTCAGTTTTTCTTGATAAGTTTCATCAACAATAATTATGGTACTTTGTCAAAGTTGAACTTTCGAAGAGTTGTGACCTTTGAAATAGAGTGCAGTTGAAACTTTCCTTCGATCGAGAGACTTTTCCAAAGTCCATTCAGCGTCCTTGGGAATGGCTTTTTGTTGCTTCGCTGGGTGCGTCTAATTGATCAGAATGAAAAAGAAAAACAAAGACCTCGTGATAAATATTTACTCGGTTGATGTACTACGACCGCGGAAGGGACCCCTCAGGGACTTTTCAAGGACGCGTTTTATTACGTTCAAGAAGTTCAAGAAAGAATCATCTTCTAGCATATTTAATCTTCTTTACCTGGAGATAGCGATCGTTTCCTTTTCTTGATATCTGCACGCACCTGAAATTTCATGAGCATAAATTATTGAGTTTGATTTATATTAACCTTCGTGCTCTTCGTTGTCATCAAATACTTCAGTAGACTTTTCTTGGAACATAACTTGAGACTTTTCGTCTTTGACAACTTTCGGGGTCGAAGGTTCCATGTGATTTTCAAAGAATTGATCGATGAGTTCTTCTAAGTCTGAGAATTTGGTCTGCTCTGGAATGGGATCAAAAGAATCGTTAGATTATTAAATCTACTGTTGAAGACTTCTTTATCCTTTCCTGGAAATTGAAAGTCGTTTAGATAATCAATCGACTCATTCTTTTCCTTGTCCTTTCGCGTTAGAGACATATATTTATCCGTGCATAAAACTTCGTCACTTCCATTTTCTGGCTAAAGTGACGCTAGTATAATTTGAAGATTATGAAAGCGAAAACTTACATCAACACGAGTGCTATTGCTAGTAACACATTTATCTTCCTGTGTCGTTTGGGCTTTACTTGAGACAAAGTCCAGAAACTTTTGGGCGATTTCTCTCATTCCGCTCAAAATTACTCCCTTTTCAGTCACTCATCTGGAGTAACTGATCAAACAAATCCAAGACTTCCCTTTTTGGATCTTTTCGCTGCAAATCAAAGATCTTATACGTTTACTTCAACATATCATATGGAATAAATAAGTTATTTTTCAATTAAACAAACTGTTTTTTTTTTTACTTTTGATTAAATTGCGACCCGATTTTTGTAATTTTCAAGCGCAATCCTGGCTCGCACATAATTGTGTTCAAGTCTCTCATAATGTTCTCTCTCGGTGCCTTCATTTTTATAGCTTAACTTTTCTTATACTAAAAAAGTTACAGAGACTGACAGTGTTCTCAAACTCAAAGATGAAAGTTTCTGTCCCGCTCTTGACATGCTAATTGATTTATGATGACATAACAAAGCGAGAAATCACTCATTTCCTAGTCTTTCCGCAAAAGTATTAATCTTATCCTCTTTGGCGCTAAAATATAAGACTGGAAATAAAAAGAAGACACTTTCAAGCAGCGAAAAAAACTACTTGAACGTCAAGGCGACAAGGATCTTCGAAACATGGTGTTCAAGAAATCGGGTTAAATTTGTACGATCCAGCTTGCAAGGCCGCTCAGTACGTCAAATTAGACTTCTATGCCGTCGTATCTTGTCTATCTCGAAAACTCGGCCTTCAAATCGGTGCTTTTTCAAGGTTTTCAAGGTTACTGATGATAAATTTCCGCTTGTGACGCGTCTTTACAGTGCTTCGCCGAAGCAAATTTTGCATTCTGATTGTTTGCGAAGGGGTTTGTACAGGCGATGTCCTTGGATTAAGCGTCCTTGAGTCGATAAGAATCACCGGAATTTTACTTCAAGGACAAATTCTGTTTGTTTCTCCTATAAATATCTCTCAACATCCTTCTCTAGGAATCACAAACTGCATTTCCAAAATGCCAGCAAAATCAAAGAGTGCCAAGAAGCCAGAGTCGGTGAAAGCCGAAACAATCAAATCAAAAAATGAAATCACAGGAACAAGCTTCGCAGTGAAAATTGCAGTCGCAAGTGTTCTTTTCCTCTTGCTCAAGAATTTCGCTCATCGGTGAGTGGTAAATTTCATCTAACAAATGCTAATTCTATTTTTAGAGGGATCGAAAAAGCTCTTGGCGAAAGCCGGGTTTATGAGAAAACAGAGCCTTTTTTCACGATCGATAACTTTATGGACGAAGAAGACATCGATGAGCTCCGCCAATTTCTTTACAAAAAGCGCCGATTTGTCACTGGACTCGATGCATTCTCCGACGACCGAGGAATCGAGCACATTGGCGAAGGAGTAGAGGCGGACGAAAATGGAAACTGCCCGAAGGATCTTTACCGAACTGAGCAAGGAAACTGCTTCATCCCCGGACGATTCGACATTGGCAAGCATTTCTTCCTCACCGGCGGTCTTACTGGAGCAAAAGAAACTTACGAAAAACTGTTGAGCTCAATCTACGCCTACTACGGAATTCTGCCAAAGGATTTCATCGAAACCAGTCCGATTCTCGAGCGACTTTTCAAACGACCTCAGTACGTTGAAGCTATGGACACTCTCTGCCGAAACCATGGCCAGGAAGATTACTACTTCAAACCGACTCAGGTACTATCCAAATCTAACCACTCAAGTTTGCCCATCATCAAATCTTAGGTTAACATCGTTCTCGTCACTCCCGGCCAAGACTTGCCGCTTCATTACGATAACGGATGGTTCTGGGGCGCCAATCGATTCACCATTCCCGACTATTTGACCGTCGCCATGACCACTTCTGGACTTTGGGATCACCTCAAAATTCGACAAGCGCAATCTGTTGTTTACCTTCACGGCAGCAAGGACGACCCCATTTTCAAGCACGGCGGAAAGTAAGCAAAAAATATTGCGAGCAATTTCCTTATGAAATTTCTAGCTACGTCTTCTACCCTGATGGTCCTGGCGGTGAGATGCGACAAATTGTTCCAAAACGAGGAATGGGAGTGATCATGGACGGTGGTCAAATGTAAGATTTTAAAACCAATAACAAGTGATGATTGTTCTATTTAGTCCCCACGGAGGTCAGCGAATCGCCGAACATTACACTGTCGCCAACCACGGAGGCAAAGATCAGTTCCACCGAGTTGAGTACCAGAGCAACGATACTTGGTACATCATGAACGATGACGATATCATCTCCACCGTCAAAACTGAAGATCTCCGACTCAGCTTTGTCTGGCGCGGACTCTGCTTCGACAGCAAAGAGCACGCCGACTCGTACGACTCTTATCCAGGTGACTTTAGTAATGATAGAGAACAGATGGACTAACTCAAGTTTAGAAATCCCACTTGAAGAAATCCTCAACACCTTTGAAGCAGACATGAAGAAGCGAGGCGTCCTTCCTAAAAATGCTCCTCGACCACCACCAAAAGAGTTTGCCCACACTCTCATCAAGACCTACATTTCCATGCCGCCACAGAACGTGCACAACACTCTTCCATTCAACTACTGCATAATCTCCAAGGAATACCCCTGGCTCAAGACGATTCTTTCGCCGTTCTGCGAGGACGTACAGCCGTACAAGCGGCTGAACGACGAGCTCCCTCCTGCTCGTCCTTTCTGCGGCGGTAGAAAATCCACGAATTGTCCAGAAGAGTAATTTTTTACGGAAATGAAGATATGCTAAGTTTGTATACTCAAAACTGTTTGTTTATGTAATTAGTTTTATCGACCCTGTTTGTCCTCGTTCAATGATAAAGACGCGCTTTTTTTAAGGTTGTGCAAGTTATTTTTCTTATTGTATGATTCTACACCAGGAACACCATATATAGTTGGAATCAGTGAAAAATTCTGAGAACTTTGACCTTTTTAGTTTTCGAAAATTCCGTTTCCGGTCCGATTCTAGAGCCGGAAGTTGACGTAATTTAGGTGTAAGGGTAACGTGTGAGGTATCAAATTGATGCTCAGAAGATTCTGAGTCACCTCATCATCATTTCATAGGAAAAAACCGTCCCAACCGCGGTCTAACCGACTGGTTAAACTATGAAAAAAAGCTTAAATTGATGAATTTTTTTTCAGTTTTAACCGGTTGCTTTCACCGGGATTCTCTTCGTAAATGAAAGGAAATCTTCTGAGCATCAATTTAATAGATCACGCTTTACCCTAACTACTAAATTACGTCAACTTCCGGCTCTAGAATCGGACCGGAAGTGGAATTTTCGAAAACTAAAAAGGTCAAAGTTCTTAGAATTTTTCGCTGATTCCAAATATATATGGTGTTCCTGGTGTAGAATCATACAATAAGAAAAATAACTTGCACAACCTTTAAAAAAGCGCGTCAAAATAAATACACATGTAAATATGAATTTCTGGTGAGTTTGTCTTTGTTTCTTTTTTATTTTGGACTCTTGGATCTCATAATCTTGCTAATCACTAGAAACCGGTTCACCGGACGCTCACTCGCCTCGAGTCAGACCCGAGGCGCCCTGTGAATGGCACGAGCTCGCGGACGGCGTCGTGCCCCCTCTAGGAGTCGGTTTTTCGTCATCGAGTCAGTCCCCGAAGGAACTACAGTAGAGGGCTTCTGAGGTTGTCCAACCGAACGAACGTATAGTCATCTTATGGTTTTTCGGCTCGAAAATATCAATGAAGTGAAAAAGCTAGAACAGTATTAGTGATGAATTAGTACTGTTTCCCTTACCAAAAGGAACTGCTCTAACGAATTGACTACAAAGAAAAGCCTGTATGGGTTTGGTTTTGTAAAGTTCAAGAAATCACTTCCTTTCTGAATCACCAGACGGCCCTGCATAAGTCTTACAATTTCCTCAAAACCCAATTGAATCCTCCGCGCCAGCTGCTTCCTGTCCAATTGGTCGAGTTACGTCATTCCCGGCATCATCTTGATTTTCATCAGAGCGGCGCTTTTTTTTCATTTTTGGGGCATTTCCGAAGTCGCGAGAAAAAAAAGGAAGAATTTTCTAGATCGCGGGGCGCCGCCCCCGGTTTTCCTCGATGATCGCATTCGGCCATTCCTCGGTCCTCCGCTCACCCAAATTCGAGCAACAGGTAAATCAGAGAATTCGTCCTTGTCGAGTGCTTATTAGAGAAAATCTAGGCGAAAAATTAAGCGATTATTATTGGCTAAAATTTTACACGCCACGCGCTGCGTAAATTTGTGCTTATTCGCCGAAACAGGGATTTTTTCAACAAAATGATCGTTTTTTAAAGATTTTTTGGTTTTAGAAATTGTTGATTCAGAGAGCTAACACGATACGGTGCCCGTGTTTGGATCAGAAAGAGGCGCAAGACTACGAAATGCGCCGCGCGTCGAACACTTACGACCCACGTGTCGATATTCGGGTAAGATTTCTCTCTTTTTACTGAACTGTAAAAACTCGCTTCCTTCTGTTCTTTTTTTCTGATATTTTACTCCGACTCTTCAGAACTATCCTGTGAGTCCCGAGAAGTACTTTTATCTCCTAAGGAAGGAAGGCAAATTAGAATCTTCTGAAACTTTTGATCTTGATCTTGACTCATTCGAGGTTGATACCCTTATTCTATGTTCTCAAAGCAACGCGCTCTCTTTAGTACAACAGTCGGACGACCAACAAAGTCACCCGGGAGCAGCTTTTCAACGCGATCGACGCCTACAAGGGCAAAGATGCCGACGTCAAAGTTGCAGTGAAGGAGATCCAGCTCATCCTTGGCGAAAATCCCGACCTGATCTACGAGGTGGACGATGACGGTGACAACGCGCTGATCCACGCGTGTAAGCGGCAAATCCACCCGCGATACCGCAACTTCTGGATTCGAAAAGGGCCCGACATCGAGGTCGTCAACGCACTACTGCACTACGGCGCCGATCCCAATGCTCGAAATCAAGAAGGAAAAACAGCGCTGCATTACGCCTGTATGTTTGAACCGCGAAGCTCCAAAGTTCGGTTAGTTCTTACTTAAATTAAGCGGTAAAGAGCCTTACGCCTTTTCTAGTGATATGTACGAAACAATCACAAAAATCAACGAAGAGGAAAAGCGTCTTCTCACCCGAGTCGTCCGAAAACTCATCAAGTAACCTTTTTTTCACTGTCTGCTTTTCTTATTTTCACTCTTCAGAGCCGGTGGTGATCTTAGACTGCACGATAAAGATAACAAGCTGCCATTTGATTACGCAAAGGTATCATTGATTATTTAGTGACCGTTTACTAACTGTATCAAAAGGAAATCCATCAAACACGATTCCGAAACGAGATGGTCAAGTTCCTCAGCTTCCAAAAGGAAGAGTTTATCCGCGACATTGATATGCATGTAGATCCAACTCGGTTGAATCGGGTGATTCCTGGCTTGAAGAAAAAGAATGCTAGAAAGGTGAGTGAATTAGAATGAAAAGGACGATCCAAGTGTCTAGGAGAAAAAGAGGAAGGAAGACGAGATTAACTCGTTTTTAGGGCCGCCTCTTCTAAAGGTACCAGATACATTCATCTCTAACTAAAATGAACTATTCAGACTTTGATGGGAAAGCCAAGTTTCATCCTTGACCAGCCGAAGCTCAAGTTCACCGGTTTCGGAGTTGTGCTCGAGAAGACCGGAGGCAAGATGGGCGGCTTTGGCGAGGCGTGCTCCATCCCGTACATTCACGACTCGACCCTGTTTGACCAGAAGAGCGAGCAGAAGATCCGCATTCGCCACTTGAGCCTCATCATGTCGCGACGTGTTTGGCGCGGGACACCTGTCACCTATCTTTCCCGCGAAGAGGATCTTCCCGACGAAAAGGGCGACCTGAAGAGTTTCGAACGTTCAGACAAGTACGATCATCTCAATGCTGAGATCATGAAGAACTCGACCATTCGTCACCCGAATTTGCTTTTGATGATGGCGCTCGTCCACGATCAATCTTCGGCCCTCATCAAGGGAATCGTTTACGAACGAGTTGAGCTTGGCACAATGAAACACTTGATGAAAATCGGACAGGTACCAAAACTCTCCTTTGTCATTTTCTAATCGTTACTATTCTAGGAGATCGAGCCCTTCGAGTGGGTGCCGTTGATGACTCAAATTGCCGACGCCGTTCAATTCCTCCATGAGTCCAATATCATCCACCAAGCGATCATTCCTGAAGCTATCATGATCATGTCGTCAAAAGTCGCGAAGCTCGGAGCTCTTTGTTTCTCCCGCCCCGCGAATGACAAGTCTTTCAATTACGAAAGTACCCGGATCCCCGAACGTCTCCATCGATACATCGCCCCTGAAGTCCTCCGAAATGACCTTCCAACAAGAGGAGTCGACGCGTTCTCTCTTTGCGCTGTTCTTTTCGAGCTCATGACCGGTTATGCTCCCTGGGCTTCCACTAAGGTAAGAAATTTCAAACCTCCATGTACTCAATACCAATTTAGAATGCAAAAGATCGCGTTAGTATCGAAATCCCTGCCGAGGCTCCGCCGACCGATCTCCATACAACTGTCCGAATCGGCCTCTCACTCGAGCTGCGGGAACGTAAAACTCGCCTTATCGACATCATTTACGTTCTTGGAAACATCAAGATGATGTACCACCGACTCGAGTGTGAATCGCGCAACACTGGATCCTATACTGGATCTTACCAGACAATGAAACGTAAGTCTGGTGTCAATCGACACTGAAAATCATCCATATTTGTAGGCGCACAAAACTTGACCGATTCGCCAAACAGCAAAGCCTCCAGATTCTCCCGAGGTTCGAGATTTTCTCGACCCTCAAAGTTGAGCTTTACTCGACGAAAATCTGCAACTCTAGCCGACGTCCGACCAGTGGGAAGTCTCCGATACTTTGAGGAGGTCTCTAGCAAGCGCCAACGTAAGTTTAGAATGAGTACACAATCTACTTATACGCATTCAGCCGATTATTTTGTGGACATGAATGCAAATCCGACCCTTGAAGATCTTGACTACACACAGCCGTTCCATCTTCAGTACGACACGCATACTGTCTCCGCCCCTCCAACCTCCCGATCGAAGCAATCGTCTATTCGAATGGAGCAGTACCTCACCGAACAGCTTCAACACGTCTCCTTCAATAAAGAAGACATCAGTGAAAATGCGCCAACACCCGAGCGCCGACAAAACACTACTCCTGCGCGCGGAAACATCTTTGCTGATCTCCAGAAGGAAATTGACACGGCCCAGAATGAGCCTTCCGAAGGCTACGACTTGAATGGACTTCGCACTCAACTTGAAGATGCGAAGCGGCAGATCGAGGAACAAGAGGCGCAGATCAAATCGATGGAGGAGACACAAGACCTCTACGTCACTGCCCGCGAAGATCTCGACGTAACCCCCGAATGGTCAACGAGCCACCCATTTGTCCGCCACGAAAGTCGACCAGTGCCATGCGCGTTCGACACCACTCCGACTGTGAGTCCAAAGAATCCTACGAGACTCAACTGAATGCAGCTTGGTTCGCCAAGCGAAAGGAGGAAGCTAAGAAGGCAAGAGAAGCAAAGGAAGAGGCGATGTTCAAAGTCCCAGAAGTGCCACAGGTGGACGCCAATTCATTGAAGAAATCAGCTTCCAGCACCTCCAACGCGTCCTCCAAAGGATCCTTTAGCGCTGGTCTTATCAACCACTTCGAGCGAATTTCGGCCATTGCTTTGTCCAAGTCAGAGACCTCACTGCCCACACCACGAATTAAAGAGACAGAGCCACGAGAAGCCAAATCATCAATCTGGTTTGAATTTTCTCTCATGAAACTCATTTTTTTTAACTCTTTTTAGCCATAACTACATTGATGCGAGCATTGAGGAAAAGATCGAGATCTTGGCAGCGCCGTCTACATCTGCTACCGACACTGCCAAATTGATTTTGAATGACACCTTCAACAAGGCAGTCCCAGCAAGCTGCTTGGAAGAAGCTATCGACGACAACAGTTTCGATAGTGAAGTTCTGCTGTCCGGTTCGGACGTTTCCCGAGCTCGCAGCTATACCGCGAGTATCAGTAGCATTGCCAGCTCGCCCTCTGAGACCTTGCCACGAGCAGAAGAGTCAACTTTTGAGCCCCCGACTGATCAAACTCTTGAATGGCAGTACGACGACTTTGTCGCCGAAAAACTCTATGGTAAAACAGGCAAAAATCAAATCTCTCAAACAATATCGTAAGGGCTCGATCTCAATGGAAAGAAAGTCTTCGGAAAGGGCGAACATCACGTCCCCGTGACCGAGTACATCGACGACGTCGATAGCGAAGAAGCTGTAGTCGTCAACCGCGAAGAGATCGATTACATGGAACCCAAACTCGTCGAAGCAAAGTCAAAGATGCGTGATGCAAACGAAATCCCTCGCATCTCAGTTCAGGTAGACTTTATTGACGAGGTCCAGCTTCTTACAATAATTCCAGACCGCCACTCCACCATTTCCCACTCTCCGAAAGACCTCCGGCATGGATGTGCGCCAGCTGCCAAAGCCCAACTTGGGCTTGAGCGATCTTCAAGAGGAGAGCCTCAACGTCACCCAAGACCTAGGAAAAGTGCCGCAGACACCATCACGACTTTCCTTTCCGCAAAAACTTGCCAAGTTTCGAAATGCGGAAGCATCAACAAGCAGCGAAAAGTGCATCTTCACTGCTCCACGAAGCAAGGGAGACGTTACTGATAGCGACAAACCAACTCCGCTGTCCGTAGTGACCTCTACTCCATCCGTGGATCGATTCGGCAAGACAGTAAGTCATTATTTTCGGAATTGGATAGTTGGAAACATAGAGGAGAATTTGAATCAACTTTCATCGTTCAGGCACAGCTGGAGGAGTTTGATTTGAACGACTCTTTCGAAATCGAAGGAGATACAGCTCTTAGCTTGAAAGAAGACCAATTAAATGACGAATCCGATTCGGGAGAAGCTTCCGAGATCTCCTTCGTCGCGAAGCGCTTGTCCAGTCCTCTCCGAGAGGCAGAGGAGATCAAGCAGATGATCAGCGATTCGCAGACATCGTTACTCGCCGCAGAGCAAAAGCAAAGAGCCGCAGAAGGCATTGAAGGGCGACGGGCTATCCTTTCTCGTTGCAAGCAGCATGAAACCTTCTCCAAGTCAGTCGATTACGAAGGTAAGACGCTCTCTTCGATTATGTCAGTAATCAAAACGATGGAATAGGTTTTGCTGGACTTGAATCCGAAGAAGATGGAAACATGAACGAGACGATGACCATTTCCAAAGGAGGAAACAAATATTAAAGAAAAACACTCCATGAAAAAACAGAAAAAAGAACAAAAAAAACATGAAAAAATTTAAAAAAAAAAGAACAAAAAAATACACATCGCCTAAAAACTTTAGTGCGAAATCAGGGAACTATTATTTTCCCACTGCCATTTATCTTCAACAATTCCAGGCGTTTAGTTCCTTTTTGCGAGCTTTTCATCCTTTTTTGTTGACCTTCCATTTATCGTTTTGATTTTTGAATTTTTCCGCGGCCTCTTTCTTCTTTATTTTTCCATCGAAAAATATCGTCGAAAGGTTGCATTAAATTTTTATCCCATTTTTTGCTCTCAATAATTATTGATTAACTCACTTCTGAAATAATTAAAGTAATTATTGCGCAAAATTTGTCTCTATTGAACACTGTCTTTGCTGCTATTTGCCCTGACAACTATGAGAGTTAATAAATATCTATTTATTTTATTGCCTGACTTTTCGTACTGATATTTTCAAGCTTGAAAATCTCAGAGAGTCCCGAGTCCTTGCGAGTTCATCTTGTTTTGCAGCTATTTTTTTGCATCACCTGACCTTTGTCATCAACTTCAAATCAATCACGACTTCAGTAAATCAACAGGGTTATTACTGACATGTAGAAACGGTTTTTCTAAGAAACCGAATAAATTATAAGTAATTATTTATTCTTAAAAAACGTAGTTTTAATAAATAGAACACGAAAAGTTTTTCCTGAATTCATTTAAAAAGTTATATTCTTGAAATTATCAAAATTTAAAATTTCTCGGAGTCGAGCCGCTGGCATTTGTGAGTCACTGGGAGGGTGGTGATTGGCTGGGCGGCGCCTTTGAAGTGCGATTTGGCGAGTTCGAGGCGCAAGTTCCACCCAGAAACAGAGAAAACGGGTACTTTCCGCGCTTGGCTCTTCGCTCGAGTCGAGTTGGCGCGGCGGGACGGGCCGGGCCGGACTCCTGCTCGCGGAGAGGCGGGCGCGCGCGGCCCGACCCGCTGCTGACGTGGCACCAGGCGAGAAACAAATCTCAAATCTCCAAAACTAAAATCCAACAAACTCAGAGTCTCGCCCTTTTTCAGTAATTACACTTTGCAAATACCAAAATAAGAGATTATCCTTTCCAGCACGAAGATTCTTCCGTATGTTAATTTTTTTAGTCTTTTCAAATTCAATTATTTGTAAATCTAAAAGCTTTTCTTCAATTATCGCTAATCTCTTAATTAATTTAACAAAGAACACTTTTCAGTTATCGATAAATATGATTATTTCTGTTATTATTTAATTTTTGATCTCCAAAATTATTATTTTTGTTAAGAAAAATTTTTAAGTCTCATTTTTTTCGAGTACTATTCAAAAAAAATAAAAACAATTCTGTAAAATTTGATCTGAAACTTCAATTTTTCTATAGAATTAAGATAATTGATTTTTCTTTATATTGAGATTTAAAAATCATTTCTTGAAAATTAGTTTCGCTAAAAATATCAAGCTAGACATGTTATTTTGTCTCTTGGCTAGGCGAGAGTCTATTTACCAAGTTGGACCATCATCACCAGTTTTAAGCTTTTCTTTTGTTTTAAATTTTCGAGAAATTCTTCATCGTCTTTTCGGATTAGACTGACACGAATTCGGAAAGATGTTTTTGTGGGACTGGTTTACTGGCGTGCTGAAGGGCCTCGGCCTCATGAACAAATCTGGTAAGGAATTCTGTACTGGGATCGGCAACCTGTGTAGAAAACCTGACTCAGGTTCAGAACATCTGGGTCTTTTCAGCTTCGTTTTCTAAAAGCCGCTACGCTGCTTTTCATTTGAGCTCCTTAAAACCTGACTCAGGTTTTCTACCGAGGTTCCCGATATCTGATTCTGTAACTAAGTATGTGAAATGCTGTTTAGGAAAATTGATGTTCCTCGGACTCGACAACGCCGGTAAAACCACCTTGCTTCACATGTTGAAAGACGACCGCATGGGAATCCACGAGCCAACACTGCATCCTACTTCTGAAACGCTTTCCATGGGTCAGTTATCCAGCTTGAAGACATTCTAACGGCCTTGTTCTTTTCAAGATCTTTAAAATAGTCTTTAGGTGGAATGAAATTCACGACTTTCGATTTGGGCGGTCACGAGCAGGCCCGCCGAGTGTGGAAAGAATACTTCCCAGCCGTCGACGGAATCGTCTTCATGATCGACTGCGCCGACCAAGAACGTCTCTACGAATCCAAGGTTGGTCTTTCATCCCCTTTTTCTAGATTACACTTACCGCCCCCTAGCATTTGTGTTCAAGAACCCTTCAAGTCGTCCGTTCTTTTACCCTTTAATTTCAGGCTGAGTTGGACCAGCTTCTGACAGACGAGCAAGTGGCGAACGTTCCCGTCCTCATTCTTGGCAACAAAATCGACAAGCCGGGCGCTTGCTCCGAAGAACAGCTGCGACACTTTTTCCAAATGGCGACCACGGGGAAGAACGCGCCGAGAATAGACGAATTGAACACGCGCCCGATCGAGCTCTTCATGTGCTCGGTGCTGAAGAAGCAGGGCTACGGCGAGGGCTTCCGCTGGTTGGCCAACTACATCAACTAGAATGCTAGAATGAAAGAAAGAAAAACACACAACCGCCCTTACCCGCCCCAACAACTACAACTGCAAATATGAATTCCGCAATAATGAATACAAATACAAAGAAACCTTATGATTATATGATATCTGCTCTCCGACAATAACCGAAAAGATGAAAATAATGAAAGTTATAACCCGCTTCTTAAAAAAAACACCAACCAACAAGAAACAACACGGACGACCTTTTTCACTGCTTTACAAAAAATTCTGATCAATATTCAAACTTGAGAGTGAAAAGTTTTCACTTAATGACGAAAAACCTTTAACAAAAACTTAAAAATATAATAAACCTTTCAAAATAAACGTTTATCGTCAACTCGTCTTTTGATCGAAGTATTTACTAAATGCAAGTTATTAAAAAGGCTTTTCTAGTTAGTTTTTTTGTTTTTTAATTTTAAAATCTAGTCTATTCTTTTCGCAGTTTTTTGATAGTTCTTTACTTCTACGGGGAGATGTGTTTTACATGCAAATTTGTACTTGAAAATAGAAACTACGAATTCTCGGTTCTTCTGAAAATAATGCTCTCTAGAATTTCCGGGTAATGTAGTTCCTCGTATCTTCATGTTAGTTTGAAGGATTGAATTGAAGACATGATTGTGTGTAAATACATCTCTTTACTATTTTCGGTTCCGAGCAATTTTCTCATTCTCCAAATCTCTAACATACTCACACTTCCAGATCCGCATCTCTAGCCTCTACCCAGCCTCTACTCATTCTTATATTATCACAAAAAGTATCTTCAGCAAGAACAAAACTCAAACTAGACTATATAAATCTTCTTTTTTTTTCCATTTCGCGATGGCGAATTTAGGCTTATTTCAGTTGTCACCAACCTGGTTCCTAAATCTAAGTTTAGCTCGACTTCCACGATAATTTTCCCTTTTTTCCAGAGAAAATTTGCAGTTTTGATAGTTTCGAGCTAGTTATTTTTTTACTAATTCCCCTATTAAACTATTACCATGCTATAGTATCATTATCGTTTTACTCAATCGTGATTTGTCTATCAGTGCAATAGCAATTCTTTAATTCTGATTCTTTCGCCTTTAGTATATTTACTTCAGTTTCGGTATTCAAATGTCTGGCTTGATCGGACTTGGCGGATATGGATCGGACTCAGATTCGGACTCTGCTTCCGGAAGTCCTGGCTCAAGAACGAGAGCATCGTCGTCTGGAGAGATGGAAGTCGATGGAAAGGACGTGATTACAGTTGGCGACGGGGATGCCAGTATGGATGAAGAGGAGATTGTCAATGCCGATGCAGCGGCCGAATTTTCTTCGGAATTGAGAAGGATGAGCAGGTATTTAAATAAAATTTTAAGGCCCAATAGACACCGTCTCTTAGTGCTGGGCTTCCTATAAGCATCCAACTTCCTCCACCTCCAACTGGCAAAATTGACCAGAACTCGAAAGTCCAGTACTTCAAAATGTTAGACGGCTACAAGAAAGGAATGAACATCAACAAGCAAATCAAGAGTGCGAAATCCTACAGGAACCCTTCAATCTATTCCAAGCTCATCGACTACTTCAACATCAAAGAAGGCGGCTCCAACTTTCCAAAAGATGTCTTTGACCCGACAAAGCTTAAAAATGATACGAAGTTTCATTACAAGGTTTGAAATTTGATAAAATAATAATCTCGATATTTCAACTTCCAGGAATTGTCGAAACTTCAAAATCAGCTTGAGGAAAAACGCCAAAAAGAAGAGAAGCAAAGAATCCTTTTGGCGAGAGAGAAAGAAGCAGGTCCCGCGGTTGTCAGCTCAAGATCGAAAAATCACAATGGAAAGTCCATCCCCGCCGTCGGTATTCTTGCCAAGAAGACATCAAAGGCTGGTTTTGAACATTATTTACTTAGAAAGAGATTGCTTGGGAATTTATTTTTCAATACTGAAAGGCTCGTGAAACGCTCAAGAAAGAAATAGGCGAGGTGAAATTTGGAAAGAGCAAATTTATGAGTCCTGATTAGGGTTATTCAAGACTGTACTTCGTAGAGTTCTGGCTTACTTGAGTCTATAATCTACTAGCCTAATGTTTGAAAAATATAATCCAACATTAGATATCGACTAGCGATTCCAAAACCTTGCGACAGGATCGAAGATAGCCCCTACTCTGCCAAGTTACGTGATTTCTCCAGCTTTTTTCTTCTCAACTGTCTAGAATTTCCTGTTCATGTAAATAATAACAGACTGCCCTTGACCGATAAGCTTACCGTGTCCTACTTTTTATCCTTCTCCGCAGATATATCGAATTCGCAAATTACTAAATATAGAATCGTGTTATTTCAGAAATCGGATTAGAAAAAGAATGGCTAGTTATATCAACCCAAAGAAGCGAAAACGATGAGTGCAACTTTTACAGGCGAGTTTTTGATAGCGCTACGAAAAGCGCCTTCCAAGCGCACTCAGCAAGATATTCAAACATTACAGAAGACCTTCAAGGAATAGTTCATACACTTTATTAGAAAATATCTTCTTCTTTGGTTACATAGTTGTTGAACTTTGTGGTAGACGTTATCATCGCTAAAGTCTCGCCCGGATTCTGAATTGTTAAAATACTCGACGAAGGCGCGTTACGAATATTATCCTCCCAACTCTATTCTATTCAAAAAAGGTGACGAGTACACCTCCTGGTTCATCCTCCTATCCGGCGCGGTTTTCTCCACTGGTTCCGTTTTCTATCCACCTGCATGTTTCGGACAGGAGCCACCCGCTGGCGGCAGTTCGAAGCGTCCCTCCCAGTGCTACACAGTGGAGCCCTCGGAGTTGATCGTCATCGATACTGAGCGGGCGCGTAGAAAGTCATCGACGACGTCGGTGACGCCAACATTGAGTCCTAGCCGCCCTCATGTTCGAGTCAGAAGCTCGATTGCGTCTAATGACTCGCCATCTCACTCAGGAACGGGAATATTATCTTAAAAAATGTCAGCTTTTGAGCAAAATGTAACTCCCAAAAGTAGACTATTACTCCTACAATTTGAACTTCGAAGACAATGGCGACTCAGACGGAGAGGAAGGCTCACTTCCCAACTCGTTGCGCTCCTCTTGTCCGAGTCTGCTCATAAAAGATCAGGCGCTGGACGCGCTCGAGAAGCAAAAAGATGAGCGAACGGAGGAGGAAATTGACATGCTCCATGAGTTTTTGCAAGTGTTGCCGGCGTTCAACAACCTTACTGGACCGGTGAGGCGGGAGCTGTGCCGACACATGGTCTACGTCTCCGTAGAGGAGAAGGGACAGACAGTTCTAGGTAAGACAATTGCGGAGTTGCTTTTCTTTTGCCCGTGGGCTCGACTTTCTGACTGCCTATTTTTTCTAACGGCGTATTATGATTGTCTTTTCTAGGGGACGGAGAAGAGCTAGACTCGTGGGCTGTTCTGTTGTCCGGTAAAGTAGAGCTTCGTCATCTCGATGGGCGAAAAGAACTGCTTGAAGTTGGCAAGTCCTTCGGCGTCACACCTTCCCTTGAGAAACAGTATCATAGGGGAACTCTTGTTTCTCTTGAGCCGGACGCCCAATTCGTCTGCATCGAGCAAGCACAGTACTACGACATTCTTCACCGCGGCCGGGAGAATATGATCGACGTCCTTGATCAAGTCACTGGCGAAGTCTGTCTCGTGAAAGAAAAACGAATGGACGGTCCTGTTGCAATTCGTGGCACGCCAAAAGCGCTGTTGACCTATCTCCTCGAGCACGATTCCAAAGCGGACAAGTTCTTTATTGAGGACTTTTTGCTCATGTCGCGCATCTTTCTCCAGAGCCTCTCGCAAATTGGAGACACGCTATTACAGTGGTTCGAGCAGCCAAGCTACAGGCGAAACGTTACTCGCGTCGTCTCACTCTGGGTGAACGAGCATTTCTGCGATTTCGACACCAACCGAGAGCTGCTTACATTCCTCGAGAGCTTCGAGCGACGACTGGAAGAAGAAAATCTCCCTCAAGAGCGTGATCTGCTGCATTTGGTTTGCGAAAGCAAGCCTCGAGAGCGTGTAATCAAAATGGTGCGAAAAGATGTTGAAGGAGAGCTCTTCTTCAAAGTAATGGGGGGCGCAGAAAAGGGCTATCCTTTGTATGTAAGCTCTGTGGACGCTGGAAGCCCGGCGGACTCAGCCGGACTTAAACGAGGCGACATGATCCTGGCGATGAACGATCGAAACTTCGAAACGATGAGCTACGAGATCGCAATGAAAACGATGAAGCGGCATACGGACATGACATTTTCCGTGAGGACGAATCTGTTCGGTTTCAAGAAAATGGCGGCCGAGATCAAGCATCAAAAATCGACGCCAAAAATAATGAGTTCAGTCAAGGAGCCAAAAGTGAAGAAAACATCCAAGAGCCTCTCGAGCTGGAATATTTTTGGAACGAAGAAAAATCAAAAAGAAAAACCTTCCATTTTACCTAACCCGCCGAAATTCAACAAAAGCGCTCATGGCTCCATTGACTCGCGCGATCCTGAGGCTGATCAGGACTTTCAAGGTGCGTATATTAACTACACGGAAGATTTACTCTGGTGAATAGAGCTAGTTCTTATAAAGCACGCTCTTGTTGGTGATAATTGGTGACCATGTCTTCTAGGAAATCTATTTATGAAAATGCTTCTCCCGAAGGGTAAACAAAACAAAACCTGATTGATTTCTCGCTAGAAAGTCGCTCTCGGCTTATCATCGCTGCATATTATTATGCTTATCGTTACATATGAATTTTGACCACTAAAATCAAAAACTCTTGATTGATCTTGCATGCTTTTTCAATTATAAAAATACCAATCGAGTGTATTTTTGCCATGATGATGTCGATTTTGAATCAAGCGCAAAAAGCTACTTGATTAGGATTCGATTTAATTTTCTAAAAAAAATATAGAGCGAGCAGAAGAAAAGGTGATAACTGCAATTTAGATTTGCCGGACGTTGAGGCAATCAAAATCTTTCGCTCTGATCAAACATACAAGTACTTATCCATCACAAAAGAGACGACAGCTAAAGAAGGTATTTGATTCGTATACATTTTCGTTAATACTTAATTTCGCACATATAGTTGTTCGCATGGCACTCCGAGAATTCGGCTACGCAGAGGATGAAATACAAGGGCTCACATCAGACAATGAGCCACAGTACTCTCTCTCGAAAGTCTCCTGCCAGGTACAAAGCCTCGATAAGTCAAAGACGGCGTGATCGTCAATTTTAGGATGTTTCGATCAAGCAGTCGCGCTTCCCGGACCAAGTTGCCGATCTTTCATCAAAAATCAGCCTCAATGAGCGATACTACCTCAAAGCCCTCAAAGAAACTGCTCCACTTGGTAAGATTTCCGTTCATTATTTGTCGTTTTTTATGTTCCAATCGTCCTTATTCAACAAAACTCTATTTAATACGCTTTTAGTTCCGGATTACCTAGCCCCAGAATTGGTGAAAGAATCCCACATATCCTTCCTTGACCTATCGACCTACGAGCTCGCTTTTCAACTAACAATACGCGATTACAACATTTTCCGGAACGTACTACCTACCGACTACGTCAACGACATTTTTCATCGCATCGGCGGCCAGAAAGACCCCTCTCATATCAAGGTATAGCATCTTTTCTTTTCTGCTACTATCAATATTTTAAAGGAGATGAACAGCTTGGAAGCGCTGGTGAACGAGGAAATGTTTTGGGTGGTGCACGAAGTGCTCCAAGAAACCAATCTCCACCGCCGCGCCAACAGTCTCAAACAGTTCATTCAAACTTGCATTCACCTAAAAGAACTTAAAAACTACAATTCTCTCTTCGCAATCATTTCCGGGCTTGATCATACGGCCGTCGCGCGTCTCAAGCAAACCTGGACCGCTGTCAGTCCCAAAAATCGCAAGAAATTCGAAGAACTCAAGGTACAGTTAATTCCAAAAAAAAAAACAGACACTTACGATTTTAGGCCTTGATGGAACCTTCGCGTAACTTCTCAACCTATCGCTCGCTGAAGCAGAAGAACGAAGTTCCGCCCCTCATCCCTTTTGTACCTGTTGTCAAAAAGGACTTGACTTTCATCCATTTGGGAAACGATACCAAGGTTGAAGGCTTGATCAACTTTGAGAAGATGAGAGATTTTGCCCGCGAAATCCGCACTCTTCGAAAGTACTGCGAACCCATGGCATTTCACTCTAGTTACAGGTAAACCCTCTTAAATGTCATTAATATGAATTCTGAATGAATTCTTTAGTCAAAAGAACGACTCTGCTCTGAGTCAAGGAACGACGCTATCTCGCAAGACAAACCAGAGCAGGATGCTCAATCCAGAAAAGCTCTATAAAGAAAAAGCGGCCGAGCGAAAGGTCAAACAGTACTTGGAAGCTCACTGGTCAAAAATCATCAAGGATGAAGACTCTTTGATGGCTGTATCGAAAAATCTCGAGCCTCCCCCTGGTGCGTTCTGGGGATAACTTTTTGTTCTGACAATTTAATTAAAGCACCGGCATCTACAACGAGTTCACGAAAGTCTACTGGTGATAATTTATCCGTGAGCTCTTCACCAGGCATCTCAATCCGCCACAAGTCAGCGTTAAAGCAGCAACAACCGTCCTCGACGCATTCTAGAGGCAACAGCGAGCCAGTTCTTCTCAGCCCAATGATATCTGTGACCAAAGGGAACAACAGAAAAATGGTGCCAGTCACAGAGCTTCCTAAATTCGGTTCGTCTTATTACTTTCTTTCGAAATCGACGAGCTGTTTTCAGGCGCCGATAGCAGCCGCAACTACAATAAACTGATGTCCCTGGCTGAGCCCCCTGTCGGGACCAATGTGTCACGCTACGGCGGGGACAGACGGCGCTATCGCTCTGGACAGTCGGACTCTTCCGCCAATACCAATTCCACAAGCTACACCAATAACTCCGCGCCTGTAATTTCCTGTAAGTCCAAAGCATTCAGACACACTCCCATAACTCTTAACAATAAGCTCGAGTTGTTCTCGCTAAACCACCCCTGCCTCCCTCAAAAGAAACAAGCCACAAAGTCAAAAGTTCTGAAGCAAAACTTCGTGAAAGTTCATCGAAGCAAGGCTCGAGGCCAGTCTCGGAGCACATCAAGAGTCTGACCCTCTCGTCGAAAGAGCGAAAACGCCAGCGTTCTGTTGATCAGTCACGTGAAAGGTAACGCTCTAAAGTTATAATTGGTATGTAGAATTGTTCTAGTGACGTGACGCTTATCTCAACGAAGCCCTTGAGCGGCAGCAATCGCTCTAACCATCGTTCAACGCCCGATTTGTTCCAAGCTCCTATCAACCCCATTTACCAGCCGGCGCAGTCGCGCGATGCCACCTTTGTTACCAAAATCTGATTTCATACAGTCACCTTCCAGAGATTTCTCCGTAAAGCTGAAATTCAACAAGTTCTGGTAGCTGATTGTATTTATTTACGTCTACTAGTCTGTCTATGCTACACCATGATTCTAGTGCCCTTAGACGATTGGGTGCATCTCTGCTCCGTCATTTTTGAATGCTGCCAATTATCAAAGATATTGACCTCATGCGACCTCCTTAATTATTGCTCTATCCTCTGAACTAAACTATCATCTTCTTCCATATTCGAATCCGGAAGGCTCCGCCGTTGAAATCGTAGCAATATATTCACTTGGAACAAATTTACTATAAATGCTGTTCGCAAGTGAAATTAGTTCAGCGGCTACGATTTCATACGATAAGTTCATTGCCTTTCAACTTTTAATTTTTTTTTCTGTAAAACCCCAAAGACGATACTAATCTTATATTTGGGCCATTCGCTCGAATCTTCCACTTTCATTTCCTTGATTCTTCCTTGATTTCATTTTTAGATCAGCCCAAAGATGTCGGTTTTTGAATACGGACGAGTCCAGGAAGCATGGAAAGATAAGGACGGCATTGAGCGAACTGCGTCTGAGCTCCTTGAACCAGAACATATCGGCAACAAAGAGTACCTAATGAGAGTCGATATGCGAACAGACGCATTTATGAAAGGGAGAATTGCATTTGGACCGAAAGGAGTTAAGAAACCCGCGTCAGTTGGAGAAGACCAACTGGTGATCTTCTTTGAGCCTACAAGGAAAGCGTGATGCTTGCATTTACTTATCAACGTAGTTTTTTGACACAATCATCCCACAATCAGTTTTCTGGAGGCTATTATTGATGGAAATAAATTGAAGCTGTCCGGAAACAACATGGAAGCTCTCATTATTAAGCCAGGGCGGACGTACGCACTCAAAAACCCAGCGAAAGAGATCAAGTATTTCGGAATGGCTCCATAACTCGTAGTAATTTAAACTAGACATTATGTTGAAAAGCCTCAAAGACTTCACTTTGCTGAATGGTCCCTTTGGCGATATCAATGAAGAGTCAAACGGGGAAATCTCCCTTACCGAACATACAGAATACGATCCTGAAGCTACCGAAGAAGCCACCCAAGGGTTTCTTGAGAGCTTATTTTCAACACTGTATCTTCTTTTTTAGTTATACTTTGATGACAACCGATGGATCTGAGAAAACTGGTGTAACAGAAGGAACTACGCGTGTCTCTTCCGACGAATTTTCTGAAGAAGAATGAGATCCATTCGAATATTAGAAAAATGCACATCACCAGCTGCATTTATCGACAAGCTGCCACTTACCCCATTCCACCATATTCGTTCCATGTATCATAAATTTGGTTATAAACTTGTCACATTTTTGAAAATTTGTTGCTTATGTCTGTTTCCATTAGAGTGGAGCGGAAAGTATGGCAGAAGAAGTGGATAATCCGACGCCGCTTAAATTCGGTGCGGACAAGCGTTTTCGCGAGGCCATTACAGAAATGGCGCTTTCGCCCAGGCACGATTTGATTGCTCTCGCCACTGAGGGCTCGCAGGTGCTTCTCCATCGCTATGAAAAGTTGGAGCGTGTTTGGGTCTTCGAAAAGATCGCTAGTTTCGACGAAAACAAAATCTCCGCCCTTTGCTGGCGAGATGATGGTCACGTCCTCGCTGTAGCGTACTGGATTGATGGCAGTGATGGCTTTTACAAACTTCTGGATGTTCGTACAGGTTCCTTTTCTGACAATCACGGATAAGATTCAAACTCGTTTCAGGTCAGAGCCGCCCAATAGACACTTTTCCGGACTTCGACTTGACAATTCCAAGTCCGTGCATTTCGATGCACTGGTCCTTCTCCTCCCACGAATGCAAAATCGACGAACGAGTGCGATTCTTTGGTCGCCTTCCGGACATATCAAAAAATGTTCGCGAGCCGAACATAGAAACGCTTGTAACGAGGAACACGAGCATTCTTGTGATGGTACTCAAAGACGAAACGGTTCAAGGTTTTGGATTCGGAATTGTGCCGATTTTCTCGTTGAAATTCGATTTTTTCCCAACAGAGGCTTACCTCAAGCGGGATTTCTCGGAGATGATTATCATATCTTCGCCAGATGGAAGAAAATTAGACCAAAAAGTGGTCAAAATGAACGCGCTAAAAGAAAATATGAGAGTCATCCACAGGTGGAAATTTAATAAATAATGAATTGGGTTGAGCTGCGTCTTAAGATACTGCACCTATGTGTGTGCAGTAGAACTAACCATCATCTACTTGCAATTGTGCATGGAAGAAATGCGAAATACGTGGAACCACGGGCTGGGCCCACTAACTCATCACATCCCGCATGAAATGAGCAATCATTTCATAATGTTTTATCTTTGGGGAATAAAAAGCACCAAGTTGATTGCCTTCCTCAAAAATTATCTTCCGTTGGAGCCCTACAAGAAAGTGTGTGCCGATATGGCGAACAAGTATGTCCAGCTTCAGAAATTGTCGATGGTGAATTTTATGCAGGCTGCAGATAAGCTCTATGGGCTCATCCATACGGTGTCCTCTTTGTGTCGGCTTCCAAAGGTTACTTCGTCCCTTTTTGGATTACTATTTTAAATGAAATATAGTTATTCGAACTGCTCGCTCCTGACCATGTGCTGATTAACTTTGAGTACATTGAAACTCGCGCTGCTGAACTCATCTTGAAGAACACTATGTTTCTTCGTGAAATGGACGATCTCTTCCGCTGCGCTGTGGCGTTTTCCTCCTGGATAATCGTTCAGTACGAGAGGCTCGATCCGCCAGAATCAGGAGAACTGTCCGAAGATAACGAACACGACCAAGATGAGGAGCTCATTATGAGGTAGCAAAAGTACTATTGTCAATTGCATCAGGGTTTATTGCAGATTCCTGCAAGTGTATGTCGCTTCGAAAAGAGACAACATCATGGAATATCTCAACTCAGAGCCGATGCATCCCAACGAGCATGCAAAAAGATGGGGAATCTGCCTGGAGCGAGTTTATCGAAAAACATGGCTTCACACAGCACTTAATCCAGAAAGATGATCCACAAGTGTCGCTTAAAACGGCTCTCGATTATGTCCGTCGTCTATTTGTGGTGAGTGTTTGGGAAATCGAAATTGGACTTTATTTTTAATTCGTCCCTAGAAATACTGTTTCCGCGAAGACGACGACTCATTTGGTTGTCCGAAGAGCAAATTATCGGATGAACTGGAATCTTCCATTGGCGATTTGCAACAGTTCGTTACGCACGATGATGCGCCAATGGTATTTGTGAGTTTGAAAGAAGCAAACTGGACATAGTAAGACCGGACTAAAGGGTTCCTTAATGATTTTATTTTTCAGTCCTGTTTGCTGCACTCTTACACAGACGCACCTCAATATTCTCCGTTACGACGACATGTGGCCGAGTGATCTTGGTGAGGAGGAAGAAGGACGTCATATAGCAGAGGTGTACCGGCTCAATTCAGAATATCGTGTGCTTGATTTTGCTTTATTTCTTTATCATGTGCGGGACCAAGTTGCAGAAGGGTTTGCACTAGAAGTTTCCGTCGAGGACGAAACGCAGCAACGCCTCACACACTACGAGTTCTCCTACGACGAGCGAGACGAACCTCCTCACGTGAAGTCCTTCATTTCTCTTCACAACCACAACTTCTCCTCGCTCGAGCTCAGCGTGCGCCGGAGTCTCATCGCTCTTCACAGTGCTGAGTCCAACATCGTCAACGTCTATCAGCTAAAGGACGACGGACAGATCCTCGTGAAGAAGTAACTTAATCTATTCCACAGAAACTTACTGCACTGCCCTGTATGTACCACTCTGCCCTGACAGGACTCACCTGAAAATGAAATTTGATTGCTCTTTCTTTAGAATGCAAATAATCGCATTGCTGATATTTTTAATCAGCTCGGTCGAATCAGAATCGAGCGAGTTCTGCGATGATGGAGTCACAGACGCGGAGCAAGATCTTCCCGAAAATTGCAGGACTCCTGATAGTTGGAAAACCTGTCCGGAGTGGCACTGTGATGTGAAATGGCCGATACAGAACCAAACCGAGCTTCTGTATATAAAACCTCAAGGTAAAGCTCAATTAATGACCACCTTTCTAAGCGCACTTTTTAAAGAAATGGACACGGGCGGCCACGTTTGTAGAACCGACGAGCGAGAAAATTTTTATCCAAAGTCAGGCTATCCGAACGGGATTCCAGTCTCTGGCCATCACACGCCAAAATGGCCGAAATACGGCGAATACTACTGGGTTCCTCCGCTTCGATATGTTCATGCTCTCGAGCATGGTGCGATTGTATTCATGTACCATCCTTGCACAGACGAGCAGCAAGTGCGACGTCTTCGAAAAATCGCCACAAGTTGCTTGTGGAAACATCTTTTTTTCTCGTTCAAAGGTGATTAACATAAGCGAAAGCAATTGCTATCTTTCTAAACTAGGCGATTTAAATGGCACTTATCCGATGGCTGCCGTAGCATGGGGAAATCTGGTGAAGATTCCGCAGATCAACGACAGCAACTCCGCCGCCATCAAGATCTGGATCAAAGAACACGCAAAAGTTGGCGGAAACAATGAAGGTCGCGTCTTTGGGAATGGCGCATACAGCCTCGCTTTGGTGAAAGAAGCTGGAATAGTAACCGTCGAAGAGGACTCGGAAATCTGCCCAGAAACAATTGATGATCAGGCAGAGACAGTTAAGAAGGCTTTGGAGATTTTGAAAAACAACGAGACTCCGCTCGAAGAAATTCACAAAATGATCCAGGTTCCTGAAGCGCCAATCGAAGTCTCCAACATTACCGACATCCTCGAGAATAGCGCCCCGATCGTTGAAACAAGTGCCAGCTCAACGGAAGCGACAGTGCAAGAGACAAGCTCCTCTCAGTCAGTTTTTGAAGCGCCGGAAAATGCTCCTGAACCAAGTGTCATCTATCCAACAAAAGTTAAAAGTGGCGAAACGCAGCCACCGTTGACTCAGCTGACTGATAATGACATGGGCGAATATGCACAAACTGAAGATGAATACTCCGAAGAGAAGAATGCCGAAGAAACGTCATTTCCGGAAATCGGCACTGAAGGAGCCTTTAGCACAGTAAACGACGATTTTACGACGACAGTTGACCCTTCCAGGCAAGGAAAAGATCTCATCTTTCAAGTGCTTATTCAATTTTAGAGTCACGAAGAAAGAATCGCTGCAGGACGAAGTAAATCAAAGTGGTGAGCCGCTGTGGGCTTTTACGTCCTTGTTAATCTTAGTAATCGGTGAGTACAATTTATTTGCCTCTGATAGTTTTACTTGTTCGTTTCTTATCAGGGCTGGCCGTGGCGATCCGGCGATCGAAAATGCTCAATCGCAAGAGTCCGCGAAAGGCGTACCACAACGTCCAAGACAGCTGGTCGGACGACGAAGGGACCATCTCTGTCGGAAGTGAGTTCTATTAAACTATACATCCAGTTGAGCGTCTTTTCTTAGCGCTGGTGCGCGGTTTCCGGCGCAAATCAAAAGACGAGCAGTCGTACTCCCTTCTCCAGACTCGCCAAGACGAACCCTGATCAGATGCGTCTTCCTGCCAAGCAAAAATCAATTCGTTACTCAACGTACTCTTCTTCTTCTGTAACTTCAAAGATAAACCTAATCGCAAAGACAATCAAAGAAAACCAAATCACAAACTCGCAAAATGACAAAAACTCCGCTAATCCAAGCAAATGCCAATCAAAGATCTCGCAAGAGAAGTTCTCTGTAAAACTACGACTGTAAATTATATTTATCCAACTTGTGCAATATTCATCTTTTCTTCTTCTTGTTCAAAATCCGACAATTCCGCTTCACATTTACTAAATATATTAAATAATATATTATTTCGAAAAAAAAATGTGCAAAATCATTTCTCGCAGAATGCTGAAGATCCGCGGATCGACGGTGAAGCAGTGCATTCGCTGTAAGGGCAACTCGGAATCGGCGAATCGCTTCTTCAAGCGCATGAACCAGCAGTACAACCAGTCCATCGAGCAATCGATCAACCCGGCGCTCGAAAACTATTACAAGCGGCCAGACATACTGCCCCATTTGCTGCCCCCGGGATCGAAAAAGATCAACGACCCCGTCGACTTGTACAATGCCAGATTGGAGAGCGACTACTCAAATCAAAGGTAAAACACTCAGACCGTCCAAGAATAATCAGAAGCGGCAGTATCGCCTCTGTGAAGGCGAAAATGGCGCAAGAGCCGATCAACGAGCACTACAACATGTCAATGTGGGAGTTTCAAAAACGCCCCTGGAAAACGTACGGTCCTCGGAACACTGCTTACCACGAAACGCTCATTATTCAAGTAGAATTCGCCTGGAATAACATCAGATTTCGTTGTATGGATCCAAACTGGCAGAAATACTATGAAGGTAAAGCAAAAGTGGCGAGTTTTTAATTTGAATCAAAAAAGGTCACGACGAGAACGATCTCGGAGATGTCAGATGGCAAGAGCACTTCCCAGAAAAGACAAATTCATTTTTTACCAAACTCGGGCCTTATGGCAGCCAGGTGCTTTATTCGGACATGGTAAGAGTCCTCCGGAAGTTCTGTCGAATTTTCCACTGTTTCCAAGCCTTGACTATCGATAATGATCGATGTTGACTTTAATTTCTAGCGCGTTCAAGGATTCCAGGGCTCCGCATCGCGAGTTGAAGCAAACGTAGAATATGTTGCTGGCAAGTTTGGCGACGAAATCGTTAATCGAGGGTGGGACCCTTACGCAAGGTAAAACTTTTATCTCAAATCTGACTCGGTCGACTCGAAAGTCGCCATCGTGGAAAACACATGGACGGCCGTTCATTCGTTCATTTTATTTTTCGCGCAAAGAGATTTTTAGAAAAAAATACGAGGCTTTTAGGTTGGTTTTGGACTTTTGGGGAAAGAACAAGGGTTTGAGAAGTACTGTGATAAAGGGTATTCTATCCTCGGGGGTGAGGATAGTCTCTTTTACAGAATCTACAGCAGATGCTGAAATTGTCAAGGAAAGTGTTTCTGAAACCAGTTCAAATAATTGAAAGAAAGTTTAGCGTTTAGAAAAGATTTTTTGGAAACATGAAAAAGCCAAAATATAAACAAAAGTATACTGCCGTTCATCCTGACAACTCGGGCATGTGGCATAGATTCTGGCGCATGAAGGATGCAGAAGCAGCTGGAAAAGACTTTGACGAACCTGAGGAATAATATTCAAAGAAAAACTTCATTGCTTGACAAGCTCTTATCCATTTATAATTTAGAATGAATCTCGGATCGGAAAATCGCCCCGTGCTCGGAGTTCGAAGGCCTGCCAAGGACCTTCAGCGCAAAATGGAGTCGCTAAATGTCAACAAGGTAACGAACGAAAAAGGAGTGTGGTTTATCGAAATCTCATTCCCTCTATAAGCTTCATCTCTTTATTATAGGCGTCAGAAGCGGTGACTACAGCTCCCGCGGAAAAAGAAACGAAAGGAGGGCTTACTGAAGCCGAAATTCTGGAAGAAGCAGTTTGCCAGAACCCAGACGCATTCGATCCTTCAAGTTGCAATCCTGGCGACGACCTAGTCGACGCCTTCCAATCCTACACCTCGAAGTAAGAACGACTTCTGCTTTCTTTTGCTAACAAATCTTCTTTAGAAAAATTTTCGGGACTTTGGATGATAAAACATCTGGCACAAACTTCATGCCGTTTCCGTGGATGGATAGAAACAACAAGCGGAGCGCCTTTGAAGACCTCGACCATTCATTTTTCGACCATAGTTCGTCTTCCAACCAGTCCATGTCTCCGCCATCCCACTATGACAGCAGCTTCGACCTGGACGCTCTCGATCTCTAAAAAGAACACCAACTACTGTCAGCTGCATTCATGAGCAAACACCAGGTCAAACGTATCTCAGAACCGCCAATTCCATGTTCACAAGTTGTGAATCATAGTGAATAACAACTTTCAACCTTTTCAAAATTCGAATTTCTAAACTTCACGATCATTCTAGCTTTTTATATAGGATCCCAAACGAACTGTTTTGTTCTTCAAAAATTTACACCGTGACTATAGCATATTTTCTCAAATCATCTTTCTTTTTTCTTTGTTTTCTCACCGCCATTTTCTGCGCAAATGTTTTTGAAATACGTGTTTTATACTACTCACACGAAGCATCATCATTTCACCATTCCGTCCTATTATAGCTATAATAGAACCCAATACTCTTTTGAATTTTAATCTTAACCGTCTTGAAATCATTAGAATGGATGAAGAGGTGATCGAAATTCACACACTCTCGGAATTCGAAGGGCTGGATGAGAAAACCGAGTCGACGGACGAGGAGTCGATGATCAAAGTCATGGCGAAGTCGCGTCTTCCAAGCGAAGACTCTGGAATCGGCATCAACGATGGCGATAACGCGAGTTCTGGAAAAGTTTTATACCCTACTACTCCGAACATGGCTTTGGTTCGACTAGAACTCAATGGCCGCGATGGTTCTGGTATTTATATAGGTTTTGCTTTGGCATGTCTAACACTCGTTTCATGTGAAAGCCGGCCTTCAATGAAATGTTTTTTTTCGTGGTATTATATCCTGAATATAATGCTACTCCTCAATCAAAGTAAGACTCATAATGACCTGATAAATTCAGACAATAAAGCAGTCTGGGAGAACACAGGACTCGTGCCAAAGTACTACAAGCCCTACTCACTCATCGAAACAGACGGCCAGTCAAGTCAAGAAAATGGGCCAGTCTACAAGTGTCACTTTTGCCACATGCATTACAAAGGTAACTCTTCAAGATCGTCCTGGCTTGCTTATAATTGTCGCCTTAATAGGTCACAATTCCATCGTTTATCACGCCCGTCGTCATGTAGGCGATTATCCGTATAAATGTGGAGAACCCGGTTGCAATTTTCACGAGGTAAATAAATTTAAAAAATCTAAAAAGCTTTTTTAATAAAAAATAGGTCTGCAAATCGGGTCTAAGCTCCCACACTCGTCGCACAGGGCACCGCGCTCAAATAAGAATAGAAGGACCAGAACGCGAGGCAGCACCGGCGAGGACGGTAACTCCGGTCTCCAAGGTGGAGAAGATGCCCGACCCGGACCAATTTGCATCGAACTTGATCAAGGAACGAACCCAAAATGCAATCGGCAAACAATTTCTTCCCGAAAGTCAGAAGAAGTTCTTTCTTTCTGAAAGACTTCAGAAACACGAATCGATGCCACCCTTTTGCGAGGACTTCAGAAACTTCAAACCGATTCGCCACTCTTCACTAGTACCGGTAACATTTCATTCTAGTGCCAATTTTAACTATCATTTTTCAGTCAGTTCCAGAGAGCCAGCGGGCAAAAGTCTACGAAGAAGCGACAGGAATGATTCCCAAGTATATGAAGCCCTTCAGGATCCTGCCAGTGACGGAGAACAAGGTGGTGTACAAGTGTGATCGCTGCGGAAGCAACTACACCAGCTACGACGACATCGTCTCGCACGCTCGTCGCCACTACGGCGATCATCCTTATCGCTGCATCACTTGTGGATTCGCCGGCGTCTGCAGAAGCGCCTTGGAGATGCACATGTTCGAGAAAGACCATCCGAAGGCAATCTTTCTGAAGCATTCTAACGTCCATGAGTTCATCCTCAAGCCGAAACAAAAGCCAGACAATGCCACTGAAAAACGCTCACGAGTGAGCTCGCCTTCTCCGCAAATCACCCCGCGCTTCATGCAGACTCAGTCAAATGGGGACCCGATTAAGGACGATCCTGCTCTACGACTTCAGTACGCTCGGGCGATGCAAGCTCAGGCCAAAGTTGCATCCGAGTCGGGCTGGAACAGTACTCCTATTAAAGATCCGATGGCTTCAAGTCTAGATATGTCCAATTACTTCTTGGCAAATGGATTCCCTTGGTTCGCGTCCTATCCCTTCCCGCCCTCCGTCAATCAGACTGGTCAGCCTCTTGCGACTTCGGCCCCACCTAAGAAACCTCAGCAGCCACCTAAAGCCTCAAAGAAAGCAAAGGCCCAAGAAGATACGCTAAAGAGAACGCCCAGATCATCTCCAGCGCCCGTTGCAGATTCAGACGTCCCCAAGAAAGTGCCCAAACCGCCAATGAGCCCATTGACGATCAAAAAAGAAACGCTAGAACTTCCAAAAACGCCTGAACCTTCAAGAGAAAAACTTTTGATTGTTCCAAAAAGTAAGTCTTCTTTGTCGAGTATCTTTTGATGAAAAAATTAAAGATGGCGTGAAGAGGAAAGCCGAGGAAGAACAAGCGCCTGATCTGACGATAAAAATGGTGCCAGAAATTCCCGACTACGAGCACCTGATCTGGCTCGCCGAGAAAGTTCAAGCGCGGAACGATTTGCTCACGCACAACTGGGACTTTTGCTCCACTTGCAAGTCTGCCTTTTACAACACTGATCTGTACATGTCACACTTTGCCTCTTCTCCCGAATGCCGCCCTCCAAAATAAAAAAAAAGACAACCCGCACCCTCACCCATGAACCAAACAACCAACAACTCACCAATTTTTTCATCACATGTTTCTAAGTTCAATTAAAAAAAGACCTAAAAGCTAAAAAAATCTCAAGTACCTCAACGAGTGTCTCTTCTTCTGTTTGTCATTTCACGCCTTATCGCCTTATTAAAAATTCTTATCATTGCTGTTTTTTCTATAAGCAAATATCTGCTTATATTTTTTATTATTTAATTAATGAAACAAACAAGGTTGCAGAAACATTTCTTCAAGTATCAATCAGGGATATTTCTTTCTTTGAGTCGATTTTCAGAAAGAAATAATTGTATATAAAATATTGATAAATTTTCATTCGTGTATATTTAAATTTAAATTTAATGTGTTCTTTAACGACTACACTTTATAAAACAGCTCTGCAAGTCGTGAATCAGAATTATTAGTTAAAATCACCATTTGTTCAATCCAAACTGCCAAAGATGACATTTTTCGTGAATTAAAAATGATCGTACATTTTCTCTTCTTGACGCTTATCACATTTAATTTTCAAACCAGTGCACTATCAAAAAAAAATGAACAAACAAAAAACTGCTGCTCAATTCTCGTTTTTGCTTAAAAAAAAAAGACAACTGTCCACAATAAAAAGAAAACTTCGAAAAACTCATTGAAATTTAATTTAAACAAGCTTTATTTGAACATTTCTAAGCGGTCATTTACGTTTTTCTTGGACTGGTTTTTTTATTCTCGCTCGATTAAAAATTGATTTGTTTTCGGTTCAGATGGGGGAATAAAATGATCCCAGAATATCGCAGTGAATGCTCGGTTTCACTGCTTCAGCGAAACGACTGTCCAAGAAATGGGAACAAAGGTTAGTTCTGCTCCCTTTTTTGAGGAGAGTGTGAGAGCGCAGGTTCAGGTTTCGTCGAAGTGGCGTCGTGGAACGACTGGGTGGTGGCGGCGCCGACTGAAAAGACCCTCTTCCTGATCCACCGCGAAAACAAGCGCCTGAATACGGTGCATCTCGACCTGCACGAGATCCTGCCATCGACGACAAACGTCGCCAAACGAAAAATACTCGATTTGGCGATTTATTATTCCGAAAAGAAAGAGGAAGTTTCCATCTACATCTACGTCATGCTGGAGCAGGCGGAGAAGAAGTTTTCGATTTACGAAATTAAATTCCTACGCACCAAGAGCATTGACGATATCAAAAATGGATCAGCAGAGAGACGATCGCAGCTTTTACTTGACCCGCCAGGTTAGTTTTTCTCCCTTGCAAAAATTAACTCATTGGGCGCGAGCCTGGCCCTGTGCGTTGGCAACCGCGTGGCGTTTTAAAACGCCACGTAGTTTTTCTCGATTTTGAAGCCTTTCTTAATTAATTTCTCTTACTTTTAAAGAATCGATTGATAGAAAATCGTTCGGGCTATCCATTGATGCCAATTTTATGTTTTATCTCCGTCGGAAATAACTGTAAATAGCCACTGAAGATTGACCAAAAAACAGGAAGGCGCCGCGCGCTCTCCCTCTGTTTTCCCTTTTTGAAGGGAAAAGCGCGTGAGTAACGCCTATTTTGGCCGAGTCAGACTTTTTCTTTTCGATTTTAGAACAAGTTCTTCTCGTAAAAAATATATTTTTAAATGATCAGTTTGTAGAAAAATGTCCGAACTTTTCAAAAAAATAAGAATTTTATCTATCCGTCGGGAAATTTTAAGAGAAATGCCGCGCCAAAGTCCTCGTGGCGTTTAAAAACGCCACGTGCGCCCAAAGGGTTAAGGATAAAAAAGGCAGATCCTCCTTGGAGCTTGACCGACTTACAGGAGTTAGAATGCCTCTAAATCAGTAAATTGAGATTTTCTCCCGTTAAAATGTTAAATTTATAAAACAATCAGTTCAGTGAATGCCGAAAGTCAAGCCACTCCGTCAAAATCCAAGCTCTCCAAGTTTCAACTGGGTTTCGACCGGAACCCCTTCACGAAAGGAAATGACGAGCCCCGGCCAGTGCGCATTTATATCTATGGAATCCTCGGGCAGAAGGGGCGCATCTTCTGCTACGATTTGGACAAGAGCACCAGCGCGCGAAACAACTCTGCTCGCAAAGTGATGACCTTCGAGACGAACCAGGTTCCCCTCTGCTTTGAAGCGGGCAATACGGAAGTGACGAAAGAAAATCCGATCGAACGAGGCAAACTTGCGGTCGTCATCCGGCAAGGAAACGCTGGCAACCTAGGCGATCCAAATATCAAAATCAAAGAAGACGTCTCCAAGAATTCCACGACACCCAACAACGGAAAGCGCGAAGTCAAAATTCCTGGCATTTACAAATGTCCCGGTAACTGCGGTTCTTTTCGACAAGTTATTTAAATTTGTTTTAGAGTTGATACGATGGCATCCGCACAAAGACTGGTTATGTGTAGTTTCTGTGAAAGACAACACTTACGCTCCAGTTGGCCGGCAAGTCTGCCTTTTTGACTTGGCAGAAAGCAGGAATCCGAAGTCTGATCGTTCAAAGAGATCCAAAGCACGCTACGAATTCCAACTTGATTCTTCCGGCCAAGTCTTTGTTTCTTGGAGGCCGTGTTCTTCCTGCGATCCCAACGCACACACCTACAATCCATTTCAATTTCTGTATTACACCTCCAGTGAAGAGGCGACCCCCGTCTACCTCATGGACTTTCGTCGTGCTTCTGTTCCTATAGGGGTTTTCAAAGCTCAAGGTTCGGTTTCAGCGTTGATTTAGCTCTTCACTTTTTCGCGGGTATTTTACTGAAAATAACTTGTTGTGCGATTCCAGACGGTCGAATTGATAAAGACCGTCTGGGACCAATGATAACATAAGCCCTATCCATCCTCAGGCTAAGTGATAATTTAGGAGAGTCTATCCGCTGTATTTCCGTAAACCAAAACGGGCGGGGAATGTACGCCGCTACGATTGAAGGGAAAGTCCATTACTTCGCGTTCAAAGCAAATGATGTTCTCTACTCAAGCGTGGAGGACAAGCTGCCAAAGAGGGCAATCGCGATCGCTCCCAGTGGAGAGATAATTCAATCTGTTAGGAAAGAGTTTTTTAAATTTTAGAAATCATCTTTCCTTTTTTAATTATCGAAGTCATGTAAAACTCGACCAGTATTAACAAGACCGCCGGGAAGCGGAGCTCACATGAGCTGATCCCCACCCAGAGTTTATCGTTCGAGCACCCGCGCAGCTACTATCACAAGCGCCAGTCTAGCATGAACGGCTTGGACGATATGCGCTCCAGTGTATCGTCGACAAATTCAGACTTGGGGTAAGGCTGTCACACACTGAGCGCCACTAACACCTTGTTTTCTCAATAAAAGAAGCTACAGCTACGAGAGCGACTTAATACATGAACGGTCGAGCTTGAAAACGAGCAAGAACAGAGAAGATTTTCCTAAAATTGGTGACAGGTCAGTCTTCCTTGATTGCTACTGCAAATATAAAATATTAATTTTCAGCGCTGCTGGATTCGTTCAAGACCGAACATTCAGTGTTATCTATTCACCCCCTAGGCCAAGCGCCTTTGCTGAGTTCGCCGAGCTCATGCGCATTCCAGAAGGAGAGAGTCCCGCTGTCCAGGCTCGTCAGATTGCCGAGCTTGCAACGGAACTAGGCGTGATGAATCAAGACTTCTATGTTCGTCTTGCTGATTTCCTCGAAGATGTTCCCTTGTCCAGGATAGAAGAGATCCCTGCGGATCTAGCTCCAGCTGCTCCCAACGAGTCACTCGATAATGTCAGTGGCGAGCTTTCTGACGAGTCCGACGCTTTTTCGGAAACAAACGAGGAGCAAGAACTCGGGACGATGGTCTACAATGATCCGCCTCCACCCATCTACACGCAGAATTCTGATGCTAAATCTCAAATCTCGAGCTCATCCATAACAAGGAGGGAGATTCCAAGCGAAGATTCCGAAGCAGTGGTACCTAATATATTCATCAATTCTATCTATTACCCGGATATATATATATATATACGTTGAGATCAAAGATAAATATCTGCTCCACTAGAATACTGATATAGAAGAAGAAGAGCCCAAAAAACGTAAACAACGCTGCTCCCCAGCTAGAGATATAAAGCCACGAACATGCCTAATGGTTATCGACTGTAAATCCCTGGTTCAACAAGCTGAACTGAAAACTGAAGGTAATCGACTGATACAAGTGAAAGAAGCGTGTATTCTCCTTTGTAGACTTGGTCTTTCGTCTCTTCGCTCAGGAAGTCGCCAATATTCAAACCTTCGAATGCATTCAGGCTGCTGTAGTAGCCGTGTGCGTTTTGGGCGAAAAAATCGTCAAAATTCTTGAATCGGAAGGCGTCCCTTGCGACCTCATTGAAAGCTGGTTCCTAGAATACTTCGACTACTTGTCTAGTCGTTCTCTTTTCATTCAAAAAACTTTGATTTCTCGCAGATGTCCGATCGCTAATATCCGCGAGATGCTTTATAAGGTAAGTTTTGAAGTGATTAAGTTTTAGGAAAATCAAATCGAATTTTATTCTCATCATTTTGAATGATCTTTGATTTGATTGAATAATTGAATCGTTGAAGTCACGATTCACTGATTAACCATTTCTTTTAGATGACCTTAGAGAACTTAGATGAACATATTATGTTAATGTTGATGGAATTGAGTAGTTTGATGGTAGTATAAAAACGATAATTTATCATCCATTTATCTCCCCATTTTTCATTTATTTCTTATAACACTGCTCTTTGCTACGCGAATGCTGCTTCCGCTCGCGCTTCTTTTCTTCACTGCACGCGCCTTTATGCCCTTCCCTGCGAGATAACGAGCAAAAATAACATCGTTTTCAGCCAGCTGATGACAGTGGCCTCGAGACAATGCATTCTGGCCCTTCGTACAGAGTGACGTATCCCCTCGGCTGTGGCCACTGTAGGATGCAGCAAACTAACGAGCCTGGCGTGGCCACGAGCTGCGAAAAGTGCAAGCGTTTCATAATTTGCGACGTCTGCAAATTGCCCTGTTCCGACTCTCTCAGGTGCACTTTCCTTCTTCGTCAACTTTCAAGGCCCGTTTTCAGTCAATTCTGCCGCCTCTGCCGTCATGGGGGCCATGTCGAGCATTACGAAGCTTGGGAAGCTGAAAACTCGCGCTGCATGGTCGCTGGCTGCGAATGCGTCGGTCATTAATTATTCAAAATTGATAATGCCAAAAACTATTTTTTTCTATATATTTTCTACTATTCATGCCTTTGATTCTTCAATTTATTTTCAACCGCAACAGTTGATTCTATTCACCCCAAAAAACACTGCCGCTTTGCTTCACTCTCGCTATAATCAAGATTCAACTTCGTTCAACTTCCAGGACTTGAATTTGAGACCGTTCAGATTTTCGAAAAGTATGTCCCGCGCTGTTGGTGTTTCCCGTGTTCTCTCAAGACGATTCTTGACGTACGAGACGACCAAGACCCACAAGGATCACTCCGCCACTCGAAAGTTCCTCCTCAACAAATGTAATTATCACAAACCTAGTTCCAATCTTCCCATTGAATTTTATAGTATTCGGCCAGGGAAAACTATCTGAGAAGCAATACTTCGCCAACGAGTACAAAAGAAGCTGCATGTGGTCGACTGGTCTTTGGCTCTTGTGGTCGATGTGGATCTTTAACGATAAGTGGGATTCCGTTTCTTTCCTGGTGAAGTCGAACAAGACTCCCCAGGTAAGACAAGACATGTATCAGCAGCTGACAGACATACACTTTGTTTTGGATTAAATGCAAAATTCGTTTTATGTGCCAGTGGGATAAGAAAAGAAGTTTAACTGCAAAATTTTAATTATATCTATCTGAAACCAACCATGAATTTTTATTGTTTATGCTTGACAAAATATCTTAACAAGGCATCTTGCAATTTAAAAATGAGCAGAAACCGCGTGTTCTTTCCATTTTCGTAAAAAAGAGAGAACGAGCTTTTTTCTAGTTAGTTACTTTATTGTGACTTTGTTGTTTCACTTGATTAAAAAGCGATTCAGATGTATCCCGCTGTTCCTGTGAAAGAGTTGCACTGGACCCCATTCGGCTGGGGCTTCTGGGGCTAAACGAGAAGACTCTCAGACTCTCCTGTATCTCAGATATCTGTTAAACGAATTATTTATTCCTATTGAACAACCACAAGAAAAAACGCATAAGAGTTCATTTTCAACGGTCCCTTGAGTTTTGTTCTTCAGAACGGAAACTCGGACGCTTCAATAGAGACCGCAAAAATGGTGATTCGAAATCGGAATCCGCACCGTAATCGCCCGACACGACCTGTTATGGCGCGGAACGGGCGCAACTACCAAAACGGCAACACAAGCTCAACTAGGATCGGATTCAGAAACAAACGATCAAACCTTTATTAATGCCTCTTTCTTCGACAATTTCTGAATCTCCCGTTAGTCATACAACATCTTGGCTTTGGGTTTTCTTTGTCTGGGCGTTTATGTCAGCGCTGGACATTTTCCTAACCTTCAGGATCGAATACTTCTATCCTGTTTTTCTAGCTATTCAAGAAACTCATTATTTATGGAAAACTTCTACGCTGTCAAGGTAAAACAAAATTATCGCATTGCAGGCTATAAATTTGATAATTTCAGTCTTTTCTTCCTCGTCGTCAATATCTCTGCAGATATAACGATATTTTCATTATGGAAAAGCGACAATTTATTTATTTTTGCAGGATTCCTAGTCTGGCTCAATGTAAGTAGAAAATCCTCTTTGCTGCTTCTTAAGAGATTGTTTAGGTGATCTTTAGCGGGCTAGAAATTAAATCGCCGACGCTTTACACAGCCTTTGGTAGTATAGTAATCGTTCTGCTCGACTTTGCGCTATATTCGACAAAATCGAATCCAGAAAACGAAGGATATTATTTCGCCGAGGGGTTAAAACCCGTCGCTGCGCATTGTATTGGCTATCCTCTTGTTTCTATAGGTTTGCTTTTGTCTAGTCTTATCTCTGATTTATCATCCGGTTAGGTTATTGTATGAAGCGATATATGGCCTATCTTCTAAGGCTAAGAAAGCAGAATGAAGTCGAAGCAAAGAATAAATATTATTATAATCTTCTTTATGAAGCATTGCCGCCTTCTGCCGTAAGTTACCGAAATATGGGACACCATTTGATTTGCTTTTCAGTATAATCACTCTTCCGACAAAGTTTGGGAGAAAGACTTTCTCGAATTGGAGCCCGACCGCGACGATGGCGAAAGTTCAACATCGAGCAAGTCGGAGCGAGACACGAAGCCGGACAAAGACAGCCCTGGCTGGTCGCAGCGATTAAAAGACATTTTCCAGGACTTGACGTGCTTCTCAAACTCCAGTCGATCTCATTTACTAACGGTTAGAGCAGAGAAAACATTTTCCAAGGTGGATTAATCGATGCTTTCAGGTAAAGGAGCCCGGGCGAAGTCAGTCAAACAGCGGCAAAAACTCTAGCGGAGGCTCGAATCTGCGCGCGTATCGTCTCTACCGATGGCTGGAATCAATCGCGTGCTGGTTACGTGAGTGTTTCGCCAGTTCCGGTGTGAACGCGTCGAGCTCTGCCAGCAACAATGCTCCTTCTGTACATAATTCGGCCGATAATTCGAGCAGTGCTGCGAATAGCCCTAGCGCGGCTGCAGGCCCTAGCTCCTCGTCGTCAAGCTCGAGCCACGTGACGAGCAATTCGGGAAGCGGGAAAAGTCCATCAAGTTCAAGCAACAACTCTCACAACTCGGGACGGCGGAATACAGCGTCGAACAGGGCAGCGAAGGGGGAGCACGCGAATTCGAAAGCGAGCCACCACTCGAGCCAGTCCCAGTCAGCAAGCAACTCCGGCGTAGAGAAAAGTCTACCTAAAAATTCAGCCTCAGATAACTGCCAAAAAAGTGAAAATACAAACAACTCTAAACATAATAACCACACCAAGAAGAATCACCATGAAACCGGCGAAAACGGCGATGGCCAGTATTCGCGCCACACGCCAACTAAAAAGGAAAAGAACAACCTAAAGAATCAGAGTAACGGCGAGCACTTGTACACGCAAATACAGAAACAGGATTCTATCAAAAACGACGATTCGCAAAGCAACCAAAACAGGTAAATTTCTCCAATTGAAATCAACAACGACAATTTCTCTCATTTTCGGCAAATCTCTTTTTACACATTTTTTCATTATGAATCCTTTCTCGATTATGTAACTGAGGACTTCAAATTTTCAGAAAAATATTGATTCTTTTTGTTTTGATATCACCACCAATTTTCGGACAGAGTTAATAAACACGCATTGCAATTATACGAAATGGTCATTTTTGGCAAGGCGAATGTGCGATGTAATGTGCAACGTAAGGGAAACTGTTTTTGGGGAAGGCGTGTTGATCATCCGATCAGTCAGTTTTCTTCGTAGATGTCTGAATTGAAATACAAAAGCGAGCGATCCCCGTGCTCTGAGGGCTCAAATCCTCTCCCCGACGCCGCGTTGTTTGCGAGTTGGAATATTTTTCTAGAGCATCATTTTTCGCGACTTGTTTGTGAGTTCTCTCAGTCAGATAAAAATAGCTGAAATCGCACGCACGAATACGATTTTTACGAAACAATGCCAAACAAGAAAAAGAACTCGACCAAGAAAGCTGTTCCCAACAAGGGTTCTAGCAACAAGTTATTTATGCCCAAGACCTTGCCAAAATGCCCATTTCCCAAGGTTGAGCCGCCCAAAACTGAGGCTAAAATTGAAGAGCCTTCCGCGTAAGTACAGCCAGAATTCTGTTTTTACGGGAAAATGTCGTTCACTATTATGAAATCAAGGAAGAGTTCGGTTACTTTTACTAACATGTAATTTTAGTCGAGGTGACTCTGATGCTGCCCAAGCCGAGTTGGGTCGAATCAAGCGCGAGAACGAAAAACTCAAGAAAAACGAGATCCAGCTAAAAGGCAAGATCGACGACTTGACGCAGCACGAAGAGTTCACGAAAAACAATTCGAGGACGTCAAGAAGCGAGACGAGAGCCTTCGCAATCAGCTCAAGGTTGAGCGAGAGCGAACTGGTGACCTCCGATCGCAATTGAAGGAGAAGAACGAGGAAACCCGCCTTCTCCAGAGCTCCTTGAATGACCGTGAATCCGAGAACGAGCGCCTCCGACATCAACTCAAGAAAAGCGAAATGGATCGTGAAATGCTGATTCAGGTGAGTCAAAATATATATAAACAAATATTGTTCTAGAAACTAATCTTTAAAAATATTTAGCAATTCCAATTTTATTAGTTTCCACTATCTTTAACCTTATTTTCATGGAGAATTAATTGCTTCTTTAGGATGCTAAAAATCGAGAACAAGAACTGCAACATTTGCGATCCAAGCTTGCAGAAGGCGACCTCAAGATCAACCAGCTCCACCGAATGGTCGAGGAACGGCAACAGAGTGTCCGAAACAACCAGGAAAAGCTCCAGGCCGAGAGCCGGCTCAAGCTTGTAAGTACTCAAATTATCGATCCCGAGCTTAATGAATCTCTAGCAACTGTTGGAACGATTGAACACCCAGCAGCAAGAAATAGAAGATCTCCGTCACCGCTCTACTCTTTACCAGCGTCCAGTTATTCACGACTTTCAGTAAACTCGCGAATAATATTGATAATACTCACATTTCCTGTATCACACCCCCTGTAGAGGCTGCACCCATAAATACACCAACATTTGCAAACACCAACACATGCTCGTGGGCTTGGCCTCAAACTACTGACGCTCCATGCGATAACAACTCTTTTCATCCTTGGACGGAAAAGTCGTTATCTTGAAAAGCCTGTGTAGTTCCCGTTTATTTTCTTTGGGAGCTTATTTTGATCCAAGTTCACGCGCAACGCCCTTTTCGAGAATTCTTCAATACCTTTTTCGATTTCACTTAAAGAACCCTTTCTAGCACGAGTAAAAATGAAACATGAAATTTCCGAACACCTTGAGAGATTTAACCATCTCTCGCTCAGTGCGTCTAACAACAAAATTAGCAACGCCCCCACCATTCTTCCTTTTTGAAAAGCGTTATTCAAAGTGAAATAGAATATATGTTCATGTTCAAAATGCTGTCTGTTGGTTGTCGTTTTATAAAGCGAGCAAGGATGAGCTTTGCTTGAAAAACTTCTTGGGTGGAGGTTCGCCATTTTCAATTATGAGATTGTTATGTAACAAGCATCGTTCTCAGAGATGCATGCGAGCTACTGTTAAGTTTTTTCGCTGAAGTTTTATGTGAGGGAAAAATCAGAGAAGTGATTTCAGATGCGGCTGTCGGAAGCGAAAAGCGTCATCCAAAAAGTTAAGCCGCATAAAATTGGTATCCGTTTCCCCAAGCGCGCCGCGTGGACACCAACAAGTGAGTCGCACCTAGAAATCAAGGAAGAGTAAGGCTAGCCTGATATTCGTAGTTCCCGCCTCTGGTCCAAAGATCCCAGATGAAATTTTGAGACTCGCCATTGTCAAGAGTCCGAGCGCAAGCAAGGCAGCTCCAGCAAAGACAGCCGCTGCCATTCCAGAGGGAGTTCCACGCATGCGCGATGGTCGACCAAAGTACGAAGGTACACTAAGAATAGGCTTATCAGTTAAAAAAAACGACGAATACTGTTGTTTTCTAAAGCGTAAATATTGACAACTATTCTTGCTTCTTTATTATCTTTAAATTAGACATCCCCGTGACAAACATTCGAAACGTTATTGCGAAGCGTTTAACTGAATCGAAACAGACAATTCCACACCAGTATACTTCAATTAAAGTCTCTGTTGACAACGCGATGGCTCTTCGCGTCGCACTCAAGGTACCAATTCGTCTTTTTTCGTAATTTTCAATTTCTCTTCTAGGAGTCCGGCGTCAACGTTTCAATGAACGACATTGTATTGAAAGCAGTGTCCATTGCGCTGAAGCAAGTGCCGGAGTTGAACGCAGTCTGGTCCGACGGAGACGTCCAGAGACTCGAGGACGTTGACATGTGTATTGCCGTGGCGACCGATGCCGGCCTCTTCGCTCCCAAATTGTCCAAAGTCGATCAGCTCGGTCTATCTGGAGTCAACGCGCACGTCAAAGATATCGCTGGACGAGCTAGAGAGGGCAAGCTCACTCCCAGCGAGCTGAGTGGGGGCGGATTCAGCGTTTCTAATTTGGGAATGTTCGGAATCACTGAATTTACCGCCGTCATCAATCCTCCTCAGGCTGGAATCCTGGCCGTTGGAGGCATTGAAAAGGAACTCACTCTTGATGGTTTAGTGTAAGTGCATATTGGGTGACTGTGTTTCATCTCAAGTTGGCTCCATCAAATCCAGCTAATATTTTCGTTTAGTAACACAATGACCCTAACACTCTCTTCCGACGGTCGCTCAGTTGACGTCAACGACGCGTTTGTATTCTGCGAGAAGCTGAAAGCGATCTTAGAAAATCCCAGAATAATGCTTATGTTATGAGCCCCTTTTCACTTCAAGTTCAACTATTTATTCAGTCAAAAAAATTGATCCTTCCTTCAATATAAAAGCAAAAGTGCAGGCAACTGCGTGAAACTAATAAAAATCAGAGCCTAACCTTGATATAAAACATGGAAGAAAAGATACAGTAGTTATGAGCTGAACTGTATTTTATTGTTGTCGATTTTTTTCATTTGCAGGAGCGTTGAACTTGGGAATGGTTTAGCAAGTGAATGTACAGAAATATGCAGTTAGCGGCGATTTTCGCGCAGTGGGAGTCTTTCCTCCTTTCCTCGCCGAAGTTCTTTTCGCTTTCTTTTCTTTTTCTTGAGAGTTAATGTCGCTTCTTGGCCGAAAGCGATGATAAGAGCGGCGAAGAGCACTGAGAAGGCGATCGTCAGCGCGTAAATGTACGGGTAGAATTTGTCGTCCAGGATTCCCTAAGTTACAGTTAAGACGAAGACTGTATTTGAAGATAGTAAAACACTGGGTCTACTAGTAGATTTTAATTAAACCTGATAGATGCTTGTCGTAAAGAACTTCTTGCATCCGTCCAGAGCACAATTTTTCATGGGTGGATCATTCGGGCAGACATCCATTACGTTTACGATATTTCCCTCGTCGTCATCATAACAAGGCGAGTAAAATATCTCTGGTTCGTTGGCGCTGTGAAAAATACTGCACGTCGAGTCGGGTTTGTAAGGAGACGTGAATGTCGATTCAAACGAGTTGTATGACCTGTCGTCGTCGTAATAGCTAGATGTATCATTTGAGTAGTCGTAGTAGTTGCTTGAAACGTCTGTTGAATCTCCATCGTCGGGAAAGTTGTGAATGTTCGCTTTTATATAGTCCTGGTGTTCATCGAGAACCACCCAGCGGTAAATCAACGAAAGCTTGAATTTCACGTTGCAGTGATCAAAGACATTGTCCCAGCCACAGCATAGATATTCCTTCTCCCAGCTCTATTTTAGGATAGTCATAAAAATGATTTCTTTCTTTTGATTGCTAGCGTTTATTCTCCGCGATGAAAAAGAAAGAATCTGAATCAAAGTTACTATTCAGTCAATCTATCCGCCTTCCTGTATGTATTCAAGATTGACGATTCTCAACAGTAGCCAAACCTCGTAGATAAATTTCTCCCCAATATCGGCGACCACGGCGACTTGATCGGACATCATGCCCTCGCTCATGTATTCTTCGCAGTAGCCTTCGCCGAGATGCCTGATGCAGCTCATGTACTTGATCATGTAGATACAGAAGCTTAGACCAAAGAGCAGGATAGCAATGAGAATGCCCGTGGGTGGGATTTACACTTTATGATCATTATTCTTCTAATTAGATTTTCGCTCGAGTGCACAATTGACACCCGTTTACGAATAATAAAATTATCAAAATCGAAAATAATGATGAAAAAGAAGATTTGAAAATCCCATGTCTTGATACGTTCGCCAGGCGATTTTGTTCCCACTGAAGCCTAGGCCATGAAAGGCAGCAAAAGTAGCGCCAAACATGTAGAAAGAATTGATCAGGTTCCGTATTTGCTCGGCAGTAAGGATCAGTTTCTTGTGTGGAACGTTTTCGACCATACTATTGTATTCAGTGATCCTTGAAAAGGTGAATATTGGCTTGAATATTGACAAAGGCTTCTTACTTTTCTTGAATTTTTAGACCTTGAGAATTGTGGAAGTGAAGCGTGGCTGTGATGATGACGACACCAAGGAGCATTCCCAAAAACGCGACCACTTTGGTCAGCGTTGGCGAGGGCTGTCTCTGGGATTGAAATTGCATTTTCAAGATTTTCGTTGGATCAACTCATTTGCTCTCTGTTTATTCAGGGGAGTATATTAAACTACTCTTTCTGATGATTAGACTCAAGGAACTCGTTGCTAGAGTCGTGGGCGCCACACGTCCTCAAGCGCTGAAAAAATGAACAAAGCTTAAAAAATTCAAACGCTCATTTTCGCTCTTCATTTATTGCTCAGACTTTTTTATTGCGACGTCCTTCAAAATACGCGAATTCCTTTGAAAATCATCGTAAAAGGAAAAGAAAGAGTACATTGTTCGACAACGAGAAATTACAAATTTGATTAAAAGGGAGATTTTTATTCACTGTTATTTACAGTATTATTAAATGTTTGAATAATCTCGTCGACTTCTTGAAAAGATTTTTGGCTTTTTCCGACTTGGGCTCTGTACTGGGCTTTTATATTTCCACAAGCTGAATTGTTAAGATTCATTTTTTCCCTGATGCATTTTACCTTGATATCTTGCAACGACAACAAACTGAAAACGAATTTCTTTTCGCTTGAATCCTTCGTACTCTGCGATAGCGAATCCAACCCGCGTCGACTTTTTCCAACAAAGCTGGCTGTAATGTCCCCATTCGTGAAATGTGTCCATGTTGGGCTCGGCATCGTCGGAGATTTCATTCAGATAAATGGGCATCTCTTCATACCACGACTTGAGTGAGCTTTGTATTAGAAGTGTGTCACGTGCTCGCTTCGAGAGGCCTCTAATCGATTTATAGTGGCTCCGATAAGAGAGATTTTCTCCAGCTCTTTTTGAGGTTTTTTAAAATAATAAACCATGTTTGGTATTCTTGGAAAAAGGGCTGAATAGTTGTTGAGAGTATAAAAACCTTGACCATGTCGCTCAGTCACGTGTCCAGTAAGATTATTCTCAGCCAGCTCATTTGCTGCATTTTGAGCTTCGTCACACAATTTTCTGCATAAAACCAAAGGACCTGTATCTTCATGAAAGCTTCGGTAAAAATTATGCCGAAAAAGTCCTTCGATTTGATACGCTCTGAATCCTACAATGATTAACTTTAAACGATGTGATTCGTAGCGAACTGCACCTTGTTGTTTGTATATTTGTCTTTCGTAAGGGGCCTCTCCAAGACTCAGAAGTGAAAATTTCGAAAGAGAAAGTTCCGAAGCATTGACGATACTTTCTGGCTGAGAAACGGCTGGCTCGTTGTCAAGTTGAGAAACAGAGCAATTTTCAAGAAATGTTACTTCTTTCTCTTGCTGTTGGAGAGGTGGAATCTCTTTCAATTCGTCTGGCTTTTCATCTAGAATCGGGTCTACAACCTCTGTGGCTTTTGAATCAGAACAACCCATGTTTCTGAATCTGCGCCACATTAATACAAGGGATCTCACCAAGACAACGCGAGGAATAGGAACGATTCCATTAGCAAAATATTTACTTATCTCGATGAGCACCTTATCGGCATCATTTTGACAATGCATCGAAAACGGTGGAAGAATATGTTTGACACCAGCCTTGATAAATTATCGCAAGTCCTGTTAGAACGTCTTTGAATTGCAAAAAACGGGTTTGCTTAATTGCTTGGATTAACGAGAATGCAACTGCTTAATTGCTTATTGTGCGACTGCGATCAAGAAAGACTAACACAGATTTTTTTTTGGCTTTTTAGTGTTTTTATTATACATAGCCGGATGTGAAAGGTAAGATGAAGTGACAGTGAAGTGAAGTGAAGAGAGTCGATCGTGCAGTTACGAGAAGAGCTTCTTGTTGTTGGACTTTCGTCCATCTGGGAAGCCCCTCCCGAGGATCGACTTATTCGTATAAGTCGTCTGAAATTCAAAGTTAGAAATGGGAAGTCGAAAATTGAAAGCTCACCTTTATGTCGCCAAATGCGTCGTAGGAGTGGTTGGTGACGCAAGTTGTGGCGATTGAAGAGACCGGACTTGTCACTGTATCATCACCTTTCATGAACTTTTCGAAGAAAGCACTGCCCAGGTTGAGTAGTGCTTTCAGAAGTCCGTGCTAGAAATAAAAATGAGTAATGAAAAAACAATTTCAGAAGAGAGAATTGTCCAAAGTAGAGGGCGAAAGACAGTCCTTAAAAATTAATGATGCCCTTTACTAAAGATAATTCTACAAGGAAGTCTTCCTTGATTTCCAAATTGGTTTACCTGATAGATGGATGCTTCGTGGATTTGATTGGCATCGGGCAGTTCAGTCACGAAGCCGATGAGACTTGGGCCGACGCTTTTTGAAATAGCCTCGATTGTCATTCGGTTCTGGTCAGAGCGTTGGGAAACCTATGTTTTTAAGAGATTATTTGAGAAAGACTTGATTTGCTGTTTACCTGAATCAGATGAATGAGCATAAATGCGAGTGTATCTCGATGGACGTCGGGCAGCTCGGAGAAGAGATCCTTCAGCAGCGTCGCGTTCTCATCCTTGTAGGCTTGGATGAACGACGGCATCTGCGCCCAGGTCAACAGAGGCTGATCGATCATGTTCCGGAAAAAGTCCTTCAGCGTTGAGCAGATCACGTTTGTGTCCGTGATCGTCTTCAGATGCTGCGTCGTGACTCGGCCAGAAATCATTTTCTAAAGAAAAGTTCAGTTTTTTTAAAATTCAAAAGTTCGTACTTTTTTCAGCTCGTTGACTTCTTTCGCCGCTCCGGAGATTCTGTAGATGCCTTCCTCGAGGATTCTAGCGTCGACTTCGTGAACTGCTTGGTAGACAAACTGCGGAATCAGCGGGTGTACATTGCGATTCGCGCAGTACTAAATAAATGCGTCAATACGTTTGATAGCTGGAGTTGGGACTCACCTCAATCAGCGGACGCTTTGTGGTGATGGCTTCGGACTGGACCAGGCAAGCTTTGGCAACGTCGAATCTGCACTGACTGTGGACGGCCAAGCGGCAAGTCACGCACTTGAACGCTTCGGACGCGAATTTGATCTTTTTGGAGCAAACTTCGCATTCCTTGGTGATGGGATTGTGAATAGACCGCTTCTCAGCAGTGATTCACAAACGAGGGCGATTTTCCCATCTTGGCCGGGCTCGTCAGCGAGGACATCTTGAGCTTGGCCCGCACTGGGGCCTTCACGTTCCAGAACGAGTCCGTGTCGCCGGTCTGTTCGCTTTCTCGATCGCCGGATCGCCGCCGCAGTGTCTTCGACATTTGCCGCTTTCGCGAGTTGATCGAAATGTTCAATCGCGACGAGTTCATCACGTCATCGTCGAGACCGTCCTCCGCCGTCCTGTCGATGACGTCCGAGTTGTCCAGCAAGTCGTACTGGCTGTCATCCTCGAACGTCTCGTGAATGACTCGGTTTTGCGGGATCGGCCGGCGCTTCATCGACTTCTGTCGGGAGACCGCCCGGATCAGCCGTTGCTTCTTCTCCGGGCCGATAGCGCTCCCGATTTGTCCTCCTTCATTGTCCAGGATCACTTCTTTGCAGAGCGCGACGACATCTTCCAACTCCCCGATTTCGGCTTGGAGAGAGGCGTTCTCTGTCTCCAAGCTCAACACCGTCCTGAAAAAAAAAATCGTTAGAAACAAGTTCAATCGAAAATTTTTAGGGGAAATGACAACTTTAGCAATCTGTGTTGAAACCTTGTTGTTTTCAAATAGATACTAAATTAGTAAAATAGGAAATTTTGACTGTTCCGAAAAGACTTACTTGGAGTTGTGATTTAGTTGCGTCGTCACCGTCTGCAACTGTTTCTGCAATTCACGGACTTTTTTCGTGCTCGAAGTCGCGTCCTGGTCGCGCCTTTGATACTTTTGTTGGAGAGTCATCATCTTCTCCGCCAAAACGAGCATGCAGTCTTCCAGCTCGTTCTTTTCTGTCGTTGTTTGTTTCATCTGATTCATGATGTCATCAAACATCGACAGAAGGGAAGAGTTCTGGTTGACCTCCTTAAATTTTTTTATTTTCACATTTCAAATTTTGAAATAAAAAGAAAATAATTCATTGAAAATTTTTTTATATATCAAAAAAATAAAAACTAACCTGGGCTTCATCGAGATGCCGAATAGTTTCTCTGAACGACTGGAATTTCTTCAATGGTGGTGGTGGAGCAACCCTCTTTGCCATTTTTGTGCGTTTTAGTGGCAGTCCAGAATCTATATTATTGTTAAATTTTGTAAAAATATCTCTGTCCTACCTGTTTGAACGCAGAAATGGGAGTGAAGTCAGATTGAACGTGCGGTGCTCAGAACAACAAGAGCACCATCTGGTTTTGACGTGGCAGAGTCAAATTAGTGCGCGATCAAAAATATTTTCGTTGCTTTTTTGCGGGAAAAACACGAAAACATTTTAATTTTCTTTATTTGGAAATTTTATTGAAGATAGATCGCATAATTAGGAAACTCGCTGAAAAATGAGCTCTTTTTGCGCTTACTAAAAGGGAGTATTATACAGTTTTAGAAAGCCCAAGAGCTGGGCTTCATTTTGACTATTGATAGTAGGGTGGTCAACTCATGCCCTTGGGCGTTTTGAGCCTTCCAAAGTCCCGGGTTTATGAGTAAGCGGTCCATATCAACTTGTAGAGGAGGCTCTGACGGTTCAGAATATGTGTAGAAAACCATCGTCACCCCCTATTCTAGAGGCTCTAGAAGGCCCGGAAGTTGAAGAAGTCACCTAAAACTCAGCACTTTTTACGAAAATAGAGTAAAAGTGCAATATTTTCATCGGAATTTGTTAGAAAAACGTTTTCACTGACTTTATGACACACAAAATTTAGTCTGGGGTCCTTTCGGGTTGAGTTTTTACGAAATTCTATTTTTCTCACAATATGACCCCACGTGACCTCAAATGACCCCAGAGTAAATTTTGTGTGTCATAAAGTCAGTAAAAACGTCTTTCTACTAAATTCCGATGAAAATATTGCACTTTTACTCTATTTTCGTAAAAAATGCTGATTTTCAGGTGACTTCTTCAACTTCCGGGCCTTCTAGAGCCTCTAGAATAGGGGGTGACGATGGTTTTCTACACATATTCTGAACCGTCAGAGTCTCCTCTACAAGTTGATATGGATTGCTTACTCATAAACCCGTGAGAAAAAAAGTTACAACCTTTTTTCTGAACTTACCCCATTTTCGGGACTTTGGAAGGCTCAAAACGCCCAAGGGCATGAGTTGACCACCCTACTATCAATAGTCAAAATAAAGCCCAGCTCTTGGGCTTTCTAAAACTGTATAATACTCCCTTTTAGTAAGCGCAAAAAGAGCTCATTTTTCATCGAGTTTCCTACGCATAATCTATTTAACTATAATTTGCAGCGATAATGCATTAAATACAGTAGTAGCACAAGAAATTGTCACTCATTGACTTTGAATGATTGTCAATCAGAGGAGAAATTGGAAAATGATAAAGAAGTGTTTGATTTTGCTTTATTTAAAAGTTTGAAATTGCTTTTCTTACAATTCTATAATTGGGATCTGATGAGGTCGTAGTAAGCGCCTCGTTTGTCCAGTAGTTCTTGGTGGCGGCCGCTTTCCACGATGACGCCGTTGTCGACGACGGCGATAACGGTGGAAAGTCGTTGCGCGATCAGAATCGCAGTTCGCCCTTGCCGCGCCTTGTCCAGCGCATCTTGCAAGATCTAAACCGATTTTCAATTTTTGAATTTCTTTCGTTTTCCGTGTACAGATTCTTGCAATGATTACTGCTTTTCATGAAATAAAATCCTTCAAATTTTACCGGGAAGCAGTTTTCTCAAGTTCGGGGAAAGTGAGACTTCTTACTTGTTTGTAAAATCAACAGTCGGTCGAGTTTCGTTATGCATACAGAAGTCTGGCGCGCGTGCCTTGCTCTTGTGCAGACATTCACTGTCCGCTCTTCCAGTCAACGTCGACGGTTTCAAGAGCCTTTTGTCCGCGCTACCCTACTTTCCAGCGCACGTTTAGAAAAAGTAGAAGCAAGAGAAAAGAACCAGCCTGAAGGCGAATGGGGGATCGCTTCCACAGGGCCGCCAAGGATGGCTCCTCGCCGCAGGGGAAGGCCTTGCTCAAAGAAGCTACCAGTCGTGATCTCAACAGGTTGATCTAAAATTCTATTTTGAATTAATAATAACTAGTCGAAACACAATTTTCCATCAGTAATTTCAAATGAGTTTATTTCCTTTAGAAAATTAAGATATTTTATTAACAAAAATCGTCCCAATATCGATAAACCATAACTCTAAATTCTAGACGAGATAAAGAAGGAATGACTCCAACTCTAATCGCCGCTCAAGAAGGTCACTCAGAAGGTAAATCAACGGGAACTCTGAAAAATAGCCTTTACGGGCCATAAAAATATTATTTGCAAATGAAATTTTCATTTAGCCTTGATGGTGTGCATTCAGCGCGGAGGAAAGCCAAATCTTTACAACGCTATCGGCCAGACGACTCTTCATTTAGGCCGGTTGTTGATTGCGAATTTAGCTTTTTTATTTTATTTTTCTTGTGAGAATGTTTGCATGCGCGGTCAAACACTTGCTTGCGATTCGGCAAAAATTCAAAATCCTCTGGGAGCTTTTCCTGACAATTCTAATAACCTCATAAGCCACTGATCGTGGACACTTCCGCATTGTCGACTATATCTGCAAATACTACGAAGAAGATTTGGTCAAGATCCTTTTTATGATGGATTTGGCCGGTAATACGGCCAAAATGCTGGCAACTACTCAAGGTTATCGATTCATAATTCCGTGATTTTTAACAGCTTTTAGGGCACAAGAAACTTATCGCTTTACTGGACAGATGTGAGGCAGAACTGAACAAGCGAAATCCGAAAAAAGTCAAGAAATACAAAGAAAAAGCAAAGAAAGAAATGGAAGTCTGCAAAAAGAAATATTCAAAAATCATGGTGCGTCCTACTTTTCTTCATTCCAGATCTAGGGCTAAGATAAATATGCCCGCATTAGATATAATTCTCGTTCGAGTACTTGAGTACTTCATATTTCCCTCTTGAAGAGTTTAAGGGCTAAATCGGTGACCAGGGATGAATAGATAAGCTACTAGAACGAGTGATAAAGGTGAATCCTTCAATTACAGCTTCTTCTTCAGCAAAAACACAAAAACGAAAAACAAAGTTCATCAGCTCCTTCAAAGAAGACTGTCTATGGCGAGGCAACGTGCGTAAAAACGATGAATTTTCTCTTACTTCAGCTTTGATTGATTCAGTGTCACAACAAAAACAGCCGATGGGGGAAACAACAAGTTCCTTGGAAATTTCACGATGGGTAAGCGAATCGGAACAGTTCGCCGAAAAGAAATGCTCGATATGGTCGACTTTTCCGCGATGGACGAAGTCGACGGAACGATGACAGTTTCTTCCAATAAAAACGTTCTCTTCGGACAAGGCACCGTCAAGAGCACGACCAAGTAAGAACCAACTTGGAGTCCATCTATCAATGCGATATTCTAGGAACGGAGCATCCAAAGCGCGCCCAGATGTTCGAGACATTTTCGGCCAAAATGGAGATCTAGACGATGATCTAGCGGAAAATGGTGAGCTGGGCTCGGTCTCGGCCGTGGGCATGATCAGCACCAACCGCTTCTTCTTCAATAACAACGCTCTTGCCGAGCAGTTTGATCATTTAGGAGCGGCCGCAACTACAGGAGGAGCTACTTTTATCGGTAACTTTTTTAACAATTTTTGAAAGTTAATGTTATATTTAGACAAGAATGAAGAGAGCGATTCAGAGCAAGGGTTCAATTTTTGATAATAATTTAATTAAAAATGTTGCTTGATGAACCCTTCCCATTGATGATTCATTGATTGAAAGTGACGACGATGAGGAACAAACCTCCGATCCTCTGGAGAACTTCCTGGCCGCGCTTGGGCTCAATGACTATTGGGATTTATTCAAAAAGGAGAAGATGGACATTGAAGGTGTAAACTGAAAAGGAAGGAATACTAACATTGACTTTTAGCGGTAATGATGTCGAGCGATGCTGATTTACGCGCGCTGGGAGTGCCTCTCGGCCCTAGAATTAAAATCCTGAAGACGATGGATTCCCGCCGGGCTGCAATGGCCTCCATCCAAGCTGCTTCTTCCGACGAGCCAGAAACTCACGCGTTTTAGCAGCTCCCGTCTAAGTTTGAGTCTTTTCTACTAGCTTCTACTGTAATTGTTTCTTTTGTTCACTGACGATTCCTCATTTTGTTTCTGGCCGCTCGTATCGCCGTCGTTTTACATCTTCTGCTTTATCGGGATGTAATAAAATAAACCTGGTTTGTTTTGAAACCTTTCGATAAAAAAAAAAAAGAATTATAGAATTTCAAATTGAAGTATTCGAAATTTAGGCGTTAGAAAACCACGCCACAAAGAAAAAAATCTTGGATCTATTTTTCCTTGTCCAAAAGAATTGACGCAAGACTTCAAGTGGCCACTTGACTCTTGACGGGTTAACCTTGTCTACCCAGCTTGTAGTTGACAAGGAATAATAAAAAAATATATAATAGAATAAGTTTATAAAGAGCTTTATCAGCTCTTTCTGACCGAAAATCGTTGCCAATTGTACTTTGAAAGAGGCCTTTTTCTTCTTGTCTAATCAATCTCTTCAATCGGACGTACTCCCCTTACGCAGTGCTCAAGTTTGTTTGTTTGTTTTGAATGTGCCCCAGTCCTGGCGTGATCTCGCATTTCCAAAATCATTAGAGAAAAATATGAAGATTTTTAGGCTATTTAATATTTTGTTGGGCGGTGCTCTTGCTGGCAAGAATAACCAGTAAAGGATTAACAATTTCATCTGCATTTGCTGGTTGATTATTTCAGAATTGAAATGATGAAAACTTGTCTTTTAAAAATTGCTAATTCAAAATAAGAAAAACATCAAGATTCCCGACGGCTTAGTGAAAATGCAGTTCAAGCCGTGCACGGAAGGAAGGGGCGGAACAGGCGACTTGACAGAGACGATCGGAAACGTACACTCGATCCAGATAGAAGCCTGCGAATGGACGGGAAAGAACAATGAGTGGTGCGGCCTCAAGATCGGCAGTTTCAACTCGATCTACGTCGAGTACGACATGGCCAACGCTCACAAGCTCTCCTCCGGTCCTATCAAGAAATACCCAAAAAAGGGAGACCAATTGAACGTTGCCATTTGCGGCCGGATTCCTGTAAGACCCCCTTTTTTATATCGACCAATTGACTTTTTCAGGGTGTCCCGATTTGTGCCCCGTTTTCCCTTCCAAATACAAATGCATGTGAACAAGGTATATTTTTCAATCAAGGCCTTCTTATTTCAAAGCATATCCGTTAAGGAATCAATTGTAAAAGACGAAAGGTGAAGAAAAATAAGCTGGACAAGAAACGCGTCTTCCGAGTCGCACTGGAAATTCAAGGTACGCATCATTCCTTCAAGAAGATACCTTCAACCTTCTTTGTTCAGAAATTTATCCACAAGTAAAGGTGGTTTCCGAATGGCAGATCAAGGACCCCACTCAACCCGACGCACCCCCTTTATTCTGCTTCAATCTGCCCCTCGCTGTCGTCCCCTAACTCGGCAAATAAATCGGACAATATGGCGCCGCTGAGTGCCCAAAAGAAAAATAACATAAAACCTTCTCTGAGTGTTGTTCTTTTTTGTCAGCAAAAGTTGCCTTTTCAAAATTTCTCCTCAAGTACTTTCCCACCAATATTTTGATTTCATAAGATAATTTCTCTCTCGCTCTTTTTGGTTAAATTCAGTAGTGTAGATCTTACATAACACTTATCTACTCCACGTTTACGACTCTTATAAATTCATAAAACTTCCATTCTTATATTTTATTTAAAGTTCTTAATTTCAAGTGTGCACCCTTCGCAAACTAGTAGTTTTTTTGGGGAGAGAAGTTTCGAAAAAGGCATATTTAAAAAAGTTGACCACTTTATTTCGGCAGCATGTCATGTAAGAATGTGTCAAGTGTGTCGGGCAAGATGTACAAAAAATTGTTGTAAGAAAAAAATTCATTCATTGGAATGAATTCAGGAATATAAAAGTGTCGGAAGGAAGAACTCGTCCAGGGTAATTAGTAGACTTCTGGCAGGCATTTTCCGATTTCAACGCAAGACTTGATGAAGATTCTTTCCAGCTTCGTCTTTTTCGCTTCCTAGAAAATAAATAAGATTTTGGGTTTTTTGGCAAGGATTTTTGAATATAGCTGTATTAGGAAAATTATATATTGATTGACTGACGATGTTGTCGATGTGCGCCTTCTTGCAGAATCCAATGTCAACAAGTTGAGCCTGAATGAAGTCTTTGTATCGCTCGTAGACAGCCTTGATCTCTCCGGTGTAGTCGATTTCAGATGTGTGGCGAAGGAAGTCTTCGTCAAGATTGAAGTTGGGGTCGAGGGCAGCACCGCCGCACTCGTGCCATTTCTCGTAGATTTGGTTGAAATGCTCAGAAATCATGTTGCTGATGCGCTCGTGATATTTGTCGCCTTTTTTGGATGAGAAAACCGCGCTTGCCTCTACGAACTTATCTTATCAGCCACAACAGTTTATGCAATAATAGTGTTAATGAAAAAGATACAATAACCTCCCCGAGGAAAACTAGAAAGTTCTTGACGCGAAACTGATACTGAAAAAAAATATAAATAGTCCCAAATGATTCTACTAATTAGTTTTGGGCTTTTCAATTTGCTTATCTGACGGGGTGATCGCATATCTCTGTTAGCCAGTAGCTGTCATCTTTATCCATTCCTGGAGTGAATATCTTGTTGAGCAAGAGCTCTTCGGTCTCCTTCAAGTTGACGATTTCCTCTCGCACTTCGTTGGGTACAAAGTAGCGGTCCACCATTTGGTAAACCAGTCGGAAGCCGCCAGACAGTTCGTTGATTGTTCCGTCGGAGTCAAAGGCAATCACCAAGTGATTTGTCGGAAGTTCGATCCAGTCTCGCCACTCTCTAGATGCAATCTGAAAAGAGGATGTCCTGAAATCACAAAAGATGAATTTGAAGCAACCTTGGTCTTGTTATAACTGAGAAGCGCTGGAAGTCCGTTGTAGGTCATTCCCTTCGTATGAGGACTATTGCAGAGCCGTCCATATTTTTCGCCGCCGCCGCCAATCACGTGAAGACGGTCTGCTCCGCAAATCTGCTGGTGCTCGATGTCGAATCCTTTTCCTTGTGTGATTCTTAACGTTCAATTTAAAACACGATCAAGACCTTCCAGTAGCTCACCTGATTCGAATACGGTGATTCGGGTTGTCAGAAATGATCTCCCAGCGGCAAGAAAATCCCTTGGTTGGGTCAATATTCTGCTTGGCTTTTCTCTTGAGACGAATCCGACCTCGATTCTTAGTTAGAACTTTTCCTTTGCATTTCGGGTTGATCTGGCGGCAAATTTTTGGACTTTGAAGAGGTTAAAAATTCGTACTTAGGAGAGCTATCGAAATTTCTCTTTCTCTATTTTCTCTGTTAAACCTCTAGCTTGGGCACAAAGGCATATCATGAAGGTATCTATCACTAGGCTTATAAGATGAAATTTCGGCCCATCTTTATAAGTTAGTTTAGAGGTTATATGACACAGTTTTGGAAAGCTCAGAAGGTGAGCTTTCATTTGGGCACAATATCAAGGGGTCTGGTTTATGCCCGCAAGGCAATTCATGAGACCGGAAGTTCCGAAATCGGCACTAGATCTCTTCAATCGAATTTTTGAGTGCCGGTAGTCACTCGAAATGGCTCCAGAGTAGATGCGTTAGAAAGCCCAGCGTCTGAGCTTTCCAAAACGCTAAAAAAATCTAGCTGCCCTGCTACCTAGTGGCCGCTAGGGGCGCTAGAATAGTGAATTTTAAGGATTTCTAGGAAGAAAACTGCATAATCTTGGTCTCAACCGGTTGGTTTTGTCACTGTTAAACGTCACTACTAAGATGTTTACGTCTTTATTAACAAATTCAAGCCTTAAATTTCGACCAAATGAGCAAGTTCTAGTGCAAGAAATCCCATTTACGGTGCCAAATTTGAGTTTCTAGCGCCCCTAGCGACCACTAGGTAGCAGGGCAGCTAGATTTTATTAGCATTTTGGAAAGCTCAGACACTGCGCTTTCTAACGCGCCTACTCTGAAGCCATTTCGAGTGACTACCGGTACTAAAAAATTCGATTGAAGAGATCTAGTGCCGATTTCGGAACTTCCGGTCTCATGAATTGCCTTGCGGGCATAAACCAGACCCCTTGATATGGTGCCCAAATGAAAGTTCAGCTTCTGGGCTTTCCAAAACTGTAACATATGACCCCTAAACTAAGCTAGAAAAATGAGCCAAGTTTTCATCTAATAAGCCTATCTATCACTCAATCCAGTTGCAATTCCTACAGAACTCTCTAATGCAGATATTCCCAAAAAGGGCAGGAAGAAGTTAAAAAGTCTCATCTTTGAAAAGATGTCGACGAAAGAATTGACTGATGCTCTAACTACGAACTTTCAAGCGAGCGGTGCTTTTCTAGCGCGCAGAAACGATGGCGCTGTTTCGCCCGCCATGAGATTTCGTGCGCCAGCAAAAATCATGTGACGCATGGAAAACCCTTGGCTGTTTCTAACTTTTTACTGTATATTTTCTTTCGCAGATAAAAGAGTCTATATAATCTTTCTTTTAGATTTATTTGAAACTAGTTGTCTATGAGCAGTTCTATGTCACTTGTTGAAGGTTTCTTGCACACAATGAAGTAGGGTCTTTCGGTTTTAACGAGAAGGAAACGTGTGCAAAAAGTCGAAGTTGGGGAAGTTGAGAAAGCGATATCTGTTTCATACAGTGCACGGTCAGTACAGTTCAATTACAGTAGGTGGTTTTAGTTCCTCAAAAACGGCAAGAGGAGACATGTCAATTCACAGTTTGCTTTGTTCCGGCGATCAGCATCGGTACACTCCTTGATTCACAAACATCAGATTCCCTAAAAGAAAACATAAGAAAAAGAACGTCATTTGAGGGAAAGTTTTAGCTATACTTTTTTTCTAATGAAACTTACCGGAAACTCCATGGTGGTATCCATGAGAGGACTGAACGTTCGGGAGGGCGGACTAAAAAAACTGTTAGTTTTCAAATTTTAAATGTGCTTGGCTGTCTCACCGAATCGTACATTGACTGGTTTTCAGGAATGTCCTCGACTTTGACAGAAAACGCGGCCGTTGAGGCGCCTAGATCCACTTGATTCGCCTGAACAAAACAACTTTGAATAAATGTAAGGCTCTTGAAATTGCTAAAGGAGCTAGCTCACGCCCTGAAATTTTCGCTAAGATGTTCTTTTCTAACTTCAATAGTCAAAATAAAAGTCTGTTAATTACCACGTGCTCTTGATCGTCCTCGGTACTGAACTGCACGCCAGGTGCAGAGTTTGGCTGAGAGGCACCTTCTATTGGAACGCGGTGGCAGGAAGTTTGGCCTGATTCGGATTCCGACTCAGAGTTCGGCGAGTCAAGGCCAGCTGAAGTGTCCTTCCCATCAGGAAGCTTGTCTTTTGTTGATCGCTTCATTTTGTAGCTAAACAGGGCATAATTAAGCTGCTAAAACGGCTTAATGGGCCTAATGGGGTTAGGGTCACTGATGATGACGACAGCGCCGTGTCTCCCAAAGTGGACAACGGGCTGCCGGGTTTAATCGCTTACCGATGGTTCTGGAACCAGATTTTCACTTGAGTCGGCGTCAAGTTAATCAGCTGGGCAAGAGCTTCGCGTTCCGGCGCAGAGAGGTACTTTTGTTGCTTGAAGCGTCGCTCCAATTCGAAAACCTGAAAATATAATCAGAGCTAAAGAAAATAATGTCATTCCCTAATTTTTTGACTGAGAAAAGTAATTTACAAGAAAATTAATCTGTTATTTTTGATCGAAAATTAAAAAAGAGAGTCTTGCAAATTTTGTTATTGAAGAGGGAGCCTTGTAGTCTAGGGAGTTGTGTTATGAAAAGCACAAAAAGTCAAGCAGAAGTACTTAATCAAGAAAAAGCAACAGGGCACTCGAGGCTAGGTTGAACAAAAGCGACACATGTCCGGGACATGCCGGCGGCGAGTGAAGTGGCTAGCGATCTCAAGGACGAAGCCATCCCCTCCCACAAGGGATTAACTGGCAACAACTTGTGCCTCGTTGATTTTGCCAGTCTGGGCAACTGTGGAATTATTCCAGCTATTGTGAATTCAAACAATGGGTGAGAAAGGCGAGGTCAACTAATTGCAAATATCTAGGAATAATTTGGGCGTAGTACTAAAAGACAAACAGTCTTGTATTCTCAAATAAATGAATAATCAAAAAGGTTATCGTACGTTATATTATTTTTAGCTTCCTAAAGTTATTTTTTCTTTGCAAAAAATCTCACCTGAGCTTGGGAGAAAAGAACTCTCCGTTTTCTTCTTTGAGCTGAGGGCTGCATAATGTGCTTGTAGTCAGATCCGAAGCCATACGAAGTAGGCAGGTAGAGCGAGCCTCGAGCTGCCACTGAATGAGAAAATCAGAATCATTAGAATGAAAAATGTATTTGATCCGGCGGGTATTTGAACGGAATTAGCACGTAACACTCAACGGAAAGCAAGCTATCAGTCCCTGTTAGTTCCTCTCCCTCACTGATACCGAAGCTGGCCCGAAGCTGGGGACCGCCTCTCTGACAGCTCCGGGGACTTCGCCTCACTTCCATGTGCAGTAAATATTTTTAGGCACACACAATGATTTTTTGATGAGCGGCGTGCGCTCTTGATGATGGGGGTAATCAGCGCCGAGGAGATAAATATTTGAATCATTGCGCGTTTGCTAATTATTTGCACCAACATGCGGGTGGTGTTTGGCGGTGGCTTTAAGGCTCGTGCGCGGCCCTGTGCATTTGGGTACGCAAATAATAGACAAACTTGTTAAGGGATTAGATGAGTGGTTAACACTTACTGGAGCTGGTGAATTGGCTAGTGCTCATATTGCCCGATGGTGGGTACCACGCGGTAGGTCCGGCTGAGTACGGATCGCTCGTGTAGCTGGACGGGGAAATGGTCTAAAATGCGTGTCTGGCGGAAATCAAAGCGCTTGAAAATACCTGCGACAAGTAAGGCGTCATTGGAGAGGTAGCATGCGGCAGATTGTGATACGTAGGTCCATAAGAGGACATAGTTTGGGTCTACGAACAAGGTTTAATGACGAAAAAATTTTCGCAAAATTTAAAGTTCAGACTTTTGAATGACTGTAGTTTTAATTTTCATCAAATATTACCTGTGCTCGATAGACATCATTCGTTGGGTCGTAGGAGGAGTAAAGAAGTTGCTGAGGATCTTGGTGGTGGAGCAAGTCATTGACGGAATAAGAGTTGCCGGAGGAAGTTGGCGATTCTTCACTCACGGAGCTTCGGAGAAAACTTTACTCTCTGTTTTGGGAATCTCTTTTAGACTTACAGTTGCGTGCTTGAAAGCGTGATTTGCTCTTGGGAAGTGTCGGCAGCAGGAGGTGTTTGGTTGCTGATGTCGATGGAGTCACTCATGATCGTTTTAAGGGAGTGTGGAGAGTCTTCAAGAGTCTCAGATCAATGTCTGTAGTTAGGGGTAAAGTGGTCAGTTGATTGGTAATTATGTGTCTCTAATTGAGCTTCTGTAGCACCCTCTGAGAGTACCCTCGAATGCTTCTTAGAGGCTATCGGGCCGATTTGTCCCGAAGCGAGTTTTCGGTGGAACAGCGCCACCGCCGAGCGGCGTGTTCGAGTGCTCATTAGGCGATTCGCTCCGCGCTCGCCCTGGGCCGAGTCATGATCCCCCGCAGAACTCGCTGTGCAAATACACATTGAATTATCATTCATCTAGAACCCTAACCGAGACTGGCCAAACACAGCAGGGGAAAAGAACGTAGCAGTATTTATCCCTAAAAACCAACATTTTTGATGACCCAGATTCGAGTTTGCCTTGCTGATTTCATCGCAGAGCAACAAGTTCGAGGGGATTTTGTGAGGGGATGGAGGCTAATTAGAGGGTCAAGTGATGGTACAGAAGCAGAAATGAAAAAACGAAGCAGGTCAAGTCCGCTTCTTAGAAAGTACTGAAGAGGCTGTCGGACATGTCCTCCGGGGCACTTCGGAGGCGTGGAAAAGTGTCCGTAAGTCCCTCATCAAGCAGCCTCATCGGAATAAGTTTGGGCACACTGGGCACTTATCGTCGCCCCTTCTACTTCACGCTTCCCGAGAAACATCCGAGGCGGCGACGATAAACGTCCAAAGAAAAATATAAACTAATGGCTTCTGTGTATCATTCGAACGTTCCCTCCAGGAAACTTCCAAGGCCGAAACTAATCCATCTTCCAATATAGATTCAGTAGAACTTCCTCGCATAGCAAAACGTCAAGAATAGATGACAAGTCATAGATTTTCCGAAGAAAATTAGCGATGATTTTTTCCGCAAAAATTGTATTCAACCATGTTTGAGCAGAATCTTGGTGGCGATGGATAAGCAGCTTTGCATTTTCTTTTGTTTCGATGTGAATAGAAGCCGCTTCTCGAGGATAGTTAAGGAGGTCCTGCTCGCATTTTTCTTAGCCACTCGATTCTAGTTTCAAGCATCCTTCAGAAACAACTCGGCCTAGACCAAAAAAACGCCTTGAATCGCTCAACTTTGCGCGACTTATAATAACACAACCTTCAACTTATATTAACAGTAATCTGCAATAAATTATTGCCATTAATGAAAATATAATTGTCTAGATACTCAAGTTTCGTGAGAGTCGATCCTAATTTTAGAGCAAATACGATGAAGGTTTGAAAAAGATTTTACGGAAACTTGGGACTTGTTTGAGTAAACGGCAGCGCTCCGGCTTGATTCTTGATGAAAAAAGTTCAAAAGTCGCGCCGCCACTTCTATGCCTTCTGGTTTTACTTGTTAGATGAATGCGATAATTGAGCGATATGCAAACAGTAATTACAGTGATCCGCTTGCTCTTGCAGAGTTTTTATTGAACTTGACTCTGATTGAAAGTTGCCTTAATTTTTACCACACATTTTTGTATGAAGTTTAAAATTACTTGTGTAAATAGCCAAGTCCACGAACCGCGATGAAAATAGGGCTCTTTGACAGTAGTTTTTATTTTTTGCTCCACGAGACGAATTGCAGTTCTTGATTCCATTAAAATCCAAAAGACAGTGTTGCGTGTTAGCGACAGTGTCCCTTTGTTGGGCGAACAAATGCAGTGGACTCTTGAACATTTTGGCGTTTGTTAATTTCTATGCCAAGATTAGACTCGGATGTTTGCCCCGAAAAGCTCCGAAGCTAAATTTCCCACCCCAAAAATGCGGAAGCATGGCCACAAATGATTATGCAAAAACAAACCGACTTTGATCCTGCTGTAAGTGGTGATTTAAGCATCCGCGTGCACGGCCCCGATTTATCAACGGATCCGTGACAAACACACCTGGTATAAAAATATATTTTATTTGAATAGAAAAAGAAGAATATTAAATATCGATAGGTTTGGGTTGCGGTTTGCGGAAGTGGCGCATCGTAGATCCCGGTTGCGTCGGCTTGAAGGGAGCCATCGCACCGTAAGGGCGAGGGATGGGGATCGTGCCATCCTTGGGAATGTACGCGTTGGGGCGGGGCACAGCTGTAGATAGGAACTCATCGCAGTCATCAGGCTCAGTGGGAACAACTAAAATTTATTTTAAAACATTGACTCCGGTATTTTTGAAAATTTGAAATCAAGGAAGAGTACTCACATGTAATTCGCTTCCACTCTTGCTCGCACTGTCGATTTGGCGGTAGACCTTGATCCATTCGCTGCACCGACTCAACCAAGAGCTCCTCGAGTTGAACGCGTTTGCGTTCGGTTTCAGAGAGCTTTAACTTGACCATGCTCAGCTCAGCTACTCGCGCCATCACTGAACGCGTTCTGTTCGCCAATTGACTTTGCGCGTTGTTGATTTGGAGAGAAAGATCCAGAGCAGGTCCCTGGAAAAAAATTACTCCAAAGAGCCTGGAAGGAAAGCTTTACCTTTGAGTAGCTGTTTCGTTCTTGTTGTTTTTCTAGCAGCCGTGTAACATGTTGCAGTAAGAGTTCTTTTTCCAAAGCGACTTCTTCAATATTAGCCAGACGGTTTTGAATCTGCTCGAGCTTATTTTTCAGTTCATCTGGGGCCAAATCTTCACCAGGTAATTCTCGTGCCCGCTCGTCGAAAAAGCTAAAACCGCAAAATTAGCCAGGACAAAAACAATCAACGAGTTACTTTTCTGGATCACAAAGTTTCTCCTCCAAGCTTTCGGTTTTCTTTCTTATTCTCGCGAGTTTAACCTTGAGTTCGACTAGCTCCTGCTCGTTCTGCTGCAGTTTAGGGATCTTCTCACTCCATAGAGCGATCTGTCGCAGATCTTGCTTCATTTGCAGCTTGAGGAATCGGATGTTTTCGTCGAACTCATGGATCTTCAACTCGCCGTTTTGAATCAACTGCTCTTGCACGTTCAAACGCTCGTAGAAGATGCAGACTTCTTCTTCGCGCTCCACAAGGGTGACTCCCCGTTCGTTTCTGTGCAAAATGGCCTTTTCGATTTGAATAAGAAGATTTCGCGAGTCCTCTTCTGACTTCACTCCCTAAAATGAAAATTAGATTGAAGTTGAAATGCAATTTTTGTACCATATTATTGAGTCGGTCAATATCAAGCTTTCGGCTAGCAAGAGTGTCATCGATTCCATTTTGAACGTCAATTGCTTTTGACTTTTCGTTTTGCAAGTTTTCGAGCTCGGCCTTTGCGTGAGCCTTTTGTAGCTCTGCTTTGTGCAAGTTTTTCATTTTTTCTTTGGCGGATGCTTGAAGTATTTCAACCTCGTTGGAGAGTATTCTTAGCTTGTCGCGAAGTTCAGATGCCTTTTGCGTCGATCCTTGGATCAGATGTACGTACTTGTTCTTTTCGTTTTTGATCACGTCGTATAGCTTCGCGAATTCGTCCTGCTGCGTCGCAAGTTCTTCGCATCGTTTGCGGTGGTCCTTGAGCACCAGATCGCGCTGCTTCTTTTCCTGCGTGATTGTTTTGATTCTGGTTGTAGCTCGAACGAGGTCTCGTGATTTGTGCTCCCGCTCGTCTTCTTTGATCTGGCGGATTCTGGTGAGTTCCACAAGACTGGCACGCTCCTCTTCTTGTCGCCGGAGAAGACGTTCTTCTTCAATGAGCATTTCTTCGTAGCGCACTTTCTCCATCGCAGTCATCTTTTGTTGGTGCTGAAGTTTGCGTTTTCCTTCCTCAACTTCTTTTGTGAGATATTTTCGCTGTTTCATCAGCTCAGCCGGGTCCGGCAGCTCGTCAAATGCGTCTTGTGCTTTTTGATTTAGAACTTGTTGTTGACGGAGGGCAGAGGAAGCGTGTCCCTGCATGATCTCCTTACGCTTAAGAGCTTTGATCGTCTTGTCCATCTCTTTGTTCTGACGGGCGTAAATTTCGGAGGCATGCTGTTTTTCGCTATTTCGGTGCTTGAACTTGAGCTGAATCTCCGTTTTTTCGATGTTTTGCTCGTGTTGCCGATCGGCTTCGATTGCCAGATCATGGTTTAACTTCTGTTCTCGCTGAGTGGCGCGCTCGATAGCGATTCGGATGTCCTCATGCTCCATCTTTACCGCTTCGTAATCGCCTATCCTCTGTCTGTTAATTTCGCCTTCCATGCGGTTCTTCTCTTCGAGCCCGCGAAGATGCATTACGACTTTATCCCGTGCGAGCCGCTCTTTCTCCAAGATTTTCATAAGCTTGTCGGACTCCTTCTGAAGTTGCTGGGGGACATTGTGGATTTCTGGACAGACGAGTTTGTTGCGGAGCGTTTCTTGCTCGTCCATGCACTCCTTGAGCTCTCGCGCTTCCCGCTCTGCTTCTTTGACTTTTTGGTCGACAGCGATCTTCAACTGGGAGATTTCCGTCCTCCGCTGTCGATTCTCTTTGCGGAGCTCTTCCTCTTCCCGCTCCATGTCTCGTTTCTTCACCTCCGCTTCCTCCGCATTTGGCTGAATACGCGCAAGTTGCCGCTCTAGATCAGCCTTTTCTTTGTAGTACTCCATCAGGTACTGGTCAAGCGATGTTGAGCGATCCTCTGCTGCGCGTAGCACATTTCGCTGCTCGAGGAGCTTTGCGCGCACCTTGCTTACTTCGGCATCGGGGTCTTCTACATAATTGTCGGCGGCGAGGCACGCTCGTTGCTCGTCGATTTCTTCCGTGTACTCTCGCGCCTTGTTCAGCAGCGCCTGCTCTTCGTCCCGGTATTTTTCAAGCTTATTGAACGCCTATGGAATTTATAGAATAAATGTTGAAATGTTGGACTTCGTTACCTCTGAGTACTTGGTGCGGAGACGCTGCAGCTTGAACTCATCCACCTCTCCTTTAGCGGATAGCTCTTCCAAGTTTTGGATGGCGGGCGCAATGTCTATCTCCGTCATTTCGTACTCATACCTATCCGGCGGCATGATTTCCTCGTCCATTTTCAAGGATTACCGATCTCTGGTCTGAACCTAGTAATTGATGATAATTGATTTATTGCGATATCGTAATTTGTTGCTGGCGTTAGGCAGACATCGTCTTTGTTTCTCGGCAAAATGTGCAGTATGCAATAGTCATTATTTACAGTGACAGTTTCAGTAGAAGTGAGGCGTTTCCCCGAGGACAAAAAAATAAGGGTAAAAAGCGAGGGGGAAGATGAGGACAATTGTGAGAAGCCTAAATATGTGCTAATTGTATCTTAGAAACTTGTGGAATTGACTATCCAAGTCTAAGCCGGTGTTCTTTAGAAATACATACATTTAGGACAGAGTTTTTATAGAATCGTGTTTACTATGTCTGACAGACATGATACAGACATTTTTATTCAAGCCTACGCGATTCTTATAGGATAAACTCAGATTTAACAATTCCTTGTATTTTAAAAGAAATCAAGTTTTAGAACTTTGGTTCAATTTCAAAGTAAAAGTGTCTAAGATGCATTTTGGAAAAGTACGTAGCTTAAAATATCATTTTTCAGGGATCGATTCTGAAAATGAAAAGAAATAGAGGAAGAGATAGAAGATAAAAAAATAATGAAAGAGCAGTCGGGGGGTTTTAGGAAACATGTGATTGATTCTCTGGGTTGAACAAAGTTGGTTTTTGAGTTTTTTCTTCTTTTTGAACTATTCAATGTAGATTTTGTGATAGTCATTGCCACCAAAGTTCTGATTGCACTTGGGACACTTTCTTTGGCGAGTTTCGTAACGCGTTTTCAGACACTTAAATTTAGTTTCATCGTTTGGTCAAAATTTGACTTGGACTCTAATTTTTTAAGCTTCGATATTTTCAAAGGATAGATGAGACCCCTAAGTAGAGAGCTATATAACGACCTCGTCTATTTTAAGGATGTAGCCAGGGAAAATTTACCTTGTAACAGAAAACGTGAAAGCATTTTGTCAGGATAGCATTTTTTTCTTCGATATTACAAATTGGGCATTTTAACCGTTTCTGGTAGCGTTCGATTTGCTCATTCAGAACCATATACGTCATATCAGTCTAAATCGAAAATTGTAACTACATTTCGTTCACTGCAACTGCTGGTTTACCTTTCCCCTTTTCTTGTCCATATGATAGCTGGATCGTTGCGCCTTGGCGCGCATCTCCTCGATTTGATCGTTTTTGCTTTTGATAATTCTTTGTACGTCTTGAAGTTCATTCAATTTATCGTGTTCCTTCCTTTTTTGATCCTGGCAGAGTTGGGCGAGCTCGATTGAGCGACGCTTGTGCAGCTCCAGCGCCTGAAACAAGATTTAAATATTTTTGTTGATTTTCTAGAGCCTGTTTTGGAATATACGACTCCAGCTCAAACAATCATTCCAGACGACAGAGAGAGAGAAGGACAATAGATACAAATGGATGAGACTGACTCAAAGAACCGAAAAGAGTTCTTCGATCGGCTAAGGCGATCGCCCTTCAAACCGAAACGATCGGACTTTTACGAAGAATACGGAGAGCCGAGCCTTTGGCGACCTAGAAATACTCCTAGCCGCGGATCAAATCCACTCTTATGCTATCATGTATTTCAATTTAATTGAAACAATTCAGCGAATCCATTTCTGATCCGTTTTCTAAGCCCTCCATTAGAGCTCTATAGCGACGATTCTGACTATGAAGAGATCATGGAACAAAGAGAGCGAGAAAGGGAAGAGCGAGAGAGAAGATCTAGTCAGTCAGATGTTTCAAGCGGATCTAGTGCTAGCATCATGTGTGAGTAGTAAACTTTAGCATTAAGTTGAGCGCATTTTGAGGCACTGAAAGACATTAAATGTTTAAGTTAATTGTGGAGCGGCTACTTTTGAAGATGTAATGGAACTAACCCCGCGAATGGAGGATGAAGAGATCCCTTGTTCGCTCCCTTCTCTCGGCGAGAATCCTTCCCGATTTATGCTCGCTGTTAGCGCAGGTACAACAATAACCGCTTCAACAAGCCGATTTTGATTCTAGGAACAAAACGAGCCTATGATTTATTGTTCCTGACCGTTTGCGCTTACCACTACTGCCTTCTCTCTGCCATGCGAACGAAGGAATCTATCGTCAATTTCTGCCACGCTGCCAAAGCCTTTTTTAAAGACTTCATTCAACTATACCCAGATGAACAAGTAATGCCTGCGATAAATTCTACAACTAAAATCATTTCTAGCAAATTTTGTGCAAACGCATCTTCCAAGTCTACTACCACACAAATTACGGCGACGCAATCAAGATTTTCTTCACCTTTTGCTTTGCCTACGTTTTATTTTCCTTCAGAGTTTACTAGAAAAACTATTTACACTTAACCACAAGGTACGCTAATCGATTCTAGCACCGTCAAAAATCTGCTTTGAAGCGAAAAAGAGAAGCAAACGAGTTTCATTACCTGAGTACGGAGAGAGAGTTCCTGTTCGCCGTTTTTCACTTGCGCTGTTTGGAGCATTTCCTTCTCTTCCAGCTGTCGAACGAGTTTCTGTTGACTCTCGGCCTGTGCTTCCAGCTGTAAGATTTTACTTTCCAGTACTTCTTTTTCTTTCGCTTGTATTTGCTATTGAATAAAACACTCAATATATCTAGCAACGTCGAACGTTATTACCTGCAGGCTTCCAATCTTGATGCGCTCTTGAAACAGGTTAAAATACTCCTTGTCCTTGTCACGGAGATCTTGAACGAGCCGAACATTTTGCTCTTGTATCTCTTCCAATGCCTTAGATCCAAATCAAAACAATATATTTCGCAAAGAAAAAAGAGCTTACCAAGCCGGTCTTTTCGAACTCGTCCTGCATCGATGCATCCTGAAGCTCTTTTTCTGCGTTTGCTCGTTTCAACTCGGCGATTTTCGCTTCGTATTCCTCCACCAGCGCTCTCTTCTGGTGCTCCAAGACGAGGCAATCGCGTGGCAGTTCGTTCAGCCTCCTTCAGAAAGCTTTAGCGACACGCTTAAACCCTCCTTTACCTCAAGTAGGACGTGCGTAGATCAGAGAGCCTGGACTCCATCTCAGCCAGTCGCATTTTATAATCATTTGCTTCGCTGGGCTCATGATTCGTCAGCAGAGCTTCGAGTCTCGCAGCTTTGTCTCGTGCACGCAGCAGCTCGCATTCAAGGCCTTCCACTGAGCTTTCTAGCGCTTTCTGCGGAATTCCTGAATCCAATTATACAGCAAAAAGAGCGTAAAAAGAGTACCTGTTTCAAGAACTTCATTTTCCAAATCCGTGAATATCCTGTAGACAGGCTCTTCTCGTTGTTTCTGGAGGAGTTGTTCGGCCTTGAGACCTTCGATTTCTTGCTGCTGCTCGCGCGTTTTACGTTTTTGCCTGTTGAGTTCGGCTTTCAGTTGGCGATTGTGGGATTGAAGCGAGTTGATCAGCTGGCGCATTTCTCGATTGATGGGTCCTGCTTGCTCGGTCGCTTTCTGGTGCTAAAAATTTGGTGTTATTAAATTGATAAAAACAACAATTGTGAATTTTTTAATTGATAAACAAAATATATTAAATTTGTACTTACCAAATGATACTCGTTGCAGACTTTGTCGTATTGCAACTGAAGCGTGTGATTTTGTGCTTCCTGTTCTTTGAGTTTCGTTCTCATTTGCTCCTGCAGATTGAGTTCTTCGCATTCCATCTGCTCGAGTTGTCTGAGGAAGAGGTTGCGCATTCCTTCGTGCGAAGCCCGGGCATCTTCGGCCTGCCTCTTCAGCAGCTCCGATTGTTGGTACAAAACCGAAAACTGCGCCTTCAACGATTGATAGACGCCGCTGGTGATGATGACCGCTTCGGAGGGATTTTTAACGCGCAGCTCCATGTTGTCGCGCTCCGTTTGCAACTCGGACAGCTTCGCCCTCAGCTCGGCGATCTCGTTATCTTTTTCTTGGAGAGCCTCGTCTCTATTTTCGGCAGTGATGGCTTTTGGCGAGAGCTGCCATAAGGTTTCAATTTTGTTTATTTTTTCTCAATCGAATAATAAAAAAAAACTTATTGAAATTTAAAACTCTCTTTAAAAATTTGATATTGAAACCGTGCCTTGTCCTCGTACTCTTCTTTCGGCTGTTTCTTCTCCGGCACCTTCGCAGAGCGGCTTTTCATCTGTCCAATGAGTCTGTAGTTGCGTTTCGTCAGTTGCTCGCATTTGTGCTTCAAGTCTTCGCAGAGTTCCGTCTTCTCCTCCAAATCGTTCTCGACTTTTTCTAACTCGGCCGAGAGGTCTCTGTTCTTTTCCGTCACCTCGGCCGCCATTTTTTTGACTTCGGCATCGTTGACGCCAGCCAGGAGGCGCTGCACGCAGCGGAGAGTGAAGTCGTTTTCAGATCTAAAATTTCAAAGGTAGCAAGTTTCTTTTATTTCTTTATTAAATCGACTAATTATTCTTTGTTTTTAGTAACGAAGCTTCAAAATTCAACTATTGGAATTAAAAAAATCACTCATTCTCGAAATTTTATTCTAAATCTTTCATTTCAAGTTAGGGTTTGACTGAGAATCAAAGAGAAGGAGGCTTGGATTTATCCTTAAGGATTTTTGTTTTTTAAACTATCCAGTTTTGATTTAAAATTAAAACTAACCGTAATCGCCTTCCAAAAACACGTAAAACTTCATCAGATTCGGGGGCTTCGTCGAATTCCTTTTGAACCTCCTCTTCCGTTGGAAAATGATAGGTGAGATTGACCGGCTGGTTTGTCAGCGTCCCCAGCTCGGCGGAGAACTCTTTCCACCAGCTCCGGACGACTCGGTAAAACGCTTTCTTCTCCGCGAGTTTCTTTTCGGCCACTTCGGCGCGCTGCAGACTTTCGCTTTTGATCTTCTTCTCCGCTTCGAGCAGATCAACCAGTCTAATGAAACGCTAGAATTCGAGACTCTAAGAAGGAGGATCGTACCTTGCTTTGGAGAACTCGTTGACTCGTTTGTCAAGTTCTTCGGAAGAAGAAATCGTCCCTAATCGATATTGTGGCAGTGAGGACATGCATGATCCTGAAGAACCCAAATCCAGCGCATCCTGAAATCATGGCTTGAAAGCTGCCCAACTCAGGAACGAATAGATAACAATAGATAGCGCAAGAAGTTATCTTAATTCTAGAGATATGCCTGGATAACAGATGGCCACAGACATTCCCTATCTGTACTCTTTGAATGATACCCAAATCAATGATTGTGTTTTAAATTTAATGATTAAGCTACTGACTATACGAAAATAATTTGAAATAAAAAACATCCAGTTACGAGAACGTTCATTTTTAATTGGAATTGGAAATTACTACTAATTCTAGCTAATTATAAAGTAATTTACCATGGCGTTGACTTTCTTCTCCAGCGGGAGGCCATCCGGACCCTCGTCCGCAGTCCTTTTCATCATAGCTTCGTTAGAGACTATTACTGTATGTTAATACTTTATTTTCGATAATAATAATATTAAATTCCAGATATATTCATTTTCCTTTTTTTATCCTTGAAAAATCAAAAATATTCCCAGATTTATTGATAGAGATATTGAACAATCAAACTTTTGACACTTTTGTTTTATTGTTTTTGATCTAAAACGATAGAACGGGAAACTTCTTTACCTTTATCTTGAGTGAGGATTGAGGCTTTCAGTTTGAAATTTGAAATTGAGATTGAATGCTTGTGTCAGGGATAGATACTAGTTACAGTGAGTTGAGAATGGTTGAGATAGGTGGCAAAAAAGAGAGAGAATAGCGGTGTCAGGAATTGAGAAGCGTCAACTTGAGGAGCGTTGCTTTCTTCCTCCGCTGAAAATCTGTCTGGCAGACAGTCTGCAGGACGACAATGCAGGTAGTATTCTCGGACTTAGGAAGGAAACTAGGCTCGGCGCTCGGGCATTTTATTCGCCGCTCAACGACGCTGCGGCCAATCAGCGCCCAGAGAAATACATTCCAATTCCATTTCTAGCGAGATTCCTTTCGAATGCGAGAACTCTCCTTATTTCTAATGCTATTTCTCACTAGAGCTCTCTCGTAGTTTATGATTACGTAATGTTTAACGACTTGAAAGCGGAGAATACAGTCTACTAGACTTGATTATCATCAAATCTAATTTATATATTGCTTAAATTAATTGATCATCCATTTATGATTGATTATTTAGTAGGAGATTCCGTCAACTATTACTAACAGTGTCCATTTCACACTGATTACAATTGCAATTACAGTTAGGGAACATTAAAGTTCAGAACATCGTTAACACAATGAGTTCGAATTAATCAATTAAGCAAATGCTTGATTAATGATTGATAAAAAGAAGGCCTGGATACGGTGAAAGCTCACCAAGAAATCGAAGAAGGAAGAAATAGAATCAAGAATATAGAAGGATTTCAAGAATTTCAATGTCGCTCTCTTCTCAGCGTGCCTCAAGAAAGGATCTTCAAACATGACTTTCCTCCCTCATTTTCTGTCAAAATAAATTCCTTTCCTTGCCTCATTAATCGCTCATGACAAATTCGTGGAGCTAGAATGATCCTTGATAAAGGCAGAACTCGGCAAATGTACCGTGCGATATGCAGCCGGACTACCAGGCGGAGGTGCATGATCACGGGACGATCAGAATCGCACTCGCCACTCCTCCCGGCCAGGAGAATCAACGCCTCAATGATCGAGTCCAGTTGAAGCTAGAGAAGCACAAAGAGCTCTCTATTTCCGGCAGAAATCTTCGGATGCGTTACTCGTGGAGTAAGGGTTACTCCGGCGAATGGCTAGCTGCTAGTGCTTGGGGAGATGTTCAGCTTTATCGGCGGCCGCTTGGATTGATTTTTATTGTTGATGCGAAGCGGCAGGAAGATGCTGATAGAGGAATTGAAGAGTACATAGTTAGGGGTCTTCCATGATTTCATGATCGAATTTTAAAACTGATTGTTCTTTGTATTAAAAATCCTTTTCTAAGCTCTCCGAAAGGAACTGAACGCATCTGTCTATGACGGGCGCTGCTTGCTGGTAGGCAGCAAAAGCAGTCAACCGCTCAAACCCGACATTCTTCACTTTCAATCCGTCGATGCTTGGAAAACTTCTTGGAAGGATATTGAAGACATGGTGACGTCGATCTACTACATTCTCGAGTCCAAACGCGTTGAGAGGTCGTCTATGTCTTCTTCCAACTCGGACAAGTCTTACCCAATGCTAATGGCTCCCTTCGAACGTCGGGAGGGAAATCTAGACTTTGATTCGCGAAGCTTTCGCAAGAAACTTCAAGGACGATTGAGAAAACACATCGGGGATCTGTGTCTGCTCTGTGGCCTCCCACAAGAGGCGTTGATTGCCTATCACAGCGCATTAGATGCTCTGCGCCTTTCTCAAGATCATCTCTGGGTTGCGGCTTCGCTAGAATCTCTGCGCCGTGACAGCGTCGTATTCAACCGTAGTCAAGTCTGATCATTGCTTGGAATCGCCGAATGACATTTTCGAAAAATACCGCGAAGCAGTGATCAATTACTCGAAGTTTAAGGAAGCAGGTGTTCTCGAACTCGAAGCGTGTCTAAAAGCGACGAAGGTTCTTGTTAATATGGGTCGAAACTTGGACGCCTCTGATTTTCTTCAAAACACAATCTACATTGGCATCAAATTGCCAAGCGAGCGTGAGATTGAAAGGCTCTCGACTCTGGCCGATCTATACGGGATGATCGGTTTCAAGAGGAAAGAGGCTTTTTACAAGCGAGTAGCTGCAATGTACTGTGTTGCCGATCAGAACAATTCCGAAGCCCGGTGGCAGCAGTGTTTCAGCCTTCTTCGGGAGAGTTTGCCCGGCTTCAGTCTCGAACACGTTCTCGGATTTATAAAGTCGAGCGAATACGAAACAGACCTGTTTCTTTCATCCGGAGAATCGACTGGCTGGCCGGCGGTGCAGGCGCGCGTTCTCCACGAACTAGCCTTTTCAGCACGGAAGATTGGCGATACCAAGCTTGCAATCAAACTTTTATCCGGCCTCCTGCATAGTACCCACTCGTTTCTTAACAAATCGGAGCAGGAAGAGATGCTCCAAGCTTTGAAGAACTACTCCTCTGCGTGTCGAGAGGAAAGCGAAATCCTCTACGAGCCGATTTGTTTACCGAGCTTTGTTAATGTTGTGATACCGACGGGAAATGGAGATCCAAACCTTGAACCAATCGAGGTATTGTAGAAACTATCAATTTTTCTTACTAATCGATAATACTTATATATTTCCATAAGTAACGAAATTCCATAGACTACGGCCCAACAAACCAATCGAGTTTTCATCTACTCACCATTCGAAAAAGACCGGAAAAAGATCCGCTGGGTGAAATCTGAAGTCAACACAATCGAACTGATATTCTACAATCCACTTGCTGCGGAAATCGATGTCAATCACATATCTGTAAGGAGTTATTTTTCAAAACACGTCGTGAATCTGCTTGTTTCTATAGATCGTTGCGAAGGGAGAAGCTTCCCCAGTGAATATCAAGCCGCAAAGTGTTCGTTTGTCGCCTGGATCTCATGTTTCTGTCAAAATCGACTGCATCTGCGAGATTGTTGGTGAATTCGAAATCACCGGCTACAGAATCGATCTATACGGTCTCGTCTACGAGGTTCACTTTGAGCGGCTTTTGAAAAAACGAAAGGTTCATAAACTCTCAACATTTTGATAGTTAATATGTTTTGTAGGAAATTTACATTCTGAAAAGCTACAAGATCGAAGTGATCGACACGATTCCGATGCTCGGAGTCGACGTGTCCCTCGTCCAATCTCCAAAAGCGTTGAATATCGTCCGCGAACTCCAAGAAAACCAACAAGTCAAGTACAAATCTGCCTTCTACGACGGGGAACATCAGAAAATTGCGATCACGATCGAGAACGTTTCTCAAATCCCCATCGGCGAAATTGAAGTTTATCAAGAAGTCGATAGTGAATCAAAGGGAGTGATTAACTTTTCATGCGAGAGTGCTCCTTCTACTTTGAAACCCGGCGAACGCGTCATTTTCGAAGCCTTCTTCGACAGTGAATTGAAAGACAGCAAAATTGAGACCGTCCTGCACTTCATCAAAATCAACTACAAAGGTAAACAGTTGCCTTAGCCGGTTGTTTTCACTCAAAACAACTAAGTAAGAGTTTCGATCAATGATAAATTAGAGCTCATTCTTTCCATCAAAATTTGCAATAACTTTTTTCAAAAGAGCACTCCGATGTTTGCTACATGCGTACACACACGACGATCTTCGAAAGTGATATCATCCGTCCCCTGGAAGTTATCGGCCTCTGCGTGAAGCAGTCAGAATCATCCGAATACGCAACGATCGTCCTAGAATGTCATAACAAGGCAATCGAGGAGATAAACATCATTCAGTCGTACATTTTTCTAATTCAAAAAGAAAAAAATCTAATCCTCATCTAGTGTGCCTAATCAACAGGGACCTGCTTCGCTGAAATCAACTGTCGTTCGAAATGGGCACGCATCCGTGCTCTACGTCCAAATTGAGAAGCTAGCGCACATTCCACTTTCCGAACAGTGCATGGAATCTGCGCTCGGACTCAAATGGCGCTGCGATCCAGCTCGTTATGGGGTCGTTCATCTTTCTTCCACCACACTTAACACGAATGAACTCATCGCCCTTCAGGTATGTTCATTTTTCCCAAAGATCGATTTGTATTCCGTGAATCAAGGCTAGTCCTCTCTACTGGGAGTCTGAAGTCGATGATGAGCCACTGGAAGAAATCGTCAAAAATGGAAAAGTAATGGAGCCCATGATCGTCCGGACGACAGCGATCAACCGCACCAACGAGCCCTTTGAAGATCTCAAAATAATGCTTGAAGCCGTCCAAGAAGACTCCCGCGGGGAGTTCAATGTTCTCGACGGTGCGATCATGTCCACTGGCCTCAACGAAGCATTGACTCAAGTGTTGGAGTCGAAGTCCTCCGTTGAATTTTCTCACATGATGATTCCACGCTTTGCTGGCAATTTCAAAATTCGCTTCAGGGCGTTTGTCGCGGATAAAGGTTGGTTCTTGTAGATCAATAGGGAATTATGAAACTTAAGGTTCTTCGCTCAAATCTTTCGTCTCTCCGAGTTATTCTTTCTGTATCAGCCATCCTTCAACTGCCTTATAGGATCATTCTTCTGTTTCTTATTCCTCCGGTTTATTCTATTAATATTTCCTAATATTCATATTCGGATACATGAAAATCACTTTTGCGGAGCAAAATTCTACCCCCCATGTTTCTTGTGCTCATTAGAAAGAGCAACTCCTAAGGAGTCGAATGGTATAGTTTTGAGGGTCTGAGTCATCACATATGACGTCATAAGGGCCCCCTTTGAAAAATGGGCATGTCCCCCTGTATCTCCGAAAATTTTCAGAAATTTATGGAGATTTTGATATCGTTGGAAAGCCCACCTCAAACTGGCTATGAGCACAAGGTGTGCAAGAAAAAATTTCTAGGAAAAAATTTTTTTCTGGGACAAAAACTTTTTACCCAAAATTTTTTTCGGATTTTTTTATTGCGCACCTGGTGCTCTTAACCAGTTTGAGTTGGGCTTTCCAACGATACCAAAGTCTCTATATATTTCTGAAAATTTTCGGAGATACAGGGGGACATGACCTGACATTTTCAGGTACTTTCGGCACTAGAATTGGCGATTTTTCGTGGCTTAGACACATAAAGATTGCACTCTTCGACTCCTCGGAACCTGCGCTACAAGATGAGCACAGAAAATATTGGGTTCCCGATTTCGCTCCGCAAAAGTCATTTTCATCTATCTTCGTCCCTTTCAACGATCTTTTTTTAGATGATGGAAGTCGATCAAAGCACCTCAGCCTGGCTGCTGAGCAGGGCACTCAACGCAAAGAACATCAACGAGGCACGTGTGTGGCTCGAATCCGCCAAATTAGAAAGCCCAAAATCCTTCAACATGATGATATCTGCTTACGAACTTGAGTGCAGGGCGCTTACGTCTCCAAAAGACACTGCTAATGTGATATTAGGTAGAAATAATGATGAATGTGCTTGAATAATTAGCTCTTTAAGGCCTCGTTAAGAATGAAGAATTCATCAATGAGCCCCGACTGTGGGACGAGGAATGGTTCTGAGACGCGAAGTTATTCCTAGAAAGAAAACTTATAAAGAGACAGCTTCAGAACTCAAACAGGTTAGAATACTGCTTGAATCTGATACAGATTCCAACAGGACAGCCGTGAATATATTTCGCAGCGAAGTAATCACTGCTCTCGGGCCAACGAATTTCCGCGAATTGATCATCGAATTCATCAACATCTACAAGCAAGAAATTGAGCTGCACATCGAGCTCCTTCTTAAGATTCTAAAGAAGTATCCAGATTACATCAAACCAGTTGGGCCAAATGTTTGCGACAAGCTTTTCATGGGCGAGAAGCACGACGCTGGAGAGGACCCAGATTTGACGCCGCTAAATAGGAAACGACACTTGGCTGTAAATACTGTTTTCCCAGTGCTATTTGAATCCGGCAAGTTGGACGCTGTGCAGGCAAAGACTTTGTATAAATGGTTCCAAAAGAGTCTTGAATATACAGTTTGGTACGTCTCTACGACTAAGCGCCCCAGTGATCTGCCAATGATTGAGTAAGTTCAAGCCGTTAACTTATGAACCCATTAAATATTTTGTTAAAGAGGAGATGCATGGGAGAAACTGCGAAAGATCAGATTGCATATTGGTAAACACGCAGGTTGGGAAGCCGAGCCCTCCCTTCCTTGTCAACCAGCGCAAGCTTTGTGGCAAATGGTCAAATGGCTGAAGTCGATCTACCTCCCTTTCAACTACAACTCGCGCAGGCCCCCGCCGAATTTAAACGCCATTCGCAAGCAGACATTTTACACTGCGGTTAACGTCTACCTCGAAGCAGCAGTGCGCTACATGGCCATTTCCGAACCTGCCTTGATCAGGAATCTATCGGGCAAAAAAACCTACAGTCAATTCCCTATCTACGGCATGATTATTGATGCTGCGGATAAACCAAAAGGAAAATACTTTGACAAAAATTGTAAGTCAACCATTTTCCTGAAACAAAAAAACTAAATAAATATAGTCGAGGACATGTGCGAGCGTCAGCAATTCTTTACCGCTTCGATCGCCGCCAAGAAGATTTTGACCGACGACGATATTTTCGCCGAAGATTTGCAAAAGCTGCAACGGGCGCTGAAATTCAACAAATGGCACTGGCTCGAAGCGTTTCACATTGATTGCTCGTTCAAAGACGGGGATTTCGACCATGCGATTTTTCGGCTCTCGCATTTGATAAAGGTCAGTTGCGGAATAATTGGCTAACTATTACGATATTTTTGTTTCAGGCTGAAAATTGGCAATCTCCGCTGTTATACAGATGGCGAGTTCAACTAGGCTCCTGTTATTATGAGCTGAAGAAGATCAGGACGTCTGTAACATATCTTTACGATGCGATGATGCAAGAGCAAGAAGACGCCTTCGACACGGAAATCGACGGGGAATACATTCTCTCAAATCAAATGGGAGAAATCGAATGGGTTCGAGGAGTACACTGCGACGTCCTCATCATAGGTGGGCAATAATTAAGGAGTACTTTTGAATTACGCTCTATTTCGTAGCAATTCATGCGATTCTTAATGCTACTGCAGTGCTACTCGACCGAGCAAACGCCGCTAATGCACCACACCCGAGACAAATGCAAATCGTCGGATGGATGCTAGTACTGAGCCAGTACGAGTGGCCCCGCTTCTTCGAGACGACAAAGTACGCTATCGAGAAAATCAAGAGCGAAGGAAGCTTTACGTATCCAAACATGCTCGATTTCATTTACGAAGGAGGAGTCATCGAGGAACTCGCCTGGCTGCTCAATCAGGTAATTTTGCAAACAAACAAAAAAAGACACGAGTTTTTGGAAGGTCAGTTGAATTCAGTTATTCTTTTGATTCCTTCCAAAAAACCAGAATTTTATGTGAAAAATTGATTTTATTCAGGGCAGTTCAAGCTCGGTGAAATGGGCTTCTGCTAGCCGTATCACTTTCCCATTTCCTTTTAGGAATCCAGGGAATTGCTTAACATACTGTGTCCATTGCCAATTTTTTGGCTTCTTGTCGAGCTAAAATTACAGAATTACTCAAGAATCTTAATTAAAAAAATATTCTGGTATGATTAAAATTACCTGAAATATGACGGTTTCGGACCCTCCTTTCCCCTCACTGGCGAAGGAGACTGATGACTAAAACTGAAAAAATAAAGTTGGGATCTCGTGTTCTAGAAATCAACACGTGATTTTACCGATTTCATGGAATTTTTAGGATGTGCCGCTGAATATATCGAACGCAAATGAGCCCAGGGAGCTACGCGAGCAGCTTATCAAGGCGGTGCGTTCAACGATCTCCCCTTCTATCTGTATTCGTAATTTCCTTATCATAACAAAGGAAGAGATCCTCTCCGAAATGGAGCTGCCCAACCGTTAATCTTTCTACTTTCAATTACCCTCTCAACGCTGCGCTCATCGTCGACCTGCTAAAATCTTCAAGGATAAAACAAATTGAAAAGAAAAGTAACAACTCTCTTCATTTTCACTTTTCAGATCGAGATCGAAATGCGCCGCAATAGCCGTATTTTATTGCTATTTGGCATAATATGGTTCAGTGGTGTATATTTATATGTTAGAAATTCCGACAACTCAAGCGGTGTGTACAAGGCGGAAAGTAATCCAAGGCATGGGAATAGAGTAAGCAAGGATGCCTCTGAAAAACGTAAGAGTTTGGAATTGAAATCAAGGAAGAGTATCAATTCTTTAGATCATAAAAAGAAAAGCACAAGCCAAAAAGCCCGCTGCACAACGAAAATGACAAGATTGACGCTGAAAAACTAGAACACGACATTGAAGATATCGAGCATGGCATCGAAGATCTCAAGAATGATGGCAAGAAAGACGAGTTTGCTGAAATTGAAGACAGCATAAGGCATGATCTGGAAGGCGGAAAGGATCAAGACTACGGCGACATGGAAGGCATTTCGGATAATGCTGAAGATGGAGATGAAAGTGAAGGCGACGAGAGTAAGGCGCACGCTGACCCGACAGGAGATACCAAGATCAACAAAGAAATCGAAGAAGGCATCGAAAATGTTGAATTCGAGCAAGACGAGTTGCAAGGTCCACCGACTGAAAAGTCAGTCCAAGGTATGCGACGATTTTTGATTATTCAACTCCTATATTTCATTAGATGACGATGATGAGGATGATGAAATGGAGGAGGACGAAGACGAGGAAGACGACGGCAAAGTAGATTGGTGGGATTTCGACGATGCGGCATACCTAGCTGCCGGCGCTCTAGGTCCAGACGACGATCCTTACGAGGCGAACAAGTTCAACCAGGCTGCGTCTGATCGAATAAAAAGCGATCGGGCGGTTCCAGACACTCGCCACAAAGAATGCAGCAAGCAAAAGTTCCCAGTCAATGATCTGCCCGATACTACTGTCATCATCACATATCACAACGAAGCTCACTCAACCCTCTTGCGAACGGTGATCTCGGTTCTTCACAGATCGCCTGCTCATCTGATCAAGGAAATTATCCTCGTAGACGATTTCTCCAAAAACCCGAACATTGGACCTCCATTGACGAAGATCAAAAAAGTCAAAGCGATTCGGAATCCAAAGCGAGAAGGGCTTATCCGATCACGAGTTCGTGGAGCCGCTATCGCAACTGGCAAAGTTCTGACTTTCTTGGACTCGCACGTGGAAGCAAATGAAGGCTGGTTGGAACCCCTTTTGGGAAGAATTCACGAATCCAGAACGGCTGTCGTTTCCCCGGTGAGTTTTAATTGAAATCAAGAAGAATATTTTACCGCAAATTTCGTTTTGAAAGCAAAGAACGAATTTTCATTTAACGGCCTTACTCAAAGAATTCGCCAACTAGCCAAATAAGCTCACTATAACATCCCTAAATATTTGACCGAGAACTGACGATAACCGCACTATATATAGCATCTCTAAATTCTGATTCTGAACCTGCAAGAAAACATAAATACAACACACTTTGGAAAGTCTTGTTTTTGAAAGGACATGACCAAAGTTTTAAGTTCGTACAGTAAATTGATTTTATTCAGGTAATTTTGAGCTCAAACTCGGCTTTTGCTAACCGTATCACTTTCCCCGTTCCTCTTGGAACTCGCACTTTTGTTCTTCCCTCTTAGGACGGCTTTGAATTCAAGCTCGCTTGCAGGGAATTTCTTCAAGCTCTCTAATTCGAGAGTTCATTTTCGCTCTCTTCTTCACTAAACCAACAAAATTAGTTTAGCATCACTTGTAAATCGGAATTTTTCAACAAAAAATCATTAATTACCTGTGTATTTGGCGGCTTCGGACCCTCCTTTCTCCAAACTGGACCGAAGGAGACTGACGAAAAAAGTGAAAAACATTGTAGGTCCCATCTAAGGGATCCATGTTCTAGAGAATCGTGTCACGTGATTTTCATGTTTTTGAGTTTCACTTTTCTCGAAAACTTGATTTTTTTCTAATTTCTTTTGTTAGATCATTGATGTCATCGGAATGGACGATTTCCACTACGTCGGAGCTTCTGCTGACTTGAAAGGAGGTTTCAATTGGGATCTTGTTTTCAAGTGGGACTACATGAGCGAGCAAGAACGACGCGAGCGACGAAAAGCACCGACCAGTCCCATTCGAACTCCGATGATTGCTGGCGGTCTATTCAGCATCGGTATCTGACAACTAGTTTTTATCCGATAATTAATTTCTTCAGAGAAAAATTGGTTCCATGAGCTGGGCGAGTATGACATGGACATGGACGTTTGGGGCGGCGAGAATCTTGAAATTTCATTCCGCGTTTGGCAATGCCACGGCACACTAGAAATCATTCCTTGCTCCCGAGTCGGCCATGTTTTCAGGAAAAAGCATCCATACACATTCCCTGGAGGATCCGGCAATGTGTTTGCCAAGAATACAAGACGCGCGGCTGAAGTCTGGATGGACGAGTACAAAGGTATGAGATCGAATATGCTGGTTGAAATCAAGGAAGAATGTCTTGGTAGTGGCTCAGAGTCCAATCTTTTTTCCTTCAATTTTTTAAAACTATTCTTGGTTTTTAAGAATTCTACTTTGCCGCGGTTCCAAGCGCAAAGATGGTCAAGTTTGGCGACATTTCGAAAAGAACGGAGATCCGAGAAAAGTAAATTTGATTACGTTTATTTATGGATAGTGACTTTTATATCTAAGGCTTCAATGCAAATCGTTTTCGTGGTTCCTGGAGAACGTCTACCCGGAGCTGCGAATTCCAAATAAGGACGCAATCGGGTGGGGTGCTGTCAGCCAGAAAAACAAGGGGCTCGAGGAGTGCATAGGCACGGATTTAATTAAACAAATTTCTCCGATAATGTCGATATTGCTTCGCAACAGAAATTGAGTAAAGAGAATATCGAGCAGCGATATTCGTTATCCGAGAATTTGTCCGTTTCAAAGATGTTCAATCCGGCCAAAAAGACACGCTTGGAAATACACATGGCGGCGGCACAATTGGAATGTACAGGTGCCACGGCGACGGGGGCAATCAAGAGTTTACGTTGACCAAAGAGGGCAAGGAGTTTAGACACATGGATCTATGCATTGGCTACAATGCCAAAGGTAAGGGCAATTCGAAATTTCTAATTATCAAAGCAAGAGGCTAAGAGAAAGCAATCGCTTATTCGATTTGTAATGAGCGTGAATTCAGAGCCCGTCGGGAACCCTGTCAAATTTAACACGTGTCACCAAATGAGCCACCAGCGCTGGGAATACTTCGGAAGCCAAATAAAGCCCGAGGGACACACCAATCTGTGCCTGGACTCGAAGAACCACTTGGAGAAGGGGCTCACGCTCGAGGTGTGCAACCACTCAAGGACGCAGGTTTTCTCGTTTGAAATGAGAAACATCAAGTAGACAAAAAAATGTCAGTCGAAGAAAACGACGAAGACGAACAACCGCAAAGTGTAAAAAAAAAACAATTACTCGCTCATGGATCTTAGCGCACATTCAAAGCTTATCAACTTATTAGCTCATGATCTTCAGCCTTAAATTAACTCAACCCGAGTGCCGACATTTTCGCTAAAAACACGCAAAGCTTAATCTTGTAAATGTCACAAAGTCTTAAGTTTGTGGCGCGTTTAATCTTTATTTTTTTCTCCTTTTCGTGGCCTAGTTGAGATTTCCATTGTTCAAAGTTTTTAAATGAGATGTTGCTTCATATTTTCTGTCAAAACCAGTTTTTTCCCAAAAAACAACCTCCTATCCACATTATTATTTTTATCGACTTTTCTACTGCTGATACTTAGATTTTTCTTCTATTCTTTATTCTTCTATTCACTGTACCTTTTTATTGCTTTCTGCCACGGGCGTAGACTCGGTGCTGTATTTTCTGGGAACGTTGCAAATATTATTAAATCATTCAGTCTCAACCTTTTCTTTCTTTTCTTAGCAATGTCGGACATTCGGAAGCGAAAATCAGCTCAGGCCAGTTCTAAAGACAGCGCCAACGGAGCCAAATCGTCCGCTCCCGCTGCAGCGAGCTCAAGCTGGCTTGTGAAAATCTTGATTTTTGCAGCAATCGGAGTTTCATTTGTCCTCTTTGCTCCTGTCGAAATCACTGTTTCTTATAAGACGCCTCTCATTCTCCAGCACTTCCAAAGCCAAGAATCCGCTTCCAGTCCGACGCAGTTCAAATCTCAGCCAGCTTCCGAGGAAGTTCATTCTCCTCAAAGCTCGTCAGAACCCGAAGTCGCTGAAGCTCAAAAAGAGCCATATCCAGTGCCAGAATTTGTTCCAACAGATTTCGTACCACTAAACGGCGAAGAAGAGAAATCCTTCGATCTTTACAAAGCAGCACGAACAGTCAGTCCCGAGGACGTCTACGTCGATCCCAATAGCCAGCCTTGGCACAAGTTCGACATCAAAAGCTACATCGACGAGGGGAGAATCAAGAACAAGAAAGATGCCTATAAAACCGCCGCGTTTAATCAGCTCGTATCCGACGACGTCCCAATGGACCGAAATATTCCAGACACGCGGCTGGGAAGATGCAACACTGTCGAATGGCCACGAGAAGGTCTACCGACTACTTCCGTCATCATCACTTTCCACAATGAGCTTCGTTCGACCCTTCTTCGAACCATCATTTCTGTCATCAGAAGAACACCGAGCAACATTCTCAAAGAAATCGTCCTCGTCGACGATGCTTCTTCTGACCCTCGCATCGGAATGGAACTAATCAAAATTAACAAAGTGAAGCTTATTGTCAACCGAGAACGACAGGGCCTCATAAGGTGATTCTCAGTTTTAAAATATGTTCGTTTATCATTCATCGTTAGAGCGCGAATCCGGGCAGCGATGATCGCCACTGGAGAGACCTTCACATTTCTCGATAGCCACGTAGAAGTCAATCAAGAGTGGATCCAGCCTCTGATGCTTAGAATTAAAGAAAATCCAAAAATGGTCGTTGCTCCAATTATCGATGTCATCAATAAAGTAACGCTAATTACTTCTGGAAAAGAAATGAAACATGAAATTAGGACAATTTCCAATACATCGGCGCAGACGCTTTCCTGACTGGCGGCGTCAGCTGGGCAATGGTATTCCGATGGGACTGGCTGACTCGATCCGAGATGGAATCAATGGATCATACAGTTGGACTCAAAAGTCCAACGATCGCCGGCGGACTCTTCTCAGTTGGTATGTTTATTCATTTTTTTCTTCTGTTCAGCTGATAATTAAGGTAAGGCTTGGTTCCACGAACTTGGTGAGTATGATGATCAAATGGATATCTGGGGCGGAGAGAACATTGAGTTTTCCTTCCGAGTCTGGCAGTGTGGCGGAGAAATGGAAATTCTTCCCTGCTCAAGGGTAGGAATTAACAGCTGTATATTGTTTTTAATTACTTAGGTCGGCCATGTTTTCCGCGACGACCACCCTTACGACTTTGGCAAGAAGGGATCTAACCACGTCTTCGTGAAGAACAACAATCGCTTCGTGCACACCTGGATGGACGAGTACTCAAGTACGCTTTATTAATGAATAGGCAGATCAACTCAATCATCATTTAGCGTTTTATTACGGAACAAGGCCAAACGCCAGATCAATCTTGCCAGGAGATCTGTCCGTCCGAAAGCACTTCAAGCAAAAGCTCCAATGCAAGGGTTTCAAATGGTACATGGAAAATGTGTATCCAAGACAACACATGCCCGAGAGAAACTCGATCGCGTGGGGACATGCCAAGCGTGGCGAACATTGCCTTACTGGTACACTCTTATATCGGAAGCGCTCTTTATCAACCGTTTTTTTTTTTGAAGTTTTTAACTTGTCGAAGCCAGTGGAAGGAGTCTACGGCCAGCTTGGCGGAGGCAACTGCAACCAAGGACTCTACAATCCAAACTTCCAAGACATGGACAAACAGAGCCTGGTTCTGAAGAAAGATTCTGGCCTCTTTCAACAGCCGACAAAGATTCTTGTTGATGGTCAAGAAGTATACGAGAACAAGTGCTTTGGAACTATCGAAAAACCTCCTAAAGGTAGATCATTTGTCTGGCCAGTTTTCATTAAAACAATCTTCAGACGGATCAAAAGTCGTCCTGGCAGACTGTGCGGAGGAGGATAACGATCACCAGCGTTGGGTGTATCACAACGTCAATTTGAAATTGGACGCTTATCAGCACTTGTGTCTAGACGCATTCCAGCTCGGCACGTTCAGACTTAAAAAGTGTGCTAACAAAGACTCGCAGCAGTTCCTCTTCGAAATGCTGCATATTTAATTCCTTCGAGTTTCACTCTCTTTTTATTCATCTTCTAGTGCAATATCTTTTTTATACTTTTGCAATTTTAAACATTGCCTTCTTTTTAATAAAGCTGTATTCTTTGATTTCCCAAATGCTACCGGTACACACCGAATCTGTTGCCTTATTTAAATGATAAATAAAAATCTAGTTAAATTGCCTGCTTCTTTCTATTTCACCATCTTCGAGATTCTGTGCTCCGAAACAAGATTAGTTCACTTCTGTTCCTCGAAAATACACTTCAGTTAAATCAAACAAAAATTGACAGAAATTCAATTAAGATGGCTTCTCTCGCCAGTCGCGTTTCCATAGTTCAGGGAGACATCACAAAACTGCGCTGCGACGCGATTGTTAATGCTGCCAACAGGTCCCTCCTCGGAGGTGGAGGAGTAGACGGTGCAATTCATCGAGCCGCTGGGAGGAAACTGTTGGAAGAATGTAGAACGCTGAAGGGTTGCGAAACTGGCCAAGCGAAGATAACCAAAGGCTACAACCTGCCAGGTTTGTAATCCTTCAAGTCAATTTATTAACAGCCTTTATAGCTAAACATGTGATACACACCGTCGGACCAAACGTCTACAGAGGAGAAAACAAAGAACTGCTCCGAGACGCGTACCAAAACTCGCTCAACGTCGCCATCGAAAACAAACTAAAATCAATCGCATTCCCTTGCATATCCACTGGCATCTACGGCTATCCACAAGAGGATGCCGCCCATGTAGCGTTAAATGTGACGAAGAAAACGCTCGAGGAAAACGAAGTGCTCGAACAGGTCATCTTCTGCGTCTTTCTCGACAGCGACAGAAAGATTTACGAAGAGCTCAAGCCAAAGTACTTTCCGGAAGCGGAGAAGTCCGCAGAAGGAAAAAAGGAAGAAAACGGATCTTCGGAGTCCGATTTACTCAATCTTCCAGACGTGCCTTCAGAGGAGCCAGTACCGAAGTTGGCCAAAATCGAGCCGGAAAAAGAGGCAGCCGAAACTCCTGACGAGCAAAAAATAAAAGAAGAAAAATCTGAGTTATAATTTATCGGCAATACATGTTCAACTTTAATTCCTTCAAAAAAAAAAGACATTATTAAAAAACGCAACGATTTTCTTGTTAAGAATGCTTATTTAAAAATCTGTTAGCAAGAGCTGATGCGTAAAAATTCGTTCGGATAGTTATGGCAGCTAGAAAGTACCGATTAAATTGGAATGCTGGCTTCATTCATGCGACAAAGGTTTCTTTCCGTTTTCGCTCCTTTTTGTTTTATATAATTTTTTATTAACGGGTTATTTATAGCGCGGGTGCTCGTTTGGTCTCCGCATTTCAAACGAAAATGTAGAGCTTGATGAATCACAAGTCCAACAATCCGGAGGAGGAATCGATGTTGTGGCAATTGCTGGTGTTATTCGCGCGAGCGGAGAGGAAAACTGCAACTGTCTTGGAGCCGTGACACGAGCCTCTGTAGTCGGCAAAGTCGGATCGACTGACATTCTTAAAATCAACGAATTCAAGGTAAATGAGACGACCGTCTTTTTTGGAATAAATTCTAGGACCCTTGCCCTCGATTTGACAATTCATAGAACATTCTAGTTTGTGCGAATAAACGCGCCAGAAAAAGAAGTTGCTTCAAAACAACTCAACGACCTAGCAAAACTACTCGGAGAAGGCGAATACTACTTTAGCATCAATCAAAGCGACGAGCGCCCGTTTGACATCACAACTTCATTCCAGAATCAACTCTCTGGAAGTGAAGGCAATTCTGAGTACTTCTGGAACAGGGTAAATAGTCTTGGAATTTTACTTCTCCATCAACGATTGCTAGAGTTTGTGGGCGCATTTCGCGCCGCTAGAAGAGCAAATAAAAGCTAGCTGGTTGATAAGGATAACATGTGGCTACATCAATTTCAAAAAATGTTATGCTGGAGCAAGACAAATCCACGTGGGGCTCATTTCGAGACTTTCCACTGGCCGCGTTGGAACTCGATTCATGACCAGGTTAGCTCTGAAAGTGTTGGTCTTTCGCTTACTTATGCTGTCAGAGGAATCGACGATAGTGGCTATGTTGCAAATTATGTTGAATCGGAAACAATCGTGATCGAAGGAGAAAACATTCTAGCGCATCTTCAAATACGCGGATCCGTACCAACCTTCTGGGAACAGCCAGGAATAAATTTTGGCCAACACAAATGCAACATTGTGCGAAACCTTGAAGGCTCATACCCAGCCAGTCTCAAGCATTTCTCGCGAATTCTCGAGTCGTTTTCTGTTTGTAGAATTGGTTGGTTAATTCAAGTGTAGAGCTTTTATATGCTATTTTTCTTAGTTAACTTGCTGGGAAAAGGCGAGGGAGAAGATAAAGTCTCATCTGCTTTTGCTGAAGTTATAACTAAAGCACAAAACCAGGTACATTTTTATCTACGTCTCCTATAATTGCATAAATTTGATTATTCAGGGTCTTCAATTGGAGTACACAGCAATCGATTACCACAAAGAAACACCAAAAGGCAAGAACTTGCACTCTGTCCTGATGGGTCACATCGGCGAAGCTCTCTCAAATCATCAGTTCTTGAATTTCACAAACGGAAGCTTTGTCTCTCAGCAAAGTGGCGTCGTTCGAACAAACTGTCTCGACTGTCTTGACCGGACCAATGCCGTGCAAACAGTGATAGGTATCTTTGTTTCTTTTGAATGTTCAATCGTTCATGATGATGTTAAGCGTTGGAATGTCTTGGGAAGATTTTAACAGAAATGAACATCGATGGAAGTCAAGCATCGCGCTTCAACGAGACCATCAAATCGCTCTGGACAGAAAGTGGCAACGCGATTTCACACATGTACGCCGGTACCGGCGCATTAGAATCTGGCTCAAAGCTACAAGATGCCACAAGATCTATCTCAAGAACAATCAAGAACAACACTGGCTCGGACGGTACTCTTCGTTGATTTTTATTTTCAAATCTTGAACTTGTTTTTAGAGAACAAGCAACGATTGATTGAGCGACTTCTCTATGGTGACCTTCCTATGACTCTTCGTGGACAGAAGATTCTTTCTCTGCTCGGAAACGAAGCCGTTTCTTTGTCAAAAGAAATTTCTGAGAATATCTACTTCCGTCGCGACGAATTTGCAACAGAGTTGCCCATTCGTGTTTCTTGCTGCACTTGGAACGTCAATGGGGGCACCCGTTCGCCTAATTTGAACACCGATCTTGGCGAAGACAAGTTTGCCGACTGGTTGTTAGGAAAAGCTGATAGAAGACGAGCGGCGTACGATTTTACTGGCGAAGCAGAATCCGATCTTAGCTTTGTTGCAGGAGATATAATTACAGTCACAGGAACGAGTTCAAATTGAATTTAATACCGCTTGAATCTAAGCCGGCTGATAGATAGTTTTGAGCTTGATGAAAGGAGAATTAGAAGGCGGCGAGTGGCTTCAAGGATCATGTGGAGATCGCCAAGGAATTTTCCCGGCCGCATTTGTAGAAGATATCCCGGAAGACACTTACATCGCGTCTTTCGACTATTGTTCTGAGGAGACCGGAGATCTGGCCTTCATGAAGGGCGAGAAAATTATCGTGATTGATAAGTCGAAGGGCGACTGGTGGGAAGGCGAGTCTTCAGATGGAAGACGAGGAATTTTTCCAGCTGCTTTCGTGGAGCTCGAAGACCCTCGTGGTCGGCCACCAGATGTTCTTGTCGTCGCGTTTCAAGAAATCGTCGACCTGACTCCTGATAATATTGCCAAAGCACCGACAAAGAATATGGAAGTTTGGACGGAACTCCTTGAAAGCGCCCTGATCGAAAAAGGGCTCAACTACATCCACCTTCGCTCTGAACAATTAGTTGGTGCTGCGATTTGCGTTTGGGTACGCCAGCATCACATGGATCACATTCAAAATTTGTCTTTCACCAAAGTCAAGACTGGTATCAATGCCGGTGTGTACACTGGCGGCAATAAAGGTGCGCTATTGGTGAAATTCCAGCTGTACAACTCTTCAATGGCTTTCGTGTGTGCACATTTCGCCGCACATCAGAAGCAAATCGCCCAGCGAAATTCAGACATGCACGAGATTTACCAAAAAGGAATGTTCCAGCGAAGCTCGCCTTTGTCCGCTCAAGAGTGGCAATTCTGGCTCGGAGATTTGAACTATCGCATTGATATTGACCGTCAGCAGTGCATAAACTCAATTGAAAATCAGGACTGGAATACTCTTCTCGAAAAAGACCAGCTTATCGATCAAATGGCAAAGAACAAAGTTTTCAATGGCTGGCAAGAGGGAAAGATTCGTTTTGCCCCGACTTACAAGTACGACAAGGCATCCGATGTGTATGATTCATCAGAAAAGGCGAGAATACCTGCCTGGTGCGATCGCGTCTTGTGGCAACGCGAGACCGAAGATAATGGCGGATCAGTTCTCGATTGTGGGCATGTAGTGCATTACGGTCGATATGAAATCAAAAGCTCAGACCATCGTCCTGTATGCTGTCTCATCGACATTAATGTGCTTCGCAGCGACGAAAGCATTCTTTATGAGGTCATCAACGAAGAAATTAATCGAGCGACGAACTCATCGTCGTCTAGAACGCCAAGTTACGAGAGCCAGGAGCAACCTCAAAGCGTCTATCAAGAACAGACTCAAAATTTCTACCAGGAACCGCCACCGCAGCCTGACCATGTTCCTGCTTCTATTCCTGTCCAGTCGGCAGACGCGAGTGATATGGCGTGGAATGATCCTTTCGGCACTGTCCAACAAGTCGAACAAAAGGCAGCAAAGAAATCTGGTCCACCGCGTCCTCCACCTCCAAAACGACCTCCTCCGCCAAAACTTCAAAATCAAAATGGTGTGCCAGGAGGTCCTTCGCGGCCACCTCCTCCTTCTAAGAAGTCGCCGCCGCCATTGCCTTCGAATAAGGGTACGATCAAGCGAATCCAAGTGGCACGCTCCGCGCCAATACCTCCGTCAGCGGGTCTGCCCAGTCCGCTTAAGCCGATGAAGGCAACAATTTCTTCAGCAAAAGTTCCGCCTATGATTCCTTCACGCCAGCCTAGCGTCGCGCCTAAAACTAACCATGAATTTGGCAAGCCGTTATCTGCCCCTCCACCAGCATCGATTGCCCGCGCTAGACCTGGTCGAGCAGCTCCATCTCCAGTTAATCAAAGTATAACGCCTTTTCCAACTGCTCCGTCCCAGCCTCAGACAAAAGCTCCTCCTGCTATTCCTAATAGAACACCCGCCCAGCCACCCGGATACTCCTCAACTCAACTGCTTCAGCCTAAGATTGCACACTCCGCTCCTCAGCCCGTTTACAGCATACCACCTATCGTCAATAACAACTCGATTTCGTCATCGACAGCTCAGCCTGAAATACCCATCAGAGAGCAGTTCCTCAAACACATGAACATCACTCCAACCATCGACCCATTCGCGGCCAAGCCCGATGACAATGTTTATCAAGTGCCCCCTAGTGACAGTTTCGACGACTTCTTCGCTAACCGAGCAAGACAGGCACCACCTCCAGCACCAAAACCAGCAGTTGCGACGAATCCATTCGCAACCAGTGCCCCTCGGCCAACTACACTTGGTCCATTTGCCCAAACCTTGCAACCTGCTCCGGCGAACCCTTTTCAGCAGCAACAATTGCCTTTCTACTCGTCAGTGCCGGTGCAACCGATGATGCAGCAGCCTCAGCAACAGCCACAGAGGATAGGAGTGAGCGACTTGCCAGCGCCTCTGATGCCTTCGAAATCGGCCACGATCTCGTCGAGCGGATCCAAGCCCCGTGCAGCCATCAACTTATCCGACTTCGACCCCTTAAGTTAAACTCACTTCCTTGTAAATTACACCCCATCTATCCAGTGCAATCCACATATCAACTACATGTTCAATATAACTTATTTTAACATGCTTTAAAGATATCTACCGCGACTTGTAATCACTGATCTTCGTGTGCGTCATTTTACTACTATTCAAAAAGCTTTTTACTATGCTCATGTCTTCATTTTTCTTCATAAGCTTAATCAGTGATATTAGTTATCAGATAAATTGTACCAACTCAAGTTTTAGTTCTCGATTTTTAGACATTGTCTGATGACGATTTTTGGAAGAATGCAAGATATACGCTAATGCTTCCAAAAATGTTTGGAATAATTTATTTATTGGGAGTGGCTCTTTGCACCGACCTCTGTCACATCAATGAAGAAAAGTTCGTTCGACTCTGGGATGGCGAAGACTTTCTCCTTGCTGCGGATATCGATACAATCACCGCTTCGCCGCTCAACAACGACATGGAGCACAGGCGTCTTGTCGAAGAATGCCGCGGCATCGTGGCGATTGACTATATCTACTCGGAGAAAACTATCGTCTGGGCTGAGTCAGAGACTGCTCCGCCAAGAATAAACGTTTACCAAACTGCTAAAAATGAGTTTTGGTACTTCGATCTCCACGAGGGTTCCGATATTAAGTCCATGGCTGTTGATTGGGTGGCGAAGAATGTTTACTGGTTCGACGATACTGACGAGGCGATCAAAGTCTGTAGTCTTTTCAGCTGCCAAGCACTCTCCGATGAAGAGCCGAAAAAGAAGTCATGTTCGTGTAAAACTCTCTTGCTAAAAATCCAGAATCAAAAGGCATCTCGCGATCTGGTAATAGATTCACATGGAAGTCGCCTGTTCTTCATCAATGAAAACTCCCTGGAGTCGGTGAATCTAGATGGAACGAACAGACAAGTGCTAATTAACTCCAGAGATGTAGTGGGAAATAAAATCTCCGGCTTAGCTATGTATGATAGAAACAACCTGATTTACGGCTCTCCCGAGCTGAAAATACATAAGCTGAACCTCATCACTGATACTTCGCAAACAGCTGCCCTTCCTCTTTCGCAAACGATGCTGTTTTCATCGAAAAGATTCCTCTCGCGCGAAATGGTTGAGCAGACAGCTGAACGAGCTGGCTTGAGCTTTATTCTTTCGTTGACGAGTCTCTCGTCCTCGCTTCAGGATCCATTGGCGAATCCTTGTAAAGATTCGCAATGCTCTGATCTCTGTCTACGCTCTCCAACAGGGTTTACTTGCTCTTGCTCGGCTGGCCTTGCTCTTTATCCTAATTCAACTACACTTTGCCGAGAACATCCGGAATCTTTCATCATACTGGCTAAGGAACAAGTTCTTCGGAGAATATCACTTGATACCGAAGAGCACGAATACATGAAGTTGGTAGAATACGGCGATTCCTCTCGTTCTATCACCGCAGTTTCAATTGATCCCTTGTTCGGGAAGATATATTATTCGACCGTCTACTCGGATGAAGACGGAAAAAGCATTGGATCGACAATCCATAGTGTCAGAATCGACGGTTCTAACCAGGTCGACTTGATTTCGGACGGTCTTGCAGAAGTGGAAGGTTTAGCGCTGGACTCACAGAATCAATTGATCTACTGGGCTGACAAAATAATGATGCACATCGAAGTGGCTGCATTGACTTGCAGATGCAACGTACGTGGTTGCTTGCACGAGCATTGTCGCCGCATCATCGTAACATCGAAGGACCACAAGCCAGACTTCCAGCCGCGCTCGATCGTCGCTGCGCATGGCTACATCTTCTGGACAGACATTGCTTCCTGCAAGATCGTTCGCGCTCACGGCAGCGGTGGATCCCAAGACGTGCTCAGAACGTACAACACTCGCACATCGCATGGTTGCCCGAATAAAATCAGCATCTCGGATGATGGGAATAAACTTTTTGTCATCGTGCGAGACTTGAAAATTCGTGTAGAAAGCTACATCGAAGTTCTGCACAACATAATTCCCGAGCTTTCTCCTGGAGCAAAGATTGAGTCTCAATTATTTAAAAGATTTCCAGGGCGTGATTTTGAGAGCATCAAAGTCTTCAAAAACTCAGTTTTTGTAGTTGGACAGAGTGCGCCACTAACTGAAGTAAATGCAGGCGGGCAAGAAAAAAGATTCTACGGGACTGGGCACTTGAACAGTGATGTGCTGGACATACAAGATCTGTCCGTAAAAATCGGAAAAAATGAGCAGATCTGCGACTTTATTCAATTCGCGAAGCCGGGAAATGGACGAAACTGCCAATGTCCAGATGGACTATCCAATACACTCGACACTTCTTCGGCAGGCTTGGGCAGATCCTGCAAAGGTCCAGAGCTTGACCTGCTGTTTCTTCTATTGGACGACAATGATAATCGATATAAATTCCACCAGCTCCCGATTGGTGACGAGACAAGCAACGACCGATCGACAGAAGTGCACGAGTTTGAGCAAAATAATCTTCGCGAGCCTTCTTTCGACTTTCACTACAAAACTGACCGAATATTTTTCTTCGCCAAGGAAAAATTTACCACGCTTTACACAGCGCAGCGCAAGAAAACCGGCAAGTTTCGAAAACCAGTTCAGATAACCAACGTTGGTCTCGAAGGAGCCGTCAAGCTTGCTGTCGATTGGATAGGAGATAGCGTTTACTGGACGAATAACATCCTCCATCGTGTGGAGCAAATTGTCTTCGATGGAAGCGTTCGACGCACGATCGTGCATGACTGCGACCAGCCTCATGCAATAGCTGTTGATTCATCTGCTGGTTACATTTTTTACTCCGATTTTTCTACCTCTGACGATTTTGCCAGTCTCAGTCGTGTCGATATGTCTGGCGAGAACAAAGTATCAGTTCTCGGGCCACACTCAGATTACAGGCAGATTCTTTCTATCTCTCTCGACATCATCAAGCAGGAAATGTACTTGCTCGACGAAATGAAGAATTCGATTGTCAAAGTCCCCTACGACGGGACTACGGCGGAGATTGTGTATTCTTATCAAGCCGAAACGCCGTCTATCACTTCTATTTCCTTCTATCACAGCGTTATTTACTGGTCTGAGTTGAAAGATCGGAGCTCTTGTGAGCTAAAGTCTCTCCAGCTTCGCGATTACAGCAACTCTAGAGCGAAAACTATCGGCAAACTGAGTAGCAAACCCCTTGGACTCACTGTAGTAGCTCCTCAGGTCGGCTGGGGGCAATGCAACATACCAAGGCCGAGTAACTATCCTCAGTACAAAGAGAGCATTTGCATTGCGAAGCCGACAGAAGACGAACACATACACAAATCTGAAAATGTCTGCTCGACTCACTTTAGCCTTCAGTACGACATTTGCAAGGCGCCAAAAGAGTTTCTGATCTTTGCCCAGGAGCGAGAAATTTCGCGTGTTCTTCTGAAACATGCAAGTGATACTACCGACCAGATCATTCCAATTCACGGAATCGGGAAGACCTTTTCAATGGCATGGGATACTTATGCTGGCAAGGGACGCTTTTATTGGGTGGATTCAGATAAGGATAACCAAATCTTCTCATCCAGAGGCGTCGGAGATGCACCAGTCTTGTTCCTGCCTAAAGAGCGGTCATATGCGAAGAATATTGCTATCCACGAATTGAGTGGAATGATTTTCTGGACACTCGCCAGCAGAGACGATCGGAACGAAGAAGCGACAATTTGCTACGCCTTCCTGACTGAAGACGGCGAAGGAAAAGGCGGAAAGTGTTTGGACGAGTGGACGCGTTCTGAGCACCGAAGTATGATGAGCAACATCTGGAACAACATCCGCCCAGATCTGATCGTCATCCACCAGCTGACGGGAACTATCATCTTCACCAACGACTGTAAAACTTCTGACGAGTCTTGCCAGCTCATCTTCACGACCAATATTTTCGAAGGTAAAATCTAGTAGAATGAAACATAATTATTTTTACTCCTGTAGTTTCTTCTGGCCGCATATCAGCTCCAACTCCATGCGTCGTTTTTGAAGCGACGCCTCCTGTAACCGCTATCGCTGTGTACAGCCCACCAGAAGATCCTTACCTCGTAAAACTGTTCTGGTCCGACGAATTCAAGATTTATCACAAGGAGTTTACCATCCCCCGCCATCGAGCGTCAATCTGTCCTGATCAAGGAGAGAGCAAAACTTTGAGTCTCAATTGTGATATAGAATGTTGGTATATCATCTGAGTCCACAATAACATTCATTTCATTAGCAAAAATCATCCCCAACGGAATTGCAATCGCCGAAGACGAGCTCTTCTGGGTCGACGGCTCCGCACTCAAACGGTCGAAAGTCGGCCAAGGACAGAGTTGCGCGCCAACTCAAACCGTCATTGATCGCGAACTCAAAAATCTAACCGCCATTGCAATTGTTAGAAGCAACGATCGCATCAATGACCTCCGCTACGAGTGCATCCACAAAAACTGTTCTCATTTTTGTGTTGGTAAGATTTTCATCTTCGATAAAAATTCTGTTTTTAACCTTTTAAAAATAGCTGACTCGTCGCTGTCATCATCGGTCCAGTGCAAGTGCCCACCTGGATTGGAACTGATGCGGAATGCCAAAGACTGCGATAAAGGAAAATGCGGAGATAAATTCACCTGCGGAGCGGGATCAGGGTAAAAACTTTCTTTCTCGGGCCATTTTTCCTATTTTTGTATAGAACGAGTCCTGATTGTATTGAGCAGATTTATGTTTGCGATGGAAACTCAGACTGCGTCGATGGGAGTGATGAAAGCCCAAATCTTTGCAATCGTTGTTTGGAAAACGAGTTTTCTTGTGGAAATGGCGAGTGTATTGATAGGTAGGAGATCAGAAGGAACTTTCAATTGACATGAATTTTAGTGATAAACACTGCAATGGAATCCCAGATTGCCAAGATGGAAGTGATGAACGCATATGTCCGATTACATGCGAGTTAAATGTAAGTACTGATTTGCGTTGATCTTTTGTTTCACTTTGAAAAAAAGGCAAGAAAGGAGCGGCATTATATAAGCACCCAAGCGCTTTGTTATGCAACTTTTGTTTGAGGTGACAAGCTAGCCAAATGAGCAAGCATTTCGAAAGTAAAGAGATTATTTTTTCTAGCAAAACCGGTGTTACGACGCTCTTAAATGCTACGATGTCTCGGAGAAATGTAATGGCGTGGATGACTGCGATGATGGAAGCGATGAGCAAGACTGCCCCGAGCCTATTGACGCGGTAAACTTTTTATTTTTCTTTCATTCTTTTGAAGGATGTTTTTAGACCGCGAAGATTGTTATTTACATCGTCGCCTTCTTCGTCTTCTTCCTGACCATAATCATCATCATCATCGTGGTGCTTACAAGACCACGGCCAATCACACAAGAGCAAAACATTCATTTACAAATTATTCAACCCCCACCGGTAAATCATTTATTTTCCAAACAATAATAAATTTGATTCATTTCAGCCGTTGAGTCATCGTTCGAGCATGATGCCTCCTCCTTATCACTCGCATGCGGACAGTGTCTACTCCGCCGAATACGAAGTCAATGTTCCGTTGATGGCTCCACCGCCAAGTGTCATTTCCTCGGGAGTGGCGGCTCCTCTACGGCTCCCTCTCTCTCACCGCCAGCGTCAGCAACAATTCAGCCATGATACTCTTTCGGAGAGCAGTCGTGGCTCTGGAACGGGCGATTCGAATCCGCCCTCCTGCAAAGTAAATATAAGACGCCTCTCGCAAGAAACAGACCTGATTGTTCCGGGTTCTTATGCGCCTTGCTCAACCCCTATTCCAACCTCTGAAGAATGAAACGTTCTTCAACAGACATTGTTAAACTACTGTAATTGTAAATAAGTTTTATTCTGTAGATTACTGAATCAATCGCAAACTGCTTCCTTTGATTTCTTTTTCCAAAATAGTTCCATTCCTCTGTGCCTTCAATTTCTATCCAATTCCCAAAGTAATACAAGTCACCTACCTCCAGAAACATCCTCCCAAACATCACCATTCAGAGTCATGATCTCCCGAGTTGCCCTTGCCGCCCCACGAGTTGCCACCCGAGTCGCTGTCCGGTAAGAAATGCAGTTCCTTATTCAAAGCTTACGGTTTAACTCAAGACCCTTGGCTGTCTCCGCCCAGGCTCGAGATATCGACACCGCCGCCAAGTTCATCGGTGCTGGTGCTGCCACCGTCGGTGTTGCTGGCTCTGGAGCTGGTAAGATTGTTTTAGCGATTAAATAGAACTAACAAATGCTTGAGGTATCGGAACTGTGTTCGGCTCCCTCATCATCGGTTACGCCCGAAACCCATCCTTGAAGGCTCAGCTCTTCTCCTACGCCATTCTCGGATTTGCCCTCTCTGAAGCCATGGGTCTCTTCTGCTTGATGGTCGCCTTCCTCATCCTCTTCGCTTTGTAAGCGCGATGCCAGACGGTTGAAATTACAATAGGACAAATTACTGTTACGTGTTCTTACAGTTCAATGATATGTAGTGTGCACAACAAATACAGACTATCCTAAAGACGCGCGTAATTTTATTTTCTTCTCAAGATGAAATCGGGGCATGTTCGGGGCTCGTAAAAAAACACAGGATTCGGAGCATCTGGCGCGTCTTCAGAAGGAGTTCGAGACTGACTTCAGCAATAAAGTGGTATGCCAAGATGATTTCTGAGTTGGGCGTTGATTTCTTCTTGTAGGAAGTACCAGTTAATCGGTCATGGGTGCGCGGCGAAGTCGTCCAGCGCGGCAACACCGGCATGAATATGGCCAGCCACAATTTAGCGGCAAAGAACTCGCTCTACCGACCCGAACTCCAACAGGTATTGGATCATCCCCCTAGCACCGGCCAAAGATCCTTCCAAAATCATACTCTCGCCGATAAAACGGCACTCGTGCGTTTGCTCATCAACTGACCAGATTGATTTTAAGCAGCATAAGGGCCTTAATCAAAATGCGTTTCAAAAAACAGCTTCTCCAAATGCGATTGACTCCTTGGAAGCTAACGGCAGGGTTCTCATTGCAGTAGTACAATTGTCCTCTTGTATCATAAAATGAACGTAAAACAACATTAGTTGACGATATGAGCATATGAGAATCCTCGAAGCAAATAAGCCTAATAAGCCAAAGTTTGGCAAAAAAACTGAAAAGAAAAAATCTCAAATGGAGATTTTCAAAGAAGAAATAAAAGCTAAACACGAGGCAGCAGAGGCCCTAAAGGCCAAGCAAAAGGAAAAGGCCAAATTGACTGGCATTCCTGTTGACTACAATCCAAACTTTAATGCTCAAGCTATTTCAGACCAGGTAATTTCTGACGAAGCTCTCTTTTTTAAAGATGATCTAGGGCGACCCACATTCGACGAACATCTTCATCGCGTCCCTCAGCAGTCGATGTACCGAAGAGGACGTAACTCGTCACTTCGGACGATTCGGGCCGCTCGTTTCCGTAAAGATCATGTATCCAAGAACTCAGGAAGAAAAATTCAAGGATCGCAACTGAAGGGATCCTAGCTTCTGCTGAATCTCCCACTTCTAGCGTAGTTTGCCTGCTCTCTATATCTGGACGAGTGAAGAAAACGAGTAAAGTATCTTTGACGTCTGTATTTCGAGCTGGAGTAAAATAGAGGTTAATTCACGAACTGCGTGAATTACCGAATGAAGAGAAATACACGGCGGCGACCGAGCAAAGCTCGATCTAGATAAGCAAGTGACCTTAGGGGACGAGGGAGTCTAACGAATCTAAGATCCCAATACCCCCCATGAGACTGAAACGTCCTCTAAGGCCAAAGTGTGTGATTTTTGCAGGAGTATAAGCGTAAGATGAGTAACATGGCAGGTTCGAAACGTCGAGGCAGTCTGATTCGCGTTAAAAACCCTTTTTGGGAAAAAGCTTGAATCAGATGCGAAGTTTTCGTGATGTCCGAGCGGTGATGACATGAAGGAGTAGCTGCACATGTAGAAGAACTCAAAATACGTCGGCGACGGTAAACTGTGATAATTTCCGTACCTTTTCAGGCCCCGGTCGATGAATAGGGGACCTGAGTGGGGCAGTACTTGCGCTTAGTCGTATGACTGACCCGAGTTTGTGCCGATGTTTAGAGGTTCGACGGGCCTCGTTTCACGGTGTGCTCGTTTTGTATGTTTCGGGAGATGAGCTGCTCCAACTTCGGTTAAAGTCGCATTCGGATCGGCGCCGGCTGAGTATTGACGATCTGGTGAAGACTTTGGACGGGTTCTTTTCTTGCTGTTTTCAGTTGCTGAGCCCTCAACTACTGTTGAATTTTGTTTATCGACTGACATATGGCTATTGTCGGGCGCAGCAACCTCCGAAATCACTGTAGCATCAGCTGACATGTCCTCGGCAGTTTCATAAAGAGTACCACCAGAGTACCAGCGATCTGACGGCTCGGCTGGAGCTACCGACGAGTCCAAAATAGATGTAGCGGTTGTATCTCCCAGATTTTCCATGTCCAATCGGCGTCTACTTTCCAAAATAGGTGATAGAGATGATCTTGGCGGTTTTTCCATAGCAACCATCGGAGTCGACGCGACCTGAGAAGATTTCCTCCCCATGCGACTTCGACCCGGACTTTTCCATCGGTTTGGAAGTAGGAACAGGCGATTTTTGTGGGACTTTCGACTTAACGATTTCGGTTAAATGTGGGAATACGTACTCGGCCTCGTAGTAATCAATCCAGCGTAAGTCGTGATTTCGTTCTGCGGCGTGAACCACGTGTTCTCGATGGATGAAATCACGTTGTCCTTTTTATCTTCGACCATGACGACCCAGTCGTTGCTCGAAACGGCTTTCAGGGGACCTACCCAGCGTTCCTTCTTGCTTTTAGCGTCGGTCAGGTTTTCTCGCTTAATGTACACGACAGCGCCAGCGGGATTGGTCTCGGCTTAGGCTCGTTTTTCAGCCTGTGCTCCATGGCTCGGTCAGCAGCTTCCATCGCAGTTTTCACAATGGCTTCCGCCGATTTCGCTAAAGCTCCCACATTGAGACCAAACACCTGAGGTGTTTCCGCTGTCATTTCTGCGCCAGTAGAGTGGGTGAAAGTACTTTTTCGGCCAAACCAAACTTCTCGCGGTGAAATTTTCGTGCTTTTGTTTTTCACACTATTGAGCGCGCGCATCACGTGGGGAACGCAGTCGGCCCAAGTTTTTCGACCGGAAGATGAGTTGACCATGCAGAATAGACTGTTTTTGATAGTCCGATTCGCTCTTTCTGCGAAAGCGTTTGATTGAGGGTGAAATGCGGTACTTATTGTATGTTTTATCTGGTTAAGCTTACACATTTCGTCAATCACGCTTGCGCAGAAGTGGGTACCTCTGTCACTGTGTAGATGTTTCGGCAAGAAATCCATGGGAAGGAAGACCTTGTAGATGAGCGCTTTTGCAGCGCAGATAGCAGTGTCGGACCGCGTCGGAATGCACCAAGTGTAGCGAGAGAAAGTGTCCGCCACCACCAAATAATACTTGAATCCGCCAGCGGGAGGCATACAAGCGAAATCGATCTGAATCGATTCGCCAGCTGTTTTTCCACGACGAAGGGTTCCAAGTGGCGGTTTGGTACGAGTTCCAGCAGATCCTTTTCTGCGTAGGCAAGGGACGCAGCTGTGGACGTAGTTAGAAACATCGTCTTGAAATGAAGGCCACCAAACGTCCTCTAATCGCTCTAAAGTCCGCGGCTCGCCCAGATGACCGGACAAGTCGTGAGCTAGAAAGAGAAAGTGACTTTTACCGCTTCCGGTACCACCGCCCGCGCGCCAGATTTGAATTGACACATCAAGCACCCGGTAGTGTTATCCAGGAACAGAGCTTTTTCCATCTTGAGTAGAGACGATTGTCGGTGGTCGGAGTCCTTCACCAGCGATTTTATGTCCAGTGGCTCCTTACCAGATTCCAGAAAAGTGATGATTGCACTCAGAGCAGAGTCCTCCCTTTGATAGTCCAGAATGTTATTATAATTCGCTGACACCAACGGAATCTCCATTGGCGCCGCGATAGCCTTGACGTTTACCTTATGTATCTTCACCTCTGATAAAGTGATTTTCTCCGGAAACTGATTTTCGTTCCAGAAAGGGACGAAGACACGTACTGGTGAATTCTTGTCGATTTCGTACTCGCGACCAACGGGAAACTCAGAGTCGTATCCAAGTGATTTGTCGTCCTCGCCAGGTCTGCGGCTCATAAAGTCGGCGAATTGATTTTCTGATCCCTTGATGTAGACAATGTGAAAATCGAATTCTTCCAATCGGCTTTGCCATCGGCTTATTTTAGAATTCTTGAACTTCTTTTTGTGTAGGAAGATCAAAGATCGGTGGTCTGTGTGAATCTGAAAGAATCTACCTTTCAGGAGCTTTTCCAGTCGCTCGCAGCACCAGACAATGCTAAACATTTCCTTTTCTGAAGTGTTCCATTTTCTTTCAGCTTTGTTGAAGGTGTGGGAAATCGCGCTTACTAGGTGCACTCTCCCGCCATACTCTTGTAGCAGGACGCCACCCGCTGCGTACAGGCTCGCGTCTGTGTAGAGATGAAAAGACTCGTCAAAGTTAGGAAAACTTATGACTGGAGTCTCGGAGAGTCGTCGTTGAATTTCCTTGAGCGCCAAATCCGCTTCTTTGGTCCACTTGAAACAATTTGTTTCGTTCGCCGAATTTCGAACATCGTTTATGGGCTTCATTCTGCTCGAGAAGCAACCGGATGAAATAGCTTCGCCCATTTTCGTTTCTAGAAAACCTCGGATCCAATTCAATGACCCGATTAATGAAGCTAACTCCTTTTGGGAGCGTGGGGGTTTCATCTGACGAAGAGCGGAGACTTGCGCAGGGTCCGGTTTGATTCCATCTTCGTTGATGATTCGGCCCAAAAAGTGAGCTTCGGATTGTAGGAAAGAGCACTTTTCGCCCTTGAGTTTAGCGTTAAACTTGCGGAGCGCGATGAATAGGTTTCGGAGAGTGTTGTAATAGCAGCTGAAAGTCTTCCCAAAACACACTATGTCATCGATATAAGAAAGCATCTTTTTCCTGGTGGGGCTTGAGTCGAGAATTGTGTTTACGACGCGCGAGAATATATTCCCCGAGCATCGATAACCGAATGGTAGTCTGCAGAAGGCGTAAGATTTCCCACCCCACTGGAAGGAAGTCTTGTACCTGTCGCTTTTCTTTACAGGGCACTGCCAATATCCACTTCGTAGATCAACTGTGGCGAAAAACTTATTGCCCGGTCCAATGTTCGCAATCGTATCCTCCATGCTTGGGAGATGGTAAGGGTCGGATTTGTCGGAGAGGCATTTGTTCAGGCTGTTTTTGTAGTTGATGCAGAAGCGCATTTCCCCAGATTTCTTAGGAATAGGCAATACCGGGCTGTTAAACCCTTTCTGGTCTTTGATCTCTTCTATTATTTTCGTTTCGAGCAGTTCGGAGATGTGATCGCTGACCTGACCATGAAAAGCTTGCGGAATCGGGTGTTGACTGATGTTTCGACTCGTACCATCAGTCGGGATTTCGATCTCGAACGGGAATTCACCCATTTTTTGACCGTCGCAGCCGAATCTGTCGTCGAATTCCAAACACAGCTCGGCGACCATCTTCTTTTGCCCCGGGTCTGCGTCTGCTGGTAGGGTTATTCCGAGTTTTTGCTTCGCTAGCTGAATGGGGCACCTGGCTGCGTTCTTGTTCGGCGCGTCCAGCTTTGGGACTTCTCGTGGTGGTTGAGTGCGGGACCGATCGCTGTCTTTGACCGCTGATCTAGTCGTCAAGTATTTCTTGATTTTGGTCCGCTTCACTCCGTCCAGCTTCACCACTTGAGTCTCAGTTTGTGTGAAGGCTTCGTTGTAGCAAAATGAGAGAGTACGATTCTTATTGTCGACTGTGAAGCTGTCCGTCATCGCATTCTCTAGTATATCGCGGCCCAGTAGACTTGGGTATTTACTGCCTGGCATGATGGTGAGATTCAAGGAGAATGCAGGGCCACCATTGAATGATAAGCGGCAGGGAAGGATACCCCTCGGCTGCTCGGCGGGGATATTTGGGCTGAAACCGGTGACCTTGAAGGGGCAGGGCTTCAGCATCTGGAGAAATTTGTCGGGAACGTAAGCAGCGGACAGACAGGAGGACTCGGCTCCGCTGTCGACTTCCATCGATACGTCAAAACTTTTAGAGCCCGTAATGATGGTAGCCGAAGCGAAATAAGCCTTTCCTGGTCGCTTCTTCTTCACTGTGTAAAAGTGAACATCGAATGGTTGGAAATCTTCGACGTTCTTAGTCGTATTAATCTTCTTGGATTCTGGTTGTTTATCGTCTTTCCCATCCTTAGAATCGGTGCTGGCGCGCTTAGCATTCTTCTTCTTTTTGTTCTTATTTCTGTTGAAGTGCTGGGAGACGGTCGCGCTGTCAACTCGATTCTGTCTTGTGGATTGGGCGAGACGGCAGAGTTCGTTGATATCGTAAACTTTTGATAGGCTTGGAAGGATTGCGTTGAAAACGTCTGGTTCTTCTTTCCTAAGATTCAAGTACAGCATCATCGTCGAGAATATGTCGAATATTTCATCGACCCCGGCGTCGGCTGACTTCTCTTGTCGGTAAGAGTTCAAAGTCGCTTGCTTCGCCTCGTTCATCTTTTGCAAGACGTTGGCGGTGTAGTGTGCAAACGGCTTCGAATGGTCGTATTCGACGTCGAAAACTTCGCTTAGCTTCAGTAAGTAGTGACTCTTCGCGGCGAATGATTTCTCTAGCAGCGCCTTGGCCGATTTCCAGTCTTGACAATTCAGAAATTCGGTTCCAAGTGAGCGTTCGATGTTCAAGTCGAAGTGGCTGTACACTGCTGCGATGAAAGGCTGTTCACGTGAAGGTCTGTCGCGGACGTAGGCGCGGTGATAAATGTCGGCTCTGCCCAAGAAGGTGTTGAAAGATGTGTTGCATGCGGCGTCCAGCTTCGGCAAGTCTTGGACGTGACGAGACCAGGTAGTGGCCACCCATGCTTCTTCTCTCATTGTAGCATTCGTAGATTCTTTTCCTTGATCGAGCTCGCAGGTAAGAAGCGTTGTACTGAGCTGTTCTAATTTTACTCTGCTTTCTGTGATCAAGGGCTCTAGGCTTGGCTTAAGTGATTCGTCATTTCGCACTTGTTCTTCGAGGTAGTTTACTCGATCGTTTATGCTTCTTATTTCGGTGACGGTTTCTAGCAGTGATTTGTTCGCCGCCATAGCTCGAAATATATCGGCAGTAAGGGTTTATGGGCCTTGGATTACCTTTCAGGCCCTCAGAAAATACTGCGACTAAAAGTCGCAATATGATGAGCTGAGGTGCCTTTTTGCGCAAACGCCCGACGATTTCTCTGTCCAGCGATTGTCGAAATTTCAAGGTCTGGTCCAAGGGTCGATTCTTCGTAAACTTCTCTCGATTTTTGGTGAAAAGTGGCGAAAGAATTCTGTTTTTCTGAGTATTTTAGGTTTTCCCCGGCGTGCGTGCGTGGTTGCGTGGGCGCGACTTTCGGCGCGTGGGTCGTGGTGGCGCTCGTGTGGTGGCGCTCGCTCGGGGTGGTGTTGGTGTGGTGCGGCGCGGAAAATTCTCTGAGTGGAGTTTCTCCGGCGGCGCGGTGGCGGTTGGTGATTCGGTTCCCCTCGACTCCGCTGACGGCCAATCAGCGTCCAAGTTGCGAAACTTCGGTTGTCGATGGCGGAAAATTTACCTTTTCTCCAACGGGACTACTCTGATACCACTGAAGGGATCCTAGCTTCTGCTGAATCTCCCACTTCTAGCGTAGTTTGCCTGCTCTCTATATCTGGACGAGTGAAGAAAACGAGTAAAGTATCTTTGACGTCTGTATTTCGAGCTGGAGTAAAATAGAGGTTAATTCACGAACTGCGTGAATTACCGAATGAAGAGAAATACACGGCGGCGACCGAGCAAAGCTCGATCTAGATAAGCAAGTGACCTTAGGGGACGAGGGAGTCTAACGAATCTAAGATCCCAATACAACTGCGCATTCGTTGCTTATTGCTGCAGAAAGTAACATTTTGACAAGGTTCTCTGTATAATTATATTTTTAGTGACGCGGAACGAGCAATGAGCAAGCTGCAAAACACAGACTTCAGAGGAGTTGACTTGAAGCTTGGCTGGGGCAAAGCCGTTCCCAATATTCAGTTGCAGAATCCACTGTACGTTCCAGATCGGTTGAAGTGGCTCCTGACACCGCCGAAGCAGTCGAACTTGCCGCTAAACGCACAGCCACCCCCAAACTTTCAACACTCGAATTTCGAACGGGATCTGCACAAGTGCACGGGTAAGAAACAGTTTATGAAACCTTTTATCATTGATTTCAGTGCGTGTTGTGATTCCCAACGACGCAGCGCTGACTCGACTGATCAACCGAACTGTCGAGTTCGTCGTCAAACAAGGGCCTATGTTCGAAGCGATGCTGATGGACAAAGAGGCAAACAATCCCATGTTTCAGTTTCTTTACGACTTCCAGTGTCCTGCGCACTCCTATTACAGGTTTCTTGAGTCTCTTTCGCCCTTGTCACATATTTCATAGGTGGCGTCTGTATTCAATTTTGAATGGTGAATCGTTCACTTTCTGGAGAACAAATCGCTTCAAGCTCTACGCCGGTGGACCCTGGTGGAAGCCCCCGATTCTTCCTTTCATCACACATGGAATGCCCGACAGTGACGAGGACGATTTCGATTCCGATCCGCGAGACTCGAGACCAGGATTTGCCCCCATTGGAAGAAATTCTGTAAGTCAATTTGACGATGAGCCGCGAGCTGGTCTTGGAGCATCACGAGAGCCTGAACTTGCTCCACGATCGGATTGGGATCCTATTGACAACTCAAAGAATGACTATCAGAAAGAGAAGAAAGAGGAGAGCTCGAAAATGTCATCTGTTTACAGGTATAAACGAAACTCATCCGCGCAAATTAACTTGATTCCAGAAACGAATTTGATTCGGCTTTGAACACTCTCACCCCTGTTCGCGATCTGGTAGGTGATCTAATGGCACTCTGCATCGACCAAGTTGATCACGCTCAAGAAATCACCGAAGCGATCATCGAATCGGTCATGGCAGACGAATGCTCGTTAGACCAGCGTCTGGGTAGAATCTACCTCATCTCTGATATTCTTTACAATGGTTCTGCAGCGCCGAAAGCGTCCAAGTATCGAATCCTCTTTGACCAGCACCTTGAGAAGATCTTCGAGAAGATGCACTCGGTGCACAGCGCAATCAAAACACCCTTCGTCGCGGACCAGTTCAAAAATCGTATTAAGACGCTCTTCCAGGCGTGGACAGCTTGGAGTCTTTTTACAAACGAAACTTTGATCAAGTTACACAACATCTTCATGGGGATCGAAGAGGAGAAAAAGGAAGCAGAGTCATCATCGGAGGACTCCGATGTCGATGGTGTCGAAATCGATGACAAGCCCGAAGCGGCTGAGTCCAAGAAAGCAACTTCATCCGATGAAGATGAAGACGACGTTGACGGGGTTCCCCTGGAACAGGCAAAGCCCGCTGCCGCACAAGAGCCAGCGCAAAAGAAGCCAGCGCCGAGCACAAGTGCGAGTGGTGCGAAACCCGCTGGAGTTGGATCCGGCTTCGTCGCATCCAAATGGGAAGCTGTTGACGAAGATGATGTTAAAAACGAAGCAGTCACTAGCGGAGAGATCTTCGCCGACTTGAAGAAGATGGAGCAGGAGAAAAAGAGAAACGAAGAAATGGACGACAAAAAGAGGCCAAGCCTTTGTATCTTCAATCGGACGCTTGGAGAAAAGCGATAAGAGACGTCGAAGTCAAGGTTATTTGATTTTCTACATCTTGTGTTATCTTTATGCCATCTTAGGTCATCGAATACTGCGAGCAGTTGAGAGTGGTGGACGATTCAATTCAAGCAGAAACTTATAGAAGTGGACTAATTGCCAAACTCGCCGAGAAGTTCAAAAACGACCCAAGGTATTTAAACTCTCCTTCGTTATCAAAATCTTACGAGTTGCTTTTCTCTTACAGCTAAAGCTAAAAATTCATAGCATTAAATCATGGGGATTAATTGTCCAGGGTAGCCTTCAAACTTATCAAAAATTAGTTGAAATCAAGGACGAGGGGCTCACTAAATCTTATTTCAGCATTTGGGAGGAGAGTCCTCGTAGTAGTCCAACCATGAAAAGGTCGAAGAAAGAACGAAAAGGCAGCGGGGAAAAACGATCGAGGAAGAGAAGTCGGTCGCGTGATCGAAGAAGACGCTCTCGTTCGAGGTCTAGATCGAGGTACTCTTGAGGCGATGAGTTTTTTCTTATTCTCAATTCTAGGGAAAGAAGGAGGAAAAGAAGATAGCTTCTGATTGACGAACAAGTACGCAATCTCATCACTGCAAAAATCAACTTGGAACGAGCTCGGCGAAAGCAAGAGAGCCTCATTTAAATGTACAGTTACTGCTCTTGTCCTATCTCTTCGTTCTATCAACTTACAGTCCTTTATCGAAAACGCCCCAGCCAGAAGAAAATCGTCCATTCTGTTCAAGCCAAATGCTTCCTAAACCTTTTGCATGAAGCTGTTGAAAGTTCTTTTCTTGTGTCACTATTCAAAGTAATGACAAGTCAGGAAAAATATATTTCCAAATTAAAATTTAAAAAAAATGGCAGAAGTTGGACTCTTTAGAACGGATTGTATTTTTTTCCGTTCTCTCCTTTTTCTAGTGTTTATTTTAATGCATCTAAAAATATATGAAAAACATCAGCAAATGCTTCAATTGAAGGTTAATTTGAGACAGAGGCTCATTGAATTATTTTCAATAATTTTTTTCTTTCATTAATTTCGACGAAGGGAAGTCATTAGGTGCAAAAAAGGCGGCAAACGGGAAGAAAATCAAGCAAGATGGCGGGAAGATAGCCGCAGGAGTCCCTTTTCGGTTGCATAGGTCCCATTCTGAGAAATTTCGACTCGATCGTCGCGGCGACCAATCAGCTGCAGGCATTTTTCGAAAAGCGCCAGAGCGCGCTCCGCTTGTTTTTGGAATTCGCGGTGCTCGCAAAAAAGGCCCTTCACTCCCTTTTCTGACAAATTAGAGGGGCAAGCAATTTCTCAGGAGGCTAATTCTAGCATTTCGAATTCTCAAAATATGGGTGAAAATGAGAGCAACTCGTCGAAGATGCGAGTCGTCGTCAGAATTAGACCCATGAACACGAGAGAAATAAACAATGACGAAGAGAGTATAATCGAGCAAATTGACGACAAGGTAAATAAATTATAGTTCCCCGAAAATTCTATCAAAAATAACTTATATTTTCCATGCAAAAAGATCGTTGAGACTGAGCTTTCCATCTTTTATAAGAACTTTTATTTCCTAACGAAACCGCAAATAAATCAACATATTTATTTCAGGCGCTAGTATTCGACCCAGAAGTCGAAGAAGACGCCTACCTGCAAGGCTTCAAAAAAGTGGCTCGTCTGGGACAGAAGAAAAATCGAAAACACCGTCCCCGACGAAACAATACTTTCTGCTTTGATGCAGTTTTCGGCGACACCTCCACACAGGTTCGTTTTTTTATATAACCGACACTTTCTTATCTTGATTGTTTCTAGCAAGAGGTGTACGAGCAGACGACGGCAGATACGATCGAAACGATCGTTGAGGGCTACAACGCCACCGTCTTCGCGTATGGAGCCACTGGCGCTGGAAAAACGCACACGATGCTCGGTACGCCGGAGGATCCAGGAGTCATCTGCAGAACAGTCCAAGCGCTCTTTACAAAAATGGCAGAGTTGAGAGAATCTTCGACGGATACGAAGGTAATTTCTAGCTTTTTCCTTGATTTCAATCAATGTTCCGAATTTTTGATTGTGTCTCCAACTCTGTCTTCTAGTACAAAATCACTGTCAACTACCTGGAAGTCTACAACGAGCGAATCAACGATTTGCTGAACGACAGTAAGAAATCAAAAGACCTGCCGATGCGCGATATTGCCGGAGCTATAAACATCCGAGGACTGTCAGAAAAAGAGCCGAAAACGGCGGAAGAACTCATGGCCTGGCTCAAGGAGGGCAACAATCTGAGAACACAGGTGAGAAGAATGCAAACTCGAATGAGCTAAATTGACGCTATGTTCTTTCCTAGCATCCAACCGATGCGAATGCGCAGAGTAGTCGATCTCATGCCGTTTTCGTTGTGCATTTCACGCAAATGGCAGGAACAACGAGGACGATTTCAAAGTTGACTTTGGTCGATCTTGCGGGTTCCGAAAGAGCGCAGGCTACTCCGAATATGGGCCTGAGGTAAGTGTTTATAAACAATGCAGTTCTGTAGAGAGAATGATTTAGACTCCGCGAAGGTGGTAACATTAACAAGTCATTGCTGGCACTTGGCAATGTTATCAACGCGCTTGCTGATCCGAAACACAAGGGGCACATCAATTATCGAGATTCGAAGCTGACGCGAATCCTTAAAGACGGTCTCGGCGGAACTTGCCGTACGATTATGATTGCCAATGTGTCCCCTGCCGACAAAGTCTATGAAGATACACTCAATACGATTAAGGTACAAATCACATGCTCATTTACATTAGACTCAATTTTTTCTAGTACGCTGACAGAGCGAAATCGATCAGATCTAGTCTGACCAAGAGAGTGATGGAGACGCAAATGCATGTCGGAAACTACAAAAAGATTATCGAGGATCAGAAACTTCGAATCAAGCGACTTGAGGCAAGTAAATTTCGATTTGTAACTGAGATCATGGAAGAGAACCTTTCAAACCATTAATTTCCAACAGTTACCTGGTGATAAAAATATCTTTAGGCGGAGAACGCAGAGCTTAAAAAGAACGGCCCAGCGAAGACAGGTCGATTGTCGAAGGCGGCTGATCCCATCTGGGGCACGCTGACAAAGCTCCAGTCGGAAGTTATCAGGCTCACCGGCGAGCAGCGAATCGCCATGTGCGAGAAGCAGCTCAAAGAATTCGACTTTGAGGTCAAAAAACTCGCCACTGAGAATACTGAACGCACGCCAGGCTCGAACAGATACGAGCGAACGCTGGCAAGCTTCGACCTGCGCGTGTCTCGCATTGAGGAGAAAATCGAAGAGCATATCAAACAGTTCAAGAACTCAATTCCTCAAGAAAAGGTAATTTCCACCCTGAAAGAAGTGGCCCAACTTATTCTATTTTCAGCCGACAGATGAGGTCAAATCGCAGCAGGCGGCGGAGGTGAACTATCAAAAGTCCATCATGTACCAAAGTCTCTGCGGAAAGCTCTTCGAGAAGATCAAGCAGCAGCACGAACTGATCGTAAAAGTAGCCGCCCTCAGCGACGACAACGACAAGCTGCCAGAAGTTCTCTGCCCAGCGCAGCCGCCAGTGTCCTTCTCTGACGAGAGTTTGCCGGAATTCCTCAAGATTGAGACGCGCTTCTCATTCGATGACTTCGTTCCTGCGAAATCAATCTCGCGCACTCGCAGAGGCATCGTTTTCAATGTAAGATCTATCTTTGCTTACAAGAGCTAAATTAAAACTATCAGCGCTCTGAACCGACGAAGAAAAGGCCCGTCAGTGCTGCGCGAAAGCCAATGCCTACTTCGTCGCTCAAAAAAACAAAATCGGACCCTGCTCTTCGTCCGAGCCGAGTGCGAACTCCTGTCGATCGTCAGAAAGCCCCTTCTTCTGCTGAAACGAAGAAGCGACCCATTTCGAGGGTCGACGCTGCGAGTGAGCCAAAGAAAAGAAAGACAGAGGTAGGAAAGAACATTAATTCTTATCACTAACAATAAATCAGAGTCCAAAAAGTTCTGCCAATAAGAGCGCTCTTGATTCCTCGATTGAGAACGAAGTCCGTCAAGAAAAGGTAAAATTTCACATCTAAACATTATACTTACTGGTACTCTTTCAGCCTCTTCCTCGATACATGCAGGCAACGGCAACGTCGGCCAAGCAGTCTCGCATTCGGCAGAAAAAAGCCGAAGACAGGCGCAAGGAGAACAGCCAAAGATTGAAGGAGTTGAAGGAACGCCAGCAAAACATACATAAAAAACCCTTCCCCTTCAAAAGTTCTCCATAACTCACCCTCTCATTTTCATCCACACGTTTTCACTCACCATTTTCACCAAACCAAAGTTTCACTATGTAAATTCACTATTTAATTGTATATATTCACTCACTACCTGTACTTTTCACATTCCAATAAAATACTCAAAACGAGAACCAAGCAAAAAATATCCGTGTTATTGACTGAATGTGAGCATGTTCTATTTCAAATAGACTATTTGCAGGTTAATTTTTCCTTGATTCCAGTTAGATCACTTTCGCAGTTCTCTTCATCGCAAATCTTTGGAAAAGAGTAGAATGAGACAAAAAATAGCAGCTAATGACTTCGTTTGTACTTGATATTTGTTGAGCAGTAGATCTATAAAAGAAGACTTGGTGCAGTTGCAAATTCTAAAAGTTCAAAATGAAGTTTTTCTTCCTCGGCCCAGCAGGAAAAGATTCCAAAATAGAGACAGCTTTGGTTCTATTTCGTTTTGAAATCCTCGTGAAGCTGCAGCTGTAGTAGATGAGCGTTTCACGCATCGAGTTGGGGCTGGAAAATTGACTGGATTGAAAAGATCGGGAAACTTTGATGGAGAAGCACGGGAATGGTTTGAATTTCGTGGGATTCCCTTCACTGCAAAACTAAAGAGGTTTGATTATCCAACTTACTTGGATCCTTTCCAGTGGAGCGAGGAGATTCTTGATGCAACAGGCAATCCAACTTCATGAATTCATTGACTGCTAATTATTTATTCAAGAATATGGCGATATCTGTAGGCAAGGGAACCAAGGCTCGGAGGACTGCCTGACGCTCAACATTCTGGCGCCAGATTCGCTCTCCAGCGAGCAATCGCCTCGTGCCGTCATGATTTGGATTCATGGCGGTGCTTTTGTCACCGGAAGCGGTGCCGGTTCCAATCAGGTGAGGTCAGAACACTTTCCAATTTCCAACGATTCTCCCAGCCATCAACTCAATCACATTACACTGATGGGCGTGCATTAGCGTTACATGAAGATGTTATAGTTGTCAATCTCAATTATCGCTTGGGCACCGTTGGCTTCCTCGCTGGAATCGATGATGCTCATAGTTTTGGTGCAAGTTTATGTACATAAGTGGATCAATATCATTTTTTGCAGCATAAGATAAGAGGAAATTTCGGCGTTCGAGATCAGCAGGTGGCAATTGAATGGGTTTTCCGTAACATTGCCGATTTTGGAGGCGACCCAAGCCGGATCAACATTTTTGGTTGTTCTGCTGGAGGCCGCTCGGTTGGAGCCCAACTCGTCACCTCATACAACGACGGCATTATTTTCAGCGCTATCGGACAGTCTGGCGACATCTCATCCGACCTGATCTGGGACAATTTTGCAGAGGATAACTTACATGCTGTGCTTGAAAACACAAACTGCGCTGAGGCCGCTAGTCACCTTGACTGCTTACGAAATGTTGAGATTGACACTTTGCAGCGTGCTGCTGACAGCTCCAAGGAAGGTTTTGATCAGTTTTTGCATAAGAACAGTATCTCATTACTGGAACGCTATACGCAAGTTTTTCACAAAAACTACTCTTATACGTAGAATCCAAAGTCACGAATTTTCAATTGATAAATGTTTGAAATTATTACAAAAGGCACAGAACAGAGAGTGGCAGTGGGGAGTCGTCGTTGATGGTGACTTTTTGTTGACAGGTAGAGGACTAAGGCATTTTTGCATCAAGATTTCTTTTAAAAAATCATCTGTAGATGTGGAATGAAGGAAAATACTTCTGACGAGAACTGCGTTCGCCGCCATTCCCAAGTCAAGTTCATGTCAGGACCCAAGATCAACTAATGTAAGGACTTAATTTAAGTTGTAAAAACAGTACGTGTCCGGATCTCCAGTAAGGCTGCTGCTCCGCTGACGGATACGCATTTGCACCTTCGTGGACACGCAATGACGGAGAGGGTTCTATTGAAAAGATAAGACTTGTCAAATCAGTTTTTGATCACGAAATCATACAGTTATGAATTTCAATTTTTGACAAGCTTTTAGTCTGTAGAAGCTATGTACGATTTTACAGTTCCTTTTGGCTACCGAAATGAGTCGCTGGAGGTAGCAAAACTTACTTACAGGTGACGTATAAAATATCACTTTCAAGTCCAACACTAAAACTTTTTACAGAAATTGGGAGAATCCCTGGGACGAGTATTTTATTCGAAACCTGACAATCGAAGCTGAAACTGATTGGCGATACTGTGCCCCTACCATCAATATGCACCAAGACAGATCCTTGCTTGACGAAAATGATGAGACGTATTTCTACTACTTTGATGTTCCGTCTGATCTCTCTGGTGGCATGCAGGGGGCAAATCATTGCACAGATAACAAGTATCAATTCGGACATCCGATTTTAAATCCGCTGTCATCGCCAGCGGATAAACTCCTGAGTCGGCAAATGATGAGATACTGGGCGAACATGGCCAAGTACGGATCCCCGAATGATCCTGAAGGAGACGATGATCTTCCGAAATGGGACGCTTATCATCAAGGTAAGTGATTTTATATTGAGCTCTTTGAGTAGAAGTTTAGAACGGCGCAACTATCTTCGAATTGACCACGGCGTCCTTGAAAACGAGGACAACTTTAGGAGCCGCTTCAGTGCCACTTGGATTGACACCATTCGAAATGTCGAAGATCTCCGAAACGACTAAACTTTACAATAAAAAAATCGGTTCCGAATGAACTTTTTTCAAATTTGTGCGTTGTCATGTTTCTGCTTGTATAAATATTTCTCCGCTGATCGGGCTTAATAAGGTGGAAGCGATTGGCTCGAGTTTTAGCGGCTCAAGTTAGAGTACTTCTTGGATCCGCCGCGCTGGTGATTTCGTGTTACTTCCGAGAGGTACAGTTATTGACGTAGCAAAATATATGCACGTTTTTGCTTAGATTTGAGTTTTATTTCAGAATTCAAAAGTATCTTTGTTGCAGCGAAAACGAGAGAGAGAGTGGTTAAAAACGAGTAAGGGATTGCGGGTCAGAATCGTAGAGTCGAATTGTAGAAAAAGGAAGAATATTCTAAACAAGGCCGTCGTAGAGAGAAAGCGCCTGGACGATGGACTTGTCCATTCTAGCGCCTTCGAAGAACTCTTCCTTTGAGAGCTCGCCATTGCCATCTTCGTCCATTTTGGCGAAAATGCGGTCCACTTTTTGCTCAGGTGTTTCGGACTCCGAGAAGTTGCCAACCATGCGGAAGATGGCGGTAACAATTTGCATCATTTCTTCGCGAGAGATTGTTCCGTTGTTGTCGATGTCGTACAATCGGAAAGCCCCTAAACAGTCGTGTGAGTTCAAAAGTTTGATTTTAGGGAAAAATAAGGGATAATATAGTAAGAGGAGAACTTACATTCGAGTTTTTCTTCGAAGTGACCTCGAGAAGTTAGTGAGAGGGCTGTTATAAACTCGGTGAATTCGATGCTTCCGTCGTTATTCTCGTCGAAGACGTTGAAGACGAATGCGGCAAATGCAGAAGGATCGCCCTTGGGGAAGAAGCTCTGGTAGATCTTGGCGAATTCGTATCTAGTCAGCTTCCCAGTTGGGCAATCTTGGAGGAAGCCGTCGTGCCAGTGCCGGATCTCCTCGCGAGTGAAGTTCGTCTCTTCAACCAGCTTGTTCATCGCAACCTTGTTGAGCTTTGACTTGTGGATTCCCATTTCTTTCTTTTTGTTCTTTCGAGTTTTTCGATTTTTGTTATGAGCTCTAGTCCGCGGTTGCCACTTATATATACTGCTCCTGACGTAATAATGGAGCGAGCGCCGTAAAATTTTATTTGCCTTCTAAGTAGTTCGTTACTCACAGAATTTAACCGACCTTGAACACTTCAAGCATTTATGGAGCTATTTACGAGCAGAAGGCAGATTGGAAAGGCGATCTTTCTTGTTGATAAGGGCTTCCTCTTATGTTTTAGGGTCGCTAAAACGGAACAGCTCACTTATTCACCGCTGATTAATTGATTTGTTTTTAGGAAACAGCGACAACAAACAGGAAGTCACCTAATTATAGAATTCAAAGTCAACATCAGAAGTTTCAGTTTTCGAAAAATCAGGGTGGTTCTCTAGAACACGGGAGGCGAAAAGTTGTTTCTGAAATTTTTCATTCATTACTTTCTCAGCGAAAGTGATTGAAAGTCCGAAAAAGACAAGATAAAGGTAAGCTAAACTAATTTTCAGTTTCATCATTTTTATCTTATTTTGCTAGTGCTGCAAGTGGCGCTCTCCGAGAAGCTTTCGTTCACCTGTCCCTTCGAAGAAAATGGTGGACGAAGAAATCGAGCGAAAACAAAAAGAACTTGCGGAGAAGTCAATGACCTAAAGAAGTGACCGGCAAATATACAGTCTGAAAACTGTTACTACCTTCAACACTTCCTGAATAAAATCAATTTGAATTCCAAAAAAAAATTTTTAAGATTTTGTAATCAAAAAATTTGCTTTACAAAATCTTTGATATTCTTTTGTCATTCTTATTTCAGCAAAAAGCAAAGCAGGGCATTTCAATTTCAACAAAAAATAATAAGTGAAAGCAACTTTTTAAGGTTCTCATTGAGCTTTTTTTCTGGCAATTTGGAACCTTTTTGCGCGATTATGCGCCATGAACTGGCCGTCTAATTATCTGAGTTGAATTCAAAAAGGCGGCCAAATGCGACACGTAGTTTTTCGCCAGTAAGTAGCTGAAATGGGTTCAACTAGCATTTTCCGGCGAAGCAAAAGTAGAGCGATTAATTGCCACTGCTCGGGAATAATTGAAAGGTTGAGCGAGGAATTTCGCGCGACAGAGCCAAGTGCCGCCAATTACATTACATAGTCGTTACTAATCTGCTCGAGTTCCGGTACTTGAGAAGAGCTCCCACTCGCGCAGAGGCAGAATTCATCTGATAAGCGATGCACTCATCATTTCCTGCGTTTCCCATCGTTAGCAGTTTACGTGAACTCTTATCGACTCCGTTATAGTGAAAAGAAATTTCGCCACTCAAAAACTATAGGAACTATAGGAAAACGTGTAAAAATATGTGTTGGTCGAGAATAAGGGTTCATTTTGACCAAGATTGAGCCAAAAACTCGAGAAGAAATCGCTCAAAGTTCCCCAAAAAAGTGAATTTTGCGGATTTTTGCCTCTACTTTTACATTCTTTTGTCAAAACTATGGGTAGGGCCCAGCCGCAAAAAATGGCCAACTCGAAATCGCTGTTTTTTTCAAAATCTGTCATGATAGGATGATAGAGCAGCTCAAGCTGAACAACTTTCATATTGAAGACTTTTGAAAAACCTTTGTTGTGTGACCGGAAATGACCTGCAAAAGTCCGAAAATCGCACCAAAATCGGTTTTTGGCCTGCGCAAGGTGTGCGCATCGGAAAAGTGTCTATTTTTTCTTCTTATTAAAAAGCTCAGGCTCTGAGCTATCTGTAGGTACCAAAAAAGTGGTCTTGGTACCCATTTTTCTAAGTAAAGACTGCCGGAAAGTACCGGAAACCAGCGAAAACTGGCAAAAATGCCGGAAATTAAGGATAGGCTTCTAACTACTACATCTTTTTCGTCCTCGACGTTTAAAAACACTTAAGGTCAACTTCGGCCACTAAGTGCCGGAGGACCTCCCGGAGGACCCCTCTGCTGGAAGACAAGCTGCTGGAAGACCAGTATTTAAAAATAAAGACACAAACAAAATATAAAGGCTGGATTGGCTGGTTATTGCCGTATTCGGCCACTTGATGCCGGAGGACCTCCTGGAGGACCCCTCAGCTGGAAAACAAGGTACTGGAAGACCAGTATTTAAGAAGAAAGATATAAATAAAATATAAAGCCTGGATTGCCTCGTTATTGCCGTTATCGGCCACTTGATGCCGAAGGACCTCCCGGAGGACCCTCTGCTGGAAGACAAGCTGATGGAAGACCAAAATAAAAAAATAAATAAAAAGCCTTGTCTGGGCACAAATTGCCACATTTGGCCAAACTCGATCACTTAAGAGACATCTCGAAAGACCTTAAACAAAAGACATACTGCTGGAAGACTTATTGGAAAAAATAAGTTGCTTTTCTTGTAACACGTCTGTTTATTAAATTTGTCAAGGAAGAAGAGGCCCGTTAATTCTTTTCAATCAGAACCAGGGCGAAGCCGACCCGGAGGAGGCCACGCCCGCTTATTCTTTTCAATCAGAGTCAGGGCGAAGCCGACCCGAAGGGAGGCCACGCCCGGTTATTCTTTTCAATCAGAGTCAGGGCGAAGCCGACCCGAAGGGAGGCCACGCCCGTTTATTCTTTTCAATCAGAGTCAGGGCGAAGCCGACCCGAAGGGAGGCCACGCCCATTAATTCTTTCAATCAGAACCAGGGCGAAGCCGACTCGAAGGGAGGCAACGCCCGTTTATTCTTTTCAATCAGAGTCAGGGCGAAGCCGACCCGGAGGAGGCAACGCCCGTTTATTCTTTTCAATCAGAGTCAGGGCGAAGCCGACCCGAAGGGGATGCCACGCCCGTTTGTTCTTTCAATCAGAGTCAGGGCGAAGCGGACCCGAAGGGGAGGCCACGCTTGTTTATTCTTTTCAATCAGAGTCAGGGCGAAGCCGACCCGAAGGGGAGGCAACGCCCGTTTATTCTTTTCAAACAGACTCAGGGCGAAGCGGACCCGAAGGGGAGGCCACGCCCGTTTGTTCTTTCAATCAGAGTCAGGGCGAAGCCGACCCGAAGGAGGCAACGCCCGTTTATTCTTTCAAACAGACTCAGGGCGAAGCGGACCCGAAGGGAGGCCACGCTTGTTTATTCTTTTCAATCAGAGTCAGGGCGAAGCCGACCCGAAGGGTGGCAACGCCCGTTTATTCTTTTCAATCAGAGTCAGGGCGAAGCCGTCCCGAAGAGGAGGCAACGCCCGTTTATTCTTTCAATCAGAGTCAGGGCGAAGCCGACCCGAAGGAGGCAACGCCCGTTTATTCTTTTCAATCAGAGTCAGGGCGAAGCCGACAAGAAGTCGAGGCTACGCTTGCTTATTCTTTTCAATCAGAGCCAGGCCGAAAGGGTTTAACAGGCCTTGACTTGTTCGCTTCTTATCGTTGAATTCCGATCTTCTGGGAATTTCGAATTTTGAATCTGTGAAAAGCCTCCCGGATGATTCGTGAGACTGATAGGTTCGGAAAAACTCGAAATACTCAGGATCTTGTACAGATGAAATGCTCGGTCTGGGACAGCCATATTTCACGGAAGCGTCTTAAACCAGGCGTTTTTTTTTTATTTTTGTCTCTAGCGTCAATTTTGCTTCCAACAAAAAAAATCACCCCCGGTCGGGTTCCAGATTATCCATCGCGGTCGGCTGTGCCCTGACTCTGATTGGAAAGTGTTAACAGGCGTGGCCTCCCCTTCGGGTCGGCTTCGCCCTGACTCTGATTCAAAAGAATAAACTGGTTTGGCCTCCCCTTCGGGTCGGCTTCGCCCTGTTTCTGATTGGTGAGAATAAACGGGCGTTGCCTCTCCTTCGGGTCGGCTTTGCCCTGACTCTGATTGAATAGAATAAACGGCCGTTGCCTCTCCTTCGTGTCGGCTTCGCCCTGACTCTGATTGAATAGAATAAACGGCCGTTGCCTCCCTTCGTGTCGGCTTCGCCCTGACTCTGATTGAATAGAATAAACGGCCGTTGCCTCTCCTTCGGGTCGGCTTCGCCCTGACTCTGATTGAATAGAATAAACGGCCGTTGCCTCTCCTTCGTGTCGGCTTCGCCCTGACTCTGATTGAAAGAATAAACGGGCGTTGCCTCCCTTCGGGTCGGCTTCGCCCTGACTCTGATTGAAAAGAATAAACGGGCGTTGCCTCCTCTTCGGGTCGGCTTCGCCCTGGTTCTGATTGAAAGAATAAACGGGCGTGGCCTCCCTTCGGGTCCGCTTCGCCCTGACTCTGATTGAAAAGATTAACGGGCGTTGCCTCCCTTCGGGTCGGCTTCGCCCTGGTTCTGATTGAAAGAATAAACGGGCGTGGCCTCCCCTTCGGGTCCGCTTCGCCCTGACTCTGATTGAAAAGAATAAATGGGCGTGGCCTCCCCTTCGGGTCGGCTTCGCCCTGACTCTGATTGAAAAGAATAAACGGGCGTGGCCTCCCCTTCGGGTCGGCTTCGCCCTGGTTCTGATTGAAAAGAATAAACGGGCGTGGCCTCCCCTTCGGGTCGGCTTCGCCCTGACTCTGATTGAAAAGAATAACCGGGCGTGGCCTCCCCTTCGGGTCGGCTTCGCCCTGGTTCTGATTGAAAAGAATTAACGGGCCTCTTCTTTCTTGACAAATTTAATAAACAGACGTGTTACAAGAAAAGCAACTTATTTTTTCCAATTAGTCTTCCAGCAGTCTGTCTTTTTGTTTAAGGTCTTTCGAGATGTCTCTTAAGTGATCGAGTTTGGCCAAATGTGGCAATTTGTGCCCAGACAAGGCTTTTTATTTATTTTTTTTTTTATTTTGGTCTTCCATCAGCTTGTCTTCCAGCAGAGGGTCCTCCGGGAGGTCCTTCGGCATCAAGTGGCCGATAACGGCAATAACGAGGCAATCCAGGCTTTATATTTTATTTATATCTTTCTTCTTAAATACTGGTCTTCCAGTACCTTGTTTTCCAGCTGAGGGGTCCTCCAGGAGGTCCTCCGGCATCAAGTGGCCGAATACGGCAATAACCAGCCAATCCAGCCTTTATATTTTGTTTGTGTCTTTATTTTTAAATACTGGTCTTCCAGTACCTTGTTTTCCAGCTGAGGGGTCCTCCAGGAGGTCTTCCGGCATCAAGTGGCCGAATACGGCAATAACCAGCCAATCCAGCCTTTATATTTTGTTTGTGTCTTTATTTTTAAATACTGGTCTTCCAGTACCTTGTTTTCCAGCTGAGGGGTCCTCCAGGAGGTCTTCCGGCATCAAGTGGCCGAATACGGCAATAACCAGCCAATCCAGCCTTTATATTTTGTTTGTGTCTTTATTTTTAAATACTGGTCTTCCAGCAGCTTGTCTTCCAGCAGAGGGGTCCTCCGGGAGGTCCTCCGGCACTTAGTGGCCGAAGTTGACCTTGAGTGTTTTTAAACGTCGAGGACGAAAAAGATGTAGTAGTTAGAAGCCTATCCTTAATTTCCGGCATTTTTGCCAGTTTTCGCTGGTTTCCGGTACTTTCCGGCAGTCTTTACTCAGAAAAAATGGGTACCAAGACCACTTTTTTTTGGTACCTACAGATAGCTCAGAGCCTGAGCTTTTTAATTAGAAGAAAAAAATAGACACTTTTCCGATGCGCACACCTTGCGCAGGCCAAAAAACCGATTTTGGTGCGATTTTCGGACTTTTGCAGGTCATTTCCGGTCACACAACAAAGGTTTTTCAAAAGTCTTCAATATGAAAGTTGTTTAGCTTGAGCTGCTCTATCATCCTATCATGACAGATTTTGAAAAAACAGCGATTTCGAGTTGGCCATTTTTGCGGCTGGGCCCTAACTATGGGTTGAAACTGAGTGAGAGCCAATTTTTCGTTAAAACAGGCTTCACGAACCATTTTCTATTCAAGAAAAAACTGCTCGACAAAAGGAATTATTGAATTTTTTAGAAAAACCGGGTCTTATGATCGACCACCACCCCTTAAAAGCGACGACAAGCGGAAAATATTTCAGAACTTTGTTCTCGGCTCCTGAAAAATACATTAGTACTATGAAAATATTTGTTCTTTTTTTATCAGTCTCAGTAGCAACGGATTGCAATAAAGTGAGAGAATTCCTCTATCCAGATGATGAATGAAAATGACATTCTCGGGACCGAACTCTGATCCCCATGTTTCTTGTGCTTATCTTGAAGCCCGTGTTCTGAGTAGTCGAACAGTATAGGTTAGGGGTCTAAGTCATCAACAATGACGTCATAGGGATAACCTATTGGTCGAAACCTATGTAGTCCTCTAATTTTTAACTGAGTGTATAAAAGTAATTTGATCTTGGGCTCATTCAAAAGGGCAGCTCGAGATCTAGGTCGGGAGACAAAAACCACGGTCAACCACCCGTTGAACCACGTGGTAAAAATCTTGAAACCGGGCGGTTAACAGCGATTTATAGCTCCCGACCTAGATCTCGAGCTCGTCTTTCGAATGAGCCCAAAATCAACATATTTTTATATGTTCAATAAAAAGTTATGGCACTACATAGGTTTTCCCCATAAGGCCCTCTTTCCGACCGAAATGACGTCATTGACGATGACTCAGACCCTAAGTTACATACCATTGGACTCCCCAGATCACGCGCTTTCAGATAAGCTCAAGAAACATGGGGGTCAATATTTCGTCCCGAGAATGTCATTTTCATCCATCAGATGAACCTTCTTGTGGCAGCTCAATGAGCTGTGGAGATGATTACGCTTGTGTTGTGACTGAAACATGCTCCTCTTATCAATGTTTGAGCGCTCCTCAATGCCCAGCTGGTACCACCTACACCGTATTTACTTCCACTGCAGCTGAGTATGGGAATGAAACTCATGCATATAGTGTAAATGATGGATTCTACTGTGCACCCGATGGTTTATTATGCGATTATGATGATAATGGCGACTTCTTCATCAAAATGATAGTCGACGATAAGCTTCCCGGTTCAGACTTCGGTATTCCAGATACACGTGAAGTGACACTGATTTCAAAGTCAAAACATGATCAGCATTCCGATGGACCATTTAAGCAATTTTCAACCTCTAATCAGAGTTGCAAATTTGGCTTTATTTTCGCTGAGCTGAGCTTAGCTGAGCTGAATGAGAAATTCTCTGAGCTGAGTTGAGCTGGCCTATTTCGGAGCGCACTGAGCTGAGCTGAGCTGAGTTGGCCATTTTCAGAGGTCATTGAGCTGAGCTGAGCTGAGCAGACCCTTTTTTAAGGTAGTTGAGCTGAGTTGAGCTGAGCAGACCCTAATTAGAGCTGAGCTGGGCTGAGTGAGCTGAGTTGAGCTATTTTTTACTGTTTTTTAGTAGTGAAATTGTGTTAATATCATTGAGCTGAGCTGAGCTGAGCTGAATGATGCTTGTCTGAGCTGAGCAGAAAAGATCATGTTCGTGAATAATTGAGCTGAGCTGAGCTAAGTGATTATTGTCTGAGCTGAGCTGAGCAGATAAATTCATTTTCGAAAATCAGTGAGCTGAGCTGAGCTGAGCGACTGCTCAGCTCACTCAGCCAGCTCAGCTCACTCAGCTCAGCAAATTTGCAACTCTGCCTCTAATTGCAAAGGACAAGTAGTTGGAGACAAGGTCTTCTTCAAAAAATCTGTAACGGACCCAAATTGTGCTAATGAGTTTGATTTCAGTTATGGCCTTTCTGAAACAAATGGGTACATGCATGTTATCGATTTCGCTATAGGTTAAAAGAAATGGATCAAATATATTTTTAATATGCTCTAATAGGTTTTGACGATTTGTGGCAAGTAAATTCTTTCGGAAAAGAAACAATTCAAAAAGGAGGTGTTTCGAAGATTTTACAATGTAGAATGAAGACGTCAAGTGGTGGATACTGGGATCCAAACCCAAAAGTGAATCGACTTTTCAACTACGAAAATGCTACATTTGATGTTGATTTTCAGTTTGATGTGTATTCAGATGATCAATTTTCCATAGGACAGAAATTAAACTGGACCATTTCAAAACTATTCTTTATTATCGAACTCAATTTATATCTCTGTATTAGAATCAAATGGCATAATCGTGCTTAATGAAGGGAAAAGTAACGGAGGAATGTATATTAATGCCAAATCTGATCGTGTGAACAATTACATTTTTCATCTGAGGTATTTTTTTTTGCTTTATTGATAATCTAAATATAAATTCTCAGAGAATGCACAACGTTTTTGCATGAAAAGTCAATTGATAACGATGGCACACTCCGAACAACACAAAGATCTTTTTCATTCTTGAACAACGGCTGCATAGAAAATGATATTAATGATGGTCGAGGAAAAGGCTACAACCAACTAGATAGTACTTATTATCAAAAAATAACTCGGACAGAATGGACCAATTCAACAAATACAGTACACAATGATCAGCTTCTTATAAAAGCTGAGGTTGACAAAAATACAAAAGACGGTATAGACAAGGTAATGTTTGTTAAAAACCGAATCAGATGATTTCAGTACACATACTCGTGTGAGATGGTTCTATGTCCGACCGAAGCTATAATGCTAGAAGATGATCCAACAAAACCATGCTACTGGAATAGCGAGAAATGCCCGGGTCGATATGAAAATTTGTTCTCTGAGCCAACCTCGCGAGATAGAAGATCAACAAGATCGAATGCTGTTGAGACGGTTAACTCTGTGCAGAAAATTAAGATGATTAGAAAGGAAGTCGAGTTCAGAATTCAGAGAAGCGCCAATCTTACATCGACTGAAACAGAAGATACTCCTGAAACGACAACAACAACATCCACAACAACAACAGCAACATCAACAACAACAACATCAACAACAACATCACCACCAACAACAAAAACATCAACAACATCAACAACAACAACATCAACAACAAAAACAACATCATCAACATCATCAACAACAACATCAACAACGACAACAACAACAAAAACAACTACAACAAAAATAACTACAACAACAACTACAACTACAACTACAACTACAACTACAGTGAAAACCGAAACGACAACTACAGCAAAAACTACAATAACAACTACAACGGCAGCGCCGACTACCTGTGGAACTGACAAGGCTTTTTCAAGCGTTACCATGGTCGCTGTTCTCATTTTTCTGAATTTTGTTCAGTGAAAAAATATTTTTTCTTCCTTCATCTTTTCTCCTGACTTCTAATTGATATTCTATTTCTAATCAGCTATAAAATACTAACATTTCATTAAAAAAAAAATTCTTCGATTACAATTGCTGACGACATAATATTCTCCGAATTTTCAGCTTCACGGTAGTAGTAATTGAGGCTTGCTTGGAAATGAAAATGGAAATCAAAGCCGTGTGGACAAAAATTAGTATAGAGATTTAAATGCGCATTCTTTTCATTAGCAATAAAGTAAGGAGGTAATTTTTGTTGCAACGTTTTTTTTTATTTTACGGTTTGGTATATCTGAACATGCGTTTTTGCTCAAATTTAAGGGCAATTCTTTTCGCTCGCTTCTTTCCAAGAATCGCTTCAACTTGCTTGAAATCAGTAATTGGACGTGCCTCGATAATTCGTTTAGCGTATGTTTTACCAATGCCGGAGATCCAGTCTACCATGCAGTCGAGGGAGATGTTGAGATGATCAATGAATGCTTTGTGGGAAGAGTCGTCGCCCTCGATTTCTCGGAGATGAGCCATTATGATCCAAAACATGTCAGAATCTTGGACGAAGAGGTCGGTCGGCTGAGAAATTCCGTCGGGAGGGGAGCTTTCTTTCTTGAAATTTTCGAGTTTTTCTTTGTAATTGAGTCTTTTCTCGTCTCGTTCGCCCTTCAGAATTCGAAGTTGGCTCTCCAAGTCGTTGATTTTCGTGTCCATCTCGGCGATTCGATTCCATTCTTTCCTGAAGACGAGGTTGTTATGTCGAAGATGCTGGGTGTATTCTTCCACCGTTTTTGCGGCTTTCGGCTTGCGCATATCTGCATCGTCCGAAAGTTTTCGCTTTTTTGATTGAATAGGCCTTTCTGGAGTTTTTGCTGATTCATTCATCTTTTTTTTCTGTTATGGAAGGTTTCAGGTTTGCATTTTTATTTGCAGAAGATCAGATAGATGGCGCTCATTTGGCCATTCGTAGCAGATGGTCAAGCTGTTGGAAAGACCAAATAACCAGCCGAGAAAAAAGACTACACACTGTTAGATGATAATAATCATCATTTCCTTCACAGAACAAACCATTTTAATAGTTAGTAGTAGTAGTTAATTTCGGGGAAACTTCAGTTCAAGGGAAACTCGTTTGAAAAGAAGGCCGAAAATCAAAGCCGTGGTCAATAAAATAACGAATAAACGAGAATAAACCAGTTTGAGCTACTGTCGACTAATGACCAGCAATTTTGATGCAATAACACGTGTATTTTCGAGAAGAAAGGAGCTCGCTTTACGATACTGGTCAAGGACCGGCGGGACATGAAGAACGCTCGTGTCCGACATGCGTCATCTGTTGGTCGAGAGAAGTGCCACTTGCACCTTTTTAGAACATCCATGAAGATGTTCTTAGTGCCTTCTCGGAAATCACGGGCTTTATACTTCTCCTCTTTTCACGTTCAATTTAGACGGAAGCGGTGTTGTTTTGCAAGCTCGAAAAATCTGTGTATTAAATGAATTAGTGGTCGACTAAATGAGCCTCTTTTTAGACTGTAAAATTCGATGAGTCAAATTGAGACTGTAAAAATTCTAAGTAAGAGTGATTAATTCAATTTGTCGCAAAAAAGTGATTTGTATCAGAATTTTAACGCGTTTACTTGGCTAAGCTGATGATTTAAGTTTGGCGAAATTGACTTAGCATGGGTGGCAGGTGATACGTGATCCGGGAATCTCAAGATTGAATGGCACAAATCCCGGCAACGTGAAATCATTCATGCTCGTTATCGACTGCTGCTGTTTAGAGTGGTAAAGCGATTTTGCGTATTATTGCAGGAATCCGGCTATAAGTTCGGCGCCACGAGGCTGCTATTGCAGATCTGCGCGCTGTTCATTCGAGGTCACCTTTTGGAGTTTTTGGAAGGAGCACGTGAAGACAGTCGCTAATGATCTAAAACGCCATGGCAGCTGGGAATCGTTGGAAGTGTTTGGGCACTTGGCCGGGCTTGGGTCACCGAGACCGCGGCGCTAAAACCAGAGCAGAAAGCAGTGGCGGCTCCACTCGCCTCCTCTCCACTCGCAAAACACGCGCTCTCGACATAACAGCCGCGCCGATATTCCAGAATCAACAACGATAATTCCAACGTGATCCTGCTTGATGCAATCGCCGCCATGATGTGAGCCTGCAGCGCTGCCCTTTGTCCAAGTGCTCGAAGATTGCCAAATCAAAGGAAAAAAAGAGAAAATCGAATTTTTACGAAAGATTCACTGAGTTTCACTGTGTTTACTTTCTGAGTTTTGATATTTCGTATTTTGATATTTGAAGGAGCTCGGCGGCTGACCCTGGCGGCTTTTCGACGAGCGGCTGGAAAACAAATTTTTTGGTCGAATACGTAGAGGAGAAGCCCGCCCGATTGCAGATTAACGAAGGGATTACTAATAGCTTGGTTAGCGCAATTGACAAAAGTTGACGGTCTCTAATTAGCGGCCCGAGCGGCCGGTTGGGCAGCTGCCGCCGACTCTTTACGGAATTAAACGGGCTTGACATATAACGTAACTCAGCAGCGATTACTTAACGAAAAGGTTCGCCAAAAAACGCTTGACGTTTCTTTTCATCCATAATTGCTGCTGTAGAAGAAGAAATGCTGCAAATTCAATTGAACCCAGCAATTAAAAGAAACGCCATCAATCAGGAAATTGCAATAACAAGTAGGTATTTTCCCATGAAAAAAGCAAGACATCCGGATCGCCGATCGTTCTTATCTCTTGTGCAACGTTGATTGATAAATCGACATCCTGAAATCGACAGAACTTGAAATCTTGATTTTATGCGCTCACAAGCACTCATTAAAATATGCACTCACTAAAAGAAAGATCCGCGAACGCAACGTTAAAATTCTCTAGATCAGAAAAAACAACAACCATAACTTTCTTTTCAAACATCCCCGTTTGGAGTTTTTCCAGCTCGTTGGAGCTCAAGTCCTGAATCAAGGCGCTAGGACTTCCTTTGAACAACTGAAATTGCAATACCATTTATGCATAATTTTTGAAGGGGACAGGGCCCCCTCGTTTTGCGAAAAAACATTGAAAACATGGCCGGGGAACGGCTCTCTATCGAAGAGGTGCTTGATCCTTGCTTGGAATTAGATCTGCGTCCTCGAAAAGCAATCAGCGAATGTGTTTTTCTTTCAAATTATGTGATTGAAGCGGTTGTCCTTCTTAAGAAATCTGCTGCCCGAGTTTATTGAAAATCCTGCAGGCCGCGGTTGGGCACAGCAGCTGCCAATTTCGCCACTTCTAAATGCCCGTCTCGGACTTTCTCAACTTCGCCCAACTTTGCGGATCCCAACTTAGAACTCGGCCCAACTATCTATTTTCATTCATGGAGCAGTTCCAAAAAATCGTCAACCATGACTAAATCAATGAAGGACGTAAAGAAAAAGCGCTATATTTGTAAAACATAATTGATGATTTTGCGTATGTTGCGTATGTTGCGTAAGTTCCATCAGTTGATTAATTCAGGCGGAACCCAAAAAATACAACCTTGTAGTCAAGGCCTAATCATGAAGCGTGGGCTCCAGCCGCTCGGCAACCTGTGTAGAAACCTGAGTCAGGCTTTGAAGAGCTAAAATGAAAAGCCGCGTAGCGGCTTTTTGAAAACGAAGCCCCAAAGCGGCTTCGCCAATATTTTCAAGTACATAATAGTGATTTTGTTGCAAAGCCGCTTTGCGGCTTCGTTTTCAAAAAGCCGCTACGCGGCTTTTGATTTTAGCTCTTCAAAGCCTCGCTCAGGTTTTCTACACAGGTTGCCGAGCCCAGCATGAAACCTGCAATTGCGAAATGCAAAAGAGAAAAGAGAAACAAAACGATTTTGAAAGAGTATTTTCACCCTTTCAAAATCGGTTATTTGAGATTTTACAGTAGGAAATTGATTTTATTCAGGAGTTATGTAAAATTTGCAACTTGTCAGGAAGTTGATCAGATCGGCAATGTCTATCGCTGATCTTCTCGTCCAAATCGTCTTTTTCAAGATGTATTTGAACTCGATGGATTGTGACCATTTTGACTTTGTCGCTTCTCCGTCTTTTCGACTGAAATTGACCGAGTGGAAGGCCATCCCATCGAGTTGAAAGCTAAAAAAAAATTAATTCGCCGCCGAAAATCATCAAAACTCACCGTTTAACTCTCAAAATTCGGACTTTCAATCACCCAGGATGTGAAAGTGATAAATGAAAAAATGCCCATAACAACTTGTGCTCAACCCGTGTTCTAGAGACGAGCGAACAAAATTTTCGACCTGGGAGATTTAGAAAGTGCGAGATCTTCCTCAGCGCGTGTTTAAATCGGAGTACGTAGGGCCGTGTCATAATGTGTGTCTAAATAAAGGCTCGCAGGTCTGATTAGCGCAGCTGAAGGTGGCTTTATGTATTCTTCGATATCCATGATGACCGCAGGAAAAATAACGATGGGCTCCCATTATCCTGCTGGACTTCTGTTAAGACAACAACGCTCGACCATACTTTCAATAAAGACGCTTTAGAAGCACTTTTCTTCGCTTTTTTTGTTTTAAGATTTGGTGCAATTGTGTTAATTGGAACGTGGGGATGGTTAGTTCGTTTGTGCGCTAAGCCCGATTGTGAGTAGTAAGCGCCCGTTCTCGCCGTTCTTTTTTGGTTGAGCAGTCTTTTTGGGGAGGGAGCGTCACGTGTCCGCTGCGGGGAGCGATGTCCGCACTCCGTCCGACAGAAAATCAAAATCCAAAGCGCTCCATCAAAGACACCTTGTACTGCTCAAAAATGGAAATCGCACCGCCCGCAACTATGAAATCGACACCAAGCCATATCCCTAGTGAGTGAACATCCAAATCAAAGACGACGTGGGTCAAAAAGAGGAAGTAACCCTCCTTACAAAAAAAGCTAGTGAAAAAACGATGTAACATTCTTGCGAAGATCTAAGCGCTAGTGACCCAATTTCTGTTTATTCCGGAACAATGTCAAATAGAAAGGAGAAGAAACGGGATGGAATGGAATTTGTGAAGGAAAAAATTGACGATCGTGGATCTGATCCAACTGGGCACGAAATGAGCAGATGACGCGCAATGGAACATTCTTGGGGATTCCTGCGGCGCTTTGCTCCTGAAGAAGTATTCGAAAATCGAGCGATTCCAACGGGTCGTGGATCGGAACGCAGCACAGTTATTACCTCACTCTGCCTTCCCATTTCATTTTCAACAATTCAAACGGGCGAAGAAACTTTAAGTGGATGAGCCGATAAGTTTTTTTTCTCTGCTTCTATTTTTTTGTGTAGTCATGGCGAATTCTTTTTAGAAGAAAAATTTTGAAATTTGCCAATTGAACGTAGCTTATGCATTAAGGAGATGAGCGTGGAAATGGAGAAAGGATGGTCCTCTCTGAGCGGGTGAATCGATCTGATGAAACCTTAGCTCGCTCTTCTCGTCACACGTTCCATCACGCCAGCCGGAAGCTCCTCGTAGAAAGAGAACTCGCCAGTCGAGTGACCATTCATCATTTCTAAGCGATTAAGATGCGCTAGTTTAACTGATCTCCATCAAAGCACTTTCTTTGTTCAATTCATGGGGAAATGCAAACGTAGACAATACTACTTATAAGATAAAAGTAGGACGATTCAATGTTCATCTGTCTTAGGAAAGACCTTTTTTTCTAGGATCTGAAGATTTTTAATGTAAAGTAATCATATATAGTTCGAAAGAAAAGAGAAAGACGAATGAGACTACATTTTTAGATTTTTTAATCAATGGAGAATTTTCATTCTAGAGCGATTTTTGTTTATGATCAACATGTGCAGTTGAGAAGCACGCTTTTTCAATACCACAATATGAGAACCTGACCCTAACCCTAAGCATCAAACTAAAGCTGGAACAATACTACTGTTTCTCAAAAGTGACGTGTAAGCAAGTCAAGCTTGTGTCTTTCCTGAGTGTTCATCTTCAGGAGCGAGCATAGATTTGATTTGTCTGAGGGCGTTTAAAACAGAACTCGATCTTTGTTGCGAAGAAATTCACGCGTCTTTTGCGTTCAACAAAATCAAATAAACCCCAAGAAAGGGAAAAAACGTCGAAAATGACGACAACTACATTATTTTTTTTATAATCACAAGGTGGACCAGAGTCAGTCGCTCTCACGTTGTTGCGCAATCGAAAAATACTGAAACGAACAGAAACTAAAATTATCCCTTCCACTTTTGTTGAGGAGCTCATGAGGGTGAGAAGAAAGTGGGGTTTTCAAGAGCCCGCAATAGTTCGCCTTTTCAAAAAGAAAAATTAGAGCATCAGAGTCTTCAATTTGTGAAACGCGAATTTGAAAAGTGTTCAAATTTCAAAATTTAAATCGGCACTTTTTGACTTTATTGATTTAGGGGTACATAATTTATGTTTATCGCTAATTTATGTAGATGTTTTTTTTCGCTAAGAAAGTTGATAAGCAGCGAGAAGTGAAAATATTTTAGATGAGACTTGTTTATCTGTCAAATAGAGCTGCAAGAAGAGGTCGATAACCAGCACCTTTGATGGTGGGGGTCCGCACGTTCACGCAATATTCCGAGAAGATCCGGAATTTACGTGATAAGCTCTTGTAGCTTATCGACTCTGACAGAGACTGTATTCCTGCCTGCAATAAGACCTGCAACTGGGCTCGACAATCTGAGTAGAGAACCTGAGTCAGGCATTCTAAGAGCTAAAATGAAAAGCCGCATCGCGGCTTTTTTAAAAACGAAGCCGCTTTCAGGAGTCTAAAGAAAATTTATATGGTTTATTTGAGAAGCCGCTTTGCGGCTTCGTTTAAAAAAAAAGCCGCTGTGCGGCTTTTCATTTTAGCTCTTAGAATGCCTGACTCAGGTTCTCTACTCAGATTGTCGAGCCCAGACCTGCAAATGCGAATGCAAAATTTCTCAATAAAGCGAGAAAAACAAGAGGATTCTGAAAGGGCTTTTTGCCCTTTCAGAATAGCTAAAACAGAGTTTTACTTTAGTAGAAATTGATTTTATTCAGGAGTTATGTAAAATTTGCAACTTGTTACAGATTTTATTGTGGTCCGCGATTTTCCGGAGTTGAAGTTGGCTCCAAGAGTTTTTCGGAGGAAGTTGAAGTTAGCTCCAAGTCGCAAACTAAAAAAGAAAAATAAGCTCATCGTCGAAAATGATAAAAACTCACCTATTTACTCGGTTAATTTGGACTTTCAATCACTCAGGGTGTGAAAGTGATAAATGAAAAAATGCAAAGAAAAACTTGAGCTTAGGCCGTGTTCTAGAGATGATCGACAAACTTTCAATTCTTTGGTCGCTAAAAATTTTTCTTCCTCGCATTTTTGCGAAGCCGATTTGCGGCTTACTTGTTAAAAAAAGCCGCTAAACCCTATCAAACCCTGAGTCAGGGCCTGACTCAGGTCTTCTGCGATGGTTGCCGACCCCATTTCATGACTATTTTATTCAGAGATGAAAATTGCTTTTCAGTAAGTTTTGAAAATTCAAAGAACTTAAGGTTCTTTTCTTATGCAAGCGAAGAATGCATTTCGAAATTGCATTGTTGACTAGGGATCAGTAGATTGAATGAGTAAACTCGTGAAAGCGCGGCTCGCTTGCGCCTCCGCCAAACAGCGCCGCCGATTCTTGAGCTATAAATGCGTGGATCAGGTGGGACAGGGGATCAACCATCGCCAGAGAAGACTTATTAAAAGAGAACTTTTTATATTTTATAGGTAACCTTAGAGACTCGACGAATACTTGGACGCCTCTTTTTATTTGACAAATTTTTTTGCGCTTGAATTAATTTTAATAATTATTTTAACTTTCTCTAAAAAATAGGGTTTTTTTGAAGATAGAAAACACTCTGGCTAAAAATATTTTTAGTGTAAGTATTTTCAGTGATTTTTAGCTTTCTTGACTGATTTTTATAGTTAAAGATTTGGTTTGCAAAAATACTTTCTGGAATTAAAATTAATTAAAAAATGTAGTTAAAAAATAAGTAAAATAAAAAATTGCAAATGTGAACCAAGCGAAGATGAAAATAACCTTGTTTGCCATCTTTTCTGTAAATGCCCAAGAAGACTCAGAATCAGCATCTTCACCAGTTGTGCCGCGATTTCCAATCATCGCAGGTAAATTTCCCGAAAGCCAAGTTGCAGGAGTTCCTCAAAGTGACCTTTTAGGATCTCGACTATCGCGTAAATTCGTCGACTTTCGAAACATGTGGCGAGAGTATGGATACACTCAGCAGCAGCTCACAAGTGTAAGGCTTCTTTTTTTTAACAGTGTGACACCCTTATTTTTGACCCTTATTGATACCCATATTCCTGATATAACGTTCTTTTTCTGATTCCCTCTCTTACCATTTTTGTAGCTATACGGTTACGGCTGCTACTGCCTGAACTTGGGCGGCAGTCCGATGAGCGGCCTTGGCGAGCTCAACGGATCGAAGCCAATGGACGAAATCGACCGAACTTGCTTCCACTGGACTCGGTGCAACCGCTGCGCTGCGATCGACTACGGCGAGCAGTGCAGGGCCGAGGACAAGAGCTACAACTTCGAGATCGACCCTGTTACCAAGGAAATCACTTGCAAAGGTAAACTGGCAAAACTATCCTCTCTCCTTGACACGGCGTTGGTTAGACAAAAAGAACAGCTGCAAATGGGCGATCTGCGAGTGCGACAAAGATCAGGTGATTTCGATGAAACAGTTCGTCGACCAAATGACTCCGGACAGCCCAATGCTCGCTCACAACGGATTCGATACGGAGGCACAGTGCCAGAAGAGAGAAGTTTCGAGGATGGAATCAGGAATGGTTGCAAATTTATCGCTTTCGTGCATTTTCCTTTCAATTTTAAAAGAATTTTTCGTCGTTCTTTTTTCCGATTCTGCGGTCTTTGAGACTTCAAGACGGTTAAATCGACGACTATATGATTTTTTTAATTTAAAACTTTCAAATTCTCGACCAAAATTGAAGCGTCGCGAAAACAGTGCTGCGGCGAGTTCCCAAAGCGGCTACCATTCAACGAGAACCTGAAGCAATGCTGCGATGGAAAAGTCAAGAGCCACGGATCCTGCATCTAGTCGCGCGGGTTTTTTCCCCTTGCCGACGATGATGATGCTCTTATTTTTTTTTTTGTAAATATGGTCGACCCTTTTTTCTTGATTTTTGAACTTGCAGGTTTAACAGGGCATTACAGTAACACGCAGTATTCCGTTCTCTACCTTGCATACATGTCTGCTTTTTCCAAAAATTAACTTTAACCCTCGCTCGTTTTTTTTCCTTCCTTCAGCTAGTTCCAGAACCGCCGATTCCAGGAAGACAGAAAACGCAGCCAGCCGACGCCCGAAGATCCTAGAAGATCGGACGAAGAGTGACTTTAAAACGAACCACTCCTGTACATTCTTTTCAAAAACACAAACACCAAAAACGCAATTTTAATCAATCGCTAGTTTTCAATCACTTGTAAATAAATTTTCATTTGTTTCTTTTGGAGACAAATTCGCATTTTCAAATTTAAATCAACGTCTCTTTCTTTCAAAACTTATTACAGAAGCACTGTTCTGAAGCAATCCAGACTATCTGTATCTTATGATATACCCTTTAAAGTTTAAACTGATAGTTACTGGCCTCAGCAACCTGAAAACTTGGCCTCAGAGCTAATCTAAAGCAGAAATTGGGTTGTTGTTGTCGCCCTGGGATTTTCTTTTCTGAAACTTTCGGCGCGAAAGTAAAGTAAAAATAGACCAGTTTTCATTCAAAGACTTCATTTTCTGATTTTTTCCTTCAAAGAAAACAGAACTTTTTTTATTCAATGCTGCGGTGTAAACTTTGCAATTTTGAAGCTCCTAAGCAAGGAGCTAAATCGGGTGTAGGGCGGCCACGGTACAAATTTGTACCGCCGTTACAAATTTGTACCGCCGGTACAAAAATTTTTGTACCCCCGGTACAAGCCAAAAATAAAATTTGAGAAAAAGAGTGCGCTTCGCGCTAGAATTGAAGGAAACTCCTTCTTGGTATAGCTGAGGTGGAGTTCTGTCCAAAAATGAGCTTTATTTTGGGTAAAAATCGGTTTTTATTGTCAAAAAACTTATCATTTTTTGTACCGCCGGTACAAAATTTGTACCCGCGGTACAAATTTCACTTTTGTACCGCGGCCGCCCGCCCCCCGCTAAATCACCGAATAAATATGTGCAATGGTTGATGCGAAGGCATATCAGAGAAGAACACGCAGAGAGAGTACCACTAGCTTCCGTTGCTCAAGGGATTTTCTTCAACGAAAACATCATTTATCTAGAAGGTAAGTTCTAAATAAAAAGTTAGACAGTTTCTCATCTGATAAAAAATCAACTTGAATGGGGAGTTTTGCTTTGAGATGGTTCCATTCTGATTTTTGAACGTTTTTTTTTTGAAAAATGTTGCGTTGTAAAATTTGCGCTTTTGAAGCCCCAAAGGTAATTGCAAAGCAAAAGCAGCGGGTAGAAGAGATTTTGAGGAAGCATATACGCTTGCAGCATAGTGATATATTCCCAGCTACTAACTCCTTTGCTCAGGGAAAATTCTTCGTCGAAAATATCATCTACGACGGTAAGCTAAGATTTTTCTTGATTATTATTTTTGATCTTAACTTTTTAACCACTATTTTTGTCAATTTGAATGACAAAGAACCTGCTTCAAGCAAAATAGGAGACCAAATTGTGGCCGATAAAAATCAACCCCGCTCCCATGAAAATCAGTTTTCCCAACCGGCACAAACGTTTTTCTTTGTATTACTATTTTCAAATTGAAATGTTGAAATGCAAGTTATGCTCTTTCGAAACTCCCCTGAACAATATGAAAACGACTTACAATATAGAAAAGAAGATTCGGATACATCTTAGAGAACAGCATTCAAGTAGTATTCCAACAAAACCCGCCGAGATTGGATCCTTTTTTAAAAAGAATATTATTTATGCTAAAGGTGCGGGGATCCCCTTGTTTATAATAAGAGCCATAGAAAGCTTTTGATTGCATGTAGCTAAAATTTTTGTGGTTAAAATTGTCTTTTAGGCAACGAATCGGCGATAAGTCAAGTTCAGAAGTCAGCTCCAACGGAAGAGGTCCCGAAAAACGTTCAATTTGCGAAGCCTTCTGGTCTGCGAAAATCAACGAGAACCGTCAGCACAGGAGATGAGCCGATGACAAAAGGTAGAAGACTTTTTCTCAGAGGAAATTTAATAATTATTACGAAATTTCTCGCCCAGACCTCGGCGCAAGAAAGAAGACGGTCGATAAAGACACCATGATTCAATGCAAAATTTGCACCTTCGTTGCACCCATAGTGACTGGAAGAGGACAAAGACCGGAAATATATGAAGCCAATGTTAGACGCCACATACGGGAGGTGCACGCTAAACTGCTCCCAAGAAGCAACAAAGATATTGGAATATTTTTAAGCAAGAATATCCGCTACTTACGAGGTATGTTTAATAAAATTCAAATATATTTATTTCTATTATAATAAATACTAGCTAAATGTAGTGAATGACATGATACCTTGTTTTAGTAAAGAAATCTTAGTTCCGTAAAATTCATATTCTGAGAATTCAACTTTGAGTTCCCGCGATCTGACAATTGGCCATTTTTAGGAGACGGGGCAGCCCACGCAGCTCCAGCGATATTGAGCCAGATAAAGAAAGAGCCCGAAATTACTATCGAGGAGCTATCGCCTGAAGAGTCTTATCCTGAAGAGTTTTCAGAAGAAGAAGAGGACGAAGATGCTGAGCGAAGAATGAGCGCGATGGATACTGAAAACTGGGAAGAGAATAAAGAGAACATGAGCGAAGAGTCAAGAGCGAGAGAGAATCATTGCGAAGAAACTGAAAGAACGAACGAAGGCAGTGCCAAAGAGCAACAGAAAGAAAAAGAGCAAGCAGCGGAGAATAAAGAAGAGGAAAGTGAAGAAGAGCGCTTGCGTGAAATGTCCCGACAGGTGGACATTTTCAGTGGCTACATGATCCAGTTGCCGCAGGAACGAGTCGGAAATGAAAAAATAGACAAAAAGCACCTTGGCAAATATGGCGATTACTCGCGTCTGATTCCTCTGGAGAATCAACAAGGAACATTTGAAGAATGTCCACGAGGTAAGAGCTTTATCGTTGCCCAATTAATATGCTCAAAAAAGCCTCTGGCCAATAAAAAGCCTGGTAATTCCAGGCTGGAATTTTCTAACGAACATTATTATCAGGCAAAACCTAACGATTGTCTTTTTAGAGATGTTCGTTCTTCCCGATAGCAGCAGAAAATGGAAACCCGTCAATCTCTGCGATGAGGAGATCGGCGAGACAAAGTGTTTCCGCTACCTGACGCCTCATGGCAACATCTCCGATCCTTACTATGGCCGTCTTGTCTACCTGCACGACACTCCCTTCACCAAGCGCACGGTTCGCGACGCGGAGGTGCCAGACAACGAGCTCTTCTGGTACCTTTTTGCTACAAACATGATCCAAACATGTCAAAAGAAGAGTACATAAAGATGGAGAGAAAGTTTCACAAGACGATGGAGGCGGTTCAGACGCCGGAGCAACTCGCTGACATTGTTCGAAAATCACATCGCGAAGTTGAAGAGGAAGAGAATCGGACGCAAGGCACAAGTTCTTCGACCGGCGCCGACTCGCAGGTGCAGGCGGAAAAATCCAAGAAAAACGAGTTTTCTGACTTGGGTCTTGATATGAGCGATGAGGAGGAAGACGAGGGCATTGTTGAGGCAGCAAATAAAGACCCCTCGATTGATGATGACATGGAAAAGTGCCTGAAAGGACTGGAGCTGTCTGATGAGGAAGAAGACGAAGATGAAGAGGGAAGCGAGAATGTCGACGGCAAACAGGCGCGAAAAGAATGGATGAAAAAGCAGAAAGCGGATCTTATCGAGAAGATCGCCAGAGCAATTCACAAGAATATCATGCTCACTAAAAGGGAGAAAGAGGTAAAGAGTTTTCTACGCGAAAAGAATCCGCTTGCTTACATTTATATTATAGATCGATGATGAAATGGACAGGCTCATGCAAAATCGATCCGACGAGATCGAACGACGAATCGAGGAACGCTACACTTGCGGAACATGCGGAAAGATGCTCGATTCTGTTAAGGCAACCAGAGTTCCAAAACTAGCGAAATCGTGATTTTAGTTTAGCTCTAAAGCTTTGTCTTGATTACTTGAAATCTTTTGAACTCTGAATCAGGGAGTTCCAGAAGCGAAACACGAGCATTTCTGCAAACTGGCCTCCAACATCTAGCTCCAGAAAGTCACAACAACATTCTCCACAACATTTTTCTTCACACCAAAGCCCATTTTGGCGACTATTTCACTGTCACTCACTCCTCAATAAAATTGAGATCAATCAATCCTCTTTTTCTTCCTTTGTTACATTTCTTGCATGAATCAACACAGATAGTTACAGTTCGCGCTCGTTTAAGAATGACAGGGGAGATCGTAATAAAGCTAACGTCGCCAGACTTCCCTGAAATCGAAGCGGAAGCGATCGAAGTTCCGCTCACTACGGGACCAGAAGAGCTCAAGGTGATCTTTCTTAATGTTTAGGACGTAAATTAACCCTACGATTGTAGACACTGGTGAAAGGGCTCAATGCAGAACTCGAAGAAGGAGTTCAACTCGACTTTCTCCTGCGCGACCAGTTGATTCGACAATCGTTGGCGAAGCACTTGGACGAAAACGCCATCGAGACAGATGTCAAGTTGGAAATTCTAGTTCTGAAAAAGCAAGATGCGCCTGTGCCAGAGAACTCTTACTCAGCTGAAGATTGGATATCAGACATTTCCTGTAGAGGGGATCAAGGAATGGTCCTTATTGCAAAATATTGAATCAGATTCAATGAATCTTGCCTTTTTAAAGTGTCTTATCCAGGATAATCTATCCTGATGGCAATTTGTTAGCTTGATTGCATAAGAACCGGATAAAGTATTACTTGCATCGTACGATGGAACGGTAGCACTGTGGGATGCTGAAGAAGACGAAGTACTCTTTAGTGTCAATTGCTCGAGAAACGTTGACCAGAGCGAGCCGATCAAATGTGTCGCCTGGGTGCACTCAGAGAAAGAAGACAGTTTTTGCAGCGGGAAGTATGGATGGCGACGTGGCTGTATTTAGATGGGAGAATGATCGCTCGAAAAAGGCTGTTCCCATGTACTCCCTCAGGTAAGGCTGTAAAATAAGAAACTTTACTAACCATTTTTTCCAGAGGACATCATGGATCAGTAGACACTGTGGCCTGCCCGAGTGAGGGTGTGATTGTGAGCGGCGGGCAAGACAAAAAAGTAAGAATTTGGAAAGACATCGCGGACCTTCCTCTGGGATGGGAAGAGCTTTCCGCCAAGAAACGAGCCAAACGAGAAGAAAGAGGAGAGGTTAAAACCTCAGGTAAGATATTTTTATCTTGCGACGTAGAAGTAAAACTGAGTAGATACGATTATGGAAGGACATACTGAGTCAGTCTCGTGCTCGACTGTTTTGTCGAAGGAAGAAGTAGCGACGGCCGGAATGGACAACACTTTGAGAATCTGGGACTTGAACAAAATGGCCGAATCGAACACGCTCTCGGGAGTCAAGGCTTTCTTCGACATTGACTACTCCAAGCACTCGAATCTCATTGCCTCGGGAAGTAGCGACAGACATGTGCGGCTTTGGGACCCTAGAACGACCACTGGAAAGGTAAGACTGGTGCTTTATAAAGCCTTTTTGTGTGATCGCGAAACTCGTCCTTTCTTTCTTTATATTAACTTATAGGTTTCTGCGCAATCACTTACCTCTCATTCTCTTTGGGTCTCAACAGTGCGGTGGAATCCAAACGACAAGAATCAGCTGTTGAGTGGAAGCTACGATAATGTTGTAAAAATGTGGGACGTGCGCAGTACCAAGACGCCACTGTATGACATGCAAAAGCATGAAGATAAGGTACGTCTAAGTTATAAAAAGCGGATGTTGACGTATTCACTTATTTAGGTCCTTTGTTCGGATTGGTCCAGGTCGAAGTTGGTTGTTTCCGGTGGCTCTGATAAACAGATTCATAGCTACCGTGTCAAGTAGAATGTTATTTTTTGCGAATAAATGCTGCCCTGCCTCAAAGTTTTCAAGAAGAAATGAACCTCATGCTTTTTCATGCATGAGTATCATAGTATGCTTTCCTTGTTTTGAGTTGTTGAGCGTTGTGTAGACAGAAGTTGATAGAAGTGAACTTTGTGAAAGAGAAACAAGATCAGGATTGTAACTTTTTAACTGAAGGAAAACTGCGGAGGCATTGATTGACTTTTTTAGACAGCGGATTTAAATTTTCTTTGGAAAGATTGATTAAGGAATGATCAGCTCACACGCCAGTTGTTTTGAATCGGACTCATCTTTGGCTCGTCTAAATCGTCGCTAGAAGGCTGCGAGGAAGGTTCTGTTTGCTCTTCGACCGCGCTCAAGTTTCTTGAGTTGACGAGGTCGCCGGAAGAAACCGCTGGGTCATTTGGATTGTTCAGTACTGTGGTGATTGTCGGCGGCGCTGGCACTTCTCTTGTCTGCCCGTCGCAGAGCGTGACGACGCGGTTCGAAACTGGTTCAACGGGCGAACCTAGGGCAGAATCAGCATTGCTCGGCTGCTTTTCGGACTTGAGATCCAAGTTCATTGATTCACGATTGTTTTGCGATGCTTGGAACTCGTGCTCATCCACATGGCTATCGCCTTCAGATCTTGCAGAACCTAAAATTTCACGGTCTTAAATTCAGCATGATATTTCAAAGTATCAACTTAATTCTACTCACCGAATCTATCTCCTTTTCTAAACGAGTGCTGGTGGACGAACTCATTGGGCCCACCGCGTTCTCGGTACGGATTGATGATCCTACTGCTGCCAATAAACGATTCAGAACCGTCGCTTCTATTGGACTCAGCGTAGCTCAGCAATCTACGACGCTGATTCCGCTCTGAGCCGCGTGAACGAATAGACATTTTCGACATTAGATGATTTGACTCCAGATGCCCCGCCAGAAGATGCGAGCGACTATTTCCAATGTCTCCTTCGTTTAAATCGAGCACGGACTCTAGGGGCACAAAGTCTGCATCTGGCTTCACACCAATATTCGCCGTCGATCCTAGAAACAAAAGACTGGTAAACGGATGAATCTCGGTCTTATTTACCGAGGAATGGCTCTTTCTTGTGTTCTAGCGCGTCTTCAGTGTATGGAGCTTCGGCGAAAGTCTTTCCAACCCAAATATCTTCGTCGTCGGAATCGGTGGGTGAGACATTATGAAGGGTATCGACGGCGAGGAAAGATACTTCCAAGTTTCTATCGATAATCATGTTCACTTCATAATCTTCGTCGTCCATTCCGAAAGGATTGATCAGCTGCTCTGCGACCTTCATCCATCCCATGTAGAAAAAGAATTCTAGCAGCGTATAAATCGGTAGGATTCCATAGAAATGCTCGTCCGAGTCTGAAACTCTGGTCGTATTCAGTGGAGAACAATCCTCTGTGCCGAGCATTTTCTGGCGGCCAAAAAGGGCAAGCACGAAGTATCCATAGACCGCCACGCAGACCACTTAAAATGATGGTAAATTTCAATTTCCTTCGTAACTTCTATTCTTGTAGATTCTTACCTTGCGTGTAAACAAGTGGTATACAAATCCAATCATAACTTTGAAGCATTCCCAAATTGCCTCGATAGCCTTGCATCTCATTCACAAGCCTGTCCAAAGTAATATCGCTAGCTACAAAGAAAGAACTGTTAGATGATTTGTTAAGTGAGCTAGAACAAACATATTAGGCCTTCTTTTCGGGCACGATTCAGCGTGTTGATGTACCAAGTGAAGGGAATCCAGTATTTCAGTTGAGTGGTTTCAATTGAATCGTAGGTTTCTCGCTCCGACTCTGTCATAAAACCGGCAGAGTACACGTGTTCGATTGTGGGAAATCGAGTTTTCACTGACGCAGCTCCTCAAGGTTCGCATTGTTCTTATTACAGGCTGAAAACAGTTCCTTTCTTGCTCTTTACATTTGAGTAAATGCGTTGAGTTATCGATGAGAACCTTTCCTACGTCACGAAACGTCAGTATCGCTGCCAGGTTCAGCCATCTCACGAGTTTTCGACGATAACTGACGGCCTTCTTGCATTTCTGACATTCTTTTTTACGGCACGAGCCGTCTGAGTCTATCAAATCTGTTTAATTTGCGGCAAATAAACCCAAATAAGCGTCTTTAGAAATTTCCAGTCTGTCTATCTGCCAAGACTGGAGATTTAAGGTAAACGTCTCTTTTGAAAAGTTCATAGACTGTCCATAATTGATATACCTTTATCTGTGACGTGATGCCTCAAGTATAAACTGATAAAAAGCATATTTCTATCAGGCCAAGGAATATTCATGTACTGATTCCACCACCTTCCAATGACGACCGAAACGAAGAAGCCAAGAATGAAACTGAGCGGCACATAATTGGAGAACTCGTTTACTTCCACGCAAAAGTCCTCGAATACACCGCGAAGACTCGGATATTTGCACAGGGCTGGATCGGAGCTCGGACTGTAACTCAATTATTTATAAAACTGTTCCATTGTCAAAAGAAAGTTGGCCTTTCGCCAATGTGCTAAGTCCGACCCTTTCCCATTTTGTTCACCATCGCGATCGAGTAATAAATTCCCAGCCACGTGAGCAGCTCCCTAAAATGCAACTGTATTAACTATAGAATCTTATTCGCCCTACCTCCAAAATAGCTTGTAAACGCTTCCTCTCCACTTGAAGAGTAGCTTTCCAAAACCCATGAATTTGACTTCGGCGACATCTTGACTGTAAGTGATTGTCATTCTCTATGTATTTGGGCACGCTGCTGCCGGGCCTGTCAGCCAGCAATCGGTCCGCGACGCAATTTCAAAGATCTTTTCTTCTGAGAGCAATGAAGGGAGCTTGAGGGCGACCCGTTTTCGTTGCGCAACCACCCCCCTTATCCAGTCTGCGGCGCCACCCTACAACTGGATCATCCTGAACTACCGCAGCCACCCTAAAAAGTATATTTCGAGTACACTTTTAGAGTGTAGAAAAGTGGGCGTTAAGCTATTTAAGTACTGACAACCCTTAAAATCGTTCCTTATTGACCTAGAAATACGCAGTATCCACGATGATAAGTATAAATTCCTTCGCTTTGATATTCACTGGGAAATTAAACAGCTGAGCATTAATTTGATCCGGTAAATGACCCAAATTAGATTGAAAGAGATCAAAAGACGAAATGAGACTTTTGCCTTTAGGATTAGTCGCGGCTCAATCAGAGTACTATTTTCAGCACTGGTGCGGTGCTTATTACCTTCCTATGCTCGATGATGCTAATTGCGCCAAGGAGGGCTCGATGAATTACTTCTACTCTTAAAATTAAAGCCTTAAAATAATTGTTTTGGATAATGATGCAGAGAATTGATTTAAGAGCCTCTGACTCAAGAAACTGGTTCATACTAGCTCCGCCCACCCTTAATTAATTTACAATCATCGTTCCGATTTTAATTTTTCACGCCGATAATTAACCTTTGCGAAGTCATTGACGTAGCTTGCATCTTATCGATGAAAATTCGATTTTCAATCGATTTACACGTTTTCTAGGAACAAGTTGTGTAAATAAGGACTTGCTGATTAAGCTTGCCTATCCAAGCAGAAGACGATCAGCGCGCCGGCAAAGTTTGCACATGATTTGTAAAGGCCGTAACAATCATGAACTTCTGGAGAAAGTTCGTCAATGACTTCGTAAAAGAAAGACTTTCCCTTCCGATTTGACTCGCGGCGAGTGTCCGGTGCCCGTGCTCACATCCGTCCCCAGTGGATACGTAGGCCAGTCTTTGAATAGAGAAGCAGCTCCATTGCCCCATGGGGAGCCACTTTCTTTCAAAGCCGAAAAAAGCTGATACAGCTTTGGATCGAATTCAAGTGGACACTTCAAGGCTTAGTCACGTCACCGGCGCTGATGTCTGTATTGTAATGACGAAAAGGGTGAACATCAATGGAAAAGTTCGTCCTTACAACAAATACTTCTGCAATTCTAGTGCAGCTGCTAATACTGCTTATGAGACGTGGTCTTCTTCGAAAGTATTTGCAGCAGCAAATGCGGGAAGCAACATGCGAAAAGGTTCACCAACTTGCTCTAGCGGACGCTTTGGACTTGACGCCAAAGTCTGGGGCAAAAACGGATACACACAGCTTGCAGATCTCGTTACCGCCGTCGTTGCTTACGACGAAACAGCTGGTTATAGCTCCAATGGTCTCTCTGCCTATTTCCACGATATTGGTGGGAGAGATTCAATGAACTCCCTCGTCAAGGAAAGGGTCCTTGTTGTCTTCAAGCTTCAACAAGTACACTTTATTGATCCATTAAAAGTCTCCGTGGCTTGGGCAGTCCCAGAATTCGTTGGGTGGGAATTATGGCGAGTCAGTCCCCTAGTAAGCGATTATTACTTTCATCTGCAAAAAAGGAGAATATTTATTGATTATTAGCGATCTGGGGTTGACATTTATCGACGAATACGGCGAAGCTTGCGTCGTATCAAGAGACAATCCATCTCAAGTGTATCCCAATTCACTGACGTTGCTTGCTCAGAGTGAGCTTTTAAGAAGACTTGTCCAGCACAACATCGTTGATGAAGGTGTCCAGTGGCCCAACTTAGAAGCTCGAGATCTCGAGCAAATCCTCTACGGAGCTGACGAGACGGGTTTATTCGGCTCTCAGCAGTGGGGAGGAATGACCGCGGATACAGCCATCTACCTACAGAACTCACTGAACATGCCAGAAGTAGAGAGGCTTTCTGGGGGATCGTGGCGAATTTACTCCAAGCTTGGCGCGGGTTATTCGAGCTCTCGAAGAGTTGGAGAGATCATTACACTCGCTTATGGGTGTTTCCCAGATCTTCTAAGTAAAATTCGTGTTGCTGCTATGAAATTAATTGCTTTCAGATGATCGCGAAAATTTCGAGTTTACAGTTGCTGTAAGAGGTTCAGTTGCCAACGATAGCTTTTTGTTCAATGCTGAGCAGCGGGTCAAGGATGCAATGGATAGAACTATTCAAGCTGTTTGGGAAGGAAGACTAAACTAGTAACAAACTGGTATTGACTGCTTCAAATAAAAGATTAGTCAAATTTACTTCTGATTTATGTAAAAATTCGAAAGGTAGGGTGAATCAACGTACGAGGACAAGGATGCCTGACGATGATTTACAGAATAGAGTTCTAGTGATGAAGAGATCCATGGGAGTTCTGGGACGAGTGAGTGACGAGCTGGAGTAGCGCCAGGACGGGTCAAAGTTCGTAACGCGTTACGATGAGTTAACTGGGCGGGGAGGAGACTTTGCCACTCGATCAAGAGGCTACCAATGACAAACATTTGCCAAAAACAGAAAAGCAAAAAGAAAAATGAAAATGGTGAGCTGAAGAGAATCGAATTCCGCCGGAAGCGCATTTCCTACAGACACATTTTGAAGCAAATTCGACGTGGAAATTGATCATTTTTATGACCAAAATGTCAGAAAGTCTTCATTAGACTTGCTAAACTTTAAAAAAATTGAAAAATTCTTTAGATGTAATTAATAAAAATTCTCTCGCAGATAATTAAGAAATAAATGTTCATCGTAAATAGCCTTAAAAATTCAAAAGTAGAAAATTTAGCTGAATCGCGAATCAAATATGATAATTTTTAAATGAAAATTGAGAATCTTCAATGACAAAAAAAAACGAGGTCTTTGAAAAACGTGTCAGTTCACACTAAACTCGAGATAAGCGTGTTTGATGAAAACCTGCCTAGAAATTGAAACAGTAGGAATCAGGACAGAAGCAGAATTAGGTTGCCGTTTTGAATCGAGTGATTCTGGCCCGAGGAATGGTTTTTATCATTATTTTGTTTTGATTGAAAATGAAGGAATGTTTGGGTGGTCAACTGGCATATTTAGGGACAACAATGCTCCGATTTTTGGCCAACCGGTGTGGTGCAGAGGCAGGTGAAAAGAACCGGTGCAGTACCATCCGGCTGGCGGTAACACACCGCTTCTTTTACTACTCTGAGCCTCCTCTAGCAGCTCCACCTCCGCCACTTTCCGCCATTCTCAATTTTTCTTAAGGAGCTCCCCAATTAACAAAGGAATTTCGCCAGCGAAGCCGCCAGAGAAAGCCGCAACGAGAAGCCGCAATCGAGAGAGAAAAAAATGAGAAACAATCGACGTTAACTTGGCCTGTGCAAAGCCCTAACATGTCTAGTAGCCCGGGGGGAGTGTGTAGACATGAAGGGAGTAGCACCCGCCAAGCGTTCGAACCCTCGACTAACTTTGAAAGAGAATACAGCGAAGATTAGAGAGCCTAGAGACAGCACCTCGCCTCTGAACTCGCAAACCGGCAAAGCGCAGCAAAGTTATTTTGGCTTTATTCAGCGACCTTTCCAGTTTTCCAATTGTGCGCCTCGTTTTACACCAATTCGATCGTAATTTAGCCTGTACACACGTGCAAACGCAATGCTCAATTGGTCGAAAATGCCGCTCTAGCTCTAGCCTAGGTTAGAGCGGTTTTAATTTGAACGTTCAACCTCTACGACACTTACTGCCGGGCTTGATATTCAATTTGTCACATGCAAAAATCAAAATAAACGTTGGAAATTTTAAACTTGTTTTCACAAAGCACGAACTTGTCTAGTCTTTAAAATATCGACTTGTGCTGGAAAATCGGCAAGGCCGAAATACTCTTTTGTGAGATACAAAATTTCTGTAGCGAATTTTTAACATTACTTTTACAAAAAAATGATGAAAGAAAATGCAAGCTTGGAGCAATTTCTGATCGTGATAGAAGCAGGCCGCTCCCCTGCCAAGATGAAAAATCCTCAGCAGCTGTCCGGACTCCGGAGCATTCCGGAAATTCAACCATCTGCGGCCACGCGATGTCCGGTGGAACATTTAATCACCGCGAATTTCGTAAAAGCAGAAAACAATCAATTTAGCAAACAATCAAAAAAATAACAACGATGATCTCTAAGAACAGCATCAAAAACTTTTTCTCCAAGAAGCACGAGCGGTTCGACAAGAAAGAGAAGAAGCTGAACTCTTCCATGATTTCACTGCCTTTTGGAGCAGTGAAAAACAGCTTTGACACGAGCTACAGGCAGTTCGACAGTGGCAAAGGCGATACACAAAGAAGACCCAACAACTCATCCTCGAATGGCTACCAACAACTGTAAACGCTACCGCTTATCATGATTCAAATGCAAATAAAAAAAGAAAAAAAAAACTAATTGATACCAAAAACGTATGATGATTAAATTTGAAATTTATTGAGAGGAAAGAGGCCGAAAAGTAAATCAAAGCTGAATGACTAGGATGACCGTATATGCCGGAATCGTCGTTTAGAAGAGTTTTTGTACTTCGGTCGTTTCGAACGGCTTTCTGCAGATTGGACAGCTTTTTGGATTGACGGATTCGAGACAGGAGAGGCAGAAAGTATGCCAGCAAGACTTGATAACCGCCCGGTGATGCTGGTTCTTGTCGAAGGGCGAGAAGCAGACTCTGCAGCAGTTTTCATCAGCTTCATCTAAAAAAGATATAATAATTTAATATTATATATTATTATATTAAATATTATTATTTTACAGTGCCTCTGATTTGTATTACAAAATAAAAATTTTTCTGTGCCTTACCTGCTTGCCCCTGGTTATCCCGGTTGAGCTCTGGTCTCTCTTCGAAACGCATAATTCTTTCGTCTAAATATTATTATACTTAAAATAGATATAGAGAGTAATAATTCTGAATCCTTAATTCAGAACATTTATTCTATAATACATATTTTAATATGCAGAACTCAAATTATTACGCGCAAAGAAAAATACCTGCCCGATTCCGGTTTTCGAATATCTCTCGCATGAGTGTTTGCCTTATGTTTTGAAGTTGAATTTCGTAACTTTTCGGCGAGAAACAGACTCTGCAGCAGTTTTCATCAGCTTCATCTAAAAAATATTTAATAATTTAATATAATATATTTTACAGTTATTATTTTACAGTGCCTCTGCTTTGTATTACAAAATATAAATTTTTCTGTGCCTTACCTCCTTGTTTAAACTGGCTTGTTGAAATATTATATATTATATATATATATTATATATATAGAAATATTATATAGATATAGAGAGTAACGATTCATATAGAGAGTAATAAATTATTACTAATAATTCAGAACATTTATTCTATGATACATATTTTAATAGACTGAACTCAAATTTTTTACGTGCAACGAAAAATACCTGTCTGGATTCGCATAATGCAAGAATTTCTTCCTTCTGAAGTTTCGCATAATTCTCGCATGCGTCTTAGCCTTATGCGTTGAAGTTCAAGAAATTGAAGTTCGTCGTCATCGCTCAGTTTTCCCACTTTTCTCGACATCCCGCAAAAAGCTCGGGCTAGAGTGAACAATTTTCGGTTTAGGAAAGCAACAACCGGTGCAAAAAGCCTCGGAGCACAGATTAAAGACAAAAATTGTTTTTTTCAGATTGAAAATCGCACTGAAAAAGGGGTCAGAGTTAACTAGGGTCGATTCATTTGTTATGATTTCACTAACGGCAGCCCTAAGATTGTAGGGCCGCGTTCAAAACTTGAGAATCTAAGTGTCGACCACATGAGCTAAAGACTACGCCACCGGTTTTGAGTTTACAAGGTTTTTCGATGAAGGTTCCCCGTTTTCGATTCCTTGTTGTGAGCAGAGTGTTATCCCTGTTAGGAAGGTGGTGGCTCAGTAGTCTCGCTCTTGTGGCACACAGCCTAGTCCTCCGGGTGCTGCGCACTTGGTCGGATAAACTCTGCGAACAAGTCAACTAGATGCATCGGAGATGCTTGTACAAAGACCGGGCGGTAGAAGAGCAAGACTGTTTATGGTCTTCGAGGAGCGATAAGTCGAATGAAAAAAGCTGTGAGGATCAAAAAGGGGGGTTTTATGAAATAGCAACGTTTAATTTAGGCAGAATCTCTGCCCCAGAGATGACTACTTTTAGTGATCAAGAAAATCTTTTTTTCAGAAAATTTCAAAATTAGATGCCCTCTGTGAGGCTCGAACTCACGACCTTCAGATTATGAGACTGACGCGCTAACCAACTGCGCCAAGAAGGCAACTGATCAGGCCACTGTTGCTGAGCACAATAAGGACAAGGAAGAGAGACGGGTTTGTTTCGTTTTAAAATGTATCCGACAACTTGTGCGTTTGTGTATTAATGTTTACAGTATTTACAAAAAGAAGTGTTTCAAATGGATCGTCTTCGTCAGCGCGCGGCGAAACTCCTTGGCGATGTTGTCTTCCGGGAGTCGAGAGCTTGTCTGTTTCATCAAGTTGATTTCCAGAAGAGAGAATGAGTTAAGTCGCCAATTATTTGGTTTTCGCCGGGCCACGCTGTTCCCGTGACGAGCATTTTCATTAGCCCCCAAAAAGACGTTTTTTAAATATATAAAAAAAATCCATCGGAGTTGATATAAATTTTAACCCATAAAAAACAAATAGCCGGGGTTGGACGGACCGCGAGTAGTAAATCGCCGGTCGGGTCGGACCGAGTAAGAAGGAAACCGGGCGGTCGGGAAAGAGAGGAGTCGAGGATCGAGATGGGGGCCGAACGGGCGCGGGAATTGGTACCGTCCCGGCCTGTTCAGCAGTGGTACCGGTTAACCCACCGCGGCCGCGACTGCTGACTCCGCCGCGCGAAGCGATCTTACCAGGCGCCAGACCTGACTAGTGGAAAAACTACAGGTAGCTAATCCAACTCAGACGATTAAGTTTTAAGCGCTGGGAGAAAATGGCTGGAGCCGAAAATGTTGAGCTCCAAGTCAAAAAAAACAAAATGAATCGTAGAAGCAACAAAAAATAATTATACAATATCCAGTGTGTCCTTAGAGTGAGAATACAGCCATCTCCAGAGAAATAAGTAGGGCCACCATTGATTCTTTTAACAATCGACGGCGCGGGATTTCACCTCGCCGTTGCAGCACTGCAACCATTTCTGGTCGTATGTCTGTTTTGAGGTACAAATATGACTAACTTCTTATCTAAGGGTAAACTACTTATTCACTAGATTAGGAGAGAATCGAGAGTGTGACTGGAGTACCAAGCTTGTTGCCGCAGCAGCCCTTGGTCTGAGAGTCGAATGGGAATCTGTGGCTGGCGTAGTCGCCACAGCACTGGGTGTTGTTGTCTTTTCCAGAGCTTTTGAGTTGGACGGGGCTGACCAATTTGGCGCGGATGTTGGTGTTCGCGTTGGGGTCTACTCCGCAGAGATCTTCGCGCTCCATCGAGTACTTCGAGAAGGCGAGATTCCACTCAAATGCGGCGCTGAAAAAAACAAAATGAAAAAAAAAGGTCTTGAGTGAAAGCGGGAATCGGGACAAAAGTCCAGCACCAACTCCTGGCCGAGCTACCACACCGCGATACAGGCCCTCGCTGAGTAGCGCTCGCGAGCAACACTCTCGCTGCAAGAGCCGCTCGATTCAAACCCGCTTCTCTCGCCTCCCTCTACTACGGGGCCTGTAGTACAGGCGTTTTTATTGTAAATGAATTAATCAATATTATAATTGGCTTAAATTAATGGTTGGCTTAAATTATTGATTGGCTTAATTTAAAGGTTAGGGTTAGGGGGCACCGCGCAAAATGACAGAACAGTCTCACCCGAGGGGGATAGGCTAGGGTTAGTTAGGGTTACCGAAGGTAACCCTAAGTAACCCTAGACTAGACCCCGGCATTTTAGGACCTAAGGGGCGAAGCCCCGTGGTAAGGGGCAATTAGATTTATCATTTTCTGCTCATATCATTATTAAAGGGTCAATTGAAAACATAGAATTAATGATGAAGGCAAGAATATTGAACCCGTTATAATTGTGGGCCCCTTAATAATAGTTATTATTAATAAAAGTTATTATATATAATTTATATCACTTCTTCTGGTTCAAAATCTGAAGATGGTAAGCTTTTATTTTCCATCAAGTGCTTTTGATTTCAGCGGGCGCGCTCCGCTGCGCCCCCCATATCTTGGCTAGTAGCGCAGTGTGGTAGCTCGGCCAGGCGTTGGTGCTGGACTTTTGTGGTCCACTTACTCTGTTTCTACACGCTGCATGTCTTTGGCAAAAGCGACCGAGCATTCGCACAGGTTCCGTCCACAGCTGTTTTCCTCGTCGTGGCACTGTGCGGACTTCTCCAAAGTGATAGGATCTTCCTCGAAAGTGATGTTGTACTGATTCAAGTTGTAAGAAACTCAAGCAAAGTCGCGATCAAAGAATTACCTTTGTGAGATGGTCGCATTGCTTTCCATTGTCGATTCCGAGACACCGTTGACACTAGAAATGAATTTTAGAGAATTGACAATTGCCAAAATATTATTGCGCCTCTTGAAAAATCATCAATCTTGGTTGCATTCTATTACGAGCGCGAAAGCCGCGATTACGATAGACGGGCTGCGTAACCACTCTATCTACAATAGATAGAGGCCCCGACTGATCCTGCAACGTAACCATTGGAAACTGATAACTATCTTGGTGTCTTTAAGGATACTCGTGATCTAGGGTGATACTCTTCGTTGATTGCAGATCTGACAAACCTGGTGAAACTTGAAACAAGCGGAATCTGCTGCATCGAGCCTCTCGCCGTGGCCGGAGAAGAAGGCGTTCTCGAGACCGTTCTGGAAGCAGTAGCATCCGTAACGGTCGTACTTGTGCCCAGTGAAGAACTTGGTCAGTTGGTGAAGCTAAAATTGCGTTAACCTAAGGCCAAACGAAAAGTCTTTACCGTATCCATAAGCTGACGAGCCGCTCCCGCCTGGTCGTCATGTTTGACGCCCAGGGTAAAGGGCACAAATGTAGAGACTAGAATCAACTTTTAACCAAAGTAATTTTTGATCTATTAATTTATATCCTACTAGACACCATAAGTAAAGTGTTTGATTAGTTTGCTGGCAAAAGAGAAATTAAAAAAAAAAATATTGAAAATTTGAATTTTTTGAAATCCTGGATCGCCCGGAATCCTGAATCCCCCGATTCGGGCGATCAAGGAAAACGGGCGATTCAGGATCCGGGTGATCCAGGATTTCGGGCAATCCAGGAGCAGCCATTTCAGATACCAAAATATCGAACAAATTTAAATGTCTTTAACAAGGAATCCTTATTTTGGTGTTCTATATTTTGATATCCGGAGTTATTGGAGTAGCGATTACGCAAACCAATAGCCTTGAAAATTACCGATATCCGAAATAGTTATCAACGAGGAGAATTAAATTATAGCTAATTATCTAAGGATCGTTGAATAAGTAAAGAGTTGATATAACGTGAATGAGTGGCTGAATAGTCGTTGAGTTTTCGAGTGGTTATATTAATTGGTTTCGGTTGGAGTGTTTAATTGTATGAAATTATTCGATTGATGCAACGTTTGGTTAGTTGATCGACGCCGAAATCAATTTTGAAAAGGAGGGCGCCGTAAAAACAAAAACGCGCGCAGCTGTGGTCAAATAAGCCAACTAATTGGGATTCACGTTGTCAGCCTTTTTTAAGGCGCTAAGCGTGCGCGTTAACTAAACACCGGTTACAGTTCAATAATATTGACAGAGGAAGCTTTTCCCAGAAGAAAGCAGGAGTTAGGCGACAGAAACGAAAATATGAAAAAGATTCAAATTTTTAATCTAGATCCGCTCGAATAATATTTACGCTTGTGGGTGATCTTAAGGTCTTGACAAAAGAATTGATTCTAAGAAAAATTTGATAGGAAAGACGTATGCCTCGGAAATTCTGGAATATTTATTAGACTTATTAATAAAAATATTACATAAGAAGCTCCAAATGCATTAGGTCTATTCCTCTCTAAATCTTACTATGGCTCTTGAAATTTCAATTTCTAATCATGAATTCAGAAATATAAGGGAGTCACCATGCTACTAGGGCTAGGGCTAGGGCAAACAATAATCATTTTTTATGATAAATACACCCTTTATTGCTGCTTAAAAATTTAAATAAATCGTAAATTCGATGATTTTTTTTTCTAAAAATGAATTTTCATGAAAAGTTTCAATGAAGAAAATCTGTCTTTCTGTCAAAGACATTCGATTTTTTCATCATTTGGGGTTTGAAGAAGGCGTCGACGGGTGTTTTCTCTCGAGTCTCTTTCGGTGTTACTTACGGATTGAGCATAAAAGTTTCATCGTGGCGCTTTCTGTTTCTTTTTCAAGTGTGAGATAGAAAAGAGGGCTAGAAAAGTAGGTATCTGAAGAGAAAGCAAGAAAGGCCGGAAACTTTGTTCCAAATGTCCGGACGAAGCCGATGCAGCAAAAAAATCAAACTCGGAAAAGTTTTAACACTTTGGAAGCAAAGCGCGCTTTTATAGTCGACGCAGCGCGCCACTCGCGGACTATGCGCGCTCGCGAACGCTCATCGCGCGCGATGGCACTAGTGAGCTAAACATGAGATAGGCGGTGGAGAAGAGCGCGCGATCGAATTCTATGCGTCACACGGTGGGAAAATTATCGTTCCCGTAATAATACATTTAGGGGTTGTCCACTTTGTGTCGGGGTCAAAACTTCGCACCTGGAAAGAACGGGCAGGATCTCCAGCCGAGCAAATAGGATGCAAGGGTCGGCCGACATGTGCTAACTCCTACAGAGACTGCTCTCAGCGCAAAATCGAAGCTGCACTCGGCACGAGATGTGTGAGCCATTGAGTAAGTACAGTATATGATCACAGGGCATATTGAGTCCAAGATCAGGATCAAGCTCAGCCGCGTATAACTTATATATACGGTATAAGTCTCAATTAATTATTGACAGTTATGCGAAAAAATATAAGTTGGACAAATCTTGCCTAATTTTTAGCTTGCGATTGGCGAAATAAGGGTGAAATAAAGGTTATTATACACCTCCTGAGGCACGAGAGTCGAAAAATTAGCTTTCGCGCAGAAATGCGTTGAAGTTTTGAAAAAAGTAAAAAAAACTGTAGATATCTATCGCTTAGCTATTTTTAGATTACACTTCGACTACTCTTGGTTAGGGTTAGGGTGAGGGTTGCTGAGGTGTTTTGGCGGGTCGGCTAAAAATGACAATTCTGAAGGGTAAGATTAATTAAAAAATATTTACTTGATACCCTTAACCCTGGTTTTCACGATTACCCCTAGAGGCAAGAATTGAGCAATTTTTATTTTTGAGTCTTCCATTTTTTCATATTTGAAGCTTATCCGCGGCTGAGATTGATCCTAATCTTGAGCTCAATCTGCCCTGTGATCATATTTACTTAATGGCTCATACATCTCGTGCCGAGTGCAGCTCCGATTTTGCGCTGAGAGCAGTCTCTGCAGGAGTTAGCACATGTCGGCGGACCCTTGCATCCTATTCGCTCGGCTGGAGATCCTGCCCGTTCTTTCCAGGTGCGAAGTTTTGACCCCGACACAAAGTGGAGTGTGCCTACATTTATTCAGGGCTCAATGAAGTTTATTTTTCGGAAGATAATTTTCAATGCAGAATTTTCAATGTCTCAGTTTTGAATAATTTTCTTTTCAGTAGTGTAATCGTTGAAAGAAGTTTCGTAGTCCTCGATTGTAATTTTCCTTATGAACAAGTTTCTTGTAGTCTTTGATCTGCTCTTCCAAGGCATGTTTCTTTTCTTGCATCTGTATTTTGAGGAGTTCGGCGCAAATATGTTTGTCAGACCTTCTTACAACATCTGAACATCCGGGGCAGCTAAAGATATTAAAATATTTGTAGAGATACTTATTTAATTTACCTGAATTTTCGATTGCATTCTTCTTCCCAGTGGTTCTGCCTGTCCATGTAGTTCACAATTGCCTTTTTCACATTTTATTATCTTATTAATTGATAGTAGATTACCTTGCAATCATCTCCCAAGCAATGGTACATAAACGACTGCTTATAAAGTTGCCTTTCAATGGGATAGATTGGCTTGAGAATGTCCATAATTCCACCGAGATAATTCCGCTTTAATTCAAATTTCCATTTATCATCGCTCCGAAGATATTCGATAAGAGTTTCGTTGGGCACAATTTTTTCGCAGCACGGATATCGATAGACGTTCTCTTGTTTAAATGGACCCTCATTAGTATGTGGAACTTGGATTGATTCAACTTGGAAACGGTAGCAATCCAAGCAAGTAAGTTTGTCACAGCACATGGTTTTGTATTCTTCCTCCATGAAATCAGACCATTTGCTGCAGAAAATGCATTTTTCGTCCTTTTGGAAGGGATTTATTCTCTGAAAAAATTTGAAGAAATCTGTCATTCTATTACTTTGAGAAGTAAAAAATGAGTCGGTTGCGATTTGATGCGAGCTTTTATACCCGCTTTAAAATATCTCTCGATATTTCTTGTACAATTCCTATTAGCCACTTTCGAAATAGATTGATCATGGAGTTTCGAATATTGAATGTTGATGTATTCAGGGCTCAATGAATTTTATTTTTTGGAAGATAAATTTCAGTGCAGACTTTCAATGCTTCAGTTTTGAATAGTTTTGTTTTCAGATAAATAATTGTGGAAAGTAGTTTCGTAGTCGTCGACTGCAGTTTTCCCGCTCATCAAGCTTCTTGTATTCTTTGAACTGCTCTTCCAACTCATCTTTCTTTTCTTGTATCTGTATATTGAGGAGTGCGACGCAAGCATGTTTTTCAGCCCTTCTAAAAATCCGAGCATCCCAGGCATCTAAAGATATTTCAATACTTACGATTCGTTACGATATATAGTTACGAATATAATTGTTCAATTTACCTGAATTTTCGATTGCATTCTTTTTCCCAATGGTTCTGCCTGTCCACATAATCCACGACAACCTTGATTTATCGAAATGTTATGCCATATATATTAATAGCAAGTTACCTTGCAATCCACGCATTGGTACACTAACGACTCTATATACGGTTGCGTTTCCAGAGGGAAGACGGGCTTAAGAGTCTCCATAATCCCGGCGAGAAACCGATATCGGAAGAACCATTTGATGTCCTTTTCTCCGACATAGTCACAATTTGTGACTCTTTGTGACTCATGAAGAATATGGTTAGGCACCTCGTTTTCACAGCACGGATATCGATAAACGTTCTCGGAGCCAAATATCGAATCATAATTTGGAGGCAGTTTGATTGATTCAACTTTAGAGCGGTAGCAATCCAAGCAAGTAAGTTTATCACAGCACATGGTTCTGTATTCCTCCTCGATAAAATCAGACCATTTTCTACAGAAAATGCATTTTTCGTCCTTTTTTTCGGGAAGTATTCCCTTAAAAAAATGGAAAAATTCTTTCATCTTAGTTTGAAAAGAAAAAAAAATGAGCTGTTTCCGATCTAAGGCGACTTTTATACCCAGTTTAAATATCTCACGATTTTTCCTTTCCAGACACTTTAAAAGTTTGACGATTTGATTCTAAGGAAGTTTATCTTTCAAAATTAATTTCAAATGTGAATGCAGAACTCTAAGATGAGCCAAAATTTGGCTGATGACCTTGAGGATAAGTGGCAGTTGAGCAGCGTATCTAAAAAGCGCCGCAGCTGATGTTCACAGAAGATAAACGCTATCGGAAATACACGCCATTTGTATCACTCTATTTAAATAAATTTGACTAAACAGGCCTCATGTGTATAAGCGCTCGCCCGTTCCAAAGTCGCGTTGTTCTTAGTTAGTAGCAAAATCGAGCTATTGAATCGAAGAAACGTGTTTGTATTTTGGGGCGGAGGGATACGTGAAGATTGGGAATTCGGATTTTCCGTCTCCGGCTTATGTAAACGCTAGAGCTCTGAGCTGTTCACGGGAAGTCTCAAGAGTCGCTTCTGCTTTGAGCCCTGTTGACTCGCTACAACCAGCTTTTACCCAGATCTAGGTGCACTTCTAACTTTGCGAGAGAAGATCAATCCCTGTCTAAAAACTGTTCATCGAGCGCGCACACCATAAATAAGTCTCAGATCGAAAATCAACATTGAGATGCCGCGCTCGTGAAATGATAAAATGAATTATCAGAATTTTTCTTCTCGCAGTACATGACGCAATAGACGACTACACCCCCAACTACTGTTAAGTCGCAAGATGCACTCGTTGCCGGATTCCGCTTTCACTTGGACAAACGTGCCCGTCTTCCCAAGCTCTTAAACGCTGCGGTTTTAATTCCAATGCGATCAACATCCGATCAGACGCGTTTCGTTTCTCTTTTGTGGAACATCTGAGCAATTTCTAGCTATGTGTTGGATCATTTCCCGTTTGATGAAGCGCATTCCACGAAGAGGAGCTAGCAAGCCCATTCCAACATGTTCAAAAAGCGCGCCCGAAAAACAGCTCATTGATCCTCTTGGAAAAAACTAACACAAATTGAACTGAATCTGAATCTGCTGGTCACCAGATCGGGTAAAAATTGCGGCTCTCAAGAAACTCGAGCTTGGTGGATCTTTATTGCACGTTCGTCTTTGAACAGTTACTGTGGGAAGCCACGTGATGCAATTCTAATTTAGTCGAAATTGGGAAGTCGCAAAGAGTCGCTTTAAAAACGTCGCAACTTTTCGCCGGAACATCGTGTTCACTTGAGAACGTGAAAATGAGATGAGAACTGAACTAATAACCAACGCGGCCGGCGGTATCTTTCCTTGTTGCTACAGTAGTGTGCTGTTCATTGATGGTTCAAAAAACCGCTGCGAATTATGCATTGATGACGTAGACAAAGCCTGTTGCTGTCGAAGAAACATTTCTAAGTGCCATTCTCGTGTCTAAACAAAATTCTTGCGCTGCGCCCCTTTGACATTCAATTTTCGAATATTTAGACTCATAAAAGCATGCTCAAATAAATAAGTCATATTTTTGTCAATATTTTTGATACCCTTTTCTGGCCGCTAAACTTGAGTCAGAGTTGAAAATTTTTGAAAATTTCTTCTGAGCTAGCTGAGCTGAGCTGAGCTGGCGCCTTTTAAAAACCACTGAGCTGAGCTGGGGCTTATCTGAAAATTTTGAGCTGAGCTGACGATTTCTCGAACTGAGCTAGCTGAGCCGAGGTCAAATTGAGCTGAGCTGAGCTGAGCTGACCCTCAAAATTGCTGAGCTGAGCTGTAGCTCAGCTAGATCAGATAGCTCAGCTCAGCAAACTCACAAAATTTGTAACTCGGGCCGGAGTCAATTTTAGATAAAATCCAGAAAGTCTTGGGATGTGTTAAGAACGTAGTAATTACAATAATTTATACGGTTGGCATTCCAGTCTAGCTCATTTGCTACGTTTTTATCCAAATTCCAACAGGCGGGGTCTCATTTAATTCCTTCTCCGAAGTTGGTCCCTTGGTTGAGCAGCAGACTCCCTTAAGACAGCCGGGTCAAGCCAGGCTACTTAGCTCTGATCCTCTTAGTTATATAATTACTTAACAAAAGGGTAGTTCTGAGGAGCGAAGTTTGCGGAAGCCCAGTTTGGCAAGGCGTAATTACGATAAAGACTCCTTCTAGATTACGAAAGACGGGCCGGCCATTTGTTGGCGCTGGAAACGTGAGTCACACTGCTGGACTTCCTCTCTTATCACAAATACACTCATCAGGGCAGATTTAATCGCGATTCGGGAGAAAGTACTTTCGCAGGCAAAAGAAAGAACGAACTCCGCCAGTCGAAAATATACCGCGATTCTGATTTCTGACTGACTAATTTTTGATCGAATTTCCATTGTTACAAAGAACAGCTGAAAAAGAGAAGCCGCTTGCGGCTTCGAGCAAAGATACGGAATAGCCGCGCTTCGCGCGGCTTAAGTTTGTTCTTGCTCGAAGCCGCAAGCGGCTTCTCTTTTTCAGCTGTTCAAAATTAGTCAGTCAGAAATCAGAATCACCGTGAAAAGTCCAGCTAAATTGTATATTTGCGAGTTCCTTACTGTAAAGAAAAAACTACTATAAGATGAGGGGAGAGGATGACGTACGTTGCTAAATTTGGTTTCTACGTCCAAGCTCTTCCTTCTTCCCTGAAAAGCGCATCTCACGTAGACTTACGAGTGATAGGCGCAGATTTCGACGTCCAAGATAGTTAACGCGTAAATATTTACTTTCATCGCCTCCCGAATACGTTCATTTCGTCTTCGTTCGTTGGAAAATAGCTTGGTGCTCAGCAAGATCCTCGCAAAGTGTGTCGTCAAATCGAAGTGCGATTTTCTGGGTTCCTGGAGAGTGTGGAAACGCGCTTCCACGATGGAAATTGCTTCCTTCCGCGCTGTTGGAAAAACAAAGCTCACTTTGTGATGTGGGAAATTGGCGGGCTCTGCGTGAACTGTGAAAATATAGCTGCCGATAGCTTACGTAGTCGGACTTGGAGCGAACGTGGAGCTCTTCTTCTACTGCAGAGTGCTCTTGTTTAGCCGACGCAGTTATAGAAGGCTCAGCGCATGTTGCATCAAGTTCCAATTAGTAGCTCAACACTAAACCCTCCCTTGTTTCTGCTTCAAATATTTTGCGACATGAAATTAATGAGCATCTTTAGAGCGCTAAATATTTTTGATTCGAAATTTATTGTCTGAAGATTGTCTCGGCAACCTGTGTAGAAAACCTGAGTCAGGCTCTGAGAGATCTTTTTTTATAATAAATTACCATCTCAATTCTTTTCTTAGGCTTTCTCAGAGCCTGACTCAGGTTTTCTACACAGGTTGCCGAGACAATCTTCAGAAAATTAATTTTGAGTCAAAAATATTTAGCGCTCTAAAGATGCTAATAAACTTCAATCTATAGATTTTTGCCTTTTTTTTAATCGAAATACGCCGAGTGGAGACTAGCTTCAATTCTGGAAGAAAAATCTTCGATTTCTAGTCGAAATTATTTCCACTCAAAAAAAGTAGGCAACTACCTCATTCAGGAAAAAAAGAAAAGAGAGGAGAGAGAGAAATGCAAAACTTTTCATTTTCACCGGATCGATCTCACTCAGGAAGCTGGTCATTTTCGAGGGATGAACCGCGCTCGGCTCCTTCTATCTCAGCAACGAGCAACCAGTCGGCGAGGAGAAACATAATTTTGCGAGATTCGGCTCGAGATCAATTTAGAACTCAGCTCAATCGAAACAGGAACAAGTTTTTTTAATTACATTATACACGTAGCGCTTTTTTATAATTATATGAGACCAACCTTAGAAACTTTTAATACTTGATGCTGGGCTCGTAGAAAGCCTGAGTCTTCTTCTTTTCTCAAAAACTTGCAAAAGTCAATTTCATCGCTCATTTCCGAGAAGTTATTCTCAAGTGCTCCAGCCGCGTCAAGACTCTTTTCCGCAGCGAGAAAGTCGCGAAATTCGCTCGACCAGCTTCATCGAAATTGCACAACCTGTTCCGTCGGTATCTCCGATTAATCGGCCAAGCTGGGCAGTTCGCATCAATCATCACAACGAACAGAATCGTCAAGAGTCTCTGAGTCAACAAAGTCTGCAGCCTTGGCCAAGTCAGCTAACTGACAGTCAGAGATCGCATAGAAGAACCACCGGATCTATCATCATTGACTCGCTACAACGTCTTGAAGATGACATCATTGAAGGTATTTTCCCACGTCTTTGAAAAAAAAGATAGAAAATCTCTCTTCTAGCTGAAGAAAATGCAGTGCCAATCTATCTGTCCGATTTGGTCCCTCACTTCCAGGTACAATCATTTCCTCTTTTTGAATATGCTAAACAGCCTTTTTTTTAGACAAGAGGACAAATGTCTGTCTTCCCGAATCCTTTCTCAAGAAAGAGTTTCATTAATTAATTATTTGATAAGCCTAAACAATAATTTCGGAACTCGAACAAAAGATGCGAGAATTCAGAGTGCGGAAACAAAGATCTTGATCTTCTATTTGGCGTAAAAAGTATGTTTGAACTTAGGGAATTATTGAGAGTTCAAAATTCAGAGAGCTGTTATCATATTCTTTGTTTGGATTGCCTTCAAATTTCGCCGAATTCGCAACATGCGCGGAGCCGACTTCGCTCCATTTTCAACTCTATCAGGAAAAGGGTGCTTTAGACACGATCTTATCAGGGAAACATATTTCTCGAGCCCCTAAAAAGAGGACTTGGCACTTGTGGCTCCACTGCTTCCGGAAGAAGTTCAACCAGAGGAAGTTTCTCTGCTTCAGAGTCGCAGGAAGTGGATCTCTTTATGAATCTTCTATCCTTTTAGTATTTGACAATATTGAATATTCTTATCCTCAAAAAAGTCTCAACGAAGCGATTTGTCTGGCGCCCAAAAATTGTCCAAATTTGTCCGACGACTCTTTCCCTTCTTTCGACCAAAAGATTCAGCCACCCAAGGCGACGATGCGCTCACTGCTTTCTGTCCCATGTAGATTATTCTTTCAATTGAAGTTCAGACTGAACGATGATTTTAGTTGCAAAACGGAGACCTCTTTTGAGCCTCTTTTCGAACCTGGGTTCGGCAACCTGACTAAAAAACCTGAGTCAGGGTTCATAAAATTACAAATGAAAAGCCGTGTAGCGGCTTTTTTAAAAACGAAGCCGCGAAGCCGCTTCGCCAGAAATTAAAAATAAGATTGAGGAATAACATTGCGAAGCCGCTTCGCGGCTTCGTTTTTAAAAAAGCAGCTACGCGGCTTTTCATTTGTAATCTTATGAACCCTGACTCAGGTTTTTTACTCAGGTTGCCGAGCCCAGCTACGAACATGGCGACAAACTCTGCGATCCAGAAACTTACCAGCGTGAATACGAGCTTACCCGACAAGTCCAGGCTGCTTTCCTAGCCAGGTACAGTTGTTAAAGAGTTATTCTAACGATAACTCTTTGTTTCTAGAGAGAACGAGTTCGTGGAAATGGTCGAAGAAGGCAAACGAAGCTACCAAGAAGCATCGGAACTGCACGGCAGCCAAGACTCGAATAGATTTTCGTGAAATTTGAAATTTGAATAAAGTGTTTTCAAATCGTGACTGTTTTAATTTCAGTTCCATCAGATTTATTGCCGGAGGGGCGCCTTTGCGGTGGTTGAAAATTGAATATGCCAGAAAGTGGAAAATCGTGAAGGGAGAAGATGTAAACATTGGTTAGCACAGGAGCACACGGCGGGGCTTCTAGAGCTCATTGAGGCTCATGAGCTGCTAGAGAGAACACCGACTCCCTGGAATTATGCTCAAGCTACGGAGTTCTAGAATATAAGCTACGATTATAGAGAGTGGAAGTCTCGAACTCTGGCGGAGGAAAATGTGATCGAAGAATTCGCAAGTTGAAATTTTCAAGTAAAATCAGTTTATTTTAAAAATAATTAATCGACGTTTCTATTATTTCAAAATGACACGAATCGCAACGTGCTGGAAATGAGCTAGCGGTGCAATTACTTCTATTTTGTAATCTCACAAAACTATTTGCGAGCTCGACACCTTCACAAAGCTGATCCCCTTTTTGGCATTTCACGCCAGCGCCCGTTTGGTCAAATTTAGATTCCCCGGTGAGCTTCTTTTTAAAAGGCGCAAATTAGAAATTCGTCTATCTTTTTTTTAATTTTCTTCAAACGGTCTGCTTTTAAGATCCCGCTACAAATACTGCTCCCTTTTGCGATTTGCTCCCGCTGATCAAGTCGAATGCTTTTATTCGTTGCACGAACTCGTCCTTCCATGGCTCGAGCTGTGCGTTTAGATGTCAAGGTGAAGATCGTCTTCTGGACGAGTATGGACAGGAAGTGAACAGGTACACGACTTGCTTCTGCGACGAGAAAGATTTGTGCGACTGGAGAGGCGTCGCCCAAGAAGCGAAATGCAAGAACCCAGAGAAGGTGCGCGAAGAACTCGTTTCCAGCGTCAACAAGGGCTTCGTCAAAGCCTATCTCAAAGAAGAAATGACGCCGATCATGCTGAAGGTCTCGAAAAGCACTGGTGGAAACATCCGCCGCGTCATTAAAAAGTCGAAAAAGCTCCGGAAGCAAGTTTTGAAGGCGATTCCATCTTCGGATGATGGTTTGACCGAGTTCTTCGACCAAAAGGACAAACTGCAGATCATCAATGACGTTCCGCAAAGGGCTCTAAATATTGATTGAGCTTGGGTAGAAAATCGAAGCTGTCCAAAGTGAAAAATCTTTGGCGGAATTATGATAATGCTCTTTGAACGAGAGAGAGACTTGTGAGCCCGGTCTAGATAGATGTAGAGGAACTTGAGCGGAACATCAAAGCGGACAGCAGCGGCAGTTGCAAACCGCTCACTCTCAGTCAAGGGGCAAAACCGCTAGCTTTTTTTGCTTAGATAACATAAGGGGGTCAATATCAAATAAGAATATGCGATGATTTTATCCTTTCCAGATTCGGAAGCGTAGAATGCTCAAATGGCTTCGTGGAGAACTCAGAATGCAAGAATGTCTGCAAAGAAGGCTATGTTCTCCACAGAAAGTCGCCTGGAAAACGCGTTTGTATTTGTACAAAATGGGGCTGCACATGGCTCAAGAAAACGCCCGCACGATGCCAGAGACGGACAAAACGTGGCAGAGTCAAAGCAAACTGGTTAAAAATTTTTTCGATTCCGATTTATTCGGCAAATTTCTTAAAATACACTTTTTAACCAAAGACAGGCGGCGTGAATCTTCCTTCCTGCGTGCACATTGCCAACGGTGTCAAGGTGAGAGCGGCGTCGATACTAACCAGCGCGTTAAGAGATCTCAATTTGCGGATTTAAGCTTTCCGTCTTTTGCTTTTTTTGCTGAGCAGGGATTTACGTGGCTCATCAGATCTCCTGGCGCTGGGATTCGACCGAATATCATTTCGTTCTTTTATTAGGTTCTTGTTCGTTCCAATCGATGTGTGTGCCCAAGCGGATGGCGAAACAGCGACAGGTGTGCCTCGCCAAACGACGATTGGACCGAGCCGTGTCGCTTCTCTCACCCAGCTAGTCTCGTTAAATACCGGTAAATCGGAAGATAGCAAACGTAAAAGGGCACCTAACGTGTTCACCCAACTCCTTAAAAAAGGGCAAGGCAATTTAGATTGGCCGCACCCTCTGCCAAATCTATTTAATTGCTAATTTTGTAGGGAGGAGGAGTTCGGAAACGTCAAAGTGAAACTAGACTGCTCGAACACAAGAATATCAACGCCGATTTCGGAGGATGGAAACGAAGAGTCTTTCCAAGGGCCTTTCGTAAAAATGATAGTTCCCGGCCATACGACCCAAGTGGACTTCCACAGTTCCGGCCTCACCATTCTCAAGCGAGAGCTTCTTGAAGGTAACGCAATCCAAATCATGAAATAAGCAGTGAGATTCTCTGAATTTTAGAGGGCTCGTTTTTTATTTAAATCCCCCTCTTTTTGTCTGTTCTAGCGGAGTAAAAGCTTACTTTCTGATTGTGCAACGTGGCGATTTAGGTTTGTGTACTTTTCGCGCGGCCGCAAATTTAACGCCCGTGTATCGGATCCGCGAATTTCAGTAGCTCTTAGACTGACCCCATGATTTGGCGCGAGCACGGGCGAATTGATTTCACGCTTTTCTATTTATACCCTGCTTTCATCAGATGATGACCATTTCCACTCTGACTCGATTTCGTCATTTTGAGATAATCGCATTTAGGCGCTTTCCGTCTTCAGACAGCCGACTTCTCCGAAAACTTTCTTAAAAATTTGCCCTTTGACTTATTTGTCAAAAACCAGGAACAGTTCCATCTTCACTAAAAAACCCTAGAACCCAAGAATCGAAACAATAGGCCCATCGATTGAACTGCCCAAAGATCATCTCGGAAATCAACCTTTCGAAAAATCAGATTCATTCTGTTCCACCGCGACTCTTCCTTGGACTCAACCAGTTGAAATCGATTGATCTTAGTCACAACCAAATCACTACTCTCAACAAACTTCTATTCAAAGACGCCAATTCAGTCACACATCTGGATCTTTCTAACAACAGACTTCTCTCAATAACGCGTGTTACGCTGATGAACATGATAAATCTGCAGGTAAATGAAAATAGATCGAATACCAGTGTCGCAAATTTTACTTTGTTTTTGCTCAGCTGGGCTGGTCTGAGAAAAAAATTTTCTTAGCTGAGCTGAGCTGGCCTATCTCGGAGGTAACTGAGCTGAGCTGAGTTAAGCTGGCCTTTTTCTGAGATCATTGAGCTGAGCTGAGCTGAGCTGAGCAGACTTTTTTTTAAGGTAGTTGAGCTGAGCTGAGCTGAGCTAATTTTACTGTGTTTTTGGTAGTTAAATTGTGTAAAAATCATTGAGCTGAGCTGAGCTAAGTGATAATTGTCTGAGCTGAGCTGAGCAGAACAGATCATGTTTAAAAATATTTGAGCTGAGCTGAGCTGAGCTGAGCTGAGTGAAAGTTGTCTGAGCTGAGTCGAGCACATCAGATCATTTTCAAAAACCACTGAGCTGAGCTGAGCTCAGCTCACTCAGCTCAGCAAATTTGCTATCTGTCGAATACTATGGTATTACCACGGTGTTAAAATAGCTAGGAAAACGTGGGTTTGCGACGTTTACCCCTTCAAGTGAACAGTTGTACCTTGTAAACTTATAGAGCCTGGATCTATCAAGCAACCGGTTCCGCGATCTAAGCCCGCTGAAGTTTGACGGGAAGCAGTTGGAGAGCATCAAGTTGGACCATAACAACGTGAGTCTTATCAAAACATCTTAGAAGTAGCTAAATGTAAACAACGATGATCCTCTAATGCGATCGTTTTCAGCTGGACAAGCTCTCGATGACCATGTTCAAGTATTTGGACAATGTCAAGGAAGGTGCTCTTTAAAATTCAACTCGGAAAAATCGGAACTGTAAAAAGCACATAAAAGACTTTCTCGGCGCGCGGAAACCGACTGGAAGCAATTCCCTCTTTTATTTCGAACAAGCTTCCTTCTGCCATTGCGATGGATTTCGGGGAGGGTTGAACTGCAAACGAATACGAAAGAGTAACGGAAAACGAGGAGCACTTATCGTGTCCCCGCTCGAGCGGCTAAAGCTTTCCAAAGCTCTTTTTCTTGCTTCTCTGAGGCCGCCGCGCGTATCGTAACGTGTATCCTTAATTTTGAATTCATCCGAACCCAAAAAACCCAAAAAAGCGCAAAACAAAATTTCGGAGATAAAAGAAGACCAGTTCAAAAACGCGACACGGCTGAAGCGGCTCTTTATGGAAGACAACGCCATCAAGGATATCCCAGAAAGCGCCTTTGGCGAGTGCGAAACGTTGGTATTCCTTGACTTTCGAAGAAATAGGTTCAAACGCGTCAAGAATGACTGGATCAAGTAAGTGCGAAGATTGGTTAATTCGATCTTCTGATATACTTTTTGGCCCCTTCTTCCAAAGTGTGAGGATTTTTGTTATTAGGGGGGGTCTAAAATCATTTGATAAAAATTAGTTTTAGGGGGTCAAATAAATAAAATTGATAAAAAATGACCATTTTTGGTGCATTTTCGCGAAAATGGCCCTACTTCGAGTGGATTTTTGACCGATTTTTTCCGGCCAAAATTTTTTCTACTTCTCCCTGCCTGATTTTTCAACCCTTTTCTATCCACCAGTTACCTCAGATTTTGCCTATCTCATCTGGTTTTCCCGCATTTTTGGTCACGGAAATCCCGATTCTCGTCGACCCCCCCCCTTAATTTGAGGAAAACGCTGATACATATGATAGGTAATATTGTTAGTAAAATATGGTTAGCGTCCTGGACCAGGAAGTTGTAAATTTTTAGCAAAAGTGGTAGCAAAGTGGTTTAGGCATGAATATTATTCATGAGCCAAATACTAGTAGGAAAATCTTATTAGAAATAAAAACCTTTTTATTCTGGTAAGACTCTTATGACAAGTCTGACTTTCTAAGAGCTTGAAAATGACCAGCTAGCAGCAATCGAGCATGTTAGTAGAATGAGCGGACGCGGGCTTTATCTAACAATAATACTTTCTACGTAATAATTAAGGAAGTGCGCTAATTTGACACACGTGTTCTTCGGCCAGAACGACATCCAGGAAGTGCCGAAAGCCTTGTTCAACCCGCACGAAAATCTCCGCACCTTCGATCTGAGCAACAATCGCATCAAGAAGCTGCCGGTCGAGTTCGCCGAGGAGAACCAGGAGCGGTGTTTCTTTTTTCCCAAAATCGTACGATAATCCAAACACGTGGTTTAATTTTGTGATTGAAATTGCTCACCTGAATGAAGGACCTGGCCCACATTTTTCTTCAAAATAATTTGATCAAACGGCTTCCAACGCACCTTTTCTATGGCTCAGGACAGGGTCCCAAATTAGAAAGAAACTTCTACACTGTAGATTTTATAGATGAAGCTCATTTTACCAGAAGTTTTCCGCAAGATTTTCGACTACTAAGCTTGTGGCTTCAGGATTGTCGATCAAGATTCCAAAAAGGTGTCCAACTTCATCGATAAAATTCCAAAACCTGGGCGAAAGATTGACAATCTTGGACCTAATTTTCGAGCTTTTCTTGACTTCTAGTCGAAAATCTTGCGGCTGGTTTTTCGCAAAAAAATCGTTGAAAGAGTGCAAGAGTACCCAAAGTACAGAGAGGCTCAAGTCAATCGACTTGGCGAATAACCGGTTATTGACAGGTGCGTTGAACGTTTATCGCTTTTTTTACAAATGTGATTTGTCCGCTTTAGTCGGAAACGTGCTGCCCCGCGACCTCAATATTCGCCCGGATCACGTCAACCTCATCAATCTATCCAGGAACAAGAACGTCGGCGAGGAGCTCAACAAGGCAAGATTATGTCATTTTGGCTGGAGCTGACTAAAACATGAATTCTAGCGCTGGGCCGGCTACGACTCCTGGCACTACAAGAGCGGCGCCGTGTTGCATCCCGTCGAAGACCCCATGACCGCTTTCGAGAACGCACTCAAGGAGTCCAGTCACCACTTACGGTAGAGCGGCTTCTCTTATCGCTCGAGTTCATTAAATTGACGCTTCAGATCGCTAAATCCCACTGGTGGCCTCGTTGAGCGCTTCGGCTTTACGCCTTTCGAAGACGACCAGGTAAATCACAAATTTACACGCTCTAAACTAAAATATAAACGCATGCATTCGTACGGGGATGAGCGTCGATTAGACCGACGAAATTTCTGACGAATAATTTTTAGGAAGAAGCTGGAGCTCTTGGACTTCGTCGCGCGCTCGACAATCTTTCTGGCACTTCGTTCGGAAGCTCCGCGCTGCCGGAGAACGAGCTCTAGCGAATCTGTCCTTTCGTTATCGCCTTCCCTTGCTTTCTTTCTTTCTGACCTTCTAATTGTTCATCGCGCCACTCAGCTGGACTTATCTTGCCCCTCTTGCGGCGCGTCTGCATGAATACGCAATAAACATGCCACGACAGACAACAAACCACTTTTACGAATATCTTTTCATCTTCTTCCTTTTTGGAAATGCTTCCTGTCAGAAAAAGTCTCCATGATGACTCGATCATCCTTTTTCGGCAGTTTCAAAAACCTAGTCATAGGCTGCTGGGCTCAGCAACCTGTGTAGAAAGCCTGAGTCAGGGTCTGAAAGAGCTGAAAGAGCAGCGGCTTTTTTAAAAACGAAGCCGCGAAGCGGCTTCGCCAAAATTTTTGATAGATTGTAATGGTAGTATTAGCGAAGTCGCTTCGCGGCTTCGTTTTTAAAGAAGCCGCTGCGCGGTTTTTAATTTCAGCTTTTTCGGACCCTGACTCAGGCTTTCTACACAGGTTGCCGAGCCCAGATAGGCTGGGCAGAGTAGGAGAATACTTACTCTTTGCGAGTTCTTTTTTTTTCTTTGCTGAAAGTTCACAGAAAAAAAAATCTGAAAATTGAGAGTTGAGTTATTAACTAGGCTAAATGGAGGGATTTTTTATGAGGTGAAAATTGCTGAAATGGGCCATCGAGATGATATAATAACTTGCGCTGGAATCTCTAATTAGAGAAACGAAGAAAAAAAGAAGTGGAAATGAAAAGAAGGATTGAAGTCTTTGAATCAGAAACTTTGCAAAAGGTAGGTAAAGTCGTTAAATTAATTTTTTTTCACGATACAGATCCCGAAAATATATTTGATAATTAGTTTTATGCATTTGACGGAGGTGTTTTTAGATGCAGTAAAATAAAAATAGGGAAGTTAGGACTTGATCTAACGCTGGTAACGCATGCTTTCAGCACCTGTGCTTGATGCTCTGCGTCATTTTTAATGACCATTCTAGAATTAGCAAATTAATTAAAGAAAATTGCAACTTGTCCCTTTTATTTAATTTTATGAGAAGTCCGAGAGCCAGAAGAGCGGCAGTTCTTTCCGGCGAGGAGCTAGAGCTCGACCATGCGGAGAAATTTAGAATTCACAGGACAGAGGCAAGCTTTTTCTTTTCAATAATTTTTTCAATCGCTAAAATGTTATAATTAAATATTTTAAGACAATGCGCGAATTCGCATCGCGAAAACAGCACTTCGTGATTCTCAACTGCTCCGGCCAAAAATTCAGAATCGCTCGATTTCTTTTGGATAAGGATTGCCTCCGAAATCATCAACTTACCATAATTACTTCCAATGAAAGAAAGTAGTGAATCCAAGAGTAGTACCCCAACACGCTTCTGGGCACGGAAGAAAAACGTGCTCCTTTTTGGTTAGAAGAAGGTAAAAATCGGAAACTGCGGTCGATAGTCTTAGTTTTAGATAATGAATTCTTCCTCGACCGTCATTACTCTGCCAATGGGCTTCCAAACACGTTTTCTTCGCCGCAGATAGCGCCTCTTTCTTACTTAGCCGCGCAATTAAAACACAGTAGTACTGTAGTCGAAAACGGCGACAGTAGTAGGTAGCCCTGTTTGAGCATTCCGCGCGATTTTCGACTTCTATAGAACTGGGAAGCTGCGGCGACCGTTGGATATCCCTCTCAATATTTTTATACAAGAAGTTCAATATTTTGAGGTGCGACTCGCTAATATTTCCACTTGAGCTTGTTTAGCTCCACAAAGAGATTATTGGACAAGAATACCTCGAACTGCCATCTGAAAAGCTTCTCGACGCGACTGTGAGGAGCTACGAGCTCAATTATGATGGGATCAAGTCGTACATCAGGGACATCGTGGAACAGGATACAGACAGGAATACAGTTACGCAATCAAATGACAAGAATGACTACAAAAATCTGAGACTTGATATCGATAACCGAGCTCCAAAAAAGTCGGTAATACTTCGAAAGTTGTTCCCAAGATTGTCCATTTTTAGATGCTCTGTGCTTTCATTGGCCGATAGTTCTTTGTTATTATGTAATCCGAAAATCGAAAATCTTGGACTCAAATTCCGAAGCCTTATCGACAAATTTAGACCCCCCTCTTCAATATTTGACCAAGAATGTCGGTGTCTAGTGGACATTGCGTTGAAAGAGATAGTGTCACTATCACAGTTAGTCGTTTTGCGTAACTTGTAATGAGCTGGCCGGCGAAAATTTTCTTCTTCATGCAAATGAGCTTCATCCTGATTTCAGTCGGGAACTTTGTGCTCGCAACGCTACCGCAGTATCGCGACGACTCAGCTTTGAACACTCTGCCGATTCCGAGTCCGGACTCTAAGCAGTTTCCCTTCTTTGTCGTGGAGATTTTCTGCATTCTATATTTTGTTCTCGAGGTGAGATGCTTTGCGCACGTGGTCTGATTGAGCACAAAAAGAGCACTTTTCAATTTCGTGGCTTACGTATTCTTTTCAGCTTCTAATTCGATTTTGGGTAGCGCTCTCGCCTGCCGAGTTCTTTGCCGACATTTTGTAAAAGCTTTCGAAAAAAATAATCTCAATTTAGAAAAATTATTTTTAAATTTCAAATATAAAAGTTGCAGCTATGAGTTGCAAATTTGCTGAGCTGAGAAAGCTGAGCTGGCTGAGTGAAAATTTCTCTGAGCTGAGCTGAGCTGGCCTATCCCGGAGGTAACTGAGCTGAGCTGAGCTGGAGTTTTTCTGAGATCATTGAGCTGAACTGAGCTCAGCAGACATTTTTTTAAAGTAGTTGGGCTCAGCTGAGCTGAGCAGACCCTAATTTGAGCTGAGCTGAGCTGGTTGAGCTGTGTTTTTAGTAGTAAATTTGTCATTGAGCTGAGCTAAGTGATAATTCGCTGAGCTGAGCTGAGCAGATCAGATCAGATCATTTTCAGAAACGACTGAGAAAAACTCCAGCTCAGCTCAGCTCAGCTCAGCTCAGCTCAGTTACCTCCGGGATAGGCCAGCTCAGCTCAGCTCAGAGAAATTTTCCCTCGGGCCAGCTCAGCTCAGCAAAAATAAAGTAAAATTTGCAACTCTGCAGCTCTGCAATAAAAACGTCATAAAAGCACTTTAGAAAGCCTTTTACTAGAACCAGATCGATATACTAGCAATTGTGCCATTCTTCACTGATGTTCTTCTGTCACTTGGCTTCAAAAATAACTACCTTTGCATTTGGTGGAGCGCCTCAATTACAGTGGCTCTAAGAGCATCTAAGAATTTCACCAAACATTGGGAATCACGTGCATAATTTCTCAAAGACTCTGAGGTTTTGATTTCGCGCGCCAAATCGACCAGAGAGATGAAATTCTTGAGCGTAATAATAGGTTGAACTCGGAGATTAGGAATGACGGAATTTTGTCAAATACAGCGCCAGGAAATTGCTGATTTAGGGGAGACACGCAAAAATCTAATTGATGAAGTAACGAGCAATATTTTTTATAACAGAAAAGGATGTTCTAAAAGAGCTGGGTTTAGAGAAGCCAGGAGAGTAGACTTTTTACGAGATAAGTGGCCACGAAGCGAAATACAGCTTGGTGCTTGTCTTCCGAATCATCCGCGTCTTCAGAATTATTCGCGTCCTCAAACTACTGCGGTAAGGAACTACATCGTTTCTGATCATATTTCTAATAGACATAACTTTTGCCTCCTCGCGCTCGTCAAAACCTTCAAATACGCTGGTGCTGATTTGGCCTACGTCAATATCTTCATTTTTGGTGAGTCAAAAAAACACAAAATTAGATAATTTTAAAAATTCAAACGTTTAGTTTTTGGTACGCTTTTTGCAAGTTTAGAATGGTTTCTTGAGGAAAGGCTTCAGCAGAAAAAAAGAAATAGGGGATAAACACGAATTGCTTTAAAATTTAAAAAAATTGAAATTGCGAGAAAGCCGCTGCAGGACCACACGGACAGCGAGAATAAATTCCGCTCCATCCCAGATGGCATTTGGTGGGCCATCATCACCATGACCACCGTCGGCTACGGAGACATGTCCCCCTCTTCCACGGCAGGCAAATGCGTTGGTTTTGTTACGGTTACATAAAACGCTTTCGGTTCTGTTCAGCAGCGCTCTTTTCAAATGTCTTTTTCTCTTATGTAACCATCAACAGCTTGTGCTCTGGTTGGACTGCTATGCATTGCGTTGCCGATTCCCGGTTTCATCGCTAAGTTCCAGATGCTTTACGAATACGAAAGCTCAAATCTTCGCGGGCGGCGAGAGTTCACCAAGAGAGTTAAGAAGCTGTCGATTCTGGACGACAGGCAAAGCATCATTCATGCCAAGAAAGAAGATCACGCGCGTTATCTCATTCAAGAGTATCTCTTCTCTCGGGCGGATATTAAACAGACCTGACTGCTTTTCACCTTTTTATAATAAAAATGTACGTATGAAGCGTTCTTTCAATCAAAGCCTTCTATTGTTTTTGAGTTGATAGCATCGAGTTCGTGGAAAATTGCAATGTCAGCTCTAAGCAGAAACATTCAAAGGAGCGTTTAATCGACGAATAATATTTACGTTTGCCTGATCGTTTTTTTTCCATTACGATCCATTCTCTCTCATGGCCATCGCGCAATAAATGCCTTCCGAAATAAGCCACTTATAAGGGGCCTATGATTATGACGAGTTCTTTTTATTCAAAATACACAATAGACGCCTGGCAAAATAGTACTTCGCTGCGTAATCATACCCTCGCAGCAAAATTACTGTTCGACCAAAAAAAGATATCTTTTTTTACGTAACAAGCGTTATCAGCAAATATGAAAATGCGCATCACACAGCTGGTGATTTTACTATTTTGGAAACACTATTTGATCGTTGACCTGATTCAATACCGGTAGGGGGGAGCAGCTGTTGGCGTTTGTCAGATGATTTGACCGGATAACCCATTTCCAACTCCTTATAAGGAGCTCTGATCGAGCAGAAGCATTCAATTCTAAATTAGCGTTTTCAACAAAAAACAAAGAGTATATTTTTTATTCGATTTTCTCTCAACGTTTTAATTCCATGGACAACCAAATGGATGACCAAGATATTTGCGGTCTTGCCGCTGCTATCACTTTGTTGGTGCTGCTGGTTTTGTATGTGTTCTGTAAATTGTTCGTCTGTGGTTGCGAATTTGTTGCTGTGACTCCGTTCAAAATTGCAAAATGGATCTTCAAGACGATGGCTATGAATCCCTACGAAAACTACAAGAAGAATCGAGGCGGAGAGACAAGTGAATACAACCCAACGGATCTTGAATTAGGCTATCCTGCTGAAACTCAGATCCTCGACGAATCACTGGACACATTCAACTTGAATGATTCAAGCAATAGATGAATCTGAAGAAGAAAAAGAAAATGATGATCAACCGTTGATCATCCAATTCTCAAATTTAATAATTTGAAAATTTGTAAATGTTTCTAACTCTTCGAGTCTTCACTTTTCTTCTGTTTCTCTTTTCCTAGCATTCTTTTTAGATCTATTTTATTGAGCTTATCATAAATATTATAACTAGGAAAATTAATTATGACAAATTATAACTTGAGACTTCAATATAACAATTACTTCTGTTAAACTGTGTTTAAATAAAATTGATTTCGAAATTTCATGTTGCGATTGATAGTCACTTTGGAAAATTTGTAAATGCCTGAGTTTCTAATTCGAGTCTTCACTTTTCTTCTGCTTGTTTTTGCTCTTCGGCCGTGGAAGTCTTCGACTTGTTTTCACAGGACTAATTGCTCCTCTCGACAGCTCTTTACGTTTCTTTTCTAAACTTGTGCAGATCAACCAAATTCCCCGCATAAAACTCCTGCGGCCATGCATACATGTGTTATTGCATTAGCAGGCTATTTATGAATCAGTCCGGAAGCGGAAATAATCCAGCTTGAAATATTTATCGAATGTTTATGCGCCCGCTTGCATGTTGCTAGACTCGTTTCTGTCAAAAATTAACACACAGATATGCACAAACATAATTTATCCTGCTTTTTGGAGCATTTTATAATTTCGCAAACTTGTAAAAAAAATCTAAAAAATTTTTCGCTTCGCTTCGCTTTCGAAATTTTGATTTGCTTCGTTTCGCTTTCGCTTTAAATTAAAGAAAAATTCGCTTCGCTTCGCTTTCGCTTTAAAATAAAGAAAAATTCGCTTCGCTTCGCTTTCGCTTTCGAAATTTTTCGCTTCGTTTCGCTTTCGCTTTAAATTAAAAAAAAATCGCTTCGCTTCGGTTCGCTTCGCTTTCGAAATTTTTAAAAAATTTTCGCTTTCGCTTTTCATTTTTGGCCAAAATCCAGAGCCCTGTATGGGTAATTTTCGAGTCTCGAGGACAATTTTAATGGCTCATTTATCTACTAAGTAACTGATTCTCAAAAAAATTATATGCACGTAAAAATACTTCAAACAATATAATATCAATCGACACGTCCTTGTAGGGGTTATGAACTCGGTCCGTGACAAAGTGACCCGAAAAGTGTTTTTGAACAAAAACGTTTTTTTTTCGAGCAGGGTCGATTAGAATCACTTTCCCGGGAAGTCGCCTTTTCTGTTTACAATTTTTTGTTGGAGAGAAAATGAAAGATAAAAGCGAAAACTGCGAAGAGTATGAAGAACAAAGTTCGGAGAAATCAGTAAGATTTATTTTCTCTAAAAAGAATAAAGAAGGCGTAGATTGTTCCGCTGCGGCGATACCAGATTGTAGTTCTGTGCTTATGTTGCTACATCAACTTTATCTCAAACATGTCCTTCACGATTCTAGCGTCGTTTTTCGACGACAACGCGACCAAACACGGCCTGACAAAGACAGAAGTCGGCTTTATTGTCGCCATCTACGCGGGAATAGCTACGGTCGGCTGTCCAATCTTCGGAATTTTTCTTGCGCAAATTGGCAAAAAGTTCACGCTCATAGCAGGTTTGCATAACAACTAACTTTTCTTCTCAGTTGATAAAATAAAAATAAATAACTCCAGATTATGAAATTAGAGTAAATATTCGAATACTTCTAGGGCTGACATGCGCCGCCGTTTGCGCGGGGTTATTCGCTTTTCTTGACGATATCGAGGATCCGTCCACCTATCTTTGGATTGGTATTCTTCTACGCGGCGTCCAAGCAGTTGGGGTTTCGGCATACTTCACCGCCACTTATGCTTTACTTGTCGAAGAGTGGCGCGGTTCTCGACTCTCACTCGCACTTGGCGTTTATGAGGCCTTCACTGGTCTGGGCATGATTTTGGGGCCTATTACAGGCTCTATTTTGTACAGGCAAGATTTGGACAAGTTTAAACGCCCGTAAAAGCTATTCTCTAGTGTTGGCGGATATCGGCTGCCTTTTTTGGTCGTCTGTGGAATGCTCCTTCTCGCAGCAATAATCAACCTAGCCGCACTGGAAAACAAAGACGTTTTTGGACAAATTGGAGCCGACGAAGACGAAGCACTCCTTGGCAACGAAACGATTTCGACCAAAGATGGAATAAAGACACTTCTCTCCAGCGGACTTTTTCTCATTCCAAATCTCTTGATGATTCCCGTCTGGTCTTGCATGGATTTCGCCATTCCCTTCGTGGGCACTTATTTAGAAGAGTGCGAGCCTGGTAATGTGTTTGAGTGAACATCTAAATTCTATAATTCGACTAAAAGGAACGACTAAGATCCAAGTGGGTTTGCTCTTTGTGGTCTTTGCAGTTGCGTACATGCTCACTTCGCCACTTTGGGGATTCTTGTGCGGCCAATTTCCCGTCTCCCGCTCCCTCATGTTCTGGGGTTCCTTTCTCGCTGCCTTGAGCTACTTTTTTCTCGGCCCAAGCCCGTGGCTTCAGAACATTGGTCTGTACTACTCCTGCTCCTTCACGAGAATAGCGCTTGTAATGGCCGTTCTTGGCCTCAGTTTGGCCGCGGCTATCATTCCAAGCTGTAACGAAATGGTCGAAGTCGCGCGAGCAGAAGGAGTAGAAGAACAAAGTAATCACTAGAAGTAAAAACTCTGCACTCATCATTCGTTTTAGCTTCTGATTTTATCGGAGGGCTGATAAATTCGCTCATTTTTCTCGGTGAATTTGTCGGACCAACTTTCGGTGGCTATATGCTCGACTATGCTCACGGAGACTTTCCCGTTGGCTGCTCTTTTTTCTCGATCGTTTGCATGGTCATCGTTTTTCTCTGTAAGTAAAAAATGTGTCGCTCAACGAAAGGGTTTTTTTAAGGTGGAGTTTGGTGGATCGGACTTTTGATGAAGCGAAAATGGAAGCAGAAGAAAGAATCCGCTGCCGAAAGAGATATCAGAAATATCAGAAATACTGAAGAACGATACAGTAGAAGAATACGAAGACGGATCCACTCACAACATTATGTTAGAGACCTAAGGAGTTTTCGCCATTTATTTTCCCGTTTTTAGCAAATTTCGACCGGGCCCAAATCCTTGACAGAATCTCTTGGAAGCTCTCTTCGGATCCCCATGCATTGTCACGAGCCAAGGACCTCAGAACAAGTGTCGAGTGACGAGTTCCCGATTTGAAATGTGAACCGTTCGTGCTTTTGATGATAAGCTCTTCTCGTTTTTTTTCTAAATAACTAAATAAAAGTCAATTGCTTATTCTTTGTATTGGCTATTTTCCTTTTGATCTTTGTTGAATCGGAATTTGACGCTTACGCGGGACTGGATTAAGTGCAGTCCCGACATCCGACGATTTGGAAAGGAGATGACGAGGGGAAGGTACTCACCGCGCTCCACCAGATACTTATCGCCAGGTACCAAATATTTCAAACGAATACCTTTTCCTAACGTGTGTTTCCTCCTTCCTAGACAACGTAACACTTTCGGCTAATAACTGTCAACTCATTCCTCAGCATTCTTTCACGGCACTGTTCACGCAGAACAGTACAAATCTGGGCTCGGCAACCTGAGTAGAAATGAGTCAGGGTTTAAAAATCAAAAATGAAAAGCCGCGTAGCGGCTTTTTTAAAAACGAAGCCGCAAAGCGGCTTCGCCAGAAGTTAAAAATAAGATTGAAGAATAATATTGCGAAGCCACTTCGCGGCTTCGTTTTTAAAAAAGCCGCTACGCGGCTTTTCATTTTTGATTTTTAAACCCTGACTCATTTCTACTCAGGTTACCGAGCCCAGGTACAAATTCCTCGATGGTACCGATTTCATGCTCTCATTATGGTATCATTATGAGAGCATGAAGTTTTCTCATAGCATAACAACTTGCCAATCGATGACCTTCTTTGATTGAATCAATCAGCACAGGTGCAAGAGCTGATTATAGTTCGATCTTTTGATGGTATGCTCTCTACTGTCATCGTTTTGTTACTATAAATGTGTTTGAAAATGCAAATAAGTATTAATTTTAAAATGAACCTGTTCCCGTAAATAGGCTTGCAGCACAAATGTCTTGCTGATTTTTTTCTTTCTAAATAAGTTTATTCATCGCTGTTAAAATGACTTATCAACAAATTCTACTCCTTCACAATCAAATGCTAGATCCAATAAAATATGTTTTCTTCTGACAAGTTATCTAGTGCTATCCTCAAAAGAACACGCCTGTTATAAAAAAATGCCGTGTTCATTTTTGAAGGAGTTCCTTTCGCATTGAGTTATTTGCTTGCACAAGTAAGCTAGTTGATGACGACAAATTAAGCCGCTGCAACGCACTTCTGGAATTTACATTCGCACTGGAAGCACTTCGTATAAGTCGAATCAGGGCAAGAGGATTGTGACTTTTTTGAGGTTTAGATGTCGCTCAAAAAATATTCCTCAGCAGACATTTGCTTCTTTGAATTTTAGTGTTGAATGCTAACGTGTCGCAAATACGGACATTTTACCGTTACTGAGTGTGCAAGGGCTGGCTGATCCGGTAGTTGGCGATTATCCGAAAATTGACTCGATCGCGGCACTTTCTGATTGCGCCTTGAAAAGGATCAAGGACACGTTGTACTTGGAGACTCCTTGATACTAGAAGGTCTTTCGCGAAAGTCGCTACACAAAGGTTTTTCCGAAAAAGAAAATTTAGATGAACGATCTAATGACTAGGCAAAGGCGGTCGATTTTTCTAATGACTTGAAGACGCGTTGGAAATGACCAATTTGAGATTGGGACTTTCTCATGGCTCGCTCTTTCTAAGGGCTTCCTATGATCGTTAAGGACTCCATCTGGACTTGAAACGTTCATTAAATGACGAGTTCCTCCGCTTAATATCTTTCTCCGTGCGACAAAATGACAATCGAAGGAAAAATTGAAGAATAAGAGGGCTAGGGCAAAGGCCTTATGAAAATTATAATGTAACATCTGTTTGAAGCCGTTGAATAGGCAAGAATTCCACGAATTTATTCACAGATTGCCTCATTTCAGCTGCTTCAGAACTGGTTCGAACGAGAGATTTTATCTCTCTGCTGGCATCATTCAGAGGCTATAAATGGGACCGAAAGCGTAGGAAGGAGACATTTTAAAATGAATCAATTAAAAAAGTAGCTCAAGCGCCAAATACAGTAGCTTTCCATTTTCGAAAAATAAATAAAATGATATCATTTTAATTTCGATTTCTGTGATTCGTAACTATTCTGTAATAAAGATAACTCAAGAAAATTCAATCGAAAATTATTTTATACTCAAACTCTTAAAAAACAATTTTACCATATTAATTGAAACTAAGATTTTCAAAAAAAAATCTAGCCTGATCTCTGCGTCCTTTTCTAACATAGCGAAGAGGGGATTAATCAGCTGGAGAATTCTTGTGTTTGGAACACCTCGAAGAAATTTTAATTCGCGCCTTGTGGAGTTGCCGATTAGCTATCTAAGTAAAACATTGTCCCCGTGGTGTAACTAACGCAAACGTTGGTTTGGGTGAACAGTTTTAGAAAGTAAGAAAGAGAGAAAAAACGATGATGAATTAATTTTGAAAAGAACGGCTAAAAATTGCCATCAACCAGTTAATTATTTCTGTCAACAAAAAAAAAGTTACATAAGAAAAAGCTTTTCAAATCTTGAAAATGTTATCACAAAGAAAAGTTGTGCAAAGGCGGCGCGTATCGGCGCGGATTACTTTTAAAATTCTTGTGCATTTCACGTTTGATATGCAGCGCAGCGGATTTGAATGAGCGTCGAGCAGAAAAAGCAGCGCCGGGGTCAGCACTAATATTTTCGTTTCGCAGGGGTTGAACGCCAATTTGCTAAACAGGCATCAGACCCAGTTTACATAATTTAATTCCAGGCACGCAGCGGCCAGTTCCACTCGCAAATAGCTACGCTCGGACTGAGCACAGCCGTATTACTTTTCGATTGTTCGTCTAAGAAGTTCTTCCCGCAGAGGTTCAACCACTTTCCAACCTTTCGACGTGTTTTACTGATCAAGTTTCTATCGGCACTAGAATTGTGCAGCACCTAAATAAGTTTTAACGAAAAGCGGTTTTTTTTATAACGAAGCCGCGAAACTAATATTACCTTGATTGGGCGACCTGTTCAAAAAGCATGAGCCAGAGTCAGAAAAATAGTTAATGAAAAGCCGCGTAGCGGCTTTTCTAGAAACGAAGCCGCGAAGCGGCTTCTCCGGAGTTTTTCCAAATCATGTTGGAAAATCATTTTTTTGAAGCCGCGAAGCGGCTTTGTTTCTAAAAAAGCCGCTACGCGGCTTTTCATTAACTATTTTTCGGACCCTAACTCAGGTTTTCTACACAGTTTGTCGAGCCTTGTATTTTGCATATCATCGAAATTCGATTCAAATGATCTAATAATTGCGTTATGAAAAACAAGATAAGTTCTTTTAGCGGCGCAAAAGCCAACGTGCTGCAGAGGGTGTCAGCTGGAAGATTAAAGTGTATAAATTTACACTCGCTAAGAGTCCACTAATGAGCTTTTAGTTGAAAAATTCGAAATTGAACCCAACTTCGCTAAAGCGGGCTATTATTTTTGCTCTGATCCGATTAATTCGACTTTTCTGGGTACAGTTAGCCAACTGCTTCGCGCTTCAGCATGAGCGCCAGAGTTGCAAATTTTGGTTTATTTTTGCTGAGCTGCCGTTTTTCAGAGGTCATTGAGCTGAGCTGAGCAGACCTATTTTTTAGGAAGTTGAGCTGAGCTGTGCTGGGTGAGCTGAGCTGAGCTGAGCTGTTTTTACTGTATTTTTAGTAGTAAAATTGTGTTAAAATCATTGAGCTAAGCTGAGTAATACTTGTCTGAGCTGAGCTGAGCAGAACTGATCATGTTCGAAAATTATTGAGCTGAGCTGAGCTGAGCTGAGTGATAATTGTCTGAGCTGAGCTGAGATGAGCAGATATGATCATTTTCGAAAATCACTGAGCTGAGCTGACTGCTCAGCTCACTCAGCCAGCTCAGCTCACTCAGCTCAACAAATTTGCAACTCTGATGAGCGCAGACTCTTGGTAAGGTTGAAGAGGATTTCGGAGAAAAACGTGAATATTACGGGAAATCTAAAGAGTGCTTGAAAAGTCCTGAAGAGCAGCCTTTCAATCAATCTGACGGGGGATTCTTTCTTGTTTCCGTTCTTTATGAGATTGAGACATCCTTGAGACTAATAGGGTATTCAAAATTCGGAGGAAACATAGGATAAAAGAAGCGTTTATACAAAGCTTGTAACTGAGGCGTAAAAACAATTATTTACTTTAAAGAATAGTATGTTTTCTTTTGAAAGAAAGAATAATTTTGTTTGTCTTGGTCAATCTCTTTTACCCCGTCTTTTATTTAGCCATAAATACGAAAGCAGAGAATAAGCCAACATTTAAAGATTTTCAGACATTTTTTTTAATATCCGGGTTGGGACAATGCGGACAACGAAACGATGGTCTCGCTTTGCCTGTTTCAGTCTGAAAACTTTCAGAAGAGAGAAAGCGCTGTGGATGAGTGTTTTTAAAGAAAAGAGAAGCTTTCTCTTGTGGCTTTCGTTTTTGGCGATCATTACTTGCACAGCTTTGAATGAATTTTCTGTCGATCAAAAGAGCCTTTTGAAATTTTCTAAAAGCATAAGCACCCCGACAAATAAGGAAAAAAGCTCAACTACTGAATGTCGATCATGATTTTGTTTGAATAAATTAGAGCTTTAAAAGTTCTACTCAAATGTACTACCAGCAGAAAGTTATTACGGCCTGAGTTGCGAGGCGATCATTAACTCTTCTTTATCGGACGCGGAATTGGAGAAATTACAGCAAAGAATACAAAATACGAAGCAAGAAGACAGAGAAGAGTTCTTCGCGACGCTGTCAGAGTCGAACTTAACAAGCTGGATCGAAAACGAGCGGTGCGACTCCTTCATCAAAAAACGCAAGTACATCACGGCTCCATTGAGCGATCGCGAGGCAGAGTTCCCCATTGCATATGCAATCGTGGCGTACGAAAAAGCGGGCGAAGTCGAGGTCAGTTCTTTTTAGCTAATATTTTTCAGCTTTATTTCTGCTTTCAGCGTCTTTTGCGCTCTATCTATCGCCCGCAGAATGTCTACTGCATCCACGCGGATAAGAAATCAGACAATACATTTTACCAAGCTCTGGTAAGGCTAGCCAGTTGTTTTCCGAATGTGATTCTAGCGTCGAAAAGAGAAACAGTGACTTACGCTCATTATTCAAGGATAGGTTCGAATTCCTAAGCTCAGGAGACTTTGGCTGATGTTCTTAACCCTTCGTAGACTGCAGGCAGATTTTAACTGCATGGAAGATCTGTTGAATCATCCCATCAAATGGAAATATTACATCAACTTGTGCGGAACGGACTTTCCCCTGAAAACGAACGCAGAAATTGTCCGCTATTTGTCGTACATCTCGCCGCACAACGAGATCGAATGCGTCCCCATGAGTCCTGGAAAAGTAGCCAGGCTGACCTGGCATTATCAGCTGGAGAAAGGGGAAAATGGGAAATATAATGTTGTTAACACAAGAGAGGAAAATCCACCGCCACCTCGTAAGTTGTCAGAAATTCTGGAAATTCTGTTGAATTAATGATTTTTTAAAGACGGAATCGGAAAATACGCAGGCTCAGCGTACAACATTCTCTCCCGCGCCTTCGTCGACTACACGATGAACAACTCAACGGTGTTCGAGATTCGCCAGTGGAGCCGGGATACGCTCACGCCAGACGAGTTCCTCTGGGCAGCGCTCAGCAGATTTCCAGGAGCGCCGGGCTATCTTCCGCCAAATCCGCGATACGACAAGAATGAATTCCAGGTTCTCTTTTTTCCTCCCTTTGGTTTACGAAAAACGTGGTTCAGAGTCTCGCAAGAATCGTAAAATGGTACGACCACGTTCTCAATGGGCTCTATCCTAGATGTTACGGAGCGTATCGCCATGGAATTTGTGTCTATGGGGCCGGCGACTTACCATGGGTACTTTTCTAATTGATAATTTGATCTCGTTAAAACTTTGTCATAATGCCCTTGTTGAGCCAAATAATTGGACATAGTGGGAAACACTAATAGAACAAGAAACACGGCAATTAAAACGTGTCGTTAATTAACGAAATTTCGTGTAGCTACTCGAACAGAAGCACCTCTTTGCGAACAAGTTCAGCGCGTGGAACGACGATTTGGCCATCCAGTGCTTGGAAAAACACCTGAGGAGAAAGGAGCTTTCCGAAAAGTTTTAAAGCCTTTTGGATTATTCAGATTAGACTATTTTTGAATTATTTCGGCGGTACTAACTATTGGTGACCAGAGTTGCAAATTTTGCTTTATTTTCGCTGAGCTGAGCTGACCTGCGTGAAAAATTCACTGAGCTGAGCTGAGCTGAGCTGAGCTGGCCTATTTCGGAGCTCACCGAGCTGAGCTGAGCAGCCATTTTTCAGAGGTCATTGAGCTGAGCTAATTAGACCTCTAATTAGAGCTGAGCTGAGCTGGGTGAGCTAAACTGAGCTGTTTTTTACTGTATTTTTAGTAGTAAAAATGTGTTAATATCATCGAGCTGAGCTGAGTGATACTTGTCTGAGCTGAGCTGAGCGGAACTGATCATGCTCGAAAATAATTGAGCTGAGCTGAGCTGAGCTGAGTGATAATTGTCTTAGCTGAGCTGGGCTGAGCTGAGCAGATCAGATCATTTTTGAAAATCACTGAGCTGAGCTGAGCGACTGCAGCCAGTTCAGCTCACTCAGCTCAACAAATTTGCAACTCTGTTGGTCCCAAAAACAGTACCTGCTTATTATTATTTCTGTAAGAGCAAAAGTAAGTTGAATATATAACTATTTATATCACTGTGCAATAATAAATTGAATCTTGCCATTCAAAAACAGTCAATTTAAAGTTCCTTCTCAAAAGTTTTTATTGACTTTATAAAGTGTCACTTACACGTGAAAAGAAGAAACATTCCTACATTATGAAATTTGCATATGAATGTTCTCAAATAAAACAAAGGCTGGAAAAACTCGCGGAAATTGGGAAATTACGAGATCATTAGGCAGAGAGGTCATTAGGTGTTTCTTTATAACTTTTACTGCTATCCCTCAGAGAAGATCTTTCGCAATAAGTAATTGCCAATAACCATCTCACGACGTAATCAAATCGAAAAACTATTAACCCAGCGTTTGACATAGAAGACTGACGGTTTTTCTGAAGAAGGCAAACAACTGAAACTGAACTAGAGTTTGCATATCGCCAATTTTTAATGAGAGATCAGGGGTTCGTCGTTACTATTAGCAAAAAGACTTTTTCGTTGTACTGCAGCATTCCTAGGGTAAGGGTTAGGGTTAGGAAAAACATAGTGTACTCAATTTTCACAAAACTTTTACTGTAGATGTAATTTTTTCCGCTGATTCCAAAAATGCCGAAATCATAATGAAACTCTAAGTTTCTGGTTATTTATAGCTGATAAGGTCGCTTGGTGGTAAGCTCTAGTACTTGGTTGGGTTAGAAAGTAATCTTTGACTGGAGTCGACTAATTCTTAGTAAACCGGTAGCTTACCTCTTCCGGGAACTTGGGTCAGAAAAAGAAACACTTGATTAATCACTATCATTAATTTTATGCTTTAAAGTCGAGCTGTTAAAACCACGATATGTGCTTTTCTCTGACCATAACAATTAAAAATATCAGGTCTAACTTCAAGTGAACCCCTTTTGAGAGAAAATAGAAGAGAAAAGATGAAAACATACGTCAAAGTTTTATTGATACTTCTGGCTATTTTTCTTGTTGTCTTTGAAAATTTCGGTTTTCAACGAGTTAAAAGAGAGACAGTCTCGAGAATAAAATGGATTTCTGCGACGTTATCGCCGAAATTGTATAATCAAACGCCAGCTAGGGCTCGAAATATATTTATTTTAGGTAGTGGGGGTTTATCGGTCGGGCCCTCTCTATTAGGGTTAGGGTTAGGGTTAGGGTTTACCTAGCCCTAACCCTAACCCCAAGGTTTGCCAAGGGGGCTTTACCCTCCTGGACGCCCCCCCCTAACCCGACCGATAAATCCACTGCATTTTAAGATGTTAGCTGTTTATTTTTTTTTTCGCAGCCTGAATTTAAGCCGAATATTACTACAAAGTTTCGTGCAATCAAATCGCGAGCGAACGCAATTCCACTGAGCTTGATAATCTCGAGCAAATAGTCCGGGAAACGTCAGATGATGAGAAAGACTGGATTCGACAGGTCATGCCGGACAGCGTGTTGACGGGAAAACGGGTTAAACAAAGTTATGCTTAGAAAGCGACGTTTAAATTGGTAGTAACTTTGACGGGTTGTAAATAACCGTTTGAAGAGAAAACTGAACGTGAGTGCAGCGCGTTTATTGACGAACGGGGATACATCACTTCGCCACTGTCCGCGGAAGAAGAAAACTACCCGATTGCGTATTCGATTGTGGCCTACGAAAAGGCCGGAGAAGTCGAGGTTAGTTCTTCACGCATTTTTTCCATTTCTGCTGAATTTTTAAAATTTTCTTTCAGCGCCTTTTGCGCTCCATCTATCGCCCGCAGAATGTCTACTGCATCCACGCGGATAAAAAATCAGAAAAGTCATTTTACGAAGCTTTGGAAGGCCTGGCCAGCTGTTTTCCGAATGTGATTTTAGCGTCGAAAAGAGAAACCGTCGTTTACGCGCATTATTCTAGGATAGGTTGCAATCGTTTATTGTATGAAGAGACGATTACACTTTCAGTCAGAGTTGCAAATTTGTTGAGCTGAGTGAGCTGAGCTGAGCGACAGTGATTTTCGAAAATGATCTGATCTGCTCAGCTCAGCTCAGACAATTATCACTCAGCTCAGCTCAGCTTAGCTCAATTATTTTCGAACATGATCAGTTCTGCTCAGCTCAACTCAGCTCAGCTCATTGATTTTAACATAATTTTACTACTAAAAAAAGAGTAAAAAACAGCTCAGCTCAGCTCTTATTAGGGTCTGCTAAGCTCAGCTCAGCTCAATGAGCTCCGAAATAGGCCAGCTCAGCTCAGCTCAGCTCAGTGAGCTCCGAAATAGGCCAGCTCAGCTCAGCTCAGCTCAGCGAAAATAAAGCAAAATTTGCAACTCTGCTTGCAGTAAAATTTAGGATTTACAACCTTTCAAGACTGCAGGCAGATTTCAACTGCATGGAAGATTTACTAAACTTCCCTGTCAACTGGAAATACCACATTAATTTATGCGGCACGGACTTTCCTCTGAAGACAAACGCAGAGATCGTCCGCTATTTGCAGTTCATCGAGCCATCTAATGAAATTGAAAGCTGGCCGATGAGCAAGATGAAGAAAGACCGAATTGCATTCGCGCACAATCTGGTCGACGGGAGAAAACTCTATATTTCAAAGAAAAAAGGAGACGCGAAATCGCCACCTCCGCGTAAGCCAAAAAATAGAGTTGAATATAAAAAAAGATACAATTTTCAAGATGAAGTTCCAGAGTTCGCAGGCTCCGCGTACAACATTCTATCACGTGCCTTCGTTGATTACGTCATGACTGACGAGAAAATACAGGATTTGAAAGAATGGTCGAAAGATGTGTTTTCCCCCGACGAGTTCTTCTGGGCTGCTTTAGGTCGCTTCCCACTGGCTCCCGGCAGCATTCCACCAACCGGAATTTTCAACAAGAATGAGTTTCAATCCTTGGCGCGGCTGACAAAATGGCAAACGCACGTAAAAAATGGCCAGTATCCGAGATGCCATGGAGAGTACAGACACGATGTTTGCGTCTACGGAGCTGGAGACTTGTCTTGGGTAAGCAACAGCCGCAAAATGGAAATTGAAATTGCTTTTAGTTGCTGGAGCAGAAGCATCTCTTCGCGAATAAATTCAGCGCGTGGACGGATGAATTAGCTCTTCAGTGCTTGGAAAAGATTCTTCGTGAAAGGGAAATCAAAAACAGCCAAGATGTTTGACCATCCGATATCCTTAGCCCACGATAGTCGGTAAAACTTTGCTAGGTGGACCCTAGACTGCCCATTTCAAAAGCCTATCCTAAGTTTTATCGACAGTCTAACGGACGAGCTCTAGAATTTGATACTGTACCTTTCTTTCTAGGTTTATTATAGTTCAATTAAATAAATAACTCGAAATTAAAAGAGGAAACCCAACGTGAGAGAATTTTCAAATTGCTTCCGATGGCGAAATTAGGAGTGTCAAAAGCGACTACTGTATTTTGAAAAGGCGACTTTAAAAGGAAGTTGTTTCTGAGAAGTACCGGGGCAAGAGGATAGTTTGTGTTGTTTCTAAACGGGGCCAAGTGCAGCGGCCCAAAACGTGGCCTAATCTCGGAGAGTGATTCTTGAATCTCGACTGATAAGTAGAAAACGGGGCTTCTTGCAATCTTGCGCGGCGCGGATTTGTGCAAGTACTCTAGCTCTGACAGATCGGACAAACACAAAGAAATTCGCCACTGATAGCCAAGGACAGAGCCCGACGCGCAGAAACAACAAAGTCCAGATGCTATCCCTTCACTTTTTTTTATATTTGAAAAGCGGCTGACACGATAGAACCTTATCGACTAAAGAATCCCAGCTCAGTCGGAAACAATCAAACAAACATCACCAAGATAAAATTAAATACGAATGTTAAACTAACCTTTTTTGCCTGTGAAGAAACCCTGAGTAAGGATCTGGAAGATCTCTTTTAAATGAAGCGAAAATTTTCTTTCGAATTCTGGCGAAGCCGCTATGCGGCTTCGTTTAAGAAAAAGCCGCTACGCGGCTTTTCGTTGGGAGACACTGACGCCGGCCCCCTGGGGGGCGGGGCGGCCCAGAGCGGCCGTGGGCGGCTGGCGTCAGTGTCCCCGTTTTCGTTAGAGATCTTTTAGACCCTGACTCAGGTTTTCTACACAGGATATCGAACTCTGAGTTGGGATATCCATCTTCGACCCTCTAGTGTTAAACTAGGCGAAAAAAGTCTACACAACGACCGCAAAAAGAACTGAAAACGACAAAATAAGAGTGCAAAATTGATTTTATTCAGAATGATAAGTATGGTCACATATTCCCATAACAGGGATATGAAATCTCTAACTTTATTGTAAGAGCACTTTTTCTTCGACTTGGTTTTTCGGTCGACCATGATCTTTGTGTACAGTCCACTTTGACTGTCGATTTCAGAAGCTCTTGGGTGGACTCCACTGTGAACTTTAAAATAATTTCTGTTAAAAATTAAAATTCTCTTCATAAAAGAATTTACCTGTAAATTTTCGTCTTCGGACTGTCAAGATCCCAGTAAGATCGGGAACTGACTGAAATGGAATTTTAGCCCTGACAACAACATCAGCTCTAGAGACTTTTTTTCTCGAATCTCAAAAATAGCTCTCCCAGAGAAAATAAGTCGAAAATATCGACATTTTTGTTGATTCTGTGAGTTCCGACGGTTGAAATTCTTTCATTTTTGGTCAGCTTATGGAGAAGATGGTGACGCTTTCAGAAATCGACTTTTTGAAAAATTTCATCGGTGAAATTTTTCAAAAATTCAATTTTCAACCTGAAAATGCTTTTTATTCGAAACTTCACTTTTGAATTTTTCTAAAACATGGATATTTAAAATCTCCACCATCTATTTTATAAGTGACCGAAAAATGGAAGATTTTTGACCGTCTGAACTCGTAAAATTCACTCGTCATCTTTCTTGGAATGAAGATTCTTTCAAGTTAAAATTATGAAAGAAGGTTGTCAGAAGATCTTACCTGTAGTGACAGTAAGACGCATTTTCGCATTCTTTATGGCGGGATTCTTGGCATTTTCCTTCGCGTCGTTGTAGAATTGTCGGTGAGCAAGATAGTGTTTCAAAAATAAAATTATGTTCAGATGCAAAGATATGATGATAGGAAAGAAATGGCACGAAAGAGACAGGATTGTGATAATACAAAGTTTTTTCCTAAGAAACTGCACAGAGATAAGGTATAAAAAACAAATTTATAGGATTTAAAGAATGAAAGGGACAGCCTGAAGATGGGGCAAATTGCGAATGATCATGGGGAAGGTAGCGAGTGTCAGTATGATGATTTCAAGCATGATACAAGCAAGTACGTGGTAGAAGAGTGTGAAGTAATCGGATACACGACCAGGGAAGAAGTTCATCTTTTCGTCGACGTTTTTCCCAAAAAGAAAATTTTGAATTTCTCTATTTATTGTTTTTCCGAGTGTTTTTCTTTCAAATGGCAACTGAACGATTGGTTGATGAAAATTCGTATGGCCACGTAGCTTTCATTTTTACACAAATCGAACCTATATTCATCCTGATAAGAATTAATAGGCTTTCGGAATGTAAGTCTTTTTTTTTCTTCGGTCGGATTCATTTCAAGTAATAAATTCCCGTTTCTCGGAAAAAAAGGAGCGCTTAGGGCCTAAACTGGACCCGATTGAAGCAAGGGTGCCAATTTACACGTAAAACAGAGTCATAGTTATTTTCCCATTTTCGCGCGAATGGAATATTATGGCATTTCGGCAATTATGTTATTCAGTGATTTGCTTTTGATTCGAATTCCCACGAATTTCAAAACGTTAGCCAAGCAGAAATCAATTAATTCCAGCGCCGGCGTTGCTCTTTCTTCTTTCACTTTTACTTAGAAAAAAGAGTCAGAATAAAGAGTAAAGTCTTTATTAAAAAGAAAGAGGATGACGGAGAAGATCTGCTTTGACAGGAACTCTGTTAGCTCGGTCCACGACTTTCAAGTCAAAGGAACCTTCAGGATCTTTACGGAGACTTTTCTCAGGTAATCAAGGAACTATACAAAAGTTTGAGAAGAAAATTAAGCGATTTGTTGATCGACAACGAGTGCCAATGCGAAGGCGAGCCAGTGAATCCGGTTCTTCCACTTGAGCTGGTCTTTGTCATCGACGGATCTGACTCGTTCAACCAAGGAGTTAGAAACCAGCGGGGACTGATTGAAAAGGAGGCGTCTTTCAAGTACACTTGCGAGTGGGTGGCGAACTTCGTCAAGTCAATCAATCCATCACATTACCCGGCGGTGGTTGTCTCTGTTTTCCAGTTCTCTGGGCAGAAGTCGCACGAGGCCCGCTACAAACCTGGATCGGGCGGCCTTGCTTCCACCTCGATCGATGGCGTCAAGGACTGGCACTACAAGACGATCCTCAAGCCAACTCTTCTCCGCCCGAACATGTCTACGGTCAATCTTGTCGACACAATCAAGAAGCAAGAGCAGCTCGACTCCAACTGTCAACTTTTCCTCTGTCTCCAAGATTTGGGTATGAGCAACTTTCTTGCGCAAATGGACCAGGTTAGCTCTGAGATACAGTTTATAATTAATTAAACCTCAAATTTTTAGGCAGTGCCGAGAGAACTAGGCGCAACAGCAGTCGAACGGGCAATGATAATCCTGACAAACGGAAACAATTGGGACCTCAATACATTGAAGCGATGGGACGAGCCCACTGTCGTCACAGGTTAGAAATTACACGCACGCGGAAAAACAATCAGAACCGTTAAGATAAGGCACGTGTGGCCGCACTGCTCAGCAAATCGTACAACAACGTCGTCCCAATCTGCGTCCAAGACGAGCCGCTCGACCCAGAAGCCAAACAATTCGTCAGCTCCAAGGCCCGTTTGCCAAAAAATAGACGTGTCTCTTTCCAAATTTTGAGAATTTGAACGTTTTGCAAACGCGAAATCAAGCTTTCCAAGCCGCGCAACACAGGCATCGTCGTCGAAAACAACAAATTTTTCGAGCAATTGGCCGCCGCCAAGACTGCTCTCCTGCAACGACTAAAGCTCAACTGAAGATTGCTCTTTTCAAAATAGAAATCGAAATAGAAGAAAATCGTGTTTTTTTTTTGGTCACAAAGATTTGTAGCGGCTATCAATGCCTAGCAGTTGTCGATAGGTTGTGTTTTCCGTTTGGACTTTTTCCGAGTGACGGATTAGTTCCGCGATTTCTGACTGTAGAATTTGTCGTGCCTCGGTCTGAATAATTTAAGGGTAGGGCAAGGTAAGCAAGTTTTTTTACCTGTTTTTGCATTTTCTCGGAAATATATCCTTTGATAGTGCCTAGCTCGTCCTGAAGATGTCTTATCTGTTTTTTCAGTGCCTCTTCTTTATCTGGACTTGTTTCTACTTTTTCTTCTGGTTCTTCTTTCTTAGGGTCTTCGCCAGGGAGATTGGCGAATTTCAAGTTCGTAAATTCGGAAAGATAGTCTGTGTCTATTGAAAAGGTTATGAAAAAGACCTCGCTTCATTTGTCTGTTTTTAGCTTAGATTTCCTGAACCTCTTCCTATCATACAGTCTCTTACGCTCGTAGAAGTCATTAATGAAAAATATTGACTTGTGCAAATATGTTTTTTCAATAAGCTTATTAGCGAGACTGTCAAATTTATTCAGACAAAATTTTTGAGAACAAAGCGCGAGACACCCACGCTCCGTCATCTGTTTGCCGACTTACTCTACTTAGCTTGTTACTTTTTTTTGGAGGCACTGTAGATTGTACAGGAAGAGGCCAGGATTAGAACGCTACAATGGAGGCTTACCTTCTTCATTTTTCTCAGCGCTTTTGTAGGGATACGGCAGCTGAAGGAATGAAAGTGTTAATAAGAAGAAGTTGGTAATTTTTTGCTTGAATTTATATAAAGAGTTACCTGGGCAAGCCTCTCTGGTTGCTTAGGAGGAAGTTGTGGGGATGTGGCTGGCTCAGTGTGCGATAAAAGCGACTGTCCGCAAGCCGGCGTGGGTGGCGACGAAATCCCTAAATTGAGGTTTTGAATTTTGCCCGTTATCAGCTTTCCGCTTCTTTCCTCATTACTACCTGTGTCTATCGCTTTCTCGGCAGTAGTGAACGTCGCCTTGTCAATTACTTCTGGCTCCGTGCAGGTGAAACGCACCGTTTTCTGCTTGCTGTCTATTGCTACTGTTTCCTTGTCGAAGTCATTGAACCAGCTTTGGTTGAACTCCGTCAGCTCTTCTTTTTCCTTCAAAAATTTCAACATCGGACTTTTTCGCTCACGCAGCGGCGAAATACTCTCGATGCGTCTCGCCGAGCTCTAGAATCACATTCCTCCTCTTTTTTTTGCATAATTTATTTCCTACCTCAGATGGCTGCCAAAGTCGCTGCGAGGACTGATCCTTTGAGAAATCTTTTTATTAATTTTAAGCACTGGAATTAGTCTAAATCGTTTTGACTCCGCTTAAATCGGGATATCCAATCATATCTCGGTCAAAAAATATATATGAACCCCATTTACAGTAACTCTAGAAATAAACGTCAGTGCATAAACCTTCCTAATCGCCATTGAAGATCTTCGATATCCGAGTTGAGCTTCGCGAGTCTGTTATTCCAAGCGTCTAAAAAGCAGGATCATCTTGCGGCTTCACCCTGGCTGACCCGGGGTCGCCGCTTGCTTACCGTATCGCGTGCGCACTTCGTTTAACGCCACATACATCGTCAAATAAGACATCTTCACGAAAAAGAGAAAAAACGAAAATGAAAAAAAAAATCTTGGCGAAATTCTCTGCCGCGTGAATTCGCCGATTTCTGGCAGCGAGCAATACGGCGATGAATATTTCACCAAATGCTGAATTTTTTAGCGATCTCGCTGGAAATCAATTCACACGCTGGAAACAGCGTAGATTAAATTGATCCTGCTTTATATTTTCTGGGGCTTATATCGATGGCTGGAGTTATTGAATTGTTTATCTCAAGTTGGAGACATAGAGGAGAATTGAAATAATCTATATAATATTGAGCATATTAAAATCTTTCCAAAATAGGGGAGAATTAAAGTGAAAAGTATAATTCTGATTGTAAGATTTTATTAAATCTTTTCGGCGAATCAAAATGGTAGAAAAGAGACTCCGACTAATCAGAACGCTACTAGTAGATTACTCTTTTTTTGCAAATTTTAACTGCAAGGAATTCTCAATTGAACGTCGTTATCAGCATTCGAGAGGCTAAAAAAGTGTTTCTTTCTTAGAGAGTAAGAGAGCACTTGAAGGTACTTTTGATTTCTCTTAGAGATTTCTGGAACGCGGGCGCGTAAGCTGTTGCTCCGGAAGAGTGGCCCTGTCGAGATCCGACAAATTGTGAAAACTATTCTCGTTTTAGAAGCGTGCCCTGTAAGTGCTTATCGGAAAACCTCGGCGGCGTTGATGTAACGTTTCAATTAACGCATAATCGGACGCAGACCTGTCCCTCTTCTGTCCGCGCCTGTCCGAAGCTGGAGAACTCATCACTCTTTTCTAGCTCCACAAACTCACAATTAAAATGAATAAGAACACTGGGCGATTTCTCCATGTGTGGCATCACATTTATTATTTGAAAGAGAAAACAGCTGAATATCCAAAACGACGCAGATCAGAACAGAATAAGACACAAATTATTGACCGGGAGTGGTATCCCCATACCATCATTTTCTCCACGGGATTCTGACTGTAGCTCTGACTGCTTGTCGTTGAAGGTGGTCATCGCGAACATTTGTTCAATGTTTGAATGTGAAGAAAATATGTTCTAACGGGTATACAGTCGATGAAACAGAAGAAAACTGAGCTGTATACATTCAGAACATATGGGCAAAAGGTGGCTCAAAAGAGTGTGCAAATTAAAGTTAGTCAGAAACAGGAAAGTGAGAAGAAAATAAGACAACAAGTTTTCGTGTTGCGAGGGGTCAAGAATAGAAAAAATAAGTGGAAAAGATTAAAAGTTAAGAGCGGAGATTCTCGAAAAAGAAGATCTCACTTTTTAAGTTTAGAAGAATTACTGTCGATTACGTCGAGCTCGTCGAATGCTGAGAGTAGGCAGTTGAGGCTCGTCGTTCTCGTAGCTATCGTAGTTGGGAGATTCGAAAGAGGAATAGTCATCGAGGATGATGTCCCGGGTCACCGGTACTTCTAAAATTCGTCGATCATATTTGCTCCTCTTAATTTTCTATAAAACTTACCAACATTGGCGGAAGCGTTGGCATCATCATCTTCTGGCTCAGGGCCCTTGTTGGGTCCCTTTTGGGTTACCTAAGAAAGCACTTGTTACGACAACTTAAATTTCACTTTAATATACCTCGGGGAATTTAGGGTAGCACTGAGAAGGATCACACAGACCAGGGGGACCGACAACACCTTGTGGACCTGGCTGACCGAATCCACCTCTTGGGCCGGGCTCACCACGTTCACCGGGTCTTCCGTCTCGACCAAAGCCTGGAGCACCTCGTGGACCAGCTGGACCCATCATACCAGGTTCACCGCGGATAGACATACCAGGAGGTCCCTATGATTGCGATTGAAGAATTCTACTTTTTAGATGCCTGAATACCTTTTCACCTTCTGGACCCTTGCTACCCTTAAGACCTTGTGGACCAATCTGACCAGCAGGACCAGCAGGACCTTGAGGACCAGCTGGACCAACAGGACCAGGATCACCATTTCTGCCAGCGGGACCAGGAGGACCAGGAAGACCAGGGTAACCACGAATACCAGCAGGACCATTTCGCTGTTTAGGGAATTCCAAATTCTTGAGCTCATCTCGGATAAGAGCGAGGCAGATTTCCTTGAAAGAAGAATGATATAATTTTCGATCTCAGTAATTTTGATACTAACCCTAATAACGTTGTCGTCAGGGTTCATGCCGGGAGGACCCATCATACCCATTGGACCAGGAGCACCTCGTTGACCAAGTGGGCCACGGGGACCGACTGGACCTCGACCACCCTGTTCACCTTGTTTGCCAGGGGGACCCATAGGACCTCGGCCACCGTTCTCACCACGTTCACCAGGCTGTCCAGATTCTCCAGGATTACCTTGGGGACCACGTTCACCAGTTTTTCCAGGAGGACCTTCTGGGCCAGGAGGACCTTGAGCTCCGTCGAGACCGCCGACACCTTGATCACCCTTGTGTCCCTTGGGACCAGATGGACCAGGAAGACCAGCAATACCTTGAGGACCAGGCAGGCCAGTTTCACCAGTAAGACCGGGACCACCAGCAGGACCTTGTGGACCGGGCTCACCACGCATACCAGTTTCACCAGTAAGACCTTGTTCACCAGGTCGTCCAGATTCACCGGGGGGACCAGCTGGACCAGTCTCGCCAGGAGGACCAGCATCACCATTCAAACCAGCAGCTCCAGTTTCACCGGGGGGACCGGGTTCGCCTTGATGACCCTTAGCGCCAGTCTCACCAGGGGGACCAGGCTGACCATCAGCTCCAGGCTCTCCGTCGTTTCCGTCAGCACCAGTCTCACCAGGTGGGCCAGGCTCGCCATCCTGACCGTCGGCTCCAGCAGGGCCCATAGGACCAGCAGCGCCGACTGGACCTTGAATACCTTGAGGACCTTGTGGACCTTTTGGTCCAGTCTCGCCAGGTTGTCCAGGCTCTCCAGGCTCACCAGGATATCCTTGGTTTCCTTGCTGTCCTCGAACACCTTGTGGACCAGGGGCACCATCTTTTCCTTGCCGTCCAGACTCACCAGGGACACCAGGAGGACCAGCGGGACCAATAAGACCTTGTTCTCCAGGAGGACCAGTTTCACCCTGAACACCAGGCTCGCCGGGAGGACCTCGCTTTCCGTCTGGTCCAGGTTCACCACGTCGACCGGCGTGACCTTTAGCACCAGCAGGACCGGGTGGTCCACCACCTTCACCAGCTGGGCCGGGAGGACCTGCAGGTCCAGTCTCTCCAGGAGCACCAGGAGCACCAGGTTCGCCGTCTCTACCAGGGAGTCCGTCTCTTCCAGGCTCACCCTAAAATAAAAAATTAATATTATAAATTATAGATTCCAATTGTGAAAAATTTGATGGGTTTAAAAAATTACCGCAGCACTAGAAAATGAAGCATTATCTGAGTCAGGAATAGCTGCTGGGTTATTCGGGATTTCGGTTGTTGTCGGGGGAAGAGTTGTTGTTTCGTCAACAACAGACTGGACAAAAATAGACTGGTCGAAGTTGGACTGTTGGGAGCTGTCCAAAGAGGTACTAGAAAGCACAAGCGGAACCGGTTCAGGCTCTGCTGAGGTTGACCCAGCAGAATCTACAATCGGCAACGCAGGCAACTCGTAGCTAGGATCATCTGACGTCTCGTAGCTTCCTGATGCACTCGAACTACTACCGAAGTCCGAGTAGGAAGCCGAGGCCGATGATGAGCCATCTGATACGCTGTCAGAGAAGGACTCTGAGGAGGAAGAAGAAGAATTATTCTGTCGACTTTTTCTCTTGAGTCTTTTCTCTGCCTTGCGCCGCTTTCTGGCTTCCTTCTCAGCCCGCTTCGCTTCTCTCTCTGCCTTTTTCTGTTGCTTGAGAAGGGCTCTCTCTGACCTAGAAAGGCTCTTGCTGGCGTAAGCCGCAGAGCCCCCGGATCAGCTCCCGCCGCAGCCGAGGCCGAGGCCACGGCCAGGCTAGCCAACGAGAACAATCGCATCAGAAGACTCTCTCTAGGATGCGATCTGTTTCAAGTTGTTCATCCGGCGTGGCTAGTGTGGCTCAGCCCAACCCGACCAAGCCCCTTTTGTGAAGAGAGCAAACAAGGAGGAGTTCACTCTGAGACTCTCTTTGTTTGTTCAAGAGCGTGATGGGGGTTGATCAATTACATTTGATTAATGAGTTTCTATTCCAGAGCAAGTACGCCGGCCGGGCAACTACCGAAGTTAAATAAACCCCCACGGAACTTTTCGAACTTTTCTCACACGCTACTCTCATTCCTAAAAACCTCACCATGGGAAAGGTAAATCTGTAAATTTGTACTTTTTGTGATTACACCGAGGAATAACTTTGAATGTTACTTTTTCAGGCCTTTTTTCAGATAGGTTACCCATGAAGCTTACCCGAATTTACTAATGATGCTGAAATTAGCTAGTTTTTATATCAATTGATTCATTATAGACCGGAAAACTCGAAGTGAATCTGATAACATTTAATTGATAAATGGAGGATTTTTCTTTTGAAATCAAGAAGGACCAACCCTACTTTTTTTGATTTTAACTTACTGATAGATCATACTGGCGCTTTATCCTTTCGTGGGAGCGTTTTGCTTGTGCTCCCGTGGCCACAAGGCCCATAAGGAGTGTAGGCCAGAGCTTCATCTTCGACTCTGCGGGCGATTATACCGAATACTGTATCCAAAACAAAAAATCTCTCGCTACAGTATTTGGTATGGCTGCGGTGTTTTCGGTGAGTCCCAGTCGCTAGATGTTTTTGCGCTCTGGACTGCTCTTGTAGTCCAAAGGGGGCTGTGCAAGGTCGCCACACGGCGGCGTCACGTGTCAAAAAATATCAAAAATCAAATTTTCTCGCACCTTGGATCAGCCGCGCACCGAGACTGAAGGATTGAGAGTGCCCGGCAATGTGTGCCCAAATCACACTAGCTTGTGTGACTGGCCATCGCCACTGGGTGGTGTTCACTTACATCCCGAAAAATCTTTTAGGATCCCTTTTTTCAGCTCTTTTCCCACAATGGTAAAAACTATTCTGCAAAATTTGTCATTGGCTTACCGGTCGAGGTCCTCTTGGAGGTCCTTGGAATCCCTCTTCGTCTGGTATCTCGCCAGGTGATGCATTGTCCTCGTCAACGGGTGCTCCAGGCTCGCCTGACAGTGAATCAACGTCACCTTCTGGGTTAAACGAATCGTTACTTTCCGCTGGAAGAAGTTGTTGATCAGGAGCTCCTGGAAGTCCTTGGATATTATCATCCTTTCCCATGCAAGGGTAGCAAGGCTCCTCGTCACCGAATGAATCTCCTCTGTTTTCGCCTCTAGATTTCTGGTTAATTTTCAGTCTAAAATCCGAACAAATTTTAAAGCAGCTATACGTACGTGTAGAAAGAGCCTTCGTTCTCTGGAGAAATGTAAAGTTCGCTTGAAGAGTCTTCCGGTTGGTCCATGATTTGCAAAATCTCTTCGTTGTTGCTCGAGTAAGCGTCCATGTAAAGAGCGCTTGCATCGTTGTACTCAGGCCAGCGAGCGTCGCAGTGAATGTTGAAGAATTGAATGTCCACTGGCACGGAGTTGATGTGTGTGCCACGGCCGGAAGTTGCCATGCTCGTTCTTCGCTCGCCGGAACGAATGTCCTGGAAATCATCAAGCAAGCTGAAAAGGCGAGTGTTCACATGATGGAAGAACTTTTTGAAAAAATCCCGTGCTAATGGGAAAACAAGTGCCAAGACAAAATTTCAACTTCGCCAAGGTCAAGTCACTCACCTCAAGGGTAGACCCAACTCTGAGGTGCTAACTTTGTCGCTGTCGATAAACAGGCCGACGCTTTTATCCTCGCGGTTTCCGTACACCTGCAACGAGAGCTGATGCCATTCCGTGTTGAAGAGAGGCTCCGCGTTTTTGAGCTCGGAGTTGATGAGGACCTTGCCGGAGCTGTCCGCCACGATGAAGCTGACCGTTTTCCGCCGGCCGTTGATTTGGACGGAGTACTCGGCCAATCCGTCGAAGATCTTGAAGAGGTCCCACACTTGCCCCGTGGTGTACTCGGGCATGCGCAAAATACAGTTGATCGAGAACTCCTTTGGCAACACCGGTGTCTGCGCATTCACCAAGCTGGCATCGTTGGAGATTCTATACGCGCGTTGTCGATTAGTACTTCCGGCGATTTCTGTCACGCCGAGAAGCTGTTCTCGATCTAGAGCGAGTTTAAAACAGTGAATAAATAAGAAAGCTACCGAGTCCAAATTGAGAGATGAAATCGAAGGCTGGGATGTCGCCACCTTGAGTGTAGACATCAACGCCTGCGCAGAAGTCCTCGATCTCATCCGCTGTGACAGCGGCGCCGAGGAACAGGCCGCGTATCACAGATTTTCTCCTGAATAAATTATTTGAAAATATTGGAAGGAAAAACAGTAAGATGATGATGTTCTAATAATCTTGCTGATTAGTTGATTTCCATTTTGAGCACTGTATGTAGGCCTGTATAATCTAATTAGTACCAAGTGTGGTCCCTAACGAGGAGCTCAGCGTCAAATTCCTCAACGTCACAATGATTCGCCGGTTAAATTTCCGCTTAAAATTCTCTCGAGCGGGTGCTAATTGGCTCTCTTGTACAAAGTCAATCTCTGTCGCCATCTTCGGGGGCGAAAATGGAAAAATTAATAACGAACTTACCACGACATCGTGAAGATGATGAAGTGAGTCTAATCTAATCAGAAAACTGAAGCGAAAAGGGGAGTTTGGACACTCGAAAGCCCCAATTTTGACGCTTTCACGTGTTAGCACAAATAATCAACCCAAGTCGGACGGCCAAATCACCAATTCAACAACAACTTGAGCTCTACTCGTCTTTCCCAGAAAATTCTAGCCAACTAAAGAACTTCAGAATTAAATCATAAATGGTCGACAGTTCGAAACTCATTCTTAGCAAGCAAAAACTCTGCAGTCAATATTATAAATAAAATATTATAATCATAATCATGATTTAAAAAGGAACACTTAGACGTGAAACTGGTGGAAGATTTTTATCAACAAAAAAAAAACCGGAAGCTACGATAAAATCCTCAGATAATAGCCCGTGTTGATCGATAAGGGAAGCTTTATTGCAGCTGGACCGCTAGAAGCGCCAAACCCTCCATGGGTTTCTCCAATATAAATAGGAAAAGAAAAATTGGATCTTCATCTATTCGTTGATAAAATGATACTAATATAAAAAAGTTTTTTGATTCATAACTTAAAAATAAGTTATGAAACATACGACATTATTTATCTACCTGAAGTTTTCTTCAAGCACGGAACCATTCAGCAACTTTTGACCTTTTGTCTAGTTTCCGATGATTTATTGAATAAAAAAGCATTAATAACTGTCTATTCTCGATATTTTTTTTATTATTTTCAATAATAAATTCTGTAATATGATTTGAGTCACAATATATCTTGCCCTTAGTGGCACCCAAACTATTATTGAGTTCTTTTCCCAACTCAACGGTCTAGCCTAGACTCTAAGGTTATCATTCCCCATTAATACTTAAAGTATTAAATATCGTTTAGCGATGATTTCATTCTTCAAACAAGAAAAACGTGAAATGTAAATTTGTTATCGAGCTGAGTCAGAAAAAGAAACTCGTCTGCGCGGGCGAGTTTTCCCTTTTCGCGAAAACCGCCGCTGGATTTTTATAAACGACCTCGTCAAAGAGAACTACCTACACCCTGGGCTTATTTGTGACGAGATAGCGGGTCCTTTGATAGCTGCCCTAAGCCAGCATTATCGAAAATTCCTATCATCCGACCCACAGATTGAATCATTCTGGATGTCGCTTATTAGAGGTTATTGCGCGCGCTTCAAATCAACAATGCTGGCGGATTAAAGGAATTTTGATAAAGGTTGCTCAGTCATAGTATCAGCGTTTCCTTATCTCGTCACAAATAAGCCCAGGGTGTAGGTAACGTAAAATGGGAGAAAGTGAAGATTACGATTTTGTGAACGGATCGACAAATCAACCTGGCGGTTCAAATCAGCTCTACCCGAGTCTGTCTCCTTTTGCTTCTTAAAGAGAGGGAATGACTTCAACTCGGACGGACTTGTCGACCGAGGAAGGGGATCATCAAAACCGCGATGAGTCGCATTCGCCGATTTCGATGGCCAGCACGGGAATCAGCTTCGAAGAAATAGGCCATGACGATATTGAAGATATCAAGTAAGTTCTAGGGCAGTTGTTGATATGACCATCTTTAAGGATTGAAAACTAAGAATCTCGAAAAAAACAATCAATTTATTTTTATTTTAAAATTTGTTCAGTAAATCGGAAGCTGGCAAAAAGTCACCGACGATTTCTTCACTTGCTTCTTCCTCCTCAAAAGATGTTTCGATTATAGAAGACGCTTCGGAAACAGAAGTCAGCGGCGACGACGAAGAAAGCTCAACTGCCGCCAATCGTAATCTTCGAAAGCAATCGGAAATGCAGTTGGAGGAAGAGCCAGTCGTTGCTCCAGAGCAACCTCCTTTGCCGGACTCTCCGGCTTACACTCCGCGGGGATTAAACGACTCGCTAGTGAGCAGTGGATCTCTTCAAAGCCTTCGAGGACGGGGCCGTGGGCGGCTTCGAATGCCGCAGCCGCCAAAAATGACCGACCTTGGAGAATCACTAAAAATTCGTCAAGTCACCAACTGATGCCGTGCCTCTAAGGTAAAAGATCTATTTGAGGCTTTACTCAAAGTTGTTTCACCGTAATTCACCTTTTAGAACGAATCATCCTTTCCAGTACTCGGATCCAGAGTTGAAAGCCGAGCCTGCTCTAATTGAGAATCTTGAAATAGCAGCACCAAGTCCGCCCCAAAGAGCCACCGTTGAAAGCGACTTTTCTGAAGAGGATGCGGATGACGAGCGTAACAATTCGAGAGAAGAGAGCCCGGTTCTAGAAGAACGCCCCGAGACGCCGGTCAGAGATCAGAGAGAAGAAGAACGAAATCATGGAGGAGAAGCTTCGAATCTACAAGTTCCAAATGAGGAATTTTTTAATTTTGAAGAAATCATTCGGGATTTGCGGGAAGAGCTGGAAACGACTAGAACTGAATTTGATCTTCAACAAGACTCCCAAGTTGACGAATTGAACTCTCTGAAGGAAGAAATAAAGCGTCTGATGAAACAAAATACCAAATTAGGTGATGAGAATGAAGAAATAAGCTAGAATTACGAGAAGCTTCGCGAAAGTTACGATCAAGTTCTGCAGGGGACACGGACTATTAGTCCTTTGAAAGGATCAGTGCATTTTCAATTCCTTATTATTACTATCTATTTGTCAATAAATAAAATTTACGCCTTGCATCAATAAGTAGATACATCATCATTAGCAGCTTTTGGTGACGGTAGAGGCGAGTTGGAAGAGGGTCATTGAAGTTTATTCAAGTCCTACAGCTCGAACTATACAAAAGAAAAAGGAACAGCGGATAAGTGTACATGTGCTCTGTTTTGTTCATGGCTGTGGTGCAGCTTCAAGTGTCAGTGTACAGGTTTGGGTGGCCATAATGAACGTCGCACTCAATTTCGCGACAGTGCACGCTTTTTCGAGTTTTTAATTGTGAAATTAAAATTGTAAAAAGTTGAACTTGAAAACCCGTAGCAAAATCGTCCGGCGTTGTAGTCGTCCATGTCCACTCTTTTTTTCAGCGAGACTTTGGAAGCAGAATCAACGATCAACGAAATAAGGCCGCCGAGCCAAGAAAGGCCGAGTAATGTCCAGATGTAAACTGAAATGAAAAACTTCAACTATGAAATATTTTTTTTACTACTCTAAAAAAAATAATGCTAAGGAAACTGCCAGAGCTATTTTCATTTTCAACTAAATTTTTGGACAATCCCCGCCCAAGATTCTCGGGGATGGCCACTTGTCAACGTCAATTATAAGTATCGATAAATCGGTTGTTTTACCCGTTACTCTGTAGAAATCGAAATATATCTGTCCAATTTGATTATGCTCGTGATCGTTGGTGACGTCTCTGTCCTGGCGATGTTGCTCCTTGTATCGAATGTAGTCCGCTAGTGAAGAAAAAAAACGCATTTCATCAATACTAAATAAAGATAAAACTCGCTTACATGTTGGGCAGTAGTCGCCGAAGCCGATTGTAAGAAGCGTGATCATCGTGAAATACCACGCTTCAAGCAGCGTCCAGCCCTCGATGTGATGGAAGACTACGGCTTTTTTAGTGGTTCAAAAATGAACCCGCATTTGTCGAATTCGGAAATATTGTCTTTTGAACCTGGCTGGAATGAGCGAGCAAAAAATGAAACCGCCGACGACGTAGACAAGCAAGGCAATGGCGGAAGCGAAACGAGCAGTTGTTTTTGCGACTTTGCGTTCTAGTTCTTTGAACTTTTCGAGCAAGAAATCCGATGTCCTCTTCATGATGTAATAAAAAAGCGGCACTCCGATCATTGCATAGCAGATGCAGAAGACCTTTCCTGGGTTCGTGCTTGGATACACATTTCCATATCCTAATTTCTTTACATTCCTTTTCACAGATTACAAGATAGAGTACCTAGAGTTGTGACAACTGTGCCGACAAAGTAGTACGAGCTCAGAAACGACCATTTATTTGTGCACCCGTCCGAAATCATGTCAGCATGGTCGACAGCACCAGATTTGACAGTTTTTAGCAGCTCACTGAAGAAATAGCTAGATCTTTCGCCAGAACACTTTCCAAGATGGGTGCACTTACTTGTACATTTCTTTGGTCATTGTGATATTGTCGTCTTTGCTCAAGTCCTTTAGCTCTGTCATGTTCCTGCCGAAGCTAAAGAGAAGTAATTAGCGCTACTGTTCTGAGACTGTTGCGTTAATATTAATCCAGTTACTGTATCCCTCTGAATGCTCAGAAGGACTCACGTTTGCCAGACCATCTCTTCGCCAGCGACCAAGTAGAGTCTCCCAAACTCATTAACAAATTCGCATTTTTGTTCTTCGACAGGCCTTTCCAGCTGCATAAACATGTAAGCTCTTTCACCATCGGTTGCTCAACTGAAGATGCCTCTTTCTAGCCGCTAAGCTTTTGATCAACCGGTGCCCAAAGAACAAGTACGAGAAATACAGTAGCAAAAGGAACCAGTACGTCCAACATGAGAAGTTTTCGTAAAAGCTGTCGGGGAGACTGTTGTCCAGATTGAACCTTAATTGAATTTCAGCCTCTTTTTGCCAGGTCTAAATTTAAATCGAGTTAAAGCTCGACCCCTCTTTCTCTAACTTTGCTCAAGCTGAGATCATCAAAACAGGGCTGCTATTAAGGATATAGCCGTTCTCAAGGCACTTTCGTAGCGCCGAAATGGGGCGATAAATTTTTTTCATTTCAAGACAGGTCCTACCTAAAATTATGTCTACAGTTCGATTCTGATGTTTTTGAAAATTTTTTTCAAAGAAAATTTCTCTCTAGACCGATTTGAAATCTTACGATCACTTTTTCTCGAAATTTTTCAATTAAATCGCTAAAACTAAACCGTGTATTATTATGAAAAACTGTTAATCTAGCTTCGTAGGGCCTCAAAATTTGAAAACTCGAGCAAATTTTAATTCTAGCGTCTTCTTCTTTTTGGCTCTTCTTTTTCAAAAATGCTGCGTTCAGGGCTCTCGACCAATCAGCGCGCTCTTTCACATGCGCGCCTCACCGCGCGATGGAGGAGAGCGTCCAGCGCAGCGAACCAGAGCGCTGTCTGACGCTTTGGCTCACTCAAGTAAGCCTCATAAAAATGGCTGTAGAATCATAAATATTTGGAATCTATTTAAATTTAGGCCCTAGGAATGTAGAAAAAGGTCCAAATTTTTAATTTATCAAAAAACTCTACCGATTTAATGGAAAATTCTTGAGAAAAAGTGATCGTAAGATTTAAAATTGCTCTAGAGAGAAATTTTTCCATTAAAAAATTAAAAAGAACACTAGAATCGGGTGTCTTAGGCAATTTTAGGTAGGGTTCCTTTTGAAATTAAAAATTTTATCGTCCCATTTTGGCGCTACGAAAGTGCCTTGAGAACGGCTATATCCTTAACATTAAAAAGCATGATCGATGAACTTACCAATTTTTGCTGGGGCTGGTTTGACTTCCACTTCTTTGTTTGAGTTTTTCTTGGTGGGCGTCGAATGAGTTTTTCATCTGCAGTGGACCATCATGCGCCTGAATGTTAAATACAGAATAACAGAAGCAGAAGCCAAGAGTTTACTTTGCACTGAACGCACTTTCTACACTCTGTTCTCTTTCTACCGCAATAACATATGTTTAATCCCGCTCCATACTAAGCGCCCTCCATCTGGGTTCGGCAACCTGAGTAAAAACCTGAGTCAGGGTTCATAAGATTACAAATGAAAAGCCGCGTAGCGGCTTTTTAAAAACGAAGCCGCGAAGCGGCTTCGCCAGAAGTTAAAAATAAGATTGAGGAATAATATTGCGAAGCCGCTTAGCGGCTTCGTTTTTAAAAGCCGCTACGCGGCTTTTCATTTGTAATCTTATGAACCCTGACTCAGGTTTTTTACTCAGGTTGCCGAGCCCAGCCCTCCATTCTTAAGATTTTTCAGAAAGCGAATAAAAAAATCTAATAAAATTTTTTCGACAATCGTGGATCGAGTGTTGATCTTTTGTCGAGGAAAAAGAGACCGAAGGAGTCTTCTCTTGGATGTTATATTAACTTACTTTAACATGGTTGTAGTAAGTTTCGACGCTGATTTCCCAGTCTGATTTCACTCTCATGCCTTACTGCAACTTCTCGGCATCGGAAAGAAGATTGAAAAGAGGATTAAGATGCGCTGCCTGTAAAAATGGATGGGTTCAGGGGCGAAATGCAAAAAATGTCTTGAGTGATTTGGGGCAGTAAAAGCAACATATGAATTATAAAAGAGGCAAAGAGGGATGTGCTGGCGTCGAGATATACAGTACTTCTATGCTTGAAAAAAGAACACAGTCAATTTAAAATGCAAAGAAAGAAGAAAATTTAGATACGGGCGCTTAAAAAACTGTTCTTATGAGAAACCATAAAACTTAGTTTTCTTTTGAGAATTAGTATTTTTATGCGCGGCGACTTTTTTGAGTCATTAACCCAAGGTATATCATCCTCTAGGACGACGTAAAGACTCTTTACTAACAACATAACAAACTATAAGCTACAATATAAATTTCTGAATGACCATACTCTAAGAACGATTTCTTTTGAGCGAAATTTTCGCGAAAAGTTTTGGTAAAAAGCGAAAGCGAAGCGAAGCGAATTGAAATTACAAGAAGCGATAGCGAAGCGAATTCGCTTCGCTTCGCTCATGAGCGAATTCGCGAAGCGAATTCAGACCCCTGGTATGAATCATACTGTATAATTCATACTGTTGAAAGGAGAAGATTTCTCTCTCTTAGGGAGAGATCCTTCTTTGGTCTCTGATTACCATTCTTGCGATGGACATCGTTTTTCCAACAATAATTTAGTAAAAAGGCCATTTTTAATCGAAGAAATCAAGGAAGACTCACTTCTTTCAGCAAGCGAAAACTGTTTCCTTCTCTTATTTTGAGCATCATCCTGGAAATGAATGAGAAAGACGAGAGAGTAAGAAAAATGTTTTAATCAAGGAACAAATGGAATTTGATATTTATGAGTACAGGGTTAACTCTACGAAACTCAGCCGATCGATTTTCGTGCACGAGATATGCCAGAGTTGTCTTACTCAGTTTTTGTTCCTTTTTTTATCCCGCGATATGAAATTAATTTTTAATTTTAGCAGTAGAGACAAAAATAATATATAAACAATTTTCTTGACTTGAGTCTTGAGTTGACGACCAATGGTTATTGTGTCGGAAGACAAGCTATAGTTTCTGATGATGAAGGCCTTCACCATGAAGGCCTTGTCCTTTCTGAAACATGTCGAACATGTTGTTGGTAAATATGCTTCTTTCAAGGTCTTTTAGCTTTGAAAACGTAAATCAGGGATCTATTTATGAGTTATCAGAATGATCGGAAAGAGTTGCATTTGAGAAGTCAGCAGTAAACTATATATAGCCCGATATCTGGAAAAATAAAGGGCTAAAAAATAAAGCTAAGACTAAAATGTAAAAATTTGGAGAACTGGCCCAAATAAGTCTTATTTGAAATTAGGGTACCTAAAAATTGGTCGAAAAGATACCTTTTAATGTTCATTTTAAAGGGTTTCCCTGAAGTAAGACAAAAAAAATGATCTTCTATAATATCATTCCGGCTTAGAAAATAAACGCGAAGTAAAATTGTCGTAAAAAGTACCTACCATTTTGACGGGGTATCATTTTCTCTTCTCTTTTTAGTGGTGGATGATGGTGATGCTCATTACTGCAGTCGCCTGATAAGATATTAATAGCATAACTATCGACCACGAGAGGCTACAAACCGGATCAATTCACCTCTTCAATATTGAATGTAAAACGTTTAGCATTGATTCGACCAACACGAAAAACGGCTGAAATGATGATACACAGACTGCAGTGCACTGCACAAAATATTCTATGTAATCGAAATCGATCATTCCCAGAATATTTTAAAAACAAAATAATTTAAAGAAAAAATAACTATGCAAACTGACAACACGATCAGCGTCATGAATCATGAAAAAAAGAAGCGCCATGCATTTTTATTTCTGAAAGAATTCTTTCAAGAGTTATGATAATGACGCCCTTATTTTAAAGGAGCAAAAGAAAGTTGAACTCTTACTTGAAAATTAGCTGTCCCAGGGGATTAAAGGGGACTATGCTTTAATACAAAATAAAATCGCAGTATAGAGCGGGAAGCATTTTCAGCATTATGAAAACCACACTTGCCACACCTGGAGATTACCCGTAGAAGAACTCTTCTGATTCACTTACTGCACTTTTGACACCTTAAACCCACTGCACAGAGCGAAAAAATGCAGCACGTCAATTATTCATAAATAATCAAAATTTTGTCCTTGAATCAATTAAGGACCCCCCCCCTGAAACATTTTTCCTCGAAAATTTCAAAACATCCATATTTAAAATATGATATTTTGGCTTCTTAGTGTGCCTGGAAGTTAAATTCATCATGAAAACTTGTCTGGAGCAATTTTTGACCAATAAACAACAAAAATTTCATCAGAATTTGAGTTTTTTCGTCAATTTTCGACAATAAGTCCCATTTTCAAACGCGATTTTGAGGGTGTTAGAGTCGAGATAGACTCTCAAAAAATAAAGCCTCAAATCGTTTTTGACCTGTAAAATCCATTTCCGGGGTCAAAATTATAGCTTCTTGCCAAGCGATAGTACATTTTTGAAATAGGAATTAATGAAATATTTTTATAAAAAATGGTATTTGAAGAAAAATCGAAATTCTTGAGTACGTCAAACTTTGCCCTGTCCTTGCTGAAGTTGGTGACAATGCCATTTGTCGGGTGAAATGTAGAGTCCCCTTTAATACTCTAATATTTGCAAAGCCTAGGCTGCAAATCCACTCCCATGTTAGGCGAATATCTATTTAGGAAAATGGGTCGTTTAATTTCCGCTCCTGAAAATGGCATTCTTTTCGATGTTACCAGAGAAAGAAAAAGCTTAGATAAAGGAACTGGGATAGAATCGCTTGATCAGATCACGAGGAAATAATTGAGTGATGAGATTATCCAAAAAATGAGATTATGAAGGATCTTGTCCAGGATTACGTCTGCTCCAAAGGGGCCTACATTAACCCGGCAATGGAGATCTTCGACTTCCACACGACAGGACGAGGTTTTATTGCCAAGACGTCCGCGATCCTAAAACTCTTCAAATTTCTAACCCCCGCCTTCTAGCTCGATCAACAGGGGCCAAATGGTGCTCGAAGTGCCGCAGACTGCAGTGATAACGCCAAACTGGATTTATCACAACGCCATTTCCGTAATCTACAAATCAAAATTTCAATAATCAATAAGTGGTATTCAATTAGTGCGTTTCGAATATTGTCGTGCTCGAAAACGACTTCAAAATTGACGCCTTTGATTTGGTCATTCTCTGGTTGATCCACGAGAAACAGAAGGGCATGCAGTCCTCAGTCAGGGACTATATCACTGTAAGTTGCTTTAATCAGTCCATTCATTCACCAATTCAAGTCGATGCCGAGCCAGTGCACGCTTCCACACCATTATCGGCCCCGCCATATGAAACTCTTTCCGAAGCAGTTTCGTCAGAAAGTCGATACTCAAAAGAGCGACCTACTGGCACGCTACGAGTACTTGGACAAATGCTATCGACGGCACGGGCGTGGAATCGCCTTTGCTGAATTTCAGGTAGCAGCAGTTTCAGTTGCACAGCTATAAACTAACTCGCGCTAAGTGGGCAGCAACTATGGTGTTAACGAGATCAATTCAAGGTCACGGTCTCGAACTTTCAAGTGAACTGACAAAGCACGAAAATGTCAAGTAGAAAACCTTTCCTTACCCAGTACCTAAGCTAAAATGATTCTAGACCTTGAAAGCAAGCAAAGGGTCTCAAGTTGTGCTGTGAGTTGATTGACGCACCTTGGTTTAAAAGCGCAGAATCTGCGTCGGAAATTGGCCTCTGCCCTTTCTTCGGTAAGATGAGCGGTACTCTTCCTTGATTTCAAAATTGATTTAGATCTCTTGAACCACTCATCTGAGAATAACTGCGAGTGGGATTTCAACCCTGTTACTGGCTCCGTCTGGGTGGAAGCCATTGGAGACATAAAAAACTCAGGCAAGAAAAATCTGGAAATGAAAAATTTTCATCCCAAGAGCACAGTTATCAAAGCCCTACTGAGTCGGAGTGAGACTTTATTCGTTCAGATCAATTGCTCATCGATTACGACCAAGGATGCGACGACTACATGTTAATCAATTACGGATTCTGTTTGCCACCTGGGGAAAACCCAAAGACCGCCCTTGAGCTTTCTTGGGTAAGTTGTAACCGTATTCCCCAGAGTTGCAAATTTTGATTAATGTTTCTGAGCTGAGCTGAGCTGACCTGAGTAAAAATTTCTCTGAGCTGAGCAGGCCTATTTCGGAGGTTACTGAGCTGAGCTGAGCTGAGCTGGCCTTTTTCAGAGGTCATTGAGCGGAGCTGAGCTGAGCAGACATTTTGTTTAAGAGAGTTGAGCTGAGCTGAGCTGAGCGGACCCTAATTAGAGCTGAACTGAGCGGATTGAGCTGAGCTGAGCTGTTTTTTACTGTTTTTTCGTAGTAAAATTGTATTCAAATCATTGAGCTGAGCTGAGCTAAATGATAGTTGTCTGAGCTGAGCAGAACAGATCATGTTCGAAAATAATTGAGCTGAGCTGAGCTGAGCTGAGTGAAAATTGTCTGAGCTGAGCTGAGCAGATCAGATCATTTGGCAAAATCACTGAGCTGAGCTGAGCTGAGCGACTGCTCAGCTCACTCAGCCAGCTCAGCTCACTCAGCTCAGCAAATTTGTAACTCTGGTATTCCCTTTTTAAGAGGAATAATAACACATCCTCTGCGGCGTTTCCAACGAAAATTTAGTCAGAAATCAGAGCTGTGATCGAAGCAAACGTGACCAGCGATATCCGTCAAGTGCAACAAATCTTCAACAGGACTAAAATCGACACAGAAAACGCAGAAGAGCGACTTGTCTTTAAAATCTTCCACGATCGAATTCCATTCAAGTTTTCCTACATTTTCGAGGAGATTTTCAATTCGGTCAGTTCTTGATATTATTCAATGAGTATTCAACTGTTCTCCAAGGCTTCATTTGAGGAAAAGGGAATTTTATTCCACAAGCGTCTTTCCGACGAGCGTCTAGCAGACGAAGACTTCCAGGCGCTTTATTTGGAGCATCTCCAGCGCGTCATCCTGCTCAAGTGCTTGGAATCGCGCTGCGCCGAGCTCGACGAGCTCAACCAAGCTTTCGACCATGCGAAGTTGACGATGGACGCGACACGGCTTTACCAAGTCGGACAGATTTTGAAAAATCACAGCGCCATCGCCTTCAAATGGCGAAACGAACTGACCGCCGAGACCGACCGCTTGAAAATCGAGCTTGAAGTGTTTCAACTGGCCAAAAATCTGGATAACTGCGAGATCGACAATTCAGAAATCGAAAACGAAATTACCGCCTGATTTCAAATTTTTCATTTCTTACACTTTTCATACTTTCAAGGTTCAATACATTCATATAAAAATAATCTTCTCTTGCCAACTTCGTTGATTTCATCTAAAAAAGTGTCCAAAAGAGTGGGAAGTCAATCCAAAGAAGAATTTAATAGGGTTGAGCTACGAGTAGGACGGAAGCCATAAAGCCAACCGACGCGGGTATTTTTCTCGCCAAGGGTCGCTCAGGGCCGATATTTCGCTTTTCGCTTTTCCTTTCGCCAACTATCGAGCTTCGAAATCAGCGGAAAGACATAACGAATTTTCAAAAATAATGAAAAAGTGAAAAGAGAAAGTGAATGGCGCACGCTTATCAGAGAACATTTAAAAAAGTTCTAGGTGAAGGGCTCAAAGTCGAAGAAAAATAGCAAGACTGTAAACTACTGGTCGAGTAGTAAAAGGTTGTTCTTTGTAACTTATGGATCAATTCCTTATACGTCTAATTTTTCGGCTATAACGTGGCTAAATCGACAATTACATCCTTAAAGTAATCTTCAAAGCAAAAATGAGGATCTAAAAGTTTTCTTGCGGTTTCTTGTTCTTTGAGCCAAAGTAAAGGACCGCATACGCTCAACGCTGATGAATTGCGAGTGGCGGCGGTCCGCTTCAGAGATCGCTACTACAACATTAAGGTGAGTGAAAATTCACTGAACGGTAAGAAACACAACATTCCAAGAGAGAGCATGTTGGCTTCGGCGAATACGAGCGCCGCGACAATCTCAAAAGCAGCTTCTACATCAAGACATTCGATGACATTTTTCCGAGGCTACAGGAATTGGATACTCACATATTTTCACTCCTAAAGGCCTTTTATATAAGAGGGAGGGTCAGTACTGAAAATGTCACGAATGTCACGAGTGTCACGAAAGTCACGAATGTCACGATTTTGCTGAAAATGTCACGAAAAAGAAACATGTTTTCGTGAAATTCGTGACATTCGTGACACTCGTTACACTCGTGACAATCGTGACATTTTCAGCACTGTCGAGATGGAGACTCTTAATATTTCTGTTGACTTCTGAATCCGTGAAAAGCGCTTCCGGCGAGTGAACTACTTTCCACATCAGATGAAATACCGAAAAAACATCGCCGACGCGTTAACAGCGCAAATCTGCTGCGGCGATAACAGTTTGGAACACATCTGGAAGAGCAAGAAGAAGAAAATGCGCCTCAAAACAATGCCAAGTTTTACAAGATTAAATCGAGAACGTAGTTAATTCTCAAGCAACAGCTGTAAATCTTGGGAAAAGACGCACGCGATCGCGGGTTTTCACGATGGACGCAAGGTCGGCCTTCTGAAAAACGAGACGGAATCGACGTTCAACTTCGGCCGACACTCAGGAGCTGCCTTCAGACCTACGCCTTTTAATCAGCTCCTGTTTCTGGCTTTCAGCAAAAACGTAGCTCTCGTTCAAAGCCTAACAATAACAATAAACACTTGATTCAGGAGTTCGAAAGCATGGACTTTATCAACGCTGTAGCGCGGGACCAGATCAAGACGAATCTGCTCCCATCTCCGTCCTCGTTTCTTTTGGCAGGACACGTATCCCTGCAGCAGCAAAACTTGGAAAAGCTCGTCGGTCCGGCAGGCTTCCTCTTTTCGCAGGGAAACAACACACTTTATGCAGACTGCGGCTCCGACTACGAATACTTTATCCTCCGCGGCGGCAAAGTCGTCGGCGAATCCAACAAGCAAAAAGCACATTACAAGATGGAAAAAGGTTCCGTTTTTTCAATCAAACCCATTTGGCATATTTTGTTATTCTAGGAGACGTAGTGGTTGTTGCCTGCGAAAATTGCAAAAACTTCTTGAATCACGATGAGCTAAATACACTCACAGTTCGAATCCAAGGAATGTTATTTTTCAGTTCTAAGAAGAAGAGGGAGATCTTGTAGCGGTCTTATAAGCCCCTATTTTTTCTCGCTAGAATTTTCAAAACTAAGAATAACCCGAAAAGGTCCAACTTCCGTGGCACAGTTCTGTTCAGCGGCGGTTTCCGAGGCAGCAGTCTGCATCGTCTCCTACGTCAAGCAAAAAGTGTACGCCACAGGCCAGCAGAAGCGCGAAATCAACTTCATCTGCGTCGTCGCCGTCGTGACAGACTCCGACGCTGTTTACCAACTCTGAACTCCACCAAGCTCATCGACTTTCTTTCTAATAAACATTCAATTTCGACATTCAATACATGAAAAAGTGTTGGATCATGGAGACGCGGTAGAATTTTCTCTCATCGCGGGAAATTAGTTTTGCGGCGTGAGAAAATCCCCTTCCAAGAGCACATTCCTCAGAGCAACCGGCTGGTTACGTCTATTTGCATTGACAATCGAGCGTATCGAAGCATGCTACGCAACAGATCGCTCTGTTGCTTCCCAGCCCCTCCTATTTTCTCTCCAGTCATGCATACCCAGCAAAAAAACACGGATCCCAAATAGGCGTCGCCCGGTTCATCTTAGTTTTACACTCCCTTTTTGGCTTCACGATTGAGTAACTTTGGAAACTGGGACCAATGATTGTCGATTATGTCATTTATTATAAATTAATTAAATTTATAAAAGTATCTATTAATTAAATTAATTTGAATAATTAATTTGTCGATTCATGTCTTATAATCGAACGTAGAAAATGATATATTCAGAAGCAAAAAGAGTTATTTTTCAGGAGAAACTCATATTTGAGTTCTGAAATTTTTTTTCCTGAAACAAACGTTTACCGACTTCTTATCATGCGCATAGCTGAAATAAAGATAATACACTGAACTGTATTTTCTTTGTATTTTTCAAGGTAACCAAGTTTCGGAAGCAGAAGGAACCAGTCGGTGATTTAAGGGCTTATGCGTCATGCATGATCAGCAGAATACTCGAGAAAGGGGCGTCAACCGGTTCAAGCAGCCTTGTTGACAGCGCTTTAGGCCACTTTTGGCGGTAAAGTGGCTAGGGATTGGGTCTCAAGACTGGCGTGTTCTATCGGGCCATTCTCTCTCGGATCTTAGTCGACCTCGGACGTTTCTACTAGGCAGCCCCTCCTCTCCTTATTTATAGAGAAAGTAGCTTGTAAATTGGGAGATGCGCCTGACCCAGCGAGTTGCCGCCTTCGCCAAGGCTCCCAAGGTCCTTATCACTGGTGGCGGCGGTCAGCTCGGCCCTGGTCTCGCCAGGCTGCTTAGAGAGCAATATGGACACGAAAATGTGGTCCTCAGCGATGTCCGCAAACCCAACAATCCAGAGGCTTACAACGGTCCCTGGAAGTACGCCGATGTCACCGACTACAAAGGTCTTGAGAAGATCATCGTCGAACAGGACATTGACTGGGTCGTAAGTAAAAATTAGAAATGTACTGTAAATTTTCTAAAGGGCTCCTAAATCGAAATAATGCAAATTTTTCTTGAAGGAAAATTAAATAAAGGACAACCTTATTTCAATGACCCTTCAAAAGAGAAAAAAAATCACTCGATTTGAAACCTTATTTTAAAAATATTTAAGTTCAACTTCGCGGCTTTGCTCTCTGCTGTGTCGGAGGCGATGCCCGAGCTGGCCTACAACGTCAACGTGGGTGGCTGCAAAAACGTCCTCGACTTGGCGAAAGTGCACAATTTGCGCGTGTTCATTCCATCGACGATTGGGGCGTACGGGCCTACTTCCAAGTTGACGCATCCGGACGGCGTGCCAGACATTGACATTCAGCGCTGCACCTCGCTCTACGGCGTCCACAAGGTTTTCGTGGAGAACTTGGGCGAGAACTATTTGCGGTAAGGCATTGGCGAGAGGCTGATATTACGCGGTCGCTGTATCTCGCTAAGTGATAAGCTTTTTTCGAGCATTTTTGAGAATGTTTTAAAAAACGGGCGTTTTCAGCAAGTTCGGCGTGGACTTCCGCTGCCTGCGCTATCCGGGCATCATCTCCGCCGACACTGAGCCAGGTGCGTAGCAAATAAACCACTTGGTTAATTCCGCTGTTGATAGGCGGGGGCACCACCGACTACGCTGTCGACATTTACAAGAAGGCCGTCAAGGGCGAGAACTACACCTGCTACTTGAAGCCGGACTCGACGTTGCCGATGATGCACGTCGACGACTGTCTCAGAGCAACAAAAGAGTTCATGGAGGTAATTACGCGCATCCGGATCAGTTTCGAAAAAAGAGAATCATCTCTTGACGAATCACCCAATTCATCAGAGAAATTTTGAATTGCGAATATACTTTATATCAAATTTCGAAAAGAAAGATATCATTACTTTTCCCTTAAAAAGATCAGCATTTGTCTTCAATAACTCTTAAAAATTAGGGTTCTGCCAGCTAAAATCCTTAATTTCTTAATTTGAGGTTCAAAAGAGAGCTCGGGTGGCGAAAATAAGTGCGGGCAACAATTAGCGATTCTAAGTCTTCTTTCAGTCGTCAGCGGAGCTTCTCAACGTGGCTCGCCCGGGCAACCGATGCTACAACATCAGCGCGATGAGTTTCAACCCGGCGCTGGTGCACGACTCGATCAAGACCTTCTTCCCGCAGTTCGAGGTTGATTACAAGATCGATCCGGTGAGACAGGCGATTGCCGACTCTTGGCCACGCCGCTTCGACGACAGAAACGCTAGGTCAGTTTAACTTACAGATTATCGTTTGGACGAGAAAGTGTCTCCCCGCGGAACTTCGAAAGGGGATTTTCAACGGCAGTAGGAATTAGACACAGCTAAAGAAAAGCTCTTATCAAAGAGGAAATACTGATTTCCAGAAATCTTTTCTTTTTTTCTAGGTCTAAGAAGAATTGGAAATTTTTGAATTTTTTTTTTCAGAGCTGAGCTAGCTGAGCTGAGGTCGAAATCGAGCTGAGCTGAGCTGAGCTGTTTTTTTTTTCAAAAAAATTGATCTGAGCTGACCCTCACTTCAAAATTGCTGAGCTGAGCTGAGCTGTAGCTCAGCTAGCTCACAAAATTTGCAACTCTGGGTCTTAGAATAGACATTAGTTCTTCATAAATTGTGAAAATGAGTAAGAACCGTGTCGCTCTAAAAGGACTGTCATGTAAGTTGATTGTTATTGTTCAGAGAAGTGTGGGGCTGGGATCACGAATACGACCTGGCAAAGTTGACTGAATACATGATCCAGAATCTGGGCGGATCGACTGCTGCTGAAAGCAAAAAGGCTTCACTGTGAGGGTCAAATGCTTAGTTTGACCTTCTGTCTTTTGAATGTGCGACTGATTGCAAAATTCAACTCTCGAGTTACATTGCTTTGAACGTTATTATGAAAAAATAAACAGCGTCTGATTGATACTTTCTCGTCCAGATCGATTTCCGCGAAGCAGGACGGGCCCCTTAGTTCAAGTGGCAGCGGAACCACCACCACTCAAAGTTATGTTTCTTCAATCGCCAGGCAAAGATAGACGCCCATTCTGAGAAAAAAAAAATATTCAAAATTTAAGAAACGGGCTTATATTATTCGTAAGTGTCACTTCCTGTCACTCGCTGAATGCGAAAAACTCAATTTCATCGCTTCGAAGAACTGTTTTTTTCTGAACGTGCTAAGAAAGAAAAAGTTTTCTCTGTCGACAGTTACTGTATATTTTGACGGGCAGAAATTAAGGAGGCCGCCATTTTACGCTCATTTACCAGAACTCGAACGTAATTGGGGCTAGGGTTAGTGCAAATGGAGCAAATAAGGAAGCAATAATTCACAGAAAAGCGTCAGAAAAAGAAGGTCCAATCCAAGTAAATCACAGATGAAGGCGCGCATGAAGAGTGTGGCAAAGCTTTCCATGGTCACTTTCCAGTATGATACATTTTCCACGCCATTTTTCGCTGCTGAAATCGAAATTCTGTAGAGAACGAAGACAATGATGAAGAAGAGCTTTCGTTGAACTGGTGGACGACGAATATCGGTGTTGATTTTCAGCCATTCCTGATGAGATGGATCTTTATTTAGCTCGTCTATTCTTCTTAAAATTTCATCGGCGATCTCTATTGCCTCTCTTTCTTGCCAGCCCTGGTCAAAGTCATGTTCGCACTCCTCGATTCTAGGTGCCGCTTTTTCGAGGTCTTCATCCTTCTTCTTGAAGTTGTCTTTCTCCAAGCTGAACATGTTTTGAATTCTTGGTTTTTTTACGTTTGTTTCCAAAATGGTACGTATTTATATCCCCAATGGCGCTAGACTAGCAGCAGTTTAGCAGCTGGATATCAGTATTTTTCAAGATTGATTGGCCTTTTTCACGAAATTCAAATTCGTACGATTTGATTTTGCGTTTATTCGTGAGATTTCGGTATTTTTATGAAAATTTCGGAATGATTTTTTCAATTATTTACTGAGCCCAGGGCCTAACTCAAACGATTTGAAACCTAATAATCAAAAATATTTATTTAAAAAAAAAATTATGCTTGGTAATTGTTGGATATGCTTTTTTTTCAAGGAGAAATTCAATAAGTTTTTTTTTTGCAAATGTTGAACTTTTTTCTTTTTCTTTTTGAGAAAGCAAAATTCAAGTCGGTTGAGTAAGCGGGTTATTCGATAGATAGCGAGGGCTAGTGAATTCATTGAGGGGCGGGTTTTTAACAAGTGCGAGCACCTTTCCCGAAAGAATAATAAACGCGGCAAAGTGAACGCGCAAGAAGTTCTTTTTCTCTCAGTTTCAGATTGGAGATATGGAACTGGCGCGTGTCTTTAGAACGATTTGACAAATGTTCGCGAGTTGTAAGGGGCCCAGTCGCCGATTGTCCAGCAAGCCGTGGTGATAACGCCGGCCAAAGCGAATTAGCTTCCTGCGAATTAACGCTGCCCAAATCCAAATTAAGCAAAACCAAAATTATCGTTTTTATTTTTTCGCCCTAATCGCTGAAGACAAGGGCAGCTTAAAATTTGTTCCTTTCTTGAAGAAATTCCCAAAAGTAATTTTTTTTATTCAAATTTATTTTTTACTCGCTCAGATTGAAAATATTCAAATTTTTAGTAAAAGAAATTTTTTTCAAAAATTGCTTATTTTCTCGGATGAAAAGATCCGCGGGAACGAGTCGGAAAGATCCTAAATTTCAACGTCGATCATTCAAATGAGCTGTCCTGAGCAGCTCGTTAGAACGAAATTAAAGTCGATCGCAGAAGAAAGCTTCTAAAGCCGCTATTGAGTTGAAAGAAACGGAGTTGTTAAAATTTGTAGATGGAGCGGATTTTTAACTCTGGTAGCTTTTATTGACAAAATAGGCCTATCAAGACCGCAGCGACATTATAACTGTTTGCTACTAGAAAACATGCGCTAAGCAGATTTTTCCTTTTGATCGCAAGTTCCTCTGATCGCTTGAAACATGAGGATCACGTGTTCTTTACCCTAGCCCGCCGTTGGTAACGATATTTGGCTTTGGCGGGCTGAGGTCAAAAATAACCGATTTGTTGTCGATTTTGGCCATTGCGCGATCTTATAAGAAATTTTGATTCAAATCGGAGATTGAAAATTTTTCGTTACCCGCCATTTCAGAGCGCCAGATTCCGCATTTCGAGAAAAAGCTCGCTTTTTGAGACGTTTTTCTTCAAGAGATCATGAGTAGCAAGGCCGCGAAACAGCTTCATCCTCCCGCCGAAAAAGTCACTTCTTGGGGACTTTATGGAAAATGCGCCGCCTGCCTTAGGTTTGTGGTGAATCAGAATGAATTTAAACTAAAATTTAGTCCCGTTCAATCAACAACGGTCGTAGCGAGTGGGAAACGAGTCTGCCGACAGTGCCAAGCTGGCCAATTTACTTCTGATCCAGCAGATTTAATTTTTACAGAGTCGGATGCGACATTCGAATGTCCTGCTTCCAAAACTTGTGGCGCGAAAGATCTTTCTCGCCGCCAGTTTTGGATTGGAAGCTGCTGCAAAAATGGTGCGAAGGAAACTTCGATGCTCCTCGTCCATGATGATGGTGAGTTAAATTTATTTATGAGGATATAGCTTTGTGAATTATAATTAAGAACGAACGAAGTGCGAGTCGCTCTCGATTGTCACCAAGATCTTCAACGAGGCACGAGAGGACGAAGTCACTGCTGAATGCGACGCTAAAATGGCTGGAGAAGAACTCATTCAAGCTCAAAAAGTTCTCCAAAAGGCACAAGCTGCGTGCGATAACGCGAAGCAAAAAGTCAGTAAAGCGAACGAGAGCCTTCTCAACAAGAAAACATGGCGAAAGAAAGCTCAAAAACGAGTTCTTGTTTTTGCGTCGTTTTTGTCGTTGGAGGATAGTGATCCAGGTCAGACTCATAAATGAAAATTAGGGAAACAACTTATTATAGAAACGGAGCCTGAAACATCGGTTTTTGAGGAAACTTCAGAAGAGGAACCTGTTGTTTCCCGCGACGAACCAAAAAGTACTCTAGACTACTGCAAGCTCTGCTACGAGGATTACGACAAGAAAGAGCATTTGTTACATAAATGCGTCTATGAGCCATGTAGTCACTTTGGCTGTATGGGTTGCTTCTCTAAAACCAAGGGCTCGTGTCCATTCTGCAAAAAATCAGGACATTTTATTTCTCTTTATGAACGTTAAATTTTTCTGCCTTCCTAGTTCAATTAAGTTTATCTTTTAAAAATAAAAACATCAAACTTTCAGATTCAAGAAGAATCTTTTAATATTTTCCTTTGCATTTAAAATTAGCAGGAAGTGTAATTCTTTCCTGGAAAGAAAGTGTGCCCTTTTAGGAGAACAAAGAGCTGCTGCGGTGGAAAGTGTGATTAGATTTGTTTTCTGGCTCTCAAGTGATTATGTAAGTTGAGTGAACACGGGCGCGAGGGCGCTCCAGGGACCGCGCTCCACCACCACCAGGAGCGAAACGCTAAATCGTTAATTTTGCTCTTCATTTTCTCGATCTTCTTAAAAATTGCCACATTTTTTTAATAAATCTTTTTATTGAAAAGCAAAACAGAGAAAAGCAAAGATCAGAGAGTGCTGAAATCAACGAAGAGAACAAAAAGAAAAATGGTATTTTTTTATTTCACGCAAATTTTTTTCGAGGATTTTTTCGAGTTTGACGACGATTGTTTCATAAAGCAAACTAGATTATTATTTTCGCGTAAGGGAAGCCACAAATGTTTAATAACAGAAAACCTGCCAAGTTTAGATGCAAGCGTCGTCCTCAACCGAGGGCTACATTTAATCCTCAGCTGCGGCAACTTAACAATAATTAAAGAAGCAACACCCGATTTTTCAAAAATAACTCGCGGAAAATGTCTATTTCGGAGGTTTTTTTTTTCAAGTGTCAATTAAAAATACCTTCATTTGTGATAAAATTTGAATACAAAGCTGTGGTCTCCGCGGTATCCTCTTCTAGAAAGTGATCAACTCACGGTCGGGGTTACTTCCTAGGCTCAAGGACGCGTAAGGACCGTTGATCCAATAATATTATTGAGTTAGGCTCTAGTCCAATTGCTAAGCCACTCCAATTTGCTGTAACAGGAAAGCGCGTATTAAATAAGTACGGCTTGAGCGCAAGTAGCGAACAATGAAAAAGTTGGAAAACGCTTGTCACAAGTGTTTTTGCCGAAAATAGAAAGGCATCGTGAAAACAACTCTCGTGTACATACTCACATTCCTCAAATATGCTTCTAATAAGCTCCTTATCTACAAATGATTTACTGAATTCGAGTTGTCCTTATTATTGGAATTGGCATTAAATTTACATTGAGCCCGTTTTTTACTTTGTACTTTTTGATTCTTTTTTTTTTTTGGAAAAAAATTGATTATTTTCTCGTAAAAGGAGCGCGCCTAAGCATGTTATTTCGTCGCTTGAAAATTGCGCCCAAGACATCGTCAGCTTCACGTAACTCCTCAAGGCTCTCTCCTCTTCGCAAAGATCTTTGTTTTTATCCCAAAAATACATCACCGAAAACACGCGTTCTTTGTGGCAATTCAAATTTAGGTGCGGTCAAGTTTGCTCCTTTCTCTAGTCGCCGCGGAGAAATTACCTTGCCAGCAAAAAGCGCCAAGCAAAAGTTACCAATCTCTACTTGTACTAACAAGCTTGCTGAAAATTAATTTCGCGTCTTATTATTTATTGTTTGTTAACTTGTTGGAAGAAACAGAAACTCTGATGGAAAGCGTCACTGGATCGAAGAACTTCCTCGTAAACTAAAGGTAGGCTGACGGAAAGCTTGTTTTAGTTAGGGTTAGGGTTAGACCTTATATATGAGTCATATATGATATGCCTTTATCATATTATATGATACATACATATCATAAATGATACTATATATACTCATATATTATATGTATGTATCATATAATATGATAAAATCATATCATATATGAGTCATATAATATGACTCATATATAAGGTCTAACCCTAACCCTAACTCTAACTAATATATGATTAGTTAGCCTAATTATATATGATTTATACATATATATACATCATATAATATGATATATATTGATATATTGATATATATTATATAAAATATGAATCATATTATATGATATATAATATCTTAAATGAGAGCTCTAGTAGCAAGGTGCTATATTATTTGTCATCCTAAAAATCATTGACAACTCCATTCTAGTAAATTTCTTCGTGCAAAGAAGAACAAATCAAGAGTGTTTCTAAAATGTTTTACTAGTCTAGTAGAACGTTGAGAGTAAATCTCTGTCGGAAGCACAGAACGTCATCTCGTTAAATCGTTTCTTTCCGTTCTTCTTTTTTGTACGCAAAGAGTGCTAATGGGATCAATTTCAGCTCTCGTCGAGTTCGCGGTCGGCAGGGGTGGCGGATTCTTGCTGCGACGGAAGACCGTACAGGACTGGATCAGACAAAATCAAACACAACGCTCACAGGTCAAGAAAGTATTAATAAACGGGCACGAGTTTACGAAACGAGGCATTAGCACGTTGCTCTTTTTGGAAAGAGGCGGGCTACTTCCAAGATTGGCAGCGCTTTAAGCTCTGAAAAATGATCCGAAAAAGCTCCTCTCGAAGTCAGTGTTGTTTCAAGCGAATAATTCCGAACACGAAGACGTGCTGTTTTACCGGGGAAGTGGTCGATCGCGGGTTAGCCTGTCCATGCGCGCCTTCCGGCGAGTGGGTACGCGTCGAGAGGGATAGATTGGCGACGCTCACTTCGGCCATGGAGCAGCTCGGAAAGAAAGTCGGTGCGGCAGCGGAAGAAAACTTCAATCAGCTCAAGAAAACGGAAGAAACAATAAAACGAGCCGATTCATTCGCCACAGAGTTGGGAAAAGAGCTCTGCGACTTACTCAGATTAAGCATTCAAGATCCAGAATGCAGAAATATTGAGACGTCGATTTTGGAGGACAGATTCGAAAGGAAACGGTTTTTTTTTCTCGAAATATTCTTTATTTAATATTTTACAATTAGAATTATGCATCGTTTTTTTTTTGCCAACAAGATCGCCGGTTTCCATTTTATTCCAAGAGGCAGGGATAGGTGGTACGACGGGTGGAGATAGAACGAGAGCCGGGTTCAGTAACAAACGTATTTTCTAAAAGGAACTCGCTTTGAATATCGTTGATGTGCTCATCTTCCGGCAAATAGTCCCCATTGATGATTTTTCTGAACGCAGAGCTTTCCCTCCCTTATTTTCCTTTGAAAATACCTAAGGCAGTTGAGAAGCATTCCAATGATAAAAGTAAAGAGTAGAGCGACGCAAGCTGCCATTACATTCAGCCAGGGAACGATCAGTTCTTTTTCGAAACGATTTTAGATCAAGGTTGAGAAATGAAAGGTTGAAGTTTACGATTACCTGCAGCGAGCTTGCGATTTTTCGCAATGAGAGCGTGATCATAATATGCTGGCACAAAGAAGTGACCGCGAATTGTGGCTAAATGATTTCAAAAATCAAATCTCCGGGGCAGAAAAGTAAAAAGCTTACCGGAACGCAAAAACTCGTCCAAAGGAAGTTCCCCATTCATTCTTTCTTTTTCGTCCCTTTGTGTCTCTGTCTCTAGTTTCGATTTTAAAAGGTCTACTCTCTAAGGTTCCAGTACGACTCAGTAAGCCACATATTTATCGGTTGTATTATAAGCGATTAAGCGATAAATGTAAAATCGCGAAAATCTGTGCGAAAAGGGGCGCTGGATCGGAAAACGAGTACGGCGCTAATGATGCATAAGTAACGAGTCCATCAGTTTGATCGACAATCGAGTTACAGTAAGAGAAAACCGAGACAGGCCCCAACGACGCGTGCGACCCCGCCGAGGAGTCACAATCCACGAGGAAGTGGTGCTTTCCCGCGACTATGGCAGCAGCGAATACGGGAATGAATACGAGTACGAGGAAGAATACGAAGAGTACGGCAACGCCGGTAATGAGCAAACTGATAACGAAAGCGCGCTTAACTTGTTTAACTTTTGAAGAAAGACTTAACGACTTCGTGGAGTACGATGCCGAGCCGGAAGAAAACTACGTCCCGCAGCAAGAACAGATTTACTCACTTGTACAGGCAAATGCTCGAAAACTATATTGAGCATTACATATTTCTACCACTGCGTCTTCGGTGAAAAATGTAGCTAGACTTGCTCATTCGTTAATTACAAAGTCGAGCCTTTACTAGAAAAGAGCATCTCTTCGCGGCGAGATTACAGGCGGCTCGGCGGCGCTTCTCCGGAGCAAGTATCTAGCAGAGCAATTCAAGCACGTAAGTTCTATTCTAAGCTCCCTAGAGAGCCCCTTGCGCGAGAGTGAGTACATCGTCGAGGCGCTAGAAAAAACGGAAAAGAGTGGTGAGTGCTCGACCGCGCCCTGGCTCTCGAACACCTCCCAGTACCTAGAGCAGTTCAAGGACTTGCAGCTGCAAGTTGATCAACTGTATCAAGAAGCAGGTAAGAAGGAAATTTATTGCGCGGCGCTGAATTTGAAATTAGGCGCCCGAGTCCTTGCCGGTCAATCTAAGTGGATAGCCGACAAATACTCGGAACTGGCTTATTGGCACGAGAGGCACGATCGCGCGAATCAAAATTATGATAATTATATCGATGAAGAGTACGAGTACTACCAAAGCTGATTTCAACCCTCTTTCTACTTCAAAATAAAACAACATCTACCTCTGTTCATTTGCCATTTGTTCGTTAGCTTTATTCTGCAAATCAAATTAAATTAGTAAAGTCGGATGAAGTCGGATTCCCTCGCTGGCTTATTGCAAGTCGGGCAGCATTGTCGACGCGAGAAAGAGGCTTTGATGCACGTATTTCCAAACTTGTGGCCGCACTTGAGAGCGATTTGGAAGTGGTCCTGTTCGTTGAACGGGTCGAAACAAATGGCGCAATTGTTTTCTAAAATTTTCAAATGCCTCTGTCAAAAAAGCATTGATCGTTACCTTCTTCAAGTTGCTCCAGTCGTTCCATTTTTTCTTTGTGCTCTTTTGCTTGTTGGGCTCTTTTCTGTTTTTCCTGATTCAGAAGTTCCTCCATACTCTTGCGCTAGAAAAAAAAATCATAGAAATATTCGTTAAAAAATGCCTTACTCTGACAGATTGTTGAGCCAGTTGTGCCTTTTGATTTTCATTTAGCTCCCTGTAATCGTTTACGTTCGACTCTGCCTGAAGTTTCTCCATCAACAACTTTTCTTTTTCATCGAGTTCATTTCGAATGTTCTTGTGCAAGTCTTCTTCGGCCTGCGCCAGCCGGCGAATTTCTGTTTCTTGAACCTCGATTTTCGTGTTCGCTTGTTGCAGCTGCAAATTCAAGTTATCAAAAAGACTAAAGCTGAATTGCGAGAAATGACCTGTATTTTGAGGCTATCGCAATCGCCCTGCTTCCACTTCAAGTCTTCGTTGAGCTTTTTTTAGGTTCAGACTTTTGTTTTAGGATTCTTATTTGAAAAGGAACTTCATGAAAATCGGTCGATAATTGTAAGAAAGCGAGTCCGACCGAACCTTGCTGCATTGTTCATTGGCCAAGCGTTGTGCATCCGCTGCAGAGCGAAGGAAATAAAGCACTTGACGGTTGGCGTTTGTTCTCGCTTTTTTCCACTGGGCATTTTCATTCTCCAGTTCCTCGATTCGCCGCTCACATTTCTTCCTCTGCGCAGTTTGTTCGTTTTTTTCTGATTCAATATTTTTGACGTATTTTTCCATGTCGTTGTGGTAACTGTCCACCTCTGCATCTTTTTTTCGGATTAAATTTTTAAGCTCAGCTACAGTGCCAAGACTTTCTTCCGATGTTCTTTTCAATGCTTCGTATTCTTCTTGTAATCCGTCAATTTGAGCTTCCAATTCACTTTTCTCTTCAGTTATTGTTTTGAGATTCTTGACAGTGCTATAATATCATCTATCAGAGACCTTTCACAAGCTTTTAAGCTGGAAAATGTCTAGTAGACATCGACATTTCGGGGGTTAGGGCTTCGGGGAGGGACACTGTATATATTTGTTCAAGAATTTAGGTAAATTACTAATTTAGCACATTCCTTTTGAAATTCTCTTCTCTCTTCTTGTCTTCTTCTCGTCAAGACGGAGTTTTTATTTTTGGATTCTTGAAGTTCAGCAGAAGCTTGTTCGAATTGCTGGAAAACTTGATCGTAGCTTTCGCGAAGCTGCTCGTAATTCTGGCTTATCTCTTCATTCTCTTCACCTAATTCGGTATTTCGTTTTATCAGACGCTTTATTTCTTCCTTCAAAGAGTTCAATTCGTCAACTTGGGAGCCTTGTTGAAGAGCGAATTCAGTTCTCGTCGTTTCTAGCTCTTCCCGCAAATCTTGAATTATTTCTTCATAATTAAAAAATTCCTCATTTGGAACTTGAAGATTCGAAGCTTCTCCTCCATGATTTCGTTCTTCTTCTCTTTGATCTCTGATCGGCGTCTCGGGGCGGTCTTCTAGAGCTGGGCTCTCTTCTCTCGAATGGTTACGCTCGTCATCCGCATCGTCTTCAGAAAAATCGCTTTCAACGGTGGCTCTTTGGGGCGGACTCGGTGCTGCTATTTCAAGATTCTCAATTAGAGCAGGCTCGGCTTTCGGCTCTGGATCCGAGTACTGGAAAGGATGATTCGTTCTAAAGGGTGAATTACGGCAAACCACTTTGAGTAAAGCCACAAATAACTTTCTTACCTTGGAGGCACGGCATCAGTTGGTGACTTTTCGAATTTTCTTTGTGATTCTCCAAGGTCGGTCCTTTTTGGCGGCTGCGGCATTCGAAGCCGTCCACGGCCCCGTCCTCGAAGGCTTTGAAGAGATCCACTGCTCACTAGTGAGTCGTTTAACCCCCGCGGAGTGTAAGGCGGAGAGTCCGGCAAAGGAGGTTGCTCTGGAGCAACGACTGGCTCTTCCTCTAACGGCATTTCCGATTGCTTTCGAAGATAACGATTGGCGGCAGTTGAGCTTTCTTCGTCGTCGCCGCTGACTTCTGTTTCCGAAGCGTCTGCTATAATCGAAACATCTTTTGAGGAGGAAGAAGCAAGTGAAGAAATCGTCGGAGATTTTTTGCCAGCTTCCGATTTACTGAACAGATTTTCGAGATTCTTAGTTTTCAATCCTCAAAGATGGTCAAATCAACAACTGCCCTAGAACTTACTTGATATCTTCAATATCGTCAAGGCCTATTTCTTCGAAGCTCGTCGACAAGTCCGTCCGAGTTGAAGTCATTCTCTCTCTTTGAGAAGCAAAAGGAGACAGGCTCGGGTAGAGCTGATTTGAACCGCCAGGTTGATTTGTCGATCCATTAACAAAATCGTAATCTTCACTTTCTCCCATTTTACGTTAGTTCTCTTTGACGAGGTCGTTTTTAAAAATCCAGCGGCGGTTTTTGCGAAAAGGGAAAACTCGCCCGCGCAGACGAGTTTCTCTTTCTGACTCAGCTCGATAACAAATTTACATTTCACGTTTTTCTTGTTTGAAGAATGAAACCATCGCTTAACGATATTTAATAAACTTAGTCATCTCTGTTTGCACAGGCATTACTGAAATAAATAGGGTGAAAATTTCAAGAATTTTTGAAACAAAAATTATTAAAAAATATTCTTTAAAAATCACTTACAGAGCCAAAATGGGCTTTCAAAACGACTCCTCCTTGATTTCATCCCCGCAAAAAAGAAAAGATGGATATATAGCAGAGGGAGGTTTCGATCCTCCGACCTCTGGGTTATGGGCCCAGCACGCTTCCGCTGCGCCACTCTGCTGAAAGCAAGCACCTCGATTTGCCGTTATCAATGAACACCGATGGAGGGCGATCCGTTATCATCGAGGATTTTTCTTTCGAAGTATCGGCTTCAGTTGGGGATATTCTCTTTCGACAGGAAATAGGGAAGGCAATGCTAAAAACGATGAATATGCTTATCGGCATAAGGAATTTCCTATCACCCCAGCACCGCTGATTAATCAACGAGAAGCGCATCTCGGGTGAATAAGTCATCATTTTTACCGACCTATCTTATTCGATTCTAAGATTTTTTCGCGCCAAAAGAAATTGTGCGCACCGTTCGAGGCCATCCAAATGTCTGAAAATAGAGGAAAATTGTGAACAATCTGAATCATTCGATTCCATTTTTCTTTTTTTTTCGTTTCTTGACTGCGCCTCCGATTCGATTCCGCTTTCAATCACGAGACCATAATTGAACTGCCAACTTCCAGTCCCGAACCAAGCGAGAAATTTTGTACCGCCAGAACGAAGAAAAGATGAACTCTCATCTTCAGAAGCTCTCAGAGAATCTAAATATGCTTGAATCGATGATGGAGGAAGTTTGGTCCTCTACGGAGTCTTTCGATTTCACAGGTGAGAAAATCGCATTCAGTGAAGCTTTTTTTATGTTTATTTTTTTTTGCTCTCCATTGATGTGTCGAGAAATGTCGGATAATTTAACCAGTGGCGAATTAATGAGGATAATTTTAGAGACCGGTCAAGTGGAACAGCTGATGTTCCTCCCTCACGACGTTGTCAGTTTCGTCGACGGTAATTGATTAAAAATGAAAAACGACTTGATTGTATTTTGGATTTCAGAAGACGGAACAATCATTCGCGGTGTGGTCAAGAACACAGACTATTTGGGCGATGACCTTGGCCTCAGCTTCAAGGAGAAGATTGCGAAGCTCAAACATAAATATGTCGATAACAACGCTGAGACTTTCACAGTATCCACCTTTCCGTCGAAAAAGGTCGTCCATAAACAAGGCGAAGAGCTTAAGCTGCTCCATCGACCATTCATTTTGGGCGACGTTGTCAGACGAGACAAGAGTGATGAGATCGGAACAGTTGTTGCGATCGAGTTTGAAAGTGACGTCAGAGTCCCAGGTACAAACTTGGAATTGGAGAAGATCTCTTCAAAAAGGTTTGAAGTTAATAATGAATATCAATTCTTATTATTTGTTCAGACTTTTTTCCTGTGCTCCGACCTTTCCTGGGCAGAAGGTGGCTCTCAACGGCTGGATCGGCGAAATAACAAAGTACAAGAGTAAAACAGGAAGCATGGCGGAAACCGGTTCATTTTCTTCGAGCGACGAGGTCGAAGTCAACTGGGTCGCCTGCGGAAAGAATGAGCCGTCCCCAAAACCGAACAGCAAAGTTGACTCTTCTGAACTATCGCAGCTGCAAGCGCCTTGGAACCAGGAGAATATTGCCTACAAGAATTCTGGCACTACCTCCAAGATTTGGGGTGTTAGACTCGGGGACCGCTTTAGAATCAAGCTTGCAGAAGAAGAAGCACAGCGTCTCAACATCCTGATGAAAAGTCAAGAAGTCAACCCTTCGAAAGTCGTTGACCTTGCGAAACCCAATTATTCGAAGGATGCAAAGAAGATTTCCTCGGATGATTTTCTGGAAAAGCTGGCAAAGATCGCCAACGATGACGAGAACCAAAACTGGGTATGCCTCCGCTTTCCCAACTTCACGGTGATAACTTACAAAGGCAATTCGTCGACTTGGTACAACGACTTGGATCCAGAAGATCCCGACCCAAAAAAGATCAGCAGCTTGTTCGAGGCTATTTTCAAGAATGAAAAGGTAGACAAGGAGGGGATGAAGGAGAAAGTAAACCGAGCTTACGAAGAAATCGAAAAGCTACTTGGGGAAAAACTTTCACTTGACAGCATGAATATCCAATTTAATGAATTCACATGGCCAATGCCGGAAGGGAAGACGAGAAAGAATTACGAATTCGACCTGGGATATCAATCAGGCGTGGAAAACTCAGCCAATTTTGAATTCAAAGATGAGAAGTGGATTGCCGTCGAGATCACTTCTTGCACGTCGACTTGTAAGGTGGTATGGCAATCGGGTGAAATCGAAGACTGCAATTCTACTGAACTCTCGAAATACCCCTCTCTTATAATTTCGCAGAAGTTCCTTCCAGGCAAGTTTTATTAAAGCGAAGTACTTATTGATGGTTGAATAATAGGCAATTATGTTGCTCGTAAAAAACAGGAAAATCTCGCCGAATGGGGTAGCATCTTTTCCGTCGATTTCACTAAGAAGCAAATGGTTGTCCAATGGTACATCGACGAAACAACTAAAGAACGAGAAACAGTCTCTTTCAACGACACGAATGCTCATCCAGATCTCAAATTTCCCCTCGGAAGCCTCGTTGTAAACAAGAGTCAATCACAGATCAACTGTCCGGGCGTCGGAATGGTAAAAGGCTACCTACCTTGCGGAAAACTCGAGATAATGTGGGCCGATAGGACCTGAGTTATAATTCTAACAGATCTCAAGAACAATAAGTAAGACAGCTGAGCAAAAAATTATAACTCTGAGCAGAACAGAGTCTCCCGTTTTTCCAACTCAACTCATCCCCGAAAGTCTGCTCTTCCCAAAAGAAGACTTTTCATGGTCCATGCCATGGACCATGGGAAGTGGAGCAGGCTATGGAATGTCCGAAGAAGACGGATCAAAAACAACCGAGGAGAAGATTTCCGAGATTACAGAGCCTGTTATTGATGAGGTGCCTATTGCCGATCTTGGCCAAGGAACGGGCTCATCAGCAACTGCTATTTTGAAAAAAAAATAGCTCGTTAGTCCGTCAAAAGTTCATTTTCTTGAAGATCCCAGTCCAAGTCACGCTTTCTTCAATTCCAAAAATGATCACTCAAAGGCTAGGTTCATATAATTTCCACCCTTCATTTGATGTATCGTTATGAAGGAAAAAAGAATAACCGAACAAAAAGTCATTTTTAAAGATTTACAACTCTGAAATCAGCAGACTTCAAACGTCGATCCCTAAAGGTGTTCACTTGTGGGCATATGAAAGTCGCCTCGATTTACTTTCATTCGCCATCGAAGGTATCCGAAATTCCATTTCAATTCTTCGAGAGCATTTTTGTTAAGGGCCAGCAGGGACTCCTTACGAACACTGCCTCTTCTGCTTCGACGTTTGCCTTCCAGATGGATACCCGCTCACCTCCCCGCCGAAAGTCCGCTACAGATCAACGCTAAATACAAGGTTTTCCTCTTTCTCTTTATTAGAAGCTCACGCATTTTTTCAGAATCAATCCAAATCTATACGCCGACGGTAAGGTCTGCCTATCCCTCCTTGGAACTTGGGCGGGTAATGGGTGCGAGAAGTGGAAATACAATTCGAATCTTTTGCAATTGCTAGTCTCGCTTCAAGGTAAACGAATCAGAGGCATTTGCGAATTATCATTCCTACTAAGGGCTCACACTGAATGCCGAGCCGTATTTCAACGAGCCTGTCCACGAGCTTACAAAAAATAAAATATCTGGCGAAAAAGGCTCAAAGATATACAATCAGGGTATCACGAAAACACTCTGCGATCACGTGATCACGACAATCAGGTAAAGAACATCCACAACTACAGTATTTCTAACAACGTCCGTCGCAGAAATCCAGGACAGCCATTCGAAGAGCTCGTGAAGGAGTTCTACTTTGGATCGAAGCCGTCCGAGAAAAAAGGAGTCATTGACAAGTTCATCGAAAAGATGGAAAAGCTGACTACAGAAAACCCAGGCGATTTAGCTTATCCACTCTTGCCCATCTCAGACGACTCAAAATCTTTTCTGTCAGGTCAGAAGCTCATTCTATATTTTATTCTATAACCATTTACTAGCAAAAGTCAAAACGCTGAAGAAAATCAAGTCCGAAAATGATGAGAATGTCACATCTTCTGCCTAGAAGTTCATCACTGTACATTATTTTTCGGCTGCCTCTTCGCTCTCCTCCTTGCTATCAAAAAAACTGGCTGCAAATGACCTTGGCTACTTGAGTCTGCGTTGATTTATGAATGTTGATATGTATAAATTTTGGCGCCTGTACAATTTTCGATGCAACAGCGATGACATAGTATCAGTTGGCCGCTTTTTCATAAATATTTTATTTGAATGAAAGAAAGAAAGAATATTAGAAGATTTAATTTTATTATTCTAAAAAGAGCGAGGTAATGGTTCTGTCAAAGAATATCAAGGCGTTTTTGGCAAGAGGGGTCACGTGACCAGGGTCGACTTTGTTGACCGTATTTGTCTTTTGCTGATTTGGTCAAAGTTGTTTGAATGAAACGTTGTTGTGCGGGCTGCTACTCCGCGACGAGAGCCGTTCCGCGGAAGGAAACACTCTTCTCTGGTCGATGGCGTCTTCCAGCCGCAGTTCTGAGAGAGGAGTTCCCAGGTCGCCGCAAGGGAGTGTTCTCGCCCTTTTGAGCACCACTCGGCCGCGCGGGCGGTGCCACCAGTTGCGTCGAGTCAGACTCTGACTCGGCAGTGCCCGAATTCTTGCCGCTGCCGAAGGAGTTTGTCCGGCTCATTCGGTCAGCCTGCGCAAAGTTAGAATATCCAACGCGGGTGTTCAACGGCACCAGCGATGGCTCCGGTCCTTGTTCTGAAGAAAACAATTATTAGCAACTTCTCAGTGATATTTTCCAGAATTGAATTTTGAAGAATTGCCTTACCGAGAAAAACACTATCGGCGTAGTTGTTGTTGGTGGTGTCGAGGGGTTGAGAGTTGTTGGCGGCGGGTAACGAGTAAGTGGCGCGGTGGGGAATGTTGGCACTTGTATTATCGATTTCTACAGAGTTGCTCTGGGCGTGCTCTTCCTGCGACACTCGGATAAAGTAGCGAGAGTGGAAGATCACCAAGCGTCCGCATAGATACACATTGTAGAGGCTCATCAGCGCAAGGAAACCCTTAGTCTGGATCAGCGCGTGCTCAGTTTATCTACTTCTTCTTTCTTAATTGAATCGAGAAGATATGCCACGCGAACCCGATTTGGCATACGATAATGCTTATTTATCCCCTTTTCTCGTGGTAGAAATTGAAAACAGAAAAGTTCTCTTTGTTGATATCAAGACGCGATTTCTGATCCTCATTCCTGACAAGCGCATTCAATAAATAAACAGCTGCGCAGTATTGAAATTTCATTCGTCAAGAGCTCTATCCCCAGATATTCCAGCGTCGTATCTGACATTCCTCCCTTTGTTTGGCTGTTTTCAGCTCTGTTCGAGTAGAGTATTGACAGATAAGCACCAAAACTCGACGAGCCAGTGCAAATTAACGACTAAAATATGGTTTAAAAAAGGGATGACAAAGTGCTTTCTTACGAGTAAGCAGGAGGTGCCGTATGCCCATTTGGAATTGACGCAAGCGCCCTTCCTGGGTTTTTCAAAGTACTCATTTTTATAACAAGTCTTCCTAAACCGTGGAGTTGATCTAACCCGAACCTGACCAGATTCTGAGTGGGCAGAGATCGCGAATAGCGACGCTATCACTGCAAAACATGAACAAATCATCCCATGTCCGAATGGACCGTAGGTGTCTTCTGAAAAAATGGTTCAAAAAGGGTTAAACTCATAATCAAGACTATTTATATAAAGAAGATTGAATCTGATTTTGAATTTTTAATTCTCGTTTTAAATTTTCCGAGAATATGATTTAGGTCAATTTGTTTCTCTTTTTTCTATTAATTTTTCATCGTTTTTTGAACCCTTTGCAAAACATGATCTCGTGATGTGATTCATGCTTATTTTGTTTTCTGTTCTAAAGGCGGAGCCTTTTTTCTTCACATCGATTTCATAATCGGACGATTGCTTGCAGAATTCACTGTAACTGAGGGCGAGAATGATGATGTCCAACAGCCAGATCAATACGCACAGTACTGTTGAGGTGACGGCAACTCGTGACACTCCATTGATACTTTTGCAAGGGTCACTCTTTTCGTCCGCCTTTGCTTTTAATTTTCTAATTGTGTTAGTAATTAGAGCGCGTGTAGCTAATCTATCAATTGAATGTTGGAACAGAGCTGTCCCGGGCAATTAATTAGCTCCATATGCGTAAACCTTGAGCCAGAGGTCATCGTTTATCCCCTCATTTCGCAACTGTACTGTATTGATAATGCATAAGTAGAAACGGTTATGAGCGGCGCCGGCTCTGTTCCAATTATTCGCGCATTACTGTAAATTGCACTCGAACACGTGGACTTATCGAAAATCTAGATAACCGGCGTGAAGGAAGAAATCTCTGAAATCTCCGGGTTGCATGTGATTTAGAAGGGATCAACCGGGATTTTCACCTACTTTCATTGCATTATCCTATTACAAATACTATCGCCCCGCTAATCTCAATGAAACAGAAGAGCCCAAACCGCTTAAAAAAATAAATATTTTCCCAATTTTGATGAACTTGTTAGTCTGAATCTAGGATAGAAAGCCGCAGTCAGTATTTTAAGAGCTTTTTATTAAGGACCCCCCTCCCCCCTGGGCTCGGCAACCTGTGTAGAAAGCCTGAGTCAGGGTCTGAAAAAGCTGAAATTAAAAGCCGCGCAGCGGCTTTTTAAAAAACTAAGCCGCGAAGCGGCTTCGCTAATACTACCATTACAATCTATCAAAAATTTTGGCAAAGCCGCTTTGCGGCTTTTAATTTCAGCTCTTTCAGGCCCTGACTCAGGCTTTCTACACAGGTTGCCGAGCCCAGCCTCCCCCGTCAAGTTTGACGATTTTCGGGAATCAATTCTTCAAAAATCGTCAAGAAAAATTTCAAAAATCTTAAGGGGATCAACCCGATATCCTTCTTTGAAAAAGTCGCTAGGAGAGAATTACGAACCTGACTCTAGTTAGGCATTTTAAGGATAGATCGGTCTTTAATTAGTAAGGAAAAAGGCATAATTACAGTAACAACAACTCTTTCCCACGTCGTAATAATAATTTGAAGGCGAAAGTTGAGTCGAGAATGCATGTATTTTTGCGAAAAACGATGCAGCTCAGCAGCATCAAGCACGAATTTGGAATTGTGACACTATGACACGATGAAATAGTATAAATGCCAAGTCAATGACGAACCAATTAAAAATTAATTAAAAACGAAATTATTAATTTTGCTTCAAAAGACAAATTATATTTCGGCTTGGGAACGTATTTTACTATTATCCACTGTCTGGCGAAAAAAAAGGTTGAAAAAGTTCACTCAAGTTATCGCCGAGTAAGATGACGGACAGTAACTTCAGTCTTCAGTTTCTGATCATTACAGAAAAAAAAAGTACGAATAATTGATATTTCTGCTGTCATAAAATGACTCGCAACACGTGACACGTGTGTCTGTTTGGGAGGTGTTGCATTTGGCCAGGAATATAAATAAGAACTTACGTAGATTTATAAGAACCATATTATGGGGCTTGGTGAACGGGGCGATTTTGAGCTAAATTATGAATGAGCAGCCGGCTTTTGCAAAGCTCGGATAGCCGATAATTAGAGCTTTTAACCTAAACTTATTAATTCTGAAGTCGGAATATTGATCTCAGTCGAGATTTTAATGCAATCAACCGACACGCCAGCCCAGCTGGTATCCTCCAAAAAAAGCCCAGACACATTCGAAACTGAACTTCAAAGATGGCAATATTCAATATCAAAAATACTACATAGCTAACTGTATTTTTTAAGGCATTTCGACCCGAAAGCCGGGTTGGATCCATCTTGTTGGGTTTCTGGGCTTATTGGCATATGATTGGCTTACATCAGCCATACAGGCTTTTGATTGGCTAAAACCCCAGGAGCATCCCCATCCCCCATAAAACCTTAAAGAACTACCCTCAACCCCACGTTGCTAAGAGCCCATTCCAGCTACTGTAATTACTGTTTCAGTTGCGGTCTAATAAGTGTTCCCTTTCCTCATGTCATAATTTCCGCCTCTGGAGGTAGTTACTGGATCTGTTCATAATTTTTCGTAAAGCAGCTTTTTCAGTCTTTTTGTTTCTTCTTTGCTACTGAGTTCTTTTCTGGAGTCTCTCTTTCTGGCTTTGGCACTCTCTGGACTTTCGCCTTGGTTTTGCAAAGGGTTTTTTTTGGGGTAAGAAGGAAGAAGTGAGCTATAGTGAGCCGCCAGGACTGAGATAAGCTTCTATCTGATTCGCGTCGCCGTAAAAATAAGCGGCGGAGGGCGCGCAACGCGCTGAAGAGAAAGGGCGCCCGAGGGGCTCCGCATGGAACTTCTCCATCTCTCCCTTTATCTGTACGGGAGTATACGAGCATATGTGTAGACCGTCTTCTACTTCCGAAAATCATTGGAAACGGTCGATCGAGCGCAGCAAATTCCGAAGCTGGCGCTGGTTGAACCCAGAAATTTATTCTAATTTTAGAACTCGCGCTTTTTTAAAGAACTTGTTTGTTTCGCAAATCTAAAAATTATTCAACAATTTTCTCTAAAGACTAATCTTCAATGAAGAGCTAAGATGTTCTAACTTGATCTTTTCGTGATCACTTTAAGGGGGTGGTGGTCGAGAATTAGGATTCTTTCAACCTAAAAAACTCAATTTTTTTCAAAAAAATTTTTCTTGTTCTCAATCTAAATAAGTTTAAAAGGGTTCAAATTGTGTGGGTGGTTTGGTTTTAGAAAAAATTTTCAAGGGAAAAATGACGAAATCGAGCGTCAAAGTCGACCTAAAATCGCGTTTTTAGTTATTTTTCAGTCGACATTTTCCGACATTTTCCGACCACCACCCCCTTAAGGGTGTCACTATGTTAAATCTTTGGAAAAAACCAGCTCATTGAAGCCACGGTAAATCATTTTTAAGAAATCGGATGGATATATAATAGGAGCTAATTTGTCACATTGAAAAGGCAAAACAGTAATAGATGGGCACTCGAAGGGACATATTGGCACTCCGAGGGAGGTTTTTGTCTCAAGTTGGATTAATTGGAGCGGCTCTTTGTGTTGCCACTGCTCAAGAAAAAAAAACACAACGCAAAAAGAAAATTTCGCGCTCTTGAAGTAAACGCTTTTGAAAAAGGTTAATTCCATCTCTCCCAGTTCCGAGCCCAATTTACTATAAACGGATTACACAGCCACTTCCTTAAAGTACTATCTAACGCGTTCAAAAACGAGGCGAAATGTGATTTCTTCAAAGCTCAAGGAACATATAGAATTGGCACTGGGAATTGTCACTGAGGCGGAAAGAAAACGCGTCCGTCAAAAAGTGAGCCGAGCCGTACTTAAATCTAGTACCTGTCATGATTGTTTTCGAATCTTGGTGGTGCTTTCCGGCAGTCAGAAGATCGCGCCGGCAATTTTTCCGTCTTCGCCAATTTTAAAAAAGAATTTCAGATTGAGAAATAATTCGAATGATCTGATTTTAAGGGAGTAGACCGCGTAAAATTAATTTTTATAGTTTGATACATCAAGCTACGCTAGAACTAAAGTTGAAATAAAAATAAGGGTGTCACTACGTTTTCTTACGGAAAACTCTTTGTGAACATCGGGACTGGGCTCGGCAACCTGTGTAAAAAACTTGAGTCAGGGTTCTAAAAGAGTAAAATGAAAAGCCGCGTAGCGGCTTTTTTTCAAACGAAGCCGCAAAGCGGCTTCGCCAAAGTTACAAACTCAATGAATTATTTATTTAGTTAAAATAAATATTTAGTTATACCTATATATATATATTATAGGTATATATATTATATATATATTATTTAGTTAAAATAATTCATTGAGTTTGTAACTTTGGCGAAGCCGCTTTGCGGCTTCGTTTTCAAAAAAAGCCGCTACTCTTAAAGCCGCTTACTCTTTTAGAACCCTGACTCAGGTTTTTTACTCAGGTTGCCGAGCCCAGCATCGGGATATACCCTTAAGTTTTTGAAGGAATAGTTTTAACAGGATTAAAATGAAAATATGGAGAAGACAATAAAAGTGTCTTCTTTGGGTAGACTAATCCTGTTTAGGGTTGGCTATCTGCTAACCTCAAAAATTGGTTCAGATTCTTTTCGACGAGTAATATTTAAACTGTAAATAACAGTTAGCCAAGGCCTGGGTCAGAGCAACAACCGCAACGCAGCCTGGCAGAATAAGGGATAAGTCCACGATCCCAATTTAAGGAGGCGCATTACGTTTTAGAGCTCAGATCAGGCTCAGATGATCCAACCGCGCTCAGCCGCACTCAAGGCGAACATCAAAGGACGCCGCTTCCGGCAGCACGATTTTCGTGGGTTTAACTCGCGCCCGGAAAATGATCTGTTAATCGAAAGCTCTTGTAAATCAGCGAAAGTTTAAATGAGCGTAATCAAAGCCAGAAAATCGTGATTTTGCTTTACCGAGATTTTGCTTGATAAAATAAGGGTATCACTTCGAAAGCGAAAAGGCTCGATTAATCGAAAGCTGTTGTAAATCAGCGGAAGATGCTCGTTTTAATAAGGGTAATCGAATCCAGAAAATCGCGCTTTTGACTTAGGGAGATTTGTACTGCTCGCCCGAGACCGGCCACTTTTGACAGTATAACGAGCAGCTAAGCCCTGGGCCGAATTTAAAGACACATTGCTGACACATAAGCCGCGCCAAGACCGGATTACTTGTAAACGCATGGAAACGAGTATCCCCTTCTCTTTGTCGAAGAATATGTTATTCTAAAAAATAACCTTGAAAACGGGCGGCTGGATCAATCAATGAAGAAAAAGCCTTTTCTTCATTATTACTAGATACAGTAAGCTTCTAAGCAGGGTGAAGCGCGGTCCTCAGACTTCAGAGCGCAAATTTTGAGAATAATTATGATGGGGACGGGCGCGAAATTTAATTTCAGAGAGCAAATTAAAAACGCCACATTTGAGGTTTTTGTGACAAGACAATCGAACATTTTTTGGGGAAAAGGGGATGAATTTAATCAATCGATTTTACGCCGCGCGGACAGGCGCCAATCTGAGCTGGAACCTGCTCAAGAAAACTAACGAAAAGCTAGGCACCTAAAAGGCAAATCCCACTAATGAGCCCGCAAGAGCATTCTAGTCCTATTCCGCGTTTGTCTGACTAAGACTATTTCCACCCACTTACAGGAGCGAAGCTTAGGGTTACAGTCTTCCTTTTGACTTTGCGAGGGATGTTATTATGCCTGAAAACTGCTTGAAAAAGGATTTTACGATGCGAAACTCCTGCGTTTAAGTCTTGTGTGATTTGGATTTGGATTAACTATGAATTAAGCAAAAATTTGAATTAAGCGATAAGGGACTCAGAAAAGCAGCCGATCCGCTTTCAAGCTCACCTGTGCGATTAGGGTGAGCTTAAATTTAGCCGAGACGACAAACGGTATAAACAAACTCTATAAACAAAACATCGAAAGCCGACTTGAAACATTTTTTATCGTAATTCCTTTTGAATCTATTTCCTATCGTGTTTTCAGTTTTTTGGCAAATTGAACAAGTCAAAGTTGCAAATTTTGATTAATTTTTCTGAGCTGAGCTGGCCTTTTTCAGAGGTCATTGAGCTGAGCTGAGCAGACTTTTTTTTAAGGTAGTTGAGCTGAGCTGAGCGGACCCTAATTAGAGCTGAGCTGAGCTGAGCTGTTTTTTACTGTTTTTTGGTAGTAAAATTGTATTCAAATCATTGAGCTGAGCTGAGTTGAGCTAGGTGACAATTGTCTGAGCTGAGCTGAGCTGAGCAGAGCAGATCAGATCATTTTCCAAAATCACTGAGCTGAGCTCAGCTCACTAAGCTCAGCAAATTTGCAACTCTGCAACAAGTAGTAATCGTTCTTCTCGAGTCATTCATTTTACTGTTTCAAATCGAACTTTTCGATCTTTTTTGTTGATTTTAATACAACTCTATATTTAACTAGCTATTTTTCGTAATCAATTGCTTATACCACAGCTTTGAAGCCAATTTAATAGACACTTGACGGCTGGGCCAGCCGAGCTGTGGTAGGATTAAGACAGCGGAAGCGGATATTACTACCTTTCTTTCACTTTTTCGAAAATGTTGTTTTGTCAACTGAGCTGAAGTGAGCGTGCGAAAACTCATTTCGCAATTTAAGTTTCTGAAAAGCGGCTCGGTTTTGTTGTGACCAAAAATCAACTTCTTTCATGCTTCTTTATTTAGTGAAACATCCAATTGCAACGAGATGCAAACCTGGAGCGCTCCAGCTGCTTTTTCAGACAAGCGGAAACCATTTCCGTCAATTTCGCGTTCATTTTCAACCGTTCAAGAAAACCGCACTGGACCGCCGATTCTTATTTTTTTTACTGTCAGTAAGTATACCTTTTTCTTTTATTTTGACCCTGGCGAGAAAAATGTGCTCCCTAACCCTAACCGTACTCAGAGTTGCAAATTTGTTGAGCTGAGTGAGCTGAGCAGTCGCTCAGCTCAGTGATTTTCGAAAATGATCTGATTTGCTCAGCTCAGCTCAGTTTAGACAATTATCACTCAGCTCAGCTCTGCTCAGCTCAATAATTTTCGAACATGATCAGTTCTGCTCAGCTCAGCTCAGACAAGTATCACTCAGCTCAGCTCAGCTCAGCTCAATGATTTTAACACAATTCTACTACTAAAAATAGAGTAATTAACAGATCAGATCAGCTCACCCAGCTCAGCTCAGCTCTAATTAGGGTCTACTCAGCTCAGCTCAGCTCAATGACCTCTGAAAAAGGGCAGCTCAGCTCATTGAGCTGCGAAATAGGCCAGCTCAGCAAAAATAAACCAAAATTTGCAACTCTGACCGTATTCACGATTTAGGAGCTTGATTTTCTAGTAGAAGCAACCGATTTTCATCCTTATCTTTTAATTAGCGATAATTTACTTTTGATTTTATCACTCGATTTCGTAAACAAGAAGAAAAAAGTTTGATAAGTAAATTAAAGCGTGGAGAATGAGAAAGGAAGGCGCCCTCTGTTTGAGGTTGTGACAGAGGAAAATCAAAATCGTTTAGACGGAACTGTCAAAGCTTCTCTGAACGTTTATTTTTCACTTCGAAAAACGATGTTGTTGCGCGATCATCACACTAGAAGGATAAAGACAAACTTCGAAACAGAAAAAAACCAAATTCGATAATAAACAACCTCGCATTCCGATACATACAGATTTATGTAGATTTATAGAGCCACAGTAGAGTTGCAAATTTTTTTTTTTCAAATCTGCCAAATTTTTTTTTATTTTGGCTGAGCTGACCTGCGTGAAAAATGCTCTGAGCTGAGCTGAGCTGGCCTATTTCGGAGCTCGTTGAGCTGAGCTGCCCTTTTTCAGAGGTCATTGAGCTGAGCTGAGCAGACCTTTTTTTAGGTAGTTGAGCTGAGCTGAGCCGGGTGAGCTGAACTGAGCTGTTTTTTACTGTATTTTTAGTAGTAAAATTGTGTTTAAATCATTGAGCCGAGCTGAGCTGAGTGATAATTGTCTGAGCTGAGCTGAGCAGAACAGATCATGTTCGAAAATAATTGAGCTGAGCTGAGCTGGCCATAGTAGAGTGAACATACAGTCACTGGCGAAATAATCAACCAAGTGAGAGTGAGACGAAGTTTTCGACTTGAACTAATCACGCAAATTAGCGAGATTGGACACACAGGAACACTTCAAGTGGCTCCGAGTCCGTTAGAGTGAGATTGGATTTTTCCTTCTCGGGATTGAAATTTAGGAAACAACGAAAAGAAACAACTTTTGTTTGAAAATTAGGTTTTCGGATATTCGATAAGGCAAGTTGTTGTAAGCTGATTAGGATGAGTCGGGATGTGTATCTAATCTTGTAAAAAATATCGACGAAAAAGCGCCACTTCTTTTATATAATTTTGTATGCACGTTCCGCGAGTGTTATTTGATTTTTCCCAAAACATAACATAGTTTTCTCAACTACTGAAACCTTTGAATCTAATTTATTTGAAATACTAGTTTGTACCCAGAAGCAAGCACAGGACCAAAGCGCCGATATACAGTACAATTTGGAAAATGCCCACTGCTCTGCCGACGTGGTACTTGATAATAGGTAAAATCAAAAGCAGGGAGAGAAGAAGAAGCGTAGTTCCTCCTAAAAGGGCGGCTTCGAGGGCTCGCAGATCCAATTCTATATCTTCCCAGTCGTTGGAAACGATGGAGATGGTACAACCAAGGCCGGTTCCAACTTTTTATGCGCTTTGAATAGTGATTTTGGCCAGAGTTGCAAATTTTGATTAATTTTTCTGAGCTGAGCTGGCCTATGTCGGAGGTTACTGAGCTGAGCTGGCCATTTTCAGCGGTCATTGAGCGGAGCTGAGCTGAGCAGACCTTCTGTTTAAGAGAGTTGAGCTGAGCTGAGCTGAGCGGACCCTAATAAGAGCTGAGTTGATTGAGCTGAGCTGGGCGGGTTTTTACTATTTTTTGGTAGTAAAATTGTATTCAAATCATTGAGCTGAGCTGAGCTAAGTGATTATTGTCTGAGCTGAGCTGAGCAGATCAGATCAGATCATCTTCCAAAATCACTGAGCTGAGCTGAGGTGAGCGACTGCTCAGCTCACTCAGCTCAGCAAATTTGCAACTCTGATTTTGGCAAATAAAGAATTTGCTAATTCAAAACGGTTCCTAAAAGATTGAGAAGGGGAGAGCCAAAGCATGCTGCCACAGCTGTACCAGCTTTGCCGATTCTAGAGAGACCCAAGTCAGCGACGAGATCGCCAACAGAATTCGCCCATGCTAAAAAAAGGAAACATTATCGCGACTGATCTTGTCAAGAATGTTACCGAGGAATGTCAGTCCCATAACGACGTTGTTTATTTTCCAGAAGAATCCTAGAGCAGTGAGCAGTCCGACGACTTCATTGGCGAGAACGAATACCCACAACATTCCGCCGAGAAAGCCCGGAATCGTGAATAAAAAGTAAGCCGATGATGGCTTCTCCAAGGGCTTTTTGAAGCATGTCAGGAAAACAACTAAACAGTGATGAAGACTGCAGCCGATTTAAAAGTGACATACAAGCAGCGAAAAGAACAGAAAGGGCAGCAGGAATGATCGCTCTATTCCAACCACCAGTGCAGACGTCATTGTCATCACAGTAGGCTCCGAAGTTTGGCTCACTGAAAATGAATTTGAAGATCAATTTCTCTACTTCCTAGAATCATGAATTTTTCCCTACCCATATTGCTGAAGAAGGATGTACCAAAGCCAGGGGAAGCTCACGGCTTGCGCGTACGCCAACGGTCGATTCCATGTTTCCTTTTCATCCTCGCCGACGACTGGGACTGTAAGCTTGCCAAGTAAGAACAGTGGCGCCATTAAAATTGCGAGGGCCTTGCCAATGATGCCGGCTTCTTCCCATTCCTCGGGATCCCATGGAACGAACATTTCCTAATCATTTCAAAAATCATATTCATTCGAGTCTAGTAACTACACAACCGAAAATTCTCTACTTTCCATATAATAATAGAAAAAGAAAAGAATAAGTACCTTGATGTACTCTCTTCGAGTTTTGAAGCCAACTTCGCTCGCTTTTTGAACAGAGAGCATACTCGGGCGTGGAGTGTGTCCTGCTCGGCTGAAGTTCAAAATTAACATCAAAGCAATCGTTCTCCTCCTTGATTTCAATTCTTGAGCGTCACTATGACCCACCTTGAAACGTTTGAGAGCGCTCTCATTCGATTTTTGGCGATACCAAGAGTATTAGTTGCTGTATTAGATCTTGATCTTCCTTCTGGATTCGATCCATCAACTGTCATTGTATTTCTGGCAGAGGCAAATTTTGAAGCAGGAAGTGAATCGTTATTTTCTGTGGCGACATCTTCGTCAGGATTATCGTAAGTAAACCCTTAGAAATTCTAGCTTTCTTTCTTTTTTTTAGTTGATCTTACCTTTTGCTTTCGAAAGTCCAAGAATTTTGCCAAAGCGGCCGCCGAGACCGACAAATAGAACGTAGATAACATAGAGGACAAGGAAGCCTATCGAATCAAACAATTCAATCTTGCCCTTGAACAAGCATTGAAGAAGCCAGTAAAGCGACCACAAGTAGAAGATGACGTCGCGGAGCAGCGGTCTGGCAGCGGGCGTAAACGGTCTGATCAAAGTTTGAACATGAAAATTTAAGTAAATATAATTGCTGAAGTCAGGCGAGTTCAAACTTTCGTAGTAATCATACAGGCTCCGGCGACGACGCTTGTCACAAACAATCCCGCTCCTTTGATGGGCTCTAATCTTTGTTTATCCAAATCTGCTATGCAAATACAGTACTATTCCAGTGAATTCATCAGAATTCCTTGAAAGTGACAGCGTCAAGGAGACGAAAATCTTTAGTTCCCTGCCTATGAGTGATCCAATGGCGAGCTTGGCGACTTCTCCACCTGCACCGAAACTGGCAATGGCAGAGAAAATGTCAGGAGCGCCGTTGCCAAAAGCGACCAATGTCACACCAGCTACATTTTCGGAAAGCTTCAACTGGGAGGAGATCTTGGTCAAATTGGGTACAAAAAATGCATCTGCCACGAGGCCAAGAGCGATGAAAAGCCACAGACACCACAAAGAGTAGAGAATATTCATTCCTTGAAAACAACGACGACTCTTTGAAAATCGAAACTCATTTTCTTACCAATAAAAAACGCATCGTTTTTGATGTTTTCTGAGCATAGAACAACTTCGACGTATTCCACAAAAGTCTCTTCTAGCTCACAGCTCTCTACAGCTTCGTAGAAGTCGCACCAGTCAGTTCTGTTAAAGTCGTGAAATTCTTCACAAACTTTGCCGTCGAATTGTCCCGTCGAATTTCTGACTGCCCAGTTAAAACTCTGTGCCAGCTCCAATCCTCCGCTCATCCCAACTGAGCTCATCTTCTTCGAGAAAACGAACTTGAAAAGAAAAAAAACTGTTAATTTGAATTTATCACATTTAAAACTCGCGGATCAGCGGCGCAAGAACGCGTATTTACTATTTACGGAGTCTTATCAAACTTTTCAAACGGCATGTGTAAACGGAAAAGTCGAGGTCCGCTTCACTGATTTGTTGATTCTTTGGAAGTAATCCTACTATCGAACTTTGAGAAAACAAAATCTTTCCGCCCGAAAAAAAAGTCTGTGCCTTAATTCTATAAGAGGCCGGTTCTGAACGGAGTTTCCTTATCTGGTTAAAATCAGAGTTGCAAATTTTGGAAATTTTTTCTGAGCTGAGCTAGCTGAGCTGAGGTCGAAATTGAGCTGAGCTGAGCTCAGCTGGCCCCTTATAAAAACAACTGAGCTGAGCTGAGCTGGATTTAAAAAAAAAATTGAGCTGAGCTGAGCTGGGGCATATTTGAAAATTTTTGAGCTGAGCTGAGCTGACGATTTCTCAAACTGAGCTAGCTGAGCTGAGCTGACCATTTTTATGCTGAGCTAGCTGAGCTGAGCTGGCTCTTTTCGAAGAACCATTGAGCTGAGCTAGCTGAGCTGAGGTCAAATTGAGCTGAGCTGAGCTGTAGCTCAGCTAGTTCACAAAATTTGCAACTCTGGTTAAAATGCTAGTTACTTGCTCTTTTACTTGCCAAAGGATTTATTAAAATCCTAATTTACCTCTTTAAAAAATTCTGGTCAGGAACTACAACTCTTCCATAAATTATCGAAGGAACTATTTCTTCGTCACGCATCTGCAAATTTCGCTATGCGCAAAAAATCTTTATCGACCAAATGTAAAGTTTTCGAAAGTTTTATTTCCTCGCCTCGCGTATTTGACTTGGTAAAAATCCATTCGTTTAAAAAACGATAATAATTCCAAAATAAGATTATTATTTGTCCTGTCATCAGATTTGCTCAAAAATGGAGCTCTTATTTTAATTTAGAATCTGAAGCGAGTCATTGAGTGTCCGCGCTGCAACGGGCAATTTGCATTTTTGCCAACGAGGCTCCTTATTCGACCAAATATCTTTCCAGCGGAGTGTAGACCGTGTTACGAGCAATCTTATTAAACCACCAAACTCATCTGCCAAATTCCAAGATATTAAAAACTATTACTATTTAACAACTATACAGTATAAACAGAGTTGCAAATTTGCTGAGCTGAGTGAGCTGAGCGGCCGCTCAGCTCAGCTCAGATAGTTTTCACTCAGCTCAGCTCACATCAATTATTTTCGACCATGATCTGTTCTGCTCAGCTCAGCTCAACTCAAACATTTATCACTTTGCTCAGCTCAGCTCAGCTCAATGATTTCGACACAATTTAACTATTAAAAACAAAGTAAAAACAGCTCAGCTCAGCTCAACTAGCTCAGCTCAGCTCTAATTAGGGTCCGCTCAGCTCAGCTCGACTACCTTAAAAAAGCTCTGCTCAGCTCAGCTCCGCTCAATGACCTCTGAAAAAGGCCAGCTCAGCTCAGCTCAGTTATCTCGGAAATACGCCAGCTCAGCTCAGAGAAATTTTTACTCAGGTCAGCTCAGCAAAAATAAACAAAATTTGCAACTCTGAGTATAAATCTTTACTGCTTGTTAATTTATTGAATACACTTTTATTACGTCTAAGTTGAGTTACCAACTGTATACTAAATACTAAGAGTTTATAAAAGAAATTAATGATGTTTATGTATTTTCCTTTATTTCCAAAAGAAGTAATAGTTTTAACCCGATCGAATGATTCGGGAGCTAAAAATAATTACCTTTTGTGCTTCCCCAAAATATTATCCGCTCTTGGCAGCTTTCAGAAAAAAAGCTTGCAACTGCAGTAAAAAGTCAATTACAAGCACTTTTCAATTTGAACTGCACGTTTCCCAATGAGAAAGGCAGGGAATTTACAAAATTTATTCAGATTCAAGTTGACCCAAAAGTGGCCGAATTTTAAAACCAGTCGTTTGTTGCCCCCAATGCGCATTTGTGAAACGAATGATGTCGCTAAGAATGACAGTTTTTAAACAGTTACGGAGTGGTGGAATTATTTTGGCCTCGTCTCGTCGTCAATTGTCGTGCCAAATAATGCCGGACGCTGAGAAACAAATGCTTTGAGGGATTAACTCTACTTTCTAATTGTCAGGGCTGGCATAGCCTTGAAGTCTTACGGCTATTTTGGAGGCAATAATACTTAGTTACAGTCAACATCGGCTGATTTAGAGCACTATTAAGACAAACTTGACCAACTTTTAAAGAAAGTTCGACTGTAATAGACTGTAGATTCTGTTCTACACTGTTCTACAGTCCCTAACCTTTAACCTAACCTATAATAATCATTTTTTTAATTTCTTAAATAAAAATTTTATAAAAAAATTTATATTTCTTTGGTGATCTTGAGGCTAGTTAACGATTTTCCCGTAAAAGTGGTTAAGTGCTTAATGACGAAATAATGCGCGCTATCTCAGTACCGTCGTGCGTTTCATACGTTTATCGGGCTGGAGGTTCAAGGGCGTCGGAATGGAGCGCGCTCATTCGGCCAAGGAAATTCGAGCGCCGCGGGAGATCGAGCTTTATTCTTGCTGCGCGATAAGGACGCCACCTCGGCAAATCGTCCTGCACCAAAACAGGGCCTTTTGTACCCAGCACATGGGTGAATATCGGTCGTAAGAAGAGCCCACAAATAGAGATTTTAGATAGAGAAATAGAAAACTAGAACAAAATCGAGATAAAAATGAAGCTGCTCAAATGGGTTATTTTCGCTGCTTGCGCACTTGCTAGCCAGAAAAAGGAGTGCAGAAGCCAAGCAGGAGGAGCCGGACCTGAAGTTAAATATGTCACATCAGACGGATATCCAGCCAAGTCGAAAACAGTTGAAGAATGCGTCTGGAAGTAAGGCTTTTTCTTGCAGCGAATTTGAATTTCGTACTTGACCTACTAGTTAAAATTTCGGCTTTCAGGGGACAATATAAAGGATTAAGCTTTGTGTATATAGATGAAAAATTCGGACATCAATAGATAAAAATAAAAAATAATAAAAAAAATATATGACAACAGATAAAAGAAAAAAATATCTGTTGATGTCTATTTTTCTTTGAAATAATACATATCACTACAATATAAGGGTAAATAAGGCCAGCTGGAAGTTGGCAACCGCTTCATTTTGATAAAAACAACAAGTTATTGCATCCTTATTTACAAAGCTGTCACGAGCAAAGTATGCCACTTGAAAATATTACTTGTAAAAGATGTTTCGAAATGTCCAACTAGACAGTACTTCCAAAACTTTATTTTAATGATGTCGTGCTATGTTTCAATATTAAACTCGCTGTCTAACGGGCAGTTTTGGGATAATCTCCTGCCACGAAATGATTCGAAAAACATCCTTTTCGGGAATGAAATTAGTGAAAAAAAGCAGCTAAGAATTTAAGACATATTTAGGCCTAGTTTATTTTTCTTCAAATAGGACTCAGAATGGGATTTATTAATTTATCATTTTAACCTTATTGAACCTTTTTCTTTTAAGCCCTTTAGTAATAGGTTACTAATAACAATTCAGTTTACAAGTAAACTACGGCCAATACATCAAAATCATGCCATCTACGATCTCAGTTCCCTGCTCTGGAGGCGGTGGAGTCGTCTTCAAAGAGCTCCTCAAAGAAGGGAAAAAAGAACGTGAAGTCTCTTCAAAAATGTACTGCGGCGCAAATGCGAAAATTCCATCCCTTGTGTCGACCGGAGTCCGTCTCGAAATTTACTTCAAAGCTCCGGTAACTATCCTTTTGCGAGATTGATTTGGAAGAACCCCAAAAATAGAAATAATGATAAACAAATGAGTTGGGGAAAAGAACGAGCACTGTATCTTTTGACAACATTTTCTGAGACTTTAAGGCACCCTAAGTGGCAGATTAGGCGCCCTACGTTCCCCTCAACGCGTAAACGGATTGCCAATTTCACGTTCGTGAAGGTCAAGGCGCACGAATAGACTGCCTGAAATTTTGAATCAAGACACGTCTTTTAGCCTGGAAGCAAACTGAAGATCGGCTACAAAATGACAGAATCGTCTGGCGGAACTACGGTGGCCCAGGCCGGCGGCGCCAGAGCAGTTGTCGGCGGCTCAATCAAATACAACCCGCACAATAAATTCACCTCTCGAACAAGTACAAGCTCAAACTATGCACGAGAAGTTCCACTTTTAGGAAAATGTCGAGCCAATTTTTGTGCAGATTAAGGCTGCCTTAGCTCAATTTTCAGAATATCGTCGTTGATTTAGCCATCTTAAAACGTGGCTTGACATTTTGAACAAGGCTCAAAAACTCCGCCAAAAGTCGAAAGCAAGGGAAATCCACTGGTGTTCCTTCTCGCCGGAGTGATCGTCTGCGGCGTCGTAGGCTCCCTAATGTACAAGTTCATGTACGCGAAGGAGGATGACTCCCCCGCGCCGGTGATGGAGAAAAAAGCGGAAACGAAAGAAGTTTCGAATTCCGCTCTTCGCACTTGCTCGGAGGAAACTACTGATACAAATCTCTCCTCGAATTAAGAAAAAAGAAAACATTCAAATCCTTCAACCCGGTTTTTAATAAAATACATGTGTCTAAAAAGCTTCTGTCTTTGTCAATTAAAACTCTTGATATCATGAAAGAGAAGTCAAGGATCATGTCATTGACATGTATGTCTTTTATTCCAGTTAGAAGGTTCAGATGATAAGCATTTTTTCAGTCGAAGAGGCAGTTCAAAATAATGTTCAATGATAAGAGTCTAGGGCCCAGACTCTAGGCAGAAGATGTGGCTTCCTTTTCTTCTTCGGATTTGATTTCCTTCAGCGTTTCGATTTTCGCTATAATTTTTTAGAACTCAGAATATCGTGGAAAAATAACCTGACAGGGTGGATTTCAACTTGTCTACGATTGGCAGTAGTGGATAAGCCAAATCCTCTGGGTTTTCGCCAGTCAGCTTTTCCATCTTATCGATAAACTTGCCGATGACTCCTTCTTTCTTTTCCAGCTTCGATCCAAAGTAGAACTCCTTCACGAGCTCTTCAAATGGCTGTCCTGGATTTCTGCGACGGATGTTGTTAAAAATAGTGAAGTTGTGGATGTTCTTTACCTGATCGTTGTGATCACATGTTGGCAGAGATATTTTGTGATATCCTGGTTATATTTCCTTGAGCCGTTTACGCCAGCGTCGGTCTTTCTTGTTTTCTCGTAGCCAGGCTCGTTGAAATAAGGCTCGGCATTCAGTGTCAGCCCTGAGAAGAAATTGTTATACGCAAATATTTCTGATTTCTTTACCTTGAAGCGAGACGAGCAATTGCAAGAGATTGGAAGTGTATTTCCACTTCTCGCACCCATTACCCGCCCAAGTTCCCAGGAGGGATAGGCAGACCTTCCCGTCATCGTAGAGATTTGGATTGATTCTGAAAAAATGCATGAGCTTCTAATAAAGAGAAAGAGGAAAACCTTCTATCCAGCGTTGATCTGTAGCGGACTTTCGGCGGGGAGGTGAGCGGGTATCCGTCTGGAAGGCAAATGTCGAAGCAGAAGAGGCAGTGTTCGTAAGGAGTCCCTGCTGGCCCTTGAAAAGTGCTCTCGAAGAATTGAAATGGAATTTCTGATACCTTCGATGGCGAATGAAAGTAAATCGAGGCGACTTTCATATGCCCACAAGTGAACACCTTTGGGGATCGACGTTTGAAGTCTGCTGATTTCAGAGTTGTAAATCTTCAAAAATGACTTTTTGTTAGGTTATTATTTTTTCCTTCATAACGGTACATCAAATAAAGAGTGGAAATAAGATGAACCTAGCCTTTGAGTGGTCATTTTTGGAATTGAAGAAAGCGTGAGTTGGGCTTGGATCCTCGAGAAAATGAACTTTTGACGGACTTATGAACCATTTTTTGTTGAAAAAAGCACTTGCTGATAATCCCGTTCCTTGCCCAAGATCGGCAATAGGTACATCATCAATAACAGGCTCTGTTATCTCGGAAATCTTCTCCTCGGTTGTTTTTGATCCGCCTTCTTCGGACATTCCATAGCCTGCTTCACTTTCCATGGGCCATGAATAGTCTTCTTTTGGGAAGAGTACACTTTCGGGGGTCAGTTGAGTTGGAAAAACGGGGGATTCCGTTCTACTCAAAGTTATAATTTTTATCTCAGCCGTTTCGGTTATTGTTCTGGAGATCAGTAAGAATTATAACTCTAGTCCTATCGGCCCACATTATCTCGAGTTTTCCGCATGACAGGAAGCCCTTTACCATTCCGACGCCCGGGCAGTTGATCTGCGATGAACTGTTGCTTACAACGAGGCTTCCGAGGGGAAATTTGAAAACTGGATGAGCGGTCGCGTCGTTGAAAGAGATTGTTTCTCGTTCTTTAGTTGTTTCGTCGATAAACCATTTGACAACGACTTGCTTCTTGGCGAAATCGACGGAGACAACGCTTCCCCATTCGGCGAGGTTTTCTTGATTTTTACGAACAACGTAATTCCCTATTATTAATCATCAATATGAACTTCGCTGTAGTTAGACTTGCCTGGAAGGAACTTGCGCCATTGAGAATGATTACTACATGTTGAGAGTCCAGTAGAATCGCAGTCTTCGATTTCGCCCGATTGCCATTGCACCTTACAAATCGACGTGCAAGTAGCGACCTCGATGCAAATCCAGCTCTCTTCTTCGAACTGGAAATTGGCTGCCCCTTCTAAGCTTGACTTTTCTTCTAGTAAGAACTCAATATTCTTCTCATCAAAGTGGATGTTCATGCTGCCAAGCGAATATTTCTTCCCGAGTAGCTTTTCAATTTCTTCGAAAACTCGGTTTACTTTATTTTTCATCCCCTCTTTGTCCACTTTTTCATTTTTGAAAATAGTCTCGAACAAGCTACTGATCACTTTTGGTTTGGAATCCTCGTGATCCATGCCGTCTAAGTAAGTCCTCGACTCTCCTTCATATGTGTCCACCATGAAGTTTGGAAAGCGGAGACATATGTAACTTGACTTCTCGTCATCGTTGGCGATCTTCGTCAGCATTTCCAGAAAATCATCGGAGGAGAGCTTCTTTCCTTTTTTCGAATGGCTCGGTTTCGCAAAATGACGGAACTCCGAAGGGTCGACCTCTTGACTTTTCAGCATTCTGTTCAAACTCTGCGCCTCTTCGTTTGTAAGCTTGATTCTAAAGCGATCGTAGAGTAGAACACCCCAAAACTTGGTGGCAGTGTCAGAATTCTTGTAGGCAGTATTCTCCTGGTTCCAAGGCGCTTGCAGTTGAGGCAGCTCAGAAGAGTCAACTTTGCTGTTCGGTTTTGGGGACGGCTCATTTTTTCCGCAGGCGACCCAGTTGACTTCGACCTCGTCGCTCGAAGAAAATGAACCGGTTTCCGCCATGCTTCCTGTCTTACTCTTGTACTTTGTTATTTCGCCGATCCAGCCGTTGAGAGCCACCTTCTGCCCATAAAAAGTCGGATCACAGGAAAGAAGTCTGAACAAAATAATAAGAATTGATATTCATTATTAACTTCAAACCTTTTTGAAGAGATCTTCTCCAATTCCAAGTTTGTACCTGGGACTCTGACGTCACTTTCGAACTCGATCGCAACGACTGTTCCGATTTCATCACTCTTGCCTCGTCTGACAACCTCGCCCAACATGAATGGTCGATGGAGAAGCTTTAGCTCTTCGCTTTGTTTATGGACGACCTTTTTCGACGGATAGGTGGAGATTTTGAATTTCTCAGCCTTCTTATCACTCAACGACCAGTTCCCAAACGACAAGTCCACATCGTCCGCGAACACACCGCGAATGGTTGTCCCCTCTTCTTAATTACGAAAATTAGTAAAGTGTTTTTTCAATTTTAACTCAATTACCGTCGATGAAACTGACAACGTCGTCAGGAAGGAACATTGGGTCTTTCTGCGCCTGAGCGATTCCTAAAAAATAAGTTTGCCAACAGAAACATTTTCTGATAATTCTCGATGCATCAAGTCTCACTGATTTCGAATTTCTCACCTCCATGGGACCAATGGTCGGCCGAGGCATCGACAGAATCAATAGACTCCGAGGTAGACCCTTTGTTCTCCGTTAACGATTCATCCATGTACAGGTTCTCTGAAAAACTCATCTCTTTCTTGTTTTTTTGGCGGTTACCCGTTCTTCTTGATGTTTTTATCAAAACTAAAAATTGGAAGTCAAATTATGGTTTCTTGACTGAAACAAGATGAAGCTGAATTGGCGTGCAATCCAGAAACGAAAAAAAAGAAAATAATCTTTCACAGTTTCTCTCTTTTCTAGACATTCGGATGGCCTCGGATGGGGCGGCTATTTTCTGTTGGCTCCTAAAAATCTGCGAATCGAAGAAGATAGGTCGGTAAAAATGATGACTTATCAACCCGTGATACATTTTTCTATGATTTCTTCGGGCTGGTGCACTGATACGAATGTCTATCAAAATCAGTTGAAGTCAGCAATTCGCAATAAAACGAATTCACACGCCTCCTTCGTCGGTCAGATGTCTTAGATGTTCTGTTGCTTGATCTTGCTTGAAGAAGGTCAAATCTTGGTCAGTGGTCGGTTTTGTCGGGTTCGCAAGTTCTGACCGAAAGCCCGATCGACCCGACCACAGATCAGGCCAATTTTCAAGGCGACGCTTCTTCCGACCAACCCCGACCTGGAAAAAGGTCGGTGCCGACCCTAGTCCGCTACAGAAAAAGCCATTCTTCTAGTGCCAAAGTTTCAAACTGAAAAATACAGTAGTGCAAGAGGATCGGCACATTTTCTTTCTGCCTAGCTAGTTGTAGCCCTCTAATAGCTCCCCCTATTTCAATCTTACGGTTCTATTCTCGCGTCGCTTTCGAACCAAACAGGATTTCCGACCCTGGCTAGTGAGTCGTCAATCTTAGAAACGGGTTCGTCTTGCCAAAAATATTACAAAAAATCTCGAGAAAACAGAAAACAAGATGGTGGATTCTTTCGAGCCCGCTGAATTAGAACAGCTCTCGCAAAAGATGGAGCATCTGTACTCTCGAGAAAAAGACGAAGGAGATGCATTCGCGGACGGTATTTTCTACTGAGATTTTTCTCGGACAAGGTTAATCATTCAGGTAATCGAGCTCGATCAAAGTTGTCGAAGAAACGGCAGTTTGAAGAGTCTGACGAAGAAGAAATTATGAGCCAAGCGAAGAAGGCGCATCTAACAGTCTCGTTGAAAGAAGCTTTGTCTCGAACGGCGGTGGCTCGTGAGAAGACAGAATTCACTGTAAAAGACTGCCAAGATCTTGATCAATTGGTAAGAACTTCTCTTCAACAGAAAAATTATCGCTAAATAAATTTAAGAAAGCACGATACGAAGAAATGCAAGACGAACTCAACAACCTCCAGCGCAAATACACGGAGCTGGAGAACAAGGTGGACAATTTCGGCCATAAACTCGACCGATTCAGGTTCTTGTTCAGAAAACCATCTTCCAATTTTCGTTTTATTTTAGGGAGCAAAAATGAAGAGTCTCGAAAATGTCGATTGAGAATAATTAGCACTCCTGCTTGAATTCCATTTTGAACGAATAAAGCTTTAACAAGAACTGATTGCAACTGAATTGTAATAACTTTAGGAATCAAAGAGGCAGATTTGAAACATTGGCAAATTCGAAAAAATCTCTAGATGAAATGCAGCTTGTTTTCATTTTCATTACACAGTGGCAGAGCGCTAAGAGAGGCACGCTGTACAAAGGATTCTTGTAGACTTCCTCTGAAGTGTTAGTAGAAGGGAAATGTTCTAGAACTCCTCATGATTTTATTTTGCAGCGGGGATTTTTCAGTCAGTTGAGTTCTAAGATGAAAAATGACTTTTTTGGTCATTTTTCTTGGCGACCGAGTCGATAAAGTTGCATAAGGGGGTTTTTAGATAGGTCAGAAATCTTCGCCAAGGACTTGTGTTCAGAGAGCCCGCTCTAGTGACTACGAGACAGCTCGGAAATTGGTTCGATTCAAAGTCGAACGAACCAATTTGGTAAGATGCCCGATTGGAGGATATTTTCCTCGACACAAGGTTCTCTAGAAGGTGGAATATTATCATTATTGGCTGAATAGTTGGGTGAGTCTTCAAATCGACTTTTTATGAGAAAGGAACGAAGAAAAATGACGCTGCCTTCTATTGTCGACTTCGGTCTCTAGAACTGTTATTTCCCTCCCGCATTCTTTGCCTTTCTCCGCAGTTTAAAATAACTTTTGAGAGTCTAACAGTGCTTGCTTTAGATTGCGCCCGACTGTTTCCTTGACTGTCATGAATCGCGACATACAAAACCTGTGCACTGGCGCTTCTGGCCTTCAACGATTGAAGATCTCCGGCAACTACTCCAAATCTCTCCATGGCTCGCAGGATTGTATTCGATAGATAATGGAAAAGAGCAGCAAACATAGAAGTTAACATAGAAGTGGCGTCTAAGAAGCTTCTTAGTTAGTAACGGAAATTTATCGAACACTGAAAAGACTTCCCTGGCATCAAACTCTTCCACGAAGAGCCATGGAGTAACGGGTTACTTCAAGCGCAAGGGTCTGTCCCTTCTAGGTGACAACAACGGCCAGAAGGTAAGTAACGTCTTTAAAATTCTGCTGACTTTCGTTTGAAGGTGCGAAAAACTTGTGATGTCAAAAAAATCACAAGAGAGAGAAGCGTTGTCCGCCGACTCTCTCAAGGCTCACTCAAGGGTAAGGAAGAGACCAAGGAGCGAGTGCAAGTGCCAGACGACGAGGTTAATCTCGCGTTTCCGCTGAATGAACCAGGAGAAGATCGTTTTGGAGCGATCAGACCCAAGATCGAGCCCTGGAGACAAGCGATCTGGGATCGATTGCCGGCGGAAAAGAAAATGATTCCCTTTCCGTCTTATGAGCCGTATTCCTTCACTTGTAAGATAAAAGTTCGATTCCATAATCTTCTTTCACACTGTAGCGTTCGAATATGTCCGTGCTCGAGAACTCAAGCCAAAGCACGTCGTTGATCCCGCCTACCTCCAAAAGCACAAAGTCCTCAGTCCAAGACATCGATACATCCTCGTCAATTGGATGATGGAAGTCCAGGAGAGCGACGACCACTACTTCCGCAACGAGCAGCTGTTCCAGGCTGTCCGCTTCATCGATGTCTATCTAAGGAAGGAGCCCACAACTAATCGAACTCGTGACTATTTGAATTACTATCTTCCGTGCAGTAGTTTTAAATTAGATTTTGATAAGAGTCCTCGTTGTTGTCGACTTCAAAAAAGCAAGACGGAGAGCTTGGAATTGGATCGATTTCAGCTACTGGGAATTACTGCCATGTTCGTCGCCTGCAAAATCGGGGTGCGTTATAAATATCCGAGAGCATTCGTAAAATTTAGTTCAGATGCAGGATTATGCGGATATCAAATCATGGGCGATCCTCGGCGACCCTGAGCAGCCTTACGACACTGCAGACATCCGCAGGTTCGAGATTAAACTTATGCAAGCGATCGACTGGGATGCGGAAATTTCAACTGCGTATTATTCCCAGAAGCGACTGTCCATGCTCGCCAAGTTGAAGGACCACCAGGTAAGCGAAAATTTCTCAGAGAGTTTAACTCTTGTTATAATCAGTGCCACATGGTCCGATATCAACTCGAATTGTCACTGCTTGCGAGCGAGTTGGTCCCCGTCCGCCCCTCAATTGTAACTGCTGCTGCCGTCCTCGTTGCGAAGACGTACTTTGGCCAGCCCGTCGAATGGGACGATTACTTGGCCTACCACAGGAACGGCTCCACCTTTGACAGCGTATATTTTTGTACCATGAAAAAAGGTCGACCCTCTAAACAGCGGCTACAGACTCCACGATCTCCTCCCTGTATGCAAGAGTCTCGTCTACCTGATGAAAAACGCCTACAGCATCGGAAAGGCGAACCTCAAAGGCGCCAAAAATATTGTCTTCGCAAAGTATTCCAGCGACGACTGCGCAAATGTGAGTTGATCGATTCGTGCCCGTCGTTGTGGGATGAAATGAATTTTTAGATTGCGCTGCTCGACGAAAGGCTCTTTTTGAACTTGAGAGATTTGGAGTAAAGACTCTTTCGTTTTTTTTTTATTGTATTTTTCTTTCTGTATTTTTTACTGTAAATAAAAAATGATGAAGTCTCCAAGACTTTAAACATAAACGTGAATAGAACTGATTATTTGGTCGACTACAAATTTGTAATGACATCTTTGCTCAGTTCTATTGATTCTCTTTCTGACTCTTATACCTGCCTAACAATGCAACCTGCATAAGAAACCAAATAAGACATTAGTGCACCCAAATTCGAGTTTTAGCCTTTTAACTGCAAATTTGAGATTGGTTAAATCAAATTATAAATATATTCATATTGAAGGCGTGATCGAACAAAAATTTCAGTTTGGAATGAAAAAATAGAATTGATTGCAGAAGTAATTGTTGCACAAGAAAAGAGCAGTAATTGAAAGGGGCAAAAGAAAGTTGTCAATAGGCGGAAGTATCAATGAAAAAGAAGGCGATAAAAAAGGACTCTTTTATGATGGGGGAGCGAGAACAAGGAACTTGGTGAGCGTTGATTGAATGACTGGTATTTGGAGAACTTCTGTATTCCGCGAGTCGATATACGCAGGATCCATACTCGCTACAGTGCGATTAACTTCAGCGAGGACTTCGTGAATGTCTCGATTGTCGGTACTTTTCAGCCGATCCAAAACCTCGCACTAGAAATATTTTCTGTTCAACTGCAAACAACCCTTTTATCTTACCAAAGCGACAACGAAAAAGCTTCCAACTGTAGTGCTTCTCAGCGAATAGTGTTTTTCAATAGAAGAGTAGTGGATCAAACAATCAGCATCATAGGGCCACCTAGAATTGCTTTCGTTAAAATATTCCTTAACCCGATTAACAGAAAAGAGAGAAATTGTTACCTTTTTTGCACGGTGTTTCCTTGAGCTACGAGATGCGTCTTGCTGAATTTATTTCCTCGACAGGCGTTTACAAAGAAGAGCTTTGGTTTCTTGGCCATGGTTCTGTTTGCCTTTTTTAGATAATAAATCATTATTCCTACCACCAGTATTCCTTCGTAATGATTTTTATCCGCTCCTTAATAGGATCGACAAAGAAGTTCAAATCCGTGTGTGTGTCCTTCAAATAAATGATGTTATTCGCACTTCCATGCGACGAAATCGCCATGCCGAATACTTCGATATTTGAAAGATCCATGTTTTTGAAACTTTGAAGAATGTCCTCTGTGAATTTTTTGTCCGCGTTGTTGTAGATTCGAACTTCGAAGCCAAGGCGCAACATTGTTTTATTCAGTCTGGCGACGTCATTTTTCGCACCGTGTCTGAAATAAGACTAATACTGATCCTGGCTCCCTTCTTACCTCTTATTGACCACAGTACCGGTCGGAGTTCCGTCCTCATTAATCCAAACGCACGAGTTATCAAAGCTTTCGATTCCAAAGATCAAGAAAATCTTCTTCTTCGACTGCTCGACCTTTTTCCAATCATATTCGCGCTTTGTGTAAGTAGAACTAGCACTGCTGGGCTTAGTAGTTTTCGAAGAGGAAGGTGGCTGAGCGTCAGTTGTCGTATCTGATTTTTTCAAACCGACAACTTTCTTGAAGCTCTTGATGATTCCGTCGACTACGTCTCCTTCGTCGTACTCGTTCTCGACTTCGGGCAGCTTTGCTGGGTCATAAGACTTTTCCGTGACGTCCTCCCAAAGCTCAGCGTTCTTCTCTTCCGACATAATTTCTGAAAACGGCGAATGATGAGTCTTCCATGATTTCGAATAGATTTTCACTAGTTTCTCTAGTGAACTCAGGTAAATTTATTGATTCTGAAGGCATAATTGGACAAAAATTCAGGTTGGAATGGGTGTAATAAAAAATAATTGATTGAAGAAATTATCTGTTGTTGCACAAGTCAAAGAACGGTAATTGACAGAAGTTAAAGAAACAGTCAAACATAAGTCCAGTCAAATGGGGGAGCGAGATAAAGGAACGTTGTGAGCGTAGATTGAATAACTGGTATCTGGAGCACTTCTCCTCGATCCTCGATAGGAGTAGGATCCAAACGCGCTACATTGCGATTGACTTCAGCAAGCACCTCGTGAATGTCTCGCTGGTTTGTACTTTTCAGCTGATCAAAAACATCGCACTAAAAATAGTTTCTGATTCTCTGAAATAAAACTCCTCATACCAGGGCTGAAACGAAATAGCTTCCAGTTTTCCTGTCTCTCAGGGAAACTTGTTTTTCAATCGTCGAGAAGTGGATCAAACAATCAGCATCATACGGCCATCTAAAATTTATTTCGTAAAAACGTTCTCTTTAAGATACTCAATAGATAATACTCAACTAACTGAAATGGTTAAGACATTTCTTTATTCAGAATTAGAATTTTAGTCGTGGAGAAAATTGCTTTGAAAGAGTGCCTCAGGAACTCTCTCCTTCCCCTTTACGACGACGTGTTTATTAAAACTGATTTAGGAGGGTTTAATTTTTACCTTTTTTGTACTGTGTTTCCTTGAGCTACAAGATGCGTCTTGCCGATTCCCTTTCCCCGGCATGCATTAACAAAGAACAGCTTCGGTTTCGCGGCCAGAGTTATGTTCGACTTTTACAGATATTAAATTAAGATTTCATGATCTGATGGTTCAACCGTCCGCTATAATATTTGTATCTGCTCCTTAATTGGATCCACGAAGAAATTCAAATCCGTATGAGTGTCCTTCAGATAAATGATGTTATTCGCACTTCCATGGGACGAAATAGCCATGCCGAATACTTCGATATTCGACAGGTCAATCTTTTTGAAGATTTTCAGAATATCCTCCGCGACGTATTTCGAAGGATTATGATAAATACGAACTTCGAAGCCAAGGCGCACCATCGTTTTAGTTAGCCTTGCGATATCTTCCTTTGCACCATCTCTGAAATGAGGTTCAATATTACTGTCTCAACTTATCTCTGTTTTATAACTTTCAATTAAAACAAGGATCTGATAGAAGTTTAATCCAAAAGCCTAATTTAACCTTTTATTGACCACAGTTTTAGTCCGCTTTCCAGTCTTATCATCAATCCAAACGCACGACTTATCAAAGTGCTCAATTCCAAAGATCAAGAAAATCTTTTTCGACTCCTTGACCTTTTTCCAATCGTATTCACGCTTCGTGTAAGTAAAAGTAGCACTGCTAGGCTTAATAGTCTTCGAAGAGGAAGGTGGCTGAGCATCAGTTGTCGTATCTGTTTTTTTGCAACCGCTTTCTTGGGCTTTCTTGAAGCTGTTGCTTCTGAGAAATCCGTCGACCTCAGCTCCTTCGTCATATTCATCCTCGACTTCGGGTAGCTTTGATGGATCATAAGACTTCTCCGTGAGTTCTTTCCAAAGCTCAGCGTTCGTGTCTTCCAGCATTATTTCTGAAAACGGCGAACGATGAGTCCTCTTTGATTTCGAATAAATAGATTCTCAACTAGTAACTCTAGTGAACTTAGGAGTAGAAAGACAGAGAATTTTCTTCGAAGTTTAAAACTTCGAGTTCAAGAATTTGGACACAAAATCAGTCGCTTTAGGATCGTTTTGAAGGAGCTCATCGAAGGGTCGGTGCATTTGCGATTCCTGAGAATAGCCGACAACCAACTCCTGGAAATCCATCTGGCCTTTGCCGAGGAGCAACTCGATCGCGCGAGTGTCAGAAATGTTACTGAAGAGATTGTTATTTTAAAATGGTGGCATTTTCCTTCCAATCACCTGTTTTTGGCGAATTCGTTTTTGATAACTTGTCGGTAGACATTGACGGGAATAGAAGATTTGTTCAAGACGAGGATCTCTGGGGCGGCTCTGTAGAATGCTTTGTACAAGGTGAGGACTCGAAGACGAGAGTTGGCCTGAAAGGAGAGAGCATTAGGGTTAATGGGGTTGCGGAAGTCTTACTCTGGCATAGTCGGCTCGAGCTTGAGTGTTCAACTTCTCGGATGGGGTCTGCTTGACGTATCCTTCGACGGAGGCGCCGGAGTTGCGAACCGCCTGGCTCCTTACGACAGCTCGAGTCAACATTCTAGTAGTAAAAGATAGAGTTCTGCTTTTTTAGATACTTTGTAAATAACAAAAGAAAACGGCGCTTATTTTCTTATTTTTTTGACCTATTAAATTTATAATAAATAGATACCTTCAAAATATTTGTGTTTTGGTCATTTTAAATCTTCATAAAATCAAATTTAAATATTTTCATTGCTATTTCTCTACATTTAAATCTGACCAAACGAAGAGAAACCAAGCTAAACTAGCAAATCATTTTCCCTTTAATCATTTTTACTACTTTTCCTTCTCTTCTATAAATTTCCCTTTTTATTATTTACCCTTTTATTCAATTTTCGATATTAAAAAAGCATTGAAAGAACTTTCTTTATTTAGATTTTATTGAAAATAGAAGGAGGAAAATTGTAATTCAGCTCAGAAAAAAGGAGGAAAAAACACATCAAGAATAACCACAGATAGAAATTGTTTCGTAGGGTCATGTTTTTGGAAAAGTAAAGTAACGAGGTAGAATTATTTACAAAATCGGAAAGTAGTAAAAGTCAAGTAGAGTGCTAAAAGGTGAGAACAACTGTATAAATAAGGAGGAGTGGGTGTTCAGTGAGAAGTGTCGAGAAGAGGCGTTTTTGAGCGGAATCGGGAGAAGTGGGAGGCAAATGACTGCTGCACCCCTTGCGAGTGTTCACATTGATTCACTGCGCCCGACTTTCTACAATGTTTGCAGACGAGCACGCCGCAGGAGCTAGAAAATAGAGTTGAGAAAGGTCAAAGGTCGGGTCGAGCGACGTACCGGCAGTGCCAAGGGCGGCGAAACCAAATACTGGCGTGGCATTGGTGGCAGTTCTTGTGGCGCGTCTCGATGTTCTTGCGTCGGAAATTGTGCTGGTCGGTTTTGGAGAGGTAGGAAGAGTCCTCGGATTGAAAGAGGAGGAGGCAGTTGACGAAGAGGGATGACTCATCGTCCAGGTCGATATACTTGCCAGTGGTAGGCTCGATGATGTTCACTTTCTCGAAATCAACGCCGCGCAGACGGTTGCATTTTTTCAAAGTATCTCCCACGGACACTAGAAACTAGAGTTACCGACCTAGAGCACAAGAAAAATGACTCACCATCGTCGTGGACTGCAACAGTTGTGAGACCGTTGAGTGTTAGAACTTGGAAAGTCCTCCGCGGCATGCCGAAGTTTCGTCGCTGAGTGATGTCGTAAGCTGGTTTCATTTCTGTGAGCATCATTTTTTCTATGATTGATGGATTGATTGAGGATGAGTTGAGTAGTCAGAAAAATACAGTATGCGCCGATTTCAATTTTATAAATCTGAAAAGAAGAGGGGTTAAAATCTAGAATTTTTTAAGTGAGCTTAAACTTGAACATTAATAATTGAACTAGACGGGACGTTTCTTGTGCGTCTCATGTGTGGCAGTCTAACAGGTGAACAAGTCGAGAGGTTCGTCCTGAATCTCACTCTTCTTCTTCCTCTTCGTCCATGGTAATGTCCATGACTTCTATCGACGTTTCCGCCTCGACTCTGCGCATCTTTTGCTCCAGCCCATGAATCGCTTGAAGAAGGACATGCACTTCTTTTCTTCTCTCGTTTAGCTTGGAATCGAGCCCTTCCTTTTCTATAAAAACGACGGTTAGAATTATTCTCTTCCTTGATTTCAGATGATTTACCGATAGTTAAAGCGTCGATGTCTTCTTTTATTTTCTCGATTTCGGCGTTGGACGTTGCTCTGTCAGGATGTTTGTTGATGATTTTGGCAAAGGCGTCGTATTCTTGCTGATTGGACTTGTATTTTCGCGCTTCTTTCAGCTCGGCTCTGAAATCGCATAAAATTTTAAGCTAGAACTGTTGAACGTACGTTGCTTTTTCTATCATTTTCGAGGCATTGGACATTTCAACTTCAACTTCTTTCTCGTTGTCAATGTATTTTTGTCGTTGGCGCTCGTTGGCCTTGGCGATCATTGTCAACTTCTTCACCTGCGAACGAAGTTGAAAACGAAAGTACTTATGAATGGCCCTGGCAAGCTTCCTTGACCTAGGAACGGATAATTGACCTGATATTCCGCTTGATCGAGCATTTGCAAAATCTTCTGTCCAGCTGCCTGATCAGGTTCCGGACTGTTGCACCACTAAACCAAATACTCACTATTTCTTATTTACTCTCTCGCGCGAAGTTTCAGGTTTTGAAAGTTCTAGGCACGTCGAAAGGTACTTTTACGAGTCTTACCCGAAGAAAGGATTTTAATAAAAGTGTCAGCTTCCTGTCATCGCCCGCACCCTCGCCGTCAAGCAACAATCGTGTGCGAATCACTTCATCGTCCTTAGCGGTGTTCATTCTAAAATAACTAATATTGGAGAAAATCTTCATCAAAATTCATAAAAAACGAATAACTTTGTAGACTTTAAACTAAAAAGAAAATTGACCTGAGCTGCCTCGAGTTTTCCGTAAATTTGAGCTCTAAATCAGCAGCTATTTGGCAATCCAACTTTTGGAAAAAGGAAAAGACACTGCCTAATCATTGCTGATTTAATAAACTCACAGAAATGTAACCCTCAACAGCGGGGGGTAGGGATAAAATTTTCACGCGTTTCTTTCACAACGGGTGTTAAAATTATCCTCCGCAAATTTTAACCCTTGGCAGCTGGCTGGTATTTAAAGGTTATTAGGATCCGGCGAGGATCGATTTGAAGTTGCTAAAAATATCGTTTTTTTTTTCTTTTCAAGCCCAACAAATTTAACGAATTTTAAGAATTCCAGGGTAAGAAATTTCACCCCTGTTCTTTATTCGATAAATCTAATTCTTCAATGACAATCGCATAATTTCTTTCCCTCTTTCCGGAGCAGAAAATACCTGCAACAGAAAGATGACAAATCGAAAAACAATCTCTAAATTCTTCTTTCAAATCGCTGATTCCATCTTCCTTCTGTTCTTCTTTCTCTAATAACAGCACTTGGGAAGCTTTTCCTCTTCTTCTCTCAAAAATCTCTTTCACTTCTGACTTCGAGTCTTTTTAAAACGGTTCAAAAACACTCCAAACTCTATTTCCGGGAGAATGAAGCGTGCGGGCATTTCCGCTTCTTAATCCGGTCGAGGAAAAAGGAAAACGGCGAAAAATTGATAGTGCGTGGCCCGCGGTGCTTGCTCTCAAAGTGCCCGTCATTTTGGTTATGGGGTTTTTTTAAATTGGTGATTTGAACCGGACCGACAGCGGCGCAATAATGCGCCAAGCCAGATGCGCTCACGCGCGCCGCGATCTCGACGGACGCCCCGCGCGGCAGACAGGACACGAGGATACTGAAGCTCCCTAAATCTTCGCTGCGGATGCTGTTTTTGGGCTTCTTGGAGTAGAAAAGTTAGGGTGATGGGATAAGAATGATGGGAAATATCTTTGCTATTCGTTGGAAATTGAAGTTAAAACTCGAACCTTAGACCAAGAAAGGGACCATTTTGAAAATTTATGAGAAAATGATAGAAGATGACCTGATAGAAGCTACTGTACGCTTTAGTCTCTTATATTCAAGATCTAAAAAACAATCTGAACAAAAACACGGATCAAATAAAAAAGCGAATAAGCAAAATATCAAAGGCCAATAAAACTTAGTAGACAATCATTATTTGAGGGGATAAACTACCGTTTACGATAAACATAGACAACATTTTGTTTATTGATTTTTGGGAATAAGCCCGTTCCTGGTACCAGTGGCAATGTCCTCCGAGGTGATGAAAGAGTACATGCTCTGAGCTTGAAAGCTAGGCGCCATCAGTTCGATCAGCTGGTCGCGGTGCGAACAAGCGAGGCGCAGTTGATTTGAGGCTCCCGCCGCTAAGAGGTGTTCCATCCCTCGTAAACCTTTGCAGAGCTTTAAACCGACCGCCATCAGTTAAAAGCAATAAACCACGGGCAACCAAAAATGCATGCTGTTTTAGAAGCACTAACTTTTCCTTCAATACAACCCATGTTGTAGAAAATCTCAAACTCTAAAAAACCATTTATTCTCGGGCATTTTAGTTTAGCTATTTTGATGAAAATATTTTTTCTATAATTTGAAAAATATCGTTCCAGCTTTCATCCTTTTTTGAACAATTGCATTGCACATTTTTTTAGTTCCTATTCTTCAGAGAAATCTTCTGAGAATTCAAATAAGCCCATAAAAATACCCAATGCTCCGGATTTTTGAAAATTTATGACATGCTTATTTAGATGGGAGCCGGATATCATTTTTTGTCGTGTCTTTGAGCAAAGCCATAAATCGCCGAAAGTCAGTGTGCTCAAATTTCCCTATTTTCCCACTTGTGATATTTCCTTCCGATAAGAAATTTTGAAATTTCCAATTGTGTGAAAATCTCAGCTCATAAAGTTTGGACCTGGGAAGATTGCAACAGTGATTTATGAGTATTGCCTTTTCTGCAATTCTATCTGTAATAAACATACTGTTGGGAGGAAGTTATTGTTGCTCATTGGCTCATGGGTATTTATTCAAGAACCAGTGGGGTATAATTTATTTTTGGGGTCCCCTTGAAGAGCTGAGAAAATATTTTTCCCACAGGTTCGAAAACAGGAAGTGGCGGGTGCTGCGATAGTGGCGGGATTAGACACCCTGTCCTAGACTGGCCGAGATACATTTCCGCTCCCCTGCTGAGATTTATGGTACCTCCTATGGCGGCAAATCCTTTCAAATTCGGCCGTTAAGCTCTCTCCTATGATTCCGGACAAGTACAATTCCTCGTTGAACAGCGCAGCTTGAGAATATGGCCCAACAACGGAGCAGGCCCAATTCGAGCGGCTAGTCACTTTCAACCTTATTTTTTCGTTGATCTACTAGCAGAGTAAAAGCTCTTCGTGATAGCCTATTACATATAAACATTAGGTCTTCGAGTCTTTATTGAAGAACGAAAACATTTCGTGAGAGGAAAACTAGATAAACGATCCTTTTCGAGTTTCCAGAGTCGCCTCCTCTTGCCAAGACGTTGATGATGAACGACTGGTCGGGTGGCAAGTCAACTTCGACACAGAGCCTGGTCGGCGTTTTTTTCTCGCCTTTGAAGAATTCGTTGTACGCCGCATTCATTGTGTTAAATTGACTGTGCGAAGAATTGAAACGTGTGATTATTTTTCTCTCGCTTTTGAACCAACCTTAAATCGCGGAGAAATAGCTGCACTTGAACAATGTCGGCTCTATTGAGGCCTCTCGCCTTTAGCCCGCAATTAACAGTTTCCAGCGCGGCGGCGAGGGTTGAAGAGCTGAGACCGGAAATCGCCACGAATCGACCATCGGATGCGATGATTTTACCCTCCGTGACTGCTGGAACGGCCGCTGCATCTGATCGATACTGCACAAGTGTGTTGGGAAAATATTCACTCTAATAGCCACGGAAGCGGGAACGCGCACGCGATCCAATGCACTGACAAATTTCATGCTTAGACTTTGCTCGAGATCTTCATCAGAGATCGAATTTTATGTTCCCAAATTTCAATCATTCAATTAATAATCATCATTAATTCGGGTCAGAAATGTCTGAAGAAAAATCTCCTTTTGTATTGTATAGCCCCTCTAACCCACTCAAGAAGTATTTCTCGAATGACCTTTAGCCTTGGATAAAAATAAAGGATGAATGAAAACCCCGTCAAGAAATTCGGCTCATCCCTTTATTGAGAAACAGGGAAAAAATAAATCGAGGTGTATATTTTCATTTGAGCGCTACGTTTTTTGTCGCATCGACAAAATGAAATTCTGGTTATTGTTGCATGCATAGAAGCGTGACCTAGTTAGCGAGTACGGCTTTTATGTAGCATTTGAAGCAGTAATCCTCGAAAACAATGGACACCATAAACAGGGTAAATCGGCTTATCGAACAACACGCGGCCTATATCCCCCACTAAAACTTGATTCAAGGCCTCTTGACCTAGACCATGCTAAAAAAATCTCATCCCACAAAAAAAGGATGACGAAAAAAAGTCCAAATTGGCATTCAATAAGTTAGTTTAGACAGCATGTAACTTATGTATTGAAGATTTTTTTGCAATTCTCACACCCTTCTTTTTTGTTGTGAGAAAAACACAACTCGCTCTAGTGGCTCATGTAATCCGGATTCTTGATCCCTGAAAACAGAAAATCTAGTCGCGAACACACATTCCTGTCGCATCGCTGGCGAAAGCCTCCAATCCGCGTTTCCGCTTTCTGACTGCCGGAAACTCTTGGTCTCTTTGGAATGCGTTGAGCAACACTCTACTAAACAGCGACTACTTGTTTCCCACTTCTTTCACTTTCTCAAATCATCTCCTAAAGAAGCTTTCTTTATTTGGAGGTAGTAAACCGGGGCGTCGAAGTCATCCGAGTGCAAGATCGTTTCTGTCTCCTCTAGAGCGATTTTCTTCTTGTAGAGAGGACAGTCGGTCACGAACGATTCGAATTCGCCACCTGAAAAGGGAGATGACTATATTGAGAAAATAGGGGTAAAGAGAAAAGTGAAATGTACCCCTAAACAACTCTGTATCAACAGAGAACAGAAGAGGATGAAATTCAAAGCGCTTTGAAGCTCGAATCGCCACGAGCGTAAAATTTAAGCGCACTGTTACCTTCGCCCGCCGGATGTACTCCGAATTTCTCTTCCAAAGTTAAGAGCGTCGGGGTCAGCTCGTGAAGCAGCTTTCCGACGTGCTTCCGGTTTAATCCCAGCGCCGCCACTTTTACAATGACGACCTCGAAGCCAAGTTGCGACAAGTCCTGGATGTACTGCTTCTGATCTTTTTGCCAAAGCGGAGCGAGTGAAACCAGCCCAAGTCGGCTGCAAACGGACTCAACTCGTACTCGCTGGTAATCTTTCTAGGCGGTCAAAGTTTTAAATAAAGGGTATCTCCATCGATTAGGCAATCTTTAACGAATTTCAAAATTTGGGAATCATGGAGGAGAATCTTTCAAAATATCAAAGGTCTTCGAAAAATGAGCCGCTTTCCTGAAAGAAGAGCACCGCAGCAAATTCCATCAATTTGCATCTGTTTCTTCATTTTTGCCAGAAGAAGGTAGAGATCTTCCACTTCGTCGCCTTCTGATGGTGTGTAGTCCATGGTTGAGCAGTTGGACTTGCTTTTAGAGCCTTGCGTGAAGATGGGCAATTCAAGCGCTTGAGCAACGAGTGAGATTCCTTCTGTAGCGACAGATTGGTACATTTCCGAGTCGGGCTCGCCGCCATCCTCGGGATAAATGTGGCCAATACACGTGACATCGTGGCCCGATGCAACTTAGCAATCCGAGTTTGATGGATGGAAAAATTACTCTAGTACGTAAAAAAAGGATCGGAGCAGTGAAGCGTGGAGCTACTCAATTTATTTAGTACAACTGTTCTCTAGGTCACACGTCCGTCAAACTTTCCTACAGCGTGAAGGGCGAACAGCGAATCTTTCCCACCGGAAAGCAAGGCGCCGATTTTCATATTTATTTCTTATTACGCTTTCGACTTTCTATACACAAACAATCTACATTTTCTTTAGAACTTTATTTTTTAATTTCCGAGGAAAATATTTCAACATTGAAATTAGTTTAAAAAACTGGAGGAGTCTACCCCCATAAATACTTTGAAAAACTCCTATTGAACAATTTAGGGGTCCTTTTCCGACGGTCAGTCGACAATTTAAGGAGACTCCAGATATTCTGATATTGAAGTATTCAGAAGGGTTTTATTTAGAATAGCGAATAGATTCAAATAGGTAAAAAGATAAAATTGGTACATGCAACAACGTATGATGTGAGTGTGTGTGTACGAATATGTTTTTTTTGCAGACAGTGTACTGTTATTATATAAAATTGATATTTTCTGAAGGTGAAAATGGCATTGTTTGTATGACAAAAATAGAAAGGTAAACAATAGTTTTTTTAAACATGAAGAATTAGGCGGGCAGATTTTTTTTCAATTATTCGTTCAATATTTAGCAGCTTGTCTAGTCGGTCTAAAAATAACGATGAGGGATGGAGAAAAAAATACTTCCGCTCTTGTTAGTTTTTGAAAAATACAAAGAAAGAAAATCGCAAAATAGAACCTTTCTCTCGACTTTTCTGTTATGATAACTTTCTCGTTCAAATTTTCTAACTAGCGGCTATAAATTTAAATTTACAGTAGCTTTAATCAAATACAGTAGGGCTTACTTTAATGATGTCGGAAACTGGGACAGCTTTTGTCTGCGAATCGCGTCGTGGAAAACCGTTGCTTCCGTTGCTTCCGAGGAGGGCCTGTGCATTTGCCTGAGAATGTAAATCAGTGAGTTTGTTAATTTGCCAATTTTAATGCGCATCTTCATTGACCCCGGGGGTCAAGAAGTGTCAGTTCACGAGTGAACGAACCTGGAGTGATTTGGCGTGAGACGCAGCAGCAGCGAAATAGTCGACCTGGGCGTCGATGAATTCCTGGTACGCTCTCAACTAGAAGGAAAATGAATGATCACGCCTCTTGCCTGGAATGATAAGTTAACAAATTCGCACCTGTGTTGAGTGATGCGAGCTCGTTCCTTCCAGCAATAGTTTCAGGAGCTCTTGTTGTCTTTCAAAGTCCGTCTAAAATTCAAAAGCGTTAAAAATCAAAACTCTTTAATCAAAGATCACCTGTAAATTGCGAACTTCTTTCTCCTGCTGATCTCGACCTTCGAGGGTCTTCACCTTTTTCAACTTTGCTTTTGCCGCGTCCAGGTCCAATCGTTTTGTCTCCAGAATTCCCTTTTCCTTGAAAATAGTTTTTGCATCGTTCTCGAGGAATGTCTTGAATGGTCCAATTACACATTCCTTCGCCTTGTCCAAATAAATCTTCTCTGCCTTTGAAATTTCGATTTGGGCGTTACCAGAAGCCTCAAGAATAGCTCCTAGTTGTTCATTGCTTTCTTTTGCTCCGGCACTCGAGCAGAGGAGGGATGACCCGAGTGATTCCAGCCCAGAGAGGTCTTGAGGTCGTCCAAGCGAGTTGCCAGAGTCGATCTGTAAATAACGCTTATGGAATACTTCGAAAGTGAAGGAAGATAAGCTAGTAACTCTTATTTTGGTTAGAGATGAAAAATCAGAATCGCCAGATCAAAAGACCTTACCACCTTATTACTCTCACAACTCGCCCATTTTTGATTGATCGAGCCTAACTACAAGCAGAGCTTGCTAAACGAGCACAGTATCAACATTCGAGCGTACCTTGCTGAGAACGAGCTTCTCCATGCGGAGGTTTGGGTTTGGTTGAACGAGCGCATTCATTGAATCGCAAATTTTCGACAAATTGACTTGCATCACTTGAAAGCGGCGGAACATGACGTCCACATCCGGGTCAAGCGGCGTCTTCTCCACTGAAAACATATTTTGGAATAAATTAACGATTGTCCAAGATAATCCGGCTTTATAAACAAGAATACACTTCTCTTTTTGTATTCACGGAAAAGTGGAGCGGGGGTCACTCAAATCTCTTCCTTGCCATTATTTTTAAGCGGGAAAAGCTTTAGTTTGCAGTGGTACCTTGGCCTAACTGCAGTTGCTCTTCTGTGTACTGCTTCGCCCTGCTAAAGAGGGTTGAAGCATCTGAGGCGAATTTTTTGACGTCGATTCCGAGTCCCTCCATGGGCGAGCCAGGCAATCTGAGCGACATTTTCTTGGAGTAACTTTGAAACTTTCAGAGTTCACTCTGAAAAGCAACTCGAATTTTTTATCACTTTCTTTTCGAAAAACTTTAAATAATTTCGAATAAAAAACAGGGTTGAAGAAGGGTCTGAAATTAGGCAATGGAAAGTCGAGGAATGTCGATTGTTTCGTTTTTCTGAACTGATTGATATTGAGCGATGACCTCATCGATTGAGTGAAGAGCTTCTTGGAAGAGGCTCGAGTCGAAGCCATCCACGTGGTTGTAGTGGTGGAGGTGAGCTTTTCGGCGGTAGAGTTTGGAGAAACGAGATTTCAGCGCCGTGAAGGATGGTAAAATGCTCGTTGAGTTGTGAAGACCGAGAAGGGAGAAGGGCTGACCACTTGGCGCGACTAGAATGGTTAGGGTTAAGCTTCAAGGCCTCGTAAATAGACTTACCGTTGCATAGACCAACCTTCCATCCATCTTGGTTCCAATTGACAAACTGCAACTAAAGATAAATTTACAAAAATGCAAGCAGGTCTAACATGGTCGCACTCAATGAAGCGTAATTCTAGCGTTATAATACCTGTTTGGCAAGACGGGAAATGTTTCGCCGCATGTCCGATAATTCAATTTTGCCTCTCGCGATCAAGGCCGAAGCCGCAAGTACAGATCGTCTCGGATCGCCGCCCACGAGCGCATGCGTGCCCAAAATATACCAGGTCAACAAAAAGAGAATAGGATACTGGATGCTATTTAGATTGATTCCAGATTAACAACGCGTCTCTTGAGAGTCGAGTAAAATCGAAATTGCTGTAAATTGTGGACCTGGACCGAAAAAGCGCTTGTGAACATTTCATCGAGCCGTCTGATGGGAAGATTCAGATCTTTGGAGAGGAAGAGAGGGGAGAGACAAGTAGTGAGATAGTGCATCCGTGGGAAGGGAACGAGGTTCATCGTGATTTCGTTCAAATCGACATTGAGTGATCCTGGGAATCGGCAGGAAGAAGTGATGTTCAAAATACTCTGAAAAGATGGGTTACTTACTTCAAATTCAAAAGAGAATAGCCAGTTCTGCCGATATTTTCTGATATTTTTCAGCCCCGGTCGTTTATTTTTTAATCTTGTTGTCTCTTTTCTTTGTTCAATTTAAGTTAAATCACAAAAAAAGATGGCTGCTATGGCCGGCCGATTAATATATCAATAATGTTTGGTTTAGGGCATTAATGAATGAGCAAAATGCTCAGGCAAGAAAAAATGTCATATCGATTCAATTCGACATTCAATTTGTCAATGCAAATCAGATATTTACTGACCTGGGCGACTAACGAGTTCATCTCGCCCCAGCTCGTCTTTTTCTCGCTGCCGGCATTTGCAGTTTCCGTGATGCGGTGTCTAGAATTGTTCGAAGCGGCCTTGACGCGATTGGTGATCTCAGCGAGGGACGAGTTGTCGACTGGCATCACGGAATTTGCATAATCGGTCAATTGACGCATTGCTAGCATTGAATTGTAAGGGCTTGTGATGACATCGTCGTCTCCTGATGGATACACTTTGTTTTGGGCTCTTTAATGAAATATTCATAAAGGCTAGATAAGACATCATCTCTCGATGAAATTGTTTGAAGAGGCCTTGTTCTTATCCTCGAAATCGAGCCCTTTGCCTGGAGTAACTAGCCTCTCAATATCAGGAAATTCATCTGCCAGTACTGACAGTACATTTGTCCCCAAGCCCGATCCAGTGCCACCACCCATCGAGTGAATAATGAACCAGCTACTCATTGCTTCGCATTTTTCAGCAGTATGTCTCAGCACTTCATAAATTCCCTCTCCTTTAGGAGGGTTACTCACAGTTTCAAAGTAGAAACATCAAATTGACGGTAATTAACTGTTTACGGTTTCCCCGGCCTGTATCGCGATCCATATTCATAAAAGCCAACGGCCCAGTTATTTCCGGAGCCAGATTGGGAAGTGACGGACAGGGCGGGATCAAAGAGCTCTCCGATGGATGAGCGTTGAGACGCCTCCACAACAGACTCTTCCATATCAATTAGGACTGCGCGCGCTTTTAACGACGAAATTGGAGAGCTAAAAATATCATTCCAGCTTTCTGTCCAACCTAAGGTTCTTCAAGTTGAACCATCAATTACCCGACTTTGAGCTCCCTTCCAGAGGACGAATCAGTATTCCGAAAAAACGAGCTCAGCGCCATGTCATAAACAGTATCTTGTTTGGCTACAGAATGCTCTGCCAAGGCCATTTCCCAGAATCGCCGGCCAATTTGATTGCCGCATTGGCCGACTTCGACGAGCACATTTTCAGTCATATTCTGAAGGCACCATAAGTTATTCCTTGCTAAGAGGGCCCCATACTTTATGAGATCGAATAAGGGTGTCCTAGCCTATAAGGCTAATATCAAAGCAGCGCTGATGATAACCCTGACACCTCTTAGACGAAGGGAATTAGGCCTCCTTAATGACTACTTTCCTGTGGTACTGAGCTGCTCCTTTTTCTGAACACACTTACACCCACACAGGACCTAATAAGGTCTGTACCGAAGAAAAACTACTCCAACGTATGGTTTCAGTACCTCGGGAGATAACGACTATTCAGCGTAGAATGATCAAGGAACTGTATTACAGAATCGAAAAGAGAGGCAAGATTAGAGCGATTGAATGAATTCGACCAAACGGGAGTTGAAAAGTTCTGGATCGTCCAAATAACAAGGGTGTTTCCCATTTGGAATCATGAGAACTGAAGAGTGGGGAATGTTGGACATGAAATCAACTGAAGTCGCGCCCAGGGATTTGTCTAGTTCGCCGTAGATGATCAGCGTCGGGACAGTGATTTTAGCATAGTCCTCTTTGCTACAGAAAGGTTACAATTGTTCCTCAAGAAAAGGACGAGAAATGAAGTACCTTACTCTATTAGCACCAACAGGAGCGACTGGAACATAACCCGCAAGACGTTCTGCTCCCTTCTCTTTCAAAAAAGGAACAGAATAACTACCAGACATCGACGGAGAAACGAGAACAAACTTTTCACCAGGATAAAATTTGTTCAAATAGGTGACAGTGTCGGACGGCTTTGAAATTCCTTTTGACTCGCCAAAACCGGGCAAATCAATCGCTACTCCTCTGATGTTTGCTTTTGACAGAGCTTCAAGAGTGTTTGTTTCAACCCAAGTTGCAGAAGAAAACGCAGCTCCGTGGAGTAAAAGAACTGGCGGATGAGATGAGGAACTTTTTTGGCTTTTTATATCAGAAGATTCTTACAACAAGTTGAGAAATTCTGAGTCCTAAGAGCCCTCTTGAGGATTTTTGACAAATGAGAGGGGGACCTGATGACTCAAAAAATGGCCCGTATTTGTAAGGATTTGAAAACCATTCCTAGGTCCAAACGGAACTTTCTTCAACTCAGGATAAGGAAAAACATCGTTTTGTTTCTCGCTAGAAACAGATTTCGCAGATGGAGGCTCAGCCATATCAGAATCTTTCGTCGAAGAAAAAATTAAAATTATTCCAAAAACGAACAACGCCGAAGCTGCGATTTTTAAAATGGTATTCTTCGACAAATATTTGCCTGTTTGGTTTTCGAGTAATTTCACTTTGTCCGACATTCTCAACTTGAAGAATTCGACTTTTGACTTCTGCAGAGGAAAAAAATACAAGTTTTATTGATTTTCAAAGAAAATAATAATATATTTATATCCTATTTTTAAAAAAGGCAGTAACTGTGGAATGGGAAACAAAAAAGTAATAATTAGACTACGTTCTTTTGGATACGTCAGTAATTGAGTAAACAGTAGAATGAATCAGTCGTCCTTCTATTTTTGAACTTGAGTTCTTGATTTCTAAATCTCCATCTGGGCGGTTTTGTTGCTCACTTCGCCGTAGAGGAAGTGCTCTTCGTATTCTTTGAGATACTCGGTCGAGCGCTTCTCGTCCATAAACAAGCCGTAGCACTTTCGAACGTCTTCTACGCTCACTTGCTGGAAGATTCAAGGTTAGGGTTCGGAAATCATAGCTAGAGCTTTACCTTGCTCTTCTTTCTTTTGGCGTGGAGGGCTGCGGGAGTGATCAACTGAATAGCATAGCGGAGGGAGGAGTCGTTTGCGATCTTCGTCAGTACATTCAAAGCCATCTTCAATTTTTAATTGATAAGCGTGCTAAAGAGGGCAGAACTTACGTCTTCCATGTTAACATCTTCTTCCTCGCAGCGCGTCTTCAAAATCAATCTCAATTCGTCTTCCGTGTATGGCTCCGTTCGAATGATAATCAAACGATCGAGCAAATCTGTAGGGAGACCATGAGCCGTCTAAAAAAGGGGAATGAAAATCGGAAGAATACGGGTGTACAATCGTACTTTATAATCAGTTCCACGGATTCTAGTGACGCCTCTGTTCGTAGCCATAACCATAATCGGCGCCATTTCGTCTTCTAGTGCTCTGTTCAGAAAACTGAAGCACTCAATGTCCAGCATGTGGACCTAAAAGCGAAATGATGAAGATGAAATGATATGTGAATGAAATCGAACCTCGTCGATGAATAAAACGCCGGGAATGATGTCGGCTTTGCCTTGCTCGCGCCACTCGGAGACTTTCTTGTTGATTTGGCTTCTGACTTCGGAGGTAATTTCGCCAGTGTCGCCGCTGAAGAGGGCCAAGTAACCTGAAAATTGATTGTGAGCTTTCTTAACTAAATCTGGCAGCTGCTGCTGGCCTCTATAACTACCAAGATGTTTATTGATGGAAAATGATTTTACGGTAGAGCAATTTCATGAAAAAAGAATCATGATTTAAAACTACGAAAGGGCGCCTTATTTTCGTGCTATAAATACCTCCCAGAATCAAGGGAGTTCCTAAAGTGCAATTTACACATTTGTTAGTCATTTTATTTTCTTACAGATGCCAATTTCTCAATGAAATTTTCCTGCTGCAAACGAAGACTGAAATGAAACGAAAGGCCAGCTCAAGAGTGAATTCACCTCATCGTATTTCTTAACGCTATGAAAACCTGATTCTCGAATATAAATTAACACACTAAACAATCTCTATTCTTGTACAGTGGGTTGCGCAGTTGGTTGCCCCTCTGCGATTGCAGCTTTGGTTGCCCCTTTGCCCGCGCTTTTTTTATTGTTCCTTTCTAGACTCGCTCAAAGTGATTGCAGGATTGGTTGCCCCATCGCCCGCTCTTTAGGGGGCAACTACCTGCGCAACCCACTGTATCTGAGTAACATCGCTCATTCATCTATCCAAGAATTCTATTCAATTAATCAATAACCTCTCTCTACTAACTCCTTTCAAAGCTCCTCCCTTCGGAAATCCTCATGCTGCATGAGTCATGGATAGGGGGAAATCACTAATAATTGAGTTTTTTTTCTAGCTTAGTAGGATGGGAGTTTAATACAGTTTTAGAATCCCCAGAAGCTGGGGATCATTTTGACTATTCATAGTGGGGGTTGATCTCGTACCCTGAGGCGATTTACATTCCTCCGAAGTCCCAAAATCTGGCCAATTTCGGAAATGAGAATTTTTGTAGCCCTAACTCGACCTTTTAGAGGTCGTCGACTATGCCAGGTTGTAGCCCAGGCTCTGGCGGTCATTTTGAGCCCTAGAAAAGTAGTGAGGGGGGTGGGTCCCTGGGGAGCTAGAGCCTCTTGTAGTTAGGGAACTCGACAAAAATTAAGTACTTTTTCACAAAAAGTATATTATTTGTATCACGAATGCGTTCCAAAGACTTTTATTCGAAATTTATTCATTAAAAAATGGTAAAAATGTCATTTGGGGTCATCTGAGGTCAGATGGGGTCACTTATCAGAATTTTATGTATTTCTCATAATTCTTGACCAAAAGTGACCTCAGCTGACCTCAAATGACATTTTTACCATTTTTTAATGAATAAATTTCGAATAAAAGTCTTTGGAACGCATTCGTGATACAAATAATATACTTTTTGTGAAAAAGTACTTAATTTTTGTCGAGTTCCCTAACTACAAGAGGCTCTAGCTCCCCAGGGACCCACCCCCCTCACTACTTTTCTAGGGCTCAAAATGACCGCCAGAGCCTGGGCTACAACCTGGCATAGTCGACGACCTCTAAAAGGTCGAGTTAGGGCTACAAAAATTCTCATTTCCGAAATTGGCCAGATTTTGGGACTTCGGAGGAATGTAAATCGCCTCAGGGTACGAGATCAACCCCCACTATGAATAGTCAAAATGATCCCCAGCTTCTGGGGATTCTAAAACTGTATTATACTCCCATCCTACTAAGCTAGAAAAAAAGCTCAATTATTAGTGATTTCCCCTAGTCATGGACCATTCAGAGAAGGAATACAGTACCTTGCGCTCGGGAGTTAATAACATCGATCTCATGCATCGTGACAGTATGAACGACTTCCTTTCGCTTCTCCAGTTCTCCTTCGGGACATTGCACGAATCGCACACTTCCAGAGGAAGCGTCGAAGTCTCTTCAAAGCCGATAAAATCTTAGTAACTCGCAAAGACAAACCTGGCTCTGGTGAAGCTTCGTCCCAATTTGGAAACGCGTCCGGAAGCCTTGTCGATGCTGACGACGTCTCCGGCCGTGATCTTTTCTTTCGTGATTTGCTCGATCATTTTCTGGCCGAGATCATAAACAGTCTCCATGTCGGTCGTCTTGATCGTCAGTTTTCCGATCTTTTGGCCGGTTCCGGTCGCGGGTCGCTCAATTTCAATTTCGACGACTTCTCCTTCCAGAATTTCCGCTTCTTCCTTGATCCTTACTCCAATCGACTTTCGAAACGCCTGAAAAATCATTTGAAAAGAGAGCCAAATACCGGCGTTCGTACCTGCGTCAAAGCTTCAGTCTTGCTCATGTCGTGTGAGAAGATTTCTGAGGCTCCCATTGCCGTAAAAGGCGTGTCCTTGCCCAAAGACTGCGCCATACCCATTGCAATGGCTGTTTTACCCGTTCCAGGCTGTCCGGCAATTAGGACTGCTCGGCCAGCGATGCGTCCAGACTACGAAAGAAGTCACTTTCATTTTTCACAAAAAGCTAGTCAGCTGACCTTTGCCATTTGAAGCATGACCCCAGCGCCTCGACGGGCTTTTTCTGTCCAACCATTCCCTGTGAAGTTTCCCGCGGCTCCAGCTCATCGGAAAGACCTAATCCGCGAATGTGAGAATGAGCAGACACTCGCTCGATTCTGGTCGTATCCCGCACTTCTGTCAAAACCTTCGAATCCATTCTAAAAACGCACGAGTTATTTTTTATTGCAAAATTTCGAGAAAAATTAAGAGGTTAACAAATTTTCTTGACGAAAGTCTTTCTCGTTACATAGAAATTACGATCTGCAAATATTTACGCTTTTTTGCTCTAATAAAGCGGCGAAAATCAAGTCGAGAAGAATAGGAAGAAAAATTGCGAATTCTTTCGCGGCGCGGCCAATCAGCGCTTGAGAAGGAGCCAGAGAATCTTCCGTCTCAAAAATCGTCGGATTCTACAGATGCTCCGAAATTTACGTATACGAGCCGCTAGGAAGGGATTTAGAGACAGCTTTTCATCCAAAAAGAGATTAAAATTCTAAACAGACGATTTTAATAATAATTCAAAATTTTTCTCTCAAAAGAAGCTCTAGAAAAACAACGCTGATCCCGTTTTAAAGCTACTACACGAAATACGGAATCTCCCGAAATGCAACAGATGCGGAAATCAAGAAGGCGATAAATGCGTACACTCTGAATAATGCTTTCAAATCTCCTTTTTCTGCGCCCCTGCCGAAGAGTCCCAAAAGCAGACTTGGACTTGTTGCGATTTTTGCGGCAAGGGATCAGTTTGCCAAATATATTCTCATTTATCAGAGGTACATTCATATCCTAGTTATATAAAATGTTGAAGCAGCAAAAATTCATGGAACTCTTATTGATACACCGCATAAAGTCTTCATTATAAATTGTGAAATGATATCCAAGAGGCACGATATTAGGGAAGTTTCAAAATTTTGTGACATGGCAAAAATTTTGAAGTTTCCCATGACGAACTCACACTATTTCCTTAAGCTCTTCATTTTAGCATTTTTACTTTGGAAATCGTCGATAGCTCTCCGTTTTATTTCAAATTGTTTACAAAAGATCGAGCGCCACATTTAGCGTGTTACTCAACAAATACCATCTTGACCTAAATTGTATACCTAGGACTCCCCAGCAATTTCAAATTTATTCAATCCTCAGATCAGATTGATAATATAGTTCAAGTTGGAAAAAATCGAGTAAGGTAATTATGAGTATCTTGGGCTGCTCGTATTCAAAATAAGATTGAAAAGGGGGAATTTTAAAAATCATTGACAAATAACTCTTTAGACAAGCTTACAACATCTGGGTAGACGAACGTAATCTTGGAAAGGCGATGGCAACTGCTCTCTATTCTAAAAATCATCTTCTCGTCTGACGATCAAAATAAAAGAAAACAAGGAAGAGAACGCGACGAAAAATGAACACAACTTAAGTGCCGATTATTTGAACAGAAGACTGGCCGAGGAACAGAAAGCAGCGTGGAGTGGAACCAGTTCAAGACAAAAAACAGTTGATGAAAACAAGAGGGATGAGAAAGCAACAGAAAACAATAGAAGCTCAACAGAGAAAAGTGAGATAAAAGGAGAGACTGTTCTAAAAGGCGAAATTGAACAAGAACCTATTCTCCCGAAGGTAATTGTTTACACAGCCAATACGGTATCTCCCATAAAAGTGCTTTCTTGCTGCGAAAATGAAACTAGGGCATTCTCTTTTTTGAACGACCCACGATGTTTGCCATGTTCTCTTGGGTCGATCTAAGGCTCCATATAAAAACGCAAACCTATTCGAGTACGACTCAGTTTAAATAATCTTTATTTTTAACCAGAAGATGTTCATTAATGCTTTTTATAAAATATTCTACAGCGAAACAAGCAGTTCCCCAAGTCTGAGTAACCTGAGTTACTCGTAGTACGTAAATAAAAGATATAAATGAAAATTAGCCCCTCGTCTCATTGTCTGCAAAACTTTGAATTTTATTTCAGGGAGTCGGTGTAGCACTGAGCGCAGGTCTACTACTATCACTTCGTTCTCCATTGGGCAAACGATTTCTTGCCCCTTTCTTGACTGCTTTATTGGTCCCTTTCGCTGCGATTTTCTATTACTTGTTCGAAGATGGTAGAAGTATTTCCGACGATCCGAACTCTTCTTATCCAAGAGAATCGATAATTGAAATGAGGCGGAAAAGAAGAGAACGCGAAAGTTTAGATTCGATTGAGCACAAAGACACCTGATATTCTTCCCTGAAGTTCTTATATTTAAAATCATACGGATACTAGCTGCTAAGAAGCATCTAAAACTATTGATTCAAGAATGGCATTCGACCCGACAGAGCATCCGCATAGAAGGTTCAACCCGCTGCTAGACGAATGGGTTCTAGTTTCGCCGCATAGAATGAAGCGACCATGGAGCGGCCAAGTCGACCCGCCAGAGATGGACGATGTTCCTGTAAGTAGCTTACTCCAGTCCTTTCTCGTCAACGATGATTAGGAATACGATCCGAAAAATCCCCTCTGTCCTGGAAATACGAGATCGAACGGAGAAAAGAACCCGGAATACGAAACAACTTTCGTCTTTCCCAACGATTTCCCTGCTATTCTTACGGATACGCCTGAGCCTCCCAAGGGTAACAAACCCTCTTTTTCAAGCATTAGATATCAAACGATTTTAGATGAGAAGCCAAAACTGTTCAGAAGCGCCCCCGTCCGCGGCGAATGCAAAGTCATCTGTTTCCATCCAAAAACAAACGTCACTTTGGCCAAAATGAAGACGGAAGAGCTCAACCAAGTTGTGGACGCCTGGGTTGAGCAAGCAACGAATCTCGAAAAGTACAAATGGGTGCAGATCTTTGAAAATCGAGGGAAAATGATGGGCTGCTCGAATCCACATCCGCATTGTCAGATTTGGGCGACTGATGTTTTACCAACGCTCCCAGAAAAAGCTGATAATTCGCAAAGAAAATATTTCAAGGAACGGGTTTTCCGGTTCTGGTTTGATTTAATTGAATGATTCTGCTTTTGAAAACCCACTGAAAAGGAAGAAAACACGCCGATGCTTGACGATTACTGCAAAGAAGAGCTCTCTCGTCGCGAAAGAATCGTAGTCGAAAACGATCACTGGCTAGTGGTCGTTCCTTACTGGGCGACTTGGCCTTACCAGACGCTTGTTTTGCCCAAGTTTCCGATGAAACGAATTCAGGAACTTGGAGCATCTGAAAGAGCGGAGGAGAAGATTTCCTTTGGAAACATTATCAATCAGTTGACAATCAAGTACGACAATCTTTTCAAATGCAACTTTCCGTACTCCGGCGGATTTTATTCTGCGCCCAACGGATCTGAAGGAAAAGGGAAAAGATCAACCTTTATTACAGCTTAATCGTAATAAAAGACTTCCTTCTATCCCAACTTGAGACGATGCTCATTGGACATTCCACGGGCACTTTTACCCGCCACTCCTGAGATCCGCTTCTGTTAGAAAATTCATGGTCGGTTTCGAAATGCTCGGAATGCCACAGCGCGATCTCACAGCTGAGCAAGCGGCCAAAACCCTTCGCGATTTGCCACAAGTTCATTATACAACGCAACAATGAGAAACAAAAACTACCATTCTAGTGTTATATCCAATTATCTGTACCAACTGCTAATTACTTCGTGATTTCTGTCAAATGTTAAAAGACATCAATTCCAAAAATTCAATTTTCAATTTAAATTTTATTTAATTTCAACGAATTTCAATTGATAAAAATGACTTCAGAGAAAATGGGAGACCGGAGAAGCACGATCGAGGGAGAGTCATTTTTCATGGAAACAGCTCGAGAGCTCCTCAGAGATAAATACATACTCATCATTGGCGATTCAGTGCAGGGGTGTGCATTCGGCTCTCGGGCATTCGGCTGCCCGACAAATTTTTCGGGCAAATCAGGTTCGGCTCGGCTCTCGGTCGGCTGGTGACCTGAAATTCTCTCGGGCAGGTTCGGGCAGGCTCGGGCATTCGGGCAATTCGGCCCAATCTTCGGGCAACCGGGCACCCGGCCAAAGTTAGAGAGTAAGAAAGAATTTTACAGAGATCTGTGCTTGATTCTTCGACTGATATCTACCAATAACCTTATAAATTGATAATCCAAAATTTTGCCATCAGAAATTTGGCCGATTTTCCTCAAAATCGGTTGTTTTTTGAGCTCAGATTTATATTAATTTTCCGAAAATCATTGCCCGAAATGCCCGAAAATTAGCCCAAATTGCCCGAGCCGAAAGTTGAGCCGAAGCCGATTCGGGCACTTCGGGCACCTCGGCTCGGCTCGGCTTTCGGCCGGCCCAACACTGATTTTTCGTTTCGGCTCGGCCCTCGGTCGGCCCGACACCCGATTTCGGGCCGAATGCACACCCATGATTCAGTGCAGGTACGTTATTTGAATTGAAATCAAGGAAGAGTACGAAAGTTAACAAATACCATCTAGCGCTGCGTTTACAAAGACCTGATTGCGCTGTTGGAGGACGGTTGCATGATGACTGAGAAGGAAAAGCGAGCGAAGTTGGAGCCCTGTTATAGAGGCGATCGACTGGTTGCGGAGACAGAAGCTTGCAACGGAACGCACTTTTGCGAGGTTCGCGAGTGGCGAGGTATTCCGAAGAATGAAGCGTGGGAAGATAGTATTCTCATTAGATTCATTTTCACAACGAAAGTACATAGGAACCGGTTATCAAATACAAGAGATAGGACCCGACTCAGATAGTTCTTCTCTTATAATTTTAAACCGGGTTGAAGCGACGCATTGGAAAATATGATCACTTTGTACACGGAGGATCATTTTCCCGACGTAATTTACATGCAGAGCACGTTTTGGGACATAACCAGATACGGAGATGGCATAGAATTAAACGGACAGCGATTTTTCCTCAATACACCTGGAATCTCCGTCTATTGGTCGATCACGTGGACAAATTGTGGAAAAAGGAAGAGTTGAGACGCGCAGAACATGTGCGAAATCATGGACCGCCGGCAAATCCTAGAGATTTAGATCGGCCGTTGAAGATTTGGCGCAGCGCTCTTCCGATCGGCAGACACGCACGGGGAGGATTGTTGGTCAAAGAAGTGCGTTTCGGCGAAAACTCCGAGGCCTTCCGCGTAGACATGGGCTTCGCGAACATCGCCGCGCAAAAAGTGATAGCCACCACTGACTGGGATTACTTGGACGCGCACTACATTTACCGAAAGATCCAAAACACGGACAACTTTCGGGAAGCAGATGGCGTCCACTGGAATCAACTTGCTCATCGCTGGCTCACGTTTATCTTTCTACAGCGAGTGTGCAAGCTATGGCGTTACAAAATCGAGTCATCGCCTGAGGAACTGGCAAAAATGTTCCAAGACGTGGCGAACAGAGCCTGCACCGAGAGACCAAAACATAGAGGTGAAAAAAGAAAAGACAGATCTCCTAGTGTTGATCGAAAAAAGCGTCGATCAGAGAGCAACAGCCGAGGAAACCATCATGACGGCCGTGGTGGAAATCATCACAATCGACCAGTGCATCACCATCGTGACTCGACCCCGAATCACGGAGACTGGAAGCAGACCTATCAGCCTCCTTCCAGCGGATGGGTACCTACGCCTGTCCAAACCAATCGTCACAACCCGTTCCAACAATTGCCTCAATCAAACCCCTTCCAACAACGGCCACAGAGTCATGGCTGGGGCCCCGTCCATCCTCCAAGACCTCACTTACCGCCCCCGGGACCTCCTCCTCGATATGAGCCTCCTCCAAGGCAGCATGTGCCTCCTCCAAGGCTCCAGTACCATCCTCCAGGTCCTTTCAGACCCATTTTAACCCCACCTCCACCGCCAAATTCCCAGTCTTACAACAGATACGGAGAATTTTGATCCTGTTATTTTTCTGCTAAATATTTCTCACTGTCTGCCTTCATTTTTATTGATTTTTTACGGATAAAAGAAAACATTGAAACTCAAGCTCACGATAAATAAAACACTTGCTGAACAAATAAAAAAGGAAATAGTGATTAGTTCGAACTTTTTGAACTGATCCCTAGTGGCCCAGGAATTGATTTGGATCTACGGAATATACTTTTATTTAGGCATTATTCGATATTGGTGAACGTAACTGTGAGAATGTGGAAAGTGGAATGTGAAAAATTGTTGGCAGGAGTACGATTTCGAACGTTTCAGAGTTCTAAGGAGTCGTCGGCGATATCGTTGTGGAAGAGACGTTGATTGGGAGTCGGGTCCGGCGAGTTGAGCTAGAATAGTGGCTACTTTTTTAGTGTAGAAAAGGAGTCGCTTACCTTGACTTCTGACAATTGCATCCTGAGTCCAGTCGAGTTGCGCCCAGATTGTCCTCTCTGCTTGTCGAATATTTTTTTCACGAAGTCTAAAAAACTTAATCGCTATTTCAGAAGGAAACTCATGCCTGGTGTGACTTCTTGCTCTAGCTGAGGATTGAGGGTTGTCGGAGTTTGAGGAGGAAGATGATCATCAATGTCTTGTTCCTGGAGGATTGCTTCCTTCTCCACCACGTCGAGTATTTGCTCGAAGAGCCTTTCCTCCGAATGCTCTTCTGCTGCTGCTTTTACTTCTTCGACTTTGCGTTCCAGAGCGGCCACTTTAGTCGCCATGTCTCGCTCGCACTTTGCTTGGTAGTCGCTAATGCCGGTTATTAAATTATTTATTAATCAAGAATGCCCATACCTAGCGAGCTCTTGGAGCTGCTTCGAATTGTGCTCGTTGATTGAGCCTAGGAGATCGCGAAACTTCGCACAATTCTTGGCGATTACACACTCTAGCTCGTGAACTTTTCCGTCAATCGGCACTTTGTTCGGTTTGACTTCGGCCTTGAAATTGGGAAAAGTCTCGAGCGTGTCGCAAATTTGCTCTTGTGCCTCGACCAGTGACTTTCTGAGCTTGCCATTTTCGTCGGAGAGCGAGCCGATCTGTTTCTGAAGCCGGTCGATGGCCAGTGCGCTTGTGTTGCCGTTGCGAACGGAGCCGGCGGCTAGAGATCCTTTCATGTTGATAACGAGCTCCATTTTCGCTCGTTTCTCTCGAGTACTCGGCCTGAAACAGAATAACCACTAAATCGCAAATGGTTCTTTACCCTCTCGACAAGTCGCTGAGTTTGTCCTTGAAGCGGCCGTTCTCTGATTCAAGCTTTCTCTTGTCGATTCTAAAATATTCAAGTTAGTTTCAGACGAAAACTTTGACGCATATCTAACTTGAACTTGCTGTCCTGGTTCTTGAGCGAAATCGACAACTTCTTTGCTTGTTCAGTTTTTTCTCGCAATTTCAATTCGAGCGAGTCAATTCTCTTCAAGTGCTTGAGCTCTCGTGCTCGCGCATCGTGCAGAAGTCGCTCCAGCTTCTCGATCTCGTTTTCTTGATTCTGCACTTTCTGATTCGAGCTTTTCAATTCCAGCTGCTGCTTGCGGTACTCTTCGTTGATTGCAGAAACGCGATCGGTTATTTTCCGCTCTCGGTCCAGCAAGCTTCTCAATGCGACTCCGACTTTTTCTTGGTCCAAAGCGCCTTTTGGAAGGAATTATTGACTGCAAATAGCTCAAATCTGCATATATGCACTTATGGGCATCAGATCTATGAAGACAATGAAATCCGTTCCTGATAGCAAAATACCATCCATCCCGTTTGCTATCAGTCGGCTGTTGAGCGAACCAAAGGGGTGCTGAGCCTCAAACACCTCTTCCTCATCGAGACTGTCGAAATCGTCGATGAGCGGCATCTTTTTCTGAAAGAGGTAAGATTTTTTAACTAGATTCGCGAAGGAGATAGTATTATTGGATATTGCAACAGGAAGACTGGATGGGTACAGCGACGTGCAGAAAAATGGCACAAAAAAGTGAGGGAAGAATCTTTAATCTCAATAACTTTGATAGTACGTATTTTGTAGTCGGAAAACCTGATAGGATTTTTTGAAGATTTTGAAGAAATGAGAAGGAACTTTGTTTCAAGAGAGCAAGACAGTGGAATGTTAAAATTTACAAATAAAAAGTTTGCAAGTTTGTAAGATGAAAATAAAAGTGCTAAATGAGAAGTACCATTGTTGTAAGGAAGTAGTGTTGTTCGAAAATGCCGTTTTGGGCAGCTGGCGATAGGCATAGACAGGATGATCTGGACAGTGAACATGAACGCCGAAGATAGATTTGTTTTAACAAAAAATTGCTTTTTTCATTGCATATTTACTTTTCGAAAACTTGTGCTTAAATTATTCGATTCTGAGGGGGACGTCATCGAGAGCTTCTTCCGAGTCTGACAGATGCTGCAAATAAAAGCGTTATTTCATGTAAAGATAAGATTAGCTCTATTAATAGTTAACTCACAGTTTTGCTTGTAAAACGCCGTGACAGAGCCATAAACGGGCGGTTGATGAAGCTTCCCATTCCGGACAGCTGATCAGAGAATGAACGGGAACCCTGTTTCGTGATATAATTTCTCTTGATAGACAAAACCGACTAGGTGTATTCAAGTTGAGTGAATACGAACTGAAGCGTCGTTGGGGGAAAAGTGTCGGCTGGATCCGTATCAGATCAACGGTTAAAAGTTTTAAGATTTGCGGGGCGATAAAAAACAGTGATCATCTTATAGAAACCTGTTTTACTTCCAGATCTAACTGATTCTGGACATAAGCTAATTTAAAATCTCGATCAATAAATTATTTCAAATATCATGAATCAATCACATTCCTGGATAGTAGAAGGTGTTCCAACGCTCGACAGATTTCTCGATAGCGTTCGGAGTGGGTCGTATTTGTCCTTACGCGGTGATGGAGACATCTAAAATGGATCGTTTATTCATGGAAAAGGATTGATGACGGTACTCTTGGCTGAAGCGAGCTTGAGTTGAGCATTTCCCCGGCCGAGCGTAATCGTTCTCGATGAAATACTTGATTACTGGGCGCTTGATTGAGCAAATTAACGGAGAGCACGTGATCGCCGTTTATGAGCGGGTGCTCGACGAGCGTTGCTTCTGCCGATGAGAAGAAAGCTGTTTCGTCTTCTGAACAAGCTAAGTAAGCCACTGTAAAGAATGATCCAAAATGCTTATAAGGGATCCCTTGTTAAACTTACTAAAGGTATTGGTTATATTTCGCAAAGGATCAATGGGAGTCACGGGGCAGGAAGACATTCCAGGGCGAGTTTTATTTCCGACGGCTGTGGAATTCATGTGTATAGGCGTCTCGGGAAACATGAGCTAAAAGACAACTATTGAAAGATGGAATTAAAAGAGGGATTCTCTACATTTCCAACGGAAACTCGGTCATCAGCAATGCGCTTGGCGGCGTTGAGGGATTCTAGCGCTAATTCGGTAAATGGATCGCCTTTGTTATTGTCAGTGAGCATTTTGCTCAGGAGGGAGATGAGCTCTTTGTTCTGACGGAGAAGTTGTTCGCAGCGCACTTCAGTTTCGACCCTGGCACCTTGCTCTGCGGAAAGAATCGTTTCCATTCTTCGGATTTTGTTCGCCAAGGCGCGGGTCTCGTGCTCCGCCAGTTCGACCTGCTGGCGAAGGAGGACGACGCGAGCAGAGTCCGACGACTCTCGGCTGTCAACTGAGTCTTCTTCTAACTTGCAATGAGCTGGGGTACCCTGAAATGGACTTTAGTAAAGAAGGAAGGAAAGGAGAAGGGAACCTTGAGGCTGAGCTTCATGCTTTTCCGCGGCGAGGATTTCTGAGAGACTTGAACATTCTCTTCCGAGTTGTCGTTCTCGTCCGTGTTGTGAGCCTTGTCATCCTCGTTGATTCGGTGGACGACGTCGAACGCTTGGCCGATTGTTCGAACAGTATTCGTGGCAGTGTCTTTTCGAGTCTTGAACACACTGCACTTGAATGCCGCGGACCTTGAATTACAGAATTAAGAACAGCTGTCTTTGGTAGTATGCTCTTACTTGGCATCTCTAGCAATGTATGACCAAATGTTAAGATCGGAGGAGTCATGGGAGACGTAAAAGATTCGGTTTATCGGGTCGTGCATTAGCTCTTGTAGAATTGGTGCGCCTGTCTTTGAATTCTTCGGCTGGCGAAGAGAAACGCGCACGCCATCTACAGACACCATGATGTCGACTTTTTTCTTCTTGGTCGAGCGTGCTTTGAACTCGTATCGCACTTTTCGCATAGCAGCGACGATTTCAACGCGCGAATGGGGCTACAAAGAAAGGTTAAGCACATTTCAGCGCTTTATTTGTACCTTGGGGATCTCTAGACTGCCGATAAAGCGAGCTTTGAACTTGATTCCGGCGCGGAAGGCTTCTTCCGCGTGGACTTTTAGGCGCCCCTCGCTGGTATCATCGATCTGGTTGTAACCAGCAGGGGCAGAAGTCGACCTCGCTAGCGACGAACCCAGCTGCAGCAGGTTCTTCATTTCCACCATCCCTCATTCGTCTGAAAACAACAATACAATGCGCAACTGATTCAAAATGATGATTTTATTTGTGGCGGAACAAGAAATCAGAAGAAAATGGCAGTTTTTAAGGGCCGTTTTCAATACATCTTTTCGAAAGAAAATCCAGTCGAACTTCTTGGGCGAAAAAGATTAACAGTTACAGTCAGAGAGGAGAAAATACGAATGGAACATGAAAAGACGCATCTACTAGGAGAAAAAGAAAGAAAAGAAGAAAGAGTGGTTGGACAGCCGATTCAATATGAATTTTGAGGGCAGAGGGTGGCAGAGAAAAAATACATAAAAGAACAGTAATGGAACTCTTTTTAGAGCGAGTAGAATTGAATGAAAGTTAATCAGTAGTCATCTACAGCTTGACGATTGTTGACGGTGTTTCCTTTTCCATCGCAAGCGACCACTAGAATGTGAAAATTAAGATTATGCGCAGATTAGAGAGGCGATATTGAATCATTGAAGTTATAATTCCGAAGGAAAAATTTCTACTGTTTCTTTCAGTAGCTAAAACGTCAAAAGAATGTAATATTTCATTGATTTGTCTACCTTTGACTTTGGGAACTTGAATGCAATCTATGACTTCTCTGAACTCGGCATTTTCAATCACGAAGGTCCACACATTGTCGCAGAATCTATAATTCATGAAATTACACAGTTTATCGATTGCGCCCCTTGAGCATCGTTACCGGTATGTGTTGAGTTTGCCTTTGAAAGTGATTCGGTTGCGCACTTTATTCGCCAGAGCGTAGTTGATAGCCTTGTCGAACTAGATAATAAATGCACAGTTAGTTTTTTCTTTAAACCCCCTATCTTTGATTCTGATAAAATATGACAAGTCTCAAGCTATTATATTTTATTCTATTCTTGTCAATTTGAATAACTCTATATTTTTCATCAAAAGAAAGGGCAAGTCTCAAAATTCGCTGGTAAACCTCTTCGAGCACTTTCTGTCGGAGGCTGTGTGAGATCGCCTGCTGCTGAATCAGTTCATCCAACGAGTCGATCAGAGTCGTCCCTAGCGTCGTGTTCCTGTACAGCTGGTAATTCATCCCAGAGCTCATGCTTTCTTTTTTTACTGCTCCGATGACAACTTCAACTCTACAACTTCTTGATTTCAATTTTATTTGATTTTCTGTAGTTCAGATATTATTAGCTTCTGTTTTGTTTTTAAATCCTAGACTTCGGCGTTTATTTTTTAATTTTTGACGAAGGCAATAAATACTATTTTTTATGAGAAAGGGTCAGTTCGACTCAGTACAGTTGGGAAAAACAAGCAAGAGGAGAACTTAGAAGAACTGGGAGCGGAGGACGGTCTGGTTGATCTTGGCCTTGACCTTCTTGTAAGTATCGGCGTTTCGGAGATAGTTGTGGGTGACGCCAAGACCGAAGAGATGAGCGCCTGGCGTCGAGGAGTGACCTGTGGTGATGGTCTAAGAATAATGGGTTAGACTGATCGAGCTAGAAAGAGAGACCATAAGCGCTCGAAAAACTTGATGGACTGGAATTTCAAAGGGTCTACAGTAGTTAACGCTTTTAAATCCATGGGATAAAAGTTCGGCTCCGAGACTTTCTCGTACCCGACGTCGCCCCGTGTAAAATGGACCAGGAAGATATTTGGGTGAAAACTACGCTTGAGTGTAGCCGCGTTTTCAATATGTCAGCCGACAATTCTATCATCAAAATAAGAAATAAAATTAATGAACTCACATCGAGCATCCATTTCTCGTCTTCTTCGGCTTGGTATTGTCGGCCAACGTTGTTGAGGAATCGGTGATCGGCGGCGATGGGAGCCCAGTCTTCGTAGGGCATGACTTCTTTGCACATGGTGACCTGTTCACCTCGGCCGATTCGGAAGTACATATCTACATAACAAAGTCATCGCGGTATTTCACCAGAGTTTCGAATCTTTTGATGCACATCTGGAAGTCGAGATGTCCAAAAAATGTCATTTTATCAAAGTAAAACTTTCATGGGATCTCAATTTTGCTAGTTCGTACAAAAAGGTGGACTTACCCTGTCGCTGGTTATCGTAAAGTCGATCTCTCATAGCATCGTAAGAAGTGTCCAAGTGGTTGTTCTGGTCGTCGCAGAGCATACCGACCTAATTTTAAATGGTGAAAAAGGAGGAATTTGCCTGTTTGACTTACTCGAGAGTGGTTACCGTGGGGCCAGTCCATTCGGAACTTCCACTTGTTGAGGGACTGGAGGTAGCCGGGCTGCTCGTTCGAAACCTGAGCGTGCTGCACGTGGCTGCCCATGGGAGCGACGGAGAGGGCGCTATCGTCGATTGGGTTGAATCCTTCGCCTTCGCCTGGAAAAGCAAGCGGTTAGAGATGAGACATGGGGGAAATGGTTTACCGTTGATGTCGTTCGAGGTAGCGGCGTAAGAGCCATCGTATTGGCAGTCGAGCTTCTTGGAAGCGTCGAAAGCCTCGATCTCACTGGCGGGCTTGACCTTGCCGGCGAATCGGAACCATTCGAGAAGACCTGAAGAGGGTATGAAGCTCTCGAATTTGCAAGAAGAAGCTTACCAAAGTTGATTGGGATATCGTGAGCCTTTCGAGCAACGACGACTCGAGTGGCGTTCTTTAAGACAAACAACTTCATCTGAAACAGATTTTTTAAAAGAAATAGCCATGTGATCATTATTTAAAATAAGTAGTGTATTTTTAATCTCTTTCGCAAAATAAAAAATAGGTTGCAAGGAAGAGGTTCTGTATGGCAACGGGCGGAAATGGAAAATATTAATGGCAAGAAGATAGGTCGAACAACGAGAACTATAGAGGCGGAGAAATCTTTTTATGTAAAAAAGGTGCTCTCTCATCAATTATTTTAAAACGATGATTGACAGGAGGGCCCCGTATTGAGAAACCCAAGTGCTGTGGTCATGCAGGTGCTTTTCGAAAACGGCTTGAAAATAATAAATTTGAAAGGGGCTCTATTTTAGTTCTAGAGAAATCGAATTGTTGAAATTATTTGAGATTGAGTAAAGCTTATTTCTTAATTATCAAATTATTTATGAATTAAATAAAAATTTTAGATTAAAAGGTGAAAACTTCTTCGACTTGGTCACGTTTATTCTATTCGTCTGATAGGCTTTATTTAAAGTTAGAAGCTATTTCTTAGTTACAGTTACTTTGATTAAAAATTCTAAAGTTATTGAGCATTGCTGAAATTCTAAAGTGTGATTGTCACGTTCTTGGCAAATTTAATAGTTTTTTGTTTAATCTCATCTTTTTATCTCTCTCGATATAATTGTTTCTTTTGAATGTCGTTGTTGTTTTCAGTAAAAAATTTCGGCAAAAGAAGAAAAAAGCAAAAAAGGATCTGTGACGTAACTGAAAATCAACTAGCCGATTCGCGAGCAAGGGCAAATGCCTCTTCGCTAGAGCAAACAGAACTTTTTTTTCTATTTCTCGATTTTTCAAGATTTTTGGCCTTTTTTATCTTTGTACTTTTTGAACAAAAAAGAAGTTGTTAGTTCTGAGAAGATGCATATATTTGGAGTAGAGAGTAAGGTCTAGATTTTTCGCTGTTTTTGAAACTTTAGTATTTAAGTTTAATGCATTCGTTTTTTTTTAATATCAGGGCCACAGAAAAAAGTTTGAAACAGAAAAGAAGGGGCAACATTTTACTGTACAATTACTGTACATTTATGCAATAAGAACTATAACAGGGGAAGCCTTAGAAAACTAAGAGTTGGATTATTGACAAACGTTTTCAATCAATTAGCTACAAAAATGGTTCAAAATAAGCCCAGTCCTAAAATAGAATAGAGGAATGGTTGTTTTGAGATCAAAGTGTAGAAAATCTAATTGAAAAAAGTTCGATAAAAATGAAAAATATGAAAAAGGGCAGCATTTACTAACAAGTATAAATGTTGAATCAGAAAGTCGCCATTATCGGACGATGAGATATCGATATCCAGAGCGATCCCTATTCATTCAACTCATCCTTGCAGTACTTCTCTTTCATAGAAGTAATTTATCTTCGATTTAATGTAGTGCACAATTTAATGTGGTATGTAAAGTTGTCTAGAATGCTGTATCAAGCCAGAAATTGACTGTACTAATCCTAGCTTCGTGGAAAAATACAACTCGAAAAATTTTTGAACACACAAAGAGAGAAATAAATTGAAAAAAAGCATAACGGGTCATTCTTATTGTCAAAATAGTAAAGTTTAGTAGTAAGTAGTATCTTTGTCGTTGTTGTTTATTTTTTTGAACTGCTCGGGCTGAAGAAGACTGATTTGTTGAGTTGGAACCACTGGATAAAAAACAAAAGGGTGAGGTCAGCTGAGTTGATTCTAAGACGAAAAACCGTATAGTAGAATACGTTTTCTTTGGGCACACATGGTCCAGGAGCTTGATCAATTTTCACAATTCACACAGTGGTACTGGAGCAACTTTTTTTGTTTTTTGGGTTGGGGCGAGTTTGGGGAGAAGTGCGTCTCGTGGGCTATTCTTTTTTTTTAAACAGAAGCAATAATGTAGCAAGCAAGGGAATTAGCGACACTGGAACAATACTACCAAGTCGTACAAAGACAGACTTGTGGCAGTTACAGTTAAGATAAAAGTAGTGAACCAGTACTACTACTAGCTGCTGTTGCTGCTTCAGAATAAAATACATAAATTAAAAGGAAGAAGAAAATGGTGAACTCGTCAGTCTCCGCCGTCGAGATCGTTCTTCTGATTCGAATTCATTTCGATCTTCTTCGCCCGGAGTGCTGCTAGACGCGCTTTTCGCTCTTCATCCCGCTTCTTTTGCGCTTCGATTTGAGCGGGCCTAAACTACAGTAAGAAAAGAAAAGGCAAAAAAGCACTCACGATTTTTTAGCTGGAGTTTTTCCTGCTTTCTTCTTCACAACTTTCTTTGGCGCTTCTTTTTTCTCAACCTTAAAATTTAATTAATTAATTCCAAGAAATTATAGAGTTTGACAAACCTGCCAGCTGTTTTCCTTGAGTTTCTTGATGTTTTGGCACTTTTCCTTCATCTGGTCGACTTGGATGTTGACTAGCTCCCAAAATCCGACCAGGTCTTCTTCAGTTGGCGGCGCGACTTCGTCTTTTTTCAACGGTAATTCGCCCTTGGCTTTGAGGCACAAATTGCGGAATTGTTTGCCCAGTTTATCCTGGCATAGGAGTCGGCAGCCTCCGACTACGGCAGTTATTTCGTCTTTGATGTCAAGCGGGATTTCCTAAAAATACGTTGTTTCTTTTGGCAATTATGGCAGATCTCTGATACCCTCTAGTCACTAGAGTCACTAGTGGGTTAACTGTAAGGTCACTGATCTCAAATAAGCTGCATAATGAGTTAAATGGAGATAAAAATGAAATTCTACCTCAACGAGTTAATTATGTTTAACTTACCGATGGTTCTGTGGTGAGAAACGCTTCGACCTCAGTTGCCGCCGCTAGAATTTGCGAAATGGTGGAGTTAAGCTCTTGCAATAACTCATCGGCCTTTTCGTGCGTAGCGTTCTTTTCGCCCTTCTCTCTCTTCTCGGAGGAGTCATTTTTCATCTCATTTGAAATTACTCTGTTTGAGCTTTCTGAGCTGCTGCCGCTGCTTTTCGCGGAGCCTCGCGAACCGCGCCGAGTAGTAGCAGCACTCACTTCACTATTCGTGTGATTGGCAGATGGAGACTCTGTAGTTTTTTCTTTCTGAAATGCAAACACCGTCCCGACGGGGATGTCGTCATAGCTCCGCGGCGTTGCTTTCGCCGAATCGTCTGAACAGGGTAAAATAATTACGTTTGCTTTCCGACACTTATCAAAGGAGATAAACGCAGCCCGCGCGTATTTGGTCACTTGAGTGAACAAATACTAGTCTAAATGGCCAAAAAGTGGGCATTTACACCAAAAAAGTGACCGGAAGAGTCATAAATGACCATATAATAGCATAACAGGCTACGATAGGGCATAAATAAACAGCGAGAAGGGCAAAAATGGTCGAAAAAGCTTACCTATGTTAGGAACATCGTCAAGTGCAAGCGGCCTGGTCATGCTATCGTCGAGCGGCTGGTCGTTTTCATTTTCCAAATGCTGGGCGTCGGAGGAGGAGAGGTTGGAAGGTTGAATCTTTGGAATGGGAAGACTTTCTGATAAGTTGAGCTCTCCGGTTTCAACTTGTGGCGGCGCATCTCGCGCGGTTTCCTCTTCGGAGGTGTTGCTCTCCCGCTTCAGAGGAAGCTTACTGCCAGCGTCGACTTCGTTCCCGTTGATGTCTGTTGCATCTGGCTGCATTTGATCATTTTTCTCGAGTGATTTCTGAAAGCCCGGATTAAAATTTATCAAAGCAGCATTTATTTGTTTATTGCGCCCAGAGGAGCTTCCGATCATGATGAATTTATTGCCCCTTACTAGTAGTTAGTACCTATGCTTTAGTTTGAGTAGCTATAATACCTTGAGTATCTCCCTAGAAAATTCTCTAACTCGTGATAAACGAAGCAATAAAAAAGGTATTCGTGAAGGAGAATCACATTTTTCTCAGAGCAGCTTCAACTAATAAAAAAAGTGCTGCACTAAATTGATTGTGACGTGTTTTAGGAAAACAGTAGCTTTGTCAATTATTTACAGAGCACTCTTTAATCACCTCATAAAAAGAAAAACTCAGTCATACTTGAATGAAAGCACGCTCGTATTTAGTTAGATCTTGACATCAATAAAAGTAGAATTATTAGGACCTTATTCTTAAATGAAATGAGCAAAATTATGGCTGTATGCTTCGAATAAATTTGAAGACAAATGTAATTACATATATCAATCACAGTTATAAATCATCACCAAAAAACAACAAATTAATACTTGAAACTTCAACTTAGCCCTCGCGAAAGCCTAAAGTAGCGAGAATGGGAGCAAGTACTTACGAATCCGCACAAATATCCGAGGAATTTCATGGCGCTCTCTTTGACAACAAAAATGAATAAAAACAAAGTGGCATGGAGCATGAAGCTAGCAACGAGTGGAGCAAGTCATCATCTCTTTGCGACACAATCACGGGCCCTGTGCGAGTGTGAGTGCGACCTGATGACAAAGCTTTGACGAGCACAATAAGACGGGGGGCGATAAACTGGACCGACAAAAAAAATATTTGCTAAGGCCATTAGGGGGCGCACAGGGCGGCAAGAGTAGCATATTGTCTTCGCTTTGATCGAATAACCTTTCTTAGAAATTAGGAACAATAATTTAGTAATGAACACGCCGCAGGCCATGTGGCTAATCGATTCCTCCGCCCGCCGAAGAAAAAAAAATCGGAGGGATCATTGATTTTCCCGCAAAGTTGATCCGCTAATAAAATAATTAACTCTGTCTTTGCTCAATAGTCAAAAAGTCGAAAATACTGTAGTGAAAGCAAACAAGTTTAACTTCAAGAAGAAAAATTTTCAAAAATTGAATCAAGGAAGACAATTTTCCCTGCACCACTTTTCGGTAAAATAATGTTCAAAATAATATTGAAGAATAAAATAAAAAACGTACCTCTTCTACTTGAAAGTCGGCAAAAGCACTTGGGTCTTGCGAGACCCGCCTGGAGGAGCGTGAATCTTTGGAAGATTTTCTTGATTTTGAGTCCCTCGATTTCGAGCTGTCTTTCCTTTTCAGTCCCTTGAATACCGAGTTGAACCACTTGGAGCCGGACTCGACCACCCTAGCCGAGGGCTGGGGCTTCGAGGAGCGCGCCCCCATTCTAAAAAAAGGCGGATGTAATGACCCTTGCCGGGATTAATTTTTTTTTCTTCTCATTCAAATTCTTTCTCGTTCACAAATAGTTGGCCAAAAACACAGAAATAGTAAGTTACTCCATCGCTGCTTGCTCGACCGGGAATCTTTTGTCTTCGCCGCGGACACTTTCGAAATCCGGCACCACCTCCAAATCCTTCGGCCTCACATACGTTCCAAGACCAGCGGCTGCTTCCGCTTCTAAAAAAACGATCAAACTATTATTCTGAAAATCTCTTTTTTTTACCTTTCTGAGTGAATGGTGCGTCCTTGAGCTTTTTGACCTGTTGCTTGTGCTTCTTTGATCGCAAATGTTCTGTCAGTGCTTGTCTGTTGATCATGTGACGGCTGAAAATAAAATTTTAATTAAGACTTTCTTTGAATGGAAGCTAATTTTAATCCGATTACGAGCTCTTATCAGGAATCATGTTTTTGTCAAGTCGCCAATAATCCATGTCAGAAGGCAAAAAAGCTGGCAACTACTGATAATTCAAACCATAAAAACAATCGGCAATTACAAGCAGCGCAGTAATCTAGAGCTCTAAATCTCTCTGTGTCAGTTGATGATAAGCGCATCTGCTCCGGGCGTGCGGAAGGTACGCCACGGGGTCGGCAAGGGCGCTCCTGCGGCTTATGGAGTCACCTAAAGGCGAGCAAGAGGTGCTAGGGGCCATCTGATGACACAATTTCTCTCTCACGACTATTAATTTGGCTTCCGGTTATTCGAAATCAAGGAAGAGAACCGCGGGAAAATGAATTAATCTAGACGATTATAGTTGATAAGCCCTTTGATCATTAGCTGGATTAGACTTCTTACTCGCAATGTAAGCAATAATTCTGTCCAGCTCCAGGAAGATCGTCGTTTAACGAAGGATCGGCAACGAGCGCAGCCACATTCTCGGGCTTGAAGTTCTCGTGAATTTGGTCCAAGTGCAGAACTTTGGTTTCGAACTTGGTCTTGAGGTAGTGTGACTCGGGCTTGACGGTGCCCTTCTTTTTCTTGGCGCCTTTGCCTTTACCTCCTCTCTTTCCCTTTCGTTTAGCCATCTTCTGTTTATAGTTCTGAGCCGATTTGCTGACGAGTTAACGGAAAAGTTCTAAAGGAAAATCCATCATGCCGCGCTCTTCCAGTTTTTTCAAAAAAGTAAAAACAAAGTTGTATAAAAATAATCTTGAGAAGGATAAAGCAGTGCATTTGTGAGATAGGAATATTACTGTAAGAAGGGGGAATGTTTGTTGACAGGTTGAGATCAGGATCTTCGGTCAGAGACTTTGGTTCTGAACCTGTCCTTGAAGTCGGCGCAGTTTTTGATTCGTTTTTTCGCTTTGAAACTTGAGGTCTTTGATTTAGGATTAAAAAATGCTTTATTAATAATAGACTGAAAAGAAACTCATGAATTCGGAGCTCAAGAATGAAGCTTTATTTCCAAGAAAACCATAAAAACCACCTAGGTCTGATGAGTTTATATCTAATCTCAAGAAATACCGGCCGTTCTACAGCTCGTTTTGAGCGGTAGAATTACCACCGTGTCGTTTAAGAACTCGCTGGAACCACTTATTATGTTCCATTGAGTGTCATATCGACCGTAGATAGATGTTGTGAGATTCGCTAACGTTGAAGGATATTTTCACCTTCATGTTTGATGGTAGCCTCACCGACAGCTAATTTATTTAATCCCGAATGCCTGTAATTTGTCTTTTCAAGGACTCGATTTCTTGATCAGCGTCAGCGACTTTGCTTCTCAATTCAATTCGATCCTCGTCCGCGGCGTCGGAGCGCGCGGCTGCGATCTTTGCCTTTTCAATTTGAACGTCTCGATCTGCCTCAAGCTCCGACTAATAAAATTTGCTAAAAAGCGAGACAACAAAGTTAACTTTTTCCTATAAGAAAGTGTCAATGAAGTGTTGTACTACAACAGTTGCAACACCAATCTAGAATATGAGAAACCTTGAGAAGCTCATTGGCGTATTGCTGCTCGCGAAGGGTGCGTATCGTCTGTTCCAAGGTGCGAACTGTATCTTCAGCAGAGCCCAGCTGTCGCTTTAGGCCTGCGATGGTCTCCCGGAGATCTTCTGCTACGGCTTCCTGCAAAATAAATAGATTCGACTCATTCGAGCTAGACTATTTGCCTTTTCGGTGATATGTTCCAAATGCAAGGCGATCTCCCTTGTAGTATTGTCAGAAGTAGACTGTAACTTGGCATTGAGATCCCTGGATCCTTCAAGAGCCGATTGCAGAGCCGTACATTCGTCTGTCTTGTGCTGCAGAAGCTCCTCCAATTGACGAACATTCGATGAAAGTTCGCCAATGTTACCTTCGTTGACTTTCGAAGCTAGACACAATTATTGATCACCAAATCGGGAAAAGAGACTGACCATGAAGATGCTCCACAATTTCATTTTCCAGTTCAATCGCTTTTTGCGACAACTGCGTCTTTTCATTTTCTGTATTCTCCAAATGTCTAGACATTGCCTCATACTCGCTGATTACCGTACTAAATTATCAGATAAAACGTAAGAAAGGAAGAATCTATTTTTACCTGAGATCGGTCGTTAGCTTTTGATTCGTTGCTTCTAGTTCGGCGATTTTATCGTTGAATACTGTCAGCTCGCGACGAGAATGGGTGAGTTGCACTTCGATGCCGTTTATTTTTTCATCGTCGGTTTCGATCTTACAGGGTTTCAAACGATGTCATAGATAACGTCAGGTAACTGTATATATTGGCCCCTCTATGTATTATTAATACAGTATTAGTCTTGTTAGATAAACAGGAACTATCTTTTGCATTCTTCTATATCATTTCATTAACGGGAGCCACCATTGACTGTAAATAAATAATTTATTACTGGAATTCCTCGTATTCGTAAATAACGCAATAAGGATGTATACATCTCCAAATTCATATCTACCCGACAAATTGAGCACTGTGTGGCGGACTCTTTATACTCACAAATGCGAGCAAAACGCCACATCCAAATATTGGATTCCAAAAAAAGAATAGAGAATAAAAATGCGAGTCCTGGGCTTCGTAGTTTTTCTCAATTTTCTAAGTTTGCTTCAAGCAAGAGTAATTAACATATTCGACCTCCAACCTGGCCCTTCTGCGATCAATGTCCTCCCGAATAGAGCTCAACCGCAGTTACAGTTACGATCGGCGAGTAAAAGGAGCATGGAGAGGCATGAAAAACTGCACGAAAAAGGACAAAACGAAAAAGAAAGATTGTCTCGCTCCAGGACGGCTGGTACATGCCGACGCATTTCTACGATCACGTGGGCTTTCTCATTTTCCACTCTCATTCTGCTGTCAACTCAAAGGTCTACTAATAAAGCTACCTCACTGAAAAACGCGTTCAACCCGTTCCTTGCTCTTATAATCGTCTCTTTGTTCGACAGCAATGCCCAATTCTTTAGTCAACGCTTCGTTCTCACCTACCAGAAGATCAACCTTTTCTGCCAGTTGTCGTTTCTCTCGGGATGCGTTTTCACGCGACGCGATGAGATCGCTTTCGATGGAGCGCTAGAATAGAATTAAGACCTCGTCGATCATCTATCACTTACCTTCTCTTCCAGTTGTTTTCTCGCTTGAGAAAGCTTTCTCTCTAAATCATCAACTTGATCATGAAGTAGCTCGATTTCCTGCTTTAAATTCGCGATGAGCGTTTTTTGCTCGCCAGAACTATGTTCGCTAGTTTTTGCACTTTTCTCCAGCTTCACCAGTCGTTCTGATTTCTCATCAAGCGCAATTGTCAACGCATCTTTTTCGCGATCGAGCGTGGTTACTGTATTCCGCAACTTGGCGTTTTCTTGGCTTAGATCGGTGTTGTTGGAGACTAGGACTTGCATTCGGCCTTCCAGAGCGTTGTTCTTTTCGACTTCGGCATCGAACTCCGATTGAAGCTGAAGTCCAGCTCATTTTTTGTTAAAAAAAGTTGACGAACCTTTGATCGAACTCGCATCATTTCTCGGTTAGTAGAATCGGCTTGGGATCGCAACAAATGAACCTCGTCAAGATCGCATCGGACTTTTTCCGCCTCAGCTTTGAGGTATTCATTTGCATTTTTCAATCTAAGGGACTATTGATTTTGCAATCAAAAACGAAGCAACTGACCTGTAAGCATCAGCCTGTGCCTCCTCGAGCTTGGACTTCATCGCCGACTGCGCCATAAGAAGTTCTCGTCGTTCATTTTCGAGGAGACGGGCTCGATTTTCTAAGTCCTCGACACTTTGCTCGAGCGTCACTGTATCGATGATTTTGTTCTCTCGGTTGATTTTGACCTGTTCGAGGAGCGTGTCGCGCTCGCATTCGAGTTTTCTCAAATCATTGACGGCTCTGTCGCGCTCTTGTTGGAGTCGTTTGAGAATTGCCTCGTCGGAGGATTGACCTGGTGCTTTTCGCCCTTTGCTCGGCGAGTTTGTGATCACTTCGCGTCGGAGGGTCGCAAGTTCGTTGTTGGACTCAGCGAAGCTGAGCTCCAATCGGTCTCGCTCTTGCTGCAACACTTTCACATTGGCTGCTACCTCGGCATACTGTCGTTGAAGCGTGATCACTTCTTTTCGGGCTGCGTCTCGCTCGAGAACAATCGCTTCTACCCGCTCTGGCGTCACGACTTCATCACCAAGGCCGCCATTTCTCGCCGAAATCGTTCGATATGCATCCTGGTAAAAGTCTCGCTCCTTTCTCAGCGCAACAATATCTTCTCCAGGCTCAATGTCGCTTAGCAATCGCTGAAGACGCTCCGAGTTTTCGCTCTCTCTACCGAGCTTGGCCGACATTTCCGTCAACTCGTCTTCCAACCCTCGGATTTTTCGTTCCAAGGTTTGCTTCTCTACAAGAGTCGAGTTATTATCGGCTTTAGCGACGGCCAGTTGTCGTTCTTTCTCCAACGCAGTTGCCATTTGGCCGATTTCATTGACCTCTGCTCTAAGTTTGTCATTCTTAGAGCGGAGGCTTTCAATTTCAAGATTGAGTGATTCGGCCGACTCTTCTGCCTCAATTTGGGCTTCCTGAGCCAGTTCTAGCTGGAGGGTCAACTGAGAAATGACCTTTTCAGACTGCTTAGCCGCTGCATCAATCGTTATCGCTGCTTCGGGGCGGCCACCAGAGAGTTGTCGTCGAAGCCGCTCGTTTTCCGTTTCAGTGAGTTCCTTTTGCTTCCTCAGATACTTCAGCCTGTCGTCGGACTCTTTTTTCGCATCACGGAGCTTGGCACATTCGCCCTCGAGCGCGTTGCATCGCTGCTCTGCAATTTTGAGTACATCAGCGACGTAGAGATCATTGGCAGCTGGAATCGGCGTCGCCTTGAATTCGGAAAATGGAAGAGTATTGTCGAGCGTTATTCTCTGTCTTCGCGTGGTCGTGCTGCTCTTCTTTCCAGTCTCTGTAACGATTGCAGTGGCGCTTGCTTCCTGTAACTTACGTAGCTTTTCGCTCTTGGCGTATCCCTCTTTTTCCAGCTGTTTGATTTTCATGAGATACTGCGTGTTGAGAAAACGCAAATCGGAGTTTTCATTTTGAAGCTTTCGACCACGCTGCTGAAAGTTGGCCGATGTTTCCACGAGTTTATCCTTGATCGAGACAATGTTTTTATGAAGCTCATTATTTTCGCTCATCAATCGCGAGTTGTCCTGTCTGAACGGCTCCACTGTTTCCTCAAAGCTACTCGTCGTAACCGTTGGCTGTGTTTCGTGGAGAGGAAGCGGTTTCATCCGCGCCTTTTTGAGCGATTCAGTTGTGTGGACCAGATCGGCGAAAAGACGCTCGACGAGAGGAATACTGTCGATTCCGAGAGGAGCTTTGTAGCCAAACGCGTCTAGCCGCGATCTGACTGCGTTGTATTTTTCTTCGACCCCCATGTCTGAAGTCAGTAGCTTTAAGACATCTTTGAATTGAAAGGAAGGGAAAGTAGAATATAGGCTGAAATTATCATTTTTAGATGACCAAGGATATCACCGAGGGAATGAATCCTGGACTATGTACGCAGGGTAATTTTATACCCCTAGAATAGTATGTTTTAGGTGTATAGAGAAAATAAATAGAATGGTGGACTTGGATTTGTAGTTCACTCAAAGGCGATACACTCATCAACTAGTTTCTTCATCGCTTCCTTCTCAATTGCAGCGGCAATTCTCTCTTAATCGATTTCGTTAACTAACTGTTCCCAGGAAGTGACGCGGAAGCTCCTTTTTTCCCGCGGTGGAATTAATCGTTTCTCACGTTGGAGCGTTTTTGATTACCTTTATCATTTATCTGTCGATTGGAATCGTCTTCCTGTTGGAGCGTTCCCGGCCTAGCAAGTATTTTCAGCTTGTAACGGTAAGGAAAGTCGCGGCGGATCTTCTCGCTGATGAATAATCCGATCATCGTGGAGAGGTGGCTTAGTTTGGGTTGTTCTTTGCTCGGTTCGAGTTCTCCTGCTCTTTCGAGGATTCCATGAATGACCCTTCATCAGTGAGTGACTGTCGGCTTGTACCAAACCACCAAGTCGTAATAGTCCTCTCCGAGCTCACTCACTTCGATCCATTCTTCACGGACGATATCGAGCTCTTCCAGAGTCTCTTAATCATCTTTACTACAGCTGGAGGGCTATTTACGAGCATCTTCAGAGAGATCAAGGGGACTAAAGGGACCTAGAGAGGTATTTAGGTACTTATGGAGGGGCCTTGAAGAACGTACCAGGTCGCTCTGGATCCCGAATCGGAGCGATCAAATCGTATAAATCCCCTTTTATGTCCGTCATCCTCTTTTCATGTCCTCTCTTTCTGAACTGGGTTTGCTCAAAAACGGTCAACAAGGAATTATTTCTTGAAATTGAATGAAGTATTAATGCTTAATACAAAATAGCTGTTTGGTTTATTAATAAAAAGGTCAAGGTCTTAAATCCAGTCAAAAAATATAAGTTTGTGAGTGTCAAACTTGAGAATTTATGGTACAAGTAGGATTTGATTGAAATTAAGGAAGCAGAGAAGAATAAAAGCTTATTTTTTTCGTGTGCGTGTTGTTTATCTCAGAAGAAATTGAATGTTTCATGATGATGATTTTTTAGGTTTCAGCAAGAATGAAGAGTTCAGCGCTGGAGTGCTCTAGAATTGGAAAGAGATTAGTGTCTTACTAACAAATATTGAAAATAACGCCCGTTCAGTGGTTTTGAATCAACGAGAACTGCCTCGATTTAGACGCAATGTAGCTCTTTTTTGGGAAGAGGTAGATTTCGTCGAATTACAGTCAGCAATTTTGAGTCAAAATTCAGGCGCGTCTGCAGACTTAGTACCTGGTCAGGAAAAGTCTCTCGTCGGCCTCGGAAAAGATAGGATTGCGTTTGTAGTTTTCGATCATTTTGTCTAAACTTTCAAACTTGCGCTGTCCGATTTGATACTGATTGTCGATCAGTGAAACGCGGAAGTGTTTCACTTTCGTTCGCCCCTTCACCGAAACCGAAAAGTTTCCTGCGACTTTGGAGCTTTCAGAAGGCCTAAGAAAAGTGTTAACCGAAATTGCGATTGAAGACCATCTTACCTAACGAGAAATATGCCTTCTGAAGCTGGCATGAGTTTGTTCTCGGCGATGCCACGAGAACTGACACTTTCGTGAAACCATTCTCGATCGGCGATTTCTGGATATCTGGAATTTTGGTGAAAGGACTCGGGTTGCGAGATTGGCTTTTCTTCTGGAACTGGATAGGTTTGCTCAATTACTTCTGTGTAGATTCTGGGGACGAGGCCGATCTGACCGTTTTGGTTTCGAGCGACCCACTTTCTTGAGGGTTCTTTTGCAATTTTCTTTTGGAATTTTTCGATAAATTACTCAAATAAGATTAATTAAAGGGCTGAGAAACGCTTCAAAGCTTTATTTTTGACCCTTTCCCATTCAGGATCATCAGCGGGCTTGCCCAAGATCTCGAGCTCCTCGTTTTCTTGAAAAGGGAGCTCGCTCTCGTTCTGTCCCGCGAAAGGATAGAGGCAGCGCACATTCTCCAAAATCGGCGAATTGTGGTTGTAATTTTGAAGAATAGAGAGCTCGCTCTCAAGCGGCATTCCCGCGGCGTTGCTCTCCGCGCCAGCCTGAAAACACGCGCGATAAAGCAACTTATCAAATTATGTCACTTGTTATGCATATTTAATTTGAGGAGTAGCTTTTCATGTATTACCTGATCGTCGTTGTTTTCGGTTACGTAATTGGACGGGAACCATCCGTCTTCGCCCGTTTCCAAATTGCGTCCTCTCCACCACTTGTCCTCCGATTCCTCCAGCACGACGACCCTGTTCCCTTTCGTCAATTCCAGCTCGTCATCTCGCTGCTTTTCGTAGTTGTACTTGGCCACGACGCGTCTTTCCTGGCTGCCAGCGTCGCTCTTCGATTCTTTTGGCTTATTGTTGAAGCCGAAAGGCAGCTTCTTCTTTCGCGAAATGTAATTTGAAGGAACGTAACCAGTTTGTCCGTTTTTGTTGCGCACCTTCCACCAAGTCTTTGAATCGTCCAAAAGTGTCAGCGCCTCGTTTTTCGTCATTGACAGCTCGGAGTTATCTGAACAAGGAGAATAATGATCGTTTACGAATTCCTTTGTTATTCATCATTTGATCTATAATGGAAAATCATTAGTCTAGCAGCAGAAATGTTAATGTGTCCATTCGTTACTCTTATATAACATTTTTACGGTAGATCTATGTCTGTAAATGAGTGGCCAGCAGACTGAAAAGACTAGCCCTTTACGGGAAGAATGACCCCAAACTGGGCTCGGCTACCTGAGTAGAGAACCACGCAGCTCAGGTCCTATAAAAGCTATAATCGAAAGCAGATTCTCAAACATATTAAATCTGTAATCTTACGCGGCTATTCATTATGCTTTTTTAGGACCCTGACTCAGTTTTCCTAAAGAGGTTGCCGAGCCCTGTCTCTAATATAAAATCAACTTTGGTTTTACGGGATAAATAGTAATTACAAATTATTCGAATTCGTTCGAGTCTTCGCTTTTTCTGATGATTCTATCGAATAAAGGAAGCTTCCTTGATAATTCTATTAAAAGAACGATACTAGAATTATTTGACACTCTCTAGGTATTTACTTTCTGCTTTGTAATCATATTTGGCTGTAACTTCTTCCATCATAGAATCTCTTCTTTAATTTCTTTTCTTCTTGATGCTCTTGTTTGTTAATTACTCTTTCGTCATAAGTTTTTCGTGTTCTAGAAATTGAGCTGGTTTCTTTTTTTATTCCTGAATTTAGTTTTTTGGATGAGCCGAGCGCCAGCTAATTTCCCTTTTTTTCGCTGCCGAGGAGCCAATCAGGTCGCGGCGTTCACCCACGGTTAACGCCGATTTCGCGCCGATTCTTTTCGAAAACGTGGCCGGATCATCCCCAAAGCCACACTGTGGCAATATTCTAACGATAAAACACATCTCTCCTCGTTATACCGTAAACATTTAGGATTCGCCCGCGCGCGGTAATTTGGGAGTTTCTTTTGTCTCTAGAACTCGAGTTGTTGTCAGGCCTCACTTTTGCCGTTTTAGTCAGTTTGCCAACTTGAAAAGTCCGAAAAGGACAGAAAAAAGGTGAGAATTCATTGATTTTACTCGAGTTTGATTTTAACTTCGAGTATTTTAGCAGAGCCCTAGAGAAGAGCGATTCGCCCTTCAATCGTCGCAAGACCGACATTGACATCAAGCCTGGAAAATCATGCAAGCTTCTTAACCATGCATCACGCATGATTACGGAAATAAAGTTCTGAAAAACAGAATCAGACGTTCATTGTCCACCTGAATAAAATCAATTTCATTGCACCTCGAGTCTTTGTTGTCTTTTTGCTTAACAGATTGTTACTTTGAAATGTCGTTCTGCGGTTGATGTGTAGTGGATAGACTGTAGTCAAGTTAGTTTGAAACCAAAGCTTTGATTTTAGTTATAGAAAAGTAACTGCCCTAAAGAAACCTCAAGAAAGACAAATCTGATGTAACCATTGTGCATTTTATTATTCAGAGACAGTGTTCGAATTTCGAAAGGCAGTTAAAAAGGTCCTAATTCTCGCTCGGATTGAATTGGAGGTTTTCGATTTTCCTGAGCCTTACAACGGTTATTCATTACCAGTAGAACCCTTTCGAGTTGCCTTCTTCAGATTAATGGCAGATGGTCTTTTTTAAGTTCGATAAATAATATTCTCTAATAATAATTTTATAGTCAAAAATAGCAAAATATTCGAACTTTTCCTGGAAGCCTCCTCGATTTCTTCAAGTGTCTTCCCTTCACACGTATGCGGCTCGTAAATTTTATCGTGTTCGTAGGTTGACTTATCAAATGTTCTGATGTCTTCGGTTTTCCAGACGATGGTTCTTCCACCATTATGCGCTTGGAATAATTCCGTGCATGAACACTATAAATAGGAGCTTGTATTCTTTCTTTTTTCTTACTTTTATGATATGTCGACCACTGCATTCTTTAATTGAGCATCGGACTATTAATTCTCCGCGACCAGCATTGTAGTAGCTGAAGTAAGCAGAAATCGATAAATGGTCAGATTCCAGGTGCAAGTAAGGATTCGATTTCTGTGATACGAGTACTTTGGATAAGTACCAATCACGTTCGAGTCTTTCTTGCTCTACGTTTGGCGCGAGAGGAGCAGACTGTTCATCTAAAATACAATAATAACTATTCTTAAATAAAAGAACTATCATACCTATGTTGGGAAAAACTGGTTCCTCGCCGTAATCGTCAGCGAGTTCCTGTTCTATGACAGCGCTAAGATCGAGAAGATTGATTTCGTCTCCATCTTGCTCGCTAAATACACTTGTCAACGAGCAGTCGATTTTTTTTTTATAAAAATTAAGGATTCTCGCGTAAATTTGAGACTAATCGTCAAAATCATTATTTGTTCCTACCTTTGATTTTCAGCTTGATGCTCGAGTTGAGCGATATCTGGCTCATCCAAGTCCTCGTCAGGCTGCATAAGAAGAAGATCTTCTTGAGCAAACTGGTTCGTAGAAGAACTTCCAGTAGGCGCCTCCCTTAATAATTTTTGAAAAACTATTCAACTCAAAGTTTTCAGTTGAGAGCCTTTTTTCACAAATAAAAGGCATAAAATTATCGCCGAAGGAAGGCAGTTACCCCACCGTAGACTTACCTGTACGTGTCGTTGTTGATTTCATCATTTTTTTGCGTAGAACTGAAAATGCCATTGAGCTCAATGACATTGGCCTCATTGTCAAGTTCTTCTTGCAATCTTCGAAGATCTTCTTTCTTCTTCTGCAGTTCTAGTAGCTTATTTTGCTGCTCTTGCAGCTTATTTTCCCGCTCTTTGAGCACGTTCAAGTCTTCCGTAGTCTGTTCTAGCATATTATCGATTTTGTCCATCGTCTTGATTCTCTTTATCAAATTTTGCTATCTCTTGTCTTCACTTTAAAATCGCGAAGTGAGAGAATTCCTCTTTTGACCGGGTTTAAATAGTCGACGATTTTCTAGAAAGCAAAACGCTCCGGTAAAGAGACAGCGCCCAGCGTGCTTTTCTAGAAAATCACATTCTGGAAAGGAATCTTTTCTAATGTTGCTGAGCTCAGCACAAATGCTCGTTGTTCAAATTAAAGAAAATTTAGAAATTGTTTAGGAAATAATTTATTTACGAATGAGTTTATACAGATAGATAGATTCAGTAGAATTAAATAGATTCTTCGATCGCAGGTAAAGACTTCGGCTCTGTTTGTGCAGCAGAATATGCTCGGACGGAAGATTTCACGCTTTCGAACATTTTTATATGAACTCGCTTACATGAAATTTTACCTTTTTGGGCCTGGACTGGATGCAGAAGTGTTCCTACTTCTGTTTGTGCGGCTTCTCGCTGATTTAATTTGCAAGTGGCGGACGAAACATGCGACGATACAGGGATGATAGACCAACGGCATTTCGCACATTATTTTCGTCCTGTTTTTGTTCTTGACGCTTTCCAGGAGCTCTTGCTCTTCTAAAGTCATCACGGGTTTGTGAACGGTCTAAAGACCAAAGTGAGATCAAAATTTAATGATCGAAGTAACCTTGAAGGTCTTCCATCTTTCTTTAAACTCGTCGCTGAGTGATTTTGGCTTTGCATGAAGCATGAGCATATGCGCCACGAAAGGCCGTGCCCTAATCTCTTTCAAAATAATCCTGCAAGCTTCCGGCATCATCGTCAGGAAGCCCAGAGCTGTTGCTGCTCCATCCCTTCCCGTTTCGGACATGAGTGGGGAAGAAATCACATCGCAGAGCACTTCGCAGACGCCGATTGAAATTAACCCACTAGAAATATTCAGTACGTTGATTATTTCCTTCAATGCTTACTTGGCGACTCCAGAGCCTTTCAATCGAATGAGTGCTGCAATATGATTTGTAGCAGCTGCGGCGAGTTCCACATCGTAGCTATCTTTTGCTTCTGTCGCCTGATATATCTTTAACAAAAAGGGCTCAAGGAAGATTGTTACCTTTTTAGCTCCTTCAATTAGAATTTTCACTCCTGCAGCGGCAAGTAGAGCTGGATCACGATCTTCAATGCTCTTGGCCAGCACGACTTGGTGAAAAGCAGCATCGTATCTTACTTCTTCGATTAGGAATCTCGTGTATTGACAAACCTGTAAGCTAGAATTTCCGAATTAAGCAGGTCGTCAATGGATTCGCCAGTAAGACCATCGATACATTCTCGAATAGCGGCGATATTTTGCGACGAATTGAAACAGAAAACGCTCAAGGCTGCTGCTGCATGAAGTTGAACCTAAACAGCTCGTCCATTTTCTTCTTTGATTTCGCGCGTACTTACTTTAATATCATTCGAGTAGTACAATTTGACGACCAAAAGAAACGACCAATCTGGATCTGCTTGCAGTTCTTTTGTCGTTGTTTTATTTCCAAGTGTCAAACAGGCGAGAGTAAACGCAGCATTGACAGAGACAGAGTCAGAGTTCGAGTGAATCAAAAGATTTAGAAGCAGTCTGATAGTAGAACTGGAGCCAGAAGCTGCACGTGCGACAGTCTTTTGAGCAAGAACATTAGGTACGAGTCCAGAACTGACGCAGAGAAGGGAAAGTGTTCTCAGAACATCGATCACGACTTGAGGCTCTTTGGAACGAATGATTGTCATGAGTACTTTTGCCGAGTCAGCTTCGAGAACCTCCTTTTGTCTGCTTTCTGGTCCTCTGCAGAGAACACCCAGAGCCTCGGTGGCCACTTTGTGAAGCGTGTGCGTGTCGTTGGTGTTGTTGAGTGGAGTATCTTGTAGAATCGAGATTAGCAAGGGTTCACCTATCAGCGTTGCGATCGCCTTTTGCTCTCCAAGCTCGCCACCTGAAAGCGTCCACAGCGCTTCAAGGGTAGAAGCTTTAACATCCAACTGTGATTTTGTCTGATCCAGAACGATTTGAAGATTTCGCGCTGCTCCAAGATCTATAAGAGCAGTAGAACACACGCGGCTGTTCTCTGACACACGTTGGAGCGTCCTGATAGCGCGCAGTTGCATCGTCTTGTGACTTGACGCTTGCGCTAATGTGATCATTCCGGTCAGAAGCTTTGGAACTTTTGCGATGGCGCTTTGATTGCCGCTGGTTTTCGAAAGAGCGCTGACTGAATCGAGAAGGGCGAGAACAAGTTGTTCACTTTCTTCTATGTTTTCGCGGCTGACGAGTTCGAATGCATTCGCCAAATACTCGAAAATAACGGGTTGTTTTCCAACGACTTCGGGAGCACTTTCGTCGGACTCGACAACATGAGTGAGAATTCTAGCCGTGGCGATGACGAGAGGAAGGGCGGCCTCGTGACTGCGAGAGAGTGAAGTGAGGATGACCTCTAGAATGGAGTTCTGGAAGGTGATAAAAGCCCAGTCTAAAGACGACTCGCAAATGAGAAGCAAACAGTCGAAGCCATATCCAATGACCTCTGGCGTGCTTTGAAATGCCTTTTGGTAAAGTTCAACATTAAATTACTGAGGCAAAAAAGTTTCTAATAGATACCTGTTTACAAATCATCTAAAATGACGCTGAAACTTTTCCTTGAGTACGTCCACGAGTGTACAAATGCCGCCCGCCTCGACAAAGATCTCCTGATACTTGAGACAGCCATCAAATATTGCAGTGAGCAGATCAATGGCGCAAATTAATCTCTCCGCGTCAGGATTCGTGTATTGAAGCGCGCTCTTCACGGCATTCACTCCGTCAAAATTGTCCACAAAGTTTGAACAAAGTGTTCCATTCGCGCCGCCATCTTCCACAATAAGCTTTCTGAGTTGCTCGCAGCAGGCTGCAGAATCTTCATTTTTCCCATTAGAAATAATGCTGACGAGTTCTTTCCAGCATTTTTTGTCGAAGTCGAGGATAGCTTTCACACATTTTTCGTTGTCCTAAATTAGAAAATTAAGCTTGCATATTAAAATCAGGGCTGATCGTAATTTCGCTTATACTCATAGTCTGCCAATGAAACTTATATTTTTGGAATCTACAGAACTTTCTGAATCTGTTGAGCCAAAAAATTTTTTGATAAAAATGAGATTTAGGGGGTGAAATTAACAAAATTGTAAAAAAATGACCATTTTTGGTGCATTTTCGCGAAAATGGCACTACTTTGACGCGATTTTTGACCGACTTTTGCTGCTCCAAATTTTTTCTAGTTCTTGTCGCTGTATTTCTACAACCCTTTTCTATTCACCGGGAAATTCATATTTTACCTATCTAATAAGGTTTTTCCGGATTTTTGGTTACAAAAATTCCGATTCTCGTCGACCCCCCCTTAATTTCGACCAGAAATATTGAAAGTGATTTACCGGCGTTTATTTATAGACTATCTAAAAAAGGGCTAGCCTAAGCCAATAAGGTATATAACCGTCTATTTCAAAATTAATGCCATCATGGATAACCTTAGGATGTTTTTGTAGAGCAACTTCTTGAAAAAAAGGATTGTTAGGTTTGTTTTCTACTTACGAAGTACAGCTGTTGCATAAACTCTTTTCTATTCATTTTGTCGATTTGGGAGAACTTACATTGAGAGCGGCCACTTGAAGGGCAGAGAATCCTTTTGAGCAGCGCTGGCGCAGGTCGGCCCCGAGCTCGAGCAAACAGCTCACCGACTCAGCCTTGCCCACTGCAGCACTGAAATAATCCACTTTAATGGTTTTCTCTTGATAAAAGAGCAAATTGGTTTCATTTGTTTATATTCCAACATTATTAGACAGTTTCAAATCGATTTTCTTTCGTAAAATTAATTGAAAAGAGAGCTGTCAAAAATCAGTAGCGCAAACGAACTAAACAAACTCAAACTATTTAAATGTCACTGAATTTATGGCAACAAACAGTAGCCTAGGAAAGTGGAAGAATAAAATGAGCTCACCTGAGAAGCAAAGGCGTGAATTGATGCTGATCGCGTACTTTGAGTTCCAATAATTGCGGATCTGCTTCGCAAAATATTCGAACTAGCTTTGATTTTCAAAAAGTTTTTCCTATTTTTTGTTTGATAGAGAGTTTTTTGAAATCAATTCCTTGGTTGAGAAGGGGTTTGTCGGCGACGACCATGTGGTGCACAACTGCAAGGCCATTATCGTCAAACTCTACTCAGGATTTAATCAAATTGGTACGAACCCGTTTTTTACCCATCAGATCGAGTCTTCTAAATTTTTCTTCCTTCCGATGGCGCGGGTTATCGAGGAAAAGGTGGACGCCAGAGTCGAAGAGTAAGTCTTGAAAGCAGGTCACGAAATGATGTCTGATTACAAAATTAAATCCCCTTCTAGCCAAATATTTGACTCATCCCAGCGTACTGCCATTTAAACTTTTAGGTGACCTTAGCTGGAGTTTCAAATCGAAAGCGCGCTTTACCTTGTTCACAAACATAAATTTATTCTAGCTTCGACAAACAACTACGGGAGCTCTGTGCGACATTCTCTCTTTTTAACAGTAATTTACGAACAAGACCTGGATTCGTTACCACTCGCTGAAAGTCTCTCCACTGAGTGCTTAAAAATTAAAAGTTAAACTTTGAGAAATTAAAAGTTCCATAAACACAAAGAGCTCCTATCCAGAAATCAACTGCTGCCCTGGTTACGCGTTATTATGAGCAACTTGCAAACAGAGAAAATATTTCTCTCATTGATCGTAAAAGACTATTACTTCAATTAAATTGAAAGAAAATCATTAAAACATAGAAACAGAAATAAAGATAGAAATGGCAATTCTGAGTCGGGAAGAGTTTTTGTTTCTACAAAGCTAAAACCCAAAAATAAGGGTCTTCTTCAAAATTCTCAAAAATATGATAGAAACTCGTATTTTTTTAGGGATGAAATTTTCATCATGAAAACCTAAATTGCAATTTCTGTCGACTCGATTTCCAAGAGGGAGATTTCAAAATTCCGTAAATTCTTACTTTGAGTTCAAGACTCTCATAAGTTCCTCGTAAATCTCGCCATCTTCAAAGAAAAAAAAAATTTTCTATCCCCTATCAAACGTGCAAATTGCCGTCAGTTCTCATGCGATAAATCTTTTACAAACGTTATCTGTCAAGAAACACAGCGCGCTTCTCCTTGTTGTTTGCAGAATGTCAAGCGCTGCATTTTTCCTCTCCTGGTGGTGATTCTACTGTTTAGTATCAGTTCAGGAAAGAAATTGGAGAAAAGAGCGAGAATCGTTTGTTCATAAGTGAACTAATGAACCTGGCAAGTTGTGTTTGAAGCAAAAATAGTCAACGCTTTTCTTGTTGATTTAGTGCACTCAAAACGGAATCAAGTGTCTTGAGTAACTGCAGTATAAAGCGGCGACTTTTGTTCGAACCCTCGCCTGCAACCGTACCGCTTATGATGATCTCACGATCAACAACTTAAGGTTATACAGGCCCTTAAAGGTAAGGTTGTTAAGTGCAGCTTTTTTTCGGGTTTTTAAGTGGGGTATACCCTTAATTTTTTTTTCCAGGATAAAGTTAAGGCCCTAAGCTACAACTGTTTTCTTTTTGAGAGTTTTTGGTCTTCGAACTTAAGGAGGACAGCCCCTTTAAAATTTTAAAAGTCGAATCTAAGTCAAATTTCCAGATTTTTTTATTAAAAGGCAAAAAATTTTTGACTTTTTATCTTGATGGGGGTCCTTAACTTAGGATTTATCGTCAACGGAAGTCTATTTAATTGAGTACCCTTAATTGTTAGTTGCACTCACACATTTGCCACGGCTCCATCATCTGGCATGATTCTCTCTATTCGTTCTTATAATTATAGAAGGTCGCTCTTTCCGAGAAATGTCGGAGATGATCTATCCGTAGCGAAGCGATCAAATAGCAACGATACATGTATGAAATTCAGAGTTTTTAATTTTCTTTCACAGAACGATACAATTCCGAGTACAATGGAGGGCATTTTTTTGTTTGAATTTCGGTGTTTCGATTCTCGCCTCGAGCACATAATTCCACTCAGGCACTTCCGTTGGGCACGCTCCCACACTTTCAGAATGCAGCAAAGAAGAAGCTACAGAGAGCTGTACTTACTTTACAACTAAAAGATAAAGGTTTGAATTAACTCCATCTTAGATCAGTTTATCTTACCAGTAGGAGGAAGATTTTAGTTCTCTCAGCGGGTGATGAGTGTTTCGCGGGTGTGATGCTTTCCCACAGAGGATCACTGCGCGCCCTCTTTTGAGAAAACTTTGCATAAACGCTCACGAACTCTTTCCCAAACACTGAAATGTATTCGAACGAACTCAACGTTGACCATCGCAAGTTAGCATCGCTCGACCGAAAGTTTAGAAATTTGGTTTCCAACGACAAGCAGCAGCGTACCTTCACCCAAGCGCATCTACTCAAGATTATCAAAGAATATGCTGGATTGATGAAAGACGAAATTTTCGAACCCGACAGAAGAAACGCACAGTTCATAATCGAACGGATCACATTGGAGCCGGAGATGACGCGATTCGAAGCTCTTGATCTTCTTTCGGTGAAATTTACGCGAAGTAGCAGAAAATAACGAATTATTTCAGCTTCTTTCGATTGCTTCTACAAAAAAGGCTTGCGACATAATTCTCGACAAAAACATGGCAACGAAGGCTTCTTGCTTCATGATGTTGCAGGCGATCGATGGCTCAGACGAAGACTATGACATCCCTAAAATCCAACGGACTTATTTTGGTACAGACCAAGCTTCTGATGAGCCTGGCGATCGACTTGATGGAGCTGCCCCAGAAGGTTCTCCACCAACAACAGCAGTGGTCGAGAATCGACGACGCTCATCCAGACAACGACGCCCTCCTCCGCGCCTATCATATTCTCGCCGAGGGCAGCATAGTTGCCAACTGCTGTGACAAACTGATATTTCCTAAAGCAAACTTCAAAAGCCTACCCCTAACTTATAATAAATCAAATGCCCGAATTACAATTGGTGGATCATTTAATTAAGATGATTAAAAAATAATTTTATTCTTTTTTTATAAATACTAGAAAAAAGACTCAAAACTAAAGTATCTTCTGAGCAGTAGAAAAAGCTCCGGGAGTGGCGAACAAGCATAAAATCGGTGCCGGTAACACGGCTATTATGGAAATGAGAAGTGCACCTGGAGAGTGGTTTTGTTGGCAATTGGGAAAAACCAAAATCCAAAAATCGCCAAATATGTCTGAAATCGAATTCGGAATTCAATTCCGAAATCACCCTTCTCAGCTTTTTCCTCAAGCTCGAAATTAAACTTGTTATGTTTCAACTTGTCCATCTCAGCATTATTCTAATTCTAGCGCTGGAAACAAAAACTCACACTGCAGCATTTGCGGTGGGAACGTAAAATTTTTCACCTTCCGAAAAGATTTAGATAAAGTTTTCCGCCGAGCTATCTTTTTCAATTACCGCTCATCCGGGGTTTACCATTTGCGTCTTCTCCACCCAAAATATTTCTAAAGGAGTTCACCTAAGACGTTTTCGATTTCATGCTTGTTTGCGATAGCATCAGTACGTTCTAACGCGCTTTAAAAATCACACTACAGATAGGCTAAAACTTTCAGGCTTGTGACTTTTATGAAAACCAAAGAATTAGATCCCAGACCTCCAAAAAAAGCTCTTTTTGATGATGTTTTGGTGGAGGATAATGGCAGCCATCGCTACTTGGAGCAGTCGCATCCGATAAAGATCTGCTTCCAATTCCATTAGGTTTTGGATTTTTTCTAATTTGGATAAATTTGGCTGAGCCATTCACCCGATCACTGGTGCCGCGCAGGTGTTAAAATTTCGCCACCCGCAGAAATAGACTTTGTATAAGCACCCATGCCAGGAGAATATTCAAGCAGTGGCTCTTGTCTTCAAAAAACGTTCTTTTCTAGGAAGAATCACTTCTAAAAATCAATAGAAAAAAGAATGATTTTCCTAGTATGCCTCGTATGCAAGCCATTTTCTAACAGTTCTTCGGAAGAACTTCTTCCTAAATGTGATTGAAGAGGTTCCTGTGGGAGAGTTCCTCCCGCCCGTGAGCTCCACTTTTGTTGCGTAGGCGGCTCGCACGGGATCATCCGCTCAGTACTCATTCGCCACTCAGTCGAACTCAGACTTGAACTTCACACCTCAACAGAGAATTCTTCCGACTTTCCGCTGTCATTCCTCTTTTTCAACAACCATTCTGATTCGATTTCTTTTAGATAAATCTGCGGCGTATTCGATGCTTCTTCCCGGGCGGTTGGTTGGCTCGTCTTTTCGATGAGTCCACCTATCCGTTCTTCCCGGTTTGACGAGCGTCGGTGTATGGTCCTTATTGCAAGGAACATATGCTGGGGTTGGTCTTCTGGCCGAAGAAGCATTCGCAAATGAGAAGGGCTCTTTTCAGGGTCTGATTCCGGTTCCTGAAGCCTAACCGGGAGAAGAATCGCAAATGATCAGCTACAAGCTGACGCTCTCGTAAGAAACCTTCAAGTGAGAAATTAATTAAACCATTTTTAGGGAACGAGACGAGATGACGAAACACAGGACAGTGTTTCAAATCTTCCAGGCAGCGAAGCTCTCAAAGACAAAGACACAGAGCGACTTTTACGAATTTCCTTATTCTGAGATGAATCCTTTTTCTTTGCTATCCAATGAAACCTATCTTCTCTTTTCACACATGGCATTTTCTCTTTCTATATTTTGAAGCAGGTCGATTTTAAAAGATTTAGATTAGCGCGAGTTTCATGTGTTTAGGCTCTGGAGATAGATCTGGTTAGGGTGAACGTGTAGCGTAATCCCATTCATTTGGGTCACGTGATTACGATTACGCAATTTTCATTATTCGGAATTGAGTTTCGCGTCTTATTTGTATTGAATTTGTTTCACTTTCACGGCTGTCGACCCCGCCTCGGAGCAATCACTTTAGACTCTCCACCTTGGCAAGAGGAGATTCTATTTTTCGAAAAGTAATTTGTTTCAAATGGTCCACCGAAATTGGGTAAAGCAACTCAATCTCCGAAAACCAACTCGATTGACTCTCACGCTCCACCAAAGAAAACATTATGTCACCGACCTCGCACGAAAAATATCATAATTCTAGCGCCAAGCTTCTCCTTTAGAAAATCCTTACAATGACAGATCATGTTCTGTAACTTCTTTTCGATAGAACGGAGCAGAGTTGCAAATTTGCTGAGCTGAGTGAGCTGAGCTGGCTGAGTGAGCTGAGCAGTCGCTCAGCTCAGCTCAGACAATAATCACTCAGCTCAGCTCAGCTCAGCTCGAATTATTCTCGAACATGATTTGTTCTGCTCAGCTCAGCTCAGACAAGTATCATTCAGCTCAGCTCAGCTCAGCTAAATGATTCTAACACAATATCAATACTAAAAAACAGTAAAAAAACAGCTCAACCCAGCTCACTCAGCTCACTCAGCTCAGCTCAGCTCAACTACCTTAAAAAAAGGTCTGCTCAGCTCAGCTCAGCTCAATGACCTCTGAAAATGGCCAGCTCACCTCAGCTCAGCTCAGTGAGCTCCGAAATAGGTCAGCTCAGCTCAGCTCAGCTCAATGACCTCTGAAAATGGCAAACTCACCTCAGCTCAGCTCAGTGAGCTCCGAAATAGGTCAGCTCAGCTCAGCTCAGCTCATAGAATTTCTCACTTAGGGCAGCTCAGCTCAGCGAAAATAAAGCCAAATTTGCAACTCTGGGACGGAGGGCAGCTGAACAAAATCGAGTTGGAGTGGTGAGCGGTTTTGGATTTGTTGTCAATCAGATTGACCTTCTCGGATCATCGTATTATGTTCTAGTGCTAGGAGCTTGTTGCGCGCGATGTCGGCAAAAAGACCAGGCGGACATTTGGCTTTGATGCACCGCCATGTAAATTCCAGAGTGATTTCCAAAGGAGCCAGGCTTCTGATTGAATTAAAAAGTAGCGGCGCTACTCACGTGGTGGCGCTTTCCCACGGAGCATTCATGAAAAAAAAAGCTGCAATTAGAAAAAAACGCACCTGTAAGCGCTGACATCAAAATCTCCGTCCGTAATTGAAAAATTGAAACAAATTCGATAAATTACACTCCGAACTAAATTCGAAATGCACTCTCTGTTTGCCATCAGAACTTCCCAAAATATACAAGTACTGATTTCTCTCGACTGCGAGTCGGCAGACCGAGATTTAATATTCAAACAGCAGATTCTTAATTTTGCCATAAATTGATTAAGGATTTCCAAGATCTGAGGCAACGGGATGATGCTTGTTTTTCGATTATAATAATATACAAAAAAAGCTGCTTATCGGAAACGCGAGATTTTTCGAGTCCGGTTTATTGATATAAAGTTAGTCAGGAAATTGAAAGCAGCGCTAGAATCTAGTGGCACACCATGCCCATCCACTCGATTATTGGTAGAAGGTATTCGGCGATTGTCGAAACGACTTTGAGGAGAAAAGAAAAACCAGCCTTGAATCTGTCCGCGAATTTCGTCGGCAAGTCTCTGAGTTGAGGACAAGTTGATCTTGCTGGCGTTGGAGACATTTCTTCGCCAAAATTTCAGAAATTTTCAAAAGTCAAATTTATTCTACAATCCAAATTCTCGACGTCTTTTTATATGCCAGAAAAATACATCGCGAAAAATGTACATCGTCTCAGAAAAATAGCGAGGAGAAAAGATCACGATTGAGAACTCTCGATAACTAAAGATTCAACTGGTAAATTTTTATCCGCGTCAGAAAGGCTTATGGTTCAGTCAAAACGTAAGCTGGGCTCGACAACCTGTGTAGAAAACCTGAGTAAGGGTTTGAAAGGAGCTATACGAAAAACGAAGCCGCAAATCTTCTAAAATAAGAATTAGAATATAAGAAGAAAAGGGGTTTGCTCCTTTCGGCTCGGCTAATCGCATTGGGCTCTTATGTGTCTACAGTTGCATAAATAGTCCAAGGTATCGAGTGTTAATGGGCGTTCATTTGACGGCGATTAGTGTGCGAAAATATTTAAAATTTCCTTTTTGTCGCCGCTAAGTTAGCAACCTTGGCGCTACGGATTTTCCAAATTGGTGTAAAATTCGAAATCTTTGAAGGGATTCCGAACGCTAAAATAAAGCAACTGCACCGCGACAGCACAGGTGCCCAAACCTCGCACGCACTTCTAACCAAAGCTACTCTATAATCAGGAAAGCGTACTATTAGAAATACGCATTTCAACCGAGCTAGTGCAAAAAAATCTTTATGTTGATAAAAAAAATGACCGCCTTTAAAGCTAATACTAATTGATGAAAATAACGAAAACTAAGATTTCTAACCCTACTATGCTATTTTTATGACTGCACTATTTAATCCTTTGTCAGAGTATTTTGTAATATCGGTCAAGAAGCAAGCGGTCAAGAAGCAAGCGTGATCGAAAAAAGGGATGGGCGCGTAATTTGATAACGGGCTCGCTTCCAGATTGGAAGCAATGGTCGAGCTCCCAGGTGCTGTAATCGAATGAAGTCGGTTTTCTGGTTTATTTAAGTCTAACAGTTAAAAATCCAAAAATGCTTAAATCGAATCTCCGGCCGTTGTCAGCGGTTTCTAGCGGGCCCAAGGAATGGCAAGAAAAAAAAATATTTTCGAACGGCCCTCGCCCCTCGTGATTAATTGACGTTGATAGATTCAATTGTGGTTCGACTAGATGTAAGTTTCACTAAGCGCGACCGATTCAATCAGCCAAACATTACAAGTTTTTGTTTTAAGATGGCCAACTTGTGACCTATTAGGACTTGTTCCGTGAAAACACGGCATCAGCCGGAATAAGATTAGCTAGCGCTAGATCCTTAATCGTCCCTGTAATGGAAGCATGGTATTTTTAATCTAAGGGGGTAGGAGTCGTTAGAGTTGACCTGTTCCCTTGGTATTCCTCATGAGTTGAAGTACTGGTGATAGTTTTTTTTATATGTGAATTTTCCTATTTCTAGTATTTTCCGTAAGGGTGGAACAACGCTTATTCTCTTTCAAGGGGTTAGAAACAGCTTTTTTCCGAAAAAGCCGATTTTTGACCGACGCTACTGAGAAGAGAATCTTATATTTTCAATTTTTCTCTTCAGGTTTAGATAGATACATCTTAGATCTAGGAACATCTCTCTCGAAATCTGTTTTAGTCATCAAATTTTTGAGTAATCGGGCTCAGAAGCAACTCATCTCGCCGAAATTCTTGATTTTCGCCAATTTTCAACCACGAATACCTCGAGTCCCGTGATAGTTAAACAAATTTCATACACATTTTTGTGATGCTCAACCCCTTTTCTAGGAACATTTATAAGGAAATTCCGTTAACATAAATAAATCTTATGTTTTCTTTTATGTAGCTACAGTTCAAAATCGAGAAAGCTGTTTCTACCCCCTTAAGATTCTGAAGAAAGACCCTTACTTCATAGCCTGTGGACCAAAGGTAAGGGAAGATGTGTCTTTAGAAATGATTTATACGGTAAGAAATTCTTTACTACTTTTTAAAGGTTTCGACTATTTTCATGGCAATAAGGGACCTTTTGGATGGCACTTTCAGAATGTGCTCGTTCTCCGAACTCGCGCGGTAACTCATTTAGCCGGACGACTCCTCTTTTTCAAATTGTACTCCGACTTGATCAAATTTCGCCCGTGGAGCAAAGTACAATGCGCCTAACATTTCCTCTTCCGGCAACAAATTGTTTTGCTATTTTCCGCCTCGTGATAGTATTAGCGTCTTTTTCGGAATTGGAGCTGTTTTGTACTGCTTCGAAAAAAGTCGCGAAATGCTCTTGCGGCTTGCGGCTTAGTGATCTAGTACGAGCTAATCTTCTGCTTCCGAGTTTTCGACTTTTTCGTCTTTTTTTTTTTCCAAATTCCAAATCTAATTGAGAAAAGATCGAGTTAGGACTTCGGTCAGCCAGGGCGTGGCTGGTGCATTGCGGCGGAGCGAGTTGCGGCCGCCCGCTGAATCCAACAAAACGGAAATTTCCGACAAAAAACTCAGACTAAGCGACTGAACGCCATGATCTGTACTGTACATGCGCTTTTACCAGTGCTCGCGGCCGAGCGCAGCTGAAAGTGGAAAAACGAAACGCGAACAATGTCCCCTGCCAGGAGTGACATGGAACACCGTCACCTGAATGCAGCTGACTAAACGAAGACTGTCTCTATTTGAAAAGCTTTTGGCCACTGATCAGTTTTAGAACGGAAGAGAGAGGCGTTAGGGTTAGGTTTACGGTTAACGTAAGGGAGGGATTTAGCGCGTCTTGAGATAAGAGAAGACGATTATGTAAGGTTGTGGTCGCGGTGGTGTGTCTCGGTCAAGGCGCTTTCTACTTCCGGTGCGCAGCTTCCGCCGGGAAAACAGGTGCTCTCCTTGGAGGGGATCACAGGGAGTCGGTGGTGGCAGCGCGGTGCACGTGGCCAACCACCAGAATCAGCCAACTCCAAAAGGACAAACGCTAAACCCATTAAGCGATGTGAATAAATGCCAAAACGTTGGCGGCAGCTAGCAGCTGCGGAAGTGACGTTCGTGTGAACGTCAAATACTAACTCCGAAAAGTAAAAGTAAAAATATAGCTCAATGTAGATTAATTAACACTGATTGAGTGAAACGAGTACCCAAACGCGCGGCGCGGGGCTCATCAAGCTGACTTTTCAGTTTGCGCTATTTATCGTAAAACAGTTGTTCTGTTTTGTCTCTGGCCCTTAATTACATTGCAAACAAGACTATGCTGCCGGGGATGACACTAGAATCATTCCTTTTCCGGTCCCAAATCGAATTAGACGTTATTTAGAGAAAGAGAAACTTACTTAATCCGACCGAAGAACAAAAAGGTAATTTCTTGTTTTTCCTTGTCTGAAACTAATCATCCTAAAATCCAATCACTGTTCCAGCAAAAAATAAAGAATGTTTTTCCAAAAAACAAATCAGCACTAATCTTCTAGCGCCGAAAGGAGCCTCTTACTGTAACAATAATGCATCTAAACAAGAATGAAAAATAAATATAAATAAATTACGATAATTTTAAAAATTTTTCTCCTTATTAATTTTTTATTTATTCCATTATTGTTTCAGTAAGTTGTTACTCGCGCTAGAATGTTTAGGGTTAGGGTTTTCTGTATTGAATTTTTTCTGGTTATTTTTTTTCTTGATAAATCTTTGAATTGAAATGATTTTTAGCTTTCCTGAAAAAAGAATTTTTTTTTAATATTGAAATCTTGCTTATTAATTTTTCTCTAATATTCTTCGTTTTGACATTTTTTTTTCTGGATTCGCTTTCTATTTTTTTGGGGAGTTTTTTGCGCAACGGTAAATAATTCGCTTTGTGTAGCGCGTCGCTCTAAGTTCTTGCAGCTAACTTAATGGCGGCGGGCGGCGTAACAAAATCGTATCGGCCAAATCATTACAATCGAATCTATTATGCCGAGGCCAGGCCTACTCCAGGCCACTTGGGGAAATGCAATAACGCCGCCACCAAACTCGTCAATTTTCTTAAACGAATTCCACGTTCACTACACACAGGACCAGCTACCACTACTCTTCTTTGCTGCCGCGAAATTATGAAAAAGAAAATCGGATTTTCTTCTATTTATTATTCCAAAACAGGGCAATTCAAAGAGAAAATCATCTCGTTTCGTTGTTATCAATTTGTAGCTAGAAAATAGCGGCGATTCAGCGCTCGTATTTCTAAAATTTGAACTAAAACTTGGCCCATTTTTTTCAGAAAAAAAACAAACAGAAACAGGGAAAAATAAGCAACAAGTCTGTGTTTTTGGCAAACAAAGGACGTTTGTGGAATCAAGTGCACGGCGAGAGATATATTCAACTCGAAGAGTAACTCGATTAGAAATATATTTTGTTACATCACAAAGCTTATTTTGAGGAAAATAATTACAACCCAAATAAAGCGAACTTCTTCGCGGTGAAAGCAAGCGCTTTCTGTCTTTGCGGATTGTTGATGCTCCCATTTTCCATTTGGGAAAAATTTCTTCTTGATTCTTGAAGCTGCTGGAGCTTCCGGGAGTCGGGCGGGTTGAAGTTCTGGCGCGGCTGTAGCTCTAGGGCGCTCGCTCCTCCACCAAACGCGACGCTCAAAACTGCTCGCAGACTGATTGACGCCAACTTCACCACTAGACACCTTGACGCCACTCAGGCGACGTTAAGTCTCTCTTTTCTTGCCCATTCTGATTTCCAAACCAACCGCTCCGTCGACGACTCAGAGATCCCGAGAGACCAATTGCCATCGCAAATGATTTAAAAGAGAGAGAAAGAGAGGTAAAAATAAAGTGAAGAGGAGACTTACTTTTTGAGCTCATTTCTAGCCGAATATGTGCTATTTTCAGTCTATTTTTCAACTTATTTTTGTATGAATTGGTTTTTTGAAATCTTCGATTTTTAGATTTTTTTCTAAATCGCTCTTTTTTTTCGATTTTTGAGAGTTTTGCGGAGTTTTAGGAAGTATTTTTTTCACAAGTTTCAAACACTTACTCCCGTACTACATCGTTTACGATTATCACAATTAAAAATTTGCTGCTTTGAACTTTTGAAATTCGCGTTTTTCGGCAAGGACCAAGTCTGAGTAGATTCGCGCGCGTTAATTGGCCGCGGCTGGTGGCAGGAGTGGCGCTGTTTCGCGCTTACAGTTTTTCTTTAATTAATTAGCATCAATTTCTTTTTTTTTACATGTCAAGTTGATTATTACGTATATTGAATCAACTGCCCAGGATGTAAATGAGTTGCTCTCAATCGACGAGTGCTCAAATTTATTATTTTTCAACAAATGAGTCGGAAGAACAAATTCAATTTGTCAACTTGCTAATCGAGGGCAAACGAGCTAATTCTGCCGTGTTTTGGAATTCTTGTTTTTTTCTTTTCTCGTCGGATACTTTAAATTTTACCATCAAAAACGGTTTCCAAAGAGCGATTTTCAGCTATCTTTTCTTCAAAAGTTAACATAAGGATACCCTTATTTTGTCCGACCAAAAGAAGGCTTGATCTAGTACCTTTGAAATATTCTTCATTCTAGAGGAGATAAACTTTCATAGCTATGTTTTATTGAAGTCGGGCCTTTGAAGAAACTTTAGGGCCAGTTTTTTGAAAGAATGAGGCTCAAGAAGGTCGATATTTTTGAAAGTTAGCAAGTTGATATTTCGAGATGATATCGGCACTGACCTTTGGCTTCGGTTTTTAGGGATTTGATTGGATTAGAGCGTCCGGGGAATGGCATTTTGCCGCCGACAACGGGCCGATAAATAGAAAAGGTCCGATGCTGCACTTTCACTTCGAGGCTAAATCAACACTAAACATGTCATTTCTATTCTGAGTCGATAATCAGCTCACTTAGACACTGCCACTCGCAATTAGCCACATGGATAATACGCCCCTAATAGCCAAATCGATAAACAAACACATTCCACAGAGGAAACTGTATTTCACCTTCCTCTTCTTTTCACGCTCTAGTGCTAGTAAGATAGCGCCGATAAAAATTATACAAGAATAATTTACGTAAGTCATGTTCGCTGAGTACATTTACGTAAAGTGATTATATTTTTATCGCGCTGATTTTACAGTTGAGCGATTATTCAATCCGAATCCTTGTTATTTTTTGATCTTTATATAATCAGCAATAACTTACTATTAGCTCGTAGAAATAAAATCTGCTCCACTCGACTTACAAAATTAGAAGTAACGATATGTATTTAAAGCCGACGGATTTATTGTTATATATGATACATTACATAAATGATGAATATTCCCTCAAAGCTATCAAAACATTATCTAACATATTCTGTAGATAGACACTCACATAAATAAAGAAAGAGAGGTTGCCACGCCTCCCGTAATTGACCCGTTTGTGCGTAAATGTGACATATCTTTTAGAACAATCACAAGAATAATTTTTTCCCTATTTAGAAATAAAATTGAACAACTACGTAAATCACATTTTTAAAAACTCAAGAATTTGAAATGCATTTTGTTCTATCGTTTTTTTATATGAAAAAATCCTTAAGGGTGTCAACAACGATTATATTCCAACTTTTGACCCCGGTAGAGGCACCTTAAGTTGGGTTGTTCAAGATTCTTTATATGTCAAAAGAAAGTTTAAACCCTTCTGTGACGCGTCTGAAAGCCCGATTTTGGATTAGTACTCTCGTTAATCCTCCCGCCGACTTCAAAGGAAGTCCGTTTTACACAAAATAGGGGTAACTTTTAACCCCCATTACTAGAATTCTAGACGAGATGTGAATCTGAAATTTTCAGAGAAGAATCTTCAGACAAAACTACGAATCATAAGAGAGACCCTTATTCGATCGTTGTTGACACCCTTAAAAAAGCATTTAAAACATTTCATAAAATAATTTTCCATTTTTACATTATGGAGGTTATTCATGGATTGTGAGTGTTTGAAATCGATAGGTGTGTATTGCTATTATAAGATTGGTTTTAGATAATTGTACACGACTCCGGCGCTGTTGCAGAAAAGAACGCCCTCAGCTGAGTCTTCGAGAATTTCCCGAGCTCCAAATTAGAAAACTCATTTAACAAAAAAATCAAAGCAAGGAAATTTAATTTTCGCAAATCATCCTCAACGTCCTCCAAATATCATGGCTACTGACACCGAGACAAAGAGAGAAGTGATGGAGCTTCCGGTTACGCCGACTCCAACTTACAATCAGGTGATTTTAGACAAGAAAGGCCGGCATAATTACTTTTTAGCAGAGCCCACTTGGGATGTTTCCAACTTCATTGTCGCGCCCATGGCCGGAGAGTTCACCAAACACGACTCCCTCCGGCGTGTCGCTTAATCTAGGCAGTCCTGCAGGCAGCGCTTCCGGTCAAGTTCTCCCGACGACAACAGGCAACCCTGCCACAACAGTCACGAGTACCGCTGTCACATCCTCTCCCAGCGTGGCGAACATTTCTTCAGCAGGCGTCAAGTCATCGCCATCGCCGCCTCCAGGAGTGCCCGATGCGAGCAAGGACGGAAAAAGTTCACCGACGTACTCGGACTCGACGAGCTCGCGTTGCTTTCCCTATCCTTATCCAACTCCGGCGCGGAGAAGACATCGGACCTCCTTCACCCAAGAACAGTTGAACTTGCTAGAAAGTGCCTTCGCCAAAACGCAGTACCCCGACATCTACTACAGAGAAGAACTAGCGTCAAGGACGAAATTGACAGAAGCTAGAATCCAGGTACGTTCCTCTTTCGTTGTACCCAAAACAGCGCTCGAAACTCCAAACAGGAAAAAATAAGGTGTCGCTGGCTCTTTCATTTCGCCGCCATTTAGCAACGGATTAGGACTTTCGACACATGTTCACAACTGATCCTAACATTTTTGAGAATGAGCAAAAAAGTATATGTATCCTACCGCGTATAATTCGATTACGGCTCCAGTCTTACATGTTTCAAAACTCAACTACAGCTCTATAAAGTTTGTGTTTATACAGACACGGATCTTACTCGAGAACGAGTAATCGCTAGACGTACTTTCAGAGTTAACATAGTGACACCCTTAATTTTGGGGTGGTGTCTGGAACCGACAAAAAAATTTCGACAAATTTCGCGTGGGCGGCTACTCGGCTGTTGATTGGCCCGTTTACAAAATCCAGGCTTCTCGTTGGTTAAAAATTTCAACGCAAAATTTGTGGAAATTTTTTTGTCGGTTCCAGACACCTTCCCTTAATTTTGTCGCTTTTTCTATCAAAATCTAGCTAATCATAATTTCCAATAAAAGATAAGCTGCAAATCGAACTTCGATAAAAACTAAAATTAGCTGATGGTGAGATTTTTGTCCATTTTTTTTTGTGTTCGGCGTAAATAGCCGGTTTCACAAGGAGTGTATGAAAATTCAAATCAAATTACTCGAAGGCGACTTTTCTATTTTGGCTAACAACAGAGCCGGCCACTGGCTTCACATGCGTCTATCCTCCACCGGCGATAAAGGGGAGAAGATTCGTAGCTCTCCGAAAAAGTAGTAGTAGCGCAAAAGTGATTTGCACAACAAATATATTTATCACTGGACAAATCAAGCTGAGAAATTAAAATCGAACCTTGCTTTTTCGCTCTTTTCTTTCTCTGTCTATATTCAATATACGACGATTGAGATTTGGTAAACATATTTGCACCAAAGCAAGAGCTATAAGCAGGAGAAAGAGTATTTTCTTCGAAAACGTAACAAATAGGAGCAGGACAACTCTATTTTTAACATCTTGATGGTCCTAAAAGAAGCGTTTTTATTAAATTACAGTACTTCTTTGCGACCTTCCGAGCTAGGCTCGGCAGCCTGTGTAGAAAGCCTGAGTCAGGGTCTGAAAGAACTAAAGTGAAAAGCCGCGCAGCGGCTTTTTCAAAAACAAAGCCGCGAAGCGGCTTCGCCTGAATTTTTGATAGATTGTAATGGTAATATTAGCGAAGCCGCTTCGCGGCTTCGTTTTCAAAAAAGCCGCTGCGCGGCTTTTCATTTCTGTTTTTTAGGACCCTGACTCAGGTTTTCCACACAGGTAGCCGAGCCCAGCTTCCGATCCTAGGAGCATGAAGTCGAAATAAGTTTCTCAAATCTACCTGTTAGTTTTGAACCCTTTATTAAACCGTTAATTAAACGTTGTATTCAGGTCTGGTTCCAAAACCGTCGAGCAAAGTTCCGAAAAGTGCAGCGCCAAATGATGGCTTCGAATGCTCTCCAGTCACAGCCCAATTTGCTCAATCGTTCACCAGCTGGAATCACTCCATTTTCGCAAGGATTCCAAGGTCTACCTTGCCCGTCCGGACTCTACAGTGCCGCGGGAAGCTATAGCTACTATCCTCTGAACACCGGCGTGCCAGGTGCTCCGGAACAGAGTCCTCTCAACACGTAAGTCCCTGAATTTTGGAATTCAATTTGGAAAGTGTTTATTGCTAAAAAGCTGTTGGCTAATCTCCCCTTTAACTGTTGAATTTCTTCGGAGGGCAAAAAGACCACCCCAAATGTCTCCTCAAATTGAATTTGGGTAACTCAATTTCCCGCCCGAAGCGTCTTCCCAAAATACGATTTTTGACACTTTAAGGGTATAGTTGTCTATTTGCCTATCTAGGAGATCTTATTTCTCAGAACTTTTTGATTGTACGGCTGGCCAAAATAGCTAGGAAGAAAGAGCTCCAGTAAAATGGCAATTTAGCTTATTTACTCAGTCAATATCTTCACTAAGAAATGATGATGAAAGTTTCAGTTATAAAACTGCAATATCGGCAAAATCTGGCGCTTGAATTTTGAAATGGCAGCTTTGAAAATGAAAAAAAGATCCTCAAAAGTCAAGCTCAGACGTAGTACTAGCCGCCCAAAACAAGTTCTAATCGGCCTAATTGCCCGCCGCGACATTTTCCTTTCATCTTCACAGCTCCGACCCCCGGTCATCGGTCAACAGCCAGATTCACACGTTTTTTTGGAAGATTTTGGAAATTTAAATCTCCTGACCCGCGCCGCGCGTTTACAAAACACCAAATTACCAAATGCACCTTCAAAGCGTTGGAACCTTGATTAATCCCGTTTTTTCATTTTAGTGGCGACTCGGCACTGGACAACGCATCCGCCGCCTCTGCTTGGGGAAGTTACTCGCGCAGCTTCGCCTTGCCGCCCAGTTCAGCCGGCTTCTTGCCTGGCAACGGCAACTCTGCGCAGAATTCGCTCCTCCAACTCGCCGGGCTCCAAGGACTCGACAAGTGGCAGTAGTCCTTGCAGTCAGTAGTCTCTTCTAGTTTCTCTAAAATCTCGACCCTAATTATCAACCTTTCCCACCTTCACTGGGTCTTCACAAAATGAAACACGAAAAAATCAATCTAACTGTAACTTACTAGTGATGACTGTAACTGTAACTTTTATTCTCATTCTTTCTATTTTTATTTTGCCAGTACTGTACTGTGATAATTAAATTTGTAAATTGGACTTGTTTGGACAAGTTCGCCTTGGAAATAATAAAAAAAATACACGTAAAAGTAAAAGTTGAACCATTCTTGTATGAACTCAAGTAAATGGCTTTCTTGGTGTTCCAGCAGAGCAAATCCAATAATTGATGATTTATATTCTTGTTCACGGCTTATACAACAAACATTCGATTGAACCGAAATTTAATTCAAAATATTTAATTAAATTAATCTAAAAATTAAGCTTGGCAACCGGTGTAAAAACCTGAGTAAGGGTCTGAAAAATCCTTAATAAAAAGCTGAAAATCTTTCAAACCCTGACTCAGGTTTTTGACACAGGTTTCCGAGTCCAAGTATCTCAATTCAAGCATTTTGAGCATAAAATCAAGTTTGCCCTACCTCCCCCTTAATTTGTTTACAAGCGTATATATTGTGCAATATTTGGCTATTGGAACTAACCAGCTGTCACGTGTTTAGCAGGCGCTTTTCCTCCGCATCAAAACACGAAAAAACTGCGTCTTCGCCTGAAAGTGAGGCGTTGTTGACGGAAAAACGGCGCGGCGGAAATTCGAAAAGCCAAAATCGTGTTAGACTCCTGATCTCCGGTCTGATAAGGGGAAATTTATCCAATTGTCAAGTTTGGCTCTTGATTTGCATAATTACGGCTTGGACGAGAATGCGCTGCACAAGCAATGCGCTGCGGACGCGCTGTTTACTTGTTTGGACGAAGCCGTCATTCGCCGGAAGTACCGCCGCTGACAAAAGCTAACCAGATATACATATATGCCCATCTATAATAGCATAAACGTTTTAAAGGCCCTATCATACTTTCAAGACGCGCTGAGGTGTCGTTCATAAATTTGACGGCGATGATTTTAGTACCGCAAATCCGACTTTAGTACAAATCCGACAATGGTACAAAAAAAATATTTGTACTAAAGTCGGATTTGTACTAAAATCGGATTTGTACTAAAATCGCCCCCGTCCATAAATTTTTATGGAAATGTTAACATGTGAGAAACAAGGTGGGAAACACTCGTAATTGCGTTCTAGAGCAATTATTTGTTTCCCACTTCGTTTTTGATTGAAAAAGAAGCAAGTGAGAAAGACTTGAGTTTCTAGAGATACAAGAAACTTGACGGCGTTTATGACAAAAAATAATGATCTCCAACAATTTCGAATATCTCTAGAAACCCCTGTCTTTCTCACTTCCTTTTTTTCAAAGAAAAACAAAGTGGGAAACAGATAAATTACCTAGAACGATTACTAGAAGTGTTTCTCACCCTGTTTCTCAGCTAACAAAAACATGAATAAATGAGCATCTACTGACGATGATGAAGATTTTGGTGTTCGAATGATGGCAAATAATCAACCGTAATCTGCTAAGCTAACTTTTCTGGCACATTATTATTCCTCAAACTGGCTTGAGCCGCGACAAAGTAGCAGGTGCAGCTTTGGGCCGCGCATTTCGCGAAAATTGGCTAAAAATATTATCCGGGTTGGGCGATTTTGACGGAAGTGCAACCACAATCGCGTGCACCTGTTTGTCCATTTGCTTTTTGCCATTTTCCTCGGCGGCGCATTTCCTTTCTATTTTTGGAGGCGAACCAGCGGACCGGATGTCCGACTGCGAAGACTTCCCTTGGCGCCAAGTCAGTAATATTAATTAAGATAATCGATTATGTCGCGCAAAGGTCGCCAAAGGTTCCACTCCGCTCTGAACTGATCAACGCCACATTAGATTACTCGCATCGAAAATCATCAATTCGACGACACTAATGCTCAAGCCAATCTTTTCTATTCAATAAAAACTATCAATTGGGTCCAAATTATCGCCGTACCTTCGGAAACAGAGTTGCAAATTTTTTCTGAGCTGAGCTAGCTGAGCTGAGGTTGAGATTGAGCTGAGCTGAGCTGAACTGGCCCCATTTAAAAACAACTGAGCTGAGCTGAGCTAGCTGAGCTGAGGTTAAAATTGAGCTAGCTGAGCTGGCTCTCTTCGAAAACCATTGAGCTGAGCTGAGCTGAGCTAGCTTTCTTCATTAAAATTGAGCTGAGCTGACCCTCACCTCAAAATTGCTGAGCTGAGCTGAGGTGTAGCTCAGCTCAGCTAGGTCACAAAATTTGCAACTCTGTTCGGAAATTGATTTTGAAGTCGTCAATTTTCAGTTTCCTACATTTTAAAATTGCCAATCTTGGGCACAAATGGCGAAGGTTGAATGACAATCTTGGAGATAGGTTGCAGATGCATGATCGACAATTTCGGAAGGAGCTCTAGAATTCTAGTAGCGAAGGCAGTTCATGTTTAGGTAGCGCAATAATTAGGCGAGGCGAATTTCAACCGCCAAGTCAATTCTAATTCAGATCCAAATTCAGCACCAGGTAGAAACTCAAAATCGTAAAGATCTGAAATTCAAAATTCCTCGCAGCTGACTCGCAACTGACCAAAATAGAGAAGCAAATGTGAAAAGTGAATATCCACGAAGGAAGCAATCACTTCCAATATGCTTAGAAAAGGTCGCGAAAACTGCTGAAAATGCCATTATACACAATGACCAAGGTTGAATCATCATTTCTTCAAAAATTCAAGTGAGAAGAACTTGGATAATTCTAGAGAGCTTATTTTGCCAGTAAAATCTTCCTCATCGTCGGGTTTTCGAATTACATGTATTGATTTGTGGTATTCACGCGCTGATTGCTGGGGTGTTGGATTTGGTGGTGCCAGGTGCCCCAACAGAAGGGCTAAGCATTAGCCGGCGCGAGCAAATAGCCAGTTACACATACAGGTCATTCGACATTTATTATGCTTCGCTTGACCCTTCTACTCTATGCACATGCTCCTCCATTCTCCTCACACTTGTGTGTTTACGCCAAAACAGCGCCAGAAAGGACACAAGGTGTCGTCTGTGTTTGGCTTTCTGACTTTCTTTGACAAATAATTTGATTTCCAAAGACAAACGCCACCTGAGTGAGCATTTTTTTTTCTTACGGCTACTTTGCTCAATACTTGCTACAGTAGAAGTATTCTATTTGTAAATATAGTACTCTCTACTAATGAAAACGCTAATCTTAACACCGAAAATTCGGGAAGGTGTCTGGAACCGACAAAAAAATTTCGACAAATTTTGCGTGGAAATTTCCAACCAATCAGAAGCCTGGATTTGGCATACCGGCCAATCAGCAGCCGAGTAGCCGCCCACACAAAATTTGTCGAAATTTTTTGTCGGTTCCAGACACCACCCCGAAAATTCTAGGGTTTAAAGCCCTTGAGGACAAGAAAGTTTGATTCATGCTGTTTCTAAACCCAATAAATAGACAATTTGTTTTGCGATGAAAATATTTTATTAGACTAATGTACAGCGAGGAATGCAGGAAAACTGCTTTGACAAAAAAAATGTATTTGATTTAAAAATTGTTCGAGTTTTGTTGTAGGGTCGGGAAAGGACAGTTTTGCTTGATCTTGGCAAGTTTTTTGTGTGACATACAGAAAGGAAGAGAATTGACAGTAATTGAATTGAGAACATCTAAGAGAACGTCTAGTGCCATTTTAGCTCGCCACTGGCGCCCCATTTCGCTGGGTCGAGTCCTTGGAGGCCAGCGAATTGGAGAAGAGGGTTTTGAGCCGCGGGCGTGTTCCCAGCCGCGGAACCGGGCGGTGTGGGGAGTGAGAGCTGGCTCCGAGCGTATGCTGACCAATCGTAAGCCGCTCCTTCGCTAGCGCTAGAATATGCAGTTAGAATTCATCAATCACTCGTTCAGGGACTTACTTTGGCGGGGGTAAATCACCAGAGCTCATGGCCGAGTTTCCCAGCGGATAATAAGGGTAACTTGTCGGCGCTGGATATCCGGGTAGCGAGGGCATCGCTGGAAAACCTTGAGGAAATGATGTCGGTATCTGTGGTCTGGCGGTGGCACTGTGCGCACCCAGTGGGCTTGAAGATGTGTTGAGCGAAACGGCCATCATTTGGCGCTGTACTTTGCGGAATTTGGCGCGGCGGTTCTGGAACCAAACCTGAAAATAGACTTATCAATCAATCAAAATAAAGGGAAATAATTAACATTGCTTCGATAATAAGTTATTTTTTATGTTATTAAAAGTTATTAAAAAAAATAAAGAATTAAAAAAAAATATTTATTTTATAAATTTTAAATTTGAATTTTTTATTTTCTAATTTCTAACAATTATTTGTGAAGAAAGATTTGTCAGTTGTCTTTGGAAAGAAGAAAATAGAAAGTGTTGGAAAATGGACCGCAAGAATTATTTTGAATTTTTGAAAATTCACCTAGAAGGTGCCGCATCTCGATTTCACAGTTTCGCATTTAACGCTGCTTAGCTCTTTTCTGCGGTTCTGCTTAGGTGAGAAAATTCAGCTAGCAGGACCGGAAGTCGGGATCAAAGGGGACGCACGTGACTTTATTATTTTGGAACTTTGCCGTTGGGAAGTGGATGCTTTTCGCTAAAGCGGAAACAAAGCAGAAAACCTAATTACCCCAGCGCTACAAATATCACGTAAAATCTCGAAAATAAATGCGTCTCCTTCTTCACTTCCGATCGGGGCGAAATGCGAAAATACCAGCGCTGCGCCATCCTTTCCGTAAATATTAATAATCTAATGAGAGGGCATTTTAGTCACGTTCCAAACAGTTTCGCAACAGAACGGATATCAACCCCGTTGACAAAACAAATTCAATTTAGACGTTTGTTTTAATCTTCAGGAAACGAGTTGTTTTGGCTCCTAGTTCTTTATATATGTTTCAAACTCAGATGTCAGCTTACTAATTATGTTTATTAAATGCTCAACAAAACTTTTTCCTCCCTCAACAATTCAATACGTTTTATAATTAACAACTAGTAATTTTTATTGGTTTGACGCCCTTATACTAGGCAATAAGGATTGGAAAGAATTTTGATAAGGATTGAAACTTTATTATCCCGAGTAAAAATAAGGGTGTCACTGCGCTAGTATGGTCCATACTGGGCTCGGCAACCTGAGTAGAAAACCTGAGTCAGTGTCTGAAAGAGCAAAGATGAAAAGCCGCGTAGCGGCTTTTTTAGAAATGAAGCCGCAAAGCGGCTTCGCCAGAATTTAAATATAAGATGGAAAAATATTTTGCGAAGCCGCTTCGCGGCTTCGTTTCTTAAAAAGCCGCTACGCGGCTTTTCATCTTTGCTCTTTCAGACCCTGACTCAGGTTTTCTACTCAGGTTGCCGAGCCCAGAGTATGGACAAAATACCATATTTGAGGATTGACGCGGATTTGAACCATAAGTTATGGTCCATAACTATTTCCTTAGTATATAATTTATTTGAGAAAAAAAAACAATAAAATTCTCGTTGAATACTTTTGACTACTTCGAGGGTCTCGAAAATGGAAGACTCCTCTAAGTGTTACAGTCATTTAAAAAGTATCTTTAATTCTGAGCGAGGCAAAAATGCCGTGACTAGGCAATTTGCTTTCAACAGGACTAGCGGCGCTGGAGCCTTCGGACAAACCGGAAACGCGAATTTCACACTTCGTCGGGGAAAATAAATTGGCGAGCCCAGGCGCACCTGCTGACTCGCCATCTCGTGACAAAAGTGATTAATGTTTTTCCCTTCGCCATCAACACCACCACCGCGAGGTGCAGGACTACGCCCTCTAAAATTTACACCGCAGCCAATGAGCAAGTCTTACGCCCGTAATAATTTATAAAAATAGCTCCGCTTTTTAAAACAAATATTTTAAAACATCTGTAAAAAAAGAAACAAATAAACGATTTTCTTTTTATACATCAAATTATAATTAAACTATTAGCTCGTTGATTTGTGCAAAACATTTTGTTGGCCCTTATTATAAAATCTGAAAAATTCTGAAGGGAGTTAGAGGCTGGGCTCGGCAACCTGTGTAGAAAACCTGAGTCAGGGTCTGAAAGATCTATAATGAACGCTCTTTAAACGAAGCCGCGAAGCGGCTTCGCCAACTTATTATTTCAATAAGTTGAAAAATTCTGGCGAAGCCGCTTTGCGGCTTCGATTTTAAAAGCCGCTACGCGGCTTTTCATTTTAGATCTTTCAGATCCTGACTCAGGTTTTCTACACAGGTTTCCGAGCCCAGGTTAGAGGTAAAAGAAAAGCCCCAGAGTTAAAAAAATAAACGTTTCAAAAGAAGGTGAGTAAAGTCGAAAGAAGAAAAGAAATGAAATTGGGGGCTCGTTCATTGTTTGGAAAGTTTTTTTGGTGGTGGTTGATTAGTACGCGTTTGATTTGTCACGGCTCGGTATAATTACGGTGTTTGGGTAAAAAGGCGGGCGGTGGTGCTGGTGTTGATTTGGTGTACAAATAGCACCTGTGTTTGGCGTCCACTGCGTCGGGCCAGTTCGAAAGAGACTGAAAGCCGCGCGATGGCGTACTTTGATCCCACGGTATCAATCCTATTCCAAAATCAAACCCCGTTGAGTTAATGAAATCAGGCAGCTGCTGTTTTACGAAAATACGAATTTCGCCAGTCGATGATCTGTCACTCGCGCCCGAGACCGGCCACCGTTAAAATCCGATTTACTAACGATACTTATACCTTTTAAATACCCACTTTTATCATGTACCTACCTAAGTTTTCACTAATAAAAGAAAAAGTCATATTGAACAAAATCACCCAAATTCAATTATTCTAATCAGTGTTCCTAAAAGAAAATAATCTTTGGAATAAAATTATTTTCTCAGAAGCCTTTTTGATCACCTTTTTTAACATAAAAAAAAATTATTAAAAAAAAAAATTTATTGACCGAGAAATTTATTTGTACTTTCACTTTCTTCCCCAGCTGATATTTACTAATTATTATTCGTAAAATTACTCGAAACGGGTTAATAAATAGGTTGCTATTAATTAATAAAGAGATAAAAAAAGCTACTATTAATGTAAATATCCAGAAAAGGGCTCGATCGAAAATGCCTTTTTATATAGATGAAAGTATTCTTCAACCCATATACATTTATTCAGATCTTAGCCAGTTAGCAGCCGAGCTTCTTTGTTGATGATAAGAAAGTGGGGGTAAGGTGTAAGTGAGTTATGCAAGAGGACTTCTCCAGCACAAAGTTCTGATTGAGTAGATTAAAATTGAATTGGCGCGGGTGATAGAATTTAAAAAATTCTATTTTTCAGAAAGCAGATTGTCAAAATTCAATTGTCAAATTTCAATGTGAGCATGTAATTAACCAAGTTATTTCTGACGAGAAAGATCCACTTTTCAAGCCCTTACTTTACAAACAATCTTTTTACGTAAAAACGAGAATAAAAATAGCTCTATATAGCTAGTAGAGTTCGGAACGGATTTTATGCTTGGCTAAGTTGAAGCTTTGATTTAGCTGGTACATAAACAGATTACGTAAGCTCTAATTAGGCATGAACTAATCGAACAATTTACACAATACTGCCGGTGTTTACCTGAATTCTAGCTTCGGTGAGCTTCGTTCTTGACGCCAGTTCTTCTCTGTAGTAGATATCTGGATATTGCGTCTTGGCGAAGGCACTTTCGAGCAGGTTTAGTTGATCCTGAGTGAATGAGGTTCGATGTCTACGTCTGGCCGGGGTCGGATAAGGGTACGAGAAACAGCGCTCGTTTGCGTTGCCGACAGAAGACGTGTAGTTGGGCGATTCTTTGCCGCTGTCCCGCGACTCTGTTTTTGGCGGAGAAGCAGACTTGGAATCTGATAAGAACGGTCAAGACATGCTCGCGCGTCGTGGAAAGTTAGATTTCTAGCTACTACTGACTCGAGATCGGAAAGAAAAATGGATTTATAATGTCATTTGCAAATGTTGCGTTATGTCGCGCTCGTTGAAAAGCGGACTCTCCAAGTTTCGAAAGGTCACTTTCGGCTTTTGTCACTTATTATTTTTTGTCTTGCCCGTTTCCTGAAGAAGTTTGCTCTTCTAGTGGCGGTGTCTCGATTTCGGCAACATGAGCGTGCAGCGCCTGGTTGTGCGCGTCCCCGATCCAGGGAGTGTCTCCAAAGGCGACGGAGGAGGTGGAGTTCTGAGCTTGAACTGGGCCCACGTCCGAGTTCGTCATTGTCTCCTTGGCGAGAACAGGCGCACTCGGAACTGCGTTATCGACCAGCGCCGAAATGGTGATGTCTAAGCATCAATAGTTAGCGTTAACTCTCTTTCTCTCTCTTTTCTTTTTGTTTTGTTTTATTGATGATGATTGTGACTCTCACCTTTGGTGTTTTCGTGTTAATTAATTGGATGTTGATGAACGAAGTTTGCGTTAGTTTCTCTCTGTAATTGTAAGATCGGATGAATCAAACAGAATTAGCTGATTGAATTAATTCGAGCGGATTTACGAAAAGCGCGAAAAGTAAAAGTGTTGAGCTGAGCCGCGGAGGGTAGACGGACAGGCGTCAATGGTGGAGCAGGCGCCGCCTCGTCTACACCACCAGAAGCGTAGCACCACCACACCCCACTCGTTGCTGCCACCAACGGACCACCACCGAGCTAGGCGACCTTTCAAAAACCAATTAGGGTATCCAACCAGACCGGAAGTCCGCAGCCAACGACGAAAATGACACTGTACCAATCGTCAACACCAGAAATTCGTGCGTTTCCATCGCTTCTTTCAATAATTAAGAAACTTCGACAAAGTAAATTAGCAACCTCTTTTGAAAATTTTCTCTCAGGAAGATTTTCATGGCTTGAATTTAACAATTAAAAACTCAAGTTTTTGCAACAAAAGTCGATCAATAGAACTTTCTTCTTATAAGAGCAGTAGATTTTCTACTGTAGGATACAGCACTTTTACAATTGACTGCAGTTTTAGTTGAACTGCCCTTTTTCGACGGTTAAAGTTGCGGATTAGAATTCTAGCGTTGTTTCGTTTCTTTTCTTTTTCGCTCATTCGGGCTAATTAACTTTCCATAATCCCAACGCGCATCGAATTTTTTTTCGCCTTTTCCTCGGTGCTATTTGAAGAGTTACGTTTCAGGCTTCTCCTTCGAGGAAAATTTTTATTTTCAATATTAATTTATTTGACTTCTCGCGAGTCAGAGTAGCGTCCCGCCAATTAGATATACATTTGACGTTAACCAAATCAAATCAAGTTTGACAAACGAGGACAGCTCGCCGCTGGGAGGCGCTGTTTGCGACCGAGTTCTCAAGAAATAGCAAAACTGCTCCTTGCTTTATAGACCCTTGTAATTGGGTTATATAAAGATCAAAGGAAGCGGCGCACGATGTATAGACTTGTTAGTTTTGCGCCGGCGTCAAAGTACTTTGGTGGAGGCACCGTGTGGATTTTGACACCTTGACCCACCGCCGGTTAATTAGATTAAAGCACGCTATCCCTGCACAGCGCACAACCAACCCGCAATTCAGAAAGCAACTGAACTCTACATCAACAACTTTTATAAATGCAATAACAAAAAAATCATATCAGTAACTATTTTATTTCTATTTCACAGGGAAAATTATTGGAAAAGAGGTTCCATCAGCGGCGTCGAATGATTTGTGCAAAGTAAGCATCTTTAACACGGTCAATTCTTACCACGTTATTGCGATTCTCTTGATCCTCTGTTTGGATACTGTCGTAGTTTGGAGCCTGAGTTTCACCAGGAAGTCGATAAACCTTGAATTATTATTTTATCTCTTTAAAATCTAATTCTCATATAAATTGATTTACCTGAAGTGGAGGAGCCTCCATAATTCGCAATGGATCCTTGCAGCCGTTCGTCCTTGGGTTAACCCAGTTGAAGATGTAATTTCGCTCAATATGCTCCCAAGAGAATGGAGTCAAAACTTTTGGGCGACATCGGAATTCGGCCCGGCCATCTCCAGGAGTCTCTTGAATCATTATCACAGTCGCCATATTCAATTCAACACCACATTGAAAAGGAAATCTTGTTCGACATCCTTTAGGAAAGCTTATTGTAGATTCAGAGATTAATTTTAGAAAAAACAAAAACTCTAAAAATATTTTAATTTTTTCTGAACCAACCCATAACGCTTGCGGAAGACTCTGAACCAGTTGTCATTGATCTTGGAGACGTTTTTTCGATCTAAATGTTATTTGAATTGAATTCAAATAATTTACACTACACTTTGCATTTCTGCACTTACTGAAAAATGGTTGTTGAAGTGAGTTCTCTGCTAGTCGAATAACGTCATCCTTGTTAAACTTGCATCTCTTAGCATTAAAAGTGACTTTACATTGCAGGGCAAGAAAATCTTCGAACTCGGTTTGCTCGGGATTGTCGCGCTTTTTTTCTACTCCAAAGTTGTCGTCTTATAATATTGAATGTAAAGAGTAAAATATTCATCTTTGCAGTACGTTCCTGATTCCTCTTTGTTATCTTGATGATGTTTCTCACGTTATGGAGCGAAATCGGCCTTTCGAACTCATCAGTAGCCCAGGTCATCAACTCTTTCTGCTTCATTGTCGGATCGGTATTTTCATACTTCTCCGCAATGAGCTTTTTGATGTCATCAGACAGTCCTCGTGGCATGATTCTCTCCTATTGTCTACAAAAAAGTAGTTTTACTTGCGAAAATTTTATATGCAAAACAGTATCTTTTAAAAATCTATCTCTGAGAAATAATGCACAAAACTCTTCCCAAGTTTGAAAATGAAGAAAAAATCACGGGGCGCGGGCTTATAAGCTCTTTCTCCGAATCGAAAATGACGACCGGCACAAGAGTTTTGCTCTCTAGATTTTGCCCGCTCCAGAAAAGACCTATCCAGCCTGCGTCTCGAAACCGACTCAAATGAAATCAACAACGACTAAGCTACTGAAGCAAAACTACCAACTCCTGCACCGCATTTTCGAACAGAAGAAACTGACACATTCAGATGAAACTACAGTCATTAACTGAGTTTCATCATTTCGATAGTTTTTGTTTTAAAAAATTGTTTATTGAAGTATTTGATGAGAGCAAGAGAACTTGCTCTCACTGGAAGACTTTTTGTGAAGAAAGAATCTTGGTTTTTTGTCGCCCAATCACTAGAATAGCAATTGGACAGGAAGTTGAAACAATAAGGGAGGTGCCTGAAATATTTTTACGCTGGTTTTTGCCGCTTTTTGCAGTTTCTTACCTGGTAATCTTGATTTTTCGGACCCAAAATACGTCCTACCCACTCTTCAGGTGGCTAGAAAGTGAATGGCTGAAATTCAAATTGGTCTGAAAACAACTTCGATTCTAGAGAATCTGAGTACCTTGTTTTGGGTAGGAGCTCATCCAGCTCTGGAATCTTTGGCGCGGGAGCTTTAGTAAACGAGTACTTGGCACAAATGGCGTCTATCAGTGGTGCCTCAGTTTTCTCGCGCGATGCTAGTTTTGCTGCCTAAAATGATGATAAAAATTTTATTTTATCATAAAATAAAGGCTCAGAAAAGGGATGAAAATTCTTACCCTCTTGAGTCGAATGTTTTCAATCGCTTTCTCCAGCCTAGCCACTTCCTCGCCGGTTTCTCGGTCCTGTATCTCGTAGAACAATTTCTCCTGCGTCAGGAACGCTTCTTCTTGTGAGCTAGATGGAACTCGCTGCGCTGGAGTCGGCTGAATTTTTTTGCTTATCTCGATCGGAAGAATGCAGTTTTATCTTACCGTCATGATTCTTTTGAAAGAAGGAGCATCATCCTCCGTCAAATCGACAAAGCTCAAGGTCGGCGCCGAGCTCGTCTCTTTCAAAGTTCTCGAGTGCATTTCAATGAGCTGCTTGTAGTCTTCTTTAGTCAAGGTTTTCTTGCTCATACTCATCATCGGCGTTCTCGGATTGCGAGTAGAACGCTTTGTCACGAGACCGCTTTTCGTCGCCGTCGGGCTGCTTGTTCGCCAGGAGACCTCTTCTAAAAACGATGGATAAGTAAATGTTTTATAATTTTCAGAATACCTTTCAAATCGCTTCGGGCTCCGAACCTCTTATTCTTTCCAGGTGAGGGGCAGTCAGAGGAAACGGCCTCGGAGACCTCTGAAAGAAGATTGCTCCCCGTCTCCGGCTCACTCATTTGTCTCGACTTTAGTTTCGGAAGATCCATATCATCAGCCCTATTTTGCATATCCGTCACCACGAGGCTCGATATCGTGGCATCATTCCCTTTACACAAAGTGTCCAGAGCATGTCTCAATTGAGATGTCTGGCGGGATGGCCAATTAATCTCCTGATGCCGCATTGCGTACGTTTCCGTCAGGAAATATTTTAATTTCGTTTCAAAGCTCAAATTCAATATATCTTAGTGATGATAAAAAATCGGAATGTTTCAGAGCTCTTCCTTGATAATTCCTTTTATTTTTGGCGTGAATTTACGGGTACCCTCCCAATCCCTGGGCAAAATCGAAAATCCAGGGATTCGGAGGGTCAAATCCAAAATGTTCTAGAAATGTCTTTTAGCTATTTTACATCAGATTCATTGATTAGTTTTTTCTAATAATTGGTTAGGGTTGAAAGCAAAACAACTTTAGCGAACTTATCTTTATGCATAGATGCAATATTTGTGAGCATACACTATTGATTGAATTCAAATGAAGTAATGCTTAAAATTAAAGCCTCAAAATCTTCATTAATATGGTCTCATAATTATTATGATAAAAATGTCGGTTGGAAACTACTTTTTGCTTCTATTCGATTTCCTTCTTTTAGGGTTAGTGTTTTATCAAACATGACATACAAGCTTTCTTGTAAAATGCTTAAATTTTTGATATATTTTGAAAAATGATAAATAAAAGATGTTTTTTGATCATTTGTAGGGGTTTTCTAGAACATCACCCTCCGAATCCCTGGACTTTCGCGAAAAACCCAGGGATTCGGAGGGTGCCCAGGGATTCGGAGGGTCACCCTGAATTTACGAGTAGATCTATTCTTATACCAATATATCAAATCTTTTTCGAAAGAATCTTTAATATCAGCATACTTGATAACAACCATGCCTAGAAAATTATTCCTTTAACACTAGAAATATATTTTTTGAGAAAACTGAAAAGTTCTTGTTTCAAGGAACGAGTATGCTCAGGTGAAAGAGCATCCTCGATTACGTATGCTGACTCAATCCGGTGGGGGGCTGAAAACGGAAATTTTCGAAAAAATGGGGTCGAAATCTCGAAAATGGTGGTTCTTATGACGCCAGTTTTGGGTACTTTTACTTTCCCGTTTTAAAAGGTCAATAGCTCATTTTGTAGCTCAGAGCCTGTGCTTTGCTGCAATGTATAGATGAGCCGGTCAGTATAAGCCAAAAATTATTCTCAGGACCTGAGAAGGTTGGGTACTTTTTCGCGATAAGCATGTCCCTTTCTTCTTTGATTTTGGCTAATTTTGTTCTATGTCAGGGCTGGCTGAATAAAGATTGTTATTATTGCCACTTATTGCCACTCTCTGCCGGAGGACCTCCCGGAGGACCCTTTTCATGGAAGACCAACTGCTGGAAGACCAATATAAAAAAAAATAAATAAATAGCCTTGCTTGGCCACCTATTGCCACATTTGGCAAATTTCGGTCGCTTTCTGCCGGAGGACCTCCCGGAGGACCCCCTTACTGGAAGACCAACTGAAGGGTAGGCCATGCCCGTTTATTTTATTCAATCAGAGTCAGGGCGAAGCCGACCCGAAGGGGAGGCCACGCCCCTTCATATTATTCAATAAGAGTCAGGGCGAAGCCGAGCCGAAGGGGAAGCCAAGCCCGTTCATTTTATTCAATCAGAGTCGTTTATCTTTAACAGTAATAATAAGCAAGCTAGAATAGTGAAACACAAGTCGATATTTATCTATCCAAGAGAAACAGCGTACTAAGGTAGTAGAGAGAAACAGGCGTTTTGAATAGTTTCTGCTTGTTGAAATGAAGCATCAGAAGCTACAGTTAGTAGTTTTTGGGCCGAGTATTGAATCACGCCGGCGCGTTGAAAGTTGATAGTAGTTACAGGCGTGTAATAAAGAAATGCATGTGTGACTGTAAAGAGATAAAGGCAGTGAAGTGACTGAAATTAAGGTGAAAGCACATGAATGATTTAGCACAGTAAAAAGTTCTATTGTTCGAGTCGCTGCTTGAGGCTAGGTAGAATCTTGACGGCGGCGACGTTGCTTCTCATGCCCTTGATAGTGTTGATGACACTGTCGCGGAGGCGGCGGGCTTCCCAGGCGGTGTTGTGATTTTCCCTGCAGGAGGGGTACTGCTTCATTTCGAAGCTCTAAAATTAAGGATAAGTGGGGTGGAAACTGGCCTTAATTCTTACCAAAAATCTCGTTCGGAGGATTGAAGTAACGCGGTTGATCTGGGGGATCACCATAAGCAGCCGCTCGTCCAGGAGCCTGAACGAGTGACCGCCCATGGGCTTCAGGATCTGGTCGATCCGACAGTACGGATAGTCTGCCTGGAACCGTTTGAAGCTCTCGATGTACTTCTGAAGGGTCTCTCGGGTCTCTTTGACCTTTTTGCGGTTTGAAACTGGCATTGGAAAAGGGCTATTTGGGCTCTCTGCTGTTTTCAGGGAGGAGCCGAAAACTCGAATGTATGTGATAGTGAATGCTTGATGGTTAAATAGAAAAAATCGTCGATTGATGGCGCCTCGTGTAAAGTTTGATTTTTTATCTGCGGCTGCGTATCCGGTTAGTTTCAGCTGTTTGCGATCAAATATAGTAGTGAGACACTTTTGATCCTCGCGGGTGATAGGGCTCGCGCAGGAGACGTCGATTAAGATTGAAATACAAAATAGTTAACTAAGGACGGTTGATATCACAACTACTGTACATTCTTAATATGACAAATGACAGTCCATAAATGAAAGATGATCACTTGAACTTGGTCAATGTAATCATTTGGAAATTAAACTACCTTAATTAAACTACAGTTCGTCAAAGAGACTTTCTTTCCTTACCAAATTTGGTCGGGAAGAGGGTTAGAAAATATCAAACAAAGGAATTTAACACGGCCGGAGTCCGGAGCCGCAATTCAAGGCTTAGGCTTTTTTGTGTTTTCTTATCAGAACTTTTATTCTCGTATATTCAAATAGTCTAGCAACCATAAATAAGAACACTTATAATTAAGGGTGTCAGTAGCGGGAGTCTAAATTATCTCCAGATTTTGGCATAAAATCATCAATTTATTAAGCACGCGACGGGCCAGAGGCCCTTACGCGCGCATTTTCTGGTAGAGAACTCATTGGGTTGGCGGGGCCCAACTCTCGCTCTTGTTCAGAACACTAATTTTCGCCAGGATTTGGTCAGACAAGACCCGGTTTGTACCCAACCGGGCGGCGCAGGGCGGCGCAAGGCGGCGCAAGGCGGCGCTAGGCGGCGCAAGGCGGCGCTATTCAGTACCCCCCCAGGAAAAGGGTCCTCCGGGAGGTCCTCCGGCAGAGAGTGGCAATAAGTGGCAATAATAACAATCTTTATTCAGCCAGCCCTGACATAGAACAAAATTAGCCAAAATCAAAGAAGAAAGGGACATGCTTATCGCGAAAAAGTACCCAACCTTCTCAGGTCCTGAGAATAATTTTTGGCTTATACTGACCGGCTCATCTATACATTGCAGCAAAGCACAGGCTCTGAGCTACAAAATGAGCTATTGACCTTTTAAAACGGGAAAGTAAAAGTACCCAAAACTGGCGTCATAAGAACCACCATTTTCGAGATTTCGACCCCATTTTTTCGAAAATTTCCGTTTTCAGCCCCCCACCGGATTGAGTCAGCATACGTAATCGAGGATGCTCTTTCACCTGAGCATACTCGTTCCTTGAAACAAGAACTTTTCAGTTTTCTCAAAAAATATATTTCTAGTAAGAATAATATTCTTTACTGCAAGTTTGTCATATCAACAGAATAAAGTTAATTCAACAGAAACGTTTAATTACGCTCTGGGGTGGTGGTCGGTTAGGGTTGGGGTTAGGGTTAGGGTTAGGGTTACTTCCATCTCTTGGAAAGAATTCTCTGCTATCAAATTTTTCAAATTTTTCAATTTCAAGCAGGTGCAATTATATCCAAATAAGGCGTTTGCGCTTTTCGCGCACTTATTTTCATTTCCAAATAAATGTCCAAATTATGTCGAAGCGCTTTTCGCGCTATTGCTTTTTAAAAATATTTTTTTTCCGTCTTAATGTTTTTATAGTGCTAAATGTTAAAATAGTGCTGATTATAAAAAAATATATAAAACGGTTTTTCACATTTATTATCTCATAATTTTGTGTTCAATTTTAGTGTGAGGAAATTGGTTCGAAAATGTTGAAATTACTGCCGAAATCATTTTTAAAGATAATTTCAGAAGGAAATACCAGTTAGATTTGGTAAACCCTACTTGGTAACAGAATTCAATGAATCAGAGTCTAATTATTAAGTTATATAAATTAGGGGCCATTTAGTCAGGAGAGCCATTTAGTCAGGGAGCCAGTTAGACAGACCTGACTAAATGGCTCTCCTGACTAAATTTGTTTTTTCCTTGACTTTTTTTTGCTTTCTGCTTCCATGGATGCTCTTTTCGCAAATCGAAAATATCGACCGCAGTTCTCTAGAATTGTTGTCGATGTCAGGCCTTTTTTACGAAGAGTGATCAGTCTTCGGATTTATCCGAGTCCGAATGGCATTGAAAAATAGGTGAGAATTGCTGCTAAATGCGTGATTTTTGAGACTTTTTTTTTATTTTTAGTGAGTTCGACTTCTACCTCCAATCTTCCAAAAGGACGGAGGAGAAGCAAATTGAAGAAGCATCGGCAACGATGGTCTCAAAGTGAAGACTCGTCTTTTGCTCTGCGAAAGAGCGCGGGCCTTTGGAAAAGGAAGATTCTCGCCAGAGAGCAAGCGAAAAAGACCAGTCACTTACGAAACAACTCCAGAATCGAATAAAATCCAAATACTCAAAACTAAAAAAATGTATTGCGTCTTTCTTTTCTTTCAAGCGGTTGACTGTAGTTTGGTTGCATTTTGAGGTAGAGAAGGAAAGTATTAGCGTTTTCAGTGGTGATCATTGATCGAAAATTTGTTGCGAAGGGTGAGAGCGATTTTGAAGATAAAATCGAGCACCTGCATAGTCGTCTATATTTTTCAATTTGCGAAATGCAAGATCGCGGAAATCATAACGCGAAATGTAGCCAAATTGGCTGTATATTTTCTCGAACCGGTTTGATTTAGCTCTGGTCTCTCTTCAGAACGTATAATTCTTTCGCCTTTTACTAAAGAATTCCGTGGAGAGGGACACTCTTATGAGTATCTGAATTTTTCTGAAGCTCCACACGGAGCAGTAAACCCAAACCAAACCGAAAAAGAACAACGATTTCGAGTGACAGCTCTTGCTCGCGCTCAATCTTCTTTTTAGAACTGATTATTTGCTCATGAAATTATCTACTTTGATTGCTTGGTATATTGATAATTATCATGTGCAAAACAATCATCTCCGCATCAATCATTCTTTGAGAACCATTATTGGGATCTCTAGAATTGTTGTCGATGTCAGGCCTTTTTTCCGAAGAGCAGTCAGTCTTCGGATTTTCCGAGTCCGGCGCACACGAACAAATAGGTAAGAACTGCTGCTGATTGCATTTTTGAGAACTCACTTCAAATTTTAAAGGCAAAGTATGTCTAATAATAAGCCCGAGAAGTGTTTCGTCGAAAGTGTTACGCTCTGAAAAGAGCGTAATCTACGTCTCACTCGACCAGTATCGGCAACAACGACGAAAACAAGCTCAACGGTTGGAAATCAACACATTCAGCCTAACAACTCCCACAAGTTCAAGACCTAAATGATCCAACACTTGGAACACACAAAAAGATGGAAAAACCAGTCTCTTACAAAAACAACTCAAGAATCGAATAAAGTCTCAAATTCTCGAAATCAAAAATGTCTCGTCTCTTTCTTTTTTATACGGTTGGATGTCGAAAGGTTGTTGGAAGTAGAGGATGATTTTGATGTGGTATTTATTCAGTAATAGTGAGATAATGAACTGTCATACTTATGAATGAAACATGAAGTGTTCCTTATAAAAATCTGACCAGAGCCCCAGCTCTTGAAATTTGGCTCGGCTGAGAGTTACAGTTATCAGTTTCGGTTTGGTTTGGGTTTACTGCTCCGTGTGGAGCTTCAGAAAAATTCAGATACTCATAAGAGTGTCCCTCTCCACGGAATTCTTTAGTAAAAGGCGAAAGAATTATACGTTTTGAAGAGAGACCAGAGCTAATGATTAGTTGTCCAACTAGAATCCCGAGCCGTCGAGTTGAGCGCCGCATTATGGTCTTTTCGTGGAGCGACGCACAGAGCGCGGCGCTATTTTTCAGCCAATGAGAATCGAAAGAAATTGAGAAAGAGAAGGAAAATGATCAGAAGTTTTAGCGGTAAGAGATTTCTGAATGTTGGGAATGCGCACTTTGGAAGATCTTTTAAATATGAGAAGCCAGATACCCAAAGGCCGATTGACAAAGGTAATTGAATTAATACAGGTAGAAATTAATTTGTCTATCAAAGATTATATTCTAAAATTAGTCTTCAGCAAAATACGAAGCTGACAAAGCCCGTTTTCAAACTAAAATGCCCGGCGCCATGCCGAAACGTTTTCTGAGGAAGATTCATCAAGTGCGCGCTGATCAAAGTTCCTGGGACCGAATGGACACCGACGAAAAACGCGCTCACATCGAGCGAGAAAAGGACCCCTTCCAGCCTGTAGTTTCCAACTTTGACGCGTACAAGAAGCAAATACGCTCGTCCCTGCGCCGCCCTCTTGAAGTTGTTTCAATTCCTGGGACGGACTCGGCTCCGCTGATCACTTGCTCCGGAACTGGCAACGCGAGCAACTTCAATCTCCAGAGCAACGAACGGTACCAGACATTCACGAAGATCCGTCTCTTTTCTGACACTTTCTCGTCCTCAGTTACTGACTCGACAAAGACTCGTCGTCCTGAGATCAACTTCAACGCTGTAGAATCAAATCGTTCGCTTTCTTCCAGCTCTTTTGCTTCGACAGAACTATCAGATGACCTCAAGAATAGCTTGGCCAATCTGAACTTTGTAAAAATGTCCAATATACAAAAAGAGGTCCTCGAAACATTCTTCAATTTCCCGGAAGCAGACATTGTTGGCATATCGGAAACCGGAAGTGGGAAGACATTGGCCTATATCTTGCCAGTCCTTCACAGCTGGTTGGAAAAAGGGTCGACTGCGCTGATTATCACGACGCAAAATCATTTGGCACTGCAGATTCGCGAATTGGCAGAAGAACTCATTCAACAGCTAGGCATTGGTAACAAGACTGATTCTTTCTAGGTCTGTTTAACAACCTTTAGATCCTTCCGAAGTTGTCTCTCTCACAGAAGTCGTGCCTATTATGATCAGAACTTTGCACTCGATCGACGCTGGAACAATACGTCGCGACTTGTTGGTTTTCGACGAGGCGGACGAAGTGTTCTCAAGTCAGAACTTTGCAAAGTCGTCGCAGCTCCTCTCTCTTGAAGGACAAAAAATACTCCTCGCGCCATTTCACTTCTCGGAAACGCAGTGGCCCTTGGTGCGAGAGTCACTTGGAAACAGGATCAACCTGGAGACAGACCTAGCAAATCGAATCCCTCTTCATATTCCACAAAAATTCCGCCGTCTCAAGCCAGAAGAACGCTCTTTGGACATCATCAAACGCCTCAAGAGCGGAAAACGAACGATCATCTACGTTAATCGATACAAAGAAGCGGTTTTTGTCGAGAGGCTGCTGAAGATGTACGAAGATGATGGATTTCAAACGATTCGAAAGGGGATGAACTCGCGTGAAGTTAGAATGGCTATCGATGATTTTGAAAGCGGGAAGATATCTGTTTTGATTGGAACGGACAAAATCAGCCGCGGAATTGACTTCTCTGCTTTAGAACAGGTAAGCTGACTTCTAGTCAACCAACAACCTCCATTTTTTAAAATATGCTCAATCCTACAAATTTAGATCATCAACTTCTGCCCACCCTATTCCGCCGCTGACTACTTGAACAGAATCGGTCGCACAGGAAGATTGGGCCAGTCGTTTGTCTCCAGTGTTATTACATACGCTGTAGATTCGAAAGAGCGAGAAAATTTACAAAGAGTGAAACTCATTGAAGAAGCTGTCAGAAGACATTCGAAGATTTCGGAACTTGATCCAAATTTTAATTTTGACCAGCATGCGAAAATTGTGCAAGAAAGAAAATACACTGCTAAAAGTTGAGAAAAAGATCAGAGAAAGAGAGTCTTCAAGACACTATCTCTTGCTGTGTGTTTGTATGAGTACTTGCTTTATTCTAGCTAAAGGAAAGGGCAGTGGGATTAATGAATTTTATAATGGACTAAGGGCAGGTTCTTTCTTAGAATAGCAGTTGTTTGTTGGCGATTTCGACGAGGATTGCTTTTCGCATCGTCTGCATGTTCTCGGCTTTGAAGTTGAACTCATTCAAGCCGCGGGAAAGGTAGTCGCCGAACTTGCAGGTGAAGACTCCGCAATCGCTGCTGTTGTCTTGCTGCGGCACTTGGTGAGACCAGGATTCGGTTGCCCAGTCCGGCGAGAGCTCTGAGCCCCTTTTCACTAGATGGAGGTTAATTTTGCATCAAATAATACGATTCATATTTGAAGGAAGTTTGCCCGGAAAAAATGTTGGTTTTTCAACAAGATATCCTTTATATAAAATTACCTTCGTGCTCGACTCTTAGATACTCAAGAATGAGTTCTCTGCACTCTTCATTCGAGGCACCCATGGAGTCCAGATAGATCACCTTCTTTTCCTTCATCAGAGCAGCCGCGATCGTCCAATGAACCCCGAGATGGATCGGAAAGAGCAGCCTATCCATTGCGAATATGTCGACCTTTTTCGTCCAGCGTTTCACGCCCTTGTGCCCGTTCTGCTTGACTTTCGGGTAGAAGAATGTCTTGAAGCAAAAGACTCGCGGGAGCTCTTTATCTGCTTCTGCGCGTTGCATTATCAGGTTGAAGTAACAGTTGATCACCAAATCATTCAACCACTGCCTGCCTAAAAATGAACTTCAGTTAAACTTTGATCTAAAATTTTTTCTACCTCTAAGTGTCAGGAGATCACTCTTCTTGCATTCTTCGCCGGCGATTTCTGCCACAATTTTATCTCGTCCTCTCGACCAAACAGAATCGACAAGCGCCAGTTGATCCTCATCCAGTTCTGGAATCTTTGGCGCGGGAGCTTTAGTAAACAAGTACTTGGCACAAATGGCGTCTATCAGTGGTGCCTCAGTTTTCTCGCGAGATGCTAGTTTTGCTGCCTAAAATGATGATAAAATAAAGGCTCAGAAAAGGGATGAAATTCGTACCCTCTTGAGTCGAATGTTTTCAAGCTCTTTCTCCAGCCTAGCCACTTCCTCGCCGGTTTCTCGGTCCTGTATCTCGTAGAACAATTTCTCCTGCGTCAGGAACGCTTCTTCTTGTGAGCTAGATGGCGAGCCCTTTGGCTTCAAGCCCTGAGCCAAGGATGCTCTGCTTTCTTTCTCTTCGATGATTTTCAATCGTGTTGAAACTCGCTGCGCTGGAGTCGGCTGAATGTTTTTGTTTATCTCGACCGGGAGAATGCAGTTTTATCTTACCGTCATGATTCTTTTGAAAGAAGGAGCATCATCCTCCGTCAAATCGACAAAGCTCAAGGTCGGCGCCGAGCTCGTCTCTTTCAAAGTTCTCGAGTGCATTTCAATGAGCTGCTTGTAGTCTTCCTTAGTCAAGGTTTTCTTGCTCATACTCATCATCGGCGTTCTCGGATTGCGAGTAGAACGCTTTGTCACGAGACCGCTTTTAGTCGCCTTCGGGCTGCTTGTTCGCCAGGAAACCTCTTCTAAAAAAGATGGATAAGTAAATGTTTTATAATTTTCAGAATACCTTTCAAATCGCTTCGGGCTCCGAACCTCTTATTCTTTCTCATTCTAATTCCAGGTGAGGGGCAGTAAGAGGAAACGGCCTTGGAGACCTTTGAAAGAAGATTGCTCCCCGTCTCCGGCTCACTCATTTTTCTCGACTTTGGTTTCGGAAGATCCAAATCATCAGCCCTATTTTCTTAAGTGAAAGGGCTCGAATCTGCAACTGTTACTTACGATTCTTGACTCGGTGTTGCTCTCTTCGGTGGTACTGACTTCTGCCTGGGCGAGATCGGAAGTCTACCACTTTGCTGCTCTTTTTTAAGAAAACTCAACATTGTAAAACTGTTTCTCGATTTCAGTCTGAAACTTTTCCGTTACTTTTTGGCGAAGGGCAGTCGAATCGCCGGTTTATTGGGCAGCGATCTGATCGGATAGGGCGGACGAAGGCCAAAGTAACAGATCGAACCATCACAATTCATTAAAAATTTCGAAAGGATAATATCTTTTTAGTGAACGAAATGTCGAGTATTTAGAGTTTCTTTATTCAATGAAGAAAAACGGCAGTGAAGGTGTCTGATTTTGAAACAATTGCTCTAAGGAGTCAGTGTTTTCCGGCAGCTGTAAAGAATTCTACGCCTGATGACATGACTATCATGGTGAATATGTGTTGATTGTGTGCCTGAAACATTGTTCACAAATCAGCACCAAGCTAGTGAGAACAAACCTAGTTGAATGAATCCACTGACTCTTCCGTCTGCTCCTCCGATCAATATCTTTCGTCCCTGTATCTCCAAATTCTTGAATCCATCAAGTTTCAATTGCCTAGCAAGTCCCTCGACTAAAAGTTTCTCATCAAAAAGCGTGAAGTTTCAACCATGCTTACCCGTCATTGATCCCCACAGTTTTTGCTCAATGTTTGATGTCCCTTCATAGTCTGTCGAGAATCTGAACTGGCCATTTGAAATGTTGAGCGTTCCCGAAATTGGGCCAACGAGGATTTCCGGATTGCTTGGAGCTGGTCGTAGGCCGAATCTACTCGCAGCAGAAACGTCCATCTGAATTGAAGAAGATGATCTAGCGTTCTTTTACGTTTCAATTACTTTGACTTCTCTGAATGTCTTGAAGCTGTTGAAATTATGCGTCTTCCCCGGATGGAAAATTCTCGGAGGAATGATAGACTCTCTCAATTTCGGATGTGTAAGCAAAATCGCCTGAAAAAGCAAGTTTAATTTCTGACTAACATGTGTTTCTCTTACTTGACAGATGATCAGCTCCTTTGGCTTGAGTTCTTGGATCATGATCTTCGCACTGGAAGTTGTCATTCTTGTATCAACAGGAACATGCTTTACGTTCATTCTACCAGCAAAGGCGTGAATCGGAAAACCAGCTTCAGTGCTTATAAATCTATTCCTCGGGTTCTTACTCCAGTCCTTTCCCAACTTGCGTGAAAGACCAAGTTCTAAGCAGGGATGTCCGCCGAAGAACACAGCCGGACTTCTGAAATTGTCTGAGAGGCCTTCGTTCGTATCTTCCAAAATTTTCAGCCTGCCCTTTTCGATGGCGATATCGTGATCGAATGGAAACTGAGGAAGAGCTGCCTTTTCTTGCTTGGCTTCTGACAAAGCCTGAATTATTCCAGTTAAGTTTTACTGAACATAAAGAGGAAAGAAAACCTCAGGGTAGATTTGGGCGTGAGCAAGAGCTGCCTTGGCGATGGGAGAAATGAAGTAAAAAGGGATGTGTCCTCTACCCATTTGGCTCAGATAGTCTATGAAAATCTCCAGCAAATCAAGCATAACTCCTGTCGGAAAAACGGGAAACATGACGCTGCCGCCGCGTTTGATAGTTTCATCTAGTGTCTGGCAGGCTTCGTTGACGGATCTGTCCGGCGAATAACCAGGGCAAGATTTTAGCCCGTTGATAATGAGCATGTCAGAGTCTTTCAAAGCGTTCGTGTCGACTCTAGACGCATGTGTCTTTAGACTAGTGTGATCGCAGACGTAAGAGATCTTCTTGTCGTATATTTCAATGACCCAGTTGCAAGAGCCGATGCAGAAGCCGCTTGAATGAGCCGTGATGGTTGCAATGCCATAGAGGTCAATTACTTCGCCGTAGTTGATTGCCTTGACGAATGAAAAACATGCATCGATTTGCTCAGACTCTGCCATCTTTTCTCCAGGCATACTACCTGTAGGTCTTCCTGTTAGTTCATTGCTTCGGATATCGTTCTCTACTTCTTGCATGTAAATACTGATTTCTACAAAGAAAAGCTAGAGATTCTGATTGTTAACCAGTCTTACCGACCTTTCAGATAGATTTTGGCGAATTCGAAAGTAGGTAAGGTGCAATAAATAATCCCTCCCCAATCTTTCTCTTTCCACGATTTGGAAATCCAAGGCAACCCGGCAAAAGAATGATAATTGGAGACAATGATCACATCGATCTCGTATAAATCGACGTAGCTGTTGACTGGGGGAATGAGAAGTCGAGGAGGACAGGGTTTGTGCGAGTGGCGACCGTTTATGAGACTAGAGAAGTCTAGACAGCAATCTGCGAGAATAACGATGCTTTCTGTTCGAAAGAGCCAACATGGAGATGTGTTAGGTGAAATATTGGTCACCTCCATTCTTAATTTTATTTTATTCTTAATTTTAAAGCACCTGCATTTCTGCTTTGCAAATCACAAAATAAAATAAAATATACGCCCATCAGAGTTTGAGAAAAGAAGCGACATTTTCTCACACTCCAAAAAAATATAAGAAAATAAATTATCCGTGTATTTGAATAAAATTTCATCAAGACAAAAAGCGAGACTTCATTTTTAATTTGTGAGGTTCTGAGAAGTGGTGAAGGAAAATTTTGGCGAGAGCAATTGGTGACTGAGTACAGTACTAAGTGGCATTTCTTGAAACTTGATTTTAGAAAAATTATGAAGATAAAAAGGCATATAACAATGTGGTTTGAAAATTGTTGCTAAAAAGAAGTGCGTCGTTTCTTGTCAGGATTAGTCGGACTCGGCCGGGGGAGAATGCAAAAAGAAGTGAGGAACAGAATGGCAGAGATCAGTTGCAGGCCAGGCACCATGATTAACATTGCGCTGTGAAAGGAGAGGACTTGACGAAGGAGGCTGATAAACGCCGCAGAATTCTGACAAACGAGGCGGAGGATGAAAATCGTGTAGCCGATAGCCTTCAAAACACGTAATAATCAAAATTAATCGGTCCGGCTGAGCATTACCTGCCCCTGAATGCGGGAGGGGAAAAAGCTGGAATAGCAGACGAGGAAGATCCCGAACCACATCTCGATGATCATATAAGCAAGATAGAGAAGGTAAAAACAATACGGAGAATCCACAGTGAGCACGACTGCCATCAGAGGGCCACCAACAAACTGCGACAAAAAGAGAACCAACAGTCCCGCTCTTGGCCCCGCCAGCCGCTCGTTCTTCTGAATCGCATCGGTGAGCAAGCCGCCCAGGAAGGATCCACTGACTCCGGCGACTATTGGCGCAAATGGAAGATAACTCTCCGCCTCTTCAAATTTCCGCTCGTTTTTGAAGTAATCCACCTGATTGTAGCCGAACGTGAAGCCGGCTGTATGGCGGCATAAGGCGCCTATAAGCATTAAAAGCGTTTCATTTCGTTTGGCGATGTTGAGTATTTCAAGCAGATTCTTCTTCAGCTCTTCGAGTGCTGGAGCTTGTGGATTCACTTTTTCTCCTTTAGAATACGCCGAGCTTTTTGCTGACTTTTTTCTGCGACTTAATTCTAAATTTTATAAGTAAAAGTGGGACTAATTTGATTACCTAGAATCAAGATGGAGACAAAACATAAAAAGCACAGGCACCCCAGGGAATAATAACTCCACCAAAACTTGTCTTGCGTGATTTTGTTCAAGACGATGGCGGAAGAATAAGCTAAATAAATCGCCCAGTTGTAGACTCCCATTGCTTTTGATGTGTGTTTCACGAAGAGAGAGGTGATGACGGTGACGCAAATCGGCTGAATTGCTCCTTCAGCAGCTCCGGTCAGAACGCGGAGAAGGGCAGCGATTCCGTAAGACCAGGCGTGAGGAACTGCTAATTGAGTGAAGCCCAATATAAGGACGGATGCAGCCAAGTAGAGCAGGCGGCGATCGGCATCGTCAGCAGCAAAACCAAAGAGAATGGTAGTGATAGAAACTGGCACCACGTAAAGAGTCGCTAAGATCATCTGTATTGGGGCCTCGTCCGTGAAGGTGCAGGTACAGTTAGAGGCGCAAAGGCTTCCATTCTTGAATAACTTATTTGAGGTCCTTATTTCTGGAGTTTCTAATTTTGACTTGTAAAAAATACTTATTATACATTATCTGTGTAAATAGTTAACTCGAAAATAGCCCAATAATAAAATTGCTAAAATTAAAGACAAATTACTTATGAATCATAACCTATGATACAGCTACGTGACTTTCGTAAGACTCCTCAAAAATTCATAAAAGGCCATAAATTCAAATCATTGATACGATCAATTTTTAGTGCTAATAATTCACCTTTCCTGTCCATCGACGAGCTCACAATCGAGTCTACCGACTCCTCCAAATGTAGCAGCGGCTAATTGCTTCTGGTTCATGGCAGGCATGTAGAGAATCTGCTGTGCGCAGAAAAATGTAAACGAGAAAACGGCGAGGTAAACGAGCTTTTCGGCATTCTTGCCCATTCTGAATTTCTTGACTCTAACTCTGCTTTTTGATGTTGCGTCTTTTGAACTGAACGGGATTTGTTGTTTTGTAATTGTTTCATTAGGGAAGTTAATAATCCTAGAGACGAGGCCACTTACGCTCTTCTGGGCGCGCGAAGAAACGCATCTTTCGCCGAAGCGAGTTTGAAATACTTGCAGATTAAAAGCAGAATTACGACGAGTTTAGGCTAGCAATAAATAAGTTAAGGAATCAACGAAGAAAACGAAGCAAAAGACGCATTTCTTGGCCGCGACCGAGAATAAAAAAGATGCCGAATTTAAAAAATAGATCAGTGTAATATGTGATAGGATGAACAATTGTAAATGGCCAGTGTATAATGTATAAGCGTGGTAGAAATACAGAGTTAATTTTAAATATAAAATATAGTTGCAATTGATATTGATATATACACTCGTATAACGCAGCTAGTAAGTTGATAGAAAGGAGGTAATCCTGCCGCTTTTTGCGCCGAAGTTCGATTTCCTTCGACGAAAAAAGAGGGACGAACGAAAAAGAGGGACAAGTGCACTTGAAGACATCAAAAACTTGAAGATCACTTTACTCGACTACATACAGTAAGGTTGATTTAAATACAGAGGCTCCCCAACACGCGCTAGACCTACTAAACTTAATGATTGCTGGGCAGAGTTCGAATGTATGAGCGCTAGAAGAGTAAAGTAACTTAAATAAGAAACATAAAGCAAAGTAAAGAAAAATTGACACCGATTTTATCATCATTGTATTATAAATTTTTCGTGACTACACAAAAGGACCGGAAGGTGAAAACATTGCACATGTGATTTTTGTCAAGGTGAATTTGCATGGGTTGATATTCTATGTTCTTTGTTTTTAATATACATACATATTTTATTTCATATTCTTTTGAAGATATTGTAGGAACTCGTAGTAGGATTGCTTATAAGAATCATCAACGGAGCTTTTCTCAGAGGCTTTCTGTCCAGGAGTCTTTTTTTGAAAATGGAAAAAAATGAATTCTAGTGAAAAATCGAGACCCATAACAGAGGCGGATAAGAAGTGATGATCCTTGCCTGAGAGCTTGTTCTGTCCCGTATTAATTTTCTCAGAATAGCATTATCTTTTAAGTTGCCGTCCGCTCTAAATGGACAAAGAGAAGTTACACAAAGGGGTAGCTTCGGAACAGAATTACCTTATGATCTGAATTGGCGCGCCATGGGAACGATCGTCTTGGAGGGAGTTGATAAAATTGCGCACATACGTCCTAGACTCTGGTTCGTTCGAATTTTCGTCTTCGGGCTCTTCCGGTAGCTCGAAAATGTCTCCATCCATCAATTGCCCGTATGATTTATCTAAATAATTATGATAGATTTCACTTGGCATTTTGACCATTTTCTTACCCAAAACATCTCTGAAAAATTCTTGCGGCGCGTGAACACTGATAAACAGCAATAATTTCCAGCCGCAGTCCATCAAAAACACCTGTCCTTTGCCAATACTTTCGGCAGTTAGCGGTAGACACCTCACGATCGGACTCTCTGGAACTGGGAAATCCGGATCTAATCATTTCATTTCTAATTCTGTTTTGAATAGATTTCGATTACCTGTTGCCCTGCTCGAGTCTTCGTCATTTTCGAATAATTGTTCTTGCTTGATATTGTCGATTTTGTAGAGCGCAGGGAGCCAGTGATATCTCGAATACTTCATCGGCGACTGCTTGATATCTGTCATTAGGAAGGCCTTGTTATCCAAGTTCCTATTGTCTAGCCTAACGAATGAAAAGTTAAGCTCTGTGAAACTTTAATTTTAGCTGTACCTGAATGCATCTGACTTGAGCAGGGCTGAAATATATAGAGCGAAAGGCCCAAGACTTCTTCTTGGAACGAGAACAGCAGTAGGGTCTCTTTTCTGATAAGCGGGAAGACATTCTTTGTAGTTCGACAGTGCATCAGTGGCAGCGTGAAGCAGCTACAGAAATTTTCTGTTAAAAGCCGCTTGGATGATTATACTAATGACTTACCGCTTCTCTGGCATCATTGACAGTGTGAGTTAGGGACCTTTCAACAGCAAAATGTGCCAGCATTGCAGCAACAAGCTCAGCTAGGAAAATCAATAATGGACTTTCAAATAAGAGTTGAGTTATTACCGTCAGCGTTATTGTATACATCTTGAAGCTGATTTGTTACTGGGAAGGACATCGTATGGACTCGAATTCTCCTGTCTCCCTTTGTCGAGGTGTAAAGTAACGCGCACTGGAATCCAACGTAGTCGTATCCTTTGAGATCTTCGTCAATTTGCAAACGCATTGCGTAGCCAGAGTCCGGACTAAATTAATCTTTGCTCAATTTCGAGGTTTTTATTTGAAAGGTACCTGATACACGCGAGATTAAGTAAATCCGTTGATCTAACAAAGAAGTTTCCAAAGAATGTGTGAATAGAAATGCCTCTGGTCGCTCGAACGCGCATGACAGATTCGAAACCGATTTTTCTCACGAGATAGCGGTGGAAATCGCTGCGGAATCGCTCAGATTGAACAGGATTTGTTTCAATATGCAAGCCTGGAATCGAAATAATATTTCAATCAAAGCAACTGCTTTTTACCTGGATATCTATAAACATGTCCAGCGCTATTTCTCGCCACTGGAGCCAACGAAGCAATGTCTTGGAATTGATGACCAAAGAGGAAAAGATCAATCGCTATGTGTTGCTGATTCGCTTCAATTGCCAGGGTCTTGTAAAAGTCCGTAACGCCGTTTAAACATTCACCATCATTGGGTGTCCGTTCCTGCAGTTTTCCGAGGCCCTCGGAGATCCGTGTCGTAGAGAAGAGCGATATCCTTCCGCCGTTTTTAGAAAGCATCTTTTGGCCAACAGTGATTGCCGATCCGCCGCAGGATGAGGGTGAAAGTGTTGATTTGAAAAGATTTGGCAGCATTTTGAGGAATTGTTCTATCTGTGAAGCGGATTCTTGTCGATTCACTTAAATAATTGGATAAAAAAGGAAGCGAGGGCTGCTTTTTAGAAAGAATTGCCTCGATAAATCTATGCTGAAATCAAAGAAGATAATCATTTTGTCAAGTTTGAGTTTTTTACCTAAAATAGAATCTGGCATTGGTTCAAAAGGATCATCAATATCGGAAACGGACAACAACTGCGGCTGGGCAAGTTCATCGCTCAAATTGAAGAAATGTAGCGAACTGTCGAAACACAAGAAGCCAATTTTTGTTCTCCTATCACCAGGCATATTTTTGTATTCATGTAGTAGCTCGTCCGCGAGTATTTCGAGATAGCCTGACTGGACTGCGTTGAAACTGACATCAATGATGAATAAATATTGAGCGGCTTGAGGTGGACGGGACATGTATTCGGACGGGGCGATGAATTCAACGGTTGAGTTGACACATTCCGGTCGTTCCTCTGGCTTTCCGTACTCTTTTGTAACTGGATTACTTTTGAATTCCTCCGGCACTTCATTAATTCTACTGCACAAATTGCATTTCCACCTGTTCATGTCGATAAAGCTCACGAAGGGGTTGATATAAGCGCGGCAGCTTCTACACCGCACGATATTTGACGTCGTTATTACAGGTAGTGTCAGTAAGTCTTTGTAAGGATGCAATAGGAGTCCGAAAGGGAGCTTTGCTTTTTGACAGAGAGCATCGCTCGAAGGGATCGCTTGAAGAGTACAGCTCATTACTTCTCGATCACAATTTTTTCGATTTGGAGGAATTCGCTGGATGCCCGGTGGAGGCTGCGTCTGGTACCTTACTTCGGGAGGGACATATGTGCCGTCTGCGCTCAAAATTGGAGCACGTAAATCCATTAAATTGATAGGTTCGGATTCTTGTTGATTCTGCTGGCCGCCGAAATTCATATTGCCAAATTGTTGATTTAGATTTCCTCCAGGACCTGGTGGTTGACCGTAACTGTTCATCTGGGGAGGGGGCTGCTGGGGATATCCATTGGTCATTTGTGGTTGTTGACCGATACTCGTCGGTGGTGGAGGTCTTGGCTGCGAGGTGACGGGTTGGTATGAGCCGCCAGATGGATAGGAAGGTGGCGCTTGTGGAAGCGGTGGTCGATTCGACATCTGAGGAGGTGGGACTTGCATTGGCGTTGTGTTATTCATACCAAATCCACTGGGTGGCTGGGAAGCCATCACAGGCTTCGGCGGCGCTGGCATCATTCCTGGCATTGTAGGTGGCTGCAAACTGGGCGCTGACAGCGTTGGAGGGCGCGGAGGGTGACCGGCCATCTGCGGCATTTGCATTTGGCTCGGTGGGGCACCAAGACTAGTTGGGGGCATCGGTGGCACGCCAGGTCTACTCATTTGAGGAGGTACTGCTCCAGGAGGGGGTTGCATTCCGGGCATTTGCGGCGGCTGTGGGTAACTGTTACTAGTGCCATTCTGCGGAGGCATGGTCGGCCTAGCCTGCCCGTAATTAGCTCCTGGACCGTATCCATTCTGCTGTCCTTGAGGGTACTTTCCAGGATAGCCCTGGTTATAACTCATTCCACAAACACTGCTATCACCCGGCCCTCTAAAGTAAAAAGGGTTTAAAAAAGAATCGACTCTTTTCAGGGACAAACAGTATCTTTATTGTTTTTTTTCAGGGGTAAACTCTTTTTCAGGAGGAAAATCTTTCAGTAGTTGTTTCAAGAAAAGCAAGAATAGAATAGAAGACAATGGGAAATCGAAATAAAATGAACTGTTCACGAAGTGGTCGTCTGATGAATGGGAGCTGAGGCTGAATTTGGACGAGACGGAGTTGTGGAGGAGTTTGTTCCTTCTGTGGATTCTGAAGTGAGTGCCACCGCGGGACCTGTTTTACTCGAGCTGACTTTCACAGAGGCACTGAAAGAAACGGATTAGAAATTAATAGGAGAGATAGTCTCACCTTGAACTATTGTGGTTATCTTGGACATGAAGAACAACGTATTCGCTCATAGAATTAGAACAAAAAGAAGCAAGAGCGACAACGGAAGAAATATCTGCGTGTGGTGGGAAGGGACTACCATGCTCTAAAGATAGAATTGTTAATTCATATTTCAAATCAGCTAATTTTTCAAAATTTGGCGATTGATGTAACAATCAAAGGAAATCTGCCGCATTATGGGAAATTACCATCAAAACGGAATAAACAATCAAAAAAAGGAGGCGACAGGCTTATCACCTGTCTTAGTCTACGCAAAACTAAGAGTTCAAAAAGGGCGCAATTTCGGACACCTGGCCGTAGATGGCGCTAGGGGCGCCAAAAAGGGATATTTATGCGCTCCCTTCAGCGAATATTCATAAAAAAATCCCACAGTTTACAAGAAGAAAGCTTAAAAAAAAACTCAAGAAAAATGTGCTTTCTGGAAAATGAATCGAACACTTCCAAGACTTTTTCCCAGGCTGAACTCGAGAGAATCGTCAACTTCTCGGCAAAGGAAAACTACTGTCCTTTCTGCAGGAAAACACTAGCTGGGCCCAGAATCGGTCTAGTCGTACATCTCGCAATGGTTCACACGGAACGATCGCTTTTCGACTGTACTCGTGTCCTCACTTCTGCCGAGACAACAAGATTCGTCCTCGCCCGAAAGAAACGAATCGACACCCTACTAGCTGTCCCACAGTAGTTTCTATCTATTTCTCTTCAACCCTCAACTCTATTTCATCGAAAACTGCCCTTCAATAAAACCAAAAAAAAATGAATTCACTTCAAAATTTTTTTTAACTTACCAAGAGCAGAAACGGAAAAATCGTCAGATTGATTGACAGAAGAAGTAGTTTCAGCCCACGTCGAATTAGAAGTATTAAGGCTTGTTGATTGCTGCTGGGTTGTTGGGGCTTGCGGAGCGGGCTCAGCAACTTCAATGTGTTGGGCGGGCGCGTCGTGTCGATTTAGTAGGCGCAGGGCGCGATTGCCTGGAACTCGGATTCCACAGCCGCCTGGTTGATTTCAGTTAACAAGGATAAAAAGGCATGGATAATCACCTGTTCGGCAAAGGGTAATCGGAATCACCCCGTAGACATACATCATTATCACTGGCACACCGACACCAACTAAACTTGAGTATGAATAAAAAGTTTCGAAAATATTAAAGAGCCTGGAGAGATCAATTAAAAACTTACCAGTGACACCAGCGACAAGGGGCGATAAGAGGAAGGCAAGAGTGGAGCCTAGTCCTACCAGTGCTCTTCTTTTGCCCTTGGAAATTTCAGATTTCTTCTTTAGCTCGGAGCGGATTTGGCGACCGGTCCAAATTGGAACGCCGACGATTGTGGCAGGAATGGCTACTCCAGCCATGAGGCCGATCATCGGGGAGCAAGCACAAGTGTTCCGATTTGCTATTATTTAGAAGTTTAGTTTTATTATTATGAAATGCTAGAGTGAGCTGCTCTTACCCAGAAAACAATCTTCTTTTTGCTCCAGATTTGTTTTCCCCAGAAGGTGCATCCAGACGGAGAAAGATAGTGAAGATCTGAGATTTCCTTTAAACAGAGCCAACAAAATTCGCAGCCACAGCGGCAAGTAATGTGGTTGCAACTCCCATCATCCATTTTGCTTATCAATGCTCCACATCGTGGGCAGGGGCGGATGTCTGCGGACTGTTTCAACGCACGCGACGTCAACGAGGTGGCGATTTTGTTCCACGAGCTCCAGGGCGAGAAGTTCATTTCCGTTTCGATCAGTGATGTCAGCCGAGCTTGGTCACATGATTGATCTGCGTGCCAAGGACCTCGACAATGGTAGCAGAAGCTAGTGTTGCAGCCCTTTCTCTTGAAAAAGGGTTGAACGCGGGATAAGGGAGGGAAGACCTTGTACCTGACAATTGATTTTGGGACAAGACGCAAAATCATTTGCTATCAAAGCGAATCCACAATCGGGCTTTGGGCACCAGCGCGTATCTCTGTCTCTGTGCAGGTAATGCCGGACGGATATTTCGTTGTATTTTTCAAAATATTTACTGAATCCATCAGTAACTCAAGATCATAAAAAAGGGAAGTACCTCTCTAGAATTCGCTTTGCGTCGCAGGGATGAATGGGCTCAGGACAAGACATACACGTCGGCAGTTTTCCTAAAAACAGAATCATAATCGACTTCGTCATCGGCTTGAAGGGTACCTTCGTCAATTTGTTGGTGACAGTAAAATACCAAACAGTTGATACAGGGCGTTGGGTGGCACTGCAGTAGCCATTCCTCTGGCTGCACTGGGCTTGTGTCGAAGCATATTGGACACGTGGAACTACTGGAGGAGGCGGTGGAGTAGCGCGAAGGTTCTGACTTTTTCCTCAGCGGGATTTCTTCTTTTTCGTCGTTTATCAGCGACTCTACCGCTTCGTCTTTTATTGAAGACTTTGAGCTCGTCATTCTAGGAAAAATAATAGTCCTAATAATTTTAACACCATGATTCACACCATGGTCCATGAAGGAGTCCCATTGATGAAATTTGTCTACTCTGCTGTATAAATGCATTTATTACAGGTACTTACAGGTCTTTTCTCTCCTCGATTGGTAAACTGGAGGAGCTACCATTGTCCTTTTTTCTCCTTCTAAAGGAGAAGAAGCGCCGTAGGAAGCCTCGAGATCTCTAAAATTATCCGGTGATGATCGGTTATTGTAAAGCTACGGTTGCTTACAGTAGATCTAGTGGACAAAGTAGAAATGCCCGAACAGACGCTTTTGTATCATTTCCCGATTTTAATTTCATCGCTCCGATCTATCCGATACCATTATCAGTTCTGAACGATTTTGATACTCAAAGTACGTTTTACCCAGTTTATTTCACAGAGAGGGAGAAGTAAATCATTCCTCATCTGGTACTGGCTCTTCGAATTTTCTCTTTCTTCCTTGAATCGCTGCACTTTTTACCGTCTTCGTTCGAATAGATGAGATGCTCTCGGCGTTAGAATCGGCCCATTCCAGCACCAAACGTCTTAATTCAACGATTAGACGATTTCAAAGTAGTTTTTTTTTTATGAGCGAGCTGAGCTGGCTCGTCTACACCTTGGCGGATATAAGTACGCGAGGGGAGACTCATCACAACATTGGTGAAAATTCTAGCCATAAAAAATTCCAAGGATGAATACGCTAATAATAGAGTTGTCGCGAAATCAGAGTTAGTCGCCTTCCTGGTGACAGCAGTGGTGTAAAAATTTCTTCAGACACTGTCTAGCAGACAAAAGCTAGCCAGCACAAAGCTCAACGGAAACCAAATGAGCCAGCTCAGCTTGCTAAGCTAACCGGAAAGATCTTGATTTTGCTTCTAGTTTTACTAATAAATGCTCGAGTACTTAAAAATTTTCGGACGAGGTATTGTGACAAACGAATTTCGTCGCGACAATGTAGTCACTATTATCAAAGTAGTAAAAACTGGTCGGACTGCGAGTCAAAAGCAGGGCTCGTCCGGGATTTGAACCCGGGACCTCGCGCACCCGAAGCGCGAATCATACCCCTAGACCAACGAGCCACGTTGGCGGCGCCACCCCAAGGCCACTACAAATCACGGCCTCTCACCTTCCATAAATATGCGTCGACAGTTTCAACGCCGCAAATGCGGAACTCGCGTCCGCTGCCAATTTGTATTCGACAAAGGCGAAACCACGATGCTTTCCAGTCGGATTCTTCGGCATTCGAACGAATTTCAACTCGCCAAAGGTCGAAAACAGCTGCTCCAGTTCGGGAACTTAACGAATGAGGGTAAAAGCATCCGAAGATAAAATGAAGTTTATCTTTTTTCTTTACCTTGGCATTGGAAAGGAACATTCCTGACCATGATCTTAGATGAGCCCTCTGGCTGATCTTGGTTTTTCGCTTCTTGACGATTGTTAAGTTTTTCTTCCTCTTTCTTAGATATTTTCAGGTTGATCCGGTGGCCGTCGAGTTCAATTCCCTGGATCGTTTTCACTGCTTTGCTCGCCAAATCGGGGCTGGCCATTTTCACCCATCCGTATCCCATCGACAAGTACTTTCCTCGTTCCAAACGCTTTGAAATCGAGCACTCTGCTACTTTGCCCACCTTCTTCTCAAACAGTTCCTTCAGGCCTTCATCAGTTGTCGCAAAGTTGACATTTTTCACGAAGATCATTGCTCCGCTATTTTCCATCGAAGACGCGCTGGTTACAAGTCGCTTTTTCACCGTTTTCTCGTCTTCCAGACAGTCAATAATGGACTTTATATTGAGGCCAAAAAGTTTTGACAGCTTTTGGTTAAATTCGTTAAATACTTTATTTTGTCAGAATGATTAAAGTCCCTTCCTGAAGGAGCCCATTCCAAATACAGCGGCCTATCTCCAAATCTCGAATACGCTACTGCCTTGAACGCTCTCTTTGCATTAATACTTCCATCGAACTCTACAAGTGCTGCCAAGCCACTCGGAGGCATGATAATTCTCCCAAGGCCGCCGAACTTCTCGAACTTGAAGCGCAGCTCTGTCGGCAACGCCCCCGAGGGCAAATTCTTGACGAGGATGATCTTGTCGGATCGTGTGGCGTCTTTTTTGAAAGTATCTAGCTTCACTCCGTGATCTTTTAAGTACTCGCTAAAAGTTTTTTTCAAGATCAAAATCACATCGTTAAAAATTTTCGCGCAACGAGCAGATTATCACAAGGTGTACCAAATCGACTCGATTACATCAATGAGAAACGGGGGCTACTGTTGCTCTAGGATAAAAGTTACCTTATGTCAGAAACAATTTGGGATTCGCCAAGGGCCAGTTGCACTGCCACATCGTCTCGTTTCATGATTTGGTCTTTGCTCAGTTGATAGCGTTTGCTCATTTCGTCGGCGACCGCGTTCGCTCCGACGAACAAGGAATTCCAGGAGAAGTCTTCCTTGTCTGCATTTTCCTTCATCTTTGCCATTTTCTCTTTTTTATAGCTTGTGTTCAAGTTCGGATCTGTTCGCGGGACATAATTCTTCTTCGCAACTGCTTCTCTACCTAAATTAAAAAATCCTTGAAAATAGATGCAAGGAAAACGGATTTTACCAGGAAGTACATGCATAATTCGCCCCTGAAAGCTAGAACCATCAAGTTCGGCCATTGCTCTAACCGCGTTTTCTGGCATCTGATATTCGACGAATGCAAATCCTTTTGGTCTCTTTGTCGTTTCATCTGTCGGCAAAACCAGCTCGGTCAAAGTTCCGTATGATGATAGCAAGTCTTGAGACGGTTCAAAACTGAAAACCTCAAGCAAAGGTCAGAAAAAACAGAATCTCAGTTGAACCATTTTCCTTTCAAATCTGTTTCGGTGCACAAATACGACAAGTTTCGAAGGAACAATCTTCCAGTATCCGCCACATCTTCCGTCTTTTCCTCCTCTTTTGCGTCCTCTTCATCGTCCGAGTCAACCAGATCTTTGTCAACTTTTGCCTCAATAAAGGCTTTCTTGTCATTTTTAGGCTTTTCTTTTCTAGCTTTTTTGGCGCTGCCGGCATTGCCCCGGAAGTCCTTCGCGAGTTCGACTTTGATCTTGTTGACGCCGACTTTGGCGCCGTTTAATTCGTTGAGCGCGCGTTGTGCATCCTCCGGCCGCGCAAATCCAATAAATGCGATTCTTCGCGAAACACCGTCTTCATTTTTCAATAACCTACAGTCTGTTATTTTCCCACCAGAGCGGCTGAAGAACTCGCGCAGAAATTTTTCATCGCAGTTTTTCGTCAAGTTTTTGACACATATCCTCGACTCCTCGATTTGCGTCATTCTGGTATTGGAATATCAAAGCTGGAGGCTTAGAAAAATAAAATAAAAGTATTGTGAGAAATTAAAAAGTGAAAGAATAAAAAAATTAATGCGAGCTTGCGCCCATTATGACAGGTTTGATAGGAGGGACGGGAGGGAAGTATTGGCTCTGGGAGTGGCTTTTGAAGGTTCAGACTTTTTTCACTCGAGTCACGTGATTTTCCCATCAAAATAGAAACCGAAAAGAACCATTCCTGAAGGCAGTTGTATCTCTTTCAATTGAATCGTCGTCGGGAGTAACGTTCAAATCGTCGTAATCGTGTTCGTAGGAATTCGTTACTCTCGGAATCGGACTTGGAACATCAACGTCCCTTGACGGATCGGAAATAATTGTCGACGACTGTAGACTGCTAACTGAGTTTTGCGGGAGAACGTCATGAGTCTCATTTAAATCCAAGGCGCGGAGCAAGTTGCATGGTGCTTCACTAACATCTGTCGGGCTTATTGTTTCATAAAGAGCCGTCGGTTTCGATTTTTTATCGACCGCCTTGGCGAGGCTCGTTTCGTTGAACCACAGGAACATGCAGAGTTGCTCGCCGCCGACGGCAAAGCCGTCACTGCTAGCGTCAATCGCAGTTACTCGCTCTGGGCACTCGACATCGTCGATGTGCATCTTCATTGTTGGCGACCACAACTGATTAGAAAGTTGAAATCAAGGAAGAAAATTTGGAAGACTGCAATTATGCTCGGTTCAGGGCTTTTCCTATCCCTACATTATAAAATAATAAAGGATGAACCGAGAATAGTTACATTATTCCGAGATTTATACCTTAAGTTGACCTCTTGCATAAGATAGGGTGAACGCCTTTACTGAAGCGGTAAAGAGCAATCTATCGGCGTCGGTAGCATAATGCATCAGCTTCTGCCGCTGGATAATTTTATTCTTTGAGATAGAAATTTGGAACGACGAATAATCCTCTAACACAACAATGAGCACAGTCTCTGCGATGAAGATCCAGTTGATAATACACCCTTCATTTTTTGTTTGAATTTTGGCTGAAGAATTATGTGTTTTTGAAGGAAAAAGGGAGCAATTACCAATTTGATCTAAATAGGGAGAGTATAATTGAATTTTGCTGCGCGATGATCGGCACAATGTCGTTATAAATTTGCCATCGGGGCTGGGCACTAGCTTGTTTGTTGAGTGTCTGTTCGCACCGTCTGTAATTGATCTCGACACATGAAATCTTCCGTTACTATAAAGTACAACTGCAATGTCGCCTTGAGAATCCAAAGTGTACAACACACTTTGCGAATGATAAACGAGACTTCGTACGCTTCCTTCGTTGAAACTTAGGGATCCTCGAAGTTTGCCAGGCTTATCTCCAGCTTAAAAATAGCAATCAAGAGAATGTACAATCTAATGGCCAACTTACATAATTCATAAATGTCGATCCTTCCTGACACGAATCCCAAGGCAAGAGTTTTTTCTTCTTCATCAAGTGCTAGCGCTGTCAACTGCTCTGGCAGTTCTAGCTGAAGAATTTGAACAAGCGTTTGAAATTGACTCGAATCCCAGATTCGAACATCAGAGCGTGAAGCTGTCGCAAGTAGATTATTTGTAAATGCACAGAAGAGAATCCGACTGCGGTGGAAACGCGTGAGGGTTCGAAATTGCCTCTTCGGCACATTGAGTAGCCCGATCAATTTAGCATCGGAGACAACGAGGACTTCGTCTTCAACTGGATTGTCGGTTGGCACGAACTTTACAATTCTGTAGCCAAGAGCGAGCTCGAAGGGAATCCTTTCGTATTCAGGTGTCCAGCTTCGTACAAGGCCATCTGAAGTTCCCACTAGGAGGCAGTTTTCACGAGCGAGAATGGCGGTAACTTCGTGAGACTTTTGCTTGTGGAAGAGTTGGTGGGCGGAGAGAAGAGTCATCCTTTCGGGATCTATTCGCAGAAGAGTTCCGCCCTTAGTGCCGGCGAAAAGTCCCATCTCGCTGTAAGTGAGAGTATTGACGATGGAAGTGGCTTGTGTACCAAGGTTAACAGCAGCAGAGCGCAGATGATTCTGATGACGAGTTCGCCAAATACGCACGCCTCTGTCCCCTCCAGTGACGAATTCAAGAGGTTCTCGCTTCGAGATGATGACTAGATCATTGATCTGCTGATCGGTGCTTCCTCTGCAGATCTCAACTGGATTATATGGATCTGAAAGGTTCCAGAGAGCGACGGAGTTGTGGCTCGAGCCGAGCTTCGTGCACTTGCCGGCGATTACCAAAGTCGACTTTCGAAAATCCATGAATCGAGCAATAATCGACGTGGAAATAATCGACACAAGCCTCTCCCGGTGGCGGACTCGAAGCTCACCTGTAACTTCCGATGAGACAGTCAAATCGCCAATTTTGACAACGCAGATTATATCGAACTTCGACGCGGGGTAGCATTGCTGCGCTAAAGTTTCTTTCGACATCCGAACGATATTCTTTCCACAGCCATAAAGTATGTGATCTCCATCGTCTACCGGCATCGCTGTAAATCCGCAAGTTGCTGCTATGCCGTACTTTTTACTGTTCCCCTCTTCTCTCCATGAATCTCGTTGACTAGCCTTGTATTTTTCAGTCGTAGAAGTTATTTCGGGTGATATCCTCTCGGGGTGGATTTCGCCCTCGATCTGACTTGTTTCTGGTCTGAATTCATTGAGAACTTGGACAGACGCGATCGGAGGTACTTCATCAAAACTCATTTTTGAACTGATTGGACGGATGCACGCTCCTGAAACGGGCCTAGTCTGCAGTGGAGGGCGTGCTTTAGAAGAGGCAGGGCGAGGCGGACACTTCTGTTGCTGTTTGTGAAGCAGATCAGACTTTTTGCAACTTCGTAATCGTACTCTTCCGTCGGGAACCTGACCATTTGATACTTTCTATCCCAGAAGTCGTTTCTTTCGACAACAAAGTTCATTTCTCTTGGCATCGGCGCCAAGTTATCAGAAATATTTCTGAAACCTTCTGCTCGCGCTTGTTTGATCGATATCTTCGGATCGTATTCTGTATCGCTCGTATAACAGCCTTTTACGGTCATGTCAGAGCAAAGTTGAACCTGCCGAATGTGCGAGAATGTTCGACCAAAGTGAATGCGCAGCAGTTGTTTTAAATCTACGATGAACATGAGCCAGCCGCTGATTTCCGGCGCACGGCCAGGGCATCCCACGTTACCTAAAACATGCATAAATTACTTGGTTTTCATTTTATTCCACCGAGAAGATCAGCGACAGTGCTTCTTTTGGGAGGAATGACGAATGGGAATTGCGCCATATTTGCGGCTAGACGTTTGTTTTTGTACATGTTGGAAAAGGAAACGCGGCATGTGAAGTTTTCTTCGCTGGCGATGTCAAGATGGAAGACAAAGTACTTGAGGGGAGTTGGACGAAAAGCGAGGTAGAAGAAACGCCCGTTGAGACTGACATGTCCGTTGGCAGGGACTTGGATAAAGTTTTTGGCCGATATGTCCCCAGAAATGGACCACACTTGCGAACGGATGAGATTGTTGGTCTTGGCTCTCACTGCACCCTGCGTGCGCGCTTTCTCATTTGGGCGGTATGTTTTGAGCAAGGAGACAAAAGGGTTTTGCCAGTACGACATTTACTGCGATTTCAGAGCATTCTGAAAAGTAAAAGCTGGCATCTTTTAACTTAAGTAAAAAATCTGCAATAATAAGGTGCATGGGACTTTTCTAGTTTTCATTTCTTTTTGAAGTGGAGTCGGGCAGTGTTCACGAGGTGGCGCATTGTCGGTCTACCATGAGGACAGTTCCAAGGCTACGATTGCATATTATTAACTGACTCTCACTATTTCTCTTTGATTAAAAACGTACCTGGTCCATGGTAGACATGTTTTTGAGCATTCGCTGCATTTGGTATCTTTTGAGGGCCTCGCCGATCATCACTGACGAGCGACAAGCTGCCATGGCATTTATACGTCTAATTTTCGACGGCTTCGGATTAAAGTCGCCTTCGTTAATGAGGAACAGCATCTCGTGCACGTCCTCTTCTCCCAGTGTCGATCGTCCTACGCGAGGCACCGCCGTCATTCGAACACAATCGGGGTCGGAGAAGTCGAAGTTGAATCCATATTTTTTGAAGAGGGCAACTTTCTCTTGGAGAATTTGATCCTCGCCTGGATTGAGTGTCATGCGTTTTCCAATAACTAGCGGCTGGGACTCGATTTTCTTGCTCATTAATCGCTCGAAATTAAACTTCTCGTCGCAGGCGTGCTGATCAATTAGGAATAGGTCCTCTCTCAGCTGGCCAATAATGAATCCTCTGTTAAACTGGCCGACGACTTCCATTTTCGTGAAATCCTCTTTCGAGAATTTCTTCGTCAGTTCCTCTTCGGCATTCCTCTGGTCGCTCAATTTCGCGTAAAAGCTTCGCCCTTGAAAAATTTCCATTTTCCTACGCTCTTCTTTTTCTTTAGCCGCTTTTATCGACTCCAGGGAGATTTTTATCCGTGGCCCTCTTTGCTTGTGCTCCCTCCGCGGTTCGGAATCGTCGTCGTATATAATCTTCATTTTCTTGATCTCCTCGATTCCTTCTTTCACTGCCTGAGGGAGTTTGTTCGTAGGGATGAGATCGATGGACTCTACTCGTTTCCCTTCACTTTCGCTTTTATCTGAACTGTTAAGACTTTCTCCAATTCGTTTTAACGAGTCAGCGAGGGCCTCTACATTGTCTTCTGTCTGTGGCTTCTCCTCGAATAGATCAACTGAGTTATCTAACTCTTCGCTACTCGGGTCTTTTTCAGGATTTCCTTCAGAAGCCTCGAAGTCAATAAATTGTCTAAAGGTCTTGTTAATACTTCTGAAAGCTACAGAGGTTCTTCTTGTAAATATCTTGTAAAGCATACCTAGCGAGTATCGCTTCTGGCGGCAAGGGCTTTTTCTTCGGCTCGACCACATCGTCTATAATGAAGGAGTCGGTTTCAGTTCTAGTGGAGGTTAGTGGCTCCGGGGTCTTTGGCCTAACGAATTCGATGATTGTTGATTCTTCTTCTTTCGGCTCATTATTGGCAGTCGGCAGTGGCGTGTAAAACTCGATGATGTTTCGCTGCTTATGTTCTGGAGACATGGATACATCTTCGGAATTTCTTTCTTTTCCAGTAAAAGGCGGAATCGGTGCGGTAAAGTCTAGTTTTGCCATTTTGGAAGGTCTTTGAGTACAATCGCTTTCAGGATCTTGCGAAAGAGTTGCGTCACTTTGAGTGAAATCAACGGAGTTTTCAGCGAGGCTACTAGTTTCCCTGGTCGACTGAGTACTGAAGCTCGTACTGAATTGATCCATGGATAATTGCGTCATTGAAACGACATCGCGTTCCGTAGAACCCCAGATGTTTTGTAACAGCATTCGAAAGCGAAATTGACAGTGCTTCTGATTCTGCAAGAGCACGGTTCTTTTGTCGGGGGCCAAATTGATATCCACCGCGCTTTGGTCCACTTCAATATTGAGGACGACGACTGGGTACTTTCTAGACGTTGTTTTTCGCCATTCTTGATTCATGATTCGCGAGAGAAAGGGAGCATCAATAGGTCGTCCATTTACAAAGAAAAATTGACGATCAGGAGAGGTTCTCCCGCCAGAGTCGGTTTTCGAAATGAAACCAGTAAATTTAAAGATTCGCGCTTTTTCAAGGTGGCCTTCAATCACTTCCTACAAAAATTAACCAGTTCAAATGTGATGGGCATAATTTGAAATGACCTCGGTTGGTGAATGAAGATTCCAAAACGATTCGATTTCGTCTCGACCGGCATTGAAATCATCTTCAATTTCAACGAGTCCTTTCGCAATTTCACCGCCAAGGACAGTCGATATTTTGCCTTTCATTCCTTCCCCAGCTCGAGTTTGAATTTCCGTCTTCATCGACCGCCCGTTTTTCGTTGTAACGACGATTCTGGCGTTTGCGATCAGGGCATAACTCATCATCGTTGCCAGAGCTCGCTGTGCCTCGCGCTTGGCATTTTGTTTGAAAACGCTTCTGCGAACTGGAATTCGATGAAACAGGTTCTCAACTCGTATTGTCGTTCCATTGCTCGACTGGGCTTTTATTTCCTGCGATATTATCGAGCCGTACTGGTCAAATTCCAACGCCGCCCCGATCTGATCCGCCGCCGTCTTCGTAAAGACCTTGAGGGTAGAGATCGCCCCCAAAGCCGCAAGAGCTTCCCCGCGAAATCCAAAAGTGCCGATCGCTTCGAGATCGTCGAACTCTTTTAACTTAGAAGTAGCATGTCTCATGGCGATTTTGTCGTAGTTCTCTGCTGCTATTCCGGAGCCATTATCCTTCACCTCGATCAGTTCAACGCCGTTGTCAACGAGCGTGACGGTAATTTTGTCTGCCCCTGCATCCAGTGCATTTTCTACGAGCTCCTTGACCGCTACGGACAAGGAAACGACCACTTGATTAGTTGATAACGAATGTACTGTTTTCTCGTCTAACTCGGAAATTCCTCGCTTCATCGTTCTTTCTCCATTCTAAATTTAAAAATTGGAATGATTGAATCTTTTAAAATTGGTTTTATTACAAATTAAAAGAGTTAATCCTCCACGTTGAGCCAGTTCTGATTGCCACGTCTGGCCACTGTGTTAGCCACAAAGGGCTTAAATTTGGACTTGCGCAAGCTATCAACAGGTGGAGCAATTAATAAGGGAACTTTTTCACGGATAACTCTGGTCCTCGCCGTAAACGCAGCCTTCTTCGTTCCTGGGTAGTCATAAATCAATTCTTCCTGGACCAGTTCGCCTTGCGAGAAATCAGAGTACTTGGGTAGTTCAAGATTTGTTCGAACGTTTCTATTTTGCCATAGTTTGTGGTTAAAACCTTACATTGGATTTTACAGTGACCAATTGAATGATTAACATCGTCGAATTTGAAAATCATGACTCTAACGGTCATTTAGAACCACAAGATTTAGAATCCAATCCTTGAAAATTTGATTTTGGCTCTAGGTGATTATCTCTGTGTGTTTGTAGTTGTACTCCGGGAGATATTTCTTGATGAATGTGCTAAATTCACCCTCAATAATCAGCCAAGACATAATATTTTTTGAAACAGCGCAAATTCGGCTAAAAGCAGCTCGAATCATACCGGGTAGTTGCCTCTATGCCGGGCATTCTGCGCCCTGGATGTGTAAAGCTTTCCCTGCCCGTGTGGCGTAAACGATAGCGATAGTCCTCTTTTACAAACGAGAATCCGATTCATTCTTGGTGATTCAACGTTAATTTCAAGACAAAGACGCGACTCGTTTTAATAATAAAATATATTTTATGAAATAGAAAAATATCTCTCATGTGGTAATAGAAAAATAGTTATGTTTATACAGTTAAAACGCGAGCGAAACGAAGGATCACTTATTGAAGAGCTGGGTTATGCTGGTAGAGATACTCGGCCAGGAAGTCGACGGGATCCGTGGGTTTCACCTTGGCGCATTCAATCAGGCCAGCTGTGAGAGTGGGCATCACGTGAGTAGCAACATACTGGCGGAATGGACGGGCTTTTTCTTCCAAAATTTGCTTAATTTCATATTTTAAAAGAAGATGATGATGAAAATGCGTACCCTTTCTTGTCGTCGGACTTCTTCGAGTTGAGCGGTCCAAAGCCCGATGTTAGCTTTTCGGGCCTTGGCTTCGGCAGCCTCTTTCTTGGCTTTGAGGGCTCTTGAGATTGCATCACGGGCCTGTTGATCTGCCAATTCAACGCGAGCGAGCTCCTAAATCCGTGAACTTATTCCGCACGGTCCTAAAAGATGAAGATTTACCTCCTTCTCTTCAGGAGTGAGTCCGTAATGTCGAGGGGGGCCGACAGCCTTTTTGATCGCTTCGATAATGGGTGCGTTTTCCTCGTCATTATTTTGAGTTACATCTGCGATGACGGGGTCGATTTCCATTTCACTGAACCAGTGGATAACGGTGTCTTCTTCCGCTCGATCGGCTTGGAATTGAGCGTGACGTCGGAGAAAACCCTCTTCGTTATTGTGAGTTCCTTGGACGACTTCTTCGGGCAGATTCATCATTCTTTCCTTCAGGAAATCATTTGTAGCTGATAAGTCAACGACTAAAATTAACAAAGTTAAGCGACCGCAGATAATGATCCCTACTCACTCATTTCTGGGACTTTATTGCCAGCAGGTTTGCCCTGTGGTTCTCCTTCTTCGTCCATTTCTTCGAAGATGGCTTTCGCTTGAGCATACGTTTTGGGATAACCGTCGAGGACGTAGCCTTTGTTCAGAACTGGTTTGGATTCGAGTTTTTGTTTCAGTAAATCGATGATGAGCGATTCTTCGATGCGTCCATCGTTTGCCGCCATCGACTCTTTCAGCTGAGTGAGAGTGGCTTCGGCTTCGGAGGCTTTTTCTTGGACCTCTTCTTCTTCTTCATCTGTCAATTTAGATTAGTTCACGAATTCAATATGATATCTGACTCAGATTCTGAGGGGAATGAATTAAATTCACGTAAAAACTCACCATCTTCAGCTGGAGCATCTCCCTTGGCAACAAGTTGTTCAAGATTTTTAATGGAGTCTTCAATGACTGCTTTTACGTGGATGTGATGGATTTTGTAGTGCGCTGCGAGTTCAGTAGCGACACAAGTTTTTCCAACACCCGGTGGGCCAAGGACAATGATTCGAATAGGGAGAAGGCCTCGCGATTTCTTGTACTCCATGACGACATCTTCTACCATTTCGACGAGGCCGTCTTCGCAGACCCAACGGAAGGTGAAGTCGTTGCGGACGGTGCCACCCTCGATCATCAAATTGCACGAGAGAGCGTCCAAGGCCAGTTGACTGATGTCATTAGTCGCCTGGGCATCGGCCTTGGGCACAACATTAGTTCGTCCAGTTGTAAGAGTGCTGGAAACGCGCTTGACGATGTCGCGCACGGAAGAGTGAGACTGATCTACAGCCAGAATGTATTTCGTCTTGGGCATCAAGTCGATCGTGTACAAAACTGTTGAGGCCAAATCTCGAACGTGGATCATCGGCACAACTGAAAGTTTTCATCGTTAGATCATCTAACTTAGATGCTATTCCTAGTAAAGAAGGACATACTTCCTTGTCCGTAGCCACTTCCATAGATAGGCAACGATTCATCCCCACTCCATGCGGCTTTGAACATCCAGTGCAAGAGCGATTCTCCATCACCATAGCAAATACCCGCGCATATCACGTAGCAAGTCAGATATTTCTTCAGCTGGTTTCCCATTTTGATCGCGAGCTAAATTCAAATTATTTGATCACTTGAGTTTTCAATGTACATTTAAAAGTTCTTTATTCAATGAGTACCTTTTCGAGAGCAATGTGATCTTTGAATTTGGGACTTGTTCGACGTTTTCGATAGTCGTCTTCGGTGAATGGAATTTCTGGATCGTCTGGGTCGAGGTGCTTCGTCTCCAGCCATGTCATACAGGTCGAAGCGAGGACAAACGTTTTTGGAGCTGTAAAGTGCTGAGCTTCCTATAATCGTTGTAAATTTTTGACAGAGATTGAGTGAGATACGAACCTGTTGAATGAATTCCAAAGCAGCCATGGCCTCAGCAGTGTGTTCTCCTTCAGCGATCGAGTAGATAATAACATCTGCCGCCATGATCGCTGCTTGGACAGAGGCAGAGTCATTTTTCACGATTCTGCAGTTGAAATCCGGCTCTCGTGGCTCTTCGCCCTCGATTTCCAAAAGAGTTCCAGAGACGATGAAGTTGCTCTTGATTCATTTTTAACCAGAGTCAATAAAGAATAAGTTCTGTACCTTGTTGTTTCGGGCATTTTCGAGGGCTTCTTCCTCCTCCTCGGGCTCCACTGGCGGAGTATGTGTTCACATAGTTTACGAAGACCTGGATTAAGTAGTTAGTTAGTTGGGCGATCGAGAGGTAACTGTCTTACATGTGGAATGCGTGGTCCGTCCTCATGATTCTCCTCAATGTCTGACATATTCTTTCCGGAGTTTTGATAAACTAATTGTCTAAATCACAACTGCTGTCAATCAACTCTAATAATTAATAACTAACAACGAAATGCGCATTGTTCTAGAAGTTCCTGCCTTTCAAAAGCCATTTTATTTTGTAGTTTGACGAAGGGAAAAAGGGCTAACACCTGAACTTTCTCGAGCTAACTGTGGGAAGGTTACAAGTTGTAATAAAGAACGATTCAAGCAGATATAGGTTGAAATTGCGTATTGCTTTCATAGTATTCCGATTGATCCAGGGCTACTTCGCAACTTTCGCGGAGAATTTGAGCAGAACTTGTTCTAAAAAGGTATCAGAAGAAGAGGCCGATTAATCTTTCTCACCGATGTTTCTTTAGACATTCACTAGCAACATCACTTGACATATTTCCGAGTGCTTCTGCAGCTTCATGCCGGACCATTCCATGCTCGAGTTCGTCGTCGACAACTTGGACGAGTCGCCCAGTCGCGTGTGAGCCCTCTTCCCCAAGCTGGCCAAAGACAAAGGCGATTTCATGTCTAAACAGGGCCGATTTCGTTTCTTTGAAGCCGCTCAAAAGGGCTTCTATGCATTCATTTCTTTCCGCCTCTGTTTTCATCTTTGGCAAAACGTCTCGCAAGCCGAACATCGCCCTGTAACGATCGAAAAGCGAGAGTTCCGTGTTCATCAGCGCCTTGCTGAGTTTTGCGACGTCTTCTTCTTCGGATCGCGGCGCTGGATCGACCGAGTTGAATCTGTTTTTCATCAAGTGCTGCTTGTCCGGATGCTCTTCCAAGAACTTGATCTTGTCGAAAGCTAGTTCGGCCGTTTCCCTAACTTCTATATCCCTATCGTTTGCAGCGAGCTCTTTCAGCATTTCAAGATAATCTGGAGGGCCAATGGCGCCGATCGCTTCCACCGCTTCGTGTCGAACTACCGGTTCTTGTTTCATATCATTGAGACAGTTCTTTAAAATCTCCAGCGCCTTCTCGCTCTTCGTCTGGCCCAGGCAATAAGCGACCTCGTGCTTGAGCAACTCGGAAGAATCGGCAAACGCCTTGCCCATTTCTTCGATGCATCGGTCGGTTCCAAGCCCTTTGAGGGAGAAAAGCGCGCGAAATCGACGAGCCAAGTTCTCCCCTTCGAAATTGTTCAAAATGCCGCTGTACTTTGTGATTAATTCGTCGAGCTCCTGTGCGTTCATTCTAAAATCGTCAAAATTATTGTTCTCGAAGCCCAAAACAGTTTTTAGACTTTTGTCTCTTCTTCAATTCATTTTTGAAGCTCGTAAAAGTCACAGTCGTTGAGATACAGTACTTCGTTGCCAAGAACCGTCCAGTTAGGGACGAGTCTTCTCGCGAATATCTCAAGAAAGCGCCCTTTTGGCGCCAGTTTCTCCAAAAACGCGTGAATCGCTGGCTTCTGGCTGTGGACACGGCTTGGAATGGTGGCAAACGTAGTGTTACATAACTCGGGCACAAGGGATTCTCTTCGGGAAAAGAAAAGAAGTTTCTCCGAGGGCAGTTTATGAGCATTTCCAAAAGGCACGACGGGTTCTCCATTTGCCGCGATTTTCAACCATCTCCACGTGGCACAGTGGGAAAAGCCCCGTTTCTCCATGAATTCGTCGATGTATTCTAGCACTCTTTGTTCGAGGATTATTTTCTCTAGATTATTTTCCAAAAGACCATAAGAGCCCGTTTTCGCCACCGCGTTTGTAGCTAAAATTTCCCCAACAAATTAGGCGCAAATTTCTTTGCACTGCCAAACACATGTTTTATTAACAGAATGGAATAACTAGTGTCAACATGACAAAATTTTTGGAGGGGGCTACGACCCCTTGTTAACTCGAAAAGAATCCTTTCCTAGCGTTGTTGGTGATCCAAATCGCGACAAAGCCATCATTTGTCGTGATTTTCTCAAGCCTCAGCGACTCCAGCAGGGTCATCGAATTCGTCGAGTACTTTTTCCTCTCGAAACGGACTTGTTCTTCCATGGCGGATCCAAATAGACAACGTCGAACTTTTCATCGAAGACCACTTTTTCCACGTCGGCGAGGATGAACCGCGCATTTCCAGGAACTACAAACAAATATGTCTTGAGTTGGAGGTTTTTAACGAAGCAGTACCTAAGTAAGAAGCTCCTTCAATTTTGAGCTTGATGGTTTCAATTTTCGCGTTTGAGCAAAGTCTATTCGTGAAGAATTCCTTCGGCTGGCCAGAATGAAAATTCTCCAGCACAAGTTCTGACTGTAATTGATCAGAAGTTCCACTGTCCAAGTTGAGCAGTGGCTTTTTATCTGCTCGTCAGGGCTCGCTAGAATCGCTTCCGCCAGCTCGCCAAATTTACTCTCTTGTCGCAGCCTTTTCAGTTGATTTTCCAAAGCCTAAGTATCCAACTTAGAATTCTCTCACTTCTTACTTCTTTTTCTACATTTTCGTCGTCGGAAAGTTCCAATTTCTTGCCACTTTTCATCGCGTTTTTAAAATACTGCTGCTTCACGAAAAGTGTTCGTTTGAAATTCCAGAATTCTTCATTTTCATCTTCTTCGGGAATCTTCAAATCTCCATCATCAAGAAAAAGAAGCTTCTCTTCTCCGTTAGAATTCATTTTTTCTTTACAAATTTCAGGGCGCCCATCGATTTATGACTCATCGCGTCACTATCCGCCGTTTCGAATGAAAAGAAAAAGAAGCGTCCCTAGCTGGGATCGAACCAGCAACCTCTCGATTAACAGTCGAACGCGCTAACCAATTGCGCCATAGAGACAACTGAGGGAGGGTCTAAAAGCCTACACTATATAACACAGCTTATGATTTTGCAAAAAGTTATCTTTATATTGATCAAATTTCGCGTCCCACTCGACCCATCGTAGCCCGGTCGGTAAATAAAAGGCTACACCTGTATCATAGAGCGTGAAGCCCCGAGTTCGAATCCCAGGCTTCTCGACTCTCTTGTGTTCAATGGGATTGGCTCGGAAGAAATCGGCGAATCTAAATAAGGAATCATACATCTTCATTGATGTTCATGGGGAATACAACATTCCTTTTCCTTTTGAATGATTGATGATGAGTGTATATTATACACTTTATAAGAACAAAAATGTGATATTTTTCAATTTGAACTCCGGATTTTGCTCGGCAGAAGTCATTTTCATCTATCGCCGCTTGTATCATTTAATATAGAATATATTCTTCTATACTAGAGAATCTAATAGACTATTATTAATAGTAATGAGGACAATTTGAAATTGTCAATTTCACTGGATCACTTTGCTTTATTACGATTTCTTTACTAACAAATGTGTACATCGGTAATATTAAATCAGAAGCATGAAAAAATTAGTTGAAGTTCCTGACGGAAAAGTTGTGGAAAGTTACGATTTGCCGATCTTGTCGCTACGAAGAAGCATTTTCGCCGCGGCAATTCTAGAGGAGCATTCGTTCCCAAGGCGACATGGCTGCTCTCTTGATCTCCGCCTAAAAATATTGCGCTTTAGGAAATCTAAAAAGGGTGCATTTTCCGGGCAGTGTAGGTCCTAGATTCTAGGAGGCTTCATTCTCTTTTGAAGAAGAACTCAGCCTTGAAAATTAGAAACTAGGGTACCGTCTCTGGTTAGAGTTATGAGTGTCTTCAAGTTGTAATTTACCTGAGGAAACTGCATGCTGTCATCGAAGATTCTTCGCCAGAACTGATCTTCGAGATTGTCATTTTCCTGCTGGCCGATGTTGTCGCTATCCCGCGGAAGCGCTAAAACAAGGGTTTACTCTTTACTCTGTTCTCTCAGCAGCTCTCACAGTAGATGGAATTTGCGAAGACGAGGGGCGCCAAAGTCAGAGTGAAAAATTTCATTTTCTTTCTTTTTTGTTGGAAGTGGAAGTTCTGTCCTGGCGAAGATTCCGCGCTCCGCCTTTATATAATTTTTCTACACCAGATGGCGAGCGATTTTGGCCAATATCCTGTAACTAGCTGGTTATTGCTTCAATTTTTAAATAAAGAGGCATTATTAGCACTTGTCGATAATACTCAGTCTCAATCAACAGCCCCCATCGATTGTCAGTAATTCACCTCGGCGAAATTTCTCTGATTCAATCATCCCCCACTGAAGTTGCAGAATGAGCAGTGTTCCAAAGTAGAAGTAAGCGAGTACTGTCATGTTTTTCCTCTTTTGTGGAGATTTTATGTTTCCAGTTTTCTGGAAAATTTCCAAAAAAGTATGCAATTTTGAGTTGTGCGCCGCAAATTTCTTGGAATAAAAAGTCAGAAAAGAGATTAAAATTGATATTCATAAAGGAGAATTTAACTAACTACTAAAATAGGTGGTGGTCTAAACTTTGAAGTTCTTACGTGCGATAAGAACTTCGTGTGGCCTAAACTTTGATCGTTCCCATGTGTGATTCTTTGAGAAAGTGGCCTAAACTTTGAATTTCCCCGGAGGCACTTCTGCCATCGGTGACTAGAGCACCGCCCGCTAAGGCCACTACGCTTTATGCAGACCAATAAGGTTTACGTTTTTCATTCAAGGTGATGACACACATAGAACTAGTTAGGGCGCCTCAGGGGAAATTCAAAGTTTAGACCACTTTCACACATAGGAAGAATCAAAGTTTAGGCCACTTTCTTAAAGAATCGCACATGGGAACGATCAAAGTTTAGGCCACACGAAGTTCTTATCGCACGTAAGAACTTCAAAGTTTAGACCACCACCTATTTTAAAAACTTTGGAAAAAACCCAACAACTGGTCCGGGAACTTAACGAATCATTCGCTCGTTCTGGTGGTCCTTCTTAATTTATTATTACTCAAGACTTAACATACTCAAGCTTTAAAAACCATTTCTGCTAACCGAGCTTTAACTCATTCATGATTTTGTGTTCAAACGAAATAAATGATTGATTTTCAGCGGTCTTAATTCTGGATGCTTATCCCTGTCAAAAGACACCCGAAAAAATCGCAAATCCAATTGGAAGTAAAAATTACGAGTAGCTAGTAAACTAACCACAAAGAAAGATTTCTTTTTACGCTTGGCCAATATTTGGGTCGGATTGAATTGAATATTCGCCTCCATGGGTAATCATTTTCGAGATGTTTTATATTTTAATAACGATTACTTGAAGAAAGAGAGCGTTTTCACGCTCCAAGTATTTTGTGCTCATTGGCACCGTCTTAGAGAGCTCCTCTCATTCAATTGTGTTCTATCACTTCTCCAGTGCGAGACTTCTACTCTACTTTCTCTTTTGAACGCCACGAGCGCTGATAACACACCGATTAAGTTAAGCTGTAAGTTAAGATGCTCATTTCATTGCTGCCTTTCCTGATTTACTCGATCCGCGCTGTTGTTTATCCAGGGCCAAGCGGTGGTGAACTCAGCACTACTACAGGTATCTTTTAGGAGAAATTATGACAAGTAAAGTTGATCAATACTGTAGAAGGGACTGAAGGAGAGCCACGTGAAGTAGTTGAATGGCACTGCGATTTCGATGACGGTTACGGCGAGATTCAAGGGCAAGTGATCATCAGGGAGGTTGAAAGGGAGCATGAACAACACACCATCACGACAAAAGAAGGTAACAAATAAAAAGTGAAATCTTTAGTGCTTTAATCTAGCCCTAGTCGAGTTTGCCGGCGACCTTACTTCCACCAATGAAGTTGTCAAAACAGGAAAGGCTCTAAAACGCTGATGAACTTTGACTCGAGATAGTTTTCCCTCGGGACCAGAATGAGGTTCGTTTTTACTGAAAAAGCGTTCTATTATTCAACGAATATAAGAAATGTATAAGGTAATAAACTCTCTAGTCTAACTGAACTGACGTTGAATCAGATAGTTCAGATATGAAAGTTTAATGTTTGAGCTCATCAAGGAAAATTCGGATTTCATGTTCACGAAAAGGCTATTGACGAAGACGGAGATTGTTCCACTGCTGGAGGTCACTTTTCTTTCGGAAATCAACCACATGGGCCCAAAAACGCAACGACAAATGACAGGTTAAGACTGAGAAAGAAAGAAAATAACCTCGTGATCATAATTTATTTAGACATTATGGCGATCTTGGGAACGTAGACTTTGTTGATGGCGTTACTTCTTTCAAGTTCACTGACGAGAACTTGAGCCTGATGAAAGATGTAAGTTTCTACTCGTGGTTTTCCAGCGAGATATTGGATATTAGGGGTCATTTTGATGACGATTATTAGGATGGGAAGTTTTTCGGAAACAGATCAATTGTCATTCACGATCGATTCGATGATGGAAACTCCGCAGGAGAGAATCTAGGAAACAGGTAAGCCCATTTTTTCATGATTCGTTTCTCGAAAAAAAATCCCAAGAGTTGGATGCTGCAACGTGAAGAAGAGCTCCGCGAAAAGTACACTTCTCAACTCGACCCTACTGTCGATCGTTGTTTACGCTTTTCTCCTTTTCTAGCTCTGCCAGCAATAAAATCACAAATTAGGATCTTGAATATTTCCGGCTTGAGTGGTTTTAGCAGCTCAGTGGAAAATCCTGGCTCGTTGTTTCTTTGCCCTGGGGGTTGCATCATAGGCTGACTCGTTTTCAGAAAGAGTATTTTTTCTTTCGAAGCTAGAATTCGAATTTTTTTAATGGAGCCTACCAGCTGGCAGGTAGTGCTCGGCTCGGTTTTTGTCCTTGCATACATATTTTTGATTATACAGAGAGATCTAGTCATACGAAGAGTGCAGTACACAGGCTTGTTGGCAATTGTTAGTTGTAGTTAAAAGGAGAAACACCATTGATGATTATTTTATGGTCCGATTGGAATTCAAGTTGTTTGATCCGTAATTGCGAAGCGGCTGCTTTCTTTGATCATTTAAAATTTTCAATCGAGGCCATAACATATAGCCGTAAACGATAAGAATTGTCAACTGACTCGAAAGTTCCCCGAGTTCCGTATGAACGATGCGACGGTTCTAAGACCGTAGAATTCTTCAAATTCAGCAAGGATATTGCAGGTAACATAAACAACGGCGATGAGCGAAATGAGCTGCCATTTTAAAATTGGATCGGAATGAAAATGTAATACGCTGCGACAGCTTGTAATGAAATTTCTCGCCTGTTGCTCAAAACGTCAATAGCCACCGGTTTATTAGATCAGCGAGAGATAATTTGAACGAGTCGATCTCTTCATTGCGGCCTTCTTAAAAAAATAATGAATTCAGGGTATACAATGTTGCATTGTCAGGTGGTATTTGTTACCTTGAGGGTTTTAATGTTGTAGAATTTTATTTCCAAGAAAAAATCAAAAATCAAGTAGGCCAAGGGGGTAGATATCAAGAATCGTATTTCCTGTCAGTGTTTTCTCAAATTTTTAACATAGTGACACCCTTATTTTTTCGGCTCAAAATATATTTCAGGCAATTATCTCTTTCCTATGGAAGCCAAAAATTTTGATTTCCTGAGCTTTAGAGGTGCTAGAATGCAAATCGGGCACCTCCGATTGTCGCCAAAATGACCATTTTAGGAAAGTTAGCGATCTTTGGCGAAAAATTTTGGTAAAAATTTTTTTGAAATTCGAAATTTCGGCTTCCATAGGAAATAGAGAAAGGTTGAAAGTTTTGTTTCCAAAGTAAAATAAGGGTGTTACTGTTTTAACTTTGTGAGAAAAGTCTGACAGAAAATCCCGATTTTTGATATCAACCTCCTTATTCATATATCATGATTTTCTAGTTATTCTTTAAAATTATTTTGTAACAGCATTATCATTATTAGTTTTTAATCTCTAATTTTAGAAAATCTGCCCGCTGAGTTCATCTCCAAAGTAAAAGAACGCTTCGCAGCACGTCTTGCCTTGTTGAAAAAAGAATGCTTCCACAAAAAGCAAGAGCCAATTTTTCCCACGTTCGCAGAGTTCAACAGAAAATTCCCAAAGTGGTACGAATTTCGCGGCGCCCGATTTACTGACGCGATTTCGCGGGATCCGGCAGTATTCGGATGCGCCGCGCTCAAGTCAGGTAATAAAAAAGTTGCTTTTCGGAGCATTCTTTTGATAAAATTTGCTTGTTCACATTTTACATGTTTCACAAGCGAGTGGTGTTTTACGAACCGTGGTGATGAATTGGGCTGGCGAAGAGTTTCACTCGCAAACGTACTTAGATCACCTAAGGAATGGGACTCATCCAAAGAAATCTAAGGTTTTTTAAATACGAAAAAAAGCCCAGAATAGAACATTTACAAACGAAGATCTTTCTTCAATCCTCTCTTCCGAAAATGCTCTCCGAATTCTGTTCGTTCGGAATCCGATGAGTCGGTTTTGCACCGCTTGGGGTCAGAAATTCAAAGTCGGGGGCGAGTATCAACTGCACCGGGAAGAGTGGCTCAAGAATTGGCCATATTTGGAGCGCTACGAAAAAGAGAATACTGCCAATGTGATCGGTTTTGACGACTTTGTGGATTTTTTCAAAACTCGACTCCTGGCTCTTTCAACTCTCATTGGAATACCATCCAAGGTAAGTTGCTAGAGTCTGGAGAGTCGATTGTGCAGTTTAGACTCGTGCGACATTTGCCGATTCCCGTACCAGTATATCGTCAAAGAAGAAACTCTCGACGCTGATCTTTTAGTTATTGCAAAGGAGCACAACTTGACCTTGCCCAGAAGCTTCTTTGAAACTATGCATGGCAAATCTTCAAATAGCAATTCAAGAAGAAACTACGCTAGCTGGGAGGATGTTTATAGAGGAGTTGGGGACGATTCGAAATACGCCCTGCTGCTTTCTTCAATTGAGAGAGAAAAAATTGCCAAAATCGTGACCGATTATGCAGACGACTTCACATTACTTGGATATTCCTTCGATTTGGATTCACTGAAGCTGGCTGGCCTTGACTCGCGAAAATGAGCCGCCGATTCCCAAGCTGGGAAAGAGACGGAACGACCTTGATACATTTTATGGGCTGCCAATTCTGTTAAATAAATCGCTGCATAACTGCCTCTATCCGCTCTAGTAATCTACTTTGATAAGGAATCTCAGCAGGTGCGCATTTTACGCCTGGGGGTACGGTAGCGCCATTCACGGATATAAATAGTTCTCTCTTGGAATTGGAACAGTCACAAAACTGAGAATTCAAAACTGAAAAAATGAAGATTGCTTTTTTGCTATTTATCGCGAGAGAGGCCGTTTTAGCCGAAATTCAGCTCTTCAAAACCTCCTGTTCCGAGTGTGCTCCCGAGTACGACTGCCAAGATGTTGCAGTAGAGATGTACAGAAACTTGGCTCATCAACGAGCACAGCGTCACGTGCCGCAGTTACTCGATATGTTCTTTACTTCAGAACACCGATTCTTTTGCCTCAAAGGAAAGGTTCTCCAGTTTTAGAAAGAAATTTGTTTAGTTTAGACGTCTATTCTCGTTTTCCCAATTTAAGGGTACTCGAAACAGTTTTTTTATTAAAGTGAATTAACAGTAAATGCGTTTAATTCTCTTGCGAACCGTTTTAAAGGCCACTCAGAGGTGAACTTTCGCTTTGAGCTTCCGATCCCGGATTTAAACATGGCAACAATTCCTACCTTACTGGCATTCGATGGGCGCCAGGAACTCGCCCTTTCTGTTCTCGCCATTCGAGATCGCTACGTCGAAGGCTACGACAGTCTTTCTCAACGACTTCCGAGCCAAGTGGAGAAATTCATCTCCCAACTTGGTAAGCAAGACGATAATTTGAAGGAACACTATCTGAGTTTTTATTATTAGAATTTTCGGACGAAAGCAATCTCCTCCAATTTATGAGCGAATACCTCATGCTCGCCGAACTCGCGTATATTGAGCGCAATTTAGAGGTAAATTTAATCAAAAAATATAAAATATAATCTGCTCACGTCATAATGTGCACGGCAAATGATCTCGCGTGACGACACGTTTAGGATTATTAGGCGCGAGATTAGTCTTTCTAAATCTTATATCAGGTTATTTCCATTCTGCCATCCCTCCTCGTCGCAGCAACAGAAAGTGCTTCAGCAGAATCGATGACTGAATTGCTCGAAAACAGCAGCGGCAAAAACAAACGACTTTACGAAATGCTCATGTACGTCGGTCTCCAAAGCAGCATGGAACCAGCCGGAGATGCGGAGCATACAACTGACTTTTCCAGATTTGCGGCAATCATGAACTTCATTCGAGTGAGTCCTGGGATAATTGATTTGCCAATGACATGAAAATATTAATTATTATTATTTTCTCTTTTAGGATTCGAACACAAACTTAGAGCAGAAAATTTCCACCTTAGAAGATCCAAACGCTCATCCCGAATACTACCAACAGACCGTTGAAAATGACTACAAGGTTCAGCAGCCTCATCAAGGATTCAGCCCAGGTACTTTAAATACTTTCAAGTTCTTTCAAAGACGTTATTGTTTAGCTCTTCTGTTCGTAATGTCGAAGGAAGACGAAGCTTTCTCAGTCGAGGAGTTTATTTTCATCCTTCAAAGTACTCCCTCACTCGCCCAAGATCCGATCATTCCCTACTTGTACATGAAAGACTCTGACAACCACGAAAAACTGCGCACATATTTGATGGCTCGTTTGCTCAACCCAGAGCTTTTCCAGAACAACGGAAATAATATGTCCACGGCTTTGGCACTCCTTCAATAAAATCCTGTTCTTATTCCTGTTCTCTCGCTACCTCAAACTTTCCTCCAATAAATTTTAGAAAAAAAAGAAAGAAAATCATTTTAAAATTAATTGATCTCATTTTAAAGAAGAGCGTTGGAATAATAGTTTTTCTTTGTAAGTCATAAAATGAATTGAAGATGTGTTGATGTCAGGATTTATCCATAAAATGAAAAGGATTCAAATTCAGCGGGCTTTTCGGAGGAGTCCGAGGGAGCAAGGTTGAGGCTGGAGGCTCCGGACGAAGACTTCGACGATGACTTCGATGAGTGAGAAGAGGACGAAGTTGAGCTAGAAAGGCGACTGTGAACACTCGATGCATCATCATCCTTGTCTTCATCATCAGATTCCGGAACTCTTTGGGCCATTTCTTCCAGCCAGTCTGGAATTTCGGCATCTCCTTCCTTAGATTAAAAGTTAATTTCCCTCATCTTACTAAAGGAATTACCCTCATGAGTTTAACCAGGATGGGGGTTTTGGTGAAATCGTTGTAACTACCCCTTCCTTGCACAAAAGTGACTGCGGTGCCAGGACGACCAACGCGTCCAGTTCGCCCGATTCGATGGATGTAGTCGTCGTGGAAAACGTCTTTGTCCGAGCAGTCGAAGTTGACGATCAAATCGACAGCGGGAATGTCCAATCCGCGGGCGGCCACGTTCGTCGCAATCAAAACTGGGCAGTTGCTAGTCGCAAAGTTCCAGAGCGCAAACTCCCGCTGCTCCTGAGAGCGATCGCCGTGCATCGTCATGCATTTGTATTTCAGTTTATCACTGAGGAGACAACCCAAGTAGTCGACCTTGGCTTTTGTATTCGCGAAGACGAGGGCCTTCTTGCTGCTGCCATCAGTGCCGACTTCGTACTCCTTCAGCACTTTGTCGAGTTCTTTTGGTTTCTTCTCTGGACCGTCTATCTGGACGACTTTTTGTTCGACGGAAGCACTTAAACAATTAAGTTATTTAACGCTCCCATATTTTTGATCTTACCTTGGAGCATTGAGAATTCCACATTGAGCGTACAAGTAATCCTCACGGAGAAACCCGTTGGCGAAGCTTTGAACTTCCGCTGGAAAAGTGGCGGAAGTGAGAACCTTGCAAATTGGGCCTTGTGGTCGCTCTCCTCGCTTTGCTTCAATTTTCTTGATGATGAGGTTGCTGATTTCGGCGAAACCTTCGTCGAGCATTCGATCCGCTTCGTCGAGCACGACAAAATCGCAGCTCGCAAAATGTTGCTTAAAACCGTTTAGATGGCTGTTTAATTTGATAATTTAGCTACCTCAGTAACGCCTTCGACTTTGGGAAAGAGGATATCATCAACGCGGCCAGGAGACCCGACGATAATGTCAGCTCCGAAGGCGTGGAAGCGCTGGGTTCTTCGATTGGTGCCGCCGTAGAGGTTGCTGACTTTGATTGTCTCGCCTAAAAGAGAAGTAGAGGATTGAAAAATGAAGAGGGACTTACGTTCAAGTCCGCGAGTGAGCTTGACGGCTTCCTTGGCGATTTGAATCGCCAGTTCTCGAGTAGGAGTCATAATCACAGCTCGAGGGTCGACTCCAATGATTCCTTCGACACCTGGAATTTCACTTGATCTCTCTCGAGCAAATTTTTTCTGTCTAAATTTGTGGTGAATATAAAAATGATTTAAAATATTAAGTTTTACCTTGGATTATTCAAAATGTAATTTATGAGGGGAATTAAGAAAGCTCCTGTCTTTCCCGAACCAGTTTGAGCGTTGATAAGAATGTCTTGCCCCTCTTGAATCGGGTACATTGACACTCGCTGAACAAGCAATGGAGTTTCCCAGCCATAGACGCTCAAGTTTGTAGCCAATTGTGGGTGAAGATTGAGCTCTTCGTAGGAGTAGCAGAGATATTGCTCAGGTTTGAGCTTGATGATCTCACCGTTGACGGCTTGGAAGACTTGAAAGTCGAGGGACTCGATCTTTTTAAGCTCGTCTCCTGGGTTGTTGATCGGATGGAGCTCGTCGTCGGCTTCGAGAGCGTGGCAAATGTGCCCGCTGTAGAAGCGATTCACTTAAAATTATTGTTAAATAATTAACTTATTGTAGCTTACATTCGAGTTGCTTCCAAATTCGCTCTTTCTCCTTTTCTTCGTCAATTGTTTGATTATTGTTTTCTTCATCTGCGGGTTTGAAGTCGCCAAAGCCAGCTTTACCATTCGACTGCTCAGAAGAATCAGCAACGCCGCTTTCATTTGAATTCTGTTTACCAAATCCTGATAGTTTTCGACTGCTTGAGCTTCCTGACTCCAAGATATCAGCATCCTCATCATCATTGTTCTTTTGGCCGAACCCTGCAAATTTCACGCTGCTTTCTGATTTTTCATCATCTTCCGGTTCTTTCACGGACGAGCTTTTCTCCCCGCCAAATCCTTCAAATTTTTTAACACTGTCTTCATCATCGCCGTCTTCTTTATCTGTTTCTACTTCTGTATCGGAGCCTTCGATCGGGACAAAGGCTTCAGAAGACGTTTCTGATTCGGGCGTTTTGAGGCCAAGCTTGCTTACTTCTCTGGCTAAATCGATCGCTTGTAGTCGCTCTTTTTCTTGATCATGGCTGCTTTCTTTTTCCTTCTCGCGTTTCGCCTTCCACTCCTCGTAGATCTGATGGTAGAGCGGATCGACATGTTCGCCCGCACGCTCACCCTCAGTGTGTCCATAAGTGTACTGGCGATCGAGAACCAGCGGTCGATTGAATTTGTTGAGATATTCTAGTTTACGGCTAAAGTACTCGTCTCTGTAGAATCCCTGCTTTCTTTCTTCAGTTTCTGAAAAGATAATATTTTATATCAGGATTTAGTATATTATTCAATTATTTGAAGTTAGAAGGAATTATTTCAGCGTTCTTTTATTTAGCTTTTTAATTTACCTTCTTGATCACTCTTCGCCCCAAACCCACCGAGATGGACAGATTTTTCTTCATCGCTCTCGCCAGAAACCTCTAGAATCGCGCTTTCTTCGGAATCATCCTTTTGACGATTATCTTTTTTAAACGTAGATGTACTTCGGCTATCTTTGTTTTTCTCGTTGTTGATGCCAGAATGGGTAGTTGACGGACACGAACTGCTATTTTTTTCCTAAAATCATTATTTTATCTAATGCTATTTTAGAGTTGTCAAAACCAAAAATTGGCATTTTCAAATTTAACTTTCTTTCAAAATTAACATAGTAACACCCTTAGTCGAAAATTACTCGAAAAAATCAAGGAGAAAAATGTTTTCAAAAGAAACTCGCTGCCTTCTCCTTAATAAATTAAATACTTACAGAAGAAGATATTCCAGTCAGTGGAGTTTTGGAAGAAGACATTGTGGAAGAAGAGGCGATTTCTGCGATACCCGCCATCGTATCCTGTCCACTTGAATGAGGCTCCTTTTGAGAACCTGAAAAAACGTCAGAATCGCCTTTCCCCTCCGAATCTGCCATTTTGGCAGTTTCTCTCTCTCTCTGCTTCTGCCTCGATCTCCGACTTACCCGGCTTAATATCCGCCATTTTGAAAGTTCCCGATACAAGTAAGTCTCTCTTTCAGGATCCCGAGTAAAATTTATAATTCCTCGTTGCTCTCGAGAAATCGAAAAGTAAATGGACAAATCTGGCCGAGTAGATCTTGCTCTCGCCCATGTGGAGAAGATTCGAGCCGACTTCGAAGTGCATTTTTGACTCTGCAAGGTAGACTAGGCTTTTCTCAGTGTCTCGCAGACTGAAAGTTTTCTCAACAATTTCAAAGTCAGACTCGAGTCAACAAATATGATGTCCATAGCTTTGGCACTCCTAGAATTAATATCCTGCTGAATCAGCAGTGCTGATCTTTTGCTACCTTAGACCTCCCTCCAATAATAATAATAGGGAAAACGAATTTTATGAAAATGGAAATTTGATGAACTCGATTATTACCCTCGTGAATTTGACTTTTATTCTTGCCGAACTCGATGTTCTTGTGACCAAGCACGACCCTTTTTGAAACATAAAATGATAAAATAAGAGAAGAGAGCATGAACATCGCAAGGTACAAGGGCGAGTAACATTAAAAAGAAATGTAAAATGAGATTCAGAAACATGAAAAATTGGTCTCTTCTTCTTCTTTGTTCAGTATTCATTCTTCTGGTTTCTTTCTTGAATGTTAATAGGACGAAAAAATCGAGACTTTCATCTTCTTTTTACAAAAGGACATTTTTAGCAAGGGATTTAACCAAAATATAAATTCAATTATTTGCCAAAAAGTATCCCATCTCAGTTATTCACGGCCTCAATACGAATCAAGAACGAGACTTTTTTCTTCATCATGATTCCAAGGAAAAAGTCCACGAAGCAAAGAGAAACGAAATCGGAAAAGAAAAACAAATGATCAAAATTCTCCACGGCCGGAATTACGGACATTTGCGAACTCAAAATCCACAATTCAACTTCAAGTTCCACTTTGTATCCGCCTTCAATCACCGTGCTGGAAGAAAGTCTCCTAATTTCATCACTGAAATTGCAAGAGTACTTTCATCTTATCCCCATCCAGCAGAGTGGACAATAATCCTTCCAAAATACCAACAAAACATTGGCAATCCGAACTGGCTCGATCACCTGACTGGATTGGAAGGCAACTATTTAGTCTGCGCAAAAGAAGGAAAACTTGCGGTGGGGAGTGAGCGACGCAAGCATTTTGTCGCCTTAGCTGAGGATTTAGAAGACTTGAAAGAGGAAGACTTAAAAACCTGCGTTGACGATGCTTTTGCGATCAAAACCTCACTCTTGAAAGATTTGTTAGCGGCTAAGAATTACAGCGTTAGTTTGTCGACGGAGATGTTACTTGACGAAGCGCTTTTTGACGAGAACAAGACCTTTCTCTCCAGTTGGCTCTATTACCGGTCACAGGTAAGGGACTAAAAAATTATCAGATTAGAGGTTCTAGTCGTCAAGTCTCAAAAATTCGGAAACGAAGTTTGTCGATTTCGAAGAGTTACGTCAGAAGTCCTTGCAACATACTCATGCCGTCGGATTCGAAACGAGCCAGAAGCCAAACTGTCTTGTTCGCAAAAACTGATTGAATTCTTCCCGACTAAATCCGACCAGCTCCCCGATATCTATCTCCAGAACGAAAATCAAGCGCGAGAAGTGATACTTCGCCACCCATTAAAATCTTGCAAGGAAAAGAAAAAACTGCTGGTTCTTGTAAAAACGTCTCCAATTGCTAGTCAACGCGCAATCAGAGACTTTTATCGACAATTTTTCGCAGCATTTTTAGGTGATCAAGAATACAGCTTGGTTTTCGTTATTGGAGCGAAGGGACTTTCGGACTCTTCTGGGGAGCTAAAAGCCGAAATTGAACTCAACGACGACTTCCTGATCGCCCTCTTCGAAGATAGCTATGAAAGCTTGCCCCACAAAACTTTTGCGACTCTGCAATATTTGACGGGCGTCTGCAAAGACAAATTCGAGTACTTGCTCTTCATCGACGACGATACCCTTCTGGACCTGGAGCGGATTTCTCAATTTCTTCTTTCTTCTGATTCCAGCTCGCCTTTCATCCGCTGCCTGCCTGGCAACTATCTATCTCTGGACGCAGCTCCCTACACTGGAAAATACTTTCTTTTCCCGGAAATGTGGCCGGTCGACTACAAACCGCCGAAATACTGCAACGGACAATGCTCGCTCTGGTCCAAAACAGCTGTAACACGCGTTTTCAAGGAAGCTCTGCGGACCGACAGACGAGAATTTAGACTAGAAGACTTCTTCTTCAGCGGAATTCTGCGCGAAAAAGCGCGAGTTCATAATGTCAAGGGGCTCAAATACACGAACAAAGACGGAGTTTCCGCTGGCTTGTGTCGACATTTCCCTAAAAATGGATTGGCAGACTTTATAAGCAAGAATTTCGAAGATGATGGCAATAAAACGAGAAAACTGAAAATAAAGGACGTCAATTTTCTGGATAATGTCTTTCTGGATGCTTTTTAATTGCAATTGACTCTTCCTTGATTTCAACTGATCATTAACAATTTAAGAAAATCGTTGCCAAAAGCGTTATTAGGAGTTATATCGAGCACGTCATTATGAACATATCAATAACTCGAATAAACAATTCTGATCGTTCTATTCTTCTAATTGCACGAGAGACTTTTCCTCGATTCTATCATTCCCATTCGGCAGAAAATGAGCTACGATGACTCTCTTGAAGAGTGCCAGCACGAGCACGTTTTCGAGCGTCTTGCAAAGAGATACGTTCAGCCCGGCGCTGATGTCCACGTGGGAGCAGCCGACGGAGAGTATTGCATCAGTGACTTGCGTTATTTTGGATCGCTCAAGAACTCGCGCCACGTGATCACGCACTTTTTTGCGGACTTCTTACTCTTGGATTCGGCCTCGTTGTTGTCATCAGGAAGACTTTTCGGTTTGTTTCTGACTTGAATTGATAAAATAATTTTATCAGGTGGAGTTTCGTGGAATGTCTGTACATTGGCGCTGTCCAAATAAGTGCTTCCGTCGCTATTTTTATGAGGAAAGACAAGAAGCTTCTTGTAATTATGGTATCAGTGATTTTCTTTTTGAACTGCTTTCTTTGCGGCTCGATTCTTACGAGATTCGCCATTGAACGAGATCGACTTGAAGGTACTCTTGAAATGAAAAAATCATCATCTCGAAAACATATTTTAGAGATTCGGCATTACCACGCTGATTCACCTGGATTGTGGTCAATAATAGTCTGCCTTCTCAGGAAATTTGAAAAGCATTTTTGAGAATAATTTTTTTTCTTTTGATATTTTCAATCAAAAGTGCACTCGTGGAAATTGTCCTTGGCTTGTCCTCTCTAGGAGCATGCTTGCGCTACGCAGATTCGATGGGTGAGCCATTTTATTAAACAAAACGATTAACGATTATTTTCAGACAATCTGCGTTATCGATTGAAGATTTACCAGCTGGCGACTGAGGTGAACAACATCTCGGAGTTGATCAGTCCGAGCTCCTCGCTCGAGTCCTTTCTCAAAGGAATAGTCGCACACTAACAAACACACTAACACTAGCACGCACTCTATTCATCGATTGTACACTTCAATACAGTCATAATGCCTTCACCAGCATTCGAGAGCTACTGCCAGTCGTCGAAGAGACTTGGAGCGTCTGGGAGCAACAATAGCACGCCCATCATTTTGGATTCTAATGGCATCCCGATCTCGAAAAACGCTCCTTCAGACACTGAATTTGACATGTGACATGTGATATTCACCAGTAATAACTCTCACTGTAACTAACAAATTTTAAACGTCATTGTAATTGTGTAAATAAAGTTTCACAAATCAATGTGCAAAAAGAATTACTGGGATAGATTGTTGTCTATTCTATTGTCTAAACTTTAGACTCTAAAGTCAATAGAATTAAATTAAGAATCCGGACCTGCGTGACGAAATATTGCGCGCACTCTCAGCGGACTCACTTGCGATGGACAAAAAGGGACGAGGTAAGTGTGCGCTTGCTTAAGTGAGTGCGAATTGAGTGTTCAGCGTGTAGAGGAGAACCGCTCGTGCACAACAGATCAAAGCTAGGTATCGCCGCAACACGAGAACAAGTCATTTTAAGGCGTCGGCCAACGAGGCGGCTTCGGCAACAACAATGGCGACTCGGGTGGCGAAGGCGATGAAGAGGATGAGTCGAATCCTCCTTCAATCGGAGACGAGTTTGAACTTGATCTCCAGGAACGGCTCCTGCTACTCACTTGAAAGATACGTAATACTGCAAAATTCTCCGAGTGAAGCAGCAATCGGAGCCATTTTCAAAGATGGACGATTTGAACGCTGAAATGGAAATAACAGAAGCGCCGAGTCCAAATGATAACGATTGATTTCCGAAATTGAGAGAATTAATAAAAGCTTGGAAGTTTAATAAACATTAGAAATTTATTTACAGCTCATATAAAATGACAGTTATTAGCATGTTCCAGTAGGTCGAGTTGCTCCATCTAGACAGCATTCTAGTCGACCGGAGTGGTAGGGATGACGCTGAAGTCCTTCTCCGCAGCATTGAACTGGGTCTTCCTTGTTGTCTGCATTTTTGAATGCGCCCGAGATCTTGCTATTTCGGTTTTCGTTTGACTTCGATGACTTTGGAGAAGAGTTGATAAGCTAAAAACGAGATCATTTTCCTTGCTACATCTTCGCGTTACCTGTTGGATTCCGCAAGTTTCTTGTCTATCGAAGCCATTAAGTTTGTGAAACCGCGCTTTCCATGAATTCCGAGCAGCGAAAATTTCATTTGCAAAATCAAGATCTAGTCGACAAAGGTCACCCGCACAAGTTCCCACTGGATTTTCTTAAAAAAAATTAATAATTATTCGTCGATTAATTTAGGCTTACCGCATGTTGCACGTCCTTTGGTGTCGGTGACCCACTCGTACTCGGTATCGGGCGTGCAGCCGTCGAAATCTCGCTTCAAACATTGATAGCTTTTGAAAAGCTGCATGCAGATTGTGTCGATCTCGTCGACGGGTTCTCCTGTTCCGACCCAGAAGTCAGATTTCATTGATTCCATTGTTGGCGTGCAGTAGCAACCGTAATTACGATAACGCTCCTCGCCTCGGACACTCGATCCACGAGCATCGAGATCATCATCATCATCGTGATCCTCATCGTCGTGTTCGTGTTCGTGGTCTTCTTCATCTTCGTGCTCGTGGTCTTCCTCATCGTGGTTGCTTCCAGCAGCGGACTTGAGAACGACGGGTGTTTCGATAGCGATGAGGTCGATATCGCGGAGGGAAAGCAATCTAAAGACATGCAATCAACGTCACGAAATAAAATTAATATCCTTATCATTTCACCATTTTCCCTTCTCTTCTCATTAAAATCGCGCACAATCGCGAATAAATCTAAACTCAGTCTAATTCGAAAAAAAGCAATGGACAGCAGTGGAGACTCTCCAGTAGAGATCGAGGAGAATCATCATTTGAATGATACTCGTCAAGTTGATGAAAAAGGACCCTTTGATTCTTTTTTACAGACTTTGGCTACGGAAGTTACTGTTCAATTCTGGGTTCTCGTGCTCTTTGGGCTAGTCATTTTCGTCGTTGTACTCGGTGAGTTCGATATTTATGGAATTAAAATAACTTTTCATCATTTAGTTCGATGTGGGGGCTGCTGCTGTTGCCCTCGATCGAGGCGACTTTCTCGTCCTCGGCAGCCTTACAGAATGAATTTCAACTACTAAGTCAACTCAGAATCTCAGAAGCAGAATAAACTCTTATATTTCGACTTACTTAGAGGAGAATCGAAGAACGGTAGCAGGCGTCAGGGGAACATAAGGCATCGCCGTGGTCATTTCAAACTCCTCGAGCTCCAGTTCAGGGTATCCTGGATGGGGATGAGCTCCGGCGAGGACAGCAAGGGTAGCAATAGTTGTTTTCATTATAAGTATTTATAATCTCTGGAGAAGTTAAAAAAAAGAGTTGGTTTGCCGAATTATTCCCTTTCGGTTGAGTGCTGATTTTCTCAGCTATTAGATTGTTTTTATGCGCTGGCCAACGTGCGAGAAACAAAACAGATAATGTTCAACAGGTGAGCTGGACATTTTCTGATAACTGACACTCGAGGAAAACATTATGACTTTCTTCAAGTTATGAAATACGAGATCTATTTGATATTTGGTGAAAGAGGTGAAGATGGACCAGATGAGGTGTCTGAAGCCGGAGAAACTGGTACCAACAATTTGAGAGGCTTCTCAAAATAATTGAAAGAATATGATTCATATTATATGAATATTTCTTCCGTCTTTTGCGGGTAAGTGCTGATGATTGCGAGATCGAAATTTGGTGAGTTTTTTTTTTATCTCTATTGAGTGTCTTTTGTAGAGAGGTAAGTTTATATTTGCATTTGCGTTTTGATGACAGGTTTTGTGTAGCTGGTGTGTATCTCCGTGTGACGGGAGGGGCTTTCAGTGGAAATGGGGGGTGGAGGAGACTGCTTTCTCTGGATTGACTGCCACTCGCCCGAGAAATGTTTCGAAAGCAACTACCCGTGAAAACGAAACTTATGTCTCTTCTGAATCACATTGACCTACAGCCTATTCTACAGTGTCGTTCTGTAATGAGATTTTATTCTCAGAAATTCATTTGGGACTTATCATATCTTCGAGGTCCTTTTCCAAAAGCTCCAGCTGATATTTCGCTTGATCAAGATCCTCTTAAAATTCATTTATAAATTTAAGGCACTAAATAAATCATAAAACTTCGAAGTTCAAAGATAGAACATCAAACTCACTCTTTATCTTTGCTAAGTTTGGCTTGGAATCGTCTCCGCTGCCTTCCGAATTCTCAATTTTCGGAAGAAGAGCTTCAATTTTCACGACTTTGCCGTCTTCACCCCCATTGTCAAGAGTCGAAAGTTGCAGTTCCAAAATCTCTCCAGATGATTCTCCCGCTGTTCCTAGATTTGCGCAACTCTCTCTGAATTAAAAAAAAAATAAGAAAAATTAGTTTGGAAACAAATCACTTGCGCTTGTCGGTAGCGAATTCAAGAAGACATTCCAGTACGCGTGCTCGTTTTTCTTGAACTTTTTATGCTTCTCAATGAGAAGTTCTCATAAAGAATTTCTACTCTGCTCGACAACCTGTGTAGACAACCTGAGTCAGGGTCTGGAATCAGTTAAATGGACAGCTGCGTATCGTTTTTTCTGTAAAAGCGCCTGGTCTGGGACGGTCAAAAATACGCCTGGTTTGGGACGGTCGGGCCGTTTAAAGATCAAAGGCACACGCCCAGGGGTGATTTTTAACTTATTGGAAGCGAAATTGGCGAATAAACGAAACTTCAAAGCGGCTTTTCATTCAGACCCTGTTTCAGGTTTTCTTGAGATTAGATCCATCATATGGTCCATGTGTATTTAAATTTTAATCCTCGTGATGATAACCCTATCAAATTAGTTGTTGAAAATTTACTGCCTCTTGATTTTCAGTATTCTTTTTGAAGCATTTCCTGAAAGACTCTCTGCGGAAATAAACAGCGCTATGAAAAAAATAAGAAGTCCGATTTGTCCTCTCATTGTGAGTTTTGTCTCTTGTTCAAAAAGGGGATGATCTGGCAGGGCTAATAAGAGGGGGCTCAAATTGGACAATTATATTAGAGAAGTCGCAGTAATAGAGCCTCATTCGATTTACACTCATACTTTCAAGCGCATTCAAAACTTTTTTCATTGTTAAAAACTTTTTCATTTTTTTGAAAAGAGGATTTTTTATAAAGAGCATTAAAATTAAATAACTCAAAAAAAATTAACAATAATTATTTTTGCAGTGAAGAAATCGTTCAATCTCACACGTGACAGAAGTTCAAACTTTGGGGATGAGATTGAATAGGACGCGAAATCGGAACACGCGTCGTCTCCATTTTTATTGACTCTGACAGCATCTTTTGTATCCTTCCAGAACAAATAGATAAGGTTTATTTAACTCCGGGCTAAAATAATCTAAAAACTTGGAGCAGAATCTAGGGCACAGGAAAAATCACGTGCTCATCTAATTCCTGAATTCTCGGACATAGAAATGGTCGTATTTTCTTCTGGATTCTATTCAGCCTAATTTGCCTTTGGATCTCATTTATCGAGGCGCACTTGACACACAGCAGGGAGCCCGACTAAGAGTGATAAGAACTAGGCAACCGGCGGCGAAAAGTGTTTTCCAAAGGAAGTGATCTCCTGCCACCATTTAGCCCAGTTTTCTTCTCCACTTCAGCTTCCGGATCGTTGATGTTTGACGAGCACCACCTGAAATACCTTGGTAGAAAATTTTATCATCGCAGAAGAAAGTTCGTTCTTTTTTTAACTTAAAAGTTTAAAGAAATTTTCTTAAAGGTTATCAAATAAAGATAAAAAACCAAGCGGTATTTCTGGGTAATGGCGGGATCGGGTCTTTATAAAGATTGGGTCTTTTTGAAAAGACTCATTCCCGCCGTCACCGCGCGGTACCGGCGGGATCGGGTCTTTGTAGAGACTTTCTCAACTTGCCAAGTACAGTTGAAACAAAAAAAAGTTTAAACTGTTCGATCAATGAGTTCCCTAGAAAATAAGCGCGAAGCGCACGCTCGCTCTGGAAATAGTTTAAAATACCATTTTCACTTATTCTAGGTTCCTCGAAAAAGACCCAATCTTTTTTTCTCGAAAATAAAAGATCCATTGCTTCAAAAAAAGACCCAGTCTTTGCGCAAAGACCCAATCTTTATAAAGACCCAATCCCGCCGTCAACCGTATTTCTAGCAGAGCCTTTCATTAGGCAATTTACTTCTTTAGTCTGCAAACCTCCGAAAATGGGCCAGAATAATAAGCAAGTTTGAATTAGAAAATTTAAACTTTGTATTATGAAAACATTCAAGTTAAAAGTATAAAAGCTTGATTTATTCTATATCTTCTGTTATCTTATTCAGCTCTTTAAAAATTCTCGAAGAGCGTTAAAATCAGCTATTATATCTAAGTAAATATTTTGGCCGGATTTGAAGGGTAGTTTTTGATTAGCTTGTGGCTTGTAAACACCTTCCATTGTAAAGGAGCGGATTAGCGGAGCTGCAAGACCATTTTTGAAGCAACAAGGAGACTATAGGTGGCCAATTGTCCCGATTATTGCGCCGCGCTGCTTCGGAGCCCCATCTGGAGGTCGGAAATCGAGAAGGGCAAAAGTCCACAAGTCCAAAAATTACAAATCATCAACATAAACTTCTTATCAATTCGAAATTAATTGAATTAAAAGCAAGAGACGAGAAAAAACGACGGTCGATGGAGAACTTTAATGCCACTTACGAGCCGGAGCAACTTCTTCACAAATCTGGTGAGGGAGATTTTTTAGCCAAAGAGAGTCAAGTCGGATTATTTTCATCATTTTCTCTAATATTGAGCTTTCTTTCTTTCTGAACTGATTTTAAGAATCAGTTAGAAAATTCAACAAGAAAAATGGCGCTGTTTTTTGTCTAAAGATTCTGAAATTAGTTATAAAAAACTTGTGATATAAAATAATAAATTAAATATTAGTAGGGCTGGATCTCTCCGAAAGCGGTGGCGAGATGAACCAGTTGGGAGGACACTTCGTGAACGGACGTCCACTGCCAAATCACACTCGAACCAAGGTAAACTGAACTTTTCCAAGTTGAGTCATTGACGGAATTAATTGTCAGATCGTGGAAATGGCCCGAGAAGGAACGCGTCCATGCGACATCTCGAGACGGCTGCGCGTCAGCCACGGCTGCGTCTCCAAAATACTTCAACGGTAGTTTTCCTCTACAAATTGTATTCATTTCCGTTACTCGACGCTTAGGTTCAACGAGACTGGCTCAATCCTTCCCGGTTCTATTGGCGGTTCGAAGCCGCGGGTGACTACTCCGCAGATCGTCAACAAAATCAGAAGCTACAAAAGACTCGATCCAGGTAATTTAAACAATCATAGGAATTTTGGTTTCATGAGAGATTAGGATATTTTTGAGTCTTTTCTTTCTTTCCACTTCTACCTCACTTCCGCAATCGCACAATATACCCATCTCGTTCCCACTGCCATGAACAAACACGATGGTTTCAATCCTATTTCTCTAAATTAAATAACTTTTTTTTCTAATCAAATTTGAATTAAGGAATGTTTGCCTGGGAAATCAGAGACCGTTTGATAGAAGACAAGGTGTGCGACGGGAATTCTGCTCCTTCTGTATCTTCCATTTCACGCATTTTGCGCAACAAAATCGGCAACATCTTCTACTCCAGGCAGGAAGACGAAGACGAGACACCACCAGCGAAGAGTCAGCGAACTCGTAAAAGAAACCGACCGCAGCAGGACCCTTCTTTTGTTCAAGGTTCCGGCGAATTTTCGATTCATTTTTCGTAAAACTGATTTAGCAAAACAAGAAAACAAACTCTACTCTCCACCGCCGAGCGTAAATCACCTTCTTGGCGCGAGCGCTAACTCTACCGGACGTTTCATCGCTGGCAGTCCTGGAAGCTCTCTCTCCGAAACGGTGAGTTATCAATCAGATTAGAAAGAATGCAGTTAGTTTCATTTCCTTGATCTTGATGTCTAACTTGAACTATTCTTTAGTCTGGATCTTCTACTCCCGGCCAGGTCTTTCCAAAGCAAGAGCCGGATTTATCCGCTCAGATCTGTCCGATCCCTCTGGAGCACCAAACTGCGTACCCCGCTTATCACCAGCCCTTTCCTTACTACCCAATGCCTTACCAACCGCAGCACCACCACCTCAACGCGCAACATGGACACCAAAGCGCGAGTTACGAAGCAGCTCATTGCTTCGCGCAAAACCACAAGTTCTTCAATGGCCTTCCGGTAACTACCAAAAGCACGAGCGAAGAGTGTTAATCATTTTTAAGCTGAATCACTACATCAGTTTCGAGCAACAAAACGACATTATGAACAACACACAGCTCTGATCTCTCCTCAAAAAGAAAAAAACTAAATGCCAATCATCAGACCCTTTTTTCTTTCAGATTCTGCACAACTCTTGTCAATAAAAGCGCCTTCCAAGATATTGAAAATTCATTGTTGTTTGATTATTTTTTTTTATTAATAATTTATCTGTTTGGTCAACTTAAACTTTTGGAAAAAGAAAGGCGATAAATTTATTTTGAAAATATTTAATATGATTTTATTTAATTAAATAGTTGAAGTAAATTTTTCTTATAATTTATTTTGAGATATGAATTTGCGTTTGGCTAGTTTGGATTGATATTGTCGGTAGTTTGTTTAATTTGTTGCCAAAGATTGGCGATTAGAATTTGATCGCGGCGTAATTAGCTGCAGGGGACTGATTGTTCCTGTCGCTAATTGCGGAGTGTGCCCTAAGCCCTAAGCCCGATCGCCATCGATTGTGATTCATTACCGAAATATACTAAGCCCGGTTTAGCGGATTGTAAGAGCTCTTTGGGCAGCGTTTCCCGCACCCAAGCTGGACGAAAACCTAGAGAACTAAAACAAATCCTTTTTGCCACGATTCCTCACAACTCGCAATCATGGAAGACTCATAGGAAACGATCAACTTAGAGAATCACTTCTGAATTCTTCAAAAAGAGAAAGTATTGTTTTGAAGAATATTCTTAAAAATAACAAGAAAAATATTAAATCCAATGTTTTTAAAATGTAGTTTTTTAGCCTTTCCAAAAGTATAAAAATAATATTTTGATCCGTGATAGAAGTAAGATTGCTGGCTGCAATCAAAGAGGAGAAGATCGAAAAATAAATAATAAAGTTGAAAGAGAACTCGCCGTATGAATGGTGGGAATGATCCATTCTAGCAGAGATAACATAGAAGAGTCTCGACCGGAGAGAGACACGAATAGCCGCAAATATGCTGGCAGACTTTGTGATTAAAAAGTCGACGAGGAGAAGAAAAAAGGATGCAAAGCACAGCCAGGTATTTACTAAGCGAATCAGAGAAGAAACTCGAATCGGCTCTATCCCCTTATTTTTACATTGCCCGCAAACCGTATATTAAAAATGATTGTGACGCTAGAATTTCCGTGAAGCCCAATCAATCTAGCGATTCAGTCCCATAAGGAACGCTCTCAGTATAAACATAGGCATTTGAGTTCGATTGACATTTTTATAGGGTTGAGCGCGTCGCCAGCAGGCCTTCTCTGATATTATATGAGGTTATGACCCGAGTCGCACCTTCACCGTTTCGTCTTTATTACTAGCCGCGCTTTCCAAGTTTTATTGTTACAGGCAATTATCAGCTTCCATCTTGAGCTTTATTCGTCCCCAAGATTGACGGTTAATCCATTCCCGTATCGTCTCATTTTTCTCCTAAACTTTTTTAGAATTATTTTTCTAATTCTTATTTCTCATCAATAATTTTTATGTTTTTGTAAAAGTCTCACGTGTTTTTCCCATGATCGAAAGTTCCACTGTGAGTAGAAAATAAGAGGCAGGTACAGTCAGCTGGCAGGGGTTGAGGAGCTACAGTCAGTTGGTAGTTTCACTCCGCCAAAGCCGACGTACTGTCAGTCTAAACAACTTTAACCGCTTTCAGAAGAGATCGTCTTTGCGAGACAAAACTTGTCAGATAAGGTATCAAGTACTTGCCTATCAGACTATAAGAATAGCTCCACCGAAAGAGTAAAAGGGAGAGCGCTTTTTTTGAAAAGAGAGAAAATAAGGAAAAATTATAACAAAGAGAATTTTTCATTCAAAATAAAGGTAAACCTATATTTTCCCATCAAAAGCATTACGGTACTCAGATGAAAATTTCAAAGGATTTTCAAAGGATTTAGAAAATGTACAGATTCGAAAAACTTGCAATTACAGTCTTATATTTATAATTTCGATCCAAAGTTTTTTGCACGAATAAATGTGGCTTTGGTGTTCGAAGTGAGTGGCTAGAGCGTTTGAAGGGTTAATTGAGTACTGAGATTGCTTGGCCTGCGGCGAGTGTGAGTCGTCTTTGACTGTGTGCGTGCCCAAGGAAAATTTCTTGCGGGAGATAGACACCTCACTGGATGGGCGCTTGCCGAGAGCTCAAGCCTTTACTAGCACTGTACAGAGCTCTGTGCCCAAAACACACTTGAACCGTTTTTTCCGGCCGACTTTTCACAAGAGAGCGCGTGCCCGACCCACAGAAGTAAGAATTTATAAGGTAAAAATTGAGTGTTTACAGCCTCCAAAGTTGACGCTAGAATTTACACCTGAACGCCCCAAAAATTAAATTAACTTGGAAATTTTTTTTTCATTTATTTTATTCAGCCGCTCAAATTTTCTTTGTCCTCCAAATCTGTGGAAAAAGAAAATCTATAAAGAAAATAAATTTTTCAAAATTAAGAATCTAAATATATTCCTTGAACTTTCGTTATTCAATTAATTAATTTTGGGTTAATTTATTATTTTTATTTAAAAAAATTATTATCAAATCTCTCGTTTTCTTTCTTTTTTTTTATCTTTTCCGGTGAAAAAATGAACTTCAGTTTGCGACGGGTGCCATCTTTCGTGGGCAAGAAATGATTGTATCGAATAATTTATTGCTTTTACTTTTATTTTCTATTAACGGGGCTGATACAAAACGGTGTTGGTGGCGCCCGTGCGCCGTCGGCGGCTTTAGGCACACTGCAAGCCCGGGCATCCATGTGCGATCTTCCTATCCATGCCACGCTCTCATCGCTGACTCTACTCACTCTGCCCGGTGTGAGAGAATCATTCCAGAGCCATTCCAATTAAAGCTCCTTTTTTGCTAAAAGAGACTCTGACTGTAACGACCATCGCGAGGGCGAATAAGAGAGAAAGTGGAATTGATCGAACTTGCGAAATTAATTAATCGAAAAAGACAATCTCCAGCAACTCAAAAAAAAAACTGAAAAAAAACGAGAGAGAGAGGCGGCAAACCAGAGATCATAAGAAAATCTATCAAGAAGGGTCAAATTTACTTTTACTGATGTCGGGCACTCTCTGACGCTGCTTTGCCGGCGTCTGGGTGGATTTGATGGTTCAGTGGGTTCTGAATCGCGACCGGAGCAAGTCAGTCCAACTACTTTTTCTAATTTGCAAAAAGATCTTATTATTAAAGAAAGATTTTATTTAGACAGTTATGCTTACTTTTACTAAAATTTCTATAATTATTTTATTACTAGCGTCTTTAAATTAAATCAATTGCAATTGCAAAATCCAGATTTCTTTTTTTACCGAGCGGTAGATGGCGCTAGTCAGATTTTAACCGACCATTCAGGACTCGAATCTGGCGGTGGACCTGGGCACGACTTGGGCCGCCCCGTGCCACAATCCTCTACGCCCATAAGGAACTGTTGTTCAATGTGACGGATGCTAATGATCATTTTGAGAAAAATGTTAATGCGTATCAATTGGCTGGATAAAAATCAATAGGTTAATAATTCATCCCCAGTTATGAATAACAGTGAGGAGGAGTATGCAGAATGACGACACAAAGGGAATCACGAACTGGAACACCGTACTAGCCGTGAGTAGTCTGCCAGCTTTCTTGCAGCAGAAGAAGCGTATAATCGCCCGTAGAATGCATCTGCTAAACCTGGTAGCGCGCGCGGAGGAGCAGAGCCAGGATAAATTGGCGCGCGCACCGTGGGTGCCATGATCAACCAGATAAACCGTCTGTTAATCGCTCTACCCGGTCCGCTATCATTGATATTCTTAATTCGCGATTCGAATTTGCTCCTCCTGCCGTTGCCAAGCCCAATATCATGAGCGACACGGGACCGTTGAATCCCGGAAATATACAATTTTTCTTGAAAACTCATTTGAAACTTCAGAACGCTCAATCTGGCGGTCCAAATGTCGCACAGAAGAAAAAGCCAAAAGCTCAAACGGGGATATTTGCTAACAAGGCTCCTCGGGCCTTATTTTGCCTTACTCTCCAGAACAAATACCGCCGTTTCTGCATTAAGCTTGTTGAATTAAAGGTATTGCCAAAGTGCGTTAATTATGTATACAGGCTCCTAATCGCCTCTCACTGGCTGATCGCGTCTTTAAGGCCTTTGATTATTTTATTCTTCTCACTATCATTGCCAACTGTATCACGCTGGGCGTCCAAACACCTTATCCGCAGAGCGACTCTGATCCCACGAATGAAAAAGTGGTAAGTTTCAACTCCATCTACCCGATTTCCGTTCTTAGCAATCTCGAAGTACTTAAGTCTGTCTACATTATTTTCGATACTACAGAAACGAGTAAAATTTCTTTTAAAAAATCAAAACTACGCGCCGGACCAACTACTCGCTAGTGATGACAACACGCAGCGGTGATAAATGAGCACTTGGTGGCGCAGGCGGTGCTTTAAATAATGAATGAAATGCAGCATATATCCGACAGTGAATTAGGATTATATATCGATTCATTCGATTTCTGCTTTCTTCCCGGGTGTATTCAATTTAATGTAAACAGACAAATCCCGCGGCGGACGAATCACCGTTACTAATCGCTTCGCTTCAGGAAAACATAGAATATGTATTTATGGTTATCTTCACGTTCGAGTGCGTGCTCAAAATCATCGCTTATGGATTTACGATGCATCCGAACTCCTACCTCCGCAACGGATGGAACATCCTCGATTTCACCATTGTGATCATCGGCCTGGTGTCTACTGTCATGGAAAGAATCGTCTCCAAAACCACTGATTTCAAAGCTTTACGTGCCTTTCGAGTGCTTCGACCACTTCGCCTAGTTTCTGGAGTGCCAAGTAAGCTCCAACTCAAGCTCCCTCCTTTAATCACAGTGCTTTAGGTTTACAAGTTGTCTTGAACTCAATCTTCCGTGCTATGATTCCACTTCTCCACATTACTCTCCTGGTAAGTCGCGCGAAATGACGAGAAAGAAATATTGTTTAAAAAATTATTTAGGTGTTTTTGTTATCGTGATTTATGCAATCATCGGCCTCGAGCTTTTCAAGGGAAAGCTCCACGCCACGTGTTACAAATTAGGAACCCAAACCTGGGTGAACGTCAGCGACCTTTATGGACCAGAAGCGCCTTTAGTATTGAAAGACCCTGGCGATTTTTCCGTCGACGAAGACGGCTCGCCCTTTCCTTGCGATCCTCAGATAACGCAGGGAAGAGACTCTCGCTGGAAGTATCAGCCAAAGTACAGCACCAATTACAGTGACGACGACAATCACGGCCGAGTTTGTCTTGAAAACGAGCTCTGCCTCGGCCCTGCAGGAGAGGCTCATAAATTTTGCATAAAAGCTGTCATTAATATTTTTTGAAATATTCGACGAAAAACTACTTTGTATTATTCAATTAATTGTTGAGATTTGAGTGCGATATTGCGTGCCCAAATCGCGCGTATGTGTGCCCACAGGGCATGTTAACTATTTACGAGGTTTATGATGCGATTCAACTTGCATGGTTTGACTACACCAATGTCATGTCAGGAGCAATATAGATCCGAGCTCTTTTGAGTATGATTGAGACTGGTATTGAGCATACTGTCGCGCGGCCAAGTAATTGTTCCATACACTTCAGATAAACTGCAAGACAAGCTACAGTAGCGTTTTGCTATCGGATTTGCGCCCATACTAAATGTCAGCGCGAATAGCACTCGTACTGAGCCAGGTTAAGCCTGTCTCACACTTGATCCAGAGACGAACATGTTCGACCCTAATAAGCCGCAAGTCGACAATTGCTACCACGACCCGGAATGGCCCGGTTGGCGCGGTTGGGAAGGACCGCACGGCGGTATCATCAACTTCGACAACATCTTCTTCGCCATGATCACCGTCTTCCAATGCATCACGATGGAAGGCTGGACGGACGTCCTCTACTATGTGAGTATTCTTACTGTCTAATTACAGAGTCTGACATTGCTCGCCGCAAGAGCTGATGCCCGTCACTGTCACTGCTTTCTCTGACGCGCTAGCTTCGACTGTAGCTCCCCTCCCAAATTGTTTGTTTTCGACGAAAGTTTAAAAGACACTCCCGATTTCCAAATTGTGAGTTTGGGCGTCTGTTAATAATAAAGAGGGTATTAAAATTAAATTCATCATCAACCAACCGCCCCTTACTCCGTCAGACACGCCTGGGCCGTGACAGTTGCGCCCTTGGGAGAAATTATTGCCACATTTCGATAGACAGATCGCCCAGAATGAGTGCCTGCTTTTTCTAAACAAAGATTTGATACTCTTATCTTAACGTTTCTAAATGAATTTAGGTAAATAATGCTTATGGACGATTATGGGCTCAGGGTTTCATTCCCGTGCCTACGATCTATTTCGTCAGTTTGATTATCATCGGCTCGTATTTTGTGATGAACCTAATTCTTGGTGTTCTTTCCGGAGAGTTTTCAAAGGAAAGAGAGAAGGCGCGCGCCCGAGGCGACTTCCAAAAGCTGCGCGAGAAGACGCAGATGGAAGCCGATTTCAAGGGCTACTTGGATTGGATCACCCGCGCTGAAGATATCGAGCCAGAGGACGACGATCTCGACGACAACTTGTCCCTGCTGAGGGAGAACTCGCGCCTCGGCAAGATGGCGATCATCGACAATCACATCGACATGCCGGATTACGCTGGCAGTGACTCCAGCTCAATCAAGCGAGCCAATTTGGGCTGGTGGGGCAAGACCAAACGCAAAATGTTTCCAGCTTGCTACAGCAAGAAAAAGTAAGTCTCGGAGTTTATGCTCGCTTGCGTAACTTGACGAACTTTTGTTGAAGGAAGAGATTAGGGAGTTGACACCCATAATAGCTTAACCGTAGAAAGGGCATCTGCGCCCCTTAATCGCTCAGAATGAGCTTGGCAATCAGCAGTAATTTACAGCTCGTGTTGTTAGCGCCTGGCCATCAAGAAGTAGTCATGGGATTGTCACTTTAGCTCTTCTTGATTGATCGTGTCCTCTTTTCCAAAAACGTAAAACTTCCATTATCCTTATTTTCTACTGCTTTATACTTTGTCAAACTTTTACGCGGGCATCATTCTAAAGTTGTCCTTAGAAGCCGTAATTGGCATCTAATTTAAGAAAGAGCTTCTTTATGAAAATAAACTTACTTAAAAAATTAATCTTTAACGGAACTAAATTAAAATTGAAGCGAGTCTTTTCGCCGCTGGAATGGACGAAACAGAAAACGCCTGCGTTTCTTGGTCAAGTCAAAATCTTTTTACTGGTTCATCATTTTCCTCGTCTTTTTAAATACTGTCGTGCAGGCCTCTGAACACTACAATCAGCCCGACTGGCTCACCAATGTTCAACGTAAGTTTAGCAGTAGCTTTTCCTTTTCTGAGATTTTCAGTTGTCGCGAATAAAGTGCTGCTTGGGCTGTTTACGGCCGAAATGTTTCTAAAAATGTATGCTCTGGGACTTGTGACTTATTTTTCGTCATTGTTCAATCGGTTCGACTGTTTCGTCGTTTGCGGCTCCATCATCGAACTCATCCTTACCTCGGCTAATGTCCTCGAACCACTTGGAATTTCTGTTCTGCGTTGCGTACGCCTTCTGTAACGGGATCCACCAAACAAGTCAACTTCGAGATTTAAAGAGTAAAATGTCTCCTTCGTGAGCTAGCTGGCCATTAAGAATTAATACCGAAAAAACGTTAAAGTTAGTGTTTCAATTGCGAAGCAATCCCCATGGGGCCAGTGCGGCCCGCAGAGTATCTTTTTGCATGATAATTATGGGGAAAATATTTGAGCAGAGCTTGGCCAAGTGCCAGTCTGCTGCGGCGCGATCAAGATCGAATGTGGATCCCCCCGATAGCGAATCTTTAAAGTGACCAAGTACTGGGAGTCACTGTCAAACTTAGGAAAGCCTTGACAAATGTAAACATTTAGGAATAATTAGCATTTGATCCAAATCAATAGATCGCGCTCCGGTGATTTCTAAACTAGGCTTAATTCAAAAGGAAAACTTAAATTCTTGAAGCGATTGTCAAGGCGTGAAAAAGTTGCCTCTTTATTGAATTCAATCCGTTCAATCGCCTCACTGCTTTTGCTGCTAGGACTTTTTATAATTATCTTCAGGTACGTTATAATTAATTATTTGATGAGCATAGCATTACTTATTCATGCACTATTATTATTTTCTGTGATGCAGGCTTCATTAAATACAAGAATAGGGCAGATGCAGAGGGTGATGTTTTACTGCTTCGCCTTAATGTCCTTTTCTTTTGCAATCGATAAGAATATAGATTCTAAGGATATCTAATGGATTATTCACATATTTATACGCATATAGTGTAGCCATGCCAGCTAGCGACTCGATTTCCTTCCAACAAAAAGTCGCTCTTTCACGCATCAGAAAGCACTTAGCAATAACTATTACAGAATTACCGATTTGTAGTTTGCTTGGGATGCAACTCTTTGGTGGAAAATTCAACACAATCGACCAGGCACAGACGCGCTCGAATTTCGATGATTTTCTACACGCGCTGCTTACTGTCTTTCAAATCCTCACTGGTGAGGATTGGAATTCTGTCATGTATTCTGGAATCCAAGCTTACGAAGGTCCAGCAAAGCCATGGTTACGAATTTGAAAAAATGACTGTTGATTATGCAGTGCAAGATTTTTTTCCTTCTTGATTTTAAGGTGCCACTTTTGTAACCCTACTAAGCCACTTGGAATGGTGGTCTCAGTCTATTTTATCATTCTGTTCGTCTTCGGAAACTACATTCTGTTGAATGTTTTCCTCGCCATTGCCGTCGATAATCTGGCTGATGCGGAAAGCCTCACTAAATCTCAGCTAGGGTCAACAGCGATCCGCCGATCGATTCTTATACTCATGCATTTATAGCTTTAGAAATAAGAAAAATGATTCCTCGCGTTGACCTAAAAACAAGAAAGAAAATGAAGAAGAAAAGAAACGCAAGAAAACTCTCCGCTTCCAGAAAATCTCAAGGGTCTTCCGAAAACGCCAAGTTGTGGAACAAGTGGAGCAACAAGTCCAACTGCCCGAAGAGGTAGAGGAGATTGACGAAGAAATCGCCGAGAACCAACATGTGCGAATAGAAGTCACTTCCGCCTCGGACAGTGAGTCCCTTCATTTGCCTGAGGGAGACGAAGACTCGGAACCTGAAGTGCCTTCTGGGCCCCGCCCGAAACGACTTTCTGATCTGAACCTCAAGGAGAAAACGGTTCCTATGCCCAATGCGTCGGCTTTCTTCTGCTTGAGCACGACTAACCCCTTCAGGAAGATATGCCACAAGATTGTCAACTTGAACGTCTTCAACAACATCATCCTCGCATGTATTGTCTTCTCCTCAATTACTCTTGCAATCGAAGATCCGATCGACGAGTCATCGAGGAAAAATCAAATTCTGAAGATTTTCGATTACTTCTTCACTTCAATCTTCACCATGGAAATTGTGCTCAAAGTGATCTCCTACGGTGCCATCTTCCACAAAGGCTCCTACATGCGATCTTGGTTCAATCTTCTGGATTTGCTCGTTGTTTGTGTCTCTTTGCTGTCGATTTTCAGCGATTCATCGACATCTGACATTTCCGTGCTCAAGATTTTGCGAGTTCTTCGAGTTCTGCGACCGCTGCGAGCCATTAATCGAGCAAAAGGACTGAAGCACGTCGTCCAGTGCGTCTTTGTTGCAATCGGTACCATTCAGAATATCATTCTCATCACTATGTTGCTCATCTTCATGTTCGCTTGTATTGGCGTCCAGTTGTTCAAAGGAAGACTTTATGCCTGCAGTGATAATTCCAAGACGACCATGGAAGAGTGTAAAGGTAAAAAACTTAAAATTACGCTCTCATTGAATAACGAAATTTCAGGCGAATATGTGGAATTTGAAGACAACACATTCAATAAGCCTGTTTTGCGCCAGCGCGAATGGCAGAACAGCGATTTCAACTACGACACTGTGCACGGCGCGATGCTGTCACTCTTCGTCGTGGCCACTTTTGAAGGCTGGCCAAGTCTGCTGTACAAGTAAGCGATCGTCGAAAAATTTTTATAAGGAAGCAATTATTCTGGTCCTTGTCGCGGCTGGGCGTAAATCTATTGTAATCCTAGCTAAGCTGCGTGATTCATTTACTCAAAATCAATTTCGCGCAATTTCGTCTCTCCCGTGTCTTATGGAATCGTTTTAGGTCAATTGACTCCTGGTCGGAGGACCACGGACCGAAGTACATGGCTCGCTCTGGCGTTTCCCTCTTCTACATTGCATACATTATTGTCATTGCGTTCTTCATGATGAACATCTTCGTCGGTTTCGTCATTGTCACCTTCCAAGAGCAAGGAGAAATGGAATATAAGAACTGCGAACTCGACAAGAATCAACGCCAGTGCTTAGGAAAGGCTTACTAAACCAACTATTTTGAAAGCTTGGGAAAAAATAAGCAGTAGTTCAAAACTTTTGCTTACTATTTGAATGAATTAAAAAGCCGTTACAAAGAATACGCGCTAAAAGCGAAACCCATTCCACGATATATGCCGTCAAATCCCTGGCAATACCGCGTTTGGCTCGTTGTCAACTCACCTTACTTCGAGTACTTTATGCTCGGCCTTATTTTATTGAATACCCTCTGTGACGGATTTCTTAATTTAATCAGATCTACGAGATTATGAAAACAGTAGAAGCTTTAAAAGCTTTCGAAATCCGTAATCAGTTTAACAGTTCAGCACGACCAACAAATCCCCAATCTAACGACCCTACTTGGCTACCTAAATGTTGTCTTCACTACGCTCTTTACCATCGAAATGGTCTTCAAAATGGTGGCCTTCAAACCAAAAGTTAGGCAATCTAATTGATCACTGATCTAATTGAATTTCAGCATTATTTCCAAGATCCCTGGAACACTTTTGATTTCATCGTTGTTGTTGGCTCCATTGCCGACTTGTTCGCCGATTCCAAGGACAACAACCTTTCGATCAAGGTTTCTTTCTTCCGTCTATTTCGCGTTCTTCGACTTGTCAAGGCACGGATCGCGAAATTATTAAAATGGAGCTTAATTTCATCTAATACGTCAAAATGAGATGAGTGCTATATATCCAGTTAAATCGGCAGATATTTATGCGAAGGGCTAAACAATTTGAGTAAATGACCAAAAAACGAATTAGATCGATCCTAGGATAGCTGCTTTCGCGGGGCGAAGGCATTCGGACACTGCTGTGGACCTTTGTCAAGTCAATCCGCGCTTTGCCATACGTTGCCATGTTAATCTTGCTACTCTTCTTCATCTATGGCGTTGTCGGCATGCAAATGTTTGGCACCATTCAGCCGCTCGAGCATAAAATGATCAACGAAAATAACAATTTCAAATCGGTAATCTAACTTAATTATAACACGAATGATACGAGTGCTTCAGTTCTTCCAGTCAATGTTGCTGCTCTTCCGCTGTATGACTGGAGAAGCATGGCAAGATATTATGCTGGACTCGGTGGCAAATCGCGAATGTAATCAGCGCTACCTCCAGTCTTTGCCTGACCTGAAGGGAATCGACTATCCACCGATTCGCCCTGAAGACGGCGACAAAGAAAAACAGCGTCTCTTCGATATCTACATGGAGAAGAAGTTCTCTTGCGGTTCCAACTTTGCCTACGTCTACTTTATCAGTTTCTACATGTTTTGTGCCTTCTTGATCATCAACCTTTTCGTTGCTGTCATCATGGACAATTTCGACTACCTGACGCGGGACTGGTCGATCTTGGGGCCCCATCATCTGGACGAGTTTGCCCGCATCTGGGCTGAATATGATCACGACGCCAAGGGCAGAATCAAGCATCTGGACGTCGTTACTCTTCTGCGACGCATTCAGCCTCCTCTTGGTTTTGGACGTCTTTGTCCACACAGAGTTGCCTGCAAGCGCTTGGTCTCGATGAACATGCCGTTACAGTCTGATGGAACGGTTATGTTCAATGCTACTTTGTTTGCTCTTATCAGAACCTCGCTCAAAATAAAAACTGAAGGTAGGAAATTAATCCTCTCTTCAGCGTACTAAACTTTCATTTCAAGGAAATATTGATCAGGCAAATGAAGAACTTCGCTCTGTGATCAAGAAGATTTGGAAGCGAACGTCCATGAAGCTACTGGATCAAGTCGTTCCTCCAGCTGGGAATGACGATGTGACAGTTGGCAAGTTCTACGCCACTTATCTCATCCAGGTCATTTCTACTCCCAAATATTTTTTTGAATATCATTTTTAGGAATATTTCCGCAAATTCAAACAGCGGAAGTTAGAGCGTCAGACCGGTGGCCATCGAACTGCAGCCGCTCTCCAAGCCGGCATTAGGTGAATATCAGAGCGAGAGGCAAATCACTGGATTATCTTTTTTTAAGATCGCTGCAAGAACTCGGTCCAGAGATTAAGCGGGTTATCTCCTCCGACAACATCCACGCTGCTGCTGCCGCTGCCTCAGGAGAAGATGGCGACTTTGTCGACGAAACTTGTTACGAAGACGAGGAGCCAGTTCACAGGTCAGTCAAATTAAAAAAGTAAACGATTTTCATCTCTTTTTTCAGACGACGACATTCACTTTTTGGAAACTGGGCGAAGAATCAAAATTCACAGTTCAAAAACTCCTCTGATCCCGTTTACCACACTGTTCGTCCCTTGCAGGTCCAGAAAGTTTATCCTAAATACGACGACCCACGTGGGGAAAAGAGCTCATTCCCAACGATTACAACTACGAGAGCCACTATGGCAGTCAGGAAAGGGAGCATTTTACATCACCAAGATTCTCTTCCATGATTTCAAAATGCAACCTCTAAAAGCGCCATCAGCGTCCAGCTCATCCTCTTCAGCGAAGTGACCGTGCTCCCATCGCTGTCGAAGATGAGGACTCGTCCTTTCCAGAAGATCAGGAGTTCACTGACGAGGACATAAATACCAACAACAACCACATCGCAAATCACTCAAGTGATGCAACCTTCTTGGGCGTCGAGTAAGCCTCTTTCGAACGACAAAAACTAATCTCGCACTTTAGCCAGCCTGAATATCTCACAGATACTACAGTTTCACAGCCGCATTCACCAATTGGAGCCTTATCAAATCTCGTCAACTCTATTCGCCGCACAATGGGCCGCAAACTACCTCCTACGCCCTTCCACAAGCCCTACTTGGAGGAGTCAGTAGAAACCTTCATTCCGCAAAATACCTCAAGGTTGCGCCCCTCTTTCTTTTTTCTTGCTAAGCTTTCTTCCCAGGCCATCGGTTGATAGTCAAAGTTTCTACGAACGTCGCTCTCTCGGCCGGGCGAGCAACTACGAAGCCAGCGGCGCCTTCCACCAGCAGAAGTCGTACTCGTCCTCGGAATCGGACTCTAGCGACCCGACCCGCGTGCCCAAGTACAACTCGACCGTGATCGGCCGCAGCACGCGCAGCCTGATCCAGCAAGTCTTCCTCGACGAAGATCTGCCGCAACTCGCCGCCGACTCTGACATTGTCTCAATCACGGGCAGCGAAATCGCCAACTCTTTCCAGATTCCCCTGGAGCAGCTGGAGAACGCAGCAGATGAGGTAGCCGAACATAAGAGAGACCGTTGTTCATTATTTACTTACAGGTGATTTCGACTAGCTCACGCTACTCGCTGGAGGAGAGCGGCTTCGCCCGCACTTCCATGCCAAATTACGACAGTTGGGTAGAATCGACGTGAAATTTTCCAATTTCTCCAAAAAAGAAAAAAATAACCTCCGACGATGCCTCAGCACAGATACTTTACTGTACTTCCGATTCAAAGTTCAAAACCTTTTTTCCCAAAGTTTACCTTTTTATTTTAATTTTTCACTTTCAGAAGCCATCTTACAATCGCGTTTTTGGCCCTAATAGTTTTCATTATTATTTCCCTTTAACACTCTATTTATTTATTCAAATGACCCTAGCTGGGGAGAAGACTGTAAAGAAAAGGCTTTTAAACCGAACGAACCTGCCACCAATTAGAATATCAATAAATATTATCAAACAAATAAACTTCTTTATGTCTTTTTGAAACTTGGCTGAAGACATAGAAGAAGAAATTTCAAAAGGCCAGGAATAGTTATCTTCGTAGTCTGGAGTTAAGAAATTCTTAATAATATATTATATATCATTTGCAGTTATTAATGAAATTATAAAAAGCGTGTTGATGGAAAATCATCGAGGAAAAGTTTTCTTGACTTTCGAAAGTCAACGATAAATGCCGAGCTTTTCGAGAAACTGGCTCGAAAAATCAAAACTCGCATTTCTCTTCTTTCGAGATTGGACCAAAGTCAGTCCGCTTTTTGACTTCAGAAGAGCAGTTTGAAAGTTTTTGTGACGAGATGAGTTTGCTGAAAAAGAGACCGAAACTCAAAGGAACAGGGGAGTTACTAGCATCTTACTGTAGTAAATGCATTACGGCTTGTGATGAGTATGTAATCAATTGAAAGAGGACGCTTGAATTTTCGTTTGTGACCTCGATTGAAAGATGAAAAGGCAGCAAGGACTCAAGAAGAGCCAGTGATCCCTTCATCTGCGCCTGAAGTTCGGCAGATACCGAGCGAAATTATGTCCATCGACGTTTCTGGTTTGACTATGAAAGAGGCGGTGGAGCTACGAACGGACCAGTACAATCAATTGGTCAAAAGTACAGGCGATTTGTGAGTCACTAGTCATTTTCCCGATTTGCCAATGTGTAACTTTGCTTTTAGGAATATCTTCGATTGCGCTCTAGAAATCGCCAACGAACGGGCGGATCTGACTCGTCAGCTTGAAACCGTGCAAGAAGACGTGCTCAAGGAAGACGTCTCGATCGGTACGAACGTGCCACTGTTTTTCATTCCTGATCGTTTTTTTCTAGCGGCGAAGGCGATTCAAATGGTAGACGCTCCCTTTCTTCTTGAAAAACAGCCTTCGATCAAAGAAGAAGATCTCCAGAAACTCGCTGCTTCTGCTGATTCGGCCCGAGCTGCTTTTAATTGGCGCGCAGATCAATTGAAAGGTATTTAAGACTCTGTAAATTATCGCTACATGAATTTTAGAATTGGAAAAGAAAGCAGATGAAAACTTCTCGGAGCAGCGGGAAAAGATCCGAGAAGAAAGCCGCGAACTGCGAAAGCAGACGGAAGAGATTTGGGAGCAAATCAGACGAGAGGACGATGCCGCCATTCAGGTCTTCAGAGGTGGACCAGGAGAGGAAGATGAAGAGGATGACTTTGGAATTGGCGAGGAAGAGTTTCGAGAAATCAACGAAATGCTTGAGGGTCTCAAGTTAGATACGGCGGTAAGACAATTAATCAAGATACATTTTTTATAAAAATTATAATTGCTAAATATATTTTGCAGGAAATTCGAGCGCGCCAAGAGGCGGAAAAGGAAGAAATGATGCGGTCGTTGGAGCAAACGCGAGTCAAGACAACGCAAAATGAAAAGATCGCGTCGCTCAAGATCGAAAAAGCGGAAAAGATGTTGGCGGAGAAAAGAGCGAAGGATGACGCGCTGAATGCGGAGATTGAGACGCTCGAGCGAGAGATTGCGGCTGAGGAGATGGTTTTCCAAACTGAAAGGTAGTTTACTTTGCTCGAAGTTAATGAGTACTATTTTTGCAACTTTCAGGGAGAAAATAGTGCGCTTAGATGAAGAAGAAAGGGCGCTAGCCGATGACATCGCCCGACAACAAGAGGAAAGCGACGAGCTTGATAAGCAAATCGCAGAACTCTCCAAAGTCCTTGAGGAGCAGAATGCGCTGCTCTCCCAGGAAATGGCTGAGAACGATGCCCTTGCTAAGAAAGAAGTCGATTTGGAGAAGGAAGTTGCTGACTTAAAAAATGAGTATTCTGCAGCGCAAAACTCCATGTCGATCGGCTGGACGAACTCGATCACGCTCAGACGGGAAATCACCGCCGGCAAGGATGATTTGGCTAGGATTTCTGAAGAATGGAAGGCGGCTGAGGAGGAGAAGGAAAAATCGAGAATGGAGCTGGAACAAAAGGTCAACCTTTTCCAAGGTAATTTTTAAAACCAAAATGGATAAGCAGTGATTATCGTTAAGAGTTGGAGAAGAAAGTCGCTTCTGAGGAGGCTTCGCTCGCGAGTGGCAAGAAAGAGCTAGAATTGGCGAAAGAAAAGTGTTCCAAATTGGGCGAAGAAAATCAAGTCGCTGAAGATTCCGCCGCTGAGCTCGACGATAACATCAAAAAGTAAGTTTTATCCTTTACTTAAAAAGTAATTTTGAATAAGGCTCACTTCTGATGTTGACCAACTCGTCGAGAAGCAGAAGCAATATGAAGCTCTTCTTGTCCCCGAAGATAATTGATACAAAATACTAGTTTGAATGTCAATAAAGAAGATATCATACAATTTTCTCTGTCTGTTTGTCTTCCTCAATGATTTCGATAACTTGTTTATCTCCTTTCTATTTCTTTTTGTTACAATTGCAACCGATTATTATTTGTTTGAAAACTCGCAGTGATTATCAACATTGACCTAGTTTCAACCGCTCAAAACCATGCGCGATTGCATCCTCGACGCCATCGTCCTCGAATGCGCCACCTACCTAGCTAATCCTCATCAAGATTCCGACCTCTTTTCATTGAATAAACTTAGTTGGACTTCGCGCAAGAATGAACAATTTTAGAGGTGAAAAGACGAACTTAGATTCCACTAGATGAAAATCTCAGAGAGCTAAGCAACTTGAAGACCGCCATTTTATTTTGCAGGTCAGACTCGTTCTCGAGAAAAAACTTTACCTAGATTTTTTTTCAGCAATATTTGCTAGAGAAAAAAAAGGAACCAGAAATGATCGCTATTTATAAATTATTTAAAGAGGGCACTTTAGATGAAAACAACAATGAAAAAGGTAAAACAAAGAGAATTGCATACAATTATTAACGATTTTTAGACTACCAAAAATGGGTCTACCTAAAATGGGAAAAAGAAACGACCGACATTGAACACTCTTTGGGAATTCTCGACAAGCTTCGATCATTGGAAAGCAAACTTGCCCAAGTGATCAAGGTAGGCATCTCTACTTGGGCTTAAAAAGTCAGATGTTATTCATCCATTTAGAACATCAAGAAACGACTGGATAATTTCGAGGACAAAGTCTTTTTCGGAATCTGGAAGGCAGACGACATAATCATCAAATGGGAGAAGAGAAAGCTTGAAAGCGCTCTTGAGGAACAAATTGCTCTCGCGAAGGATATTCAGAAGTTGGAAAGCGATCTTTTCCGTTTGCTCAATGTCGCATAATTTTACTTTCTTCAAAACTGTTCACAAACTTTAACACTGCAAAAAATTCGTAAAACAAATAAAAATTCATAAAATCCGAGAAAAACTCACTTCAATTCTCTTCCAGCAGGGGTCCTCCGCTCCGCGTGGGAAAAAGTCCTCATCTAAAATCGGCGCGCGCAGAATTATTTCTAGATGAAAACCGGGTGATGTTTATGATTTGAGAGAAGACTTACAGTAACTGCCAGTAAAACGCGAGAAATGACGAAACGAATAAAAGTGCACGAGGAAGGTAATGTGGGTATCAGCTTTGAGGCTGGCAGATTGCTCACGTGGGGAGATTCCCTGGTCAAGGCGTGGCCCAAAGGATTGGAAAATGAAGCTGAGGAGTTGGAATGCTTCGGCGACGTCCGACATGCCCTTTCTATCAAGCATGAAAATAAGATTTATGGTAATAGTCCTTTTAAAACGCGTGAAGGACTGAAACTTTATTTTAGTTCACGTGACATCCGAAAGTGTCGACACTGAGACTTACGAGTGGCCTTCTTTGCTCGAGGATAAGAACTACACTCTCTTCCGCTTTACCTGCGACATCGGCTGCATTGCCTCGCTCAAGAACGCGGAGTCCATCCAAGCAGCAGCCGGAGCCGGCGATTTCAAGGTTAAATGGAAAGACCTTCAACGGCAAAGAGAAGTGACTCTTGAAGGACACGATGCGCCTATCCTGAGCGTTGCCATTGATCCTAGAGGCAAGCTAGTATGTTCAAGCTCCTGCGACGGCTTCCTCAAAATCTGGGACTTATCAAAGGCCGAATGCATCTTCAACGAAAAGCTATTCTTCAGATCCAGCGACATCGAACACGCCAAGTGCTCGGCCAAGCTCGAGTTTGAGCCAAGAAGCGGAGAACTGCTCGCCGTTCTTGTCGAAAAGGGCGCCAAGATCTTCAATCGTTCGGACAACACTCTCCTCCACGACATTGAAGAGCCAGAAGTTCCGAAAACCCTCGCTTGGTCCAAGTGTGGCAGCGTTTTGGCCATCGCTCTCAAGACTGTGGTTAATTTTTATGACACAAAAAGGCAAGTTCGAGAGATAAAAATGAATTTTACATAAAACCATAGTTTCTCAAAAATCCACGAAATCTGCTCCGAAGAAAACTCTCCAATTTCCGGCATTTGCTTCACGGACAAAAGCGTTTTGATCGCCGAAAAGTCTGGAACGCTTATTTCAACCCCAACGAGCGATTTCATCACAAAAGAAATGAAAGGAAAGTCTTCTTCGCTGCCCAAACCAGTCGCGAAAATCGTCTCAGAAGAATCAGTCGCTATGTCTGTCGACGATGAAGAAAGTAGGAACAACCAATTCCTCGACGAGGAAGCTGGAGAAGCTGGAGAGGAGGAGGAAGTGGACGATCTTGAAGCGCTCTGGGACGAAGATGCAAAATCCGAGACGGATGAGAAAGCGAATGAAGAGGGAGCGATGGAGTTCGACGAGGATTCCAACAACGCGGTCAGTCTCAACGCTGTTAGGGACAGCGTCCCTATGGATAAGCCAAGAGAATACTCTGATGGCGAAGACGATGATTTAGCTGGAGCGATCTATGAAGGCCCGCAGCCCTCGCAGATGCAAAAAGCATTCCAGCCAGGCGAGAGTCCAAATTACAATGCCAGCAGGTACCTGTGCTGGAATTCGACGGGAATCATCAAAGGAATGATCGACGAGCAGCGGGGCATTTCTACGATCATCATCGAGTTTCATGACGTGTCCGTTCATCACTCAGTCCAGCTTGCCAATCAACACGATTTTGTTCTCGGCGATATGTCGGAACAAGGTAGATCATCAGTTAAGTATTGCTTTCATTTCTGATTTTAGCGATTATTCTCGCTTCGAAAGGTGAGCTCGAAGGCGAAGATAGAAAGAAATCAATCGTCAAAGTGATGAATTTCAAATCCTGGTGGGACAAAAACCGAGAATGGCAAGTCGAGCTTGCTAGAAGAGAAATCGCAGAGGTAGTCTGTGCTTCTACTGATTCCGTGGCTGTCGGAACCAGTGCTCGGTGAGTTTTAACTTCTTGAAACTCTCTTCTCAGATTTTATTACAGAAACATCCGGATGTTCTCGCATGCAGGTGCTCAAATCAGGCTGGTTACCGTTCCCGGTCCAATTGTAACGATGTCGTCGAATCTCGAGCAACTATTTTATGTTTACCATCGACATCAAGGATTCGAAGGAGATCAATACATGGCATGTGGAACCATCGCAAGCAGAAGAATCGGGAAGAAGCGACGAACAGCAAACATTCCCAGCGATGTTGCAATTTCCCCAGGAGCGAAACTGGCATGGGTAGGCTTTACCGACGAGGGAACGCCAGCTACATACGACACGACAGGCATCGTTCGAATTGGTAAGAATATCTATTAGAAAATTAAATATTATATTTTTTCAGTTGGTTGGGCTGATCGTCAATGGTTCCCGATCGCGAACATGACTACGATCAAAAAGAATTTCAAGACGGTCGACTGGTGGTACATGATTTCGATCAACGAAGGAAACAAAGAGATCGCAGCCGTACATTGCGAAAATGCAACCTATCCTGAGGTGCATCCGAGGCCCGAAGTTCACGTGATGAGGATAAACATGCCCCTAGTTAATCCGAAGACGGACATTTCTATCCAAGAATCTGAATTGGTATGTTTGCCGTTTATCCAAATGATGATTTTGTTTTTAGATGATAAATGCAAATATCACAGGCACGATCGACTCTTTGAAAAAACGTGGATATGACAACGACGACGAGATGGAAGAGCTCGTCCAGAAGCAGATCACGAAGGGCATTCTAAAGCTATTGCTCGGAGCGATTATTCAGGATGCCGATGATCGCGGCTATGAGATTTGCAAATTGTTGGAGCATCCGGGGCAGATTCAGATGGCCGTGCGACTCGCCAACAATAAGGTTTGATTTTGTTGAGATAGAATGAGGTTGAAAAACGAATCTTAGGGACGAATAAAACTGGCGGAAAGACTGAACGATCTGGCGAGAAAACGGGCGGAAGAAGACGATAGCTCTTCTGAGGAAGAAGAAGAAGAAGAGGATGAAAACGAGGATGAAGACGCGGTGGAAGAAATCGAGGAGGAAGAAGTCGTCGAGCAAGGGATTCCAGACGAAGGAATAGCCAACGAAGTCAGCCAAGATGGTTCTACAAGTAATTGAAGCTGTTATTGTCGAGTTACTGAGCTTGAAATTAAGTTTCGAACGTGTCGACCACGCAGGGAAGCACTCAGGAGTCACGAGAAGCTGAAGGAGATGCAAGAGCTGCGGAAGAGAGACTTGCGAGACAGAAGGCGCGCAATCCCTTTGCGCAAACGAGCACAGAGGACGATAAAGAGAATGACAAAACCACGCTTGACGAACTGCCAAAGTCGGAGGCCCAAAGATCGAAGCCAAAGACTATGAAAGACAAACTCGCCAGATTCAGGTAAAAGAGACGCAATGAAACATTTGCGAAGTGGTTTTTAGAAGCAAGCAGAAAGCCTCTGGAGCTGCGGCGAAGTCTTCGAAGATTCAGTCCAAGATCGCCTTCGGCAAGCGGAAAGAGCTGTCCACAGAAGAGCCAGCGACAAAAAAGCTCAAGGCCTCGGCATTAGAAGCCAGCAGTGACAACGCGAGCGGATCAGCTGTCTCTACCTCGATGGCGATGGATGATTTCGCCGCTGGGTCTGATTCTGATTAAATTCTACTTTAGAGAAAAATTCTAGTTCACATTTATCACTGCCTTTATCAATAAAGTCCATCAGCCTCAATACACAAACAAGCAAATTCGAGACATTTGAAAGTTTGCCCAATATTCGTTTTTTTTAATTTTAGTTTTCTGCTCAATTCTAGTAAATCAGGGTCTCCTTTTTTTATCTTTCTTGTAATACCGCGGTAGATGTCATGCTATTCTGCCAGAAACAAAAGAATAAGACGAAAAATTGTTAATAATTTATTTTGTAAACTTCGCTTTACAAAATAATCTCGTCGGAACAGTTACATCCATCATTCTGACTGCAGATGCGATTCATTCTGTAGCAGCCTCCCGTTTCCAAGATATCTTCCCTTTCTGTCCACGCGAAAGAATGTTGCTTCTTTTTTCACTCAGTGAGAGCCTTTTCTCGAAGTTTTGCAGCGTTCTCGCGCAGTTCGTCAGGTTTGATTTGGGCTCCCATGTTGCTGACTCAAGTGGCCATCCTTTCCAGAGCACATGATATTGAATTACTCCGTTGCTGGATCGCCGCTTTCCCATGATCTCCTGGACTTCCCATTCTTTCTCCGAATCTGCTTTCTTTTTCGTTTCCTTTGTCGAATGCTTGGTTTCGTCTTTGTATTCAGTTTTCATCCGCTCAGCTTCATCAAACAACTGATTCTCGTCAATATCCTCAGCGTAGTAATTGAGTTCTCGTTTTTTCGCGGCGCGTTCTCGTCCTTGATTTTGTCGGATGTTTTCACCCCTCTCTTCCTTTACTTGAGTCTTCTTATCTTCGAAACGCGTTGGAGTAACCTTAACTACATTTTGAAGTAGGTGCTTGTCTTTCCACGGCACATATCGTTTTTTATAAGAGAGGCTATCGTCCTTTTCAAGCTTATCATCCGGGCTAAATTTCGTATGTATGATCGTGAAAACGTATCCCTGAATGAAATCGTTTATAAATAATTATTCTTCAAAAGTTAAATTGACCTTGGAGTAGATGAAGTTATTGACAATATTTTCATCTTCCGAAATAAAATCCGCCACTTTGGGCTTTCGTCTTTTTTCAATCTTCCTTCTCATCGTTTTGTTCCTCGAAAAATTCTCTTCCAAGCGTAAAGCGTGAAAAATTGTGGCTTCGGAAAAGAAATTTCGCTTGCAACGCAAACTTAAGAACAACGGCCCTTATTTTTGTCTGAAAAAAGTCTTCCAGACATCCTCAAAAGTTTTTTTCTACATTCAAAAAGCGCCATCAAAAGTGCGTCCAAGATTGGGAGTTACGCGTACTCAATAGCCTTTCGAGAATCAGTCGGAACGAGTCGAAAAAAACTCACTTGCTTCAAAGGAAAACCAATCAGTCCGCTTTGTTACACGTGAAGTTTCCTTTTTTTCTTTTTTTTTTTTTGAAAATGATGAATTTTTCAACTGAGGATCATGACCGAGGCAGGAAAAGAGAAAAGCGAAAAACGCAGGTAAAACCTTCTGAATTACTACTGTATTCTACGGTTACTGTAGCATGAAGAGACGTACATGACAGATTTGGAGGGGATTCTGACAGATGGAGGAGAGTTTTCGTCTCAAAAACGACTCAAAATATCGCAAAGTTTCAAGAAGGAAGGGCTCTGAAAATACTTCTTGTGTAATAATTTAATTATAACGTAATGTCAGAGTAAAAAAACGTAATTGTAAGAGCCAACAAAGACACAAAACGAGCAGAAATCACCCTCCGGAATCCCGTCCAGAAGTCCTCCTTCAAGACTCATTCAGGGTGCGCCTCGACAGTCCCAAAAGAAGACATCAAAATCAGGATTTTTACTGGAGAAGTACCTTTCGCCAGAAGCCATAATAGTCTGTCGAAAATGCGCCAAGAGGGTTGATCCAAGACAGGACATTGCCAAGACTGTGGACATTCTAGAGCGCGAGTTCACTGTTTCTAACTGCACAAAAGTGCTTTGCAGAACATGTAAGTGATTGACTTTTTAGAGTAAACTTTCTGACACCGTTTTTCTTTCAGGTAGTGAGAGAGCTCAATCGAAACGAGAAAGCTGCATGAGACACTGTTTTGTGGAAAAATGCGAGAGGCATCCGTTGATCGAGTTTTTCATCCCGCTTTACTGCGACTGGAAAACTGTCTACCAGCCAAGGAAATGTCAGCTACAATCAAGCACTGTTGTGACGAAGCAAATCGAGCGCGAACGAGAAAATGTCAAATTTAGCTACCAAAATTTGCAAAGAGATTCGAGAAAGACGCAGCAAGAAATCCATCTGCACCAGAAGATTCAAAATGAATTGATGGCAAAGGAACAGGTCGCAATTACAGTATGATTAGTATTTTTCCGCAAGTAAAGATCTGATAACAGGAACGCATGTTTTCCGAAAATCTGGAAAAAGCATTCAAGGACAATAATGTTGTCGAGCAGAGAATCGCCCAGAGCAACCGATACATCCAAACCTCATCAGAACTCTCTGTAAAGCTTTCTCAATGACAGTATAACGAGTTACCGGTATATTTAGAAGCAGAGCGACATGGTACAGGAGCGAAGCAACTATCTGACAAAGAAACTCAAAGAGGCTACCAATTTCAAAATGTCGCTTTTGGAACGGATCAAGTCGATGAACATCAACTTTTAGATGAGTTTATTTACTGCGACAATGTACAATAATAAACAATCATATATACGGCATTGTGGACTTTGATGAATAAACAATAGGGCATCGTGGCTGTTGAAAGGATTGAGTTGGTGGGTGTTGAATCTTTAAAATGGGATATCCGTGCCGCTTCCTAACGGGCTGTTCAGCTGGCACTAGAACGCTCTCCAAGGACCGCGGCGAGTACTCGTAGGCGAGCAGCATCGAGCCACTGATTTCTTGTAAAAAATTCATGCACTCGATATTCAATGTTTTGGGACCAGCCGGTCGAAGCTCCATCTTCCCATTTAGAAGTTTGCCCTTTTCGTTTTTGAGATTATGAGAGGATTGCTGCTCCTCCTAATAAGTGCACTCGACGCAGGTACTTTCACGTAGAGAAAGGACAAGAGATTAAACTGGATTTAAGCGATCATTCGACAGACCATCTGCAAGAACAAGAATGAGATTGACTCGGCCTCTCTTTCCGTCAATTTTGTCCAAGTTAGCATTGACGGAAAATCGCTCGAGAAGGTGACGAAGATTCCGCTACGAAGTGCAAATGAAATCACAGATGACAATCGCATTCTAGATCAGCGTAACTATCAACACATTTTTTCGGAAATCATTAATCTTCAATTCTAGCCGTAACAAATGTCGTCTTCGAGCTGCTTATAAGAATTGGTATGAAGAGTTCCTGGATCTAATCTATCATTTTGTCCATTTTAGAAATCGTCTGGAATACTAGAAATACCGCAGATAGGCTGTGCTTGTCTGGCCTTGAAGTTAGAAAAATAGGACTACTCCAGGCACTGGTTAAATTTCAAGTCATTTGATAATGATTTAGAATAAGTTTTTAATAAAAATTATTTAACCGTGCAAAAGCCGATCCAAATTTTGGATGAAGTTGACGGCCAAATTTACCAGTTCGGCTGTCCTTTTACAGATTGCGTCAAACAGAAGACAAAGTTTCTGCCTCCACGGTTAAACTTTCCTTCGAACGGAACATTCTATTCAGGAAATACTCGCCAAAGCTGACTCAGTTGAATACAGTCAAATTTATTAACAGTCTGGGTACTTGTGGGAACACATGTTCTACAGATGTAGTAGGTGACTAACTAAAACCCTTATTTTGGCAAGAATACAAATCGCAGAGTCCTGTCGAGCTAAAAAGGGCCTCTTGAATATTTTAATCAATCTCTAGAGCGCAAATGAGGGAGAACGATTAACTTTATCGATTAAAGACTCAAATTAATCGAGCGCCGTACTTCCATCTTTTAACTCATCGGAACTTCTTTCTTTTGCCTGTAAAAAAAGAAATAAGAAAGCCACGCTGTTCTTCACTGTTCAGTCAAAAGGCTGTAGCTCAACATAAAATTGATTGTGGAACGTGTGTCGAGTAAGCAAAAGTCGTTTCCGTAAAACTGCGAAATATGACCGACGAAAATGACCTGAAGAGTGACACGGCGGTCGGAGAATCCATCGACAAGCTCAACCGTTACTTCGACAACCTGTTCGAAGACGTGACAAATTTTGACGGGTCACGTGCAGCCGTTTTCCGTCCTTATTCGGGCTATCTCCTGGCAGATGTTGTCTTGACATTCACGGACTGGACAGATAATTGGCGAATTGATTTGCAAAAGCCGTCCATCATGGACTCGATGAAAACTGCGCTAGGAAATGTCAATCATCATGTTCATGAATTTTCATAATGACATCAGAAGACGCCTGTTGTTTTCAAAAAGGCATTCTGAAATCATAGAAGAGTACTGGTGACATTCCAAAGAAACCTACGAGAACTCAGTGTCCATTGAAAACTTTCCTCAATACCACGAAATGGAAACAGCCCTAATTGCCCTCTTTCCGACGCTTACTTTTTGCGGTCTCATCTTTCCCGCGTTCATCAGTTTTAAACACGAGTCGGGCCCTAAGTATGCACCCACAAACTCTTTTTCCATCTTCTTCTTTCAGCGTGACTCGAGCGTAACCGATTTTAAGACGGTGTCGGCGTTGGCTTTTTATGATTTTTACAGTTGTGGAGACTTATTTGGACGTTCGCGTTTGGCAGAAATTCGCAACAACTGGCATGACTCTGACTGGATACGATCCAACTATTTCTAACTTGATGATATTTTTCACCTTCATGACTTTCTTAGTCCAACTTGTGAAGTTTAATCTGGCCGTCATCCCCCACATTAAAGGCCAGATTCGCAATCACATCAGAAATCGATATCTGCAGCAACTTGACTCTAATCTTTCTAAAAGCATACAGACGAGTTAAATTCGGCGACGACAAGTACAGTGTGGACACTACAAGAACTGTTTTTAAAATTGACAGCTTCACGGCAACGTTGTATATTTTCGGCCGAGTCCCGCTCTCGTTCATTGTCCATTTTTACCTTGTGAAAATGAAAGTTCCTCGTGCCATAGGAGCGGATATCAATTAATTGTTACAAAAATAATTTCAGGGCATTAATTATAATTTGCTAGAACAAATAAATTAAATCCGTGGATCAGGTTGAGTTTTGAATAAAAAGAAAATTAAAAGATAGCCACGAAAATTGCTTTGAGATAAACTCAAAAAAGTACCACGAGAACTAACTTGGAAGCTGATCTTTCACGTGCCAATCTACCTTTATCTCTTTTGGGTCGCTTATCAGAAGGTATTTTTAACGTCTGTCGTTATATCAATTTTTAATTTTAAAAAGGTTCGAAGAAGCATCAAAGCGACACGAGATTGCAGACTGAAACCTTCCGCACAAGTCGGCAATCCCAACTGGCAATGGGTCTGTGAACCATCACGCACCACTTGCTGACCATATTTTAGCTCCTTGGAATGCCTTATTTTCTAGCTCCATTCTACTCCATCATGCTTGTTGCTGCAACAACAAGCTATCTTCAGATGGACGAAAAATCCCAGCTCTCCCTCAAAGGCTGCATTGTCGGCCAAGTAAACATCTGCTATCCGAAAGTTTTTTTAATAGCATATTTTCAGAACCCCGTCTCACAAAATCCGCTAAGTTTTCGCTGCCTCCGCGCGGTTGACTACGCAATTCTGATCTTCTTCTCGGTCTTTATGTTGTCTGGGCTGGTCATGTTCATCTTCAGAATCATCAATAAGCAGGTAATTATTTTACTTATCCGATAATTTCTTAACTTTTTTGAAAAAAAGATGGAGCTGCTCCCCGCGCTGAACGAGGAAAGTTACTCGAGAGGAAATCGTGCTCGCGCGCAGAAATCAAAGAGGACTCAGCCAGCCGAAGAAAGCAGCGAAAAAGTACCGTGAACTTGATAATTGACAATAATTGGTTTCAGACACAAGCGGCTGTGGTTTACGACGCAGCGAAAGAGACCTCATCGAAAGTCGTCACCAAAGCTGTTAAAAGTAGGAGTGGCTACAGTATAAAGAGTATCCAATCAAACGGGTAAGGCCGTCCTGTTACAGTCGCACGCTAATGACGGACGTAGAACTCTTTTTACAGTGTATTCAGGTCCGAAGCTTCCCGCCTCCTCGACCAAGAAACCGAACGAACTGAGAAGGAGTCATTCAAAAGTTTTTGATGTGCCCAATTTACCTCAAAAAGTCAAATACCTTACCTGACCTTCTTAACAACTGCCTCTCTGACCCTACCATCGAATCAGCATAATTATGTACATTTGTTACTGTAAATAACACGCATAATAAACGCAATGGGAAAATGAATGTGGCGCATTTCACAGAAAGACAACGTTTAACATAAGCCAAGTGGTCATTGTTTGAGCTTTGTTTATACGTTAGAACGTCATGAATGTAAACAACGCAACTACTCTGATTTTCAAAACAGCGCCTTCATCTTAAATTTTTCCTAATATTTTTTTCGCCACATACACGCGGTCAAGAAATTCCAGGATAAAAAAAAGGATTGCTCGAAAAGAAGAATGCCAGCTGAAAATGAGACTAAAAGCTCTCAAAATATGCTAAAAAAGGAATCGAACTTCTGGATACTAAAAATTCCGCGGATTACAAATTCATCACTGGACAAAAAAACGCGATTCCGATAAGAAAAGCGAGCTCGTTAAAATTTTCCATTGTTTCCAGCGAAACACAACAAACCGTAAAAACCCGATGGGCCCTACTTCTGAATTGAAATGAAGAGTTTCTGATGAGGATCAAATTTCGAGAGCTTTTCAATGTCATATATTTTATTGTGTTAGCGTTTTTGACCTTTCAAGTTGCGAAGAGAATCTTTCAAGAAAACTTCGAAATCATTCGAAAACACAATGAGCAGATCACGAAGTGGAAGCTGCTTATTATCGCTAATAGTGAGGATTGGCAGATTGTACAGGTACTGATCTTTGTCATTGATGATTTCTGACGTTATGCTCTAGCAACAATACATAGATTTGCTTCGTCGAAAACTTCCGTCATTCGAATTTGAATTCGATTTTTTCCAGTCACCCAAGAATTCTAAATTTAATCTCGGCGATGTTTACATGCCAACAATGGCCATCCCAGCGAACTTTTTGATTCTCTTTCCAAAGCTGGACTTCTTGAAGATCGGATTTCTTCTCTCCCGCGAAATCGGCGTTTGCGCCAAGCCTATGGCGGGCAGCGATGACGTAAAATCGTGGAAAGACATGGGCAATTTTTACGAAAACGAAAATGCTGTCGACAGGCCGGACAATCCAAAGTTCGAATTCGCAGGGAGCCTGATAGAGTGCGACGGGCCACTTATCTTCGACCAGAACGTGAAGACATTTATCGACTTGGAAATCGACGTCCGTTCCTTCAACTCTCCAACCGGCTTCTCAGACGCTGCTCGGAAGAAGTACTGGCCTCGCGAATTCATCCTCAAAGAAGTACCGAAAATCCCTTTTCACCAGTTTCATTCTCCTTCCGAGCCTATTCGATTCACTCACATTCCAAACGACGCCTGCCAAAAAATAGTCTTCCCCGTTTTTGTCAAATCTACTGTTACCAAAGTTGGTCTGCGCAATCTCATCCGCGAGAACTTTAAACTCTGGAACATTGATAGCGGCAAACTTTTCTTCATCTTCGGCGAAACAACCCAGTCTTCCAGAGAGGCGCTAGAAAACGAGATCCAAAAGTACGACGATATCATTATCACAAGCTACGAGGACACTTACGACAATTTACCATACAAGACATTCGGCGCGTATAAATTCATTGAAGAATATTGTAATCTGTAAGAATCTTTTATGAAGATCTTGTTGATGAGTTTTAGGGCTTCTTGGATCATCATTCATGACGACGATACATTCATCAAATACGAGCGGCAGTACGAAATCTTCAAGCGATCTAATTTCTTCCCAAAAGAGCACCTACAGTGTATGTACGGCTACTTCACAGAAGAAGCGCCACTGAGATGGTCAAAGTACGGAGTTGGCTTTCGCGAATATCCCTTTGGCTACTACTACCCGAAATTTTGCCACGGGCCCTGCATGTCGGTAAGTTTGAATTCTAACGAAAGAGACTCGATTTGAACTATTCAGTTGTCAAAAGCAGCTGCTTCGAAAATTTACCATCAAGCAATGATCACAAATTGGAATGGAATTATCCTTGAAGATGTTCTCTTCAGGAACAGTGTCCAAAGCGGGCAGATATACAATACAACAACGACAAATTAGGCTGCACAAAATTAAAAAAAAGTAAAATTTGAACACTGTAAACAAGTGGTATCATCCGTGAGTTGGCGAATGTAACCTCGATGGACATCGAGCGCGGAAGCTGCGAGCACATCTCCAGCCGTTTACCCTCCAAAGAAGCCGCTTTTCAAAAACTTTTAGACGCGTCGCGGAGAAAAGCTGGCGTTTCTAAACAACCCTCGCCCGGATAACGAATTTCCATAATTCAAAAGCAAGAACCATTAACTCTGACAGCACGCTGACGTTTGGGTCCTTATCCTTATCTTTGTGGACTCGTTAGCTAATTGTATTTTTCTCAAGCAACTGACAATAAAGAAAACCTCAACTGCACAATGTGATATGCATCGAATAATATGACGTATAAAGAGTCTTAAATTGAGAGACTGATTATGAAATTGAAGTAGCATCTTTAATTTGGATGAAAAACTGCAAAATAGCTGCAAAAAAAACAACAAAAGACACATATTTTTGAAGAATCAACTTTAGCATTCAAAAATAAGTTGAGATTTGAGAAATTGATTTTATTCAGAGTTCCGGAATGGTGATGGAAGTGTCCGGTATCGTCTCTCCTTTCTTTCTGCTGAACGGAGAGTCAGAAAGTTACTGCAAGAATCGGCAGCAATTGGTCTCCAGCAAGGATAATTTTCCAAACAAGTTGTCAATCGTTCCTAAATTTATTTTATTTCAGAGTTCGTTTACGTTTCTAACTTACGTGTATTTTTTGCCTTTTCGGACTTTTTCAGCCTCTCGAAAGAGGTGAATGAAAAATTCTGAAAACAGTCGGAGCGGAGGCTCGATTCTAGAGACGCAGTAGTGTATTTTTGACATTAACAATAAATTTTGATTCTCTGTTCTCGGGTATGAAAAATCTAGTTCTACGAACAATTATCCAAGTTTTAACAGTGTTTTTTGAATGCTTATGAAAGTTAGTTCAATGAATTTCAACATTGATAAATCGGCGCTAACAAACTCGGCACGTTCAAGGTTCACGAAAGGGACTTGGCTTCGTAGAAATGTAAATTGTCTTTGGGTAATTGAATTAAGCCGCAATCGTCATCGAGAGCGATTCCGGTTTGCGTCAGAGCTGGCGCTGCTTTAACATGCTTCTAAATATTTGTTGCACGCGGTTCTCAGCGCCACCACCACGAATTCCTCCAAGACACACTTGGAAGGCGAGAGTGATTTGATTGTTGGAAGACGAAGAGGAATGCGAGCTTTTTTCGCTCTCGCCGCTTTGGTGATAAACCAGGCAGCAGCAAAAGAAAAGATCTTCAAACAGATTCTTACAAAAAACACAAAATGCGAGCGCGCCAGATATGCAGGAAAGAATCAAAACTGAAAATTGAGAATAAAAAAAGAGAGAGAGAGAAAAAAAGAAATTGAAAGAATTCATTTTGGTTAACTAGAAGACCGGGAAAGAAATTGAAAATGAAGAATTACATGTAGAAGCTCATATTTTGATTCTTGAAAGGAAAAATCTTCCCAATGGCGCATATAATCGACGGGGAAGAGTTCTCCGGTGAGCATTTGCTCACAAAATTCACAGAGAAAGAAAGGAAGGTGATGAAGCCCAAGCACTGCATGCGGCGGTGCTTTCGATACGCAGGTTGTGTGGCCTTCAACTACCACTACTTTGACGATTTCGACATTTGCGAGCTCTTCTCAGCAGTCGGGCCAACAATAGAGAACACTGCTAATGTCACACGAGGCTTCTTCTCCTCCGACTGCGACGTAATTGACGATTTTTATGATTACCGCATGTCCAGAGAAGTCTCCATCATCTTCAAAAAAGTGTCTGAGTTCGTCGACGACGAAGTCAGAAAAAATCTACTCACGGATGTTTTGACAGTCAATAATCTGCGACCAGATATGAACAACAAGTGGAATCTAACAGCGCTCGGGCGAAATGGAGATACAGGTTTGAGCGAAGCAGAACGCTTCAAGTTCCAAGTGACGGAATTTCCACTCGGTGAGCACACCATGTGCCATTTCAAGTTCGAAGTCGACCGAGTGGTGAGAGTTAACTCGGAACGAGATAACAGTGAGTACATAAAAGAGTTCTTCGGGTCCGACGATGTCTTTGTCGCCAATTTGTTTAAAATCAAGTGGCCCGAGAACATAGAGCTCTATGACATCGAAGCGTCCCCGTCCGACATTCGCATTGTCTCCTCGCAAGAGTACTATGGAATGAAAGGGAGAAAGGCAGATCGCGTTGATGGTAAATGCACTGCGTTAGCAGGAGAGCTCAAGTGCACTTGCGGGCCGGGTCTTTATTGGGAAGATGGAGCGTGCAAGGACGTTGACGAGTGTCAGGATGAAGATGTCGGCAACTACATCTGCGGAAAAAATCAGGAACGGGTCGAGGAAGACAATGAAAACTGAGACTGCTGCCTTCTTTAACTCGATGTAAAGGAATGCTGGAATCAGCGCGGCTCATTCAACTGCATATCATACCCAGAGCATGACGAGTTTAAATCCGCAGCTGCTCAGCGAATCGCCATTCTTATTGCCAGACAAGGTACTATCTACAAGAAAGTCTAGAATTTTACTATTCCCAGAAAAACTGCCAAAACGATTCGATTACTCAACATGGGTTATGAACATCATCCTCTTCATGGACGAAATCGACAACGTTTCAATCGACGGCAACTGCACTAATCCCTTCAACTATGACCATTTCGATTCTGCTTACGACATCGCGCGCGCTGGAGACACCAATGTATCATCAAAAAGCTATCAGCAATTCCTTTATTTTCATTTATAGATCTGGTTTCAACAGCTTTACGAGAAAGTATTCTGGGTCTTCAAAGATTGCGACAAGTACGGGCGGATGAAAGAGTATTTCCGAAAAGTCCGCCGCCTCTATCGCCAAGGAGTGCGCTCTGGCAAAAATCCCGACATGTTTACCGACTTGAACGAGGAACACATGCTCGCGAAGTTTTCCTCGGCTGACTACGAAGAAGAAAATTACGAAGACTACTTCCAGGAGCGCTCAAGGAAACTAGAATCAAAGTTGATATCTGCGCCTCGAAAGGAAGACCACCATCAAGCAGCTCGAAATGAATTCGAAAGCATCGACTGGAGCTGGACGGATGACTACAATTGGTCGTAGATATGTTTTATATTCACTGTACATTTTTGAGATAGCTGTAATATAACTGTAACATATACTGAAGCCGGGCTGTGAATTGATGAACTAGCTGTGGTAGTCGACGACGTAAGCGAGCACGCCGAGGGGTTGGCCGATGATAATTTGAGTCCACACGAGCATGTTTCCGTAGCTTGGTCCCAGCTTTTCTCCGATGACTAGGCGATGTTAAAAGAGTTTAAGTATTGAGATGCTTTCATGAGAAAATTTTAAAACTTACAAGTAGTGATTGGCTGCATCGGGATTTGTGTGATCATCCCAAAGAAGGAGTAGAATCGAAGTCTTTGAAGAGGAACAGAGATGAAAAGCTCGTGCATTACGGCAGAGAACAGGAAAACTGCGCAAGCGGTCATCGCTTTTGAGCAGCCTGCACGAAGAAGAGGTTTGTAGAGATGGCGAACACACCATTTGTGCACAGGAATATTCCAAGCTTGCCAAAAGTACTGCACGTCCTTAAAAAATGAGTTTTTGGCTTTCACGTTAAAATTTTACCGTAGCGTTCCACCAGTCGCGGTAAAATTCGCGATCGCCAAATCGAAGCAACTCGGCAAGAAAGTTGAGCCAGGAATGAAAAATCAGGAAGAAAGCGCAGAACCAGACAATGTTGTTAGACACGGACATGGCGAGAAGATGATAAAGAAACTTTTGAGGACTTTCTTAGTCTCGGTTTTTAAATTTCCTTTGCGATGACGTGAAAAGATAGAATATCGGATATAAAACCGTGCCTGATCCATCAACAGCAGCTCTGTCCATATGTGGCATCAGCCACTGCTGGATAAGCGCAATCATGAGCCAGAATAGAAAGAGAGTTTCAAACAGCCGCTTGAAAAGAAAATAAGGACGGACTTTCTCGGTTCGTGGGTATTCCATTTCATAGCACAAGGTCGGCGCCAGGATAAAATAATACAGATTCGCGGTAGTCAGATTATTCGGATACATCATTTCAACTTGTTGATCATTATCACCAGTAGCTGTTGGCATTGAGAACCGTCGTTTTCTTTTTCGATTTTGTTTCGCGTTTTCGCTTGTTACTGTAGCTGACTTAGCACTGTACCAGCGATTTGCCTGTGCATATGACCACATCTACGATATTTCTTTGTCAGTTTTCAAAAAAATTTACCTTGAGGAAAAAAACGATAGAGAAAATTATACTGATAAACGAGGGAATGGGCATTTCCGGAGCCAGAAGAACTTGAATGCAAGGAGCAATAACGATGAGTAGACAGTTGACTACATGTGCAGTTTTTCCAGTTGATTCAGAAAGATTGCCCTGTGCCATTTGCCGCTCGATGTGCAGACTGACCAACGCGAAGAGGTTGATCTCGATAAATATCCAGGTGTTAGTCCAATGCATTGGGTCCTTTGCTAACTCCCAGAAAGAAGGCAGTACATGAATTCGAAATCCAAATGTCACAAGATTCTCCACAAACAGTCTAAAAGCAATGATTACCTTCTTGGACATCTACGCAAACATTTGGTAATCTCCGAGTTATGCAACGCGAACTTTGATATGTTCCGAAAGGAGCCTTCTGAATAATATTTACCCGTCTAGATTTAACTTGTTTTCGAAAATGATGACGTTAAATTTCTGATGAAATTATTTCAGAATAACAATAAAATTGGCTCTAGAAATGATATGAAACTAAATATCTCAAGTTTACCTTACATTGGCGAACAAAAGCATTACTTTGAGCAAGTTGATAAAGCCCGAGAAGTTCTCCCAGTTGCTGGCGGATGACATCAACGATGGACGACTTTCATGGCAGATTTTGGTCTTTCTCTTTTCGTAGTCAGGAATGTTCGATCCAGAAGAGTACAAATTCTGCTGCGATTTAAAATTCTCTTCATGCACATCAGAGATAGACCTTTGGCTCAAGAAGCGACGACGTATTTCGTTAGCTGAAGTACTTTAACATTCTCAATTTTAAATAAAAACATACATTTGAAGGCTTGCGGAGCCATCTTCTAGCTCTGAGGTCTCCACTCGAGATCTGGGGCAGAGAGTTGTGTACCTGAACTGTGCTGCATGCGTATTAGCTGCAAATAAGGTAATGCAAATAAGACTGCTGATGATCGAGGTTAAGATTGAGCAAATACCCTTCCATCCTGCGTATTTTTGACCGGAAATCGATAAGACAGAAGTCTGTCGTTTATGATGTCAAGTTCACTTTGATCACAATCCATCGCTAGCGGCAAAATAAGGTGATGTTTACTAAAGCCACCGCCCGAATTAAAAAATCAAAATCGCTTCACACATTCTCCTTAAAGAAAGAGATCGCAAGCGAAAAGAGCAACAAAAGATGTCTCTGTCGGGAAAAGTATGTGTCGTCACAGCTGCTGGGCAGGGAATCGGAAGAGCAAGTGCTGAGGCGTTCTTCAACGCGGGCGGAAAGGTTTTCGCAAGGTAAAGAGTACTAAATTTCCGAAGATAAGAATTTCTAAGTGACATCAACGAGGAGCTTCTGAAAACGCTTCCTGAAGGAATTGAATCTGCTAAGCTCGATGTAACCGATTCAGCTGCCGTAAGCGCCTATTTCTCTAACTTTGAAAAGATCGATGTTCTCTTCAACGTTGCCGGTTGGGTACCACATGGAACAATCCTGGATTCTGATGATGACGTCTTTGATAAGGCAATGGATCTCAACGTCAAGAGCATGTTTCGGTAATCATTGCAGAACCCTTATATTTACTCAAAATAATGTTTAAGGACTTCACGAGCAGTCATTCCGATCATGCTTAAAAATGGTGGTGGTTCAATAATCAACATGAGCTCTGTTGCGTCAAGCAGAAAGGTAAGCTAGAAGGATAGCTACAACACTAGCAACTCAATAGGGAGTCCCATTGCGATGCGTGTATAACACTACCAAAGCTGCGGTCATTGGGTTGACAAAGTCGATCGCGGCTGATTTCATCAAAGAAGGCATCAGATGCAATGCGATCATGCCTGGCACAGTCGACACTCCAAGGTTCCACCCTTGCATGTCAGATGTAACCAACCTATTTTAGTCTCCAAGAGCGCATCGCAAGTACAAAAGGAATGACAAAGGAAGAAGCCCTCGACATGTTCATGAAACGTCAGCCAACTGGAACACTCATGGGTGCTGGTGATGTGGCTCAACTCGCTGTCTATTTAGCAAGCGATCACGCCAAACTTGTAACAGGTGGAGAGCACGTTATTGACGGAGGATGGAGTCTTTGAGCTGCGAAATGCGTTATCACTTGCGAAACATTTTCAATTATAAGCCTGCAAAGAGTAGTCATTGATCCTGATTCTACACGTATTTATCTGTAATAAAAATGAAATCATAAGAAAAAGAAAGAGAGAAACGAGTTCACACTTTCAAATCGAGTTTGGCGGCCAGTTCAAGTTCATATTTATTCTTTAAACAGAGTCAAGGACTGGTGGTTCGTAGGAATCAACGACTTGTCCGTCATTGGCACCGCCTTTGACGACCTTGCCGGACTCGCCGTGCATATCCAAAAGCTTGGACATATCGAATCGGGGCTTCTTGAGGACCTTCACTTTTCGGATGTAGACATCGTGGAGAGGGTAGGTGGAGGCGGCGGCCTTAAGGATCTCCTGACCAATAGAGTCGGGGAGAAGCTTGGCGACAATGTTCTTGATGTCGGAGGTGGAGACCTAGACAGATGCTATCATCAAGAACGAATGATAGAGTTCGATGAAATTACCTCTCGTCGCATGATGGTCATCATCTTCTTTCGGATGGTTCGGACCTGGGTGGTCTGAGCGTAGGTGGTCTTCTTGACCTGGTTCTGTCGCTTCTTGGTGAATCCGACAGCGAAGAGTCGAAGCTTGTATCTAATGAGATCTTTAGAACCTTGTTGCACTGAGTTCAGGCGACTTACCCGTCAGTGGAGGTGACGTCAACGTGGGCCTCGATCTTGGTCTGCCACTTCTTGATCATGGAGCACTGCTTGTCGCGGGTGAGCTCCATACCGTGGAAGTTGGTGAGACAGTTGTCGCCCTGAACCTCCTCGCAGATGAGTCGGAACTTCTTGTAGGTGGACTCGTCACCGTGGAGGTCAGCCTGGTTGACTTCGTAAACTCGGCCTCGGAGACCGTCAGCGGCAAGCTATAACGAGTGGTTAAGTTTGGTCGCAATTGATAAAAAAAAGCACCTTGGTACCGGCAGATCGAGTGACGAGGGTCTGGCCAACAGTTCGGGTCTTGAAAACAGCTGGGGCCTTGACCTTGTACCATTCCTTCTTGGTGAAGGGATCAACGATCTTCTTCTTGTTACCCTTTCGGCCCTTGGTCAGTCTCTTGTTCTTACCAACCGCCATGTTGGGTTAATGAATCCGTTAGATCTAAATAATGATCAATTACAGAGAGGGCGTTGCAAGAACGGAATTTAACGGAATTAGGAGAAGAGGAAAGCAGATTCAGGATTGGTTGGAATTATTTTCCGAGTTGATGCATTTTTGCAGCTCTTCGTAGTGATCAAACAGTTGCTGAGGGTTCATGCACTCTCGTAAAAAGCAATGGTCCAGCAGTTGTTCGTAGTGCGCCCGGTCGATGGGGTCTTTCTGAACAAAGGCATGAGGCACAGCAGCAATTAAATGTTGATTACCTTTAAGCACAGCGATATGAAATGTGCGCAGGACTCTGGGAATCGATCATCTTGGTCGAGGCCAGGAGGCGGGTCCTCCATGACCATTTTAAGAATATCGAACTGTGTAGAAGCGTTTGTGAAGGGGTGTTTTCCGTCGGCAAGCTCAATGAGGGAAACACCCAGACTCCAGATGTCTGACTTGAATGTATACCCCTCTAAAAATTAGATGAAATTAAAAAACTTCACTTGAGGCAAATTTTGATAAAAAATTTTTTCGTGCTCAGAAGAAAGAGCAGAAAATTCTGAGTTGAATGGGCTAGATTTGACCCGAAAACTTTAACTTAATGACCCCAAAAATTGCGTAACAAAGTCCAAATTAGGGCATTTTTGGTAAACTTTTGGGGAACTTTTAAGGGGGTTTCCGTTGGACTTATTCGACGTTCTATAGCTCAAAAGAATCGCCGTCAAAAATTGAGGGGGGGTTTTTAAGGGTTTTGAAAAAACTTAAGAAAAAAATTTTGACCATTTTTCGACCGGTCGGTTTGAAGGTGTTTCTCTTGGAATTTTTCAAAATCCGCAAAAACCCCCCCTCAATTTTCGATGACAATTCTTATGAGCCCAAGAACGCCGAGAAAGTCAATCAAAAACCCCTTCAAATCGGCCCCAAAGTTTTTTGAGGAAAATGACTCATAATGACGTCATTTCAAAAAATTATAGAGCCGGAAGTAGACCAATCGACTCAGAATTTTCTACTCTTTCATATGGGGCCATAAAATTTTTCTGAAAAATTTTGCCTCAAATGAGGTTTTTTAATTTCATCTTAGATAACAGCATACTCAAAAAAAGCAGTTATTTACCTCCGGCCTTGATTCTTTCAGGACTCATGTAGGGCTTGCAGCCGACATTGGTCTTAGCCATCGAATTCACCAAATTGCCGGCAATGCCGAAGTCGCAGACGAGGATCGAGACCGTGCTCTCCTGCTTCTTTATGAGAATGTTCGACGGCTTGATATCTCGGTGCATCATCTTTTTTTCGTGAAGAAATTTTATCGCGTTTAGGACAGCATGCGCCACAGATGCTAGACACTTTTATTGAATTTGAGTATTCTAAGTTCTTTGGATAAATGTTTGATAACTGGAGTGGGAAAAGGATGCGATAAATATGTTTGGCTCACCTAGAACAAAGTCATTGACACAGAGCTCGTATTGATGGGCTTTTTTATAATATAGGTCGAGGGACATGTCGCACAGTTCCATGCATATCAGGATTTCACCCTCTTTGAAAAGCGCTCCCAGATAGCTGACTGTATATGGACACTCTATTGTCGATTTGTTTACTTCAAGATCTTTCATCATTGTTTTTTGTTCCTAGGGAACCTATCAATTAAGAAAAGAGAGCGCAGAACTTACATTATTGTCATCCTGAAATGTGATGTGCTTGACAGCGAAGACGTAGTCCGGATGAGTCCTGAGAAATGACCGAGTGACGATGCCAAAGGTCCCTTGGCCGATGTGTTCGATGTCGACGAGGTCGCGAGCATTAACATTCTGCGAAGTGCCGTCGGGAAATATTAGAGGCGCCTGCACATTGGGGATCCACCCATCTGTTCTGTTCGGCTCTCGGTTTGAAGTTTGCAGGGGGATTTTAAGCTAGAAAGACAGTAAGAATCGGGGTATTCGCAGAGGACTTACTCTGGGCCCTCTTCGGTGGAGTGCAAAGTGCTTATCTACTTAGAATTAGACGCTTTCGCGAGAAGTGATAAACAATAAAATTTGATAAGAAGATGCACCCCACCTATTTTTCTTCGCTTTCGCCTTTTTGGTCGACAAGGGTCGTTGCTCGTCACTCATTTCGACTCCTAGCCATTTACGCAGGGCTCAATCTAAAGCAAAGGACGATAAATTGCTGCTCGATGGGGCTTGATTCCGAAGAGGCCGAGGAACTTGTTGCAAACACACAAAAGAAAAATTACTTCTTTCTTGGGGCAGCGTTCTTGGCAGCTTCGGCGGCGTCCGCGGCCTTCTTGACTCGGGCACCCTGGAGCTTGGCGTTGGCACGGGCCATTCGGAGAGCCTGGAAAACGGAGTGCTTCTTCTCCTCGGCGGTGATAGCTCGGGCCTAATGAACAAATCAGTGGCTTGTCATCATAAAGATAGACTTACGGGTTCCTGGGCGGTGAAGACGTGGTCCTGTCGGATTGGGAGCTGAGGAACCTGAGTGGCGGTGGCGAGTTCTTCGGCAGAGGAGTCGCCCTTGCCGGCCTTACCAGCCTTTCGTGGGAAAACGATGAGCTAAAACAAAAGTTAGACTAGTAACTAATGAGGGTGATTCACCTTGGATCGGTACTCCTTCAGTCGAGCAACGTTGGCCTGAAGACCTTCGACGGACTTGTTTCGTCGTCGAGAGTCAATGGCGATGCCAAGCTGTCGGGCTTCTCGGACGGTGAATCCGGCTCCCTTGAGTTCGTCTTGGGTGAAACCTCGTCCAGCTCGGACTCGGATGTTGTATCGAGCAGTCTGGCATCGGACAATTGGTCGAAGAGCGCCTCCGGACGGTCGTGGGGCAATAGCGGCGGCCTACAACAGAAATAAGTAGGTTTGAATAACTCACAGAGGGTTTTCCTTACCTTGTCCTTTCGGGCATTTTGTCGTCGCTCCTTTCGAGCGGGCTGGTTGAACCAGGTTCGGACTCTTCGCTTCCAGTCCTTATGGAAGTGGGCGTTGGCCAGAATGTTGTTCCTTTTGCCAACCATGGCTTTTTGGTCCGAGCTCTGAAATTGAACAGTCGTTAGTTCTGTGTTAAAACAAGTAGTCTCTTTGCAGATTAAATAAGTTGGTGCCCTTAAACAGGTTATATATCAGTTTCATCCCTTTTCGGGATTAAATAAGTTGGTGCCCTTTTCAGGTGGAATATCGATGTCGAACCCTTTTAGGGTCAACTTCAGGGAGAACTTGTGCCTGAAAGGAAACGTTAGTTTATATTTTTTGCAAGATATCATTAAATAATATATGATTTAAGTAGACACCTCAGCAACAGTGTATAATCTTGATCAAGCAGGGGTTGTCACGCTGTTCTAGTGGTCTCTGGGAGCCAATCAAAATAACTTTGGTAGCTTCCAGAAGAGCTTGACAGAAATCCAAAAGTTCTGGAATAACTTGAGGTGACTGACAATCCAAAAGAAATCACGAGAGCCCGAGCTTGATGTACTCATAGAATGGATTTACTATTGTCATCATAGGCGTTTACACTTGTAAATTTAAATGAAACTTACACGTTCGGATGATTCTGAAGATGACCTTTCTCTACTTCAGCGTTGACCGGGTATTCCGTCCAGGAGGGCAGCATTCGCCCTATTACGCGGATGAGCATTCGCCCATTTCTCAAATTTTCAAATCACATCTAAAATAGTTAAGAAATTAGTTTCTTGTCGAATGCGCCGAAGAAAACGGCTGAAATTGAAGTTCTTGGAATAAATAGATAACTGTGAACTGATAAAACAGAACGGGAGGAATGTGAAGAACACTTTTTGCGCTTTAGTACTCGAAGAATTTGAGCATTCGCGCTTACTTTGTTTGAGAAGATAGGTGCTTGCTTTCAACAGTTGTGATACAGAACGAGTGAATAAGAGGGGGTGAAAGTACAGAAGGTCGGATCAGTCGTGAATCAAGAGGAATTAGAAACAATAAGCAAAACTACAGCTCGATCGAAATGGCGGTTTGTTCGCGGTGTAACATTGAAGAATCATTTTGTTTTGTTTTTGGGTTGCAATTGAAGTTGGGATTGAAGAAAAGAATAAATAAAAACTACCCGCGATGGAGCCACTTCTGGAGCTTTTCGCTTCAGAAAGCCTCGCTGAAGTTTTCGTTGTTTTCGAAGTTTGCTTGGCGAGATTCTCGCAGCGAATATGACAGTGGTGAGAACTGGTTTTCAAATGTAAAACCGTCAAATGGATTGTCTGCAAAAGAGACAGTTAGTTTCGCTATCAATTATTTAGCGTGTACCTGGACCGAGAGTTCCAACAGCGGCTTGATTGACGGAATTGGGGATTGGCGAGTTTCGGAAGGACGCCTCGATGTATTTTCCATCGGTCGGTCCGTTCTAAGACAACAAATTATAAGAATTCATCAAAATATATTTCTTGGGGCGATGAATTCGCCTCAGAGGTATCGCTTGTGTTGGATTCTAATCTTGTGCGCTTGCGAGCCTCACCCGCTCACGCCCTCTCAGATATCCGTTCTTTTACACGATCATCACCGACGATTTTAATTGTTTACGCTTGAATTATACTTGACTCACCAAATTAGGGATGAAGGGAGGGGGAATTTTCTTGGCCAGTAGCTTATCCCAAGCTACGTCTCGGAAGAACTTGTGGCATTTGATTTCTTCCCAGTCCGACTCTCCGTGACCGAGACGCTCTTTTGGATTTTTCTGTAGGACGTGCTGCAGGAAGTCGCGCATTTCTGACCTGAAAGATAGTTTAATGATCTGTCTTTATCGTTTAATTGTAAACTTACGAGACAGAGGTTGGCAACTTGAGAGGTTTGTAAAGTATTCCTCTGTACATTTCATCAACGACACGTGAGTAGAATGGAGGCAGGCCATATACCATCTCGTAAGTGACTGCTCCAAGGCACCACCAGTCGATAGACCTGGTGTACGGTTGCTTCTTTAGTACTTCTGGAGCCAGATACTGAAGATTAACGTTATAGGCGAAATAAAGTTCTTTATAACTATTAGTTTGAAGTTATGTCCTCAGAAACGTATAATAATCCTGACCTGTCATGTGGCGATTCCTCCGCTAGAGCTCTTTTGGATCAATCGGAAATAACTTCCGACCGGTCTAAAGAGAAAGAACCAGAGAGAAATGCTTCCTTCCGGAGAAGTCAAAGCTTGACCCAATGGCTGACAAAAGCGTTAGATAATCGCCAGGGATGATTGGTACTCAGAGAATGGATTTACTATTGTCGTCATTGACATTTATCAGCTGTACGAAAATATAAGCAAAAAGATTTACCTCCGGCGTGCCGCAGAAGGTATCCGTTGTTGTGCCCGCTTTCATGTTGTCTTTACAGAGGCCAAAGTCAGTGAGTTTCACGTGTCCGTCCGAGTTAAGAAGGATGTTCTCTGGCTTGAGGTCGCGGTAGATCAGCTGTCTCTCGTGCATGTAGCCGATCGCGGAGCCTATTTCGGCGGAGTAAAACTTGGCTCTCGATTCTGGAAAGGTCCTGTCGCGTTGGAGGTGGAAAAAGAGCTCTCCGCTAAAATTCTGATTGAGAATTGGCGAGGTGAGTAATCGCGTGGGCGGCGCAATATTGCGCGCGCTGGAGGAATGATAACTTACCCGTTAACGTAATCCAGGACAAAATAGAGCTTGTCCACAGTCTGGAAGGAGTATTTCAGGGAGACGAGGAAGGGGTGCTTTAGGTTGTCGATGAGCACGCGTCGTTCGCAGTTGATATGGTCGGTTTCATTCTTCTGAAGGATCTTCTTTTTCTCAAGCGTCTTGATAGCGTAGTACTTGTTTGATTGCCCGTTCATCGTCGCCAAATAAACGCGACCGAAAGAACCTTTTCCGATCTGCATTATGTATGTGAAATCCCTAATGAAAAGTTCAGGACATAGCACCGACGGCTTGTACTTACGTTGGCGTTAGATGACGTGATTCTGTAACTCCGAGACTGATGTCGCCGATGTGCTCGCTGGAGATGGAATACTCGCTCTTAGAAGAAGGAAGTCTCCCGTTGAGTCCTTTTGGGCCATAGAGAAACTTAGGAACGCTTTCGTGCTGCATGAAATGTCTGTTTCCGACGACCTGTTTCATCATTCGATCCAAAGTGTCCAGCCTTAATCATTTGTCTAGGAGTTGTTACTCAGGCGTTGAATTTACCTGTGAACGTAAAATTTCTTGTTGAGCTTCTGAAAAATGGCCTTTGCGCCTCTGACGGGGAGTTCGAGCTTGTCAGAGGAGACCTCTTTGTTGAGTAGCTTGCCGAGATGAATAAACTCGTTGAAGGAGCGCTGCGTGACCGACTTGTTGTTGGAGGCATCGGTGTACGTAACCTGGGATTTCTTTCTAGCTCCCAAAGGCTTTTTGTGTACCTACCAAGTACTCGTCTGAGCTGGTTCCGTTCGGGTCGGTGACGACGCTCACCGTCGCGACAGACATTATTCGATTTTCGATCTATAAATGCCAAATATTTAGATGACCGGCGATTTGTTTCAAAAATAATAAATACTGTCAGTCTGTATTTCACAGAATATAAATAGAACGCCTGGTTAGGTGAATAGTTGACGCAGGTGGTAATCAACCTTTTTGGTTGATTAACAGTTCCGTTTGAATCCAAACGGATCGAATGAGCCTTTCTGACTCTTTCGGCTCACATAGGCACAGGGCCGCCACTCAGGGAATTATAGCAGCCCATTTTCGCCTCTAAGGATGAACAAGTAGGGAGACCCGGCTTCTTCGCGAAACTGGACGATGGACGGGCCCCGCGGTTCACAGCGCAAAAACATTCGACCGTCTAAAAAAGAAAAATGAAAGTGAGTTGTTGTTTTGTGGTGAAATAGAGAGCTCTTCTGAATGTGAGTGAGATATAGGCAGTGTTGATAACTGAAAAAATAATACAAAAATAGGTATCCATTTGCCGGCAGTTGTAATTTTTCCTAGATGCTGGGATTTGAACTTATTGTAGTCAGCTTCACTTTCTTCTTGATTTTTTTCGCCGGCCTGAAACGAAACAGTAAGGGTTTTCACTCCTTATTTAAGAATAATTCTCGCTTATAAATCTGGACTTACTTGGCATCTGCGACGAGAGTGTCGGACACGGATTTAGCCATCAAGTCAGTTTTTCCTGCCGTTTTCGCCGCTGGTGGGAAGATGTTTCTTGATGGTCCCGGGCCGGGAGAAGCAGAACGGCTACTTGGCCCGGGAGAAGCAGCTGGGGTTGTATTCGCAGAAGAAAGTGGCGATGCATACTGAACAACTGACTTCTGCTTCGAGGCAAGATGAAGTTTCGGACCCGTCTTCTTTGTCCGCATCGGAGTAGCAGTCTTCTTCTTTACTTTGCCATCAGATGACTTGAGAGACTTCACAGAGCCGCCAGATGATGACCTGCTAGCGACCGATGATGACGAAGGAGTCTTTTTCTTCGCGCTGAGAAGAAATATCGGCGCAATCTTGACAACTTTATTCGTCGGCGTTGTCATTGTTGGAACCTCCTCGTTCGAGCTGCTCTTCGAAGTACTGGAAGATTGAGATGTCTTCGAAGATTTCTTAGAGCTCGCCTTCGGCAAAATTCCGGGCTTAGGGAGACCTTCGGGCTTCGGTAAAGCCATTTCTACATCGTCGTCGATGATAATCGCTGCCGAAGATGAAGCTGGTTGCGCGGCCCCGCCAGGGGATTTTTCTTTTGACTCCGACAGTTTTTCGAGCTTCTCGGTGAGCATCGCTGTATCGAGAACTTTTCGCCTTTTCTCCACGCTCTCAGCCTGATCATCTTCGAACGTCGACTTTCTCTTCTTGTCATTCTTCTTCTTTGGAATGAGCGTGTTGACTTTTTCGGCCGGGGGAACTTTCGCGTTCGCATTCGAAACCGCCTTCGTCGCCAGTGGAGCGGCTTTCGAAGACGGAGTCTTCTTCTTGCTCTTTGCGACGAGCTGATTGACCACGGGAAGAGCCGCTGCCTTCGTTATCTTTGGCGCAGAAATATTTTCCTTGCTTTTCCCGGAGTCGCCGATTTTCGCCTTCTGGATACCAGTCGTCAATTTCTGCACCGGATCTTCTTTCGCCTTCGAAGCAAGCTTCTTTTTCTCCGCCTTTTTGAACGCGGCAGCGATGGAGGCAGCTTGCTTCTTCGCCTCCTTTTCTTTCTGCTTTTCGAGCTTGGCCGCTGCTCTCTCCGCATCCCTAGCCTGCTTTCTTGCTTCTTTTTCGGCTGCTTTGGCAGCAAGAATGGCTTCTTTCTTCTTTTCGGCGCGGCGCTTCTTGACAAATGCTTCCAGTTTGACCCGCCTGTTGATAATCTTGCCGATTTTTTGTCGCATTTGGGATGGAGAATCGCTCAGAATCGGGCCCATCTTCTTCTGGTCAAGATAAACAGAGGAGATATACCCGTCGCGAGAGCTAACCATGAGATGCGTGCCACAATTTGACCAAGATGCGTCCGTCATATTCGCATAATGGTTGTCGACGATCCTTGCGATTGGGCGCATATCATGCGTGTCGTAGAGCACCACCGAGTTCTCGCAGATAGCAGCCAGAATCATGCGGTAAGGCATTTTAAGGATCGTCTCCATTTCGTACCCATCCTTGTCGAGCTTAGGCGCATAGAGCGTGGGACACCAACGAACTGCCAAAACGGGCTCGGGCGAAGCAAGGAGAAACATCGGCGTCTTCAAACTGCGGCGGGTGAAGATCGCGATGCACGTCTTTCTAGGCGGGCCCTTCGATTTTCGTCCACTTTCTCCCGAAGAGGAAGACGCAACTGTAAGAGCACTCTTCGTTTCTTCCTTATTGGCTTTTGGAGATTAGGCTCGCTAGCGTCCATCTCCATCGCTTCTGGCTTCTGCGTGTCATCATTTTTTGATTTTCGTCCCTTTTTAGAACCCTCCGACTTGTGAGGAATTTCCGCGCCGGGGCAAGCAAGAAGAAGGCCAGTTGGGCACCACTGGAGTCGCCTGACAAAACCAGCAAGATTATCATCAGCGAAGATTCGCACTGGACGGTCATGCTCTTTTGTCGGAATGACTCTCGACACTGCCGCTTTGGAAACGAAACGGTCTTTCTTCTTCTTCTTTTTCTTCCGATCGACCCAGCAGCGCATCGAGCGATCGGCCGACAAGGTAGCAAATAGCTTTCCAAGAGGGTCGATAGCGCAGCCCTGGACGTAGTGAGTGTGATTGGTGAGCTGGGCGATTTTGGTTTTGTTCCATGGATCCCAAATGATCATCGAGTTGTCAATGCCGCAGCTGGCGAGTTTGCGACCATCGGAAGACCAGGAAAGATCCACAACGTCTTCGATGTGGCCGCGGAGAGTCGTCTCGCATTTCCAACACTCCGAGCCCATGTCCTCATCAGGATCAGCTCCAAAGACGACTGTCGGCTTTGCGCCCGGATGGTGCACCCAAATCAAAATGTAAGAGTCGTCAGCGGCCGAGGCTGATGGAAAATTTTGAATTTGAAAGAATAAAACATGAAGTTCTTACCTAGAATAGTTTTGCCGTTTTTAGTAACAGGAGAAAAACGAACAGCACCGATTCCTTTTTCGTGACGGGAGAGCGTTGCTGTGTGCTTGATGTCGATGTCTCCGTCTCGGCGGTGGGAGATTATCCAGACTCTGGGCAGGAAAGTTGAAAGAGGGAAGATTTTAATAAATAATTGGGAGATTTTAAGAATAAATATACGGACCTTATTCATAACGAAATTTCAAATAGGTTAGAAATTTACACTTATTTTAAGAATAACTGAAAATTATGAAGCTTTTCTTACCTGACCATCGTGTCGACACCACCACTAGCCATTCGGAATCCGCATTTATCGGCTCCTTGAGCTCTCACTCGAGCGATCTTCCGAACACCGTCGGTTGCGGCGTGATAGTTGATCGTCTTTTGCGGAACATGATGCTTGTAGGGTAGGAAATCTACCGCATGAATGGCCTCTTTTTTGTGCCAGATGATCTCATTCGTTCTTCGAGAAAGTTTGACAAAAATACGAACATCTCGAACGAAGAATTCAAGAAAATTATTCACAAATTGGAAAAACAACTTTCATTAATAAATATTTAATAGAATATCGTAAATAAAATAAGAAAGATTGAAAATAAATACCAAAAATTCTTCGCGCCGAAATTTATTTTTCGAGTCGTCGATTTTCTGTGTCAATCTCTAGCCTGGTTTTCGCGGAGTAAAAGCCGTGAGGACGACCTTTGGGCACTTCTACAACCTCGTCAGGTGTCGGTTCTTTTCTCTGTTTTGCTTTGGGCCTGAATCTAACATTTTTACGTTCCATTGGGGCAGATCCGAGAGGGAAAAAACTCTAAAGCGCGACTCTTTCACTACACGTGAAGCGCGGTTGGCCAATTGGTTCGGCGAGGCGCGCCAGCTCTCGGCCAATCAGCGCCGGGGAGAGCGCAAATACCTTCAAAAAATCCAAAGAATACGCGCAAAGGGAAAACGAGCACGCATCTTCCCACCCTCCAGCTGATCCCCAACCTATCCCATATCAGTGCCATTAAATATTTTTTGCTATTTTAAAGTGGTTTATTAATTCAACAGAATTTTAATTCATCGTATTCTGTTTTTATTTTGAATTCTTAAATCCCAAAAGAGAATTTATCAGGGAACATTCACGTGGGTCACTACGATTGTGGAGGACTCTTCGTGTGTCTTCCAGCAGACCATTCAGACTCCTAGGGAAGAGGTCGCCAAGGGGCGCGATCTCTTTAGCGCGCCAAATTTGAATCGCAATCGAAAAATATGAAAAACATGCAGAGATCGAGACTTTCTCGAAGACTTGGCGATCTGTGGAATGGAAAACTTTCAGCTTTTTTTACACGAAGCTTTTATTTCCTCGGTTAGAGTTTGAAAAACTCTTTTATTTTGGGAAGTTGTTTTTATTACATTTGCCAACTAATAAAAATGAAGACTTTCGAAACATCCTTTATTTTGGAGCTTTTCGAAATGAAATTTTTATTCAAGGTATGCTTGTTTATTGGAGATGGATATCGCGCGAGTTAAAACAGGGAGAACAAAAATAAATTTCATGGATTTCTGAGGAACGAAAACAAGGTTGATTCAGACCACTTGGCAGATGTTTCGATATTTTGTTGTCTACTTGATGTACTTGTACATGAATCGACGGTGGAAGTCCGATCGGATAGTGTCGTTCACTGAATTAATTTTCGAGAGGCTGAAAATGCTGGGACTATTTACCGAAGTTTTTCTTCTTTTCAGGCTCTTGTCGGGCGCAGTTCTTGAAGACGACGTCGTCATCCCACCGCCGTTTCACTGCAGTTTGCGCTTTCTTTCCATCGTTGAGCAGTGGGTTGCCCCTAAATTAAAATATTCATATAGTAGGCTTGATCATTCCTAATTGCCGCATTCTTCCTTGATCGCAAACAAATCGGATTCATATATTTTAGGGGAAAAAATATCATAAAAGTGGACGAGAATTGATTTGATTTTGAATGCTTACTTGAGAATATTTTCCTGGCGAATTCTTTCTTCATCTTCAGCGCGAGCGGCTTCTTGTTCTTTCTTTTCTTCTTCTCGTTCAGCTTTAATCTAAAAACGCGGAATAAGCATGCCAAAAGCAAAACTTTTCACGGACCTTGTTGAGCTCGGCCAAGAGATCGGCGGTCTCGTCTTCTTCATCTGATGAGTCGTCGTCTGAGTCTTCTATCGGCTCGTCCGCGTCTATATTCCTTGTCCGAGACGAGCCTGACGTTATCGCTGAGTGCGCTACTGACGAACTCGAGCTACGAAGAACGAATAACATAAGAAACTAGCCGGATCGAGTGGACCTCACCTTGAGCCCTTGTACATTCCTCGTTCCTTGTTTCTGTCTTCTCGAGCCTTTCGCTCGGCCTGCTCGAGTTTCTTCTTGAAATCGGTCATTTCGTAGTCGGCCTCGTTTCCCTACAAGAGACTTTTCATCCCGTCAGAAGATGAAAGCCAGTACCTGTCCATCTCCTCGGTACTTGAGGGTCATTTGCGAGGGCATGTCTCGGGTAGAAACTTGCTTGGAGAGCTGACCCAAGTCAGTCTCTCCCTTCATCATTCCACCCTTCGCCGGCTCGAAGGTCGGCCGCGCTGCCGTTGTCATTTTTTACGCTTCTAAACTTTTACTCACATATTTTGTGAATAAGCAAACTTTTTGTCAGAGAATTACTAGTCGTCGAGCAGCATAGACTCTACCAGGAATATCTTTACCCTGGTTCAAATTAAAAGAAATCATTTGTGTGACATTAAGGATAAAAGTAGTCGAAGTTTTAAACTCGAAGATCCTCATGAAAAGCATGATTATTAAAAAGAAATAAGCTCAATGCATATCTTCTTGCTAACATCATCTACCCGGTATTTTCTTGCGCGAAAGCTGCTGTATGACAAATAGAAAAGACGCATGAATTAAAAAAAGGTATTTGTTATCGTGTTGGCACAGAAAAAAGGTCGATAAATTGTTGGAACAGGATGGAAAAATTGAATACGGACTTCCTGCATCCAACTAAGCCCAACTCTTCTAGCATCTGCCTTTCGTTTCAATGTCCATGTCGGGCATCGTTGTCTCTCTTATCGACCTCCCTGTTGATAGGTGAGGAGAGGTCTCGCAAATGGTTGTAGTCATTGTTGATTTCAACGTCGTCAGATCCGAATCTCGCATAGAACCATACTTTGGGCGCTACGCCGTCCGCCAATCTAGAATTTAAAAAGAATTAAATAATGTAAGTTAGAGAATAATAGTCTTCAGTATCTCAACGGAGATTACTGACATTTAGTGATTTTACAGGATCACCGAATAACATGAGTGCAGAAGTACAGATCTTGACAGCAGCTTCCTATTCCATTATAGGAAGATATTACTCTGCAGAAGTTCCTGCCCCTTTCATCTCAGAGTGCTTCATTCTTCGACTTGTGATTCGAATTCTGTTAGTACTCTGATTCGACGCATTTTCAAAAACGAATAGGGAGTAAGGTCTCCGAAGAGATCATTTCGAAAGTCATTCCGTTCAAGTCTAAAGGAGTGGAGATTAAAATAAGGACAAGTTTGCGTGGGGTTGAACTTTGCAATTTTGAAGAAAGACAATGATGCAGAGGGGACAGCTTTAAAGTGCATTTTCATATTTTTAAGTTGGTTAGTTGAAGTGGTGATGACTACAGCCCGTGTAGTTAAAGGCAGTAGTCGAGGTCGAAGTCATCGTCGTGATGACCAATCTTGAAAACACTATTTATCTCAGAGAAAATGTCGGAAAACTAAAGGCTCCTGTCTCTATTATTGCAAAAATGCAACTGAGAATAAATGACTAAAAAAGGATAATCCCGTTGATTCGCCTACGCGAGCGGAGGTGGGTTAAAAAGCTCATACGATAAGTCGCGCTCTTATTGGCTTATGCTAGTTGCCTACGATATCTGCTCACGCACGCCATCAGGGCTCAATGGTGTCCCCCGCAGCGCTACGGAACCAACCACCGCGTAAAGAAATGAGCCATCAATTCAATTACAGGCGCGAATAATCTGTATTGATTAATTATATTATAGAATAGTAGCTCGGAATATTGTTCTAGAATTAAGTCTTTTTATTTCTAAAATTGAAGAAGTGGAATGCCATTTGCATACCTTTTCAAGATAAGATTTCTGATGTTGGAGTTCTTTTTCGCGGATGTTTTGGATCAGGGTGAGTCTGTGATAGGCAGGCAGAGCCTCCATGTAACTGTCACTGTGGTTGACCCGTCGTATCGAGTCCGTGAACTAGAAAAGCATTGAGTGAAAGGAGATGAGAGCTTATGCTTACGCTTAGAGTTAGACTGTGATTGAGAATTTGGGAGGTCATCGCAGCGGGAAGATTTCTGTCAGAGAGGAAGATCGGCCCTCCAGCAGCGCCGACCTCCAGGGATTTGAAATTTTCTTGCTCGTTGATTGACAACTTGTGAAAGGGTTTGAATTTGGATGGAAGACGGGTTTTCCGCGAGACGAACTGGCTCGTCAGAACTGTGTCGACTTTCACGAGAGTTGTTGTGACTGGACGAATTATGATTTCAACGAAAGGGAAGTCGGAGTCTTGCGTGCCTGGCATGTAAGAACCTCCACTCTCGTCCCAAGTGATCATGATTTCACGATTACCTAAATGGATTTAATAAGAATGAAATTGCAGAAGATATGATATCTTACCGATCGTGGCCAGCTTTTGATGGTCCTTATTCGTCGGCAGTAATGTAGCGACTGTATATTGTATTTTTGAAATATCATCGCAGTGAAGATAAGTAAACTTGCCGTGTCGTGTAAAATCAAGTCCAGAAACAGCATGATTGTGTTCGGGGCCTTTTCGTTGGAGACGAACCTTGTCTCCAAGCCCTTCCAAGAATCGCGTGTATCGGACGCTGCCGCTCGAATTGTCAAAAATATCGGACCAGTTTTTCTGTCCAGGGGCTACGTAAACCAGGGCTACTTGAATCTTCGAAAAGGGCATGTGATCATCGAGTTGCTCAAGAAGATCGGGATGTGTAGCGCGCACCGGTAAAGAATCCTCTGGATTGCGACCGCGAGGGTACGCGTTGTCGTACAGCCAGAGATAGGCGCACTCGGGCGTCAGCACTTCATTGGCGAAGCCTTCGATCGACGCGTAGTTCCTGATCATGCCAGCTGGCTTTCGAATAACTTCCATGTACGAGACGCCGCAAGACTTTACCGGAATGGAAATTGAATGAACATTGTATCCACGTATCCAGTGAAAAGTTGGGGCACCGACGAAAAACTAAAAAAAACCCATTACCTCCTACAATTATTAAAAAATACTCACATCAGCATAAACTGGATTTTCTTCTGCAAAAACTTTGTTGCCGAGCATGTTGTGCTTGAAAACATCACGGAGTGTCACCACAAGATCTTTGTTGAAATTAAGAATCTTCTCGAGCTTCGCCAGATCTTCTTTCAGCTTTCGTTCAAGTTTCTCTTTTTCCTCTTTTCCTTTTGCGCCGAAAGAACTTCTTCTATTTTGTGATTGTTTTTCTCTAAAAATAGAGATTATGGCTGCTGGTGTATTTTATTATTTAACGAACCTGACTTTGTTTTCGATTCTGTCGATGGCGGACTTGTACAAAAGACCTGTCTTGCCATGCGAGATGAGCAGATTCAAGTAACGAGGTCGCTTTTCGATCGCAAGGCGAAAAAGAGCTTCATAACACCTGTATAAGCAAGAGTGATGTTCATGTGCTGATCTGAGGGCGTGTCTTTTTGGTCGATGTCTCCATTGAGGAAGAAGCCGAAAATTTCGAACATGTGAACATAATTGTTCGATTTACTTAACCCAGTTTTATACAAAGAAAACGCAACCAAAACGTTTAAGATAAATGAGGGACGAAGAGTTTCAAAACTGTTTCTTGTGGCCAAATTGCTCAAATCTTCACCCGTGAAGATATGGCAAAGATCAGCCCGGCGAATGAGCGCAATCAAGAACTCGAGAAACCAGGGAATATTTTCACATGGCCAGTTGCGAGCCATTTTGTGCCGGAAGTAGTCGAATATGACATCGATTAACCAACTGACTTCTGCACCAGGCTGCGATACGCGAACCTTCCAATCTTTAGTGAGGTTCTTTTTCAATGAATTTGAGTTATGAAGGTTTCGTTGTTTGGTGATTACTGCAAGATCTAGCGGTTATCGTAACCAAAAAGCTTGAGCTCCCCCGGGACGCCAAAACGCAACCGGATTCAATGTTCGGAATACGGGCTATTTCGTTGATCGACTTTCGATCCGCGAATGAAATGATTCCGAAACTCTAGTTTTTAAACTAGAATTTAAATTCGGTAACATCAGAGCAATTTCTATTTTATGGTTTTGGAACCTTTCATTTGGTGGGTAATTCGACAGCTGCGATCTTGAGAGAAGTTAGACACATCGTGTTGAAATTGATTACGTTTCTCTGCTCCTGTTTGATCGACTCTGAGGCAAGCATGGGACGGCAGGCCAGTGCCGATCGCCGGATAAACGTAGCCAGTACGTTTTCAGTCTCGCCCGCCTCTGGAAGAAAGCGCTCGTAACTTAAGAATCAGTCATTCAGGATAAATTGAACGAGCGCCTTTTACCTAAAGAGCAGGCCAAAAGCTGACACGGACAAGTAATTGAGATCCTCAAGGGTGTGCGTGTCCTTCGTGTCATTTTCTGACAAATAGAGTCGATACGATTTCCAGCAGTCGACGTGCGTTTTCTCGATCGAACGCTCGGAGGAAGAGAGCGAGTAGAATGTAAGGAAGACTTTTTGAATCGTCTTCTTCTCGAGCGAACAAAACAGACTGTGATTCTCCAGCGCCTGCTTCAGGAAGAAAACGGCATTATAAATCAAATCAATGGAGACAAAAGAAGCGCTGGATGGCTCTGTCAGCAAGGAGATCTCGCTGTGTAGTAGTTCTAGGAGCTTTGAGATGATTCTCTCCAGTTCAGGCTAGAGACAGGAGGGTAGAACTGTGAGTCATAGAAGGAATCATACCTGGCGGAGAGCACTTCTTGGAAAGATTAACTGGTTAAATGATAACTGGTCGTTGATAAGGCGCAGACTGAGCAATGATTTGTAGCAATCAATTTTTTGATGATAAATAACGTTCTGAAGAGATCCATTTTCTTGTGTCTTTTGGGTTAAGTGAATCAGGTACTCGAGGACGACGGGGAAGGCACACTGGAGATGGTTGCCAAGCTTGCGTTCGCTGAGCGTGAGCAAGTGCGTGAACATAAGTGAGTTGAAATAGCGGTGCTGTTCGGGGGTGAAGCAGTGTTGAACTGGGATGGAGCAGATGGGCATTCGGGTCGAGATAAATGTGTGGATAATCGAATAACAATGTTGAACATCGGATAGAATGAGGAAATTCGTATTAGAAACTGAAATATAAATTCTTAAAACAAATAACGGTATTTTTCATCGTTACCAAGTCGAAGAAGAAGTGAGAACAATTTTTGAAAGTCTTGAAAGTTGAGATCGAGAGGAGGCGAATTTGAATTTTGAAGTCTCTTCTGAAAGAAATTGAAGATGTCGGTTGAAAGCTGGGCACTGATGGTCTCCGAATGCATAGTCGAAAGAAATCGCTCGATCCTGTCGGTGGCAACTGAGAGATTTTCCTTCACAAGGGCTTTTTTCAGTCCACAAGAAAAATAAAAAGAATAGATTATTGAGCGAGCCCGTTCCTCGAGAGGCAGATAAGAAAGAATGTTGGGTTCGGTGTTGACTTTGGACTCGCCATCTTTGTACATCTTTTCCAGCAGCGTGAGAAGAGCAAGCGATTTGTCGCTCTTTGGAAGATCGACCGAAGGACTCAGGACAGAGTCGCAAATGTCTTAAATGAAGATGATGATTGCTCTGTCAATGTGATGGTTGAAGAAAGGTACCTTTGAGTTTCTCGTCCGAATAGAGTTTGAAGAAATTGATACTGTCTTGAAAGATTGTGAACTTTTGTGGAAATGAATGCTCGCATGTGAGAATTGTTTTGACGAAGTTGTGGAGCAGGGCCAACGAGTACGGACTGAGGAATTCTTTTTGCTTTAGGAGGGATTGCTGGAAAAGGCACGAAATCGTGCTCCCCAGAGCAGCCGCGGTGGTGCAGCTTCGCGGCTCAGGAGCAGCAATCTCCAGCGCTCGCAGCAGAGTCACAAAGTTATCGCAGCTTTCCCACAAATAGTCGCCGACGATCGGAACCGAAAGCAAAATTGCCTCTTACAAAAAAGTATTTAGCGAGCTTTGAGAATATGGGACTTACCAGGGGCGAATTCTTTGCCGGCCTGTCTCGCAAGAAATTTACAGAAGTGAATGAAGTCGGAAGACGATTTGATTTTCTCTTGGAGATTTTGAAGAAGTTTTTTTTCCGAGTTTGTGCCTGATGTTTGACGGAAGAGGCGGCACAGCGTAAGAAGAAGTTGTTCCTTTTCTTTTTTGAAGAGGGAAAAGTGTTCGGTGAAATTTTCCTGCTGCCCTGACATAATTTCGTTGATTTTAGGGTTAGACGCGTTAAAACGATAAAAACCGGGAAGCCTGGTTTTCGCTAGTTACCTATCAAATAGAGGAAATCCATGAATACTTCTATGACCGTTTCCTCTTCATTCGGACTAAGGAGACAAACAGACGAATCGAGAATCTTCTGATAAAGACAGCCATCCCATCTGATGAGTCGTTTCGCCACGCTGAGCCAGAGGACTTTCCCCTCGCCGTTCAACTCTGCCGTCGAAAATTCCGAGCAAATGAATTCTGAACAAAACATTCCTTTCAAAAATCATATCATAAACTGTTACTGTACCGAAGATGCTTGTAAAGGTCTCGGACGTCTCGCAAATATGACAACCATTGATGAGAATGTAGATGACTTTCAAGGTCCAGTACTTGCGCGTGAAAGAATCAGTCGATTTTTGAACGTATTCGAAGAGCTCTTCTGGTTCGTACTAAAACAGAAGTTCAAATAAAAGAAAAGGAAATGATGAACAACCTTGGCTGCATCTGTGACAAGGCGGACGATTTGCTCTTCTGTTTCTTTCGATTCAGGTGAGGAGGAAGAATTGACGATTTGCTGGTGAATGTCGGGGATTCGCGTTGCTTGACTTCGATTCTTTTCAGCGATTCACAAAAATAAGGGAGATAATTTTAAATGGAAAAGAAGTTGAGAAAATTAACTTTTGAAAAATAATACAAAAATTCCGAAAGTCGGAGTGCTTAACGAAAGCAATTGCATCAAAATAAAACGATTTGATTCTGTGAGAGTGGATTTGGCTGCACTAGATTGTGCTTATCAAATTGGCTGGATTAGAGATAGCCCTTTAGCGACGTCGAGACGGTTCTCAAGGGGAGGATCACCCGGTTCATTTTCAATTCAGTTTCAATCGCTGCCTGACTGTCGAGCGGGTTGTAGAGCTGACTTTGGAGGTTGCTCGACATCAATCCCCTCTAAAGAGATAAAACGTTAGCCTTTTTCGTTCTTTTCTTCCTTTTCCTGCTCATGTTGGCCGAAGAGACTGGCCTTGCCAAACTTTTAGTAAGTAGGCATCCGCCAAAATAGACTTTTTATCAACTTAGTTCTCCATTTTTAAACTAATTTTGCAAGGACACCAGAATCAGATGTGAATAGGGAGGCGGACTATGTTCACTATCGGTGATTTTTAGAAAGAAAAAATAATTGCAGAGGATTGTTAATAATTTCTACTTTTCGCCGATTTTTTCTGTTCTAATTTCCCGAGGTGGAAATTTCTGCACGACTACGGTAATTTGACACGACTAAAATCGACTCGTTTTCCGATTTTCCAATTATTTTTTTTGGTACAGTTTACGAGAGACTATCGGTAAGGAAGAGAGGTCTGTGGGTTGAATCTCTTTCGCGAGCTGGAATTGAGAATCTGGCCGGAGAGAGAGAGAGAGTCGCTCGGGAGCAGCAAGATTGGTAGAGACGCGCCCAATCGCCGCTCTTCTCTCAGTCTGTCAGTCTTTCTTTCTCGCTTTTCCCTTTCCGAGGACATTTCCCTGTCAATCCACAATAATTGTGGTTTTTCAATCTATACATTCGTTGATTATTTCTATTCGCATTTTTTCAACTCACATTAGATTTGCCTTGTCAATCAAATTCGATGATTCTTTTGTGTTAAATATCAATTACTGAAACTACACCGTATCTCATGCCCAAGAATTATTCACAGGAAGTTTACGGAGAGAAAAACTCATTGAATCCAACAGTTATTGTGGGATTTATCCAAATTTTATACACAATTGATTCGGTGAGAGCTTAGCTGTATGTTTAATACTTTGTTAATTCTCCTGTTCGTTACTGTGAGAACACAGTAGAGGAGAAAACCGTACTGTTAGATCTTGTGATTGATGAGACGAATCGTAAGACGCTTAAAAATATTATTGTTTTCAGAGGAACAATATTTTTCATCGAATTTGCGTCCGTAGCAGCTTTGCGTCTTCTCGTAGAGCAACAGTTACTAGCATACAGACAGTATTCCGCAGCATGGTAAGACACGCAGCTAGAGACGGACGCTTTCTAGAACGGAGGCTATTTTCGACTAGAAGTTGCGTCACTTCCCGAAAGTTCGGGAGCCTAAATTATCGAGAGTATCCCAATGACGTTAAATTCTCAGACAAACTTTCCCGTCGGAGGAATTCTGCCCAAGGATGAGACTGGAGTCGCGCAACTACTCGCCGAGAAACCCTACCTCGACGGGCGAGGACAAATCGTCGCTGTCTTAGATCAGGCAATGGCTTACAAAAAAAAGAAAACCATTTTACTAAAAATAATCGTTCAAAACCATGATAAAAGGGCGTAGATCCCGGCGCAGCTGGCCTCATCGTCACTTCTGAAGGAAAACCAAAGGTCATTGACGTGATCGACACTACTGGCTCTGGAGATGTGGATACGACCTCTGTGGCGAAAGTCGAAATCGCCGAAGATGGCTCGAAGTTCCTCACTGGCCTTACTGGCAGAAAACTGGTCCTTCCCGCCGAATGGAAGAACCCGAGCGAGAAGTGGAACGTAGGAGTTATCGACTTGACAAAGATCTTCCCAAGCTACCTAAAGAACCGAATGAACAAGACCTGTAAAGACGAGGAATGGTCGCCAGCTTACAACAGCGCGCTCTCGAACGCACAGGACAACGTCAACCAAACTACGAGTTTGGACGTTACTGTCCTCAAGAATCAGATGAAAAAAGAAAGCGCCAAGGAAACGTTGGAGGCGCTGAAAAAGCTCAACTCAGGATGGAAGAACCTGAGCTTCATCGCCGACGTCGTCGTCTGGAACAATGGAGAGGAGCTTGTCGCCGTTCTTGACTCATCGTTTCGCGGCGACTTGAGCTCTTGCAAAGTGATGCGTGATTACGCCACTGCGCAAGAATGGCACAAGCTCAGCGAGGAGACTCAGGTGGGTTTCAAAATTAGAGGGACAAATGCCTCAATTGAGCCAATCACAAGCTCGTATTTTTTAAAGGATGCACCCTCTTGAGGATGAAAAAACGCGATAACTCCGATAATATTGAATATATCGGAAATTCCAATGTTCGAGGCAAAGAGCATCAGATTCTGAACAGATTGATAATTTATTGTCTGGGGGTTCTATGGCTCTGGTCGGAGCTAGAGCAAAAGTAGTTTTGTCCCTCTAATTTTGAAACCCACCTCAGCTCAACTACAATTTCAAGATTTTCGACGACAAAATGGTCCAGGTCGTTTGCCCCAGCGGCTCTCACGGCACCCACGTCGCCGGAATCGTCGCCGCATATCACCCAGATGAAGAGGACAAGAATGGCATTGCTCCCGGTGCGCAGATCATTTCCGTCAAGATTGGCGACTCCCGATTGAATACCCTTGAAACGCAGGCAGGTTTCATTCGAGGCCTCCGAGCGGCTGTTCGTGGCGGTGCTTCCATCGCTAATTTCTCCTATGGCGAGCCGGCTAAATATCCAATGAAGGGCGCTTCAGCGCGTGAAATCACAGAGTGCTATCTCAAGCATAAAATGCTCTTCATCACATCGGCTGGAAACTCTGGCCCCGCTCTTACAACAGTCGGAGCTCCAGCTTCTATTTCCGATCATCTTCTTTCCGTCGGTGCTTTTGCCGCGCCCTCCTCCCACTTGCCATGCTATTCGTTGAAGGAACAAGGTCACGAAATCAACTACACGTGGTCCTCTCGCGGCCCCACCCAGGACGGAGGTGTTGGCGTCAACGTTTCAGCTCCCGGTGTTGCCATTACCGCCGTTCCCACCGCCACGTTAATGAATAATCAATTGATGAACGGGACTTCAATGGCGGCTCCCTCTGCTGCCGGCGCCGCTGCTTGTATTCTCAGCTCGTTGAACGGCGAAGAATGGACCCCCGCTGGACTGAAGCGAGCTATGGAAAATGGCGCACGAACGATTCCAGGCGCTGAGAAAGAAACCCAAGGACGTGGTCTCATTCAGGTCCCCAAGTCTGCCGAAATCATTAAAAACGTTGATTCCGCGCATTATCAGCTGAAAGTTTCCGGTGGAAAGCGTGGCGTTTATCTTCGAGAACCATGGGAAACCGAAGAGATTCAGACGATTGCCATGTCCGTCAAGCCGAGTTTTGTTCACCAAAAACCCAAGTCTGAAATTGTCGCCTTCGAAAAGCATTGTCTCATCAAGAACCCGGCGAAATCTTGGATCCGGGCTCCTGAATTCATTCATCTGAATTCCGGAGAGAAGCACTTCTCAATCGAAGTGGACCCGACGCGTCTTCCAGCCGGAGATTACCGCTCGGCGCACCTCACCGTCGTCGAATCCGGCAACGAACAAGAGGTGCTTTTTGTCATTCCTGTGACAGTTGTCAAGCCACTCGAGCTCGATCCAGGCGCAACCAAACAAAAGGAGCTCAACTTTTCACCTGGACAAATTGAGCGTCAATTCTTCAAAGTCCCAGTCGGTGCTAGCTACGCGAAGGTTTACCCTTTGGTTGTTATAAAACATCAACTTTGGTTGTTAAGGTCACTGTAGCTGCTACTGGATCTGAGACTGGCCGTTTCATGGTCCACGTCGCCCAGCTTGAAAACGAGAAGCACTTTGATGTAAAAACCGAAGAAAAGTTCTACTCACTCAACTCCACTGGTAATATCTAGCGTTCAAAACAATATTATAAAATATTCTTCAGAAGCACCAAAAGTGTTTGCTGTTCCAGTGAGTGAGTGTGGCACAGTGGAGCTTACTCTCGCCAAGTTCTGGTCGTCGCAAGGACAGTGCACTGCGCGCTGGTCGATCGAGTTCGGCGGCCTCTCCGTGACTAGTCCGACGGATCTAGCTCAATGCGCCAATGAGTTCATCATCAAGTCCCCTCTTCCCGAAAAGATCTTGCCAAAGGCAACTTTCGACCAGCTCGTCATTCCCATGGCGCCGCAGAATGTTTCCATCTGTCCGATCGAGTCACTTCCATACGATAAACCACTGAACGAGGCCGAGCGAACTTTCCTCGCAAAAATCGACTACTCCTTCTCTCTCGGCTCCAAAAGTGATATCACGATGAACTGCCCAACCCTCGAAGGGCTCCTCTACGAGTCCGAATTCTCGGAAACTCTCATTCATGTCTTCGATTCGCACAATAAGCACGTTTTTACGACAGAAGTTCTTAAGCCATCAAGCTGGAAGGTTAACCTTCCAAAGGCTGACTACAAGGTGCAAATGCACATCGCTGGTAATTAAAATAAACAAAAAAACTCAATTTTTAATTTTATAAATTTCTCGCAACTAGTTACTAACGATAGTAATTACCTTTTTGATGATTATACGTTCTTTCATTTTTCGTTTCTCGACTTTTTGTTTCTCTCTTATCTAGGCACGAATTACACGCTGCTGGAATCTCTGAGCAAAAATCTACAACTTGATGTTCTCCAAAAACTCTCCAAGCCAGTTGCCGTCGATGCGTTCTGGAAGCATATGGACGCACTGGCGGGTGCACCCAAGGAAAGAATTGAAAAATATTTTTCCGTAAAAAAGTCGTGTCTCACAGACGGTGACGTCGCCTTTAGACTTTGACATAAATAATCACTGTGATGGCATTTGGAACTGATTCTAGTTGTCTTGCAGACTCCGTTCTTTTTTTCAATTTTGCCAAGGCAAAGGACAAAACTCTAAAGCCTAACACACCCGTATCGCTGTACCTGGGCCCTGGAATGACGGAGCTGGATCAGTCCGACCTTGCCAAGGCCGAAGGCGGTCGATACTTGAAGGGATCACTCACCATCCTCAAGGATGACGTAACCAAGAAGGTCGAGAAACACAGGTACCCTGCTGACAACAGCGGTTTTACGCCCTGTTTATTTGAGCATCATCTCAATGGCGTTGTTGTTTTTGCGCGAGTTGTATCATGTAAAGCGCTGAGCTCAGCATGTCGCAAGATACTCAAAAGTGATTACTAAACGGATTTCGTTCAGCATTCGAATGAGCCTTCGCCCGCGCGCCAAGTCCAAGACTGACGCCCCGCCAAAATCTGAAAAGGACAATTCGATCGAAACAATCGAGCGCAACGCGAATGTCAGCTGGGTCAAGGCTGGCCATGGCGGTTCCGACTACTTTAAAGTTGCCGTCGAGAAGTACCCCGATCATGTCCCTCTCCATCACGTAATTGCTCATTTTCAGACATACTCATCTTCAACGATTTTTTAGGCTAGGTTGCAGTTTTTGACCAAAGAGTCCAAGGTCGGAGCCCCTGTCACCACTGACGAGGTTGCCAAGCTCTGCGAAGTCATCGAGCAACTTGTTGATTTGAAAACAGCCATTTACAATAGCTCCATGAAGGTAATCCAAATTTCATTAAAGGATTCTGAGATGTTCTTTTCAGGGCAAGCTCACCGCTGATGAACAGAAACTGGTAGATGCGGCTAAAGAAGAAAAGGCGGCTCTTCAGCTTGCCACTGTAACGAAGATCAGAGCGAAGCTTAGCCAACACGAGAAGGGTGGCGATGACTCGGCCGTGTTAGAGCTACTCAAAAACCTGTTGAGAATGAATGACTTCATCGCAGAGGGCAAAGACAAAGAAGTCCTAAAGATGAATGTAGAAGTTGGAATGCGACTGGGATTCCCTGGCCTTTCACTCAAGGTACGTAGATAAATCGTGGTTTACGTCTTAGATCATTAAACTCTTCCGTTGTAACAATTTACGAGCTCCAGGATGTTCGCATCTCTTTCAATATACATTTTTAGGCTGTCTCGAAGCTAACAGCCGACAGCGACTCAAAAGACCTTGCAAAAACGTTAGCATCACTGTATTCGGACTTGGGATGGGATTTTGCTGCAACGAACCAAGAGCAGAAGATCGTCGCCGACTTCCCTCATGCCCAGCTCTTTCTCTAAATAGACCCAAAATCGTTATTTCTTTCTCGTGCTAGGTCCAAGCCTGTCTTTTGTTTTCATAGGCTAGGACTTACTAAGACTCTATATTCCAAAAACCTAGTCACAGCTAAGTACCGCTGTGCCCTTTTATGCAACTTTAAACATGTTTAAAAAGTAACCTCAAACAAGCGAAACAACCTATAAAGAATAATATCATTTGTCTCTTAGTTCTATTTTTAATTTCGAATGCAATGCTTCATATTTTTAAGTTTCTATCTTCTCGAAGTTCACTTTCAAGAAGTCCACAATTCCGGAGTTCATATTGTTCCGTTTCCACTTTTTGATATTGAATAAATTTCAAGCTATAAACGTGTGTGAGTGTTAGAGTAGTAGGTTTACCAGCTGTACTAGACTGTCCCCAATGAGACAGTCAGAGCACTGCCGATTATTGTTGATGATCTGGAGTTGAAAATTGCAGACGTGAGTTAAGAATGAGCGAAGTTGTGAAGCTGATCTTATGCGGCGACTCGGCTGTTGGCAAATCCAAATTGGGTAAATAGAAGCTAGATGTCTAGATTTCAGCGGCTCGTAGCTTCACTTTTCATGCTCTCATCAGATCATAATTCACATCCATTTCATCACACTTAACTAATTTTGCTTTTAAAACACTCTTGTATTCGAAATGCCACGATTTCAAAAGCCGCAAAATAAGAAGAAAATGAGTGTTTACCATTCAGAAAAAAAATGAGTGAAATAACATCAATCATTCGTCTTTCAAAACAATCGAAACTAAATTGTCAATCCTAGTCGAGAGATTTCTCATGGACGATTACAGCAAGCACACGTCCTCGACGTACGCCATCACTAAGTTCACACAAGACGTAGACGTCGATGGTCAAAAAGTGAAGGTGGATCTGTGGGACACCGCAGGACAGGTACTTTCATTCTATCCAAAGAAGAACAAAGTCAAAATGACCCGTATTTAGGAACGTTTTAAAACGCTCCATTCGGGCTTTTATCACGGTGCGCACGTGGCAATTCTAGTGTTTGACTCGACGCGCAAAATAACGTATCGAAACCTGCAGGACACGTGGTATCCTGAATTAAGAAAATATCGCGAGAATATTCCAGTTCTAGTTATCGCAAATAAAATTGATGAAAATCAAAAAGCAACGACGATCAAATTTAATTTCCCAGCCAAGCACGGGCTCTACATGAATTACACATCTGGTAAAATAAGAAACAGCTCTGTAGAGAAAAGTATATCACCTTTAGCGGCTGACGGACGAAACGTAGTGAAAGTTTTCCACGACGCACTGCGCGCCGGAGTCAAATACAAGAAAGACACTTCTTTGCACAGCTTCAGCGAAATGATCACACAAGAGCTCGACCAGTGGGACGATTCCGACGAAGATGCAAGTTAATTACCCTTACTCAGCCTCGCTAGATTCCCTTCTCTCATTCTTCGTAGCCTTTTCGCTGTTCCGCGAGCCGTTAATTTGTTTCCTTACTATTTCAACTCCCCGTTCGATTTTCTGTTTTGATCTCCTCACTGTTGCGCCTTTATATTTTTCTAGCAATGATTTTTATTTTTGTTATGTTTGTTAAAATCCTCGTCTTAATATCGTTGATTCTAGTTGCTCGAAATCGGTAATGTAAGAGATGTCCGGACGAAGTGAAAGTCGATCCGAAACTCCTAGTGAGAAGGCGCCAGAAAAACCACAAGAAACGGAGAAAATGACTCTTCCAGAGGTTGTTGTCTCTTTTCTTTTAGTTTCTAAAGACATCTTTCAGGAGAGTAGTGCTCCACCTACTTCTGGAACTCAAGCTGCACCAGAAGCAGCGAAAAAGGAAACTCCGATAGAACCCTCGCTGGCTCCAAAGATTCCAGCTCTGCAACCGGGCTGGCCTGAAGGTCCCGTGTCTACGCCTAGCAACCCTAATTGGTCGTCACAACCGACAACGCAGCAGAACCCAGCGACGTCACAGTCAGTAGGTCCCAATTGGGACGTCCACGTTGATCAGTCAAAAGCGTGGGATAGCGATGACAAAGGCAAGGCGCCGCCAGCCGCGCCGGGACAGAACCCATGGCCGACTACGTCCGCTTCGCCGGGAACTGACGTCTGGAACCCGTCCCGTCCGAATAGTAAAGGGATTTAAACACGAAGGTTTTTCATTTGAACTTTAGATTCAGCACAATGGGGGCCACCTCCGCAAGCAACGCAGCAGCATCCGCAACAATCTCTTCCAACCTCATGGCCACAGCATCCATCGAGTCAGCCGACGAACTCGACGCCAACGCAATCATTGCCCTCCAGTATGCCCTCAACGATCGGTAATACCAGCCAAATACCGCCGAATCCAGCAAATCCTAACTGGGGTCCGCCATCGCAGCACCCATCTCAGGTACATTTATTATACTCAATTTGAATTTACAGTCGAATTTTAGCAGAAAAGCCAGCAGCCGGCGCAGAATCCGTCCGGAAGCTCTGCTCAAAACTGGGGACCAGGCCCTTCGACACCCAGTCAAACAGGCGAGAACAGATCCGGCCCATGGGGCCCTGGATCTAGCGGGGATGCTCCAGCGACATCAGTGCCTCAGAGCGCTGCTCCTCCAAGCTGGAACACTCCTGGAAGCACACCCAGTACATCGCAGCCACAAACGCCTAATTGGGGTGCTCAGGGAGAACCCAGAGGTTCTTCATCCAGTTGGGGAACGACAGGTAATTTTAACTTTTCTTTTATCATTAACAATAACTTCAAAGGAATCGACGGAATCGGTCTCAGTTCTTTTGGAGACTCCCGTCAACTCAAATTACCAGGTTTAAATCTAGACGAATTCTTAGTTGACCAAACTGTTTAGACATTTCGCATCTCTCCGAAGAGCAGCAAAAGCTTATCAACAACAACGAGGGCTGGGGTAAACGGCCAATTTCTCAGAGCACTAAATGGGAAATCTCAGAATCAAGCCAGCATGATTCTAGACCGAGATTACCATCGCAGGCGACTGGAACTGAACTGTGGGATCCGAAAGTAAATAAGATTTTTTAAATATTATATCATGAATTTATCTCAAGGGCCCTGTGCATATGAACCAACGTGAACAACCGAGCGGTCGAAATCCAATGTGGCCACACGCACCTTCTGGTCCAGGCGAGCCAAGAGAAAGTTCCTGGCCCAGTAGCCACAATCATCCTGGCAGCGGCATGAGAGTATGACTGAAAACAAACTTCCCAAAGACTAATCATGCGTTTCAGTACCCTAGCGACCACTGGCCTCGCGATCCGGTCGCCCATCAGCCCGTTCAACGGCCTCCATGGCCGTCGCAAAATCCATATGACTCGGTCAGTTGCTAAAATCATTCACAAAAGTTTAAACGATTTTAGGACTGGCCACAGAACAGATCACAGCATAACAATGATCCAAGCCCCTGGGATCCCCCACCAAGGTGCGTCTTTACACGACTTTCAGCTTCTTTAACCCGTTAAGGCCGTCTTATCCCAATCCTGGAGGTCGCGGCGGATACGGTGGTGGCCGCGACTGGCAGCATCATGACAAGAGACCGAACGAAAACATCAGTGGCTGGCCAGGCGATGTAGGCTTTATGTTGAAATGGGGTCCGGCATATTTTTTTCACGTTCTAACTTTAATACTTCTTTCACTTTTGTTAATTTTAAGCTTCTAAGATTATATTTGACGATACGTTTCGTACGTTGATGATCTTCAGGCTATTAAATCACAGGTATAGACAGTCAGGCTTTTGAAATAGCTTTAAAGTAGTCCCATCAAGTTGCTTTTACATCTAGCTTTTCTTGATTACGCTCTTCGATTACTAATTAAAGAAATGCCGTGCCCAAATGGGAAAACTGATTTTTAACGTTATTTAGTCGAGGAGGCCGAACCCCGGAATGCCGAACTATATAAATGTAAGATTTACTGTTTTTTGATCATATACCATGATAACTTTAGATCTCTAATGCGTTGAAATACAACCTGTTACCTGGGAATATTCGCTCACAGATGCAAATGTGCAGCAAAGATACGCTCGAACAGCTCGACAGACTTTGCCAGATGCTCCTCTCAGAATGGGGCAAGCGAGAGTCACTTGCTAGCAACATGAATGTAAGTCCAAAGCTGTTTCTTTCTCGCTCCTACTGTCTTTTCAGCAAACTAATTTCACCTCGTATCAACAACGACAGCAAATTGAGCAAATGATTAACCATCATTCAAGCAATGAACAGGTTTTTGACTATCTGGAAAGAAACGAACTAACTATTTTTGAAGAAACACAGAAGCGATATTATGTCACTATTGAATCCCGGTTTTGGCGGTGGTCACCGTGGTGGCCATCCTGGAAGCAGGCCGTTCCCTCATATGCCAGACCCGTAAGAAATCTCTTCAAGAGTTCGTTTTCACACTATTTTCAGCGCTTCTAGCTTCCCACAGGAACCTATTTGGGGATTACCGAAAGAGACACCAAAGCCTCATGATCTTGACCCTGATATGCCGGTAAGAAAATTATTGAAGACTCTAAAAGAGCTGGATGAATTTCTTATCAACATCATTTAGCCAATTGGTGGTCTCAATTTGAACACTCCAAAACAGAGCGACGTAGTGATACCACCCGCGTTCGTTCCTGGACAGAGATGGGAAGGTGCCAAACCTCAGATGGAGCTCGAAAGAAATAAACCAATCGGAGAGTATCAGCAGAGCATTCCCGCCATCTTCAAGAATACTCCCAGCAGGGTAAACGATCAACAGTGCTCGCAGCGTCATAGTAAACAATTTTAGGAAAGCAAATGGTCCGATTCTGCGACTTCGGACAGTCCAAGCTGGGGCAACTCGAACATGCGCGAGATTTGGAGAGGTGGACCGCGGGGTGGAAGCGGCGGCCACTGGGCTAATCATCCTGACAGTAATCAGACTTGGGGACCGCATGGTAACTTCAAGCGCAAATGATTCAACGCTTTGAATGAAGCTTTTCAGAGTAAAAGACTCCTCCCCGCCTTGGTCTGACCCTAATACGCTACAAGTTCCTCTTGTCACCACAAATCCATCCAACTTTAAACAAACTACAAAAAACAACACCAAACTTGAACTGCGATGCACGAACCCCTCGTCTCGGTGCACACCCTTATGTTTAATTAGCAAATACTCTGCCTAAACGTCTTAATCTCCTTCACTGCTAGAACCAGTCGTGAACCGCGAATTTGCTCAGCCAAAAAAGAGCTCACCTCGGCGAACTTTTTTCACTTTTGAAAATTCTTTCTTCAAATCTAATCTTCTTGGTATCGTAAAGCGTGGTTTCTTCTCGGTTTCGTGACGGTCCCGAGTCTCGATGAAGGAGGAGCTCATCCAGTCCCTCCCGATTCCAGCCAAAGACCTTTGCTTGTTCCACCGCCGCTTACCTCATAAATTTTTCGCATTTTATTTTAACCAACCGTTTCAGACCAGATAATCCCTAAGCACGGCCGTTCTACTGCACCCTGTACTACTTTTTCTACCTGGATTTTCTCAATTTTCCGGGGCTGCTTTTATTGTGCCTACCTAACCTATCCGAAACACCAACAACCCAAACACACATCTTTCGGGCATCACTAGAACAACCCCACCAAGTTAGGCAAAATCAATTCTACACTCTAAAACACCCATTCTCGCTAATTGACAAAAACCCACTGACCCAACTCAAACCTTCCCACGAATTCTAACTCGATGCCCAGGACACAACTTAAAATCACCAAAAACCGTTCATTATAAATTCTCAAAAATTAAAAAAAACAAATTCTAATTCGTCGTCCAAGTGCAGTTTTCAACTGCGCGCTTTCAAGAAAAATCTCAATGAAATATAAAATAAAATGCTTTTTTTTTCCATATTATTTTTTCTTGCTGGGGACGCGTCAAGTGAGCTCAACGTTCCGACGAGCTCAAGGGCTTTCTTGGGCTATAATTGGCTGCCCCCGATCGCTCTCCGTCCTCGGTGTATATGCCCGGTTATCCCCGGTCGATTTATGATCCATTTATATAAACATGAAGTTTTGAAGCTGCTTTTACTGTAACGGGAGAATAATAAGCTGCCTCGCCTCAAATATTAAACTCCAGTTATACGCCCCGCATCCAGCAAAGTTTTCAACTTATTTCGTCTTTTTTTATTCAACCACATATATTTCTAACAATTCGGGCTGTAAGTTCCAAAGTTCGGAGAGTCGCTAAACCTTGACCGCGAAGATGCTAATAAAAAAAAACTTAAAGCAATCTTCCAGACATTGTAGTTCCATCTTTCAGATGGAGTGTCTCGTAGTGCGCCAAAAAATCCCTTGCCAATGTACTTCTGTCATTCCGAAGAGTGCTTCAGAAAGCTGTCTGCACTGGGACAACTCATCTCGTTAGTCTCGTGTTTTCGCTGCTCTCCTTACTTACAGTAGTTTGTCGTTTTTACAATTTTCAGTTTTTTACTCCCTGCGGATTGATCTGTTATCGAGCGTTCAAGCATGGTGAATTCTTCTTTTTTAAATTTCTTTAACGTTATTTTTTGCTTCGTAATCGTGCTAGGCCTACGTCCGTTCTCGTCTTTCCAACATTTTTCTTTTCCTCTTTTTCGCGCCAGTTGTTTTTCCGAAACTGTTTTTTAAAAAATTTCTCCTATTGAGACTTTAATTTCCCTACCTTGAATTTTCCAGTGCGGGTTTTGCCATTGATGACATAAGGTGGCTTCTCTGGCTCAGCCCGGCGCGCCCGCTACTGAATGTAACTTCAACCTTTTTTTCTATTTTTTAAATGTGCATTTTCGTCTTGCGACTATCTATAAAATCAAAATGAAATATTCTGCATTACTCGAAATGTTTGACTTGTCCTCGCTGCGAAAACAAATGAAAACATCAAAAATCGTTGAGCCTAACCCTGCCCTATCCAAAACGAAAAAGATTGAGCTTCAAACTCTCTGTGCCTAGTTCACCGACTTAACTGTAGCCCGGCCTCTCGGTCCCGCCCGAAACAACTGCAAACAGGGGCCACACTTTCCAAAGCCAATGCCTACAATTAATCAAGTTCTGCACTAACTTACTCACTCCTGAAGCAGGGCCCGTTCACTCTGGAGTTTCAAGCTATTTTTTCTTTGATTTCCGTTTGTTTCATTCGTCTGTTTCGCCCTCTCGTGGAGAAATATATATTTCTTATGCCATCATGTTAAACTGAAACTATATTCATACCCATTATCGCTTCCTTACGCTCCCCGCTTTCAGAACACTCGAGATGGAGCCCAAAGATCTCAACCTCAAAGTCATGAGGATATCAAAACCGGTTCTTCACGAGCGCGTCCCGATTTTCTCAGAAGAAGACAACGATTTAGAAGAGTCTGATGCCTCTGGACTTAGTTCTGCTTATTTGATGCCGAACTCTGTTGGCGACTTTTATTTAGGAGAGCCCGCTCATTTCTTGCTATCCATTCAAAACATGTCTAATCCACCGATTCAGTTCTCCGATGTGAAGGTCACCGTCCAGGTATTTTTCTTTTCATAAAAATAGAACTCAGTCAAATTTTAAAGACAGAATCAAGAAACGCCCCACGAACAATAAATGGCGACGTTGCAATAGGCGTACTAGCACCAAATGAGATTCGAACGACACAAGTAAAAATCGACTGCCGTTATCCCGAAGAAATGAACATGCTTTGCGCAGTGGAGTACTCACGGGATGGACAGCCGGGCAACTATCGCCGCAAGTATTTGCTCCCAGTTCGAAAGCCTTTTGACATTTCTTGGCAATGGACAGCTCTGGCGAAAGGGTCAGCAATGCTCAATGTAATCATCACCAACAAAGTTGTCGGACGTACTGTTCTGTTCCAAACTTGCGCGCTTAACAACAGTGCAGGGGAGAAAAGGTGCAACATCACAGCGCTAAACAGTGGCGAGAAGAAGCCTATCGAAGTGGACACGGTATTTTCAAGAGGATTCATGGTTGAGTCTGTTGATGGCAATGATTTCACCACAGAACTTCTTTCGCTCGATTTGAAATGGTTGCCTTCAAATGGCCAAGTTGGACATATTCAGTATTCGCAGATAAAACCAAAGGTATCGTGACAAATCAACTCGAGTTCTCTTCCATGATTTCAAAGGAAATGACTTCACAATCTCGCCAATTAGTTCAGACATATCCTAATCTTCTTATTCAAGGTAGAGAAGAGGCCAAAGCTGGAACTTTCGATTCACAACCTGGACGATCAGCCTTTTCCACCCAAGTGCAACGAAGCCTTTTCATTTTCTGTGTTTATCTGCAATCAGACTGAACGCGTTATGGAAGTCGAAGTGCTTTTAGACAGGTTAACAAATATTATTCCATCTCATTTTGACTTTGATTTTTCAGTGATGAGAGCGAGTCGATCAAGTGGAACTGCGTTTCAAAGTTTGATCTTGGCAAGCTTGCTCCTTCTGCTCAAAAAACAGTTTCTCTGAGCGCGATTCCTCTTCTCAAAGGCTTCCACTCACTCCCGTCTATCATCGTCAACGATCACTTGCTGAATCAGACTTACGCCTTCCGCGATTTCTACCGCGTCCCTGTCTCCTAGTCAATTTAGAATTCGGAAATCAATTAAACCCGTCGATATCTTCATCTCTTTCTGTTTCATGCTCATTCTCATTCGTGCGCCGATTTCTCGCTGTAAATAATAAATAATTAACTTATTCGAAAGTCGCATCTTTCAGTTACACAATGTACGTAGTTGTCATGGTTGGCCTTCCGGGCTCAGGGAAATCAACTTTTGCTAAGCAGCTCTCTCAGGCATCAAACTTCAAGCTCTTTGAGCTCGATCAAGTTTTCGAAAATGATCCCTACAGTAAGGGCGATTGACAATTGACAATTTAAGCTTCACGGTTCAGATGAGAAGATCAATCGCCAATACGTGTTTGATCAGATAGAATCGCAATTCGAGCAATTTTCAAAAAATAACAAAGAATTCGGATGCATTGTTGACGATCTCGGTCACCTACGCTCGATCCGGCGTTTTTGGTAGGTCTATGACCTCTTAAATTTCGTTGATAACTCTTCTGAGGTTCAATCTGGTCTGTGAGCATCAGGATCGTCGAATAATGCAGGGTCAATACAATATTTATGAGCATGATAGTGATTAAGATTGTCTTGATCCTTTTATCAGTCTTTATTGAAATAGCCACCCCCGCGCATGTATGTAAAGAAAGAAATGGCTTGAGAACACATCCGGTCCCAGCGCAATCAATGGAAAAAATTATCCAAACTTATGAATCGCCCGGAAACGAATACTTCGAGAAAAACTTAGTGCGCCTCCGCTCCATTGATTCCCTGTCGATCGAGATTGTGCTCCGTGCAATTCGTAGTTCTGTGTTCATCGAGCTTAGGAAGCAAGAAAAATGCCAGACAGAACAGAGTCAGCAGCACTTAGTTTGGGTTAAAGCATCCTTCTTTGTGATCAAAACTATTAGCCATGTAAAGCCCTTTTGAAAGTAGAAATCGCCATTCGGAAAGAAATATCGGAACGAATTAAAAAGTGTTCGTCCCCCTCTTCAAAAAGAAAACTTGCCAGGAGTCTCAATTCGCTCAAAACTAGACTTTTGAATGATCCCTCAAACCTTTCTCTTTCCGATTTCAGTCGACTAGCTGACGAGTTAGATTAGGAAACGCTGCATTTTAAATGAATTATTTAACGATTTCTTGAGCTAGAATGGCAGACTCGGGCTCAAATCCTGAAGAGGGTTCGATCCCCAACGAATCGGTTCAATCAGTTGGCCAGAGTTTCATCGAGCCAACAGGCGAGGAAATCAACGACACCGCCGTTATTGACAGCTTCGAGGACACTGGAAAACCGTCCGTTCCTGTCGACGGGAACCAGGCCGCTGGACAAGGCGCTGCTCCACTACCAGGAGTGAGTGGTGCCGCCAATGCTACTAATACGGACTTTTTCAACCAGGTATTGGACTGAGTAATCTACTTGTTTAATCTATGTATTCGTGGTGCTAAATCAATTTCGCTCACTTTGAGATTCTTGAATCCAAGAATTTCGTGTTTAATCAGTTGTTGTATTTGGAATAAAATCAGTATTCGTCCTAATTACTAAGTTCTTTGTTTCAGAAAGTTGTGTTAACAAATAATTTCCTTATCAATCTGTTTCTTCTCAAATTAGTCCTAGATTCGAAAAGAAACTACTTTACCAACCTCGAAATTCACTAATTCTCTAGAACGCTCATTTGCATTAGCTTTTTTCTACGCATTTGAATTGAGATTTTCTTTTTTCTCCCATATTTGGAAAAAAAGACAACGAAATGGGGACAAGTGCGTCTCCAACAGCCCCGACGAAGACAGAGATTAAGCCGTCTCGTGCGGTTATGCACAACCGTTTTCAGGAAAACTCGTTGATTAAAGACCCAAAGAAAACAAGGCTCATCTCACCGACGATTCGACAACCTAGAGGAACTAAGAAGATCAAGCCAAAAGTGTACATTCCAGTGATGATTGGTATCCCAACTCCGGTGCTCGTGAGGCCCGAATTCGACCCCGCACTAGATTTCAATTTTTACGACCCTTCTCTTTCTCCGCCATTGCCTAGCCCGTTCTTTGACTATGGTTACTCTTCAGGAATTGCGTCTCCTTGGAGCTCAAGTGGTTTCAGCAGTTCTACAAGCCCCTGTATCTCCCCCTTTTTTTCTCCTAAACCCTGGCACGCCCCGTTCCAGGACTCCCTCAACTCTCAAAACCCCTCACCTAAGAATGCATTTACACCAAAACAATCCTCTGATGCCGGTTTACTAGCTCCTACGCCTCAAATCGCCGAGAAACCAACTCAGACATTGAACCCGAAGCCCATTCCAATCGCCAAGACCAGACCACCTCCGATTATCAAGCCAAAGCTGATTCAACACTCACAACCAAGAACAGCTCTTATTGTCAAGCCAAAGAAAGTTTCCAATCCTAAGCTTATTCCAAAAGCCACGCAAAAACCACCTCCTGCTGCCAAGCGAAGCTATAGTGCCAGTGTTCGAGGAGTTCAAAAACCCAGACTAAGCCCAGTAAAAGCCCAGAAAAAACTTACCTACAGCGACAGTGTCAAGCGATCTCTAACTGCCAACCCAGAACAAACCCAAAACAATTCGTACTCAGCCGGCAAACATTCCAATCCCAGAAAGGATATCAAGAAATCGTCAAAAGGGCAAGTTTATAAACCCCCACATCTCAAGAAGCGCGAAGCTGCTGAAAAAGCCGCTCAAGAGTCTGCCAAAGAAGCCGCCGAAAGAGCTGCTAAAGAGCCCACTCATGTAGCAGCCGAAGAAGTAAGAAAAGAAGACCCTATAGGTCCAGAAAACTCACCAAAGAAAAAAGAATTTTTGGCGCTTTGTAAACCCTTCAGGCAGCCGGAAGAACCAATTCTCTACCGCCGTGAGCCACTTCTCAAACCTCCGATGCCTGCACAAGCTCCCAGACAAATGGGTTTCGGTGTAAGAACTCACCAATTAATGTCACCGTTCCAGTTCTTCCGCGAACGACAGCAAGCTGAAAAGAGAGGGGTTATTATTACTCCCAATTATCGACAGTTATCAAGTTACTGAGATTTCGGTTTTCGCTGATATAAGATAATCAATTTGAATGACAACTACTTCAGTACTTTCCATAAAGAATTTAATTCTATTATCTCATCAAAAGCCGTCATCTTCTTTTTTTTTCAGTTATCTCAGACTCTGAGTCAGAGCAAAGCGTTTTTTTTGTAAATTACCCATTTTTTTCATTCACTGCATGCGATAATCAATCACAATTAACTAACATTCAATCTCCTAGCTCAGAGTGAGGCTCTCATGCCAATGATTTCTAGCTATGGTGAGTTAACGCCTTCCTAACTCAACTTTTAGCTGGACATGAGCACGCTGCTTCAAAATCAAGCAACTTTGAGCCTTTTGCAACAACAACAGCAGCTCCTTACCGGCCAAGCTCCAAACACTGCCCAAACAAATCAAGCAAATCTCTTGCTTGCTGCCCAGCTGGCTCAGCTTCAGTCCCTTATGCCTTGGGCTCCCGCAATGGCACAAACTGCTCCCCCAGCAGACTTGTATGCACAGCTAGGCGCTACTGCTCAACTGCTTAATCCTTTTATGGGCTTTCCAGTAAGTAAAAACATAAAATTTAAATTTTTTTCTTTTATGAAGAACTTATGCCAACTAATCTTCTTACAGGCTGATGGCATGTACAATCCGCTAGCAATGAATCCGATGACAGGATGGCCAGGCGCCCCGCAATCTCAAAACCATCGTCCATCGCAAAAGACTGCCTCTCAGAATGCAAAAAGCTCAAAGTCAGCTGGAAACAGAAGCCAACAGACGCCGAGCACTTCCGGCAAGTCGCCATTTGGCATGAGCGCGTTGGAGACTCAACTTATCGATATTATCAACGGACAAGCGCAGCAAGGAGAAGGCTCACAAAATGGCGAGGATACCGATAGATACTCGCGCAAGGTTTTTGTTGGCGGCCTCCCGGTTAGTTCACATTTTGATTTTCCTCCTGTTAAATATCGATTCTTTCCAGCCTGACATTGACGAAGATGAGATCCAGGCGTCTTTCCGAAAGTATGGCCCCTTGGTTGTTGACTGGCCTCATAAAAATGAGTCTCGATCGTACTTTCCCCCAAAGGTAAAAACATTTTTTTGTCAAGCTTTTTATCTAATCCTCAAGGGCTACGCCTTCTTGCTCTTCCAAGACGAGGTGTCCGTCCATGGTCTTGTGCAAGTCTGCGTCAAGGAAGACGACAAATTATTCACGACCATCTCCAGTCCCACGATCAAAGACAAGGCCGTTCAAATTCGACCTTGGAACCTAAGGTACGTATCAATATTCTGATCAGCACTTTTCATCTTTATTTAGCGACTCAGACTATGTGATGGATGGTTCGGCGCCTCTCGACCCGAGGAAAACTATTTTTGTTGGAGGCGTTCCTAGGTAGATTTTTTTCAGTCAAATGAGCGTGGACTTTATTTGAATTAGGCCTCTGCGAGCTGTGGAATTAGCGATCATTATGGAGCGTCTCTACGGTTCTGTTTGTTACGCTGGAATCGACACGGACCCCGAACTCAAGTACCCAAAAGGCGCTGGACGAGTGGCCTTCTCCTCGCAACAAAGCTACATCGCAGCCATTTCTGCTCGATTTGTGCAGCTGCAGTACGGCGACATCGATAAGCGCGTAGAAGTAAAGCCTTACGTCCTCGACGACCAAATGTGTGACGAATGCGCCGGGCAGCGATGTGGGGGCAAGTTTGCGCCCTTCTTCTGCGCAAACGTGAACTGCCTCCAGGTGAGTTGGCATTGAAAATCCGCCTTGTTCATTTGGGAAATCGACTCATAATTAACTTTTGTACTGTACCTATATTTATTTAGTATTATTAATAAATATTTATTTATACAAGAAAAAAAAAACTAATAGCTTCATTCATTAACCTATGCATGCGACTCAAGGCTAGTCGGTGCTCGTCACGTAATTCAGAGTGATTAAAATGGAATCCCTTTTAATTACTGAAATTGGTGATTTACAAAAAAACAAACCTTTCAATTCAAAAGAAATTCTTCATTGAATTGTAGTATTATTGCGAGAACTGTTGGGCGTCTATTCACGCACGGCCCGAGCGTGCCTTCCACAAGCCCTTGGTGAAGGAATCCACCTACACGAGGTCGAACAGGACCAGCGGGCAGCAGCAACAAGCGAGTGCCCAAAGCGCCGCCGCCGCCACCCAATCCCAACAAGCCAGCCAGTTCCTGCTCTCGTGAAAGTCATTAGTACTTGATTCTTAAGTTCCTCATCAACTTATTTCTCTGCTAGCTCGTATTGACTTTGCTAGTTTTTAATATCCGAAGTCTTTATTTTTCTTCACAGCGGAGCACTCGTGCCCAAACCCACCCAAACAATTCATTGTCATACTTATTGTCAAGTATAAACCAAAAGTGGATTGCCGAACAAATTTGGCCTTGCCAAATTTATACCGTCTTTGGAGCTATCTTTTTGGCTGCTAACCAAAAGACCTTTTACTAGTTTCGGACCTGTCTTGCTTTTAAAAGACTGTTTTCTAAGAACTGTTTTTGTTTTCATATATTTCTACTTAACGCCGGAACGCATAAAATTTTTTCAACGACGAACGCAGATGGTACCAATTAATTGGTATGCCCCTTTTACCCCTTTTTGACAATGAAACTGATTAGCTCACTGTATAAATGATATAGATAAATGATTCTCAGACGCTAAGCTTCAATTTCATCCCCATATTATACCGATATCATAACATAAATATGAGTAAATATGCGTATTGCCAAATGTGTTGAAATGGCATCGAAGGGCGCTGTACCAATTAATTGGTCGCTGTGCGTTTCGGCGTTAAGCTTAAGCTCGTCTGTTTTTATCAGATACTCGTAATTTTTCATTTTTCTCAAATATATATTTTAATATTTTAACAATTTATTTTTGCGCGGTTATTTTGGCCTGTCATCGCCGCAAAAGTTTTTTATATTTACAAAGGCATCTTTTATATTAAAATAAGAATTCTCAAGTGCATACGTTATAATTGTGTAAATACTATATAAACAAATGGAAAAGCACCTTCTCAACCCCCAAGTGAACAACCCCATGACACTTAATTTTCACTGTGTTACTCCCCGCTGGTGCAACTTTGCTGATTCATATAAATTTATATCTTTTCGTAGAACAGCTTCTTTTCTCTCTTGTCGTGAAGCATTCAGTTCAGGGTAAGACGTTTGCTTAGAAAGACTTCGCCAACTGATGATTTTTAGTAAAGCGACTCTAGATCCCCAAAATAGCATTTTCGAATCTAAAAGCTCAATAAATTCATGTTCTATAAGAGCTTTAGTTTCCCTTAGCAAAGTTCTCTTCCTTGATTTCAGAATAGATTTTTTAAAACCAAATCTATCTATTTTTATAATGTTAAAAATCTAATTCTTGGAAAAACACGAAAAGCTCCCGAATCCCCGTTTCCCATATTTTTCTATAATCGTTTTACTAAAACACATCGGTGAAGGGTTGTACTCAAAGCACGTTCTGCCTATTTATCAGCCCATCGCAAAAACAACAATTACGAAGCAGACCTGTAGAAATTAGCCAGTTGCCGAACTCCTGGAGCTCTAAAGCACTGCTACATTACAGAGGAGATTCTAGCTTCTTCAAAGAGTCCATCGCTTATTTTTTGACTGGTCAGTTTTCAAATTTCTTTCTTCAAAAATCTACCCCTTTCACCTTTCACACTTGACCAAGTTAGTACAGTAAGACGGATTCTAGCTTTAAATGGCAGCCCTTTTCCCCAGAATGTGACATTTCAATGTGCCCTTATTCTTTTTTCTCAGCCGCGGATTTTCTATTTTTCCTTCTAAAAACTCTTGCATGAGCTGGCTGCCGAGATTTTTAATTCGAAACTTTTGACTGTTTAAATTACTGAAACTGTATAATTCAAAAAATATTGCAAACTAAAAACTTTATTAAAAAAAACAAGAATTCTGGAGTTTTCCGACTCTTCCCACCCGCCAGATGTCTTCCCACAACTACTAGATTGATATTTTTCTTATAATCAAAAATAATAAAATAAAAAAGGCTCAAGAAATGCAAAGTGCCTGACAAAGGTGAGAATTTATATATCCGATTCTAGGATCCGCAACCTGTGTAGAAAGCCTGAGTTCAGGGTTTGAGAAAGCTTGCTAAGTTGCTTCATTTTTGTAAAAGCCGGTTAGCTATTCCAAATCCTGACTCAGGTTTCCTACACAGGTTGACGCCCCCAGATCAAAGTGTCTTTCTTTTTCTAACTTGATCTCGCTCTTTGCATTCTTTGTGTCGATTTATACTTATTTATAACATTTGTATGTGTATCTCGCCCACTTTTCTACATTTGTAAAACAATTTCTTCGTTTCGGCATCGCTCGATACCGAAATGCTCATGCCTTATAATAAAAAGCGAAAACAAGAAGTGACTTGGAACGGAACTAATTTCTGTTTCTCTCTTTAGAAATGCAGAAGCCGAAGATGTTGCCAGTTTTGCCGGTTTCGCACCGCATCGACTACTTGTTCGAAGTCGCCGAGACGGTTTCCATCGAAATGATGAAGGAGCGCGACTGCATGATTCTCCCTGTTGAAGCAGTCGCTGATGAAGTGGCCAAGTTGCTACCTGATAGGCCGCAAGGCCAGCATTCGATGCGAGCGCCTGGCTATCTCTTCCGCTACATGCTGGATGTACTGTCGCTTATTGCACCTACTCCTCGGATCGAGTATCGACTGAAGGCGCGGACAAACCGTTTGCTTCACGATGGCACGCACGTCCACCTCTTGAATCAAAAGTACTGGTTCCCCTCGCCGACCTCTTTTATCGCTAGGAGTGCATGCCGAGTCAGATTGCCTAATCATATCACCCGTCATGTCTTCGACCTTACAGTAAACTTCCAGTGCATCCAGGGTTATTGGTACAATCGAAAGAAAGAGAAGGGCTTGCTTCTCACCCCTCTTGGCCAAAGTATCGGTAACGAATCAGTGAGCTTTCTTTTTTATCGTTTGTTTCAGTCGAAGACTACGGCTGCTTCGCCACCTATTTATTAGAACGCTGCAAGCAATACCGACCGAACTGGAGCGAGGAGGACGTGAAATTATACAAAAAGCGTTTGATAGGTCAAATTTTGAATATTTTGGAGAAGCAGGTGAATCACACCACGATCGTGGACATGGCCTATTTGACATTTTATTCGTTCTCGCATGTGCCGATGATTGTGGACACTGAGCTGATCTACAGACTCACCGAATCGGACGCGAAATTCGAAAGAGACGGGCTCTTTTTGAAGAGAGCGGGATTCAGAGGATTTTACGTCAATCCGGGAGAAATGGACGACGAATGGAACTCGCTGGATCCTGAAGAAGACGTAACGGACGACGTAGCGAAATTGGGCGACGATGACATTCTGCAGTCTTCGATCGTCTCCGAAGAAACATGGGAATAGTTCCCTGGATCGCTCTCCAAGAGACTTTTGCCACTTACTGCCCTTAGACTTCATTTATTCCCTCTAGCTGTACATACACGACTGAAAAAGCAAACCTAGTCGAACTTCCTTTTTATTAGAATGGGCGTCGAAAATGATTCTGCGACGCTGGAAATTAGCAAGAAAAGGAGACTCGGGTTTGACAAGAAGCAAGCGACGTTTTCGTCTATGTCTTCGTCGCTTATGATGACGTCCGCTCTGCGACAGAAAGAACGATTCAAAGCGTTCGTAGAATTCTCGACGGCGATAGACGAAAAGCTAAGAAAACTGCATTTGAACATGACCGAGCGGGTGTTTCGGGATATTCTGATGTATGTTTCTGAAGTAGAAAGCCTCATGGACGCGGAACGAGTGATCGAAGACAGCGTTCGTCTTCTGCCAGTGATTTGCTTCAACACCGGCATCAATCTAGCCGATCACAAGGAGACGTTTAAAATCCTCGGCAAATATCTCGAGAAGGAGCTGGGCGAGTCAAACATAAAAGTGTGCAGACTCGCGGCAAGCAAGGTGACGACGCTGAAATCGACCTTCGCAAGCATGTGCAACCAGCTGGGCGTCAAGTACTCGGTCGACGCGACGATCACAAACATTGAGAAGCACTTTCGTCAAGAACAACTTCAACTGGACGAAGAAGAGCTGCAAAAGACGCAAGAGCCACTGATCGTCATTATTCTGGAAAACTGCGAGGCCATCGACATTCGAATCTTTTCGAAGTTCCTGGAGATCATCGCAAATGCGCAGAGCAAGCTCAAGATCATGGTCATCCTCGGAATAGCTACTGACACCGAAATGCTCAAAGATCTAATCCCATATGAAGCGCTTTCGCTTTGCGATATCAAACAGTTTCGCTGCTTGGCGGCGACGCATTACCTCCAAGAATTCCTCGACGCGGAAGTTATGCATCCTGATTCATACTTCCAACTTTCTGGTCGCTGTTTCGAGTGGTCCCTTATTGAGTTTCTTAGGTAGCGTACCCATATCGAACTGCATTCGAACTAATCCGTGATTAAGCCATGACTTCTCTGTGGCAAACTATGCCTCAAAGTTAAAGTTTGCAGCTTTGGCGCATTACTCAAACTACTTTGCTTCTTTCGCTTGTTGGCCTCGAGAAAAGTCACTTGAAATTGCGAAAACGATCAGCAAACGAGAAATCGCTATTGTCAACTCTCTTCCTTCAGTAAAACAAAGTCCGATTTCCTCGGCAGCGGAGTTCGTCGCAGCAATAGAAGAATTCTTCGACAACGAGCGAAAGACGCGCATGTTGCTCAAGTGTCTGCTCTCTGTTCAAAGTCACTTCATCGACCCTGTTTTCGGAACGCGCTCGCCAAATATATATGCGTTCGTTATCGGAAGCGATCTACAAGTCCACCGAATATCGAAAGTTTATTACTTACTACGGAGTCCTCGACTTAAAATCCTTCCAAAAATCAATTGAAGAGCTTTGGAAACTCCTTGGGAGCTCCCCAGGGATAGAGAATTTTCCGATGCTTAGTGAAGCCGTTTCCGATACATTTGATCGCTTACAAAATGAGGACTTGAACAAATTACTCGAAGACCCCGACCTCAAGGAACCAGAAATTAAGCGGCCGAAGAGAGCAGCGAAGAATGCATTCGAGCTTCAAAAGCAACTCAAGGACATGGCGCTACAGAATAAGCCGGGTCCGAAGACCGTTTTTCAGGTACGATTTAGTCAATTATTTTCTTATAAAAACTTTTTCAATAGGAGGTCAGAAAGGAATTCTGCGGGAGACTAGATAAAATCGTCGAAAAATACTTGAGTAAGGCGCGACAAGAAAAGCCTTTCGCGGAGATTTTCTTCTTTTACAAACTCAAACTGGTCGACAACAAGATGGTCCCTCCGATGGTCAATAACATCGAGCGCTCCCTTAAGAATCCGTTTCAATACACTAAGTAAGCGACTCGCTTATTTCAAAATATCGAATATGAAATTAAGGGACGAAAAGATGCAACTGGTAAACGCAGATAGCAGTAATCCCAACCTTCCGCCTGTGTGTGTTGCTTTCAAGCTCTTTACTCAAATGGGTTCGATGGTGAATGTCGCAGACTGGCTTGACTCCTTCAAGTGTATTCTTGAAACCAGAAACAAGAAAATCAAGAAGGAAGACTTGGATGCCACGTTTTTTCAATCAGTCAGCGATCTTCAGTTTCTCGGCCTTCTGAAACCCACACAGCGAAAAACCGATCACGTCCAGAAAGTCACCTGGGCACTTTGAACATTAGAATTCACTTGTTTATCCAATTATCACTGCCTCTCAAATTAAAAACTAGGTCTGTCATCCTTTAGACTCTCAAAGGTCACTTTCAGCATGACTCGGGCGAAATGCAAGGATGGCATCAAGAATATCTTGAAGTTGAGTTCTTGCGGCATCGTTCCACCCGCGTTGTATGTATCTGGTGCGGCTGGTTGTGGCAAGACGCACATGCTGAAGCAGATCATTGCGGAAAGACGGATGGAGGAGCCAGTCGATGTGGTTTTTATTAAATCGAATGAAATCTATTCTTCGCGGCTCTTTTACGAAGCCATTGTTAATGGTGTTCATGAGGCGACCGGAAGTGACACAAAACTACCGGTCATTGGCGACAATCCAAGGTGAACATCTATTTTCCCTCAATTCAGTCGAGTTACTTCTATAAAAGCTCAATGTTCTACGTTGTTGGAGAACTGTTGGCGGCACATGAGCGTCCAGTTTTCGTCGTGATCGAGCGGGCAGACTTGTTCATCAAGAATCTGCCAGAAGCAGCGACATCCCTCGCTCAACATGAAAAGTTTATACCAGACAATCGCTTGTGCGTCATTTTCGAGTCTCGAGTTGCCTTTCACTCCGTCATCTATCCAAAATCGGCAGTGTCGCCAGTGATCTTTCCCCTCCCGGAGTACAGCTCTCAAGAAGTTGAAGCTATTCTGCGCAAAGAGAAGCCCGCTGACATGTCCGACGTGCTCTTTCACAATTTCATTCAAGCGATTATGGGTTATTTCTACTTATCGACGCACGATTTGCGTTTGCTCAAGTACGTGGTGCAAGAGCAGCTGCCAGTGTATGCAAAGCCCGTGCTAGATGGAGATGTAAGCGAGAACTCGGCGATCTTGCTGTGGCGGAAAATTGAGCCGACATTCAGAGCGGCAAGAGCAAGTTTGTTCTTGAAGTCGAGTCAAGAGGAAGACAATCATGTGTAAGCTTATAGAACACAAGCATCGTTCTCTTTCTTACAGCGCTTTAGAATTGACTTGCCTTACTTCTCCAAACACTTGTTGATCGCTTCCTACCTTGCTTCATTCAATCCTCCGAAAACGGACAAAAGATACTTCCTCAAGAACGCTGGCAAGATTAAAAAGAAACGAACTTTTCGAGGGCCTGAAGTGAAACAGCGACTGATCGGGCCTCTCCAGTTTTCTATGGACCGGCTTATTGCCATTTTTGAATCGATTACAGAATCTGAGGACCGCAGTATTTCGATTTTATCACAACTCAGAACTCTCGTTAAGCTCAAGCTTATCACAATTGGTAAGGAAGTAAGTCGGTGCATTGATTTAAAAATTTACCGTTTAGCTTCGAGCGACACACAAGTTCTTCAACCAAAGATGAAATGCAATTGCTCCGAAGACTTCATGCGCAAAATTGCCCACTCTGTCCGCTTCGAGTTGGACTCGTATCTTTTCGACAATGTCTAGATATTTTTTGCTTCGTTTCCTAGGCGCATCCAAGTTACACTCACAGCCACATTTACAGTTCTTATCGACTTTCTTATTTCAGACCTAACTCGGAGTGAATGATATGATAGTACATGAATGGCGGTGATAAGATGCTTTTCGCTGAGCAAGCTGCGCGTTCGGATCCATCCGAGGTAACAAAGAAACTTGGCACTTCAGCTGAACGAGGTCTCTCTTCCGTTCAAGTTACCGAAAAACGGCGTCTATATGGAAGCAATGAGCTCAAACCGCCCCAACCACCGCCTATTTGGAAAAGATATTTGAGCCAGTTCAAGGATCCGCTCATCGGATTGCTTGTTGGCTCGGCCCTTGTCTCGGTCCTGACAGGCCAATTTGATGATGCAATTTCAATCTTCATCGCACTCGTTATCGTCGTCAGTGTTGGCTTCATTCAGGTAGCGAAAACAATTATTTCAACATTTGATCATCTTTGATTTTCAGGAATACCGATCAGAGCAGGCCCTTGAAAAATTAACAAAATTAGTTCCCCCAAAAGCGCGTGTTGTGCGCGATGGGCGCGAGGTCGACATGCTCGCTTCTGAACTCGTTTCTGGCGATTTAGTCATTCTCAAAACTGGAGATCGCGTTCCTGCCGACATAAGAATCATCAGCCAAAATGGTTTTCTCGTTGACGAGAGCTCAATGACTGGTGAGCCAGAGCCACAAGCGAAAACCATTGAGTCGATCGTTGTTGTTGGGACTTCTCAAACTTACAGCAATATGGCCTACATGGGATGTCTTGTCTTATCAGGCAATTGTCGAGGTATCGTCACTGCGATAGGAGAAAGCTCGCAGTTCGGTGAAATGGTCAAGCTCCTCTCTCAAGAAGAACCCCCGAGGACTCCACTTCAAGTTTCTATGGACAAACTAGGCCAACAACTGTCCTTTGTTTCCTTCGGCGTCATCGGAGTCATCTTCTTGATAGGCATGATCCAGGGCAAGGGTGTTTTGGAAATGTTCACGATGGGCGTCTCCTTGGCTGTCGCCGCTATTCCAGAAGGTCTCCCAATTGTCGTTACAGTAACACTCGCTCTTGGTGTATTGCGAATGGCCTCTCACAATGCTGTAGTGCGTCGTCTTCCAGCAGTGGAAACGCTTGGTAGCGTCGATGTTCTTTGTTCGGACAAAACTGGAACATTGACGAAAGGCGAAATGGCCGTGACTGAAGCTTTACTCTCCGATGGCTCAAGAGCGAGCATCGGGCAGTTGGTCATGCTCCATGGTGAAGTTCAGCACGGACGATCACATCCACTCATGGAAGCATTGACGACAGCATGCGTAGTGTGCAACAACGTCCAGCCGACGTATGGTAAAAAAAGAGGCCTTGGCAATCCAACAGAAGCAGCGTTGATGGGCTTCGCTCAGAAACTAGGACTCGAAGATCTGCGGAATGACTGGCAACGTGTCAAAGAAATCCCATTCACTTCAGATTCTAAAACGATGGCGGTACAGGCTGTCTACAACAGAGATCCCGATCGCAAGCCATTGTGGTTCGTAAAAGGTGCACCAGAGATCATCCTCGAAAAATGTTTTCTCTTCCAAACACGGGATGGGCGACAAAATCTAACTACGAAAACAAGGATATCACTAAATGATCACGCGACGTATATGATGAATCAGGGTCTTCGTGTTCTAGCAATTGCCAAGGGAGAGAAAACGCCCGACGAGTTAATATTCCTTGGTCTAGTCGGGATTTCTGATCCACCGCGACCGTCCGCCTCGAAAGCAGTCGCCGAGCTCCGTGAAAGAGGTGTCGAACTCAAAATGATCACTGGAGGTAATTTCAAATCTTATTGCGAATCTCAATCATATTGTCCTATATTTTCTTTTCAGATGCCCGTGAGACGGCTCTTGCTATCGCTGCCAAGCTTGGAATAGGCCGGGATTTCGCAGTATCAGGAGAAGAAGTCAGCAATCTGGATGCAACCGAACTGACCCGATTAGCGAACAAAGCAAATGTGTTCTATCGCACATCGCCTCAGCACAAACTTAAAATTGTCAAAGTATGTTCAATTTGATTATTCATATTCATTAAAATATTTCAGGCGCTTCAACTCTGTGGAAGAACAGTTGGAATGATAGGAGATGGGGTAAACGATGCGGTAGCCGTGAAAAAGGCCGACATTGGCATATCAATGGGAGTTAATGGAACTGACGTTTGCCGAGAAGCCGCGGATATGGTTCTTTTAGGTGCTAATAAGTATTCCACAAACTTTTTACACATTTTAAGATGATAACTTGCAAACGATCGTTCCAGCGATTGAAGAGGGAAAATCAATTTTCTACAATATCCGCAACTTCGTTACTTTTCAGCTTTCTACCTCAATCGCTGCGCTGAGTCTCATCGCTATCTCGACAATACTAGGCCTGCCATCGCCACTAAACGCCATGCAGGTGCTATGGATTAATATACTTATGGACGGACCTCCAGCACAGAGTCTCGGGCTGGAGCCCAGCGATCCCGACCTTACCAAGGGCAAGCCAAGGCCAAGAGGGCAAAAACTATTGAACAAGAGCATCATCAAAAGGATACTTATCAATGCTACTTTGATTCTTTGCGGGACACTTTGGGTCCTGACCAGAGAATATCTAGGTACACAAGGTTGGATTTTGTCGTCTCTATAAGCTGTTTTAAGACGATGGGCGGCTTTCTGATCACGAGAGAACAATGACCTTTACCTGCTTCGTTTTCTTCGACATGATGAATGCACTTGCCTGTCGATCCCAGACGAAATCAATTCGTCATCTTCCTCCGAATAAACCGCTTTTCATTGCCGTCTCTTTGTCCATCGTCGCTCAGTGTAAGTTCCTTTGCCATTCAGCGTTTTCTTAAGAGCTCGTATTTAGTACTCGTTGTCTATTGGGCGCCACTGCAGTCCGTGTTCCAAACACAATCACTGTCTCTCAAGGACATGATGACGATAGTCGTTATTTCTTCATCGGTGCTAGTGACTTCCGAGTGGATGAAGTACAAGAGCCGTACTCAACGGAAACCTGCCGGATCGCCTGTGCTGCGTGAAGTCATCTGAAAATAGCTTTAATCAAGATCGAACTGCTCAGAGTTTGAGTGCTGTTTTGAATCGCCAAGTAGTGTCTTAAGTGAATTTTACCTGCCCAAAGAACTTGCTATCATATTTATATACATATATCTTCTTTTTCATTCATTCTCGACTTGTGCAATATTTAATCTAATAAATTTAAAAATATTACATCTTCTTATCGTTTTTTCTCGAGAACTGGCGACAAAAACGACGTATTTCTGTTGTTGCAGGCACACGTCTTTTCAAAGTGCAAGAAGTAAAATGTGCGTTAGTGTAGAATGGTGTTGTAAATGAATTCGGAAGAGAAACGGCGCAAACTTGAAAGCAACAAAATAGTTCTACCGCCGCTCAGTACAGTAACACATCGTCAAATTCTGGAGCAATTAGCGACAAGCGACTCTACAAGCATTGAACTCCCCTCTGGATCGGGGACGTCAATATTTACCGTCGAAAAGTTCCAGCCGGGGAAATGAAGAATACGTCATTCGTCCTCTCGATAGACTCAACTGTTCCAAACGATGATTCGCGACGATCACTTTCGCGAAAATGGAAACGCTTGACTGTAATACACTGTTTTGCAGTGCTCGAGAATAAAATTCGGTTTAGCAATGTCAGAAGCGAATCCTTATTGTCTTTGTGATTCTCATCACGACTTTGACTTATGTGAGCCACAATCTCAATGAAATAAAGCGTCGTCATCATCAGCAGAAGAAAGCTCACAGAATGAACGAAAAACCAGAGCATGCTATTGAAGATGATCAGCAATACTTGAACGATTATAGATCTGAAAAGTACGAAGAGCGTGACGAATTCGAGAAGGCTCAAGGTTTGGCATAAATTTTATTTAGTTTATCTTTATAATAATGAGTAACAACGAGAAGGAATACTTAATCTTTTTTGATAGTTATTCCACCAGACTCAGATGGCGGACGTTTTGAAATTGATCCCGATGAGCCCGAGTACGAACTTGAAGAGCGCGACGAAGACACTCCCGAGGAAATCGAGCCAGAACCAGCCCGCGTTTCTGATGATAGTTATGGACACTGGAGAGGATCCGGCCGTGAAAATCGAAATATGACCGCAGTGAAAGAAGCGTTTCTACATGCTTGGAGGGGATACACGACCTATGCGCTTGGTCACGATATGCTCAAACCATTAAGCCATCGTTACGAAGATTGGTTCACCACTGGCGGAGACCAGATGGCTCTGACAGTAAGAAATCACCAAAATAAGTGTTTGGCTAACTCAAGTTTTAGCTGATAGACTCGCTCGACACAATGCTGATAATGAATCTCACGAGCGAATTCAAAGAAGCGCGGATGTTCGTCAAGAACCGCCTCAGTCTCCAGCCAGACAACGGCCGAGTTAACCTCTTCGAATGTACCATTCGTGTTCTTGGGGGATTCATCTCAACTTACTATCTCACAGGGTATTTAATTCGCTGATGTTTTTAAAATCTATAAATATCTATAAATCTAATTTTAGCGACGAGCTATTCAAAGAAAAAGCTCTTGACATAGGCGATCGACTACTGCCAGCGATTACATCGTCAAAGTCTTCGGTACCATATTCCGATATCAACCTCAGAACTCGGGTCGCAAAGCAACCAGCTTGGGGTTCAAGCTCGTCGACAAGCGAAGTCACGACGATACAGATGGAATTCGGAGCGCTCAGGTTAGAGTAGTTTTATTTTGTTTCGTTTATTCCGATGAATTTGAGTACAGAGAATCTAGCACAGTAAATTTTCTTTCTCTTTGTTGTTGTTTCCTCTTTTTTCTTCTGCTTTGTAATTTTTCCACGCCTTCGCGAGATACCATTTGTAGGTTCGAGTCTTCGGAATCTTTGTTTTTGCCAGGAAATCTTCGAATTCTTGGAATGCGTTTTCGTCGAATTTCTCAATTTTCAGGGCTTTGTCTTTCTCCATCATCATGTGCCAGTACTCGATTTGAGCGGAGATTGCCTCACCCTTGATATTTTCAGCGAATTTCTCCGTCCACTCTTTGTATGTTAGCGTCATTTTCTGGAGTAAAAAATGCGTTCTAGCCAGGTTAATAATGCCGCGGACTACCAGCCACTCGGTTGAGTGAGTTGATCGCTATCGCTTCTGATTAAGATGATAGGATAATGAACGAACCTCTTTTATTAGATCGAGCCACTCACGCCACTTTAAGCTACATCTCTGGCGATCGTCACTGGGATGATGCTGTGCGAGATGTTTCCCGCCACGTCTCTCGGCTTGAAACCGGAAAATTGGACGGCCTGGTTCCTCTTTGGATCGATCCAAAGACTGGACAGTTCTCCAAAAATGGAGTGACTTATACGATGGGCGCTAGAACTGATAGGTCTGGAAGATCTTTGTGCTTTATGATATAACTTTAGTTTAGCTATTACGAGTATCTTTTCAAGCGTTGGTACCAGTCGGGTAAAAGCTCCGAGTACAGCTTCATGGTTCAAGACTTCCAAGACTCTATGGAAGGTGTCAAGAAACATCTCTTTGGATACACACAGCCTAACAAATTTCTTTTCGTTGGCGAGAAAGTAGGAACGAGATTCAGCCCAAAAATGGATCATCTTGTCTGCTTTCTCCCCGGCACTCTAGGTAAGAACTGAATCGAAATAAACTGCACACTACTAATATATACTTAAGCACTTGCTGTTCACGAAAAAAAACTCTCGCAAGAATGGTTAGAGCACGCCGAGAAAATTCTTGAAACATGTCACCAGTTTTACGTAACAGAGACTGGCCTGGCACCTGAGATTTCCTACTTCAATACAGACGATCCTTCTAAACCAGATTTGAATATCCACACTGCAGATAGATTTTCCATCCTTCGCCCAGGTAAGTCGTCCTTGATCTCATCATTTTACTGTTTTATTGAAGAAACTGTGGAGAGCTACTTCTATCTGTGGAGACTTACGAAAAATCAGAAATACCGCGACTGGGGTTGGGAGTTCTTCCTCAACCTGGAGAAGTACGCTCGCGTAAAAGACGGCTACACGAGTATAGCTAATGTAGAGTCTAAAACGAAACCTTCGCCAAAAGACAAAATGGAGTCTTTTTCCTAGGAGAAACGCTAAAGGTTTTCCTCGTGGTTGTATTCTATATATCGATTAATGACTTTAGTACCTGTATTTATTATTCTCCGACGACGATATGCTTCCGCTGTCCGAGTGGGTGTTCAACACGGAAGCTCATCCCTTCCGCGTGCAAAAATAAAAAGAAAAGAGTTCAAGCAAACATGACTCAAAGTAGTGACAGAAAGTGCACATGCCAAATATCTTCAAAATTCTGTTTATTTATTTCAACGACTGGTTTTTTACTGTCTTGATTGAGTGGCGCGTTCTAACTGAAGCTGGAGTTAGTACTGAGCGAAGCTCAATAAGCTCGACTGTGGAATATTTAACTTATCATTCTTCTTCTTTTTCTGTAGCGCTTGCCTTGCGAAATTCATTCACCGAGGGTGCAACAATTCAGTTACTTCATGACTAAAACCTACTGCTTAGAAAAGTGTTCTCAGCTTTCTTCATTCAGAATAACAACAAAAATATGAATCCACTGATAAAACAAGTGCTCCAGCGATTTCTCAAGTCACAGGGACGAAGAATCCTGATGCGCGGCGCGGCTAGACTTGCGGCTGGCCTGGGAGCAGGTTAACGCCTGTTTTGAAATAGATTTTTAATAGTTTTCTAGCTGGTGCTGGGGCGGCGGCTAGTGGTGCCGCTGGAGCTGGAGCCGCAGCAGGTGCCAGTGCTGGAGCTGCTGCCGCCGGGGCAGGAGCCGCTGCTGCTGGGGCTGGAGCAAGTGCTGCTTCTCTCGGAGCTGTTGCCCAAGTCGCCGGTCGAATCCCCGCTGCGATGTACCCGATCACTATTCCAGTCATGATGCTCGTCGTGTACGGAAGCGAATACTTAGAAGGCGACGAAAAGAAAGAAACTGTAGTGACAAAAAGCATAATCGAGAAGAGACGAGAAAGACTCGCGAAAGAGCAAAGTGAAGATAATAACTCGACTGATAACAAAAGCTTATCTCTGTAAAATATATTTTATTTTTCGATTCAAAGCAAATAAAAAGAAGGATCATGGAAATGCAAACTATTGATTCTTTTTTTTATTTTCTGCATCAGCATTTTGAATATGAAATCATAGAAGAGTTTGAGGCAACGTAATTCTGGTTTACTCGTACCTTTGCAAGTTTTAGATAGTGTTAGTATTTTCAGTAGTTTATTCATAAAAAAGTCTTCAAAAGTGTGATCAGTATCAATGGTTTATGTATCCGTCAAATAAAAATATGGCTAGTTGCAGACCTACTACTTCAGGACGAGATTCAGGCGGAATCGTTCTTCTCAGTTTTCACGTCCCTAAAACAAAAAAGAATAAATGAGTTTTGATCATTGAAACTTACGGTTCGGAATCGTCGTCGGTCAGGTCGATGAAGTCACCTGTGGCGCCCCTAAAGATAAAATAGACTTGGTCTTGATCTGTAAGCACTTACTCTTCGGATGTCGCAGCTTGATCTTGCTCAGAAGTTGGTCCTTCATCTTGTCGGGGAGTTTTCGATTGGTCTTGCACAGCAGCTTGATCGAGGCATGAATGCGAGATACTTTCGATGATTTCATAATTTTCCCGCTTCAAGGTGGAAGCATTGTCGATGTTTAGCTTGCAAACGGGTCGGCCATCGGAAGACGAATACCAAGTTTTCATTATGTCTGGTTGACGGAGTTTGAGGATATGCCGCCCACTACATTTCTTCTTCTGACCACCTGTAGCTCTTTTTGAATATATATTATATACTTTAATTGAAGAGTTTCTTTAGAGAACTTACGTGCAGTACACTCTCACTGTATCTGATTCATGGCGAACTGCGCAGCCATAATATTCTCTTCGTACGCCATTTTCGTCAATTAAGAACTTTCGGCTGCCGTTGTTCTCAGTGACATTAATGAGTTGGGGCATATTTGGGGACGTTTTAACAGCAGTAGACAAGTTATTTTTCGGCGTATTACTAGTTTCCGCCTTTTTTCTAGAAGCCGCTTTTTGAGCCTTCGGTTTTGATTTCTCCGACTTTTTTTTCTTGGAGCTGGCTGGAAAAACTTCATCATCAAGAGCAAATTCTTGAGCTCCTTCTTCTTGGGATGCTTGTTCTTGAACTGCAGTTGTTCGCTTTCGCTTTGATGGTGGGCGGAGCCCTGCTCGTCTAGATGTACCGGAGGTAGTTGGCGCTTCTTGAATGGTTGGTGGACCTGGCGCAGCTGGTTCAGAAGGAGAAGCTACGCGATTTTTTATTCATTTCCGGGGTGATACCAAAGTTACCTTGAGAAAATTCGGCTGGAGAAGGTGTCGATGAAGGTGTCGACTGCGATGGTGGGCGGAGCCCTGTTCGTAGAGATGTACCGGAGGTAGTTGGCGCTTCTTGAATGGTTGGTGGACCTGGCGCAGCTGGTTCAGAAGGAGAAGCTACGCGATTTTTTATTCATTTCCGGGGTGATACCAAAGTTACCTTGAGAAAATTCGGCTGGAGAAGGTGTCGATGAAGGTGTCGACTGCGATGGTGGGCGGAGCCCTGTTCGTAGAGATGTACCGGAGGTAGTTGGCGCTTCTTGAATGGTTGGTGGACCTGGCGCAGCTGGTTCAGAAGGAGAAGCTACGCGATTTTTTATTCATTTCCGGGGTGATACCAAAGTTACCTTGAGAAAATTCGGCTGGAGAAGGTGTCGATGAAGGTGTCGACTGCGTCGGTAATGGAGCTTTTGAAGCTAAAAAGCTGTAGATATATTTTGGATATTAAGCCTACCATGAGAGTCATTGATATTTTGTTGACGTCCCTTGTCAACTTGATTTAAAATCATTCGAATGATAGCTAACTCGTCGTCAATTGGGGGATCATCGTTCTCCTGATACTTTCTCTTCATTGACTCGATTTGCCGGCAGAGACCTGGAATATAGACGGCAAGGGCCATTGCTTTTGCCATCGCGAAAAAATATACTTCTCCAAAATCTGGGGAATAATATAGATTTCTATATTTTTCGGCTGTGGTCTGCGTTAGTACGACGAAATAAGTTTGAATCGTGTGTCAACCTAAGCAAGGAATCGGATTGGCTGTCCGTCACAAGGCATCGAGGGGAATTTTTCCTGCCCGATCAGAAAAGATCGCCGCCAACAGCTCCTCTGCTGACGCAGCGCTGATATTGAAAATTCTCAGATAAGAAAAAAGCTACACAAATGTAGCGCTTCTGATGACTTTTCAGTGATAAAGACCTTATAATCAGTGATTCTTTCATCAGTATTTATTCAAAATGAAGTGTCATTAAAACAATTCAGAAAATATAAAAGAATGGCGCTTACTTGCAATAATTAAAAAAAGACGTTCATAAAATTTCGAGGTCGTCTCTAGAACATCTGTTATTGACTGGTCGTCTTGATGATTTTCATTCATTCCGAAAATCCGGATATTCCGGGTCCACAAAAGATGAATTACCATAAGAATTTTTCGGGCAAAAAAATTTTTTTTGAGATATTGGTATATTCTGAAAGCCCGTAAAAAGTTATACAGAATCACCAAATTCTAGGGTCAGATGACGTCATTATGACGTCATCGGGCTGATTTGAAAATTTTGTCTTTGGAACGCTTTTTCGAGCCGAAAACGTTTTTTAATTTTATCTTTCTCGACGGATTTGGATTTTCCATGAAAAACTACGTAGGGACCCGGGATCAAACCATTGAATATCAACCATTACCGACCGGTTCAATTTTTGAAACCGGTCGGTTCGAAAAATAAACCTCGGGTCCCTACGTAGTTTTTGATGGCGAACAACATGCCATCAATCGAAAAATCTATTTCCAGCAAAAACCGCCTCAAAAAGCGTTCCAAAGTCTCATGAATTTGGAGCCTTTTCGGACATTTATTCATCATAAATGACGTCATAATGACGTCATTGAGCCCTAGAAATTTGGGAATCGACTAATTTTGACTTGGGCTTTCAGAATATGTTCTTATCTCAAAAAATTTTTTTTCGGCCGAAAAATTCTTATGGTAATTCATCAAAATGTCATTTTCCAGGTAAATTATTGAATTCTAGTTAGATTTTCAGTTTTAGCTAGCTTTCACATTTGTTCTTTGCAAAACTAATTCTTTATTTTGTAGCATTCGCGAAGCCGCGGCCGAAGACCATGTCGAAAGCGGCTCAAGTTGCCTGAACTAGGCGCCAAACTCGAGGCTGCAAAAAGGGAAACGAGTTCAAAGTAATCCTGACAAATGCAGCCTCAACTAGATTGCCTGACAAAGGCAGCCTCAACTAGATTCTCAAAAAAAGGGAATTCCAAAAACTTTCAAATAAACTTTACTATTTCATCTTCTCTATCAGATTTTTTCCTCGAAGGAACTCTCCTAGAAGGGACAAAATCTGTTTTGTGTGTTTGTAATTTGTTGCAGGAAAATCTAAAAGAAAAAAATGCAAGCTCGTAGTTACCACATGTAAAAATGCTCATTTGCTTTTTGAAAGGCAGAGATCTGCATAGAAACATGGTTTTAGTTTTAAAATAGCTATTTTATTCAAATAAATAAGAATTGAAAATAATTTTTGAACTTAAAAAATACAAAACTACAAGGTAGATAAATTAGATTGAGTTCCATCGCTGAGATCTGCGAGCATGAACGGGCCGATGGCCATGCTGAAGTTTGTCGAGCTAAAATTAATCGTCAATTTGTGAACGATAGAAAATCATTTTACCTGTTTTGGATAGAACGGCCAACTCGAGCAGTGTGTTTGCATGCGTCTCCGGTGCACAAGGCGGCAGTGCATTGAAGTGTAGAGTCACGGAGGTGCGTGTTGAGCAAAATCAAGGAGAACTCGACGCCAGTTGCAGGCTGAGGAGTGTCGAAAGAAGCGTGAGCGTGACCAGAGCTCTCAAGTGCCACTCCGTCTTCGATGATGGGAGTTTGAGTATTGCCAGCAACAAGGTAGCACTAGTAGAAATCAATTTCATCATCTTTAATTTTGACACTTACATTTTTGACGCGGATGCCAGTCTGTGAGCCAAGCTCTGGGAACTGATCGAATGAGTTGGCAGTAGGAGCAAGATTGACGAAGATTTCTTCCCTCACAAGAAGAACTGGGCTTGATCGGGCTCGACGGTGAATTCCAGCACGAGCATCAACGCTGAAGAACTTCATCTCTACTTCAAAAGTCTAAAACGATTCATTAAAATATCTACCAAGTCTACTATCTTACCGCTTGATCGGCTTCTACCGAGATCTTCGGCCACTCAAGAGGGGTAATCGTGGCTGGAGTGAGGTCAACGCCATACTGACACTGGAAGGAGAAGATTGTTGTCACAACTGGAGTAGTTCCTTCAAAGGTACGAAGAGATCTGACACTGCTTCCAAAGGTAAGTACGCCGTTCTCCACAGCTGGTGCAGAAATCTTGCTGAAGTCTTTTCGCTCGATTCGGAGAGTAGAAAGTGCTCCACCGTCAGAAAACACCAATTGATTGTCAGTACCAGTTGCAAACTTTGCGTCGCTCTTGAAAATGTGACGGAGGAGGAGATCGTTAGTAACCCTATTTTATATGATAAATGCTCGTGCAAAATACTTGTAGACTTACGTGACAGTAATGTGATCACTTGCGCAGTTGAGTTGTGGCTCATCGAAGTTGCATCTCTTGCCGAGGAAGTATCTACCTTGTTTGTTGGTGCAAGTGTAGTCGTATCCATCGTGATCTCCATCGGCGCACTCACATCCGTTTTGACAAGGAGATAAAGCATTGCAAATGGACTTTCGTTTCTCAGTGCAAATGGCAACTTGGTTCTCCATTTTGCACTCGTGAGTTGATAAGTTGCACTTTGATTGGCAATCCTGAATACAAATAAATCTACTGCTTAGTTAATCAAAGTACCTCTTGGCAGTTGCTGCCATAAACGCCATCAGGGCATCTGCAGGACATCGAATTGACGCCATGAGTACACCATCCTCGTCCACATTTCCTGGTGCATGGAATCATTACTTCGCAATAGGGGCCTTTCCAGCCAGGCGCGCAGCTGCATTGAGCTTCTCCGTTGATGTTGTTGCACACACCATCGTTGTAGCACTTGGTTTCGACGCAAGGATCACGTGAAGCGCAAGTTGGGCCAAAGTAACCGTCTCGACAGGCGCAGTAATTGCCATCTAAAAATCTTTATAAAATTTTATTTCCATATCCAACTTACAGCGTTGAGCGTCATAAACGCAGGGGGCACCATTCTGGCAGATGCCAACATTTCCACAGCTATCTTGAACGGTACATGTTTTTCCGCTCCAACCTTCGTTGCAAACACAGTAATCATCGGCACTGGAGAGGTCGATGCATCGACCGTTGGTGGAGCAAATGAGGTCCTCGCCGCACTGTAAATAGTTGAAGGCTTGAGCCTGGTCGCACATAATGCCCTTCCAGCCACTGTCGCAGGAACAGTAATCATCGGTGTCCTGGGGAGTCTGGATACATTTGCCATGTACGCCACAGTAGTTCAGATCACGGCAAGTGACCGATCCTGCTTGAATGGGTATGTTGCATGAGGCACCCTGCCAGCCGACATTGCAATCACAGTATGCGTCAGCAGATGGTTTACTGAAGCAACGACCGTGGTTGTTGCAGTAATTCAGATCCGAGCAGCTCTTCTGATTTGAAATCGGTTTCGCGTTGGCGCAATTGTCGCCAGTGTATAACGAGTTGCAGATACAGATCGCTTTTGACTGGTTTTCAAAATGTCTCGATTTCCGTTGAATTTTTGAAATTTCGAAAAACCGCGCCTGAGTCGGGTCCCGTCATCGCGCACTGGCCGTTTCCGTTGCACCAGTTGAGCTCGTCGCAGCTTGATGCAGTGACCGGATTCACGTCAAAGTCGACTCCACCAGGCGCTTCGGCGCAAAAGTAGAAATTAAACTGCTCATTAAGAGTCCAACACTTGTTCGTGCCTGCCATGCAGGTATTACACTCGTCTCTGTTTCTACTTCCGTAAGTGAGGGTGTTGCAAGCCACGCAGTTTATGTTTGGAGCCGCAGTACTCGGAGCTGCTGTACTTGGTGTATGGGATTCACCAATCGAAAACGCTCGCCCATTTATGCCTTTGAAAATACGTTATCAATTAACTCTGAAAGCCATACTAATTCGAATGAATATTTTTGATAAAAGAAACAATTCAAATTAATCGAATTATTTTCTTATAAAGATATTTTTTAGTTATCAATATCAGTTTACAATATCTGGTTCTCTTTATTCTGGTACTCAAACTTACTTGCATTTATCCCGGCGATGAGAGCATTTATGAGTATCCTTACTCTTGTCATCTTTGTTGTTGCTGTTGTTGATGGAAAAATTAAAGATAAAAAACGTAAACGTTGCCCTTCCTTTCGGACAAAAAAAAAACAAAATAAAAACTCAAAATCAAAAAATTAAAAAGTGGCCCGCACGGGCGGTGAAAAAACTCAAAGTGAAGAGCGTCGACTTTTGCCGGTGAAAATTTCGACTTGCAACGTAAAAAACATCGATTTCGCGCACGCCAACAGATTTTTTTTTCAAATCGCACTATTGTTCATGCAACTTTCTTAAAATTGCAGGATCGTCTCTAGAACATCTCTTGTTGACTGGGCGTTTTGAGGATTTGCAGTCATTCGGAAATCCGGATTTTCCGGGTCCAAAAAATGTCATTTCCAGGTAAATTATTGAATTCTAGTCAGATTTTCAGTTTTAGGTGGCTTTCACATTTCTTCTCTGCAGTTCTAACTCTTTATTTTGTAGCATTCGCGATGCCGCGGCCGAAGACCATGTCGAAAGCGGCTCAAGTTGCCTGAACTAGGCGCCAAACTCGAGGCTGCAAAAAGGGAAACGAGTTCAAAGTTATCCTGACAAATGCAGCCTCAACTAGATTGCCTAACAAAGGCAGCCTCAACTAGATTTTCTTAAAAGGGAATTCGAAAAACTTTCAAATAAACTTTATTATTTCAACTTCTCCAATAGATTCTATTCTAAAAAGGGTATAATCTGATTTTGTCTTTTGCCGTTTATTGCAGGAAAAAATCATAGAAGATACAAGTAGAGCAGGCATGCAGAATTGCTTTCATCTGAAAATAGTTGGGATTTTATGCATGTAGACTTGCATCAATATTATAACGCTAACTTCCTCGTCTATCCCCATGCCTTGATAGCTCAGTTGGGAGAGCGTCAGACTGAAGATCTGAAGGTCCTGTGTTCGATCCACAGTCAAGGCATATCTTTTTCTATTAAAAATTCTAGCGTAGATTGCCTTCGTTTGATTTTGAGCTGCACAAATGCTCTTTCTTGCATGAAAAATTGATTACGACGAATTTTGATTATAATTGTTTTTATTTTTGTTTTTTTTTTGAACTTGGCCTTTTACGCCGTGTTAGGGTCGTTTCAGATGAAGAAAGAGTGCAAGAATATTTCAAAATAGCTCACAATATGACAATGCGATAGAGTATCTGTAAATACGTTTGTACAGTTGGGTTTCGAGGTAGCAGCAGATATATATCCTTAATTTTTGTTTGGACGGTGGCGGTCATTCGAATTCGAATCGTATGTCAGTGTTACAGTGACTTTATGCCAGAAGCAATTTACAGTGCTAGCTTTGTACATGGCGCTTTGGAACTGGATGAGCGTGGAAGTGCCCGCTAGAACTCAGAAGAGGTCCTTCTGTTCGGGCTGAACTAATCGTGGCGTAAATAGCCTGTCCGCATGGCTCCTGGTAGCTCTCTTCGTAAGGCGGGGAGGACCAGTCAGATCACCAACTAAAACGATGATAAGAACTTTAGCTTTTGTAACAAATTTAAATACAGCGTAAAATTGAAAAAAGAGACTTACGTGATAAGTTATGAGAAAGCAAGTGGTGGGGAACTCGTCTCGGGAGCATATTTGGGTATGGATGTTCCTTCGGATCAATGAAGACGAACTCGCGAGGCTCAAGGGCAGCGGAAGAGCTCGGAGAAGCAGCCATAAGCACTTGATCGGTGACACCTGATCCCATCGTATAACTTGACCCTTCGTGCTCGGAAGACTTCATGCTGTTTTTGTGCTTGACCATGAAAGCGAGAAGAATGACAGCGAAGAGCGACAGAAGTCCAAGCATCACGGCAAGGACGTACCAGATCCAATGATTGTCGACTTGAGATGGATCGACAGTTGAGACATCGTAAGCGGCACTGAGAATGACTTCGTCGCGGTAGGTCAGAACTGAGGAAAGATCTGACTTGCCAATGAGGGAGTGACGGATTTCTTTGACAACGAGCTCTGCCGAAGATTGATGCTTGACGACAACAACGACTACGCCTGCTTGGGCAGACTCGCAATTCAGAGATGTTTTCTTGTGTTCAGCAACTCGTGCAAGAGACGGAAGGAAATTGAGAGCGCCGCAGACGTCCATCGCATGAACTCCTCGTTCAAGCGAGGAAATTCGAGCAACATCAAATTGAATGCGCAGTTCGAGGCAGTAAGGAGCCTTGCACGAAGCGGGCGGTGCCACTGTGTAGGGTAAAGTCTTCTTCTGACAAGTGTAGCGGCTCGAACAACGAGAAGAGACGCAGTTTTCGTGAACGTTCGGTGTCTCCAACTTGCATATCTCATCTGAGAGACATGTGGCAGAGGGCGCATGTGGAGAACAGCTAACTGGACCACAGTCGAGCTTGGAGCAGGAGACGTCGCCATCGTGGCAAGTGCAAGTGTTACACTGCTCGCGCCAGGAATAAGAATGAACAAAGAGCTTTCCTTTGTAGGCACAGGAACGTTTCGTTGGAGAAGACGAAAGTTTTTCACAATAATTGCCTTCGCGACCGGGAGGACAGAGGCAATCGAAGCCGCCAACTTTGTCGACGCAGGTTGAGCCGTAAGCGCATTGATCATTCGCACAATCGTCAATGTCTAAAAATGAGATAAGAATGAAATTGGAATCAAGGAAGACGATTTTTTAGGTAGATTTTCTTCGTTAGTATTTTACCTTTTCGACAGTCCGCTCCAACAAAGCCAGGTCGGCATTTGCACTCATAATGGTTCATTTTTGAAAGACAAGTTCCTCCATTGAAACAAGGCTCGGGCTGGCACATGTCAATTTCTATAAATGTGAATAAGAACATGGTATTGACATTTGAAAATCTTACGTTTGTCACAATTGTCACCAGTGAAGCCAGCTTTGCATCGACATTCGAATTCTTTGCCGTTTTTCGGTACGCAGGTGCCATTTTCACACGAGTTCGCTGAGCATGGCGATTTGGCGTCTAAAAATGTGAAAATCAACATCTGTAACATTTAATCCGGGAGTTACCGATTTGGCAGAAGGCTCCCTTGGTTCCCTGAGGACATTCGCAGGAAATGCCTGTCGAGAGCCTCGTGTCCGGAACACATGTTCCAGCGTTGCAAGGGCTCGAGTTTTTACAAATCTCCTCTGCGGTGTAGGCTAAACACGAGTTATTAACAGCTCAATCTTGCTTTCCAAGTACCTTTGGTAAACTGGCAAATGTGTCCTTTCCAGCCTTCGGCGCAGCTGCAGCTAAAGTCAGCAGGGTGGCCCGAATCGCCTCGGATGCATTCTCCACCATTGAGACAAAGGTTTTCGGAGCTAGAGCAGACGTGGTTCTCTTCCTCGCACCGGGAACCAGAAAAGCCAGTTGGACAGAGACATTCGTAGGAATTGACGCCATCGAGACAAACTCCATTGTTTTGGCATGGGTTTGAAGCGCAATCGTCAATATCTAAAAATAACGTTTGAATACTCATTCTGTTAATTATAAATCTACTGAGGGAAAAAACGATGAGAAAATTAATCAGATGAATGAAAAACGTCACACTAGCTATTTCAGTCTGCGAGAAATGGCAAGTTTGTCGAGCGCTCAAGGTCAAATTTACGATGCTGGGAAGTGATCTGAGCATGGCGGTTCACATGGATCAGGATTCACGAAAACGATTTCGCGACGTTTGCCATTACGCGGCGACGGATACTGTATAAAGGAGCGCGTTTCGAGGGGCTATTAAATCATTTCCTCGGTGAAATATGATTCTTGGCCGCGGCATGGAAAAATGTTTCGTTATCGCGTTTACGATGGTGCACCGCTGAATCTGCCTCCGGGCAATGTGCGTGCCCATTTCCGCCGGCGAATTATTTAGGCACAATTATGACGCTATAAATTCTCCTCGCCAAAGCGGCACATTAAGCATCTGCCTTTTATGCTCAACAGGGCAATTTCACGCGCGTCGATAGAACATGCGAAAATAAATTCGCACAGCGTCTACCAGTCTCGCCTTGGACTCCGTAACGTGTTACTTTGACTTTTATGTGAATGGTTTTTGGCTGTGATACCCTTAATATGAAAGGTTTTTCTGGCGTTAATTTGTGAACATGTGTTGAGTGTGGCTAATTCAAACCGGTCGAAATCATTCAATCAGGTACCCATAAATCTGGTCTCGAATTAAAGAGCAGCCTCGGCTTTCGATTGAATTTTAAATTTTTAGGGCGACCGCTAAATGGTGTCAAAACGCCAGTAGTGACCGCAGCTACGAGATAGCCGCCGCCTTTCTCATTCTTGTTGGAAGAGACTCAAAAAATTAACGAAATCGGCGTTCGCTCTTTAATGAAATTATCAAGGGGCCGTGTTTCGCGAGGCCGAAACTATTCGAATTGATAAAAGTTCAAGGTCTGGACTTTTTGTTCAGCAAACGGAGCGAGCTTTTTTATGTTGACTTTCCCACGAGAATCACTGTTGATTCTGGTCAGAGTCGTGCAACTCTACGTAAACACGTTGCTGCGCAGTTTCCTGTCATCGTAAGCTCCCTCAAAACTGTGCCAGGTTTCTCCTCCTGTACTTACTTTCTTCGCAGAAATCTCCAACAAATCCTTCATCGCACTGGCAGCTGAAGCTTTCGAATCCCTGAGCGCGGCAAGTGCCATGGTCGCCGCAGACCTTGGTTGTCAGTCGCTCTGTTTTGCCCGTGCGAACGTCGGTGAGTCTGGTCTCACATGCGTCAATCACTGAAGAAGAAATTATCGGCGATGATTAATGGCTTTTGCAGGAAGTGGGTTTGCGCCTCCGTCACAGGGAGGAATTTCCGGGCGCCGTGTTTCGCTGTCGCACGAGCATGACATTTTCGACATTTAAATGTTTAAAATTGAGAGCTGCCACTTCTCCTCCTTTCTCGAGCATGCACATTCCTGCATGAGTAGTGAACAAAAGAAAGGGCCATGCAAATGAGGACAAAGTGGAGCTACCGGCTACATATTTCTAATTTACCGCGCGTTCGTCACTGTGGTCGCCTTTGGAATGCGAGAAAATTAACGGCGAAAGTGATTTTTTCAGAAAAATGTCCCCAGAATAAACTTTGCGTCTTTTTTTTACCTTCGCAAGACGCATCGGGTTGTGCGCAGTAGTCCTTGACTCGTTCACAGTTTCGCCCTTCAAACTCCTCCTTGCACTGACACTCGTAGTCGTTAGCAACGTTGAAGCATTTGCCGTCGTTTTGACAGGGATTGGCGGAACAGAAGCCCATCGGAATCTACAAGCAATGATTACAAACAAGCACACAAATATTAATACAGCTCGTCTTTTAAGTATTCATAGCTAGTTGAACCGCTAACTAGGCAATTAGGAGTAAATTGAAGCTTGTCTGAAGATTTGCATAATTCAGCACCCTTCAGGGCGAGAACGCTTGTCCCCGAGGAGAATTTCGGAAATTTATTTCATTTTATTATTTTCGGCTGTATTTGTGCTGAAAGTTACCTCGCACTTGCGTCCCGAGAAGCCACTGGGACAGAGGCACTTGAAGTCGCCGACCATATCGCTGCACGTGCCGCCGTTGCTACACGGATTTTGGGCGCACTCGTTAGTTTCGATCTCGCAGCGCTCGCCTTCGAAACCATTTGGGCACACACACTTGAAGGAGCCGATCGCATCCTGAAGTAATTTCAGTTACGAGCGGAAGTTCTCAACATCTCTCAACGAGTTCGTTTTCTGCTGAGAAGGCTCTTTTCTCGCCCCGGGCCGGAACGAGTCCCACCCCGAGTGAATTTATAAGCCGAATAAGCTAATGAAGAGAATATCTGGTATTTGGAAGGATATTCAATTTTTTCCCTGGAAAAGGGCGGTATTATAGCGAATGAATTTTCAAATATTTGGGTGGTATAGAATGCGTGCACAAAGTGGCCCGTCTGTGGTGTTACACTTACGATGCATGTCGCCCCATTCGCGCACTTTGGAGCGCCGTCTTCGCCCGCCAAGCACTCGTCGATTTCTGAAAGTGGTTAGGCTACGAATCTCCACAGCCGCTGTCTACCTTTTTCGCAGAAGACGCCTTCGTAGCCGGCCTTGCAGTGGCAGAAGAAAGTGCCTGCGCTGTTGATGCATCTGTGCGCGTTTTGGCACGGGTTCACCGCTTCTTCGCACTCGTCCACGTCTAAATTACAGTCAGTACAACGGTACATGCGCGCGCGTCTTGTTTGAACTAAATTAAGTACCCACGGGGATGTTGGGCACGCGCGGGCCATAAATCACGCCTCTGGCACTTGTTTTCACAAATATTATCCTACTAGAGGTGAAAGTAGATTAGTTGGATTTATTTCCGCGCTTTAAATCGCTCAATGTTTTCATAATAAATCAAGCAACATTCGCGAGCGCTATTTTAATTGTTGTGGAGCGAGCGGATGAGCATGAGGCGCAGGGCTGGGCAGGGCCAGATAAATATACATCTTCCGGAATTTACATTTCGGATAAGCCTCAGACGGGGTTCCGTAAAGATGCATGATTCAGCCTAGGGCACGTAATACAAGGAAGCCTTTATCGTACTTCCCCAGCAGCGTGGTATTTGAATTGGCATTTGCTGGAATGGAGGCGCAAGATTAGCCAAATTGTCATAAAATTACTCAAAAATTGCTCCACTCTAATACTACCTCTAAATATGAAGACTTTCGTTTTAAAAGAAACAAGTTCCATACAGAGTTATTTTTCAAGAAGACACTAGAAATGAAGCTCGAACCATTTCGATTCCAGATCTTATTTTATATGAAAAGAGCTCTGTAGTTTGCGAAACGCGGAAAAGTATTTATTATTTTGGCGTTTGGCGCGTGTGAGATAAGTCGCCCGTTCTCTCTTTTTCTAAGGCGATCTCGGCGGCCCTTATCGCATTCTTATCAGGAGCCATAATTGTCAAAAATTGTCATTTCATCGGGGGATTATGACGAGATCTTGGAAAAATATTCTTCATCGAGCTCATCCCCTTCAATTTACTTTTTCTAAAGGCCAGTGCTCCGCCGCGCAATTATTTTAAAAAAGTATTTTTTCTGGAACGTCTCCGCACACACAAAAATCTGGCACGTGATCAGATGGGGCACGACGTTCGTTTCTTTTCTAAACAAAGGCCGACGGAGTAATTGTCGGATGGCGGGATTATCAGCTAGAGTTCCTCGCGCCCAGGTGGTGCCCCACAGTGATAACAAAACTGCGAAATGATATTTTGATAAGGAAAAGACGCCCAGCTGGGTCGGAGAAGTCCGTGACTAGACCTCTTATCGCAAAAATTCCGCGCGAAAATTTTCTTCTTAGCAAAAACATAGCCTCTCTTACCTAATTGACAGGTTTTGCCAGTCCATCCAGCGGGACAAGCGCAGACGAAATCGCCCTCGCGATCAAGACAAGTTCCGCCATTTTTGCAGGGCGAGTTTGCACACTCATTAATGTTTATGTTGCAGTATGGTCCGGTCCATCCCTCTTTGCAAGAGCACGTGAAGGAACCTTCCCTGGTGGCCTCGCACATTCCGTTTTTTCCACAAGGGTTGGAGACGCACGCGTTTGCCTGGTGCTCGCATCGGCGACCTGAAATTAAAAGAATTAAATCAAAAGTTTCCAGCTTGGAAATTGAAAAATCGATCAGAAAAGAAGGCGGAAATGATAGATAAAATTTGTCGATTCGCCCAATTGGCCACTTTTCGCTCAAAGCCCGATAAACCTTATAATTGCTGCCTTCATCCGTTAAATGAGGGTTTTCCTCGAGGGGCACCGCTAGACCAAAAATAACAGTCCATAAGTTTAGCGTTTTTGCTTCTCCTGGCCTTACTGTATTATTAGAATCTACATTCACCCGTGAAAATTAATAATAGATCTGTGCAAAATCTGTTGGGCGAATTTAGGGTGGTTTATATAAAGGTTATCTGAAATTAACTACGGATCATTAGGGGACTGAGCATTCTGTGTCGGATTCGGTGATTAGCCGTTTCACTTACCGTGGTAGCCAGGGAGGCAAGTGCAAGTGAAATTGCCGTAAGTATTTTCGCATTTGGACTCGTTCTGGCAGGGATTGGACTCGCACGAGTTCAGGTTGATGTCGCAAAACTTGCCGCCCCAGAATGGCGTGCACTTGCAATCGAAGGGTTCGTCACACGTGCCGTGTACGCAGCCTTCCGCAGGAATACACTCGTCGCAGAACTGACCAGTCCAGCCATGGCGGCATCTAAAAAAGATTTTGAGAAAAATAATATCCAAGGTGTTGTAAAGGGATGAAGGGTGGAACGGAGCTCTTCAATCAGATGGCCCTTAAAACTTCCACCTTATAAATCGATCATATTTAAGCTGTCAAGCAAGGAGCCCAAAAATTTCAGTGCCCTCATCTTGGCAGACATTCTAGGCATGCTCGGCTAGGTGACACAATTTCAAAGCTCTCTTCCGACAGATTGTTAGGATTGCGGATCTCCGCTCGCCGATCTGATGGATGAGCTGGATTGGACCTTCTGTCACCGAGAAAATGGGAGCAGCTCTGAAAAGTATCTCGCGAAATTGGAGCGACTTAAATCGACGCCAATTACCACCGCCGCCACGCATGTCCGATAACATGGCACATTCAACTCGAGTGGATAATTTCTGACAAGTGAGCTACTTTACAGAAAATACCCAAAAGATTCTCGAATGGACGATTTCGAAGGACATCATTTGTTACCATACGATTTGTTAATTAATGAGGAGGTGAGGTATTGATTCGATTAAGGGTATCGAAGTCATCTGGCTGACCTCGCCGTGCCCAAATGCGGCTAGCGGGCTGACAGGTTTAGGCATTTCGCTGTCAATATTCTATTTCCATTCGGTCGCCCTTTGGACATTCGAAATTTCTTCTTCATTAGTAAAATCATATCAAGTCATTGAGAACGCGCGGTGGCTGTTAATTTTTAATCCAGCCAGCCGAGCTTTCATTAATTTGGAATTTCGCTGACACGTGATAAAGATGAACCCGTACAGCTCGGGAGCACCTGTACCAGTGGTCTCCTAAGGACCCGCTGCGAAGATGCCAGTTTTATTTTATCAATTATTATTAAAGAGTATATCGAATTTGAGGCTTACCTGCATTCGCCAGCTTTCGTACAGTATCCGTGTTCCTGGTGGCACTTCTCGCTGCAAATCGCTGAAAAATGTGATTATGGCTTTTGCGGAAAACGCTTGTGGGAAAATGCAGAACGCCGCCCACCGAGAGGATGTCTTTCCAACCGGCACTCCAGCCACTTTATCGCGGAAGTGGCGAAGAAGACTTCCCCACGGTTAACGGTTAATCAAAATGCAACGCCTGTTAATAAGCACTTGATCAGGGCGTATTTTTTAAATTCGAGAATCTTGTTGTATTTTTAGCTCGTTCTGCGCAAGTGGCCGCTTTTGATTAATGAGAATATTCCTCGCACAGGCGAAACTACGCGCGGATGAGCTTCGCTGATCCTGAAGACGATTAACTTGTCGAATCGGTCATAATTTCGGGGCGATTTGATTCTAGCGCCAAAGGGTGTACATTCGCCCTCAGAGTAGGCAACTCTCGCAATTGATCAATGACGACAGACGGGGAATGGGCTCGAGTTTCAACCAGTTCCGGAACCCGCTCCCGCCACTCGATACCGTGACAATCATTTTTTTGATGATTGGCAAACGTGAATTCTAGCGATACTAACTTTACTCGCGGCTCCTCGTAGCCCGAAAAGAGGAGCATTCGAGTTAAAATTCTTACAGAAGCTGATCGGCACTTTTAATACGCGCTGCTAATAAAACTAGTTGGCTTGGATATTTTCCTTTGTCTAGGGTCAAAAATCTGAATGTCGAAATGTTTGCCTAGTAGTCATAAGCGCACACTTTGCTTTCCCACGGGCACTCGAGCATCAGAAAATAAAGAAGACCTTGGCCGTAATGGAAACGGGCTTTTTTACTCACGTTGATCGCAGTTGTCGCCACCCCAGCCGTCGAGGCAGACTTTCTCGCCGAAGCGATTGCAGAAGAAGTGGCCGGCTTCGTCGTCGTGGGCCTCGCAAAAGGTTGAACAGCTCATGTCATAGTAGTTGGCGTCACATTCCACCTTCAGCAGATACTCGATTGTGGCCACACTTCCTCGGTGAACTCTTTTCATCCACTCCCCGGTCGGACGGATAGTCTCGCTTTCTTCGGTCCATTCAATCAACTGGGCTTCTGAATCTTCATCGTAGTCCAGAGCTTCCAGTCGCATGTGGTATCGGTACTGAAGAATAAGATTAGTAACATGACTTTTTCAGATATTCTTGTAAAGTTCGCCACTGAAGAGTCAATTTCTAAAAAGTGGTCATCGAATGATTTTTATTTCTAAATAGTAGTTTCATCCCCAGGTGGCCGCGATTGTAGCACGTTTTGTGTTGATTTTGAAAAGTGGCACCCTCTGTTACGTTGGTGGAGATAAATGGCCGCTTCGTGTACTTGCGACTAATCTGGCTCAAGTCGCGAAAATAGAAACGGTGAGGACAAAGGACACTCGAATGAGAAGTGAATTTGGATCATCAGGCGTGGTCATCAAGAGGACTCGAAGATCAAAGGCGGCCATAATCCGTGAATTAAAAACTCGCCAAGAATTCCCGAGATTTAAAAATTTTCAAGTTGCTCCCAGTTATTTTTACTATTTTTGCTTTACATAGTGTTTGGCCAAGGATGAAAAGGAACTTTGTAAGCTGGAGTGACAGTTTCCCAACGCGAGTTTGGACCAGCTGGGCAAATAAGAGAGATGCGCGATAGAACAATATTTGCCCCGTACAAAATAATATGTGCTTGGAATACTGTGTTTGACGGGGGCAGGTGTAATAGTTCCAAAAACAATAATCTTTTGGGAAATATTTCCGGCCACTTGAGTCCATCCTCACACGTGACTTTGAAATGGTCAACGATCAAACTTGGAGGAAAATTGAATTTCGATAAAAAACGGAGCGCCGTTTTTTTTGAGAGGCGATTTTTGTCCCTTATCTATATAGCGAGGCTATAATCAATAGCCAGAAATTACAACCCTAACTGGCATGAAATTTCGGAAGTGGTGCTACATTTCCGCCCCGGACGGCAGCCCGTGACCGATAAGGAAACCATATCTTCAATTCACGGATGCCCTTGCAGAACTAGAAACTCCTCATGAATTCGTTTTCGGAGTTCGCAGTTGAATCTCTTGTTTGCCAACGTTTTCAGCAGCGGGGGAGCCGGAACAGCGGAAATGGTTTTATCGAGTTTTGCGCAGAACTCAGCCGCCAGTCCAAAAAAGGTCACTCAGCTGTAGAAAAATGAAACGAAATGTTCCTTTCAGCGCCAAAAAACGCGCCTTTCTCAAGTTCACGCTACGCCGAATCACAATAATAAACGCATTCATTATTAGGATGCGAGCCAGTCCAGTTTTTATCAAGTTATGTTTTATCATTAACTATAATGATGCCTATCTGGCCAAAAATCACAAGTAAAGAGGTCTTGTCAAAGTAAACATTTTATTCAAGAATCCACTTAGTTTTTAACTGGCTGTGAGACTGGCGGCGCTCCAGGAGCAGCGCTAGAATCCCGCGCCAATCCGACAGGAGCACTATGTTCCTGCCTTCCATTTCTTGACCGTGGTCCATGACACTTATCGCCATAAGCGCGTCATGTAGCAGAAAAAGCCCCTTGCGCGGCGATAAGTTAACTTATCCGCTCGATACATGCACCGCTCTTTGAAAGTTTCAAATGTCGCGGGGAGGTCCGAATCAGCGCTAGAAAAATGTTCAGCACTTTGTCGAACGCACCGGTTACGCGAGGCGCGTTTGATCACACCGCCGCGGCGTACGGGCCGCGCGTAAACGGGTTAAGGAATATGCTAGGCAAGTGAATCATGTGACGGATAAGCGGATTAGCCGGCTGAATTTTTTTCTTTCGTGATTTTTGGAGGCGTACACATTCACCACCGCAATTATGTTACGCCGGGCGCCATCACGCGGTGAGATAAGCCACGCTCTCGTATAAATAAACCGTCAGATCTCAATCGCCGCACGGTTAACCTCTCGGCGCATACAGAAAGCCAGCAATAACACCCTGTCATCGCAGGGCCCTTTTAATTCACTTAACCCTTGAGATAACTTTGAAATCACATTTGCGGCGCTCAATCTCGGCGAGTAACTCGATTCTCTGACTGTAAATACACAGCCAAGGGAAGTAATGGTTTTTACGAGTGCGCTAATAGGCGCTCAACCACCGCTCGTAACTCAAATGCGAAATGCAACGCGCTCCCTGTTTACCCTAAGCACCTGCTCCATAAATATACTCGCCCTGGAAAGTGTGAAACGGGTCACCTTTTTCAAGAACGAGAAATCCCTGCTATGAACTGAAAATAGAAATTAAAAATTAATGATTTAGGTATCTATAAAATCAGTTTTCTAATGATCAAAGTTTCACATGAGTGCGAAAAACCCAGGCTGGTCAGAGCAGGAAGCAATCTCATCCAGATGATAAGCGGCTTATCCCGGAAGAAAGCTCCCTTTGTGAAAGAAAAAACATCGATGACCATCTGTAGGTCTCAGTGTGTGTGTTTTGCCACATCGCTGAATATCGGAAGTGAATAAAACCCAAAACATGGTCTCCGATCCCGCGCCTCGTGAATATTTAGCCGCTTCGGGAAGGAAAAGCAACGAAAAGTACTGAATTTGCCTGCATTAGTCTATTTAGGCTTGAGCCAATGCACAATTCATAAGTGTGTTTATTGTCCGGGCTTGAATATTTATCCCCTGGAGTGTGCTTCAATAACTGCTGCCTCTTTATTCATTTCGAACTGCGCGCCAAGTTGAAGTTCAAGTGCTCTCACAAGGGATTCTTTTTTTTCACTGATAGTCCTGTTTCCAGCGAATTTTACTTTTTTATTTGAAACGCGGCGAAAATTTCCAAGCTCTAATTCAAGCCTTTTTGATCCGGAAATTTGTTGTTTCAGCGCGAAAGTGAATGTACGCCCTTAATGTTATTTTTAAGGGGAAATTTGGTGGGAGCTTCCCATCTGTGTTTTCACAAGGGTGGCTTTGAAGGCGCCTGTTTTTGGAAGGTTGTATGTAGAGGGATTAGCAGCCAAGTGAGCAAAATAAGCATCAGGAATAAAACGAAGCGGACTTGCTCCCGGATCGCAGCCGACCGCGGAACAGCTTCTTGCGGTGCTGTAATGGCACCTTGCTGCAAATTTGGCGAGTACACAAGCCGAACGTCATAACCCCTAGAAATCAGTTTCGACGGCCAGAAGAAAGATCTCCCGAAAAGGCCTTATCAACTGGATGCAAATTGATGCGAGAATCGAACTTCAACAATAAGAAGCTCTTTTTATTTTCTGGATTGTTTTAGGGTGCGAGGCAGCGCAGCGGGGATGGCCCGTTCCCTTTCTCCACGGACAAAAAGGTTTAATTTACCTTGTCTTTTCGAAATCGAATTCGAAATTAATTTTCTTTGAGAAATTACCCTAACCCTTATAAAAGAAATGCGCCATGTCAACATTGTGACATTGGCCACATCTGGCGCTATCTCATTAATAACTGTCAGGACTGACTGTAACTTACTCCTGTGCACTGGAGCCTAGCGAAATACGGGCTCCTAAGGATCTTAGGTGCGAAGAAGAAATCCGGGATTTCCATCTGCGCGGCCAGCTTTCGCGGTCGGCTTTGGGGTAATATTTTGGCTTTGGATGAATTATTTTTTCAAAAACTGGGCGAAAAAGAAAGAACTCAAGAATCAAGTCGAAAAGTCACGGGAGTCAACCAGGGGCGTGCTTCATCCCCGGCGATAAATTCCCAAATGTCAATGAATCGACCCGAAAATTCCACTCGCGCGCACCGCAAAAAACTAAAGCAAGAAAAATCATAAAAAGAAGGAGGCCAACCGATAATTGTATAAAAATATGGGGCGCTGTAGGGAGTCCCTTGAAGTGCCCAATTCGCTTATAGGTTTCGCGGTGGGTAGTCGGCGGCCCATGTCAAATGTCTCAATCGGGGAGATGTCTCAATCCATCAAATCTTTATCAGAGGCGGTCTCCTGACGCCCTGTCCTTCCAATCACCCAGATCCTTCTCACCGAACAACTCATTTCACGGTTACCTTGCTTCAGAGCATCATCATTATAAGACTACCCCTTATGTCTAACGATTTAACAATGATTTTAAAGTTGAGTATCTTCAGTAGTACGCGAGTATTTCTTACAACAAGTCAAATTAGCGTCTAAGGGTAACCAAAGCTGAACGAATATAAAAAGCTCGGTGAATTATTAATTTCAAATCGGATAATTTAAGCACGTAGAAATACTTGTCCGGATGCTCGATAATCCGGCCTTGCGGATTGTTGTAATTAATTTTCATCAGCAACAGGCCCGACTGAACGGCGATGTCGATAATTTGAAAAATTACTGCCTCTGATTAACATTTACTGTGTCCAAGCAGCGAGATTTTTTTTTCTATATCAAATGCTTATCAATAAAAAAAGTTTATCAAGTGAACCTTGAACCGAGCGGTCGAAAATGTTTCAAGGGGTGACCGTGATTTTGCGCGGTTATACGATAAGCGGTTTTTTAAAAAATGTATAAGGCTAGATTGAGATATCGAGCGGTGGAACCACTAGTGAGGCGGGCTCCTCGAAATAAGCCGGAAATGGATGGCGGCACCTTCAAAGACTCATTTTGTTTTGTTGGCATTTTTCATTCAGAGAGCGGCGAGTGAAATTCGATAGTTCGGTTTGGACGACAACCTAACCATAAGAAGACGAGTGCGAAGAGGAGCGATCAGTGGACAGGAAGAATCAAGCGCGGTTGAAATTCAAAACCTGCTTTTAAAATCACCCAAAAAGAAAAAAAAAGTCGTATTCGATGACCACTTTTGAAAGTAGAATTCCGACTTCCTTCTTTTTATAAAAAACTTACCATCCAACTTTGGGAGAAAGGAATCTTCATCTGGAATGGAGTTTCTGCTTCGTTAAGATCTAGATGGGCAGGATTCTCGAAGCTGTTTCCACCGAGAACCGGCGTTTCTGCTTCTCCAAAGGTGCAGCTTCCTTCATCGGCATAAGGCGAGAAGCAAACGCGGAAGAAAGTGTCGCACTGGTCGGAACAGATCCTTTTCTTCCTGTGGCTCTGTCCGTCGCAGCATCTACCGTTCTCCGCCGCGTACCCCGCCGAGTTAGTGATCTTTGTGATAACCACCGATATCACTCCAGAGCTCTGAAACCAAGCGGTTAGAAACACAAATACCACCATGAGAAAATACGCCAAAGAAACAAAAATATTTGACTTCAAAAAATTATCCTTTCATTTCGCACTTATCGATAAAAAAATAAAATTATCAAAAAAAATTAAACCTGCATGAAATCAAATCCGCGCGAGAAATACAAGTTTTCAATCCAATTTTGAGAATATTATGTGGCAACAGGCTCAGAAGGGGATTAAGATGAGCAAAAACACTTCGAAAAATTAAATGGTAGCTGTGACATTTGGGGATGATGGAGTAATCCTGTTGCGTCTCCATTCAAATAGAAAATTTGCGTCCACCGACCTTTGAAAAAAAATAAGAAACGGGAAACGCGCGGAGCCGGAAAATTGGAGGAAAAAAATGAAATTTTCACATGCTTGTACTTTTCGGAAAAGTGGAGCAGATAAAGCGGCCGCTCGTTTATCCGACAGGTCATCACTAAAAGTGCCAATTTGTCCGGCACACTGTCAGATACAACACAGCCAAAATACTAAACTAGCCATAATTTTACTATTTAAAAACTTCTAGTCTTTCCTTGAAAAGATTCAAAAGACCGCTCACTTTTTACAGTACGAATATATTTTAGCATTACAGTTAGCCTCTTTAGAAAGTAATATATCTTTTTTTTTAGCCGTGGAAGAAGATTTACTGTCCGTTTACTGTTCATACTTGGCCAATAAAAGCCCAACTGTATAGGTCAGCTGTTGATTTATTGTAAGATCGTCAATTTTCATTAAAAAATAAGAAACTTTTTCAAAGCTGGATTTGCTCCAAACGAAAGAGGAAAAGATTGAAATTTGAAAATTGAAAATTGGATTGGTATTGAATTAGGCGCGCGGAAATGTGGTTTATATCGTCAATAAATTGGAAATTTGGCTTGATCAGTCTAAATACTATTTCGAGTGTCCCAAAACAGCGCACTTTCTATTTCCGAAATAATTTACCTGGGCGCACTTGATGCCGGACAAGGCAGACAGCAGGCGCAGGATAATCTGCTCGGGGCTTTCGAATACTTCCGCTGAGGATCAAAAACTTCCCAAAAAATAATCATAAAGCCGCTTTTTTTTGCTTTCAACTTTTTTAATTTCTTTCGGACAAAAACAGTATTCTTAGGGAGAATCGGCAATGTGCTTGCTTTTCAGTCGATAGCCCATAAAAAGAGATTAATTCCCCGAATCCATGAATTTCGCGAGTTGAACAAAGGCTCCAGTTGAAAATTGGGGAACGAAACTAAAAGGCTCTCCGCTGGGAGTTGAATAACAGCCGCTGCGACTTAACTAATTGGCAATTAATCCGAATCCGTATTTTGGCCAGTCCCTAAAGAAGGATGAGCTGAGCTAATAAAAATTCAATGGGAAGGAATTCTAGCCGCATTCTTCCGCCAGGGATTAATTCAAAAGCGAGACAGTCTGCCCAAAAATCTTACGCCAGGGTCAAGCCCCAGCCAACAATTGATTTTTTTACGAATACTGGATTGATTTTTAGAAAATTAGAAAAAAACTCGGCAAACGTAAAATGCGGGCTTGAGTCCGAATTTTCAAAAAGTCAATTTTATTTGTATTTTTTTTTCAAATTTCTCCATTGATAATTAATTTCTTTCCAAAACAAAATCAGCATGAGGTGGCACGTGACCTTGAAAAGTTGGAGAAAAGCGGCGTCGTGGGAACGCTCGGGAATAGATCTGCGATATCCGGAGTTATATCGTGTGCGAATTCGTCTTGATCGCATTTTGGATTGAAATCATCGAAAACTCATTTCCTTGGAAGGGAGAAAAAACGGTGAATTTAGCGGATTCGGCAGCTTGCTTGAAATCAATTGCCTCTCTCACGAGAAATGTCGAGAGCTGTACCATTTGCTTTGTTGAATTTATTAACCGTGGGAAAAGTAGCTGCTCAGAACATCATAAAACCAAGAAAATGAATCGCTCAATAAGCGTTACCAACTCCTTCAAATAAAGATAAAATTGACTTTTCGTGAAGAAAAAAATTGCCAAAAGAAAGTTTTTTTGTTTTTGTTATAATTTTTATATAAGAAACTTTCTTAAATTTTTTTTTACAAAAGAGCTTTTTTTTAAGTTTTAGGCGAATTAGAAAACCTCAAAAGTATATGTGGATGCGGACGGAAGGCGTCCGAGGATGTTTGTTTGAAAGGTTTAATAATAATCCGGTTGACGCGGCGGGCGATTATCCGCACGAAAAATGTGGCTTAGCCCTTATCACAAGAAAGTCTTTTTTAAGCAAAAATTTATTCGAAAGCCCGCTCCTTCATGATTGCTTTGCTAATTAACAAATTACAAAGGCAGCTCTTGTTCTTCGGGAATCTTCATAAGTCGAGTTTCTTCTTTTCAAATCTCTATCTTCAAATTTCAGTTCTAATCTCTTTGTTGTCTCCAAAACTGTTTCTTCCTAAAAGCAGCAAATATGACTGGTATTATTATTACTTCAATAGGAATTTATTTCCTCGGAGATTTTTTTTTTCGTGGAGCAAATTTCGAGAAGCGCGGCGCAGTGCGCGCTCGTAGCTCTCCGGCGCCGCCAAGAAAGCGCAAAAAATATAGGGCGGCGCATTAGTAGAGCGCAACACCACGCACTTCTAGCGCTACCCTAAGCATATCAAACATGTTGATTCAAATGTTGCATAAGAAAGAAATGGAAAGACCGTCTTTATTCAACTCTACTTCAAATTAATTGCATTAGCCAAAGTATAGATACCTTCTGACTGTAATTAGTACAATACTGTAATTACACTTCGTTAATTTGATCTTAAAACTGAAGGCTTTGAAGATTATCGCTTCCGTCCTATTATTATTATAGTGATAATTATTGAAGAAAAGGTGGTCATGATTTTCACGAGTAGAATAAAAACTGGATATTGGTAGTGTGCGAAATCTAAAACTCGATTTGCGAGTTTGAGGAATTCGCTGGCTCTATTACACATGTTTGTTATTGGGCGCACTTCCGGCTCCGGGGAAATTACTCTGAAGAGAGGCTTTACCAAAAAATAACCATCGGAAATTGGCGCCTTTGTGTGTTTTATTAGGACGATTAGCATGATTCCTCGCTGGTTATTTTCTCTCTGACTCTAACTTCCTCGTGACGTACGGCTTTAACACCAATTACCGTTATTGCAATCAACTTTACGAGTTTGATTTTATTGCTTGTTCCATCTAGAATACTTACTTTTATGCTGCTAATTAGGAGAGTTAATGAGATGGACTTCTGATAAACCCTCTCTCTGCAGAAACGAAGAGGATTTTATTTCTTTTAAAATGAAGCGATCTACTTTCCGAGTCGAAATTCTATATCTTTGAATCTTTGGCAAAGTTCTGATAGATTAGTTCTCGCTTGAGTGCTCAAGAATAACAACTGATGGTTGCTCGATGCGAGTATAAGTCGCCCAAGCAGGCCAATTTCATCGTAAACGATGATTTACAACAGGCACGCGCAACACCTGCCCTACTACAGTAACATACAGTAGCCAAGAAGTGAAATATACCGACGGCGCGCACAAAGGGATGATCTTCTGAGGGTAATCCAGTTTATGGTCCCCTATTATCCCCAACATACTGACAATGCGACTCGCGCTGGCTCCCCGCCAACTGCCGATAGATCTCGGCTCCTATCGCCGACGATTTCAGAAAAAAAAACGAAGCAGGTTCAGAAGAAGGCTGGAAAAAAGCCAAAGTATGGACAAAACGCTCTTAGCGAAATTATTAATGCCCAGCGCTTTCAATTTCGAGTGCTATCGCAATTTCAGCCCTGACAAATAAAACAATCAAAAATACTGCAAGACTTGGTCAGAATATTTAAAACTGGAAGGCTTCGATTCCAAGCTTTTAACTTTTTAATTCGCTGAGTCGATAAGAGCCTGTCATTTTTGTACTTTGAGCGTCAGCTATGTTTATGCCGAGTTTGTCAGAAGTCGCCTTCATTTAGGCTCCCGTAGTCCTTGACCCTGTTAGCGCTGCCATGTCCCTATTACTTTATGGGCCATCGGCGCCATGTTTGAAAGTGGCTTCTTGTCTGATCTCGGTTCCGCCCCGCCGCGCGTTTTGATCTCAATCAGCAGAACTCGCTGCTCAGAAAAGAAACTCTCAGGTACTTTCTACTGGCGCCCATCCAAAATTACTTTCAATCCGAAATCGCTCTTCCTTGATTCACGAGTAAATTTTCGTTGAATTTTAAACCATTCAACAGTTTAGTCCAACGAACTTCGCTGACGATAAAAGAAGATAATTTATTCATGTCTTTCGTGAAGCGTCACATCTTTTTTTTACTTTTTTCGTAATTTCACAGTTTTCACAAAATGTTCAATTTTTTTTCTTTCTTTTTCGTTTTTTCTTGTGCCGAAAATTCGGATCCGCAAAGTGTCCATTACTTCGAGAGAACACATGATAACGGAAATTCTATTCAAGGGACTCAGAGTGTTCTTGAAGCAGTATGCGAATCCCCGACAGTGCAAGGAAACTTACCAGGTCGAGTTTTGCTAGCTCTCTTCGTTGATTTCCTCCGTTGAAATCAATTCGAAACTCGAGAAAGGGGTGGATGTGAAACTAAAATGGAACTCTCTGGAATCCTGGATAAAAGATCCAAACCAATCAAGATTTATTAATAAGACGATTCTTGTTAGAGAATCTCTCGAAAAATTAAAGACGAAAAAATTCATAAATTGGCGAAATCAAGCGTACAGTAAAAACCGCTGGTTTGGGACACCTGAAAATCCTTCTGGTTTGGGACAGTCGGGCGAATTAACGATCAAAGGCACGCGGCCACGGGGGTGTTTTTAAACTGACCGCTTTACCCGGAAGGCGAAAGTGGCGCGCGAGAGCAAAAGTGAAAATACTTCTAGTTTGGGACACGTGGGTGGACTAGGGGTGTCCCAGACCAGCGGTTTTTATTGTACAAGAACTCAACGTATCAATTTGTAGGCAAGCTCCTTTCTTAATTATTTCGTGCTTACGATGTTTAGCTGTCGAAGTTGGCGGAGTCGACAAAGAGATGGTTGCGTTTCCCATCAATGGTTCAGTAATGGTCAACGCTGTTATCTGTCAACTCGCGGATGATGGTCACAAGTTTAATGACTTTCTTGGAGTTTACTGGCATTATCTGCTTGTTTCACAGCCGTTGGTTTCAAGAACCACATCCTGGATCGAAGATCAATGCACTAGTCATCAGGGCTCAGTTCCACACATAATCGACAACAGAATGTTTCACCATTTGACGATTTGGGGCAAATCAAGGAACATAACTGACTTTCTCGTTCGAGCAAATGACGACCTACGATGGCTGAGTACTGACACAGATAGAGATGCGGCTAGGACAGGCTTGGTTTGAACAAATAGTTTTAACGACTTTCTCGTTTGAATATTCTAAAAAATCAAATAAAAGGACCTTCATCGTATAAATTATTCAATGTTACTTCTGGACTCCTTCCTGTACCCGGTGATTTCAAATTTGAAGATTACCAAGAAAATGAAAACGCATTAGGAACAGCTTTACTTTCACAACAATCAAAATTGTCAGTAAGAAGCAAGATATAAAGCTGAGAAAGTCTGCGAGTTCTCAAGCCACCGCGTCTTCGCTATCAAACCTGTCAATCAGACGGAAATTCCCGGTGTTCAATGCGAATCGACATCAGCGAGCTCTATCGAAGGATCCTCGACGGAAGATTACTTCTCTCCGAATTTTAACAGAAACAAAGTCCTTATTCATGGCATGGATTTTGGAAGTTGTGACGACCCGTTTTATTACAACACTAGCATGAAATTTGATTCGCTTTCTTGGGAAGGCAACAGATATGGAAGCTCTGTCGAAGCTTGGCTTTTCCTTCCACGAACCCAAACGTCCGAAATGGCGAACTTTGGTGCTATCCCAGGCATCGCGCCATTTACGCCTTGTGTCTCCAAATTTAAAGCTTCGGCAATGCCCAGAGCTTGTTTTAATCCTCTTGACAATGTCACTCTTATGCTCGGGGTAACTTTTTTTATTCAGAAGAAATCATTAACTATTAATTGAGGTTAACATGAATTTGGAGGAACGCAACTACAAGGCCAGATGGCCAAGAGTTCGACTTCGTCTTCGGATAGACTTTTATGAAGAGGTAATCTTTCACCTTTTATGTTTATCATTTTTTTATCTCAGGCGGATTCATGGCTTCAAATTTACGAAAATGACCCATTTCGGTCGGAGTTTCATGAAGTTTCAGATCTCAGCACGCAAGAACTCACGATTGACTCCCACGACCGTGACATAATTGTACTTCCTCTTCGCGATTCATCATTATTTCTTGCCAACGCAAGTCATGGACCCGATTATCATGTTCTTCTCCATTTCGAAGATTTGCCGGATTTCAGTGTCGCAATAAGGGATCAGGCATTCATCAAGACACTCGACAATGGACTCTACAGTACTTTCATGAGTTCGTTTTCCACGTATACTTTCGGAAATGGAGGTCAACCATTCTTGTTCACGGTGAAAAATGCGTCGAGTCTTCAAACGAAAAAGGAAATTAATTTCGATCTTGAACAGCCTGAGATCGGCTTTGCGAAAGAAAACTTTATTTATGGCTGGCGGAAGGACGGAAATACCGATTTAGTATTCGATTCACTAAAATATGACGACAGCCGATACGAACTTATAAACAGCACAGAGACAACCAGCCACAAATGCTTCCACAACTGCATCAAGGCACCAGGTCTCTGTTTGACGTTCGATTTCAACAAGGATACTGGAATATGTTTTCGAGTCCATTTAAAATGGGCTTTCCACGGGACTGGAAGTGATCTATCTAAAACTCAACAATTTCTTCAGTACGACGATAGAAGAAGAAAAGCCGCTTATTTAGTTGAAGTCCCTAAAGAGGTCAATTTTACTCCTCGGGCAAAATTTTCAATACCTTCGCATAAGCTTTTTTATGCTCCTTCCACTACTGCTTTATCATTTGAACTATTTTTCAGGAATAGGTAGATTATTTCGTAAGAAAACTTACAATATGACAAAAAGTACCCTCACTTAGCAACGATATTGATGCCTGTAAATCTTTTGTAAAAGCCATGTCTCCTTCGGATTTTTACGTCATTCATCGAGAAATTATAGAAGCTCAGAATCTGGAGAAATTTTACGAATGCAGAGTATACACAAAAATAACGTCAGAAGAGTTTGAAGATAAATTACACGGCGACACGACTATTATTGAGAGTTGGACCGATTGGTTTTCCTATGAATTTGAAGAAATGGATAATTATCGCTTCGAAACGATCGAGGACAACGGAGTAGATTGTAAATTTAGTGAACACCTTCCATCGTTTCACTATATCACAGATGATTTTGATGTCCTGAATATTCGATATTATACCGATATTTCAATGTGTTTTGAATATTGTAACGCTGATTCTAGATGCGATGCCTTTTACATTGTATTTGAACTAACATCGACTAGTACTACTATCTGTTACTTCATTATTGCTGAGGACTGGAATCACTCAAGTGTTCAAGCGTGTCCAAGATTTAAGAAAACAGGCCACAGTAATGCAGGCGGACTAGAACCTTTTGGACAGAGTTTGAAACACTTGCTCGAAAATACACTAACTCATGCTTACAAGACTTGTTATGGCCCTGCCGATGTCATATCATCAAAGTATGAACCATATATTTCAACAGCTTGGAAAATCGACGAGTCCCACAGTTTTGACTGCAGTGCCAATACTTCGCTGACGAATCGCTTTGTAATGAAAAATTTAGCAACAGGCGAACAGGTGTGCTTCCCTTTGACCCTGACAATGATCGACAAACTTGAGTTCAACAAGTCGCCAGATAAATACGAAATGCAAATATCTGTTTGTGACATAAACGAATGCCTAGCAAACCCTTGTGGCGATGCAGGTCAATGTGAAAATACAGGTTAGGTTTTTTTCTTTTACACTATATGAATTTTATATAATTGTGTATCATCTTTATTATCTTCCTTACTCTCCAAGAAAAATCTGAAATTTAGACGGTGGCTATGAGTGTGTTTGTGATGATGGTTATTCTCAAAGAAATTCTGAAGCAGTCTGTGAAGATATCAACGAATGCGATTCCCAAGAATGGAGAGGAAACTCTTTTTTTGTACAAGCTAAAAGACGCTCTGCCACACTGGATTCCGATGGACCTTGCAGTGAGCATGCGTATTGCATCAATCTTGAAGGTAGCTACGAATGTGAATGCAAAGCTGGATATGAAGGTATCAGCTGCAGAGGAATCGAATGTGATGCCGGCCACAATTGTACTGACATAAATGAATGCGAGACTTTCTGCTTTGGGGAAAATTCTGATTGCGTTAATACTCCTGGAAGTTTTACGTGTTCCTGCTCTACTGGCTTTGCTTTCCAAGAAGGAGAATGCACAGACATTGACGAGTGTAGAGTTTCTACTTTCACTTGTTCTCAGAACTCAATTTGTAGTAACAATCTTGGAAGCTATTCGTGTGACTGTCAAAAAGGATTCACAAAAGCAGCCAATGGAGAGTGCGCGGACATTGATGAGTGCGATTATGATGTCTGCGAGTACGACTGCAGGAACACAGTCGGCAGTTACGAGTGCGTGTGTCCAGTAGGCACAGAAGTGGCAGGCAGCGGCAAATGTACCAAAGTGAAGAGCGAAGTAGAGATGAAGGATTCCGCCAAAATGACGAAGCAATTGATGGCGCAGATGGTAGACGAGTCTATGAAGAATGTCGTCAGCTCAATTGACTATACGATGAACAACATGGCTAACTTTTCTGAAAAAGTTTCGCAAGCACTGTCGGAAACAGCAATTTCGCTGGAAAAGACGATCAAATCGATGGTGAATCCAAAGATGCCGGAAGAAGACCCGTTTTTGGAGCTTATTATGGCTCACGCATTCGACATGACAATGCGGAAGTCTTCAACAATGACCGAGGCGATGAGCAAAATGGCAGAATTTTTCGAGTTTGGAAATATTTTTGGAGAGTCTAATGATTTCTTTGCCCTAGCAGAGGGACAAGTCGGCAATTTAACATTGCCGAATTTAGAAATCCTCCAGTCAGCAAAAACAAGAACTCTCAGCGGAAGCCTTAGAGCCTCTCAAATGAATGTCAACCCGTTTATCCATTCTTTGGGCGATCTTTCCCTTGATCCGAACGTTTTCTTTATCGAAAGTTCTCCATCAGAAGTGCTTTTTCACGTTAAAAAGAAAAGTAACGCGAGAAGATTTACGAAAAGAATTGCGAAAAATTCGGGGGAAGTTATTCGATTTGAACTGAAAGAAAAGGAAGAGTTTTTTGTCTTCATGCAGCCCGAGTCGCTTGATAGTTTTCGAGTGTACCTGAGTTTTTGGAAGGCGCCAGAGCCACATACCGGTGATTTTATTGAACAAGTGATTTTGCCAGATTGGAAAGGCATCTCAAACATCACTTCAATCGATTGCAAAAGAAGCAAATGCGAAGGAAATCCGTTCGGAATACGCCTGAGAGGAGATCTGCTCGACTTGTGTTTTATAAATGATCATTGCTCTCTGTTTCTGAGAATCGACAATGTCAACGCACCCGTGCATCTTTCTATGGATATTTTGGCGTTTTCGTCGACTTGTTTGATAGAAAAAGGCTCATCTTGGAAATCTGATAGCTGTCAAATCAGTCCTGCTTCTACGGATACAGATGTTTTTTGTCTCTGCAAGAATTTAACTGACAAAGTCATGATGACAACGAAGACTAATGGGCTTTCTGTTAGAATGAATTATTTATCAGGTTAAGTTGTATAGATTTCAGAAATCCTTAAAATAATATAGAAACGATTACGATTGTGACAACATGGACTGTTTCTATGGTTCCCCTCGTGCTGTTTTTCATTTGGGCGGCGATGCTTTCCCAAGCGCGTTTCACCGACAGACTGATTTTCAATCAATTACGTTTGCGACCAGTTCGTTCAATTTCTATCGCGCCAAAGAAACGCTGGTATATTCTGACAATAGAAACGCGGTTCTCTGTCAAGTCCGCGCCATCAGAAGTAACGTTGTCACTTTGCTCGACTGATTGGATAGGCACTGAAGTTTGGGAAACTGTAACTCTGAGTGGAAGAATTTATAACGGAGGCGTTTTTTGTTTCCTTGTTCAATTACAGCCAGGGTTAGAAACAAAGTTCCTAGAGCTTGATGCGGATGTAACAACTGGAGGGGACTTTGCATTCTATCCTTCAAAAGTGGAGATACGAAGAATCAACCGAGACATCTTCGATCTGCCCAAAATATTCAAACTGGAAAAATACTCTTCTGTAAAACATGATTTTCATTTTGATGGCGCAATTATGGCATCAAAGAACTCTTTGAAAACATCATATCCTGGATCTCAACCTTCACCGTCTCCATTTCATGATCTACTCCTGGATCACTTTCTCTTTGAAAATTTCTGGACGACTCCATCTTTACTGAAACGCTACTCACACTTTTCTCAGACAATGAGACGTCTTGTTGGTGGAATATCCGTTGGCATTGTGGTGTTCGTCAATTTTCTTTACTATCTTAATGTCCGTCCAGGATTTGTCTTTATCAATAGTCGAGTAATCATTTTTGGGCCATTCTATTTGAGTCCTCATCTGTTTTTGTCATCCTTGATTGCAGTGATGTTTTCAACGACGATCACGACAATGTTGAAATCTATTTTAGAGAAAGTCCCACCAGCAAGTCTCAGTTGTCTCTCGCGCTCTGCAGTTATACTCAAAACATTCTATGTCCGAAATTTGATTTCGATCTTTCTGGTGCTAGTAATTTCGTGGCTGGCGATTCACTGCGCCGTGGGATATCAAAACTTGTCTGTCTTCGACCGCGATCTACTTGCAACATCGGTCTTTGTCTCTGTTGTCGCTGATGTTATATTTATTCCCTTATTGAAGAGTTACGCTTTGGCCGTTGCAAAGCGAGCGGTGAATTATCCGATCATTGTTATTTTTCCGAAACTAACGGCAGAGTATCACACGAACCCATGCTCATCAACCATCTTCAAATCGACAACTACAGCGCTAGAAATGAAGAAAACAGTGAAACGATCAAAACAGCGTCGGGATATTCTGAAAACTCTTTTCAAGTTTCTCAAGCTGGGCCTAATCTCGGGCAGTCTTTTGGGCATCACGAACTCGATTGTCCCTACTGGGCAATCAAAATTTTTTATTGATTCGAATATTCGACAAGCTCTTGAAGCTGGACTTGAAGATGTTTTGAGTATGAAAGACATTTGGACGTATTTGTCCAAAGAAACAATATCTTTCATTCACCCGAATCATCTGTCGCCGAATGGAGAAAAGCTTTCTGAAGATAATCGCAAGTTTGCCGCCGACCTGGTGAATTTTCGACTGGGCCCGGCTATTCTAAAGCAGCACAGAAATACTTGTGGAATTTATGAAATCGGATGGAAGGAAAAGGAATCCAATGATACGGGTGTGTTGCAGAAAATGAAAGAGTCGCCACTTCACTCACCCTGGGTCTCTCATACAGAAAGTGTGATTCCTTCTGATTTGACGCTTCAGTCACCAATTGAAATCGAAGGTTGTGAGTTCTCAACGATTCTAGGGACGTCAGTGACAAGTGGCAAATTTATTCTTGGCGAACTCCGTAAGAACAAGTGGATAGACTTGAAAAGCAGTGTAGTCATATTTGAACAGTCGTTTCTCCAAGCGCATTCAAATGCTTTCATTCAACTGCGCATCATTTTTGAACTAGTCGACGGCGGCGGAGTAGTCAGCTCCCTCACCATCCAACAGTTGAGGAATGTTGACCTCAGCGACAACACAATCGCAGTCAGCCTTACGATCTTCGGTTTCTTTCTGGCCGCGCAAATCATCTACTGCCTCAAACTGTTCACGCTGAAGAAACTGAGTTTCTACTCCTTCTTTCACTTTGGAATAATGTGCATGGACCTCTCTATCGTCGTAATTTTCATTTACCGAACTGAGTTGCTCCGCCAAACAATGGCTACCTTCACCATGAATCCAAAAGGCACGCCCAACTTCGGAAAGCTGTTTCTAGTTCAGTATCACTTCTTCTCCCTTGTTTCTGTATCTCTCTTTCTGCATATACTCTACTTGATACATATATTCTCGACGCTGAATATTGTCCGATCGTACAAGTACGTGATCAAGAGCTTGAGAAAATCACTGTCTCCGTTTCTAGGACTTTTGCTGCCAGTACAGGTAGATTTTACAATAAGTTGTTTTTTGTTTATCATTTTAGCTCGGCCTTGCATCGATCGTTTATCTTATTTTCCAAAGCTATTCGGTAATGTACAATGGCTTCTCTCATACTTTTCTTTTAATCATTTGGCAGGGCTATCTACGTCCTTCTGGTAACGCTGCTGCATTATTCAAATCACTTTAATGTGTTCAGATATGCGAGAAGAGATAGAAACGCTGCCAGGAGATTTGCAGATGTTGGCGAAGCTTATCTACCTGTTTCTCAACTTTTCGATGCTCTTCCTTGTCATCAACATCATCATCACTATCATCTGCGACGAGAACACCCGCGTCCGAAAAATCGAGCACCAATTCGACTGGCTCCCTTTCACCAGCTACTGGACGAAAAAACGAGCCAAAAGTGTATTCAAACGAGCCAAAAAACTCTTTACTTTACAAAAATAAAAGAAATATAAATAATTATTTTCAACATTCACATTAGAATTGCTATCGTCATTCAGGAACAATAGCGGTTATCAACAAAAAAGACATGTTCTCCAAATCTTCCGAATCCATCCAAGTCACGTGATAGTTGTTCTTTGTCGAAAACGTTCTTTCCTGGTCGCGGTTTCAGTGTTTCTGTACGACAAGAGTCATTCTTTGTGCATCCACCGAGGACGATGATTTTTCCATCTTGTTCCATGACCGCTAAAACATAGTTGGCCCAAAAGCCAGCAAACCTATTTTCCAACCTGGAGATATTCTAGAAGTTTTAAGCTGTGGACCGGAGATCCAGCTGTTTCCGTTGAAAATCCACACTCTTGAAGTACTTCCCGCTCCTCTGTTTCCTCCGAGCGTGAGCAGTCTTCCTTGAACGACCACTGTTGAGAAATCGTAAATAGTACCTTCGCTAAACGGTATCGAAGGAAGCTCGTTCCAGCGACCAGATTGGTAAGCCTCGACTTTTGGTTTTTCGTTTCCAGCGATCAGGGTCAGTTTTCCTTGATAGTTGTTTATTCCACCTCGCAAATGGTAGTGCAAATGATCGGGAAGCGCCTGAATTTATTGTTAAAGACTGGCTGCGATAAATGAGATGACCTCTATCTGATTTATGTCTGAAAAACTCCAACAGCTTTTCAGACTGCCTCTCATTTGAGGAGAGCAAAAAGAGACCTCTTCCTTGTTTGAATAACAAAGCCCGCTTAAAAACTGGCTATCTAGCTTTTGCACACTTCTGAAGCCGCAGGAATCACGACCTAACGAGAAGATCTCATCGTTGTTGACTCCTGCGCCAAGAAAAAGAGGCTTGTCTTCCCAGAGAACTGAGCAAGATCGACTTATATGATCGAGATCTATTTCGTTCACAAGATCGATGTGTTCAAAGTCCCCAACGCCGATTTGATACTGATCAAGAGGATGAATTTAAACAATCTACAAAGAATTCTTTGCTGAAAATTTTCATCCCTTGCTTGAATACAACCATATTGCCGAGCTCGTGCTCAGCCATGACCAGGAATGTATCTTTTACTCCACAAACGCCGCAGGTTTTTCGACAAACTTCGAGAAACAACTCGTTATGCTCAAGGAAGCAGTTTTCTTTGTTCTCAACGCAAGTTGGCAAGATATCGCCGCATTCTCCATCACGAATTTCCGAAACAAAAGTGGTTGTAGACGCCGTCGTCATTGTCCAGCCATCAGTCGTCGATGTTTCAAATGATTCTGTTCTTGTTACGACTTCTGTTGTTGTTGACGTTGTTGTTGTTGTTGTTGTTCTTGTCGTAGTTCTTTTGGTTGAAATAGTCATCGGTTTGCATTCTGCCGAACAGGTTTTAAAACAGTTATTCTTTATGTAAGATTGGTTACATCTAAATACGTTGTTATTTTCTAAAAATTTAAATTCACTTACGATGGGACTAAACGATCACAATTGCTCCAAATATCAATGCATTTGCGCCCCTCGAACTCCATTGAGGGCGTCGCTGCAACTGTAGAGGTGATCGTATTTTTAGTGGTTGGAATAAATGAAATGTATTTATCCACATTCATAGTAAGATTAATCTTTGGAGTTGGTCTAGTTGTTGTTCTTCTAGTCGTTGTTTTCCTGGTTGTTGTGGTTCGCTTTGTAGGCGTTTTTCGAGTTGTCTTTTCAGGCCTTGGTCTTTTTGTACGCGCTGTCGTTCTCTTCGTTGTCCTCTTCGTTGTTGGCTTCGGAGTAGGTGGCATTGTGACAGACACGCGGCAAAGGCCACACGTTTTCTGACAGTATTTTCGAATCTGTTCAGTCAGTGCAGAGCCCGGAGAACTGTGACAGTATTGCTTCGTAGTGCTACAGTTTGTGGCTCGATCAGAACAAGAGGATGAATTCTGAGTTGGCTGTACAAGTTGTTGTTGATAAGCTGGAGTTCGATTTGGATATTGATGGTTGTATTGGCTGTATGTACTAGCCACTGTTGGAGCCTGGGTGAGATGGGCATAAGGTGTATAATACGCTGGCGTCGGATAGGCCGGTTGGAATTGATAAGGTTTTTGAGGATATTGCCAGGGATTGTGGTACTGCGGTTGGGTGAATTGATACTGTGGCAGGGATGGAGAACCCATCGTAAATGGATATCGCTGCGTAAATGCGATAGGTGCTGCCGTAGCCCATGAAGACTTCGTAGTTTTAGGTTTCCTGGTAGTTCTTTTTGTTGTTCTCCGAGGCTTAGTTGTTTTTGGCTTTCTTGTTGTCTGAAAAGATGGTATTTGAGATATTTATAAATTAACGAGATTTTACCTTTGTTTTCTTCTTAGACTTCGATTTATTTTGGTTACTAGACTTATTTCCACACAGACCACATGTCTTTTTACAATTCTGGGCGTACGTACTTCCTGGATTCGAGCAAAGAAATTGATATGTTGGGCAGGTACTAAAGACATCAGCGCACATCGTTGCGGCCATGAAATTAACTCCGTATTTTGCTGCCACTTTGCGCGCGTATTTACGCTTTGCTTGCCGCATCGGCTTTTCTATCTGCCTCTTCTGATACTGCGTGAGTTGTGGCTTTTCATTGCACGCGTTGCACGTCACTTTGCAAGAATCTCTTATGTATTTGTTTGAACACTCATGAGCAAGGGAATTGCAATTTATAAAGTTGTCTGAGCACGCCGAGATGACCGAAAATGTAAGGAACGGAAAAAGCTTCATTATTATCGTAAAATGTTCTGATACAATTTACAACCATCTTCATGAAAGAAAGGATGGAACTTTGCCTCGGGCTGCAGTGATTCTAACTCCTCGTGACGGGATGATTATGATTCTTGGAATTTTTAAAATTTATAAAGTGAAAAATTAAGAGTCAGTTGTTCGTTTTATTATTTTTGAAGTGCTCGTTGTTTTCAGTGTCCTCAGATATTTACAGAATTTGGAGAGGTGTCCTAGCGGCTTGTGCATTTCTTGTAGTTCGTGATTGCTTAGTATCCGACCTTGACTTCTTCGCCGACGCACTTGGTGTAGTCGCAAGTCGGGATGACGCCTGGCGCCTCAGTGTCGATTGTCACAGGCTTCGCGGTTCCCAAGCAGTCGAAGAGCAGTTGGTAGTCCATCGTGTTCTGAAGAGCAACCATGATCTTGTCTTGCTTGGTGTTTCCAGTAACGTCTGGCTTTGTCTTCGCAGCGCTAAAATTGTGTGTTCAAGCAAGAAGAATCAATCAAATGGATCTTACTAGAAGCCGAAGGTGACGGAATTGTGTCGGCCTGGTTCATCGTCTCTGTTTCTGTAGTAGACGTTGTCGAATGTGTGGTAGTTGGTCATTGGAGTCGTCAAGTCATGTTCGGCAGCATTGTGAAGATCCAAGAAGTAGGCCTTGAAGTTCTCGTCTCTGAAACCGAGGAGACCATCGACGCTGCAAGCGCGCTGAGACATGACGTAGTACTGCTGGTAGGTGTTCTTTTGGGCAACAGCGGCGCTGGCAAACTGGAAGTAGTCCATCGTATCACCTTGGTAGATGGTCTAAGGCGCTGGTTAAGAAACGGTGAGGGAAGCGAATGGATACCTTGTACATGTTGTATTTGGACAAAGGAGGCTCGTTTGCCTTGATTGCAGCGATGACATCGGTCGTGCATGGACAAGGATCAACAGTAGTAGTGGTTCCCTCAGTCGTTGAAGTGGTCGTTGACTCGGTAGTTGTGGAGGTGGTCGTGGTTGTTGTGGTAGTAGTAGTAGTAGTAGTAGTGGCTGAAAATGTTATTCTCTCGCTCAGAAATGAATTTTAGAATATATTATTTCGGTCAAAGAAAATTCCGATGGATGCACGATGAGAAACATCGAGTAGCCAGCGATAATTGCTTTCATTTTCTCTCAAAAATGAGCAGCTGGAGATATGAAAGGTATCGTTTTATGGAGCGTTGAGAAAAGGGCAAAATCAATGAGCGGTTAAATTGACGAGTGATCAAAATTGCAATCAAATGTCAGAGAATGAATTCCAATGGAGATTTAGAAATGACCTGCAAGTTTTATGGATCTTTACTCATGAAACTACTATATTCTGTCATCAATTTTACGTGCCTGCTTTTCTTGAAATATTCTGTAATTTTCCTGCAATAACTGACAAAAGAAAAAATCTCGATTTCGTGCATTTTTGAACAAAATCTGATGGAGAAATTGAAATAATAAAGTTTATTTGAAAGTTTTTGGAATTCCCTTTTTGGAGAATCTAGTTGAGGCTGCATTTGTTAGGATAACCTTGAACTCGTTTCCCTTTTTGCAGCCTCGAGTTTGGCGCCTAGTTCAGGCAACTTGAGCCGCTTTCGACATGGTCATCGGCCGCGGCTTCGCGAATGCTACAAAATAAAGAATTAGTTTTGCAAAGAACAAATGTGAAAGTCAGCTAAAACTGAAAATCTGACTAGAATTTACCTGGAAAATGACATTTTGAGGACCCGGATAATCCGGATTTCCGAATGAATGCAAATCCTCAAAACGCCCAGTCAATAAGGGATGTTCTAGAGATGATGTGGAACTTTTTGCATAAGCACTCACTCAAAATCAACTTTCAAAGAAAAACTCTACCTAGAGACTCATATTCATCAAGTCCGCATCTTTCATTACTACTCGTTTCAGCTCTGATCCGATTCTCGCTAATCAGGAGATGTGATGAGCAGTTACGAGCATTTGACTCGTGCTCGCCACCTTGATCCGCCATTTTCTTCACAAATAATTTTTGTTATTTGTAAATTGTTACCAATTTGTTTGTTCATTTATCGAGAGCACAGATTTCAAAGAAATATTTTTTTCTCTGCAGCGATGAGTGATGATTCCGAGGAAATGCCAGAAGAACTGTTGGAATTCGGAAGCAATCTACGAAACTTACTTCTTACCTACAGAAATGGAGTGCACGAGAACAAGCTTATTGCAGACTTCCGAGATGTTACAGGCGAAGACGTGCCAGGTACCTTTGAGATATTTTGCGTTTCTCTATTTTTTTGTTTTGCAGAGATTCTCGGCAAGTTTGAATACAAGGGGCTTGACGATCCGGAATTACTTGAAGATTTCGAGGAACTGATCCGTTTCGAAAATGGTATATTTCATGGTATTCCACTTGATATCCAAATGGCTCAAGTAGAGTAAGCACTCATTCTTGTTTCGACACCTGATAACGTTTTTGCAGCCTAATTCGAAAGACAAGAAACAGAAAACTCGACAAATTTGGACGGCGTCGAAGACGAAGACGAAAGCCACTCTTTGCCCGTCCACAGATCTCGAAATTCTTTGAGCAAAAAGATGGTGAAGCGGAGGTTACCTTGCCGAGCCGCAGGAAGTGCTCACCTCCCGCTGAAAAAAGGGAAACTAGCTGCTACATCTTCTCGATGGAGACAATCTACGACGGAAGCTCGTCGAATGGCGTAAAACTCATCCAGCTCAAGAAAGACAACAAAGACTTCATCAACCTGTGGGTCATTGGAGGAGAGGAGAATCTCTTTTTCAGCAAAGAGTCCTTGCCAAAAGTTGTTGTAAGTTTAATCGCTTGATTGCTCTTTTCTGAACTTTTCAGGCGAAAGAGGAGGACGTGGACTTTCTCAACTGCCAAATCGAGCGATGGGCCGCTAATCGTCTACTGCCAATCGTCAAGTCGCCGCCAGTCATTCCAAAGCCAGTCTACAGGAGCGAAATCAATCTGATGAAACTCGAGAAGTTCTGCGACCTCTTACTCGACGAGACTTTCGATTCCAGCGCTGGCACTCCTCTCATTAGGCGCGGTGTCCACAACTAATGAAACACTAAACAAAATATTCCTTCCCGGATAAAGAAATAGTGGGAAGCCAAAAATAAAGAATCCACAGGTTCGTCCGTTACAAACTTCTCTGCGAAAAACGACAGAAAGAAGCACAAAGAAGAAAGAAAGAACAACAAAGAAAGCAAAGACGAAGGCGTTGCTAACTTCTCAATCATGACTTCGCGAGGCTCTTGAACAAGAAGAAATCTACACTACAGTATTAACGCTATCTTTGATTAGCCACCCTCAACATTTTCCCAAGTTTCTAAACCAACTCTGAGCTGAGAACTTCCCCAAAACTACACTAATCGACCGGTAATCTTTCTTGATTTCTTCCTGCAATAAACGAAAAAAAAACACGCAAATCCTGATTTTACCCTATTCAGAGTAAAATCTACTGGAGTATTTTGAGTATTAAAGTTTATTTGAATGAAAGTTTTTGGAATTCCCTCTTCGGACAATCTAGTTGAGGCTGCCTTTGACAGGTCCTGGGTAACTTTGAACTCGTTTCGGCAGCGTGGTTGTATTTCAGCTCTGCCTGATTTAGGCATTTGAGCAGCTTTCGATATCGTCGGCGGCGGCAGAACATTAAATTCTTAAAATTTAACAGTCAGTTTGAAATAATAAAAGTGCTGAAAGGCTTACCTGAAAATTGTCATCTTGCGGACCCGGAAAATCCAGAATTCCGAATGACTGAAAATGCTTCAAAATAGGCAGTCAACAAGAGCGATTCTAGAGATCATCGCAAATTTCCAAGAACAAGTCAAAACCATCAACCACCAGCGCCCTCGAGTATTTACGCAATTCAAAAAGTATTAAAACTGCTATCTGGAAAAATCTGGAAATCCTCGCCAATATTGACGACTCAAAACTATTTCGAGAATTGGATTTTTCGCGAAAATGGCGCCGCGTATGGATTCATTTGTAGCTTCAAGAGCCATTATGGAACTACATAATTTCAATTCTTCTTCAAATTTCGAAAACGACGTCATTTTATCCGACTTTGTTGACCTTGTTATCCTCAGTCCGGAAGAAGAATCGAAGCTGGAGATGGTGACCCTGCCAATGGTACGTATTGCAAAGTAGAGAAATGGGGTTCTAATCTGGTGATTTTTGACTCGTCGCGATGATGAATTCTAGATTAATAACAGCAGGAAACGCATCGCCAATAACAAGCACGTACTGCCGGCTAAAATACTTTTTCGAGCGGGGGTGTACCGAAAATAGGAAAAAAATTGTTCAAAAAAATCAGTCGGTCAGACATGGGGCGATTTGGGCGCGGAAGAAACAGATTTTTGGACGCCACTTTTCCATTTCGAATCAGAGACGAAACGAGATTTTGACTTTTTTTCTACTCCGCCGAGATTTTAGTTTGTAGCGCTTATTTTAACTCTTATTCTTGGCATAATTATTAGATATTATTTATCCTCAGTAGATTCTCCTTGTGTCTTGTGGTGTGACTGTAGGATAGATTATACAATTCGAGTAATTTATTCTTTACCTCTATTATTTCCGCTTCGCCCTCGACTTCTAGCGGATGATATTCTATAATTGAGTGTTTTCAGTTGGTGACAATGTCGAAGCGCTCGGCGGAATCCAGCCAGAAGCCCAGCATCTTGGAGGTGCTGAAGATTGAACGGGTGCCACCTCGACACCGGATGAGCGACGATGATCCGCTCCTGCCACAAGTCGGCTCACCGGAAATTTCTCCTCTTCCAGCTCCAACCCAACAGGAATGGTATAAATACTTTTAGTCTCTTCCTTGATTTCAAAGGCAATTTCGTACCTCCGAAAAAAGAGCGAAGCGGACGACACTGGCATCGAAGAAATTAACTCGGATGACAGTGACTGCCCTACCAAACGATTCAAGGTACCGTTTGATTTTCATTTTCCTTGCTTAATTCTTTCAAGGGCGACGACTCGACTGGAAACTCGAACTTGGCTGAGCTGAACACTGTCTACCCGGACTATCTCGCTGCTTACGACTCGCCAACCCCTGGCCAGGCCTTCCCAGCTACTCCGCAAGAGAGACCTGTCCCGCCGATCTCCATCTTTCAGAGCAACACGCCTAAAACGCACACCACCCCCAATCCGACGACCGACTACTTTCCGGAGATCAAGATTGAAAAGGTAATTCCAACTTCTAAAAAAGCTAAAACTGACAGCGAAAGATTCAGACTTCGGAAGACGGTTCAATCAATGGAACTCCATCCCGAGCTTTGAACGACTCTGGCTACTTCGAGTCGAAATTCGAAGTTCCAAAAACTTCGATCCAGACACCACCTCGCTATCCAATGTACCGGAACGAGGCGATCGGGTCTTTCTCCGGCCACCACGCTGTTCACCCGTACGGTGTCAACTTTCCCCACCCGCCAAATGGTCAAGAGACAAATCAACCATTCCAACAATCGGTATCTTTGAAAACCTCAAGAGCTAACTTTTAACTTGTTGAAATTGCAGCAGTTCGGAATGATGCCCTTTGGCTACGGAGGCATGTCTCCAGCAATGGTACAGGAACACCATCATCGAATTATGCAACACATGATGATGATCCGACAGCAGCAGCAGCAGTACTACGAGGAGAACCGTGTTCAGTACTTCAACGGGCACCAGATCTCGCCGACGAAGATCAAGGTAAAAAATTATCAAATTCTCTTTTTCACTGACACACGTACGTAGATTACGAACACGACTGAGCGAGTGACGAGCCCTGGGCCTGTTCCAGCCGACTTCGATCCGGAGATCCACGGCTCCACCTCGCACCCAATTCTCGTCAAGATCTCCAAGTACTCTCTGACGAGCACTTCAACGGGGATAAACTTTTATTTCCGAATCTTCGGCCGTGTTTTCAAAGCACGCAGGTACGATTCTGACATTCTCACTCACGCCTTTCAACTGATTTTTAGAGATTCCTTCAGCAAGGACAAGACGATGATGTACCTTCGCTGCAATACCTGCCCGAAAGAACCTTGCAAGTGGCGGGCGAAGATCAGGCTCCTCAATCCTGAGATCAAGATTGAGGACGAGAAGGAATGTTCAGAAGAAGAAAACTAATAAAATAATTTCAATAAGAATTCTTGTTTTGAACAGACAAAGTTCCAAGATATTGAGAACTATCAAGTGCTGTCGAACACGAAGGCCCACCACCACCACCCAGCCTGCAGAGAGCTCTCCCTCACCGACAGCGATATGGTTGGAAACACGGACAATCGTCTATCGCCGACCCTAGCGCTACCTGACGCATCTCCCAGCGCGCCCCAGCTAACGATGACGACCATGGCGACTCCTTAGCTGCCTTGGTCATGACGAGTATCCTCCCTCCGATAAGTTCTCATTTTTATCACTGCTCGACACGTCTTAGTTTCACTGCCTTTTTAGAATACTAGACCTGCCTCCTTCACTTTGACTCGAATTAAAGATGAAGGAATCACATCTATTTAATAAACTTTAATTAAATCTAAATTTGTAAGCGTTTGTTTTTTATGCAAAAAAGTGAAGGTTAAGCTTAAAAACTAATTACAAAAATTTTTGTCAAAAAAAGAATATTCGAAACAGTTGTTTCTAGAACAGCATTGTTTTTCTTTGAATTTCTGCGCCAAGAGAGTTCCAAAATGCCCCTTTTTTATGCTTCTGGCCCAAATTAAATGATCTAACCAGACCAAAAACGCTCTCTAATTAAATTTCTTCGACAAAAAGACCTTCTCTACCAAACTCTAAACATTCCTATCCACTCATTTCCTCTAATCTCTGGTAGACGCTCTAGAAACTCAAGACTACCAAACTAAACCGCAATACGCCACAAAGAAAGGAACATGAACATTTTTGGATCAAGAGGTACATAGTCTGTAAACTATGTGCCTCTTGAAAGAAGATTTTCAGGAAAAAAAGTTTATTGGTTCGTTCATTGTCATGAAGAAAGTTGACTGGGTTTTCGGGTAATAATATCGTGCGCCGACCTTTTCAGGTCATCCTTTAATTCTGAAGGTGCTTTAGGATTGAATTCGTTTGAGTCACACCTTCTAAAAAGATTCATTTAGAAAAGAAAATCCACGATTAAAGAAACTTACCAGAATTTTGGATTCTTTTTTCGTCTCTTGACGGTGACCCGACTATCTGAACAAAGAAAGGTTGAGAAATGCCAAAAGGTCTATCATAAATGAAAATTAAAAAAAAAATTACACAACGAACATACCTGATAGTCTGACTGCTTCGGACTCGTCTATTCGGAAAATTGGATTTTCACGAATGAGGCCAAAATTGAAAATAGGCTTGAGGAGCGCGCGTGTTCTAGAAACTTTTGCTCAAAAATGAAAACAACAACAACACCGAGCGGCATCACTAGAATCGTGAAAGTTGCAGTTTTTGAAGCTTTCACTTCATTTTATAAGTTTGCAAACTGCACTGTATCACATTCTAATGCAGTAAACGTACTGTAAAAAGGCTACGGAAGTACTTGACTTTCTTCAAAGATTGTAGACTCCATTCGAAGATTTTATTTCACGAGCACAATGAAAAAAAACGAACGTTTCAAATATTTGATGGAGCGAGCAACTCTTGCCGGGGACTCGAAGTCCCGTAAAGAGATACAAAGATGGGGCAGCGAAAGTTAAAGTTTCTCAAAAATGCAATAATCGTCTTTTAATTGTTTCACTTTTCTTTCATTTCTTAGAGATCATGGCGCTCGATAGGGAGCAGGAAGGTGTCGAAACTGGCCTGCATGAAAAACTATTTTGCTAAAGGCTGACTTTTTAAAGAACATAGACCAGTTTCGACGCCTTCCCATGGGAGCTTTTTATAGATGAGTCTTCTAAGAATGACGGGAGAAACTTCACAAAGAAATACTTTCTCGTTGGATTAGCTGCACTAATAGTAGGTATTGGAGGTGGCATTGGTATTGGCTGGGCGATAAGAGGCGATTCTAGCGAGGTTGAACCTGAATTTCAAGGTCCTGAAACCCTTGATTTTGACCCCTTCGAGTTCATCGATGCTAATACTGACAACAACACAATTGGAGGTTAGATCTACCTCGACGAGCGAAATTCCTAATTTTAAGGATATCTCCGTGCTCTTGCTGCAAAACCTCATATTGGCGGATCATTAGAGGATGAAATCACTACAAAGAACATCGTCAGAACTGCGATGGAAGAAGCAGGCTTGACAATAAAAGAAACAACTTACAATGTTTTGCTCTCTTATCCAAAACGAGAAGATGGCCAGCGAAACTACGTTGCGCTGAAAGATAGTTCAGATAACATAATTGAAAGCTCGAAGTCCGCAGAGGTCGAAGAAATTCTTGATGATACTCAGGACGACCCATTAGTCTACAATCCGTTCATCGCTTACGCCAAGGCTACTCCAGCTGAAGGCCTGACTGCAGATCTCGTTTACGTAAATTACGCTCGCAAAGAAGACTTCATCCGCCTTGAAGAAGATCTCAAGATCGATCCCACTGGGAAGATCTGCATTTGCCGATATGGAAAGATTTTCAGAGGGAATAAAGCGCGAGAAGCAGAAATATACGGTTGCGCTGGATTAATTATTTTCTCCGACTCCGCGGACTATGCGCCTGAATGGGTAAAGATGTGACAGTATTCATTCACGTATATTTGTATTAATTATCTCAGGCTGAAGTTATTCTTATGGAAAATTATAGACCGAGCCTTATCCAGAATCATGGTGGTTACCGGGCACGGGCGCACAGAGAGGCACCACATATCTTGATAATGGCGATCCAGAGACACCGTTTTATCCATCTATTGGTGGTGCTTATCGATGGGATAGGTTCGGATAACTACAACAAAATATTTACTTATTGTTGTTTCCAGAGAAAAAGTCGAAAAATATGGGGCGAAGTACGACTTACCCGGCCTTCCAAATATACCAATTACTCCAATTGGTTACAATGATGCTGAAAAACTACTTGTTGCGATCGGTGGCGATAAAGCTCCTGAAGACTGGCAAGGAGGGATCAAGGACGAAAACGGCAATGTGATTGATTACAACTTGGGCCCAACAATGAAAGATGGACAGGTAATGCCGAGAGCTGCTTCAATGTCTTATGAAACTTCTTTTTATCAGAAAGGATTTATGTTCGTCAGAACAACAGAAGAAAGACGTGATACAACCAATGTGTTGGGGTATTTTGAGGTAATTTATGAATAGTTGATCAATGAAACAACTGTGATAGGGTACTGTTGAGCCTGATCGATATGTAATTCTTGGTAACCATCGAGACGCGTGGGTATTCGGAGCGATTGACCCGAGTTCGGGCACATGCACAATGCTTGAAATTGTTCGCGTTTTTGGCGAGATGTATCGAAAAGGGTGGCGCCCCAGACGCACGATCATGTTCGCCTCTTGGGGATCGGAGGAGTACGGACTCATCGGCTCACAAGAATTCGTAGAGGAGCATCTCACCCAACTTACAGCATCTGCAGTTGCGTATGTTAATATCGACGTGGCCGTTGGTGGAAATTACTCACTAAGTACTCGGGGAACACCTAATTTCGAAGACTTGATGTTTGAAACCGCAAAGACTGTCGATAACCCGCGAAAAGTAGAAGACGATGGCGCCGCCTCTCTCTATGACAATATGATGCTCAGAAATGCGAAGGACGAAAACGGAAAACTCGTGTTTGGAGGTGTGGGCTCTGGCTCCGACTACGCTCCATTCTTGCAGCAAGTTGGAGTTTCTGTCTGCGACATTAGCTGGCGATGCGACCCGCATTACAGCTATCCAGTCTACCACTCTGTCTACGAGACAGTCCCCCTCGTGGAGAAGTTCGTAGATCCTGGCTATAAAATTCACCAGCAGGTCGCCAAATTTACAGCAAAAATGATGGCTCAGCTATCACAAGATGCAAAGATTCCGCTAAAAGTTGTGCAGTACGCTGCTAGAGTCTCTAAAGAAGTTAACAGCTTGGAAACTGCGCTCAACAATTATCCAAGCAATGGTGTGGATCTTACGTTTTTGAAGCAATATGCTAACAAATTCACAAAAGGTAATAGTTTCTATGTAATCGTCTAGAAATATAAAATGTGATTAAAGCTGCTGCTGATTTTCAAGCTAAATTCGAGGATGCTACTGATGCTCAGGAGATCAAACGATTGAACGATCAAGTCATGAGAGTCGAGCGTAGCTTCATAGATCCAAATGGTCTTCCAGAGAGACTTCAATACAGACACGTCGGTAAGTGCCTAGCCCATGTATTTGTGTCCTGTGTAAAATTTGTTTCTAGTATTTGCTCCAAGCAGTAAAAACTCATACGCAAGTGCAGCGTTTCCGGCAGTTTACGACGCGCTCTTTGAAATTGAAAAATTGACAGGTTATTATTCTTATTCCGAAATTTTGCTTACAATAATTCGAAAAGGCGAGGAAGAAGTAACCGCTTGGGAAATGGTGAAGGAGCAGGTGTCAACTCTTTCATTCTTCATTTACAACGCGGCGGAAGCTCTTAAATTATCAGTCATTTAAATTTCCCTTCCGTATATATTCTCTAATAAACCAAAATTATGCTCCATTGTCTTTTAAAATATCGCGCTGATGTCCAAAAGTCTTGCGTATTTACTTATCGCAAATCGCATTTCACATTTCGTTGACTTCATCTTCTCTCTTTTTCTTTTGGAATTCTCGTTATGGACCAACTTATATCCATCGAGGTATTAAACTTCCTTGTTTTTTTTCCCTTTCCAGAGTTTTTAAGGACCCTTTGGAACAAAATGAGAAGTCGGAAGAGAAAGCCAACCGGAATGAACAAGAACCAAATGATTCTATTATAATGACTTCGGTTGTTAATTTATCATTTTCCAAGTAACAAATGGTTAATTTTTTCTGGTTTTCTGGGCCATAAACATTATCACCGGGGAATATTTAACCTCATAAATAACAACCGATTACTGCCAAAAAATTCACCTGAATCAGCTAAAAAGACTGTTAGGTTTGATTTGGAGAAAAAGATGCCTGACGAGGTACTTAAATTTCTCACCATGAGATCACCATTTTTTTCGCCGAGGTGGATCCAAAAGAAGATGTGAAAAATGTCGATGCAGTCTTTGGCGACTCGTCGAAAACAGGGTTCTTTGCAAAAGGAAGAGAGCTAGAATCGGTGAACACGAATCACTTTTACACTGAACTGGAAAGGAATGGTTCGCTAATTTTGATTTAAAATGTTCGAATAGAGTCAACAAGTTTCGCGCTAATCAATTAATTTTCTGATAGAGTCATTTCCAATTAGGAAAAGTGACTGTAGAAAGTAACGTCTCACAATGTATTTTTATCGGATATCAATAGCGCCAATAATAAATCAGCGTTTGGAGCGCCTTGGGCCCCCCTTGGGTGTTAAACAGCTGATCAGTACAGCAGAAGTATTTTGTACAGTCGGAATTTTTCTATCCCGAGAAATTATCCGCTCGCTGTCCCCGACTGAGAGACAGAACGAGAGAAAGAAACTATCTTTGCTGCTTTTGAGAGCGGAAGGTTCTGATCTTGGCGAACCATGATGTCAGACAAAAAATGGCATCATTTGAGAGCCAAGATCAGGAAGAGTTTGAAATCATTGTCATTTATTCATTAACTTGAATTGATCAAATTTGAAACTCGAATACAGGGCTTTGAGAACGAAAATAAAAAATCACTTTATAAACCCGGGCGAGTATCTGAGCCAGAACGTAGAGTATCTCCCGCCATGGAGCCAGTCGTACCGCGAGTGGCTGGTCCAGCAACCGAAACGACTCGACTGGGACAGATGGTAATTACGGTAATCATATGTAGATTATTAATAAGTAGCTAGCTCTGAATCTTATGTATATTTTCTGAAAGGTGTCTGGGTCGGGGCCACCCTCTGAATACACATTTTTGCTGATGATTTACTTTATTCTTTTCTCGATTTCACTTAACACTTCATTTATATGCGTCAAGGCGTCAAGTGCGCTCTATTTATGGGGTCTTTCGAGGTTGAAATTTTCTGAAATAAAAACATCTCTCGATTGCGTTTTTCCTCTGAATCGAGTCTGAACTTGGCTCATTGTGAGATGATCTCGAAACGGGCCTTGAGTGTCTGTCGGAGAGTCTCCTCTGCATTGGCACTTTGTGAAGTCTAGCATTCACTTTGTAAAGCGGAAGAGCGAACTTTCACGAAAGCGGGTAGCAAAGATGCGCTACTGTGCTAAAAGTCACGCTATTGTTCTTTGCATATTTAGTAAATTCACAGGAGTCAGAAGGCGCTCAGTGGCTGTGCGGGGGCCTTTGCACCCTCAGATTAGGCCTTCCTCGCACAGAGAGATATACACGCGCGATAATAGAGCATCACCTGCTGCGCTGCCAAACTTACGTTTACGCCTTTTTCAACACCAATCCTACTACGAGAGCGTTTTTTTTTCCGAAGCAAGACCTGGCGACAGGCACCAAGGAACCGAGCCCACATCAAATATCGGAGATTCGTTTACGTATCCTTATTCAGATATCGTATTATTGATACGTCGCATAATGAATTATTTAGGCACGGCCGAATCTTTTTAGCCCCTCGCTTTTTACTCATGAAACTTTACAACTAAGGACTTTTTCGAATTTACTTTTTCATGTGATTGGGTATGGCTTGTTACATTCACGAGAGTCACTTTACAATTAAGCCAACTTTACCGAAATTTATTAAGAAAAACAAATGTTTAAATTTTTTCTAATAACTTATTTGAATTATCCACTTTTTTGCGTTATTTTTGAGCGTAACATTGTGCAAGAAAGAGTACTGTAAGTTTGGTGCGCGTTGGCGCCTCCCTATTTCTACGAAGGATAGAGCAAGAAACAACTATTGAGTTGGTATTGAATTTTGAATGAAACATTTTGGGGCGCTTTTTCAATTTATGGGAACATATCGATCCTATAACTTAGTAATGCATTGATACTTCTTTTTCTATACCGGAGAGAAAGTCTCTTACTTTTTGCCGAGCTCGATGAATGTCGACCTGAGAAATAGAAATGAAGAGTCGAGAAAATGCGCACCACTGTCAAACTAATTTGCGTCCATGGGTAACTTCCGCCTTCTAGCACCGTATTTTATTGCGCACAAAAATGCACAGAAAAGCTTTCTGATTCGATTAAGCCTTTAGGTTAATTAGCTTCAGAAGCTCCAGAAGTTTACATGTGGTGCATGAATTTTTAAACATAATCATCACGTCTAGTGACCAAAGCTAATGTAACATATGAGAGATGTTGACTCGGAGTATTGAGGGGGATGAATGGTTCGTCGAAAACACAAACCGCCCAGACACGATGGCATTTATTGGTAATATTCTTTTCAATGCAAATGATTTTTCTTCTCCCCGCAATTCCATGAATGAGGAGCGATCAGTGACCGCTCACTGTTCATCAATTATTTTGAGCTCTGTCTGCTAAGTTGTGGTTCCAGTTCCCTTTTTTACAGGCGCACGCGTGGCACATTATCCTTCAGAAATGAACGATATTTCTGTTGTTCGTACAGATTAAATTTGTTTGATAATCTATTTACAACAGCTAGTTTTTTTTATTAAAAGTGTAGAAAATGAACAAATTAAATTGAATGTATATATTGAAAATCAGGTGTTGTGCATATTTCTTACTGATTTCAGGCTGATGATGGGGATGATCGGATTCACCGTCGGCTTCATCGGCTTCTTGCTTCACAACGTTATCGATGCGATTGAAGAGCCAATACTTGAGAAAGCTCTCGGTAATATCTATAACTGCGATCTGAAACTCCTAAACGCCACATTTTTGAATAGATCTCGCCAAAGAAGACAAAATCGGCATAGTATGGTGCTGGCGCGTTGGAATGGGCGTCATACTCGCCACTCTTTCTTCCGTTATTATAGGACAGTTTCCACTTTTCTTGGAAGAAGGAAAAAGTTATCAATTTCGAAACCAAAAACAGTCTATTTTCGTCCATCTGCCGGCGGTTCGGGGATCCCAGAACTCATCGCCTTTCTCAACGGAACCTCTATCCGTCATATTTATAATGTCCGCACACTGCTTGCCAAATTCGCCTCTTGCGCCTTCGCTGTTAGTGCAGGTTAGTCGTTGTCGTTGTCGATTTTTTGATAATTTTTTTCTCGCAAGGTTTATTTGCCGGACCAGAAGGTCCCATGATTCATATTGGCGCACTTGTTGGTGCTGGCCTCTCTCAATTCAAGTCTGACTCGATGGGAATCAATCTCGCCTATTTTCAGCGTTTTCGAAATCCGGAAGACAGGTTTTCTTATAGTTCTTCAACTTCGGTAGTCATCTATGTATTCAATATAGACGAAACTTTATCTCCGCTGGTGCTGCAGCGGGAGTATCCAGTGCTTTCGGAGCGCCTGTTGGAGGGCTTCTCTTCTCGATGGAAGAGGTTTCAAGTTTCTGGTCGAATCGACTCACGTGGCAGGTGTTCTTCTGTTCAATGATCGCTGCTTTCACTACAAACATTTTCAACTCCGCATTTCTAGGATTCCACTACCAAGTAATACTCAAAAGACTTCCTTTCATCTAGCTCCTATTCAGGGATCATTTGGCTTATTGAAAGAGTCGAACATTCTTTTCAAGTCGAAATTGGAGATTCTCAATAATATCATCATCTTCATTCCAACAGTAAAACCGAGCCCAAGCCTCCTGCTCAATATGAATTTCTTTTTAGATCTGCCTCGGTATCATTGGAGGAGGATTAGGAAGTTTATTCGTCTTTTTGAACCTGAAAATCGTTCGACTGAAGGATTGGCTTGAAACGTTCTCTTTCTCGAACAGATTCAAAAAACTTCTCAAAATTGCAGAAGTGATTTTGATCATCACATTGACCGCAACAATCTCAACTACACTTCCACTGGCTCGGCAATGCCAGAAGCCTCGGTAAAATCCATTTATTGACTTTGTTCAATAACAATTACAGCTGTTACGCCGCAAATGCTATCGAAGCAAACCAAATAACACAGGAGTCTTGTTCTGTCAACTATGCTGGCATCCCACATCCTATGCCTCCCGTCACTGGTGACATGGGGGCTGCTGGAACGTTTGACTGCATGAAGCACTTTAACGAGGTTGAAAAAGCATAAATTTTTTGATCAAACGTCTGTCCCATAAGGTGCCCATAAAAACAGGTGTTTCTGCGAATGGAAAGTGGCGCTACACTAATCAAACGTACAACGAGCTGAGCTCGCTTCTGTACACTTCACAAGACCATGCAATCAACCAGCTTCTTTCGAGAGGGACCCATAAGCAGTACTCTCCAGAAGGTACAGTATTTGAAAGAACAAACAATCAGTTTCATAGGTCTTTTATATTATTTTATTCCATACTTTCTTCTGGCCTGCTGGACGTCAACGGCTTCTTTATCCGTCGGCTTGGTAATGCCAATGCTTACGATAGGCGCTCTTTATGGACGAATGATTGGGGAGCTCCTGGTTATTTGGTTCGGCGAGCATTTTTACTACGGCAAGTTAGGTCCTAAACTTATCAAATTGACGCAAATTTGCAGGCGACAAGTATTCTGATGCATCCGATTATAAAGCATGGATGGATCCCGGAGCTATTGCATTGATCGGGGCTGCGAGCTTTTTCGCTGGTGTCTCTCGTCTCACCATCTCACTGACGGTAATCATGATTGAGATCACCAATGATGTGACGATGCTGCTGCCTATTATGACTGCAATTATGGTTGCAAAGATTGTCGGCGACCAACTCACCCATCCAATTTACCATGCTCTGCTGGAAGTCAAGTGTATACCCATTCTTGACGAAGAGCCCGTGGTTTATACGCAAGATCCAAATGGTCGATCTGTTCTGTAAGTAAATCGAACTCAAAACAATAGCATGGGAAACAATTTCAGACGGAATCTTGAGCTTCACACAGTCTCAGAAGTTATGACGCGGACTGTTACTACACTCAATCAAAAAGTCAACGTCGTCGACCTTGCCTCGTCTTTGAAGGGGAACAAACACATGAGTTTCCCCGTGCTGGATGAGAAAGGCTACTGTGGAACTATAAACAGAATCGATCTCATTCAGTTGCTGCAGCACCCAGAGCTCTTCCAACTTCCAGGTTAGAGAGAAGATCAAACTATGTCTTCATAATGTTTCAGATGAGCCTCCGAAAACAAATGTTCTGAAATTTCATTCCGTGCACACCGATAAGCTGCACGAAGATGAAGCCTCGATTCTTGACTCGGCCATCGAGCACGGATCCGAGAAAAATTTGTATATTCTTCCTTATACAAACCGCTCATCAATCGCTCTACCTGACTCTTTCTCACTTCACCGAGCTTATTTATTACTAAGGTAACTTGACGCAGCTTTGACGTTTTTTAACCGCGTTTCAGGACTCTGGGAATCAGAGTGTTAGTCTTACTTGACGATCGAAACATGCCTTCTGGAATTCTGACGAGGAAGGACTTGATGGGCTTCGCTGTTGAAGAAAAACTTCAAGCTTCGATAACGAGGTCTCTCTCTGAAAGCGACCCAAACAGTAAGTGAAAAGTGATGTCAGATTGCTCATTCCCTCTTTCAGCGCAAACTACAATCACCACCGTCACCACTGGAATCAATAGCATCGGTCCCTGTTCAATCAACCAATATACTGTTTCTTGACCCTCTTCTTCACTAGTTTTATTAATTAATTATAAATACAGCATCTTACTTTATCAGTCTCGAATCCGCAAATGTAAGCTGCCTCTTCTCTAGGAAGATCTACGAGATAAGTTTATTGCTGGCGAATTGACATGTGTGAATGAGAGTGAATCTTTATTTTCCTTTGAGCTTTTTGAACTGACTTTGAACGTTTGTAACAGAAACTGACTCGTTGGCGTCGTCATCAAAGTCATACCACTCGCCATCTTCAAGCTCCACTTCGAAGCTCTTGCCATTTTCTGTCGAAGCAACCAGTCCCCCTCGGCATTCCCATTCGACAGGCTCCAATCCTCGGCAATCAAATGACACTATTTGCTACAACGCGTTTTAATATTTACGCGATTAAAGATTTCGTACTTGAAAACCGCCCTTCTCGGCATCATAAGCTTTACGGCTTCCGTCTTCAATGCTGATGTTGCTCTCTCGACCGCAAAGCTAGAAATTCGTTTACAAAGACAGTCACAAAATAGAGTTTTACAGACCTTACAGTTGAGAACCATGTTCGCCAATCCACGACCACCTTTGACTTCAATTGTATCTTCCTGATCCAAGTACACCCAGTCCGTTATTTCGCCGCAGTTCCCACAGCAGATCTTCACAAAATAGCTAGATAAATCAGTAAGTCAGAATTCAAGCTGACAAGAATACAATAATTTTGTGTAAATAAGAATAATTCACCGGAAGTCGGTCCCAGCAGCCTCAATCTTGGCGATATTTTCAACGTCGAAAGATACTTCCAATCCGATTCGAGGCATTCTTCAATAAGAAAAGATTAAAAAGGTTTCTTATAAAAAATATATTTGTCAGTACAAAAACTAAACAGGAGAAACAAGAATTGATGATATTCGAACATATTTTTTTGGATTTTTGTCGATTTTCCGGCTGATTTCTCCCGCAGCGAGGACTCCCTTCTCTTCTGATTTGGAGTACTCGCATTCGAAGGAGATAAAAATTTGACGAAAGACGTGGTAGGTCACATCTTCGATGGTTTTTTCTTCGATGTATTTATTTAGGGCACCTTCTTTGGCAAGTGTCATGGTTGCTTTGCACAATGTCATCATGCAGGTACAAAAAGGATAAGAATCAGGACTTTTTGTGCAGCTTTGCGAAAAGGACTTCTTCACTACCGAGTCTTCACTCAGTCTGAGTAAGAGCCAGAGACCAAAGACTCCCACGCCGCGAAGATCAGTCGCTGGGTCGTTTCCTTGAAAGCCGATTTTTTGCCAGTGCGAGCCGTATCGCCGTGGACATGGCTCCGTGGTTAGATTTTCGTAAAGAGTCGCCAGAACCTCGTACTGTGTTTCTTCCGGCAGGGCGCCAAGTGATAACTTTGTCAGTGAAAGGATCGAGGCTAATTTTTCCCGACAGCGCTTTTCCAATAATGGTGGTCCAAAAATGTAACGTCGGATTTTTGAGAAAAGGGAAAGTTCATTCGCTTCTAAGATTGCAGCACAGCGAGGGCCTTCAACGATTTGAATGAAGTCGGTTATCAGTCTTTGTGATAAGACTCTTTACTTGGGGTCATTTTTGTCTTTTTTTTTTTTCCTATTCTCAAGTTCAGAATCTCATCAGTTTTATAGTTGACCCTTGCCGAGAATACGAATCGCCCGACTGCAAAGTCGCTAACTGCTTCCCTCCCTGAGCCTCAACGAAGTCCCACTCGTCCAGAGCCTCTTGGTACTGTTGCTCGTCATGAAATGCGTCACCCTCCATAGAGTTCGATCTGAGATGTTTTTCATAAGAAAAGGTACTACAAAATTTGAACATTCGAGCTATTCATTGCTGGTCTTTGAACTCAATAAACATAAAAAAGAAGAGACAGATATTCTTGTAGTGTTATAGTGTTGAATGTTGGCCTTTATAGGAGTCATCAAGAAGGAACGAAACAGTGAAAAAGTTATTTTTATCGAGAAGGAGATTTGTACAGCGCTGAAGAAACTCGAAGAATAAATACTTTCTTCCGAGGGAGGACTTGTTAGACTGATGTTTATCCTTCAACACGCTCGAGCTTGGAGGGCGTCTGGTGGTTCGTCAGCATCTTCTTAATCTAAAAAATCACGATGAACAGAGTCTATTGAGCAAGTTCTCTCGTACCTCAGCAATAGCCCAGGCTGGGTTCAGATGTTTGGGACAAGCTTTCGTGCAGTTCATAATAGTGTGACACTTGAAGACGGAATAAGCATCGTTCATCTTTTCAAGTCGTTCAGCCTTTAAAACAGTCATCTACCAAAGTGAATTGCAAACGATTCTTACGGTGTAATCATCCCGAGAGTCGATGAGCCATCTGTAAGCTTGCTGAATAATAGCAGGGCCGAGGTACTTGTCACCATTCCACCAGTAGGATGGGCAAGAGGTGGAGCAGCAGGCGCAGAGGATGCACTGACAAAGAAAATTATAAACCGCTGATTTTTTGTTGAAATTTACCTCGTAAAGTCCATCAAGTTTTGCTCGATCAGCCTCGCTCTGGTAGTTTTCGGTAGTTCGTGGAGTTTCGTCTCGTTTCTTCAGCCAGGGCTCGATGGATTTGTACTGGGCGTAGAAGTTGTTCATATCGGGGACAAGATCCTTAACGACGTACATGTGGGGCAGGGGCCAGATCTTGGTAGTCTTCCCAACATCGGTGCAGTACGAAAGACAGGCTACATGAAAAAGAAGTAGCGTGGATGTGAGAGACAGAGTTTCAATTACCCAAGTTGTTGACACCATCGATGTTCATGGCACAGGAGCCACAGATACCTTCTCGGCAGGATCGTCGGAAAGTGAGGGTAGGGTCGATTTCGTTCTGAAAGAAACTACTGAAGTTGAGAAGATTCAAGATTATACCTTGATCTTGATAAGAGCATCAAGAACCATGGGGCCGCAAGTGTTCATGTCGACCTTGTAAGTCTCCATTCGGGGCTGTCCACCATCATCAGGGTTCCATCTGTAGATCTGGAACTCTTTGGTACCCTACAACTTTCAATAAGACACATTCATAACTAGTAAAGGAGTCCACCTTGTCAACTGGCTTGGGGTTAGAGAGGGCGGCAGCCTTGAGAGTAACGGAGAACTTCTTGCTCTGCGTCGTCACCTGGCGCAACATTTTTCTCTGAAGCGGAATCAATTAAAAATACAAAAAAAATAGAGATGGAGTCGAAAGGTCAATAGTTTCGGTGAAATAGGGTAGAAAACAGGTTGCGAACAGAAAAATGAAGCTGAAGGTTTATTTGAGGCAGGATCTTTCAAAGCGTTGGCAAAATCGAATAATTATCACTAAAGCACGCAATGCTCAAAATAAGCAATTGCCAAGGACTATTTAAAAGTTTGCGACGCTTTCCTGAAATGAGTGTTTCCAATATAACCTCCACGCATACTTCGATACACATTCTGTTCGAATTGTCTCTTATCACGCTTCAGAACATCGGCGGCTTCTTTATTCAATGGATCGTCTGGGTTAGGTTCCTACAAACCAAGATGTAAAAATGAATTTGAATGTCAACAAGGAAAATATTGCGAGTGTAAAACTTTAAACAGAACATGTCTGTTGATTTTTATCTTATCTTACAAAATGCAATTTATCCAAGAGACTTACCAAGAAGAGAAACTGTAGCCCATAAATGACGGAGTTAATGTTGAGCACTGGTTTCCAATCCTCTCTGAGAATATTCAAGCAGACGTTACCGTCAAGGTCGATGTTCGGGTGGTAGACTTGCGTTTCGCATTTCACCTAAACGTTGAAAAAAGCTACTTTTTCCCTTTTTATTCGCATTTTTGCGCTATCGGGAGCTTTTTGCGCTTTTCCTTCGCCGCGCCGCGCCATTACACAACGATTACGTAACTCTGGGAAAAGGGTCAGCTAGAATAATCGACGTTGTAGTTCGCTAATTTCACTGTCTACTATTACTCTTTTTTGATCAGTGTTAGATAAGCTCTCATCGTGATATGCGCTAGAATTTGATTGCATCTACTGGCTGTTTCAGGCGAACTCCTGATTGGTTTAGGGACCTGAGACCCCCAGAATGATAAGTGTCTAATTATAAAAGCCTTGAAATTTGAAGCAAAAATTATATTATTACTAGATTTTGTATTGCTTTAGCTTTTATGATAAAAAAAGTCAACGAAAACGAAAACAGATAAGGTGACCTACCTTTGGTGGCTCGTGTGGATATATCTGGGGCACTTTAAATCTGAAGACGAACCTTCCGCCTTGGTAGAAACCCTGGTCCGGGCAGATTTGTAATTTGAAGTTCAGCAGGTCGTCGCGATTTTCGAAGTGAGTTTGACATGTTGGAGGAATGTCCAGGTCGTTGATGTCCTAATCAAGAGCTTCGTTAGCTTATTGCTAGAGATATGGGCCGAATTATACTATTCACTTGAAATAAAGGCGATCGGGTTTGTTTGACGAACCTTGGCTATTCTGAGCTGCGCTGCGGAGATTTTACTTTTTGGCTGATTCCCAGCCGCCTCTTCAGCCTTTTTCTGCTCTTTCATCGACGACAGACGAATCATCTTTCTATTCTGACAATTTTTCGAAATGCGCTATTTTTTGTCGAATTTGAATTCCTGGTGTATTTCAACGTTGTGAGCAGGGACGTAGATAAGTTTGATAGAATTGAATTATGATTCGCTCTGTTTTTATACTTTTTTTTTTATGCAAACTGAATTTTGAACTTAATCTCAGATTTTTAGTTTTGAAAAGCTCGATAGGTTTCTTTTTGCTGTATCGAGAGCGAAGCAGATTTTCACAAACAGGAGAGACTGTAATTATACGTCTAACTGTAGACTGTCTCTAGGGGATTTTAGGAGTCTGATTGATGCAGATTTTCTGAAGGAGCTCTTATGAGGCGCTCGACAAGAGTCATGTTCAGTTTTAAGGCTGTCAACATTTGTAAACTGTGTGGACACACTTGGGGGTAGTTTTACGACTGAGATTTTAGTGAAGTAGAATGATTAAGAGCGAGATCTGAAGTGAAGAGTTCAGTGATTTGTACAGAGAAAGGAATACTTTGTTCTTAACTTAAAATATCAAGCAGTGATAGTTTTTAGTAATTGAAATTGGTCTCATGTAATTGGCTAGCTCTTCCGGTTAATCCTTGCCCCCAAAGGACAGCATCATTCTAGTAGCTCTTCAAAAGCTTTTCGGTGCCAAAAGTTTGGGTCTTTTCGACCTAATATAATTTGACCTGCAAGTTTCGAGGAACACGAATGAAATAATGGGACCTCTTAGGGTGGAGAGGATCAAGCGAAAAAGAGACATAACAAAAAATAAAAAAACGAAAAAACGAAAGGAATATTAGTTGATTGAAAGAAGCAAGTTGAAAGAAATTTACAAGTTTTTTTTTCATGTGGAACAGTTTTTTTAGAAAGATCTTGAAGAATTTGTTATAGAAATCTTTCAGGAGTAGTTTTTTTATGTTGTTGCGGGAATAGTAAGGAGCAGACTGGAGAATTAAGCGCGACCCATCAGCTTCTCGATGCATCTGATGCCCTGTTCTTGGTATTCTCTCTTCGTTACCCACCACTGCAGGTTGTTTTTCATGATGTCAGCCAGCACAGCGCCGCCGAGGAAAACCTTTTTTAGGAAAAAATCGTTATTGACAGCTAAATGCACTTTAACGTACCAGATGTTTTCTTCTTGGAGGATCTTCGACGCCGATTTTAAACTTTTTATATTGATTCACGTCTCCCTGAACGTTTCTGTTGGTAAACTTTATAGACAAAAAGAAGTGGGCTATGAAAATATTGACATGAACTGAGTAGAATAGTTCAATCCGGCTCTTGAAAGCTTCATTAATTGCCGCGGATGAGTAGCATTACCTTGACTACGTTCTGGAAATAGAGCTGCTTGAGTTCACGCGTCATCCGACTGGGCAGACCTGGGTACATCGTGCTTCCGCCTGAAAGGACGATGTGTTTGTACAGCTCTGGGCGAATGTCCATATCGGCTCCCTGAAGAGGGCGAGTTTTGGAAAAGAAGCACTCAAGCGGCAGTCAATCTAACCTGAATGGCGTTGAAAAGCATTTGCGCGACTCCCTCTTTTTCTACGTCGACTAAATGTGGCTGGAAGAGAGCTTCTGGTGCTTGGAATCGCTCGGCACCGATCTGAGATGGATTATACTCTGAGTTACATGCTCGTTTAGTACGTACAGTGATTTCTCTTCCGTCGGGCAGCGTGTACTTTTCTACAAGTGTTGTTGTTTCTTGCGCGAGTCGGTCTTCTTGCTCGACATCGTAGGCAACGTAACAGAATTTTTCTTTGATTTCACGAACTGTATCAAAATCAGCAGAGTGGTTGAAGGCTACAACCAACAATAAGTCCGTCTAGGTAGATCCGATTCGAACTTACCATAACCACGGAGAAGCAATAGTTTGATTAGGTACTTAGTTATGTCTCGACCAGCGACGTCGAGGCGTTTTGTGATGTTTTGCAGGCCGAAGCCTTCATAGACTGGGCAAATGTGAGTGACGCCATCGCCACTATCGACGACGACGCCTGTATGAAGACCCTGTGCGTATAGTGTCAGGACAGCTTGGATCGCCACGTAAGCGCCTGAAAACACTTATTTTTCTGAAGGGTAGAAAGTATCGGTACCTTGAAAGCCGTATTTTTCGAACATGGTCTCGACAAGTCGTTCTCGATTCTTTTTTGGGTTCATTGGTGCTTCTGTTAAAAGAATTTTGGATAGCGTTGGGTCAATGTTCAAGCATTCATTGCCAAAAGTGTGGTCCCACAGAAGCTCCATGTCATCCCAGTTTCGAATGATTCCGTTTTCCATCGGATACTGGATATCTAGCGAATGCCTCAGATCCGCTGCTTGTTGCCCGACGATGATGTCCTTTAGCATGGCACCGCCTAAATAAGACTTAACAATTGAAATAAAATCGCTGATTAGTTCGGAAAGAACACATTTTAGAACATTTCTCAATTCTCGCCTCGAGAAAAAATAACACGAAAAGCTCACGGTGAAGATTACTCGCAACTATACCATTTTTTAAACGTTGTCGATTTTTATAAGCTAAAAGCATTTTATGTGGCAACGATGGGCCCTACAAACCTTCTTTCGATTTCGCGCGAAGGATGGGTCTACCGACCATGGCGGGAAAGATATGGGCGGGAAAGTTGGCGCCCGCGAAGCCGCACTTAACGAAGCCGGTGCCATTGTCGCAAACGACCACTTTGTGTCCTTCGCTGTCTGTCATTTCAACCTCTGTATTCTAAAGCGAACAAATTTGCGCCACGGTCAATTATGATGACAGTCAGTAACAATGAATAATTTCAAGCATGCTGAATCATACTGCCAAATAAGCCCTCCCTCGTCTCCACTACTTCCGCTGGTTTGAATTTTTGACATCAACAACGATTACTTCATGGTTAAACATGAAACGGTGGCTTTTAAGGAACTGATTGTTAATCTTTATTAAGGCAAAAATAACTCTGTCATAGAAAAATAGACGCTTTGCAGCAATATCTGTACAGTGGAATATTCAGGGGTCATGTGGAGGTTGATGTGCGTTTCAATGCATTTAGTTGGATGGGATTGTGAATACAAAAATATATGTTTTTGGGAAGGTTCAGTCTTTGAGTTGATCCGTAATGAGCTCGTGCAGCAGACATTCCATTTTGAGCAACTTGTCCGAGTAGTTCTCTTCTATTAGTTTTTGGAATTTGTGGAGGGTCTCGATCTGAACTCGCTGGTCGTTTGAATTGTTCCTATTTCGTACCTGTCGCTGTTTTTGCTGAGCTAGGACGTGCTCGTGGTGCTCCACAACTGTATCTAGATCTTTTTCCAGCGCCAAATTCAGTCGTTTCATTGCTTCTACATGCGTTACTAGTAGTTCGTGGTCTTCTGCACCAGATTGCTACGCAAACAGTCGTAATTATCAAAATTGACAAAGAGGCTTGTTACTTGAAGTTTGGAGATGTTGGACGCGTGATTTGTTCGTTGGGCTTCTCGTTTTGATCTTAGCTGGTGATGTAGGACTTTGACGGAATCATTTTGAATTTTGGCGTCGCACGCGGCAAGATGGGACTCTTTTGCTCTGACCTACGATGACGAAGCTTAAGGTAAGGAGATACTGTAAAACTTTACCTGAATCAAAGCCAGATTAGTTTCACGTGCGTCTCCACCATTTTTAATGCGGGCCAGTTCTGTCCTTGCAGATTCAAGGTCGAGCCGGAGAGCCTTAAAATCGATTACTCAGAACGTAAAACGAACAAATAGAAGACGCTACCTGATATTCTTGGGCGAGCTTCACGTCATGGTCCGTCTCTTTGCTTTCCAACGCCCACATCAAACCGTTCCGCTGGAGCTTTTGAGCACGAACCGCCATGAACTTCTTCGCTGCGGCGATTCGGGCTTCTTCATCGACTTCTTTCGTCGTTTTTAATCGTGCTAAATGATATGGTCAACTCATGAAGGCTTATGAGACCGTACTTAGAAGAGATAGCATATTTTTTCGTTGGTCGTTATCAGCTCGCTTCTGCCGGCTCAGATCCTTGTTCAGCTCCGAGATTTCTTTCCGAATTGACCTAGCGCTGCCTCTTTTGACATCTTTCATGCTTTTCATCATTTCATGAAATTTGAAGAAAGCTGAAACGAGTTTAATGTTGCTTTTTTGAACAGCTAAATGCACCTTTATCCAAATTGCTATCGGTGAGAATGAGCAAGGCAGCGGATGAATGGATCCCTCTCGGCGGCACATTTTGACCAGGTGGATAGATGATAAAATTGAGCGAGTATCCATTTCTTGAGACGGAAAGTATCGCGGCGTGTCGTATACTGAGACTGTCCCTGGCACGAACAGCTTGGTTGAAGTATTCGATCACTTCTTTTGAGCTCTTGGCGAGCACTTCTTCGGACGCATTGAGACAGCCTTTTATAAACTCATAAAACGTTCCGTGTCTAGAGTCTGGGAAGGATTTAGAGTGCCCCTGACTGTATAATCTCAATTGTAAATACACGCGCAGTCTAATCTCAATTCAAAATAAATCTAGATTAACCGTTTGAGTTTCAAAACCAACTCCGCTTTCTGGAAACGATCTTTTCCTGAACAATAGTTCACCGCTTTCAAAGCGCGAGTAAATAGAATATGCGGTGAGATATGTCAATGATGGGGAAGTAAGCACATTTCTTTGACCTTTGGCGACGAGGATTTAAATAGCAAATGGGCGAGATAAAGGCCTATCTTAGACAGGTACTGAATGAGTACATAGCTACCTGGAGCTTTGTTTTGATTAAATTTTTATAATGGATTTGCACTCTTCGTTGATCTCAAGAGATAAAAAATGATTTGTTTTAATAAGCTTTCCTGAAAGAAGCGAACGTGGATTCTCATTAAGCTCCGAAGCAGAAACAAGACAAACGGAACCACCACTGACGCTTAGCAAATCTTCAATCACGGGCTTCCAGAGCCATTCAAGATCATCACTCTTCGCTGCGATAAAAGTTTTCTCTTTCTCATTTTGCGTCGATTTCAAGAACTTCGCTAAGTGTGTTCGATTGCGCGAAGGACCGGTCTCATCGACTGTGAATTTTTCGCCTTCTACTTGGACACTTTGCCGGGATCAATTTCGGTTCGGGGGATTCGGGTTACAGTTGTTCAGTTGACCAGTTTTAAAGTTAAAATCTGGATTGGAGATACAAGGCCCGCGAAGATTTTATGGCGGACAAAAAGAGTTAACAAAAGTTATTCATATTGCTTTAAAATTTCAACAATGACGTAGTTTTATTGATGAGAAAAACATATCAAAATTGACGGAAACGAGTTCCCATAAAAATGAGCCCACACTGTCTTGATTGATGAACTAAAATGAACCCTTCCTGTTTTGTGTGACGACGAGCGATTCGAGATTATCCGGAAACGTTACATAGAGCATTTCAGTCTATTTGATAAAAAGAAGATGAGTGGCGGTTGAATTGAATGTTTGAAATGGTCATTTAGATTGATTGGAATTTTTCCAAAAAATAATGAGTTTGATTTCAATGAAAAAGAATGGGCTGAATGAGAAGAAATTGAAAAACAAGGTCAATCGATAGATTTGTACAAGTAAGAAGGGAAATTCTAGCTGTATATAACTGTGAATAGTTTACAGAATAGTAGAAGAAAAATGATTAAGGCAACTACCACGAAATGATCAATTTTGAAGACTCTATCGTACGCGGCGTGGAAAATTGTCAAAAAACGTTTTTTGAAGCAACATTTTAAAGACTATCGTATGCAATGACATGGCGTCTGCCAAAGAACCAGATCATAGCGCCTGATATCGCTGCAACTAGGGGCACTACAGTAAAGATGAGAGCAAAGGGGAAGTTTTGTTTGTCGGAACATCTAAATCCGTCAAAACCGTCGTCGCACTTTTTCTTTGTTCAACGCTGCTGGGTCTCTAGGATCCAATTAAACGGTACGTGTATTTGCATGGCTCTTCATTTGCGGCCTCTTGAAACAGAAATCTAGGCCTTACTTAATCTCTCGAAAAAAGCTTCATTCAAGGACTCAGACATTTACTTTTCGACGGATGAGGAAGATCGCATGAATTGTAAGACTGTTGCCATTGACGACAATTAAATGCCAGATGACTGCCAACAGATCTATTATATTCAGGTCGTCATTAAAGAATCTTCTTGAAGAGAAGCTCTTTCAAAAGATGACGATAATGATTGCGGTTGTTCAAAGAGCCCTTTCTATTTTTCTAAACTTGAATGATTGAAAAACTTTGCTTAAGTAGCGAAGATTGAACCGGAATTATTTCTGTGTTGGAACTCAGAGAAGTCTTCTAAGGGGTTCTCTCTTTCAAAAATACTTTTTGATTTCCAATTCTCAAAAATCATTGAAACGAAGAAAAATGAGGCTCTTTCTCTAAGCAAATAACGGCTGACGACAAAAGCGGCAGCAAAGCGCCCAAAGCGCAAGCTACTCGTAAAAGCTGTTCATTGTATTCTGAGGGGTTTTAACTCCAAATCCATTAATATCAGGATTTGCTTCTGCGAGTGCGCTCTTTTGAGCAGTTGAACAAGTTCCTGACAGTTGAAGACGCCTGGGCCTGCGTCGACGCATTGGGAGTTCTCTGGACAAGTATCTACAGGTGATTACGTTAGTCTCTGTCAACAAAAACGCATGTTCAAGGGAGGAGCGTCCTCAGATTAGACAAATTTATAGTCCACCAAATATTGACCGAGAATTTGCTCTGAGCTTGAACGAAATACTTACAGTTGTTGAAGGGTGAATCATTCTTCTGGTAGGCGCAGAAGCTCGCCTGTCCTTCACATTGGCGGTAGGACTTGGAGATATGATCATCTTCTTCCCAAGCAGCAAAGGTCTTTGTGCTATTCGTTGTGAAGTCTTTTACAGTCAACGCGCCGGGACATGTACAATCCAATCTCAGTGTTCTGAAGTGGAGTCAGATGCAATTTATGGCCGGGAAACCGCAATTTTCTGCCTCTAATTTCTTTTCTTTTTGTTCTCCGAATTACACTCGTATTTCCAACAAAAGTAACAATCGCCAAGGAAAAATCTCTTTTTAGGAAGCATTTTTATACGAAGAATAACTCGAGAAAAAAACACTCGACGTTTGGGTCCTAATTTGTTTGATGATATCAGTATAGAAATTATCCGCGTCGTCTTTGGAGATGAGAGAGCAAGCAAAGTGCGGATTATACAAATAGTGACATTCCAGCGTAACGAAAACAGCGCCAGCAACAATAGCGATTAGAGTCTCCGTTCAAATAAGACTGCCAGTTAAATAACCACAGCTAATCACGGATCTCTCTTTACACACAATTGTTGGCGACTGTATCCTTATGATGTTCACAAAAATTTCGAAAAGCGTAAATATTGGGGCTAATCGCCTTAACAACTTTTCCTAGAGGGGTCCTAGCGGCGTCCTTGACCCCTTAGAACAGACTTACACTGTGGACAACTGCAGGGCATTAGCAAGGTCGGAATTATTCCTCAGAGGACATGGTACATCTGCTTTTGTCCTGAAGTCTAAAAGCTCCAGAATACTGATGTCTTCGACGTCCACGGAGGTAGCGTTCTCGCAGAATGAAAAAGACGCACCAACGGTCTTGTTTTTACTGTTTTGACAGAAGGACCCTCGTTTACTAAAGAATATATCAATCGGTTAATTCAGTTGAAAGACGTTTTACCTTCGTAAGATGCTTCCTTCTACAGTTTCACAAAAAGACGATAGAATTTCCAGGTCCCCACACTCTTCGCTGTCATTCTGTGCTCCAACGAACACCAACAGTACCGAAATCAATAGTCTCATTCTAAAAGTATTTGGTTTGAAAACTTGGTTAAATGGTCACTCAAAGGTTTCCCCGAGTGTATTCCCAGATCGAAAGTGCCGCAGAAACGTGAACATTTAATGATCTGATGATTCCTTTCTGTGGGATTTCTAGCACCACGTCCAACAAACCAATAATGTGCGCTGGAATGCCTTCTCGTTCATTTCCGAGAACTACCACACATTTTTTCGGGAAGTTGAACTAAAAGAAAAAGTTTTAATTTCATGATCTATCTAAGTCAATATGACACCTCTTCAATCGAAATAGAATTCGCAGTTTGCTCGAGTCCAGCCAAGCAGTAGCCCTTATTCTTCATCGACATCAACCACTGTGGGATGTTACGCGCTTTAACTTCCTGGATGTCAATCCATTTCATCGCCGTCACTGCCAAACTAGTGTAGTCTTTTGCCTTCACTTTGGTATAGATTTTGACATCAACAAAGAATCTTCGAAGAGTCAAGAATTAAAATTTAAATACCATGGTTCCTTTAATACAGACAGATTGTCAAAGGTAAGAGACTCAGCTCCAAAAACTTCCGCTGTCCTTGTAATTCCACCAAGATTATTTGCTTTGTCTATCAGCGAGGCGCATATCACCAATCCTTGTGAAAATGAAAGTTAGTAGACTTCCGTAAGCAACGAACAGAAAGTGGTATTTGGACAGTTCTCTCACCTTCGCAACTTTTCTTTTCAAGCTCAATGTCCTGAATCCAAGGAGTAATCTTCTGCTGAACATCCGTCACCCCAGGCTCAGTTTTAACATCAGCATTTGGTGTCTTGTCTCCGGATTCATTCGCCGCCTTCCATTTTCTTTCTGCCCATCTGTCCATTTGTTTTTCGAAGGGCAAGTTAGTCCGGTGCGACACTTAAGAAGAACACTTGAAATGACTATGCGCAGGCTTGTTTCCTCCTTGTTTGCTCAGAGGGAGTTTAGATAAGATGATCCGAAAAGTAATCTGGAAACACTATCAAGGCGATTCGCACTATTTACCAAGAAATCAACGCTGTCGCATATGTCAACAACTATCGATTTATAGCTAAGATAAAGAGAAAGTATCAATGCAATGAAACTTACGTTCTTGCAGAAGTGGCAGACTTATCAGGTTCTTTTCCTGTGAGCCTACAGAAAGAGGTATCGAGCGGAATATGCCAACGAAAGAAAGATCGTCCATGACATTTACTTCCGAAAAGAACATATTTCCCATGACTTTGTCGACCTGGCGTCCTAAACTGCCTCGCTCCTTTTGCGAGTCTGAAAACTGCACATGCCGTCCTAGAAACGGAAACATTTGATTGATTGCCACTCCTTGCGCAGGGTCGTTCTGAGTGCTCTTGTAGAGTTTGTTGACCACTGCAATGGCGTGAATCCTCACGTTGATATTGCTGCATTGCTGCAATCGGAGGGATTGCTCAAGAAACTTCATCGTAAATTGTGGGATCTGAGAACGGAAGTATTAATTTCAATTCACAGGGAGATTTGCTATTTACTTTGACGCTGATACAAAACAGCATGCCAACCACGAGCACGGAGGAAATCGAACCGCTATAGTTGAGAAACTCATCGTCCTTAAAAAATTCATTCAAACAAAAATAATGCATACAAATTACCTCCAGGATTTGATCAATTTTCTTCCATTCCTCGGTACTGTATGTAATTAACTTTGCCAGCGATATTTGCTGCAACATTCGGACTGACGGTTCTTCTTCATTTGACAATGTATTTAGGATCGCATCAACGAGTTCGGATATCGCGTCCGTCTCCTTGAGCTTGATGTTTTCTTCAATAAGTTGAGTGACGAGCAAGAGAATCGACTGCCAGCAGCGTTCTCTTGTCAGATGTGTGGCGGAGTTTTTATGACACGTTTGTTTCCTTTTTGTTTCCCTAATATGCTCTTTTACAAGCATCATGATGACATCGTTAGGAGGACACTCATTACACAAAACTTCGTCTTTAATATATCGGAGAATAAGATCGACCCCATACTTGCGAACCATCATCATTTCTGTTAGAATGTCAACTTGATACTCGTTTTGTGGAATGTCTTTTAGTACACCTTGTTCTTCAAGCTCGTCGACTTTTCTAGCAGTGTGGAGTTCAACAAGAACATCTTTATTGAATCCAGCTCCTGAAGTCAAAGCAGCAAAAGTCAGAAAGGGTTTGTGGTCGGGATAAGCACAGTAACGAGCATACTTAGAGATGATTGGCAGTATCATCCCATGTCGAGTAGCAGCCTTGTCTTGTATTTCTTTGAAAAGTTTTTCCATCACCAAGTCTGCAAATCGACTAAAAAAGGAGTCTTCGTGCATCAACACCCTCGAAAACAATTCATAAAGTTGATGGCAGTGACGACTTCCGAAATTCGCCTTGATTTCTCTCCATAGAGCCCATATGAAATCGTCTATTCCGTCATTCCGTTCATTACCAACATTCCGATATATATTATAACAATCAGGGTTGTCTAACGTCCTGAGAAGACTTTCCACCACTGGGATCTAAATGACCTTCATTGCATTCGATAAATTCGACTCTCAAGTACCTGTCCAGTAATGTCAACCGTCGAGAGTGCCTCCAAACTTTCAGCAACAGTAGCTTCGTGTTTCAATAAGCTTGCACATTGCCAGGCAAGCTCTACGGCTCCTTTTTGGTCATTGCTCGATGAATTGCAGATTCGAAGCGGAATTTGAAGAACATCTTTTCCGGTGAAATTTGGGATAATTGGGACATCGTCGCTCATCTTTTCGAGTAAGAACTTGAGAGTTTTCAGTGCCATTATTACGAAGTGAGAGTACTTATGTCGAACATTAGAGTTCAGAATCAAAGGGACTAGCTGCTGGTTCACGAGAGTCCTTCCGCCAGGCTCGAGGGAAGAGAGGTTTGCTTCACATGCTGCGAGGAGTAAATCGAAAGTGCTAAAATCTGCATCAAGATTTCTGATATTTTCCCATCGCTGGAAGAATTTGATCAGGAGTTCGAAGAGAGACACAGTAATGGCGTCAAAAGTCATTCGTGGCTTCAAGTGGATCATCTCTCTGTAGCGTTTAAGAGTGGATGTGATGAGAGAAAAGGTTTGTGCGTTTTTAGGGTCCAGCTCAAGCCGCTTCGTTTCCAGTTGAAAATTGTCAAAGACTGAACGATGAAGTAGCTGGCTAGTGTAAGGACAATTCACGGTTTCTTCTGGCGGCGCGAGAGGTCTTGCAAGGGAGTAATACGATAGACTACCAACGTCTGCATTAAGCTTCATCAGCAAAGCTTTCTTCAGGAGTTCATCAAAAACCATTTGGTCTACAATTTTTATGATCAGTCTTTGGGTAGCACACCGAACTTTCAAATGGTGCTTCTTCGTTCTCTCATAAAAAATTATTTCAAGCCGTTCCAACATCTTATGAGTTACATCTGGTAATTCATGCTTTTCTGAAATCCGCGAAAGAAGATCTTTTTCATTCGATATACTAAATATCCAGTAGAACAATGGCGTCGGGGACTGATTGAAGTTTGATAATGATTCAACGACTGAAGGAAGAAGTGATTCGTTGTTTTGTAAAAATGTCCTCATGTACCGCGCCATTTTCGGCTGATTGAATTCGCTTCCGTCCAATGCTTCTTCCTCTACATATAAACCTAGCTGAGATGTTGTTGGAATAAGACAGTCGCTAACGAAATAATGCGTCCCATCCGAAGATTCCATCTCCCGCATATTCATCAACACTAACTTGCAGAAAGATGCGACTACTTTCTTGTTCTCGTGGCAAAAAGACCGTCGAAAAGGCAGGAATTTAATGAATGGTTCAATTTTCTTGTTTTCAAGCCACTTGATGAATCTGTTTTGGTGCGTGTCGACGATGTGTTGTTGATTTTCCTCTAAAAGCATGAGCATAGAGAGGAGTTCCTTCTCATCCACACCATCACTAAAAATCCACTCCCAATCCTTAAGTCTCTTTTGCAATAAGTTGTACAGTAAACTTTGCGCTTCTTTACGGTCCACAGCGCTTGAGGAGACGAAAGCTTCATAACATTTATTGAGAACACTGCAGTCATACAACTTGTAAAAATGCGGGAACAGCGCGAGGTGCGCTGAAATGGATGGGTATTGATGGAATTTTATCAGTTCTTCGAGATGGTTCCAGAGGCGGGAATCTTCATGTGTCAATGTTCTTCGTAAGAAGCCATTAATTGCCTGAATAAATGCACGGGAGACAATATCATTGTTTTCGATATAGATGAAGATGATTTCACTCGTAAAATGACAGGCCTTCTTGTTGAACGCTTTCGCCGCTTTTTCCAACTCGGTAAAGAGACAAATCAGGGCGGTCAGGTTCTGGTCATCAAGCAAGCGATTTATAAATGGACGATAGTGGTTCTGTATTAATGGATTTGTAATTGAATATATCCTCACGAAATTGATGACTTTTGTAAACTTGATGAATGACTCCTCCTTTGCCAGAAACTCCGCGTATTCAATGAGTGTCTGTTCCGACTTATCATCTATCAGAGGACGCTGGCGAGCCAAAGAATTGTAGTCCTTATTTTTTGTTCAATTAGGTGCGTCGTTATTTCCCTGCATAACTGGTAATTTACGAACAATGCCTTGACATCGAAAAACTCCTCGATAGTTATGCCTCGCCCGTTCGTGAGAGCTAGTACTCTTTTTCAATAATACTCATCTAGTGCATCACTCTGAAGAAGGAATGACATTTATTTCACGGACGCACAAGTGTTACTTTTACTGTATGAGATCAACAGGCAAAACACTGTATATTTAGAACTCGGAACATCGTTATATAGATTTGAAATAAATTAGGAAATTTGAATTTTTCGAATTTCTTCAAACTTCGAGGGAAATGCCGGCGGCCTCTTGTCTTCGGACGTCTTCGGCAAATCGTTCCTCGAGGTAAGGCTTGAACCACCGGATAAGACCTGAGGAATATTCATTAAAGAAATTCTCCGCCAAATATTGATTACCTTGGGCTGGCCATGCAGCACCGTCGGCGAGCGCGCAAATAGTGTTTCCTTCGACCTGCTTCGAGATTTCCCAGAGCTGTTCGATTTCCTCGGGTCCTCGAGACTGTCCGAAAGTCCATCGCTTGAGGATGTCGTTCATCCATGAAACGCCTTCTCGGCAGGGAGTGCACTGACCGCAAGACTCGTGCTTGTAGAACTCCATCAATCGCCAGATACATTCGACTGGATCATCGTCCTTGTCTATCGGAAAAGTTGAGTATTAAAAAATTAATTGTTGACTTACTCATGACGATGAGAGCGGCAGTGCCAAGACCAGATGGAGCAGCGGCAAGAGCGTCGAAGTCCATCATAATATCGTCACAAATGTGCTACGAAATCGTTATCATTTGAAAGGCTAAAGAAAGAAATAACCTTGGGAAGAAGGGGAGTGGAGGAACCACCGGGAATGACAGCTAGCAGGTTGTCCCAGCCGCCCCGGACACCACCGGCGTGCTTTTCAATAAGTTCCTAAACAAATGATAAGGAATTCCGAAGTAGAATCGAAGGACTCACTCTCATCGGGATGGACATGGTCTCCTCAACGGTGCAGGGAGTGTTAACGTTTCCGGAAATATTGAAGAGCTTGGTGCCAGTGTTTCGCTCTCGTCCGAAGGAGGCGAACCAGTCGGCTCCTCGTCGGCAAATGGTTGGAGCAACGGCGATAGTTTCGACGTTGTTGACGGTGGTAGGGCAGCCAAAAGCGCCGACGGCGGCGGGGAATGGTGGCTTCAGTCTGGGCTTTCCCTAGTAAAATCCATGGTATAGAGATTTGAAAATGATGCCTTATGTGTACCTGCTTTCCCTCGAGAGATTCAATAAGCGCGGTTTCTTCGCCGCAGACGTACGCACCAGCACCTCGCTGGACGTAAACGTCAAAGTCGTAGCCAGTGCCGCAAGCGTTCTCGCCGAGGTATCCCTTGGCGTATGCCTCTCGCACAGCGTACATTAAATTGGAGGTTTCGTTGTAGAACTCTCCGCGGACGTAGATGTAGGCAGCTCGAGCACCCATGGCGTAACCAGCTACCAGGCAGCCTTCGATGAGCTTGTGAGGGTCGTGTCGCATAATATCTCGATCTTTGCAAGTTCCTGGCTCTCCCTCATCGGCGTTGACAACAAGGTACTTAATTTGAATTAGGGAAGATCGGAAAGAAAATAATGATTTTACCTTTGGTCGACCATCGGTGACAGGGACATTCATAAAGGACCACTTGAGACCAGTGGGGAAACCGGCACCACCACGTCCTCGAAGGCCGGAATCCTTAACCTCCTGCTGGATCCATTCGGCACCCTTGAGGATGATCTCTTTCGTCTTGTACCAGTCGCCTCGAGCTTCGGCACCCTTGATCGACCAGTCGTGGAAGCCGTACAGGTTTGTGAAGATTCGATCTGTTGAAGAATAAATAAACGAAAAGGACTTCTATTTGATTTTTACCTTGATCCTTCATGGGCGCATTGTTGATCACTCCGGACGCCCTGGCCGAAGTGCGGGCCGCAGTCTTTGCGATCCGATTCAGCATTCTTCAATTTTCAAAAGTTAAGCTCTTACAAAAAAACTATCCGTTGATTTTGAGGCTCTCTTTGCTGAGCGGGTTGGGTTTTTCTATTTTTTCGCCCCTAGGTAATCGTGGGTAAGACCTTCCCAGACCGCGGTAAAGAAAATTCTCGAGCTGTTACGTAACACCCAGTCATTTTAATTCAAAAGGAAAAATCTTTTGTACTATCAGTATGGGGGTGATAAGGGTCAAGTGTGATGACTCAACGCTTTCTTATCGCCTCGTGTTAAAAAGTACTAAATAAATAGTGCGAGAAATTTTAAAGTATCACCATCTAATGCGGTTAAATTAACAAAATAGTGATCTTGATTTACTAAAATTAATATGACTACCATGAATACGGAAGGAAAATTACTATTTTTAATCTCACGGTATGAATTTATTAAATTTTTAATTAAAAAACTAAAGACAATTTATGAAGCTCGTTCTTAAGAAATTTAATGTAAAATTAATTTTCTCGGAATATAAATTAAAGTGCACGTGATTGACTGTTCAAGATTATGCTGAGAAAGTGTTCTGTCCAATTTCTCTATCAGAAGAAAAAGTCTGTTGATGAGGTCGATTCGAGGTCGGATGGTTCGGTCCTCTTGGCGCCGCCCATTGGCTAAAATCACAAAAGCGCGAAGGAAAGAAGCGGGGTCCTAAGAAAAAAAGGGAGGATATTCTGCGCTTCTTTTTCTTCATGAAAACGTCTTATTCTGCCTATTTCTAAGTTTCTGTCAGAATTTTCCATGTTAAAAAATTGCCTTACAATGAGAAAATCTTGATAAAATGGTTATTGAAATGAAATGGTATATTTTTTAATTGCTGCAAAACACGCTCCTCATAATAAAAAAGATTGTATGGAAACTTGAATGAATCAATTGAACGTATATCCATTGCATTTTTGAATCTAGAAAGTGTGCCGAACGGAGCTAGGAAAGTTGCGGGGCTGATCATGAATCTTTGGAAGAACATGGATCTTGAGCGACGAAAACGCCAAAAAGATATAGGCTCTGCTGGTTCTGCAATTAAGTATATTAAAAAAATGACTGCTCAGGCGTATAATCACGAATTTTCCTCGAATGCAGGTTCTTTCTTTTCATGGGGGGACAGAAAACGATTAGCGTTTTCTCTCTAAAGAACCAGGAATAGCGACGCGGGATATCATCATTTTCGGCGGCTACCAGGCTGGGAAAAGCTCTGTCATTCGAACTTTACTCAACGAAGATGCTCCTACGGAAAGTACAGTTGGTCTTAATTACTCGTACTATCGAGCGAAGAGCCGGAATAATGAGGCAAATAGTCATGGGTTCCATTTTATAGAACTTTTGTGTAAATTTGCAGAAGAAAAAAAACTCAAAGAAACCATCTTTTTATACACAAATCGATACCCAAATATAAAGAAATTTCAATCTTTGGGAAATCGGCGGCGAACTCAACTCATCCGGGCGAAATATGGCTTTAGTTCCACTGAAGCATTCTACGAATATCGTTCTCGTTCTAGTCTTGGATTTGGCCACTTTGTCGCAAGTAGAAGATCTGGTTAAGAAGTTGGGAAAGTTCAGCAGCGCGATAAAGGAGAAAAAAGTCAAGCTGGCCATTGTGGCGAATAAATACGATCAGTTCAGGAAATGATTTCGCATTTTTAAAAATAGAGAAGGATGATCTTAGAATTTCAAGCATTTTTTAGCAAATTCTGATTTATAAAATAAAAAATCATTATGAAAGTTCTTTGAAAAGCGACGTGAAAGCAGCTGTGAACGAGTTTCTAAAAGTTTCTTCGAAGTATCTCAAGGCTTCGTTGATCCAATGCTCGTGCACTCAAGAATCGCAAAAGACCATCCTCCGGCGCTTCTTCCAGAGCGAAGTGTTCCACCTCTCGGCTGTATCTTCCCTCTCGGAGTCGTCGACGGACAATTCGCAGCCGCTGGTTCTTCTTCAGGGAGCACAGAAAGTCCAAGTGACGAGTACTGTCGATTCCGCCGCCATTGAACTCTCCCAAGTCGTCGAGGTAACGTTCCGCGCGCTACAATTCATGTATCGAATGTAATTTAAACAGAGAAGCCGCCAGCGGCTTTGAGTAAAAAAAAATACTAAGCCGAGCGCGGCTGTAACGATTCATTTGAACAAAGCCGCAAGTGGCTTTTTGTCTATCAGTTAGATTTCGTTAAAATAGTAAATAGCATAGAAAGATCTCCTAATCCATCATTTTTCAATTCGGTGTTGAATAATTTGAATTTTCTCCGCTTGAAGAATCAGACGTTGTCATTATTTTGACTGTCTAGCAGAAAGCTCTAGCTGCTAGGGATATTTATGGAGCGCCTTGCTTGATGCCAAATTTAAACTGTTGTTTCTAGCAAGAGAGAATAAAGTCTTCATCGATGAATCAACGCCAGCCGGAGAACATGGACAACTTCGCGGACAGCGAAATCGACGGCGCCGTAAGGCACTTCCACAACCATCGCGAGTACTCCAAACTCGCTCAACTCCAGTTGAGCTAAAAACGAAAGCGTCTTCTTTCGTCGTCATTTTCTTTATGTTCTATTTTTCTACTTCAACAGCTACTTTTCTATGAGAACGACATTTTTATATGTTTTCTAAATACGGTTCGAAAGAGTTTTCTTTAGATTCTTGGCGTAATGGCGGATTTGACTGGACCAAAAGCGAGCTTCATCAAACTTGTCTCTTCTGACGACCATGAATTCATCATCAGAAAGGATGTTGCTCTTACCAGTGGCCATGACCGTGGATAAATACATTTTTCATAACCTTTTTTGTTGAATTACGCGTATTTTTCAACGTCTAAAGAACGATCAAAGCGATGTTGAGCGGCCCCGGCTCGTTTCAGGAAAATGAAACGAACACCATCAAATTTCAGGAAATCCCCTCTCATGTTCTGAATAAAGGTAGCTTATTCTTTCTTCTCCTAATCTATTTACTCGAAGTCTGCCACTATTTCACGTACAAAGCACGGTACACCAATTCTGCCATGGAAATTCCGGAATTCCCGATCGCCCCCGAAGTCGCACTCGAACTCCTCATGGCGGCCAATTTCTTGGACTGCTAGCTTCGTTTCCACCGTTCAAAACAATAACTCAACAACCGCCAGATAAACGTGAATTATTATATTTACCCTTTGTTTTATTTTGTTTTGTATTCTATTTCAAGCAGAGTTCAAAATTAGTTTTTTTCCTTCTCGCTGAACACCTCTTAATCTTCCTCTTACCAAGATTCGATATCTTTTATTCACCTTAAACATGTATTTTTCTGTAATCCTTGCTGACTCGATAGCTTTAGAATGGAATACGAAGGGTTGGAAATACTTTTAAAAAGCAAACATGATCTTGAAGTGGAAACCATCGCTGGGAACTTGACTGCACCAGTCCTAGAAGCCTTTCCGAAAACTGCGAAACTGATCGACTCTCCTTTCAGTGGTCTTCAAATACGACTGAAGCTGCTCGCGGAAATAGCCCAGTCCGCTTCTGAAAGCAAAGACTTGATTGTCTCGGCGGACATGCTCGCATACTCAAAACTGCTACTAGAACAAGCGGTCGTTTTTGCAATTTCTCCGAACTTAAGGTGCGCTTTCATATCCTGCTCAATGATATAGCTTTTAAATTAAGTAAAGGAATTGGAATTCCAGTTGAGAAACGACTGAAGATGCATGAAAAGTCAGTGTTCAAAGTTGATTTTCAGCGAAACAAAGATCCAAGCGCCGAAGTGCTACATATGACATTGGAGAGTATGTACGACATTTTGACATCCAAAACAATGTTTGCTCCGTCCGCAAAACGATTAAGCATAGGATTGGTTTTGACTGTTTAAATATTGTTAATAGTGGTCATCTATTGACAATAGACTATTGTTCGCACTGATCTAAAACCCCCCAAAAAGACATCCTCTGTGCATGCATACAATTGGGCTTTGGACGAAAGAATGATGCGCAAAATGACAACGAGATGTTTGCAACGCGCGAGCAGGGTCTTTCAGCCCGAAGAATGCTGCTGTCTTTTTGTGACAGCACTCCACTCACGCTCGTCTTCCAAGAACTGTGTCTCATCATGATTGCAGAAAAGCAATCCGAAGGAAAGTGGGGCCCTCGGACTTGGTTCAGAGCTGGTTGCAAAAAGATTATTCAGCGATGCATGAAACAGGAAAACGCACTCTCCGCCTTCCTCGATGCTCTCATGGGTCCAGAAAGCGTTCTGATGAAAACTCCCCAGCCGATTTCGTCAATCAAATTGTACGTTTCTTTAGCCGGCCCACTGGATAGCGAAGATAAATTTGAAGAAATGAAAATACTTTTGGAGGGAGCCGACAACCTTGAACCAAATCAAGCACTTTTTCTATCCGTCGTCATCGCTCAGCAGAAGCTTTATAAACTTATTACTTTCGATGAAGACAACGCGTCCTCGAGCATGCGCAGAATAAAGACCGTTCTCCAGTGTCTGCCTAAAGATTCAGACATCGGTGGCTTGGAAGAGGTCCACCAGTTCGCAAAGAAACAGACTAAGGTTATTTATCAATACGCTATCGTCTTGGGGCAGAACTGTATCGAAGGCCAAACTAATTACGACACCGCCTTCGAAGTTCTTCAAATCCTCTCATCCACGGATATCCTCAGCCTCGTTCACTCCAGAGCTGAGTTTTCCTACAATTTCGATTTCACAAGAGTCCCTCCAAAGCCATTCAACGGAGATGTTGAAATCCGGATTTTGGCGGAACTCATCCGCCAAACAAGTCGCAACTGCCGTCTTGATATTCTAGTCGATTTGTTGAAATTTTCCTTTCGTTCAACAGATATGGAGTACAAGGAAGCTTACTGTCTCCTGTTAGGGGCATTTTTGGAAACATCGCCGGAATTCGTTGTTGAGCTGATGAATAACGAAGAGAACATTCCTCAGATTTTAACAGTTTGTGAACTGATCTTTCCGCACGCAGATGATTCTGACCTTCGTCAGTTCATCCTCTCCATCGTGGCCCTCCTTCTTTCAGACTTGGTTGGCTATTCGCTTGCTACGAAGAAGCAGGTCCGTGAGAGAATGGCCCCCATTATCACTCAGCTCATTCACTCCGAGGAGAATGCGGAGGTATTGCGCACCGCGAAAGATATTCTGACGAAAGTCCTTACCTTCGGCCAGACGCAAAATGAAACGAAGAAAAGCCATGAAGACGAGTGGAAATCAACAGGCAAGGAAAATCTATCGCATTCCAAAGACAAGAAAATGACTCTGAGAACTTGGGCAGAATATTTGGACTCGAATGAAATACCGCTTCGTAGTGGAGCGATAAGAGAACTCACATCAGCTCTTCAAAAGAACGCGCTCCCGGATGATCTCTCCGAAAAATTAGAAAAGAACTGCATGCTAGTTTTGCAACTGAAGACGGAGCCGTTTTTATTTCTCTCTGCTGTGGAGGCATTGTGCCAATTCGCTCTCAAGCGAAAAGAAGTCTTTGATCATCTGGTGGATCTTCTCAGAACGCAGGCGTCCAGAAATCCTGAGTTAGCTGTTCAAATCGGAGAGGTACTTTCCCGAACATGCAAAGGACTCGGGGATATGGCTCCTTGTTACGCAACAACCCTTATTCCAGTTCTTTTGTCGATTGCTTCTGCCAAAAATCTCGACAACATGATAATAGCGAGTGCGATTTCTACCGCCAGTGATCTACTGCCTCTTTGTAAATTTCTCCTTCATGACATACAGGTTTCGCGAAACGATTAGAGAGCAATTTTTTGAGAGCTGGTTTTAGTACGAAGTCGGTGCGGCTATTGTTGGCTTCCTTTCGCCAACAGTCGACGAATCCGTTCAAAAGTCCGCTTGCGAAATGGCAAAACAGATATTTACCGCTATCGGGCCTCGATTCTCGACTTTCACGGACGGAATCGTTCTCGAGGTCTATCGAGCGCTAAAGAAGATTGTTAAAGATCCCCTTACGTCAAAATGGCTCTATAACAGCGCTGCTCTGGCGCTGGAGTCCGTCGACCAGGCTGTGAAAGATTACCTGACTCCATCACAGAAAATGGAAAAGAAAATTCAAGTCTTGGATTGACAACCAAGCAATTCCAGTCAAAATGATTCCGCAGCTTACTTTTATGTTTCTTTTAAGATTGTGCCATGTTTTATCGCGTTGAATAGAGAGGCGCACTTGTCGGAATTATGAACTCAGCTCCCCTCAGTATTCGGCGACGCGCATGTGGAATCAACCCGAGGCGCGCTCAGCACCAACTAGAATGCATCGCTGAAGATCATCTAGTTCGAGGCCAGAAGACAATAGAAGCTAAGTTGCCTGATCACACGAAGAGCACTTATGCCATTGCTTTCTCTGCATGTGGCAAATACTGTGCTACTTCTACCGGTAATGGCACACTTTAGTTGTGTCCATAATTTTTCAATTCAAGGGGATCACAATGTTCACGTAATCGAGCGAGCAACGGGGAAGCTAGTGAAAACCCTAACAGGTCATCCTCGGACTTGCTGGTCGGTCGTCTTCCATCCCAAAAATCCAAAGCTCATTGCATCCGCTGATCTCAGTGGAGAGGTGCGCGTCTGGTGCGTCGATACGGGAGAAGGGCCCGTCTGGAGACGCGTTAGAGGCGTCGTGGAAAGAGAAACGAATAGGTAACCATTTCGCATTTTTCGGTTTGCTTGAGTTGCTTCGTAGTAGCGAGTCGCTACTTGATTTTCATCATGCGAATCAAAAAATCATGAATAACTAAAAATACTTTTTAGCGAATTCATTGAAAACATAGAAAACATTCCTCCTCCTGACGAGGAGGAACTGGGGTAAAAAAGTAACAATCATTTATCATACTTGCATGCTTCACTTAATTTAGCTCGGCACACTGCACGCATTTACAAAAAGTGAACTCGTAAAACAATTTGAATCAGCTGTGCCGGGATAAATCGAATTTTAAAAAACGATGAGTTTCAGTAAGAAATGCTAGTCAATCTTTGAGTAAGGGATGATGGACCCATTCTTATTGAAGCTTATCAAATACCCGTATAAAACTATATTTAGGGTATCGGTATGCTTTCATCCACGAGACAATGTGCTAGCTATAGGTATTAGCAATGAATTGCACTTGTGGGATTGGTGGGAAGACTTTAAGCCTTTTGTCTCTCTCAAAACAGGTTCTGACGCAGAAAAATATTATTCTGCCGTTTTTCGCCGGATGGAAAGTATGAGTCCAATATCTTGAACCATGTTCCTACTTTCACCTTTAGACAACTTATCACTGCCATCAGTAGCGCTCCAGAAACTGCCTCTCCCCAGCCCCCAGACCCTTTTCAAGAGATCATAACTCATGCAGATCCGATCGTCTTGACCCGTGAAAATACTCGTGCCCAGTTTTCCGCTATGGGTTCAAAAGCATTTCTTTGTTTTTGATCATCACAAGTATAAAGCTTATATTTGAATCCGTAATAGAAAATACAAGCCAGCAGCCCTCCACGAGCACAAATGTGGACGAGACAAATATGAGACAAACCTCGAGGACGCGTGATACGAGTCCTTTACGAGTGACGTCCCCGCGAAATTCTCGGATTTCGCCATTCCATCGGCGTCATCATCGAACAAATCAAAATCAAAACCCCCTCGGTCAGCAGCCCTTTTCACTGACTGTACCTGGTGCGAATGTTGCTCCTGGCGATTGGGGAGCCAGCGTCCCTCCAGGAATGGATAAATTGTTTTTCAACCGATCTGATTTATGAAAGAAAAATATTTTTTTTATCACTCACTTGAGCTTCAATTACATATGGGCATCTAGAGGACCTTACATCGGACATGCAAGACAGAGGTGACGATTTGTAATCACGAAATCATTTGTCAATGATTTTTAGCCATTCCAGGAACTATTTACCCACTCGGAAACTCAAGAGCGATTCCGTTACTCAGGCCCAATTATGTTACATCAGGCGACGATGGCGTTAGCATCGAGCAACTTATCGGCTCGCGTACTCTTCAAAGGTAGTTCTACCACTTACGAATCCATGTAATTATTTCTAAGGGCGTTTGTAAGGGATTTCGCCATGCACTTACAGTACGATCGCCACCGTCCACGCGAAGAGAAAAAGAAGCTGTGCAGGCTGCAGCTATGGGACTTCGATCCGCAAAATCTACCAGAAATATCACTACCAAATGTTGGTCATCTTCTCTCCCGCGTCAAGCTCAACAACGACTCTTCAGTTTCCATCGCAAAAGATTTCAGGTAGCAGCATACGTATTACAGCAGTCCCTAACTTTTCTTCAAGTCAAATCGCTTGCTTCGTCCAGGAGCAGAGCGGGAGAGAACATCACTACTCATCGATTTTCTCCAAACTGACACTCGTCGTTATCTCTCTGCGCCCGAATAATCTAGGAGACACGCTTTGGTCGAGGAACTTTGGAAACGACGCGTTATGTGTCTCGATAAGGTAAGTGATGAAAAACTATCGGAAATAACCAGTGACTCCAGTCCAATGAATAACTATCTCGCAATCGGAATGAAAGTTCGAAGAATGAGCTTTCCGCCGCGGAATGTCCCGCTGATTGAATTCTATTCTATGAACGACTCCACCCGGGCTGTTTCAACGATGACGGCGGACTTGAGCTCCAACTTTAGTAGCCGAAACCAACAATTCGTCGTTAACACGATTGCGTTCATGCCCACGTATGTGGTTTTAGATATTTAATTTATAAACATATCCTTTAGACCAGGGCAAGGGCTACTCTACGGCACTTCAACTGGAAAACTGTGTCTCGTGGTTCCAGATTCTGCGAAAGAAAACTCGTCCGAAACTGAGGACCCTCTGAGCGAACGAGAACGTCAGGAGCAACGAGCGGAAAGCAGAGATAACCTCCGCGCGCGGCTACGTTCTGCACAACGTCAGGATAGGGTTTTATTTTCATAAGTTCATGTCTATTTAAGAAATAAACGTATAAACATTGACTTGAATCCTTACCAGGCATCAATCCGAAATACGACTTCCTATCTTCGTCTGGGCGAGAACACAGTTTCAGTCACTCCTGCATATTCAAGCACGCGTTCGCGGGCTATTTCCGTTATGAATCGACTTGATACTGCTCGTGGCATTCTTCGACGCACAACGCAAGATCCACTTTTGTCAAGTGGTTCTATAACCGAGTACAGGCCTGTCACAGTTCAGTTGCAGTCTGGTCAAAACGTACGTATCACGGTCTTGGAAACTTTGATAGTACTTTCCTTGGTAAAAAAATATTTCTCAGGGTGAGATCGGAATTATAAGACGAGATGTTTCGCCAACATTACTTAATCCTCCGAGTCGGTCTTCATCGGAACGAAACGCCATTTTGAACCGGAATGCTCCTGCGCAATTTAGCTCTCCTTTGTCTCAACGTCGTCGAACTCGGCGAAGGTCAGCAGCGTCTTCCAGATCATCAAGCGCACCTCAACGATCGAGAAGACGCGCGGATGTCCCTACTAATATCGCAGATTATTCTGCATACATCGAACAGATAAGGCTTGAAAGCGTGGCAAGGGTAGCTGCGGCGAGACAGGAAGCGAGGTTAGCCGCTGAGGCCAGGCGCGATGCCAGTACGAACACCGATTCGAGTTCAGCAGAACCCTCCAGGACTTCAAGAGCATCTACTTCAACCTCCTCCCAGCAACCTACTCGATCATCTGCTCGACTGAGAGAACGACGAACATCACCTACTACTCAAGCTCAAACCAGGCGGCAGCTGATGGAGAATTTACGTAGAAATGCGGAAAGTTCTGGCACTCAGCAATTGGATATCCAGGCCTTACAGCGAGACTTGATAGAACAACGTGCTCAACTTGCGAGGCAGCATGCGATCCTAGTAGAACATCAGCGCATGAACAGTCGCCTTAGGAGACGAGTCGTCCATCAAGAGCGGTTAGATGAGTTGATGGTACGTTCCGTTTTACTTTTATTTAAAATGATTGAAATCTTAGAGAATCACTGATGACGCGAGGAACAGTCTTACTTCGCTAGAGCCTGTTCCCTTATTCGCGGAAGATGTAGGATTTAACGTTCACCCAGCACATTCTCCACCTACAACGTTGACGCCGCAAACGATCGCTCCATTTCCAAGAGAAGAGAATTCGGGACCGGCTCCTCCTGCAACTATCGCCCAGTCGACCGATCAGGCGGCTGGAGCGCATATTATCGATCCCAATGTTCACATGCGACTTCTGGAAATTGAAAACGCTTTGAACAATCCAACTTCTTCATCGCCCACGAATCCGTCAGAACCTCCACACAGCGACCGTTAGTTTTTCAACAAAGGTGCCGCCACTCCCAGCTTGCTGTGTAAAAATTCCTTGCCAAGTATTTTCCCATCTTAAAACAACTTTCAACTTATTCAAAAATAAAATTCAACTATTCCTGTACTCTCGAACGGATAAAAATGAAAATGCATTTTCAGCTGAAGAAAATCAATTATTTTTTGATCTCTTAATTACCTCCTTTATTATTTTAGAACGATAGCTAGAATGGACGCCGGCAATAACAAAAAGTTTTACACTCATTCGAAAATCGAAGATTGGCGGAAGAATATTCATAGAGGGCAGAATATACCAAATGATGACGAACCTTCAATCTCTGCCACTAATAATAGCAACACTATCAGTAGTGAGATGATGGATCTCTATGAATCGTAAGTAAATTTGGAATATTTATGAGAACCCTTTAAATCCATTTTTAGAATGGACTCAGTTTCTGTCATCGAGTCCTCTGCCGACAGAGCAACAAAGAGGATGCAACAGGCGTTAATAGTATGGTTCATCAGTAGAAATATCTTATAAACCTTTACTTAGGCACACTGCGAACGAGAGAGGTCCTTAGACAATTTCCGAAGGTCAAGAAGATCTGGTTCGCTCCTGAAGGAATGTTAAATTTTCTAAATATGTATCTTTGATCAAGAAAATATAAGAGTTAATAGAAATTTTAATCGAGACAAGGATTTGATAAATTTAATTGCCTCCCACCATCCCTACGGGTTCGAGGAAAAAAACTTGGAGGACATAATGATGGCATCAGAGGAAATAAGAAGAATGGCAAAGAAAATCATCGCAACGTTCGATGTCGACGAAAACAAGCCTCCAAATGGCGAGTACATCCTCTGGAATCTTAACGGCCTCATCGAAATAATAAAGACATGCTGCGTCTACTCCGTGTCAAGAAAATCATCCACCGTTGGTTTTCAACCGAGGAAATTTGATCGAAAAATTTCTACATCGATTGCCGATCGCATGATCTACCAAGAAGACAACTTCATGAATGCCAACGAGGAAATAGTCTTTACAGCAGACTGCTATTTCCATCGCCTTTGTCTGATCCTCAATGATGCTCGAATCATATATGGATCTCAAAAGCCAACAATCAACAGACTCGCTCAGACACTACGAGCGGACCGTGTGGCATCAAGTCTTCTCGTCAAATTGTTCTCTCTCTTGGATGGATCGGAAGAATTACGAAGGGAAAATAAGCAAACAAGAGTTCATCAGGGGTACGATGCGTTTACTGTTCTCAGGTGGGCTCTTTCAAAAACATTTCTCTTTAGCAGACGAAATTTAGACTGCCCTATCAATATCCGGAGTCGATCGCTGAAGGCCACGAAGAGATGCTTTTGTACTTGGTAACAAGTCCGTATGCTTCCCATTTGAAAGAAATGGCCGCATATAAAGATCGCTCTGCTCAAAACATTGAAGAGATAGCCATCGTCGCGTAAGTAAAAGAAAATGGACTTTTTTATCCTTGATTCAGACCCGGTCTGGCGTCAACACCGCAATTTATTTGGGAAAAAATAACGAACGAAACTGGTCCGTCTCTTGAAAATTTTGAATTGGAAACTATCGCGACTGATCAAGACCAGAAATTGTGGCGAGAAGAAAAATGGAAAATATTCGAAGAGGCGAAGTATCGCGATGAAGATGGCAAAACTTTTTTTGCTAAACGCTCAGTCGGGGTTCCTTGTCAGCTGTCGAAAAATGGCTGTAAAAATACGGAGGAGCACCGACGACGAATACTATTTGATGGAATCGGAAATGACTAAAAAGCTACAGAAGTTCGCTGACGAGCGACGAAAAGAAATCGGAGGAATGAATTCTAGTCGACCGACTGTATCACTACCGCCGCCATACGCTGTTCGAGGAAGAGAACAACATCTCAAGCCCAATATGTTGCTGCTTAAATGTACTGAAGGTATCGAGGCGGTCGACCGAGTAATCATTCAACACGGAAAGTGGTTTGACCTCAACCATAGATCATACTTTGAAAGAAGGCGATTCTTTTTCGAATCCGCGCCCGGGCTAAAACCTACTCGCCATCAGAAGTTGATGAATAATGACGATTACCGGCTTTGGTGTTACTATGTAGATTATGGTTATCACGAGGAGGTAGATGTCGGAGATTTGTATTTTCCACCTAAATTCGCCTTTCAGGTCAGTCAGCTAAGACTCCATCATTTTGATTGTTCTTTCAGTGCCCAGCGACCGCCCTACCGATTCTCATGGCTGATATTGAAATCAAAGACGATCAAGAACTAGCGATGGCGAGCAAGTTTTGTAGCGACATAAACTGGAGCGTCTGTCATAGATATTCGTATCTATTGGGCTTTGTAACAGATAATAGAAGTGATCCTGATGAATATCCGGTGTTCCACATTAAACTTTTAAAGGAAACACTCGTCGACGAAGAAGGCAATGATTCCGTTCCGATCGTAAGAATTATACTTGTTTTTTTTCATTTAACTTTCTTATTTAGGGACTTTTTTCACGGTTAGATGCCGTTAGAGGGGGAATGAATGGATGCGAGCCTTACTTTGCGGAGGACTACACCAACTATAGGATAGCGTCTTTTTCGAAGAAATATGACTACACTTGTCATCCAAGACAAAGACGCTGAAGAACATACACATCAATTTATACTAAAATCCTGCTAAATTTGAGTTATACAAAATGTCTTCAATTGAATTCCGTTTCAAGTTCTTACTTTCTATGTAGCTATAAAACAAACATATTTATAACTGTCATAATACTGCCCACCACTCAATGAACAGTTTTGACTCAGTTTCTTCAAAGCCTTCACTGTGAAGGCTTCACAAATAAACAAAAAGATCTCAATCATTTGGTGATAAGTAAAAAGAACGCTTATCAAAGTTGTAAACATCAAGTGTATTTATTAATTATTGCAGGGCCTTGAATTTCATAGAAAATGCATGCAAATATGTAATGAACAGTCGCGTCGATGCTATGTGTTATCAGTGAAGTCAGCGTCAGTGTCATTTGGAATCTCACTTACATGCTGAGTATGAGGCGTAATAGAGACGTCGGAATCGACTGAAGAACTTTTGCTCCACTGGAGAGACGACGCGACTTCTGATTGTTTGAGTCTCATCAGGTCAGTTCTTGGGATCGGTTACGTGATTTTATACATTGAAATTAAGTACCTATCGAATGAGTTAAGTTGTTGTGGTATTTCGAAGGAGGGTGCCGACCAGCTCTGTGGAAATATGTTCGTATCTAAAATAAATATGCTCCAGGATAGCCAATATGCGTTCATTTGTCATTAGCTTAAGTTAAGACCAAAGGCGGCATATTACTTATTATCATTACTGTCGATTAATTATTAAATTCACAGAAGTACTCACAATGTGAGGAAAAATTGATTTTCGGCCAGTTGAAGTTCTGCGGGGGGTACATCTGTGGCGCATGCCCATCACTACTCGATGGAAAGAATCCTGAGTTGAAGGGCGACCTTAAAAAATGATGACATTAGCTCGAAGACAAGAATTTTTAAACTTACGGATGACCCAAGGAGAACGGCGGAAATGGCATTCCATGATGCCCTAATCTTTTGCGGCGATTCCCTCTAGGTCGCCTTAAAATTATAAAAATTTAAATAAAGCTACTAAAAGTTTTAAGACCTGTCTCGAGCTCGACGATTTTGAAACCATACTTGAATCTTGTTTTCTGCAATATTGAGGCATTTTGCAAGACGAGCTTTGTCGTCCCGAGATGGATACTAGTCGTTGATCAGCAATTCTGAACTTTCGAGCGTTACCTGTTGATCTTTGTAGACATTTTCAAGCTCGTTTCGTTGCTCTGGCGTGAAGTAAACCCTTTTCTTTGCTCCTAATTCCAGAGCGCGTTTTCCACTCTCTGCGACGGCCTAAATCGAATCTTATCAATGTCAAATTTGTCGAAGAGCTACTTCGGAAAGTTTTCTGTAACAAGTTTGTTGTGAGCTTTCTGATGCTGTGGTTGTCAGAGCAGGCTTTGGCTCCTCGTAGAATATTTTATTGCTAACGCAATTTGTTTGATAATTGCTCTAAATTAAGGTTAATGATTAAGCTGGAGATGGTCCGGGCGTTTACCTGATAATGGGTACTTGAAGTGACATCCTTCTGAATAGCACTCGCCATATTTTTGATAGTTATCAAAATAGGTGACAGTCTCTTATGTGTTTGATCTTTATAAAAGTATATTCCATCACCAATATAAAATACATAGGTGGCGCAAAAGTGAGCAAGAGACAGCGCGCCTCTCGCTATGGCCCAATCTTTTTGCAAATCGACAATTTTACGCGCATGGGATGCGAACAACGACGATTGTTTTGCTTGCTTGAATAGCGGAGTGCAGTGTGAATTATATCTTTTAGGTACTTTCATAAAAAAGATTCTCTGAACGAAAATGCCCTGATAGTTTGTTCTTGCTCCCTGGTATCGATAAACTAAACATGTTTGAAATTAATTAGATGTTATTTGCATGTTTTAATCACTCGAGCGCGTTCCTCCGGCATCAGCAGGAAGCGATGCAGCATTGCTTGTTTCCCATCGATTTTTGTCTAGCCGACGGAGCCAAATCAGCGGAATCTGAAGTTGCGTGTTATCATTCTCGACTCCTTTGATAAGGTCGCTGTAGTGCGTTCCCATTATCCCCGAGGCTGAGAAGCTCAATCAGCGCACATGCAAAAATGCGTCGAATGCATCGTCATTTTATTTTCCTGCGGATCAATCTAATTATTAGACAATGAACAAGTCTCCCGTGAGATCTGTCGGCGCAAGAACAAACGGAAAGACCATCTCATGCGTTTCAAGCTGATTCTGTAAACACATCAAAAATACAAAAAAAAATCCAGTGATATATTTTTGTATTCTAGCAACGAGCCGGTCAGTGGTAAAACTTCACAATGCCAGTTTTACAGGTGATGGTTTAATGTCGGCAGGAAGGGGAAGTGTGGGTTTCTGGTCGACCGCAGGTGCCTTCAAAAATTTACTTATCAAGTACATTGAAGATTGGCACTTACTTTTCTATTAGATAAATAATCTTGCATACGGAGCTCTTCGATCGAAAATTGCTTAGCATGGTCCATTGCGGAATAACTGACAAAGGCAACGTTCTCCGAACCCGCACCCGGATTGGTTTCAGTTGCCATTGTTGGCTGATTCACGAGTTAATAAATTTTGTTTTAATTTGTTAATAATTACCTGAAATTTTTGAGACGTTCCGTCGATGGCATTCGATACAAAAGTAAACCACTTAGGTTTGTCCGTTTCAGGAAACGAAAGAACGCTCTTTTCGGTAAAGAAACCGTCTTAAAATTTTCATTTTAGTTCCAAAAATTGTTATATTTCAAACGAACCTAGTTCCTCCTTCATCAAGCTAAACGCAGTTTTTGTCCAATCCAGATGGATCAGCATAAGCTGAAGACGTCTTTTCGAAGTTCCAAGGGATTTTTCGAAAACATCGCGTCTATCGATGACTTCTCCGATTTCAAGATTTAACTGTCCCAGGTCAGGCACAGGACAGTGTCCCTCATTTGAAAAAAGAAAGTTGGGTCTACCCAACCAGATTCCTTCTGCCCAGACTACTTACAGGGATACAAATTTGTTAATATTGGATTCATGTGGTATTTTTTATAAGAATTATTATTTCATTCTTAAAATTCGCGTTCCGAGTCCTTTTGGGTATTTCCGCTCGATAACGGCATCTTGTCCGAGGATAAGAATCTTCTTTTTGAATTGGTCTATCATTGCTTCTTTTCCTTCGATTTCATGTTTCTCAGAAGCTATATCCTTCTCCAGCCCTTCCATTTTCTTTTTTAGTCTCTGTTCAAAATGGATTAATGAAAGCTACAAACTTATACATTACCTTCAGCTCCTCAAAATTCATGTTCGCTCTAGCCATCTTGCCCGCGATGTCGTCAAAGCTGATAGAGTCTTTTCCCTGAGCAGTTGTCTTTGACATTTTTTTTCAAATTTGAAAGCTGCGTCGTTCTCGGAGAGAGTTTTGCCAAAGGTTTCGCGCCGATTGATTCATAGATTTGGGTTTCGATAACTGATTTTTGTAATTCGCCAATGATGAATCATCTTTTACATCGATGATTTTCGCTTTGTGCACAAATCTATCATCTTGTAAATTTATGCCCATAATTAAGAAATAAACAGTTTGCTGATAGGAGATGAGTAGCATAAATCTACATAGAACAATGATATCCCGGCACTGACGTCCCAGAACAAACTAGACTGTCTGGTTGTTTGTTGGGCACTTGATTTGCAAATAAGCAAAAAGTTCCCATTGGCGATTAAGTTCGGCAGCAAATAATCCAGCTCGGCATTTTTTGCGACGTACCAAAGCGCAGGTCACTTTCAAGAGAGTCGCCTCCCGCAAATGAGAGTCCTACAAAGCTTCGCCTTTCTGGCGACAGTCCTGGCACAATCGTTCGAGCGAGGGCCGCGCCCCAGCCCGGTTTCGGACACGTGTCTAGGCATTCCAGTCAACGCTCAATGTGACTGTCTTAATCAGTAAGTGCTTCCTCTTCCGCACAGGCAGCGACGTTCTTTTTTAGAAACCCGCTCGATTGCGATCATTGCGTCGCCATCGTCGTCCATCTCGGCTGCGACATTCAGGGCGAACTCAAAATCATCAAAGAACAGGTCAAGGGTATTCTCGATCAGCTTCGAGACCGCGATCTCTTCCCCGGAGTCATCCAGCTATCAATGGTCTACTTCGGTCACGAACTTAGACAACAGGTCAGTTATTTCGGCGACTGCTTATCTACGAAGCAATTAGATTCCAGTTACCTTCGATGATGCTCTCCAGGAGCTCGACATGATTGTTGACGATCTCAAGAATGTTGTCGATCAGATTTCTCCCATGCCAAAAGGAAAGGCTCAACAAAATAAGCATAATCCTTCTCATTAAACAATCGACGCAAAGCAACATTTTTCGAGTCTTGAACAAGCTAATATCACTGCTGCCATGGAATCTACTTTCACCCTGTTTGACCAGTGGACGACGAGTATGGGCCGCCCTAGATGCAAATCGAAAACAATCTTCTTGATCACCAACGGCCACATCATTTGTGGGCCATGCGTCTGTCGAGGATTCGAGATGTGCAAAGATTACAACGAAAGCGAGGAACAATGCTGGGAAGAGACTAATCGCCAAGTAAATATGTATTTTAGACTCACTTTTCATACTTTTGCTTAGTATCAAAGGAAGATCGAGGAACTAAAGCGAAAGTACCAAGATGTCAATGTCGTCGTTGCGACTCCGAATGAAAAACCCTGTGGAAGGCCTTTCGGAAGTGATCTTCAATTGGCTAATGAACGGTACTTATCATCATAAAACTCTTTAATTCAAAGTTCGTGAACAAGGTTCTCCGAAGATTGTTTCAACGAAGATAATGTCATTGGCTTGAGCAAGTGGCGACGCAGCTGTTATGACAGAGCGCTTAATAACAGAGCCGCTGACTGTCCTCCAGAAGTAATTTCGTCTCCACGATCCGTAAGCTGGCATAAAACTAGCAGCTCATTCGTCGATTTTGTCGCGCAAACTTCTCGAACTGGTTGTTCTGTCGATGATCTCTCACATGGTAGGATATGTTTTAGATAATTAAACTTATTGTGATTTTAGAATGTGAATGTGACATCGAAGTGCGAGTTCGCGCGGGCACTCCGACATTTGAAGATGGTTGCTGCGGACCACGCGGTGGACCAGGTCTACCAGGTCTCCGCGGTCCCAATGGCCCAAAAGGACCTAACGGGTCTCCTGGTGGAGAGGGTATTCAAGGCGATTGCGGTCCACCTGGACCAAAAGGAAGTGTTGGACTACCAGGACCTGACGGTAAGTTTTGGCAAGCAAATATACTCAGAACAAATTGATTAGGATCAAACGGACCACGCGGTGCTGCTGGAACTCCCGGTCAACCTGGCCAACCTGGCGGAGCTGGTCTTCCAGGCCAACGAGGAAAAGATGGACTTCGAGGAAACAACGGACTTCCTGGTCAGCCTGGCCTTCCGGGCGCCGCTGGACTCCCAGGTTTACCTGGAAACCAAGGACCAAGAGGTTTCCCTGGACCAGATGGACCTGACGGACCACAAGGTAGCGCTGGTTCCGCTGGAACTGGTATCGACAGCGTCAGATACTACGAAGGTAATAGACATTTCTAACTTTAGATTAAATTTTTTTAGCGTATGTTCGAAAGTTGAGACAAACCGTTATCCGTAGTCTGCAGCGAGATGGTCAAAACTCAGTTTTCTTCAAGCAGCTTCGCAATATTCTCCAAGAAGAGGTAAAAGAGTATAAATACTTAATTCAAATCACGTAACAAATATTCAGAAGAACCGTGTTTGCAAGTGCGGATGTGATTTTGATACCGACAACTACGGCACATGCAAGGCTAACTTCAGCCCACGATACAACCCAGTAGTTTCTCCACGATACAGCACCTGCGAAGTCCAGAGACCTCCTTTCATCGGATATCCAGAGACCAGCTATCCCCCTGTGAATCAGGAAGGGAAAGGATTCTTGAGAATCAATAAGAATCTCGAGGACAGAATGGTTCGTACTAAGCATTAAAAAATCTCGCTAATGAGAATTATAGATGGTTGTGGACAACAATGAAACCAACGGTGTAAACGTCCGGTCAATGCCTCCCGTGATGGGTCACAGCGCAGGTCCGAAAGTTATTCGACGACGTCGCAAGGACCATTAAATTTGACCAAATCCCTCAACGCTTTTATTTCTCCTGACTGTTTATGCTCACGTGAAAGCTGTGAGTTATCACTTTATTACAACTCTTAAATAAAGACGATAACATTAACAAAAATCATCATCGTCTGATTGACTGCAGAAGTGGACGTCAATCCTTGTCGGATCCATGTGACACTGCTCGCGTAAGCCAAAGCTCTTATCGAAATTCCTCCTTGATTTCAACAGTTTTATACGGAATATTAGCCATAAAAAAGAACATAAATTTGCAGAAAAGTTCCCTCAAAACATTTCTTTCCGTCGCTGCTAACGGATTAAAATAAATATTTCTGCACCGCTATGTTGATATCATGCTATCGAAGCATGAATCGTGCGGTCTTTTGGTATCTCCGCGGAAAGCTTGCGCTAAATTGGTACTGGTGGCGCCAACGAGCGAAATCGTGCACGTTCTGAGCGATGATAACGCGTCACTTTGAGCTAGAATTTTCCTTGGAGGCAAAATTGCACTGCTCGAAAATTACAGTCTAGTTAATGCTTGGCAACTTTAATAAAGCAAACCGAGACAGAGATTAACGAAGATTACGTCCAGAGAGATCAATCGAACAGGAAGAATGAAAATTGCTGCCCTTTTCGTTTGTCTTGGTGAAATCTTGGCAAGTCAAGGTGTGTTATTATCATCATTTTAGAAATCTAAACTCATTAAGGGGCGGGTCGACGAGAATCGGAATTTTTAAACCAATTTTCCCGAAAAACGCGATTCTGTAAACATATTTTGACTTATCAGGTGAGAACAGAAGGGTATTTAGAAGACAGCGGCAACGAGTTTCACGAGTTTTTGCAGGAATTTCGTGCACTTCATTACCAAATGTGGCATAAAAAATAGCGAAAAAATCGCAAAATTGCCAAAATTGCGATTTGGGGTCCACTTTGAGACACGATTACGCCCATTTTTTCTGGACAAATTTTTTTCTAGTTTTCGCCGCTGTATTCTTCAAACCCTTTTCTACTCACCTGACCAATCAGAATTTTTCATTCAAAGCTAGTTTTTCCGGAATTTTGGTTGAAAAAATCCCGATTCTCGTCGACCTCCCCCTTAAATTCGAATCTGTCATGCAAATTTAAGCTTTATTCTTTTACTTATGATTTTAACAAGTTATTTTACATCTGATAAAAACAAAAACCGAGTAAACACTTTATGGGCTAATATACTTCAAATGAAACTTTGATTATTTACCCTAAAGTAATGGATGCGAAAATATTTTCCCTGGGAGGTGTACTCATAGTTTAGTATTTGTATTCGCTTGAAACAATACGCGGAACAAATGGGACTTTTTAGACACCAGCCCCCATTGGACCACCGTTAACGTTATCACTAAGTGGCAAGCTCAAGACTTTATCATTTTTTCCGAATGACATTTTGCGAAAAAATCAAATTCTAAAATAGAGCTTTTCTCATTTTTAGTTTTAAACTAAAAGACTAATAGTCTCATTACAAATTTTACTTCCACAAGGATCAATTCCGAATCTAGGACTACAGACTTGTTTATTATGAAGTGTAGTCACTTTTAACCTGGTCACTCCTCACGAATCCCAGACATGCGAGCTCGGTTCACGTTAATTTCAAGGTTGAAATGTTTAGTAACCGTAATTTGACCAACGAATTTTGCGCGATCCCGTCAGCCATAATAAATTGAGTTTACATGATAGCACTGAATAAAATAATTAATATCTGGCCGTGCATGATTTTGAGTGGACCAACTCGAAAATAGCTTATCCTCTAAACTTACAACGAAATATACCGAATATAAAATTTTCTTAAATATCCATCATTGAAAAGCGAACGTTCCCGCTGTCAAAAGTCGTTGAAAATCTCCTTCTCTCACTGGTTCCCATTTTGCGGCTAAATCAATTAAGCGGCTATTTAACGCAAGAATTGGTCCACAACTTGACATTTACCGCCCTCGATAAGATTTAAATTTCATTTCTTTGAGAATCAATTATGTTCATTGCTTTTTAGCACACATTTTTCCCATGCTGATAAATTATTTTAGTTCACCAAGGAAAAATATGTGGAGAGCAAACAAACTTTGCGTAAGTCTTTATGTCCAAATTAGCAGATGTGTTCTAATCTCGGTTTAGCTTGGGTGGCCAAAGCCAAATACTAAAGAGTCCGTTCTATCCGACACCTTTCCCTGGACAGATCCAATGTGTGTGGAACATAAAAGCGCTCAATCCTTCAATGAGAGTGAAGATCGAGTTTCAAGACTGGATTATCCCGACCTCAGGAAAGGGGTGCGACCAGACTTATCTCCAAGTCACGGATGGCGGTTCGGGAGTGGACCCGGCCACCGGCATGGCCGCAGCCACTGGCTTCGTCAAATTATGCGGACGAAACCCAGGTACAATTTCTACCGCAATAACATATTTAAACAATCTCAGGCTTTATCGTCACGCACAATAACGAGGTCTCTCTGCTTTTACATGGGGACAGTAGCGGAGGTGCAGGCCCTTCGGCGCTTTCATTGCCGCCTGTTCAGAGATTCAGGTAATCGAAAGAATCTCTAGTATGCTGTTGAAATACCGACTTTGTAGGTTGGTAATTTCAACGACCCAGGATCGTCCCAGAATGCTGGACTACAAAGGTCATTCCGTCACAAATGGCCGTCCTAAGTCACTGGATGCTCCGGCGCCGGCTCGTGCAACTGCGCCGCCGCGAATGATGATGCCAAGAACAAATTTAGCTCCTAGACCAAGAATGCCTCCTTACGGACATCCTGCTCAGATTCCCAGCCATCCAGGTGCTCATCCTCCTAGACTTCACGCCGAGTTTCAAGGAGCAATTCATGGAGGCTCTTCAAATGCCTGGTAATTTTCTACACACGAGAGCACTAATTTAAGCCAAATTCAGGCCAACACAAGCTACTGTCACAACTTCTCAAATTGACAACGACTCCAAGTCGAGCAAAAAAGTCGCAACGCAAGTGGGTAACGTAGGAATCATTCTGCTTGTTCTTGCAGTTTTACTCTTTGCCGTCCTGGGAATCGTCTACTTCCGCAAAAAGCGCACAAAAGACGAAGAAAAGGAAGAAGAAAAACCTGAGCAAAAATAGACTTCATTCTCAATTAGACCCTTGTGTATTTTCGCATTATCTGTACAGCTTTCTGATATTAAAGTCGAAAACGAAGAAGGATAAGTCCATTTAAAGCAAACATGGCCGTGACCGGAGTGCTTCCTGTCAGAATTTGACAGTTGCCCCTGTCAAGTTATTAGCGTTGTGGAGGGAGAACGGAAGTGTGTTCCCACATTGCATGAGCTGACCTACAAAATCTGATACCGCGGATTAAATGAGATGTCGGGTATTACTAGAGAGCCCTGATTTCCAAAGATTATTTAATCTAATAGATTTGCCAATAAAATAAATTCACAAGAAAATACAAAGAATTGAGGTAGAATAGAATGATATTTTCGAAGCAAAAGAATTTTAAACAGTTGAATGAAGGAGAAACTAAACGATGTCGATTTGGAAGTCAGAATCGTAACCTGCCGCGTCTTTAGTGTCGAGACCTTCGATAAGATTTCTCAGCAAGTTTATTTCGCGTCGACTGAATTATATTTGTAACTATTTGATGGACTTTTATGACTAGAACCTGTTATCTAACAACGCTCTTGGATCGTCCGACACTGGGCGAAATAGGTTCGGTGCCATCACCATTGCCAGATTTGACGAGTCCATTCTTGTCTTCAGCGCGATCTGATAAATAGTCAACTGAGCATTGTCTTTGAATGGAGAAATTACCTCTGGCTTGGTAAATGTCTGTAAGAATCGGATGAGATGCAATAGCGTTGCTTGATTTTCAGCCGGAAGTTTCGCAACGATCGCTATTGAAGATTCCATGTCTTCAGAGCAATCAAGTATTTCCTCCGTAATGGAAAGCGGGAAAATGGGTTCTGAGAGCTCGCGAAACCACAGTTTCAGCAAAGAACAGGCAACATGGCAATCAACAGAAGAGGTATCGACGATTTCGTAATCTTCGACCTTAACTAGCCATTAGACCCTGAAATTATCGATCAAGTTTACCTGAGTTTTAAGAGCATGAACTTTATCAATCTCTCCGGGCAACCGAAAAATCCCTTCAGTAGTAAATCCACCAAGGCGGATAATTTCTTTGGTAAGTTCTTTTTGAATCCAAGGAATCTCCAACTCAGGAAACTTTTCTTTTTGAATAACAAGCAGCTTCTGAAGACTGATTCCGAACATGCTTTCATGGTAAAGATGACGCTAGAATTGATATTACTCATCAGAATGGAGATCAGTCGTTTTTTACTTTTGCTTGAAGAATTTCGCTCATGCTTGGCTCCACTAATCCTCGTCGATTTCCCTTTGTTAAAATCTTCTCTAAGTGACTTCTGCAAATTTTCTCCAGCTGAGTTTCGCCAATTGCATTTGCGGCTGTTGCAGCGACTTCGTCCAGCCATTCGAGAATCACGTCCGACAACGTCAAAGAAGGAGCAGTAAAGAACAGAAGAATTGCTACAAGCTCAAGTCCCCTTTGAAGAGATTCCTTTACTTCTGGATTTCCTCGAGACTGAATTTTTAGAAATAACAATGAAATCAAGGAAGAGTACGTACTTGCTTGATTATGATCGCATAGATTTCATTCGCTAGATCACTTTGATTCCATCCGTAGACAACGAGTTTTTTCAAGTCGTCATTATTTTCAGATTTCAGATAATTGTTGACTGATTTGAAGCATTCGTTGAATTCTTTTTGAACCAATTTGCTCGGGCTGATTGTCAATGGTCGCTTCAGAGCTTTTTTCTGGTGAATAAGAAGTTCACCTCATCAGGCTATTCTCATTTTCTGTTAAAGATAAAATTAAAGTCATAAATGACAAAAAAGTTTTAGTAGCCTTCCCTACGGTTATTGGTTTCTTCATGAAGCCCTTGTTCAACTGGAAAGCTGGTGACGAGGCTTGCCCAAAACTTTCCATCAGTGATTTGCGCTCAAGGCGACGAGCTGAGTTCGGGCACTTTGCTGATCCCGCTCTTTGCAGTTTGTTCTCTGGCGTCTTCGTCAACGTTTCGTTTGCACTTGATTTCGACGATCCATTCGATTTCGAGGAAAGCTGGCGCACTCTCATGGCAGTTCCAGGTGATTCCGCAATTTCCGCTGCTTGATGAGTCTTTTTCTCTTTCAAAGAGTTTTTCAACAGTTTAAATTTACTCTGCGGTTTTTTCAATTTCCTATCAAGAATATTTGAAAACTCTGGCTAGTATGGGAGTAGAAAAGGCCGATTGTGCTTTCCTGGAGAGTGTCGGCGGCGTTCGGGGACGCTCAGCTCCGACCCCGGGCACTCGAGTCTCGGGCATCTCTTGCTGAATGCATCTTGACGCATCTGGCACGCAGGACTTGTGGTAGAAAATAAAGATAAGAGAACCCACGCTCGGTTACCTGCGAGCGCTGATGCAACGGCTCCTTGAACTTTAATTTTGCGTTTGTTTCTCTAATTGGAACAATGACGTTTGATCGCGAGTGTTGATGGCCGGAGAAGGACTTTGGCTGAAAGGTCGAAAATTTGGGAGGAATGGTCTCTTCTTGAATTGCTTCGATCAAATCTTCTCGCGAGCTCATTGAATGTCCAGCGCTCGAAGGAAGACGAGCTTTCATCTTTTCTTCTTCTTCTTTTTGCTGGAACCGAGCAAGAGGGATTATATCCGCATCTATAGGACGATGCCAAACAGTCATGGACTTGACAGTGTTGTAGTAGTAAAAGCGCCTGTTTCAAAGTGTTTAATGCATAAAAATAAAGAAGAAAATACCCGGATGCATGATCAAATAGCTCCCACCACTGATTCATCGAAAACGGTTTAACTGGGACACCAACAGGAGCAATCCACTGGCATTCTCCACTTCCCAGATCGGCGAACATTCTCTCCCCTCGCTCATAAATCTCTACCCACATGATGGACGCACTTCTTCTTTCTCAGCGTAAATCCTCTTCGAACATTTCTTTATTTTTTCTCTAAAATCAAGGGGGTGAACTTTCGAATGAAACTCGGGCGAAATAATAGTTCCATAGAACTGGTTAGAAAAAAAAAGGGAGAAAATGAGAATCAGCGAAGCGCGTCGAGAGCAAATTCTTCAATTATGCAAAGAGGGCGGGACGATTTTGAAATCAATGTACACCTGCCCGTTCGACACGGGATGATAACCTTCATTATAAATTCACATAATTGTACTGCTATTAAAATCGTCAACGAAAAAAATACGTTTTGAGACTGAAAAGTCTTACTGTAAGACTTCCACTCGTCTCGTTTGTGGCTTGGTCTCTCTGGAAAGGAATTTATTTTTTATCTTCTTTATTCTCTTTTTGATCTAATTTAGGCTGATTTTTGAAAAAAAATGTGGTATTGACGGAAGCATACGCTTTCGCCAAAAAAAAGCGGTAATCGATGCCACTTTTGTCTTATGGCGAAATCGAAAAGATTTATCGCTCGAAGGCTTCCCGCTCGAACCAATTCGGGTCACCCCTTGAAATACTATTTTTCAAATTTGGGTTAATTAAATTCAGTTGGCGAGCTTCTGTTGGTTGATTATACTTACAAGTTTTGTGCTCTTTGAGTCTCGTGATAAACGTCATCGGTGAAACTGAGCAAGTCTCAGGTCATTTCCTCTGCTGTCTGACGCGGACTGAACCTTTTACTAAGAAACATACGAAACGAGAGGGGAAATCGCGCGGATTAACCTTCTCCGACAGCCCCACTACTCATAAAACATTACAAACATTTCCTGTCTAACCTGAACAAACTCTTATGCAACCTGATCTTGCTTGACTGCTCGAACATAACCCCGTGATAATTTCCACGGAATATTAAAAAATTCTAGCTTTAAGGACCCCCGTCAGCTTTTTCCTTCGAAAAATGGAAATTTTTAAAAACACCATGTTTTTGGTTCTTAATGCGTCTTCAAGTTAAACTTGCTTCAAAAACTTGATAAGAGGAATTTTTGACCAAGAAAAATCAAATATTTTTGCCAAAATCAGGGCAAATTCGTCAATTATCGGCGAAAAGTCCAATTTTCAAATGCTATTTTGGGGGGTGAAGGAGTCGAGATAGACCCCCAAAAATGAAGCCTCAAAATGGTTTTTGGCCTGTAGAATCCATTTCCGGGGTCAAAATTTAAAAATTCCGAAATTTGATTTTTCGAAAAGGGGGGGGGGTCCTTTATACAAAAATATAGACTCCATCTCTATGAAATAAAATTCTGGTAAATCATTACTCTTTACAGAATGAGTTGCTTCTAAAAGGCTACATTTCTATAACATATAAGTATTAAGTATGTTCACATGGCAATTTAAACTCCTTATCAATACATAAATGCTTGTTGGACAACTTTCTAGGACTAATTTTGCGGGAACAAGGCAATTTGAAAGTTAAACTTTGAAAACACTTTTTGATCGGCTTTATTTTACAATTTTGGCTATTTTATTGGAAAAAAAATAAAATTGTTGAAGATTCATTTCTGGCAGGGTCACAGTGAAATAATGACATTGGTACAGTTATAATGGCAACTCATACTTTTGGTTAAATAGAATAAGGCTATAATTCACTTATTTATATAAATATTTATATAATTAGTCGCGCAGATGCCTCCTTGGGCGGCACCACTTGATCAGCTGGAGCAAGAAGCCGATGCTAAGGACTCCGACGACGAAGGCCGACGGCGTCGGCAGGTAAGACGACCACGGGTGAGACAGACCAAGCAACACTTGCAACTCTTTCGTCCCTTCTTTACTAGAAGCGGGCTTCAGATGTTTATAACCACTTGGTTGTTATATAAGAACTTGGTTCAAGCGGCTTAATATTTAATTGGAAGAGAACCGCAATTATACAATTATCGCGGCAGAAATACCGTAACAACAAAACTCTTTTATTGTTCTATTTACGGAACAATTTCTCAAAAAGCGTCTAAACCTGCGACATAGGTTTATCGTTTTATGAACGAGAAATTCGCAAATGGTATCGTACATTTCTCAGAGCTCGATCTACTTTTGTTCGCCGTAATGTTCAAAAAGAAAAATAGATGATTTTGGATCTGCCAGTGAAAAACATCTTATATAAGTTGACATTCGAATTTTTTTTTTCTGGAACAATAATTTGTACCAATATGGGTAAGTCTTCATTTTATATATCATGTTTACATGGTAATTTGTTCTTAACATATCTTAAATTTAAGGCAATTTTCTATCTGGTTCTTTTTAAAGATGAAAGATGTAAAAATGATTTAATGATCTTGATTCCATAAAATTAAAACCCGTTTTCACTAATATTCGTAATTATCGAAATAATTAATATTTTCTGAAGCCCTAACAATAATTATCGACTTCTTCTAACCAGTCGAGAAGTGTCTGTTTGCTTGGAAAGCCTCGCGATTCTACAATCTTCTTGTAAAAAAGGCCAGAGGCTTTCATCGTCCTCAGCTTGTCAGGACGATCGAAAGAGGTCCAGAAGAGACCGAAACGCTCTGTGTAGCCATGAGCCCATTCGAAGTTGTCCATTAGACTCCATGCAGTGTAGCCTACGACGTTAACTTCGTCGATCCGGATCGCCATCAACACGTTGTTGAGATAGTTTTGAAAGAAGTTAACGCGCGGCTGGTCGCAAAGTGTGACGCTTTCAGGACGATCGGAAACGCCATTCTCCGTCACCACGATCTCGCGGTAATTCGGATATTGATGCTTTATCCAACTTTTCAACGGTTTAATAATAAGTCATCTTTCGATAAAATTGTATTTTCAGCTGCTTCTTTTTAATTTAAAAAAACAAAATAAACCGCTGCCTAAGAAGCTTTCGAATGCCCCATGGAACCGGCCTGAGCCACGAAGAACCGCTTGTTGGCCAACTCGGATCTGCAAAAGCTCTCAGATCCTGGTCGCAGTTGTAGTGATCGTCTGAACAAAAACATTTAACAAATACCTAAAGTTTTAAATAGTACCTTCATCTGAACACTGCTTGTACTGGACCATTCGGGTAGTGTACGAGTTGAGCCCGAGGAAGTCAAAAGTGCCCTTTATATAATCAATCTCATCCTGGCTGAATTCCGGGAGGCGACTTTTTCGAAATCCTTTCGCGTTCGTCTTCGATTTAACAGTTTCCTTGATTACCGCCGGATAGTCGCCGAGAAGAATCGGATGTGCCCAAATGCCAATGTACCTAAAGCGCCCAGTCAGAATGCCGCTCTATCCAAAGACTACAAAAAATGTCACCTATTTCCTTTCAAACCCCAGTCTTGAAATTTGAACTTATCCCTTTACATTTACGACTACTTTTTCTGAGAAAATTACCATTGAAGAAATCTATCGGCAGCGTCTCTATTTGCTACAGAATTGTCCACCGGCTGGGCCCAGTCGCAGTTGAGCGTGATGCCAACCTCTCCGAATTGCAAGTTCCGATAGCGCTCAGCGTAAAGCCGGTACGCCGCTGCATGCGCTCGCAAAATTGTGTACGACGTATTGTAAGTTCCCGTTCCATGAAGCTTGTAGCCAGGCGCCATGTAACCCTAATTTGATTTTGCTAGTGAGGCCAAAGCGTTAAACACTTACGATTTCATATCCACCTAAGGAGGTTTCTCTGGGCTCGTTGAACGTGATCCATCTCTTCACTTTGGGCCCAAAGCTTTTGAAGCAAAGATCCGCGTATTCCTGAAAACGCTCGGCCAGCGAGACGTTTGTCCAACCGCCGTAGTCCTGGAGCTTTTGAGGCAGGTCCCAATGGTAGAGTGTCACCATCGCCTCGATTTTCTCCTCCTCTGAAAAGTATGGCTAATTCAGTTTTTTGGTCAAGGAAAAAGTTATTTCATAAGTTCAAAATTTGACCATCAAATAGATGCTTACCAAGTTTGTTGAGAAGTTTGTGATAGTAATCGAGGCCGGACTCGCTGATTCCTTCAGAAATTACTCCGGTTGGTATGAGCCTGCTCCAAGAAATCGAGAATCTGTAGAAATCCAGCCCCAGAGCGGCAACATTCTTCACGTCAGTCTCGTAGTTTCGGAAAGAATCGCAGGCTTCATCGCCTGTGGACCCATCTTCTATATTTCCTATTTAGGGCTGCTTATCGTTGTTTGTTTTACAAAGATTATACATAAACAAAAGATCGTTAAAAATGAGCGTCTGATTTATTCTGTTGCAAGCCCGCTTTCCTGGAGTATGAGAAAATGTATCCCATATGTTCTTTCCTCTGTGAGAGGCTCCACCTTCGACTTGATAAGAAGCAGTCGCGATGCCAAAACGGAAACCGGCCGGGAACTGGTCAAAGTAAATCTTGTCGTACTCGCTCGGCAAGCCTGAAGTAAGTATTGTTTGTCAGGGTTGCTTCTGCAATTGAAATATTGGCTTTAAAATTTCGAAATTGCGAAATTTTGAACAAAAACTTGAGACGAAATAAAGACCGCGGCAATTTCACACCCACCACCTTGGAGCGAATTCGCTAATCGTAACATAAGGAGATAAAACGGATGAGAATTTATCGCAAGCATGTTCTAGCCTAGCCCTTTTTTCATTCTTGTTTTTCAGCATTAAAAAATAAATCACAATGATCCTTACCGTTAAGCATAAACACCGCCGTTCCAAGAGTGAGAATTGTTACTGTTCCCGGTTCAGTTTTGATTAAAATATCTGATTATATAATTTTCAATTGTACGATAATCAAGTTGAACAAATTGTTTTTTAAATTGGTTTTCTGAAAATAGCAACAAGATCCAGCTTCAAAAGTGTTATGTAAAACACGTTGTACTAATATAAAATATAAGTTGTTTGAAGTTGCTAAAATAAATTGGCGCGGTAAATATGAAATATGTCCTCCCTTATATTTAATTACTTGGCATTGTCGGCAATTCTCGGACTTGGTGAGACACAAGAACTTTTTTTTTTATCCAAACTTATATAAGAAATTGTAAAATGTTAAAAGACGTATAAATGATAATAACAACGCACAATAAAAGATAAAATGCGCTTGTCTAAAAATTGAACCAGCTCCTGTGAAAATAAAAGACCTAACATTGCGAAGCAAGACGTTCAAGCAGCAAAGGTTGAAGAGCTCCTCCATAGTTCAACTTCGTTGTTTCGTTCTCTAGGGTCGAATATCAACGTGGCGTCTTCGTGGCCAAAGGAGAAGCTCTCTACTTCGCGTGCATATTCAGTTCTGGTGAGTATTTCCGCCTCTTTCGATTTATGATTTTCAAAATTGAGATTTTAATGAAGGGAGAGTGGAGAGCTCGGCGGGAAAACAAGCTCAGCGCAGCATTGCCGCCGGTCATAAACATTCGAACCGCTTAAACTGAGCCCAAAGCTCAAGCCAGTGAGTGGATCTTATCACTGTTATTTTACAAAAAAAGGTTGAAGGCTAGCATGATATTCCCGCTTGAAACAGCGATAGTTCCCTCAAAAGTTTTGATTGAAATCAACGAGGAGAAAATGCGTGACGGAATCCAGTGTAAAAGACTTGATGCTCCTTATCACGTGCTTTTCGAACAAATTTCGACTTGCATGGTGTTCCTCGATGTTTCTTAGAAAGGGAAGCTAACCACGGAGATCTAGCGTCCTGACTGTCCCTTGTGTGCCTCTTTTCTGGCGCGCGAGAGTACCGAGATTCGCCACTATAAAACCCAGTCCTGTCCAAGAAAATGCCAAGAGTTCCTCGTTTCTAAGAACCAAACAAACAAAAAATCAATTTCCATAAGATGAACATTCTTGCTCTATTATTCGCTCTTTTGGCTTTATTCGTCAGTGGTTCCGTTGGAGATCTGATCGGCTACAACCGCGGCCAGAACAACGTCAACATCTTAAACATGAGCCGACACAAGCTTTCAAGCCGTCGATACCGTAAAAACTATCACGAAAACAGCAAGGCGAAGCCAAGCTCCAATATTCGAAGACTTCTCCTGCAGTACCTCTCGGAACGATAAATCATAGTCTCTTCTCATCATCAGTATTCCTATTTACAGAGTACCGATCCCTTTTTCTTATCAGTTTATTAGTTATTTATCTGTTGTACCTTTCCATTGCAATAAATAGTAATTTTACAATTACTACTTTGCTTGTTCCTTCCGTTCTAAGATAAGACATTCCATATGCATAAATATTATTGAGGCGAAATTCAATGAGTATCAATTTTTTATTTGAAGGAAATTTGGCCTACTGGTCATCATGCAGTGTGATGGAATTGATCAATAATTTTGAAGATATTTGTACAGAAATTTGGATGCAGAATAATTTGAAATAATGATGAATTGAAGAAGAGTACAATACTCTAGTCTAATTTAGAGGTGAATAACTAATAATGACTGAAATACTGGTAGGATGAATTATTTGCTTAGAAATCGGTTGAAAATCTTCCTGAAATGGTCTGGATTATGGCCCATAACTTATAAGTTATCGCCAATTTGGCTCAAAAAAACCATCCGCAATCTGGGTTGTCCTTAGTTGCCATGCGTCGCAAGTAAGTCTCCAAAACCAACAGCAACTAAATTCTTATTTAGATTTTAGCCTTTTCGTTTTCTACCAACCTCTTCCGAATGTCCCCGCCAGTGTCGAGTAGACTTGTCACAGCCATAGAGATGTTCCCGCTGCAAAATCTTGACTTTGAACGTCTTTTTCTTCTTTTCATTTGCTATCTTCTCGAGGACTTTGTTGGAATAGCCACCATGAGGGAAGAAGCAGTAATATTCAGGTGTTGTTGGAAGAGGAGGATCGGAGAACATGTTGTTTTCATACTGCAACACATTCACAAACTGAACCGACGGTCCTTGTGGGGTGTTGAATCTGAATCGTACTCGGCAAAGAGGATGAGGAGCTCTATCTTTTTTATCGACATGTCTGGCGAAGTCAGCAGCGTTCCAGATGATTTTTCCTTCATAGGTTTTCCCCACTTCAAGAGGTGGGTACTTTACCGGTGGAGGACTTTCAACCTCATCCGCCATTTGTCGATCAGTATCTTTTTTTTTCTTTTCAGTAAAAAATATCTGTCAACTTTTGATTTTTTTTGCAATTCTGCTAGTGAAAGCTAAACTAGCTGGATCCGCGCTTATATACGGCCGAAAAATAATTCATGATCAGCGTTGATGAGCTCCTAAGTTTCCGAAAAGCTCAAAAAGATCACTTTGGATTGTGTTTCTTCGTATCCTGCATACTCTCATAAAATACAAGCGAGGGGTCTCTTGGAAATAATTAACATGTCTCAGAGTTAATTATTTTACACTTTTGCCATAAAACTTCGAATGAAGGATTTCATTATTTCGTGAGATAAGAAATGAAAGTAATTAATCATAAATGCGCAATAATCGTAAATTTGAAAAATATAAATAAGGATTTCTAAGGATCGGACTGAATCAGCATCATGAAGCGGAAAATATTTTAATTCCGTTGCTTAAAATTCTTACATAAGCGAGAAGAGCATACCTTCTTGCCTGAAAAGTGCGTTGAATTTACAAATTTTATTCCCCGAGTTGTGAGCGAAGAGAGTCAGTAAAGATATACTCCGCGATTCTGGCGGGAGAAAGGAGATGACAGTAATGGTAGCATCGTGGATCAGGCGCCTTAGGGAAATAAGGGAATTCGTATGGAGTCTTCAGCGATCTAGCAACAACTGAAAAATGTTTTAGATTCAATATTGAATTTGTTAATCGATGAAAACGTTCAATCTTTACGTTTCTGTGCCGACAAAGACAATAAATTATCGATCTTCGCAAAATATTATATAACACGTCCGAATTGCTTTATGGAAATTCAGGGCTGTGGAAGGTAGACCACCGGTCTGTGAAGCCTTCACCAAAAGGAACGCGACGAATTGACTCTATTAGGTCTTCAAGATGAAAAATTTCAATCTATACCAATAAATAAAATTGTTTTACTTACTCTCCAGCGCGTCAACTTTTCCATCAACGATTCTTTCATTGTATTCAAGCCCAAACTCGAGCCAACTTGGTCCTGCAATAACCACGTTGTCCTCCATCATTTGCATTGGGACGCCATTTTCGTAGAATCTTTCCAAGGCTAAATTATAATGAGTAAAGTCGCGGCCCGCCATTTATAATATTTTGTTTATAAATTAAAATTATTCTGTCATCTACCTATAAGATGTGATCTGTCTGATCAGTTTCTGGGATTTGAAAGAAGGAGATGTTAATTTATGGCAATGTACACCTGGCTCTTTCGCAAGACTTACCTCTTGTACCCTCTAAGGATTCAAGGACGAGGTCGTATGCGGCTTGGTTGATCTCTTGACAAAATGACGGGCCATCCAGTTCGCGGTAATCAGCTTCTTCTGGTTCTTTGTAGCCACTAGTATTTCAGCGTTGAAATCAACGAAGACGCCTATTCTGACCTGAAAATATAAGTGCATTGGCGAGAAAAGATTTTGGTGTGCAGAGTCCATGCAGATGCATAGGTTTCATTCTCATCCCAGAATACTTGTGTATAAATCTCGTTCGTCAACTGCATCGGATCGTTTTCATCCACGTAGATGTACGGCAAATGATGCAAACATGCAGGGCATTTGAAGCCTGGTCGTGAGCTAAAGAAATATAAAAATTAAAATTTGAATGGAAAAATAGATCTTCCGAAATCAACATCTATATTTGCTGTCGTCAGCATCAATTTCGCCCATTAGAGATAAATTTCCGCATAATTTTAGTTGATCGATTTAGATTATCTACCCGATAGACAACAGATCAATATCTTAGTACCTTAGAGCGGCCATCTTTGCGGTGACATTGTATTTATAACCGGCAGCTTCCATTTCAGAATCCTCGTTGCAAAAACCAGAAACATAACGCTTCGTTCAGTTTACAAATCAAAATTCGTAAATCCAATTCGTTTACAAAATAGATTTTGAACTAAATGCCTGTGCGAAAACTCCCCATGGAGCCCCATCCTCTTCACAGAGGCCTCTATCACCGGACCAAACAGTAGGACAAAGATCTGGATCCCAGTCTGGTCCAATTTGATTTTGGCCACCGTAGTAGTAATTATTCTCGAGTGCAAAAGCCTTGAGAGAGGGATCCAGCATCGAGGCGGCTTCGTTTCGTTTCCTCGTCAAGTAATCGCTAAATTGTTTTAATTTTGAGCACAAGAAAAATATCTACTTTGGAGCATTTGTATCAAGGTTGTGGAGAAATGCATCAAATGCCTTTTTGAATTCTTCGAGATATTCTTCCAGAGAGATTTCTCCTTTCAAATCTCCTGATTTGTCAAAAACATCTTGGTCGTCCATGATTCCATAGTGGTTTCCTCCATTAACAATTACCACGTGGTTTTTCTCCGCGCTTCCATGAAAGAGATCCTCGCCAACGCGCGTGACTCGAGAAACTCCATCGAGCTCGCCGATGAAAGACAAGCTCTTTGGTCTGAGCGGGTCATTCTCTGGTCGCCAGAAAGAACGAGGCACTCCAGCGCCGATGAAAACAACTCCGCCAAGCACCGCTGTATCGTCAGATTTCCAAGCCTCAGCGGCTTCGCTTCCGTGGACAATCGACAGTGTTCCACCGCTTCCAGAAGCGCAGACAGATTCTTCGACTGAAGTCATCAAAGAGCGATAGAGGTCGGCAGATACTGGCAGCGAACCGATTCTAGCAGTGTACAAGCCAACATATGTTCCACAAAAGAAAAAACCCATGTCAGGATCCGCCCTGGCAAGAGCCAAAAGAGGAAGTGCTATTCTCATTATAAACTGTCTCTGTTATCGAGACTTTTAAAAAAGTCAAATGAGTCCGAGTTTGCGACAGATGGTACATTTTCATGGTGCAGTTACCTCAAGGGCGTTATCTTATTTGCAGTAATGTTTAAACTTCTTAAACAGTACGTTTTCTAGCTAATAAAATTGATTGGAGACCCGCGAATCGGTGGATTCTTAAAATTCTCGATGTTGATTAAAAATAGTCTCTAGATGCGGAGTCTATTTGTTGATGATTTTCATTCCTGAATTCACTCGCCAAAAATGAATTACTCCAACGAGCCAGAATCCTACAAAGCCAAAGTCATACAAGCTTTGCTCAACGAAGAAGAAGATCCTCATGAAGGTATCGAATGGACGACGCTTGAAGACTTCATGGCCGATATTTTGCCCACCCGAGCCGAACTCAAAGGTAAACAATAACAATTTGAGTAAAAAACAACGCAATTTTAGTGCCCACGACGAAAGCCAAGCACCCTTCGGCACCTTCAGAGGAAAAGCTTCGATCAATAAAGACTATCCTCGAGGAGATGAGAAAGAACAAAGAAAACCGAGTCGATCTCGTACAAACATCGAAGAACATCCAGCGAACAGATGACGGCTTCTCGTTCAAACCGAACTCAAAAAATCAAGAGTAACATGACGCTTTCTATCGTTCTCTTCTGTAGTTCATGTCCTGTACTTCTATACATCAAGTCTGCACAAGAATAAATAGACAGCAATCTCAGATTGCCAATCTGTAATAGTGACCGTTTTTATAAGAGAACGGTGACTTTTGAACACTATTATTTGTATCATAGGAACCAACTTTATTTGAATTGAAAAGTAGCTTTAACATAAATATTTTGTTTCTAAGGGAATAGCTTAGAAGTTCGTGGTCTGTGGGTAAAGCCAGACCCAGAACCAACAGGTCGTGAGGAAAACCAAGAAGAAGGGCAGGTTGACATCGAAGTTGGGCGTCAGCATAAGCTAGTAGATAGAAGAGTAAATCGTGTTAAAAATAGCTCTCGTACCATGATGATTTCCAATTCGAAGAGAAGGAAGACCCAGATGACAAAGGTGAAGCCGGCGAAGATGACACCGCCCATCTGGTTGAAACCGCACTCGTAGGGCTGTTCGTAATGGGGCTTGTGGGCCATGTTGGTAGATCGCTCCTGCATCAAGTGGTAAGCGCCGATGAGACCGCTGACCATGCCGATTTCGAAAACGACTTCTCGATCAAGCTAAAGCACTTATTTCCACAAAAGTCAAGAGGAGGTTTCAAAAAAACCTGAGTGAGGTGAGATCTCTTGGCGAGGAGATTTGTCTTTCCGTAGGAGCCAGAAGAGAGTTCTCGGCGGCTCTATATTGTAAAATGAATTGACGATTTTATCAAGGAAAACTCACTGTCAAGGGATACTGGGCAGTCTTGAGCGCCATGCTTCGCATAGCGGGAATTTGTGCGACCCGGGCGAGCATTCCGACTTGTACTTTCTGAAGAAAATCGGGTGAAACAAGGAAACTATTGCGCTTGAGACATTTTATTAGGAATAACGTTGTCGCCAGCATTTAACAGCATCAAAACAGGTGTTTCAATTTAAGAAAGTATTTTGTCGGAGACAGAGAGTAGCTTGGGCACAATTTTCTACTGCGAATAAAAAAGAGAAGGAGGGAGTCATTCTCGGTCATTCGGGGACGCTTCCGAGAGGGCCGACGGGAGAAGAGTTCAATGTAGTCTGGAATAGAAGTTTGTAAAAATAGCCACAGATGAAGCAGTGAGGACTGAATTGAATTGAGTCGTGAAATTTCAATATTTACAAGTGAACAAGTAGAAAAATCAGCCTCTGCTTTGAAATTGTTCTACTGCTTTACTCGTTTGCTAATCAGAGAGAAGGAAAATGAAAAGGTTTATGAATTTTCGATGAAATGGTTTCGATCGCGAATATTGTAAGATTTTCACATGTAGCGGCACAGCTGAGTGTGAAGATGGGAGGGCCAGGGGAACAGGCTTCAGTGTATACTTCCTGTATCTTGCTGTAGTGGGAATGTATACTAGGCTAGCTACGAACACACGCGAACAAAGAGCTAGAGCCTGTCAATGCCAGAGTTTTAGAAAAGTAACAATCCAGTTCGAGAAAATATACATTAAAATTATAATATCACTTCCGGTGCGCTAAACTTTCAAAAGTCTAAATTTAAAAAGAGCCTAAACTGTGTTTGAAAACTAAAATTGACAAGCTGAATCTCGCTCTAGCTCTTTTTTTCGGCATGTGGAATGCGCTAAACGATGGATCTCTCCTTACCGGCAACGAAAAAGAATTGAAGTGAAATAAAAATAAGTGAGAAAGAGCTTCAATAACGGGGTCTAGCATTTTTTTTTTCGCGAAACTGAAATTAACTGAAAGCAAACTTAAAATGAAAAGTAAAACAAAAAATGAATTTTATAGGTAAATAACACTTGGAATTGAATTTTCTGGGCCCGGGAATTTAGTTTCATGTATGTACTCGTTCGGTTAGGTCAGTAAGATTAAGCAAAAGGAGACTTAAAGTAAATGAGAATAATGAATGGTGAATCGAATGCTTTCTGGACCGAATCTAAAGCACATTCTCAGGAAGACAGTTGGAGGAGACATTCAGGCACGCACTGGAAAGACAGTTCCAATGGATGGCCAGAGAGGGAGGAGAAACGCGAATTCAACATTCAAATAGGCCTCGGAAGAAGAATATCGCCCGCTCAAAGTTCACCTTGTACGGTCCTCGAAAAGAGAGAAAACTTAAAATTGAAAAGAGCCATTCAAATAAATGAAGGAAACGGAAATAATTGCTTCGTAAATTGTTGTTTTGAAAAGCTTCAAAGCCATATTTAGGGTGCGCTCAGTGTGCTGGGCCCATTCTTTTTGATGATGCTATCTGATTCCATATACAAGTGAATTCGAAGTTGGAAATTATAAAAAGAAAATCAGAAGAAAATTATTATTGGGGATTATTTCATATAAAAAAAGTGAATAGAATACAATTTGTCGTTGAGTAATTATACAGGTATAAATACGGTGAGGCGCCGCTCGGTTAAATCCAAAATCGGATGTCCCTTGGTTGGAGAGAGGAAAACGTTGTTGCTGCTTGAATCGAGGCTAGCCGAAGGGAGGTTCTTATTCTAATTGGCGCTGCTGGGCCCGGGACTCATCGGCTCGGTCTTGGGCTCTGCAGAAGCGCTCGTGGTCGAAGTTGAAGAGCCGGCGGGAGCCTCCGCTCCATCAGCGACGGCAGTGCTACTGCTCGCAGCAGAAACTGGCATCAGCAAACCGTTGATAGTTGGTTCAATTTGTAACTCGTGCTAAAGAAAGGTGATTATTTTAGACGATTTCCAAAGAGACGTACTCTTGTGAAGTTGAAAAGTGGAGGAAGAGGTTTCTTATTTGGCAATCTTGTATCAGGCTGACGGAGAACATCAAAGAATGTATGCGAGCAGGCTTTGAGGGGTCTGAAATTCATCGTTAGCAAAATATACTAGTAATATTATTACTAGATAATAAAAAATGATCAAGGTGAGTATGGAAGTGTCAAAACTTACGTAATTCTGGCAGCGGGTCGATATTCCAGCAAATTAGAGCAGAGAGCGATTGCTTCTGTCGAGGTTCTTGGGCGAAACACTAGAAATTTTAGATACGCTCGAGCAGATTCGATAAGCTTTTACCTTTGCTCCATGGGTGAGCCTTTATCATTGGAAATTTGAGTTCAGTATAATTTGGATTCATGTCTTTGATCTGCTCTCGCGTTGGCGTTCCAAGCACCTTGATGATTTCGACAAGCTGATCGACGCCGGAGTCACCGGGGAAAATCGGTTGGCCGAGAAGCAACTCAGCAAGGACGCAACCGGCTGACCAGACGTCAATCTGGCAAGTGTAATCGGTAGCTCCGAAAATCAATTCTGGTGCGCGGTAATATCTTGAGCATATATATGAAACGTTCGGTTCGTTCTGAAAGGAAATGTCAAATAAAGAAGTTGTATGAGACTTACAGGAATGAGTTGTTTAGCGGATCCAAAGTCGCAAAGCTTCAACACGCCTGACTCCGGATCAAGCAAAAGATTCTGAGGTTTGATGTCACGGTGACAGATTCCATGAGAATGAATATACGCCAAAGCACGGAAGAGCTGATACATATACAGCTTGATCAGGAGAATCGGAATCATTTGCTAAATATAATTGGATTTCCTTTTTGCCGCGCGTAATTTATTCACCTTTGCTTTTCCATAATTTCTTGCAAGTCTGTACAAATTTTCGGGGACCAAGTCTAGCACCAAATTTAAATACACTTCGTCCTTAACATTATCCTTAATTAATTACAAAGTAAGCAAACTTTTATCGCAAAAATGCGCTTACCCTCTTGTCTCCGCCTGAGTAGAAGAAAAAGCGAAGAGCGACGATGTTTGTGTGCTCGATCTTCCTCATTATTGAAAGTTCTCGATTCTTGAAGCGCTTGTCTTGCAGCACTTTCTTGATCGCGATTACATTTTGATCTGCTGGTCCTGCGTCGTCCAGAAGTCGAGCCTAAAAGTGCGACCTCGAAAGCGCGAGACTAGAAACTTGATCCTACCTGGTAGACGACTCCGAATGATCCATTTCCAATGACTTTCGTGTCAGTGTAGGATATTTCAATCGGCTGGTCGGATCCATGGCCGGGTGTAGCGAGCACAACAGTGACTGAAAAATTTAAATCTCTAGTAAATGACGAAGGCTTTTATCAAGGCAGTGAGTTTTTTTAACAAAAGATATTAAGAGAAAGTTTGCTTATTCATTGCAAAAGCTTTTTGTCTTTGGAAACATCTGTTTTTAGCCTTGAATGATCAATATAATTAAAATTGTCAATATTGATAGAATGCAGCTATTACAAGCTAGTTGAAATCTGCATTCACGCTTTTCTTACATAAATGATTAAGAACTTAATGTTTCTAGAATACTTCTGTTTGTTTACGCTGTTAACAGGTGGTTCTATGCGATTGAATGCTTTTGCTGATAATTGGAAATAATTGCGGTGATAAATGAATACTATTCGTTGCTTGGATGTTCGAACCTGGATCGGAAGATATCATATTGACTGAAAGAAGTTTAAACCTGCTGCAGTTACTGCAACGACTGAGTACCTATTCCTGTCCCTTCAAATGGTGACGATGAAAGCTGTGACTCTGACTCTGATAGCTCTGTCTCTGTTTCTACAAAGAAATGATCGTGCACTGAAATCATGGAAGAGTATAAAATCCATACCTTGATTGTTATTTGGCTGGTTGTTGAAAATTCGATCGCGTTCTCTGGACGACCTCATCTCGTTTTGTTTCTTTAGCTGCTTGCCTCTGATTCAGCGTTTTCTTTACTCGAGTTCTATTCTCGTTTCATTCAGATACAGTATTCAGTCCTTACTTTGGATTTCGATTTTGGACTCGTCAAGCTGCGATTTCCTTCGCGCTTCGCCGGGCGACGCTTCTCAACGATTGCTTCCGTTTGGATAATGACGGATATCGTGTCGCCGAGTTCTGAAAACAGCAGATGTTCTAGAAGCGGTAAATAACTTTTTCCATTTTTTCGAGTAATCTGAATATCAGTGGAAAGCGTCGCAGGATCATACAGAATCGTCGCGCAAAGCAGTCGTAGTAAAGTATTTAATTGAAGAAATCGAAAACAGTTTTCTAGCGAGATAGGCAAAACGTTGTATCAAAGAATGAAGTAATGAAAACTTAAGTGTAACATGTCTAAATGCAAAAGAACGGTCAGATTATTGGTGCCAGTCCTTAATTTTTGGCAGAATCAAAACGAGACAAGAGTGGGCTTTATAAGGTCAACTTTACGCTTCACGCTTGTATAGTTTCTTGAGAATCGTCCTGAATATGACTGGATCAAGAGGACCACTGTAGTTTTTGATCGAGTCGGTTATCCGTCCGAAACTAATAACAAAATTAAGGTACTTTTCGAATTCTTTAATAACCTTGCGATTTTACGATTATTTTTAGTCTCACCTTTCTTCCTCATAATTTCTGAAGCGTTTTTCCAGATTGAGATCTGAGTACAATTCTTTAATTCTTTGCTCGCATTCTTCATTTTTTCGCCCATAGTTATCTTTGATAAGTTGTCTTTGCTGTTGCGACGCATATTTCAATGCTTCGACTACAAGCCAGCTGCACTTGTTATCCTAAGAAGCTCGTTAAAACGGCACTCGAGTTATTAGAGGCGTTATTTAGGGTTGGTTTGGGTGACCGTCATTTGATGGCCGCCATCGAAAGTACTTTCGACCTACTTGAATGTCAGTTCCGATTTTGCCCGTGACTTCGGGATTACCGAAGCAGTCGATGAAGTCGTCTTGTGCTTGGAAGTAGTGTCCCATTTGAAGTGTGATTTTCTTGAGCTGAGGGCAGTTAGAGTCCTGCCGCGCCGCTACAAGACCGCTCGCAATTGGAAGATAGAATGAGTAGACTGAGGTTTTGTATTTGACAATGGCACTGTAGGTTTCTTCGGTGAAGCGAGAAAGATCCACGTCGGAGCACTCGGAATTCTGCATGTCTAACGTCTGACCCATTTCAGTAATGATTGTTGCCCATTCAAAAAGCTCCACTAGCTTTTCTACAGGAACATAGCTCGGCAAGGAACGCAAAAGAAGATAGACACACATCTCTATAACAGGAGAGTTTTAACACCAAAGAGCACATTTCATAGAATCTAACCGATAGAGAGAGCGTCGTTAATTGCCATCAACCCTACGTTAGGGTTTTTGTACCAACAAGGCCTTCCTCTTCGAGTGACAGATGAATCCATCACATCATCGACGACGAGAAAGCATGTCTATTAAACTATTGAAGATGGACAATACTAGCTTCTATTTCTACCTGTAAGCATTCCATTGCCCAACCGAGGACAAGCGCATCTTCTTCAGACACTCTCGAATCGTCTGCCGTCAAAAGAAACACCTGGGAAGCAATCATACCACGAGACATTTTTCCACCGCTAAGATTGTATTCTAGTGACTTTTCCAGTTGCCTCGTTGCCGGATGGCAGTCCAAATCGACAATGCCCGCGCTGTTGTTGTGTTTGTAGAGTCCGTTAATGGCGATTTTGATTGCATTGTCGGAAAACTTGGCAAAGCGCTTGAGATGAATCGCACGAGCCATTCTAGATCGGATAATGTTGAATAAAAGTTGTGGTGGTTAAGTTGAAACTATATGACAGATTTGTGAAGTGAAGGCAGTATCGAGGTTGCAAACAATATTCAAGGAAGAAGGCGTCGAAGGGCTTACAGAAGTGATTGTCTAAAAATATCTACAAATGTTATTTTTGGGTGAAAATATTTAATTAGTTGGTAAATATTTCTTCGGGGTCAAAAAAGATTCGTACCTTCAAATATCTTTATTTGTTGTGGCGATAAGTAGCGGACATGTTTTATTTTGATGCTCCATTTGGACAAAATTTCACGGTTGAGCCCGTGGCGAATGAGGAGCTTGAGTGTTTGAACACCGTCCCACGACTGCGAAACGACATTGCGCGGTCGAAAAAGAGCATCAAGCACCGTGTTTCCTTTTTTAGTAGAAAGGTTGGGGTCGGCGTGAGCCTCCAGCAGGATCTTGGCGATGGGCGCGCACACCATCCGATGATAGCACTACTGATCACTTCATACAAGAGAATTAGAAGAGAGTTCGATTACCAGAAGCATCAGCGGTGTGACGCCAGATTCGTCGCGCTCGTTGGGATCTGCTCGAGTTGGGCAGCGAGCTGGAAGATTCTTTACAGAAAGCAACTGCTTCAAAGGTGCCATTCCGTTTGAGATAAGTGACGGGCGACGAACTGAAAAAGACGATATTTTTAGACAATTTTCTCTTATGAAATGAGTTGGTTACTAAATTGATATTCGACTCGCGGTAGCGAAGAATACAGACGTCTTATATTGATAAAGATGAATTTATCGATCTAGCTGAAAAATAAACAACTCCATACCTTTTTGAGCAGGAGCAACAGTGATGTTCGGTGCTGATACTCGTCGTGGTCTAGCGTCAGCTTCAGATGGTTTGATCTTGTATGACTCTCGACGTTGGTCGAGCTGTTTTCAGTTTTGGACGATTCCGGTCAAAGATTTATAGAACTGAATAAACATCTAATTGGCTTAATAAAAATCGGGCAGACGGGCATGAAACTGTTCCTTTGCTTTCGCCTTGTCGAAGTTTTGAATCATTAGACATGTCTCGCCAAGGCATCGACACTCGGACGTCTGTCCCAGCCCGAACTCGTAGTAAGACTGGTCGGGCCGGTAAAGAACGAATTCAACCAGCTCAGCGCCGAATTTGACATTGGAGCAACGAATTATTCGCGACAAGAGCGACTCTGTCGAATACGGAATCTTTTGAAAACACTTGAGGTTCATTACTTGGCGCTATAAAATCAATGAGGTAGGAGAAGTTCCATAGAATACGCGCTTACCTCAAACGTAGGTCCTATCCGTAATCTACAAATAAAATCCCACGGCTTTAGTAGCAATAAGTGTATCGAGTCTGAACAGAGATGGATTTGCTTGGATGCTTTGTAGCCATACTGGTGCGGGTCGCCTGCGACAGCAGCTTCTGAAGGTGATCATGAAAATTTGAGAAAAAGAACATGCGTGAGAACGGTGAAGCTATAAGCAAATGACACTAATACCTGCCTTCGCTAGATGATTCTTCAATCAGATCATAGATTACTTGGCTGGCAAATCGGAAAAGAACGGAGTCCTTTTTGAGCGCCTGGCTCAACAGGATCCTGTCTTTCCGCTGTTCCCAAAAATGCTAGCACTAGGTTCGCTTATTTTTCTATTTCGGCAATAACTAGTGAGGCGTATAACTTTATTATACTTGAGTAGAACTTGCTACGTGATCCAAGAGGGATAAACAGCCGATTATAAAATTAACTTAACGTTTGTTAGTCGATTTACGTGATGATAATGAAATTGTTAGTGTTTCTATCTTCGAGATAGTTTAGCTAAATGAGTACCATCTTGAGAACCTAGAAGACCTTAAGACCAGTTAAACTGTTGCAAGCGCCAGACCTATCCCAGAATCGCAAGGACTCGTGTCCTATTACATCAACCATCCTTAATACTCCATGTTTTTTTATCGGAAAAGAAGATAGAAAATTGCAACATTGGTAGAATTTATTGGTGAATATCGGTCGTGGTTGTCATTTGTTGTGAAGACGGATAAGACAACGGGAAGAAACTATAACTACGCAAGAAGAAATACAGGGCAAAAAGTGAAGATAAAAATGGTTCGGTTCTGGACATCGGTAAGGTAGTTTTTTACTTCAATACGCAAAGGCAAATTAGTTTGTTTTTATTGAAAAGGAGAAAATTTAATTTTGCGTTTGAAAAACAGGCTTTAGGAGACAACATTTGGAGACGGGTTCTTTCGGTTAGTTATTCATCAAGTATTGAACTATCTGAGTTGCCAAAAATGAAAATTCAAAGCGAATGCTTTTAGAAGAAAATATTAAATTCGTGAACAAAGAAAAAATTGAAAACGTTGAACATGTTTTTTTTCAATAAAAGAAGGAATCTCAATATTGTGAGGTACATAATTTAATTTCATTTTCCGTTAATTAATATTACAAACAGTGATAAAAAAGCAAAGTAAAAAGGAACAGTGAAAAAGAAGTGATAGTTTGGTGAAGGTGAAGTGAAGGGGCGTCGAATTTGGTGGAGAATCAGTAGAGAGCAATTAGCCAGTGTACATTTTGACCTGCTCGTCTACCTTTACGTCGCCCTCGCCGAGCATGCCGTGTTGCTCGAGCATCTTATTGATCGCCTCGAGTTGCTGCTTTTTGACTTGAATAATCATTAAAATACGATTCGAAGTGACGTTTTCTTACTTTCTTTTTCGGAGTCTTTTTCCTCAGCAGCAGTCGACAGGTCGACCAACGGAGCCTAAATTTTTTCTAACATTCGTGCTTTATTTGATGACTACTTACGTGTTCTCCAGCGCTTGAAAGAATTGTGTCATCAGCGAGATTTCCTTGCTGGAACTGATAATAATGTTGAAAATATTGATAAATAATAATAAGAGTACCTCTTCGCCAGTTGTTTCAGTACAGTCGAGGTCTGGGAGAGCGATCTCTTCGATTCCGGATAGAGACTCGTCAGCCTTATCTTTGGTAGGCTCACTCATCAATTCAAGAGTGTCATCTTTCGCTGAAGACACGGCTGGTTCGGATGGAGTCTTTTCCATCAGTTCGAGCGTATCTTCTTTCGCGACAGAGTCGTTGATAGCCGACTCATCGGCGATAGATGTTATCTCTTGAATACCAGTCAAAGAGAATTCGTCCTGCGACTCATCAGCCACATTTTTTTCAGTTGCGTTGACATCGATTGGCACAATTGGCTTCTCTTCGATGTCGACTTCAACTGGCGCAGCCTTCAAAAATAATTAAAAAAATATTTCAAAATAAAAAGATTAACCTGGCTGAGCTTGGTTTCGTCCTTAGGAAGAATATTCATGTCTCCCATGAGCTCGTCGATGGCAGCATCTACCTTCGCGATGTCAATCGCTTTGACGACGTCTTCTTCCGTATCGACTGCTTCTGCGCCAGAAACGCGTTCTTCCACAGCCTTTTTGCTCGAAGCATCAGCTTCTTCGCGATCGATTGCTTCTTGTTGGACGCTCACTGGTGGGACGGACTCGGCCACTTGCTTCGACATCTCGACATCCTGATCTGACACAAGGATGGGAGATGACGACTTGACCTCCTCGAGAGGGTCTTCGTCGTCTGATGGCTCCGTTCGAATCGATGGCGAGTTAGAACGCTCCTCGATCTTCGTCTCCTCAGTCTGTTCAGTTGCTTCAGAAACGACTGCCTGAGGAATGACCGGCTCAGACTCAGCCACTGGCTCAGCTTCAACGATATCTTCTTTTGGAGCTTCAAGGTCTTCGTCAGCGTCGTGGATGCTGTCGAAGTTCACGAGCATTGAGACTTTACTATCCTCGCTCTCTGGACTCTAAACCATTAATAGACTAAAAGTTCTCTTGTAACAAGTTATTACCTCTACAGCGCACTCTTCTTCCTCAGACTGTGGCTCAGTCTCTTTCTCTGGCTCAGGCTTGCTCTCGAGGGTTGTGTCGACGAAGGACATGAATTGAGTCTCTTCCATGGCAGCTTTTGGCTCCTCATTTATCGTTGCCTCGCCTTCTTCGACAACGCGCTCTTGCTCCTCTTCAGCCGGCATGTCGTTGGCCTCAGAGTTGGAGATGCGCTCGAACTCAGAAGAACCGGTCGAGTTGGACTCTTCCTTGTCTTCATTGATTGTCTCAGAGAGCTTGAATGCTGGCTCTGGGATAATCACGGGCGAAGGCGTTTCTTTCGGCTCCTCGTCTTTCTCCTTCTAAATATTCGAAATAACTTTATATCACAAAATATATAGTTTACCTCTTCCACATTTTCTTCCTTCCGAGTCTCTTGGACTCTTACTGGCTCTGGAATCGTGTCAGGTCCGAAAAATCGGTACCCGAGGCACGCGATGATGATCGTGAAGACCAAACCCAATGTGGTCCATGGGGTGGCCTCCTCCTCATCGTAAGTTGTCATTCTGAACGCGTCTCTAGGATTTTCTGTAGAAAATAATTTTTTCACGCTGCCTCTTAAAAGAAGACTAGGTGAATGATGAAATAACGACAAAAATCGCAGAGGGAATGGCGCCATTCAGACGAAAAATGCATTTTTAGATTTTAATCAGATTTAACCGACGAAAACATCAAGTTCACGGGGGTGCTGTTGCCACGTCAGCTTCTGATAGACACTAAATATGGGTTTAACATCAGAGAACAGCATTCTCGTCTTACTTATCGCGCTGTTTGATATAATTCGTCGAAGATGACTTGCATTCCGCGTATGATTCAAAGTCGGGCATGATTTGTCGAAACTTCCTAAATAGATATTTCGGCGCGAGAATGGAATGGCTCTTCTCCAGACGAAAGTTTTTCTTGATTGCGCCGTGTTTATATCCTAATTTGCCGGTCAACTGCTCCGCCTTAGCCATGCACAAGTTCCAGGCCAAGCAAGAACTAGCCGAAACAACTTTGGATCCGTCATTGTTGTTAACTGCTCGAGGAGATTTTTCAAAGATGGGTTTTTCAACGACAGATGTTTCGACTTGATTGAGTCTCTTTAGAGGGAATGAGACAGGCTCGATATGTGACGTAATTGACAGAAGATGGTCCCTTTCCGAAAATGCACGAGTCAGGGACTTTTGATCATCGACACAAGGTCCAAAGATCATCTTAAGCGGAATCAACGGCGCGTGAAACAAATGACTCAGCATCGCTCCTTGCCACCCACAAGAGTTCCATTTGGTTATCTTATCTATAATTGTACTTAAATTGATAGATACTTTTAAGTTTAGCCAAACCTGAGCAACTCATAGAAACAGTGGCAGGGCCGCGGCCGCCCTTTGTTCTGCTGACCCCAAGTTGGTGAAAGTTGGCACCTTCACCTTTCGGATCTGCCCCTGATTGCACTGGTCTTGCACCCGTCCTGAAGATGTCTCCTTCTCCCAACAAAACGCGTTCTGATCGAAAGTCATCTAAGATTCCTGTGCGGGCTCGTTTTGCAGGGACAGGATCATCCTGATCCGACTCCATCTCGACAATAGAAGCATCGCCACATGGCAGGGCGGAAGAATAGAAATAAAACTTCCACCTGAGTCGCCATTTTCCATCTTCGATTTCTTCAACATACGAGTTGTCTTTCTTTTGGATGCTTTCCAGAAGAAAATGAATAAAGGCTCGTCTCGCCAGTACTTCGGCATGACTATCTGCTATGATCGTCCCTAAACTTTTTCAAATTTAAGAGACTCAAAGATGTTGAATATGAACAATATGATTACTAGATATAGCAAGTTTGAATAAATAAATGTACCTGGGGTAGCTTGATTGACTCTTGAAAGCCCAACACACTGAGTTCCAGCTCCGATAGCTACTGTTTCCAGCTCACTATTTTCTTTTATTAGTACTATTCCCGCTAGAACAGTCCACTCGCTTTTTTCCTTCGTCGAGGCAGCATTCTTTGCATACTTTATGTATGTTTCTTGAACAATTCTAGCTATGGCTTCGTCTGTTATTTGGTCCATTCTAAAGACGAGTTGCTAAAGTTGCTTTTTGCTGATGAAAAGTTCTTCTTCGAGACGGGCTATTTCTCCGTCGATATCTGCTACTCTTGTCTTGATAGATTCCATGTTTTCGGGAGATATTTTCCACTGAGGGCCCAGTTCTTGCGCAGCAGGGGAAAATATTATTGGCGACCTATAAAACAACAATCGAAGAAAATATAAATACAATCATATCAACGATTCAAAATTAATTATCCATTATTTCGGTAATAGAATTAGACACATAACCAAGATAAGGAATTCACCTCATGATGGAATTAATTAATATTGAAAACGAGCGGTAATTAAAAAGAAAAACTGACCTTCGTTCCATAAGAATGTAGCCGCTACGAGCACAACCGAAATTCGTGATGTCCGGACACAAATCGTCGCGTAACTTCTTCCAATTCAGCTCAAGCTCACTGGCACTAGGGCGGTTTATCTCTTCTTTGATTTTGGTCTTTGTTATCGCTAGCTCAAGTGAGAGTGTTTCGGCGATCTTGAGCGCGTCTTGAAGATCAAGGGTGGCGGGTACTTGCTGCGTAGTGCAGAACTGTTTGAACGATTCGATGTGCTTGGCCATTTTGACACACTGAGAGTGTGTCGTATCTGAAGAGATAGGGTTCAATCATCATTTTGTAGATTTAGCTTATTCTAGTGCCAAATCACTAAAGTTGGCAGCAGCGTGGCGGGAAATAAATATAATTAAACGAGAATTTGATTACTCAAATATTGAATATTGAGCTTGCCTATAATAATTGAACTAAAAGGAAAAACTTCAAACTTTGAGGTCTACAGTATCTCCCAGACGATCTGCATACCGCTTGAGAACTGGATTCACCTCTGCTTCGATAAACTCTTCGACTTGTTCTGGCGCTCTGCCGATAAACGTTGCCGGGTCTGAAATAATTAACATCTCTCGTTGTTGCTTCTTATCAATCTCTCACCGAGTAATGAGTCAAGCTGCTGGTGAATGGACGCAAAAAGTCGCATTGACGAATCCTGTGGATCAAATCATTCTCGGCGCCCTCGTTCTTGACGCGCGCGCCTGCCTAGGGAATATTTTTGAATACACATGGGAGCACATACGGAGCTACTAACCTCTTGGGACAAAACTCGGAATTTTTCGTGGGCTTCTTGGCGACTGCCACCTGCTTTTACGACAGCCATCAGGATATTTTCCGCTGCCATAAAGGGCAACTCTTCTTTTACGTGTTTTTCGATTACTTTCGGGTAGACAACTATCATCAATATCGATTTAATAATCTTAACGATCGGTTTACCTAATCCTTCGGTGATATTTTGAAGCAAAATTGCAATCGCGTCCGCCGTGAGAAATGCTTCAGGAAGATAAAGTCTCCGCGCGGCCGAATCATCGAGAGTGCGCTCCATCCACTGCACGGAGATTGTTTGTAGCGCAGCATTCGGCAAAGTGAGCAAGTGGCGAGCCAGACCGCAGCATCTCTCGGATCGCATTGGGTTCCGCTTGTAAGGCATCGCTTTTTTGAAGAGTCGTTATTTTCGGCTTCAGACGAGAGCTTTTTACCTGATGATCCGATTTGCTTCTTCTCGAAGGGTTCTTCCAGTTCCTTCATCGATGCCAAGAGACGAATGTCTGATGCCATCTTATGAGCACTAGCGGCGAATTCCGCCAACGCGTTGATAACATGCGCGTCCTGTTTTCGCGGATAAGTCTGCCCAGTGATCAAATAATGGGATTTGAAGCCGGCCAATTCTGTGAGCCGCGCGTCCAGCTGCCGAACCTTCTCATGATCGCCAGCAAAGAGTTCCAAGAAGCTTCCTTGTGTTCCAGTTGTGCCTTTAACTCCGCGGAAACGGAGCGAGTCGCGAACACGTTTTAGGTTTGACAGATCACTGATCATGTCTTGAAGCCAAAGACACGCGCGCTTCCCGACAGTTGTCATTTGAGCAGGCTAATGATAAGAATAGGTCTTGAATTGTAAGGAAAAACGAACCTGGAGATGAGTGAAGCCAAGAGTAGGAAGATGTCTGTACTCGTTAGCGAACTTCGACAGTCTGTCAATGCAAGTGGCAATCTTTGGAATGAGAATGTCGAGAGCATCGCGCATGATGATGCAGTCTGCGTTGTCGCCGACGAAACAGCTTGTCGCCCCAAGATGAATGATCGGAGCTGCAAGCGGCGCGGCGACACTGAGCTGGGTTCACACAATCGAAGCACATTCAAATCGGTGCTATGCGAAGAAAGTTGGCGAAAGTTTGATTTTGAAAACCCCGCCCCAAAAGTGTGCACATGCGCCATCACATCGTGGCGGCGGAGTTTCTCCTCCTTTGCAGCCATTTCATAGTCGATCTTGTGGATATTGGCGCGCAGCTGTTCCACTTGCTCCAAACTAACGCTTTCTTTGGAGAGATTCACGAAATTCTATCTTTCTTCTTGCAGTAGTGTTTTTATCAAATTGAAAAAAGTCGTTTCCAAGTGAATTTCCATTTCCTATTCCAAGCTCGTGCTCGGCCTGAGCGAGCCAAGTCCAAAGCTGTCTCCAAGAAGAGAATTTCTTGTGGCTTCCGAAGTTCGCATTCATTTCGTTCGAAACATATCGAGTAGAAAGGGGAGAAACGTACTTATCATTATCCATCTTTTTCTATGCAAAAGACATTTTAAAAACCTTTTATTCGAACAAAACAGCTGCCAAGAAAGGAGTAGTGCAATCTGTTTGAAAGCAATTTGAGTACCAGTCAGTCATTAACATTAACAGTATAAATTTCATTTTTATTAAAAAATTACTTAAAAACTAGCTTTTATAAGTCTTATCACAATAAAAGCATAATTATCAATTTTTTCGCAGGAATATTCCTCTAAAAACAAGGTTTCTTCAGTCGATATAATTTGAGGTTGTTCCCACGGTGCGGGGAAAATCGCTGAAGCAATTTCAAACTGGCGCGCTCTCAGAGACAAACTGCTTCTGATTCGCCGATTCTTTAGAATACTAATTTACTGGATTGGAAACAGTACTCTGCCTCTAATTTTGCCGAACCGGCTAGCTGCTCATATTCTCACACAAATGCATAATTTTAAATGCATTTACTCAGATTCTGAACCTTTCTACACCAGAATTTCTACTACCGAACAACCGAAAAAGACAGGAGCAAGTGGAAATTTATTTTATTCATTTTATTCGTTCAAACAGTTCTAGAGCCAATTTTGGAACTTCCGGTCCCAGAAATTGTCTTGTGGGCATGAGCCAGACCTCGATATGGGTACCAAATGAAAGCTCTCGTCCTAAGCTTTCGAAAATTATGTCAGCAGTAAGCCTAAAAATAGGAGTAGAACGGTTATTGAAGTCGGAAGTCGGTAGAAATCGAGGGAAAGATTTACAAAGAAGAAGACACTCTCGGCCAGTTAAGCTTTTCTATTCTCGAGTACAGTATCTATTCATCTTATCTCACGTACAGAAGCCAGCAGGGGATAATGAGCAGTGCTTATTCGAGCTGCGAGCTGGAAATTGAGGACTAAGCAAAAAAAGCTTATCAAAGTCGGGTTCATCGGATTCGATGTAGCTGTCGGGGCGGACGTAGACGATGAAGTTGTACATTGACTAGAAGACGAGTGTCCGTCGCATTTGAGCGTGCTCCAACAAAAACACATAAATAGTGTCGTATGTTTCATAACTTATTTTTAAGTTATGAAGCAAAAACGCTTTTATTTTAGTTTCATTTTATCAAAGAATAGATGAGGATCTGCTTTTCTTTTTCCTATTTATATACGAGAAACTCATGGAGGGTTTGGCGCTTCTAGCGGTCCAGCTGCAAGATAGATTCCCTTATCTATCAACACGGGCTATTATCTGAGGATTTTATCGTAGCTTCCGGTTTTTTTATGTTGATTAAAATCTTCCACCAGTTTCACGTCTATTAGCTCGTCTTAGCTTTCTCTTCGATTGGATTTTGTATCCATTTGATTGTGGGTCGTTGTAGTTTTAAGTATATTCGACTTTATGTCCCAATTTTAAAAATTAAATTCCAAGTTTCTTAACAAAAATTATAGAATTATAGTGAGCCCCTATTTTTGGTAAAAAGACAAAATTTGACAGAAATTGACAGTCGGCAAATCGACCGCAAAATCCGCAAAGTGCGAAGTGCGATGAAAGTTAAAAAGTGCGGAATACGACTGCGAAAAGAATCGCACTTTTCAAAAATTCTGCGGAAAGTGCGGAGTGCGGGGCGATGAAAAAATATCAGGTTTGAGTGCGGTGCGGAGTGCGAAATTTCCGCAGTCGCACCTCGCACTGCGAAGGCACATTCCTGATTAGAAGTTCTAATCAGTTCTAATTTAGTTCTAATTTAGAACTGTTACCCGGCAGTACTCCTCCATCAAAGGAGCCTCTCTCCGGTAATTTTTCGTTCGGGTAGACGATCATTTCTTTACGTCACGATATTTCTTTACCGTGTTCCTAGGTTTGACACACCATTACGGGAATGAAATTCCCGGGGAATCCTCATGAAAGAAGAGTGATTAAACTCTTCGGGATTCGAACTAACTTGACATTTTTTGCCTATCAACCCACTAGCCACACCACCAGCTAGTGCCCGAGAAAAAGGATGAGAAACTGGTTTATATATTGAAGAATACATATCAGAGTATAAACACAGAATACGCATTTTTGATTATACAATCACTTTTATATTTAAACGAGCAAATGAGATCAAAAAGGGAAGCAAAATTTCGAAAATTTATGTTGACCGGATTAAATTTTCAAAATTTTATTTCAAAAGGAGCAGACACAAAAAACATTTTCAAGATGGTATCTAAAAAGCGGGAAGGGATGAGCTTGTCAAAGTGAAGTAGTTGCGGTGAATTATTCTTCTTCGTCGTCCCTGAACAGGGAGAAATCCCTGTTGATAACTTGGCGCAGGCGAGTTTTTATATGCTTGTGTAGGGCCTGAGATCATGTGTTAGAGTGTGAGAATAAAAGTTTTAGGTACCTTTATCTCTGAGTTTTTGCGAAGATACTCTTCGCTCTTCTTCGCCATCAGCGCCCACTCTGCCTCATAGTGGTAGGCAAAGTTGCGCAGCGACCATAAAACGATAATTGTCATCATTGTTTCGGAAGAATCGACGGCCTAGAATCGTCATAAGAAGATTTCATCATAATTTGCTCTTACCTCTTGCGCTTGAACACAAAGAGTGGCTTTGATTCCAGGATGAAGCTGCATGTCATAGACCTTGAGCAACTTCCAAACCGCTCCCTCGTCTTTCCAGGTTCCTGTGAGAGGACACGCTAGCTGTATCAAATGTTCGTGAATCTAAAAATCGATGGACTAAGTTTTTCGTTGATTTTGATTCAACGTACCTGATCCTTTGGAATAGTAGCTTCGTATTTTTCCCAGCCCATCTTTGTCTTTGACTTGTGCTTTGTCTTGTTGCGGCTTGAGCTGCGGGTGTTGTCGTCAGAGTCGGAATCGAGGCAAGTCCCTTCGACCTCCAAGAGCTCTTCCTCTGCATATTCGACGTCAACATTGGTAGAGAAAGATTTAAAGCACGAGAGTTGCACTTACCTCGTCCAGAATACGCAGCAATGTCGGATACTGCATTCGACATCATTGTTGGCATTCCTTGCGGTCTCGACTCGTCCGCGGTCCATGTAAATAGAGGTTTCACATTTTGCTGCGTTGAAAATCAAAGTACGCTTATTGCCATGTAAACAACGTTGAAACCCTTATCCAGAGTAGTTATGAAGAGTCTCCAACGCTGAGTTCGTCAGATGGAAGCTTGCCGATGGATCTGATCCTGCCTTTGGTGCGTTTCCTTTTTCGCAGATACCGATGAAGGCGGTATAAGCGTGTAGGATGTTGCCCTCTTTTGATAATTCAACAATGCGGTCCTTCACTTCAGCATGCTCGCCCTATGATTTTCATTTCGATGCCGTAAAGCTAGCTTAATTACCTGGAATCCAATTGACCTTCTCAGCACTTCGAGCTTCTGGATTTCTTGTTTGGCCCAGTATGACATCAACGAGGTGTTCTCATTAGCTAAGCATCAAAAGATGATAAAATGAAGGAGATTTTTATATGGAAAATCTTACATTGAACAGGATTAATTGGAAACTCGTGAATGTATTCCGCATCTTGATCACCAATTTTGAACGTCATTTCTACGCGAATATTTTGGCCTTCATATTTTTTCAGGAAACCCTCATTGATCTTCTTGATTCGGAAAAATAGCCTTGTCTCTTCATAGATATAGACCTCATCGCCCTTAATTCCTGGGCCGGATGGGATGCACTAGCACGAAAAGTTAGTAAATTCTTCTATATATTTATGGCATCTCTCTATGTCTGCTTCATACCTGAGGAGGGAGCGATGGAAAATTGACGTCAATCAATACCAAGACTGGCTCCGTCGTGTATCTCGCAAGCTGGAGAACTTTCTGAGTCATTCTGTCGTTTAGATTCACGTAGATCGACTGTCCTCTTGTGTTTTTAGCGACGCCGTCAACAAGACCTAAAGCCAGTTGAATGGATAGTCATCTGAAGTCAACTTACATGTTGAAGCGCCGGAGCCAATGCCAACTGTAAATATCCGATTCTTTTCTTTATTTCTAGCACAAAATTCGAGCACTTCCTCGGTGTTAGACACTGATCCATCGGTCAGCAGGATGATATCTCGAACCTCAACTTTCGGATCCAGGTAGCAATTGAAGATTTCTTATTTCAAAAATTAGAAAAGTTTTGGATAAAAAGGTTACCTTCAAGAGGCTTGAGAAGTTCTGTTCCTCCGAGATTGGCAACCATTTCGTCGATATGCATTTTTGCTTCAGTGATGTTCTGGGATGTGTAAGGCTGAGCTACATCCCAGAGCTTTGAAAAGCTAGGCAAATAAAATTATTTATATAAATCGAGATCGGGCATTACCGGGATCCGAATGATACGATATTGAACTTGCATTTGCGAGGCAATTGTTGGATAGCTTGCTAAAAATGGCTTGATCTGAGTTCTAAAATATCGATCTACCGTGAGACAGTGCTTTGCTTGCTTCATAAGACTGCCGCTCATACTTCCGGATCGATCGATCAGGAAGATGTATTCCTTCATTTTCTCTTCTTTCTTCAAAAATTCTGGGATGAAATTGTCGGGAATAAGCTTCTTTGGTTTTATATGAGTTACATAAATGGCCTCTTTCTTGTTGCACTCGAAAGCATCGGTCATATTTCCAATTGAAAAGTCTTTTCCAAGTGAGTTTTCGATGAAAATCTCAATATCAACTGGACAAACTTTAAGTTCCTCCGAATCTAAATCACTGTTATTCACCGAAATAGCGTTACTCGCTTACTAAGAGCCCATCGCTCCAACTTCAACTCTTCGTGGACATGCTTGGATATCTTTCGCTCGACTATTTTTCCAGTTGAATCCATGATCTTGCCAAAGACTCGCTTTGCTGGCGGCTCGCATGTAAGGTAAACTTTTGTTACAAAAGTTGAATCGTAAATGTTCTCATGGAGATTGTGCTGAGGCACTCGTTCCCCGACAACAAATCGTTTCTTGTGGCTCATTGGGAGGTGAAGCTTCATGAGTCGAGAGCGGCTGTCAGAGGATTGATGTCGATGCTTGCCGCCTTCTTCAACCTTGAGATCCATGAAATACTCGAAATTAACAGCCACAGATTGGTCCGGTCCAATTTGCCCAAGCTCGATAATGAAAGAGTCAGCAGCCGTGTTGTCCAGAGTGCCCATGACGGCGGCCTTATCTTCATCCTTAGATTGTTGGAAGATCTGAGACGCCTGTTCACGTTCAGTAATCTTCGCTTTGATTCGGTGCACAAGAGTGTTTTCCTTATTTACGGTTCAAAACGGTTCTCTTCTATATTTACATTCTTTATTATAGTTTAGAAACGCTCCTTGGAATAAAGCTCAGCTTCGAACTTGCATACTGATGCTCCATTATGAATCGGGTAGATAAACTTTGATTCTTGTCGAGTATCTTCGGAGTAGTTTCGAGCTTGCGGTGTGGGAATAAAGCGCACTTTGTTCTTCACAGTGCAGATTCGGTTGACAATGTTGATGTTGACAACATATTCAGCCACCTTATTTCTGTGTTTAGCAATTTTGTACAAAACTTTTCATCTCACCTTCATGTTCTCGATTCGAGGAAGGAAGCAGTAGTTGTCGAACTTCGTTTATGCTCATTTTTGTGTGTATCGAATTTGAAATCAAGAAAGATTTTTTTGAGAATAACAATGAGAAAATCTCAACCAATTATAATTATTTTCTATAATCGAACAGAGAGTCTGTGGAAGATCTTTGGGAGCATTTTCCTGTTCATGAATATAGCCAATTTTGGCTTCTTCTTGAGAGTCGACAGACTCCCTCCATCCGCTTTGCGAGTACGGCATCTCTAAAGTGGCCACGGCGCTGGAAAGATACGCTCCTGGTTCAACTCAATTTAAGCGAACTGTCCTTGGCGTATTTTTGATACTTTCTTGTGTATATCTGGCTCAAGCGCTGTCGGAGTTGATCTCCAACGGGTCGCTTTACGAATAGTGAGCTGCTACCCGTTTCGAATTTTCACGCTCAAGTGAATCGATTTGAAAAAGCACTGGAAGGCGCCGGATCGTGATTCGATCGATTTCATTTCAATTTAATCAAAATTCGAAATTCCGAAAATTTCAACGCCGCAAAAACGATACAACCTTGCTAGACTCTCATAATGAGAACCTTTATCTTTGACCCCCCTATCATTCAAATTTTACGTCACCCTAACGCAACAAAAGTAGATTTAGGTAAAGCATCATTTTATTTAGCAGAAACAGGTGTCATAGGTTAAGTGTCTTGCGAAGATTCACTCCAATGTCTTTGATAGGATCGTCATATTTGCGTAAAAACATCGCTGGTACCAGTCCCTTCGATCCATTGTATCTAAACATATGTTATCCTTTACACTGGGGTAAAACGATTCTACCTGACAAGCCACCATCCATCAACATTCTCCTCAAGAACACTAACTATGCAATTTTCCTCCACGGATAGTTCTTTATCGTTTGTTGCTCGAAACTTCTCAGTTACCAGGTAGTCATTATTTTTGATGAAAGCTTTATTCTCTATGCCATTCTCAAGACTGAAATCTACACTCAGCTTTCAACAAATAAGAGTTAACGAACCCTTGAGAAGATTCAGTAGTCGACGTTCTTGACTCTTCGTGAATGTAGCTTGCAGGGACCCAGCCGCTTTCTCCAGTTTCGTAGTTTTCAACTAGCCACCATCCAGTTGGCTCGCGCATTATGACATTGAGACGATCCCCTTTGCTCAGCGATATTTCACCTTCTCCCCCGCTTGTATAATCCTCTTCAATCATGGTAAATACAAAGCTATGAAGATCTTTTACCAAGGACGTATGCTCCACTTTCTTCTATCGCTTCTATGTTTCCATAAATGTGGGCAAGCGATTTCCGAACAGTTTTGCGATAGTTTTCTGTTTCCATTACAGAATGGTCAATCATCATAAATGTCTGGTATTTTGATAGTCAAGTTTCTTTGGTTTAATTATGCCACGACAAAATATACGCTGCTCGATCATTTTAACCTCAATTTCCTGACAAGTCTCGTCGTCAGGTGTCTTTGCTAAATCGTACATTGAAATTCGTCGCGCAGAAAAGAAAAGCCTGACTGGACCGGATAGAAGAATTTCCGTGTAGTATTCAAGCAGCGAGAAGTATTCGCTTATTACAGGGACCAAATGAGTATATACAGTCAGGCGCATTTCGGAGCGAAATCGAAGTCGCTTTTTGATTTTGGTGCCCGAAGGATCGAGATCAGATCTGGCGTTTTTTGAAGCCATGTTTTCGATCAATGCGGTGAGTTCTCGTATTTGCTTTTCAAGGACTCTATATCATAAATCGAACACAATTCTATTGTCGTAATGAATTGGGGTCATGGAAGAGCCCTAAACTGTAACGATTTGTAAACCAACACTTCCGACTCGTCATTCCATGTAACCATTATCAAAAATAGATAGGTCTTCTTGGGCGTGAAACATTTTTGAATTCCAGATATGGAAAATGATTTCGGAAATCTTATAAAAATTTGATGCAAGTTTCAATGGAAGATAGAATATAACCTTGAAGGACGACCTAAGGACTTTGACGATGTTCCATATTTCGAGTCATTTACCAAGGAAATTCTGTCTTGGGTTTGTAAAGTAGTCAATTGTGCTTGAACCTCCCAAACATTAAGAATAAGAGCTAATTTAGATCATGAAATTAAATCATAAATGAAGTTTTTCTAACTGTTTTCAAGCGAAACTCCCATTCAAACTAAATACTATCTAATCTTAACGAACTTCAAACCAAACTCTTACAGATTTCTTCTGTCTCGTTGAATTCATCTCTTTGCTCGAACTATTCAAATCGAAGCGGTATTCTCTATTGTCTTTCGTACTTTTAGTCGTTAGACGATTTTTTTGTAATTGAGGCCTGATGAAAAGCCAAAAAAGATTCAAATTTGCGACGACACGTTTACGAGAGCTGAGTGAGCTCAAAACTAATTTCACTGCCTGAATTTTTTTATTGTACCCCAGTTAGGGGAAACAAAAAAACCGCAAGGTATATTGACTTGTGGTCATCCAGGAAATATCAGTTAGTAGTTGCAAGGTTACATCAGTATCTGCCAGTTGCTGAATACTAACTCGGCCCCTTTGATAAAAGCGCTGATTTACTGCATCTATTATTGCCATAAAATTCGGTTGTTTGATTTCCTTCCGAGCGCTGCGATTGATGAATAGTAACTTTCTTCCGACCTGCAATGTCAACAAAAGACAATCACTACAACCAGTGCTACTGGTTGGGGCGTAAATTCATTTTGTTTTTTTGGAACTTTATTTTAGAAAAATGTGGCTTACCAAGAAAATATTATTAATTTGACTAATTAACTAAGTGTAATTAGACTAATTGCAAAGAAAAGCAGGTGAAAGAGAGCCACAAATTTACGATAGTGGGGCAGTTGAAGATTACGGGAGGTGAGAATTAATATGTACAGTTTGATGAGGGAGTGTTTATATTGTTTCCATTGAGAAAAGGCACGCTTTGGATTTGACCTGAGAAGAGCGGCAATAGAATCGATTGACAGATTGGCGGATCTAGGCGCTATCTTCGGTTTCCGAATCGGCGCTGGAGTAGAGAATCTGCGTTCGTCGGGGACGATCCTCGTTCTCGGAGTCCGCCTCGTAAGTTGAGACGTCGCTGTCGGAGTCGAAGAAGAGACCCGACTTCTGGTTGAAATCCTGGAAAGAGTGATGAAATGATCTTTTCACATGAAAGGAACTTACGCGGACGCTGATGCTGTGCGCCTCGTCGGCAGTATCTGGGAGGCCAATCATGCCGTCTTAGAGTGTTATTTATCTAAGTTCTTGAAAGGTTATAAATTTTCTCACCTTCGTCGTTGAATTCGCTCATTTTCTGGCACTTCCATGGGCCTCTTTTGTCAGGTCTGTACGCTCGGAAACCAAGTTTGTTCAAGTGCTCGCGGCGGGTTCTCATCGTGGGCCAAGGATAGATCAGCTTCGTCTTACTTTTCTGCATCATGCTTTTAGCTTGCTTCCGTTGCTCAGGAAGAAGCGATGACTCGTCGACCAATTCCGCTGTCCATTCGTCTTCGCTCCCTTCCCAGTTGCACTGCAAAAGAAAGCAAAATTTCATTTTAGAGACATTTTTGTCTTACCCAGACACGCCAAGCCTTGATATTGGTTCCGCGGCCCCAAACGGGGTAGAAGCCGTCCAATTGCTAGAAAATAACGATTCAGAACCGAATTTGAAAAGTGAAGTTCTTACTTTGAGCGTGGCTCCAGTCTTCGCTTCTTCCGTTGCCTTGCGCTTCATACCGCGTCGGCCAAGAACTGGCTTTTCTTTCCGGGCGATGTTCGTTGTGCGTGGAGCTGGGGCGAGTCGCATCTTTTCCCAATTTCTTAAAAAGAAAAGTGTAAGCAAAATCAAGTTTACAGGCAGCAGTAATTGGGGATACGTTGGTCGCAGTATGGTTGTAGAAGAAATAAAGAAATAGTGGTACATGTTTAAAACTTAAAATGAAGAAGAAAGAAAAAATGCTAAGATTTGAAACTGAACTTTCAGGGAAAAGTTAGAATTATGTACAGAAAATGAGCAAACGCGCGAGTTTCATTGCTCTAGCGCAGAGATGACAGTTTCAAGCGCCAATCTTCCGTGGGGCGACAGAAGTCCCCAGATGTCCGAGGACCTGATTTGCGGAACAGAGCTCAAAGGAACAAAAGTAAGGGCTGTTGCTTCGTCGGTTTCGCTGCCTCCTTCTCTCCACGAAGCTTCAACTTTCTCTTTCGTCAGCGATGTCGTAATCTGTCAAAAAAATCGAGTTATAAAAAGGGTCATAAAATAGGGGCTAAAAAGTGGCTCTGAGGCTGTTGTTAAAACCTAATTTTCCTTTTTCCAATATAAAAAAAGGGAAAACGCGCCAATCACAGATGTTGAACAAAACCTACACGGAAATAGAAGTTTACTCTTCCAGCAAGCGTCCCCAATCGCGCCACAGCGTACAACCTGGGCTCTGACAGATCTTCCTTTGAAATGTTGAATTCGCAGTGCATTTCGTCCTTGAAAGAGTCGAAGAGCTCGTCTCTCACTTGCGACGGACAAGACGAATCGACTTTGCTTGGTTCTGCGTGGCCGCCAGGAGTGTCCAAAAGACCTGCGTGTTCGCCTACCCAGCTTGCTCGCTTGACGATGACGATGTAATTGTCTGATGTTATTAGCACGCCATTCACACTAGAATTAAATTAAATATCTATTTGTAAACAGAAAAATGAAAATGAAAAATGAAAATATCTCTACAAATAGCTGTAATCATTCCAATAAAATCAAATAAGTTGAGAAGCCGCTCGCGGCTTTGAGCTAACACAAAGGGAGCCGCTTTTTTCGCGGCTTTTCGAGAACAGTATTCGATAGATTTTCAGTTATACCTTCTGTCCGAAGCGGTTAAAATAAGCTTACCCAATGATATCGGCGAACATAGACCTAGTGCCACACTTCTTGATGTAATCAACGGATTCTGGATTTAGATTGGTGCCAACATGCTGTCTATAATCCGACACGCCGATGCCAAGCGTAATTTTGCTGTGCTGGGAAGTGCTCTGCGGGCGGTAGATATCAATACTCCTCTCTTGCGAGTCCAGAATCGAGCCCAGCCGGAATTTGCTTTTTGAATAGAGACGCGAGTTCGCAGCGCATTTTTCCGCCCAGACGCGTTCGACTATCTTCTCCAGCTCCTTGCTCGTCTCGTGATCGAATTCAGACGAGAGAAGGACATCCACTTGACTCTTCTCTAGCCCAGGCCATGGAGTTTGAAAGATTTGAAACGAATCGAACAGCGTCTCCATTTCGCAACTCATTCTTGAAAAGTACTAACTAGTTTTGTGATGTTTCTCTGTAAAAAATGGCCAAAATTCCAGCAGAATATGATTGAATATTTTAATGAAATTTTAAAGAAGAAAAGAAATTCGTAAAAAGAGGAAAATCGAGTTTGAATTTTGAACTTTTCGTCGTCTGGGCGAGGATCCCAGAACGGCGCCATTGGCTCTTTTTTCAGCGAAAAATCAAACAACGTACGAAAAATCGAACTACTCTTTGAAATTGCGGGAATCGTACTTCTCTAGAGAAATCTGATCGGGAAGTCCAATTCTTCATCGGGAGTGATAAAACAGTAACATTTTATTAACGACTCTTTTCCTGAGTTTCCTTTTAATAACATGCCTTTTGCTAATATTAATTATGGTGCGCACATGCCTACATATTTCGTATAACTTACCGTACTGCGTCGAAGAAATGATTTTATACAAAAATGTTATTTTATTTAGTAAAGTAATAGTTTATTACTAATGAAACAGGGTCATTTTATTGTTACCTAACTGTTGAATTAACATTTATATTTCCGATTTATGTGTATTAACGATTTCTTCCTTGATTTAAAATTTCAACAGAAGTTTCAATACAAGGTCATGTAAGTCGGTTGTTGTTTTGAAATAATGCGATTGCATCTAAAAATGCGCAAGGGCGACTTTGCTCTTCGCTCCCAATGTCCGTTAATTTTCTCTGCGAAAAAGCTGCACAGAGGCCGATTTACGAATTCATTTTATGAGGGCTCTTTTGTCCGCCGCCGTTTAGCGTGGATGAATTTATGTGTTTTGCATTTTTAAGAAAATAAAAGTGGCGAACGCGAATTTGAGAGAATTGCGAATACTGAGGAGTCGGACTGATGAGTGCCGCTGAGTCGGGCTCGGAGGATGACTCTCCCGGTGTCCTGCGCGAGCGGAATCTACAGTCGGGACTCTCAGGCAGACGACAACGGATGGGCATGCGCAGACGCGAGACCATTGGCACTTCTGCACCGAGCACTGAGAATGTTAAGAGGTAACGTTAACGCCAGAACTCTTACAGTAACTATGACGAATTTCTAACGATATTTGCTCGCAAACTCGAATTCTAACATCGTATCCTAACCCAGTGAAAACCTCCTTGAAGGGGTAAACCAATATCGAAGCGAAATCGGTGAAAACCAGATTGAAAACGCAGCGCAATTCGGCGCTGGAAAAAACGACTCGCCACCAGTAGACGAGATATGATCTCGAAACTCTCTGCCCCGAGCATTCTAACCGTTGAGTACGTTGAAAACTCATTTCAAACCTCATCGCCATTTACCATCGTCAATGGTCCATCGACATTTTTCATCTTTGAAGTTTTCTCTTCACGGAATCATTATTTTGTTTCAGAAATCGGCACCCTGCAGAATTGGTCTTTCGCGAATTGATAACGACAGAGGAGACGTATGTACAGCGGCTAAATGCGTACAGAGAAGTGCGTCAGCGACTGGAGCAGAGGCTCCGGCACCTCAAGAGTGACGTGAAGCGACAAGTCGAGCAGGCGCTCGATCCTCCGGGCTTGGAAGCGATCATGCGTCTTCACAGGTAAATCGACGATTCTTGTCGCATCTCGATTCTACTATGACTTCAGAGATGAGATTCTACCTCAACTGAAGCGACGATATAACATGAATGGCGAGCTGTGCTTTGGAGATATCTTTTCGTCGAAATTTATTGCGCCTTTCTTCAAAATCTATGCGGAGTTTCTTTCGCAGAAAGAATTAATCGACATGGAAATCCATAAACTGCGAAAGAACACACTCATCGGGCCACATGTAAATAGCATCGAGCAAAGAGACATTCCAGGAACGTGAAAAAAAGACTTCAATCAATAGAAATTTGCTTGAAAAGTTTATTTTTTACACGAAGTTAGAACTGCTCAATGGTCTGAAAATAGGCTTAAATGTGCTTCTTCTGGAGCCGGTGCAGAGAATACCAAGGTTTGCTCTCTTCTACGCTGACTGATAATTTATTGTTTCTTTGGTAGATATGAGCTGTTGCTGCGCGATTATATTAAACGACTGGACAAAGATCACGTGGATTTACCCGCTGCGATCGAGGCCGAGAAACTCGTTCAAGAAGCTAATGTCTCTAATAATAAGAAAAAGGCAATGGCCGAGAAACGCGGCTATCTGGCGAAACTAGCGAAAGATATTTCCGGACTGGGGCCGCTAGTCGATGGTAGACGGAATCTTATTTATCATGAATCTACTTATAAACTCAGTAAGACAGCTTTTTTATTGATCAAATAGTTAAAATATTATTAAGAACAAAAATCGTATACGCCAAAGAGAGCCGATATTCTCATACTCAACGATGTGGTGGTCATTTGCGCCGAACGCAACATCAGTAAAGGTATGGAAGTGAAGGCGAAACTGCCGCTGGAAACGCTCTACGTCGAGAAGCTAGACATGCCCGTCCAGGTGGGCAAGAACTCGAACGATTATCGAAATGTGAAGGGTCTGCGACTGTCGTCTATCAAGGAAACTGTTGGTATGAGACAAATCGATTTTCGAACGATTGAGTACTTTCAATTTAGATCTTGTCGAATGTCCACTCAAAGATCACTCCGGCCATTTGTCGTCCACGCGCTCCTCCGTCGAGAAGATTTATTCGATCCTCATTTCCGTCATTCGCGAATTACAGGAGAGTCTCTTGACGCTGAAGCGAGGAGATGATCATCCTGTTCTTGAGCTGCCAGAGAATGACGATGAGCCGGTTAAATTTCCGCCTATTCGATTGGGTTCAAGAGCGCCGAGACTGATGCGCGAATCTGATGTTTCTGCGTGCATGATGTGCACCCGTGGAAATCGATCAAGGGGCTTCAGGAAGGGCTTTTCAAAAAAATGATGTTTTGATTTGTAAAAGAGAGGACATTTACATTGACGAGAAATATCGAGTTTGGAAAGCCTAATTTCAGCAGTGGTTCAAGCTTGATTCATTGTAGAATTTGCGGGCGCTTGGTTTGTTCCTCCTGTCTTGTCACCGGGCATGCCCCGCTTCAAGTGGATTTCCTTGATGTCAAGGACTCGAAAGACCTTCACGTCTGCAAACTGTGTATACGAAACTCAGAAGACAACTCCGTGGATTCCCATTTTTCCCACTATCCAATGGTAATTACTTGTAAACGTTCTGATTTTCAAGCAAAAGTGTTAAGCACTTTGACGACTACTGGAGACAAATTTCTGGCTCAGCGCAAGGCTACTTGAAGGTGCTGATCCCAGAGAAGGGGATCTTTGGCTCTGAGTACAGCAAGGCGTGGTGTGCAATCCTCACGGATTGGAATGTGGGCCAGTCGCTCAAAGTCATTGTCAAAAGAGCGCCTTGTTACGGTTCAATAATTATCTCCGTCGCACTTGAATATTACACAGCTATAGATAAAATTCATTCTTGAACCTATTTGAAGTGATACGGAAAACTTGTTCGAAGCAGACTTGAACAGTTCCTTCACATTTGATCGACTAGTTGCTGACAATCAGCGCCAGTGGCTTCTGTCGAACGGACATCTGCGGATTCGTCTCCTCCTCGAAGAGGACCACTTGCGCGACGACTGGGTCACTGCTTTCAGATTTGCGATCCAAAGTAAGAAGCCTCTCTTTTCTTCAAAAATAATATCATTCTTTCTAGTGGCAGGTGATGCCTTCCCCGGTAAAACCGCACCGAGCCAACATGCTTTGCCTCATGATCGTATTCTCCTTCGCGATGGCACCAAGGAACTGCTCCCTTAAATTCCCTGACAAAGAAATTTCCCTTGCCATTGATTTTTGACCATTCTAAGTATCGACCCTTTATTTTCTTCAGATAATAAGATATGACGAGATTTATTAGAGAAAGTAAGACTATGAGTCGATTTTTTTATTTGGCAAAATTTGTATTTTGCATGTAATAGTTTTTTCCCCTTTGCTACTAATCTGGAATGATAGGAAACTAAAAACACTTGCTAACAAATGTTATTACCGTTCGTTACTGGAATTATATTGAATTAAACTGATAGAGCCACTTTGTGAAGAGCACGCGTCAGAGCTTGGATCGATCTCGCGAGGCACGCTCTAACCGAGAAAAACGGGTTCGTAGCCTTCAACCAACAGATCTATACAAGGTGGGTTGAAAATTCTCGCGAAATTTTCAACCATTGTGATTTCAAACCTCTTTCTTTCCATTCGTTTCAAACGCTTAATTTCAGTACACAAAGGATCAAATATCGGGCCCGCTTTCTGCTTTCTTCCAAAGCTCAAACACCTCCAGTCAGCTGCACCAAGCGCCTCCACGGGCGAGTCGAATCTCGCGCTCACACTCACTTCGTTCAAGCACCAAAACAGACCTTATCTCTGACGTAATAGGAGCATCAACGAACTTGGTCATAAACTTCTTCTTTAGCCGATGTCTATTCCTGATCACTTCGTCCACGGCTCTCCTCATTCTTCCCCAGTCAAAGCCCACTTGTCACACTTGAATCCCTCACTAAGGTACTCTTGCTCAAAACCCATTTCATATAATGAATGATTATAGCCACAAAGTATCCACAGGAAGCCTGGATGACATCTATTTATGCAAGAAAACAGAGCAGGCAGCGCCGGATTCTTTCAAGCGCAACGAAAAAGAGCGCTTCTCAGCGCGCTTCAAACTTGGCTCACGGCTCAAGGTAAAAACCGATCGTCCTTGATTTTGTAACTAATATTTGTTATTCCATTCAGAATCTTGTTCGCACGAACAAATAGCGCAAAGACGAAAAAATCGCTGCATCGCCGAATGAAAACGTCCCTTCACCTCTTGTTCACTTCTTCACATTTTTAAATTAAAATAAAAATATCACTCTTCGTATCAGTGCAAAGATAACGTAAAACATTCTCAAACACTTCCATTCAATTTTGACAATGCCCTTCGCTCAAATCCACCTTCCGTGCAGTTCCAATCAAAGTTCGTTCTTTCGCTTCTTGACAATCGTGTAATACGTAACTTTGTAAATACAGACATTTGTTAAGAAAGACAGACACAAGTTACAAACTTCTAACGAAAATAAAATCACCAGCAATACTTGTATTATACTAGAGCATCTGGTATGCTCAATTTATCATTTTTTTCGAGCAAAAATTTGAGATTTCCGCAAAATAGAGATTGCCAAACTGAATCGTTGTTGATTTTGTGAGTTTTTTTCAATTTTTCTTGCATTTTTTATACAACTAAAGCATCTAATTTTATACGCTGTTTTTCAACATTATTATCTGCCGCTTCTACAAGAACCAATTCATTTTCTTTCCTCTTCACAATCGTTTCAAATGCTAAAAATGCAGTCACCAGTGCCTCCAAAATTATAATTTCGAATTCAATTCGTATGCAGTGTATATTCACGTACTGTGTGTTATTATGTATCTTATAACTTGCGCTGTGTTGTCACTTTCGCGAAAGCAAAAGGAGAAAAAACACTGTCTTGTAGTCTATTTTGGGGAGTGCGCGCCCCGCGTTTCTAGAACACGATCAATCCCATTCCGTTATTATTGCACCAAGTCAGTCAAATACACTCGGTTATACACGCAACACGCAAGTTTCAATTATGTCCTACCGGCACGGTTACGGCTACGACTACGATTACGACTGGCAGCGCCAACGAGCGCGAGCGTCGTGCAGCGACTCGTGCTTCTCAGTCCTTCCCCAAGCGCGTCTGGTCATCCTTCTCCCTCGATAATCTCCCGAATCAATACCACTGTAATATTTTAAGAAGGAGAGGAGGGAGCGTAATCCATGAAAAAGCGATGGAGTACCTAAAGGATAAGCCCCTCAACGAGAAGCAACTGGTAAGTGTCAAGAAACACAAGTACCGCGCAGAAGGCATCACCTACTTAGAGGAATATCTCCAGGAAAGGTTCGACTTTGTCAAAAAACAAAGATTCTACTTCTGGAAATGACTTTTGTAGTATCGGGTTTTTAATACTGGGAGAGGAATCGAAAGTCATTCTTCGCAAGAAAAGCACTTGAAACAGAAGTAAAATGACTTTTATATCAATAGAACTTTTTCTTTTAATTTTCCAGTGACAACGCAATTTTAGACGGTATTTCAAGGGAAATTCCAATTAGAAAATATTTCCCCTTTGGGTTTATGAAAGAGCATCTCATGAAAAGAACTGGCTAACTTTGCGTTGTCATTGGGAGCGAGAAGGAATGCTTTTTTGCATTTATCAACCTCGACGAAGCCATTTTGGAATGCGATCGTTCCTCATGTTCCACGCTGGATCGCACCCAACTTGATCACCCTCGTTGGACTGCTTCTCAACGCCTTGTCACTTTCGTGGCTGCTTTTTGAGCGTCTTTACTACGGCCGGGGATCGTTTAGTACCTACATCTACTGCGGGGTCTCTTTGTTCATCTACCAGGTAGATATAAACAGCAAAATCGGCAGCGTTCGTTTATGCTCTTAGACCTTGGACTCTATCGATGGAAAACACGCGCGAAACATCGGCGTTGCGAATCCACTCGGTGAACTTTTGACCACGGCTGTGACTCCATCTCCACCATTTTCCTTTCTCTTTCCATCGGTGTGATGCTTGGTGCGCACATTACTGAAGTATGCCATAAGCTCATTAGAACCCCCTTTTTATTGATATTTTAGCCATTTTACTTTTGTGCTGGTGTTATTCTTGCTTCGCATTTTTTCTACTGCAGCCACTGGGTTGCCTATGTCACTGGAGCTCTTCATTTCGGTAGAATAGACGTTATCGAAGCCCATTATGCATGTAAGCGAAAATACATGCACCGGGCAGCAGAGCGTTAAATTATTTTCTCTAGGCATCTTTTCGTACTTTTTCACGGCTTTTGTTGGCGAAGAATTCTGGGACAATGTCTACGTCTTGGACTACCCTGTTCGATGGGCATACTACGCCGTTTTGAGTACATTTACTATCTGTTTTCTGATTCATTTATATTTTCCATAGTCGGTGGCCTTGCAGGCGTCACGCCTAGATACTGCGACTTGTGCACTACTGCTGGCAGCGGAATGAACGGCTCAACATGTGCGAACACATCCATCCTCTCCCCCAGCGGCCCCGTTTTCTGCGTCCTCACCCTCGGCGTCCAAGTCATCTACCGCTCTGGACTCTACAAAAGGCAAGCTCCAAATACCACGCTTCTTTTAACAATTAACTTTAGAGAGCCGATACTGTCCGCCCTGATCGTCGCCCTCGCTATTGCCAAAATTACGAACAAGCTGATCGTCGCAACTATCACCAAAAAAGATCTCTGCCTTTGGGATCCGATTTTGGTCGCTCTCATCGTCTTGTTCATGAACCAGTACTGGTACGCAATAATTCCTGAAGTTCCCCTCCTGTACCTCGGAGTCGCCTACTCCATCTTCAATCTCGCCACTTATTTAAATAGGAACTTGGTCGAATTACCTTTTAAATTTTTTGTTAAAATTGAAGAATTACGGATTGGTTTACGAATAATTTCAATATAATATAAAACTAACATGAGCCTATATTCGACCATGCCCAAAGCACTTACCACCAGATTGCCGATTGTTTGGACGTTAACATCTTGACGGTCAAGGAAAAGTCCAAGAAACAATGAACGCAATACGGAAACTACTTGATCGTCGTATGTTCTTCATCGTTCTCTTCAATGAAAAAATAGTCTTTGCAATTATCTGATTTTCTCTATTTCTATGTCTCTGTTGTAGAAAGAGACAAATTCAGCTCTCTTTCTAATATTCTTCGTGACTCCTTCAAAACATGAATAAATATATTTAATTCGGAATTCTAACCCTGCGTCGCTATTTTCTTTTCAATTATGCAATCATGGAAGATAATGTTAGGAAACTATTTATTTCTTACGGGAGACATAGAAAATAGTACGGTTCAGTATAAGAAAGGTATAGTGTTGAAGTAGGAAGAAAGAGAATCTATGGTGAAAGATGACAGTGGGCGCAGACACATATAGATAGTAAAAGGTCCTCTCGGAGTTTCTTGGCGTTCTTCTTATTCGTCGTTACAATCGTCTTCTTGCTCTGCATTCATCCTTTTTAGCAATTCGTTGGATGATCGTCGACTTTCGACCATCGCCTCCGCTTTTTCCAAGTCAAAAGTAAAGACATCTTCATTGATTGGAGTGAGAAGAACATGACAGTAGGCGTTGCGAATTGTAACATGAGGACCACTGAAGAAAAGCTTGTACATCACCTTCGTAGCTGTGTCCGTGCCAATAGTAAAAGGGGTGTCATTTGGTCGTTGCAGCATCACCATTCTTCTTACGTTGACGAGCTCGTCGATCCGAGTGAGTTGATGCTCGTCTTTCTCGCAAAACACATGAGGAGTTGGGCCAACGTCGAAATCTGTCCAGTAGGAGTCTTCCAGCTTGATTGATTCTCCGCCGTAAATGTAGGATAGCCAAAATAGGCATTCAGTGTGGTCAGGGCCGGCGAGCTGCTTTGGAAATGAATAACCGCAGGAGAGGTGGACTTCATACTTGCCTTTGTCGGAAATCATCCTCAGTTGAAAGTCAGGATGGCCTAGGACTCGAGTGAATTTGACGATTGCAATGTCTTTCATTTTTTTCTTTTACGATTATTTCGGAATTCATGCCAGATTATATCCGTAGTAAACCCGAAAGATGGCGCAACATGCGAGGAGTAATCAGCGGGGGATAGACGCTATCTCACAAGACAGGTGATTATCTCCGCCATCAAATTTCGTACATCCGCTAAGAAGTTCTTAGTAAGAACTACAAACCGAACCAAATAGACAAAACTTTCAGCCATAATCACAATTGATAAAAGAACGACACCGTATTTTGTCAGAGTTTTGGGGTTTGTATTTAACAAAATATATTTTTACAGTGGCAGTTCAGCTTTTCAAGAATTTTCCGTTTCGTGTGTCAAAGTTGGAATGTTCGCAAAGCTGGAATAAATATGAACTTGAAGTTGTCGACCTGGGGCCGTTTGGCTAGTTTGTAGAGGTAGAAGGTGTTTTTTATAAACATTTACAGTTGGTAGGGTCATCGGTTGATAGTTCCTTCTATGGTCGGTCTTCAGTAGATAGGCGCGGGCAAAGAGTACTCGTTTGGCTCGACTTCAAGTGTCATTTTAGAAGCAAACTCGAGACGCTGGAGCATGAGGAGCAGTGGATCACCGTCGATGCGGCGCAGTCCACAGTCAGCCGCACTCAGCTGATCAAAGACAAAGTCGTTCTTCCACTCAAAGCTAAAAGAAACGATTAATTAAGCTCGTGATTCGACATGTTAAATGTCAAAGGGCCGTTAAATTAATATCTATAATAGCGGGCAACACATTCTCAGGATCGTTTCCGCTTAGATGCGAAAGTAGTTTTTAATCACTTACTTGTTTTTTATCCAATTGACGATGTCGAACCAGTCTTGTCCTTTGTCTCCATATTCTCTCACCCCCTCAATGATCGCCGCAAGCATGTAAGGCCTGAGTCGCTGATTCCACAGCCGAACAAACCAATTCTGGAATTCGCTCGCATTCCAGGGGCAAGTCTCGTACCAAGCGGATCCTAAAAGTATGGCGTTAATCCCGTTCCGATTTTCGCTAATTCAGTACCTATTTTTGCCTGGGAATTCTTGTAGGTGATAAGCATCATATTTATCTTTTCATGGAGATTCTCAAGGAACTTGATCTGGTTGTTGACGGAACGGCGGGCCTTGACTGGACCGTGCATGACGACATGATTTGCGTATTTCATTCGCAACTTCATGGCTAAATCAGCACCCCCGCAAACCATTTGAACAACACTAAAGAGGAGGGTTAGTTAAATTCTACAAAGCAGCATTCTATTAAACTATCGTTCTTCGGAAGCGCTCAATCCACGGGGCAATACACAAGCTCCGCCGCGATATCATAACTCGATTTATAGCGCGCGGTGCACATCAAAAGACCGTATTTTAGAAAGAAAAATGTCAAAAGAACTCACTGAAATATTTCGGCGCACTCAGCGGAAACTTCGTTCTCCTTTCCGATTGCCACTACGATCGGTGTCTTCCCCGCGATCGTAAAGTCTTCAGAAGATCCTGCTGCTCGACTAGGGCGATATCAACGATGAGGATGATTGGCCGATCTTGCTCAGCTTCTGGTTCGTCGGAAAGCGGCTCAAACAGCGCTTGCAGGGCTTCCATGTCCTTGACAATGCCAGCTGTTTTGATTGCATGGTGGGGAATGTCCTTGGATGCCTCAACAGATAGTTCCTGACAGGCGAGAATCTGTGCGATTCGGCGAGCAAGATCTTTCTTGCTATCAGCTGCAGTTCCAGAAATGAGAATGCGACGAGACTCGATTGCAGCGTCGAATATTTGAGAAGCTTTGCTCAAGTGAATCGCCTCGTTGAGAGCAATTGCAGCGGCGAAGCTAACCCGAACACAAGCACTTCCATTGTTGACCTGGAAATATTCGTTAAATCAGAGACAAGGAAACAATTGATTCAATCAACCGCCGTTTACATGAACTTTTCAAACTCACCTCAGTTTTGACGATCGATTGCGCTGTCAGTCCAAACGATTTTTCGTCCATTTGTTTCAAATACTCTTCGAAGACAACGTGGATTTCCGCTTCGACATCGTCGACGTCATCCGTCGACAAGTGGCCGATGACGCGTTTGTCGTCGCTGAAGGTTTCAAGATAGACTGGTACTTTCTTGTCGTCACTGTCGGAGGAGAGATTCTTCATCGAGGAAAGCGTCCCGTTTGCGAATGAGGAGCGATTGCAAATGTTTCCGTTAGAGTTCTTTAGCAGATCACGCTCTTCTCGTAGAGCCTTAGAGTAAATATTTTGGAAAAAGATTATTTCATCGTAAAAATACCTGAAGCTCCTCAAGCAGCTGATCTCTTTCGTGTTGATACGAAAGCGCAGCCAGGCGAACATCGGTCAGTCTTCTGTCCGATTCCTTCAGTTTCTGGTCCTTTTCTTTGATAATATTCTTCATTTCATCGACAGACTCGTTGGTCTCGGAAGTATTGATGGACTCGTCGTCATCTATGATGCCCAGCACTTCGCCGCAAGAAGAGCGCGATGCAGATGGATACTTGCTCGATCGGCTTTTGCCAAAAGCAGAACGAAATGAATCGCGCAGCTGAAATAAATTTGTCAAACTCACTCAATCGAAATATTATTTTTTCTGGCAGTGTGAAATGCGCCCCGTTTTGTTTATATTATTTTGGATCCCACGAAGTCGAAATTTTTCAGAAAAAGAAAAGTTTCTCACAAAAAAAGATTTTACATGGAATGATTGTCGATGAGAAAATAATATTAACCTGTCGACGCATGGACGTCTTTCGCCCTAACGTGGACTCAAACGACGTTGAGCTGAGCGGTTCATCAACCATTGAAACGGGCCTTTTATCGTGCTATATCAAAATGTTGAAATTTTGTTTCTCTATTTGTTGATTTCTCGATTTAATTTTTCAGAAATCTTGTAATCCGAATATTTCTCTCACTATTTGAAAAAAGTGGGTATCGATTCGGATTGGGAGAAAAAAGCGCGAAATTAAAGATTTTGTACGATAAAACTTTCGATTCACATCTGTCAGAGAGATGCACGCATTTCGCCCTGGGCATGCATTTTCTGATTCTCAACTGTCGAGTTGAAACTTACCCAGTTCTTTCGATCGTTGCGTTTGCGCAGCTCTTCGAAGCTGTTGCTGCTCGAGTTGGACGCGTGGGACGAGATCGAGGTCATGCTCTCGGCGGGCACAACTTTTTCGGTCATTGTGGGCGAGTTGACGGCCGCTTCCTTCTTCGACTCTTTACATGCGCTCGTTTCAACTGATTCTGCGTTTGTCTCTGTGATGGTGTCGTCCTTTTCGTTGGTGTTCTTGCTTTCTGGCGAAGAGATTCGGAATTTCTGCAGTTGCTGCTCGAATGCGGCGCACACAGTTTGCTGAAAGAATGTTACTTTCAATTCACACACAAAAAGCGAAGAAAAAAGGGATGAAAGGACCCTCGAAAAAGGGATGAATAGAGTCCCTACGCAGATCGATGATTTTGAATGAACCTAGGAACCAGCAAGTTTGAGAACTCGAGGGGATTGTTTTCAGAGCATTTTCCAACAGCTGATCATGTGAGATCATTGTTATTGTGACGCTCCAAGTCCGGCTAGAGGGGGCAGAGCCTAAGCCGTTTGAAATCGAGAGGACTCGAGTTTCCTTCGTCAAAGGCGGATTCGGGAAATTGCCTCGTGCTCGAGCCACTTGAAAAGACAATTGTATTCGAATGCGAGTTAGCCGAGCTGACATAACGAGCTCTGATTGTGGCGAATTTGGGAATACAAGCAATAAAAACATTTTTTTTTGTTTTTTTGGGTGTCAATGTCAATCTGTATTTGGATTGTGCAAATGGAGCTTGCGAGTTCAAGGGCGTACGAATTGCGATTGCACTTTTTTGAAGCAGATCAAACAACGGAAAGCCACGCTTTTGGAAGAATGAGGAATTGTTATGGCTTCAGCATTTCGAATGCTGAGGCTTACATTCTGCGCGCAAGATCGATTACAGTCAAATTGACATAACGGCAGCGTCAAACTGTCCGCGAAACGTTAAAACACCCGCTTTGAATATCGATTTTGAGTTAAACTCGGAAGTTACCTTCGCTTTTCGGATTGAGGCCGATCGCTCCAGTGTGCCTAAATTGGCGCTGAATTTGCGCGATTTACTCGGCTTCAACGCCACGGCGGAGTCGTCCTTTGGAAGTGTACTGTCCGATTTGGTGGTTTTGGACCGCCTTGGAAGGGGCATGGTACTGTAGTTCGGCTTTCCTCGACTCAAAGAAGGAAGACTTCTCCGCCGCTGGACCTTGGCAGCTCTCTGCTCTTCAGAAGCGGAACTAGACGAGCCCTTCCGTATGGAATTCACTCTCTGCAAAAGTCTCTGTGGAGAAATATCCATCTTCTTTCTTTAATCAAAATCTCTTGCTGTTGTTTTTTATTATTTCCGTCGAAAATTTCAAAATATGGAATTTTAATTTTATCTGTCTCCTTTCTGGTCAAGTATCGGAGAACAAGCGCTGGGGCAGTCGGAAACCGCCCTCGAGCGCCCCCGCCTGAGTAGCGCGTTTCCGTCAAATTTATACGCTCAAGCGAAAAATTTTTTTATCACTGGACCGTTCTCGACATCAACGATGATAACGATCGTCAGGCTGATAAGGCAGTAAGTACATGTGTTCTCAGGAGTTTGTTTTTACTGGAAAAGGAAAGATAATGATTTCGCGCTTCCTCTACAATTTCTCACGAGGCTTTGCTCTGACTGATTGAAAAAGCTACTAAAGTAAGTAGGAAACGCAGAATTCGAGACCGCTGGAAACAAACGAACTTAGAAGGCGATGTTGTCAAAGGAATAGTTGATCAATCAAATTTAAGAATTAAGCTGTCGTTCCCGTCCCAAATCGTAGCTTTTGACACCTTGATAGGTCGTCCAGTTCATGGCGGATTTCTTCCGGGCCCTTTGGTCTAATCAAGGATAATAGGACCCCTATCTAGGTGGCCTCGAATCACGTCGGACTTGGCACCGGGCCGACGACGGTGGGTCTACGTGTGAATTATCATAGCAATGGCTTCGTTCGTTAATCGACTGCTCTACTGTACATGTGCATTTCTAACTGTAGCTCGAGTGTTTGAAAAGGACACGAGCTGCTGCCCCTTTCCCAAAGGCGATTATTTAGATAAACTCTCAATCTTCTGTCAAAATTGAAGGGCATTCAATTAAACAACATTACAAATTGAATTACACTTTGCAGCTTCAAAATTACTGTAGGAAGGGAAAACTGGATTCTGTTAGTTTTAAAAATCGGGTAGCATGTTTGTTTTAACTTGCCCGTGAACATCACTCGACCGGAAAAGCAAACTTCGCTGCCCTTTTTTGCAATTTCAATATTAGACAGATAAACACGCAACATCCCAATTAACAATGACGCTCAACCTTGATAGCGAGAGTAAAGTGCAAAACGAACCCTCAAGCTTGGAAAGTCCGTTTATCAAAGTCGGCGGCTTGACCGGCTTTGTGTATTGTCCCCTAGTTTTCCTGACAAAAGAGAAAGGACATGCTTGCTCGTCATGATCGCGGCTTGAGATCAATCCCCCTCGAACCGTACTCGAACAAAATACATTATCCGTTTTTATCAATTTTAACCTCTCCGCGTGGCGCCCCTCTTATACAATAGAAGAAAAAAATCAGCATAATTACAGAGCGAGCTCCTAGGTTCGCATCGATCGTAATTTTCGTCGATTGAGCCCTTTCATGTTCCTCCTCTTAGCGGTCGCTTTTCAACGCGAGTAATTACGGGACTTACGTTTTGTTCGAGCTGACGTTCTTTTGAGTTTATCTGCTCCTGAAGCTGCGATATTTTGGACTCGTAGTTCTCCAAATAGTTCCGGAGGCGGAAAATCTAAATAATTACAGTAAGCTATCGCTCATTAGAATCCAATTGAATAGTAAAATAAAAACTCTGCAGCTGAATAACTCCGCAAGCACCTGTCTAACAGGTAGATAGGGCTCTGTTAGCAAGCGGTGTTATCAGCTGATAAGACAATTTTTTAGAGCGCTTGAATCTGACTGTAACTCTGGCTCACCTCTTCTCTGTCTTCTGGATTTGAGTACAAGCTCACGCGAGATCCCTTGTAAAGTGAAGCGTCGTTTTCACCTAAACACGTTGACGATGTCTGGATATGCCCTGTTTCCGCTGTTATAAATTTCAAGCACACTTGCGGACAGTTTTTCGCGAGATAAAGATGCTTTCAAAATCAAGACAGGTATTATGAGAGACAATAATAGCTAATTATGAGATTGGTATTCATTCTATCGACAATTATTTTGATTAGATTATGTATACTTGCTTAACATTGATAAACATGCAGTTTATCAGAGCTGAAGCCCTGTTGGTGGCTCCCAGCTGAACATCTGGGCGATATTCTCATGCATTCACAAGGGCACGTTCTCTGATATTGCCAAATTCCGATGTTGAAAGCAGCGATGTTGAGAGTCAGGATTCTCTTACCTTTGAGATTTTGCGATGAGAAGGATCGACCGTAGTTTCGAGGCATTGACTGGTAGTAAGGATAGCGCACAGAAGGCGAGACTGTCGGATTGTTACTCTCCGTTTTTCTCAATGAATGAAAGTCCCTGAGAATTGGTCAGTTTTGAAAATATTAGAGTGATAAATTTCAACTGAAAATTTTCTCTGGTTTATGAAAAACTCGGAGCGTTTCTCACAAAAAAGACGCGATTTTTAATCACAAGGTAAAACTTCAAAGGTCATCTAGTAGCTACCAATTTTGCCTTACCGTTTAGCGTGGAAAGAGCGTCGTTGTTGAGATCGATTAGGAAGAAGGGACTTTCTCTCGTAAGTGGTGTCAGAATGAACTGATTCTGGTGGAGTGGAAATCAATCGCCGGAGAGGACTCTTCTTTTCGCGCAGAATACCTTGATTTGGCCGAGGGAGGATAGAACAAGAGCTGTCTGATGAATTCTCCGCTTGGATGGCGATTTTCTCTTCATGAACACTGAGAGATTTCGTCTTTGCCAGCCTAGCAGCAACTTTCGATGACCCGAGCCGTTTCCTCTCCATTTCTGAAAGAAAATATCAATTTCAGCTCAATGCCCTGTTCAGAGCGGTGTGGGGAGATCTCATTCGTGTATAATAAAAAGAATGATTGACCAATCTAGCCAAGTTCAAAGATAAACTAAACTCACCAGGATCGCCAGTCGGACTACGAGGATTCGTCGAGCCGCTGGAGCAAGAAATTTCATCCGTAAGAACATCCTCATCTGGAGAAGAGAAGTCATCCGGGTCCCATCTGAAAAGTCGGATTAGTTGAAAATTATCAAATTAGATTTTCTCTGACCCTAGAATTGAGAGAGAGAGGCGGTGTATCTTGATGTCCGATTTAGAGAGTCTCTTTGAAAGCCGTCCCCGTTTGAATGGGGACTGGGCAGTAAAGCACTTGAAAAGCATAGACAAAATTGTGTTCTGTCTTGTATCGGTTGGTTATTTTTTGTGAATGAGCTTGTGAATGAAGGAAAAAAATATAGCTGCCGAAGACCAAGCAGGGTGGCCCGGTGATAACGCTACTAAAAGACAGCGGGAAAAAGAGAAGTCTGACGTATTCCTCCTCTCGTATCGTTACTTCAAAGGAGTGAAAAATCCCTTGATTCTTGTATTAGTGTCTCGTTTTTATTAATAAATATGGGATAAATCTTAGCTCGTACCTGTAATATTTCGCCCATTTGATAGTGTTCTCTAAGTGAAGCTGTGCTCCAGAGAAACTGATTCTAATACCTAGCGTGCTCATGCTTCTAACATTTGCAAGTTCTCTTTGAAATTATAAAAGTGGCTGATCGGCGAGCGATCTGACTCGCCGCTGAGCGTCAAAACTAGGCTCAGTCTGGACTTGAACATGCCAAAAACTGTCCACAGAATAGCTTAATTTCCTTTCCTCTGACCGCACTGGAAAATGCGGCTTTAAATCTCAATTAGCGCCTACCCGCAGGAATATGCTAAGACTGATATTGAATCCTTAAATCAACGTAGTAATTTGACATAAAACTGAAACCTTTGGCAAAGAAGCAAGGCAAAATTCAGCATTTTCTCTGCTTTTCATTTGGAAGCAAATAATTCCAAATCAATGATGAGTTGGAGCTAAGTTGGAAACCAGCGCTTTTAGTGGTTACATCAGAGTCTCTCTCTTGTCAATATTTTATTTCTTTTCTTGAACCGCCTCTTTGCTCAATACTCAATAAATGCTTACCTTTCGAGTCGCTGGAGTAGATCACTACGTTCCATCGCCCGTCGGACAGCACTCAACGCCGGATCGTCTACTTGGACATCATCTAAGTCCATTTCCCCGCTTTCAGAAATTCGAGGAGTCGTGTACGAACAAAACAGTGAGTTTGGTCGAGGTCTTGGACGCGCTCTCGGTGATCGCGTTTGAACATCTTTTAATGCTTCGTACGATTTCGTTCTAGCGATATTCGATTGAAAAGATTCCACCATCAGAGAAATCTGTGATGCAGTATCGGAAGCTGTAGGCGAAGTTGCAGACTTGAAACAATCATCGTCATCATCGTCGTTGAGGTACTCGTTGTTGTCTCCATTTTTGACCGGGGACTCTTTGATAAAAGACTTCGTATCGGATAAGCATGACGATGCAGATGTGTCTGGGCGGTCGGAGCCCTCCTCTATCGTTTCTTTGGAGATTTCTTTGACGGAGAGATTCAAGTCGATTTCTTCGTCGACGACCATTTCGTCACCGACGAGGTCGATGATGCTAATTTTTGACGACATTGACGGATTTCGAGCCATATTAGACGCTATTGAACTTGACGTGCTGGGCTTTCGTTCTTTTTGTACAAGAACAAGGCTCTTTGGGCGAGCTCTTGTTGTAGAATCTTCGGAGAGGACAGAATTTTTGGGTGGAAGATCTGGGGGAGTTTCATTAGATGGCGACTCGATATCGATCAGTGCAGGATTAACTTGAGGATCTTCTTGGTCAACTTCTGGCACATTTCGCTTGATTTTAGGGTTACTCGCTGGAAATTGCGACGATAATTTTTAGGCACTTTTGGCGAGAATAAATTTCCAATTGACCGGCGCTCCGTTCCCGTTTGCGTTTGCTCTTTTTCAGTAGCGACTGGTTTTTCAGGCTTGATGTCGAGCTGTGGTTTCGAAACTTTCATTTGCTTCCGTCCAAATTTAGGCGACATTTGTGAAAGCTTCGAGAAAGTCGAAGCGATTTTTGACTTTCCATCTCCCTTTGAAGGAGCAGTTTTAGGACTTGTAGGAAGGTTCTTTGTAGGTGGTTCAGGAGATTTATCGCTTGTAGATGTGCTTCTTTGAGGTAATGGCGGCGGCTCGACTTTCTTCGTCGCCGTTTCTTGAGGTCGCGCATCAGATTCTTTCAGAGTTTTCGGTTTCCTTAGATTGGACGGCCTGGTTGAGCTCGATTGCGAAAGTCTTCGTACGATTTGCTGGGAGGAAGTTGATGCTGGGGCAGGTGCAGCTGGGGCTACCCTACTCTCTGATTTGGAGGCGGAGACGTAAGGCAGTCGGGTCCCATGGGGCACTTCGGAGGCAGCTTTGGCAGTTGGGCTTTTGATTCCTGTTTTGAAAGTTGGTGGCCTAATACGCGATGAAGACATAGAAGAGGACTCGGTTGATAATCTTGAAGAAGTCGTCATCATTTCTGTTGTCTCCTTCTTCATTCTTGTTGATTTCAGGGGGAGGGAGGTAGGTTTTTGGATTTGACTTGTGCGAGCAGTTTGTTTTGCAGGCGTTTGCTTTTCAGGCAACTTGGGTGGCACTGGTTCAGCAGGGTCTACTGATAACTTTGAAGTTGTGCGCTGCGGCGGAGCTGGCGCGGTCTTTGGGCGGACCAGCCCCTTTGTTGACTTTGTCAGTTTTGAGGGAGTAGAGCAAGTCGAACTTTTACTCGTACCGACTGCAGATCGTCTCGGTGGTTTAGATGCATTTGTCGATGCTACCGAGGATGCGCGGGATGAGTTGGAGGCAGATCGCGGTCTCGGAGGCTTCTTTTCTATTTTCTCTCGCATCTCCGGCTCTAAAAAGATGATAAAAAACGAATGCAAAAAATAAGGAATCTACCTAAGTTAAAGCGTACTCTACTCATTTGAGGGAATATTGCGATTCCAAGTTCAATTACGCGTCCATAATTTTAATCTATGGCGCACTAGGGAATTCCTACTCGATGATTACTCGTCATTAAAAGTAGTTCACCGCAAAATGGAGTCCAGTGGATTCTCTACGAATACAAATATGGTATCTGTAAATCATTGCCTCCTTTTTCGGCGGGGTTTAACATGTTCTCAGATCTTCTGAGACATTAAAGATTTACGGATACTATCTGAGCAATTATTGATCTCAATCATGAGGCCAATGGTCGTGTGCCTAACTACGAGCCCTGCCCTCTAACGTAAATGAGATGTTGGGTTCATAGGCGGGAGGAATTAGACAAAACCAGCCACTTATCCGTATCGATTTAACTCGACCAACATCTGGCCTTCCAAAACTCTCCTGATAACTAACTGATCCTCCAGTAAGATCGTGACAGAAGCTGACCACCCAGTCAAGCTTATTCGAGCGATAATATGGATGGAACTTACCGCTGGGAGTTGTCGGTGTCTTGCTCGGTCGCTGGAAGCCAAAGCCGGACTTTGGATTAGCCTTTGGCTGCCCAACTTTGGATTCGCTAGCTGCACCTCTGTCGGGAGTACTTTTTACGGCACTGGGGAGATTTCGCTTTGGTAGTCGACTCATCGTCCTAAATAGCATTTGTTATGACAAGATCTTGAGTTATTAATCAATTTCCAAAACATGAGCACTTGAACGCATATTCTGCCACTGGAGTGTTTTGGCAAGCGCTCAAATCTAGTACCGGGCAGCGACTCACGAGGAATACTCGAACATGGAAATGCCGCTGCTCAACAAAGAGAAACATTTTCGTTGAATACTCAGAATTAACGAGTGAAATTGTGTCAATTGTTGAAATTATATTTGAAAATAGACTTTAATATGTAATACTCACGCATCAATCTCTCCTAGAATAAGATCTACTTCAATAAAAAACTGTTCGTCTGCCAAGTTATCTCTCATCGCTTCAGAAATTCGAAAATCAGCGAAAAAAGCGAAGAGTGTTTTTTGAGTTTGCTCCCAACTGTGTGCCCAGATTTTGGGCTGTAATTAATCCCGCTTATAGCAGATCGATGCGGGAGTGTTTTCAATTCCATCCCGCTACAATATCCTTAATCAGCTGGAGCTGCTCGCCTTGAAAGGCTCGAGCGCTTTGGGCACACAGGCCACGCTCGCATGGGCTCATTCGAGTCCCTTGGGAAGACCTTCAAGGGATTCCTAAATGTCAGGACCGACGGGTCGCATTGAATTTCGAGATTAATTTTTAATGCGCTCAATACCGAAAAATCGTATGCACGCTACGGTACTGGAAAGTCTTTTTAGTTTTTTACTTACAGTGATTTTCTGCTTGTTGGTATCTGTGGCGGTTTTATTTTTGTGATCGCTTGTTCTTTTCGTGTCTCTCGTGGCTAAATGAACCAAAATTAGATGTCAGCTTTGCCCCTGTGTGCCCGATAGGAAGATAGCCTCTTCCTTGATCTCATTGAAAAATAAAAATATTTTGGGCCCTTATCGCGGTGTCGTACTCGAGTCATAGCTGGTCCAGAGTTATCCAGAGTGGCCGACATTGCCTTCGTCAAAAGATCACAGTCCGTGAAACAACTACCTTTTGTCCCCAAGTGTGTTTGCGTTCGTGTACATATCCGGCCGCTCAACTAGAATGAGCACTTTCAATTACTTTATTTACCAGAACTCAAGTACTCTTCACAATTAAAGACAAGCTCCAACTACCGGCACGGTCACTGTTTGATGACTGTATATTTTTCACATACAATTTTTCTAAGTAAAAGTAAACCACTCTTTTATGTTAATAAACGGAAGTTAATTGTATTACCAAGAAAAGATTCATTTTCTCGAGTGGCCACTTGTGCAAGAAAGCGTTGAAATTAGGGTTTAGCGAGGGTGAGCACCTGGAGAAAACGCTAGAATAGGAGCGAATGGAACGTCCGAAGGTACTTGTGATCAACCAGGTCGAATTACAATGAGTGACTTCCGGCTGCGCGAGTGTAATCATGAGAATAAATTTAGAAATAAATGACTTTTACAAAGAATCAAAATATCGAATAGCGGATGCTCTTTGTCAAAAGCATTTATCAGAATCGAGAATTGGAAAATTCCGAAATTCCTTGTTTGGCATTTCTTGGACTAGGCGTGAGATTATCGTGCTGAGGCCTTTATCAACTGACCGCAATTGATGTGAGCTCGACCGCGAGAATGGGCGCAGGTTGGCTGCGTTCCTACTTTTTGCTCACTTTTGAAGAAATTTTAGGATTTCACGCGCCGTCGCGGTGAATTCGCCAAGGCAGTGCTCTTTGATGGTCCTGACTGGGATCACTTCTATCCGTTTCCGGATTATCCCGCGCAAAGAAAATAATAGGCAGAGGCGAAGGTAAGAACCATGAAAGAGCCGAAAAAGACTCTTGAGATCGAGGAAAAAATGACCAGGGCGAAAAACTCTCTGGAAATAATCAACTAGTTCTAACCTGTTGCTCAGTTCGAGGCTTCGCATTCTCTTTTTCTTCTTTGTATCGGGATAGGTTGTAGCAAAAAGCGAGGACTGCGTCTAAGTCACCGTCCAAAATTCCTAAATTTTCATTTTGAATATTCTCCGATCCCTTTATTTTCCTGCCTTCGAGTCCATCTGTTCGACATTGGATTTTTGAATATTTTAACACATTTTTGGAGACTCTTGTAGGGCCCTTATAAGGAAAATTATCGATTCGCGTGAAAAAAAAAACCGGACAGATTGGGCCCGGAAGAAATTCGCTGCGTTGAAATAGGTCAATAGCCGAAATTTTGATAGCAAATGAAGCTAATTTAGTATCGACGCGGCTCAGAGCGCAACACATGGCGTCTTTGATCCCTCTAAGCGAGGCAGACGGCTTCTCAAAATGAGAAATTGCATAGAGGGTTTTTAGTTATTCTCGAGTACTTCGTTCTGTCACGACCGTAAAACCTACTTTCTTTATTTGCTGGTGGTAAATAGAAAGCGTTCAAGATTTTCAATTTCGTCCAGTTAATCGCAATGAATTGAGTTTCAAAAAAAAAGTTGACAGGTATGGGCTTGTGTTTTGATCTAAGCGAGCAGGATGATCTCGGCTCTGTTGCTTCTCGCCAGCTGAGTTTTTAGTAAATTGGAAAACTCTGAGAGCGCACGGCAGCTGACTCGTCTAGATTATCCCGCACCGCCGAACATGAAAACGAGAAATCCCCATTCTGTGCCAAAAAAATAGCAACACTCCGTACGCCGACTTTCCTTATCCAATAAAACACCTAAAATATGGAAATCAAATCTCCACCGTCTTAGGTTTTCTATTTTGGCTTCGGATCAAACGGAGGAAAATGAATTCCCAGTACTCCATGATTACGGCTTTGCTTCTAGGGCGAGTTAAAGGGTGTGGTTCCTCATGGAATGTCAATTAGAGGCGCGAAAGAAATAGTTTTGCCTTCTTTGAAATCAACCTTCTTGAGCTAATGGCCAATTTCAATAAGGAGTTGAGATTCGAAATCCTAGCACCCCCCTTTCTTGTGCTCATTAGAAAGAGCGCAAAAAGTTACGCTAGAAAATAGTACTTTTAGAGGATGAATCCCCGAAAATGACGTCACGATGACTCATTGAAGTTCCAAAAGTCCAAAACTTTGCCACGCTCTCATTTTTTTTCTAGAAATGGAAAATTTGAGTTCGATACAGGAAAATGATCGTCTTGAGCCACTCTACCTGAAGAGCTACATATAAAAGATCCAACTCAAGAAAACTCTAGAACTAAAACTAGAAAATTTTTTTTTCTAGAGGTGGATCTTTCAAATGTAGCTCTTCAGGTAGAGTGGCTCAAGACGATCATTTTCCTGTATCGAACTCAAATTTTCCATTTCTAGAAAAAAAATGAGAGCGTGGCAAAGTTTTGGACTTTTGGAACTTCAATGAGTCATCGTGACGTCATTTTCGGGGATTCATCCTCTAAAAGTACTATTTTCTAGCGTAACTTTTTGCGCTCTTTCTAATGAGCACAAGAAAGGGGGGTGCTAGGATTTCGAATCTCAACTCCTTATTGAAATTGGCCAATCCAAACCCTTCAAATTTGGGATTTTCCCATCTGGATAAAAATGGTTTCTATTTTATTAAAATTGTAAACGCACGAAGATAAAAATAGCTTAGCATTAGGTTGCTGCTTGAGAAGTTCCCAAAGTCCCTTGTGGAAATACAAACTAACCTTGTTGACCTTTCAACTTCCCATGCACGTCTCTAATAATAGAATCTTCTTTTCTTTAGGCTCTTATTATTGTTTTACCCTGTTGTGGTCAAAACGGGGGGGTTGTTTAGGCGAAAGTTTGTTTCAAAATTTTCGAAAAGGCGCCATGTTCGAACTTACTCTGCAAAAAAGGACGGTGCGCGTAGAGGGCGCTGCTGCGTCCGAGTAACCCGACGATGACTCATTCCTCCACCGCCGCCAGTCACCATGACGGGCTGCACTACTACGAGCATGCTCATCACTCGTGTCAACCCTTTTTCTTACTCATTGTGGATGATTCTAGTAGGCTAATCATTCAGTTCATGCAAAGAATTAGTTTACATATTCTTACATAAAAAGAATCATAATCTCAGAATTATTAAATTGAGTGCATTTTGATCGGCAGTGATTTTCGAGACAGCTCAGACTGATCATTCAAGAATCCCCGTTCGCGCTGCTGATTTACGAGGCCTCGAAAAGGTGGAATGTGCTTGTTAAATATTCCGATTTTTGGAGGGACTCGTCGGACAGCGCCGAACAAGAACAAAAACATTTGGGCAATACATTAATCATCAGATGCATTAATAGACACCCCGCTGTCTGCCAGAATCAATACTGATTAGCAGTAATTAAGTAATCCTTAGTAGAAAATGAAATATTCAAGTGATTTGTGGTCCGATGCACGGACAACAAAGCTCTTAGCCATATTTGTACGGATAGGTGTCTACAGCTTTGCCGAAGCGCATTTTATGCACTGAGGCGGATTTGACAGAGTCATCTGGTGGCACTTGGTGCTCGAAAATGCGCGCCACCAGTGGTATCAGACAATGTCACCTGCTGCGAGGAGCGATAAATAAAGTCAAACCGACCGGTGCCTGGCCCCTGGCCAATAAGAGCACTCTTCAGCCCTTTATTCAAGAAGTGGATTATAACATGAAACAGCGACTCTGTTCACTAAATGGCAAGCCACTTAGATCCTTCGATTTTGCTCTTGAAAGTCGTGGGATATTTTCTAAGCGGTAGATCTACGCGGTTTCAAAGCTCCCCCAAATGGAATTATTTATTCATTTCTAAGCGGTCTAATTTGAATGTTCTGTGATTTGCGGATGGGATATATGATTCTTTCATTCGCTAATTAGGATCTTCCATCATCATAGTTGTCATTGATTATTGTTAGAACACGCGCGAGGCTTGATAAACGACTTAGGAAGTGCCCAGTTGGCACGGGTCTTTCAATACCAAATAAGCACCCACAAAGTTGAATAAATACCCCGATCCAGTGAAAACTTGAGGGACTCTGAGCGATGATTATCCGGATATAACATTGATTCAATAATTTGCATACCGTTTGGTGAGCAGTCAGCAAGGTCGCATCCGCGCTCGCTCAGCTGTTTCAAAACTGCGCGCACGTGATCCTCCGATGTTTCGTCGAGTTTACGGCGCGGTCGCTCCCCAGCTGATTCAAGGTTAGCGTGTGCATAAAATGCAAAAAAAGGAACCCGGAGAAAGTTAGTTTCGACCTACTTGTCAAATAGACGAGCTCGTCTAAGATGTCTAAATTGGAGAGGTCCACTCTTATGTCAGAGACGCGTCCAGACAGCTGTTCTTGAGCCCAGCTCGTGTAAATCTTAATAAAATCCGTCATCGGAGGAAAATGTATTTGTCCAGTGATCGCACACTGCCTTCTCTCTGTTGGACGAAACTTGTCCGTAAACAATGAGCAAGGGATGATGGATCAGAGGAGCCGACTCATTCAAATATTTGTCGGAAGAAGAGGGAGGGATCAGCCTTAGACCACCCCCTACCGCAAGATCGATTGCAGTTTCACCACAGGATCCGCCTTACTGTAAAAACTTGTGACCCCATGTGGGCCCATTTTAAACCTTTTTTATAGCCCGACATTTTCACAAGTAGTTTGATTTTAGTCTTGCGGGAAATTTACCTGTAGCATTCTCATGTTGTTCCTCTGTAGCATAAACTTCATTATCTTCTGTCTTCTCTCCCGTTCGCCATAATCTCTAACTAAAAACAAGTGTTTTGTCGCTGTCCATGCTGAAAATGGGGAAAATAGCAAAGTGCATGTGTATCATGTCACGTGTTAGCTTTTGTTGCATATTAGTGTGTTGATGCCAAGGATCGAATATTTAAATTTGGTTATTGCCAATAACTAACTGTTTAGGATGACCTTTGGGAAGCGCAAGTAAAGAAAAATTGGGCAAAGCAGGGGCCTTAGGGGAGGAAGAAAATCAAATTTCGTCCTTGGCTCGTGCTCGGATCACAAGCGCCGAGCATCTGGCGGATAAGCCCACTTTAGTTTTGATTATCTTTAACTTCAGATTCTGAGCTCTGCTCACAGGTGCGCATCTTTGACTCGCTGCAATTGTCTTCTGACAAGGCCGCGATCGTCAGGAGACAGCTCATTACAATCACTGCAATAAAATGCACCAGCTAAACCTATTAAATCTTGCAACGAAGATCAACAAAACCCAACTCCTTTCAAGCGTTGAAAGCTCTGAAATGAGCATCTTCTCCCTGGATATTCTGTGACTTACCAAGTCCGAGAAACAGTCGCTATTTTCAAATTTCTTCGGGCTAATTATTCTTCTGGCATATCTCTATTTTACTTCCGGTATCTCTCATTCAAAAGTCGCTTATCAGTTTGGATCTTTTCGTATTCCGGGAAGCGAAAAAGTAAAGTCGACAGTGGCACAGTCGTGTTTTCCCGCGACGTGAGCGCCACCCGCGCGCACTCCGAAAAGGGTTTAGCAGCGCTTTTCACAATTTCTGGAGCGTTTTTGAACCCTCCTTTTGTGTGCCCTGCTTTGCCGGGGAAAGACTTATTAGTTTGAGACTATAAACCTTTTTATTATATATAGGCTGTCCGATTTACGAGTTCGCGCGGGGAGTCAATGCTATTTCAATGAGCGGAGTATGACTAGGTCTTAGCCCGAGGTCACTTGTCCACTGGAGAGCTTGAGCTCGAGCACACAATCATCAGATCGGATCGTTCAAGCACTCGATGCTTTATAGAGCTGAAAAGGGATGATAACAATCACCGTGCATAGTAATATTCGTAACACGTGGCTTGTACCATTCAGAATGGAGCTATTCTTACAACAACTTGAAAGAAGTGAAAAACTGTCAATCAAGAAGGCCTCAGAATTCGACGAGAGTGGATAAATATTGAGTCGCTTAATTAGAGCCTCGATTTACGATATTGCTTTGCTGGGGCTAGTTTCGAGCGTCTGATTTATAATCGCGATGGCTAAGTGCCACATATAAAGGTCAAGCGAGGTGGGTTTCGTCTGAAATGGCAAATTTGTCCCTTTGAGGTGAGTTTACGGCCTGCTACGATCATATTGGTGGGGAACTTTTATCACCTCAACATTTATCAATGGGAAGCACAACTGTCAAGCAGTTTCGTTTTTGTCGAAAAGATCAAATTTTCACTTTCACAAAATCATCCGCAATAAAAGCCCATTTAAAATTATAAAAGCATCGAGAAGATGAGCTAAAATGACACTTATTCATGAGCTTCTATTCTCATTTTCAGATTTGGCTTTGAAGTGATCAGGGAATGATTAAACAGGGCTGCAAGAGTTTCGCACGAGCAGTCGCGCGTTTCCAATCAATCAATGTCATTTTACGCGTGCACCGTAAATGTCGAGCCAGGAAGTTGCGTAAAAGAATAAAGCTTGGGACCCGAATGAACATGTCAAACTCAGCAAAAAGCGTCCCTTCGTAAGTGCCCCGGTTTTTCAAGCTCGAGTGATTGAAAATAACAGAATTACGAAAAACGGTTTGTACCTGAGCTAGCTTCGTACGGGTTCCAATCGTAAACGACCTCTTTATTTTCCGAAAAACTCGCATTCAACATACTTGAAGCAGGAGAAATGTGTTCGTAGTAACGCTTACATAAAATTAACTAAAGAGGAGAGGATCTAATTGTAAGGTCCAGGGGCGATTTTAGGATAGTTGAGTGGCCCCATTATCTGCGAGTTTAGTCGATGAATCAACACTGGAGTCAACGCCTTGACCCGCAATGGCGCCTGAAATTCAGCTTTCGTCTTTCCTTGTCCTCCACCTTCCTTGTTGAATTCGCATGAAATGATTTTCTTTCGATTCTTTTGTCTATCAGACTCCGGCTCAGTCTGGCTGTTAGCGTCAAGAGCGTTCTCGCGCCGTGTCGGACGGAGCGGGATCTTCTCGCAGGCAGGGATGTGCTTTTTGCCATTTTTTGGAGTGCGGTGCGAAGTGCGATTTTTTTCAAATTTTCATGCGCAGTGCGGCGCAGAGTGCGAAGAGCGGAAGATAAGGAAAATTGCGGAAAATTTTGCGAAAAAATTGCGATTTTCTCCGAGATTTCGAAAAAATGAGTAAAAGAGAGCTCTGAGAGCTTGAACTAAAAAACTTTTCTTGTCGCACTGCCTTCGACCCACTGTGGCCCGGTCGTTAAATGAATCGGCCACATAGCAAGAGGCCCCGAGTTCGAATCCCAGGCTTCTTCGCTATCTTGAGCTCGATGGGATTGACTCGGATGGGAAAGGGGGGCGAAAGGAGCACTGGACAATCAAATATCTGTGAAGGAGTCCCTCCCTTCTACTTCTAAAATTTAGAACTCTTATTTTGGAATTTTTGCGAACGACAAAATTTGCCAAATTTTCGCAAAAGTTCTCTTATTTCAGGTCCTCATATTTTGGAAAACCACTGTAGTTATCCGAAGAAAAATACTATTATGATTTTTAGGTCGCCGAAATTCTTCAAAAAGGAACCACAACAAATCTCTCAACTCTTACCTTCATGCAAGGAGCTGATCTTTCCCTATTTGGAATTGACGGTATTCGCGCAACCAGGGAAGATGCGGATACACTGGAGAAGATGGCTTCGAGCTTTCTATTCCGGCAGAATCAGTAGAAGAATTAACGCAGAAACTGATGGAGGATGGAGCGCTTTTGGCAGGACTTGGAGCGACGGATACATTGAGGTTGGAAGCTGGATTGTGTCTTTATGGGAAAGGGTTGAAAAGGGGGTGCGAGTCGCAGGTGCGGCGAATCTCCTTTTCTTATTTGGAGATGAGCAAAGCGAGTCCACATTGTGGACTCCACAACATAAGAAACGACGAGTCGTGTCAGAAGCGAACCGGGGAATTCGGCTGGAAAAAAACTTTTTCAAATCAAAATCAATGTATAAAAAGCCCTGTCCCACCAAGAAAGCTCACAAATATTTTTTTTATTATTTGGGAAGACGAGAAAACGAAGAGAATTCGTCGATGGGTTCCCAGCAAGAGAAGAGCCAAAAGAGCGCGGAAGAGATTCCAAACGTACAATTCCAATCTAAGGCAGATTCATCCCAAACTGAGGTAGAATGAATTGTTACATCTTTATATTATCCTTTGATTTAGACAGGTTCTGATGTCAGAGAGCTCTCCCAAAAGATGGAAGAGCTGTCTTCTCAAGAAAAGCCTGAAGAAGACGATGTTATCTGCCACGATAGCCAGGCTACGAAGGTCACGAAAAAGCGGCCAATCGATGACAATGAGAAAATACACCCGACAAAGACACCTCACATGGAAATCAAGGAGGAAACCAATAAACGTCCAGAGAAGAAAGCCAAACAAGATGATTCCTCTTCTTCTGATGATGAAGGTATGAAAGCGTAAATTCTCTATGTATAGACATTTTTTTGTTTTTTTTTAGGGTCAGATCTTGTCCAGCGAACTTTCGATGTTTGCGCTTGTATTCTTGACCTTCTTCGCAAGTACGACGTTCCTGATCGTGATCGACATGAAGCAATAAGTTTTATTGAGAAGAGAATCATTGAGGTAAGTTTGAGAAGCTAGTAATTTTTAAGTCTATAAAAAGTTAAGCTCGAAAATTTTCTCGAAGATAGAAAAGATCCACGTCCAATACAGCGACCTTGCAGAGTGACGGCTATAGATGGTCACAACGCATGCCTATTGGATTTATTAGAGATGCAAGATGAGCTTTTCCAGCTCAGAACGAAATTAACTCGGTCGTTTCAGGACATCCAAGCTTGCTTATCCATCTATAAAGCCACTCTGACACAGGTAAAAGCCACTTTCTAACAATTGTAAGCAAGATTGTCTTTCAGCTGCGGAAATTCAATAAATGATGAAGATCCCTGAAATTTATGCCCGATCTTATTTTTGAAAAATCACTTCCTGCTAAAAGTACACAACAGTAAAATTCACATTATCCTGCTTTATAAGTTATAAGTTTCCTGCACAAATAAAAACAAGACAACAAACAAAGACTCAACTGTTTCCTGTTCTGAGTAGTCGTTAACTTTTGTTGAACAGAAGACAGTTTTCAAGAGAAGTGAAAGACAAATTGATTTTATTCAGGATTTAGATGCAATTCAAGGCTGCATTCGGATTTCCGAATGCTGAGAGAGTTGAAGATCACATGCTACCCTCTAAAGGTAACATGTCATCGTCATCCGATACTTCTTTCTCGATGTTGCGACTTGAGTCGCTCTCGTCGCTAGAATTTTCGTTAAAATCGTCGTGAAATTCACGCATTACCTTTTGTTTTTCGCCGTTCGGACCTTGAAACTCCAAGGTGAAGTGACTTGAATGAGCAGCGAAGCCCTCACAACGACAACAATTCTAGAGAAATTGTGGAGTATATCGTCTCTTGAAAACAACCGCTTCTGTAGCGAATTCTATGTTACGTCATAATTGCGTAAGAAAATGATCGCTTTCCGCTGCATTTTCAGCTGGAATTAATTAAAACACCTATTTTAAATGTCAGCTAATCACAAGAGAAGAATTAGGCAATTTCGGAAATCATAGAGGAGCGCTGTTGACTCCGCGCTTCTGATTGGCTGGCGCGGCCGTTGACGAGAAAAGTCCTCCCTCGAGTTTTTCATCCAGAGGATGAGAATAGCTTTCCAACCCAATTAGTATCGATTTTCTGTTCTTTTTCGTCTTGCCCTTTGAACTTGTACCCCGTGATCTTTCGAGAACTATCCTTTATTTTTCTCCACTGTCTTCAAAAAACTTCTTTCAGAGAGGGCAAATTATGAAATAAAGAAAATAATAATGACAGAAACGAAGAATCACGAAGATCAAGAAGTCTTCCAAGGCGATATTGTCTCGTTCACCGACGGTAATTTCGTTAAAAGCGATTTTGAAAAGCTAATTTATGAATTCAGAAAATGGCAAAATCGTCCGCGGCGTGGTCGAAGTCTCCGGCCTCGATTCAGAAAGCGACATCCTCGAGAGCATGGAAAACGCCGAGCTTCCGAAAGACATGGTGAAGATCTTCACCTACCCTACTCACGAGCTCGTCGACAAAGAGATGAAAGACGTAAAGCTGCTCGATCGATCGCTCATGGTCGGCGACACTGTCAGACGAGGCAAGAGTGGCGAAATCGGCACTGTAGTCGCCCTCGAGATCGAAAGTGACGTGAGAGTTCTGGATACGAACATGGGAATGAAGAAAATTTCATCCAAAAGGTTTATTGAATCTATTTTCGATCCACTAACGAGTTTGAAAATAGATTTGAACCGTTCGTTCGCTTGAACGAAGGAGATAAAGTGGCTCACAATGGATGGATCGGACAGATTCGAGAGCTCGAAGAAGATAAAATAGGGTTGACGACGACGCACGGACGATTAGATTTGGAGGACGATGGTCAAATTAATCCAGACTTTCGCTTGCTTTCATCGAGAGGCGTTTATGAGCCAATTGCGGATTGGAGAAGGAACGAAGAAGATTCTAGTGTTTATCTTAATCAACAGGAAAGGCTTATTAATAACGACTAACATTTCCGAAAGGATGTGATTTATTTATGTTTGTATCTTTTGAGCCAATAATCAGCTCCATGGCGCCTACTCAAAAAAGGGAGACGATGCATTCGCGGTTGTGACCGATGTAGGCAACGGTGATGCTGAAGTCAACTGGGTTGCGTATGGACACAACGAGCAAGCGGAAATGCCGAAAAACGAGTGGTACTCTTCTGAGCTGTGGCAGTTACAAGCTCCGTGGCTCGAGGAAAATATTGCAAACACAGAGGGACAAGGAATCACGCTCGGGGCCCGTTACAAGATAAAATTAACAGACGAAGAAGCGAAGAGTCTCAACTTCTTGAGAAACAACCCAGAAGCTAAAGAATTCAACGGTTCCAAAGATGTTCAAGTTTGGCAGTCGCCTGAGCCGCTGCAGACAGAGAAAGAAGTAGAGATCTCTTTCAATGATGTAATTGAACTGCTGTGGAAGATTACCGACCAGACAGAAGACGAGACTGCGCCCTGGATAAAAATCGACTTCGGCAAATATTCGGTGATCACATACGAAGGCGAATCAATCTGCAAATATGACTCAAAGAGGGGAGAACGCGTTGCCGAACACATCAGCTGCTTGTTTGAACCGATTATCTTTGGAAAGGTCGACAAGGAAGGTACGAAGCAGGAAGTGGCGCGGCGGACCGAGCAAGTTTTCGCAGAAGTTGGAAAGATACTCGGGAAGCAGTTTGAGCCAGACAAGTTGAAGATACACATGAGTCAGTTCACGATGGAGTCAGCGGGCGAAGGAAAGTGGAGAAAGTTCAGAACGATCATTAAAGAAGATCCAAATCTGAAAGCAGCTCTGCGCGGCCAGGGCCACTCAAAGTACGAGTTCAAAAAAGAAAACTGCATTTCCGTCGAAGTCACCGACTATTTCGCCAAGTGCAAAGTTATGTGGCAATCTGGCGAGACTGGAGAATATCATTCCACACAACTCTTCCCTGCACTTCATATAAATGATCACGATTTCTGTCCAAGTAAGTTAAATTGTTACTCTTTTTGCTAATCAAATGTTAGCCGATTTCGTCGTTCGTGAAATACGCGAAAATCTTGAGGAGTGGGGAAACGTCATTTCTGTCGATTTCGTCGAGAAACAACTCGTCGTTCAGTGGCATATCGACGATCAAGAGAAAGAACGAGAAACAGTCTCCGTTTTCGATGTGGTGGACCACCCCGATTATAAATTCCGCCTAGGAGAGCTTGTAGTTGGCACGGGCACTTCTGACAGTAATCCTGCCGGTGTCGGAATGGTGCAAAACATCTTGCCTTCCGGAAAACTTGAGATCTTGTGGGCGGACAGGACAGAGTCTCTTGTTTTGCCGACGCATCTGATCTCAGAATATGTACTCTTTGGTGATGGCTATGATCACGATGATGACATTGACCCAGAAGACTATGCCGAACTAACTGGTTAGAAATTATCAGAATTTTCGATCCTGATGTTATTTTAAGATGGCGAAGGAGATGATTGTGATAGCTCGGATGGCAGTTGGGAATCAGAAGACAGCGATGTCGCAATGGACGAGGAGAGAAAACTTGAATTGGACGAAGAGCTCAAAGGCTTCATCAACGCCTCGGCAGGTCCATCTGAAGCGAAAAAAATCAAGTCAGAGGAGGATTTGGAAGCTCGCGTACTCGCTTATGTCTACGCCAACGGAACAGGTTCGGGAACCGTTATTTTTTAATCAAATTTGAATTTATTCTAAGAGGAAAGTTGTCTTGAAAAAATTGACAAGCTGGAAGACATAGACGAGGAGCTGAAACGAATAAAACAAGCAAAGAAGGAAGTCAAAGCTGAAATGGCGGCTGAAAACCAAAGATTGGAAGAGAAAGCAAATGAAATGATTGCGGAAATTACCGAGCCGGCTAGTAACGATGTGCCTCTTGATGAGCTTGGTGAAGGAACGGATTAACATGAACAGGTTTTTATCGCCTAAGAAACGTCTCATAAGTCCGTCAAAAGTACACTATTTTGAACTTCCGAGTCCAACTCACGCTTACTACAAAATCAAAACCGAACATCCCAAGGCTTGGTTCATCATTTTGTAAAGCAGAACTCTTAAATTGGATGAAAATGAGTAACCAACAAAAAAGTCATTTTTGAAAATCTACAACGCCGAAATAAAGCGGCTACAGACCTCGCTCCCGAAAGGAATTCACTTGTGGACCTATGAAAGTCGCCTTGATTTGTTTTCTTTTGCCATCGAAGGTATTAACGATTGCAAAACGAAATATCCTTACAGTCTTTTAATAGGGCCGGCTGGAACTCCTTACGAGTACTGTCTCTTCTGTTTCGACATCTGTCTTCCAGAAGGCTATCCGCTTACATCTCCCCCCAAGGTCCACTACAAATCCGCCATCAAGCAAAAGTATGATCCCCTATAATTTTGATTCGACTTGAGATTTTTTTCAGAATCAATCCAAATCTTTACGATACTGGAAATGTTTGTCTATCACTACTTGGAACATGGGCGGCGAAAAGAGACTCTGAAGACTGGAATTATCATTCAAATCTTTTGCAGTTGTTGGTATCGCTTCAAGGTAAATTTGAAAGATCTCTCCACAAGTTGAACTTATAAATTTAGGTCTAACACTCAACTCCGAACCTTACTACAACGAAGCTGGCTACGATCGCCAAAAAGACACTGAATCTGGCATGGAGAACGCCAAAAGTTACAACGAGTTTATCACAGTGAAGCTCTGCGACCACGTGATCTCAACTATAAGGTAAAGAATTGGAGGAAACCGCAGTGAGTAACATCAATGCTAGAAACCCGGGAGAGCCGTTTGAACAGCTCGTGAAAGACTTCTATTTCGGCTCCGAGCTTAGCGAAAAAGAGGGCATCTTGGGCAAGTTTATGGAAAAGGTGGAAAACTTAACAACCGAAAGCCCAGACGATCTACCTTATCCGCTGCTTCCTATCTCAAAAGGCTGTAAATCCGCACTATCAGGTTCTATTTTCTATTGATATTTATTTTTGCTAACCGCCTGCGTAGTGAAACTGGAAAAGCTGAAAGAAATCAAATCCGAAAACGGAGAAAAGTTCACCTCTCCCCTTGTCTAGTCCTATCAAATTTTATCCATCACTCATTATTTTTCAACTGCCTCAATTACTTCAACGGAAAAAGTTCAACTTCAAGAGTCTTAAGCCTAGTCACTGAAATAAACGACAAAAATAATATGTTTTTCGAAACTGTTTCTTCGCCTCACTTCCCCCTTTCAGAACGAATGTAACTTGATGAGCGGGAAACAGCAAAAATCCATCTTGTCGTTTTTCAACAAGACTCCTAATGCCAAGTCCAGCGGAGGGGTTACACCTTCAAAATCAAAGCCGCCAAAGACCAGCGTCGGGTCATCAGAAAAGAAGAAGAAATCGTAAGTTCTTCCACTGTAAGTCTTCTCTCAACCAATTCCTAGTCCTTCGTTGAAAGAAAATAGAAATGATCCGGTCGCGAAGAAGCTTGATCTCGGAGCCTCAGGCTCAAAGTCCAAGAAAGCTCGGATTGACGATGAAGAGTCGGAAGAAGAACTGAAGATACCGCCCCGAAGAAGTACTGGAAAGCGACGACGAGCAATAATTGAATCTGACAGTGATGACGATAAGGAAAGCGGCTTATGATTTATTTTAGACATTGCGTAATTCTCGATTATCTCATTTTTTGAAATTCATTACAAGCCCGACTGTAGGGTCCAGAAAAGAAACAGAAAAGCTCCCGGAAGCGAAAGGAATCCGAGGATGACGATTTCAAACCCCCAGGAGATGCCGAGGAATCATCGGATGATGCAATGGATGTTTCCATCGCTGAAAGCGAAGACGAGACGATGTCTGAGCCAGAAGAATCTCCAAAGAAGAAGAAAAAACCCGTTGCACGGGCCAAGAGTACTGCTGCTCCAAGAAAGCGAAATGTCAACACGACGATGAACGATATGAGCGTCTTTGCTGCGGACAATGACGAAGACGGCGAAGGCTCATCCGAAGTTGTATGGGCGCATGAAGAGCTAGAGTGGCTCAAACCCGAAAACATCAAGGACGCGAAGGGACGAAAGTACGATGACGTTAACTACGATCCAACTACACTGCATATCCCCGATGCCTACATCAAATCGTTGACTCCAGGCATGGGAAATTGGTGGAAAATCAAGTCCCGCAACTATGACGTAGTTATATTTTACAAGGTCGGCAAGTTCTACGAGCTTTATCATATGGATGCAATCATTGGTGTTCAAAACTGCGGCATCACCTTTATGAAAGGAAAGTTCGCCCATGCTGGCTTCCCCGAAATGCGATTCGATCATTTTGCTTCAATGCTCGTGACGAAGGGATTCAAAGTCGCCCGAGTCGAGCAAACTGAAACTCAGGATAACAACAAGGCCCGAGTCAAAGAGTCCAAAGACTGGAAGGGCGTCTCTAAGAAACTTGACAAATTCGAGAAGCAGACACGACGAGAAGTCTGCAACATCGTCACACCAGGAACACGAATGGCCGCCTTCAATACCCATGACGATCTCGGCCACAAAGAAGGCCTCTTCGCTTCTATCTTCGAAGCAGATAAGACTATTGGTGTTGCCTTGGTAGACACTTCCACGAGTGAGTTGATCGTTGGCCAGTTTGGCGACGACACTTTCTACTCAAACCTTCGGACTCTTCTCAGCCAGCGTCATATTTCCCAGTTGATGAAGCAGAAAAAAGCCTGCCTTTCACCAAATCTCTTCCAGGTGCTTTCGGCCACGAGCAAGGGAATTTGCTACGATGATCTCCCCGACAAGAGTTTCTTAGAGCTTGATAAAACGAAGAAGATCATTCGAGAGATCGAAACTGAAAAAATCAAAATGGATACGCTATTGGAAATCTGCGACGCGAATCCTGTTGGTGCGCAAGCTCTTGGAGCTTTGCTCACACAGCTCAAGCGATATGAAATTATCCATGAAGTGCTCCGAACAAGTTCCTTTGTGCAATACGAAACGGCGGAAAGGCTGACGAAGAAGGTTGTGACTCAGCAGCGGATGGTTATGGACGCTGCCACCTTGATCAACCTTGGAGTGACGCAGGGCGATGATCTAGGATCGACAAATGCCCCCGAAATCCGGATCGGGTTTTCGTCGGATTTTCTCGAAGTCTGATTTTTCCGATCGGGTTTTTGTCGGGTTTTCGTCGGGTTTTTATCGGATTTTCGTAGGGTATTTTTCGGGTTTTTGTAGGGTATTTTTCGGGTTTTTGTCGGGTTTTTGTCGGGTCTTTGTCGGGTTCTTGTCGAGTTGTCACAACACTGAAGTTGAATCAAGTAAGATGAATCCAAATGGGGGAAAATAGACATAATTTTTGGCTAACAGAATTTCGGGTACTGTCTTTAATCAAACTGATGAGTAGATCCGAAGAGAAACCCGACGAAAATACCCTACAAAAATCCGATAAATGACCCTATAAAAACCCGATTTTGTAGGGTCGCCAAAATTTCAGCGTCGGGTTTTTGTAGGGTCGGCAGAATCCAACAAAAACCCGAGAAAAACGTCGGTTTTCGATCGGATGTCGGGTGGGACTTGTCGATCCTAGGCGATGATGGATCAGAAAGAGGGTCCTTGCTGCGCAAGCTGGACACGTGCTGCTCTCCTGGAGGAAAGAGAAAACTTTGGGAGACAGTCATTTCTCCTCCTGCAAACGCAGATGTCATTCGACATCGTCAAGGTACGACAGATATAACTAGAAATCCCATATTCATAATTTCTTTCTGCCTAGAATGCATTAAAGCGCTGATGGAGGACAAGGACTTTTGCAAAGATGCCAGAAAGCTGATTTCTGGTCTGCCGGATCTTGCCCGTCTCATCAGCCGCTTTGGGAACTTGAGCTTTGGAATTCGGCCATCCGATCACCCCGATAAGCGCGCAGTCATGTACGAGGAGATTCTTTACAACCGCCAGAAGACTCGAACTTTTTGCAAAGTCCTCTCTGGTTTTCGCTCAATTGATTCCTGGATAAAGAAAGTATCGGAAACCAAGTACGATCTAGCTAAAATCCTGCAGCTTGTTGATAACAAGAGCATTGTGATTGACGATCTCCTGGAGACTTGGAAAAAGACGTTTGACATGGAGAAGGCCAAGCGAGATGAAAAACTCACTCCAAAAGAAGGAGCGAACCCTCCTTTTGACGATGCCGTCAAGGAAATCAAACGGATCGAAGGTGAAGCCGAGGCTTTCCGCTCAGAAGTCGCCGATAATTACGGTCATGCCAAATTGCTCAAATCTGGAAAGCTGTATTTCGTCATTCAAGTCCGCGATACAGTGAAGCCCCCTCATGAATGGACCTCCATCGGACTCAGCAAGGGATTCAAGAAATACCAAGCGCCAGAGTTGGATGAGCTCAACAAAGAAATGGACCGCCAAGTCAACTTGAAAGACATAGCCTTGAGTGAAGCTTCTTCAATGATTTTTGGCAGATTTTACGAAAGTGCTCCCCGATGGCTAGCGATCGTCAAAATAATTGATGAGTTGGATGCCCTCATCTCACTCGCAAACTATGGAAATTCCATCGAGGAGCGATGCTTCCCAGAGATTCTTGATGATGGCGAAGTTCTTAGGTAACTATTGCGTTTTACTAACCACTTATTAATTTGAATACTTCAGCTTCACTCAAGGAAAGCATCCCACTGTTGACCTCGCCAATTTTATTCCAAACGATGTTGACTTGGAAGACGGTGGGAAATGCATCCTCCTAACCGGTCCAAACATGGGCGGTAAGTCTACAATTCTGCGACAAATTGGTCTTCTCGCTATTCTCGCGCATTATGGATGCCCTGTTCCTGCCGAAAGCATGCAGATCTCGCCCATTGATCGCATCTTTACCCGACTCGGAGCCTCTGATCGCCTCCTTGCTGGTATGACTTTTCAACTGAAAATATCAATCACCGTTTATTATTCTAGGCGAGTCCACATTTATGGTGGAGATGGCGGAGACCAGCTCAATCCTGAAGAGCAGCACCAAGCAATCTCTTCTTTTGCTCGACGAGCTCGGTCGAGGAACCGCCACCCACGATGGGTCTTCAATCGCTCAAGCCGTTCTAGAAAACCTCTCTTCCAGAAAGGTCCGAACAATTTTCTCCACTCACTACCACACCCTCTGCCTCATGCTCCCCGCTGGTTGTGTTTCTAAACACATGAGCTGCCACGTAGAAAAGGTAATTCCAAACCGACTTATTGTCGACAGAAAGCTGACACATATTTTAGGACGAAGAAACTGGCTTGGAGAAAGTCACGTTTCTGTACACTCTATGTGACGGCCATGCTTCGCGCTCTCATGGATTCCACGCTGCTAGAAGCGCCGGAATACCCGATCAAGTCGTCCTCGCCGCCCAAAGAGCTGCCAAAGATCTTCAAAAGTTGCACAATGGACTTCAATACATCAACCATTTCAAACGGCAGCGATTTGAGAAGGCGCAGCACTTCAAGTTCATCGAATGCGATGACCAGATGGTATAGATTACCTATCAGCATTTTGTAGGCTCCTGACAAGTTCATTTATCAACTGCCAAGAAATTTTACGAATAAAGCCTATTGAAAAACCAAAGATCAGTAAATGCTGTTAACAGGCAACTCACCCACGCGTTATCGTTCTTATTTCGTTGATCTTGCATTTATTGTAACTGATAATATTTGCCCAAAGACTTTGAATCATCAAGAACGAGCCAAAGTCAGAACTTTTCCATTCGCCAAAAATTCGATTGGACTAAGGCAAAACTTTTATCGCCTGTAGAGAATCTCTAGATGTTATATTTTTTTAAAAGTTTTTTATTCAGATTATGATCAGACATGACTGAATCGTTAATCCAGCTCAGATTTGGGACTCGAGGGGAACCACCTAAAAGTGCCATCAGCAACCCGCGCAAAACTGTTGATGATTTCGTTGAAGAGTTTCGGCGAGCAAAAGAAATCGTCGCGGTCAAAGAGCGCGAATCCAAATTCTTGACCGGTATCAACAAGGTAAGCCATCTTTTTGATTGAATGCGGTTATTCTCGGTGTAGTTCTCTGAAGTATTCGAAGTCGCAGAGGACGAGTATTTGTCTAACCATCCAGATCCGTTCGATGAACGCGCTCCGTTTTCAATTGTGCCTGACTGTTCCCTTGGAAAACTACAGAAAAACCTTTCAGAGTATCCAGGCTTGTTTTGAAACTCGTAAATCTCCTCAATGAGAAACTCGTTTCAAAGCTAAAATCAGAATTTCTCGATGAAGTTATCGAAGACTGCATTTTGCGCGCGACATGCAAAGACCTCCAAAAAGCAACATGTCGACTTCTTTTGCTGACGCTGCCCGGATTCGAAGCAGCGGCGACTTTTTCATCGTTTGGAGATCGACTTATCCCCAAACTTCACAGCTGGGCAGAGCTTCCGCTTTCAAATCCGCTATCTGGATACGCTGCGGGTTTTCTTGGCCATGCGATGGAGTCCAGCGATCTTGTGTCCGACTATCGGACCATCAATCAACGACTCGTCCCAGTCGTAATTAGACGACTTCAAGAAGCAGTGGAGAACCTCCGGCCACGGCCATTTCCCCACTCATCTTCGCCCCCATCCAAAAGAATGCGACATTCCACCTTAGAAATCTACGACGACAGTGATTCCCGCGGCTCTTTCACATCAGAAGCTGACCTGAGACAAGAACACAAGCTTCATCCTCTAGGAAATCCTCGGAAAATCGTCCTCTACTTGCAGTACTTGACGCCCATGGGTGAGTACTTTGACCAACTTCCGTCATTTATGGAACACGACGCACTTGGAACGGTACTGGACCTTCTGGACATTGGAGATAACATCATGAAACTAGAAACGTTGAAACTACTCTCATCGATGCTCTGCCATAATAAGGTAGCGCTGGACTTTGTCAATCGAAGCGGGTTGGAGCGACTAACAAGCGTGAGCAAAAGCTCAAGAGCTGGTGCAGCAGTTGCTGTTTGTCTGTATTACCTCGCATACAACGGGGACGTGATGGAGCGATTTTTTCAGATAAGCCGCGAAAAGATGAGGGGCGTAATCAGTTACGCTTTGGATCTGATCGAAGTAAAGCATGATTCCGCCCGAGTACACTCAATAATGTTCTTCACGTATATTCTTCTCAACCCGAAAAACCGGGTGATGCTCCAGATCTTCGACGAAAAAGACGGTGTCCGGCGAATATTCAACGTGATCTCGACCATGTCAGTTCTCCAAAACGGCGACATTGAAGACCAAGAAAGTCATGCTGAGAAAACGAGCTGCAAGATGGCATCTGTTTGTTTAAAACGATATATCGAGAGGAATATCGTCTTGAAGGCTGAAGCTTTGGGAATAAATACTGCTCTTTACCAACTAGAATCGAACACTCAGTCAACCGGCAAGAAAATGTCCCTCTACGATCTCGCAGAGAAGATAAACAATTATGGGACTGGCTGCTTTCTATCAAAGATGGGCTTCTTGCGAAAGTTCATACATATGAAATGCATCCGAACGCTCCTTCGTCTTGCTTTACGATGTGCGGATTGGACGGGCTTCACTGGGCGCATAGAAACGATCCGTGCCTTGATTGACATCGTGGCCATTTGTTCGTTGTCTTTTGAGGCGATCATGCAGCTTTGCGAACCCATTGTGTCTGAGGATTTCTTTGAGAGTGCCATACAATTCAGAACACAGGCTCCCCCGGCGGACTTAGATAGTAGGCATCCGTCTGACGACCACCGCAACTGTGGCCTCAGTCTCCTTTTGCTTATGGTTGAAGATAATAGTGAGGATGGTCACTTCTTCAGTGAAGAGTATTTTACCATCTATCGCCGTTGTATAATTTTTCCTTGTAGCATTCGCGCCTCTGCTCTAGACATTCTGAAATCAGCCTGTTACGTTTCACCGCGGCGAAAAGCCAGCGAAGTTGTATTTGGTGTTCTCCAGAAAAACCACGGCATTCAAATTCTCATTAATCTCATGGACAATCCAGCGTTACGGTATGAACATGATAAAGACCTTGATAAACAATATTTTTTAGCATTGGGGCGACAATAGCCCTAGCAGGAATCGCCCGCCTTGATCACGTGAAACAAATTGTCAGAAAAGTGCTCCAGCCAAAACACATCGTGCGACAGTTTTTCCTTGGCGATTCTTCGAATCTTGAAGACTTCCAACGAGCACTGAATCATCTCTCAGATATTTCTGGAATGCCTAAGTACAGTTCTGAAACTTGGGATATCGAAAAAATAACGAGGCGAAATGAGATCCTGAAGAATACAAAGATTCTTGTCGACCAAAAGGAGATCTTGCAATTAGTAGAGGCTCATCTACGTGAGGCTGGACTGCCGCAAACAGCGGAAATGCTCAGAAACGAGGCTGGAATATCATCGATGAATTACAAGTCCGCCTTCAAAACTCCGCGCCAACGAACCAGTTCCTTCGATGAAAATGCGCTTCCAACTCCACGATGTACTGCTCTCAGTGAAATTTCGACAAACGTTTCTCCCCAGAAACCGACTCAACCTAAAATACGATTTTCAAATGCCAGCAGATCACAGAATTCATTAACGTTCTCAAAGACCGTGTTGCCTCCGAATGTTCCTGCTAAACAAGAAGAATCAGAGGAGCCCGAAATCCTCTTTAGCCTCACAGATGCCGTTCGATCATACTTCCGCGAACAGTGGCATGCAAAATGTAAAAACCCAATATCGTCTTGCCCAAGATTCTCAATCTATAAACAACACAAATGCCCAGAAAAGCGTCCTGATCCGACTCCAGTACCACTGCCGATCCGTCTTAGATCCCGGAAAATTAAAAACTATCGTGCCGGTGACCGAGGAAACATTTTGGACAAGCAATTTGTTTGGAATAGGTTTAGATCGATGCCAGTGAATATTCGCACCCCTGCAGATCAAGGGTTCTAAAAACGGGCGACCGTGTTTGACTGAAGACGCAGTTCCAAATACCGCATTGTTCATTCGTAAATGAAGGCGTTGTTTTAGTGATAATTGCGAATAAGGACCTTCGTCTTCTAGTTATCTCTAGTCAATCGTTTTTTGAACCTTTGCTCCAGATCAACACGCGACTGCCTGTGCGTTGAGTACCAATGAGAATCTCCTTATTGTTGGCAGTACCAACGGGGATGTTCTCATGTACGACACGAACACTGATCACAACCAGGCCGCTTACAATTGCTGTGAGAATGCGATCATTCATATTGGAGTGACCGAACGATTTGTGACAACAACGCAGCGATACGGGTCGCATCCAACCACTCTTTGGTCGTTTCCCGATATGGACATTGTGAAGGATTTCGAAGACCCAGCGGTGATCTGGGGAGAATTCGCAAAGCACAGCAATCGATTGGCGCTTACTTGCGAGAAAGAATGCATTCTCTACGACGTGGAGACCGATAAGGTTAGACCTGATCTTAGACGTCAAATTCAACTTTATTTTAAGGCACTCTTGAACATTCCTTACATCGATTTGGGCTGTGGCTATGAGCAAAATAGGACCTTTTTTGGACCTGGTGACGATGTGTTCCTATCCGACGGATGCTTGTGGGATCTACGAAGTGGCAAAAAGATAACCCGATTCGACAAACTGAACCAGAACGTCTCGGGTATCTTTTGTTCCTCCTTAATTTTATTAATTAATATTTAGGTATCTTTCATCCGACCCAGCCACATGTCATCATCAGCTCTGAGATTTGGGATATAAGGATGGTGGATTCGAATAGAATTCTAAAGCAGGTACCTGAGCTGCGTGGAATCTGGCCGCGATTCACGCCAAGAAGCGACGCCATGTTCGCAGCAAAGTGGTTTTCCGACATTGAAAACCAGGATATTTATGAGCTGGATAGCGTGATAAAGATTTATGACCCGATGGATTATGAGTGAGTTGATTATCATGTGACGGAAATTACAGCAACTTTAGGAACTTGGGAACATGGAAGTTTGAGTCTAACAGATCGAAAATCCCACGGCGGAAAGTACTGGATTTTACAATGAACAAATCAGAAAGAATGGTGAATGTTTTGGAGTCAGATATGAGCAAGCACGTTCAGGTAGAGCTTCTTACTTTCTCAGTTTGTAATTTTGTGGATCAGACGAACTGCGTGAGCGCGCGATGGTACCAGATTGGAATGTTGCAGGACGACGATGACGAAGAGTCCGACAATGCGAGCGACAACAGTGATAACGATTACGGCGGAATGGGTCGACGCCCACATAGAGACGAGATGGATGACTTTACGGACGAAGAAGGATCGGATTATGAAATCTACGAAGGCCCACGGCTTGGGCTAGGACACCAGTCTCGGAGGTCAGTTTCTATTCGCGCTTCTACGCCACCGAGTCAACGGCCCAGCGACGTCCTGAACAGAGACACGCGCATCGTCAGTCTTCGTGAGAGTCCTCTGGATCCGGTGGTCAACGCCATGCAGCAAGCTAATAGAGAGCGAGAAATTCAAGTACCGCCCTCAATCAATCGATCACCGTCTATTCCAGGCGTTATTCCAGATGATGGAGACGAAGATTGGGAAGGCAAGGGACAAACAGTTTAGCGATCTATACGAAAATTCGTATAATTATTAAAATAATTATTTTATCTCTTCGTCACGTAGAAATTAATAGTATCAATTTGTTTACCCAAAGAAAGATATTGAAGAGGAACAAGGAGAGTCCGAAGGCAGTGCGTGATTCGCCAAGACAAGTCAACTGATATCTGTAATATTTCTAGAGTAAAACTCATTTAACATTTTTTCTTTAACACTGCCTCACATGCTTCAACTACAGAAAACGTCATTTTAACGTGTATTAGCCAGGCTTATTCGCAGCTTAATTGAATAATTCTGACACTTGAGCTGATAGAGTCAGAACAGAAAGTGCTTCTGAATCAGATTCAACCTTCTGATAGATAATATTTTTTGACAAGCGTTGCCAAAATTTCAACAGCCGTAATTTTGAGTACTCTCATGGCTTAAGTTTGTTTGGTTTTACGTCCTAATGACTGCTTCTTGAAATCGGCTAGATAAAAGTATTTCGTCCGGAGCATCAAATTCTAGTGGCGAGGGTTCAACCTGTTCCTGTTTATTGAAGTCAAGGAAAAATATAAGAAATACAAACGGACACGGAAATAAGAAGAGATTTATCTTGATATTCTCTTCTCTCGTTGTTTTCTTTTTTTATAAAAATAAATGCATTTATTATAAAAATATCATAAATATAAAATAAAAGATCTGAAAGGGCAAACGCAGGTTAGGAGACTTCTGGTTGGTTTGTTTCGGACTTGAGGGAGATGAGCGAAAGCGACTGAATGTGCGATCTGACGTTGACGAGTTCAATGAGTTTGATGTCTTTCGGGTTGTTCCGCTTTTCTTCCATCTGGTGCATTATCAAGTCGACTTGTTCGAATTCTATCCAGGGCGCGAGTATTCTTTCTAAAATCGGGGTCAGCGATGCTGCATCTCTGAAACGGAATTACCGTTGAAGAAGTCGACAATTTCGGTCATCACACTCGCCGAGGAAATAAGAGATCGAGCGACTGAGTCGCCGGACTTGATTCGCTTTTCGGACATGTCCGATATCGTTTGCAGTAAGCTGCCGGACTTGGTTGGTCCGTTTGTTGTCGGCGTTTGCGTTGAATTGGAGATTGTTTTTTCTAGTTTGTTACTGGAGACGGAGGACATCGATTTCACGACGGTTGCGCTTCCCTCTTCCTCGTTGGGCATTGGGTTACCGTATTCGCCGGAGAGTCGGTTTGGCGGTTTAACTGTACATCTTCTGTTTTTAATTGGCTGCTGTTCTTGTTCGCGGGCTTAGAAAGACATTCATTTCATTCTGCGAAACTGGTTAAGTTCAAGCCCTTCCTGTGGGGTCTGCGTTACTATCTGGCGTGTCGAGTTGATTTCTCAATTGCTCTTCTGTTTCACTTTGATTGTCTTGTGACGAGCGACCTTCCTCTATCGTGGTGCGAGAAATCTCCGAGTCGATCTTTTCTTCCAGCGGCGGATCTGGGTTGATTCTGACTGATTTTTCGACCGGTGCTACTGGTGGCGGTGCGATCTCGGGTTCTGGCTCTTCTGGCGGATTTCGCTCTTCTATGATAAGTCCGATCAGCGCATTTGCGAATTGAATAAAACTGATTGTTCTGTCAATATCTTCTTCCATAACTGGATCGTCGCGACTAATGTTTCATTTGTATATCGATTTAAATCAGATAGTTTATGAACTTACCACATGATTCTCACGCCTTGTGTTGGAGTGAACGGACTTTTGATTTTCTTCAGAAACTGAAGGAAATCTCTACCCGTCATTCCGTAATCATTTGCTGCCCAGATCCGCGAAAGGCCTTCCCGCATTTTACAAATTTCTATTTTGTAAAGTTCTACGAAGAATTAAATAGATAATTTTTTAAAAGCTCGCCAACCTCTGTAAGGAGTTTTGACCGGCTTGAGGAGCATTCCGTCGAGTAAAAACTGAACTCCATCATCCAACTTTTGCTGCGGAAAGAGCACTCTAGCAGTATTGACCAAAAACCAAGCAAACTCGCGGAGCAGGAGAGGGCGCATAGGATCTTTGATGTTTTCGGAGTAGAAGCCTTCAATCGGGTTTAGCTTGACAATGCCGTAGTCGACGCAAAGCCGATCAAAGTGCATGAGTCGGAAGACGTTGTCCTCGGCATAGGTCGAATAGAGGTGGCGGATTTGGCCGATGTTTCGAATTATTCCAGCTTTTCCGGCAGCGAGGAGTTCTCCGAGAGTCGAGTCGAGCTGGCTTTCTGTGATAGAGTAAAATGTGTCGCCGTTGTCAAACTGATCGACTATTCTGTCATCCTAAATTGTTCTTTAATCTTTCGGTAAAATATCTTGGAACAAACCTCAAATAAGATAGGCGCCTCTTTATAGCCATTAGTAGAGACGACTTCTGCTTCTCCCCATTTCTTGTCTTCCTTCCATTCGCCATTATAATAAGATCCGTCCCCGTAAGTCATCGCGCCGATCCCATCTCGCTGACCGTTTTTCCAGCTGCCACTGTACTCTGCGTTTCTTGATCCGTGCCATTTTGCTGAACAAAAAAGCTCAAATTCAAGATCATCAATAAATATTGTTCAAACCTGTTCCTTCTCCATGCTGTATTCCATTTTGCCACTCGCCTTCGTAAGTTTGCTCTGCATCGACCCAGATCATCTTTCCTTGGCCGTGGCGTTTTCCATTTTTCCACTCTCCAACGTAAGAATCATCGTTGCCCCAGTGTCTTTCGCCGAAGCCGTCGCAGAGGCCGTTTTTCCAGCTGCCTTCGTAGAAGCTTTTCTCGTTCCATTGGCAGCGTCCTTCCCCATGTCTTTTTGAAAAAAAAGATTAAGATGGCGTTTCATGATGAATAAACTTACTTTTTGCCGGCTTTCCAGAAGCCATGATAAGTAATTTCGCCAAGGCGAAAGACACCTTCGCCGTGGCGATAACCGGCGGCAACTTCGCCTTCGTACTCGCCGCCGTCAGGGAAATAAATGCGCCCTGTGCCTTGAATCGAGCTCTGGACAAAGTCGCCCTCATAGGTCCACCCATTCTCGAGCTTGAGTTTTCCCTTTCCGTGGGGTCTACCCATCACAACGTCGCCTTCGTACACCGCCCCAGAACGCAGAATCATCTGGCCGAATCCGTGCGGGATGGATCCTTCGCATGGGCCTGTCCAAGAAGAGACTATCAGATGAAGAAACTCATTGAGCGTGTCCGTCTTGAACGTATCTTCTTTCTGTACAAAATCATCTTTATTTTTTAAGTTAAATCGAAAGGTTGACTTACTGGGGGCTCCTCTTCAGGCTGTGCTTCTATTACTTCTGGTATTTCCTCGACAGGGGGCTCTTCTTCTTTTGGCGCTTCTTCTTTTTGCCTAGGTTTTTTCATTTTAATATCGTTTATTCTGAGAACTGCTGCTTTCCTTTCTATATCAAAACAACTTTTCTAGAAACGCAGCTCACTTCACGCTTCTACTTACGGCTCTTCCTCCTTCTTTGGCGGTGCAAGGGACTTCTTCCTATCTTTAGGCATTTTTGTTTTAGAGGCGTTCCCTTTCCCCATCTTTTCTGCTTTATCGTTGATTCTTCGGACAGTAGTACTCGGGTATTCTAGAAGGTGCATTTTTAGTACTCGAATCTACCATTCAGTAATTTTTCTATTTTGAACATGTCCTGCTTGAAATGCGAAAGAAAGATAGAATACGGCCAACTGGTATTGCTCCATTTTTATTTAGTTGACAATAAATAGAAAATAGCAGTTAATGCACATTATTTGCCTAGATTTGGAGTGAACGGTTGTTGAGTTACAGTTATTATCAATTTCGACCGCAGCAGTGTAAGGTATTTGCTACGTGATAAAGCCTAAACGGAGGAGGAAGCGGAACACCAGCGAGTTGCCGCGGCTGGCGATTACTTTGGGGCGGCAGCAGCGGCCGCAGCTTTGATTCGGGCACGCTTGCCGACGACGGCTTGAAACCCCTTTGTGATGGCGACGACTGTACGCTCGCTAGAATCGAGTTTAACAATTCAATATTCACCCGAGAACTTACGATTGACAAATGTCACATTTGACGAAGAAGAGTCGGTCGCGCTTTTCGAGACTGGTCTGGTACGATTTGCACGTCTTGCACTGGACGTACTCCTTACAGTACGCCTTGAGCACCTTCTCCATCGCCTTGTTGACGAATTTACCCTTGAGAATCAAACCACCGGACGCGTCCTGGTTTCCAGTAGTTCCCAACTCGGCGAAGATGTAAAGCAACAAGTGATCGGACTTTCTGTTCAATGCCCTAAAAAGAAATACGCTAGAAAACATGATAAATCTTCACTTCTTACTTGGCGGTGGCGTCGAAATTGGAGAAAGCCGTCTTCTTGGTACCGATACGAGCGAGTTTTGGAGGAGGAACAACGAGCTTTTGAGAGCTCTCTCCAGAGGAGGGATTGTTCTTGTTGATGATAGCGTAAACGCGGTCCAAGAGCTCTTCGTAAAGGAAGCCGTCTCGGCCCATGTCTCGGTCGAGCCATGGCCGCTCCGATTTCTGACCAGGCTCGGCGGTCTTTTCAAGTCCATCAGCCTAAAAATATGAATAACAGATAAATAAAGAAGCGTGTCTTACTGAAAGAGAAGCTCCAATGTCCAAGGCAGCTTTGTTCTTTTTCTTCTTCTTCTTGTCGAGACTGAGCTCGTCAAGATCTCCAACGAGATCTTCTTCTCCTTCTCCGAGGTCAAGAGTAACCTTCTTGCTCTTCTTCTTCTTTTTCAACGTCTCGTCGAACTTGGTGACATCGACGTTCGATCCATCCTCGCCACCGAAAAGGTCTTCGTTGGCTGCATCATCCAAGATCTTTCGCTGATCCGTGGTATCTTCGACATCAAGAGGAGCCGCAGTCTTCTTCTTCTTCTTTTTCTTGGTCAGGTCGATATCGGGCAACTCGGCGTCGGACATCTCTAAATCAACAGATTATTAATTCAAGCGTAATCTACGCGTAAGGTTATTAAAATCGCCAGTTTAAAAACATGAATTTCTCTGAAACACTAAAATTCCTAACGCTAAAGGGGATAATTGTGAGAATTTCTCATTCAAGAATCTTTCTTTTTATTTGATTGGGCTCGCGGTGCTAGTCCGCGCCAATAAGATCGGAGTTATTTCAACGCACCTCACTTTCGGAAATCCTTCTCAGAAGGACTCAGAAGGGTTAAAAAATTACCTAATGATTCTCCTTCACCCCAGTATCTGAATATTCCGTTGTATCGAATGGTAGATCGTTGTTTTATGCTGTAAGCGGCACAGTAATGCCATAGCATCGACATTATTATTAGCAAAAATTCTACATAAGTATCATTCGCCATTTTGAATCTTTTACTTTTTCGATGAAACTTTTTGATTGTTGTCTACTCCTCCCTTTCTTTATATAGGCTTTCATTTCGTGAAATTTCTCGCCTGAAAGCAAGGAATCCTGATTGATTATCAACGATAATTTCTCATACAGTAATATCATTCAAGATCTTTCACAACGAAGATACAACTAGACCGATTGTTAGAACCAATTTGAAGGCATAATTTAAAGTTCATTGCACCGACAAAAAGCACACAGAGTGGACTGTCTGCGCCGGGTTAATGAGATCGACGAAAATATCGATCGCTGCATTTTTCTCTGCAGTTGCGAAAGGCGTCTTCAGATCGATCGGCAGCGACATTTCCCGGCTTCAAAAGCTCATTTATAAGGGTTTAAAATCGGGGATGATCATTTTTAAAGAGAAAATTGTCTACTACAGCCGAACCGTCGTACATGGACCGTGTACAGATAACTTGAGCAATTTTGCAGAGCTGCTTTTATGGGTGACTTAAAACATCGAGTATCATCCTTCTCAGCCCTTTTTTAGATAGCTCTTATCTACATGCTCATTGCTGGAGTACTCGGTATGCAAAAACAGGTAGCTCAAAGTCTTTATCACAAATCTACTTCTTCTCAAGGGGCGAAAATCAACGAAGACTCGCCGAGAGGCGAAACAACTCGCACATACTGTCCAAGAAACTCGAGAAAAACTGCTGAAAATATAACCACAACGAACAAGAGAACACTCTGAAACACATTTGGTTTTTCGAAAGTTTTATTGTAAAATAGTGTGATCAGTTTCAATTAATATTTAATTATCCGTTGAAAAAATGTATCAGGGCAGTGAAAAATCGCCATTGATGTGCTCAGTCTATTATGATGGGTTCTTGTTTAACATCAGCTCCACTAAAAATGATATGAACAGACTCAGGTTGAGTCACCCAAGAAAATACTTACGGTTCTTGCGGTGGAGTTCCTCGACCTTCGGTTCCACCATTTTGAACAGCTTGAGGACCTGGCGTTTCCTAAAAGATATCTTGGGAAGGAAACGAACACATTTGACGTACCCGAACACAAGTATGTTCATCTGGAAATTGTTCGACAATCTTGTAGTTGGAGATTTGATCGATCTCCTCTTTGTCGGTATTCAGCTTTCGTTTTTTGCGATTATAAACATCGTCGGTGGTGAGAATCATATCATTCGGCTTCTCGATCGAAAGCCGATACTTTCCCGGGCACAGTTTTCCTTTGGTTGTCGGGCGACTAAATTTTTTATAATACCTAATTTAGTACTAGAATATATTTACCCGTCACAATTGACTCGGAATGTGTCGTCCAAGCGGATATTGTCTTTGAGATAGTACCAACACTCTGTTACGCCATCGGTGATGAGAAATTTTCGAGTCGCGGCACCTCTTTCCTCGATCTTCAGAATCTTTGGCAAATCGAGCAGCGATTGCCAATGGGTAACGTCATTTCCATCTAAATGATAGTCAATTAATAGAGAAGTAACGCACATCTTTTACTTACGATTTTGATTCGATCCCTGCGGACGGGTGGAGGACGGAATCGGAGACAATGGAGGAGGCGTGATCGAAGTCCGCGGAACGGCATCAGCACGGCCGTTGTATGAAGTCGATGATCCAAAATAAGTGGCGTGAACTTCGTTCCTTGAAGTTTCACTGATGTCAACTACTTTCAAGTAGTTTCGAAGTACTTGGAATTCCACTTTCACCGTCTCAGGGTCCGTCCGGTCCTGCACTTTCTCTTCGATCTCTTGTATTTTCTGCCAGATGAGTGGCCACATGGTGCATTCTCGCATCTTTCTCGTTAGCTCTTGATCTTTTGCTTTTTCCATTTTTGAAAATTTTGGAAAATTGTGGAAATCGAATTTGATTTCAAAAGAGTGAAAGAGAAAGAAGATATGAATTGCGAATCTATCGCGCTATTCGAATCTATCCTGTGGGTCGGATGATAGGAATTTTCGATAATGCTGGCGTAGGGCCGCAATCAAAGGCCCCGCTATCTCGTCACAAATAAGCACAGGGTGTAGAGAGTTGACTGGAAAAGAAAAGAGAGAAAAACCTCCGTTCTTTCTAGATTCTACCATGACGTGACAACGCGGTGATGATGCGCGCTCGGAACCCTACATTTCTAGATTTTGCTTTGCTACCCCAAATGGGGGCCAAGCTACCAGATGAGTGTGCGTCATCTCTGCGTTGTCACGTGATCATTTTCCGAAATTAAAAAAAACCGGTGACAAGCTTTATTAGAAGGATGGGCACATTTTACCCACAATAAAAGGGGAGCCCTCTTGGCATAAAAGAATGGATGGAAAGACAGTCTAATCCATTTAGCAAGAAACGAGTTGCCCTGTAACGAAAAAAATATAACGACAACAAACAAGAAAACAGTAGAAGTTTTTATTTATTGTGTATTAGCGATTCACGAGCATGGAATTTCTATTTTGCTTTATTTCTGGCAGAGCGGCGGAGTTTTTGTCCAGCACCAAAAAGTCGTCGTGGACTCATTTTGTAATTCTCGTCCGACGCTTCTTTCAATGGTGTTCGTCCAACGATACTTCGTTCTAAGCTGTCGCCGGCGCTGACGTGTCCACTGTCATCAAGTGACTTCTCCTCTTCGATTTTTGGCGAAGCTGCCAGCAACTGATTTAGGCTTATTGCCTTCTTCGCAATCGGCCTTTCTTCTATTTCTTTAGGAACTGGTGTTTTTCCGCTAGAATTCTCATAAATTTACTAAAATAGCAAAATAACCAACCTTTGGCCACTTTTGAGTAATTTCTTCAAGTCGAGCTCTCTGTTGACATCCGGCGTTTCTGTGTTTCTTCCGGATCTAGTTTTTGGCATTTTCAAGGTTTTCGCAAATGAAGGCCTGCATAAAAATGAGGTAACTTAGCAAAAAGAAAGGCGCAATGGGGCCACCAAATAACCGTTGGCGGTGATTTAGTCATCAGATAAAGGTGGAATTGAGTCGATGAGATCGTCAACGCTTTTTTGGAAAATTATCTTTCATTTCTATATTTTAGGATACAACTTTACAAATAGGGATGTCGAGCACAATGGCCCGACCTACTCCCGCATGAGGGCGCAGGGTGCGCGGAGGACTCTGAGTCCTCCGAACTACGCGAGTCCAGGGAGAACTGATGAGTTGGCGGTAAACCCTAAATACGCTAAGCGAGCGTAACACCTGGGAGTGAGGGCAGCAGGGGCGGGCGGGATATTTTTGTTCTACCCATGCTAGTATCAATTCTAGAGGCGAATAGGAGTGATGGCTTTGTTTCTATGGGACTTATATATATCAGAAGAAAGCTCTTCGCACACAGAACATGGATTTTACGGAATTAAAAGACAAAGTTAATGGTATTCCTAAAGATGGGGGAACCAAAGATAAACCTATCATTTTTCACATCGGCAAAACCAGAAAGCTACGCTTTTTATCTGCAGTAAGGAGAGAAGATTGAAGGAAAATACCAGAGGTTCCGGATGCGAATAAGGCACTTTCTCCTCTTTTACTTTTCCTGTAACTTCCCACTAATTTTCCACAAGTAGGTGTTTTTGACTCTTTATTTAGATTCAGCGCAAAATTTCACTCTAGAAAAGTCTTCCTTGTTTATAAATAGCTTCATAAAAATGTGCGCGAAAAATCACTCTAGTGAAATTTAGCTCCTAAGGGGGGTACTACGCCGTCAGAACTGATGGCGGTGTTTGAACAGAGATTGACACACTTCACGCTGGGATTAGGCGGCTTCGCGCTCCCTTCCTTACTTGCTCACCCGCTGAGTAATTCGGGTGCGCGTCGTTTGCTACGGTTTGGGGGGTTTGCGTATATTTCTACGATGCGTATATTTCTACGGTGCGTATATTTCTACGGTCAAAAATGAATCATAGGGACCGTAGCAATTGACGCACAGTTTAGGGTGGGCAAAAAGCCGGGTCGGTTTTGTCGGTTATTAATAAATTAAAAGAATTTAAAGCTATCTAAGTCGGTCGGAACGAGTGTCTGGCCGGTTTTCCCTTAAAAAAAGATGAAATTCATCATGAATAAGTATCATACTTTGACAATGCTTATTCCACCAAGGTTTAAAATTATTTTCCTTCATATTGTTTTCATTTTTGTAAGGGAAAACCGACCAGACACTCGTTCCGACCGACTTAGATAGGCTAGATAGCTTTAAATTCTTTTAATTCTATTAATAACCGACAAAACCGACCCGGCTTTTTGCCCACCCTAAACTGTGCGTCAATTGCTACGGTCCCTATGACTCATTTTTGACCGTAGAAATATACGCACCGTAGAAATATACGCATCGTAGAAATATACGCAAACCCCCCAAACCGTAGCAAACGACGCGCACCCGAGTAATTCATGGAGGTTCTCCTCTACGCTCCTCTGCGCACTCTCCTCCGGCGCCATGCTCAGAGCGCTCTTCAACCTCTTTTCCGCTCTTCCACCTCTTTTTCGCGCGCCCTCTTGCGGATGGAGGTCGGGCCATTATGCTTTTACCCCACAAATAGGCTTTATTCACGCTCATTTAGCAATAGCAACACGGACAGAAAGGGACAAGTGAGAGAGCTGGAAGCGATCTTGATTCTTTCCAACAAGTTCGCTCATTTGAATCTAAAATATTTATTGAAAAAAGAGTGAAATTAGATCCACTGACCTCGTTGTTATCTTCGGTCATAAGCGTGACTTTTGTCTGCACTTTCCAATCAAAGACCTGTTTCGTCGGGTATCGCTAAAATCATTATTTTTAGCGAAGATGATTTAAATTCTTTCAGTACTCTGAAGTAGCCAGTAGCGAGCCCGTAGAGATAACAAGTAATAGTTCTATAAAGCTCCTCTCCAGAAGGAGGGTCGTTCAATGTAAATTCGCCAAAGGAATCTTCATATTGGTCATTGTTGGTAACTAAATGGATAACGAAGAATTTTCGAAATGAAAACTTGCTTTTTGGATTTTGTTTGGCAATGTATTCGCCAAGCGTTCCCAAAGGCCGGCCAAATTTGTCGAAAATCTTCCATCCGTTGAAGTCATTTGCTCTTTCTCTTTGATCGGTTCTGTAGTTTCGGTAAGAATTGTCTAAAACGAGCACCATTGTTTTTTTGAGTTCTCCCTTTCCTTGCTAAAAAGATCGAAAAATTGTGTCAAGAACGAGCCCTGAGAGAGATCAACGCACGAAAGAGAGAGAGGAGATGACGCCACGTTTGACACTGTTTAGCGCTGTAGGAATAAGGCAGAGACGCCCTTGAACTCGACTAAATCTGAAAGCTTGATTTTTCAGAGGCCCTGCTGATTTATTCAGAATTTGAGGAGATATAGAAACGATCGTAAGAAACTGCAAGAAACTTGAAGTCATTAATTGATTAATTGTTGAACTTTATTTACAAATTGTGATTATGATTACAATTGAATCGAAAAAAATCAGACAAAAATAGAGAAAAACATTATTTCTCCAGCAAAGAAAAATTCAGCATTCTCAGTTGATGATAAAAAGTTTATATGGCTATTTTTCGTGTTGTTCGCCGCGGCTGGGTGTTGGGTGGGCGGTAGGACGCTGGTAGATGAAGAGGGTATGTCCTTTTTGCAGCTACTTTGAAGAGGCGAGCGTTACAGTCGGAAATGTAGTCCCATCCTTTTGGTTCACCATTCCATACATTGTTATCTTCTGTTGATCTTTTTTCTGGTCGGACTGAGATTGTTTTGCGCCTCTTCGCCAAATTTTCGCATTTCGCAGGAGATTCTTCTTCATTTTTTCGTTTTCTTCCAGATTTCTTCGAATTTTGACCCAACTGGACCCCGACTTCCTTGAATTTCTTGTGCAGGTTTGCCCTTTCGTTAATACATTTGTAAAGCTGAAGCGCTACCTCGCGGTCGTTTACCATTTCAACGGTCTGCAACTCTCGACCCAACTGTTTCACTGCCTTCGGTTTCCTTTGCTGTTTTGTCCTATCGTTGATACTTTTATAAAGCTGAATCGCGTGCTCTCGCTTGATTGATTTTTCTGTTGTATTTTCCAACTGCTCTACTGCTTTCGGTTTCTTTTGCCGCTCTGCCCTATCGATGATCGTAGAAGCGTTAAGCTGAAGCCCGAACTCGTGGTCTGCGCGTTGACGCTCTAGTTGGCTGAGAAAATCGTTAAAGTACTGTCCTTAGCAGACATCGACTTACTTCAGCCAGACTTCAGATGGTGTTGGCTCGTTGGTATTTGTTAAAACGCGATATATTCTACTTTCAAGGGTCCTCATTCTCTTTTCGTACTTTGATGCCAAATCCGCATTTTTCTCCCGTGTACTTTTTCTTCTTTTGATTTTCTTGAGTTTTTGCTGACAAACGGCGTGCTCGTGGAATAAAAATTTTAAACTGGTATTTTTTATTCTTGCGTCAGGTAAAGATTCAGCATTTTCTCGTTCATTTTGAATCACGTACACTCGGTCAAATATTGCCATAATCTTAATTTTTCTCAACGTTTATCGAGAAAAATTTCGAAGGCGAATCTTTTTAAAAATGGGATTGGTCGCCGATCATACAGATAATGAAACCAATATAGATTTAATAACGATAAGGACTTCACTGGCAGTTTTCTTGTTTACAGGAATGAATTTATTGAGCGTATATCGTTATAAAACTTCATATTTGATGCAGTAGACTAAGACATGTCAGCTTCTTATCTACTCTGTAATTAATTACAGTTTGTTCGTCCGACTGAAAGCATGATATAATATCATTGATATTTTTTAGAATCTATGATTTGCTTACGATATCGAAGGTGAGTGGCGAAAAAAGATCGTCTTCGTCGTTTAGAGAGAACTTCTTGCTGATCACGTGAATTTTGTATTCCATCGTTTCTTCATCAATGTTCTCGTCAGCGGCGAATATGAACAAGCCCTTTTACTGCTCAATTCTTTACGTCTTTCGATCAATAAAAGGCTGTAGCTTGAGCGGTTTCCTTTGAAATTAGGCAGTTTATATGAGCACCAGGTATAGCTACATGTTCGACAATGTCAGTTCCGTCGACGGTGGATGAGAAAATGGTGTCACCACCTTCGGCCCAATACAGCTTTTCTTCTTTATCGTCAAATGCCATGGCACTTGTTTCATAAAATGTTGTATTCTTGAAAAGAGGTCTATCCATATTTATTTTGTTTTCTTTTTGAAAAGAATTGAAATGGCCATATTCAAAGTTTACAGTTCAATTCTCTTGGCTTTTCCTGTAATGTTGTTCTGATAGAAGCTTCCTCGAAAAGAAACGAGAACTTGAGAGCTTGTAACTGAGAGGGATTCCCAAGGAAGACCAATGATAGGATGAGCAAGGGCAATGGAAGGCCTCCGATCTAACTCAAGATTGATGCTTCCGATAACAGAAATAAGCTGCTCTGTCTTGAGAATAAACCAGATATAGTCTCGAGAAATAGATAAGTCAATGATTTCGCTTTGGTCGCTGATCAAGAAAAAGTTTTCTTTTACCGAAAAACTCTCGTTTTCGGGCGATAAGGAGTGAAAGTGGACGACGGAAGAATTCTTTGTCTAGTTGCACAAAAAATAATCAACTTTTCTCGCTAAAAAATGTGTAACTCTTCCTTGACTCCATAAATTAGAAATTTTCTTTTGTCGTCTATCACAAATGTTGTTACTTGGCCTTCAACCAGGGTGGAACGTTGGGACCGGGCAAGTCGGGCAAACCGGGCAAAAAATCGGGCGGGCGTGCAAATCGGGCGGCGTAGGGCTCGATTTTACGAGGTAAAAATCGGGCAAAGTCGGGCAATCGGGCAAAAATCGGCGCCCGGAAAAAGTCGGCGTCCGGATGAAAAAATGGCATCTTATGGGACATTAATACTGAAATTTTCTTTAAAAACGTCCGGTTTCGGTTCTCCATGAGTGCCCTTCTTCTTTCGAGATACAAAATAATCCTTCCTCTTCAATAAATTTACATATTTTTTGGTTTTGGGGTTGCCGAAATTTCCGGGCAAAAGTCGGCACCCGGGCAAATCGGGCGGGCAAAAAGTCGGGCGGCCATCGGGCGGCGCCGACAAAAAAAAATTTAATCGGGCGGGCAATCGGGCGGCCAAATTCAAATATTTTGCCCCAACGTTCCACCCTGCTTCAACAGATGCTAGAATAGGAATCGAGGACAGCTCTTGTTTCAAGTGCACTTCTGGATTGACACTTATTTCGTAAAATACTGTCTTATCCGTTGTTTGATTGTAGCCATCGTAGACGAGTTTGACTCCATCATCGCAGACGGTAATATCGCAACTTTCCCACCTTCTTTCGGGATCTGTTGTGTAGCACCAGGCTCCTCGCAAGTCCAAATGAAGGTTCACATGATTGCGTCGTGAGTTTGTTCTATAATAAAGCCTACTAATTGTAAGAAGCATAGAAGCAAATCTGAGAAAAGAGAATGAACCCAATCTAAATCCGGATTTCTGCAGAAGTTGTGATCATTTGGAGGCTGCGGCACTGCTTTTGGCACGTGAGGAAATGTTTCATTCCATTTCTGACAAGTTCGTCCAGAGAAAGTTTGAGAGAGCGTTCCATTATAAGTGAGACTCGTATTGTGAGGCCAGCATGTCTTCTCTTGAAACACCGTCTTCCATGTGATTTGAAAGCCCTCGCCGCTTTCTGATCCGTCGGTGAAAAATAGCATTCCAATTTTAATGAATCCTTCACTGTTAGCTTCGAATGTGAAAGAAGTAGAATTGCCTCTGCAAAGTGTTTTTATGTTCGACACACTTCCGTAGTTAGATACTTCGAAAATGCTCAGTGAATCCCATAGACATGGAAGATCGTTCTGCTATTCGTTGCAAAATAAAAGTAAGTTATTACTTTTGAATCCTACTTCTGAAAACAATCGTTCTTCGCCCAGTTTCAAGTAATCCACTCGCAGATGAACCCTTTTAGGGATAGTCGTTCCGACTGAAGTGGGCTTATGAAGCGTTTTTTAAACATGAGAGACCAACGTTATTCTCGTTAATCAAACACTTTCCTGAAGATGCCATCGACAGTTGATGCTGCTTTCGTAAATGTCTCCAAATGCTTCTCGGGAAGAAAGTAAGCCTCTAGCCACACGAAAGGTTTCGCCACAAAGACTTTGGACACTAGAAACTAAGAAAAACTTAAAAAGGTGCATCATGCCCATTTAATTGGCATAAAAGCCGCTAGTTTATCGGACATTGTATCAGACTCTAGCGCACCGCCCGGGGAACGGTCATTTTGTTGATTAACTTGAACAACATAACTCCAATGAATGAAACAGATTTATCGTTGTATATTTCTATCAAAGCTCCAGACTTTTTCGGTCGCGCAGATGCTTTTATCGATCGAAAAAAAAGATACACACAATGGTAGGTTGTATCAAAGGATGAAAAAACCCGCTGCATTGTACATAATCTGCGTCGGGTAAAACTCTTCCTTTGTTGAAAAAGGCTGAGATTTGCTTAAATTATTTATATAATGTAATTATTTCTTAATTGAGCTGATTAAAGTTGCTCGATTGAACAGAAAATGCCAAGAACTGGACCAAAAAATCGAATGGAATCAACAAAGACTTCGCGAAATACATCGCGAAAACGACCATTTGAAAGAACAGAAAGCTCAAACTCAGGCTCTTCTCAACGAAACGATCCGTAAGTGATACCCACGAATTTTTTCCTGTACTTTTTAAGAAAATGCACTCTACACCTCTACAGAAGACGAAGATCTCCAAGGAATAACCTTCAAACATGATGATTTGGCTTCTTAGTTTAAAAACTGAATTTCATAATTTTTTTTTCAAATACTGCATTCAAGTTCGCTTATATAAGCGACAGGTATTCTTGAATAAACAAATTTCAACATGACCTTTTTTGGACCCGGCGGCATAGCACTATTAAAAATATTTGCCAATGACAAGCATTGTGCCTTCAAAATCGTCTGTTCTCTACGATAGAATCACTTATTGATGGTAGACTTCTCGAAGACGAAGCATTACAGAAGTCCCTTAGAGCAGGTGTTTTCCTTTGCTATTTTGAGAGTTCTGTTATCTTAAAAATTGAAGAAGAAGAGTAAACTTGTCGTTATTTATTTCCTACCGGACTCAGTTGATGTCCACATCTGGTGGCTAAAAAATTCTTCGGAACCGCTTGTCAGGATAGATGGGCGTCAGGACGCGGAGAAAAATAGACAGGAACTTTTGTCGGATGACTAAAAAGGCGAAAACTCAGGCGTTAGATACGATGAGTCGAATTACGGCAGGTTGAAATTCTACCATTCAGGAAGGACTTTTTGAAAGGCAATTTACTTTTTATAATAAGGATCTTTGTTTTGAGAAAAAAAAGAATCGGCTCGAAGAATCGATGAGAACAAATAAAACGGTCGTTTTCCCACTAACAAACTCATTTTACCTTTTGAGACACAGAGAAATAACGAGAGAATCTTTTGCTGTACAAATGATATTAACCGCTATTTTTAAGAATTTTTACCACTTGAGATACAATGAGTCGAGAATTCGATGAGCGCTCTATTAGAAGCTCTGCAAGTAGATACAGAAGGGGCCATGAATACGCTCCGTCGTTAGCTGGGTCAGATGGGTTCCGATCTGCCTATTCTGGGGGATCTTCGAATTATCATGGAGGAATAGGAAGAGGTCGAGGAGGAAGTCGCGCTGGACATGCTGAGCGATCAAGGATCTCTAGTTCCCATAGAACTTCAGGTTACCTCCCTCCCACCAGCGAGTCAGAGTTCAAATTCTCGAGAACGAGAAGAAACTAGCGCTCTTCCGTTCGTAGTGCCAGTGTCTACTGTTAAAAAAGAACTCTGTTAAAGATATTTGGTTCCGTTGACCATCGATCCGAACACTCAGGCACATTGAGACCAACATCACGAAGTGAATCGAGGTTGGAAGTATACGACCCTGGAATGCATTCTGAAAACCCTGCCGCCCAAGAAATTTGTTCAATTAATTTATAATTAAATGCATAATTTTTTATTAGTTCTTCCTTTTTTCTAACCTTTTGAATTTTACTAAAAGTAAACAAACTCTACAGAAGACTGAAGAATATCGATGAACAGATTCGCCACAACAGAGTCATAATCAGAAATAAACATCAAGAAAATGATGTTCTTGAGCGAAAGAAAAACGATACGCAGAAACTTCTCGAGGAAACAATCCGTAAGCAAAATATATTTTCATATTCAGCCTGTAATTTATATTCACTCGAAAGAAACCCTCCATTTCACTTCTGAAAGCCATGAAGAATATCCCCCTGCCCTTACTTCTGAGAATGGAAACCCTCTTCAAGGACCACTTGGAAAGATTACTGAGGTCGATACTGATGCAGACAATAGCATGGACACATCACTTTAGTAAGCCCTATTTTGAACTAAAATACCCTCTCTTTACAAACTTCTAAGATGCTGTTCATGCAGAAAGAGTATTAAGAAAACACAGTCACAAGAATCAATTTCCTCGGTAAATTTATTTTATTTTCTGCTGGGCAAATTATAAACGACCTCTTGTAGATTTCGCTGTTGAAGAATAAACTGAAATATTTAATAAATAACAACTCTCACCCTGAAAAACTCGCCTTTATGATCTTTTGTTCCATACGATTGAAGTATCTGAGCACATTAGCATCTGCCCAAACGAGATCAAACTTCTCCTTTAGCTCCCACTTCGGATCAATATCCTCGACAGTTGCAATGAGAAAATCCCCTTCTAGCCAGGCATGATCTTGAGTGAAAGTCTGCTAAGTTATTATGTCTTTGATTACCTGTGTTGTAAATACTATCAATAGTATTGTCAGAGGAAGCGACAAAGAAGTTAATTCCTTCGAAAGTTTTAACGATTGTTACTAAAACTACAGAAACTAGAATATTTGAAACTCTTTCTAAGTAGTTCTCGAGGTCTTGAATCTTATTTTCTCCATCCTTATGAATCCAAAAAGGAAGTTGATGCTCGTTACTAGTGCATCCTCTTGCGAGAAATCTTCTTCCAGAAACGACGAGCATATAAGAAACTTTGTTGGCACCTGGTTTGTCAAGGCGACCCACGCCAACACCTCCAGTGCGTCCGATTTTATTCAAAGTAGCGTTCTTGGGAATACTCTGGGGCAAACCGATCACAACTGGGTCGTAATCTTCCCAAGGCGCGTCCCATTTTAGATTTTCATCTGGAACCGGAAATTTAGGTTTTTGACCGGGCAGCGAGCTTCGACTGAGTCTCCACTTGGCGGCGCTTTTCTCCACAATCGCAGTAATATGGCTTTGTATTGTCGAAACGCGTTGGATAATCGTGGGCTCTTCGAAATGGTCTTTGATCAGACGATTGGAGTCCGTGGAACTTCAAGAATATAAAAACTAAAAATTTGTTCAACTCACTTTTCCACTGAGCGTCCCCAGACACAGAATAACGGCGGCGACTGTTGTTCCTTCGGCTCTTTTGTTACTTCCCCTGTAATCCTTTCTGTTGATCTTTTTGCACCTTTTGGCTCGCTTTCTGCTCTTGAAATTCGTCTGTTTCGGCTGTTTAGAGTGCTTCTTGTCATTCCATATATTTCGAAATCGCTTGAATTCTACTGAAAAGTTGAAGCACCGCGAAAGTTACCTGGGAAAACCATCAAGGCTCATATGCTCCAAGCATTCCTCACGGGTCGGTTTCGGAAGAGGGTCTGTTTGAGCACTAGTTGTTACCATGACTGGTGGGGGAGTGGGCGGCGGTGGTGTTGGAAGTGGTGTTGGTGTTCGTATTTTTACAATTGGTTTCCCTCCAACTGAGGATATTGACTCCTCTTTTCAATAATTCAACATTGCCTTTTTTGTTTTCACAAAGTGGCTCCGAAAATTAGGAACTACTAAATCTTCCGCTCACCCCCTGAGAACTAAATCTCACGATGAGATCAAACCAGCTGTACACGCGGTACCCCGCCGAATTCCGTCGCTAAAGCGCCATCAGCTGGACAAAAGTGTAGATAAAAATAAACACCCGGTTTTCTTTCTATCAAAACAAAATGCAATCAGATAGAAAGCGAAAATCGACCGGACCCAAAGTTTGTGGCGCTCAATTGAGACTTCGAAAAATCCAGCGCAGAAGGCTTGGAGAGCACATTCGCCAAATGATCGAAGCTGAAAATGAGCTCGAGAAACTGCGGAAAGAGGAGCAAGAAAAGCAAAAGAAAGCACAAGAAGATGAGCGAAGAAAAAAGGAAGAAGACCAGCGAAAACAAAAAGAAGAAGAGAATGTGAAGAAGTTCCGACAATTTTTCAGCAAGGAAATTCTCGAGATGCGACGACGACTCTACATAAACGAAACATGGTAAAAGAACAGACTGCCTCCACTGAGAAATACTGCAAATTATCTAATTCTGAAATAACTCGAACTTATTTGGAATAAAACAAAAATCGTGAAGCTGGCGAGTTTTTTATGAGATCCGTGGGATTGAATTCAATTACTGTATCGCAATATGACGCCGATCCAGCCCAAAAAGCCGGGCAAAACGAGTTTCCCATCCTTCACCAGATCGAGAATATCTCACAAAGAGCATCGTCGAGACCACTGCAGAGAAATTAAACTACTAGATTATGTCGAATCATTTCCTAGAGATACTTGCATTTCTTCCAAATTCGCATGAAGTAGGGCTATCTTCTCATTCATTTTATCGAGCTCCCTTTTACCATCTCCTTCATTTTTGCCTGTCACCTTTTCTTCTAGTTTTTCAAACATTAACTTCTTTGAAATATTAGTCTTTTTCCAGGTTAGACTTGTTGATAAGTTCAATTTTGTTTATCTCTAACCGGCCTGTAATTTTTGCATTTCTTTCTGCTGAGTTTCATCCAATGGCGGGCTAATTCCTTGAATTTCCTCTGATTCAGGGTTTAACTGCTCTCTGAGAAAATAAACTGCTTCGGTAATAACCCGTTCCTAAAGAGCTGCTCAAAATATCGCTATGCCAGGATGCTGGAAGCTGATGTTCTTGTGCCATTACCTTCAATGTGAAAAAGATCCAGATAAGCGCATAAAAAAGGTAAGCAATTGTGATGACGGGGATGATTGAATGAGTCCTCATGCAGCGGACATCTGTATCGAGAATATTTGTTTCGGTGAAATTCCCACATTGTTCAACATCATATCGTGACTCTAACATTTCATTTGTTCTACATTTATGCCCAAGTGATTATAATTCTCAGTTACAGAGGCTATTTTAGAACATGCCTGAAAGAGATCATCGTTTGATTGCAAAAACAAGGCCGAAAATGAGCGGGAGACGATGCCACGGAAAAGGTCGGTCGAACGAGGTTCGTTGGGAAAGAGCAATCCTTGGGTCGTGATTCCAAAGCTGACGACAAGGAGGAGTAAGTAAATTCCGTTCCAGTAGACAGCACGACTTTCAAAGGTGTCACAAACCTCGCCGACTGTATTTACGTGTCTAATAGCCAAGCAATACCGTCCTTGAATACCAGATTAAGCCCGCAGCATGTGCAACGGTCAATCAAACGATAATGAAAGGTCCTTCGCTATTTCGTAAATATCATAATGATCTCATTATCGCGTCCACGCGTTTCTTATTCACGCAAAGGCGCTTAAAAAATTTAGGCAACGTAAAGACAAAACTCAAAGCAAAGAGAATCAACCCATTGTACAGACCATCGCTCAGTTGTAAAACTGTACCAGTTTCGCTACTCGTAATGCTTCGCATAATAATGGCAAAAGAAAGGAGAATCCAGGAGATTCCAGTTGATAAGTTTACGAGTGACCTTTTTTGCTGATTGAAAATCATGATTGATTACTGGTACTTGATATAAATGAGTATTTCTCCGAATGGATCATTATAACTCGAGGCTGATCATTTCAGCGTATTTAAACCGCATCCTGTGCCAGATAAATTCATTCGCGTTTCGCCAGTCGCGTACAACGGTGAAAACGGCCAGCGCAAAGTTCAACCCTTGCAGCGCGTAAACCAAGTACTCTTCCGGCTGAGGCGACGAATAGAACTTCTGCAAGAGCACTATTGAATAGAGGACAAGCATGACCAGATAAAATAGAGTTCCATAAATGTGCTGGACAAACGGCACGGCCAAGAACTGACCCGTCGATGCAGAAATTGATGTTGATTGGTTCTGTTTCTTTGGCAAGTTAAAAAAGTTAGCTTTGCAAAGAATACTGCTTAGTTTTTCCTGCTTCTATCCAGAAAAACCAAGATAAACTAATCTGGATTCTTGGCGTAGCTTGCACTATCGACAAAGAAAATTACTTTTCTAGATTTTAGCTGTTCTTCAGCCATCCAATCAAAGCCACTCTAGACCACCTGGATGTCAGAAAATGAGTGACAAACGTTTTCTCCAGTCAAGAGGTCCGTACTTTCCCCATCGTGAATTAAAAAAAAGCGTAGGTAAAATACGGAGTTCCAGCTTTGAGAAAAAAAACTCGACTGTTACTGTAACCAATCAAGGGGTGCTTTGTCAGAAGTGTCCAAAAGGACTGTCTTCTTGGAATGCTAGAAGAAAACGGACTTTTGTCACTTCTAGCAGAGCTTCCCTTTCAACCGACGACAAATTTAATCTTCGACTCGAAAAGGTGTTTGAAACCATAATGGATAAACTAGAACGACAGTATTTGTATTTTTCTATACTCGCCTATTACAACATCGAATCAAATCTTGCTACAGGTGGTCAGAAGAAAGTGCAGACATCTTTAGGGCAAACATTCAATCCCTGAAGCAGCCTGGGCGGTCTTCCGGCCATCTGAGAGCGCATTCGACAAATACACCTCACCAGAAGTCCGTAAGAAGCCCTATTTCGGTAATAATCCTCATCCCCTAAGCAGGGCGAGACCGGGCGACGCTGGGCGGCGCAGGGCGGCGGAAGGCGGCGCAGGGCGGCACAATTCAGTGTCTCCCCTTTCTTCTACTCAATTACTTTTTATGCTATTCTTTTAACTCATTTCCTTGACAGAAAACTTCGCCATAAGGGGGCAGAAAAAAGAGATAATGAAAAACGTGTAATTTCTTTTCTTCCTAAAGTATTTGTGAGGCGTTAACGAGCTACAGTAACTGAGGAACGAAGGTTTACCTTAGTGGGATGAGAGCGCCGTACCACCTACTCGAAATGTGCTCTTGGATAATCTGGCCGAGTTTTTCACTTTGAGTGGGATATACGAAGTGGCGCACTTGAATTTTTAGTATTTTATATCCGACTGTTGAGTTCCATCGACTCACAGTATCTAACTAACTGAGTTTATATCCAATTTTTGAAGCGGCGAAAGCAGCTTCTTCAGTCGCACATCGCCCCATTGAGAGCATCGAAAATTCATCACTTGCTCGTGTTCGCTGATAGATAGCTTGCCAAAGCAATCCGTTAAAATCGCCATCGCAACAGGACATTTTAGCACGTGAGCGGCTACAGCTGCGTTTGGAAGTAAATTCCGCCGCAGACGGGGAAGACAATGAGCAGCAACTTCAGCCTTTGAGTTGACCAGCGCCCAAACTAGAATTGTATGGAAAAAGTCGTCGTTTTCCATGTTGAGAGGACATCTGTCGAAATTGAATCCTTTTAAAAGCATAAAAAATGCCCGAATTTTCGGTGTTTTGGTACATTTAGGATAATCATTCACGCGATTTCCTTGAACGCCAGCGAAATATTCCAGCAGCCAAAATCTGCGGACGGGCATATTTTAACAAACTCTGCGTGATTGGAGATAAGCGGCCCGTTTCCTGATTCTTTCATGTATAAACTGGCCAGGATTAGCCGCCTCGTCCGCTGCGAACAGGCGGTATATCGTTTTTGAAATGTTGGGCGACTTTCGAGGGCTACCCACTTAACGGATCACGTGTTCTCCGTAATAGGCAGCCGTTCCGAGCGCAGATTCTGAAATTGCTGGCAGACGAGTCGAACGAAAAACACTTCGTCCTTGAGCAAAGCTGATACTACTCGTTCAATAAGTTCCGTAGACCCTTAAAAGCAACGAATGAGCAGCGAAAGTGGTTAGAAATCACACCTAAAATAGCGTTGTAGTCGTCGATAGGGCAGTTTTCAAGAAAGTCGGCGCAGATGGACTCATTGTGAGAAATCAACGAGAAAGTTTCAATCGGCGAAAATTTGAGGTTTGCTTCTCAATGCTCTGAAATCATTCATACTTTTCTTTATCAGTATTTTTCAATTTTAAGCTGTCCTATTTGTCGTTCAAAGTTATTCTCCAAGAGGATCAGGTTGTGAGCGAACTTGTTGTACAAGTCTTCTGAAGGCTGTTTTCCAAGAAGGTTCTAAAGAGAGGCAAGATGACCTTTGGCTAATTCTTAAAGAAAAACAAGGCTTGAAAAGAACTTAATAAATATCGTGTGCTCTTTCTTCTGATCGCAGTAGAAAGCGGGTTGAGCTGTGGCGCGAGTGGATTCATTAGCACGGGCACTCCCTTTGATATCACGTCTCGGATTCTCCTCTCATCCTTTGCAGCTTTATTTGGGATCAAAATGCGATAGAAAAGCGAACCTTTAAAAAAGAGAATTCGATCCGCTAGACTAGAAGCACTTGAAAACGTGGACATTGCCAGTATGTCTCTAAGCCCGCTCTAATATCATCCGGAAACTTGGTTAGAAGCGTGTGGGTTAGATTTGGGTCCAAACTTGTGTTTTCGCCTTCATCGACGACTCCGATAAATTTGACCGTTTGTTTAAACTAGATCGCCAATTCATAAAAAAATGAGAGCATTTAAAATTGCGCCCACCTTCGAGTTCAAACGTGTAAGTTGCGAGTCAATATCGCACCTGACGCCAGAGACGAGCACTACTGCCTCTGTTTTTGCTGCAAAGTAGAAAAGCAGCTTTAATTTCTCGACGAGCTCGTGGCGAGGCCAGTCGCTTAAAAAGGCTACCTTTTTACTCCGGCAAGAAGAAGTACCTGCAATTCGCGAGTGGACCACCTCTGACGATGAGCAAAAGGCTCGGACGTTCTTGAAACCATTGGTTGACAATTGAGCCGAAATTATTACGATTGGCATAAGCCACCTTCCCAACTGATTGAATACTTTTCAAGTCTCTCGTTCGTTCCATCTCCAGAGACAAGCAAAAACCTCTAAAAACTCGTCCCCAATTCTCTCATCTCGAGCAAGTGGCAAAAAGAATTCGCGAAGGAGAAGCACTGTACTGGCGATACTTGATCTTTGCCCATTGTAACGGTTCACATTTGCCCGCTGGAAGAAAAAAGGGAGTTACTGTGGTTACTTGGCCTGGCTTTAATTCGCGGCAAATAAGCATTTCACAAATTCGGCAATTGGAATTTTAATTGTAAATCGCAGATTGACAAAGTGCTGCTCGTTTATTATCCTACAAGAAGAAACTTCCGCCGCGTCAATTTATTTTCATAGCCAAACTTAATAAAATTCAATTTAGGTGAGAACGTCTAAACATTTGGACAGGTGATGAATGGCTCCTCTCATTGCCGTTTTCAAACGCGGTCCCATCCATTAGAAAACCTATTAATGTTGATTTTCGCTGTAAAAAACGACGCTCGCTACGCTTGAAAGGTTAATTTTGTTGGAGCGTGTTCCCGGAACTAATTAACTAATATAGGCTTTGGGGAGCTTAGTTCTCCTGTACTTTCGCATTATCACACGCCTTCCGACACGAATATTCGGCCCCTGCATATTCAGTTAAAGGATATGCATGTCAAGGCGCTACAAATTAAATTTGCGCACCTTGCATAGGGACACAGCCGCACAAGAACCAGTTAGAATGACGCCCTCACACTTTATTTAGAACGTAAATATCCAGCGAAAAAATAACATCTGCAACGTTGATTATTGGCGCCCAGAAGAAAATTAAAACGAGCATGCGGAATTCCATCGCGGACAAACAAGCTGTGATGAAAGAGAAGAGCCTCTGAGAGCGTAAAAAACGAGGAATGCATGAGACAGTGGCGATGGAGTACTCTGATGTGAGTATTCTCACGATGCTCGCCACAATCCCATATTGCCCCGCGGGGATATTGGGCTTTATTCATGATTCTGCCCCTACCCGGACCGGGTGGTTACTACTCCGTTTGATTGAGGTTAGAAGCGCGGAATAGCGCCACCGTTTTCACGTAGTCCGCGTGCCGTAGAATCAACGCGCCGCCCTTACTACAACTACACATTCACAACACAACCCTAGAAAAAGCAAACGATTCACTTCACTTACCTCAACACGCTTTTTTCCTATATTCGGCTGGGGAAGTAGAGAAGGAAAGAAAAATGAAGCGGGAATGAGAAAAAACACGGAAGATAATTTAAACGTGGAATGGGCAGACTAATCAAACAATGGGACAAATGGAGCCAAGAAAGAGAAGATGCATCTGTATTGCTTTGACTTGTGCGCTGACTCTGGAACGGCTCATACAATCAAAAATTTCTTAGACTTTGATTTTTATTTGCTGAGCCGCGGAATAGATTTTCATCCTAGCAGGCACACTATGCGGTATTTTCATCCCCAAAATGCTAACATCAGCGCCCGAGCACGTAGAGGTCACTTCAGGTATGCCCAAAATTCTAGCGCCAAAACAGGGTCAACGTGCGAATGAGTATCGGCGCGATAATCTAAGCGCAACACATAAACTTGCACAAACAAAGCTTTTCCAGCGGGGGCTAGAATCATTGGCAATTTGGCATTAATAGAGTTCGGCCACAGCGTGCAGATAATTTATTCAAATGATGACAGGAAATTTGAAAGTTTGAAAATTATCGTTTTCTCGATTTGCCGGCTGATTCACATCTTGATGAAGAGAATACCCTCATAATTAGCTAAATTGCGGAGCCACTTTTAGATTTAGCTCAAGGGCCTGGTGCGCTTCAAATAACACTAGTCTTCCTCCGCGTCCGATGGTACAGACAAAATTTTACCAGCACTTTTTGATCGTTGAGTTTCTAAACAATATGCCCTTATAGATAGCGATACGCTTGCAAAAGCTCTCTGACTGCGTTATCAGCCGCAGGTGGCCTATATCCCCTTCACCCGCGAAAATTCGTGGTGTAATGATAACGCAGACGAATGTATAATTAAATTTCATGAAAAAGCAGCATCTTGCTTGATTTGCAACGGATTATTAATGCAATCGTTAGATTGAGAAGACAAATTCACTCAGAATAAATTCAGCGAGCGCGCCGATTGAAGTGAGCTCCACGACAAGCGCGAGCACGCTGAGCAGCGACTCGACATTCACAGAGCTTGAAACTACCACTACCACAACAACCGAAGCAATAACAACGACAACTACGACAACTACAACGACGACAACTACCTCAACAACAACAACTACCGCATTCCCAACAACAACGAGCACGGTGCCCGTAATAGAAGCAGGCGAGCCGTTGCTCAACTTTTTAAAGAGCACGAGAGAAGATGACGAGCCCAAAATCGACTTTATAGACACGATGGACACGACACAAAGTAGAGTTCACATTGTAAATATTACTACTGGAAGCTGGATGTTCGGCGATGTCGAGAATCTTTGGTCACATTATCTCGTGATATTTGTTCCAAAGGGAAAGGTCACGATAGCAACATCACTGCCCGTTTATTTTTAAAACAGCAACGAATTAGTTATTCAAACCTTCTAAAAGTACCGCGACCAAAACCTCGATGGAAACGGATTCTTCTACTCAACCGAGGGGCCTGCTGATGGCAGCGATATGCTCCTCTCAATCGAAGCCGAATTCATGAAGGGTCTCGCGGAGCGCACAGGATCCGTCACAGCGCTGCTCTACGGTAATCCGCCCTCTCCGTTGCGACATGGCACCGGGTCAAACGACACGGAAGAGGTCTTCTTCGGAAACCAGATCTTGGCGCTATCGTGGGATTACGCCCGCAAATCCGAGCCTGTCGATCCTTCGGTGAGTCGTTTTTTTTCATTTATATATAACACCTGGAAAAATTAAATAATCCATTTATTAATTCTAAAATTATAGTTATGATATGTATGCAAAAAATAAGAAAGAATCCTTGAATTGTGGATATTTCAGGCCTTTTCTTAAATGAATCGAGACCGGGAATGAATCCTCGGTAACATGATCCGAACGTTAGCCCTTTGCGGCATCCGAGCTCTCGAGAAATATGCCAAAGAATGCTTGTGCATTTGCGATGTTCCGCTCTCTCCTTTTTGTATAAGAAAAACGCAGCGGAACAAACGCGTTCCGTTACGTTTAACTCAAACATCATTTCCGTGAAGTCCATAATTGGCGAGGCGCGGATTGAGCGCGGCCACACTCGAGAGTGTTCTTCTTTCTCATCTGTTCGTTCAGAAAAACGTGGTCTTTCCGATCCTGCGATCTGTTTTGCGAAGCTTGGACGCGGTGACGGACATTGTGCAGGAGAAAGACGAGCTGCCGGTTCCGATTAGCAATTTCTGCGTGATGTCGGAAGTCCCCTTCGTCGCCTGGCTCGCTGGAGTAGATCCGAGGGTCAAGTGCTCAGTTCCGATACTGACTGACTTGATTAACGGCACCGCCCAGTTCGAGCGGCAGTACAGGTAAAAACCCCCACGTTTCGAATAATTTCTTGTGAAAATATAAAAATCGTCGCGCTACAAGCGTAAAATCAAATTTCAAATGGGAAAAATCGTAGCGCTCAAAACTTGTCTCGAATAATTTTCAAAGTTCCTGCATTTCTTTTTTTAAAAAAGTGATCAAAGGTCTATGGCTGGCTGGAGTCATCACTGGGCTGGCTTTGGGGATCTGTTTGACGACCTGGGCTCGAGAGAGCTCTGGGAGGTTCTTCGACATGTGGACCCGATTTATCAACCAGAAAGATTCAATCAATCGATTCTCATGCTCAGAGCCGGAAACGACGAAGCTTCTGGTAGATACTAAGTCATTCCTCAATGCTTATACAATATATATTAAGTTCCCGATGCAACTTACGATTTCTACGACAAAATGAGCAAGAACCAAAAGATCTACCTACGCTCGCTGCCCAACTCGTTGCATGAGATCGACGAGCGTTTCCGCAACACCATCGAAGGCTTTTACGTTGCCGATCGAAGCCAGTCGCGAGAGTAAGTCTACTTCATTCAATCAAGCTTGTAAAGAGAGAAGTACTCGGTCTCTGACTAGAGGAATGCGCCGTGCATAAATTTATATTTTCTTCAAAAATGTGCTTTTAGAAGCCCGCAGCCAAATCTAAATTGGACTTTGCTTGCCACTGACGAAGAGAACGAGATCATCGTCACCAGTGATAGACGACCTTCGCGGATAACAGTGTGGATGTCTGAAACGCAGAACAGGAACAAGAAGGATTTCAGACTTTTGAAGCTGGTCAAGGATGGCGTCACCGCGCAAAACAGTCAATATTTGTGAGGAGATTCAGTTGACTTTCGCTGTTTTACTGTTCTTGTAGGCCCTTCAAGGAACCTCCTTACCTCGAAGACATCACTTTCGATTTGGAGCGATATCGAGGCAGGCGCCAGGCGATGTACACTCAGCTGTACACTTACCGGGCGAGTTTCGAAATGCCCCCGAAAGGCTACTGGAAAGCATACTTCATCGAACTCGAGTTCGTCGGCCAGTGGTCCTCGCAGATCTACACCACGGAGACAAACGTGATCCCGAACAAGCTGCCCTGGCAGGGATGCTGGGAGAACCAGCGCAAGAAGCACTTCTACGACTGCGAGAAAAAGTACGAGCGTCGCTTCTTGTGACAGAGCAGAATCATCAATACAGAGTACCTCTACGAAAGTGGGAGGCACTGCCGCGCGCCGGAAAGTGCTCTTATTCACTATTTTTATAATCTTTAACCTATGTAAAATGCCCTCAATCAATACACTTCCTGAAAACATATTTATTAATAAATTTCTATTCAAATTTCAGAATCAGTGTAGAATTTTTATTTATTCGCAGACTTTCGAAATTAGCTCTTTATCTTTCGCCGCAGCTAAAAAACTTTATAATTTGTATGCAAATTATCTCAAACCTTGTATTTCGCAGAGAAGAGAACTTCGACAATCTTTATCGCACTTTGAATGCTGGCTTTTGTGGTACTTGTTTGCAAAATACTTTCGAAAACTGCCACTGCTTTTGCCGTCTTTCCACGCTGCGACGAGTGCACCCCATGATTCAGGAGACAGGTCTTGAAGATTGTACTCCGCTCTCGCCGAGTATGACTAGATAATGATGAAAATTAGAGGCTTTTCATGAGAAATAATGACCTTGAAGAACTTCGGCGTTTCGTTTCTAGCAACGTCTTCTACATTCGTTTTGAAGGTATGATGCTCCAGTACAGCAAAAGTGGTATTTTCCCGTTCCCAACTGAGTAAGGCTGATTTTGTCATCGAAAAGGTAAGAAAATTGCCCTCATCAAGTTCATAAAATATTAACACTGAAATCAGTCCTGTCAATTTCGTACACTCTGAAAGAAGGATCCACACCCTCCCATGTTGTCACACTTGGAGTGACATAGGCTATGTTGCTTGGTTGCTTCTCGTCGTAGTCAGAATAGAACACTTTTATGTGATCCCAATGGGTGTGGCCATAAAACTGTACAGTGACGGTTTCTGAGAACCTAGTCAAATTTATAATAGCCCTAAATCTATACGCCGTACCGATCGATTATTTTGTAGAACTCCGCCGAGCAAAAGTGGATCGTGTCGGGCTCTCCAGGTGGTATGTGTCCTAATAATAGCACTTTTTCCGACGTAGCTTCGGCCCTCACTAATGTGTCCACAAGCCATTGATGTTGGTTGCTTACGGTTTTTGAAGGGAAGTATGTAATTTTAATTTGTAAGGGTTTGTCGCCTCGTGAATAGAAAATGCACGAGTGACACGGCGCAACTAGCTGTTATCAGTTGTTATATTCACGGGAGAAAACCGAGCCCGGGGTCGCCATCCGTGAGAAGAATCCAGAAGTTCTCATCGTTGCAGAAGTTCGAGTTGATGGAGACGACTCTGAAGCCCGGTCGTAAAAGCTGCGTGTACTGAAGGAAGGGGATGCTTTTAGTCAGAATAAGGATCAATTTTATACATATCCGTGGCGTTTTATGGTCTCGTAAGATTGTGCCTCGAGTCCAAATGGTTCCCACGCGTCTGCTAACACCTAGATGGGCTTTAGATTTTTCACACATGGCAGAAATTACTTCGTAGAGCCAATAGTCGCTGCTGGGAAAGGCGTTGACCGGAACTCCTTCATGATTCCCGACCGACGGTAAAATCACTGTTTTCTGAATAAAATAAAATAGAACTAACGCCAGAGGAAGAACTTGCCGGAAATCTTTTGCGAAATTCTTGCGTGATATTGAATATTAGACCAGCGGTAGTCCGGGGAGAGTACTCCCAGAGGTTATGTGCTAAAATTATAAAAATGGCTTTGATCAAAGAATCAGCTTACCCGGCGCGTCACCTGTCCAAAAAAGGAAGTCCGGTTCGGGAAGCGTCTCTTTTGCTGCATCTGAGGCTGATAAAGAAACTCGCTCAAATAATCGAATAAAATATGAAAGGTGTCCTTTCCTAAAGTGGCGGCAAATGTTCTGAATGGAATGTCACAGGATGCTTTTGTGCCCCAGAAAAACGCTGAATTTGCTGCGCTTTTTTGTGAGCTTCCAGTTGAGGAAGAGCGGCAGCATAGCGGCTGATCGCATTCAGATAGCGCGTTCTCTTCGTAATCCAGGTCAATGTGGACGTCGGTTATGTGGAGAACTTTGAGAGTTTTAACTGGCTCGGTCTGGGGTTGAAAATGTGAAGTTGAGATTTCAACCTTTGTGCTCTTTGAAATTTATAACCCGCGCTTAGTTGGGAACGCCGTCTTCGATCGTGGACGCTTTCTAGTTGGGATTTGAACTTGCTTCCATTCGAACAGATTCCAAATCTCAGCCGAAGAAAAACAATCGGGCAGAATCAAATTGCAAACTGATTGAGGACTGGGTCGGACATTACGCACAACGGCGAGAAACTCCGGCCGGAAGAGGTCAATCGTCCCGTAGCAAATGTTTTTGTCGAATATTTTAAACTGCCAGCAGATTTTCTTGAGAGACCTTGTCTTTTGATGCTAATGGAATTTCGTGATTATCGCGGCTGAAGAGACAAAGATACGTCTCCTTGTCTCCAACAATAACCATTTAGCTAACTTTGACAAATGAACGCGTTGGCCCCTCGCTCGGTTCTCACAAACGGCAATAAGGTTTTCACCCCCGCTTCGCATGCGAGACATTTCGTCGAGTAAGCTAGAATATTGACCGCTCCAAATAACTGTTAATTAATTCTGCTTTTCTACCTCTTGACTTTAGAACAAGTGATGCGTCGGCCAGACAAATAGCAAGAAAGATTACCAGCTTCATGAGCAATAAACCTTCTCTTTTAAACTTTCCGCTCTCGCCTTTTTAATCCATTGTTTATTTTTTTTATCAGAACTTGATCTCGAAATCAAGTCTGGGCGAAAATCGTTGATTCTTTTCTGAACCTATCCCGCTCGTAAAAATGCTTTTAGTAGGAAACAGAAAGTGACAGAAGAAGAAGCAGAAAGTGATAATACATTGATTGAGGGCGGAGATTAGCCAAAGCGGGTATTATTTTCGGACAGCGCTTCAAGCTGGGAAGATGAACTTTTCGCGTCATTTTTTCGCGGATCCTCACCCCCTGTGAAATCTAGCAACAGTTTCACAAGCAACGTTTTTTTGATGTTTGGCGGAATTCAATCGATCCGACGTCATTCGCCGTTTATCCTATATTTTCCATCGATTAACAGCAAAATGGCGATTAATAATTTTCGCGGGCTCAATACTTTTTTCTCCCTTCTTTCAATCTAGGTACCGGGCAAAATATAAGCAAGTGGCTTTGTCCCACGGCAATGGAGCTGGGATTCGATTTCGTAAATTTTCTCGTCATTGCCAAAATTGAAAAGGATTGATGGATGATTTTATTCTTGAGATTTGCTCGAATCGCATTAGGTTTTTTTTTCAGCGCAAGTCATTTTTGTCAATTGCAATTTCGCTTATTGGATGTTTTATGCTTGAATGCGCTGTCAAGAAGGTATTCCTGTTTTCGACAGTTTGGGAGGCTGTTACGTTGGCTTCGTAGGCTAAAGTTAAAATGGGCATTGGATTTGGTAGTTATCGGAGAACGAGTAGAGAGATCGACTCGGTTGGGATTGGTTGAGGAGCGCCTCCCGACCCATCTGGCTGCTATTTTTGCTCATATGGTCTAACCACCACGCTGAGAATATAACTCGCTTTTGTACAGGAAGGAAGTTACAGAGAGGACGAAGATCGACAACCGAAAAAGAAATTCATAAAAATCCAAAGCAAGTAAGTCTGATATTCGATCATCCCAGTCACCCCACACACCATTAAATATTCATTTTTTTTTGGGGAAAGGTGATTTTGCTTTTGTTGTTGGCAAAAACAGAAAATGGCCATTTTGTTTCGAGAATTTATTATTATTTTTGGGGAATCTTGAGCGGAAGAAGGAAAGCCTTGATCGTATCGTTTTTGTCGTGTTTTTGGGGAGTCAAGGTCGCCCATGGATGGATAATCCCAAGGGAGCCCATTTCAAGGTGAAGTCAACTTCAGCCCTCGCCCGGCCAGAATTGTCTTTTTAAAAGGTACAGCTTTCGCGTTACTCAGTGAATAGACCTTGCAAATCGATCTGCAAATAGCTTAGCTCCATTTCAAACTTAAGTTTATCTATATCTTTGCTTGAGAAGCTCCTTTCCATCAATCCCTTTTTTTTAATTATTTTTTTTTCATAAATTTGAATAGTTTTATGTTATTCGAAAAATTTTACGAGTTTTCCCTTTGAAAGGGCGTCAAAATCTGGAGATTATTGAAAATGTTTTATTCCAAGAGGATGACAGTGAGGACGTGACGTGCCCTGTTTCTCAAAGCTGCAATACACTTTACTGCAGTTCGTAGCTGGCACAAATATAAAACTAAACCCGACTTATCCACAATTCGCCCAAAGTACGGATGCCGATCAATTTTCAGTACAAGCTCACGCATCCCCGTAAAAGGGCACTGGTAAGGTTCGCTCTGGAACAGGCGCCCCAACTGATAAAATAAAAACAATTAAGGGTGTCCCCAACGATCGAGTTTGACTGTTCTTAGTCGGGTGACCAAACTATTTTTAAGGAAGCTGCCTTAACCGAAAAGCCTTCAGTAAGTCCTATAAAAATTAGCTCAAAGTATAGCCTGTTTAAAAAAAAAATCGTTGGGGACACCCTTAAAGCGAGAGTTTTTATTTAGTAGAGATTATCGCTCATTAGTATCGATTTCTTATACCTAATGATTTCAAGGTTGTCTTGTTTAAAAAAACTACTCGTTTTGTGATAATTTCAGATTTTTGTGTCTCTTTTTTTGGAAGTGTTGGTTTTTAAACTGTCGATTGAATTGATAAGTGAAGGAGAATAGTGACAGGTGAAGGTACTTAGGCGTACTGGTTCTTTGGAGAGCCTGGGCGCCGTTGAAATATTCATCTCTTGACAACAGATCAGAATGCTCTGCTTTCTTGATGACACTAGTTGGATGCACCCCTGAACGCTTTCGCTTTACTAAATAGAGCTCAGAGAGGGATAAGCGTCGAACAGATAGATACAATTTTTTCTATTATATTGCCAATTCTATATCTGGCTAGGGCGAGCGAGGCAATGATCTTCTTTTTTTCACAGCCAAAGAAATCGAGAAAGTAAAATGACTCTTTTTCTGGAATAATTTATCCGTAGCGTTTCAAACGCAGCCGCACAGCACACACACTGCATGATTCGCAAAAAGGATGATAAAGATTAGCCAAGCTGAGTAGAGAAATCTTGTTCAGAAAAAAAAAGGTGGAATCGAATTGAGAATGACCGTCCTGGCGTGCAATTTGAGATATCCCCAAATGAGATATCCTTGTAGTTCGATTTTCTGCAACAACTTGCGGGAATTTAATGATCGCTACTTTTTAATCAATTTTGTTTCTTTTTCATCTTGGCGGGTTTCTTCCTTGATTCCAAGGTTTTCTCTTTTCGAGCGCTCGGGAAATATTCGCGAATATTTTGAATGATTAGAACATCGCTAAATTATAGATGCGGACTAGGAATAATACGCTAGAATATTCAAATATTTGAGCGAAGAACTTGACTCGCCGCACGGGCTCAAGAACTGTTGATTATTTATCAGATCTTTCTTCTCTCAAACTCAAAGGAAAATTCTGAGAGAGAAGGACGAAGGCCAACTAAAATGTGAAAAAGAACGGTTTCATATTTAATTGGATTGAGGTCTCTGGGAGGATGTTTGGGATAAGGGCATTTAATGAAGGAAATGGCCGAAGAGATCAAGTGCGGTCTTTAGGGTGGGTTAGGCACACGCTTTTGGGTTCATTTATCGCTAATTGCCCCAGGCGCATGGGCATGTTCTTAATTTGCCTTAAATTCGATTCCATGTTTTACAATATCTGATGATGCGTGATGCGCCATCTAGGGCGTCGTTTATTATCCATTCAACGATGGCGGCGGAATTTGGGCACACTTATCAAACTTGCTAGAGCTTCTCACAACACCATCGAAAAGCATGGAAACAGAGAATCCCATAACATAGAGCGAATTCCTCAGCACAAACTAACAGAATGCCGACGCGCATTCAAGAGCTCCACGAGCCCACGGCTTTGGCCAAATCTAGAACATTCCCGTTCTATGAGTCCGACTTGCTTGTGGATGAGGTGTGCATGGAAAATGATTTTTTTTTCATAACTGAACGTGTTCAGTTTGAGCCGGCCAAGATAAAATTATGATCGCCAATTACCTTTTGAAGCAAAAATTAAAGAGTTCAGAACTTTTCTTATAATGAAACATATCAGTGGACTTATTCTAGTTTATATGATTATAGAGAAAGCATTATTTATTAGACTTAAAAGCCTACAGAAAGAATTAAATAGTGGAGAATATATTAAATACTTACTGAAACAAATAAATGCTTTATTTCAAAATTTAATGTTTAAAATTTGTTAAGATGGAAGGAAACAACAGCGACCGATTTATTGTGAAGACGACAAGCCTGGAACTGTAAGTATTTGTCATTGTGTGGAAAAATGATTAGGAAAAAATAACTTGGGATTATTCTGTAGTTTCGAGAAGGACGGGTCGATCGCACTGAGTGACCATAATTGCATTCTTGCGGATTTCTTAATTTATCCAAAAATCTATAATCACTTGTTTTATCTGACGGTCGCCGAGTAATCATTTATCCTCATTTTCCAGCTCGATGGATTTAAAAGCATTCTGAAAAAAGGTGCAGTAGCAAAGCCGCTCGCAAGAGTGAAAATTAAAGTCAAATTAAAAACAGAACAGCGTCGCAGTCTGTGGCAGACAGAACTTTCAAGGCATAAACATTGGTTAAGTAATAGATTAGGCAGAAACTTCGGCTGCCTGAATAAGCAATTCAAGCAGAGCCGATACGTTAGTGCCGCAAGAGTACTCCAATGTCAGAACTGGGCCTAAACAGCCAAGTAGGCATCGCATTGAATTTTTGTACAATAAGCAAAAACGACAATGAAGATTGTAAAGTTCTTTCAGAAATGGAGATGAGGAGTCCCTACTACGGCAGAATTCGCAGCCGACAGTCACAGAATCAACTTACTGGACAAAGGACAAGAATATCCCCGATCTGCTGGCGAATTTGGATAGCGAGAAAAAGGTAAACATGTCTCAATCTGTCGATGCTGTCTGATCAGCATCTTAAGTTTTTTAATTATTCATTTCAAACTTTTATTTAGCCCGTTGGAAATCGACTCTCCACGCTAATGGGTGTGTTTTTCCCCACTATGCAGAATATTTTCGGGGTGATACTCTTCATTCGTATGAGTTGGGTGGTTGGCGTTTGCGGCTATCCTCAGGCTTTTCTTCTTGTCTCCACGTGTTGCCTCACTACCATGCTGACGGCAATCTCGATGTCAGCCGTCGCCACTAATGGCAAAATATCGGCCGGTGGAAGTTACTACATGATCAGTCGCAACCTAGGCCCAAGTTTCGGCGGCTCAGGATAGAGTTCAAGTCAACATTCATTTTACGCCCGAGGAGTCGACTCAGCGACACAGCTACTCGCAATTAGCAGCTAAAGAACTCTATTAAAGTCGGCATACTGTTCTATTTGGGCACAACTTTTGCCTGCGCAATGTACATTCTCGGAGCAGTCGAGATCATCACCAAATACATCGCTCCAAGTTTATCGCTCGGCTGGGGATCGCCGGGAAGTGACGGCTTCTTCACTATATATTTTAACGATTGCAGAATATACGGCACAATCATCTTGCTATTAATGGTTACGATTGTTTATGTTGGAGTAAAGGCACGGGCTGAAAAACTCTTTCGAAAGAACTTTCCAGAAGACGGATTAATTTTTCTCTTATTTGAGTGCCGTTTATCAATCAGAGCTTACCTCTACTAAATTAAAGTGACACTCGCTCCAGCCTGCGAAAGTATGTGAATTACTCCGCAAACATCTTCCTCGGAGTGACGCTGATTAGTATTGCCACTATTTTTGCTGGATTTGTTAAAAACGCTGCATTTCCTTCTACTGCCCAAGATGATCTTCATGTCTGTCTGCTCGGGCCCAGATTACTCAGACAGCCAGAAGATGAATACTGCTCAGGTAATTATTCGCTCGAATCCTAATTGTATGCATTTTCTAAGCCATTCAATTTCGAACTTGAGCCTGAATTTGTCTCGTTTGTCAAAATAAATATTAAACTATCAATAGTGTACCGTAATGATAGTGGATCCTACAAGCCAACCTGGATCTACAACCAATTTTGTCCTCCTGTAAACGACTCAACCTTTGCTAAGCTGTTTGAAAATGATCAGCACTTGGCACCCTGTCATGATTATCTCAAAAAACTGGAGCTAGTATCTCGAGTACCAATTCCTGGTGCGGGAAACTCAGAGGAGTGGAAAATTAATATCAACTCTGGCTACATGGATCAAGGGCAATTCGTCTCTGCTGACCTAAACGCTTTCGACCAGAGCTCGCTCAATGTCTACAAGAATGAAACAGCTGAAAAGGAACTTGGTGACAAAATCGATCAGATCTTCATTCGCGCTGATATGACGTCCTCTTTTGCTATCCTCATCGGTAATTTTTATCTGCAAGTACCGTAAATAACTTCGTTAGGAATCTTCTTTCCTTCTTGCACTGGAATCATGGCGGGAAGCAACCGTTCTGGAGATCTTGCGAATCCAGCAGCGTCTATTCCAAAAGGGACCATCTCTGCTATTCTTGTTACTTCTATATGCTATCTGTCAACGGTGATTCTTTTCGGTATCTCGGTCGACGGGGCTGTCCTTCGAGATAAGTTTGGTCAATCATTGTCAAGGTCGAACAAGCTTCTAACAGCCAAAGTTGTCTGGCCGCACGAAATGGTCATGCTTATAGGTTGCTTACTCTCTACTCTCGGTGCTGGTAAGATTTATACCCAGCTACTTGCGGTAACGAATATCATCAAGGTTTACAAAGTTTGACTGGTGCTCCTCGTTTGCTCCAAAGTATCGCCCGTGACGGGATCATACCTTTTCTACGCCCAGTAGCAGCTGGAAAACCGGGATCGGGAGAACCCACATGGGCAATTCTTGTCACTGCCGTTATCTGCGAGGTCGGAATCCTCATCGCTGCACTTGATGCCTACATAGCCCCGCTCGCTACTCTTTTCTTTCTCATGTGCTACATGTTCGTCAATGTAGCATGTGCGCTTCAGGGTTTCTTGAAATCTCCAAGTTGGCGTCCGACGTGGCGATATTATCACTGGGGCTTCTCCTGTCTTGGTGCCTTTCTTTGTTTTATGTTAATGTGGATGGTGGGCTGGAAACTGGTCCTTGTTGTCTTAGCGATTGCGCTCTTCCTTTACAAATACATTGGTAAGAATTAACCTCTCACTTTTTAGCAATAATTTTTTAGCCTACAAAGGTGCAGAAGCTGAATGGGGAGATGGTCTCAGAGGCTTGTACCTCTCCGTAGCGAGATATGCACTGTATCAAATGCCTCAAACCAAAGTAAGTGCTTCCTCTTCTATGTCTTCAATAATGACTCTTTCACAGAGTCTACATACGAAAAACTATCGCCCACAAATACTCGCCTTTTGCAAATACGACCAAAAGTCCAAAACAATTTCAAATCCAGATATTGTCAAAGTTGCTCGCGATTTAAAGGCGGGCAAAGGATTGTCAATGTACGCCAGCGTGCTGGAAGGTGACATACTCGACTCGGAGTCGACCTCGGAAGTGGAAGAGTGCAAAATGCAACTCGGTAATCTGCTGAGACAACACGGTTGCAAGGCCTTCACGAATATTCTCCTCCAAAAGGACGTCCCACAGGTAATTTACTCGGATCTTTAATCAGTGAGAGCTTACGTGTCTTTGAGGGAATGTCAGCGCTAATGCAGACATCGGGCTTGGGCTCGCTAAAACACAATTCCGTACTGATCAGTTGGCCAAAAGACTTCGATAGAACATCGTCGACGACACGGTTCAACAAAACGCTTCGTGCTGCGAATTCGACCGGCCTTGCATGCATGGGTAAGATTTACAAATGACAAATGCAACCAATTCTATATCGACGTTTAGTCACTAAATGCTCAAGCTCATGGCCCTCGGAGCCAATTCAGAAGGGAACCATCGATGTCTGGTGGATCATTCACGACGGCGGTCTAATAATGCTCGTCGCCTGGCTGCTCAAAAAGAGTCGAACTTGGAAGGGATGCAAGATTAGACTCTTTGCCGTCGCTCAGGATTCTGATAACTCTATTCTTCTGGAGCAGAGATTACAGGTAACTTACCGTTACAGTTTTCATTAATTATACAAATACTAACAGGAGCATATTGCTGGTCTTCGAATCGGAATCTCCCAAATAAAAGTTGTTGAACTTAACAAGCAGGACATAAGCGCGTACGCTTACCAGGTAAAAAATCAGTTCAAACTTAAAGTAAACATTTTTTTTAAAGAGAACGGTAAAAATGGACCAGCGAAACGAACTTCTGACAGAACTTGGCGTTGAGGACATTGGATTAGTGGCGGAAGAAGTCAGAGCAGGTAATTTGCTTGAGCCAGGGCTTTTTGAAACGGAGACAAATCAGCAAATAATTCTAAAGAGCGTAAAAACATTTTAGTGAGCGCAGAAAGTCAAAATCATTTGGAGAAGATCGTCACCGACAATAATATGACATGGAGCCCGACTCACAACTCAAACCGCAACAATGCCGAAATCATCCATCAACTGAGGGTAAATCATCTAATCAGAGCTCATTTAAAAAAAAAACGGTAGCAGATTCTTTATTAACCCAATTATTTAAAGCGGGTGAAATTCGACGAGTCGGACTATGCCAAGACTTACGCAAGAATGCACAACGCTCGTGCACTCAACAACGTGATTTTGGATGATTCTGATAGTGCTTCGCTGGTCATTATCAACCTCCCAGCACCACCAAGCAATAACACAGAGCGGTAAGCATGTCCTTCAATCGCTGTTCAATACCCTCTTCTACCGTAAATAACAAACTCTAGTGAACGAACGTACATGATGTTTATCGAAGCGCTGACGATGAATTTGGAACGAGTTCTGTTAATAAGAGGCAGTGGGAAAGAAGTAATCACAGCATACGGCTAGAAGCAAGAAGAAGCCTACTTTGATCTCGTTTTACCTCTTCCGGACTCTATCACTCATTCACTTCCAGTTCTTCAGAACAAACAACTAGGCGCTTTTTTAAATTACTGAAAGGAACCCTATCAACCAAGAATGCTTCAAATAATTGAGCCAAAACACACTTCACCGAACTGTTATTGAGCCTCAAGGTGTATTTAACTGTAACTAACTTAGTACTTCAAAATGCAGTAAATAATCTCTGAAATAAACCCAAAAAATCTTCTAAAAAAGCACGAGTGCGCACTCAAGAGGGGAATCTCACGAAGCATAATTATTAATTAATGCATGCACCTTTGGATGAGTTATGAAAAGGTTATGTCACCGAGTGCTTCGTTCCGGTATTCGTCTTGTCTCTGCAGGGTTTTAAACGGATCCAGAGAATATCCACTCCAGAAAAAGGGTGCAATGAAAGTCAAGAGTTCCGAATTTTGATGCGGTTGACGATTGAAAATGTTCCTCGGCTATCATATTTTCCTAACGGTGTCATTATCAATTTCATTCCCTCAAAGATAGCATTGAAAGTTATCGCATCCGTCATTGGAGTTTTTTTTTATCGAAGATAGATTACGGTATTGGCAAAATAACAGTGTCTCCAGAAGATCGTATTTTTTTTCTTATAGCAGTTTATTCAGTGGATAATCTATCAGTCAGAATTCAAGCGTCAGATAGTTGTCGTTTTTACCGTTATCGAAAAATAATTTATCTATCTCAAATGCTTTTAGTAGAGATTAGGAGCGTAAATTAACCGGATGTGTTTATTTTTTGGTGCTTTTTGGAGTCACAATGTGTTGAATTCGGGCTCGGCGAGGTTGTGTTGATACGAAATTGCGATTTTTCTATTCTCCGGTAAGTTGACTTTGTTTTCTGCAAAAGGGATCAAAATTCAAATTCCATGGATTTTTACCAAGTCAGCGTCAAAATTGACCCCGGCCTATTACATCGAGTAGATAGCAGGCAACGTCGGCGAATCTCATCGTATGATAGCGTGTTTTGTAAAAAGGATATTTATCTAAAATTGATCGTATTTTTTCTCGACGAAAAAGAAGCCTTGCCTATGATCGCTTGAACTCGATCAGATGCGTTCGAGATGATCGTCTTTTCAAGGCGGTCGCCTTTTCTGAGTCCAGGCGCGTGGATCGTATTCCAGTGCAAATTTTCACTTTTTTCGAGAACCTCGACAGCCGCATTCATGTCCTCCAAAACATGGCCGATAAGGTGGCGGAGGAAAAATCGCGCTCCGCAACCAGAAAGCCCACCCTTTATCTCGCTTCCTTTATCGTCTGTATACCAAGACATGAGAGCTGAGGGTCAATGTTAACTGGAGGGACAATTCCGTTTAGGATTTACCGATGATGTTGAAGACGTCGCGTTCGGCCATCACCTCGACAATCATTTTCATCCATTTCTGGTAGAGATCGATGTTCCATCCTTTGTTATTGCGTCGATGAAAATTTAGCGTACTTAGACACGGGCGAGAACGTTGCCTACTTATTACTTGAGTAAACAGCTAAAGAAGTGGCGAGTCGTTACTTGGGACTTTTGTTTTGCAAATCTAACGAAATCTAAGCTACAAGGCTCCCCAGGTTAATGAAAACTTTATTACTTAGCCCTAATGAAGTGTAACCGGCAACATTCCCGCCCAAATTTCCTGAGGACAACGTTGATGCCTGAGAGACCTTTTGAGTTCAAAAAAGAAAATCATTCGAAGAAAAAAAACGATAAGAAGTGCATTTTGAACCTTTCCTTTGCCCACGGCAGCCGGGTCAAAAATATCGCACTCGATGATGGTGAGATACTGTTTGGCACGCTCTTTTGCGAGATTTTCCACTTGACTCGACGGCCGATAGCGCGAGGAGCCAGGTCAGTCAGGGTCCGAGGGGAAGGGTGCGCTCGCTTGGAAAATCTCCCCCTGATTGCCTTTCACCTCTCGTTTGTATTTGGACACTTGTCGCTCTAATTTTTCCTTGCAAAGATTTGAAGAACTGGCAGCAGTTCAACTTCCTGTTTGCTCAGTTCACAATCGAACCAGAACTTTTACGAAAACTGAACGACTTCAACAGAAACTCTTGAATCTTTTCCTTGTTGCGCACGAAGCACGTGATCGTGTGATTGTTTCGCAGCGCCTGATCAGTGGGATACTTTTTTAAAATCATTTGCGTCATTTTTTCTGATATCGGCCAAGAAGCGAATCATTAATTTTTCCCAAGGTTAGAATTATCGAAAATGAATGGCCCGAAATCAATTGCATTATTGAAGCCACATTCAAAGCTATTTTCATTTTATTTATCACAAGATTAAAGCTACTAAGTTGAGTAAATATTTTCAAGCGAATTTCGTCAGCACGTAGTGTGCTGTTTATTCTTCTAGTTCATTTTTACGCAAATAATGACCTCGCGTGTGGCTTCTGGCAAGGTATTCTAATGGAATCGTATTCTTGACAATACGTGACAGTTACTGTTTGTCGATGATGGAGCTTGCTTTTGTTAAAGATATCCCGTTTTTCCTTTTCGAGAAAAAGGCTGCCCGTCTTTCCCGTCGCCCCGAAGAGAGCGATCTTGTAGATGTGCCTGGAAGTTGTTCTCCGTCTAAAGTAATCGTGCGACGAACTGGTTCGCGAATTTTCGATTTTATTTACACTTTACGGGCGCGTAAAACATGAACTGCCGGAGCTCGGGAAAGAACTGCCGAACGCTAGGATGCTTACCGATGGAGAGCTTTCATCATTTCACTCATGTTTGCGGGAGAACTGATTACGTCAAATTTTATTCTTGTTTAGCGTTCCTTTGTCTCCTCAGCGCTCGAGCTGGAGCTCAAAGAAGTCGAAAAGCTCAACAATAATAACGAACGATCTTGCCTCTTCGTTGGCCTCTCTTTCTCTCCGTCTCTCTATTTTTCCCTCTGTCGAATTCCCCAAAAAGGAAGAAAAACGTGGAAGTAGTAGTGTGGAAGCGGGAGACTTTGAGTAATCTGGCGGTTCTCTCCGTTTTCGTTTGCGTTGCAGTAATGAGAATGAGCGCAACGCCGTGTGTAGCGCTCTGCGCCGCGAGTCAGCCAAGCACTTTCCCTGGGCAAGGCAAAAAAATAATAACAGACCCGACAGTGCGATAACAAAAACGCAATATTTTATAATTATTATGAAAAATGAAAACTACGGTTCTGAAGAGTCGACTCTTTTTGCGTTAGGAACGGAAATAATTTATTAATCGAGGCGTTTTGTATTTTTTACGAGTCTTGGATGAAGGATGAGCTGCTCTTTTTTCCAAATGCATCCGAAAGCAGGGCAAAGTAAGGATCCGTTAGACCCTGCGGCCATGAGAGGATATTATGCTTACTTTATGATTCAGAAGAGTATTTTTTAGTACTAGGTACACTCATGCTCCCGGTTAGAACAACTGCTCTTCAATCCATTAAAAGTAGACAAACTAGAAAAACAAATATTTGTTCAGACTGTATAGAAGACAACGGCTATGTTCATCACGAACAACAAATAATCTACAGTAGCCCTCTTCAGAAATTCTTGAAATCTCAGTGTCATCTGAGCAGTGAGCTTCTTATCAACCTGCATGTTATGAAACGCGTTCTATTCTAATTTGTCTAAAACCGAAAAGCGGCAAAGTTGCCCAGTCGCGTGGTTTTCGTGGTCGCCTTGAAAGGGCTTTTCCCCGATACAACGTACAGATAATAAAAATCTTGGACAATTTGATTGTTGGATTGAGTTTTGAATTTGTTGTGGTAACGATTTGCCTTGCAAAAGAATTGGAGAGCAATTATCCGCGGTTTTTTATAAAAGCGTATATTAGGCTAGTTTTCAAGTTAAAGAGTGAACAGAAAACGAGGCTTGCGCCGGCGAAGGTTATGAACAGCAGGTGCACGAGGCGAATCTCCAAATAAGGGAATCGGCAGATTCGCGATCACAACATCCCCCCAGATTCGACTGGCGTGAAGGTTGACCGACGCAGAGTCCAAGTTGGTGACGAGAGCGGGTTCGTCGACTTGAAGTATCCTCGTTGTCTTTTCTGATCAAATAGTGATAATAAATGATTTGTTATGATCTTCCTTGGAAAGGTACAGTCTTTTTCCGGACGCGCCGCGGATATCTTTCGGTGAACGATGAGGCCGGTTCAGCGTCGGGTCGGCTCTTAACAACGGGGTTCTCGGGTTGATTTTGGCCGCAATAATCCGGGTCCAGGTGCTGTGGACGGTCCTTGTAGAGAATACAGTGATGTCGGTGTACCCAACTGAGCTTTCCACTAATGTCCAGTCGAACTATAACGCCATTAGTGTCCACCACTTCAAAGGGTCCATTCCAAGCGCCCTTGCTCTCCTTCGTTTCCGCGGACATGGGTCTTTTTAGCAGAACTCTGTCGCCTTTGGTTATCGTTATTGGTTCAATTATAGATTTTCCCTTATTTTTAGCGACGAGGTCTGCTTCCGATTGAGCTAAATCGACGAGCTTGTGGACGCGGCTTAGGGTCGCGGCTATTTCAGTGGCGTACGTTTTTGGAGAATCCGCGGATGGGTTTTCGGCCATTTGTATTCCGTCGAACGAAGGTTTTCTTCCGTAAATAATTTCGAATGGCGAGACGCGCGTTGCCACATTTTTGCATTTATTCATAGTACTCACCACTGATGGTAGAACTAATTCCCAACACAGATTTCGTTCCAAGGCGATTCCATATAACGCATTTTTGAGAACACGGTGTGATCGTTCTAGGCATCCAGTACTTTCCGGGCGATAAGGAACATGTAAATTCTGCTTGACTCCAAGCAAATGACAAAGCTCACTCAGCATTTCATTTCGGAAATGTTTACCTTGGTCGCTGCTGATAATCTTCGGGAAATCGTACAATAGAATGTGACGCATAATTTGGCGAGCAGCGTCACTTGCTCGGCACCTCGCAGTCGGATAAACCGACAAGAAACGACTGTATCCATCCATAATGGTTAATGCGTATGATTTACCGGTTTTCGATCGCTCGAGTTGTATAAAGTCGACATAAATGATTTCCCATGGCCGCTTGGCACGGTAAAGAGTCTGCATATCTGGTTTACCTTTCTGCATGTCCTGGCCTTTTCTTTTCAGGCAAATGTCGCAACTTGAGACAAATCCGCGGATATCGTCCAATTGGTCGGGCCACCACGACCATGATAGCAATTCCCTTGTTCGATCAACTCCGGTGTGCGCTTTGTGATGAGCAGCTTTTAAATAGTGAGGAATAAGGCTTTTGGGAAGCACAAGGCACTTCTTTTCCCCCCAGTTGATCGTCAAGGCTTTACTCTCCGGATGGATTTCCAATTTTTTCGACCAGCGTTTGTATGATTCTATGCCGTAAAGACTATCTGGGACTTGCCATTTTTCCGCGGATATTTTGTTTTCTACAAAGTTTTTTACTGTACCTATGAGTTTATCTTCTGATTGAGCATTTTCAATTATCCGCAGCTCCAGGATAGGTACATTTTCGCTCAGAACTCCTGTGGCAGCTGATTTTAAAGCATAAATTTCCGCGGCGACTTCTTTGTTTTCGAGGAGCATTTTCTGTGGTAAACTTCCTCCACCGCACCATGACGGGATATAAATTATGAGGTCGCTCTCTCCGGCCGGATTGTAGAATTTTCCTGCCAGTTCGTCGCTTGGTTTTTCGTTTTTCGCACAGACTTTGTGCCACGGTCGTGACAATATATCTGCCAGACAATTGTCTTGTCCTTTAATGTACTGAATTATAAATCGAAACTTACTGAGTCGATCTTGCCATCTTTGGAGCTTGTCGTTTGCCATTATTTTCTTGTCCAAGGCGCATAAAGCTTTGTGATCGGTGAGGCATAAGAATGGCTTTCCCTCCAAATAATATGAAAATTTCTCGATTGTCATCAATAGTGCGAAAGCTTCTCGTTCCGTCGTTGACCATTTCGATTCTGTTGACGACAGTGTTTTCGAATAAACGGCGATCAGTTTTTGTTTGTTGCCGAATTTTTGCATAATGGCTCCTCCAATAGCCACTTTGGATGCATCGCAAACGACCACAAATGGTCGAGAAAAATCAGGAGACTAAATACCTTATTACTTGCCAAGATCCTTTTTGCGTTATCGAAGCTCGCTTGAGCGTCGTCATTCCACTGAAATGGTTTATTTTGCCTGTTCAGCACAGACATTTCTTTGACGATTGAGCTGAATGAGTTGATGGCCACTCGGTCACCAACGTTGCATGAGATCCAGCTTTTCCACCAACCAAGGGTTCCGAGGACTGACATTAATTCCTTCCTGTTCCGCGGTGGCTGCAATTCCTTTATTGCTTTCATGTTTTCTTCTGGGATGCTTATCCCTTCCGCGGAAATTTGTCGGCCCATGAATTTTGTTGATCGCCGGCCGAAATTGCACTTTTTTCCCCCCAGCTTGACGCCGAATTTTTCACAGGCATCCAAAACCTGCTCCAAGACCTGAAGATGCGTTTCTTCGTCACGGCTATGTAGCAATATATCATCCACATAGCTTTTGAAGTTGTTTTGTAGCTTCACCGTCCCTAGCATTTTTGCGACACATTTGCAAAATGCGTCGCCGCTGTGTTTCATTCCAAACGGCATTCTGATGTACTGATACAACTTGTCCTTATAATAAAAATTCGTTTTATGTCGGTCGTCTGGGTGGATTTCCATGTTCCAATATGCCGCGTTTATATCAATGTCAGAGAAGATGTGGTTTCCAGTCTCAATGTCCGCAAACAAACAATCTATATTTGGCACGTTCCAGATGTCCGTCTCCTCTGTGAGGCACTGGTTAAGCCCGGACTTGAAATCGGAGCATACTCTTATATCGTCGTCTTTTTAGGGACAATGACTAGTGGACTGTGAAAACCCTTTCCGTCGGGGCACTCCTCGATTATCTTCCCATTGAGCATCGTTTCCATCTTACCATCTACTTTCGGTTGCAGATGTTTGGCTATTGGCCGCGGTCGAGCGCTTTTCGTTAATCCAGGGATTGTCGGGATCCTCACTTGCTCCGAAAACAGGCCTACTTTATCGTTTGGCCCTTTGAAAACTTTTTGCTTTCGGAAGAGGATATTGATGAATCGTTCGAAATTTTCACCTTTGAAAATTGTGTTGTCGAGTTTTAGTTCTTTCGTTTTCTCCAGTAGTTCCACCTTTTGCTGCGTCGTTAATTTGCTGGCTTCCATCCTAAACAGCGCGTTGACTTCTGACCAAGGGAATAGGACCCTTCGGCCAGAGTGAATCATTATTTCCATTCCATAACCGGCAATTTTGAAGCTTCCGTGCTCGCTGCTTGAGTGCCCTATGATAAAATCTTTGCCGAGGATTGCCGGCAAACCTTCTCTCACGATGTAAAAGCATACACCGCGGAATTTGTAATTTGATTGGTGAGCTTTCACTATTGCGGATATCCTACCAATTGATTTTATTCTTCCACATCCGCGGAATTCCATTGAAGTTGGCTCGATAAACTTGTGAAGTGACGATGGAAGGAGATGCATTGGCAAAATACATTTGTCAGATCCGCTGTCGACCAATGCAGTGACTTTTAGTGTAAATCCATTCATCATAAGTGTAATTTTTGTGTTGAAGAAAGAATTAGTGATATTTGTGCTGCACGATAAGCATGCTGATAATTCGCACTCATTACCAGCATTTATAGAAAAACCGACGCTTCATTTTCCTCTGGTAGACGTTCTTCTTCATTTGCTTGAGCAACGAAAGTGTTGGTCTTCTTACCGCGGTCTTCTTGTCGTTTAGGTTTCTCGTGACGAAATCTGCAGTTTTTGACTCTGCAGTTCCCAGAGGCAAAATACTTGCATATTGGCATTTTTGACTTTGGTTTCTGGCTCTGGCGTGCGAAAAATACTGATCCGCCCTGATTGGTTGTTTGAGAAATCAGGAATTCGACTTTTGTCGCGATTGTTTGAGCGTCTGAGATTTGAGCCCATTCATTGGCCATGTGTGCGTGCACCGAAGGTTTCGTGACTTTCAATCGCCCCGCGATAATGCTCGCAGAAACGAAGTCGAATATGTCATCCGCGGTTGGAGCATTAGTATCGTCGTTTTCTTGTGTGCCCGGGTTCTTTTTCATTTTGGTTCGGCGGATTTGAGCGCAAATAGCGGCTTTAGCCGGCTCCATACGATCTTCTATGTCCTGCGCGTACTTTTTCCACGGTGAATTTTCGTCGAATTGCGTTTCCATTACTCTTGTTAAGAGTTGCAGCGCTGATAATCCCGAATCGTATGTTAAATTTAACCACTCGCGCAGCTCAATCCAAGTTTTCGTCGATTTTGTTGCGTTTTTAAGCCGCGAGTAAATTGAAGGGCTGAAGCGCAGCTTAACCTTTGACGCGAAGATTTCGTGCAATTTTGGGTCATCGGCGATATAAATTTCGTAAATTTGTGTTACTTTGGAAGTGAACACCGATGTTTCATCGAAATCTCGCCCGCTGTATGTTAATTCGTTCAGGGCATTTTCCGCGGATTTGACCGCACTTGCCTGCTCTCTGGTTAACTCGTTACCTTCCACTTTGATCCCGTCGATGGCGATGTCCAGCTTTGCCTTGAGTTTCTTCTGTAATTCTTTTTTCTCTTTTGTGGCTGCTGAATTTGGCGAATTGAGCGCCGTTATTTCTTCATCTAGCTCAGCGATCGTTTCTCGGATCCATTTGAGAGTTTCGAGCGACATGGCGAAAAGCAGTTAGGTGACTCTTTTGAATGGCGTTACCTTATTGGTGCACTCAGATTTCAATTTCGATAGGTTTCGAAATTGCTGAGTGACCTCCGTGGAGGGTTTGATTCCCGCTCAGGATTAATCCACGTGATTGGCTGAAACCACAACTTGCGTTTGCTTCTCGGCGAATTGGTCCACCAAGATGATTTTCTTCCCAAATTAGCTTCTCTAGATGGCTGGCTGGGAATGGGTGTTGTAGGACCGTGGGGTCGATTTTTCCTGGTACCAGTATGTTGTGGTAACGATTTGCCTTGCAAAAGAATTGGAGAGCAATTATCCGCGGTTTTTTATAAAAGCGTATATTAGGCTAGTTTTCAAGTTAAAGAGTGAACAGAAAACGAGGCTTGCGCCGGCGAAGGTTATGAACAGCAGGTGCACGAGGCGAATCTCCAAATAAGGGAATCGGCAGATTCGCGATCACAACAAATTCGTCCACAATCTGGAATTCTCAGATGGCATTCCCGCGAGTTTTTGGTTTCTCATTTAGAATTCGTCTTTCTAAAAGAGTCATGGGCTGACAGCTTAGACTCGAGATTGGCTTAATAACGTTTAGGGTCGTATTTATTTCTATGATACAAAGTGTGTGTGTTATTCAATGAACAGTTTTTTTTGTCTGGGCCTATCGGTCATCTCGGCGTTTTTTGGCATCCATCGTCGAAGGGAAGGGGATTGAGGTGTTTTTTTTCAAAAGTGGGACAGCTTATTGTCCCGATTTTCTGCTTTCGCGGCGTTGTTGTTGGCGCTTAGCTCGCAACTCGGCGCGAACGAGATTTCTTTGGGCACGCTTCTCTTGGCGAAGTTTCATCCGCTCCAGGCGCCTCTGTGTGCGTTTAATGTTCGCTGAACTTCCGATGTTGATGCTGTCTAAAGTTGTTACCCGTAATGATGATTTTCGAACGAATGAAATCTGTTCTGATCTGATGGAAAAGAATTGTAGAAAAATGCATGTTTTTTATATAAAATACCGATAAAAAATACCTGAGGCGCTTTTTAACGACGCAATTTCATTCAACTGTGCAGTGAGATGCGGGTCAGCGTTTACTTTCACTGGCAGGCAGGGATGTGGATCAGCAAAAATTTTCCTTTGTTTTGCGCTGCGATAGCGGAAATTTTTCGAACTTATTTTGCGCTGTTTTGCGCTGCGGAATCCGAAAATCGCGCAATTTGCGGAATTTTGCGTTGTTTTGCGGAAAATCAAAATTTGTTGATTTTGCGAAAATTTTGCGGATTTTGCGCTTTTTGCGGAATTGCGGATTGCGCAGATGACACGCAATTTGCGTAATTTTGCGAAATTTGCGGGATTTTCGCGCATTTTCCGTAAATTTGCGGATTTTGCGGGATTTTCGCGCATTTTGCGAAAATCTGCGAATTTTGTGGTATTTTTGGCCCCATTTATTTCTACTTGAAATGGAGAAATTTTGGGGACATTATTCCGAGGTTATAAAAAGATATTTTCAAGGTTTTCAAAAAGATTTTTTAAATAACGGGTGTGGGTGGGGTTGGGGACAGAACTGAGATTGATCAACTCAGAGTTCCAAGCCTTTGTCAAGCCCCTTAAATTTAGAAATCAAGGAACGGGGCTGAAACGGCCCGAAGGGCCGTCAAGCCCCTTAAATTTAGAAATCATGGAAAAATTAAATTATCACCCAGCAAAATTCCATCGAACCGTCCGGTTTTATTTTTGCCGGCAAAATGACCGGCCGGTTAACTTCGAGATCGGACGGTTTTATGTCGGGTGATTTTTCTGTTTTTCTTCCGCAAATTACCGTCGAAGTTGAGAATGCGATGATGAATGAGGATTTGATTCGGAAATCTTAACAATTAACATAAAAAAATATAGAAATTCTACGCCAAATCCCGCAAAATCGCATTTTGCGGACTGCAAATGTATTGAGATTTTGTGGAATTTTCGCGCAAAATGCGCTTTTGCGCGCAATTTTGCGGAAAAATTGCGGAAATTTTTGGGGCTGATTTTGCGCTGTTTTGCGCTGCAGAATGAAAAATCCCGCATTTTGCGCTGTTTTGCGGATTTTGCGCTGCGGATCCACATCCCTGCTGGCAGGGAACAGTTCTCGCCGCAAACAGACTCAATCCAGCCCATATACGACGTCACTCTAAATATTTACACGTACACCCTATAAAGTCTTTAATTGCCTTCAATACCTGGTAAACACGCCGTAGTTGGTCGACTGACCGCAAGTTGTTCCGAAAGAAGTGATTCCTGAAATGAACCAAGTTTTCGTTCCGTCATCACCTTCCGCCGCAGCCAAGAGCGGCCCACCCGAGTCCCCTTCGCAGGTGTTTGCGTTCGACGTGCCCGAGCCCGCACACATTTGGTATTCGGCGCTTTTTCGGTTTCACGATTCAATTTCGCTAAAAAATTTGATACAGTTCGTCTTCAAAGACGTGCATTTATTTTTTAGCTCGAGAACCAGTCCTGTAAATGAGATAAATGTCTTGGCAGATCTGATCGTCGACGACGTCCATGTCTACTTTTTGAAGGGTCTTAGCCAGGGAAGTTCCCTCGCCTGCTTTTCCCCAGCCGATAACGACGCGTTGTTGCTCCTCGAAGCTGACAGCTATCGAGGGAAGACAGACTGGCCTGATAAACTCGGAGAATCTCACCGATCGTGGAATGCCAATCAGCGCGATGTCGTGACTGTTCGTCGCATAGCTGAAGCGAGGATGCGGCTCAATTAGGTTTGGCACGATCATCTCAATTCCGTTATCTATCGAGCTTATCCCGGCTATCTACCTGGATGTCTTCCGTTGAAGTGAACAATCGTGAGGTTCCTCCGATCGCCAGCAAGTACTGAGCAGCTTTTGTGTTGACATTGTTGGACTGAAATTTAATAAAGCGTCAAAAACCACTTATTTCGCAAAAAAAACTCACCTGGTCGAGAAAACAGTGCGCAGCTGAAAGTACCCAGTTAGAGCTTACTAATGTGGCGCCACAGATAAGATTTCTGAAAACGTTACTCTCTTTTCTAAAAGGTTAACTTGTGTTTGGCACCTGTTGCGGAGTAACTGCACTGCCCATGGCCACTCTCCGGTGTTGGCATTGCGTCCGCCGAGGATGCGCGTCACGGGGCGAGAAGAGAATCGCGACTGCTCAAGGAATGCGCCGCTTCGGCCACAGAATGGACTTGTAGATTTCTGTGGACATTGCTCGATCGTAATGCATCGTCCATCGTGTAGCAAATGCCGCTCAGGCGGACAAGCACACCCGGCCCGGCACGTTTGCTCGCTGCAGCCCGCTGGATATGGATCCGCGCATGTCGCCACACTTTCGCAAACGCAAGGCTGCCAAGCTTACACAGGTTTAACATTTCACTAAGTTCATCACAAAATAACGAATATTTCTAACCATCGCGCCCCAAGCCCAATTTTGCTTTTGGGCCGCAACAGAAACTCAACTATTTTTGTGAAAACATTGAATTGGACCGCATGGTTATGTTCTAAAAATGATTAAACCCTTCATTTATCGCCCTCGCATCTTTCATCCAGCTTGGTTTTTTGTACAAAGGACCATCTTGCTGCAAAGCCCGCAAACTCGCTTCCTTTGTCCGAGTTGAACTGGAGTTGCATTCTGTTTGAAGAGGAGAATATCGGCCCTGGAACGCGCTTGCCGCAGAACGTTCGCTCCATTACTGAATCGACTACGACTAAATTGTCGAATAAGCATTGCTGGTGATCCTCAATGTGAAATGCGGTAAATTCGAGTCGTATTGTATATCCAACGGGCGCTTGAATCTCCCAGTTGCATTTGTGCTCTGAAGGATACGCCAAGGGATGGTTGAGCGTTGAAAGCGTTCCTGAAATTGGTTTGTTTAGCGATTTTTTTAATGTCAATTTTGGTACCTTTTCCAGCGGTTAGTTTTCGCAAGCCGCCGCATCCACTCGTTTCTTCACATCTAATGTCTTTTCCTGTAGCTTCGCCGACTTTCAGATATCCCGCACAGCAGGTGTAATCGTTTACTATACATTTGGCGAGCACAGTGAAGACTTTAGTGATCCAACATTCGCCAGCGAACATTAGCTCACAATAATGATACTCTTTGTGGCAGTCTTGTGTCTTTTTCAGGGATCAACATTGAGGGAGCAAAACTACTGTATTCGAATGAGGGGGCATCACGCGACGTGGTCGTCCAACTGATTACCCCGTCTGCGCCCGTGTCCGTGAAATCATTTGCGCAACGGAATCTCTTTCATTAGAAGCGGAAACCTCATCAAGAACAAGCAAGAGCGGAATTGCTATAGCAATTTGCGAAAGTTGCAAATTCAATTGCAGACGTTCCAAGCAGAACTAAGTATTCAATTAAGGAGGGGTTGACGCATGTTCGCCCTTTATTACTCTGAGCGAGGCTACGTCGCCATAATTCCAGAGTGTCGGACAGAAGCGGCCCTTGTCGCTCGAAATGAAAGAAGAACCTTGTTCAGTGCAAAAGTGAAAACAACGGTATTGACCCAACCACATCTCTTATAACATACATCAAACAGAACATGGTGCTAAAAACTCCAAATGAAGTGAAAGCCCAAAATAAACGTTAAATTCAAGGAAAACGTTCGAAAACAAGCGAACTGATTTCTTCATGTTTCTCCTCAAATAGCAATTCAACACTGCCCTTAATAAGGACCTTTCACACGAAAGACAAAGAATTTAGCTTTCTTAAAAAGTCTAAAAAAGTCGATCACCGGTCCTTTTGCTGTGTACATACGCCATTGCCGACGTAATTCTTTTCTGAAGCAGCAGATAACTTGGCACGGTTTTCCTAAGTTTGCCATTTTGAAATTTTCGCGATAGGCGTCTCGCCCAGCCGAATGTCAAAATAATTGTAATTAAATGGCGATAGGATTTACCCTATGCGCGTACGATACTAGTAACGTCAGCGTTTAAGATACACGCACCGGAACTTATCAGTCCGCTGCGTGCTCGACTTCATAGATGTTTTTTCCATAGAAAACGCACAATCAGTGCTAATCGTCCAATTAGCCGTTCATGATTATTTACGTGTGCTACTGTTGTTTTTTGAGCAAACAAAAATCAATTACGCTAAATTCCCACTCCCGTTGATTAAATTCAACATGCTTTGAATAAATGACAAAAAGCTAGCTTCTAGGGGATGTTCTTAGGGGTTTAAACTTATGTGTACCAAACACAAGAAAATATTTTCAACGTTTTGATTAAGCTATGTTACTCTCAAATATACCTTGATAAAATGTTGAAAAAATAAATTAACAAAAGTTTTCTTAAAAATTATCGGCATTTTTAACCGTTGCCTGAGTGATTCCGGTCGCATACGCTAGAATGAATTTGGAAAGGAACATCCAACTTCGTAATTTATGCTTCTTCCTCTTTCCTTCCTGCTCTTGTCTTTCTCTCTTTCTTTTTTTTTCTACAAGGATCTCTCTCGAAATATGCTGTTTATTTTCCAACTCCTGGTTAAAAATTAGGGCTCATCATTTTATTTTCTATATTCGAAAGGCGGCAACACGTCAGATCAAGGGTAGAACTTTGTATTTTGTTTCATTGAGCCACCTCAGCTCATCTTGTGGCGTAGTCGCTCGCTCTCCGGCGCCCTCGGAGGCATCTCGATCGCTTACAATCGTGTGGGATCTCCCCCTTAAGGGGGTAGATATCAAGAATCGGATTTGCTGTCAGTGTTTTCTCAAATTTTTAACATAGGGACCCCCTTATTTTTTCAGCTCGAAATCTATTTCAGGCAATTATCTTTTTCCTATGGAAGCCAAGAATTTTAATTTCTTGAGCTTTCGAGGTGCTATAATGTAAATCTGGCACTTCCGATTGTCGCCAAAATGACCATTTTAGGAAAGTTAGCGATTTTTGACGAAAAATTTTGTTAAAATTTTTTTTGAAATTCGAAATTTCGGCTTCCATAGGAAATAGAGAAAGGTCTAAAGTTTTTGTTTACAAGGAAAAATAAGGGTGTCACTATTTTAACTTTGGGAGAAAAGTCTGACGGAAACTGGCGATTCTTGATATCTACCTCCTTAAGGCTCCAGATAATTTATCCCTCGATACTCTTGCATGTTATCAAATAAGCCGGAACAAGAAAGTTGTCCTGAAACCGAATTGATTAATGTACTCACTTAATATTCCGCACTGATCTCAATTTGAGCGATCAGATATTAAATCAATAGTTCAAAATTACTGAATCTTGAAGTCTTTGAAATTTGTCAAGCTAATTTTTTTCGTTGAAATCTCCAGTCCGAATATTGAAACACCTCAGATAGAAAAGCTGTAGCATTGAATGTCAATTATATTGAGGTTATAATTTGATCAGCATGCATTTTGATAGAAAAAAACGCTGATGCTCGGATTGACTCGATGATATTTTGGATTTGGAGGTCATAAAGGGTTAACCTTGGCTTTTTCGTATCTCTCTCTCGGAAATGGCAGCTCACGTGCAAGTGTATTGAAGGGATAATTTGATTTTTAGAATCTTGGATTGCGGCGACGATTGGCCGTACTTCCTTCCCAAATTTTGGAGAAGTAGCAATTTAGAAGCGCTTTGCGTAAATATTCAAAGCTCCGCCGTGCATATAGGAAAGGTTATGCGCTGGCTAATATTTATGTGCATCAGACCTTACTTACGTAGAAGCTTATCACGTCTCCAGCCCGTTGCAACGGGGCGTAGTAGTACAGGAAACCACAGAGGATCGCTCGAGAGGCTTTTGAGAAGATGATGCGCCTCGCCAACAAGTACGTTAATTAGACCTCGGAGCGCTCTTTAGAAGCAAACTTATGCAAGATAAGGGAATCACAACTGGCCTCTCTCACAATTGTCAGGCCTAATTGTGGCCTTACTTAACAATTCTCAGACTTTTTTTCTTTCAGTCGGAGTTGCCTGGTCGCCACGATTATAGCGACGATATGTGGCGTTGTTATTTTAGTGCCTAATTCCGAAAGATGGTGGAAAATTTTTGTTTCGTCTATAAATTGAATTATCCTGGCAGCAACTCGTCACCTTTCCAAACGAAATTGATATCATAGATTATATCCACCGATAAGTACGACAATCCAGTTGTGTCCGAAAGCGCCATTCTAGCTGGCGATCATCGTCTTCCGAATTTGGACTTGTCGATTTGCACGTCGGTTGCGCACTTTGGAAGGGATAATACATTATTTTCGAGTTCGGATTTGACGTAGATGCCCGGGAACGATGTTTTCTTGCGGGTTAATAATCAGATTAGCGTGGGACGTTGTAGACTGGCGATTAAGACGGTCTCTGACGCTGATGGCTCCAAATATTACGGATTAGTACAAGCAGAACCACGCTCATCTGCAAAAATACGAATCACCAGCTCATTACGGTCGCCGCTGCGCAAAATTAGGGTTGATTCAAATTTGAGAAAAAAATTATTATCCGACAAAAGACGGCTTCAATGAGGGCTCTTCCAGCATCGTCAGCGCTAGAAGAAGCGAAAATCACACTGTTGGAGGAATAAGGTTCACAAAACGCGATCAAGCAACTCTCCGCCCCAAATTTTTCTGACCTTTGCTGACTAGGCACGTGTAAAATCACATAGAATCGTGAAGTCCTGCTTAGAGGACAACCGTTCCGGCCAGCGTCAGATCAACAAGCCTGCTCATTATTTCCAAATTATGAGGTTTTCTCCAAGAGCCATCTTTTTCCTCATTTCGGCTTCGCCCGGATTCTCGATCTTATACGTACATATGCAGCAAAGGTTTTGGTTTCGCTCTTGTCCAACAAACAATTGGAGATATAATCGTTGCTGTTTTGAACTTTTGAAGGCTCATTGACAGCAGATAATGCGTTTGACGGTGACTTCCGGATTGTCAGTGTGGCAATTTTAGACTCGCACGATGCTACAATCAAAAATATCAGGAGAACGATGACCAGTTAGGGTCATAATCCGGAAAATTCTTCAATTCAAGAATATATTAATTGAGTTATTTTAATCATCTGAATAATGAGCCTAGTGAAAAGTCTAACAAAGGTAAAAAAAGCTTAATATTTTTTCCCGAAAGGTCGACTTTAGTGCGTCAACTACACGGTATCAACTCAAGACGGGGAAATATTGCTGATGGACAATAAAGCTGATGCTAACTATGCATCGTACGTGTTCGTTCGATCCCAAAATGTCACACAGTTTTATAAGATGGAAGTTTTGGAGCGTCCAGGAACGGAATTGATGAGCTTAGGGGAATCGTTTTGAGCGTTAGATTCATCAGTTTTTCTCGAAGCAAAGTACTTTTTAAATCGACATTTCGACGTGCTCCACAGTGGAGGGTCCTCGAGACTTGAGCCATCTTACCTCTCAGTTGAGAAAATCCCGAGGTCGTTATTGACAAGGCAAGCAATTCTTTGAACTTCTGATTCGACAAAGATCGTTAAGAATCAACACAGACTACATTTCGCCGGGAAACTACTTCGCCTTCAAGGTTGATAGGGCGCTAGAAACAAGGTAATCTCAAGTGCCATTCTCCTCGATTACATCCTAAACCAAGAGAGAAGAATTTGCTTCTGACGGAAGCTGTTTATCTTTTCGGGACGATAATGGGCTTCACTGTGATACTAACAATAACTGGCAAATGCGTCTGTTCGACTTGGGCGGGACATGGAACAGATATTTTCAAATAAATAATCATCTTTCGATTGGCTTAATATTGATTCCATTAAAAGTACAATGAGCGGTACTCGCTACCTTCCCGTTCCAAGGTGACTCGATTCCGACTTGATTTCCGACTAATTCTAGATTTAGAGCGTTCTCTACGACTTCGAAGACCCAGATTCGTATTTTGAGAAGTCCGAAGGTATAATTTTGCATAAGTTATAATCGCGAATGAAACTTTCTATCCAGTCGCCACTCGGCCGATTTCTACTTATGCAGAGGCCCTTACGCCGAAGGAGACGAACCTGCATCACATCTGAAATGAATTTTTTAATTTTACATTTTCTGAAAAACGCCACCTCACCTGCTGAAGAAATAAATGAAAGCAACACACTCTCGTTTACTCCTCCCTTCATCCACCTGCAAAGGAGCGCGTGTTTGAATAATGTTTGACTCTCGACTTTTCGCTTCTAAATTTCAATAAGCGCTGACGCGTGGAGAGTCGTGGAGACAGCTGCAATTTTATGTCAATGCGAAACTCTCAATTGCAATTATCCCTGTTTTTAATGCAAATATGCCAGGCTGCCCTCTTCTTTTAACATAATTATTTTTCAAAACTCGTTCACTTAGGCAAATCAGAATAAATTCGCGTTTTTTTAGTTTAAAAATATTTATTTAATTTCTTGATTTTTTTTCTGCAGTAGAAAAGAGTTCAACTCCAAATGATTTTTTGGATCTGGTCGTTGGTGAATACTTCTCGGCAAACTGGACAGTGCTTCGGATCGACTTGTTCCAAACAGCTAGCGCAGAAGACATGTCGGCAACGGAGAACGCTCATTGCGCGATCCCCATCGTTGAATCGCTCCAAGCATATCTTGCACTTCATCCGGGCGTCGATCGTTTCATCGTCCACTGAACGAAGTAAATAAGGCTCTAGCACATCATCTACTCACGTTCTTGATGTCCGATGCCCAAAAGCTTCTTCTCTGCCTTGATAACTCCTTCGTACTTGACTTTCTTCTTTCTCGCGACTGCGATTGCCTCTTCATATTCTCTCTTAGCGCCGGTCTTGAGCTTAGCAAACTCATCTTTTAACAAAGTTTTTACTTGATTTTCGTGTTGAAATCATTTGATTGTGGAACTGTATTTAACTTCGATCCTAGAGCCGGCTTTTTGACGGCATCTTCGCAGCAGCTGTTCGTCCAGAAAAGATCGAAGTCCAATGAAGCGCAAGAAAAGGCTTCAATCACATGCATAAAAACGTAGCAAAATTTAATAATGGAGGAAATTGAAAAAAAGCATGCAGATGATTGAATCCTTTTGGCCGCATTTCTTCGCCGGGCAGCAAAAGACGTCTTCTTCTCCTTCAAATGCCTTGAAAGGACAGTTCTTGTAGGTTTTCTTGTAGCACCGGTCGCAGAGATACGCAACGGGGACATTTCGTATTGAACCCCATTCATCGGTGACCCTGTGATCGGCCACTTTCATCAAGGATCGCGGGCAACTTCATTATTTTTCAAATAAAATAAAATCAAAATTTATTACCGGTTACAATCGCTACAGTAGCGATGAGCATAAGCTGGGCGAAGAAAGTCCTTTGAAATAAAGTTTCTCATCTTGTTGATTTAAAAAACGTTCGATTTGAAAAGTCTCGATATTTGTTGGATTTATGGGTGAGAGTGGCTATTTATTAATTTCTTTCGAAACGAATGTCTCACGGCCAACCGGTGAATACAACAACACAAAAATAAGTTACGTAAGTCTTTCCGTCTAAATTTTGCCTTCATCATTTTTGCATAAAACTAACAAAAAGAAGGGTTTTAGAGGATCAAATGCGTCACACGTTGTTCAAGTGACAGTAATCGCACTACAGTAGAATTCTTTTTACGATAGAACTTGTAGATATGAGTTGTTTATTCAGAAAAGGGCATTCTTCAACAAGACCTTACAGAATGAAAAAAATGTAGCGAATTCAGCTCACGTTTTACCAGTCATCGTTGTGTATAAGTCAACGATCAGTATAATCCTGAAGAACATGTGGAACTTTCGAAAAAAGGAACTTTGAGTTTATCTTAATAAAAAAGAAACAAAAATGTTTAAGAAATAAATACATTTTATTAAAAAATAAAGAGATTGTACAGAGCAGAGGAAATTCTTGAAGTATTCAATTTGGAGGTTCTTGGATTTGAAAGCTTATCGGCTCGACCGAATCGTCAAAAATGTTGTTTGAAAGGCCAATTACTAGTGCAGTTATCGTCAAGCCAACTAGTAAAACTGTGCCGGATTCATTGGGTATAGAATTTTTTGGCTTATAAATCGCATTTGAACCCAAAACTAGAACACAACTGAGAATCAGCGTGATACACTTTCGCCGCACTAGAATTTCGGGCTCACCAGGCACGCTTAAAAGTAATTAGGCCTATCGCAAAGTATTCTATTTACCCAACGTGTTTCCAAATGAATCTTGGTGCAACACACCAAGTAGATCCAAGTCCTCTTAGCACTGACTTTTCAGAATTCTAAGACAGGTTTTTAAAACAGGCTGTTTCCAAGATTTCAAACCTTCAATCGAGCTGCTAAAAGCGATGGAACAGGGCCATCGCCATTGTGAATCGTTGAAATGTCGTTTGAATCAATCGAGAGTGGCCGCTGTCGTCTCTATGTTGATCGTTTCCAGTTTTTTTTTATTTTCAAGCAATTATATTTTAAACCTTTTTAGGAGCACCAGGTGCGTCATCAGATGTCAGGTCCATCTTGAGTCGCGTTGCTTGTCTTTCTTCCAAGATTTTACTATCAAATATTTAAGCCGAAGAAGGATGAGATATTACTTTAAAACTGAAATCTGATGCTGCAGTTTCTGAATCGTTTCTGACATCTCCTCTTTCTGGCGCGAACTGTGCAGTTTAATGCTCTCTTGCAGTCTAAATGCTTTGTTGATTTCTCCTCCTTGATTTCAAGAAGGCGCAAACCTATCCTCCATTTGCTGTTTCAATTCGGACACCTTCTCTTGCAGCCTGGCATGGTCGCGGAGTTGTTGTTGGTGGAAAGCGGTCTTCAATGAAAAATTATCAAAAGAGACAATATTTATGTGTACCTTGAAAAATTGCAATTCTTTGTTCAGCTCAACCTTTCTTGGCCGCTTTGAAAAATACTCTCTTTCTATGAAATATTTTACGACGCCTTTAAATATCTTCGATACTCAACCTTGACCTCCGGAAGACGGATGCTCATGATGATAAGTCTCCACTAGGTCACCTGGCAAGTGGGGAGTAGACTCCCAGGAGTTGTACAGTCTCTCTTCTCCAGGAGTATCTCCTTCGGGATAAACCTTTTGATAGAAACTGGCATGTGGTGGCGCCGGTTTCGGCACATTCTTCGGGTTTTTGCAGTTCCAAGTTCTAATTAATCCCATAAAAGCGATCTTCAACTCAGTTGTACTACCTTGTCAAATGCCTCTCATTTCTCTCCATCCAATTTACTTCGTGAGTCTTTCCAGAGTTCGTCTCATATCTCCAAAATGGCTTTCCAACACTTGGTACTTATAGCATTGGCAAAATTTTCAAAAGAAGCCTTTCCTGTATGTTCCTTTGCTCTCGTCAATCTTCGAAAGGTTCGAATTGCCCCATTTGAATCTCAGCCCCATAATGAAAAAAAAAGAAAAGAAATACTTTGAAAGTGAGGATAATCTTTTTGGTCAACTCAGGCAGCTTCGAACCTTACTCGTGTTCTGAAGTGCGTCCTTCCTCTGTCCGCTCCGCCAACTTAAACACTTTCAAGCTACTTTTTAAGATAAATGACTTTCGATGCAACCATTCTCAAGCTTGCTTTCAAATTCTGTTTTCAGTTGTTACCTTGGACTCATTTCGCTTCAGATCGTCGAAAGTATCATCTCTTGGCGGATGCGAAAGACCAGGCGGGATGTAATGCTCAGTACTTTCCAGAGTAAAAAAAATGTTGCCATTTGGCATGATGTTTTTGGCGAATATTTTCAACTCATTATTCCTGTCTCGAACTAACTGGGAGAGATTGAGCGTTTCGAATGAGCTCTTTGAAAGCTGGCTTTCGTGATGTTGATTTTCTTGGCTTCTATTCGAGTTAATCTCGTGATGCGACGCTTCTTCGTCCATTCTTCCGCAAAACTCTTGCTGAAAAAAACTCCAGAAAAAAAGAACTGGTTGATCTTATCTAGCAAGTTTTTCTTCACAACAAGTTTACTACTCAGTAACTCTATAATGTATCTCAAAAAGGCAACGCACCAAATTTGCCACTCAGCGCTGCTCAAGTAGCAAACGGACAAAGAGAACGAGCCGCTCTTTGAGCAAGGAACATTTTAACAGAATTTATCCCTCTAAGTAAACAGATAAAGACTTCTTAAGACGTCCCCTTCAATGCTTTCCCTGTCCGATTTCCAATGACTATGTCCTGCTTGATTCGATTCAAAGAGAAGGTGTAAAAAGAGATTTATTAACCGTTTTTTATGAAAAGATTTACGAAAATATAAGGCTCTCAAGCTCGCTATCCGCATCGTCAATCTTTTAATGGTCGGAATAAGATTTCGAAACGTTCAAAAGATCAAAAATAGTGACCGTTTCCTGCATCCCGTCTATAATTATGTCCAATGCTTCTGTCAGTCGCTGCGCATCTCGATCCTTTGAAAAGTCTATATTCGCTTGCTGGTCTTTCATACTCTTCAAATTTTCAGTTTTTAAGTCTGATAAAAAGTGCGAATACCTGAACTTCTTCGTCCAATCTCTTTATGTTGTTTTGTAAAAAATCAAAAGTAGTCTTCAAGGGATTGCCAGATGCTTATGTCTTTTAAAATTAACGTTTCAATGGCAATGGAACCCTCCTTTAAAAGTTGTACGCTTCTTCCTTGATCCTCGTTGCTCGGATCATCCGCCTGAAAGATGTGATACAGCCTGTGATAGTTATAAAGTGTACTAATTACCTGCATCTGTGGAACTCGATATCGCTCCGTCGACAGATCGGAGAGTTGATTCTTCAGCGTGTGAATTTCGCTCTCAAGAATATTGCACTCTGTTCTGATCTTCGCCAAAGTGCTTCGCATGATCAAATTTGTTTCTTTTATGTCTCGAAGTTCAGCTTCCATCTGAGATCTTTTTCTCTGGTTAGAAAGTGTCTCTCTTTCAAGTGACGATATTTTCTCTAACCAAGACTAGTAAAGCTCCTTCGCTCTCTGGATCGTTTGGACACGGCCAGTGGGAATATAAAGCTTGCTATTTTCATACTTCTTTATTATTTACTCTCTGTTATATGCTCAGACGTATTGCTGGCGTTTGATTTGACAACTTCCTGGCTGAACTATCTCGTCTCAGCAGCCTTAACCGTAAAAATAATTGCCAAACTTTCATAAATATCAGATAATGGGAAGCCTACATTGCCACCACTAGAGGCCATTAATTTGACGACCGCTGCTTCGTTTAGCTTATAAAAGCTTAAATTGAAAGTGACCTTTGCACACCTTTGGTCCCTTTTCGCTTTACCAGTATCGTTAAAAATAATTGAGCGATTAATAAATTTCTTGTCAAAGCCGAAACATCAAACGCTCTTTACGAAAACGAAACAATGCCACTTGTAATTAGTGAATTCCTAAGAGGTTAACTTTATTGCCGCGGAAATTTTAAAATAAAATTTCACTTTAATGATGTTTTACGAGGTTTCCTTTGAACGTCGAGTCAGCGACTTCTGTGGCGGTAAATATTTATTGGAGGAAAACAATATCTGCGTTCGTAGACAACAGATGGAGATACGGTGTCCTTGACACAGAAGGTCAGTTCTCAATGCTTTCGAACTCACGTCAAAAATTCTGATGCAGAAGTTTGAGTCAAAGTCCAAAAGATTTCATCAGAGGACAATAATTTGACTTTGACTGATTGGGAAAAGCAGTAAACTGTCCTTAGCCTCAAAGGCTTAGACAGCTCATAGGATCGAATTCCTACTATTTTGATGGTCCTGATTAAGGATTCCTGTCTTAGCACTATTTCGATGTTTTGCTTGATCATGCGCCGGAAATAGTCTTTCAAAAAATGGAAGAGCGACCAAAAGAAGTCCCAATTTTGAACCCTGTTCAGTAAAGAGCTTTCAATTACTGAGAGAAAAATTTATCCTCCGAAACTTTGAAAGCTTTTGCCAGACCTCGCAACCCGGTAGATTTTTAGTTGATAGGAGTGAAGTTAGAATTCAGAGAGCTTCAGGTAAAATGCCCACCTAAAATCTCTTTCTTTATTTCTAAGGATATTATGACACATTTGATGCAGTACAGAAAAAATCAAACGAAGTAGCATTTGGCCACTGTGGTTGCTGCCTTTGAAGATGAACAAATTATTTGATAAAAACTGTATTAAAATCATTTAAACGAGCACAGGTGAATTAAAGGTCTAATCGTGTGTAGATCCGAAAGAAGTACTGGTAGATTTAATGCCTTGGTATACAAAGAATTCGATTCTCTGCCGGCATCAAGAAGTGATGATTCCATTCTTTGTGGGCTCCGTGGCTCCACAATGTATGCCAGCCTTTTTCCGTGAATGTTGTGTCGATCGGAGCATCAGGACTTACTTCGAATCGGAACTCTCTGAAAACAATCAGTTATTTCTACCACAAAAGAGTTGACATTACTTGATAAGATTTTTCATAAAATGGAACACCTCCAAGTTGGCTAAGATTTGACCGGGGCAAGATCGTTTGCCAATGAAAAAGGGCATCAAGTTTTCGTTCTTTTTGAACTCGCCATTTTCGTCGAGAAATCTTTCTGGCTTGAATTTGTAAGGATCCTACGATTTTAGGTACAAAAATAAACGAACAATCATGTCATACCGGAAAGTAACGCTCAGAGAAGCAGACACCCGTGTGACTGTAAGCCAGAAAATCATCTTTTGAGAATTTGTAATCTGAAAGAAAAGTTAGAAAAGATGAAAAATAGAGTAAAAACCTTCAATAGTCATATCCTCAGTAACAACATGGAACAAGCTACGCCAGACCATCGGGCACATTCTGTAGCTCTCGTACATGACCGCCATCAAGTAATGACAGTCAGTGAAGGAATCTGCACGGAAGTCTTGAGCAGCGAGCAAGTCGTAAAGCTTTTGTTGCACGGGCGGATTCATGGCCAGTTGCCGCATGCAGCTAGCAGTCGACGTAGCGGTAGTATCAGCTCCTGCAAGAATCATCGCCTAAATAGCATATTTACGATCGCCTGTTAAACCATTTTTTAAATTGCAAATCATCAAAAAAGATTGGTTTAATAAATAACCTGAAGCGTGTGAACAATGTCCCAATATGTACACAGGCCTTTTTGCCTGTCCGTCTCCAGTGGAGCAATAAGTGAAGAGCTATCGTCGCCAACTTGCCAGTTTTTATTGTGCGTCTCGATCAGCTCGATGATTTCGGTTGTAAATCCCTGTTGTACTTTAGTTAGAAAACGAGAATTCTAGATAGTTTCACCTGAAGCTCGCCTGTCCATTTGGGCCATAAAGAGATGGGGATAAGATTTCTGACCCATCTAGGGAGGAGAACAAGGAAGAGTTTGTGGCCATCCAGCCGTGTTAGAGTATGAAGAGCTTTGCATGAATACTAGAAGAGTATTTTTACCGATTTTCAATCATTAAATCAAGTGCTTACGTTAATCATCGTTCTGATCCAAGACTCTTGGGTGGAGCAATCGATGTTGAACGAGACACCAAGGAGGACGGACATGGCAGCTGGCATCGTAACGTTATCAAATGGATAAAAAGGAACGGCGCCATTTTTTCCCTCTTCCTTAATTCGACGAACCATTCCTGGGATTTCGCGCTCAATGGCTTCCATCCAAACTGGCTCAAGCGACTTTTTGGCGAGAACTTCCATCACTCTCTTTCTGCAGAGCTTTCCGATTTTCGACCCTTCAGGATCAGAGCGTTTAAAATCTCGAAGCATTCCAGTTTCATCTGCATTACAGGTCTCCCATTTGATATGTTTCTTCGTGCGATATCGGTACTCGGAGTTCAAGTCGAACCAGCCCTTCATGTCCAAGTGGCCGTATGCGGAATCGTTTTTGAGAAAAACTTCTCGCGCAGTTTTCGGGTCATTGATCCAGTGAATGTCGATTTTGACGAGGCCGAGCCAGTTGAGCATTGGATAGGCGTGCATTTTGACGTTATTCTTGATATTTTCCCTCATAGATAATATAGCATGATACGGACCCTCGCCTTGTGGTGGGTCCCAGTAGGGCATGTGAGCATTTTTTCTACCAGTAAGGTAGAATTTTAAAACCGCAAGGGCTGCTGTACACGCAGCTAGTTCCACGATCATCGGAGCTCTCTTATTTGGGAAAAAGAACATTCTGTTCGTTTTTGTCCTGCTTTCTGTTTGCTAACCTTGAGCCGGGAAAAATTTCGCGTCACTTTTTCAAGGACGAAAGTTCACGACAGCAGAAGTCCAATTTGTCGAGACATTGAGTTGCAAGGTCTTTTGAACGGTCAACTTAGATCAAGTAAGCTTATTGGGCATCCTGGCGACCTTGTCCTTCGCCAAATAGAGAATGACCTCGACAAGCACAAATTGAATAACCTCGACAGTGTCAGGGCTAGTTGACAACTAGTAGTTGTAACTAGTTAAAAACGTAATTGTGCTAGTACTTACTTCTCAGGTAAATAAATCGACTAAATCAGGAGGAGGGCTTGATTGAGTCTATAATGTGAATTGCTCTCTTGAGTATTGAAAATAATCGGATAACTATTAAAATCTGATGATAAAATCTAATCGATCTTGAATCAAGCTCTTGGATAAAAAAAAATTTCACTCGCCCCAAAGCATGTTTAAGTAGTTAAAAAACGCTCGTAAAATTACCCAATCTACAGTTATTTTCATCCTCAAGTCAAACCATCTCGCTGGCGATTCCTCTACAAAATGTGCTTCTACAAATTTCAGTTTATATTCTTCAAGGGTGTGAAAGCAATTTATCTTGCATGTAACATGCACGGTGCTTTAATCACTGGAGTTTACCATATTTACCCTGTAAGATGTTCCCGAATGTAGGCTACACGATGCCTGAATATTTCTGGGGAGCAAAACAATACTCGTCCAGAGAATACTGTGTAGAATAAAACTCTTTTATTGGCAGTGTGATAAAGGAAAGAAATTGAAAATAGAACAATATCTCATAAATGATGAGGGTATAATTCGATTCTTGAAGTTTCGCCTAAGTTGATCATCATTTCGGGCCTCCTCTTGCGGCGGAGTTTTGAATGACATCCTAGATTTAAGATTTAGTTCTATCGCCTCTGTATAAATAAATTACCTGTGAATTATACATTTCGAAAATTTGGTCTGCTGAAGTGGCCATTTCAGGAGACTTATCGTCTCTTTCTCGAATGAACCGAGGGAAACGCAGGGAGATTCCCTAAATTTTAGCTTGAGGATGAAAATATGACTTCGAACGTTACCTTTGAAGGATCAGCAAGACCAGTAGCAGCAGTGTGCACTGGAGAAATTGAGAGATCTGCGCACTTGATCTCCCAAACCATTTCTGGCTCGAAGTAGACGTCTGCAGTGACACCACCGAGGCGATAGTAAGATTTCTTCTCGCTCTTTATCTTCTCTAGCCGCTCGGTAAACTAAAAATGGATAGGTTTAATGATATGTAGAAAGAAGTGCAAAGCGCACCAGCTTGAGATTCTCGTCGGTCAATCCCGTGCCAAGCTTGCACACAGTCTGGTACTCCTCGTTGTCTGCATCGTAAACTCCAAGGAGAAAACCGCCATAATTGCCGCTGCGCTTTCCTTTTCCGTAATAGGCGCCCATCACAAGCACATCAACTGAGTCGGCAACGCCACTGCCAAGATAGTCCTTCTTCAATTTGAGCCAGCTATTTTAAAACTCATAATCTGATTCTATTGACATTTTTACCTGTGTGAGCGTTTTGAAATCTCGTACGAGTCTTCAAGGGCTTTGACCATCAGACCTAGGACATGTCCATAAGAATAAATCATTGATAATATTTTACCTTCAGTGGAGTCTTTCACGGCTTGATCCAAAAAGACCTGTAGCTCGTCGATCTCGCACATGTCCTTTGCGGTGGCAAAGACGAACTCCCCTTCAATGCTCTTGAAATGCTTGTGGAGCAGTTCCCTTCGTTCACGGAGCGACTTCTTCACCAGAGACTCGCCGTTGAGGTAGAGTAAATCGAAGGCGTGAATACACACTTGCACCTTGATGTCTTTCGCATCAACATCCTTTCGCTTACGAGTAGTGAGCACTTGAAAGGGGAGAATCTGTTTGGTCTCGGGGTCCCACGCGACGCTCTCCGAGTCGATAACAGCCGATGTTACATCTTGCAAGCAGTTGGGCATTCTCGTCATGACGTCTAAAAAACACAGTGAATCTCAATCATATAGAGAGTCTCATTACCTGGATATTTGGACGTGTTGTCTTCTTGGTTTCTGGAGTAGACTCGGAAAGAGCCATCTTCCAACAAGTGGATTTGCGCTCGTTCTCCGTCATATTTGTATTCGGCAGTGAACTCGGCTCCAGCGCCAAAGCGAGTCAGAATTTCGGTGATTGCTTTCGTCGGATGAGCCAACATTGGTTTTAGTGGCACTCCAGGTTGAAGAGAAACGTGGTCGGCGAGGTTATCCGACCCGTGCTCGAGCAAAGCGTCGACAATGATTTTGTAATTTGGAAGCTCGCTAAGGATAACTTATTTACTTGAAAACGTAAATATCTTACCAGTAGGCTTCTTTTACGATCGCATCAACTCGATCGTAGCGTTCCTTGGAGAACTTGGAGTTTTTCGTCTCTCCAAGCTCGTGGAAGACGATTGCCCTGGCCAAAGCAGATAAGACTGTAGCTTCAGAGACACCGATACGAAGTTTTCCTGCGCAAGAGCGGATCAAGAATCTCGCCTCTGAACCAACGCAAGCAACGAGCAAGCCCTTGATAAGGTCGACTTTTGTGTTCATAGAACTCTGCCCAGAAACTTTCGCGATCTTTTGCAACTGACCGTAGACTTTTTGCATCTTGAGAGGGGGTGGCTTGAACATCAGTTTCTGAGACCCCTAAACTTTGTTATTTTTTCTTTAATCATATTATGATTGAACCTTTGAATTCTCAGCAACTTCACCAAGATCACCAAGGGATTGCATATCCGCCTTGATTTTCTGATTCGGGCGGCCTGTTGCTTGGGAAATCGCCTTGATGAGGACCATATCACCGATTCCTAGCTCGACGCCTTCGTAAGTAGCAGCAAGCAGATTAAGTGATAGATGGAGGGCAGTGACGACATCTTCGGCTGTGTTAAGTGCGATTACAGAGCGATAGAAATTTGCCAAGTACTCGGTCTTGTTCAGTCGCCCAGAGGTCTCTTCGCAGCATTTTAAAGTCTTCGAAATTTATTATTTTGCTACGAAGAGAATTGTCATTTACCTGGCATAAAGCTGCGTAAGGGACAGGTTGGCCTTCCTTCCAGCAGGCATTTTTGATAGCATGGTAATTTGACAAGGTGGGATTGTAGTCGCCTTCCTTCACTTCTGGCACTTTGGCTGGTGATTTTTTTGGAGAGGAGGAGGAGGGCGAAGTGTCGCGAGCTTTAGACGGTGATTTTGGTTCTTTCTTTACCTTTGATTCCTTCTTCGGGGAGACTTTTGCCTCTTTTTTCGCCTTTTTGGGAGAAGCTTTGGGCTCCTTTTTCACTTCCTTTTTTGTGGAATTCTGCTTCTTTGAGAAGAAGTCCGATGCCATCTTTGGAATGCCCATGGTCTCACTGGACTTGTCTTTTCCCAAGGAACTAGGCCCAGGCTTATCATTATTGTCCTCTACTGGACTGGCGGAAAACGGCTCAGTGTCTCCGTATTCTCGCTGAGGAAGATTGGATCCTTCATCTGAAGAGCCAGAATTCGGTCCGGTAACTTTCCGTGAGTTTTTCGAAGATTTTTCGTCGCGCAATTCTTTTTTGCTCTTTTTCACATGAATTCTTTTCTCGTCGTTGAACAAATCTTTCTGAAGCCAAGCAGCCTCATCACCGAGATCGTCGTCGTCGTTAGAATCGTACTCCAGATTATCAGATGAAGAATGAACTGATCCTTCGTACTCTCCATCGTCCTCGTCTTCGGAATCCGAGTCATCAATAGCACGACGATTGAAGTTTGGCCGATGCAGTTCATCCTCACTTTCGCTGTCACTGACCACAAACCCCTTCATTTCATTTCGGATTTTAGATTTTTTCTTCTTCTTTTTCTCCGTTTCTTTATCTTTCTTGAGTTTTTTCTTCGGGGGCTTCTGCTCTTCCTTCTCCACAACTGAAACAGTTTATTAAATCGACAACTACGTTCACTCATTATCTACCTGGCGCATTGTCTTCCTCTTCCGTGCTTTCTAGGCCCTTGTTGCGGCTTCTTTTTCTTCTAATATCATCGTCATCTTCTGAATCAATGAGGATCTTCTTCGTCTTTTTGACGAGGTCTTTTTCGTTCTCTTTGTTACTCAAACCAAGCGGTTTCTTAGTTTGAGCTGCTTCTGATGTCTTGGCACTATTTTTCGGCTTTCAAAGTGGTTCGGTCAGATTTTTTCACGATAAGGAATTTTAGTTTTCGTTCCCTGCTGAGACGCGTGTTTGTGGCGCCCTCTTTAGCGCAAGAAACGATACATAAACGGGAAAATAAAGTAAGGGGTCGATTATATAATGAAACACTTAACGTTTTAAGGTAATGGAACCAGCACCCAGTTAATTAGAAGTTTGAAACACGTTATTACTAAGAAGATGTAAGGATCTTCGAGGCACATTATTCTGTATTGCTTATTTCAATAAAAAACTGACAATTAAACCCTTTCCTTGAAGAAGGAGCTAATAGAAGTCTGTTGTTTCGACATTCTGCTAGCACAAGTCGCCGAAGACGTCAGAAAGCGCAAACGGCAAAAGCTTCTGGAAAGCGTGACGCCAACTTAAATTCATACAGTTAAAAGCCATTATAGAAAGTTGAAATATTGAAGCATAAATACAAAAAGTTGCAGACTCGCTGTTTGCAGCACAGTTTTGAACGAAGGAAGCAGTGAGGTTGAATATTTTTGGATTTTTTGTTCTTTTGGGCAGAGAATATAATTGAAAGAAATAATTTATTCTATCTAGGCTGATTGAAGCCGCCGAACTTTTCGTTGTGTTTTTGCTGAAATTTATCATTTTAGAATAGTCATTAGCAAGGCAGAGTTCAAAATCCGGTTGATGAAGGGTCTTTTGACGGATTTGGATCTCTGCAGAAGAAAAATGGGAAAATACCTCGAAATAAAGAAAAAGAACGATTCAATAATATATATTGAATAATATAAGAGAACCTAGAAAAAAACTCTTATATTATCTAATATATATCATTAGGGTCTTAAGTGCCGCGTGTGCTAGTAAAATTGTTAGTTTTATAAGGATGAAAGCCTCATCATTGAGAGGTTCTGAAAGGGGATTGTTCGTACCTGGCGCACTTTGTCATTTTGTTTCATTTCTTCATAAATACAAATTGGTAGTTCGCGATAAATTAGACTACTAATTGTGGGGCTCGGATGAGCGACGCCTGTATTTCTTCCGTCCATGAAGTCCTGCAGTTTGATTTCGCGATGTTTTAAACACTTCCACCTTGGGCCTTCAGCCGTAGGACTATCGTTCTTATTTTAATATAAATTCCCATTCAATTTGATTGAATTTCACCTGCTTCCATAATTTAACAATTCCACCAGAGTTCCCAGAGACGAGAAAATTGCCAGTGGAATCAAAACTCAGATCCCAAACCCATTTCGTTTCGTCTCCTGCGACCAAATTGTCAAGGAGCCTTGGAACATGTGCTGATTCCATTTCAAAGAGTGAGATTATTCCTGAACTTTGGGAAACGGCGAATCTCTGCGCATCGTGACACCAGCACACTCGCAATCCATAGACCTTCTCAACAGTTGTCGGCGCTAGAATACAGCTAATTTCAGCTGGCATAAGAATCAATACCTTTGTACGGCCATCCAGGCTCAGTAAGCTCGATTAATTCCACAGTAGACGTGACTACATCATTATCAGTACTTTCATTGACGATTTTAATGCTGAAGAAGTAAATCAGGCCGTCCCAGTCAGTCGCCACAAGAAACTCTCCACACGGGTCGCAGGCGATGCTTTGTATCGGCCTCGTTCTTTCATTTCGATAAAGCAGTGTCAACCAGGATCTAGAAAATCGACAATAACAATTGGCCCTTGAATTAGAACTAACTCTTTGTCAGCTTTGGGAGACCAAAACCAAATTTGACCGTGTGTATCGGACACAAAGCATTCAATTCCGTTCCTGTAGACTGAGCAGCTGGTGGCAGCGTAATCGAGCGAGCCCATATTCTTGTCGCTTCGGGTGTGCCGTGGCGTGAGTTCGCAAGTCTCAACAGCAGCGATCTCGCGGCCAGTGTTGTGCATGAACTCTTGTTGCTGATCGGCTGAGAACTTTTGCTTTATCAAGCTGGTCATTACGAGGAAGACCTTAGCATCGTAGCTCGTTGCGAAGAGATGTTTGTGGTTGTCAGCTTCGTTCGAGAAGCGAACACAGGTGACATTCTGATTCGATTTGTTCGAAGAGCGTTGGAGGGACAGATCGATGTGCAAGGACTGGGTGCCAAGGGTGTACGCTTAAAAGAAGGTCGCTAAATATTGTGGTTGCGTGTAGACGCGCTTGCTCTCTTACCCGAAATCATTCCTCGTGCACCTGCCGTAACGATGAATGACCAAGGAATTCCCGCTCCATCGTGACCGACAAAAATGTCCATGCTCGGCGCGTGGCCTGGTAGATCCTTGCAAGTCATGGATATCTGGTGCTGCTCCAGGTCGTACCAGAGACGAACTTTGGAGTCGTACGATGCCGTGAATAGAATAGGAACAACAGTCATTGCTCTAGTGATTTTTTCAGTATTGTTTTCGTTTATTTTCTTTTATTTGAAAGATTGCACAATAAAGTTTAATGAAAGTCAATGAAGAATCGTCACTTACGATGAACGGTTATATAGGTTGAAACTATATAGATAAGGAACATGTTCGATTATAGCCTTTTTAGGTACTCAAAGTGAAGAAATGGACGAGATTGTTTATAGTAGCAGATTTTGCATTTAGATAATGGAACAAATAGTTTGTAGTAACAAGTTTTCATTTACAAGAGTGGCTTCAGTTAACCCCGATCTGGCGCCCCAGGATTTCCCAATTGTTCACCATCATCTTTTGGACGGCGATTAGGGCGTTGTATCGAACTGTTTGGTCCTTCAAGCAAAGGCTTAATCAAAGCAGATAAGTTAGTATACCTGATGCGCCATTAGCTGCATGACAGTTTGCTTAGCCGAGATTTCATCGATAACTTGTCTTCCTCTTGGATAATGCGTCACAAACTCCCCTAGATCATGGCATCCTACACTCAGGCACTGAAATAATAGAAATTAGTAAGTAAATTCCTTAGACGGTGTCAACCTCGGTGTTTTGATCGGTTTCGAGAATGTGTGTCAGTCTCCGCAGGATCTTGTAGTCTTTTTCAACGAGTCTTTGGGCATTCTCCCTCCAGAATTTGTTGTTTGTGTGTACTGGACTCCAAGATAGGCGACCCGAGTTGACTTCAGAGCTGAAAAGACCTGTTAAACATAAATAGAGAAAGAAAACCTTACCAGAACTCCTCAAAGCTTGAGAGGTTTTGCTCGACTTCGGAAAGCTTGGCGACGACGATTTTCAGATCTTCTTCCATTTCTTCGTCTTCGAGTTGTTTCTCTGTCAAAACCTAGTAAGACGAAATAAATTCTTGAAGAAGAATGACAAAAGGCTAACCTGTATCGACTTTTGGACCTTGCAGCCGATCAATGCCGAGCAGATATCACGAGCTTTATCAGCGTTGCATTTTTCGATTAGATTTCGGAAGACTGCCAGGCAAATTCTAGAGACTTTCTGCTTTTCCGTTTGGCGAAGGACATCACAGACTGGGATCGTGATCTGTTTTTTGAAAAGATCATCTGCACACGAAAAACTGATCAGCCAAAAACAGCAAACAACCTGAAAAAATACTCATATAAATAATGAAGGACTTTTTCAATTATCACCTGATATTGAAGCTGAAAGCCTTGGTTTCGAGTAGCAAGAACTTCCATCAGTTGATCAACAATGCCATGCTCGACGACTAGCTTTCGATAACATTCAGCGCGGAGTAAGATCATCAATGCGGAGCTAGTAGCAGTCAACCATTCGGCATTTAGAGGCGTCAGCTGTCCGCGAATCCAACCGAGGTAGCCGTCCGACTCGGCGGACGAGAAACGAAGCTTTCCAAAAGTAGCTAGCTTTGCTGATATTCTAACCATGAGTTTGACGATAAGTTCTTCTATTTAAAAATAGTCGTCGTCATGACAAACTCCGTTCCTAGCGGCTTGATTACAAATAAACTTGTCCGGTCTTGAGAGAAGCGTAACGAAAGGAGTCCAAGCTTGCTGTCCAAGAGTAACAGCATGCTCGTGGAAGATCATGATGTTCTCCTTGTTCATCGTAAGAATATCATCAACCATGGTCAACAAGTATCGCACAGTCTGATCGCGTGCAATCTGCCCGATCAAATTCGTGAGCGCTTTGGCTGCGTTTTTCCCGTAGCGATCGAGAATTTGCTGCTTATTGATGGCGTTCTTTTCAGCATCGAAAGCGTTGATGAATTCGAAGTCTTCTTCCGAAATCATTTGGCTGTGAGAAAAACATTAAATCGGCAAGATCGTACGATGAAAATCACCTTTGACGATAACTTTTCCAGTTGACGATCAAAATTCTGGTATTTTTGATCTCATCTTGGAGCAAATCCGCAGCAGGCAAGTCAACCATCTCTTTAAAAGCGCAAAATTAGCTTGGAAAATTTAGAAATGAATTAGTTAGAAATGAACTAATAAATGAACAAGGCGAATTTAAGTCGTAAAGAAAATTGAACTAGAAAGAAGAAAGTTTGAGACAGTTTGCTCTATTTTGCAGCAAGCAAGTCTTGCGTCTTGCTCAAGACTTTACTCAATTGGCAGTTGATACTTCGCTTGTTGAAGTTGCTCGGAGGCTTTTATTCGCTAAAAACACTTAGTTTGCGAAGACGTTTTTTTCGTACCTTCAGAAGTTCTTTTCCTTTTTTGAAAAAGCCTTCTTCAGAGGATAATTTCGCGATAAAAGTGGCGAGAGGACGAAGCGGCCTCAGCGTCACATCGGTGAGATGCTTGAACCATGAGCTCGGAAGGAGTTCGACAATCCCCGCGCACCTATTCAAAGTATTTCCATCCTAAAAAGAACGGCTCAGCAAGGATTTTCTAAGATATTGCGATAAAGCGATCGAGGAAAAATGGTTAGCGATAAATGAAGTAGAAACGGCTGGCAGACCTTTGGCAGTGATCTGAGCCTCATTAAGAGGTCTTTATTTATAAGTCCATCGATAACAAGGCTTTGCAGCGTGTGGGAAGCAAAGAATTCGTCAAACTCGAGAATATTTCGAACAAGTTTCAAGGATCGATTCCACTGACGCTGGAAATAAAGACCCTCGCCAACAGTGAAATCGGGTTTTCTATCAGAATCCAGAATAGGAATAAAAATATCTTCGTCGCGGCATCTTCTATTTCAAGAGTTATTCATTGCGCCATTAATTTAGCGAATTTGAGCAATCTAGCGTAAATTCTAGCATTAAAAACTCTTTCACTGAGACGGGCAAGAATGTTCGCGGCGAGTTTCTTCATTTTGTCGTCTTCTTGGTGCGCCCATGGCAGGTTCTTCATCAGAGGCGAGTAAAGAAACTCTGTTAGACATTTCGTCTGTCTTGAACTGATCGGGTCGTATATCTCCTTCACCCACCAATTGACAGTTTCTAGAGGATACTTTCCAAGGACAAATGGGAGCAACATTAGTTCTGGTTCTTCAGGGGCGATCGAATAACGTATCACGTTTTCTAGCGTTTTTGTCTTCTCGAGCGAGCAAGTTTGAGGCGTCCAACCTTTCATTTCCACCTTTAAAACGGGAATAATGATCGAGCCGGCGCATTCTTCAACGAAGCAGACTTTGTACCAGCGAGGAAAGCTCACACGCCACTTGTTGAAGCGATTGAGTAAAAGATGACTGTCCGTGTATTCTTCAACAACATCTGCGTAAATCTGTAGCCGCTCTTCTTCCAGCTTTCGAAATTTTTCTTCGAAAACAGCAGCGTTCTCCGGATCGAGCTCATCGTCTGTCGAGTCTCCTGGCTCGTGATGCTTAGACTTTGGACGCATTTCAGCTCGTCTTCGTCTTCGTCCATCTCGAGCACTAAATTTATTTTGAATGAGACGATTAGGAATAAGCTAGTCTCGTACCGAATTCTGCTTTGAACGTCGGGCGCCAGGGTCTCAATAGGAATGCCGTTTTTCTTTCCGTGAAAGGGAAACTGCTGGCCACAGTCCTTCACGTCCAGTTGTCTTCTCCGCAGAACAACAGACGCTCTTTCCGCTTGAAGATCTCGAAGTTGTCTGTGCCACTTTTCGACGTCTTCCCGCTTCGAGTTGATGAAATTCGTAAAGTCTTTAAGCCACGCTTTCATTTCGCTGAAGTAAGTGTATCGTTCTTGCAGCTCAATTTCGCTTGCTTCTTCTCTAAACAAAAAATACACGTCCTCGTCCTAAATCAACGCTCTTACGGAAGTGGTTCTTCAGATCTTTCTTCCTCGGCCTTAATGTTCTTCAAATTCTGCTGGCATTCTTCTAGACGCTCTTTTACATCGCCAAGTTTGTTTTCCATTCGTGTCAGGACGTTCTCGATATTCTTCATATTCCTCGTCATTGTTTCCAACGGCGTACTCGACATATGCCCTGGCACATTCGAGCCTCGTATCAACTCGGATTCCCATCTTTAAAAAATGGTTAAAATAAAGCAGCAAGAGGGAGTGTTTACTTTTGGACGGATTCGTCATCACGCTCTCGGCCAACGTCGATGTCGTCTTGGGCGAATCCGTTTGTTCTAACACCTTCCATTTTAATTACATTTTCTTCGCCGTCAGAATCTTGCTGCGCCAGTCGACCGCCTTTTTTCGACGCTTTGGACTATAAAAATGTTTCTCTATAGATCAAAAGTGGCAGTATCTCTTACCCTTGAGATGGGAATGTAGGACTCTTCTTTGTTTCGTCTAGCTTCTTCTCTTCTTTTTCTGGCTTCGTGGATGGCATTGGCGTCGGGAATGGCACCTCCTCCGCCCATTCTGTCCAAGATCTTTTCCCTGAAGGCGCTTTTGACGCCCGCCTGGGCATCAGCTCTGTCGAGTTCTTCTGAATTCATGATCACCGGCGCCGTGTCCATTGGAATGGATTTCTGGGTATTCTTCAGCCGAGAAAGGTCCGCAGCAGAGTAGCTATTCCCCGATCCCCAGTAAGAGCCGCGATTCTCCTTTGACTCTTTTTCCACTTCGCTTCTTAGCTTTTCTGCGAGTTTGCGACTTCTGTTCGACTTTTTGACCTTGAATTCTGCCGAGTCTCCTTCTGTATCGTCATCTCCGAAACTCAGTGCTGGCTTGGGCTTGTTCTTCTTCTCCTTTTTCGCCTTTTTTTCTTTTTTCGCTTTTGGCTGAATTGGAGGAGTCGGAATGGCGGATTCTTCCGCCTCTTCGATTTCCATGTCGTCGCCATCGTCAGTTTCAATTTTGCGAATGCTTCTTTGACCTCGCGGCTTTCGAGATCGAAACATTCTGAATGACAACTTCCATTACTTTTAGTAAACTTTCTAAAAGTCACGCAATGAACCACAGTACGGCGATTTTCACCTCCAGCGTATTCAATTCTAACATAAGACTAATGTCAACAGTGATTTTCGAACAAATCGGCAAAGTTTCGAGAATTTCACGCAAGAATCAAGATATTCAAATGAGAGACTTTAATCTTGCCATTTTTGCTGACTTGACAATTTTTCCAAAAAAAAGATTCATTTTTTTGCATTTTCGCAACTTCTCTAGATTTCCCGCCTACGCACGTCTATAAATTGCCCTTCTCCCCATCAAAATTTTCAAGCGAAGAGAAATTCAGCGTATTCGTCAAATAAACTGTCTTGCCTTTTATTTTTTTCTTTTCCTTTTTGAGGTCTGCTGATCTGTGGCGCTCAAAAAAACTCGCACGCGCTTGTGATTGGCCGCTCAACCTTCGGACTTTCTCCGTATTCCTATAAAGAAGTCATTAAAATTTGATGGCTGCAATAATGCGCTTTTTGACAGTTTTTTGAAATTTCAGATTTCGGATTCTGAAAAGAAAATAGAGAATCACGATTGAAGAGGATGGATTCTTCTTCACAAAAAGAGTCCCAGAAGAAGAGCGACTCTTCTCAGAAGAAAAAGAAGAAAAAACCAAAGAAGGAAAGAGTTATCAATCAATATTAGTACATATCAAAGTTCGAAAATTGAGCCGTTTATGAACAAGTTTGATAACTGAAGCCAGTTAAACAGAGGTCATTATGAGAAGTTCTTGAAATCGAAGGGTTGGGTCGATCCAAATCTTGCTTCAGTGGCAGAAACAACGACTTTGCTCAAGAATTTCTTCAAAAAGCTTTCCGAGCTCAGCAAACAGCATGACTTCGAGGAAAATGCGGAGAGAACTCAATCGTAAGTTCGCTGAAAATCTCAAATATCTATCATTTATTCAAAGAATTCTCCACAAAAAATATGAGCAGACTTCAAAACGCTTCAAGAAGAGCATGGAATGCGTGAAGATCGTCAACAAAGCCCTGTGCGAGGTGACTGCTGAGAACTGGATTTCTCTCGCGAAAGAGATGGAGGAAATGTTTAATGCGCGCAAAGAGCAGGTTTGCGAAGAAACGACCAAGTTGGCCGAGAAACACGAATCCTGGAAGATCGAGGATTTGTACGACCGACTCTATGACCAGCTAGATGCTATACATAAGAAGATAAAAGATCTCGAGAAAAAAGGTGAGTCAAAAGTAGGGCGGGAGTAGAGGACCCCATTGTAGGTTCTCTTCTATGTCTTCAAATTGAATTGAAAAGAAATTCGATTTATCACTTCGTTTTTTAGAAGAGGCATTGAGTGACGAAGAAGCCTGGGGAAACAAATCCAACTACTTGCGACAGTGCGAGTACAAAAAGCAGGCTGTGAAGATTTACTCAAGGATTCAAAAACTGAATCACGAAACATGCAGTCTTAATCGCGCTCGAGGAAAGTTGAAAACTCTGTCTGTTCTCGTTCAAGCTCGTGAGCAATCAGTAAAGAGCTAAGATTTTCAACTGAATCAGACAAAAAGATCAAGCTAGAGAAGATTCAACTTTTGAACAACCCAGAGTTCAAAAATCTGCAACAAGTCCTCGAAGCCTTCATCAATTCCGAAGAGGATCTGCCGGACATTGACGACTACAAGGACTTGATTAATAGATGGCGAGATAAACATTTGAAACGCGAACCAGAAAACAAGAGTATACAGAAGCTGACTGGGAAAGCCCTGATTGCAGTTGCTTCGCAGGTTCTACGGGAGGCGACAGAAAAGTGGAGCAAGAGGCGAAAAAAAGACTTTGCGGAAGATTTTCTTACGGAAGTTTCTCAGCCAAAGGATCAAGAACTGGAGAAGAAGTTGAACGAGAATAAAAAGCGCTGTAGATACATGGACAAGCCGGTCAAGAGTGTGAACGAGCTCCTCAATGAATTCATGGTGAAGCAAGAGGCTCAGGATATCGGCTTTGATGAGATCGACCTTGAGGATAATGAAGAAGACGAAGAAGATCAAGAATCCAAGTCTTCAGTCTCTTCGAATGAATTCGGGTAAGTTCTTATTTTCCGTAAGTTTTGACTAAACAATCTCTGAATAGCTTTTAATAATTTTCTTAGACATTTGATTGCAGAATGTGAATCAGAGGTCGAATTCGACAAAGACGATGAGTTGTTTGATGAAAACAAGCCATCGACTTCTGCTTTACCACCTGGAATCCCTAAGCCAGATACCCCAATGGAAGAGTCTTCCGATGAATGGTCTGGACCAGAAGATGACGGGAAGGAAGCTGTTCCAGAAGAAGAGTCCTCTGATGAGTGGTCTTCGCCGGAAAACAACGAGAACTCTTCGAATAATGAGAAAAACACGAGCCTCCAGCTCCCAAGCACTTCTGCTTCAAACGGATTTCTGATAAAAGCGGAACCTGTTGCAAGAAACGAGCGCTCTTCCCAAGAAAACAACAAGAACAACTCATCTGCTGGTCTACAACAAGGACCAAAGTCTGGAATCAAGGAAGAGTTCGGCTATCAAAAGCAACAGCTTGCATCGACTCCACACGAAAACCTCGTGGTGAAGGAAGAGCATGTACATGTAAAAAAGAAGCGTAGAGTTCAGCTTGTTTCTAGACCTTTGTCTGATTCTGAAAAATCGAGTGATGAAGAAATCAAAGAAGTTAAAAGTTCAACTGCTAAAAAGTCGAGGGATCCAAGTATCTTGGATGAACTTGAAGGGTCAAGTGATGACACGCCGCTAGACAGCCTTTTTGGGGAAGAAGAAAAGGAAAAAGTGATGTCTAAGGCAGAGAAGCTCACCGCTGAATATAAAGCACAGAAGGCAATACATGAAACTACCAAAGCAGAATACGAAGCACAGGTCGCTGCCTATGAGGCAAGGAAGAAGGAGAGGGAAGCAATGAAGAAGGAGAGGGAGGCAAAGAAGGCTAGGAAAGCAGCTAGATTAGCGAATCCGAGTATTCTTGATTGCCTTGAGACCCAGTCTTCATCTGAGTGCCCTCCAAGCTCTTCCACTGCCGATGAAATGATGCCTTCAACATCGAGAGCACTGAAACCTTCAGAAGATATACCTAAAAATATTTCTAAGGAAATAATAAAACTGGTTCTACTCGGAGAAAAGTTTAAAGAAACTAAAAAGAAAAAACAACAGCCTATTGATCCTATCGTAATCGACTCGGACTCTGATGATGGCTACAAAGCTGAACCAGAAGCATCGCCTCAGAAGAAAAAAATAACAGCGAAGCCTTCGAAGGAGAAGAAGCAGAAGAAAGGAGACGATAACTGTCAAATTCTCATCACTTCTTCAGACGAAGACGAACCGCCACCCCTAGAAGCAAGCACCAACAAAGCAAAGAGAGCTCGCGCTCTTGATTCTCCGAAAACATTTGAAGCTAATATAGCTAAAAAGAAGAAAGTAGTCTCTCCGCCGAGACCTGTCATAACTCCGCCCCCAGAAGAAGTAATGGACCATCTACTTGGCAAGCCAGAATCCCAAGAACGGCCAACGGAGGAAGTGGAGGACGAGTTTTCACGAATGGCTGTGCAAAACGAGTCAATCCGAGTTATTCAGGGCAACGCACGTGAATCTAAAACCGACCGGTTCGTGCAACGCGAGCCACCACGGTTTTCTCCTGAGAATGCCTTTCGACAACCACCACTTACTTCGAAGAATGTTTTCTCTAACAGTCCTCAAAAACTGAGGAACTCTGTGATTATGGTCAATTCGAGAGTTGCTAGACTGTCAATAAGTCCCACTGAAGGAACTGGTTTTATGAAATTTAATTCAAAAAATAATTCGCAATAAATAAAATATAGAATTCAAACAACCACGAAAAGCCAGGGTCACCTCGAAACGTCCAGCCTCACCACCTCAACGAGAACCTCCTGCTCGTCGTCCTGTTGCCAAAAGTGAATCAAAGAAGCGAAACGAAAAGAAAGAGTATGAAGTCATTTCTCTATTGGACTCAGACTGAGTCTTCGTGTATTATTTTTACAGCCTCTCATTGAAAATAACCACATGTACATTCTTTTTCATTCACATATTTTACATAATTCATAATTCATCCCTCACATTGAAACAAGATTTCATAAAGCACTATCAGTTGAATTATTGTTCTGTTGATTCCAATATATTTCTACAGTTCAGGTTAAATTCCTTGCTCACGAAGATATTTTGACTTCCCCATATTTAAACATGTATTAAAGCTCATTTTCGGAAACTGCCACTATCTTCTGCAAAAATAAATAACCACTTTTCTAACGGAAAGTATCCGAGTTTCATCAGTCTTTTTTTGCAGTCAAGGAAGATAACAGGAGTGTTTAAATAAGTTTATTTATTTCATAAAGAGTGGCGATTGCATCAAGATAAGGTCAGTTAGAGATTCGAGAAATGCGAACACCTAGAAAAGGCTCTTTTTTTCGGCTGCGTCAAAATATAGAAAAAAGATCTCATCTAACTGATGTCTCATCACTCGGCTAATGTGAAAAAAAAATAGTAAAACCAGGAAAGCAACGGTGCTGATAAAATTGAAGCCAACAAGGATGAAGCTTGAGCTAGATGATGGACTTTCTGACTCCATAGCGTTTTTATTGTTTTTTTTTTTGGTTCGGGAGTCCTCGTCCAATTGAGCTCCCCAATCGTTGATTAGGTGATTATTGAAGTCGAAATTTCAAATACATAAAAGTGGGGCGGCTCAACTGGGCTGAAGAGTGTGGGTTTGGAAGGCTGCTGCTTTCTTTAGCTAAACTTGTCCTTGGAAAATTCAGATCACAATTAAAAGGCATACAGCAGAAATATAGAACTGGCCCAACTAAAAGTAGCAGCAGCCGCGTGAAATTTGAACAAACGCTTCTAACGTTAGTGCCGCTAGAATCGGTTGACTAACACCTCATAAAATTTCTTTTTTCTCGTTTTCCAAATATCATGGACATCCCTAGCAGAGAATAACATGGTGAACAGGAACATATCGCAAAAAATCGATTTCAGTTAGAGAACCTTGAAAAGTATGAATTCCAGTAGGAGTAGGTTGAACGTGTAGATAAAGGGATGGAGTAAAATATACCAGCAACAAGGGTCGTCAAAGTTACATAAGCTGAACAAACTGCATTCCAGGGGGCAGGGCCATTCCCTGTACGTTTTGGACATTTTGCATCGCTCCCAATTGCGTCTGCCCGAGTTGGCCCATCTGCATGTGCGTAAAGTTGGGCACGAGAATCGGTTGGTAAGCGGCGGCGTATGCAGATTGCAGTTTCTGAATTTATACGATTAACTCTCTGGTCTTGAGAGACGGGCACTTACGAGTTTGGCCTGGATTCGTTGTTGCTCCCGGAATCGCTCGTACGGAACCCATCTTGGTTTTGGCGGTTTACCCTCTAGCGTCGCTTTGTGTCTTTGGCTGCGCAAGTGCTGCAGAAGCTGCACTTCCGAATTAAGCGTGACGTGGCATAGCTCGCATTTGTACTGGTGGTTTGACCGGGGCTTGACAGGCTCGATCTTATCTGGACGAGGAGGAACTGGAATCCCCGCGATTGTGTTTTTATGGCGCAATGAGCCGAGATGCTGTTTCATTTGAGTATCAGAATTGACCCACACGTCGCAATCCTTGCAGTGAAGACTTTCGTCTGAAAAAATATGATCAAGGGGGCGTTGAAAGTTTCTCTACCCTAAGGCTAGTCTAACTATTCTATTGGAAAATCCACTTGAAAGAGACTTACCAAGAGGCTTGATAGTTCTGACAACTCGTTTGACGTAAGGAGGTAGGTTTTCCAGCATCTTTTTGACCTCTTCTTCCATGTCAAGTCGTGCTTTCTTCTCCTCCTCGGTTTCTTCTCGGATTTCTAACGGATCGAGGGGAAAGAGCGGCTGATTTGAGCTAGTTGAGCCATTCTCGTTCGCAGCACACATCATTTCTTTGTCCTCTTCGGCCATTCTAGCGGCATCGACTTCGCAGTTCTCGGCCTTGGCTTCTTCAAATTGCTCGACTTGCGCCTCCAGAGCCAAGTTTTCTGCGTTGAGGCTAGCGGCCTAGAAAACGGTTTAGATAGGTTCGCTCAGTATCCACTGCCTACCATTCATCCCGCTTTCAAAGTACCCCCCAGTAAGTATTTTCAAAGACCACTCTTCCTTAGTGGTACTTATGATATTCATTGCATTTGTTTCATTTTGATTTTGATACATTTTGTGACTGGCCCGAGATATGTCAGTATCTGGCGGGTCCTGGTCAGTTTACCCTTGGAATAAAAAGTTGAATGCCAAACTTCAAGTCAATCTTTTCAAGTTTTTCTCTCACCGGACATTGATAATGAAAATGCCACATTATACACCTGTTTGTAACGATTTAGTTGAACGAACTCAACAGTATCATTATTCAATTATTCACCAGTAGTGTAAGAGTAACTCATGCACTGCTATGAGTTTCTATCGATCTTAGTCTGATTTTAATATTTCACGCCCCTGCTGCGTTGAAAAATTTCACCATGTCAAATGATAAGAAGATAATGTCGAGCTAAGCGACAGTCTGTCCGACACATGTATCATAATGGTACACCTCATTACCTGCTCTTGTTTGAAGATCCCGTTCATCGTGCTTTGTTCGGCCGTGATACTGGCGCTTGCTTCAGGATTGGTTTCTGTTGGTGGAGCTGCTTCAACGGCCTCTTTTGAGTCCCTTTCTTTGAGCTCTCTCTTTCGCCGTCTGATCTCGGTGATTCTGGCGTGTCGCTTCCCTCGATAATGGGTGTCAGCTTGTCCCTAAACGTAATCTATGACGATCAACCGACTCTATAGATCCTCGGATGACTTTAAAAAGAATAATGATTTGGGCTCGGGGCGAATACTTGCTTTTATAGAAGTGATAGACCACCTCGCAAGGGTGGAGGAAGCGCTCTCTTTTGGCGAGTTTGAACTAGTTCCCAAGAGAGATAGATTCAAATAAATTGCCTCCAAGGCTTGGTGCTGGTGCACAGCACCAATCGAAAACGTTTTTCAATGTGCAAATGCCCGTGAATTGCGAAAACTGGACGCTGTTGCCGCCCTGGGGAAAGTCAGCAGCACCACCAGTCGATTAATTTTCGCTTTAGGAGGTGGTACAGTAGGCACCAACAAATTCTTTACCTTATTCAAAATCGTCAATTTCCTCGATTTCTCTGGTTTGGCCAATCTAAGCTGCCCAAATAAACAAAAAAAAGCAGCGTTTTTGATCGGGCGGGTTTTCGGCCGAATTGTCTCTCGGACAATGTTATAACTAATAAGTGCACCAACTTTCTAATAATGAGAAGTTGATCATAAGCTGGCAATCAATACCGTGTCGGGCACAAAATTGGAATTCGGGCTAATCGCCACTGGCCAAATCAGTCACATCTTCAAAGGAAGGTAATCAAACCCTCATTTTTTTCATAAAAACTGATGACAATTTCGGATCTTTCAAAAACTATTTCCAATTTGTAATTCAGTAGCGATCCCTCCCTACTCGTGACCCTCCCTCTTTCTGGAGGCGTATTTTACCTGGCTGTTGAAATTGACGTTGCAGGTTTCGCAGCGAAGCGTTTCTCTCTTCGGACGGAAGCTTTTCTCCTTGTTCAAGACGCTGCTGACGAGGGCGCTTTCAACTGGGCCGAGCTGAAAAATTAAATCAAAAATGATAAAGTAATAAAAAGGCAAAAATAAAGCGAGCTTCGAAAACGTGCGCTCTTTGAAATTACTGTCGCTGAATTCTTTGGCGCCTCTGAAGCTCTTTCCCGTCTCTTGAAAATCGAGCAAGTACCTACTAGACGCGTTCCTTATTGGAGCAGTATGGCTGTCCATAACGGAATGGCCTGTGCGAGTCCTAGGACCAGTTAAATATTTATGTCGTAGTTGCACTATGAAACCATTTATCGATATCCTACATATTCACTGCATCATATATCCGAGAACGAAGCGAGAAAGAAGCCCATAAAATGTGATATTTTATTGATCCCGATCACTTTGCGAAATTTCCGTCTCATTGAACCGGCAATACGCTTCTGGCAACAATTTCTTTACAATTAGCTCTGCCTCTCAAATCAATTCCAGTTACCTTATTTTGACGAATTCCAAAAACTCTTATTTATGATTTTGAAAAAATTATTTCTCTTCTACTGAAAACTTGGATGCATCCCGGACCGAAGAGCCGCGAAATTCTCGAAATAAAATCCTTGCGAAATCCGAAATCAAGAAAAAATCGAGATAAAATCCCGTCCTGGGAACACTTTGAAATCAAAATCTGTGCTCAGCAACCTGAGTGGAAAACCTGAGTCAGGGTTTGAAAGGTTTAAAGTTATAAAAAAAATTTTTTAAAAGTAGTTATTTTAGAGAAAAATGGAGCTTCGTTTTTATGAACCATGACTTAGATTTCCGAGCCTAGTACTAACAAAATATTGTTATTAAAAATGTTGATTGTAATAAATAAAAAGTACCTAGAGGCGTTGGTGATTTTTAGTTCTGGAAGAGTGAGGTGTTTCTCTATTGGCGTTTAGTTATGAAGATAGTAGACTTATAAAGGAGTAGATTGTGATTTGAGTGATCGAACTTTACACAAGTCACTGTGCTCAAATATTTGTCGATTATTCTCTCAATAAGTAGTAGCCGCGGAGAGGAGAGACACATGCTGGTGCCGATCGCGGCCACATGGCAACTAAGCCGCCCATAAAAGAGATTGATACTTTCTGCACAACATTAGTACTACGGTACCCAATAAATAACGTGCATTCACATTCTGACTCAGGAAAAAAGGAAACTAGGAGTAAAATTGATTGACAGCGAAAAGCACCACAAGCGTCTAGAAGCGACACACAGAGGGCGAATAGCCGCAAACGAGCTATCCCAGCTCTCTAGCACTCGAAAATCTTCATTTTTGTCTAGTACCAATTTATTGATTTCAGTAATTTAGGACTAAACATATCAAAAATTTATGAAGCGTTCGTTGCCTTTTTCCTTAAATTTAAGCTAGACTTGTCATTTGAAAGGATTCTAGCGCCCAAAGGTTACCGAGTCCAGACTTGAAGTCATTGATTCCACGAATAATACACGATTGAGTTGACCCAAGCAGTACTGGGCTCGGCAACCTGAGTAAAAAACATGAGTCAGGGTTCATAAGATTACAAATGAAAAGCCGCGTAGCGGCTTTTTTAAAAACGAAGCCGCGAAGCGGCTTCGCCAGAAGTTAAAAATAAGATTGAAGAATAATATTGCGAAGCCGCTTAGCGGCTTCGTTTTTAAAAAAGCCGCTACGCGGCTTTTCATTTGTAATCTTATGAACCCTGACTCAGGTTTTTTACTCAGGTTGCCGAGCCCAGAAGCAGTACCTTTTAGAAGTCAAAATAAGGGGATTCGTTAGAGTCTTCAAAATTGAAAAAAAAACTCTTAGCGAAAATCTCGATCTTCTCTATTTTTTCTGAAAGAGAAAGAGAGAGTGAGAGTGATTTAAATAAGAAGTAAGGAACAAAAGGCTTGAGTGGTCAAAAAACTTTTCTTTACATTTCTACTTCGGAGGTGCCATTTATCGACGGATTCTTTCTATTTGAAATCGCAGTTGCGTACTTTTCTACTTTCTAATGACGAAATACAACATTTCGCTGCTTTGAAATTCTAGCTGAAAGTCAAGTTGAACAAGTTGGCGAAAATGAGCAACACCAGAATCGGATATTCTTGAATGAGGCGTGTATCTCTCTGCCCGCTTCTCTGTGCTGGAAGAGGATCTCATTTTATTATTTCATTTTGACGATTGTTAATTCGATTAATCAAAATTCAGCCGTCGTGGAATTTTACGATCTATAGGCGCTCTTTCCTTTTCGATTTACATTTTTTCAGTTTGAAAAAAAAGAGAGAAAAAAGGCGAATTTATTGAAATGTTAATAGAAAACTGATGATGATCCTAACATTATCGCCTTCAAGAGAAGCTGAGAAACTGTTTTCAACGACTTATAAATTGTGCTATTATTCATTATGAAATGTTTACTTTATCTTTAATATTTATTAGTTCTAATAAAAATGCAATTCCCTACTTATTTTATATACGATCGAATATTTCTACCATTAAAAATTTTCTACTGCAAATAAATAAATGAGCTATCAAAAACGAAGATGCGTCAATAATCTAATGTAAGAAAAAAAAAGAGAGGTGATAAATAGCTAATTTAAGAGCTAGATGAAATAGTAGGCCAAAAGTCCCAGGGCTTAGCTTTTCATTTATGGCTCATAAATCTTGCCCTGGCTCGAAGTTTGGCCGGACGTACTGGCAATTCTATGATGCTAGGTGTCGAGAATTAGATAGTTTTCTTCTTTAGATCGCCTTTCTCTCCCTTGTTTCGCCAAAGGTGATGAGTTATGTCTCTGTCAAATGCACACTTAATCGTGTTTTCTATTTTGTTCGAGTTAGGGCTGCCTGGGTCGGCTTACCTCGCGAGGGGGCTTTCTTTACAGTCACACCCGTATATCCGAGTAGCGTTCGAAATGAGCTCTTATCAGAATTTGTGAGCGCTCAAGCATTAACAGAGCAATTTTGAGCGCGAGTTAACACAGAACACACACTGTAAGCAAAAATAACAAAACTGCGATTTACAGATAGTTCTACATTAAATTAAACTCGACCCTTCATCGCGTCTATTAGCAGTAGTGGCGTCAAAGTAAATTCAAAAGAAGAAGGAAGCATTATTTTTTTCAAAATTACACGATGAATTTTCTGATTAACCAATTACATTGTATACGATTAGAGCAATTTTTGAATCAGTAATAAAAGAAGACTTTTTTTTTACAAGGATCTCCTTGTTGTTTGCACTCGGAAGGGAGCTTCCGCGCTGCGGGTCCAGAAGGATTTGAGAATTTATAGGCTCCTTTCGTCGCTATAAAACCTTCTCTAGTTGTGATAAGAGGACCATGTACCGTAATTTGTTCACACTTGGCGCGATCTGCGCACAAGCCAACATAATTTCGATAGCGATAATAGCACGTGCAGCGAGAACAGATTGACAGCTTGTAGTAAGTAAAGACATACAGCTACCAAGTAGCTAGTTCTTGTTTTTTGCGTAACGCAATAATTCACTCGCTTATTCTTGAAGCTCATGAACCTCCATGAACCGAAATATGTCCTTCTATTTGACTCGGATTGTTAATAATTATGAGAAACAAGACGAACATGGCGATCTATTTTTACTGTACTAGGGGGTTACTATTACTTCTAGAGGCGATTTTCTGGAAGTTAGATTTTATGGATGTTAGATTTTCTGGAAAAGGCGATTTTCTGGAACTTCCAGAAAGTCTAATATTCCAGAAAATCTAACTTTCAGAAAATCGCCTCTCTCAGTAATAGTACCCCCATAGTACAGTAAAAATAGATCGCCATGTTCGTCTTGTTTCTTATAATTATTAACAATCCGAGTCACTTCGAGAGGCTTCAAACTCTTTAAAATTCTTCGACCAAAAGAGACTTTACTATTTAAAATAAAATAACATTGAAATCAACAAGTTCAAATAAGTCTTAGAAACCAACCTTGCTGTTGATGAAATTTATCAATCGGCGTTTATCCCTTCTGCTTAAATTTCCTCTCATAGTTCGAATTATCAAAAGTAAGCCATCAAAAATTGTATTTTTAAAAAAAGATCAGCAGTTGCAAGTTGCAAGTTCTTGTCAGGACGAAAAAAGGCTCCTTTTGAAAGTTGCCGAGTTCACATTTCATCGCCTATTTGATCATTTATCAGGATCAATTATAATTTGCCAGGTCAACAATCAACGCAAAGACGATCAGAGCATTTTTCCAGTAATACTATTTTTGTAATTGCTGAACCTGGCGTGTTTGTCTGCTAGTCCCCGGCGACCATGAACGACTATTAGGGGGAATTCTCCTTTTACAACTGACAGGTTAATGTCCGGATATTCACGCATTTCCGCTGCCTCGTCCATCTCTATTATTTCTCCAAGTGAAAATCAGGCTCTAATTTAGCGCTTGATTTTGATCCACTCTTGATTGTTTTATCGCTAGTAGTTGCTTCCATGCTATTCTTTCTAAGCGAAGCGTTGAAATCATGGAAGACACGCGCTACCTTTGAATTTGTAAACTAAACTTACTATCGCCGTTCATCTTATCTTTCATTTTCGGCCATTTTCGAAACTTCGCCAGAATTTTAAAATATTTTGGAATGGTTATTTTGCGAAGCCGCTTTGCGGCTTCGTTTCTAAAAGAAGCCGCTACGCGGCTTTTTCATTAAAGATCTTTCAAACCCTGACTCAGGTTTTTACACAGGTTGCCGAGCTCAGCTGTAGGTTCAATAAGCGAATCTACAGTCATCCAGAAGCTCCATCGGAAGATAGCTCTTTCAAGACTCGGACGCGTTGAATTTTTCAATGCCAATAATTTAAAATTCATTCGCGCGTTGAATAAATCTTGCTGTGAAATAATTGATGGGCGCTGTTTTTAGACGGTGCTAGAAATTCTGATTTGGAAGAGTACGGGGCTTCGCGCATAGTTAAAAATTGAAGACTGATATTTATCGGTTTAAATATGCGTCGGGAGTTCTTTACGAGATGATGGCAAGAATGGTTAAATTTGGAAATATCTCACCTGTGTATTTCCAAGATGGGCCGACAGAGGGAGCGTCACGTGCTGCAGCCCTTGCATGGCCGGTTGTTGGACTAAATAATACTTTTTAAGTTTATTTAATCAACCTATATTCACGTGACTTCAATCAGACCGGTTCAAGTGAATGTGAAGAGTAAATAAAACTCCAGATCGATTATCATAACTTCATAATCGATCCATTATCGTAAAATAGGCTAACCAAAGTGGTCGAAAACTGATCTCGGTTTGGTAACTCATTTTCATTATCAAAAAGAACTTCAAATAACAAACTCTTGAAATGAAAATTTCAAACAGTAAATCGTCGTTTTTTGAAGCTTCTTTTAGGGAGTCTAAAAAGAACTTTGGCGCGAGGCAGAGAGCGGGTAGGATTGATGTGAGAACATTGTGCTAAAAGCACTTGATAAACGATCCTGTTCGAACCTGTGTCGAGTACCACTCGAGGCACTTTCGCCGAATTTTACCCGCTGAAAGACGCAGGCGGCAGGAAAATCAGCTACTACCCGCGGCCCTCGGGGGCAACTTTCTCCTCGCCTTTCGACTTTCGAGTTTTGTTTTGTTTATGTCAACAAAAGTCAACAGTAATGTTAATGCGTGCAAATAGTTACGTGTGCTTTACTTCTTATTTCTATTAAAATCTCGGAAAATTCTATTAAAAAATCACGATTAATTTTATAATGAAAAAAAGGCGATTTATATATTCATGTTTGCTACCTTTCATATATTGCATTGGAGCTTGAGCTCCGCCGAGCATCATAGGCGTGAGCATAGAAAACTGCAGGGCTTGATTCTGGAGTTGATTCGACGCCATCAAAGCGGCCGTCGACGCAGCAGGCTCCCTGGTTGGCGTCTGGGGACTTTTAAAGAGTCCGCTCATCTCTTCTTTCTCTTTCTTATCTTCGTGTATCAGTTCTCTACTACTGTGCTTTAGAATCCTTTCCGGCTCTTCGAGGGAATCGTCTCTCGCCGCTGCCCGTGGCTCCGTCAGCTCGCGAATTGAGCAGCGCCTCTTTGGCGCCGCCGCGACTGAGCTTAGCCGAGCAAACTTGGCTCCACCAGAGTTTCAAGCTCAATCCGCCTATCATCTCTTCTCCTATCTTGTCAAGGTCAAAGAAGCCTCTCTCGCATCAGTGTTTCCTCAAAACAGGCAAATGAAAAGACGCTCGCTCAAAATTATGATGGATCACCGTCTGATAATTAGCCACAGTAGAAAATCGACAAACACAAACTTACTTCGACCATTTATCTGTTTAGCGCCAACTAGAAGCTTCCGAAACTTAAGACATCTCAATAAACTAAATAAAATTAATTAAAAGTATTCTCATTTTATTGAAAATCCATGGCAGATTTTGAACTATAGAAAGTTCTTGATAAAGATTATTTTAAAGAGATTTTAAAAGCAAAATTATTTTTTAAGAACAAGAAAAAATACAGCTTCGGAATCATGGAGGATAAATATTTCGCGAACTTAAATTTCGAAAGAATAACAATTTCGTCGTTCAAAGATACCAAGTGGCAGTTTATTAAGACTCGGGCAAACATCGTTTAGTGCGTAATTCGTTATTTAGCTTAAATGGCAGGTGGATTAGCTGCATTTTGACAAACGGAAGGTTGAGCTCCATGTAAGTTGACGCGGCCCCCTGCTCGCATACGTAGCTTCAACAAAAACATCGTTGATCTTAACGGGCGGTTAAATATTTTTCTTCTTTTCAACTGCTTAGCCAATGGCCACTGCGCTCCTAAGTAAACCGGTCGGTAGCAGTTACAAATTAAACTTGATTCCTTGCTTGAGGAGCTACTCGTCCCCTGGGCAGTAGTAATTACGGAGACGGGCACAGAAAATCAAGAAGCATGGCCCGAGATGAATAGAATTATTGATACCCAAAACTGCGATTAATTTTTCAGTGCGCTAGAAACTCTTTTCTTCTTTCTTCACTTCGAGGTTTCGGTTTATTGGCTCACATGGCACCTAGGCGCAATGATAACACAAATCGTACAACACTCGGGCCACCTGTAGGGCGTCGCAAGTACTCGATATTTTTTCGAGTTCTCATTGATCTCACTGTAACCCGCTAAAGCGTGAAATGAGCATATTTTTCGTCAGATTTCTTCATTTCTGTTTGCGTAATAATGTGTTTACATACTGTATGTAACATACAGTAAGTAGTAGTACATTATAACGGTTTTATTGAGAGTTATTTATCATAACCGAAGTCAACTGCAACTTTTTTCAAGAAGTCTCTTGAAGGATAAGAGACCTGCTCGGTGCAAACTTGGAAGTTTGAAAACTTTGATCTTGAAACTCTAACAAATTCCGCCGATGTTTTGCCCGTCTCTCTATCTCTTTCTCTCTCTCTCTCTCTCTCTGTTTTAAATGTGCTCGGTCGTGTGTGCTCAACAATCGGATAGAAAGTTGCAGCTATGACCAGAGTGAGCTCGATGGTCCTAGCGGGAACTTTTTAGGCGCATGCTGGCTTGCATTGAAAAAAAAAGAGTTTATCGTGCTGCGTCAAAGCAGTGTTCTGGCTGATTAGAGAGAGCACTAGAGCCGAATTCATCGCTCGAAGATATCTTCAATCATTCTCACTAATGGCAGCTGGGCCGGGCCTGGGGCCCTTTAGCATACATTCCTCCCATCCGACACCACATCCGGACGCTCATGTTTGACACAAAGCTATCTACTATCAAGCTAATTTGAGATGATAACAGCTCCAGTTTTCAAACATTGTTTTTATGTCATTCCAATAGAACAAAATCCGCCTATTGCTTCTAGTAAGGCTTTTTCCTGGCAGTTGCTGCAACCATGATCAATTTTAAATGGCCATGATCAACGTGGATAAGTCAGAAATTGTCTTGAGTTGGAGGATCTTTCTCGCTCCCCTCTGTCTCCCGGATATGGATTTACCAGCTCATTCGCGATTAACTTCACCATGATGACGATTGAGTTTTATAAAAAGCGATTTGCGGAGAGATTCAAGAGACGTTTTGGCCCCGGTGCTGTTGTAATTTGCACTTGCGGTAGTATGAGCTGCACAACTCCAACAATTCAGTTCAAAGTGGCGAAAGGGAAGGGTTTCCCACCTTGTAGATTTTCTTTCTCTTTCTACAGGCGGCAAACTTTTCAAGAAAATCTGATGCGAATCAACCGGGAGATTGACGTCCACGAAGCCTACATGATTCAAGCTGTTCAGAAACAAGCATGTTCCTTGCGAAACTCTGCTGTATCCATTTTTGAGGCAGTCTGAAAGTCTCTTTCCAATCTTTATTATGATGCTTTTAGGAACTGAATTTTCGAATGAAATTTCCGGAAACGGCCAGAAGCATGTGGACTTTGTATGGCGGATATCATCGTGAGTTTATGCCAGGCTTCAGGCAAAACATCATCCATGAAATCAAAAAGACCACACTCCACCAGCATCGAGCAGCTCCCATCGGCTGCATCCACGGACCAATTTCCCCATTCAGATCCCAAATTGTCAGGAATCGTTTTATCAAAATTGAAAAAAATCGTCTATTCTATTGATAAATCGACGAAGGGATGACCAAGGGAAAGTATACAAGATTGGAGATCAGGCTACTTTTATCATTGTTCCGAGAGATGCTAATGGACAGGAAAAGGTCATGAATATATAAATAATATATATAAATAATAAATAATATTCTTAAAGTTAAAGTTAGTTCATATTCATGACTTTTTCAAGTTCATTTTCCAGAAAAAAGTTCCCGAGAAGCAGCCATTCGTGGTAAAAATATATCCCGAAGTCCACAAGATCACAGTATATCCATGTTTGAATGCTGCTAAAAAGCTCTTTGTCAAGGTGAATTTTTTGATTTTTTATATAACACGGATGAAAATTAGGTCGATGTCGATCTGCTTGAAGAAGGAGAATTCAACGTCCAGGTGATCTTGAACTGGTATGGAATCATATCGAAGCCATTCCCAATCACCGTCGATGGCTTTGATCGTTCCCTCATTTCTTTCATAGACGAAGATCGTGAACAGTAAGGTCATAATGGTAACTGTTATCATAATTTTCTGAAGAGAGGTTAAAAACCAGCCAGACATCGTCAGTGGTCACGGACACGGCGACGACCAAGTCAATCGCGCTTGGGGGGTCTGTGCTCTTCCAGGCGGACTTTTCGCTGTTGGGGATCGAGGCAACCATCAAGTAAAAGTCTTCACAACAAGAGGGGAAATAGTCGACATCTACCCTCCGAGAATGACTCCTGGCGAGCCTATGCCCCCAAGCACAGAACGAGGTAAATCTCAACACATGCTTATATTTTCGATTTTCAGGATTATTTGACAAACCCTGCGGACTTGCGTACACAAGAACTCCCGAATCAGCGATCGTAGTTGCAGACAAGGACAATCACAGGGTTGCAATTTTGCTGTGGGACAAGAAGAGGAATAAGCTCAAGTACGAGTGAGTAATAATTGAATGAAACCTGTTTTAATTCTATAGTCGAGCTTTTGGAAAAGAGGGAACGAAGATCGGACAGTTCAAGTATCCATGGGACGTTTCAGTGAATTTAAGCGGAGAAATCGCCGTTTCGGACTCTCGAAATTGGCGTGTTCAGGTTTTGCCAGAATTACGAACTTGGACAATCATGCAATGTTTTTTAGCTCTTCACATTCCTTGGAGACTATATCGCATCGTTCGGATATGGGAACGAACCCGAGCATCTCAAAGCATCAGTCTTCACCAGTTCACGGCCGTTGAACTACCCACGAGGAATCGTCTTTGACAAGAAAGGAAACTTGCTTGTCACTGATTTCAATGCGCACACTGTCACGATCATCGACCCCGAGTTCAAGAAGTCAATGCAATTCGGCTGCTCCCAAAAGGCAGCAAACGGAGCGCCCTCTCCGCCTTCTTTGTCACCGCCTTCGTTCTCTCCACCTCACCGAGATGACTTGGACTGGTCGACACTGGACATTTCCGATAACGATAGCAGCAGTGAAGAGGAGCAACAACAGACCAGCAGTGCATTTATGCATTATTTTGACTTGAATAAAGACGAAGAGATCGATCATGTGATCATGGAAAGGAATGGCTTCAGATCATGTGAGGAGATCAAAAATGAAATAGCAATCTCAAGCCAAATAAGACCAGCCGGTATTGCCATCGACAGAGACGGAAATTTCTATGTTGCTGTGTGCAAATTTCGTAAAATTTACGTACGTTTTCTTATCATTCAAAATGGAGACAAAAAAGGGTTTAGGTATTCAATCCTGATCGAACTCTCCGGGGCAAAATCATCAACGAAAATCTGCGAAAACCAGCAGGAATCTGCATCACAACCGAAGGAAGACTGGTTGTGGTCGAAGAAGGCGAAAACGATCGAATTTCAACTGTTGAGGACCAACACCGAATTCTTATTTTCTAATTTCCGAAATGTACAGTACATTGGGTTCCTCTTCTCTCCGCCGAACTCTACTTTTTAAATTGAAATCGTATCTTCTCAAAGTCTCCGTTTTAGCATGTTTGACAATTATAGATAATAAAAGAAACAGAGTCGAAATTTATGTGTTTTGCTAGTGTATTTGCAGGCAGGAATGTGCCTCCGCAGTGCGGATTCCGCACTAAACTTCGCAGTGCGAGACTGCGGAAATTTCGCACTTCGCACTTTCCGCAGAATTTTTGAAAAGTGCGATTCTTTTCGCAGATTTTAATCAAGATAAAAAAACCGGAAGCTATGATAAAATCCTCAGATAACAGCCCGTGTTGATAGATAAGGGAAGCTATCTTGCAGCTGGACCGCTAGAAGCGCCAAGCCCTCCATGGGTTTCTCCGATATAAATAGGAAAAAGAAAAATCAGATCTTCATCTATTCGTTGATAAAATGAAACTAAAATAAAAAACGTTTTTTGCTTCATAACTTAAAAATAAGTTATGAATCATACGACACTATTTATTTAAAACACATTTCAATTTAAGCAAGGGAAGAAAAAGAAGAAAAGAAAAAAGTTGAATTTGTCGCCCATGGTATATTTTTTCCTTCATAAAACTACTACATAAAACCTTCATAACCGGGCCCAATTCAGTGGTTTTCCAAAATAAGAGGACCTAAATTTATGTGTTTTGCTAGTGTATTTGCAGGTATAAAGGATAGTGTTGGAAGGAAAAAGAAAACTTTTTATCAATATAATATAACAGTGCGATTCTTGGGAAGGCAATTGCAGTCTTCACATAAAAACTCGAGTAATATTCTCCTCGTGAATCTCGTTCTGACAGAGATGGCAGTAGAACTTCGTTTGGTTTGCTAAAATAATCTTTCTTTGCGAGCTGTTTTTTGGTATCTCTTACGTTTTCGCTGCCGGGAGAATTCCATTTTTATGCAAGTCCAGCAGGCGCCGTGTCCACATGGATGGGGATTGATGTATTTGGCGTGTTTGTCGTCGTCGAACGGTCTTTAATCGGATTTGAAATGAGACAAATATATTTAATTTTGACTCACTCGAAGCAGATCGGGCAAGTCTCGAGGCCTTCAATTTTCAATTTGAGCCTTCTGAGTTCTTCCTTGAGCGCAGCATTTTCATCCTTCAGAGCTTGTTCTGGCGAGACTACGACGGGAACGGCCTTGATTTTCTTCGCTTTATCATGTTTTCTGTTCGCATTTTCCGAGTCAGCCTGGCTTTTAGATTCTTTCGCGACAAGTTTTGCGGCCACTTGCTTATGACAGTTGGTTTTTACTTGCTTTGATCTTCCTATTGTGAGCCATTCTGCTTTATCAAAATTATCCAGCTCGAGCTGAAATACTTATTATCGAAAAAAGAATCAATCGCACCTGAGAAGCAGGAACACCAGATTCCCCAGAAAAGGGCTTCTCTTCACTATTTGCAAGCTGACTCGCTTTAGCGAGAAAATTTTCTTCCTTTCGCTGATTTGGCTTTTTGCATTTTTTGGCTGGCTTTTTCTTCTTTCCTTTTTTCGAGTTCTTTTTTTCTTGAGCTTTTTTATCTTCATCCTCGACCCAATCAGGAAGCTGGTACTCTTCCTTGTCGATGACGTTTATTTCGTAAATGAATCTTCCTTGGAGCCCTTGGACATTAGCTGGTTCCTTGGACTCCTTGAATTTAAGCTGCGGCGCTAAATTTTTATTAAGAAAAGGTTTCTCTTGAGAAGCTCAGCACTTTTACCATTCCCGACTGGAATCAACAAGGTGTGGTCCTGCTCCAGATAGTTATTTTTTCTTTGAACGATGTTATGTTTGCTATGGCACTGTTCGGCAGACTCAGGATCGTACTCGCCAATAAGAAGATAAACTTGTGCTTCCTGATTTCTTTTCGCCAGCAATTCCTCGATTTCTTTCAATTTTGGTGTCTTATTTTGAATAATTCTCAGCGGTTCGTAATATTCCATCGTCAAAGATCGCAAGTCGATATAGCATGGAGTTCCTGGCAAAAAATTATCCCGCGATGGTCGAAGTGTATATCGCCCGTTTCCGAGGTTGATCTTTCTTAGATCTCTCAACACGACGTCTTGGACAGCGTCCATCCAGCGCATCAGTGGAATCTTTTCTGAACAGTCACAGTCGTCTCCGAATCCCTCTGCGCAGACATCGGGTGAATTTTTGAAGTCAAACCATTTCTTCATGTGCTGTATTGCAAAATTCATCTGATGAATCACTCGGAAGCCGTCTTTTTCGATGTGTTCAGTAACATCATATTCTTTCTTGTCGACGACGCTTACTTGATAAAGAAATCTTCCGTGGTAGCCAGGAATGTGACATGGTTCAGTTGAACGATCGAATTTAAGTTTTGGATCTAAATTTTCAGCATTCGTAAAAAATGAGGATTTATTTTTTTACCATTTTCCTTGCCCATTGGAATCAGCAAGGTGGACTGGCCAAGACTCACTTCTTTGTCCAAACTATCCGGTTTGACAAGTTCTTTACAAGCTCCGACGAGAATGTGTAATGGTAATCTCGTTCTTCTATTTCTTTTAGCAAGCAAACCAGCCATTTCTTTCGACGTTTTGGTTCTGGTCAAAATAATTTTTTCGAAATTTTCTACCTCCAGCGATCGCAAGTCTATATAAGACGGAAAAGCCGAAGCGTGAAGTGAATATCGTCCTTTACTGATCTGTTCTAAGTCCCTCATTACGACTTTCCCGACATTTTCCACCATCGATTTTGCAATTAGTTTTTGTTGATTCAGTGATAATTCAGTGTTCATTCTCTCGTAAAATACCTCAAGCTATTAGGTAAAAAGAAAACAATGCATATTCTGAAAACAAACATCGAAACTAAGAATGTATTCTCGAGAAAAAATTTCGATCGTTCCCCTTATTTAACCAAGTCTCACAAAATCTTTATTTCGAACTGAGCAAGGACACCCTTAATCGGTAGAACTGTCAAATGCCTTATCAGTTCTTTGGTTAGCAGTGAATAATGAATGTAACGGGTGTTGAAAATGACCGAGTTAAACAATAATTTGTTTAAATCGAACGTTACGACGTTCAGGAAGCTCCTGAGAAATCCATTCACTTCCGGAGTCTTTTCTTACAAACTTCGGACACAAAAAAACGACCAAATAGTCAGATCCGTAGTTAGTGAACAAAGAACTTTTTCCACAGGGCCATATATAAGGACAGTTCACAAATACATTCCGACTTTAGTCAATCGTTCCAGCTAAGTTCTGATTTCATGAAGATTGCTGCGAGCTTGCTTATAGGAAAAGTTGCTTATAGATAAATTATTTGAGAATGAACAAAGAGATAGAGATAGCATTAAAGCTTAACTTTGATAAGCAAGCAGTACTGCCTATCAAGGAGACGGAGAATGTAGACCTGGAGGTTTATGGTGGGCTGCGGAACAATGTGCAAACGAAGATGCCTGCTGCAGTGATCAACAGCTTTGCACAAAATATTGCGCCGAAGAAGACTTCTACGCTCATTTTGCCGAACAGAATAGATTCCTTGATTGTTATCAGTAAGATTTTTTTCTTATTAGGGAATTTCATTTCCTTATATTTAAGGCCTGCTTGGGTTGACTTTTTGCCAAAAGAATGTCGAGAAGATCAAAACTCAGAGGATTGCTGCAGTATGCGCGGAAACATTTGCACAATTTTTGCACTAGGTGTCGACCAGCCAAGCACCAGTGCTATCGATCTTAATCTGTCCTTGGACGCCAATATCGAAATTAATCTCGGCCTTGGCGACTTGCTCACCATCAGCGTAAGCACCATTGTTTCTTTGATTCTTCATAAGGATTTATCTTTAGGGAGAGAAACTCAAAGATATCCTTCTTGAATTGAGAAGCGAGTGTGCTTCATACACGACTACTACCACTACAACTACCACAACAACTACGACATCCACGACGACTACTACCACAACTCCCGAGAAGATCACCACAACACCGATTTCGACCGAAAAGACGACGACCACAACTGTTTCAAAGACCACGACTACATTTACGACTACTCCAGTGACAACGACAACTGTCCCAATAACTACAACTACAACAATTCCTTCAACCACATCAAGCGATCCTATCACAACTACTGAAATCTTAACAACTTCGATGCTTACAACCGAGGACTTCACAACTACCGAGGAATTCACAACTACGGAGGAGATTGATTTCACTACTACTGTCGATACTTTTACAACGACTGAGGAGATCATCTTCACAACTGAAGAGCAAGTAGTTACTGAAGAAACTATCACAACCGAAGAAATGGTTTTTACAACTGAGCCCGAAACTGTGTTTACAACAGAGTCTGATCCAATCACCACCACAGAAGTAGAGACAACTACATCAATCATCGATTCAACAACAGAGGAACAGAAGCCAGTTACGAAGGTTGATACGACAACAGTGGTTGTAGAAACAACAACCGATCCAACAACAAAAGCTGAGTCAACTACAGAAATCGAGCTAGAGACAACCACATTCGGTGAGTTAACTACCGAAGAAAGCACTACCATGATCGAGGAGACAACGTTTGAGCCAACCACGACGTTTGAAACTACGACAACATTCGAACCAACCACACCAGAAAAAACGACTACTGAGTCATTGACGACAACTTCCGAAATTGTTACTGCAGGCCCAACAACTAAAATTCCTGAAACCACTACATCTAATTTGGAGACAACAACGACTAGAATCTCTACTACAATGAAGTCAACTACGGTTCCAGTCACAACTACTACGACTAATATAAAGACCACAACATATCCAAAAACGACCACAAAAGCGACTTCGTCGACGACAACCTCAATCCCTATCACTTTCTCTTCAACTACTACGACTTCGAAAGTACCAATAACTACTGGTAGCACATCAACCACTACAGTCAAGCCAACAACCACAACAATGGAACCAACAACAACAATGAGGCCAGCAACTACAACAATGAAGCCAACAACCACCGCGGCAACCACTACAACTACCAAGATCGTTACAGTTCCCACAGTTACAACTGCACGACCAGCTGGGGGTTCTGACTGTGAACTTTTCCTCGAGCTGCTGACCGAGAAAGCCGGCTGCTGTTCTAGCTGCTGCGGCGGACAAGTTGTTTTTGCCCCGGCTGAAAGTGACGTCCACACTAACGTCAATGTCAAGCAAAACTTCATTACAAACATCAACGTTCATGCCCCCGAAAAAATTCATACATTTGAGAAAGACCAGGTTCTATAAGCTTTAAAATGTTTTACTAATGAGAATAAGATCGAGGAAATGTTTGGTGAATTCTCCGAGCGATTCGGTTTCGATGGAAAACTCGAGGATCTTTTTGCGATGTTCCACCAAGAGAAGCCTATCGCATGGACAACAACTACGACTACTTCAGCGCCAATGACAACGCAGCAAGTCAACTACAAGCGCGAAATCTGCGACGATTACCTCCGAACTCTCAGTAAATATCATTTCGTTGAATTTCAGACAAGTCTTTTTAAGTCCGAAAGCTGCACGGTAAGGGGGGAAAAATCAACTTCGATCACGACGTTGTCATCTCTGTTGATATCGATGTCGAACACTCTCAGCGACACTTGACACGGGATCAGGTTAATTTATCTATTGAATGAGGACATCGGCCTAACGCGTTTTTAACAGCTCAAATCTGCGTTTAACCAATTTTGCAAGGAAAAGGGAATTTCGGCGGATTTCGACGAGGTATTCCAAGAGTACAAGAACAACCGAGCATAAACATTTCTTCTGATCAATTGTCCCTGCAACACCTCCTATTTACAGAAATATAATAGCCAATCCAAGCGCGAATTAAAATATATACATTTTTTTCTTTTAAAGAGTACAGTCTCATATACTGATTGAAATATACTCGGCTTCCTTTTTTTGGGGTCGTGAAAATTCTAAACGGCGGATAACATTGATTTCATTTGACCTGTGCCTTTTGCATTGGACATTCCTTGGGAACAAGCGGTTCTGTCGTCTCGGATTGATGAATTCTTATTTGTGGAATATCTTCGTTTGCTTGGAATTTGGACGGGTATCGCTTCGGCGTTATGGAGTACCTTTCACACGTTCAAAACGCTTTTATTCAAATGGCTCAGTTTATCGAACTGGGCCACCTTCAAATTGGCGAGGGGCTGAGAAGGTTTTGACATTTCTTGATCCAGTTCCGCAGAAAATGTGAACATAACAAAGCGCTTTGCAGAAATATATAAGTGTCATGCGCTCGACTTACGCATTCGCATAATAACGTTATCTATGACGAGGTGAACACATATTTCGTAGCCGGACACGAAAAGAAGGATGATAGGGGGCAGAAGTAAATACACCACTTTCCAGTTCCTAAAATAGTGAATGGTAGCAATGAGGTTATAATATTGGCGAAAGATACTGCGATACGAGTACGTGAATACATTATTTTCGGGCAAATATGGTGAACAATTAACATACCCAAAGTATCTAACAGAGGGATGAACCATCGAGCGAAGGAAGAATTTCTCTTAGAAAATAGGAGGATAATCTCAGTGAGCTATGCCTAACGATGTCAATTATTTATTCAGAACATTATTCGTAAATCGATACGCAAATCTATATTTAATTTAAACTACTGCAATTATCTCCCTCTCAAATACAATGTGCTTCTATTATACCGAATGTCGAATATCATCAAATCAGATGATATTTTCGATTCAGGTCAAGTCGAGACAACAGATTCGTTATTATGTAAAATCATATTTTTACTTTCAAAAACTGAGAAAATTTCCAAATAAGGTAAATTTTTAAGTTAACCAGCTGCTTGCATTTTTGAGCGCTTACCCCGGGAAATATTATTTTTAAGTCAGACACGAAATTTTCGATGTTGCGAACAGAGATTTTATTAGTTTTATGTGGAGTCGCATTCGTGGATGCAAACGACTGCGTTGAGGGTACTCAAACGTGGGTCAACTGCGATGGGTACAAGCAATGCTTAGACGGCAAAACACGGGACTTCATTTGCAATGCTGGCTTCCAGGTCCACAAGGCAGGCGATGGAAAACTAGCGTGCAAGGTAAGTGACGGGCGATGATCTTGCTTCCTTGAATCTGTTTGTTTTGAATTATGCTAATGCGGCATTGTTTAGCACCCACATCAAGACCACATTGGCGACGACTTTGGCGAATGTTTCCAGCACGAGTGCCTCAACAACGATCCTGACTACGTGATTCCCATCGACTGCAATCATTTCTACGGCTGTCTTCATCACCAAAAGGTAGAGCACGCATTTTGAAGCAGTGTTGTTTTGAAAATTATTAGGTTCGAAAAACATGTCCAGATGGCAAGGTGCACGACGGCGTCTCGCCATATTGCGTGTCTGCTGATTCGCTTCAGTCTTCGCACAAATGCTACAGTTCCGAATGTACCGAAGGCACCGTCTATCCGATCGACTGCGATTCCTTCCGCTCCTGTATTGGTGGCAAAATGCGCAGCGTCTTTTGTAAGACCGGACTTGTGCACGACGGCCAGGCGAACAAATGCGTCAAGCTAAATGAGCTTCCAGGTATAGAAACGTACGCAATTTTCACTTTTCTAAGAAGCGATCATTTTCAGCGGGACACAAGTGCCACCCCGCTCCAACGACAACAGCAGCCAGTGCGCGGCCAACACTCCCTCCATTATGCGTAGAAGGCACAATCAAACCAGTCAGCTGTAACTCGTTTGAAATCTGCGCCGATGGGCTTTTCAGACAAGTATTTTGCGCCCCTGGATCTGTGCACGTCGGCTTCGAAGGTACGAATGAGAGACTCTCGAAGCTAAAAATTGATCCTATTGTTCTAAGCCAACCTCATTTTCCGTCGCTCTACTAGCAGATCTATGGTTCAAAACATATGAACAGTCTAAAAAGAATTAAAGCCTTTTGTAAGTTTTTTATCTTGTTTGACAAGATGGATTTGGTAATCCTCTTTATAGAATATTCTAGTTCCCTCTTGAAAGAATTAAAATGTAAACTAAGTAGCTGGTACGAGGTTAAGTCCTTTTTCAACGTATACTGATTCTGAGTGGCAATTCGGCGAAAGCGTCTTGTCACTGATGCTCGTGATTATATTGGGTGCCTTTACAACCCAGATAGTTTGCTTTTGTCAATTCAAACAGAGTCGCCACCCGGATTTTCTAACCACGTTTTGAGCGCAAATAAACCTTATTCTGCCATTTCGGGCATTGTTTGTCAGCTTTATGTTTTTCAGCCGAGTGCATAAGACAAGAACAATTGGTTTGTGGAACTAAGTGCGCTGCTTCGTGCCCAGTCGAGGTATGCAAGGCTGGCGACGTCCTCCACATCGACTGTAACTCCTTCTACCTCTGTATCGACAACCAGTGGGTTTCAACTCACTGCGAAGCCGGCAAAGTCCACGCGAACGCCAACTTGGGTATGTGTGTGTTTTGAATGATTTAGCAATAAGCGGCAGCGCGAATTGCAATTCTACGCGCGCATGAGCCGAGAGAATCTCTTTTTATGTGATGCATTAGAACAGAAAGGATGCATAACTAATTGTACCGTAGCGCAATGCGTCGATAAGAGCAGCCTTCAATGCGATTCTGTATGCGCACCTGCTTGCGCTGTCATTCCAGTGGTGGATATCTGTGAGCGAGGTGCCATAGAACAAATCGACTGTTCGTCCTTCAACTACTGTCTCGGCGATCGATGGGTTACCAAGTACTGCAGCGAGGGGCTCGTTATGGCTGCGCCGGATCAAGGTTAGCAAGAAACAAAAAAACTTGTTATTCAATTTTTCACTTTAGCTCAATGTGTTTCGCCAAAGAGTCTGCCGTGTGGCTCAACATGCGCCCAGGATTGCTGCATTTCTGGTTCGATCATTCCTCTTGATTGCCAATCGTTCAAACTCTGCGTCAATGGAGAATGGAAGAGCTCGACTTGCAACGATGGACTGGTGCATGCCGACCCTCTTGTCGCACAGTGCTTCTCGCCCAATGTTCTCGCGTGTGACTCACGTTGTGCGCCTGCATGTACTACTCCTGCTCCAGCTACAACTACTGCTCCGCCCCCACCAGCCGGAGACGTCACCGACGAAGAAGAGTACGAACATGATATGCTTGGACACTACGTGCACGTTGAGAGCATCAGCTGCGTCAAATACCTCTTTTGCTACGGACACACTCACAGGTACAAAATCAAAAAGAAGGAACACGCGTGAAACTTGAATTAAGCAACGATCCGTCGCAACATCGATGCGATGAAGTAGACTGCAATCCTGGTTTCGTTCACCTGGTTGGCCAGCAAGGTAACTTCCTCTTTTGTAAACGCAAAGTGGTCGCGCTTTCTTGCAGCTCACGCAAGTCCCCACCGCGTCACAAAGCCAGCTTTGATACAAACTAAAAGCATCAATTATGAACTCAAAATTCGCTAAACTCGTTTTCTATAGCTACCGAAATTTCTTTTTTTAAATGGAAAAACGTATTTTTTAGAAGCTTTCATTATTCCTTGATAAGTCTTCTTTGGTGAGTAGAAGGGCTTGGCGCTAACCGAGAGTTATTCAGTTGGCTGTATCCCTCAAGAATTTATCGACTGTAAACATGAGTGTGGGCCTGCTTGTCCTCCACCAACCGTGTGTGCCTGATGAAGGTGCCCGCCACACGTGGCGCAGCAGATTGACGAATCGAAGACATCTGATACCATCTACGCTTATCATTAACGTACTTTGTTTTAACAACTGTTGTTAAAAGCCCCTCACTGTTTTAGACGAGTCTTTCTGCCCCTGCCACGCATAATAATAAATAACTCTTTTAACAGAAAAGAACTGTCTCAATATTATCTCAAGTTAACGCCAGAACAAGCAATTAATAAAGCTGGAATTAGGAATCAATCATTTTCGCGAAAGTAGGAAACGTGCTTGGGATATATCTCCGAGCTAAGTGTGGTACTGTGGCCAGTTATCAAACAACGGGCTCGTCAAATTGGCTGATAAACGGCCCCCCATCGAGAGAGACCGCCCGGCGCTTAGTTACAAGACCTTTTGCTGCACAAGTCCCCCAGTGAGGAAAAAAAAAACGATAACGCGCGGCCAGTTGCGGCGGGCAGCACTGGTAACGTGGTTGATCTTGCGCCATATTCAACGCTGAAAATATTCTAGAGCAAAATTGCAACATCCCAAATTCTATCTCCGTCGAATTGCAGTTTCTTCTCGAAAATTTCGCTCGATAAAGAAACTTATTGAACAAGGAATGAATATCTTAATCAGTCTCAAGCATCACATGACTGTTGTCAGCAGTCTCTTCTACTCTTGAATAGAGAGTGCCAATCGTAGCAAATTCAGATTTTCCCAAACACACACACAGAGCGAGACAGTACCAGAAGTTCTACTCGATAAGCAAAGAAGCCGATTGCCTTTGTTTATAAGCATTTATAAACACGCTCTTTAAATCATTACGCACTTAAACACACAGATTTTTAGCACCTCGGCAAAGTCACGTTTTTCCACTCGAAGTTTTCCTGAAAATTTCCAAGTCCAAGATTTTAGAAACGAGTTGGAGATCGACGTTGCGTGAAATAGAAGAATCCTCAGCCATGGTTACTGCATCGTGCTCATGACCCTTATTCGTATTTGATAATCCGCGCATTATGGTGAATAATCGTGGCTTGGGCCTCTGATCCGAGATAATTCAGGTTACCTAGCGCAGACGCTCTCGTCCAGAAAGTGCTTGACCTTGCGAAAACGTTTAAACGAGCTCACGAAAATGAGCGACTGCTGATCCTCTAATTTGCCAGTGCATGTTGCCTGTGTGCAGAATCGCCGCGCCTTCGCTTTTTACGGTTTACGCAGGCTCCGGGGCTTTACGTGAGCCAACTTAATGAGCATCTTGGGAAGCCAGAGCCCTTAGTTATTCTGTTCGGAGAGTGCAAAACCGCATCTATCCCCGACCTTTTCGAAATAGAGACTAAACCTGAAATTTATACTTTGAGCGATTACACAACAACCGTCAAAATAGTCATACTTGTATTATGAGCAGACTGATTTTTCTGTCACTAATAATGACAGGTCTAGATCTATTTAACTTTGAGTTCGCTGGAACCAGTGTTAAAAATAGCCATTGATTTAAACAAATTTTTGCATAATTTTCAACAACGTGAGGGAGATGAATGTAGTATTGGCCACCAAGACAAGCGAGTTGCGACAAGCCAAAATGTGTATGAACAAGTAACCGGAGTTGAATACGAAGCCGCGCTATTCAAGGAACTCATTACAAACGCGCCGGAAACCCGTCGGTAACATCGTTCGTTTTTTCTTTCTTTCTTCGTCGCTTACGAGTACAGGAGTACTTTATTGTCGATTGAGCTTGATAAGTGTTTTCCAGCAGCTCAAGAACTCAGTGGATCACGCCTTTCGAGTGGCTCTCCTCAACCACTCTGGACTCAACAGTTTCCGGCTGCTCGGGCGAGCTCTAATTTCTAACTATCCACAGCTGCCAGTTGAGAAAGAGAGTCCTTTCCATAAACGGGCAAAAGTACCCCTTAGAGGCGGCCATCGGCGATAAGGCAACTCAGCAACACGTATGAGCGAGTTGCTGCGAGAAATCGGGGCTTCATTTCCGCCCCGGCCGAGTTTAACAATTGAAAATATTTAAACGCAAGTGAATTTGCATACGCACTGATTCCACGTTAGTCGACACTTAAACTTCAATCGGTACCAGTGATGGAAAAGTATCTCTAGAATGCTTGTTGCCGAAGAAATGATATTTCTTAAGAAATCTTTAATTAAAAATCGTCAGCATCTTTTTGACGACCACTTTTTCAGTTTTCAAGCGTCAATGAGAAATTACGGTTGGATCGTGGTCGGCTGAGCCCCTAAATGGGGCTCATATAAAGGTAAAACTAAACGAAATATCATAAACTTATTGTCTCTTTTAGCAGACTTTCGCCATCTCCATCGAGGCAACAGAAGTGTGAACGAATAATTACCGTTTCTCCGTTTTTCATCTGCTGATAATAAATAATTTAAGGACTTTTTCGTTTTTGTAGAATAATTCAACTGCTCAAGAATTATCTACAGTTATAATTGTGTCTCGTTTTTCATGAGCATCATCTGCCTTTTTCAGTGTATCGCAAATGCTAGAATTCTAGTGGAGCATTTCTTCTCGCCTACAAGCTCAGATGATGTTGTTCTGGTGTGTTGACGCTCATGAGAGCGGAGCTATACGTCGGTCAGAATGCTTCTGTAATTGCGTTTTCAGAATTTGCCCAAAGCAAGTGCTCCGAAAAATTTTCAGTAGCGATCTTGGCATTCCTCAGCTCTCCTTCTAATTTGCGGCGAAAGATTTGATTGCGTTTTTTCAGCCGGTTAGCTCATCGTCATTTTTTTATTTTCAAAGTTGCTACATTTTGGAAATCAGGAGGTGACCTCAAGGCAGAGTTAAGTGAGCGAAATGCTCAAATATGCATAATGAGCATCGCAGTTAACGCTCAAGAATAGTACGAGAAATTCCTGGAATACGAATATCATACAAACTTGCTTCTTTTACCTAAACAAGTGCATTTCAGAAATTCTGGCGCGAATTGAAGATATTTTTTTTGAATTGTCGACTTTTCAAAAATTTTCGATAACATGATCACAGATTTGCAATAAATTAAAAAAGAGAATGAGATGGTTTCACGGAAGAATCTAATGCATCAAAGCGCGACAAGTGGCCGCGTTCTTTAGCGCGAATTTAGCAAAAACTATGCGTTTTCTGGCGGACAGTGCCCTGTTGAGCAATAAACACGATGTAATAGTACGGTTAACGGAAAGGCCTCACGCAGCATCTGGGCCCGAATTCCACAGCTGCGAAAGTGGACACCGTGGGCGTCTAGTTATGCCTCCTGACATTCCTCAAAACGGCAAGACTCAGAGTCCACAGCTTTCTGCGTACACTTCACTTCACTCGCTCGTCACAGAATGAACTCGCATTACGCAAATTGTTTATCATATTGCCATGCAAACTCGCACCGAGAAACTGTGGAAATACTCGAATCTCCGAGCTTGCAGCTCTTTCAGACGTCTGTTCGGGCAGACTGACGATAATGGTGCCTCAAAATCGTCTTTTAATTTGCTCTGCGTCAATTTCTTCTTTGAGAATAAAAACATGATAAGGAGCAGACAAAACAATTCTTGCGACTTGGGGGTTTATATACCGAGCTAAATGCAATTTCGCGTGCAGATAGATAGTCAATTTGGACAAAAGAACGTTTCTAAGATAAAGATGAACTTCGACGAGATTTTTCAAGTTTCCAAAAAGGATGAACTACCTGGGATTGACGATTGGATTTATAAACTTGCTGATAATTCTGAAGAATCTGAGATAGACGATTCCTTACTCGTCGAGTTTCTCAACTCTGGAGGTAACTTATTTTGGATTTGATGAAAAACATGCAGAGGATGTACATTGTACAATATATCTTGAATTTCAGTGATCAATGGAACGGTGCTTGGACTGTACGCTTTGGCAGTAGTGGTCGGGTTTCTTCTGGTAGTCTTTGCGGCAGTGGGCGCGTTTGCTCTACTGAAAGGCCTTTGCGAAGCATGCATCAAAAAAGCTGAAGTTGTACCAGTGTGAAATCTCGCCGGATTACAACTTCTTGAACAATTTTAAAACTTCCGAATTTTGCTCAAAATCATCGACTGTTCTTCTTTTTATTTGGATTGATAATTGACTTAATAAAAAACCAACAACTGATTAAAGCTTAATCAGGTTCTAATAATATTTGAACTGTTCTTAATTTCTCCGTACTGATTCTAGGTGAGTAAGTTAAACTTTTTCTACCGGGTGTAGATAGCGTCGGGTGCTCACGTTACGTGCTCGAAATAATTTCCTTTTCCAATCGAAGAGGGAACGATTTAGACCCCATCAATCGTGAGCCCCTTAAGTGACGGAGTATCCGATGCTCTCGCCAGGCTTAGTTGAGCCTCTTCGAGCGACTCAGAGTAGTAATTTGTTTCTAACCTTTTTATTCTATTTTGGAAGCCGCAGTAACTTCACAAAAACAGATTATGGGCTCCTCGAAACCGAGTGGTACTAAAAATGCGTGTGGAATATTTTTGCTGCTGAGAAGAAGCGCACTTTACGATTTCGTCGCACCGGGCGCACAAATGGCGATCATCGCCCTCAGAATGATCCCATGTGAGAGCTAATTGACCTCAAACACCGACCAGGTGACTAAAAACCGAGCACGGGAACTATGCATTCAGTTATTATGCAGTCCCGGCACTTTTTCGGCCATTTCTTCGAATTTGAACTGCGAATTGAGAGAAGAGAATAGATATTTACGCTAGAAAATGGTGGAAATCAGCAAATAAATTAAAGGCTAGCGCGAAACCAGCATATTCTCTGCTAGATTCTACCAGGAAGAGTCTCTAAGTTCTACAGGCTTTAATTTCTCGATTTATCAAAACAAAAACATTAGCGATGGCCGGGCGGCGCCACGTTGAGTCAATCACAGCTGATGTTTTGGACATCAGTTAATCGGCAGCGTTTGGCTTATATCAGAGGGGAAGGGATGTCATTTCCCAAATTGCGGTTATCATCGTCCACAACGGGGCTGAGCAGTGATCGCCTACAGGATTATCCATCCTCAAAGTTGCCTTATCGCCTGAGACCGCTGATATCAAGCCGGGCGAGAGTGACTAGAAAGCTTTGCCGATAAATTCCACGATATACTCTAAAACTCCAAAAATTAGATAAAAATAACGAACCGTCCCCCTCGCCGCCCGTTCATTATCGACCATGTAAATTGTCCAGCGTGGAATTTTTCATACAATATACGTTTCCGCCCTTCAACGGCTCTGGGCTGGCAGCTCATCTTATCAGTTATAAAGTTTTTATCAAATCATGTCTCCACGAAATTGAAAGAAAATATATTCCACAAGAAAATTGAATTTCCATCAGCTGAAGACATTCCCAAATGAGCGAGTTTTCAAAGGAAGTTCAACAGAACCTGGGCTCGGAAGCCTGTGTAGAAATCCTGAGTCAGAGACCTAAAAGTTCTGATTCATGATTTCTCCCCAGGTTGACGAGCTCTGGAGGAAACTTTTGAACCTTGAAGAGAGTAGTACCCCGTATCAATCTTCTTTTCAACGAAGTTCAAAAAAGAAGGAAGTCGGTAGTTAAAATCTGTTAGTGAAACTGGTGATTGGTTTGTTATCGGTGCGTTATTCGCATTAACTTTCGCGAGGGTTGAGTGCTCTTCATCCATAAATTTAGAGATACGATTTCAGAAAAGCGACTCGGGCAGTCACGTTTGCTTAAATTTCTATTGAATCGCTTATATTTCCTTTCCTTCGGCTGCTCGTTATGGTTTCTTTGCGGCGCGGCAAGAAAACGCACCTGTGGTGCCTAGAAATCACTCAAGCGCCAGTCTATCACTATACGTTTTAGCTCCTTCCGATGTTCTACAAACCGCAAAGTGTAACTCTACTAAAATATGAAATCTTTCTAGCACTGACAAAGCGGCCGTCCATTATTTTCCGCAGATTTCCCTAATAAAAATTTCTTGTAGATGATGAATTCTTCTGTTGATTTTACACTGAAGATACTGTGTATCTACAATCGCATCTTACGCAATTAGAAAATTCTGATCATTAGATAACCAAATTTAGTGTCCTATTTTTCTTTCGATTTTCATTTCGAGAAGTTCTTTTGCGGGGTATTTTTTCGAGAATGTGGCTGATTCTCTAGATTCTGACTTGAGCGCCTCGCCTTTCGGAAGGCGAAGTTTCTTTTTTTTGTCGAGAAAGATATTTTTTGATTTTTTCTGATTGGACTCAGGTCTTACGAGAGAAGATGAAGAATCACACCGAGATTTTTTACTTGGAAGAGGCTGTTTCTCCAGGAGAACATGGATGCTGCGCCTCATGCAAAAGGTTATCGACGTAAAAAATTACAAATTTAATCATAAAAATAAAGATATCCTCCCAACACCGCACTCATCAACGATGTCTCATATTGTGGTGAGTGTGTCATAGAAAAATTTCCTTTCGACATCTATAAAACAGTGGAATTCACTGACTCCGATGCAATGTATCGATGCCAGTTTTGTGATAAGGAAGACCTCTCTTTTCGAGAAGCCTTCATCGGATCATGCTGTAGCATTTCTTTAAATGCCGATTTTGATGGTATGTATTCAAGATTTTTTTCTTTATTTTGCGTGAAAATTTAGTGGAGGACAGATATGCAGAACTCCAGCTTGTCCAAAAAATCTACCGAGAATCAATAACGAAAGTACGTTCACTCAAAGAGGAATCAAAACAAGCTAAAGAAGATGTAAAAGAAAAGAAAAATGAGGCCAAAGAAGCGGATAAAGCTTTCGAAGAAGTGGAAAAAGCTGTCGAAGAAGCGGAAATAGCTTTTGCGAATCTTCACTTTCTTGCCCGTCCCCGTATTTTCCCCCGGGCAAACGCCCAATTTCCAACTCTGCTCGAAGGACTAAAAGAAGATTTTAAAAAATCCAAAGAAAATCGCAAAAAAGCAATAGAAAATTTGAAAAAGTCCGAAGAAAAAAGTGTATCTGCTGATAAAAGACTTGAAGCGGAAAAGGAGTTCCGTAATGAAGCGAAAAAACGATGTCTGATGGTCACACGGAAATTTGAAGGTTAGAAATTGATTTTATTAAATTGGTCTAACAGTTCATAGATGATAGTTCTGACGATGAGGGACCAGCCAAAAAGAAATCAAAGGAACCCCTCTCTACTGAACGGAATGAATGCGGTATCTGCTGCAATCCCTACGACGACGAGCACCATGAAGCCGTCCTTACTTCATGTGGGCATAAGACTTGCTACATGTGTATAACCGCCAAACTGCCCTCGAAAAAATGCGCATTCTGCAAGAAGCCCTTCACCGCCAAAAACATACTCAAGGTTTTCAACCCTTTGTAAACTTTTTCCCTGCCTGTCCAATCTACCATGAGATTTTTTTAGAGAGGGAGAAGGCCCCTGGCCTCGCTTCCCCGTTTCACTCTCGGGGAAGTCTAGAAATTTCTTTCAGCTCCTGTTGGGTACCTCAGAATAAAGAATTTAGAGTGCGGCGCACTGCGGAAAAATACCGTCATTTGATTGGCTAGCCGCGCTAAGCGCGCGCGGCTAAACTGAGAGTCCCAGAGGGCTTAGGACCCTCAGATTCTCCGATCTCCCTTTAGAAAAAAATCTCATGGTAGTATCTACTCCGATCCTCTATCGTCGAGCAAAAAATAAAAAACAAAATAACTCAAACCAAAATTTCTTATTTATTCAGCATTTCTATTTCAAGATAAGTCTTAAAAAGCTGTGTTTCGAATTACTCCGCGAGTCACTGGATTTATAAAATTGCTCCGTCCTGTAACGAAGTTATACTGGAATCTGCGGGAAAGAGGTTTCATCAAATTGCCACGCAAGTTATCGTATTTATCGTTGCGCAAGTTGACGCTGATTCAAAAGCAAATTATGTATAAATAGAAATCTGATATATTTCTTATTTTGGCTCTGTGGTCCGGCGCCTTATCTAAAGAGAAACCCTGTCAAGTCTTCGTATCAATTGAACCAGCTTGTTTGAGTTATTCAACAGAATTGAGAGCGATCTTCAAAATGCAATATTTTCTCGAAGGGTTAAGCTTCCGTCCAGCCGCTTGTGCTTGTACTACGAAAGTACAAGCGACCAGTGAAAGCCTCGCAAAGCCCCTGCCAGCCACAGAGTTGGCCATTTCGACGCGCGCCGCAGCGCCACCTGAGCGATACGCTACAACTCATCAGCGCACCCTTGCCACAACCCTAGACCATCTTTCAGAAAAAAAGGACTTTTTCCCGGCGATCATAATATTTTTCCAATAGTCAGCAAAATCGAACTCATTTAGAGGATTTTTCAAGACAAAACTAGAGCTTATTTAAACGAAGACGAAAAGAATAGAGATTAACGAAAATCAGCGCGAAAAAATGAAAGAAGAAGAAGACATTTTCCGACAGGTGAGAAAATCAAAATCCTAAAACGAAAGATATCTTCTAAATTGTAAATTGTGCTTAATTGATCAACCATTTCTGTTGTAAAGGTTGAAATGATCAGCGTTCTTTTTTCTTGCACTCTTTTCTGAATTAATATCCCCATCCTTGTAGATTCTAGCAAAAGCTGGAGCATTTACTGCTGTCGATTTAACGATATTGTCAATAACCTTTGATTAAAAGTAGCCTAGAAATGAGCAAATCATGTTACTATTTAATTTGATATGTTCTTTTGTATTTTCTACATGAAAATGCGCTATTAGATTTTCCTCGTTTTGCAACGGTTGATCCAGAAAACACAAAAGTCAAGTTAAAATTAGGCAGAAAACTCAATCAAAATCAGCAGTGAATCAATTTCGGAGCTAGAAAAATAAACAGTGCGATATTAATTTGTTCAATAATGCGGCGAATAATGCCAAGCTTGAAACAAAGAATGCTTTAAATGGTTTTAGAAATTTCGAACAAGAGTTTTTCACTCTTGAATCGAGACTCTTTTTCAGTAAGAAAAAATGGTGAGCAGCTATTTTCCAATTAAAAAAGTGCCGGACTGCTTTGAAATCTGAAAATGTTTTATTGAAAATTAACTTCTGAGATTGATTTAGAGCCTTGGCTGAAAGTTTTGAAGTGTTTTGCTCATTTGAATATAGGAAAGATAGTTGAGTAAAAATGTTTAACGTTGAGGCAGGCCGTAGGAGAAGGTAATCTTTGGGTAAGGATTTGACATCGAACACGTTTCCGGATTACAGAGTCGTTAACGCCGCGACGATGAATATCGATCAAATAGCTAATACGTGTCCGCTGCAATTTATTTTAATAATTATTTATGCCGAAACTGAGGGCATCTGTCGCCTTTGCGCTTTCCGGCCACCTCCTAAACTCATTTTACAGTACCAGCCTTTAAATAGCCTGAAAATCGCGAAGCCGCCTGCGGCTTCCAGTAAAAAAGTGTCAAAAGACATACAGTAACGATCTTTTCGTTGTTTTAGCGGAGAGATACTGAAGCAGGAGTGCGGGGAAAATGAGCTCAACTCGTCGCTCCCGCCAAACAACTGCCCAAGAGGAGTTTTGACATCGAGTTGTCATTCTTATTGACGCCACTTGTGGATCTCCAGGAAACAAACAAAATTGTCATCCTTTTTTTCAAATAAAAAATGTAGCATGGGTACTTGTGTTCTGGCTAAGTTGGTTGAGTAAGCCCTTCATATTAGACACGAGGTCATCTTGACCTTAGCTCGGTAATTTTGGGATGAGCGCAATTAGAAGCGAATTTTGCACAAGCACCAACACTCGTCAACAATCAACAACTCTTAGTTTTCTGATTTGATAACGCTTCTTTCATTTGAGCGAATTTAAGTATCTTCTCGAAAATTTTACTAAAGAATAAGTCGCCCTTTGAAAAATCTACTCATTATTTCGAATTCCTTTTTCTTAAAATATCGTTTTTTTTTTTGATAAAAGTAAATATTTTCTGCTGAATATAAACGGTTACGAAACGTGTTGATAATTGACAAAATAAGATCTAGTTACATGGAAAGCAGCTTTATATTGTTGTCCGGGCATATTCCATAAATTCTCATGATGCGGAATATTTTCCGGTATTACAAGACCTATTTCCGGCCTAGGCAAAATATTTGAGTTTGCGGACACAATCAAATGGCCCTGCGATTATCTCCTGCCCGCCCTCTATCCAAAATTCAAGTGCTTTAGAAACCAATTAATAATTTTTCTAACTAATAAAATTCAATCGAAAAGATAACGGCCACGAAAAACATCCAGAACAAGAAATTTTATAGGCGGTACTTTAGGAGCCAGAAAAAGCATTTTTCGGCAACATGTATAAGAAAACTGAGTCAGGTTCTCAAGGGCCTAAATGAAAAGCCGCGTAGCGGTTTTTTTTTAACGAAGCCGCGAAGCGGCTTCGCCAGAACTTAAAAATGGATAAAAGATATAATTTTGCGAAGCCGCTTCGCGGCTTCATTTTTCAAAAAAGCCGCTTCGCGGCTTTTTACTTAGGCTTTGAAGAACCTGATTCAGATTATTCACACAGGTTGCCGAGCCTAGTTTTAGAGGGTTCAGAAGGCGCTGCCAAGCGTTAACAATGCGATGATGAGTTTTAATGAAAAAGAAAGCGCTGGGCGGGGGATTGAATCTTTGCCGTGCTAAACTTCCTTGGAATCAGGGATTTAACACCCGCTCGTGTGTTTGGCCTGGCAGTGGACGGTCGGTGACATCCGTTTTTCATTTCTCGCCATTCGCCAAAATTCGATCTGTCGCAAAAGAAAAACTGGTTGATCAGCGCTGTCTCGCGCCGGAAGTGACTCTCAGCGAGTAAATTGAAGGAACTCGAAATTCACGCAAATAGTGGCCTCTCTCCTTCAACTCAAGAATTCCATAGTCCAGCACTCCGCTGCGCAACGTGCGCCTGCCCAACTCTCGAGCTTCTCACACGTCTCTCGTTGTATTTTACTTGACAAGCCGGCGCAGGCGATTGTTAATTGTAGATCACACTCTCCCAGCAGTTATCCTTTCCTTTTATCTTTTCCTAAAATTCAAATTTCAAGGGGAAAACATCCTGGGAGCGGCAACCTGTGTGGAAAACCTGAGTCAGGTTCTGAAGAGCCAAAATGAAAAGCCGCGCAGCGGCTTTTTTAAAAACGAAGCCGCGAAGCGGCTTCGCAATTCAATCACTCTTATCTATTTTTAAATATTGGCGAAGCCGCTTTGCGGCTTCGTTTTTTAAAAAGCCGCTTTGCGGCTTTTCATTTAAGCTCTTCAAAACCTGACTCAGGTTTTCTACACAGGTTGTCGAGCCCAGAAAACATCGTAAAACTGATTCTCTAACTGACTCATGAGCTAGAATTAAGGTTCAGACACCCATAATTTTATCCAATCAAAAGAAACTTTTAACTTTTTCAATTTTTATTCCATTTTTTATTGAAAAGTTTTTCGCAGTTTTCGTCCCTCATTGAAATCTTCCCTCGTTCTGTTAATGAATAAATAAGATGATTCCCTCAGCCGTGATACTAACTTTCAACTTCAGAGTTCTTCAATATGCGTCAACTACTGTGGCAAAGCCGTAAAAGTGAGCGACTTGACGCGTCGGAGCACAGTGACCCAGGTGATACGGAAGCTCGTCAAGCAGCTGTCCCTGCACAACGAAACAAGCTGGGAGATTGTGGAAGTAAGTTAATAACGTCTTTCTGGGATGCGGCGTGTTCTTGATTAAAAAAACAGTGAAATTTGGGATAACACGTTGTGCTTCGCGAAGCTCCATGTTCCGAAGGGAATTTCAATCGAACTCGCGAAATAAAGCGCCAGCACGTGTGTACAGCTATAATTTCGTTGCTCGCGAAGGAGTCCAAAATCCTTAAATAGACTCGGCAAAAAGCGCCGTTTATATTCAACTAATTCACTTTTTAGAGCAGCTTTTTTTCAAAGTGATTCGATCAAAATCAAGCGATGCATTCAATTTGATTGTATTTTACTGAAATTAGTATTTTATTTTGAAACAATCGGCAAAATTGGTGCTCTCACGTGCCATCGTAATATTTTCAAAGGCACTAGCGGCCCAGTCCAACTTGAGTAAACACGCTCGCTGGATTTGGTCGGTTAAGAGGGAGACCTTAACAAAATCAGGAATATTTATTTACCGGTTCAGGAGTGGCGGGGTACCGAGCGACCGTTACCTACTCGTACACGTCTATTGAAAGTTTGGCACGCATGGTCCTCTGAGCAAGTGCATGTCAGCTTCAGACTCCAGCTCTCCTCCAAGCGAAGTGCCTCCTACAGACATCGAAGAAGACATCGCCACTCCGTCAGAGGTACAGTATACTACAGTGATAGTTTTTTTTTCGATCGTATTCGCTAAAAACTTAGGACGTTTAATCGATCGAATATGACTACTCCTGCAGCGCAAAATTGAATATGAGCGAGTCTTTTTGCAATCTCATTTTTGGCGTTTCATTTTTCAAATATTATTCTTAATTGACGCCTCACGTTATCCCGTTTGGACGCAGAAGGTTCAGAATCAATTTTGTCGCTTCTTTGGGCCTGTGACGTGAGATTTATTTTCGAAATAATTACGGACGAACGCAAACACGTGCCATAATATTTCATCAATCGGCAGCATTAGAAACAACCCTTTCCAAAGGCGGGTTAGGAGCTCTTCCCACCGATAATCCCACGGCGAGGCTTCTTTAAAAAGCTTCTTTAAAAATAATTTCAAAACACGACAGCTAGAAAAAATGAATATGCGATACAACCATTTTGACATCAGATAATTACGATCAACATCGCGATAAGGAAATGAGCGGGAATTTCAGGACAAGACCAAAACTATTTTTTTTTCTCTTTCAGAAGGGCAACGAAGATACATCTCCGAGTGGAGCGAGAGCGAGTCTTCCGAATCTTCGGACTCGTTCCTTTCCGACTCCATCGTCAGCGACAGCTCAACAGAATCCGAGTCCGACTGCGAGCTCGTTCTCCGAAGCCGGAAGAAGACGACTCCACAAGTCGACCTCGCAGCGGAGCGCAAGAAACAAATCGAGCTCATCCAGAGTCAGCAGATTTCCCTCGCCGCCATGGCTAAAACCGAGGCGCAATTGAATGCAAGTATCGAGACGCAATTAGCGAAGATCGAGGCTGGTGCGAAACAGGAAGGACTGATAACGGCGTTGGGCTCCTCTTACAAACTGGTTTGTTCTTTATCATTATTTCAATCCATTTTTAACGGTTCAATTTAAGATCGCAAGCATAGAAGAGCGCCTGGCCCCGTTGAAAAAAGAAATCATCGAGCTAAACAGCCAAATCTCCGAACTCACTTCAAACAGCTCTGAAAACAGCGCCGTACTGCAGCTAAGAGCAGCCATCGACGCGCAAATTGAGATCACGAAAAGGTAAAGTCCAGCCAAAAGTCGACTAGAATCAAATGACTTAATTTTGAAAGGCCTTTTTTATCCCAGAGGGTCATTTGCTGGCCGCCTCCGTGGTGAATTTAGAATTTGAGAAAAAGGCGAATGTTTTGCAACGGATTCGCGCCCTGTATTTAAAAAAATGAGAGCTTTGACGTTCGGCGAAAGTCGGAAGTGGGACGCTGCAAACGTTCATGGAAATTGTTAGCTTTTTTTTTACCACGCAAAAGCGCTCTTTCGTAATCTACTATTGAAGTTTCTTTGTTGGGTATTTATTCTTTTAACGGGTTAGGGTTAGGGTTAGAGCTAGGGTTAGGGTTAATTAATTGTTTTGCATTTTGGATTTTTTGTTTTCTTCTTTTTCTTTACTTATATTGAAAACCGTAAAAGCGAAATTGCCTAAATTTAAAAATCAAAGGTGCGGCAACTAAAACTGGGCGCGAGCAAGAAAAAGCGCAACTATCTCGTCGTGTCGCTCTCAAGCACCACTTGGTCACGATAAACGTGATCATTTTTTTTTTCTTAAATATAACCTTTCTAAACAGGAGAGAAAACTCCGCCCATGCAGGAATTTGCTTGTCTCCTGTTAACCAAAAATCTTCATTCCAAGACGCAAATTTCGATAATTTCGCGATTTCGTGTTTCGATAATTCATCTTTCCAAATGTCAGAGTTAGAAGAGAAAGGAGAAAACGGATACGTCTTCTAGCTCTGGTTTAACATTTAGTGTTTTTCTCACAGTCGTGAGGCCATAATCGCGTTCATCACCGAATCGTAATCCGGTTTCGAGAACGTTTGTAAAATAAAAGGAGGGAGCCAGAAAAAGAGAGAGAGCCGCAAAATTTTGCAACGACTGTAAAAGCGAGCATAAGCGCATACATCTTTATGTAAATTTGAAAAAAAACGAGAGGATCATCATTTGAGGCTTTCGTCATTTGAGGCACCGCATAGTGACTACGCTCGTCACTTGAATAAAGGCTAAATCGCCAGAAATTGGCCGAGAATATACTTCTGCCGGGCTTTAGCCGTGATAAGCTTTTCTGCGGCTAATTCAATCAGGTGTCGCCTTTTTCTTTCTTTCAATTGTCGCTTGATCCCGCGTTTGATAAAGAGAACCTTGGGCTAGAAATTCGAGCGAATTTATATTTACGGCCTATCTACTGGAACATGGCTGATAAAACGCTGGCGACACGATAAAACATTTTGTGCATAAGTCAATGTAAGACTAAGCGCCCTTATCGTGGTCCGGATCAAGGGGAGCTTTTAGAACGGGAGGCCTACGATTCTAGTGCCGCAGAGAATCGCGTTTTTCGGTTCAAACATTGCAAATTAATTAATCAAATTAGGAAAGTGGTTCTTGGCTTTTATGTTTATAAGAGCGATCCTCGTATTTAGAGTAGAGCTTGTCAAAAAGTGCGAAGGAGCTCTAGGAATAAAGCCCTTGTCAAAAGTTGTGTTTAGACTCGATGATGAAGCCGAAGAGCTTGCGGCCGCACAACATGATCTAGCGGAATGCGTGGAGGACAGAGAGCACTTTCTCCTTGATTCGATCCACAACGCGAGTGGAAACCAGCAGGTAAGCCGCGATTCTAACCCGCCTAGGATGCTAGAGAGCGAAAAGTCGAGCAATTCCTCCTCGGAAGACGCCGACGACGAATGGTCAATGGGCCGGCTGAGTTCCTACGACGAAAATGTTGAGAAGAAGCACACGTCGAAAATGGAAACGAGCGGTGCATACGGCCGCGTCAAGCCGGTTTATTCTACATCGACGACCTGTTCGGACTCTGGGCACGTGTCCGATGGTTCAGACTCGAAGAACGGGTCGGCAGATCGCTTCAGTTTCACCGACAGTGCGATTGACTCATCGACAGAATGCAAAGCCAAACTAAGGAACGTGGTCCAAAGCGCACAAAACCTGGCGAGATTAAGTTACCATCCAACTTGGCTCACAGACTTTACCAGTTATGACCTAATAACCTAAAGCGATAAAATTTATCATCAGTATTTAGTCTCTTTTTTTGCTGACCACTTGCGAGATCAAATTGTCACGTTGAAAGTGACTCGGATTCAGTGAGACTGAACTACGTGCAACAACTGCGGCAGAGCTCGTTGATCATTCGCAGCACATCCATCAGACTGTCTCGAGAAGCCAGACGACAGAACTCCTCACTTCAGAAAGCTCGCGAAACGAGTCCTAGCAAGAAGGCGAGCTCTCAAAAGCAGCCGGAAAAGACGAAAACGGCGGCGAAAGAAAACCCGCTGCGTGTTAGTTCTGTGTTCGAAACGCTCGTCTGAAATCAATTATTTAATAGCTTGTCAAGTTAACAAACCCTTCTTTCCTCAACGTTTTAAAATAAACGATCGACAGATGTTGACCCTAACTTAACCGAAATCTCTTTTTTTACGAAATTAATGCCCGCCAGGTGGAATTAATGAAGTGAGCCTTTTTCCCGCGCTTCTTAATTTATGCTAGATAACATATGGAATGATGATTCTTTTGGCGACCCGAGGAAACACTACAAACACCAGGGTCACCCGTTCCACGATCACAGAGATAGATAGTCATTTCAATTTGTTACTCAAATAAACGCGCCTCTTTAATCGACTCTAAAACATAATTAATCAAAAAATCTTCGAAATTGAAGTCAAACCAAGATTCTCAAGTACTGCTACAATCATATTACTGTAGGGGGTATTCGAGGAAAAATTCAAGAATATTAATGAATAGGCATTATTTGCATAATTTACGAAAATTTTGAAGCCAATACAAAAAGTTGCAGCTGGGCTCGGCAACCTGAGTGGAATACCTGAGTCAGGTTCTGAAGAGCCAAAATGAAAAGTCGCGTAGCGGCTTTTTTAAAAACGAAGCCGCTAAGCGGCTTCGCAATATAACCACTTTAATCTATTTTAAAATACTGGCGAAGCCGCTTTGTGGCTTCGTTTTTTAAAAAAGCCGCTACGCGGCTTTTCATTTTGGCTCTTCAGAACCTGACTCAGGTTTAGCTTTTCAAAACCTGACACAGGTTTTCCACTCAGGTTGCCGAGCCTAGAGTTTCAGCGACAATCGAAATCGCTGCCTAATTGCATCACCAAAAAAAGCGCATGTTTAATTGCCAACTTGACATTGGGGGGAGCGACGTGGTTAATATAACTACGAGTGGACAAGGCTTTCTTGTAGCGAAAGAATTGATTTCGTGAGTGAAGCGCGAAATCGTCATGAACGCGTCTCTCAAACCACAATTTGGTTACCCCCGGTATCCAAATTTTCTCTCTTCCGATTTTTCAAGCTCGGAAATATTCGCTTTCGATTTTCCATGCTTTTCTGATTTCTTTTGGTAATCTTAAAATTTTAAAATTCTCGATCTCGTTTTATTTTTCTTTCTAAAAAGTGCGATTCTTTCTAAACAGAAGCGCAGGCAATTAGGCGAATTGCTAGATGACGGACGGTAACTAGTTGATTATAGATTTGCTCAACCAGTACTCTCTTCTGTGGGGAGTAAGCTCATTTAGGAAAATATTAGGAGTCTGAGACCGCGGCGGTCTCAAATCAGCCCAAAGCCTGTGGCCTGCTCGCAACTTGATTTTTCAGACTCCCAAAATCGAATCTAATCAGGCGGGGATGAGCCACACCACGCAACAACGTCTTCAAAAACATGCGCAATGCGTGTACTCTCCCTCCCGTAACGGCTTTAGAATGTCTGACACTTCCGACGTTGGTAAATGACGCAATTTTTTAATTTTCACAAACAGCGATTTTTCTCACAGCGTTTTTCGAGGACCACGTTTTTGGAATAAATTTAATTCCTCGAAATAAAACGATAACAATAAACAAGTGGAAAGAGATAACCCCAAAATTTGCCCCAAAAAAGCGATTTAATCCCTGTTTGTTTGACTCTCCAGTGGTTTAAAAAAGCTCCTCCAATTACTGTTAGTCCTGCTCAATTAAAAAACAGCAGACCTTGAATGAACCGCCAACCAATTTAGCAAAAATGCTTCGGATAAAAAAAATCAAGGTTTTCAAAAATGGACTTTATTTTGGTTTGATATATTTAGGGTCTCCGGACAAAAATTATCTTTCGATCCTCGAGGGGTTTTTTGCATTTTTATGGGCTCTATCGATAGCTTAGAAGATACTCAGGAAGAATATGAAATAAAAAAATAGGTGTATAATTTTGGAAGTTGGTCAAAAAAGGGATTAAAAATTCGTACTTTTTCACATTTTGGCATTTTTGACCAACTTCCGAAATTATACACCTACTTTTTTATTTCATATTCTTGCTTGAAATCATCTAAGCTATCCATTGAGCCGATAAAAATGTAAAAAACCCTTGAGGATCAAAAATTAGCATTTTTTTACCGGGAACCCTAGATATAGATAGATATATTCAGCTAGATAAACACTATTCTTGTCGCTTATGAGTCCTTATTACTGTTTTTCATGAGCTGTCACTCAATGATGAAACTAAAGGGAGACACAATGGTTTTAGTAGGCTCTTTAATTTACTGAATTGTTTCAAAAGTGTAACCTGAAGAATCGCGCATTTGATGGGTGAGTCCGCGCAGCTGCAAATATCTTCCTTTACTTTCGTGCACTTTTAGAATTAAGTCGGTGCTGCCGGCTAATTGCATCATCGAAAACGCTCAAATCCGTTTGATTGGATTCGGCACAGTATAATTCTGCGCTACTTCTACTTTGCTGTTATATTATGCGCTTATTGTCAAAGTAAACGAAGCTTTTTAAGAAAGCGAAAATTTACTTGCACGCCTTCTAACGCTAAAATCATGGCGATTAGGAGAAATTAACGACCCTAAGTACCCTAATTATGATTTAATGCCAACTGTTAGAGTTTTGGGCGGAATTGAAATCATGGAAGAAAATGCCATTCCAAAATGCTTTCTACTTCGTCTGCGCGATCGCGAATGTGCCGCTACTTTTGTTTGCATTTGTATCCGCATTTTTGTAGACCGAAAAGAACTCCAAAGGAAAATGCCAAATAGCGTCACCGACAAACATTTATGCAATTGAGAAAGTCTTTTCGGAGAAGTTTCAGGGCATTGAAGGGAGACGATTCGGGCGACACGGAACAGCGAAAAGGAAAAAGCGGTTCACTTTTGATTTCAACCCTTATTTCGAAAATTCTTCTTTTGAACCGGTTCCAAAAGAGGTCGAAAGGAAAGAGTAAGTTGGGGAACTCCTGCAAATAGCGGAAGTTTTTTCTATTTTCAGACGGAAGTTGTCATTTTCGAAAGACCATTTTTTCAGAAGCAAAAATTTCAACGCTTATGCAAATATTTACCCGACATTCTATCAATTTAATCGCGAATATTCTATGAGTTCAACAATTTGAGATTCCCAAACTTTGCAAATTCCAAAACAAAGCTATGAATCCAAGCAGTTCTGCACTTTTCAAATTAGAATTTTCCTAACTTGAAGCTAACTTTAATATGCTTGATTGATGAAAACAAGTCAATTTTTTGGACTATTTTCACGATCTGTGTAGAAACGGCTTGCTTGGTTTTCCCAAAGTACGTCAAAAATTCCACCATGATAATTACGTTACGGATGGACGTAGCCATGATCTCATTCAGAGTGACATTTGTGATCTTTACTAGGAAAAAATTCCAGCTCTAGATTTATGTCTTGTTAAATGCCACCTTTGAAGTCTTTTGAGCGATTCCTGTGAAAGAAATTAATCCTACAAACTTTAATTTCTAGCTAGTAATTTATCCAACTATCGAATTTTCGTGCGAAAATTGATTGAACGATGAGGTCGTTAATTTATTACACGGAGCGCGAGAAAGAGTAACTTGGGTAAATGTAAGCTACTCAACCTTGCTGCAATATTGTATGGTGGTTATGGAGACGAGGTCTTGAGTGTTTGGGATTTTTTAACTTTGAAATGCGCTTAGTCGCTCTCACGAGGCATTCCATCAGGCTTCTCCCGCCGCGTTGCGCCTTACCGCGTGTGCCTAAATCCTCCCCAAAAAGGGCGCAGCCCAGTCTAAGATCAGCCAGATTTAACTCTGACGATTCTGGACTAGAGATCATTTAACAAAGAGCATCGCCCGAAGTACAGTTGAAATACAAGGATCAACCCTTTTTACCATTTGCCAATTCTAGAGCCGACGAGCGAATTCTTGTAGAAGACGAGTGGACTGTCCGGAATAGTAGTACATTTCGCATCGAAGGTCAGTTCGAATTTTAAGAGTATTGAACAAGCATAGCAGTGAAAAGATGGTCGAATAGTTCAAATCAATACTCCGCAAATAGTCAGTTGACACAAGGACAAACGTTCAAGCCTGAGCGTAGGTCTTTTATCGAGCTCTAGAACGTTTCAGCCAGCGAGTTCTGAGCCCAGTGAGTGCCCTTTTGAGTGTTTGACGAGCAAAGCTAACTAACCTAGGATGCTTAGGAAATCTAAAACAAAACAAGCGAGTCAAAATTGATAACGACTCATAATTTGTTGGGAAATCGGGGAAATTCGCGAACGTAATTGGATATTTTTCAGATCATTGTTACGTCAATCCGGCGCTGAGCTTGACCGTGGACGATTTTGGTAAGAGCCGACGTGCCCTTGAGCGAGTGAGTTCGCTCGAAAGAAGGGCGCTTTTACGATTTGGATCATTCCATTGTTACGCGCTATTTTTACGCGGAGCAAGGGGCAGAAAATCAATTCAGAGAAATCTTATTAGTCAAGTAGAACTTGCCCTGCGGCGCGTGTACAGGCAGAGTCTAGTTGAGTGCGGTATTTGCACTAGGAAAGTCGAGTACATTTTAGTTAAACTTTCACTAATATTATGGGTGGTTGAAGGAGTCCGTTCGATCAGATCAGCGCGCCGCTACCTGCCCGATTCCTTTTCTTGAGAGAGTACTCTTGTCCGGCATCTTATCGGACATCTATTTTCAGAAATGGCAAGCTATGAGGGCCTTTCCAGGGTCGTCGAGATCAAGAGGAAAAAGAAGAAGGATCCTCTAGGCTTCAAAGTCGCCTATATACCGGACAGAAAGGGAAACGTAAGTCTTACTATAGCTTTTCTCATATCTATCAAAATTTAAAAATTAGTGAAAAAGATTATTTGATGTTTCTTCCGTAAAAATGTCGAGTTAGTTTTCTAATGAAATACTGTTTCAATTAATTCTTCGAAATTCCCCGCGAGATCTTCGGATAATTTAGCTTTGGCAGAGTTGATAAGACTTAGAGCATTGCAAACAGTCTTATAGAAGTACCGGGCGCATGTGTGCTTCCAGCCCTTAAGTAAATATTACCGTCAGTCAGTGACCTTAAAGCAATCTCTGTTGATCGCCGAGGAAGGAATTCCACTTGAAGAATTCAGCGTCATTTAGGATTGGCAATTCGTTAACAGGGCTCATTCAGGTGTTTACCGCGGTTACTGAAGGTAGCATCTCAGCGCAATGTGGTCTCCTTGCTGGTGATCGAGCCCTATCTATCGATGGAAAGAACGTTGAAAAGCTCGATCATCAGAAATTTGTCGACACTCTCAAGAAGACAAAGACAAACATCAAACTCGGCGTCATCGGATACCAGGTCGATCCAGTCAATCCCGCTCGAGATGCCGAAGCAGCTGATCTTGGATTCAAGATTTGCGTTCTCAAGAAAGAAGGCAAGGGATACGGCTTCTCGTTGAACACCAATCCTGGCTCGACCGAAGGAACTTCGGAGCACGTTCTTCAAAAGGTTGCTCCAGGTGGTGCTGCCGACAAAGCTGGTGTTTCTGATGGTATGCACCTTATCGCCATCAACGGCGTCGATTTGACATCGAAGAGCCACGCTGAAATCGTCAATATTGTCAAGAAAGGCGGCTCTACTCTCGTTGTCAAGGTCAAAACCGGACCCAAGAAAGAAGAAGACGAACGATCGGAAATGGCAGAGAGCGAGATCGCTGCTGCCAAATCCGTCGCACCGGTTGAAAAAGCGTCGACAAATCTGCACGAGTCGTTCGCGTCATGCGAAGCTCCGGCACCGATTACGGCTTCAAGATCGTTTTCAATCAAGAAATTAGAAAAAGTGCTGTTACTAATGTTAGCAATTCCACTCCGGCTGATATTTGCGGTCTTAAGCAGGGCGATATGGACGTGGTACTCGATAAAAAATAGAATTTTCAACTTCAGCAAGAAATACTATTAGTTCAACATTGATTGGCAAATATTTTCCGTAGCAGGCGGGGTCCCGCCGCGGAATACCCAAGAAATAGATTTTGGGAGTTTGCTTTGTTTATTCACTATAATCGTTTATCTTTGTAAATCTTTGCTACTTGAATTAGAAGAATTCATATAACGGAAGTTGATTACCACGAAATAAAGCATCTGGGCTGTGAACTCAAAGTCTATTGTCGGGCTTTCTCATTCGGAAGTGGTTAGCCTCATCCGCACTCATCAAAACCACGTCGTCTTCCTTGTCACCAGCCTCGCCGCTCACGATCAATTTGTCGCCGACGGTACCGAACCAGACGCAAGCCAGGCCACTCTTGCTTGGGAAGCGGTAGGAAAGTCACTCTCTCCAAAACTTATTTTTTATTAGGATTACGGTAACTTCGGTATCCCGCGAAATCTTTTGGTTGAGAAGCAGCCTGATGTCAAATATGGCTTTAACTTGACTTACAAATGTAGGTAGTCTTAAAATGGGAACAGAAGTAGCTCTTGAGTCTTTATACCTGTGAAATTATATATTTTACTCATCATAAACTTCAGCACACACACATGCGATCACAGTAAACCCTGGCTCGCCCGCGGAAGCTGCTGGATTCCAAAATGGCGACATAGGAAAGGATATAAAAATTCTCCTGATTTGCGAAAGAGTCGTGCATATCCGGAAAATAAAACCGGTTGTTAAACTACCTTTTGCAAATACCAATGACTTGTATCGCTATAACGGCATTTTTGAGCTAATATTTGGACACCGTTTGTGATATTATCGAAATTTGTAATGTAGTACTGCCGGGAGTTTGTATTTGCGCTTCGTGAGCATAAAAGTTACTTTTGCCAAGGACAATCTCCGATTCTTAGACGGGAAATTTAAAGGGCTTGTAAAGCTTACAATACGTAGATATTCAAGGTGGCTCGTTTTATACGATCACGGGCATTTTTATATTCATAAAAGTCTGTGCCATCAATGGAGCCGACGTGGAGGGACTCTCCCACAGCGACGCGATGACCCACGCCAAAGTTCATGATAACCACATTGAGATGACTGTCATCGACCCTGCTGCCTTGAAACTATTCCAAAAACTCGGCATCAAAATCACAACCGAATTGGCTGAGCTCCTCGCCAGCTTCAAGATCATCAAGCGCCAGCTTTCTGAGCCCCCACAATATGAAGAGGCCACTGCCCCTGAGCCTGAACCGGAAGAGGAAGAGCCCGAGCCCGAGGCAGAAGAGCCCGAGCCAGAGCCAGAGGAAGAAAGTGACAGGCTCGTCGAACATCCAGCACTTGCTGCCGCAGCCATCGCAAAGGCGAGGGTCAACAAATCGTTGCTATCGCTTCTGCCTTCTCTAATCACAGAGCAAATAATCTGGACGTGGCAATTAAAGGCAATAAAACATATTCACTCGAGGAATATCGTCAGGCTCTTGTTAAAAGACGAATGACCTGTGCACATGAAAATTTAATTTCAAATTTTCTGCTCGATTACGAATCTTAGATGCACTCGAGAACAGTTTTATTTAGCTTTGTATTTTTCCAAAGATCTTCTTATCCATGCGGATGACGTGAATTCCTAACGCCCTTTGTTGACCCAGTTGAAAGGCGCGCGCTGATTCTGATGGACCTGCCCCTCTACCCCGTCTTGTCACTCTCAAGGACAACAACGGATACGGCTTTTTCCTTCAAGACAAGGATGGTGGCCACTACCTCACAGATGTCGAAGAAGGCGAAGCCGCCCAATTGGCTGGCGTTCTCGACAACGATCGAATCGTTGAAGTCAACAATAAGAACGTCGAAGGTGCTAAACATAGCACTGTTGTCGATCTCATCCGACAGCACACTGATCACGTAACGTTCTTGGTCGTCGACAAGGAGTGCGATGACTACTATAAAGGAAAGTTTCATAATAAAATTACATAAAACGGCTATTATTCAAAAGACAAACATCCGACTTAATTGTAGCACTTCCTTCAGAGGTCAATGCTTGAACAAGTTTTTCCATAAAGTCTGTTTTCTTTTGTTGAAGAAGTTGTAATGAAACATTTGAATAGAGCGTGATGTAAAGATCACGAAGGCTCTGCTTGGAATTGAACCACGAGCACGCCTTATCCGAGTGAAGAAAGCCGAAGGTACCTTTGGTTTTGAGATGCACACTGAGCCTTCCGAGCTTGGCCGCGTCCAGCTTCTACGAAACATTGTTGTTGGTGGCCCGGCTGCTCAAGCGGGACTTGAGGAGCACGATCGAGTTCTTGAAATCAATGGCCAGACACTTGACGATGTCAGCCATGAAGACGCTGTTGACATTATTCGCAACTCGGGTGATACCGTTGTGTTCCTTGTTGCCGATGAGGAATGTCTCGCCTTCTTTGCCGCAAAATCGATCACAATTACTCGTGAGCAAGCGAATGAGCTCGAACCAGAGGAAGAGGAGGAGCCAGAGCCAGAACCAGAAGAAGAAAAACGTATCGAACACCCAATCGCAGCCGCTGCAGTTGTTGCTGCCGTTGTTCGATCTCGATCTCCATCACCGGAACCAGAGCCAGAGGCTGAACCCGAACCAGAAGCTGAAGCCGAACCCGAACCAGTTTCAGAAGAGGAGCCAGAACCCGAGCCAGAAGAAGAGAAACTTATTGAACACCCGGTTGCTGCTGCAGCTGTTGTTGCTGCTGTCCGAAGGTCTCCAACTCCTGAACCTGAGCCAGAAGCTGAGCCGGAACCCGAACCCGAAGAAGAACCAGAGCCTGAGGAAGAGCCAGAACCAGAAGAAGAAGAAAAACGCATTGAGCATCCTATTGCTGCAGCTGCCGTTGTTGCTGCCGCTGTTCGATCTCGATCACCATCACCCGAACCAGAACCTGAACCAGAAGCTGAACCTGAGCCAGAACCTGAACCTGAGACCACTTATGAAAGTGACCCAGAACCTGAACGAATCGCGCATCCAGTAGCCGCCGCCGTTGCTGTTGCTGCCGTGCGACGATCACCATCTCCTGAACCAGGGAAGTGGCTCAAATTCCTCCAGACATTCTATTTACTTTGACCTCCTAAAGCAAAGTCGTCTCCCAGTCGACATCCCAAAATTCTTACCTAGCAGAATACTAAAGTTTCCTAAAGTAAATAATTGAGCCATTCTAAAAGAAGCGGAACCCGAACCTGGTAAATATTGGCCCAAGCACAATAAAACTAATCACTAGAATTTCAAAAGAGTAATGTTGAAATAATCAGGATTATTTCAAGCTATTGTTGGCACTGCCGACTCACGTTCCTTCCTTTTGTTGAAAACATATTCGATTTCTAGTATCCACAACTCTTTCACTCACTAAAGATATTTTCATGTGAATGATTTCTTTTTTGACTATATATTATTTATAAGAGAAGATTAGAATGAAGGGGAAACATTTGAGTTTACTAAAAATAGCTTTAAAGAAAGCTGGTAAAAAATAAGACCTAGGATGAATCTTCTCCGCACATTGTCACTCCCATTTAGAAGTCGATTTCGAAGAGCCAGAGCCCGAGCCTTCCGTCAACGGAGACTCGGTCGCTGAATCGGTTCCAGAGCCCGATTCGGAGCCTGAACCAGAGGCACCAAAGGTGCCTGAAGGTAAACTGCTCATGCTCTCGTCGCTTTCCGTAGAAAACACGGTCACCAATCACTCTTCCATGATTTCAGCTTCAGATATTTTCCATAATTTCGGTTTTGGGAAAGTTAAGAAATTGATTGCGCAGTGATTATTTCATGAACCATGATCTTAAAAAAGTAACCAAAATCAATCCTAACATGCCATTCCAAGTTCATGAAGCAAATTTATCTGTCGCCGCCGCAGCCGGAATTTACGGAGGCCGCACAAACGGTAATCATTTGCTTCGTTCCACCCTCGCTACATCAAAACTGCATGGCTAAATTTTTTGATACATTCTGCTTTTAAAATAGATTTAGCAGTGACAGCAGCTGCCGCGACCGTTTCCACCATCACCACCGAAAAGACTGTGGCCCTAAAGGAAGAGCCAGATGTATCTGCTGGTCTTACCGTGGCGATGGCTAGACAAATGAAGATTTTCGGAACCGTCAAGTCCTTCAAGGTTAACCCACGAGCTCGAGTCAATGATCAAGTGCCTCTTGTCGATAGAACACCAACTCCTCAGCCAGCATACAGTGCTCCTACTCCAGTAGCTCCACCAGCTCCAAAACCAGTCCATGTTAAGCCAGCGGTAAATATATTAATTGATTAAAACTAAATTCAATAATAAATTGGAAAGGCTGCCGCTGCTGTTGTTGTTAACTCAAGCCAGCCACAAACTTCTAAGCCTCGGGCTCCAGCTGGTGCTTCAATCGCAGCTCTGATGAACCGATTCCAACAGGTAAACTAACTTTGGCTACATTTATAAGACAAACATTAAGGATGGAGACACTGATCAGGTTTTTTGTGTATTTGTGTAAAAACTTCATTAGCTAGAACTAACTAACTCCGGAGCGTTTTTGTTCATGTCCTCGAAGATTTCAGAAATTAATCAAGCTATTCAGAACGGACAAGTACTCACAGGAGGCCAGATGCCCGAGCAAGGAGTGCCAGAACAGCAGAGCGTCAAAATCGTCGCTGCTAAGGCAACTGTCGATGGCAGTGCGACCGCTGGCGCTATCGGAGTCGCTGTCAAACAACAGCCCAAATCACCTGAGCCTGTCGTCAATAAGGTCATGCGCCCCAACATCTCTGAGGTCAACAAAATGGCAAATGGACAGGGTTTGATTTAAATGCGTTTTATTTTTTAAAAATCTTTAGTCGCTCCGGCTGCGCCCATGCAACCAACACAGATGTACGGCCAGCCACAATACCAACAACCTCAGCAGCCATTCCAGCAGTACCCAATGTATCCGCAATCTCCTCAGGGTGGCTATCAACCATTCCCCGTACAGCCTTTTGCTCCGGTAATATTTTCGATGTCAACTTGAGATTTTGAAAGTGAGTTCAGTACGGCGCACCCCAACCCCAATATGGCGCTCCCCAACCTGGCTTCATGCCATACATGAACCAAATGCCTCCACAACAAGGCTTCTACCCACCTCCACCACCGCAACAGCAGCAGCAACAACAGCCACAGTACCGTTAATTTAACATGTAAGTTTTCAAACTCAATACTATCTCCTAGTTTGATGTTCTAGGTGTCTGCCTGCTCTTGTATATTTCCGAATTTAATCTTCAAGACGCCGCCGACCCTTTTAGTTTCAATTTTGTAGTGCTTTGAGGTCGCCCCACGGCCACAAATGCGAGCTTCTTGACTTCCTGCAGAAATGAACAACTAATTCGACTCTGATACGACTGTATATATATTGATAAATAAACCTAAAACCTTACTTTCGACTTGTATTTTTCATAAATTGATCATGCACAAAACATCACTCGAGACATATTTTTACTGCAATAAATACATACAGGTTTGGGTTTATCAGTTGTGTCAGGATTGTGCTCCCGAAAGTTTATTTCACTTTTCGGAGTCAGAAGATTGAGCTTGCGGGATATTTACAGTAGTGGCAGATTCTAAACTACTCAGTTTTGATTTGACAAGTTTGATATTTGTCCGAGAGCCAGATGTTCCTGGAGTCGACATTTTTGGAGTGGCCTGGCCGGATGAGCGAGGTGTTAGTTGACCATACGTTGTCTGGCCGCCGCCTTTACCGAAGATTATAGATAATAAGGTTTGGTTTTTGGTTTACCAGATTGAAATTGGACTGGACTGCTTCGTTCTTCAGCTTTCTTAGCAAGTCTCTCTAGAGCAGAAGAGACAGGCTTGATGTTCCCACCAGAAGGTTTTCTATTTCGTGGCTCCTGAGGCCCGAAAAAATTCAAATCAGCCAGCTTCGGTTCCGTTTTCACCTAAATTAAATTTAAGTTGATCATGCCGACTGTGATCTTCTCTACCTTTTGTTTTGCTATTTTTGTTTGAGATCGTTGGGTGTCCACCCGTGGCTTAGACGTCTTTGCAGCAATAGGTTGTGGCTATCGAAGAGAATTAGTTTCAAAATACTGTTAGCGGCCAACTTACAATTTGGACCGCTGGTTGAATGGCTGGCTGAATCGTTGGAACCATCGAAATCACTTGCCCACTAGTGCCCATTTGAGCTTGTTGAATTATTTGCTGACCAGGCAGAAGTTGAAACACTTGCTGTCCACTTTTCTGGTCGCCAGCAATCGCCTGTATGGTTGAAAAGTTTGACCCAAGGATTGACTGAAGTTGACTTTGAGGAATCTGGATGGCAGTCTGGCCCGTTGGTAGCTGAATTTGCTGAGTATTCGGGGCGATCATCATTCCACGCTGTTCTTGTGGTGGAGGTGCGGATGTTATCTTCGTTCTTGGCGCTACTGAGCTTGGCATACTCGAAACAGGAAGCAGTTTTGGACCTGGATTTTTGGGCGGTGGCTGAGGGCGTCGGGGAACTGCTTTCTTTGCTTCTGGGGCAGGTACTTGAAGAATGTTTCTCGTTGAATCAGAAAGTGGATTTGGCGCATTGATGTCATAAAGCCAGTTTTCAAGCTAAAGAAACTCAATAAGCTAGGGAGGATGTTATATATTTACCTTTATAACACTTCCAAGACCACCCTGTTGAAACGGCTTCTTCTCCCACTCAATAGGCGCATAATCTTTCGACTCAGTATTGTCGGAGTCGCCTCCATCGTCGCTGCTTCCTGATTCCGACAAAGTCCAAGGCTTATCTTGTTTGACTCCGCCAATTTCGGTACTTTCCTCGCCAAGAATGCTTTTGGAAATTTCCATTGATTCCTCTTGAATACCATTCAATTCCCTTTTACGAACGTTAACTTCTGACTTCGGAGGAACCATAGCTGAGAATCTTCCATTTGGTGTTCCTGGCTTCGAAGAATCGGACATGTTACTTTCAAGAAAGTTCGGCGTCGAAGCTCTTGAGTTTGCTCTCGAATTCGACCGCGAATTGGATCGCGAGTTCGATCTTGAGTTCGATTTTGAGTTCGATTTTGAGTTAGATCTTGAATTAGCTCTCGAAGTAGTACGCGAAGTTGCTCGAGAAGTATTGACGCTTGACTCTCCCGCATCAGTATCTTTCTTTCCTTCGTCCCAGTTGACATTTGCGAAGTGTTTTTCGTATGCCTCTTTCAGCTTTGCGACAGGTGTCTCACTGTATCCGGCGTCATCGAGGACAATGTCGTCAACATTTGAGGGCAGGTATCGATAAATGTAGGGAATGTTTGGATTCGAGGGATCGGCGATGTGTTCTTTACAGTGTTCTGCAAGTGGCAAAGCGCAGTCCCAGCAGTCTTCAAATACACACCGTCGCTTTGTTGGTTCCCTCACTTTATCTCCAGGCAACTTGTAAAGTTGATAACGTTTCTTCTTCGCTAACTGAGCGACAAGATACTCATTGCCTGTTAGTGAGTGTTTTAGGAAATCCAGACGGCCCGTCTTCTTTCCAGTTTGAACTAATTTCCTGTTGATAACATCCAGTTGTGCGAGTCGAAGTTCTTTTTCCGCCTGTGCAGCTTTTAGCATAAGCTTCAAGAATTCCTTCTCCTCAACAACGCTGGATTTTATCAGTGGATGGGGATTGTGTTCGACTGCTATTTCGGAGTCGGATTCTGGATAGTCCATCTCGCAATCCTTCAATTTTCGATACAGCTCCGGATTCGGTGAAATCTGTTTCATGTGTTGGCCGCATTGGATCTTATCATTAGCCTCGTTCTTGTCCGATTCTTTCTGTTCCTCCGATAAGTCTGCATCAGTGACTGAAAACACTCATGTTAACATCGATCTCGCCCCTCCGCAACTACCTTTCACTGGGCGTTGACATCTCTTGCCTGAAGCGTTCCTATATGCGCAGAGTCTGTAGCCCAAACTAGGGGCAAACTTCGAGCTCAAAATATGCCTCTGACAGTAGCTTGTACTCTCTATGACGACGTCGCAACACCGATTGTAACGACATGTGAAGCTGGAGGCTTTTTGATCAACTTTCTGCATCTGAGAAGGAAGAAGACTTGAGTGAAAAAAAATCTATTTATTCGAGTGTTGGACAGGTAAGAGGGAATAAAAAAGGTTCGTGAAAAGTTATTGACTATGCATAAAAGCATCCAAGTTTGAGAAATGTACGGGTAAAATGAATATGGCAGTTAGAAACTTTTCGTGATAGCTAGCAGGCTTCCCAGAAAATCTTCCGAAGCTTGAAGCTGCTGCCAACGCAAGGAGGACATGTTCTCCGCAGCCACTCAAATTTCATCCAAAGCACCCGATGTATATTGACGGCCGAAGGTTTCACGCGCTAATCAGTCGTCAATCATAAATCGAGGACTCTATAATTGACACGGTTGGATGAGGTGGAATTTAAGATAAAAAATCAGCAGATGTTGGAAAATAGCGCAAAAATAGGACTGTTAACTGTTACAGTTATTGTTGTCTGGACGAGAACCTCAAGAAGGCACAGGTTCAAGATCGCGTATGCGATATCAATCTTCACTAGCTTGTCTAGCTTGCAATTCCATCAGCTTCTGGCCTCAGACTTATGTCTGAAAGGCCGATTGGAAGGCGACTTGTGGCGTATTCAACGCCACATCTCAGTAGAAGGGAGAATCACTGTGTCAAGTCCTCGTCGGACAAGCGATCTAAAAAGGCTAGATAAGTATAAAGTCTTTTTTTCAGGGTTAATTACCTCCGCTTCTTTTTTGAATTCAGGACAGCCTTCACTGTCGCTTTTTGGGCCACCTCAAGAAATGTTGGGACGGCATTCCACTCGTGCTGATCGACCATTTACCAAAGCATCCGGACTTGCGATTTGAACTGTAGGTATCACTCGCTTCAGTCGCCATCGAAAGCTCGAACACTCTAGAAGAAAATAATTGTTAGATCAAAGTAAAGATATGAAAAGTTGAGTTCTGGTGAAATAAAAAAAGAAGGTTTTTGAAAGATTTGATAAGAAATGAAGTCCAGGAAATAAATTAACAGCTTGAGAGACTCTTGATAGGTAATCGGATTGTACTCTGGGACTGAGTTGTTGTCGTCGGAAGCATAAGCTTAGCATTGTGTCCTTATTAACGCTGTTCTCTTCCTTGATTTTCTCAATCGAGCGCTTCAGCAGCTCTCCTTCATCATATTCATTCGCAATCAGCCGCAGCACTTTCTTCTGACTTCCGGAATCAGACAAAAGTTCCAAAGGTTTCACTCGCTTTAAGAACTCTTATCTACCGGAAGGATACGACGCATACTCTCAAAACGTTTCTGAAAATTTAAAAATCAAGATTTTGTTAGAAGTGAAAGAGCATGAATTTTAAGTAAAAGAAGGCGGAAAGAATGGCCCTTCTGTCAGGTAAAAATGAAAGGTTTGAAAAGGAAGTTGAACAGGTGAATTTAAGGTAAAAATTGAGAACGAGTCAAAGAAGCTGAAGAACGAATTGACGTGTAGTACAAAATTAGAAAAGAAACTCAGATAGTAAGGAATGGGAACTAAATATTGGGTGGGAGAAGTGGCGATTCGTCTTAGTTTTACTGGCTGCTGTGAAGCTCCTGTGACTTGGAGAGTTTAAACTTGTCTCGGGCAAGTTTGCCGAGAGATATTCGTCCAATTTGGCCGTTTGGTCGCTTGTAGTTAAGTTCTAATAGATACGAGTAAGAGACGGAAGGGGTCGAAAGGTGGGGGGAAATCTCTTTGTCGTAAGCTCGCGTGAAATTATGCTCTGTGTCGGGTAAGTTCCGAGTCGGAAATGATCAAAGCTTCCTTGTGGCTCGAGCAGTGGCCCCCCGTGACAATCACTAACCAATAAGAGCGCAGGGCGCAGTGCGCCACCCGCCCCCGCGTGGTCCGCGCTATGCGCTCGTTGAGCGTGCCCACCGTTCGCAGTCTGACAGACACGCTTCCAGAATATCACAAAAAAAAAAACACTATTTTAAGATGAAAATTAATGTCTTATACAATCATTTCGATGGGATTACGACTAAAAAGATGCATGCTTACTAAATTTACACGAAATGTATTTCAAATGTGAATTTTATCAATAATAAAAGCTCATTACCTTTGTCAGTAATCGATGTTATCTTGACTGTCTCTCGACTGTTCGACTCGCGCTGGAAGAGGACGACGACTTCGTTTTTGAAAAAGTACTTCAATCCGATCTTGAGCTTGCCGTTTATGACTTGCACATCCTTCTAAATCAATGTTATCATTAATAATTGTTGTTCGCGCTTGATGATTTTTGTAAAGATAGTAACAAAATTGGAGCTTACAAAAATCTAAAGCAGGAAATGCTGAAGAAAATTTCCATCGCAAGAAGGCACGGTTAGGAAGCTGAATTATTGAAATTGTCTAATCGAAATTATTGAAGGAGCAGTTTGAGACTTAGAACGTTTAGAGCACTCTAGCGAATTCTACCTGAAGCTGGCCTAATAAAATGCGCAGAAAGTATTTACATGAAGATGATAAGAAAGCGGAAATAGGCGAGTATGCGGTGTACTGCTTCGAGTTTCTTTGAATGTTGAAATGTTGTTGAAAAAAGAGGGTCAAAAATGTTGAAAAGAAGAATAGGTCAATCTAGGTTTTAATGAATAATAGTAAATGTCTTTGAATTGAATTGTATCTTGGCAGGTCTCGAACTGGAAGTCGAAATGAAAGGTTAACATCTGCTCTGGTCTTATGGTCATCTATGCTTCATTTGTAAAAATAGCTAGCACTAGAATAAATAAGAAGATCATTTTCGATTGAAGAGAAGGAGAAAAAATAAGAATAAAGGAAAAAACGAACATTGAGACAGGTCAAATAACCTTTTGAGCTGGAGCGGCGTTGTCGCGACGCTTGCGACTCGTTTTGATGAGCTTGAGGTCTTCGGCGATCTCGGCCTCGGTGAGTAGGATTTCTGATTCAGTGAGAAGTGTCGCACTGTGGCCGACGCGTTTGCGCTTTGGATCCAGCTCAGGGTAATAGAGCTTCGCCTTCTTACGCAGCCACTTCAAGCCGCTGTTCTGAACGGGCTTATTAACAGCTCTCCTGTTATCGCCAAGTACCTGGATTGAAATGCTGAGGGGATCGTCTGGCTTGTCGTCCTTCGCATCACGCGGGCGTAATCGCCGTTTGTTCTTGTTTTCGTACATTTCAATCCAGTTGGGACACGAGTCCATTTGTGCCTTTTCCTCGAGCATCAAGCGCTGCTTCTCCTCGTATTCCTCATGCAGGCTTCAGAGAAATCATTTAAGATTTAGCAAAAACTTATCGAAGCTGGCCCTTTCCTGGAGTAGTTGATTTCTGAACTCTTCTCGTTTGCTTTCTAGCTCGGCGTCGGCCTCATTCATTTCCTGTTTGGACTCCGCTGTTGCCGAATCGCGCAAGTACTCCTTGTACGCATGAAGTGTTCGTTTGTCCGCAGCGGCTTTGGATTCAATCTTTTTCCATTTCTAAAACATTCTCCCGTCTAGATTCTAGACAACATGAGAGGAATCGACATAACACCGGATTACAGATCAATCAAACCATTAGTTACTTTACCATCACATTCAATTACTAGCTAGTGTAACAATCAAACAAATCAGCAATGATCGACTGGCTTTGTTTTCTCTTGTGACTATGTATTAGTGATTTTGAATAGTATGTTCGACGTAGCATGCATACATATTGATGTAGTACAAAGAGTGATATCAATCAATTAACATTTCAGTTTTCCGGCGCGTTGAAAAATACCTATCAACTACGACTAAATTCCTTTGAACGGAAACAACTCTACGTTTTCATATTTTTCTAACCTCATCGATACCGCAATACTGAAGTCTTTTCTCTCTGGCTTGAGCCTGGTAGATTGCCTCCGCTAAAACGCACGGTCCGCAAGGGCAAGTCTTTTGCCCCTCAAAAAAGCCTCGTCAGTGGATTTAAGATCGTTCCTTATTTTAACTGTGCTGAACAAGATAACTCAAAACAGCAGAAACGAATAAACTCAAACCCGTTTCCTGACCACTCAAACGGCCACACTCCCTCACACTTTCCCTCGGACGCAGGAATATTTATATTTTTCGACGGAATTTTAGGACTTTTTTCAACGAGGAAATCCTGAAAGATTCTCTGATTAGAAAACGTGAAACGAAACTAAGCACCAGCGATCAAACCTTCATCAGCTCAGGTAGCGTTTCTTGCTCTGTGTTCTCGGATAGAGAATATGCCCTTTATTAAAAGAACTCTCTTGTTCTTATTCACTGTGTCTTTCTCTAGCCATGCCTAATAGCTCGAGTTTGTCCTCCAAATCGGCGATTTGCGAAAGTAACTCTCCTTCTCTCTTTGATGGCGAAAGGAGGTCCTTTTGAGAGTCCGTATTGTCCTGTGAAATGTCCGATAGTTCTTCTGTCGAAATATCATCCATTTTCTTAAATTCGAATACATTTTATTTTCGAGTTCGAATTCGTTGAATGGGTACTGTTGAAGAAGGTCGAGTGAAGTACAGATTGAATGGTCTGAGTACAGAAAGATGTGAGCAGTTATCCGTGTTTGAAATGAATAATTTTCTTTCGTCGAATGATATGTACAGATATTTACTGGTAAAACGTAGGCATTGATTGATTGGTCGCTAGATTTCGGAACTTCAAAAGAGTCGCAAGAAGAGGCAAGTGAAGGTAAGATTTAATCTGTCTGGCCGGAGTAAGAGTTCAGTCGAGCTTCCGAAAATTGAATATACGCTTAAAATGATAGTTTACCTATATGATAAAGAATGTCCTTTCGAGTAATGATTCCTTGAAGTTTTCCATGTCGGAGGACCATGCAGTGGCGAATTCCAAGTTTTCGAAAGATCTAGAATGAAAATTCGATAAATTTGGAAAATAAGGACCGTTGAATACCTCTAGAACTAGCGCCATTGGGGTGACGTCGGACACATTCACCGGGGCAATATCGAGAATATGAGATAAACGAGCAATCGAGGGTTCTCCAGGCTTCTGGATAGGAACCGTGTCGGTAAAGTGTGCCATCGACTGGGAAGTGATTCCTTTACAGAGTTATTCGAAGGTCTGTCAAGCTCGAAGGCATGGAAAAATATAACTCAGTTCCTTGAGATTGCATGCGCAATTCGTCAATCGCAAGTTGAAGATCTTGGGCGACAACGAAGCCGATAAGACGCATGCATGATCGCGATAGAACGACTGGAAATCCATGGTATGGTGCGTTTTTGATCATCTCTTCAATCTTTCAAATAATTAAGGAAATTATCGAAAAGGGAGGAGTAACCTCGGCAAGTGTTTGACCTTCAGCAGTGATGACTTGGAGTTTCCGCTCGCTGTGATCTTCTGGCCGAGGACGCATAACATCACATGCGAGATTACTATAGTTATAATCCGTCTATCTTGAGGTCAAATAATGTCATACGCGACAGATGTGATAGATGATCTCATGATTCCTTCAAAAGTGACCCGGTCCTTACTATCGAGAAATGGGTAATTGTTGAGTTTGATGTGTAAATCGTAGATGCCTTCATGGCCAAAAGCGTCGCCGATCCACTTTGCAGTCATCGTTGCAACCATCAGTGGTACAATGTAGAAAAGGCCGCCAGTTAGTTCGTACATGATAACAACGAGCGAAACGGTCATTCGAGTAACACCAGATAAAGTACTCGCAGCGCCAACCATCGCATACAAGCCCGGATTGACACAAACTATCGAAAAATTGATGAAACCGTAGGTAGGAGTCGTTTACCTTGTCCTTCCCCGCAGTAGCTTGAGAAAATAGACCAGTGATTGAAGTTGAGAACAAATTGCTGAATTCCCAGACCTACAAGTCGACCGAAGATGGCACCAACAGTCATTGAAGGGATAAAAAGACCGGACGGGACTTTGATTCCGAAAGTAACGATTGTAAGCGCGATGTAAAGTAGCATTGCAAGAATGAGGCCAGTGATTGATCGTTTCTAAATGAAAAAATAAAGTTGAATAAATTTCATCTATATTACAATTTCAGGGCTTAGTCCTCCGATTATCATGTCATCAGCAGAAATGTGTTTTGAGTCGTTGGAATTGAGCGTATAGTGGCAGATGTCTTCATCCCATCGCTCGTAATTGCAAGTTTTGAAGAGCATCGCGATGAGGTCTGATTGAGCCATTTGGGTGTAGTAATTTGGAAAGCAAAGAATAGCCGTCGCTAAACAAAAACAACTTATTAGTAAAAATCAGTCATGATATAACTTACCAACACAAGTAACAACGACTTCGAGGTAAGGCCAGTCAGATAGTTTGGAGCTTCTTCGAAATTTACAGTAAATAATGTTCATTTTATTGAAGAACGCGCCATAGAGTCCACCAAGAATGCCAACAACAATAAAGCCGATGAGTTCGAACCAGTACCAGGGTTCGTCGTAGTGACTGTAGAACATAACGAGATGCTCGTTACCAAAGGGATTGATAGAGCGCAACACAAAAGCAGCAGTCATTGCTGATAAGAATGAACGATAAAGTGTCTTGAGTGGAAAATAGTAAGACACTTCTTCTAGGGAAAAGAGAACGCCACCGATGGGAGCTCCAAAAGCGACGGATACACCGGCAGCGGCGGCTGCAGAAAGCATTTCTCTTCTTTTGGCCTGATTGTATTTGTATTTTGGGAAGAGTCTCGAGATAGCGTTGCCGCAGCAAGATGCCACATGCACAAGAGGGCCTTCTTTTCCGAGGGAGAGGCCGGCACCGACTGCGAGTGGAAGTGCAAACATTTTCCCAAGAAGAGTGCAAATTCCCAAGTAACCGTGGATCACAAAACCCGACAGAATCGTCTTCACTTCTGGAATACCACTTCCAGTGGCGTACGGGGAGAAATACTTGACGACAAGTCCGCAAATGGCGCCCATAGTTACAGCGAATAGGATGTACATAAAGTAGTCCGCTGTGAAGAGAGAAGTCTGAGAAGAAGCACCGAACACTTCGCCCCATCGTTTCCACTCCGTGCAGTTTTCGGTCGAATACGAGGTCCAGCAGCATTGTTCTTGGTTCAACCAAAAATATCCAGTGCAGATTCCTCGCTTGAAATCGGCAAGCCACTTCGTCGTTACATCAACGACACCGGCGCACAATCCCGAGGCCACACCAATGAGCAAAACGACGATCCAGCCACTCGCTGCATCAACGATTTTGTTGATTTTGTCTTTTGCTGGAGACGAGCGGGAGCCTGCTGCTCGGTTGATCCTTTAAATTTAATGGCTAATCAACTTGTGCTTCGATTTTTGTGTTACCTCTGATGCCTTGCTTTATCCTTAGAAAGCTCTCTCAGCCAGTCTATCGAGTGATAATTTCTGTACTTTGCTCGGGGCTGAGGATGATTCCGTGACGTATTCGAGAAAGACATCTCGATCGCCAGGTCCGAAAAACGATCGCTTTCGAGAAGTTGATCATCACTGTCACTGTCCATTTCTAAAAGGAAAGCGATAGATTAATTGAATTTGTTTCTCAATTCTTCATTTGTACAGGTCGTCGTCAATCATTCGAGAAAAGAACATTCGGGTTTCAATTTTAACCGTCCTCCTTGTCCGTGTGGTGGCACTTTTGACAGCGATAGAAACATGTTTGACCTTCGTCAGCGCTTCGTAATTGCATCGTCTTAATTTGCAACGTAAAGAATCAAACTAAATTGCGAAAGAATCAACCTTGAGCCAAGCGAACATGTGCCCGCACTTGGAGCATAAGTGCGTCGTCTCCTGGCCCAGATTATCATCGTCCTTCTTCTTGAAGTAATTGCTAGGGTAGTTGATGATCACCTCCGACCAGTTCAAAACTGAGTCGTGGTAAATCTTCGCTGGCGCTTTGAACGGACACTTTTTGCAACGGATTACCATTTCTGTCGAGAAACTCTTTTTTCGGAATTTTGAAAATTTTAAATTCAGGATAAAGAAAAGAGACTCACAACTTTGAGATTTTCAAAAGCCTTTCACAGAATCGTCCAACAACATGGACAAAAAGTTTTATCTTCCATACTCTCGACCTGTGCTTTCATTCTAGCAAATTCCTCCTTGCTATACTCCTCTGTACTCATTCTGAAGCTTTATTCGATTATCACCAGTTGGACATACGGTGTCCCAATGAAGAGATCTACTGAATCAGTTAGTTTTCGCAGCTTCTTAACTTTAGAAATTTCATGAAATCGAAAAGCCATTAAGGGCCTCGAGTTTTTCAAATCTAAGGCCTCACTTTCCATTTCCGTCACTAGAAGCCGCAAGCGGGTCCTCAAGTTTAAATAAATAATTTATGACAAAATCTTCCTCGTTTCGGCAGCCTGTGAAGAGAACCTGAATCAGGGCTGGTAAAGCTTTTATAAAAAGTTACGCACCGTCTATTTCTAGCAAAGCGGCGAAAAAACTTTTTCCATGGTTGTTTCCGAAATCAATCATGAAGCGCTACACGGCTTTACATAGGACAATCACATAGCTTAATCAGGACCTTGACACAGGTATCTCCAAAGATTGCCGAACCCAGGACGATAGTTTTGGTGGTTCAAAACTGCAATGATTGACTAAATAACGAGACGAGAAAGAAATGTCCAGTAAAGGATTTATTCACAAGGCAGGAGAGGAAGCAGTTTACTTAGAGCCCTGCTTGGCCTTGAGGATCTTGACAACCATCTTCTGTTCGTCAACGAGGAAAGCTCGGACGATTCGGGATCGGACGGCGCCGCCGGAGAGGGTGCCACCGTACGCTCGGGAGACCTGGCAAAAACGTAAGACAAAGGATAAAAAGAAACTCGTTTATTAAAATGGTTATACTATTAGAAAAATGATAAGTCTGACGTACAGTCTTTTGTCGTCGGGAGAGCTTGGAAGCTTCTCGGGGTCGGACGGCGCGGACACCTCGAAGGGGCTGCTTAGTGTCACCGCAGATTGGGACGGAAGCGGCCTTCTTCACTCGCTAAAATTTGGCTGCAGAGATTTCTTATGAAAACATGTTCTTTTGGAGATCGGAAGTATTTACGACAAAACTTTTAAATAAACCTAAATCGTAATATCGCGAAGCCGCATAAACTTTCACCTAAGATTTTTAGGCCCTTACACAGGTTGTCTACGGAGATTGCCTAGCCCCGATTTTAGCAGGCTTCTTTCTCCGAAAGAAAGAGCTTTGATGAGGGTGTTAAAATAGAATGATAAATTTAATTCAAATCTAAATTAAGCATTAACTGTTTCTGCAGCCATTTCCTGGTAAACGAGCTTTCCACCGGGAGTCTTGACGATCTTTCGACCGTTAGAAGCGGTGTTGTAAGCCAGTCGACGACGGTAGGTAAGTCGCTGGACCATTGTGACCGATTTGATAAATCTGAAACCGCTTCATATTAGTTTTGACAAGGTATTGAGTTTATCAATTTAGATACGAGGAATTTTCATACAATAAGTATTAAAAAAAGTCAATCATCTATCCTTTTACTAATTATTTATACAAGTTAACGCTTATTGCTGCGATCAAAAGATGATAAATTATTCAATAAGGAAAATCTTCAGGAAAGTAACACCAATCTTCAAGTTCGACCTTCTTACAACGATCTCTAATGAAAATCCTCTCAATGGGGGGAGTTTTTAGGCCTCTAGAAACTCCAGAGTCACTGTAATAGTGGAAAAAGGAGGAGATTAGCACCGGATTCACGGAATTTCTCTGGTGGGAAGTATTTTTTCATTCTTTCCAGCAGCGCAGCCAATCAGCGCCGAGCAGGAAAAAGCGTGGGTGTTCTCGAGCGTGGATTGAGTCACCACGTGAAAACCAAAAGAAAAAAGAATCGACGGCGAATCAGTCGAATCAGTTCGCTTCCGTTCGCTCCGGCGATCGGGCGCGAACTCTGATTTTACTGATTCTCCAAGAAAATATAAAAATCGAAGAAGAAAATCAGTCAGTTTGAATGCCGACTCGAAGATACGATCGAAGTGAGAGAGATTGAGAGCGCCCTTTTCGAGTGAGTAAACAAAGCGTAACATTCTCTTATTTTGATTTCAGAATCGAAATAATCTATGTATCTTTACTTTTTTCTTCTTGGTCTTTATTATTCTTATTCAGGAATTGAAGGGGAGCCGTGAACGTCCTTGAGGGGAATCAACAGTTTCAATGTCCGCCAAGATATTGAAAAATGTAAGTTTCTCGCTTTGACTTCAGCTTTTGATTTTGTTGTTCAGGTTTCTCTTGGAAGACTTGGCGGTATGAGATAATCGAAATTCATTGAGTTCGATTCAATGAAGAAACGCAACCGAGACAGCGTTCCTGCTCGGTTGCCGACGCCCATCCTGAAACTGCCCTGCCACTCGTCCAAAGGAGCTGGATGGGCTACAACGTAACCCTAGTGGCGGCTGATTCTCCACAGTAAAGGTCGCTTCACCGCGATCTTCACTTCCACAAGGCTAGATGGAGATTCAGTTTGCCAAGAAACGTCGAAAACCGACGGCAGAATTCACTGAAAGAGTTATTAAAACTCTTTCTGTGTCTTGTACCTCAGAAAATCTTTCTGTGGCTTGTACCTCTTTATTCCCGCAACAATATCGCTGCCAGATTATATTTTAATTACTTCGAATTAACAAAAGTGTCTGATTTAGATAAATTATGAGCACGAAGTCTGGTTGTTCAAGAAGGTCACCAAAGCAACAACCAGTAATGTGAACGAAAGTGCGAAGTTTCTCGAGGAAGAAAACATGGCGTTTCTGAAGAAGCTTTTCATGACAAAAGTCATGAGAAGGCCTTTCAAATGGACGGAAGATTTCCCATCGTGTACTATTTCCTGAATACAATAAGAAACTACTTTTTCATAAAAAGATCTTTGTTTTTCTTGTGTTACTTTTTTACATTCGCAGAAATTATGCAGGTTTATGTCTTGACTTGTTTCTGCCATCTTATTCCGGAATAACTTGCTGTAGGAAAAAAATGCTGTCGAAAGCGGTAGATTTGCTTACTTTCCCCGAAATCAAACAAAAGCTCGTGGCGCGCGAACGTTGTCAAAGCATCGCCGCAGCCATGAGATCGGAGGAGTCCAAATTTCTGGTTTGACATCGTATCCATCGCATTTCCTAATTTGCAGTCTCAGAGTTGTAAGATTTCTAGTCTACTTGTTCCTTTTCTCATCACACAGAGCTCTTTTTCAACCAGCCCTGGCGGAGAGTACAGTAATCAAAAAAATGTTCGTCTAACAATGCAGCGGGATTAGCCACCTTCGGTGTTCATTTTCTTGTCTTTTTTTCTTCGCTTTTCTGAAAAGTTGCTTTTTCGTCTGAACAAGTCGGGCTCTTTCTTTTTGATCAATCCGCAAGTTCACTTTCGACAGATAGTGTTTTTTACGAAAGAGTCTTTTCAGTAACGGAAAAAAAGAGCGCGTCTTATTTGCAAAATACTTCTTTCAGGCGCAGGAAACTGTCAACTTCTCAATTGAAGACTCCATTTTCGTTTCCCAAGAGTTTTTTGGATCCCAGCGAGACTCTTTCTTTTTCAGAGTAAACTCGACTGTGGCATGCGAAGAGAATGATGCAGTTGGAAAAACCAGCCACTGAATCGGATCTGGCAAATGCTCAGGTAATTTTTCCCGTTTTTGCTAATCCCAAGGTTTAAAAAATAATTGTCAGGTGCAGTTCGACGAATGGCTTCAGAAGCAGAAAACCTCGCTGTCGGAAGAGAAGAGCCGACTCCAGGCGCAAAAGGAAAACCAGAACCCGATGAAGGCGCCGAAGGAAGATAGCGCGCTAGAATTAACGGGTAAAACGCAGCCTCTGCGCAGGAGCTACTCAAAAGACACAGAACCGTTGATTTTTAAAATGGGTGAAGAGAACCTTTACCGCAAGAGGCTTATTTCAAAAGGTATTGGTGAGGAGTCAGAACTTGTCGTTGTTGTTTTTGACAGCGGGAAGCGGTAATATCTAGCCCGATATTGCCGCCACCGACCAATCCATTTATCGAAGCGAAAATGGCACGCACTCTCACTTATCACGAATGGCACCTTTTAGCATCCGTAGCTTGCACTTTACACTCACTTATAGGTAGCGGCACGCTTTGCAAGTAAACGTTTATTCGCTTTTTTAGCTTTTTGTTCTTTTAGTTGTATGCACAGAAATGCATGAAGCTAATCTTCTCCTGATGTTAAGTGCTAAAATCATTCTTAGACGCGAGAATAGCGAAGACGGGCATCAATTTGCCACAAAAAGGCTACAATCCCTTCGACACAGATCTCACTCGAGAAGCGGCTCATCGTCGACGGCTTCCGCGTGAGGCTCCCTCATCGTCTGGTGGAGATCTCTTTGCGCATCGTCCAACAACGGCTGAAGTAAAAGATAAGCAAAGACGCGCCTACAAGGCAGCACTCGATGCTCAAATGGCATCGCGAAGACGAGGAGCTATCGCTTCTGTCAGAAGCCATAAAACAGAAATGCCCATGGGTTGGGTTCAGAGAGTTCTAGTGTTGATTTTTCATTCTATAAAATGAATTTCTCTCATCCAAAATAAGCAAATCCTCCAACAAAGCACGAGTCGATCATCCACCATCCAAGCTTTGAAACGCTTGTGAACAACCCCGAACTTAACCAAACTCCTCGGCCGACGAGTCAACTTGCCAAACAAGCGCAGAAATCCGCTGCTATTCAGACTCCTGATATAGACGACTACGAAGACGTAAAAGTACCGACTCCTCGAAATATCAGACAAAAATCGTTTGATCGCGCTCCTCCGCCGCAGTTCGTTCAGCAACCGGCTCCCCAAGTTCACATCGTGCACGCTCCTCCTGCTCAGCAACCAGCGAACCCGCCAGTCCAGCAGATATACCACCAACCTCCTCCCCCGTCGCACTCTATCGACGATTCTCGACTCCAAGCGGCCCTAGAGCAAGCGACGATGAATCTTCAATCGACAAGTGCTGCATTGACGCGCACTGGAGGCATCGCACCCGCGAATTTTGCTCAATATCCAACGACGACAGTGCAGTACTCTTCGCTTCCAACCTACCAAGAGCCGGAGAATCAAGTCAATACTCCCCGACGGGTGCAGATTGATCACACACCGAGAGTATCTCAAAACGAGCCACAGCAATACAGAACGCGCGGAGACGGATCAAATCCGAATAAGCAGTCCGCTAGTGATTACGCAAAAATGCTTCGAGAGCAAATCCAGCAAAGGCAAAGAGAGAAACAGAGGATCAAGAACGAGGAGAATGCATACAACGGTAACTTGTTTAAGAGAATTAAAAAGATTTAACAAAAACTTGTAGCTAAGAAAGAAGTGGAGATGAGATACTATGATCCTTTTGGACGAGGCGGAGCAGGCGCCCCTGTTCGAGGAAAAGACGGCCAAGTGATGACTGATTTGAGGCAAATGCAGTTCATCAATAAGCAGTTGGAAAACAACGTTGATCTGGTTAGATATAAATAAATGCCATACTCATATATAATCCTCCTTTAGACATACGAACTCAAGGACGTTGAACAACGAAATACTCCAGCTCCTCCATCCAGAATCGAACAACTCGATTACGATCGCGAAGAAGCGTTGGGAAAAGGAGCTCGTGTGAAAAGTGACATCTTTGGAGAGCCACAGAAAAAGGACTACAACTACATGGGTAAGTTCTTTCATAGACAAACTTCTCTATGCGACATTTTTTAGCTTACTTAGAAGATGAGATCAGAAAGAAAGAAGAATTGAAGAGGAAAAAGAAGGAGCAAGAAGAGGTTTGTTTTTTTGCGAAAGATTAGATTTATCATTCATGTCTCCAGCTTGAAGCGCAGAAGGAAGAGCAACGAATCATGAAAGAAATCGAAAAGCTCAACCGTCAAGCTGAGGAAGAAAAAAGACGCGAAGAACTTGCAAAGGCGCAGAAAGAAGTAAGCTTAGCAATCGCGAACTTTTCTTACGGTTAAATTCAGCAACAGAAGATGGCCTCTATTCAACGCCAAGCGCCCAAGCTACGGTTTTTACTAACTATGTCCGACGGCCATTTGCCGTGCTAACACCCGACTAAACTCACGTGCACGAAATAAATCACATGTATTTTTGATTCTTTAAAATTATGAATTAAACTTCCAGATTCCTTGATTGACTCTGATTTTGATTTACTTGATTTACATAAATGATTTTGAAAACTTTGATTTTTGGGAAAATTGGAAAAAACCGAAAACCAGGAAACGAAATTCGAAGAACCGAACGTCCATAAAACCGCAAAGGATCGCCCTAAAAAGGTTGTTGATACGTCTGGTTGGGATGCAGAGCAAAAGAAGCTCGACGACGCTCTTAAATCCGCGAAACATCGCTCTCAATCTCGCCAGTCTCAAAAAACGCCTCGTGAAATCCCGCGAACGCCAGCTCACGGAAACGAGCCCGTCCGCCGCTCTGATAACTTGCATCCTCCTCCAACAGCTTCGTACTCCTCCCCCGTTGCGAATCAATCGTACGAGCCTACAGTGAAAAGTCGATCTGACGAGGTGCAGCGCCGTACTCAGTTCAAAACCACTCCGCGCCAGCCTCAAAGAGAGTATCGATCACGCGGTCGTCAGTCTACTACATTGAGGTGACTCTTGTTTTCATTAAATTTTGCGGCTTATTGAATTGCGTCAGTGATATTTCTTGGGATCAGCGAAGTGAGATGAACCTTTATCTGGATCAGCCGGCGCCGTCGCGTCAGAGCCGACATCCCTATCACACAAACCACGCTGCGATTAACACGAAGGCGCTCGAAGAAATCGACCGAATGAAGGAAGCCCTTCAACAGGAACTGATGCACGTCCAGTACAAAGTCGAGCAGAAGAATCTCGAAAACAAATACAGCCAAGATCCGGTCTACAACAGTTCTTATCCAAAGGTAATTGGTTTCTTGCCTCTCAACTGATAAGGAGCTTGATTCATCCTTTCTTCAGACAACATATATCTAGGGTCTACGCGCAAAAAATGGGCAACCTCTTCCGCTTATTTTCACGGAAATCCAATTGTACCATATTTTAGAGCATCCCCGAATTAGTATAAATCGGTTTTAAAAAGAAAAAAAAATCGAGTTTTTCAACCCTTTTTCTCATGTCAAAGTTCCCAAATTCTGGTGTTTTTCAGTTTTTGGCACCGGAAGTGGGTCGCACCCCTATAAAGTACCCTTTTTTTTGTTCTCTGATAATAGCTTACCGTCTGTTGCATCTATATCAGCAAAAAAAATCGTATCGGGTACCTAGTGCAAGATGAGATTTTTAAGTCGGAAGTTCCTCCGGAAGCACTAAAAATGCCGAAATTCGCTCTACTTCTCTGAACTTGGGATTTCTTGAATGGATAACCCCTGCAACTTATCAGAACTGGTCTTACCAAGACTTATCTAACCGAACCGCGGCCCAACCAGCCGGTTTTCTTCAAGAATCATCGAGTGAACCATAATAATGTATGTTTTTTGAATATTGATCAATGGACGATCATTTTGCTCGGCCAGTAAATGGCCACTTATGGTCAACTTTGGTCTTGTTCGGCCGGAGGATCCCGGAGGACCTCCCTGGTGGAAGACCATCCGCTGGAAGACCAATATTCAAAATATTCAATATATGGCCGCGCTCGGTCAGTATATGGCCACCTTTGGTCATCATTGGTCATGTTCGGCCGGAGGACCCCGGAGGACCTCCCTGGTGGAAGACTATTAGATGGAAGACCAAAATTAAATAATAAAATAAAATGCCTTGCTGGGCTAAAAATTGACAATTTCGGCAAACTTTGGTCACTTTATGCTTGAGGACCCCTGGAGGACCCCTTTTGTCGGATAACAATCAACTGGAAGACCAACATTTAAAAAAATAAAAATCAATCATAGTCAATTCAGCGACGCCCATTTATTCTTTTAAATCAGTGTCAGGGCGAAGCCGACCCGGAGGGGAGGTCACGCCCATTTATTCTTTTCAATAAGAGTCAGGGCGAAGCCGACCCGGAGGAAAGGCCAGGCCCGATTATTCTTATCAATCAGTGTCAGGGCGAAGCCGACCCGGAGGGGAGGTCACGCCCATTTATTCTTTTCAATAAGAGTCAGGGCGAAGCCGACCCGGAGGAAAGGCCAGGCCCGATTATTCTTATCAATCAGTGTCAGGGCGAAGCCGACCCGAAGAGGAGGCCACGCTCGTTCATTCTTTTAAATCAGAGTCAGGGCGAAGCCGACCCGAAGGGGAGGCCACGCCCGTTCATTCTTTTCAATCGGTGTCAGGGCGAAGCCAACCCGAAGGGAGGCCACGCTCGTTCATTCTTTTCAATCAGTGTCTGGGCGAAGCCGACCCGAAGGAGGCCACGCCCGTTCATTCTTTTCAATCGGTGTCAGGGCGAAGCCGACCCGAAGGGGAGGCCACGCTCGTTCATTCTTTTCAATCAGTGTCTGGGCGAAGCCGCCCCGAAGGGGAGGACACGCTCGTTCATTCTTTTAAATAAGAGTCAGGGCGAAGCCGACCCGGAGGAAAGGCCAGGCCCGATTATTCTTATCAATCAGTGTCAGGGCGAAGCCGACCCGAAGAGGAGGCCACGCTCGTTCATTCTTTTAAATCAGAGTCAGGGCGAAGCCGACCCGAAGGAGGCCACGCCCGTTCATTCTTTCAATCGGTGTCAGGGCGAAGCCAACCCGAAGGGAGGCCACGCTCGTTCATTCTTTTCAATCAGTGTCTGGGCGAAGCCGACCCGAAGGAGGCCACGCCCGTTCATTCTTTTCAATCGGTGTCAGGGCGAAGCCGACCCGAAGGGAGGCCACGCTCGTTCATTCTTTTCAATCAGTGTCTGGGCGAAGCCGCCCCGAAGGGAGGACACGCTCGTTCATTCTTTTAAATAAGAGTCAGGGCGAAGCCGACCCGAAGGGAGGCCATGCCCGATTATTCTTTTCAATCAGTGTCAGGGCGGAGCCGACCCGGAGGGGAGGCCACGTTCGATCATTTTTTCCAATCAGAGTCAGGGCGAAGCCGACCCGAAGGGGAGGCCACGCCCGTTTTATTTTTAAAATCAGTGTCAGTGTGTAGCAGGCCCGAACGGGAGGCCATGCCCAATTGATTCTTTCAAATCAGTGTCAGGGCGAAGCCGACCCGGATGGAAGGCCACGCCCGAATATTTTTCTTAAACAGTGACAGGGCGAAGACCACCTGAAGGGGAGGCTACGCTCGTTTATTTTTTTTAATCAGAGGGAGGGCGGAGCTGACCCAAAGAGGAGGCCACGTTGGATCATCTTTCTCAGTCAGAGTCAGGGCGAAAAGGATTTAACAGGGCTTTTCTGTTGTGCTTTTGTCTGTTGAATTTTGAACGCTCTGAAATCCCGAATATTGAATCCGTAAGAAACCTTCCGAATGATTTTCGGGACGAAGTTATTCGGAAAATCTAAAAAAATTCGTGAACTTGAAATATTTTTAGAGACAAGCCTTGCTTTACCTCAGACTTAATAAGATGGACGGAAATGTGATTCTCTTCCGGTCGCCTTCGCCCAAACCCTGATTTAAAGAATGAACAGCCGTGGCCTCCCTTTCGGGTCGGCTTCGCCCTGACTCTGATTTAAAAGAATGAACGAGTGTGTCCTCCCCTTCGGGTCGGCTTCGCCCAGACACTGATTGAAAAGAATGAACGAGCGTGGCCTCCCTTCGGGTCGGCTTCGCCCTGACACCGATTGAAAAGAATGAACGAGCGTGTCCTCCCTTCGGGTCGGCTTCGCCCAGACACTGATTGAAAAGAATGAATGAGCTTGCCTCCCCTTCGGGTCGGCTTCGCCCTGACACCGATTGAAAGAATGAACGGGCGTGGCCTCCCTTCGGGTCGGCTTCGCCCTGACACTGATTGAAAAGAATAATCGGGCGTGGCTCTCCTTCGGGTCGGCTTCGCCCTGACACCGATTGAAAAGAATGAACGGGCGTGGCCTCCCTTCGGGTCGGCTTCGCCCTGACTCTAATTTAAAAGAATGAACGAGCGTGTCCTCCCCTTCGGGTCGGCTTCGCCCAGACACTGATTGAAAAGAATGAATGAGCTTGGCCTCCCCTTCGGGTCGGCTTCGCCCTGACACTGATTGAAAAGAATAATCGGGCGTGGCCTCCCCTTCGGGTCGGCTTCGCCCTGACTCTAATTTAAAAGAATGAACGAGCGTGTCCTCCCCTTCGGGTCGGCTTCGCCCAGACACTGATTGAAAAGAATGAATGAGCTTGGCCTCCCCTTCGGGTCGGCTTCGCCCTGACACTGATTGAAAAGAATAATCGGGCGTGGCCTCCCCTTCGGGTCGGCTTCGCCCTGACACCGATTGAAAAGAATGAACGGGCGTGGCCTCCCCTTCGGGTCGGCTTCGCCCTGACTCAAATTTAAAGGAATAAACGAGCGTGTCTTTCCCTTCGGGTCGGCTTCGCTCAGACACTGATTGAAAAGAATGAATGAGCTTGTCCTCCCCTTCGGGTCGGCTTCGCCCTGACACCGATTGAAAAGAATGAACGGGCGTGGCCTCCCCTTCGGGTCGGCTTCGCCCTGACTCAAATTTAAAGGAATAAACGAGCGTGTCTTTCCCTTCGGGTCGGCTTCGCTCAGACACTGATTGAAAAGAATGAATGAGCTTGTCCTCCCCTTCGGGTCGGCTTCGCCCTGACACCGATTGAAAAGAATGAACGGGCGTGGCCTCCCCTTCGGGTCGGCTTCGCCCTCACACTGATTGAAAAGAATAATCGGGCGTGGCCTCCCCTTCGGGTCGGTTTCGCCCTGACACCGATTGAAAAGAATGAACGGGCGTGGCCTCCCCTTCGGGTCGGCTTCGCCCTGACATTGATTGAAAAGAATAATCGGGCGTGGCCTCCCCTTCGGGTCGGCTTCGCCCTGACACCGATTGAAAAGAATGAACGAGCGTGGCCTTCCTTTCTGGTCGGCTTCGCCCTGACACTGATTGATAAGAATAATCGGGCCTGGCCTTTCCTCCGGGTCGGCTTCGCCCTGACTCTTATTGAAAAGAATAAATGGGCGTGACCTCCCCTCCGGGTCGGCTTCGCCCTGACACTGATTTAAAAGAATAAATGGGCGTCGCTGAATTGACTATGATTGATTTTTATTTTTTTTTAAATGTTGGTCTTCCAGTTGATTGTTATCCGACAAAAGGGGTCCTCCAGGGGTCCTCAAGCATAAAGTGACCAAAGTTTGCCGAAATTGTCAATTTTTAGCCCAGCAAGGCATTTTATTTTATTATTTAATTTTGGTCTTCCATCTAATAGTCTTCCACCAGGGAGGTCCTCCGGGGTCCTCCGGCCGAACATGACCAATGATGACCAAAGGTGGCCATATACTGACCGAGCGCGGCCATATATTGAATATTTTGAATATTGGTCTTCCAGCGGATGGTCTTCCACCAGGGAGGTCCTCCGGGATCCTCCGGCCGAACAAGACCAAAGTTGACCATAAGTGGCCATTTACTGGCCGAGCAAAATGATCGTCCATTGATCAATATTCAAAAAACATACATTATTATGGTTCACTCGATGATTCTTGAAGAAAACCGGCTGGTTGGGCCGCGGTTCGGTTAGATAAGTCTTGGTAAGACCAGTTCTGATAAGTTGCAGGGGTTATCCATTCAAGAAGTCCCAAGTTCAGAGAAGTAGAGCGAATTTCGGCATTTTTAGTGCTTCCGGAGGAACTTCCGACTTAAAAATCTCATCTTGCACTAGGTACCCGATACGATTTTTTTTGCTGATATAGATGCAACAGACGGTAAGCTATTATCAGAGAACAAAAAAAAGGGTACTTTATAGGGGTGCGACCCACTTCCGGTGCCAAAAACTGAAAAACACCAGAATTTGGGAACTTTGACATGAGAAAAAGGGTTGAAAAACTCGATTTTTTTTTCTTTTTAAAACCGATTTATACTAATTCGGGGATGCTCTAAAATATGGTACAATTGGATTTCCGTGAAAATAAGCGGAAGAGGTTGCCCATTTTTTGCGCGTAGACCCTACATATATCTTTTTTGTCGAGAATGGAACTCCTATACTTTTTGTATGTTTATACTCTTGCATGTATTTCGGTGAAGATGAAACTAAAATGTTCATTTTCAGCCGCAGTTTTCTGCACCGCCAAGGCACAATCTCTCCGCGCGGAATCGCTCTATTATGGCACCGCCAACGGATGAGCAGATTCGCCAAAACACGCAAGAGTACATTAACCGTACGACGGCGACGGATGATTTGACCGAAAAGGATCTTCTCGATATTAAAAACGACGATCAAATTGGCGATGGCGCTAAGCTTGACGATAACCCAGATCCTACTTTCTTGACTGCTGTTCCGACGGAAAAAAGTATTGATATTCAGAGGTCAACTAAGGTCGAATTCGCCCCGAGTCCTGAGTCTTCCCAGACTGAGTTGGATACAGGAAGGAGTTACTAAAGCATATTATGTTCTACAACTTTACTCTTCAAAAATCTCAATCAATCTCTCATCAAATTTTAGCTATTTCTTCGTAACTTTGATTAGCCGGACTTGCGGAAAGAAACGCTGCTCGCGAGGTATCTAAAATATCTTCTCTGCATTCTCGCTCCTCCCAAAAACTCATTCACACAGACAGCAGCGAAGCTGTGCTTGAGAACCGAAAAGTTTCAACCATCCAAACAGGGTTAAAAGGGGCTAAACGGCCGGGTGAAGAGCGTAAAGTGTCGCGCAAGATCCACGCGCTGCTCGAGCTCCAAGCCGAAGGTTCTAGCGAAGGGTTGAAAAGTGAGAGCTCAAACTTGAGCCAGCTGAACCGTCTCTCCGCCATGCGCCACGATATTCGCAAAAAGTGGCAGAGCGTCATAGACTAATCGTAAATTTTCGATGTTGATAAGATTATTCGTCGTTTTTTTTGTTGTTGTTTCCCGTCTCGCCCCTGGCAGAGAAACGGAATTTCATGTCAGAAAATTTTAAAATCTAAAGCTTTTTCGTTTCAGCCTTCGAATGCCAGTTTTATTGGTCAAGTAGATGAACTCATCTATGCTTACTAACATAACAGTAAGACTAACACGCTGTGTACTATTTGAACAAAATAACTTTCATTTTTTAAAAAGCCGGTATCTTGTCTTCCTCGTTGATTGCATAAGACATAGGTTCCGCCTTGAAATGATGATTAAAAGAATTGATTGAATTTGAACTCTTGCCCTGCTTGTTTTTGAATTTTTATGGCTACTGAAGCATGTGTGTATAGCGATAGAGGCATGAATATTCATCCCTAATTTGTTTTTCAGAAATTGATCTTGGAAGTTGAGAAGAGTCTTGAAGCGCCAGAAGACTCCAGCGATCGTCTGCAAATCGTCTCCAACTCTCATCTGGACTAACTTCATCGAACTCTCTACCTTCAACTTCAAATCAACCCTATCCCATAAATGACTGTACATTTACCTCCAAGAAACAAATTTCCAATTCTAAAGATAAACAGTGCACTTTCGCACAGCTTCCAAAATACCGTCATTGTCTTATTAAAAAAGTACCACTTTCCCTCGAACAATCAATTCGTCTTTCCTGCAATTCCCGATTCAAAAAACAAACCTACAGATTGGAATTTTCTCATACCAATTCTTGTAGAATCAAAACTGAAAAAAATATTTTATGTATTTTTATGCGACACAATTTTCTTTTTGTATTTCTATTTTTGTAGCACAATATAGTTCCTTTTCTATAAAACAAAGCAAAACTGATGAATTTAACATATTTTTAATCAGTATGTCGGCAACGAAGTCGGAACTGGAATCTCCGGGGGGAAATCGAAAGCTTCGCCCAGAGATCCAGAGATACGTTCCAGGAAAAACGAAGATCTCGAAACAAGAGCAAAACCAAAACGACGAAAATTCGCAAAAGCGCCTTTTAGGAAAGTTAAAAAACCCAACAAAATCGCTGACAAAAGCAAAAGTTCGAGAGTGTATTAAATCACATGACCAGAGTTGACCGGGCTTCTAACTAAAGAACAGAGCTTATAAATCAGAAGCAAAAGTTTCGAAATGAAAAACTGTCGCAGCAGAACAACGGCGAGAGAGCGAGAAGCCGAAAGAATTCGGAAAACGTTCCTGCCAAGAACGCGAATTCCGTAGCCACAAACAGCCACGCAAAAGCCATGGCCGAAACAAACAATAATGAGCAGCAGAAAAGCATCGAGCGCAAAGAACCCAATCCGAAGAAGCCAAATCAGAACAAACGCAAAAATACGAAGAAAAAAGGTAAACGCCCGACATTTCTTGCTCCCTCAAAGCCTTATCAATTAACTCTCAATAATCGCTGTTGTCTTCAGACAGTCGTCCCCAAAACACTCAACAGCAGGACAACTCAGACGCTCGTTCGGACATCTCGCGCGCTTCGACCAACATTTCCTCCCGCGGAGGCCGGAACAACCAAAATCGACAGAATCAAAAGTCGTCAAAGTTTCAAGAATTCCGAAAAATATCCAAGCAAAGAGAGGAAATCCAAGCCAAGGTCTCGGATTTGGTGTGACCCGCTGTGCGCAAAAATGAGTCCCCTGAAATGGCGCACAAAATGATGTGCGCAGCATTCGCGGATCACAGAAAAGGCTGTGATTCAGTCTAGCACACCGCCAAATTTGCTGTGGCCGATCACAGCTCTCAATCACAGAATTCGTGTGATCCAAAAATTAGGGATGGGAATTCAGGCTTTCATAACGAGGGATTGTTGAATCATCTCAAAGGTCGAAGCCGCGTTATCGGAAATTCTTATCATCCGGCCATGGGATGAATAGTTTTAACAGGTTTCAAATAAGTCGGACATAAATTGGTGGAGCGATTTTGAAAGTGTTAGAGTCGAGATATTTCGACTCTCTCTTTTGCACCATGTTGGGGAGGGTCTGATGTGTGTTAAATAAGATTTTGGTGTTATTTGAATATGTGGAGGTGGAGTAATGAAGTCACAAAGTTGATTGTGCCCTTCTATAACGCATTTTCATGACGTCATAACTCCACCACCAGAAATGTTATTGACACCAATTCTTCTTAAAATATGTAAACTTATATCCGGCTACAGTCTGCAAGTTACAGATCGTAATTATCTTAGCCCAATCAAAAGTTACAGACATCGTATGTCCGACTAATTTGAAGCCTGTTTTTCCTAATGAAATTCAGTGATAAATTCATGGGTCGGGCGAAAGGAATTCTGGATCACAAAAAAATTTGTGATCCAAATAAGACTGAATTTCAATTCTGTGATCGAGCCTCGATCACAGTTCTTCTGTGATCGAATAAACCTGCGCACATCTTATTGTGCGCCTTTTCAGGAGACATGTTTTCGTGCACAGCGGATCACACCAAATCCGAGACCTTGATCCAAGCTAGAGAGGAGCGCCCGCGAGACGATCGAGGATCCTACTCCCGCGGTGGTCCCCCAAGAGGAGGATCTCATCAACCAGATCGAGAAGTCCGTATTCAGCAAGAAACGAGAGAAGCAAGAGCTAAAAATGACAATCCTCCACGAAATAACAGAAACCGACACGAACCGACTAACCGACGAGACACAGACACCAGAACAAAATCTGAAACGTCGAGGGGTTCAAATAAAGAGAGCAATATAAGAAATCGCCAAGAAAACAACAGATCCAATAATCAAAAACAACAGAAGCCACGAGGCAAAGCAGAGGATAGAAGAAAAGTCGAAAAAGAAAAGACACCTCCTCCTGCTGAGCGAAAAGAAGCTTCACCGGAAATCAAGTCGCCAGAAAAGGCACTTGTGTCTACTCCACAGAAAACGGCCGATTGGGGTGATCTCATGAACGAGGAAGACGAAGGGTTTAGCTTCGAACCACCAGGCGTTTCCAGGCGCGATTCGTGGGCCACTCTTGAAAATTCTAGCAGCAGGGACGCTGATACGGCTCCAAGACCATCAGGAAGCGCCAGACAACGGCCACAGAAAATCAAAGAGGAAGATGACTCTTCATCATCGAAACGCGCAAACGGCATTTCAGTGATAAGAATAAATCCGTCGCAAATGTCCCGCGTGCGCAAAGAATCGGAAAAATACAACGCTTCAGGTTCGATCTTTCACTATTTCACAACATGCCCTATCAAATAATAATTAGACTCTGATGGGTACTCCACGACCGGGAATCCGGGAAGCGTTTATGGCAATCGTGCAAGGAAAAGGATCGATCGATTTAGTGCCGCTCTTGTAACTAACAGTGGCATCGACAAAAAAAAACTTACTTAAACGAGAAACATAGTAAACGAAAATAGATTAGCATGTCTTTTTAGTATCGAGAAAGTTATCCTTCCCAAAGAGCTCCGCCAAATGGTGCCCGAATGGTCAAAAGTCGACCGCGAGGTGGTGGCCGCGGCGGTTACGATCCGGATTACGACCGTAACATCAACAGATACAGGGGTCGAAACGACGACAACTTCCGAGATCAGGACCGTGTCGTCGAAATGGTCAACAACGATACTCGCAGACGCAGTAAGATCACTTTTTTTGGTTTCTTTTTTCATCGGTATTTAGCAAAAGAAAGCGACATGAAGTACAACCTCGAAAACGCAATTTGTAATTTCAAGCAAGCATATGAGAGCGCTCGTTTCTTAAAAACCTCAATTCCAGAAAAGAAACGCGCACTCGATATCTTCACACAACTTGTCACATTCCATCCCGTTTTTACTTTTTCGGAAAAAGTTTTTGATCTGGTAAGGTCGTTTGCAAATTCGCGATTTGTCATTTTTTAGGTCTGGAAGGGAATTTTTTACCGGGAAGTAGAGATCTTTCGAAAAAAACTCGAAAACAGCAACGATCAGGAGGAAACATCGAGGACTACTGCTGATTTCGTCGAATGTCTTCTGATGGGCGTGGACTTCTACGACGATCTCGTCCGCAGCTGCGAGGAAAAATTCCAATTCAGCGTCAAGTACCACGAAAATCACGGAATCAAAGTCGCTCGGGCAAAGCAAGTGAAAGTGTGTCTATATTTGTGCCAACAGTTCTTCATCCACATGGGCGACCTAAGTCGATACATCGAACAGCTCGATAGAAGCGGTAAGCCGACTATATCTTGAGATAAAACTGCACGTTGACGCATTGAGAAAAAAATATATATTTCGAACTTTATCTGTGAAAATGAAAGAAATCGATTTAAAAAAGCAGAAATCGCGAACTCCTTTAATTGATGCAAGAGTAACCAGCAGAGAAAGAGGACAAAAAAGTGGCTGTGAAAAAAAGAGGTTGACTCATATTTTAAGCCCTTCCGCGTCTGTCACGCAAGATGCCAAATTCGCGTGAGTTCTACACGACGGCCAAAAACCTGGATCCTAGGCATGCGAAGCCCCATTACCAGCTCGGCGTCCTTTCCACCGAGCAGCAGAGACATTTTGAAGCGATCATTCATTACATTCGCGCCGCTTCTGTTGATAAGGGAGGTGGCAGTGGCACTGCAATGAGCCTCAATAAAGGTACTAAACTTTGTCGTTCTCAAATCGTTAGCATAAAAAATAGAGTTCGAAATGGCTCGCCGCGAAGCAGTGTCTTTCCTCGCCCGAAAGGAGCACCAAAAAGAACTAGCAAAAACACTGGACAATCGAGAAATCTGGTTCATAAAGAGAAAACTGCCGAATATGTCGAAAGAGCAGCTGAATAAGCGTTTTAAATTGACGTTTCTCGCAGCTCTTGGTCGAATATTCACTGGGATCGACGTCGCTATGGTCAAAGACTTTCTGGAACAAGCGTACAGTGATTTGGACTCGCTCATTTCAATGACAAAGAATGGCGAAAGGCCATACATCCCCGCCGGTTTCCTCGTTGAATTGTCGATCGCCGCTGTCTTCGGAATTCAGCAAAGTATCGAAAGGAAGCAAAACGAGAAGGACGCGTTGATGATGTTCTTCGGTCTCTTGGCGCTGCTCTGTAGAAGACTCAAAAACAAACTCAAGAGCTTGATGAAGACATGTCCGGACGGGGACATTTACATCATCGGGGACGGAATGTGTCGACTACTCGCTTTTGACGAGATTCAAAATCGTACGACCCATGTCTACCCGAATCCGGGAAGAACGATCAACGAGATAAAACAGCGAGTTGAGCAGCTATCAATAACTACTGGTAAGAAAATGCACGATTTATATATGCCTGCCTCAAGCGTCCCTCCCAGTCCCACATGGTCTAGGGGTTAGGATTTCGGATTTTCACTCCGACGGCCCGGGTTCGATTCCCGGTGTGGGAGGACTTTTTCGTTTTTGATTTCTTACTGTTATTCAGGTCCTACTGTACCCATCTGCATCTTGCACGTCGGTAGCGAGGATTCATCGACTGCTCATCAGACAAAACCGGTTGAAGAGATCGTCACGAACTTCCGCGAACTCGTTTCCGTCGTTAAGGTTCGTCAGAGGAAATGATTCAATAAAATTCAATAACTAAATTTACTTTCAAATAGTCGACCTTTCCAAACGCTGCGATTTACTTTTCTGAGATTTTCCCTCGCTGGGATCAGGACAGTTCCAGATCAGAAAAGCTCAATAATGAGATGTACAGAATTGCGCCAGAGCTAGGCATCAAATTCCTTCGAAACAAAGAAAATTTCAACAGGAAGGAATTATTCGTATTCAAGTATGGCTATCTTCAGATCTCAATTTTTTTTTGCTTTGAATTAGGGAGAAAGAACTGACGGTCTTGAGCGACAAGGGCAAGAAGCTATTTAGTTCGGAGCTCACCAAGGTAGACAAGAAGCGTTTCGATAGTACACTAAGGAATGAATTCTAGTGCATCGAAAAAGAGCTGTCAAGCCACAACGATTTCGGCCGAGCGCTTGAGAACGATCAAGTGAGCGCACTTCTGCCAGCAATGCGCATTCTCACCGAGTACTTGGCCACTCATCACCAACAGTAATGATTGAAGCAGTGATAGACAGTTACGGAGTTTTTAGCTCAATGTTCGCCAGCCAGAGGATCCAAAATCTGGAAAGTGTAGGCAGCTGTGGAGCGATTTTCTCCGAGCTAGCGAATTTGATCTGCCACAAGGAACTCCCTGTTCACGTTTCTTCCACGACCAGGAGCAATCACCAAGATACAGTGAATTGTATCGAAACTGTCGATTTACAGGGATTCAAGCCGCTCAAAAACTCTGAAATCGGAAGGGTATTGTCCGTCATCTACCTCTCCCGGTTATCGCTTTTCTTAGGACTGGTTTGGTGCGAAGAGCAACCGACTTTTCGAAAATACAGTTCGAATGACAGTTATCTCCAAAGCCTTGGACGCCCATGCGAAGGAGGAAAATCGAGCGTTCCGTGTTCACAGAGGCCAGTTTTTGCCAACAGAGACTGACAAGAATAGCCCGAATGCGACCGACGACCGCTATTTGGTGAAATACGTAGTGCCGGATACTAACTGCTGGATCGAAAAATCAGATAAACGTGAGTATTCAGTCATTATCTATAACCTATAGACTATAGGCTACAGTATAGCGGGTGTTCGCTCTCCCGCTGAGTGAAAGATGGATCGTTTTTTAGAACATCGTGCGCCATCTTTTGGTCGAGCTAAAGCTTAAATATAGCAGTAAATCGTAAAAAATCAAGGAATAACATGTTCTTCAAATGAAGCAGTATCACATATGTACTTGAATCAATGAAAATCTTTATCAGGTCATTCGAAAATAGTTTCAAATAAAAATTGTAATGAATGAGAACTGAAAAAATAACCTGTCTTCCAGTGTCGAAATTATTCAATCTCGAAGATCTTCATCTGGAAGTGCTCGTTTCGCTCTGCGTCAAAGCCGAGCTTGAAGGTCTGACAAAGTCAGAAAAGCCAAAAGTCGCGAAGCAAGCAGAAAAGTCCCTCGATCTAATTGAATCCGAACGACTTCGTTCGCTTACTTCGAAGGGAGTCATTCTTGCAGGTTAGTTTGATCCTTCTTTACGGGGACAAGAGTTAACGATCGAAATTTTAGCTGGAAAATCGTACGCGGAGCAGCATCAAAACAATATCCGAAACGACGATATCATCAAAAACTCAGTGAAACTTGCCAAGAACTCCGTTCTATTAACAGACGATAAAAACCTAATGGTAGATTCGTATTTAGATATGATTGAATAACTTGTTCAGTTAAAATCTCGTTCCGAAAAAGTGCCTGTAATGATGGTGCATCAATTCCTCGACTGGAGCAGCAACTGCTAGAAATCGCGCTAAATCCAAGCAGCTTTCAGTGTGTGTTCCTGACTGGATGGAAATTTCTTATTCTCTCTATCGTCCAAACAAGTTCAAACAAACCAAATTCAAGAAAACATAAAACTAAAACCGAAAATCGTCAAAAATGAAAATTGAGCTTCTTCCTGTCACGACTTCAGAAACGTTCTTGGCCACATCGAACACTTGCCACTGCATAACGACGCAACATTTTTTCCTTTTCTACTTTTTAACACTTTCAGTTTCAATTTCGAGGCAGGCCCCTCCCTTTTTCCACAAATTCAAGATCTCCAATTTCTTTCTTTCGTTTTAAAAATCAACTTTTGCCGCTACTGACTGATTTTTTTCCAAAAATCTCCCGAAACAAGTGACGCAAGGCCGTTTTTTCTTTCGTACAAAACAAAAAAAAAGACCTTACAACATTTCTCAACGCAATTTGAACATTTTCTTGTGATAAAAGACCGTAAAAGTAGTGTTTCTATCAGTGAGAGCTTTCATTCTACTCATACCGCTTTCTTTGTAAATGTGATTTTTGCTTAACCTGCTTCCTGTTTTCTCTATTTTATGTTCTCGTGTGCCTTTCCTTGCTTCCCGAGAGCAAGAAGAGGAGAAGAAGATCGAGTCTGAGTCGGTTATCCTCTTTCTCTTTGTTCTGTCTTTCTTCTCCTCATTTATATATAAATCGGCAAAGAAAAAAACTAAAACTTTAAAACATTTAAACTCTTCAATTTCTTGTTCTACTGCTTTTCTGCCAGCATTGGTCCAATTTATTCATACAAAACAATTTCTTTCGCTTTCAAATAAATTTCTTTCCCTTTCAGAAAGCGTCCAACGGGTGTCTGCTTTGTCCCTGGTACAATCCGCAAATGTCCGATTATCAGACTCTGGAGCACGATTCAGAGTCCGAGAGTTTGCTGCCCGGGCCTACCACGGAAAATGAAAACGCGCCCTTGCTAGGCTCCTCGAGAAGTGGGCGCATTCCAGAGCCTCAGAATTGCTTCCCCGACCTCCTCGATTACACACAGCTTGTGAAAAATGTACGCAATGCATTTGCATTACCCATAGTTATTTCAAACTTAGGTGGAAATCGCCATTACTCGGGGACAGCTGCCAGAAAGAATCATCCAAGGAAGCTCTGGTAGCTACTTTGTCAAAAACATCGACGGTGACACTGTTGGCGTTTTCAAGCCGAAATGCGAGGAGCCCTACGGTCCGCAGAATCCAAAGTGGGGAAAGTACATTCAGCGCATGATGTGCCCCTGCGCTTTTGGCAGAACTTGTCTTCTCTCAAACCAGGCAAGAATCGAAGACATCTATCCTTCTTTATCGCTTACTTCAGGGATATCTTTCGGAAACAGGCGCATCAATCGTGGACAAGATGCTCGGCCTAGACATGGTTCCAGTGACGCGAGTTGTCCATCTGACCGCTGAGAGCTTCAACTACTCTGCCATCGACCGGGCAAAATCCAAAACAAAGGTCCATTTTTTGTGCAGCGTTGTTTCTTACTTTTTCTGTAGACCGCCACTGCAGAGAGAATACCGAAGCTAGGCAAGAAGTTCAACAGGCTAGGACTCCCACCAAAAACTGGCAGTTTACAGACCTTTGTTTCGGGTTACAAAGACGCCGAATACTGGCTCAGACGCTGGGACGATACTATTTCAGAAACGGCCAAGGTAGATTTGCGAAAATTGATTTAAAAAGGATGAGATTTGTTTCAGTCAGAGTTTCAATTGCAATTTGAACGTCTTGTTGTCTTGGACTATCTTATTCGAAACACAGATAGAGGTTCTGAAAACTGGTAAGCTGGGTAGCTCCCGATAAAGTTTACTTACCCGGATTTAGGTTGATAAAGTACACACCAGAGTCGGAATCGGACTCAGGCGAAAGCGTCAACGACGAATGGTCAGTCGTCAAACCAGCACAAGTGAAAATTGCGGCCATTGGTAAGTCAATAATCATACCTCTTGCTCATTAAAAAAACAACTAGACAACGGACTGGCCTTTCCGGTCAAGCATCCGGATAGTTGGCGCGCTTATCCCTATCACTGGGCTTGGCTTTCCCAGGCGCAGAAGCCCTTTTCTGAAGATACAATTCAGTTGGTTATGCACAAGGTAGGAGCTTTTGCTGCGAAAAAATCAACTAATGATTTTAGGTCAACAATCCGGGCTTCATTGAAGAACTCGTGGAGGAATTGAAGGAAGTGTTTAAAATGGACTCTGACTTTTCGGAAAAGAAGTTTGAAAAGCAAATGTCGGTTCTGCGAGGACAGGCGCTCAATCTGTCCCAAGCGATGAGGTAAGAGTACTTGAAGATTTATTGCATTTGCCTTCGAGGCATCGGGTAATGCTATCAGCATAAATATTATCAATTGCACTTCAATTGCTTGTCCCGGAAAGAGCGTTAATTTAAGAGAACGGAAATCGCCAGCCCAACTCGTCCAGATGACGCCAATCACGATCAACAAGTCGCCCGCGACGAGCATAGGCGGGCGCATCCGAACCGCAACGCAGCACTTCACTCAAAAGTTCCAACTGACGCGCCCCGTCTTCAGTTGGTGCTAGAAAGAACATCGGACAATCGCAATAATTTCAACTCCGCAGTACTTCAAAAAACCTTCTTTTATCAGAAAAAAGGAACACAGGTGCTCCTTTTTTAAATTTATCCACTTACCTTTCCTTTACTTGTATTATTTGAGCGGTAAACCCTAAAGATGATGCTGCTCTCCATTAATAATCGTTCGGACAAAGACTTTTTTGTCGGTTCCTCTTTGAAAGTAATTTTGTTTTTTAACGATCTTCTTAAAATTGATCGTGACGTTAAAAAAGTCCTTTTCTGGTCTTTTTGTCTCTGGAAAACTGCTTCAATTCCGGACATTTTGTATAACAAAAATTTTGACTTTTATCAACCTACAAAACAAACTCGTATTCTTCATTCTAAAAGTCTGTTTAATTTTTATTGTGCCCACTTAGAACTAACAGAAATGTTACTTCCGGGCTCTTTTTTTATCAAAATGCTTGCTTGCCTATTTTTTCAAAACCAAAACATACTACTATTCTTCTTCTTCTTTTGCTTTGGACAGAAGAAGAACATTCAAGAGTCTCTTGTCAGACTTGTTAAAAAGAAAATATCCAAATATTGTATTCTGAAATTCACCAGCTTCACAACTCTCTTTTTTAATCTCTGGACCTACAAAATATGTCATTTCATCAAATATTCATAACTTCAACCTATTCATAAAAAATAAAGACAAAAACTATCGCTGCTGATTGTCACTAAGTTCCCACTCAGTGGTTCCTAAATCCAACAGACAAAAAGTTGCCACTGGTATTAGCTGTACGAATTCATTTCTGTTCAACGTTTTTTTCCTTTCCTCGAACTATCGCAAACGCTTTGTGGCGGTAAATTGAAACTCATCTGTCTTGGCCAATTTTTATTGTGCAATAATATAATAATAATGATCCGATAGAGCTCGAGTTGAAACTGAACCCGCTTGACCAATCCTAGTTTTATTACTGTACTGGTATTTAACGATTTAACTCATTAAATCATCGAAGAACACTGGCGACTAGTACCAGTGGCAATTTGAGGCATGCAAAAACGAAGATGTCTATAGAGAATATGGTTTTAGCGTAAGTTACCGATCTTGAGTAGTGGAAGACCAATCCGTAAAATAGGATCTTGACGCACGATTAAAGTAGGAGGGATGAAGGAAAGATGCCTGGTCAGGCGGGTTCAGTCACAAGTTCACGGCTTGCGAGCGGTTACATAATACTAGCTGGATTCAGATTTTGTCAATATTGAAGCTTTCCCGTTCGGGTTCAGCCGAGGGCGCGGCGCTTCTCACGACCAGTGGCCGTTTTTGTCGACTCAAGTTGAAGTGGAGCGACCCCACGTTACCCAGCCATTGCTACTTACGCTCCAGCCAAAATAATAAAGAAAAGAGAAATTATAAACCAAGGATTGTAAATACAAACTGAGAGAAAGTGAGAAGGAATAACTACACACAGCACGAGGCGTGATCTACTGATGGACCCCGAGGATAAATGCTGATCTTTTTCTTACTGGCTACGACGATACTCAGTGAAAGCGACTTTTCTGGTAATAAAAGTTTTTTTTTTACTTCTATCATTCTACAAAGAACATGAAGTGCTCAAGAAGTTGAACATCCTTTTTAGAGAATCTCTGGTACAACTCGTTCGCGGACAGCGACGGGAAACTCGAGTACTCGTGCGTCGGAACTCCACGAAAAAATCCTGCGGAAACCGCCAGCGACGTTATTGGACCCTTCGAGGAGCTACGTCAGCAGTACCCGACAATATGTTCCTGCTACGACGATGTTCGAAACGAAGAACTTTGTCCCATCGACGTGAAGGCCGAGGCGGACAGCTGCGGACTTGTGTGCAAGATCAACTGCCGCAATCAGCGCGACCCGCTCAAATGCTTTGACAATCAGACGGGCGAACTTACAGAAGGGACGGGCTCTAATGCAAACTCCTTGTAGTCTAGACTTATTCTTTTTTCGCAGGGAGCAGTTGCGACAAATATTACATTTCCTCGATACAGTACGTGACTGTAGTTGCTCATGTGCGTGTTTTCTGTCTGCAATGGTTCGGCTTCCAGATCAGCCTTTTTCAGCCAATAAAATAAATTATTTATTGAGCCCGAACTCAGGTGCTCCGCAAAACCGAAGCTGCACCTTTCACCTCCGCTTCCCTTTTGAACCCGAGAACGACAAGCTTTATCCCTTTCCAGCGCGCGAGGACAATGGCTACTTCATCGAACACATTTATCGCAGTTGTCTTCACAAAAACTATGAGAACGATCAAGGTGAGTTCACTTTCTGCCATTTCTCTATCTTATCCATGGTTTTCTAGTTGACGACGCAGTGGCGCATCCCTTTTACTACTGCCAAAGCGTTGACTCGTGTCAGATTCTTGATTGTACCAATTTAACCGTCGAAAATATCATGTTTTATTACAGCGACATTGGTAAGTAGCCACTTTATTTTTCCTGGACATCCAGTTTGAATAATTATCGCTAAAACGATTTTTAAACGTAGACAGAAGCTATTACTATCATCTTCGTAAGTTACTACAGATTACTAAGTATACTACTGGAGACTAAAAGACTCGAAATTCTTCGCGATTTTAACAAGAAGTCATTACTAGAAATACTAGAATCAAAAATCTTCATTTCTAATTTACGGGTGTGTCTTTTAGTTGGAGTGTCTTATCCTTAAAATCGCGAGGCAATCCTCCCATTCGACTGGTCGTTGGTTAATTCAAAGTTAAGATCATTTTCCTGCGCAGAAAACGACGCCCGACAGGCACTTCATTTGCTCGTGCGATTACCCTTTCGTCAGTGCCCCTGGAGAACGCAACTTCACCAGTTGCAAGGCAAACGTCGAAGCCGTCTGGGCAGAGCTCAACTCGTTCAACGCTTTAGAAAAGTGCCTTATTGTCAATCAATGTAACACTGCTTGCGCTCAAGAGAAAAACGCCGCCAACTTGAGGTAATGCTCGAGAACTGCTTCTGTTCCACGAGATCTTACTCTTGCTTAGTATGAACAAGAAGTTGCGGCAAATCTGCGGCCAAGTTGGCGGACCAAACACCTTCCTGCTTTGGATTTGCTTCTTTGCCGTTTCGACGGCCGTGTTGTTCGTGCTCGTCGCTTACCGCCGTTGCAAGAGTTTTGGCTTTCGCGGTTCTGGTGGTCATGGGACAGACGCCGGCGCCACGGAAGTCACAATCCTTGTTGATTCCCGAGAAGAGCCTCTTCTCAAAGCTCTGAAAGTCTTCGAAGGTAGACGCTTGTAGTTGAAACAATCTCTCATCTCTCGCTTTTCAGGAAGCATTGAGACGAAGGCGGTCCCATACATTCTCACCAAGTTCCGTGATTTATATTCTCAAAGTTCAATCTTCGGCAGCATAACTTCTTCTGACGTTCTCAACGGGCGCCTGCCCCATCATTTCCTAGAACTTGACGCGTTTCTTCAAAGCCACTGTATTAATCAGGTGAGGGCGAAGCGAAGTAATCAGTCTTGCTGACGATCGAGTTCAGAATTCTTATCTTGACGATAACAAAGTTATCAAACTGCTCTACGATCTGAGTTGGTGGATCAACGAGCTCCACGGATCAGACCACGGAGGCCACAATGACAAATGGAGCCAAGAGCCAAAGACCTGGAGCATTTTTCACGGCGCAATCAATCCAACTAACATCAGAATCTGTATCCAAAACAACTGTACATATCTCATAGGTAGGCTCTTACAGTCTCACAGTCGAAAACTCAAACTCAGTCGTCAACTTCGCAACTGCCTCAGATCTACTTAATCAGCAAACTGTAAATAACCCATGTTACAATGAAGACTCAAAGGTAAAGAGCGCAAATGATTGCAAACAGGGACTTACTATCCGTTTAGCTGAGCTTCCATGGAAATTACCTGCCGCCCGAAATGATTACTAACCCTGAGAAGTCGGAGAAACGTTGCGTCTTGTCGGCGGATATCTACGCTTTCGCTTGCATTGCTTGGAAACTGCTTCACGCCTCTGTCGATCCTGCTTGCGCGCTAGAAGACCCTTATGACAGAGAGCTTAAAAAACTCAAAAGCGAAGTGCCAAATAGCTCGGAGCTGAGCGATAGCCAGAGCTTGAAGCTCCTTTTTGAGGATCGCTCGTTGAGGCCTAGCTTGTCTTTCGCTCGCGCCGAGCAGGACAAAATCGTCGACCTAATAAGTAAGGCGATTCAGTAGAACGGAGTCTATTTTGCCCCTTTTCAGATGACTGTTGGGTAGAACAGCCCGCGCTTAGATTGACTGCCGCACAACTCTTCCATCGTGTGAATGAGCTGTCCAGATGTTCTTCATCAGTTTGACTGTTTCTGTTCAAATGACTATTATTATCAAAAAGAACACTTATTATCCTAATAAAGACCAAAATTCACTCAAATAAAACAGAAAATACTTATGTCGTTGTCTTTTTAGCAAGATAGAATCAAAGGGGAGTGCATGAAAATTGAAAATTTGAATCCAATCAATCCGCGTTATTTATTCAATAAGTTCAGGCATATAATAACAATAATTTTGCCCATTTCACTTTCGCCGAAAATTCCAGTTCAGGAACAGGTGATATCGGGGATTTCCTTCATGTCTATCGTTCTTTTGAGATCCAAGCTGCTCTATCAAAGAAATCATCAAAATCGTTCGCTTTTTGTACTTTTCCCTTCAATGTCTGCGAATTTATGTTACAGGCTGGATAGGCAGATATTACTAATGAGGCATGGCAAGTTATTGAGCAACTTTCGATCAATCTGTTGACCAGAGTGTTCTTAGAATGGAGGCTAATGCGAACGAGGCCCCACAAGAGCCCAAGAACCCTTACCTCGATTCTGACTTTGACTTTGGAAAAGAAAATGCCTTCATGTTGAACGAAGTGCAGAACGACATCGCCTTCAATTTGAATAAAATCCAGCAGAAATATATTTACTCCAAAATGGGTAGGGACGCTTTTGGCTTGAAAAATGACATTATTGCGGTTTTTTGGTAGCAAAGATGTACAGATGCATGGCTGATTGCGAAGAGACAGAAAGTCGCGTTCGAGAGATTCCTCGTTGCCAGGCCGAGTGCTCGGAGAAGTTTGTCACTCCTGCGCGGCGCATCATCGAGGCCGAAGTCGACAGAGTCAACAACATGATCAATTTTGAATTGGATGAGTGCATCCAGACGGCGCGTAGCACCATTTACTCGGACAGTTTTAAAGAAGGTAAGTTGACTAGCTGGAATCGGGAATGAGTGCGATTTTTAGAAAACCGAGAAGCTGTGAATAACGAATATATGTTCTGCAACAAGATCGCATTGTCTGCCTTTAGCTCGCTCGTAAAGGGTGGCAAGTTTCTGGAGAAAGTCGGCAATAGACTCGAAGCAGAAACGCGAAGGGATGCAAAACTCGCCCAGACTGCCAAGAAGAGGCGATAGAACTCGAAACTCGTTTTCTCGACTCTCTATTCTTCCTCTAGATTCTTCTTTTTATCTCTAAATAGTTCCAGCCTGAAGAAAACAAACTTCAGCGCTCTCATTTTTTCCTAAATTCTTTGTCAAAGACTCCATCGTGCGAGTCTTATTTTTTCGTAGATTTTGTGTTTCTTTCCGTTTGTTTTCGTAGAGATCCCCTTAGAGAGAACAAGGGGCTTCGTTGATTTTGAAGTTCATAAAAAACCACCACTAATCAATTTTCCCTAACCTCATTTTTTCTCGCTCATATTTTTTTTTCTTGATTAATCATCTTTTCTTCCTAAACTCGTTTTACCTTCCTAACCCGTAAACCTCAACAATCGTTATTTTTTTCTTTTTGCTCATCCATGACACGCGCAATTGCTTCGGGAAAACTGCTTTTGCCTTGATCCGAAGCTGTTTCGACTTTTGCATCCCTTCGCAAGTGAAAATACGATGACCACTTTCTGACTTCACTTTTATTAATTATTCTATTCTATCACAAATTATAACAATCAAGTTAGATTAATACCTCGCGGCTTTAGAGAAAGAAATGATTTCGGCATGTTCCAACTTTGTCCGGCGAATTTATTTTATCTACGAAATGAATACTGGAATTTATCTTCTGAAGTTTCATGAGAAAGCAATTTATCATCTCATAACTGGCCGTGAGTACAGTTACTAGAGAGTTGATTGTTGAGTTTTCGTTAAGTTATTACTCTACTGATTTGCTATTCGACTTACACCTATCTCCCAAGCTATATGCGTAAGATGGGGCGCATTCTCTTCGGCAACATAGAAGATGAGCTGTAGTAAAGTCCGCCAAGGAAAAGAAGCTCATCAAAGAACAACGCAATTCTACTTCAAGTTGCACGGATCTATCCTCTTCTACTTGCATCGCTCACAAACGCGCTACTTCTATACACCTGCAAAGAAAAACTAACAATTTCTACTAGCTTTTTTCATTCCCAGTTCATTTTCAAATATTTTATTTAATGCAATGATGGCTAACTTGATTTTATTCAGTCTTTGTTCCGTAATGTCGATCGTTTAATTTCAAATAATGCTCAAACAACTGCTGATAGACGGGCTGAAGGGGAGATCTAAGGATGAGTTGAGGTAACTTATCTTGGAAAGCGTTAATTTCTTATCAAATTAGCGTCTTGCACAACGAGAGCGAGGAAGAAGCCAGCAGACTGTTCGAAGAACTCTGCGCGGAGAAAGATGACGTTGATCTAGCTACGAGGGAGTCTTACCTCACCATTCCTCGTTTCCACAAGGCGCTGCCGAAGGAAAATGAAGTCGTCAAGCACAAGCTACGGGAAGAAGCGCGCGCCCTCTTTCTCCAGCGCAAGTCGAATGCGCTCATGGACAATGAGGAACTGCAAAAGTTGTGGTTTCTCTTGGAAGAAAATAAAACCGAAAACGTGATGTCCGACGACCATTTGATAAGCTACAGGCAAGTATAAATAAAAATGGATAAAAACTAAATTATTCCTAGAAACTTCAAAGCGGTGGGCTCCAAGTGCTCCCAAAAGAGCCAGTCCTTCTTCACCGCGAAGACGTTCTTCAAGATCTACACTGGCGACAAAAGTGGCCAGATCTCAATAATGCAGTTTTTTAACTACGTCATGCGCAAAGTATGGCTGCAGCAGACGCGGATCGGGCTCTCACTCTACGACGTGTCGGGGCGCGGCTTTCTTCGCGAAATGGACCTAGAAAACTACATTCTCGAGCTGATCCCCACACTGCCTCAACTCCAGGGACTCGAGAAGACCTTCTACTCGTTCTATGTCTGCACCGCTGTCCGCAAGTTCTTTTTCTTCCTCGACCCTCTCAAGACTAACAGGTAAATCGACAGTAACGCTCCTTCAAAGTTCAAGGATTCACCTCCACTTTTCCGGTTGAAAAATGTGTGTTTTTATAGTTTATTCCCGTCGGTTCAAAATAAAAAAGAAAGAAAGATACAAAAAGAATAAATATTCTAGGGATCCCTAACAGTTGAAAATGAAAAAAATGGCAATTTTAGTATTCGGCGAGTGTAGTAGTTGAGTTCAATTGCCTAAACTTGAATATTGCCGTAGTAAATTATTGGACCGCGAGGGACCAGAGGGGCACTTCATCCACATTGTGCATTTGTTCGACTCTTGTCATGTATCGAGCTTCGGCGCGTTTCTTTTTGTTGATGCGGGCTTCTTCTTTCTCAAACACCCTCTAGAATAGTGCTTACTGACTAATACTGGCTATCGACAGGCAAACTACCTTGTGTTCCGCATCCCTTTTCGCTTTAAATTCGCGATGGGCTAGGTCTCGTTCGTACTCGAGCTGTTTGATGAAGTTCTTGTACGACTTGTCTGCGCCTCCAGGGATTGTTCCATCGTGTTGGACGTGCGGAAAGTTCAAGAAAGTAGGGTTTTGAAGGTACACGCCGCTGGTGTAGTTGTGAACACCCGTGCCGATCAAGTCTGGGCATTCAGGTACCTCCTTGAGCGGTCGCTCTTCTTCCGACGAAGAAGTGTCGTAGACATGCTTCTCGGCGTAGAAGTGACGTTTCGAGGGGTACAAAGGGCCGTGAGATTGAAGACCAAGATCGACTGGGATCGGGTTTTGTTGGGGAACGTGTCGCTCAACCCAGAAACGGCCGCGCTGCTCAGTTTGTTTGCGATAAACAGAACGACGAGAAGGAATCTCCTTCGGCTGGAAAACGTAACGCCGGGGAGCGTACGAAAAACCTTGAAATCGGCAATCTTTCTCGTCGTCGCTCAGCTCCTCGCGGTAAACCCACGCGCAATCGTTTTCTGAAGTTTTTTCGATAAAATTTGTGCAAAGTTTTAAAACTGACCGTCAAGAAGTTCGTGGCTGCTGTAAAGGAACTCAAATGGCATGGCGTTGAAGACGGGATCGAGCGTTATCTAAAATAAAACAATCGTTAAAAGAGTTGGATTCAATATCAAAAGTCTTCAAGAGTGCCGGTGGTAGAAGAAAATGAGTCCCTTAGAACGTCAGATATATAAACGAGAGTTCAGAAGCTGGTTTTTCAAAAAAAGGTCATAAATAACGGTAAATTCGTCCCATAATAGACTTTTTCCTCTCATTTCTGCGTCGGAAAGTGTATCTGAGCATACTTTCAACCTTCAACCCCTCACAACGACAACAAATCTAGAAACTCGAAAAATTTTTTTTTGAAAATCAACAACTTTTGCTAGAAATTCTGGAAGTCATGCCTTGTGTATTCTGTCCGAAGTTCTCTTTTAAAACAACCTCTTTTTTATCATAAGTTGTTTACCTAGATCTTTTTGAAACTCGTTCTTGATTGAAAAACTTATGATAATGAAGTCGTTATCCGTGAGAGAAAGTAAGTGCGGCCTAAATATCCGTCTTGATGACCCTTTCTCAGGATTGGAGCTGCTGAAGATGATTCCATGCTTGTTGGATTAGATTATTGACAATCTTTTCAGAATACGAATACAGGACATCCTTGCCTGCTCATTCCTCGACGACTTGCTAGAACTGCGCGACGAAGAACTCTCACAGGAGCTGCAAGACTCAAACTGGTTCTCCGCATCATCTGTTCTGCGAATCTACGGAAACTACCTAAATCTAGATCGCGATCACAACGGAATGCTCTCAAGACAAGAGCTGCAGAAATATGGCACGGGTTCCCTTAGTCCAGGTAAAATTTATTATTATAATCGGGGAACATTCGATTGGGGCCAAATTTTCCAGGGGCGAATCTGTTGCGGCTCATCATTTCGTCGAAGTACTTTTTCATTTCAAATAGATCTGTGAACAGCGTGTCCCTAGATAAAACACGATTGCTTAAAAAGCTTTACTAGAGTTAGAAACTCACTCTTTGAACTCGCTATGATCAGCATGGTCTTCGTGTTCCTTCGGTGGACTAACTTCATATTCGCTCTCTTGAACTTCTGAGTCTTCTTCAGCGTTGGATATTTTCAGCAGCCCAAAAAGCAGAAATCCAAGTCTCATTGTTGATTTTCGACAGATCTTTTTCTTGGTATTTAGAAACAAGGGATTCTCTTTATATCTTAAATGACAGATGAATGAATTTTTTATCCTACCAACTGCGGTGGCAACTGCGGCGCATCTATTTATTCCTTACTTTAAGAATAAATGGAATAGAGATACCGTATGTAAAAACATTTCTTTGATGCTTGCTTTGCTTGGATATTAGAATCGACACCCTTTTAGTATTTCTGGACAGAATTTACGAAGAATGCCTCACCTACGAAGGAGAACTGGACTACAAATCATACTTGGATTTCGTCCTTGCTTATGAATATCGGCAAGAGCCCGCTTCCATTCAATACTTTTTTAAGGTCATTTTCATTCGACTTTCGCTCAATAAAATCTTTTCTAGCTTTTGGACATTGACAAGAAATCATATCTCACACGCTGGGACCTTAATTTCTTCTTCCGGTCAATTCAAGAGATGATGCGCGAACTGAAGCAGGTACATTCATTATTTTTTAAACCCCTCTAATATTTTTTAGTTGCATTGGGTACGTCCTCAATTTTTTATCCAGCATCCTGATTGATTATCACCGTCAAAATTTCAATAGTTTTTCGATATACAATGCCAAGAAGATAGCAAATGGCTTTGTCTGATCAAAAAACAATTGCAAATTTTCTCGGACGCAATGAAGGAGTATGCTGATGTACTCCTTGTTGATTTCAAGGATATCTCACAAGCTTAGAATTTTAATGTGTTGGCTTAGATTGGAATTCAAGCTGAATATTTCAGGAGCCCGTTAAATTTGGCGACGTCAGCGATGAAATATTCGACATGACTCGACCAGCCGATCCTTATAAAATTACTCTCCGCGACTTGATAGACTGTGGCCAAGGTGGCACTGTGATTCGAATATTAATCGATCTGAATGAGTTCTGGATCTACGAAAACCGCGAAACGCTACTTGCTGAGCAAGAAGACTAGACATTCCTACCTGAATAAAACATGCATTTTTCACTGTTGCTTTCTTTATTTTCATAGAAATAAATTCCTTACATTCCTCACTATAGCTGTTCCTCACTATACTCAGTATTGATATTGTTGTATAAAAGAATGAAGGAGACCAATATCTTTAATTTAGAATGGAGCCGATAGAAGAATTGTATGATCTCTTTGAAAGATATGTAAATGCGCCGAATCGGGAGAAGACTCTCAATGCGATGTCAAATCATCCCCAAGGAAGGTTCCTTGCTGAACTTGTATTCCAGCGAGCAGACGCGAATGTTTTTCCTCGGCGAAGAATCATCTATTACCAGCGAACGAGCATGACGAATACGGCCCTTACGATGATCTCCTAGCAGCGCCCTTTTGCAGAGTGATCCTAAAATCGATGGCTACCGAGGATTATGTCATCAACTTGTTGAAGGACGAGTTCCGGGTCAAATTCGATTGTCTACCGAACAGCTTGTCTCATATGGCTAGGATCCTTGCCGAAAGAGAACAAATCAAGCAAGGGTCCCGTCCTCCAAAGGCCGTTTTGCGAACGAAGGGAGATGTGAAAATAGGGAGTAATTGGATCGTGATCAGAGAATGGGAACCTTTTGAAAACGAAGCATACGTGGACTTCCCACCATCAGCCTGTCACCATCAGGTTTATAAGATCTCAAGATCAGGTGGAACTCGTTTGGATAAATTAAATTTTCGAAAGAGTTTCGACTATATCAGTGAAGAATACCTTGGCGACGAGGACGGCCCGTCATTTTTCCTCTTTGAGCCCTTCCTCATTACGTTCCATCGAGATGATAACTACTTTGAGGTTTTCAATTTACTGGAACCTCACCAGTCGCCAAGAAAAATCAAGAGAGAAGGTCGAATATTGGGCGAAATGAAGACGTTATTGTACGAGGACGACTATGGAATACCCCACTGCGATGAGTCTCGATATGACGGCGATTTGCGTGTCGATGGAGAGATACCGGAAAGCGTTCTGTTTCCCGTACTGTTCAAACAAGATGCAACCAGCATTTGTGTCGAGTGTACTCGGATAAGTGGGTCTTCTATGGAAGTTCTTTTCAAGGAAACGATTTATTTACCTGAGGAGTACTACCGAAGGCCCAGGCTGCTTTTATTAGACCGTGATAACTTGGTTCTACAGATAAATCTCAAAGTCGGTGGAATTATGAATGATGTCACTTATGGATGTGTCGCTTTTCATATCTGCCTTTCTAAAAGAAAAGTAACTCGTTACTCTTTACCGGAGATTTCGGGATACCTTCACTTTGGGATGGTCGAAGAGTGTCTTGGTCTGGCAATTGACCAGGACGATTGCGAGGTAGGCTATCCCGATGAAGACGATGAAAATCAGGAGGATGACGCGGAAGACAATAGCGATTATCTTCAAATTATTACTTTTGGCGTCTTGTCAGAGCAGAAGGGTTTAGAAGTTCTTTGCTTTATCAAAAATAGCCCTACGGTTGGCATCGTTAAACAGGAGTTAGCACACTTCGAATCCTATGTCGATACTAGCGAAAATACATGTACCAAATTCAGCCTGAGAAGCTTGCTAAATCATCTTCATGATATGGACCAAGAGAAAGCTACTTTCACCAGAGAAGTAATGGGCGCCACCGTTACCAAACCCATAATTGACTTAGGTAATTTACAAATATAAGTGTTTGACTAATTCATTGATAATAATTATTATTAGAATGCTTCTGTCTTGGGGAAACTTCGGAAGAGAAGGCGAGGAAACAGTTTCGTATAGTAGATCGCTCAAAAATCGGCTGCGCTACACGCATAACTAAATGCGGTACAAGTGAAGACTCGGAGCCAGGATTTATGAAGGAGATCGAAATATTTATTTGATAGTTGTCAAATAATGTTCATTATTTTGCGCAGCCTTCTTTTTCATTCACATTACCTCTGCAGAAAACTCATTTACTGCCCACCATTTTACGCTCGATCGACATTATTTTTTTGCACTGAAAATTCAAATGCCAAGATTAAATTTTATCACTTCTCACGACATTCATTATCATTACTGATCTTTTTCGCAAAAGACTGAGAATGGCGACGAACTCGTCCATCGAAAATGGGAAGGTTCAAAAAACGATTCCTAACCAAGATTGCGCGATCCTTACGTTTCGGCCGACGTTCCACGAATTCAAGGACATGCCTAGATATATTCAATATATGGAGTCCCGAGGCGCACATCGTGGCGGAGTCGCAAAAGTGATTCCGCCAAAAGAGTGGAGCGATGGAATCCACAAACAGGAAAAAGTCGAAATTTTAGTTGACCAAAGCGTAATTGCTTTTTTATTGATTTTTACAAGAACTATCAGAAGATCGACAATATCGTCATTCACGAACCCATCGAGCAGAGCTTCCAAAGACAAGGAACCCGAGTCTGCGATGGCGTGTACGAGTCCTACAACATTCGCAAGAAATCGACGACAGTCCGCGACTTCCGTAAACTTTCCACCCACTGGCGCTACAAGCAGCCGCGTTCGGAGACCTACGACGATTTGGAGCGCAAGTATTGGAAAAACATCAGGTAAAGTAGTGATGTACTGTTATTATGATTGGCATATGCCAATTATGCTGTCTGCAATTATGAGTAATGACAGGGGTTTAGTTATGTTCCGCCGATTTACGGGGCTGATACAAATGGATCTCTCTTTGGCGCGGAGGTTGACATTTGGAACGTGGCAAAGTTAGACACATGTCTAGACGCTTTGATGGTGGATCACAACGGCATCAAGGGAGTAACGACGCCATATCTTTACTTTGGCATGTGGCGAGCAACGTTTCCATGGCACGTGGAGGACATGGACTTGTACTCGATAAACTATATACATGTCGGAGCTCCGAAAACTTGGTATGCGATCGCCCCCGAGGATGGAAAGGGAAGGGTTCAACAAGTTCAATGTGTAGTTTTGCTTCCTCTTTCCTACTTTTATTTTTCTTACTGTGAACTCGAACAAAAGCGTTTCGAAACATTCGCCTCGACGCTTCTTCCCGCGCAGTCGAGCAAATGCCCAGCATGGATGCGACACAAGACGACGTTGATAAATCCAAGTCTCATTCGTGCGAATGGTATCAGAGTGCGCAAGATTATCCACGAAGCTGGCGAGATAATGATTACATTTCCTTATGGGTAAAATTTCCATATTTATTCTTCAGTCCTCCTCATTATCTTCTCTTCAGTTATCATGCTGGGTTCAACCACGGATTCAACGCCGCAGAATCAACCAACTTCGCGACTCCTCGATGGATAAAGTTCGGAAGAGAGGCCATTCGATGCGTTTGCAAAGATGATAGCGTGAACATTGATATGGAATGCTTCAACCGATTCAACATTCCCGACATGCCTGGAAAGAGTTTTCACGAGGAAATTGTTCAAGCACCTTGTTTCGGAAGGGATTAAAATTTTCATTACTTTTGTCACTGCCATTAAAAAACTGTTGCAGTCGTTTAATCCCTTCATAAGACGACGAGCCCATCCACTGGAGGCGAAAATACAAAATCGAGCTCGATAAAAACCTCAACGAGCAAAGCATTGACCGTTACATTGCCTCGCACAAGGTCGATCGAGAGCTCTTCTACTCCAAGTACATGGCCTCGAATGCACGAATTCCGCCGCCGAAAAAGGGCATTTTCGATTATAAAATCGGCGAGAAAGTGTTTGTTCTTGTAAGTAGCAAGTTGCCTTAGGAGCTTCACCTGAAGAATGTATTTTTGCAGCGGAATTATCCTCGCGCCGTGCTTGATGCGACCATAACTGGACGATATGAAAGCGTGACGCTCATCGCAAGTCCTCTCGAGGAAGAAGATCGGTTTGAAATCGATTTGACGGACATCATGGACTTTGACGGAACAGAACGCGAGCCTGACATTGGAGAGACCTTTACTATCCTGCACTTTCCAGATCCAGTAAAGAAGCGCGACACGAAGAAGACGGCTGGCCCGCACGAGCTCAAAGTCACCCTTGTTGGTAAGTAGCAACTCATTTTATAAACCACCGGGATTATTTTTCTCTTCAGAAAAAGCAAAGTGTCAATATTATTGTTTGACAACAACGTTCGATGGGCGCCAAGTCATCTTTCCGTCTTCGAAGATTTGGAAAGAAATCGACGAAATTCCTAAAGCCCACCTTCCCAATAAACACAGAAGACCTCAAACTACCAAAGGAAGGGCAAACAGAGACATATCGAGCACTAACTCTTTTCGATTTCAAATGTCAAAAATCAAGCCCCCGAAAAAGATAACTCAACTGAATACGAAGCTGCCCAAAAGAAAACAAAATAGTTCCTTATCATGCCACCGTTGACCATGATAGAAACCACAATGATAGTCGTTAACACACTGCTGCTATTTATACCACTGCCGATCTGTCGTATTTTTCTTCAGCCACTGATCTGTCCTTTTGTCTGCGACTACAATAATTATTCACTATTTTTCTGGTTGTGCGCTACGTCCTCGCGGGCTTTACGATGAGTAATCAAATAGTATTTATGTCAATATTCGTAAAAAGCACACGCAACAAAATTTACTCTCTTTTGTAAAGAATCCAGAGCTCCAGAGGCCTGTGAAATTAAAATATTTTCTACATTTTATTTATTTTGCTAAAACTACTATCAGCCAGTCAATAAAGTCCTATTGAACAAGAAAAGAAACAAAAGAAAATGAGAATGAAATTTTTGCCCGGCGCTGGCTCTAACAAGTACGGTAGAATGGATAAGATCAGCTCGGTGTTTGGCGGCTCGACAGGCGCTGGAGGTGAAAACTCCGACACTAGCCCCATCACAGAAATCACTGGCGGCGAGAACTCCTCCATGTGTCCCTCGATGGGCTTCAAGGACAGGATGATTGCCTTTGGAGTTTGCACTGGGGTCGGAATCATGTTCTCCATCGGCGGAACTATCAACTTGTTCTTCATGAATTACGCAGGTACGATTTCGAACGACCTTAACTTGTCTAACCGATGAATTAGGATTCGCCGCTCTCTACTCTTTGGGCACCATCATTTCGCTTCTCGGTACTGGCTTCCTCCGCGGCCCGGTGAAGCAAATCAAAGCGCTCACGGATCCGAAACGAGCCATCGCAGTCGCCGTTCTCTTTATTTCAATCATCCTGACACTGGTCATTGCGCTCAACGACAACATTGCCAATCCGGGCAAAGGAATCCTCTGTATTATCTTCGTCGCGATGCAATTCCTGGCCTACGTCTGGTACTGCCTCAGCTATATTCCTTATGGACGGGAGACGATCATGGGCTGTTGCAAGTCCATTTGCTGAGTTTTTCGACTTCGCATTTTCTCTAGGTCTGTTTTGCTACAAAATCGTTGACAATGTTAGTCGTAGTGCTCAACTGTTTTTCAGGCGCGATGATTTTTCAATTGGTTTCCGGTTCAGCAAAAATTCCAAAAAAAAAGTGCAATTCAAGCTTCATCTCGCCCCAACTCTGAAAAGTTTCTTCTCTTGCGAAACGAGACACTAGTAGACACGAGATCATTCAACTTCCGCGACTTTCTCTCAAATGCATGTAACCAATTATTCACTAGCTTCTTTTCACCTTGTCCTCGACGGGAATCTGTTTCTTCTCGTTTTCATACCATTCATGCCACACGGTGTACATAAGTCATATATTTTATTTATCTTTCATTGTGTCAATTCCGCATTACATTACATCATATTGCTTCTGCGAGTAAAATGTTTAAATAAAAATATAGTGAAAATGAATTGATAATCAAAGATCTCGCTTTTATTTCAAAGCTAGATCGTGTTCTTTTACTCTTCTGCAGGTTTCTCGCATGTCGGAACGATAAAGATTGAATGGAATATTCTCTTCGTTGATTTCCATCTCCAAGCTTCTTCGAGTTCTTTTTTTCTCGACATGGGAAGATAGGTTGTTTATGGTGTGTCATAAATTGAGGTTTATTGTGGTGCGATTTCGCGGAAGTGGCCTTGATTCAAGTTCGATCGTTCAAGTCGATAATGATTTCGCGCATGCACCTGTAGTGGTAGCGGTTCTGTAAAAGGCGAAAAAACGCGCCCCGTGGGCACTGTTGGGCGCCTACCCGGATGGAACTGAGCTCGCTCCTTTTTTTTTAGAAATTATTTTTGATTAAAAGAATACCGAGCAATGAAATTGAGAGGATGAAAACGAAAGTGCGCCATTAGGGCAATTACTATTTATTACGGCGCCCCTTATAAACGAGAGAATACGGAAGAATGGAAAACTACGGCGAGAAAATGGACTTTGAATGCGAGAATGTTATTTCAATACGAAGAACTTATCGGGTAAGCTAGTTTCGGATCTGAATTAAAAATCTTACAAAAGTAAATTATTTATTTATCGAATTGATTCAAACGTTTTTGGAATTGTATAATAGCTTCGATTTTGGTATTCAAAATAATACCGAGGTTCCTGTCTATTTGGGTTAATACTGCTTTAATTTTATAACTTGGACGCGGGATAGAATTTATCACCTTCGTTGTCAAACTCATCTCCCCAGAGAAAAGGCGACTGGTCGAATCTGTCTCTCTGCTCTTGACCAGAGCGGACAAGATAGATTTAAACAGCGCTAGAAAGTGCTGACTAAGCCCAAATACAATAATCCCGTTTTTCGTCAAAGTTTAGCATCGATCGCGGTATCGATCAAAGTATGTATGCTCTAAGAAGGAAAGGGATATGTGTTAGGAATAGGAGAACCAGAGATATTGACTGCTAGAATCTACCCTTCATGAATCAAACAATTTAAGTCGAGCTCGGAAGAAAACTGTGGCAGCCACTCGCACAATAGTAACAACAGCAACAGTAGCACCAGCAGGGTGCTCGATATTGACATGGGTAATGAGCATGGCAAGCCGCGCTTGGGCTTATATCGGTAAGGGTTTTGCCAAAAGCATGATTGAAAGAAAAATATTCAGATGTGACAATATTTCCCTTGCGCTAGAAGATGAGTATTCCAGCTCGCCTGTCTCACAGGTAAAAAAGAAACGAGTGCTACAAATCGAAAGATGCACCGGTTGGAATTAAGAAATGCCAGCAAAGCTAGTTTTGTTGTTGGGGGGAAATGCCTGGTGATAATATTTAACCCGTTTTCTCACGGAAATCAGATTCAGAAATCGAGAAAATGAGATTCTTTCAGCAACAAAAGGTTAAAATATAATAAATATTTTTTTTAAATGTGTATTTCGGAATGATAAATTCAACTTGTTTTGGGTGCAACCAAAAAAAAAATCGCGGAGGAATTAAAAAAAAAGCTGGATGAAAGGTGCAGCCATTTAGGAGTAATGGGACGTAAATAGAAATCACCAAATTGCCTCTTGAGAGAATACTTCACCGCTTACTTCACCCTTAAGATTTTTTTCTTTCTTCAAAAGTTTGTTGTTGTTTTGCGAAGACAGAGAAAACAGGGGGACTGGCATGTTTCGAATTCAAAAAATTCAGACAAAAAAGGTACCCAAAATATGAAAATCAAAGCTTTGAACTATCCTTCTCTTTAGGAAGTTTATTTAGATTTTGATTTGAAGAACTTTTCCATTGAACGTCCGGGAGGGGCATTTTTGATTTATTGAAGGGCAATTTTTGCGGAAATGGTTCTATATGACTTGCCATCAATGTTCGATTTTACGATTATGGTAGCTCACGAATCATGAGTCAGGTTGCTCGCCAAAGTGGATTACCATGTAAATTTGGCTGCTCCCGCATTTCCCAAAATCCTGGATTTCCCAAATCCTGGATTTCTCAAAATCCTGAATTTCTCAAATCGCCAAATCAGGATTCTGCCGATTCTGGATTTTGGGAAATGCAGGATTTTTTTTCTTTTGAATAAGTTTTCTTGCTTGGTTTAAAAATCCAACCCAGATTCTTCTGAGTCAGAATCTTCTGACATAAAATCGGGTAATAATTTGGGCCTGTCCTGTGTACCTGTGTAAAATTGGGGGAAAAAAATTCTTTTGCTGTCCCTGTTTCTGTCTTAAACAGGCCTTTGTTTCCCGCTCAGGTCTTGACCATAGACAGGTTCCTGTGTAACAAGGTCAGGAACTGCATAAGTCAGGGAAAATATTAAAAGAAATCAATAGCGAAAGACGTCAAAAAGAGTTCAACAATCAAAATATGTGATAAATTCGCGTCTTTTTGTTTCTTTGTAATATTTTTTCTCAGAAATATCCTGTTTTTTGTCCTGTCACAGGGCCTGTTTCCAGTTTTCTGACCTGCTCAGACCTGTTCATGCAGGCCCTGACCTGTGTAACCTGTTGGATGAGCTGTGTAAAAAAACCTGTCCGAGTACCTGTCTAAAATCAGGATATTTTTACTTCCTGACCTGTGTACCTGTCTAAAATATGGGGCAGAATTTGTTTTCCTGTTCCTGTGTCTGTTCCTGACACAGTTTGACACACTTCTAAAAATCCTGCTTTTCCCAATCCTGCATTTCCCAAAATCCAGAATCGGCAGAATCCTGATTTGGCGATTTGAGAAATTCAGGATTTTGAGAAATCCAGGATTTGGGAAATCCAGGATTTTGGGAAATGCGGGAGTAGCCTGTAAATTTTCAGTAAACTAAAATTCTAAATTTCAAGCCGAAGTCTGAAAATGGCCAGAAAGAAAATGATGCAGAAGTTTGTGATCTCAGAGAAATGGACCGATTCAGAGGTTCTCAATAAATTCAACCTTTTATTTCTCAATTTTATTCTTTAATTTATTTTAGGCCCTAAAAGTTTGATGAACTGATTTTAGAGGGCCGAGAATAATCTTTTATTATTTTCACTTTCTGTCAATTAACGAGAGCGTTTTACGAGTCTCTCGATGCAGATCCATGCATGTCCATCTTACTTTTGCGACTTGTCCAAAATTATCGCTTTTAGTATTTGTGTCACGTTATTATGAAAACGAACAGCCGCGGCATTTTAAAATTTTTAGTAGAGAACTTTTGAAAAATGATGGCTTTAAAAATCCGCGCCAGAATCATTCTTGACGGGCTAAGCCAAATCATTGAATTCTTGCGTGCGAATAGGCCGAGCTTAGACGATAATGTCTATCAGACATGCGAGGTAGTATCTCAATGGGATTCCGCCCTTTTTTAGAACTAAGGCTTTACGCTCTAAAAAGCGCAATTTTACGGGAGAGCAAAGGCTCATCAGAGCAATTATCTTTATACTGATCGAAAATTACTTTTTGGCAGAATCGATGAATTAATGACTCAGTAAATAAAGGTGGGGAGGGCCAAATAACAGCTATTATCTCACCGGTGCCCCTTCGGCAGCTGAGCCCTTTTTCTCTTTGCGCTCGATTAGCCGCAAAAGAACATCTTTTCGAACTTGAATTCATCTTTTTCTTTAAAGGAGGAGGACGAGAAGGATCGCAAGAAAAAGAAGAAAAGGGATGACAAGTTCTGGAAGCGCAAGAAGGAGAAATATTTCGACCTAAGCGACGATAAACGCGCAGTGAAGACGGAGAACGAACGCGCTGGTGGATTTTCATCCACCCCGGCCAGTCCAATGTCACCTGTCATCCTTTTCCCAGGCATGTTGTTAGAATATCCACGATCATAAAATTGCCGTGGCTGATTTTCGCTCACAGTTGAACAACTAAACCTATTATCATCAAAATCATTCATTTTTTCAGGCGAATTATGATCTATCCAACAGAATTGCTATAAAAATAAGTCATTTCGTTTCTCAGAATTATTTTTTTTTGCTAAAAATAAAGAAGTTCAAAAAACTTGGATCGAGCCGGTTTCCTCATTCGATTACTGAGGTCGGGAACTCGAGTCAAGAAACCTATGGCCGGCGTAAGGTTTTTTCCTGATGTTTTTCTCATTATCAGTTCGTCCTCCTACAGTCGGGACTGTTAGGCCGCAGCCGTGAACTATGATAGGCTGACTTTGTGGATCAGCGCAACTAACCGAGTAAGCGTTGCTTCAGTTCTGGCTCCTTTTCGAGACATCAACGAGATACCTCACCCTTCAAGCGGCATTTTTTGGGGTCATTTTTATCTGGAAGAGCCCGAGCAATGCCCCGCTCTTAGGCTTTAGTAAACTTCGCTGAGATTTTTTGGAAGGCGACTGTGTTCTCGGGACTCGACCCCGCGCCCGTGCACTTGGCGGAGATCACCGGCACTGCAACTTGCGCCACAGTGTCCCGGCTGTGGCGCTCCCTTTTTCGGCTCTAGTGCGGTTTTAGCGATGCAAATCGCGATAGTCGTTGTTGATTGCAGATTGCGAGTAACATGATGATAGAAATTCTTGTCGAGCGACGAAATCAAGATAATAAAAAGCAACGTAATACAGTCGAGTTTACTTTACGTATTTGACAAGTTAAGACACTTCCAGCTCATGTTTGGGGTGACGTGTCGGCTTTATTATTAGGGGAAGTAGCTGCGGGCGCGTTTTTGATGAAGATGTTTGGGCACACAAATTTCCTAGCACATTCAGTAAAGAAACTTAAACTCCATTGTCGCCCGTGTTGACTGCATGAATGAGAAAACTCAATGCCGAGTCGTTTTTCTGACTGAGCACGTCTCCTCCCAATTTCATTAATTTTTCATTTTTACGCTTTGCGAGAGGCTAAATTTCAGACGAGGTAAATTATTAAAAAGCGAATAACTATGTTTGTTAAATGAGATGCGATTTATCACAGTGTTGACAAATTAAACCGGACAGGCGGGCCGGGACGGAACAAGACATGTCAATTTCGCCCCTCAATTACCAATTAGCAAAGTAGGATAAAACACCTCATTTCTTTTATTTGTTTGTCTCATTAACTCATCATTAGTTAAAGTCTGTAATAATTTTGATGAGTTTTTTTATATAAATCATTAGTCTAACAATTAAAAGACCGAACAGAAGAGCATCTGGAGCGACTGAGCGAAAGCGACATTCAGGTAGCGGGTGAGATTTCAGTTCACCGTAATTAACGGTCCATAAGTTAGTTAACTTATCGAAAGCGTAATAAATGAGTATTATTTTCCACCCGCTGAGCAGGCTCTCAAGGCGGCAGAAAACGAAAAATTCTCAAGCTCGGTGGCAGAAGAACTCTCCGGAGTGCGCGTTGACATTGATAGAAAAATTGAAACGTACGAGAATCTGACTCCAGCTGAGCTGCGAAATGCAGAGTTCCAGGCGAGCAGGCTGAGGAAGAAAGGTAATTATTCTGAACTGAAGAATGAAAGAAATAATTTAAATTCCTCAGCTTTTTTGGATGAAATTACATCTAGGCTTTTCGGGGCTTTGGCTTCTGGCCAGAACTCTGAAATTTTTTTAATCCGCTTTAAAAATGAAATTGTTCAGAGAGCTTTTTGGCTCAGAGTCAGATGATCCACCGGATCAAATCTCAACTGGGCAGAATTTCCAAAGAAGCCAAGATTGAAGATGAGCTGCCGCTTGAGCCACCGGAAGAAAACGCGAAGCTCTTGCGCTGGGTTGAGCAGTTCATCCCTTCGGAACATAAAGCGCACGTGAGCGCGCGACTCAAGCACCTGCTGCTCGAGAAAAACGCAGCTGAGTGTATTTGGGAGTCGACAGAAGCCAGCTCCGGGCACGTGGTTGTACAGCGCGATGTTCGCCAGAAGCGCAGAGGTGAGCTCAACAAACAAACGGTCCCTATCTTAATTCATCGCCGCCCTTATCACTTATTTCCAAGAAAGCCTTTTCTTTTTCGATGAAATTTTAAAAGTTATGGTGCCCAAGTTAGAGGCGGACATACCATTCTATCTGCTACTGTTTGACGAGAATATTATTCTAGAGCAAGAGGCGAAGAGCTTCTCAATCATTACTGAGCGACGGCTGGACGGAGAAGCCTTTGAAATAGAGACAGATAGCGGTGAATTAGAGTTGCCAACGAAGAGCAACGGTGCGGCTCAAGAATGCGCAGCATACGTGCTAGGATCTCTCCTAGAGGGCTCGATGAACTTGGTAAAAGGAAACGGGTTAACGAACTTAAAACAAAAAAGCTCTAAGTAAAATAACAAACGAAATTTTTGTTTAAAAGGAAAAGAAAGTTAGCTAATGATTTCCAAAGTCGAGGGATTAAATAATTTCCGCGCCAATAAAAAAAGAAAATACTTGATGGGTGCGAATCGGATGTCCGACAGTTGGCCTCGCTCCAGTCTTTTGAGCAGTCAGAGATCAATCAATTCATACCTCTTTAAGGCCTGTTCCGGCCCTCGTTTACGATCCTCCCCAAATAGCGCCGAATACACAAGAGCGTGCTTTCTCAATTTCGATAAGGCGAATTTTTTGACGTTTTTGAGCGAGCGCCAGATGGCGCCGAAAGAGCCACACAACAGAAACTTCAGTGGCCAAAAATATGACAGACAAGTTTATTGCAAGTCTAAAGTAAGTATCGTATGCTCTAACCCGAGGAAAGAAAAAGAGAGACTCAACGAAGAAGCGCTAGAAAAAGAATCAGAAGAAATTGGTATGTTAAAAAAATATGAAAACTTCTATCTCACAAATCTCGCCTTTATTTTTTAAACATTCAAATCTAGCGAGCAATCTTTTGGCGAATCTTCTCAATTCTGCGATCAAGGATACGAAAAAAGAGCGCCTGCATCAGGAAGCATCTGAAATATCAGCATCTATTCTTGAATCAATCGTGGACAATGTACCACATGCGAGCTCGGAGAAGACGATAAACGGACTCGTGGACGAGATCGTCAATCTCGCTGTAGACAAGGCGAGAAACGCGGCTTTTTGTCGGCGGATCTTGGACGACGTGGTCGATCAGCTTCAGTATACAAAACTCAACGAGATTGGAATACAGTGCCATCTCCCTAGCCCAACAATGAGCCCTAAATTGCCGAGAAAAGAGAAGAGCTTTTGTTTAACTGCTTCAAGAACATCACCGCCGCCATTGCCACCAAAACCTAATTCGTTACCTCAAGGACCAACTCCTCCTCTTCCTCCTAAAACTTCCAGTAATCCAGCACCACCTCCTCCCCCTCCACCGGCACCTCCAGCTCCATTCCAGAACGCCGGAGGTCCTCCTCCACCCCCTCCACCTCCAGGATGTACCCCTGGAGGCCCTCCTCCACCACCTAGTTGTGTGCCAGGTGGTCCTCCGCCGCCTCCACCAGCTCCTGGATGCATACCAGGGGGGCCTCCTCCTCCCCCACCCGGACCATCAGGTCCCGGTGGTCCTCCTCCACCACCTCCTCCTCCTGGATGTGTTCCTGGAGGGCCACCTCCGCCACCATGTCCACCTGGAGCTGCTGGTGGACCGCCGCCCCCTCCTCCTGCTCCTGGAATGGCAGGACCTCCAGGTGGACCGCCTCCACCTCCAGGAGCTCCGGGAATGCCTCCTATGATGGGTATGGCACCAGTTGCTCAAGCTGGTCCAAGAAAACCAACTCTTCAGCCGAAGCAACGAATGAAGCCTCTTTATTGGAATCGGCTGCAAGTGCACGAGTTACAGAAAAGGCGAATAGATCCATCGACTCTTCTTTGGGATAAACTTCAAGAAGTCGAACTTATCCAAGAGAGTGTGCTCGAGGCCGAGTTCAGCCAGTCGGCAAATATAGTAAAGCCAAAAGCGAAAAAGGTCGAAAAACCAAAGAAAATTCAACCAGTGAAGCTTTTGGATCCAAAACGGTGGCAGTCCGTTGGCATTTTTATGTCATCTTTGAAAGTGGACGTTGATTCTTTGAGAAGTGCACTTGTCAGCATGGATACGAAATGCGACATGGATCTCCTGCGCGGTGTTTATGAGCTCAGGGGAAGCAAAGAAGAACTCACCGAGATCAAAAGCTATCTGAAGGGACAAGAAGAGTTACCTGAAGAGAAGCGCGTCCCCGTTGACAAGCCCGAGACATTTCTGCTCAAACTTGATGCGATTCCTCAATTCGACACACGTGTTGCTTGCTTTATTTTCCACGAAACATTCATGGAGAATACGGAGGCTGTTGACTCTAAACTTATCATGCTCAATGACTTGGTGAAAATATTCAGAACAGGTGAAGAGATCCGCCGCATACTTGGCATGGTGCTCAGGATAGGCAATTATCTCAATGGAGGCAACCGCACGAGGTAAATCGAAAAAGATAATAAAATATAAACCTTAGCCACATTGGCCCGTGAATTACAAAAATAATTTAGGGGACAAGCAGACGGCTTCAAATTAGACGTTCTGCAGAAAATCCGCGATGTTAAAATGAACAACGGAGGAACTATGTTGACTTTCATTGTACGCCAATACATCACTGTGTTCCAAGACGACTATCTTGAAACTGCGACTTGTCCTGTGCCGAATATCACCAAAATTCTCAAAGTCTCTCAGCTAGAATTCGACCAATTCACGCGTGATACTACCAAATTGCTTCGAGACCATAAGAAATGCTCTGATATGCTGGCCACTGTGGAATTAGAAGCATCCGAGGATGACAAGGAACCATTTTACTCGTCGACGAAAAAGTAGGTCATCCATGATTTCTCACAAGATCCGATTCGATCAGATCCTTTCATTTATGATATTTTAAGAAAACTTGAAACTGCCCGGACGAAAATAGATTCACTCGGTCTCGACATAACAAAAGCTCGCAAGAATTTCCGGGCACTCATGGATTTCTACGCTGTCCAGCCAAAGAAACCAAATGTCGACCCAGAGCCGAAAGAATTCTTCGATCTATGGACTTCGTTTTGTGCTGAATTCAAGGTGAGAATTAGAAATTAAAAGAACGAGTAATAATTTGTTAGGATATTTGGGAGCGCGAGATAAAATTGGCGATGAAGCGCAAAAAACAAGCGGAGGTGAAGAAAGCTCAAGAACGAGTTGAATTCATCAGGTAAATCTTGGTGTAAAAACCCAAAACTATCAAGAAAATTAAGGAGGCAACAAAACTCGGACCGAAAATCGCTCAATTCCAACTCTTCGCCAAAAACTGGCGACAAACCAACAAGTCGCAAGAGCGGACTAAAGTCCCGTCTTCGTGAATCCCGAACAATGGACTCGATCCCCACCTAAGCAGCAAAAACTAAAAAAACACACTATGAACACATTCCAATGTTTACCTATTCTTGGGACATGCTACTGTCTAGATGTTCTATTTTGACCAAGAAGCCAACTTGACCAATCTACTTTACTTTCCCCAGACCCTTACATTTCTTTTGAAAATTCTACTTAATAAACGGATATTATCGCTCACTCTCTTTGTATTTATTGATAAGAGGAAAAATATCGTAAGTATATTATGCAGAAAATTATTTTTGTGTTTATTGAAAATCTTGAAGTCTGATGCTTAAAAGCTGTCCTCGGAAGTATCGTGTTCGTTTCCAAATAATTCACATTCAATATCTCTACGGAAATCGAAACCATATTTTTTCTTCGTGCATCTCAGATGCAGTATCTTGGTAAACGTCTTTCCATTCCTGTCGTAATGCTCATCGTAACGGCCAGACTCCGTATTTGAAGAAATGCTGTCTTCCATGATTTCAACGTCGAGGTCTTTTTCGTCGAAATGCCTTGAAATTTGTTTGGCCAAAGATTTGCAGGGGAAATTACCCGCTGCCAAATGTGCCGTTGGAGGAATGTTCTACTTCTGATTGATCACTCATTGACTGGTAATCGCTCCCCATGATTTCATCAAGTTCGTCGGAATTAACTAATTTTACAAAATGCGATTTTACGATGCATAAACTTACAAGAGGAAACAGAGCGCGAGTCAGTTCTGCTGTTCAGAAGGCTATTTTGCCCATAAAATATTCTTGGAAAAATTATCAGATAAGAGTCAAATCTCCCCTCTTACTGTTCATTTATGAAATAGTTTCGGGGGTTGGCCATGAATGATGTTCGTCTTTCCCGAATAGCAGATGATAAAGTTCTTCTTCTACTCCTAAAAAACCGCAATGAGTCACGGCTTCAGTTTTATTTCTCGAAGCCGCAAGTAGGTTCTCGATTTTAATGAGGAGAAATTTGTAATCACCTAAGGCGATACTTCGGTGTTCCGAATGTCAAGTTTTTCCTTATCTTTCTCAAAAACAGAAACAAGCAGCATTCATCTGATTTCATGCGTGATATAGATTCGATTCTGTTTTATAGTTGGAATGAGCTGAACCGTTTATACATAATGTATGTAGCAATTTGCTGGAGTATTAATGCTTCGACCTATCGGATAAGATCGGATTTAAAGCCATTTCTGGGCTTGCCAAATGGCAATCTTGAGATACAACAATCGCAGAAAATAGCTCGACAGATTGCAATCCACCAAAGGAACAACAAAATGACGGCAATATCTGTGGGGTAGTTTTTATTAAAATAGTTTAGCAGTGATTGTGATAGGCAATAATAAATAGGAGTCGGGTGAAAGATTATTTTTTCTTTTTCTGAGGTACATTAAGCATTACGAGTGGATCTTTTTTGATGGTGGAGGCGCTCTTCAATGCACGGGCGTGAGTTTTCACCTTTTTCTCGTATTCTTTCACCAAGTCAGGACAATTTTGCAGATTTTTGACCTCTTCCCATGTATTTTCGGACGAGTTGTAGCCGACCCATTTGACTTCGTACTCCACTTTTCCCAGTCGTACTCGTTTATTCAGTATTTTCTACATTCAATTACTTTTTTTCAGAGCACACGATTTCAAGTTACCTCGACTTCATACTCATCGGGTTCTCGCTTTGTTTTTACATAGATCTTTTCCTTCTTAGTTTTCTCTTTCTTTGAGGACTCGATTCCCACTCTCTCTTTCTTTGCCTTATCCGCTTTTGAACTATCCTCTTTGGAATTCTTCGATCCCTTTTTAATATGTTTGCGATTCTGAGCTTTCCATGTAGAGGCAAATTCCGAGCTAGACGTCTCTTTCTTCCCTGATCTTTTCCGTGTGACTTTCACCTTTTCAATAACTTCCACTTTTACTGCTTGCTTATCTGTAGTAGTTTTGTCTGCAGATGGATGCTCATTTTCTAATCCATCTTCAGCGCAATCAAGAACAGACTTTTGCTGGATGGGTTGAGCATGAGTAGATTCTGAAATATAAGTATGACTCATTGCTTCATTCTTAGTTCTCCCTTACCAGATGGATGTTCGTTTGCTTCAGTATCTACTGGTTGATCTGGACGCAGAGAGACAGATCCAAAAGAATATGTGATTGGGGAAGGTGCAGGTGAATCGTCTTCATCAATAGATCTCGGGCGGAGTCGTGGGAACGACCTACTTGAGCTCCAACTATCGTCGCTCTCTGAGTGAGGTTTTGGTGGTTCTTTGAGGGGCGGCTGTGCGGGTAGCTTTTGGTGCTGAGAAGTTGATGATGTTACACTCGTCGCTTCTTGAAAAAGGCTTGTTGTTGCTATTAATGGTGTGTTCCTTGGAGTGTCCTCTTTAGGCTAAAACAATTGGAGTTTAGCGGTCTTTAATTATTGGAATCTACCTCCAGACTGCTGCTAACAGATGGCTGAAGAGTATCTTCAAAGTTGATTATATCAGCATTCAAATAATCATTATTCCAGAGCGTCGATCTGAGATCCTTTTGAGGTGACGGAAAGAGACGATTGTCGTTGAGGTTCGGCGTGGATTCAGAGGTTTGTACTACGGTTGAGGGGGCGTCGTTAACTCTGGCTCCTTTTGAGAATTGTGGGGGCTGATCAGCTTCAGAAGGAGTATTCTCTTCTAGAGTGCTGGTAAGATCGTTTCCAGAAATATCAGCATCGAAAAATTCAAGTTCATCCAATACTGGCATCGAATCTTCATTGAAATCATTATTTTCAGATTCTGCAATCGGAGCTTCGCATTCGAGTCCTCCTTCCGTTGCGACTTCAGATTCTCTCAATGTGTCCTAAAATAAAATTAAGCACGAGATCTTTTCTGGCCTCTCTGCACCTTTGTCAAAAAGTTCTCGCTTATTATTTTGTCGACAATATTTGCAGCATTGTCGCGAGCTTTAGATGTTTTCTCATTCTTATCGGTGTTATCCTTTTCTTCGTTGATTTTGTTGTCTGTAGAGAACGACGTATTGGTAAAGATATTTGAAGAATCTGAACAAGATGGGGCAGAGAAAATTCCAAAGGGATCGGCATCACATTCAGGTTCAGGAGAAGACTTTGCTTTTTGCTTTTGTATTTCTGCTTTAGCACCATCCTCTTTCCAACTAGGACGAGATTCAATATCACAGGCTGGTCGCGAAATTGGAGGCTCAACAGAAACACTTCGTGCCCACTTACTGGATCTCTCAGGAGAGTGTCTCGGTATTACCCAACCACAGTCTGTTTCCGGCGGAGGGTTTACCTTTTGCTTTTGTATTTCTGTTTCGGTATGAATGCTTGGGAGTTTCGCCTGGTCGAGCTCTTGTTGATCCTCCAACGCTTCAGGATCCACTGACTTTTTGCGTTTGAGGATGCTTCTAGGAACCTTCACTTCTCTCACTCGCGATGATTGGTCTTTCCCTTCGATATGAGTTGATATGTTTGTCTCGTCAGATGCTTTCGCCTTTACCTCGTTCGAGTTTCGAGCTATCTTCAGTTGAGTTTCGGATATTTTCTTTTCGCTCTTCTCTTTCTCTCTTCTCCGTTGCGGCTCCGCTCTTGGGTCTTTAGGAGTGGTGTTCTTTGATGGTGATTCACCTGTCAGGTTCTTCTCTGGCCAAGTATGTGGTGCAGATTCAACCGATTTAGATTCAGCTTCCACATCGTTTTTCTCCAGAGAATTCGAAATTTCGCTCTTTTCGAAATTATTCGTGTTTTGGACCAAATCGACAGGATGAGGAATTACACACTTCCCAAAATTTTTATCCTGAGACTTTTCAATCTCCCTGCGCCACTGAGCGTTTTTTCTTGGATCTTTAGGAACTGTTTTCTTTATGGTAAGCTTCAGCTGTTTCAGAGCCTGATAAGACTGTTTTCTTTCCATTGCTTGTGCCTCTAATTCCGTACGTTCCTTTGCCTCCTTTTCTTTTTGCAACCGAGCTCGGATTCTCGGATCCCGTAAATTAATTTGCGAAGAGATCATTTTTTCTTCTAGCATTGAATCTATTTCTTGATTTTCCTGCTCAATTTGCGCCGCCTTCTCAGTCTGTAAACGCTGCGCGATTCTGGGATCTTTGAGAATGCTTTCATTTCCTTTTTCTTTCTTTTGTATTTCTGTTTTAGCATCAGGACTTTCATTATTCGCCTGTTCTTGCTTCTTTCGTTTGATCAGCTCTTCAACGTGGTTCAATCTCGCCTCAAGTTTTGTTCGTCGGGCTGTTCGTTTTAGATGCAAGCGCTCTTCTAGCGTTGACTTCGTAGGCAAAGTCGATTCTTTGCTAACTGGCTCATCCTTGTTCTTGACTCGTGTCCGCGTATCAATATCTCGAGGGTGCTTTTCTTTCTTGTCACATGCAGCATCATCATCTTTCCGACTCGGACGAATTTCAATATCCCAGCCTGATCGCGAACTCGGCCGCTCAGGAGAAACACTTCGGCCCCACTTACTGGATCTCTCAGGAGAGCGACTTGGTATTATCCAACCGCTTTCCTTCTTTTCGCTGGAACGTTTTTCGCGACTTCTCTCGCTCTTCCTCTTCGATTGGCTCTCAGCAGAAGATGATCGCTCTCTCGAGCTTGTTCTTTCTTCTGCGTTCAAGCTTCTTCGGCTTTTTCTTTCATCGACAAAAAGCGGGTGATCTCGCTCATGTTTTCGATCTTTTCGTGCATCTTCCCGACTTCGACGTTTTCCTCGCTCTTCTCGTCGATCAACGTGACTTCTCTGTTCTTCATGTCTTCGTTCTCTGCGTTTTTCCTCTTTTCTTCTGGTTTCTTCACTTCTTTGCTGATCTGCCTTGAACCACGAGATCTCTCTTGAATCCCGGCGCTCTTTTCCTTGATCCCATTCTCTTGTTCTCTCTGGAGAGGGCTCCCGCACAGGGCGTACAGACCATGCTCTCGACGATCCTTCTCTCTTTACGCTTACGCTGGTATCAGTTCCGACTTCAGTTATAGAGGTCTTCTTTTCCATCTGGTCAGATCTCATACCAATCGACTTCCGACGCTTCGAAATACGTTTTGGCATTAAATTGAAAACAACTGGAGCCACCGGGCTTGGTGATGAGACTGGGACCGGGGTCTCAGCAGGCGTAGTTCCTCCTGCAGTTTTAACTTCTTCAGTACATTTGGGAGCGCATTCTTCCGGTGAGGTTTCTCTCTCTTGCGAAGATTCATTTCCCAAGCATTCTTCTCGCTTTATAATGGAGCAATCAACATGATTTGGCTTCTCGGCAAGAGGATCATCTGGCTCCTCTGAAGATTGTCGCTCTTCTTCATTCTTCGTCGCTTGAACCAGTTCAACTGCAGCCCTGCACTCCTTCAAGAGCTTGTCTATTTGGTCTGGACTTTGAGGTAAGAAAAAACCGTGATTTTTCTCCGGACTTTCGTCTAGTTTTTCTTCGCTTTCATCCATCTGCACATCTTCTTGGACAAAAGCCTCAACTTCTTGACTCATGGTTTCAATAGCTACTCGATCATTTTTGTCCTCTGGATCATTCATTTCTTGATATTCAGGCAGGATAGGAAAATTCTGAAAATGCTCTTCGAGAGTTGTTTTGGTAGATTCAGTCACAACGGAGTCGACAATGCCGTCCATGATTTTTTCCTCTAGAGATTTTTCTTGTACTTTTCTCTCAGCTTCCGTCATATTCTCGGCAGTTTCACCGGCAGAAGTAACCTCATGAGACTCTTTTGTCGTTTCCTGATCGTTCGAAACCGACACCATCTCAGGAACTTCATCAGCGGGAATTTCCGATTGTTCAATATCAGCTTCAGCCACTGTTTCTTCTTGAAATGGCTCAATTCTAACTGGATCGCTGTCAGCTACCGCTACTTCGTTGCTAAATTTCCACTTTAGTCAGCAAGAAAATGGATAGTATTAACCTAGACTCAGTTTGATCATTAAAAGTTTCTGTAAACTGAAGATTATGCATTGCCAGTGCTTCTCGAATGACCTTCTTTTCAACCGGCGAAAGTTCCACTTTGCTTGATTCTTTCCCATCATTTGTTACCGGCTGATTACTTTCCAAATTGAACTTCGAATTAAGTGCTTCTCGCAAGGTATCTCTGGCCAGTGTTATTCTAGCTCGTAGAAATTTCCTGCGTAAGAATAAGTTCAACTCGATAGATTCAATAATTTTTTTTCGTTTTATTCACAAAAGTAACGTCGACATTTAACATTTAAGAACACTGATCCTAACATTTAATTGAATTGAAGAAGTTCCTTCTTCACTAACTGCATTTCGCATTTCGGCATCGTTGTATTCGCGGCATTGAAGAGCAGGAACAGGTGATGAACTTGTTTCGGGCAGATCCGCGTCTTCTTCCTCGTCTGGGATTTCATAGATGAAGTCGTTCGGATCCTGAGGGTCGGGTAACTCGCGTTTTATTTTCTCTTGATTCTGGTTTTGGTTTTTGTCGATTTGAGTTGATTTGGAAGAGCAAGCTTCTGAAGAATCAGTTTCGTCAGTAATCGAGTGAACAAGCTGCTCATCTGCGTTCTCGACGCTGTCCGCTTCTGGCACGAAGAGATCCTCTTCGGAGCCAATTGCAATCTTCGCCACGTACTTTTCGAACTCGATCACATCGTTGTAGTTTTCGACTTCGAAGATGGGAATCCACCTCTCCTCGCCATCCTTCATCACGTGATAGTGCGTCACGCGGTTGATCAATCGTCGAGCTTTGATCGCCAAGTTCTTTTTCTTTCTTTTCCGCAGCTTTTTTACTGGTGGCTCCAAAGCTTTCTGTGGGTCCGCATTTTCGTCGCTAAGAAAAAGAAGAAATTAGTTTTTCTGCTGAAAAATTGCAGCTTACGATATTTTGTCTGGCCGCTTGTTTCTCGACATTGTCGATGGCAGTGGCGGAACTTTGAAGGGACTACTAGAATGCGAAATCGATTCCATGGTCAAGGAATGATCGAGCGAGCAAGAAGTCGAGCATCAAATGCGATTTTCTTCGAATCTTCGAGTTCGATTTCAAATTGCTTCAATCTAAAATTCGAGCCTTCCTTAATTCTGTGTCTGTTAGTTCTTACGCCCAACTGTTCGACATAAATAAATTCGCTGTTTCCAGTGAATCAAGATTACGTGGGGATTGAGCACTCTAACATGTAGCCGAATTCTGAACTGAAACGTAGTTACTAGTTGCTGAGTCACTGTGGTAACTTCTGGCTAGAGCGTTTTTAGTAATTCCGCCAGCGGCTGAACGCTCGTTTACGTTTATGCCTTTCGTTGGGTTCACGCAGCGTAACCATGACGCAAAGTGAAGGGATGAGAAGCTAGCACGAGTTAGACTGATGATCAGATTCGTTCGCCCATTTACGCGGAACAACAAATCAACGAGATTGAATTGGGGAGTTTGGATCACTCATTAAACAATCATGAAAGAATAGATAAAATAAAACAGCTGGGTTAGGGTTAGGACTTCGTGAAGAGGCATAGTAGAAGCACAGAGTGAAGTTGGGCTACGAAGAAAAATCATTATTCTAGGCTCAGCAATTCGACTACAGTAGAATTTCTACTAGATAGAAGAGAATAGAAATAAGAGAGCTCTCAAATAAAATTAAAAAATAGGGAGTCGAGTAGGAAAGTCTTCCGTCTTAGTCCCTCTTGTTCAATTACCGTGAAATAGCAGATCGTAGACATTGTGTCACATTTTTTTATTATGGCTTTTGTTTTTGGCAATGGAGAGACGGGATCGCCCGGGGCACTTTCTGGGTCGGGGACGAACATACTTTTCACTATTTCAACTTGTGTTTCTCTCAACAAATTCCAGAGCCGCTTTATTTTTTCCTCCGCGCGCCGATGGGTTAAGCCCGCGGGAATCAGTTAAATCGTGCACTTTGTCTTTCTGTTTATTATTTTTAAAAGAGAAGGGCTGAAAACTGAAGGAATTCGAAAAATATAAAAAAAGAGAGGATTGCTGCTTAATCATTGATGACGTAATGCTGACGTGTTGTTTCAATTCTCCTTTCGAGTTGTGTTCAATTCGAAGCTGGGCTTGGGGATCAAGCCGCCTCGAGCCCGAAAAGCCAAAAAGAATTGAATTGAATTCAAAATTTTCAAATTTGAAATTTCGAAGATCAAAGAAGATTTTTTATCGTTGCGTTATCTATTTTTTCTACTTTCGTTTTAGTTTGGGAGAGGCTGCTTGAGTCATAAAGAAAAAAAAGATCAAACTCGTAAACCTAGACCAGACATTTTTTATCGATCAAGTAAAAAAAAGAGATTGGACCGAAGATCACCTCGTCTTTCCCTTCGAAAAATCTTCCCCCAAATGTAAGATCTTCTCTAGCTTGTGTCACTGTCCTTTTTTACAAGCAGCTGTTATTTATATTGACCGTTTATTTAAAAAATACTGATTTCTTTTTACAAGATTTCAAAAGATCAAATCTGCCATTAAAATTGATAGGCCGGATATTCAGTCACCTCGAAAATCTTCCCTCACGAACTTTTACTTTACGACTCTACTAGTAGTCAACTCCGTGACCAACAATACGACAATAGTGTTCGAGAGTGACTGTTTTTTTTTCAAACTTTCCGATTATTTCAAACTTAGTTAAAATAGGAAATTCATATTTTGAGATTTCGTTTGCGATAGCATCTGGAATCAACATCTGTAGATTCTGCACTAACAGATATTCCAAAAGAAAAAAACATCTATCGAGCAAAATTCAGAAGTTCAGTTGAGCATTTCGTTTTTTTTGCGTTGAAAACAACACGCTCTTTAGTTCCTTCATTGAGAATTTCATTGCAAAATTGGGCATTGTTGAATTTACAATTCGAATTCAAAACAGGAAATTGAAATAAAGAGAAAGCGAAAGTGTAAGCTCCACGTGAGCCATAGAACATTCCGCTAGAAATAGTAGAATTACTTCTGTTTGTGCGAGTTCCTCTATGTTTGCCGAGAGAGAGAGAGAGTGGCTTCAGTTCAGAGTCAAGGGCAGAGACGAGCAGACTGAACTGGCCCGTTCTCGAATATTATTAAAAATACTCTGTTTGTCAAACATCAATATTTGAACTGTTCAAATATTTAACTTTTACGTTATTTTTTCGATGAAATATGAAAATTATTCATTACTTACCATATCCAGCTCTTTCTTTAGCGTTCTATTATTTTTACATGATTTTTTAACTGAGATTCTATCATTTTAAACGAAGGCTAGAATAGGTACGGTTTCTCTTTCGATAGTCTCTATCGATTCCGGAGCACTGAAAAGTTAATTCGAAGTTAAAAGTTTCTTTTTTAGAAATTTATATGTATATTATTCCATGGCTCGCTGTCGAATCGAATACGTACTCGGCGACCTAGTTGATAACTTCTCAGAAGATCCGCCTGAATCTAGAGTAGCTAGGGTACGCAAAGAATTCCTCGAATATGGACTCGAGCTCCCGCATTTACAAGGTGAGAGGACCGATTTATTGATATTTTCAAGTGACTTATCGATGCTCCTTTTAGTCCAGCACTAAAACTCGAGAATCCGCACGCGTCTAATAATAAAGGATGATAATGATAAATTAATCTTATGATATTTCTAGCGAGCGATGTAACCAGTGCAAAAGCATTTCTCCGCTGTCTAGCCTTATGGCGAGGAAAAAGTCCGAGAGAGAATTCTATCGATAAAGCTGCAAATAACGAAACAGCGAGTGGGCCAGAAAACGCAATAGCAACAGCTGTGGCGATTGAAAACTCGTCAGAAAACGATGAAGTGGCGCGGGAAGAAGCGGGACCGTCTGTTCAGATTTCTGACCAGCCTGACGATGACTTTTACGTTCCAGGAGATGATGTTCCGATCGACAAGATTCTAGGCTTCGAAAAGCTGCAAGAGCTGCCGGTCACAGGAGCGGGTTCAGACGATTTTTGACAATTCAAAATGCAAACATGCTCTTTTATAAATTTCAATAAAATTGATAAACCGATCGTTCTTTACCCTTTTGTTAGACGAGAAAGCAAGCAACGATCAAGAAATGTCGACGATCGAGTCCGAGCTTGACGTCGAAGTCGAAATGATCGAAAGCCTGGCGGTCGAAAAATGGGCAGAAGTGGACAAGAAAGAGCTTCGTCGCGTTGGAAGCTTTTCCGACATGTCAAAAGTCGACATTCGCTTCAGTTTTCCAGAGCGCGACGTCGACGGCGAACTCCAAATTGACGAAGATGCGTTAGAGGTCAGTCGAAGCAGTGCGCTAACGAGAGGAAAACTGTTGTTTTAGGATGGTGAATTGGTCTCGGAAGACGAAAAGTCGACCAAATCGGAGAATGCAAAAGAAGAAGTCCCGAAAGTTGAGCCATACGCTCCTTTCTACAGAAAGATTGAGAAGAATGAAAGTAGACGCTGTAAAACAGCTTTTGATGAACGAACGACAGTCGAAGAAGATTTCTACGCTGAGATTAGAGAAAAACGGTAAGAATCATCGCATATTTGACTGTTGCTTGATTGTTGCATGATATTATTAGGAAGAACTTCCGTGAAATGCAAAGGCTAAAGCACGAACTGCAGGAGTCCAGGAAAAAGGCAGAAGAAGAAAGAATTCGCCGCGAAATGGAGGCACAAAACGCAGAAATCACAGATTTAACCGGGAGTGAGCCCAACTCGCGGGATGACTCGCGCCCCTTTTGTAAAGGTATGGATCCTCTCTTTACTCCAACTTCTTAGTTCGATTTTCTAGTTCCGCCAACAAAGATCTTGTTTAACAAGCAACGCAGCAGTAGTTCTTCTTCCAGGTCGCCTATTACGCACATTGGGAAGCCGATCACCATTCAAGTTCCACGACAAAACGTCAGGTAATTTTCAAAATTCGACTATTCTCGCCTTCAATGATGCGAGTTTAGTCCTATGCGGGGACTCCACCGTTTCGTCGACCAGATCTCAAAGCCTGCGCATAACGAGCCACCATCCCCGGTTCCCAAGAGCTTCCATCCGAGCCCGTTTCATTTCAACCACCGACCGGAGCAGCATTTTGCTCCGCCCCATGTCCGCCCCATCAAAGAAACGCAGTTTAAAGAAACCCCCGATCAGACGAACATTCGGCTCAACTTCGACGCGTTCGAAATCTTACTCAAGGATCCCTTCCGCTTCCACAACATTGAATTTGGCGATTCTAGATGTCATCTGTTCAAGAAAGCGAACGATTCTGATGCCGATCTGTATCCAAGTGCGGAATTCTTCACCGCAAGATTTCAAGGATTTGGTAAGCCAGTAAAACCGACTTCCTCGTGACCCTTCTTAGATCATAAGTTCTGCAGACTGGTGATAAACTACTTGGAAGATTGCACCCTCCCGAATTCTTGCTATAGAAGAGACTGCTCCATCCATGTCTGGTAAACTATCACTTTGTATTGTCATTTTCTTAATTGATAAAATGTCAGGAAACAATACGAAATCGAGCACTGCATTCCCTATAAGAGAAAGTCGCAAATCGACTATCGAATCTCCCGCAGCGCCGGTCACAATCACCCGGTGAAAGTTGGCACGACGACAGAAGTCACCATCGTAAGTTTATTTCAAGCTATGCTTTGTAACTTTCAATTATTAAGTCGGCGAGCGACGTGTTCAACTTCAACGGGTACGTCGCCAAGCACATGCCAAACACGGACACGAGTGATTGTGTCAAAACGATTCTTGGTCGCCCAGTTCCGCTGATCATTATTCACGCGCTCGTTTCCCTCCGCGGGGCCATCAAATCGGTAAAATGTCGCACATTTTCTTCGCATAGAACTTGAATTTTAGGCGAGCATCGAAGACTGGCGTGAGATCGCTTTGGAATTGGACATTATTCAGCCTTGGCCTACTCCCTTCGGGGGCAAGACTTTCGCCATGCAGATGATCGACGGAGTCAAGCACTTCACGAGAGAGGAGTACTCCAATCTTCTAGGCCACGTCGTCCGGGAACTCTCCCAGTACTACTCGTACGTATCTCCTTCACTTTCCCTTCCTACTTTCGAGTTCAGGCACTTCCAGCCGCTGTGCAAGACGATAACGCTGAACCAGACTGAAACGACGAAAAAGCATCCAATGCAATCAGGGATCGGCAACGAGGCGCAGTTCGCAAAGCGTCAGCGTCTATAGCGCCGCCGTTTTTAATAAGTTAATTAGAAACACAAGCAACAATTGCCTATCTAACTAAACCCAGCCGGCTTTTGTACAGTACTAATGCATTTATGTAAACTGAAATGCGGAAGAGGGTCCACTTCCGTTTGTTTCAAGGGCCGATCTTTTAAAACCTAACCGAGCTTACATTCACCGCGAGTGCAACTCTGCAACAGCCTTTGCTTTCCAACATTTTCTGTAAAAACAACAAAAGTAAATCAGTTCGCCAAGAAACTTCCTGTGTGTCTTCCCGTATGTATGACTAACTTCGTCGAACAAGGTGAACGTGGTTTGCTGCTTCTTTATACTAATGTTTACTTGATTAATATGAATGCAACTTATTTCTAATAATTAATAATAATAACTAGTATTACAAAATCAATTCTCAGCAGTGATAAATAATAATTATCAGATTTAATAAGAATATTATTAATATCAATAATTGATTTTGTTAATTCTAATTTTTAAGTTATTATTATTTATTGATGATAAAAAAAGCAAAAAAGAATACAACAAAACTAGATTACCCAATAATTCATAATTCGTGCTCCTCGACAATGCAGTACCCGCTTTCAAAATCACCAAATCATAACCATTGCACCCGGTCTTATAATTCGACTTGATTTGCGAACGATGTTTCTGGTGCTACCCAAAATATCCATCTCACTTATCTGCTTCGCGCCTTTCTCTTTCTCAAGGATTTTCATTTCTTTCTTGTTATGATTGTTTTTAAGTTTCCGAAGATAAACCTACCCGCCTTATTATTTATGTTAAGTTTATATAAATAAACAGATAACTACTTGCATTCTTGAGCTATGTGGAGTTTTATTGCAGGCACGAGAGAGGCACTCGACTTCGCGTTTTCAAAGGCAACATTGGTCTAGCTACATAACAGTGAAGAAATTCTCGGACGGTCACTTGTATAACATCGATTTTGACTTGCTTATTCTAAGATTCTAGCGGCTGCTTCTACAGATTTCTAATCGGGTCGCTTTCGGAAGTGAACTGATATAGGCATAAGCGCTGGTCTCTCACGTCGCCCCATCCTCCATTCGCTGAATTATCGTTTGAGAACTTTGACTCCTCAGGAATTTTGTTTGCATGGTATCTTTTACCTTTGAGCTTGGGGTACTTTGTCGGGCCGGTGTTTGAGAGATGAGATATTTTGGAAAAGAGAAGTTCCTTGGATGATGAAAGGGTCTTCTCTACGAATTCTAGAGCGCCTGTAAGATTACAGGAGTGAGACTTGGAATGGTAACCGCAGTCCCCGCCCATGTGGTAGATCCTGGGCATCACAGGGAAAATAACTTTCCACTTTTGTTCGACAGCGAGCGCCATGAGACTGAAATCAACGATGATTCCAGCCAAAAGATTCAAACAAAAACCTGAAGTCCCAATTATAATCGTCGTAGAAACAGTACTTAGACGAGTGAAGCTTCAAATTCTCGTAAAAACTTCTGTCGACAATCATTCCCATGTTGTGCTGACCAGATATCCAGACTCCAGTTCTCAGATAGTCCGTTTTGTAATTAGGCGCGGTCTTCGACTTGATGTACGTTCCCAATGTTCCAACCATAAAATCCTGCGGTTTTATTGAAATGTTATTTCGCCCTTGGATAAAAACCTTTGACTCTCGAATAACTGGAACGATGGAGTTTTGAATCTGCCAGAGAGCATCTTCAGCCAAGAAATGATCGTCTTCTAGGAGAAGAACAGTGTTAATGTCTTCCCGGTTGAAAATATAGTTGAGCTTCCAAGTCCAATGGAGCTTGATCTGACTGTATTTGACCTCTCTGTTCACTGTTTTCAATTGAATCATTCATCAGATTCATCATCAGCATAATTAAAAAACAATGCCTGAAATGGCCATACTTATCGGCCTTCGCCTCCTTGTTGCAGTTTACGTCAGCCGCCATCTTCGAATCTGAATTTATTATTTACAATGTGGCAGAACTTTATAGATTCAACTTGAATAATGCAGAATTAAAAATATAGATTATATACTCAAGAGCGTTCAGTCAATCCGCATTAATTATAGATTACCGACTTTTAGATGTCACTTATGATTGAAACTCTTTCCTCTTACCTTTTGGGCAATCGTTCGGGCTCTGCGCGGGGAATTGATCCTGAAACGCGGATTTAACTTTGAGTATCTTGCACATCGAGAATACCTTGTAGAATGCCATACTGAAGGGATGATGAATGATTGCAAGTTGACAGAAATGGACATTTGTCTTGAGGTAGTCTTCGATTTCCGGAATGAGTGTATCAAGCGAGATGACAAGCAGGCTCTTCTGGATTCCCCTGACCGATTTCAAGGAATCAAGGAGGACTTTTAAAAGATCCAGGCGATCGTGAACTTATTAAAGCTTAAACGACGTGGGCACAAAATGATGTACCTTGAACTAAGATGGTTATGAAATCATCGTCGAGAACGTGGTAGTCATTGTAAATCTGGAAGCTCTCATTTTCGCTATTTACAAAATACCGCTTCTTCTTCAGCTGTTCTTGCTCCTCATTGTCCTCTACTGGCAAATCGGGCAAATTTTGATGGACAAAGGCACGCCAGAGATCATCGTCTTTTCTTGAGTTGTAGTAAGGCTCGGCTGAAATCAAATAAATTGATGCTCTTACTGATTTCCTACCTGTGGGGGTATGATAGACATGAGACACAGTTCCTCCGGAGGAAAACCGTCGATTCTCATCAATCTACATTTCGAGTAATTTGAGAAAATCGAGAAACAATCACTCACCGCGTTTTCTACTTGCCTCTTCCTATAATTCGCGATGTCTATTCGAACCAGAGTGGCCACAAACAGTAATATGCTCCAGATAAATAAGTAAACAAGAAGCTACAAAAGCGATAATTATTGAATTTCGCTGGCTGCTATTATTCAACCTTTATTGAGCATCTTGCAAGCATCGATTGAGAAGTCTACTCATAGTTCGATTACGTTCGTCAAAGGTGGCTTTGCATTCTTCGTAATCTAGAAATTACATTATTTTTTCTCTCATTCTTCTTGATAGCGGGACGATCGTAAATTAGGGTTAGCTAAACGAGGTTGTATTTCCGCGAGGCGGCAATCGTAAAAGCCCTAATCGGGACTAAAGTAACCGAACAGTAGACTGCCGAGGGCAGGAATAATTACGTTAAATTAAAGTCGCTATTGTTGAGTTAGAGTTCTTCCTGTTCTCTTTACGTTTTGAATGGTAAGTTTCATTGCGGGCGGGGTGCTTTATGCTCGCAACTTCATTCATTACGTAAAGAGGGAGGGGATAATTTCTCTTCAATAATTCATTCCGAATTGAGTGAAATTGCAGCACTTACGAAACGTAACGCCATTAAAATAGCGCTGTGGATTTGAAGTAGTATTATTTTCTGAAAGAGGAAATATCTCTAATTGAGTGGAGATTATCGAAAATAGAATTTGACGAGCGCGCGTAGACACCAAACGGCGCGTAACAATTCTCCCTTATTATTTATTGAGAGTCGCCTCGAGGTGGTGCTGGACGACGATCGAGGAGGATCGACGGACACTCATAACGCTCGATTTTCGTCTTCAATAATTCAACCCTCTAATAGACTCACACTCAGACTCTCGTCGGCCTATGTAATAAGGAATAATATTTTTATTCCAGCGGATGATTCGCCCCACTCCCTCTGGGACCCTATTTCAGGATGCATACGCCAAAATATCTTTATCGACGATCAATTATAATCAAACGCGAGGATTAAGGAGCTTAACCTCGCCAAAGGGATCAAACGTTTGAAACAAATATTGCATTTATAGCTTGAGAAGATCTTTACTTTGAATCCCATATTATTTGGCGGATAGACGCCCTTTAGCTTGAACTCTTACCAATTCTAGAATCTAGAGAGTTCGCCGGGAGCGGCGATGCTTTCTCGAATGTTTTTTTTTCGCTGAAAATTAGTTTCGAGAATTGGCTGCGAAAGAATCTCGGCCGGCCTGTTTCTTCAGTTTGAGTTTTTACTCCTTCGGAAGACAACATATTTTTTGAGCTTCTGCAACGATTTGAGTGAGACAAGATGGCTAACTTCGAGTCCGTATGCAAAGCGCTCGAAAATGTCAAGAGTCTGTACGAACAGGAAATAAAGAGAGTCAAGGATGAACATGAAGAAGAAATTAAGAAACTCGAGGATGCCCACCAAAATGAAAAATGGACGCTAAATGCTTCCATTGAGGGGTTGAGGCGCGGAATGGAAGACAATTGGAGTGCATGGAAGATTTCAGAGGTATTTAAATTTTTTTTTTTTACAATTGTAAACTTTAATTAAATTTGTAAATTATGTTAAGAGTGCATACAAAAGATGCTTGGATGAGAAAATAGAGGTGGAGCGAAAACTGAAGGTATCGGAGGCCCAACGTATCGAATCGGGCAAAAAGCTTGAGGGATTGGGCAAAACAACTGAGGAACTGCGAAGCCAAGTGGAGGATCTCAAACAGAAACAGTACGATTTACTCTTTTAGCTCATTCTAATGATTTTAAAGACGAATGAGCGAATCGGACAAGGAGGTTGAAAAGGCGATGGAGGCTTTGATGAAAGCGTATGAAGCGGTAAGCTACTTAGAGTTTTTTAGACTATGTTTATAGTCAGTAATTAGTCATTGAATCAGACTTAATTACTCGTTTTAGAAAAAAGCTGCGGAAGACAAAGAAGAAGGCGGCCAAGTAGAAGCTGGCCCAGAACGAAAGAAGCGACGTACTCGCTGATTGAAAACGCCGCGGAAAAATAAAGAATTTTATTTGAGAATAAATGAAAAATACGAATCGACACCTAATTATCAAGAAGGAAAGGCAACAACAGCAGGGAAAATATCAAAATTATTGACGAAAATGCAAAAGCCGCAGTTTGCATTTAGCATGATACATACTGTTATAAAGCAGGCGCTTCTTAAAGTCAACTCTTTGGCGAATTTCGAATATCTATCAGACGACTAGTTTACACAATCGAGCGATATCGTTCTGCTGCTGTCAGTTCTCTGACGCTTGCAAACAAAATCTGCAAGACTCTGTACTCACTTATCTGTAATTGCTTTTCTAAGCTGCGAAATGTTTCTATTTTCCGTAAGCTCACCTCAAAGTTCTCTTCTATGATTTCTGTTGGCAATTTTCTTTGTTTATTGGTACTCTTCGTTTCTCTTCAAAGTCCTAGTAGATATTCTTTTTGACTTGTTTGGAGCCAAGCAAAATATCAGCCCGAAGTCAGATAAGCCTGTTTTATGGACAAAAAACGTGACATTTCTCGGGCTGAATAATTTCTCGAAGCGCGGGATTCCACACGATTCCTACAAAAAACATTTGCTCTTGATGTTTTATTTTATTTATTTTAAACAATCTTCTGACACTATTAAAGACTCTGGGTCGAGTCGTTTGAACTTTTAATTTAAAGATATGAAGCGCAGATTTGAAATATTAAATTGATCGTTCACATGGATAAGGAAATTAATAAACGCTAGAGTATTTTTAATGTTTTCTTGTCGGCGAGACAATTGGTGCATGGCAACAATTGCTTGGTGCATGGCATTTTGCTTGTCAAAAATTTCCGGAGTAACCTTCAGCGAAATTATGAGCTCGATGACATTTATGTTCGTTTTTTTGTAGGTCTTTGAGCAGTGAGTTTGAGCGTTTTGGCAAGCATAATTATGTTTATTAATGATATCCCACATTGGGAAATGATTAAGCTTGAAGGGAGTCGTGGGAAGTGTGAATCAGTTGTGGCGACACTCGCCTCGGGCGACTAGAGTGTGTTGGCGAGTGGCTTATCGCGCCTTTGCAGCGCGGCAGAGGAGGTCATCCCTCCGCACTGTGCGATGAGTTAGCTTGTAGTTCTGAGCTTTCTCACAGCTTAGTCGGTCCCTACCAGCCTTGGACCAGCTTACTGTAGCAGTACAGTAATAGATTCACTACGGGAAAATACACGCAAGCACGTTTTTGAACAGAAATAGAAACAAACCTTAAATTAACGAAAAGAGCAAAAAGAAAAGAAGAGGAAGAAAATGACGATGGAAGACGAAATGACAGAATATCCAGAGACGGAATGCGAAGCCGACGATGGACCCCAATCTATGGGCGGGCTTTTTTCTGGCAAAGGAGCCGCAAAAGGTAAAATTGGATTTATTCTTTGAAATTATTTGCTACAATTCACTTTCTTCTTTTCCATTTCTGATGATTTTTGTAGCGCAAAAAATGTTCCTTGCTCGAAAAGCTCGGATGGCGAAGTATTCGTCCGTCTCTTACGGCGAAAATACGGAGCACCCCGATCTTGAGGTATGTTAGTGGCAATTTTCAAGCAAAGATTAATGTTTTAAAACCAGCACTTGAACAACTCTGATGGGGAATCGTCGGAAGATAGTGAGGATGAGCATCAACAGGTGCTCAATCATGACGGACACATCGAAGCTTATGAAGGAGAAAACCTTGAACGAATTAGGTTCGACTTGGATCTCTTTTTCTATCTCCCTTTATCGATTATTTAGGCAGAAGAAGTCCGTTAAAGTCGAACACAAGCTGCAAACATCCGGAAAAGGCCTGAACCTCTTTCAACAACGTCAACAGCACGTTCAGAAGTACATCGTCGACCAACCAAATGAGAACTACGACAAGGACGCGAATCATAGTCACCTTAAAAACGGCAGCCAGAATGGCATCAATGGCAGTCAAATGAATGGGATCAACGGAACCAATGGAAATCATTCTTCCCCAACTCCGATGTTCTCTGTCAATCTAAAGCATGTCGGCGGCAAGTCATCTGAGAAAATGGGGGGAAACAGCGGCAGCAATCAAAATGGCGAGGCCAGCTTCAATATTCAGGAATGGGTCTGCACAGTTTTCAAGAGCTTTTCGCAGCGGAATGAAAATGTGCGACTTTGGTATTGAACCTTGGACATCGTCAATAACGGGTTACTATCACTTGCAGACCCTATCAAAAGCTGCGTCAGACTGGCCAACTCGAGTCGCTGACAAGAGAAGGACAAAGGAAAAGGTTTAAAAAGGTCTATTTTGATTTTATTCCAAAATCGCAAAATGAGCCAGAGAGACATGATCACATGATCAGACATCTGATATCCATGTGTATCGCTGCAAAAGGCGCCCTGCTAAGCTCGATAAAAAAAGAACAATGCTAGAATAAATCAAAGACACGCGATAGTTGATCGAGAAAAAAGTAACTTCGGTTAAATACGACTTCGTAAATCTTCAAAAGCACTCAAGAGAATCAGCAAAACGGGAGGGAGGAACAACAAGGACAAGCGTCGAACTTTGTGCTAAATGGAGCGGCGAAAAGTAGCGGAAGACAGCATCCAGTGAATCAAAGCCAAGAAGAGGATCGCCAATCTGTTAATAGCCAGGTGGGTGAAGTACTAGCGCGCGTAATCCCACTTTATGGCTCAACCCTTAGATGAGTAACGAAAGCGCAGTGAGCACCACGTCACTGCTCTCGTCTACGAACACGTTCGCGCGCGGCTGGAGTAGCTTCTCCAACGGTGCCACTCAAGGAAACAAGGCTTCATCCAGCTTCAGATCAGTAAGAGCGCCACAGGAATGCTCCACACTAGCCGATGAAAGAGTTATCACGAAAAATACATGGCTATTAAAACATAAGCTTTACAAAAAGTGTCAATGACACGTGTTGGTGTGTTAAAAGCGCCCAAAAGCCGAGTGTCGAGCAATTAATAGGGAAAAATCACCTCGATTTCCTGCTCTTCATCGATTAAAATAGGCAATGGAGTGAACAAGCCCTACCCATCATGGAACTCAAAGAATACTCCCTCACCTCGCAATAGTCTTCCAGGCACAGCTTACAATTTGTAATGGAATTATCAAAACTTCACCATTTTAACATTTGTAAAGCTCACACAGAAAATTCTACATCATTTCAAGCAAATTCAAATGCACAAAGACATTCAAGTACTCCTTCTACTTCAACTTTCCAGGCTCCTGCATTCAAGCCAATGCCTGTCTCGTCTCAAGCTACGTTTTCTCCAGCTCCAACTGCACCTGTGAATGGCACTTCATTCAAAAATATCCAGACGCCTTTCAGCCCGCCAACGGCTAGGGCATCCTTTTCTCCAGCGCCTCCAGCTCATGAAAGAACACGAAGCGCCAGCTGGGCCCCCACTGCTCAGAAAATCAATTCGAACGGAGTTGCACCAAAGAAAAAGCCACCACCACCACCCGCAGGAAAGCCAACCATGTCCCCTTTGCTTTCTCGTCGACAAGCTGCTTCGCCAGCTCCATCGTTTACTGAGCAGAGCTTTAACCCTTCTCCGCGCAATTCATCTTCAAGCCAGCAAGAAACTTTTAAATCGAGCTTTTCTGAACTGCAAATCGGTTCGCCAATGACCCAAAGAAAACTAAGCAACCCACCAGCAAAGCCCGAAATCGAGCTGCGAAGTCCACAGCCTAAAGTGTCCAACTTTTCCCTTCAATGGGATCAGACGTCAACGGCTTCAAACAACTTCCATACTGAGCCTGAGCCTGAGCCTGAAAGTAATTCTATCAATATCGAGGATGTTTCGTGTCATTCTGAAAGACAGCCTGACATTGTCGTTGATTTTGATATGAAATCACCGGTGCCCAGTTATTTGAACGGAAGTTCCTGTCAGGCAGCCAACGGCGATGATGATCAATTTCATGAGGATACCGCTTCTGTTACTTCCTTCAATTCGGAGGTCTTCGAACAACAGCAAGCTATGGAACAACAGGTTGCTTCTAACTCAGCGCCTCCACCCCCAGCAGGTCCTCCGGCTGCACCCACTTGTCCGCCGCCAGCACCAGAACCAGTGGAAGAAAGTAATCAAATGACTCCAACCGCCAATCTTATGGCAAATGCCTTCAAGGTAAGACAATAAATTGTGAATTTCATTGACAAAATTTTAAGATGGCTGCTGTTCCAAAACTACGAAAAGTTGCTGAGCCAGAAGTGAAATGGGGAGGACAAAAGCCAGTTTCTCAAGAGAGAGTTCAAAATTCCGTCAAAGAAGAGCAAAACAGAGTGTTTCAGGATCAACAACGCCAGCGGATGGAGCAGCAAAAACGAGAAATGGAGGAGAAACGGGTGAGGGAAGAAGCCAGCCGAATGCATCAGGTACGAAAAAAAACAAGATCAGACTATATCTGTTTCAAATAGCCTCCTGTTGCATCGACAGCGCAGTTTACACCGGTCAAGAATGGAGCTCCTCAGCGACGGGTGCATTTTTCCGAGGCTGAAGGAATTCGCCAACAACAAGGACCAATGAGCTACAATAAGGCTGCTACTGGTTTTAGACCCAATCCTCTACCCGAGACGCCATCAGCTCCTGTTTCTAAATTAAATACTTCAATTCAACACGTTCCTGTGCCACAAATGAACCGATCAGCAGCACCAAGACCTAAATTTATGGCTAAAAATTCAAATGTTCCCCCGATGGAAAGTTGGTCTTCTAACTCTGCGCCAAATACAGCCCCACAGCTTCCTCCAATGGACTTCAACAAACAGCAACCGGTAGCGCCTCCCCCAAAACCGCAGCCAAAGCGATGGCAACCAAGTTTCAAACCAGATCTTCCTCCTGTACAGATTCCAGATTACCAAAATTCGGGCAACTCAATTGTCATGGATAATCTGAACGCAACATACAATCCACCACCAGTGTAAGTTGTATGCCTAAAATCCAGAATGTTTAAGTATTTATTTACAGGCCATCCGTCAATCGACGTGCTCCACTCTCTCCTCCACAGAAAACGCCTCCCCCAACGCCAACAAAACCCGTTTGGTACCCTGGCATGCGTGCCGATCCGATGCAATTCTCTGGCCGCAAAACTAGTTACAAAACAGGACCCCCGCCACCCGCGCCCAAAGTTGGAATTGCTGCCAGTGACATCATTGCCGGTCCTTCCCGTCTTGTTGATAAGTTTGAGCTCAACAAGCCGGCAAAGCAAGAGTTTGTACCTGTAAGTTTCTGCATGAATTTGAAGTGATAATATCAGAAGGACTATTTTATAGACAACTTTTATAAAAACTTTCAGGACGCGTCACGCTTGAAACTCTTTCAAGACCTGATTGAACATCATGATGTAAATGAGAATTTCTAAATGAGTTTGTATTGAGTGTTTGAAAGCACGAAATATTTGAGAACGGAAAATCCAATTGAACAACGATTCTTGCATGACTTTGAGAATCAGAGTACTAAAAGAAAGAAACTAAGAAGCTGCATGAAAAGATTTTTTATCGAAGAGAAAATAAATTTTCCATCGTAATGACTATTTTTAAGCGGCCTCGAGGAGGTGGAGGATCGCGACCAGGTTCACGAAACGGCTTCACGAGTTTACGCGATGGCTACGAAAGCGACAGCGGTCTTGCTTACCGTTCAAAAACCAGTTTCAATAAATTCGACAATGGCCCAGCAAAAGCACAAGAAGCGCCAGCCGCATTCGTATTCGACCCAATGCAGTCCCGTGGCCGAGGAGCAAAGATGTTCGAGCGCCAGAAAAATAGAATGGGCAAGTTCACGCGGGACCACCGGGAAGACTACGAGCAGTATAAAGGCCAGCAGACGAAAAATGAATCATTCCAACACCAGGTGGCGAAAATCAAGCTTCTTGAAAATATTCATCGGTAATTTAGGTGCCTGTTTTGCCAGCATTGAGTTCGGTTCCGCCAAAGCCATCACTAGCCCGTCCTCAGCGAAAGAACAAAGAGCTCGGCGACTTCAACAGAATCATGAACCGATCCGGTAACCGACCTGCGCCCAATGTCTGGTCGCCTAGTGGTCCTCAAGAGTTCTAACAAGAACTTTTTATAAAAATAATTTTCTATTCCATTTGTATAATGACCATTAGTTCTATCTGCCTCTTTTTCAGTTTTTGACTCTATTAGTAGATACTTTTTAGAATCGAACCTAAATCGTGCTAGATGATAATTCAAGTAATTTATACTGATTTTATACCGACGTTAACAATGTCCCGCTAAAGTTGTCTTGTCTCTGCTCTTTCGCAGAATGTACATAAATAAACAGAATACTTCTATCTAAGTGAATACTCTTTATTTGATTGTCAATGTGTAAGCAACTGGAAAGAAAAGAACTTGGAACTGTAGGAAAGCAGGGATTGTATGGCGGAATTAAAATTTAGTCTTTCTTTGTGATTTTCGACGGGCGTCTATTAGACTCGTCGCCCCAGACGGCGCGCGCCTTCGTCTGGCGCATTCCGGGAAAGACGTTTTTGGAATGGCGCTTTGTGATCTTCATGTTTGGATCAGACTTGGTCCGACTGGGAAGCTGATCGTGCTCTGGCTTAGTTGGCTGGGGCTTGTCCGAATTCGTGGTCAAGAAAGAAGAAAGTGAGCCTTCTTTGTCGTTTAGTTGGTAGAGAATTTCGTCAAGTTTTTCTAAGCTTGCTGTTTCGTCGATAAACCTAGTATATTTTTTAGAAATAATGAAGAGCCATGTGCGCCTTACTGATCTAGTTGTTGTTCGAGCCTCGGAATGGAATCATTGAGTAGTTTACTCAAAATGTAATCCATATGGAGAGGCTCTATGGGACCAGTGGAAGAGTGATTCTCCTCTATGATCCTTGATGTTGTCCACTCAGAGGCATCAGATATTTTCGTCATCGCTGAAACCGAGTCAGAGAAAAACGGATCGTCCATCTAAAAACCACATCATTAGCAATAACATAAATAAACGAAAGAAAGTCAAACCTCATCAAGCTCAGGACTTGCACGCATCTCCTCATTCTCCGGAAGAACAGGATCGAAGTCTTCACAAAAACTAGATCCCCTTGAAAGTGGAGTAATCATTCCTTCAAAGCGTACCTTAATAAATTAAAATGACCGTTTCAATCTTTAGATCTCAAAATCTTACATGGTGTCGTATTTTTTTCTGCTTCTGAAGACCAAGCCACATTCGCATTCGTTTTTTGGCAAATGGCACAAGCTCATGATCTTGTGGCTCGAAGTTCTCATGTCGTGCCATCGAGAATTTCAAGTCATGAATTTGCTCTTAGTAATTTTGAGCTTTAAACAGTCGTCGTTTCTCTTACCTTTTCCCTTGCTTTTTGCAATACCACGGAAAATAATCGGCCCTAGAATGTAGAAAAAGACCATCAGGACGAAAGAAATCATCGATTGTCGTTCTTCTGTCTTTCCACTTGTTCGTTCAGTAGTTCGTAATAGTAAACTGGTCATATACATAAAGCCATCTGTGTAAGAATCAAAGAGCGATGAATTCCAACTTCTCACTGTTATTACTGCTGTTGTGAAAAAGAACATCAGCATAAGGAGAAAAAGGAAAGGAATGACCATTGACTTGATGAAAATTTTGACGAATTTGTTTGTGCAGTGCCAGCCTCGTTTAAAACGGAGTCCGGATAGCACACTTAGAAGGACGATAAACAACTGAATAGACTGGATCACGACGAATATGTAGTTTATTTGAAGAGCAGCGTAGAATCCTGTCGCGTTTTCGTCATCTTTAAATATTGCTAGTGACTCTTCTAGCAGGATCTCTTTGGTTATGTAGACGATTGTAGATGTGATTTGGAGACTGACGAGAAGCACCAAATTTCCAGCTTTCAAGCTAAACACATGAAGCCCGCTATTTCGTATCTTTCGCACTAGTTTTAGGAGCAGATAAAGACCATGAACAAGAAGAATTAGCTGAAGGAATAACGAAAGTTTAACTCCAGCCTTCCAGCTCTTAACGTAAGCAGAGTAACTTGTCACGTGAGCTTTGTAAATGGCTTGACCTTCAACACGAGACACGACAACAGCTGATGAGCTGACTGCACCGATCGATAGCACCACCGTATTTTTGAGCAGCACGATTTCTTGACTCTGGCGAAGATAATTCACCCAATCTTCTCCCTCACAGATAGCAGCATTTGTGTATTCTTCCAGAAATCCACACGTCTTTTCGATCTTCTGCCCGAAGAAAATCCCATTTAAACATGTAGAAGGCTGCTCCCTTGCAGGCTTTCTAATTGTGTAAAATCCTCCCAGAGGTTTTGAAACATTTGTTTTTCGTTCGATCTTGTCGCATGCGTAATTCAATTGTCGCAAAATGTCGTCTTCCTTGATTGCAACATTGGGAAACTCGAAACTTGGCTCAAGAATTTCACTCTTCGATATATTATTAGCAATGAGTCGATCTCCAACTGTCTCGTTTGCGATAGAAATGCAGAGAACGATGAAGAAAATAAGCTGAGTGAGAGCATATGTTCGCAATTGTTTGAGACGCTTTAATTTACGTGCGTTCTCACGCGCTTTTTCAAGCGCGAAGCCTTGCGGAGGGTTGACATTGAATGTCCGCGAGCTGGAAACGTCGTATTTGTCTATTGTTGGATGCTCAACGAGATTGTCCGACTCGCATGGGTCTTTGCGCACTCTCCGTAGTGACTGAATAACGGCCAAGAAGAGGATCTTTATCGGCTCAAGAATGAACAAACTTGTAATCAAGCAAATGAGCAGCGAAAGCATCCATCGGTTAGTCAAGTCTGGCCCAAACTCAGCGGCATATAAGTAGATGAAAATCGAACAAAGAATCATTATGCTGATGCACAGGAAGAAGGCGAGATGGATGGTCTGGTGCGGAAACAGACATTGATTCGAAGAGTGGTCTGTTGTGATGATTTCATCGTCCAGAAAATGTTCTTTCACCGGCCAATGATTTATTGCAGAGCTCATTTGAGAGTTTTCATCTGCCGAATAAAACGGAATCGGCTTCATTTCCATCTTATCTTCTGATAATTCTTTCTCCATAGGCTCTTTAATATCGAGACTTTTCTTCGAACATCTTGATGATACCAAATTTAAGTGTTCAGAGCTTATTCCAGAGTCGACCGTTTTGACGGAGCCGACGTTCGTACTCGATCGATCAGAGTTCAATTCAGAAGCGTCAACAGTGAGCGATGATTCTTGGGTGAATTTCGAGCCCCGGCGCAGTTGCATTTTTCTGAAGTCGCCCGATATCTCCGATGATTTTTTCGAGGATTGAAGTTCGGAGAAAGCGGACGAAGCAAAATCTCGTTGCAAGTCGATCGGGCGACTTTCGTTGGGTATTTCTATTTCGAGAGGGATTTCTATTCCTGTCCTAGGACGAGAAGGATGTACGTAAGAATGGCGGGATCTTGATCGTTTAAAAAGAAACGCTAACACCACGGAAATCGGGAAGGTCAGAAGAGATGCAATAATTCCAGTAACAATGTCGCTGGCATCGAACCAAAAGCCATACAGATTGAGCTTTGGATCACGATATTCTAAATTGTACCAGACCATCGTGAAAAGCGTAAAAATAAATAGACTCGCAGAAGCAACAGATAGACGCATCAGCCGCGTGTATCTTGAGCGTGTTGGCCTCGTAACGATTGAAAACCATAAGTGTGAGTCTGCCTTTTGGTACTGTCTGTGGACCCTGAACACCTCCTCAAAGAGCGTGATTTCTTCTGGAGATGCATGGTTTACTTCTTTTTCCACGGAGGATAGGCGATTGTTGTGATCGATTTGGAGCCAGTCATCGACCAAAAAGTAAAAGCGTTCTTTCGTTTGCAGATCTTTTACAATTACTCTCGATAAGAACCATGGTGGATCAAGGCCAGTGTTGTCATGCCAGATCTTCAGCTTGCTTATATTGCCTAAGTTTTCAAGTGTTGAAATTTGATAAATTTCGATCGAACCGCGCTGGAAAGGGCGATTGCTGTGTCCTAATTGACGACTTCCACTTTTTGCTTGATCACCATAAAGTCTGATTCCTACATTGGCTGTGGTTCCCGATCCCCAGCCGACGCCGGTTTTGATTGTTATTTCGTAGTCGAAGGGTCCATCTGGACCACAGTGTGGAATCGTTGAAGAGTATTTTAGATCATTGAGATCTAAGTACCTGCAGATCACTGCCGCAACAGCAAAAGCACCGATGAAGCCAGCTATCATGGCGATGGCACCTTTGTTTTTAGAAGGGCGGAGATCAATGTCGTCAAAGTCGATTGTATTAGGCGAAGAAATTGTTTCTCCTCCAAAGACAGTAGTGTGATTGGCAGTGCAGTTGATCCTGTTGGCATTCTCAGAAGTTTGAATTCCCCCTGCCATGCCGTTTTTCTTCCACAAATTGTCCGTGTTGTTAAAGTAGGAACACCCTATGTCGTAAGTCTTCACTTTAACATCTACTAATGTCGTCTCGAACATGTTCTCAATTGAGATTTGAGAGATGGGCACGCCCGGATCGTTGTTAACGTTGTAATTTTCGAAGTCGCAAAAGCCTTCTTCGTCGCAGTTTACTTCCACTTTGCGGCGGTTTCCGTTCGATGTCAGATAGACGCCATTTTTATCAACGTCGTACGGAGTCGTGTTGGTCGCTAGGCGGATGTTAATGTCGATGTACTGAGCATTCTCGTACGATCGGAAGAGGAAGCTTCGTGCACATTTTGGCGGAAGGCGAATCCATGTCGCAGAAGGAAGTGTAGACGTCTTCGTACATGATTGGTGACGATTGAGCATCGGCGGTTCGAGGCCAAGATCAATATCGCGTGCTGTAGGTTCCTTATTGCGTGGCATGACAATCACGATTGGCTTGATAAGATTTCGAAGTGGAACTATTGCTTCCGACATCAAAGCTTCCCGAAGAGAATCTGATGGATCGTTTGAAGCGCTTTGGCTCACCATGATATTGGCGAATTTCCAAAGCTTGAAGCTGACCAAAGATGTATCGAAGGCTTTTTTGCCAGTTCCTGTATCAAGCTCCATGATTTTTTCGGGATTGAATGTCATGAACGTCACTAGTAACTCGCTCGAAGTCGTTATGCTGTCGCTATATGCACTTCTTGGGATATCCGGAAGAACGATATCGGTGAATCCAAGATTGAATCGGCTCATACAGTTTATTGGACGTAATGCACGCAGACATTCTGAACCTAGAGATTCGGCGAAATGTCGACTCTGGAAGATGGAGAGCTTGGATTGTTTGATGTTTTCCAGCTTCCAAGGTGTTGCATTGGCGACTTCCCAGCGGCCCAGTGCGTACATAACGTCATTAAGTTGGGTTATAATTTTGAAGAGGCGATCGTTCGAACCGTCCACTGCGTCGTTGGTGATCACCTCAAGCACGTGGCCCATGCCGCCAAGAATGTCCTCGGCTGCTAAGGTCAGCGTTTCGTTCTGCTTGTGGTAGTCGTTTTCCGTTGAGCTAGTAATCTGATCAGCAAGTTTTTGCGATATATCAGTAGTCCAGTCGTAGAACTCCAGGTTCACGTGATTAGTTGTCGAATTGATAAAGTCTTATTTTAAGAATATATATTGATATCGAAATTCGAGTGAAATTATTATGATCGACTGCTGACCACGTGATTCATAGCTACGCCATGTTTCAGTAACGTGGTTGTTCAATTTCTGGCGTAAGGCCGATCCGTTATGTATTCATCCCTTGACGAGCGGGTGGCGGACGACCTCGAGGAAGACCGATGCCATTTGGCGTGTCTCAGTGAGCGAGATCGGTTTGAGAATCTCGTACGTCAGTACCTCCATGACGTACAATCGGATACGAAGACGCGTTTCTGGGGTAAGGGGAATCTCTGGAATGAGGCTGGCGTCGCTAATAGGCGCTGCGGGCGGCATTTTTGAGTTGAGGATCGACACAAAGCTTCCCGCAAAGGCAAAGATAAGCGCCGGATCCGCCTTTTGATCGATCAAATTCGAGAGTCCTTGCTCCTGGTTTCATCCACTACCCTTGATAAACAAATCGGGCCTTTAGAAAGGTGCGAAACCGTTCCTTGAATGCCGCGAAGTTGCCAGTTATCGGGCTCCTTTACCGCGACATACTCGCATTGCTCGGCGACTTTGAGGGCACCCGTCTCGCCTCTTATCCCAATACAAACCATTTGGCAGCCAAGCGGCAGATACGAGAAGATGTTTTCATTCTGTGAGCCTGTCCAAAGGATCAAAATGCACCTACTTCTACAAGCGTTTCAAAAACTTCTAGATACGTCAGTAAGATTGTTGAAGAAGGTGAATAGTTTTGCTCCTTTAGCTTTATAGAGAATATTGCCGTCGAGACCGCATGTTGGAATTCCCGCGTTCACATCGTTTGGATTTACTGTCGAACAGCGTTTTGGGCATTGTTCCGGACTTTCTGAGAGAGTTGCATAGCGCATTACATATGAAAGTGGCTTGTCGCGCTCATCGGCAATCCACTGGTTGCAGCGAAATTCAATTTTGCTTTGCGAAGCGCGGAAATCTCCGTTCATCCCTTAGCGAGGCATTCTTTGCACGTTCTACTCGATTAAGAAATTCAAGAGAGTGCCCCTCTCCTAGGTTTTGAGTAATAAACTCGCAGCTGCCTCCGTCTGGCGGCTTGTTCGGATTGAGGATAAACGTGCCAGCATTTCTATAGACGCCGCCTCGCTCGATCTGCAACGTAAAGCGGTAAAAGCGATTATCATCAAGTATTCCTTGTTTGATAATCAAGTACTGCGAAGAGTCACCAGTTGTCGAGGTCTCTTGGTTTATATCCACCTCTTCACAGTCATCATTAACAGGCGTCGAAGCTGGTTTACAATTTTCAAACTCGGTCTCGGACTGATGCACCGTCCATTTGTACTTGTAGCTCGTCGAGTTCATGATACAGGAGACATCCTCCTCATTGATCACCAATGGCTGCGCAGTCAGGTGAACCATCGACGTCCGAGATACTCGCTTGTGGAAGTTGCTCTGGCAGGAATTGCACTTGATCTCGATATTAGGAGCGAGTTCTTCGCCGATCGACGGCCGGTGAAATTTCAGCACTTGGCTGTCATATGCCTCGACAGGCTTGTGTGACGTCGTGAAGCTCACATTGAAGATATAGTTGAATCCTTCCATGAAGAAGTCGTTCCCTCGATTGATCTTGAGCTTTGCCTTGTTGTTGCATGTTTCCATCGCTTTTATTCAAGTTCAAAAAAAAGGATCAAGATAATGTGTCTTCGTACACAAACTCTAATTGAATGAGCAAGCTTGGTAAAGATGTCCATAGTTATCTTTTCAAGATATGGCTCGGTCAAAATGGCCGCTTGCCGGAATATTTTCTGGACCAAGTTATTCAACAAATTTCTTGTAAAAGGTCACACTATTTAAAACTAGTGATACCCTGAGATTTGATAAAAACAAAGAAATAAACAATTATAAGTGAAAATTTGTTCGTTCCAGATTCCGATTGGGTTTTCCTGGTATCTGAGAAAAATATTACTCCTGGAATCATCAAGATTCCAGAGTAGACCGCAGGCTACTTGGACAGCTGACAATTATGTTTGAACTCGGTGGCTGGTTGATTAGTTTCGAAGTCGGTGCGGCACACGTCCTGAATGACATCGTAAGCGTCAGCAATGAGATTATTGCAGGTCGTGGTCAGGTCTTCCACGAGAATCATCTCGGCGGTGGTGACTTGGCAGGACCAGGAATAGAGAATGCTCTGCTCGGAACAGTAGTCACTTGGGTTCGCGATCACGCAGTCAGGATCTTTCGGTCGGGTTAAGCGGGTCAAAACCACAGATCATGGTTTATTCAAAGTTTATCGACTCTATCTTTCTGAGAAGATTAACCCTGCCTATTGAATTTGATGCATCGATAAAGAGCGGTTTCCGATCCAGCGTTGGACATCCCTTATTTTCAATTCTAACTGTTGCGCCACGTAAGTACGCCAACAATGGACTGTCGGTGATGTTCAGTAAGTCGCCGTGCCAGCTTCCCACGATCTTTGGCTCCCCGGAGCAGTGGTCGTTTTCGAGATTTTGTGTGATGTTAAAGCTGTGGTCAGGGTTGGATGATTTCGTAACGACACTACTGGGTAGTACCGAAGAAAAAAATGATGACCAAATGATTTTAAACAAATCTATCAACTTAAGAGATAAAAGGGAAACTCAATTATATGGAAATATAAAATGCTGCCTGTTCGGGATGTTCGATATAATAATACATAGTTGGTATCAGCATCGATACGAAAATGACGGTATCCATTAAATACCAGCTGTTATGATAAGAAATAAACTGTTAAATAAAGAACAAGTCATCTGTAAGAAAATTCTGTCTAAAAACCCTTTGCAAAAGCAGTATTCTCCAGTGCGCAAGCTCCAATTTGGCAGTAACAGTCTGGCAATGCCCCTGTCAACATCTTTGACATCGATAATTTCGTCAGGGTCTGTGCCATCAGCATAACCGCGGCACATGGGCAGCCAATCCGGATTTTGTGACCAGTCATCGGCGCTTTCCTTGGTTTCGTCGCAGGACGCGTTTACGTTTGTTGATTTATTCAATTGAGATTCTAGCGCTCCCCGGTGCGCCATGTCATCAAGCAGCGTTATAAAAACATCTCTCAAGGGGGCAAAAATTACCTAGGACTTTCTGAGATTGTTTACCCCGTCGAGAGTGGTAATTGCGACCAATTAAGAGACGCATATTTGCTGCATTCTCATAAACGCACGGGTGTAGCGAAAAATAACACTGTGAAAAAATGACTTTGAAACCATTAGCTATGAACAGACGTCCCAGATTGAGAGCAGCTTACGTTGGGCCGCTTCTTCCACAAAGTCCAGCGCATGTTATCGAACTTGCATGGGTTGATCTGAATTGGATCTTTCCGCGGGTTATCTTTTCGCAACCTAGCAGTTTACAAAATTCTCTATGACAATATAACCAAGGACACGTTGTACCTTGGTATTATTTGGATAAATTATTTGCCACGACAAAGTGTAAAACTAATCATCATAACAAGCTATTATTAATAGTTTTAAGTGTGAGCTGTTTAGAGGTCCCGTTTTAGCCACAAAGTGTGACTCTCGAGTGTTGCTGAGTCCCCTTTTCCAGTTATATAATAGACAAAGAAATTGTATTAAAAAAATAACCCTAACTTGGCTCGTCTGATTTTGCTTGCTATCGACTTGAACTTCGAGAAGGACTGAGCGTGAGCGGTAAATCGGACTGAGTGGAGTGTGTTCAAGCTTCGGCGGTTTACAAGGCGGCTTAATGGTAAAGAAGTTCCATTGTTTGCCGTCTGGGATCGTATAGAGCCTGGCGGTGTTATTCGCTGTCGCCTTGATCGCATAATCGCTCTCGTACTGTGCTCGCCAGAAAAGAATCCCTTGATTGTCACTGTCGATGGATTAGCTTACTCAGAGTAAAGACGCCGTTTCCGCGTTTTATTAATCAATTATCGAGCTCACTTTTCGGAACTCACTTAAAGTGAATTCAAAAGAAAATCTTAAATTAAAAAAAAAACTGAGAAGTGATCAGATTGGCAATCCACTCCTGACCCTCGTGTCCGACCAGTTATTATCCGTTGTTCTGATGGAATAGGAGGTTTGTTTTCCATTTCCTTTCGCGTAGTTGACAGAAATCGCCACACAATCATTCGAGAATATAATATCCGTTTCAGTAGAATTAGAACTTGAAGATGGGTCAAGATTGACTGTCGAATTGATCGTACTACAAGTCCATGAAGGAGGCAGCAAACTACAGAACTGTCAAAGAAACAGAATCAAGTTTCGGCCGATATATGAGCAGGAAGAAACTCGACTCAGTTAATTTCAAGGATTCAAAGGAAACCCGATAGATAGATAAAAGTTTAGTATGCAAGCAATTACTTCTTAGACCCAGGCCTGACAACAATTTGAGCTTCGCCTCCAGTGAACACTCAAAAGGGTTAAAAATTTTCGCTAACACATTTTAGTTAGAAAAAAAAATAATTAACCCGCGCTATCGGAGTGACGACATCTATTTCCACGGCAGTTGATACCTGACAACTCAACAAGCTATTAAAAAAGCCTTTCTCGTCGCTGAGCGAGGCTTGAACGGAGATGGTATCGCCTGCTGTTATACCATCTATGTCAATGACCCTGTAAGCGACGTTCACTCAAGCGGCCCAAATTTGCCCCCTTAGTAAACTTGTTATGAACGTTTCCTGAGTTTGTATTCCCAATCAGCAGAAGTCTCCGTCACTCCATTCACCGTCCAGGTAGAGACGATGTTCGTGTTCTCAAACATGGACGGTCGCAGTCGATGGTACTCAACGCCATCAAAGGTACAAAGCTGAAGACGACAAGTCATCCTGTCAAGCTCTACTGCCGGCTTTCCATTGATCAGGTCAATCATGCAAACAGGGTCGTTTTCAGTTTGAGCTTGCGAGCAAATCACAACGTTTTGACAGACCGGGAGATCAAATGCCATGAACGTTTTTGAGGTTGAAATCATTGAAACTTCATTGATAAAATCGATCTCCATTGTATATTGCCCTGTAAATTGAGAGAGTTCTGATTGACCGGCTCGCCAATATATTTTTTTAAGAAATCAATTCAAGTAAACAATTCTTACGGGGCATGACTTAACCCAAAAATGACGGGCACTGATGATAAGGGTTGAAAATACCTCCGAGGCATTGCTTCAGTTGAATTCAAACACTAAAATACTTGGCGAGCCGTTTGCTAGACTGAACGTTCCATCCGTCCTGTCCATCCGAAAAGATTGAAATAGCAGGTCAGGAAGAGAAAGATCGATTGTCGAGATTTTCACGTTGCTTGCGAAATAGACAATCAGGAAATCACGCTTGTCAAACACAGGAATACAGGCGCTTTCCTGCCCCGGAACTCAGCAAGTAATAATTATTTTAAACATTACCCGATGCGGAATAAAGCAATAAAGAAGAAAGATGAGATCGATGAGGTTGCAAAAATTTTAGCTCATGACGTTTGGCGTCGAATGTTTGGCTCAACCTCTCGGTTCAACTATCTCGAAAAATTATTGTAAGCGGTTGTTTGGAGTTCTGTCCTGGCAGTTTCTTTTAAACTCCTCGTTGCTCGGGTGGTAGTACGCACGTGCTTATCAAGGTTCTGATAGTATTCCAAAAACCACACAATTAATATCCACATTTACAAACACCAATTCAAACCCTGGCCTGTCGGGTACTCTAAATAAGGCAAAATAACAAGAGCTGCTTGGATGGAAACATCAAGGTAATAAGTTTTCTCCTCCGCTTCGTTGAAAAGCTCCAAGATAAGTTGGTACTCGACGATTTCGCTGGATGACTCGAATGAAAACGATGCACCGAAATTGCGACTATTCTCCTCCAACTCCCAAGATATGTTTTGCGGCGCCACATTTGATACAGCTTGAAATCGAAGCTCAGTCGATACTGTCGCAAAAATCGTCGCCCAAATGTCTTCAGACGGATACGCAAGTAGTAATTGGTATAAGTTGGGAACACTTTTCTATAATCTTTTATGATAGGGCTTCGCGCCACAAGATCCTCCGGTCCTACTAGAGTCAAATCTCAAAAATAGGTATTTCTAAGGCAATGGTAATATCATATGACGTAAAGAAACACAATAATTTGCAAGTTAAAAGCTTATTCGCTGGTACGAGGAAGAGCGGTAGACGGTTTACCGTAAGCCACAAAGACAACAACAAAAGTGCTGGTAGCGACTGAGGTTTTAATAGTCATCTTCTGTACCCGTTCTCTATTGATTCGCCATTCAGTAAGACAGCCTCCAACTCCACCTGCTCGACTACAGTGATAAAGATGGTCTTCCGCGCCTCACTTAGTCTGTTTGAAGCCTTGACAGTTATATTGTAACGTCCGACAGAGCTGATTGATAAGGACTTGAAATCCTCAATACCGGAGTAACTTTGACTTTCGACTCCGGATATCAAAAACTGATAAGTTATGTTATTTCCCAATGATTTGCCCGTTTCGATTTTGAAACGCTTGTCAACTTTGGACAGCTTCATTTATGCATTGGTAGCTTTAAAAATACCGCAAATTCAGCGATAAAATATGCCCCATTTTTCATTGACAATCTTGAAGCTTTCCTGGAACGTAATTTTCTGTTCTAAATTTCGTCACGGGCAGAACTTCGAAGTCGGCAATTGGCTCAAGAACTTTGATGGTGAGCTCGTAAACTTCGGAATCGCCGTTCAAGTTCGTCGCGTAAATGTTGAAATAATGATTTCCGTATTGGCTCACAGTGAAGGACCACGTGTCGGACACAGTTGCATCGTCGGCAATGACGGCATCATTGCTGTCCCGAACAGACCACTTGTAGAGAGTGACGGCTTCTGAATCTTCGCTCAATCGGACGGTAAATCGCACCGTGGAATTTAAAAGCACATATTCAGAGTCCAAATTATTGATGACCACTTGAGAGATCTCGGGAGCCGCAACGACATTTACAAAGACCGAATTTTCAATCGTGCCAAGGAGATTTACTGCTTGCAACTTTATTTCGTGCTGTCCAAGCGACTTCAAATGGGATTACAAACATAAACGATTTTAGATAATGATAATTATAGAGCTTTTAATCCTTTGCCTTCATGGCCCAGTTGAGGGAGCCGGTCGGGTCCTCAGGTTCAAACCAGGCCGGAAAATCGGGCAAGATCTGATAGCGATACTGTAGGTGACTTCCTTTCTCCACGTTCGGGCGTATCCAGACCCTTCCATTAGGAGGAAGGGTATTTTTCGAAAGGTAAATACTTAGTCCCGATATTCGCTCCACCGCCAAGAAAGTAATGATAGATGATCGTGTACAATTCTCGCATGAACCACCGTTGCACATGATCGCCTCTGCTCGATAAGTTCCTGCCTGGTCGAGTCTGATTGGTTTTCTTTCGTCAGCTGCTGAGCCTTTCTCGCTGATGACTGTATTGTTTGTTTCTGTTCGTACTACTTGCCATTTGATTTCGCGAATTCCAAAATCGTCTGCGTCGAAATTTCTCTCTATTTCCAAGTCGAACTCCACGCCAACTTCAGCAACATCTACAGGTTTGATTGTAAAGGAAGGAATGTCAAGTAAAATCGTTACGGCAAGGCTGCCAGTGATGACTTCGCCATCAAGTCGCCACGTGCGTGATGAAACTGTGTAAGTCCCAGTACGAGTGTACTCATGCTTCAAGTTCCCAAGTCCAGTGCTTTCTAAAGTTATGTTTTTCGGCCCAGAGCCGTCTCCGAAATCGACTTCAATCAGGTTGATACTTTCAGTTACAGAAGCGTTGCATTGAAGCTCGTTTAGTACGACGGCGATCGGGTCACATCGAAGCTGACTTTCTCCCGGGGGATCGATGACTTTAGTTAGCTTTTTAAATGAATTGGAAAACAGGGAATGCGTCTGTACATGATGTTTTACGTGGTTGTGTTCGTGTAAGGAGCTTAGATTGTGGAACACAAGTAAGAAGCACGTATATAGAAAAAAACTATGGCGCAGCTGAACATCATTATTCGTGTCCTTTAACCTAAAGATACTTCGTACTTTTCGTTTGATTTCAGTTCGACGGAAAGGTTCTGTTCTCACGTAATTTTCGGATTAATCACTTTGTTAAAAATCAGTATTTGTAAAAATCAGTAAAAAGCTTTTCCTGTGAGAAGATGCGTAAGGGTTGCTTCGAACGGCGAAAAAGTGCTTCTAACAAAGCAGGAAATGTTAAATGTTCCTACTCGCGGGAAATAAACATCGACAGTATCTCCCACCGCCTCATCTCCGTTCCCGAGATCCCAAACGAGCTCAAATCGCTCGTTCCAGTTCGCAAATTGTTGGAAATTGCCGACTACGTAGAGCTCAGTGCGCGCGTTTGTCACGACGCGCGAGGCAATCGTAAACGGTAGCAGGAACGTTGGCTTGATGACGGTCAACTCGATTCGCGGAGCGACGGCCACGATTTCCTCGTTAACCTGCGAAAGGAGGCTAAAGTCCAAGCTGTTCGAGGGTTGCTAATTGTTCACAAACTAATGTCCATTGGCTTTGGTGGAGAATGGATAGTTCTATACTTATTTTCTCGAAATAACATCATCCGCGCTAATGTTAATGTCCGCGCGTATCTGCAAACAAGTTAAGTTGTTTGTAGATACGCACAAGATGGTAGTCGGATGCTCAATTCTCGCTCGATGTATTCAAAATTAGCGACCCAAAGCTGAACGTGCCCGCGTTGCCAGGCGCAGTAAGCCGCAGATCATCCCCGTCGCTGAAGGTTTGAGAGAGAAGCGTCCCGCCGTCTACTTTGAGCGTATTCCCGTTCAAGTTGCTGACTCGGAGGGAGAAGGTCTCGCCAGTCTCAACCATGCGAACAAGCTCGCCTTCGATATTTTCAACCTCGACATTGAAGTCGGTAAATCGCTCCAGAATTATAACTTGCGCAGTGGCCGAAAGAACTATCTCCGGAATATCGTCCAATTCCAACTCGACGAAGACTTGATACTGACCGGGCGATGAGAATCTGTACCGATTCTCCACCCTGTTAAAACGCTCATCTGCCGCTTCTCTGCCTTCAAAGAACCATGTAACCGTATAAGAAAGCGAGCTTGGCTAGATTTCCCAGTTGAAATAAAGTAATCGTCTTAGTTTTTATGTTACATGTTCGTCTCTAAAATCGAGCCGGGGAAAGCCGCAAAAGCGCATGTTCGGTTCTCATAAATCGCCGCAGAAGGCAAATCTTTACTTGTTACTCAAAAAATCAAGCGCTTTTCCCAGCCAAGCAAGAATTTCTTGACATCTTATTCAATCAGATTCTGTATGTAGAATTTTGAAATCCTCCCTTAGAGTTTGCGTATTCTCCATCGTAAGCCAAAAATCCACCGTTTCATCGACAAAGTATGATTTCGCGGAATTGAACGAAATCTGTAAATTCTCGATTCTTTCAAAGGAAATTACGGACCAGCATCGATAAACGCTTTCTATGTGGTCGAATGAAATTCCATACTGCGCCAGCATCGGATGGAATTCGCCCATTTGCCAGGCCTCCGCGTAGACGTTCAGTTGAGCTTCCTCATTTCCCGAAAACTGTATTGAGCGATAATCGACCGTTACTGTGGAAATGTTCGCGTTATTCTGAAGGGAGATGTCGATGTTTGCGGAGGAGGCTCGTTCAAGACCAGTTTTCGTCAAGCTCTCAGAAAGTGAAGATCTGGAACTGTAGGACTGCGTTGAGACCTAAACAAAGTTGGCATTTGCATTATTCATGCATGGACTTGAAATTGCAGCTGAATTGTAAAGGAGCTTCTAACTATATCTTATCATTTCAGATAAAATGGACAAGGGCACTTCATGCACATAATAATTTACGTGATGGATTTGGCCAGTGGCAATCAGTGCACTGACCTGGGCTCGGCAACCTGAGTAGAAAACCTGAGTCAGGGTCTGAAAGAGCAAAGATTAAAAGCCGCGTAGCGGCTTTTTTCGAAACGAAGTCGCGAAGCGGCTTCGCAAGATTATTATTCCATCTTATATTTAAATTCTGGCGAAGCCGCTTCGCGGCTTCGTTTCTAAAAAAGCCGCTACGCGGCTTTTAATCTTTGCTCTTTCAGACCCTGACTCAGGTTTTCTACTCAGGTTGCGGAGCCCAGTGTACTGAACAGAGTACACTCAGAGTTGAAATTTGACCTTCTAAAGCTGGGAGACACGCTTTTTGAGGAGAATTCATTAATCAAAACAAAAGGGCCGCTTCCTGCCGTTCTGGGGGCAGCTCTTGATTTTGCAGAATTTTGTAAAACTGCGTCCGCGAGTACTGGAGCACTTTATTGCCGCGGTGGAAATTTGCAACTTATCTACTCGGCCGAGTTGGCCGCCAACCACATGTCCTCCAGATTTTTTCCTCAGAATAATTAACTCTAACATTGGCCACAAGATTGCACCGTCTCAAAGCCCGTTAAGCTTCTTATTAGCGAGCGGATACAAATATACTCGTGTTCGCGCGTACCTGAAGATCAGTACTCCCATCAACATAAAAGGTAAGTCTAAGCGGATCTCCGTCGAAATGGCAGTAACAAAGAGTCGTTCCATTATTACACGGGATCGTCGTCTCGTAGACACCGCTCAACTCCATACTGCTGTACTCAAAAACCCCATTTCCAAGATTTATTGTCGATTCGGGCACCCAACTAAGTAGACCAGCTGCGTAATTGTCTGTATTCGTATCGCGGAAAACGCCATAGCTTTCACGGGATTTTTTGAAAAACAAAAGATACAACTTTTATTTACGTTTGCGTAAAATGGGCTCCTAATAAGCAGCTATTATTTCTTCTCCTTGCGGAAAAGTGCTTATTTTTGGCGTTGGGAAAAAGAACGCGCGTGTTTCCCACCGTGGTCATAATTGATAGAAATCATCAGTTCCTGATTCGGGAAAAAAGCTCTTGTTATGCGTTAAGCCCATTCACTGGAGCTGACAAAGTACTGCCAATGTCACAAGCCACTAATAGTGATGTCCGCTGCCCCGATTCTATGTAGCTACTACAATTACTTGATCACAAATGACAAGTTACAAGATAATCTATCCAAGAGCAGGGAAAACTTGTTCAAAATCAGATCTGCCGTTTTGCAATTTGATTTTAAATGCCCCAGAAAGGACACCTCTGGAAAAGTACTAAGAAAGCCACAGGGTCTGGCTCAGGTTTACTGGATAGAAGTTTTGGTTTGTTTTCGTAAGCTTCAAGTGCAATTCGTGCGCGCGCCCAACCCATGAGGGTCCTTGCGTAAACGGCTTACGCCAGACTTTACGAATTAAAACAACTCAGAATTAGAGCCACAGAATCCCGTCCCTGGGAGCGATGATTGCCGTCTTGTTCAGAAACACGTTTCCATCTGCGTCACGCACGATTCCGCGGTACTCGTCTGTGAACCCGATCGAGTTCTCTGTGTGCCCAAGGAGAAGAAACGCCATCGTAGTATTGAAGGTCGGGTGCAGTTCATCCCGGATTAGATACGTAAAGCCTTTTTAATGGATATCAAAAGATTTTTATACTTTCAACGTGAAAGAGCAAGAATCTGTCGAGTTCTGTGAAAACGAGAAGATGATCCATCTTTTCCTGTTGTATCTAGATCTGGATCAGCTGCCCCAAAAATAATCCCATACGATTTCGTTCCGTTGACGACAGCTATGTATCGGAAATTCTCGCTTGGATAGATCTCCACCGTCTGGGCTAGCAACTGGACGAAGAAGACCCACAGCAGTTGAAACATCTTCAACATCCTCGTGTTTGTTTTTTTAGCCAAAGTTGAAATTCTCCATTTTTTGATTTTCGTTTTTTTTTCGCCAAATTGTGGATTCTCTCTGATTTTCTGACTCTGGCGCTTTTGTGCCCAAGTCCACTTATCCGAGAAGCAAAACTAACAGGCAGCTTTTGTTTTATATAAATGAGCTGAAGACTATGAAACTTCCACCACTCATTTACAAATATTTGGGCGTAAGCGCTTTAGGGCATGTTCGCTTCTCCCCGAAGCCCCAGCAAAGGTCAACACGCAGCATGTGATTTTTTCGAGTCCAGTTCGAGTAATTTTGAACGGTAAAAAAAGGTTTGCGATTGAAACGACCGTTGCACCACTTCTTTTCCGTAAAGCGGAAAATCAATTCGTTTTCAGAAGCCACTCGCAAAAAGAGACTGTCTATTTTAACGCCTTCAGATGCGTCAAAACAAAGAAATTGTTATTCAGGTTTCGAAACTTTGCTAAATTTGTTTCCTCAGAAAAATAATGAGTCCGATTGGAAAGAAAGCGAAGCTGTGTTATTAAGGACCCCCGTCAACAATTTTTGAAAAATCAAAAATCGGCTTTTCATAATTTTGACCCCGGAAATCGATTCTATAGGTCAAAAAACGATTTTGAGGCTTCATTTTTTCGGGGTCTATCTCGACTCTAACACCCTCAAAATCGCGTTTGAAAATTGGACTTTTTGATGAAAAATGACGAAAAAGTCCAAATTTTGCTAAAATTTTAGATTTTTATTGGTCAAAAATTGCTCCGGACAAGTTTTAATGATGTATTGAACTTCCAGGCACACTAAGAAGCCAAAATATGGCTGTTTTGAAATTTTCGATTTTTTGAGGAAAAGTGTTGACGGGGGGTGGGGGGGGGGTCCTTAAAAGTCGATCTAAGGAATACTGTAATCAATGTTGTGGGTTTGGGTGGGGTTTAATACGCTTGCGCAAGCAAAGCAAAGCAAAAAAAAAGTCGACAAGCTGGATTGTTTTCAGTGAAAATGAAGCTCGTTTGTTAAATTTAATAATCGAGCGATCGAGCTGGGGAGGCCGTGTTTTGCAACTCTGTTTGGCGAAAAACATCGGCGACTACTTTTTTCGAATCCTATTTCGGGAAATCGTGTTGCCCACAATTCTACATGTTTTCAGCTAAACGCGACATGAACACGCCTGTGCACTTCTAAAAGGTTCCAAAAATTGCTTTTCTTGGCCAAATTTTACAACGCCCTGGAATGCAAATGTCGCCTCTGTTTCCAACAATTTGAAAGCTCAATTTTAGAAATTGGGCTGAAAGAGTTGCCAACGATTTTCGAGAATTGGAGGCGAGTTACTGTAAGCAGCAGCGGAAGAATTTGATAAGCGGCGATCTGGTCGGTAGATATTTCACGAAAATGTGCTCAATGTTGGACCGTGCAGAATGGATTACTCTACTAAACCTTGAAAGCGGCGAGACTAAAGCCGCTTTCCACGAGTTCTCTTTTTCCGGCACAAAATGTCTTCCCATAGAAAGTGTCCTCCTGAGAAGCTTTCATAAGAGCGAGTTCACTTCGGCGTCGGCCTCGTTTTCACGGCACGGGGAGGTCCTTTTTGGATCCTCACTGGAGCTCATTGGAAATACATGTCACATGTGTTTCGAAAGCCTCACTGAATTGGGAAACGCGATTAACACGACTGTCACGCCAGGTGCTACTTTCAAATTTCATTTTTTCCAGGCGCAAATCAAATTTTCTGCATCTCCAACAAACACAACAAAATTAGAACCCAGCGGAGTTGATAAAACAAGCAATACTTGAAACGTCCCAGTTTGGAAGCTTGAAACTTCCAATTTTATAACATAAAATTTTCCTGTAAAATGTCATGTTCATTTTCAGAAATTGGCCTTTTCCGTCTGAGATTCAGTATCTTCAATATACGCAATAAAATAAAAGAAGTGTCATTATTTATAAACTCTAAGAGAAAAAATGGGACAAATTCGTGATTTACGATGTCCACCTCTTTTAGATTACAAGAAATGTACTGTCTAGACTCGGCAACCTGTGTAGAAAACCTGAGTCAGGTTACGCGGCTACGCGGCTTTTCATTTTAGCTCTTCAAAGCCTGACTCAGGTTTTCTACACAGGTTGCCGAGCCCAGATTACTGTCACATAAAAAATGATTAAATATGGTTTTCGAAAGGCCTCGTTATTCTAAAAATACGAGATCAGAGGCGGAAGGATTGATAGGAAACGGAGAAGAAAAATTAATCCGGCCACATCTGCGGTTCAATCTTGTTCAAGCTTGGAAAGAGCGCGATTAAGTATGAACGGGCGGTTACAGTTACCACACTCGTCGACCAAACACTACTCTGGCCTTTTTCCCTTTCACCCTTGACGCGCTCAAGTTTTCGTTCGCGAGTTATCTCGGCGATAATTGCGGGGATGGAAGAAGAATGCGCTATAAATATTTTGTTTGGCTTGGAAGGAGTCGGGCGCGCTACTCGGAATGGAACTAACGGGTCTAAATCCACGTCTTTGGCGAAACCACGCGCTGCAATGCGCCAGCCGACCGCGGAATTCATTTTTCCGAAAAGACTATTTTCCGTTTCTGCAACGCATCATTCTATGATCTTGTTGCTGCTCCGCGAAAAGTTCTTTCTTCTTGTTTGAAAAATATACGGGCCGCGTATCTTTTTTTCGCCTGAGAAAAAGAAAGATTCAAAAGAACAAATGGCAATATCCCTCGGAGCTTTCCATTGAGTCGCGAATAAGAAGGACGTTCGAGTAAGTTCTCACGTTAGCTTCAGAGTCTCTATTAAACCCTCTGTCTCACTGTTTGTAAATTTGAAGTAGAGGGAGGTACGAGCTCTTATTCCCGAAACAAAAGTCTGCTTGAAATCGAACTCATAAGTTAAGGGTGTCAACAACGATCGAATAAGGGCGTCTCTTATGATTCGACCAATAAGTATCTTTTTATTTAGCTTACAAGGATTCCAAATCTTTTTTCAGATCTGAAATATCTCATCTAGAACACGAGATATGAAACATTCTATAGGCGCGCTAATGCACTAGCGCTTGAGCTACTGAAGTAGAAATGCACTATTAGAAAGGTGATTTTTTAATTTCCGGTTTTATACATCAAACTATATATTTTCTGAAAGCTTGAAAAAATCTCTATTCGCTGATACCAATATTGATAAGATCAGGCAATTTTTTCAAGTTCGAACTGCGCGCCAAAAGTCGCAAACACCTGCTCTTTGGCGTCGGGAAAGAGGATTAAGGGATTAATCAGTATACAATCTGAGCGCACCGGGTGATTGCCGAGGTATTAAACTATTATCCCTGTGAAAATAAGAATATTCGAGCTTTAGGAACACCACTAAAGTCGAGCACAAAAATTCGGAAAATCGTATGTTTACATAATGCATGCTGTCCGGATGCATGCATGCGAAATCGAAAAAAGGGCTTTCAGAGGCGTCGTACTTTTGTCTGAAGATTCTTCTCTGAAAATTTCAGATTCACACCTCATCTAGAATTCTAGTAACGGGGGTCAAAAGTTACCCCTATTTTGTGTAAAACGGGCTTCCTTTGAAGTCAGCGGGAGAATTAACGAGAGTACTAATCCAAAATCGGGCTTTCAGAGGCGTCACAAAAGGGTTTAAACTTTCTTTTGACATATAAAGAATCTTGAACAACCCAACTTAAGGTACCTCTACCGGGGTCAAAAGTTGGCCGAAAATCGTTGTTGACACCCTTAAGAAAAAAGAAGAGAGGGATTAAGTGGCGAGCACCTGCTGATTTTCAATTTCATTTAAAATGAATTAAGCGTATCCAACTGTTGCTTAGAACTTCTAAACACCAAATTACGATGATAAACAAACAAAGCAAATACAATTGTATCTTCGCTTTTGTATTTTTCAACGTTATTTTACCACCTTTGCAAGCTTGACAGTTTATGTCGTAGAAGTTCTTGTGTTCGAGTGTTTTCGAGTTGAGAGAATCGGAATTGTGAGAAAACCTGTGTAGAAAATTAGGAGGTTTAGACGCGTGACTTGTTACCATGACGAGGCTTCATGTAGCTTGCGTGTTCGAAACACTAGAATCCGGGTTTCTACGTCCGCGCGGCGGATCAACGCATCTCTCTTTTTTGAACGCGTGCTTTGATTTCTACCTTGCTAATTAAAGCGGTCACGAGCAGATTCCGCGAGTGGCGAGAGTCGTCAAAAAAATCTTACGAAATCTAATGCGATCGAAAATCTGCGAAAAAAGCACCAGCGGATCCCGTTTTTTTTGCAAATCAAATTCGCTTTGGCAAAAATGATGCGCTTTCTAACCGCCCAAAACAGGCTGATCACGTGTCCGTGCGGGGAAAATAGCTACTTCTGCGAACTGCGCCAGCTCGATTATTAGGACTCGCACGTGAAAATTGAAGATTCACGGGCCCATAAGTGTCGGGGCATTAGTGTCGCTTTTCTTGATTCTTAGAAATCGCGACTCTTTTTTCTTCTTAGAGCATTGCAAAGGGAGAAAGAAGGCTGCGTTTCTTGTGTACATGGAATATTACGAACGGGCAGGGCTAAAAGAAAGATAAATGAATTGAACACAAACATTCGGGGAAGGGTGCCCGGAGCTTGCCAATCGTAATCGTAATCATAAATCTGCTGATAAGCGAGCCCTTCTTGGAAGATTATGCGTACCCGCAAATCAACGTCAATTCCAACTGTGACTTCTATTTTCCGTTCAACTTACAGTAATCAATCAAAGAAATCTGTCGTCGCAATTGTCCATCAATCAAATCTTTGACTGATAAATTAGAAAAAAGCGGAGATAACTTAGTATCAGTCAACTTGACCAGCTCTTGTATAATCAGCTCACTGCATAATCATTTAGTCATTTATTGCTAATACTGGCATTGATAGTAAGTCGTTACCTGTAACGTGGGCAAGACTAGAACCCTGAAGAATAAATGGCCATGATTCCTGACGAAATGAACGCGGATTTTGATAAAGAA